CCTCCACACTCCTCCTCCACACTCCTCCTCCACACTCCTCCTCTACACTCCTCCTCCATACTCTCTCTCCCCCACACTTACACTGGCACCACGTAGAAAACTACAAACCACATCCCAACACCCAGACACCCACGAAGTTAGGCAGTTACACCCTGGCCATTTCACACCAAATCCCCCTCTTTTCGTCCATCTCTTGACCAGTGCGTCTACCTACTGTCACACACACCCCACATCTTGCCCAGAGCCCCCGAAACGTGGTCCTTCGCAGGTTAGAGTACACCCGTGTCTCGCCGTCGCACGTGACATTCTTCCTGCGCTGCCTGTACCCACCATGATCCCTGCCGCCTCCAGCACAACGGCACCCTCAGGCTGTCGCACACCGAACACCCACGCTCATATTTGCATTCGGAACACAAGTAGAGTATCCTGGCCATCACGGACAAGCTAGCATACTCGGCGCGCACGAGATTCCCGACCTCGCAGTCCCACACTTTCCGGCTGCGCCAAAGTTGAAAACTCTGGTGACCACGCCACCGCCTAGTATCGCTCGAATACCGGACATCCTCTCGAAGTAATCTGAAGGTCCTCCTTGTGCTGCTCTGCACCGCGGCATGTCCCCTGGTAAAATGCACCATCATCGGCGAGGCACCGGCGAGGCAGCGTCACGTTTACCATGTAAGATTACTTTGTACGATGTGGTCATATACGGCAGTAACACCCAGACACCAACGAAGTTAGCCACTTGTCCCCTGCCTCTCCAATGCCTGTCGTATCAAGGTGAACAGCTTGTGAGTTGACGACACAGAACTTGGCCACGTTTCGGAAAACACCAAACAAGTCTACTGCGCACGCAAGCTGCAGGCTTCAATCATGCAACGTCCCATAAACACATAGTCGAAATACAGTCAAGATTCATCGCTCTATATACTAAACAAATACCTACTGGTCCCTTGCTTTTTCACGTGACTCCTCACTGTGCACTGGCCACAATGGTCTCTTCTCTGAACTTGGAGACGTCCACTCTGCCCTTGAGCGCTGGGTGCTCCAAAACCTTAGGAAGCCACTGCTGCAGATGGGTGAACCCACCAAACTTGTCCTTGCCCAAAGCAAACCCAAACAGAGTCCCGCAAAGAGACGCAGCGTACAGATCCGCAATGGTTATGCGGTCGTTCACCAGGTATTCCTGCTTGCTCAAGCTCTTTTCAAAGAGGCCAAAGTTTGAGAGACACGTCGACAGCTTTTCGTTGTACTGCTCCGGGCTAGCATTGGTTTTGGCTGCTGTCACCACTGCAACAACGCTTGACGTTATTTCTTGGTTCGTGAACGAGAGAAACCTGATGACCTGCGAACGCTCCTCCAATGTCTCGCCGTAGAGTGACTTTTCAAGCTTATCGTCACCCTTCAAATTCACTAGGTAGTATGCGACCGCCATCAATTCGGTCAGCTCAAACCCGTCCTTACCCAAGATCGCCGGGTTTTTTCCCAACGGGAAGTGGCTCTCGAATTCTTCTCTGTGGTCGGTGGGGTTGACGACATTCATGTCAACCTTGAGCCAGTCAACTAACCCACGAGGCAGCATGCCTCTGGCATTTTGGTAAGCGTATAAAGTTCCGAGCGACATTGTGTATGCGGTGGGGCTTCTGATTAGAGAGAGGCAATGTCGCTTCCAAGCTCGAGCCTCTTGCCATTATATGTACTTCTGCGTACCCTCATACAGCTTTGGCTCTCGAGCCAAAACAGATAACAACGTGGCATTCAACAGAAAATCCAAAACCATTAGTAAAGGTGGTGTTGTCGACGGCGTTTAAAGAATTTCGATGATACGCTCTGGTTGTCCTGGCAACGTGGCTTAAGCATTACTAATGACAGATAACCATGCTTCCCGAAAAAATTATGGTCTTTCGATACCCGGGCGGTGGTAAACGCAAAAGTCTCGGATCCTGGGGCTACATGAGGACCAGCATTGCTGAAGTAGACGCTATACGGGATTGGCATTCAAGGAGCGTTTGAGCTACTAGCCTCCAGTGCGGCGTATTCACGACACATAATTTGAGCACTTTAGTCGAAGAAACTTGAGCTCACCCGCTAGACTCTGTCGGCGTCGGCGTCTACCCGCGTAGCTAGGCACGCAGCCCTACGTGCATAAGCGCCAAGAGAAAGCCCGAGGCAGCACGGAGATATAAACCACGCACTGACAGGGTTTTGTCGTCAGAAGGGACATAGTAGACAGGGTACTCCATCCAGGGCCTTAAACCGCATCCCTACGGCGCAACCACTGAGTAAACGATAACTGACTGACACACTGCTGCGCATCTCTCTCCAAAAGCTTGTCAAGTATTGAGCGCCTTGGACCCCTAATCGTCCTCTGCACACTACAACGTCACAGTGTCATCCTTGACAGACTCTTTCTGGCACAATAACTCCGCGTCAACTAGTCCATTAACTTGCTCAAGTGTCCGCCAGGTGATACTGACTTGTCCAATCACAATAGCCAAGAATCGTGATTTGCATATCATTACTAAGCTGGCAATTTGAGGCTGCAGTCGCAGCTTTGTGCATGAGGAACAAATTCTGAGTAGACCCCAGAACAGCGAGGCTATGTGGTGGTGGCTGCGACGTTAGTGCCAAGAGCACCTATCTCGAGCAGCATCGTAGCTAGCACATTGCCAGAGCGATTTCGCAACGCTCAACGCCACGGCTCGTTGCCCTCGTCGCTGTTCACGACGCTCTACTCAGCGCTTACAAATGGCCTGTATAGCATGGCTTCCAAAAGGCTGTTGGCGGGACAAACCGCCAGTGGTTTAAATGGCAGGCGTAACAGGGACGATGTGTCTTAGATCCCGCCAAGACCCAGCCTGCGATGTCTGTTTTCCGAAATAGTTTCGTGGGGCGTTTGATCTACCACGCTTCGAAACACCGATTTCCGAGTTACCCCGAAGAGAAGCCCGACTACGTTCTTCCTGCCAAATACGCAGCAGACGACAAGCCGCCGGCATGCCAACTCACTGAAGAAAACAGCTTCAATTCGCTCGACGACGTCGAGAAGCAGGAGGGCCGAGCCCGCAGCATTGGGTCGAACGGCGCCCCCATCTTTGTAGACTACGATGGCCCTAATGACCCCGAGAATCCCTACAACTGGCCATTGTACAAGAAAGTACTTTTCATCGCTGGCATTGGGTTTCTTACGATCTCCGTCTACATGGGCTCTGCCATTTATACACCGGGCATCGAAAACCTGATGAATGACCTGCAAATCACAAGGGTAAAAGCTACACTGCCTCTGACTATGTTTGTCATTGGATATGGCCTAGGTCCCATGGTGTTCTCGCCCATGTCGGAAAACGCCGTTTTTGGCAGAACGTCCATTTACATTGTCACCGTTTTCACGTTCTTCATCCTGCAGATCGCTCAGTGCTTTGGACCTGCGACAAGAAGCATCGCCTCTATGACCGTTATCAGGTTCCTGAGCGGTGTCTTTGCGTCGCCGGCGCTGGGGACCGGCGGCGCCAGTGCCAGCGATGTGGTTACTGCGCCTTACATGCCTGTTGGGATTATTGCGTGGAGCATAGCCGCGGTGTGCGGTCCAACGTTGGGACCCCTAGTAGGTGCTGCGTTGGTGAACGGGACGGGCGGCTCCTGGCTGTGGACTTTCAGGTTCATGATGATCATGTCTGGGGCTTCCTTCGTGATCTTCGGCTTTTTCCTTCCCGAAAGCCTTGGTGCCGCGATCCTGCGGCGCAAAGCTCAGCGATTGAGAAAACTGACTGGCAACGACAACATCGTCGCGGAGGGAGAGTACGCGAATCGAAGTTTGACGGTGCGGCAGGTTGCCGTTCAGACGCTGTGGAGGCCGATCGAGATCACTCTTTTCGAGCCAGTTATCCTATTCATCAATCTCTACATTGCACTGATCTACTCGCTGATCTATTTGTGGTTCGAAGCTTTCCCGATCGTGTACGTTGGCACGTATCATTTCACGGTGGTCGAACTCGGCGTGTCGTACGTCAGTGTAACCTTGGGCATTTTCATCGGCTCGGCGATCTACATTGGTTACATTTACTTTGCGTACACGAAAAAGCTGCTACAGGGCAGGGAGAATGAGGTGGTCCCCGAGGTGTTTCTGCCGCCCGCGATTGTCGGCAGCGTAGTCATGCCCATAGGTATCGCCATTTTCGGATGGAGCGCTAGCCCGAACACACACTGGATAGGGTCTCTCATCGGGGCCATGGTTTTCGGCATGGGAGGCTTTGTCGTCATTCAGTCGCTCTTCAACTACATGGCAATGTCTTTTCCACGCTACATAGCGTCTGTGTTTGGAGGGAATGCGTTGTTCCGGTCGGTCATGGCGGGGTGCTTCCCTCTATTCGGGCCGCCGCTGTACAACAATCTTAAGATCAAGGATTATCCCGTTGGTTTGGGCTCTACGATTGTGGTTGCTATCTGTCTTTGCATGATAGCCATTCCGGTAGTGTTCTACATCCTGGGCAGCCGGATTAGGGCGACATCTAGATATGCAGGATCGTAATCTAAATAGGATGTTAAATATAAAACTGGATAGAACAAGGATTCGCGGAGCAAATTTCTCACTGCTACGATGTTACACGACTTTCAGCATCTTGCACTCGCCCTCAACGCGACCCACAATCGTTTTGCAAGTGTACTCCTTCCCAACGGCTGTCAGACAAAAATATCTTCTTCAATAAAATCTTATTCAATATATAGCATATCTATAAGTCTGTCTACCACGTCCCTCGTGGATCAGAGCCTACCGGTATGCCCCGCTTACCATGGGAGCTCGCTGCCGTCGTTGGCAAGGAACTTGCCAGTGTCCTCGGGCTTGAGCCCCTCGATAACCTTCTTCAGGCCGCTAGCACTCTGGTCTGGCGTAAGCACGTTGGCAGGATCGAAAAAGCTGGCGATCTTTGGATCAAGCGCAATCAACTGCTCGCCAACCTCTTTGCCCATGTCGGATCCAACAACGCCCGGGTGGAGAGGTGCAATAGTAAACCCCTCCTTCTTGAGGTCAAGAGCAAGCTCTCTGACAGTGTAGTTCAGAGCAGCCTTGGATTGACCGTAAGCGGATCCAGGAATTGGCAGCTCAAGCTGGATGGAAGCAGCCACAGTCGAGAGAAAGAACGCCTTCTTTAGCTTACCCTTCTCAAGTAGCGGGTACAACGCCTGAAACAAGAGGATAGGTCCAAGAGCGTTGGTCGTGTAGTGCTTAATCCAGTTTTGCTTCTTGGTGGTCAGCACATACCCATCGATATCAGCGATACCACTGTTGGAGATGAAAATGTCCAGGTCCTTCGTGATCGCAGCAATCGCAGCCCCAGCAGCGTTGATACTCTCTTCACTGTCGACGTCCAGCTTAACGATGTGGATGTTTCCAGAGCTCTTCGACAGCTTTTGCAGCTCTGCCGCGGCGTCTGGATTTCTTGCGGTGGTGACAACGGTGGTGCCAGCTTCCTGGGCAAAGGCCTTAACGAGCGAGAAGCCAAGGCCACGGTTTCCGCCAGAGATGAATACAGTTTGTTTAGTCATTTGTGATCTGTGGTTTTTAGAACAACCAGAACCCAGTCTGAGGAGCTTCCTCAAGCCTTTAAATATTCTTTCTGAGCTTCCTTGACTTTTCGAATTTGTCATGTTGTCGATGTGTGGCATCTTGCAATGCGACAGACCAGCTGTTACGTCCTTGGCATTTCTACGTTCTATCGGAACCACTTCGCCTTCAGACTTACTAATGGTTCATGAAAACCCATTATTAAGCATAGCATGCAAGCAAGTGGGTAGATTGCACGCTGTTTGGTGCATTCTGACCACTCGGTGTGTATCTCACTCTGTGGCTTTGGTCTGCTCCACCAAGAGCATTTTCAAAGTAGGCGGTGCCAAGAAGTAGCCTGTTTGTCAGCTTTACAACGGTTTTGTTTTCGAGGATGCAGCCCAACCAAAGCCAAGAGCAGCCGAGGGATAAACCCTTGCCGCAAATCGTATTTCGTTTATTCTAATATGCCACAGCTGGGCTACTTCCTCGCCGCCCATCCTACACGTCACTGAAGCGATGGGCGCCATGTTCGTCTTGAAAACTTATATCGTTACCATGACAACCATTCGGAGCACTCGAATATTTACATGCTCACTCGCATGATGTGCTCGACGGTTGTCGCTATATGCGTAGCGTATACTCCTCGTCATTACACTCTCGACCGATTGATCAAGAACGCAAGATAGTTGCCACCGAAGTTCAAACCAAGCAGCTTCATTAGGTGACGGATACACTGCGACCTCGAGTCATAACCACACCGCCGGGTCACACTTCGCTATCCATATCTTCCTCTATGTGGCGATTTATGTTCACATCAGTAAAAGTAGGGCTGACACTTGTACTTACCCGCTTCTCGGCAGTTTCGTCCGCTTCCCTGAGCTTGCGTAGCAGTGCTCTGTACCTGAACCGGTGTCCAAACACGGCAACAACACTAGCCGCCACCAGCCAAGAAAACACTACTGGCAAAGCACGATACAGACTTGGCACGTAGCCGCCGGACCAGATATCCGTTAGAACGTCGTACGCCTCTTTTGCAGGCAACGCGTATGCCCAGCGATAGAAGCCTGGGTTGATTTCAAACGGACTGATTGTGCCCGTGATGTTGATGATGATGTACGGGAGGACAACGAATGGCAAAGCCGGGGGAGGAAGGAAGGCGGTGCAGCAATCCAAGATCAGCAGGTGCACGTACATGAGAAGCCAGTAAACCATCCAGCTAAGAACAAACTGGTTTCCGTTGACTTGCCAGGCCTCACGGAAAGCCCAGATGTAGCCTGCAGTGCAGAGCGAAGCGCCGAAAGTGAAAGCAACGCTTGCAATTGTCCGCAGAAGCAGTGTGGCCTGAAAAGATAACTCCTTGTATATCTTGAGCTCGTAAGAGAGCCCATTGAGGATCAGAAGGAAGAAAAACTGTTGAAGAATGGGCATCACCATACCTACCGTGTTGTAGAACAACTTAGTTCCTTGCAACGTGGGCATCAAATTAATAGAGGAAAACGGCACTGGATCAAGAAACGCTTGTAAGGCCTGTGGACTGGAGCTGTTTAAGTTCTGCATTGCTTGCGATGCATACAGCGCGTTATACGACTGACGCGTAGCCTCGACAAGGCCGGTGAAACTGCCTTCGATGGCCTCGTCCGTAATCGGAGGATACCGCACTTCGTTCCAAACGTAAGTCAGCGCAGGCGATGATCCATACTTGCTAGCCGCCTCGCCGCCCTGAATCGCTTCAGAAAGACGGTCCGATGAGTCGGGATGGACGAGAAACGCTCCCCAGTATTTGTTTTTCTTGACCTCATCTACTACATCTTCTATGCTGGGAAATCTGGCAGTGTCCGCCTTATCCAATGTCAGAAACGAAGGTCCCCGCAATCTCTCATACGCCTGATCGACACTCTTGCCGATGACACCTTGATCGTAATCGACGTACAAAATGTGGAACGCTTGCACTCTGGAAGGAAATTTCCATGTCGACCCATACAGGTAGCACATGGTTGACAGAAACAAAAGCCATAGCAGAATGGATAGGATTCCAAATATTTTAAAGAATTCCTTTTTGTTTTGCCATTGAACCGGATTATTGAATCGGCGTGAAGAAGCTCGCTTGTTGTCCATTGCAAGATTGAAATTGAAAGATATCCCGTGCAGGCATCGATTCGGTATGGCGTGCGTGGCGATCAAGACGCTCTTATGCGAACCGTTTCGACTTGGGTTTAGGTTTCGTTTGTGAGAAATGGGTGCAACGAGCAGAGGTTGATATGGCTAACTATTTACGGCCGTAGCCTACGGCCGAAAAGTGCCGCCAACGGCAAAAGCCTCGCTGTGGCTTGCTATTGCCGCACCTCTTGCAGGGCTCTTGGCAAATTCTTACTGCCGCTTTGCGAGTAACGGAGAAAAGCACAACTTGCCCACCGCACGCCGCGGGAATGCCCATAGCGGTCTATTGGAGATACTACGACAGGCTCCTTGTGGCCATGGCGGTATCCTGTCACCGTCATCATGTGACCCGGCCATTCGTCGTCAAAAATTTAATAAATTTAGCATACATCGAACTATAAAGATTTTGAATTACTTCACGCAACCTCTGCTTTTTCTTTGCTTTTGGGTATGAATCGCGCCAACCTTTCTAACTGTTCACCAGCTAGGGAACGCGGCCAGGCCTTGGGCGCTCTTGCCGGCCCAATCGCCGACATTCAAGGATTGTAGTATAGTCCGGTCGTCTCCAGACTTACCCGAAAATGCTGACACGGAAGCACCTGTAGAATTGCCGCTGCCCGGACTTAGTGCATAAACGTAGTCGCCTGCCGTAATAAGGTCGATGTACGCGTCGGTAGTGTTCGTTACTGACACAATGCTAGCATCGTACAGGCTCATCTCTACAATGTGGCCGACAAGAGGGTCCGTCACAAACGCAGAGTTAGAGAGAGACGAGACCACGGCCCAACAACTGGCCTTTTGGCCGGGGATTTCCTGCTTACTGACAAACCCGGAGACACCCGAAGCTTCGTCAACGGAGAAGATAGCTGCACCAAAGGATGGGTCAGCCACAAAGTAGCGGTCCGATTCCGGAATCTGCTCGAAGCCGAAAAGCAAATTCGTTTCGTTCAGAGAGGTACGAATGTCAGCAGGCGAAAGACGAGCACCCCCGTATTCGGAAGCGACAGACACAGAGTGGACCGAAACATAGCCCTTGTTTTCGGCGGTTCCGTTACCCTTGACAGCAGTAATCAAGGTCGTCTCGTCTTCAGAAAAGTACACTTCGGATACAGTGTTTCCTGGGCCCACTGGAGGCGTCGACTGGCCTAGCTCGAACTCTCTCAAAAAGTCAAACTTGCCAATTCCCACATTGGGGGCGAAGGGTGCACACGAGACACCTGACTTGGCACCGCTCGTGCCCACACAAACAAGCTCGTGCAGCAGACGACGCATCCCACGCTCACAGGAAATTCACCAGGTACCTTGGCGGTCGAACCCAAAGAGTCAAGTTGGTTGGATCGTAAGCGTCAATAGAGAACATCGACACAGTGTCGTCACCACTGTTGACCACGAAAAGGCTGTTTCCAACCACTTTGACGGCACCCTGACTGGCAAGAGAATCAGGGCCGGCAGACATATTGGTAGCGGCGCTGATGAAGCTGGCACCCGCACCGCCGGTCTCCGCCTTTCCCTCCGAGCGAGAGCGAGCCGTTCTGGTGAACGTAGAGCGCAACTACGCTATTGGAGAGCTCGTTGGTTTGAAAGTACACGGCTCCCTTGCTGGAAGCTGGGTAATCATCTTGAAATGTTGGCAAGGCCTGCGAAAGCCCCGCGCTGAGAAGAGACGTGGCTAGGGTAACGAACACGGATTTGGAGAACATGTTTCGTGGTGGTACGTCGAATCGTACAGATCTTTGAATCAAGTGTTGGTCCCTTTATATACTTCTGAAAGCTCGACGGGGCATACACATTAATAATCTCTGAGGACATTTCGCCTGGCCATTGGTAGGATATGTGCTCACCCTCCCCTCCAACCGAGCCGCCGCAGGGTGCCGAGGTAATGCGACTCAAAGGGCTTTGTGCCTGTGGTGGCTTGGCGTCAGAATCGGTTACAAGACAACATCGGCTCGATGACAAATAGGCAAATCCCGAGATTGAAAATAAACAAACACGAGGTCGGAAGCGAGTGCATTTCATAATTCGCCCGCGTCCATTTCTGTGGCTTGCCTCGAAAAAGTTCGCATAAGGACAAAAGCAACTAGCGACTTCTCGGCATCATGGCGCACCGCCTTGAACGTTGGAACATGCTACACACAGCCCCGTGGTCTTGGCGGTACACACTCGCGCTATGAGCACTGCCCCGAAAATTTTGGGCTCTCAAACGGCTCATATGCTATGTATCCATTAGAGATCACATCTTTATCTGTGATGAATGACAGATACTACGTAAGTTTTTCCGATCGAGGTGCTTATAAATGCCCTTGCAGATCTGGCCAGCAGAAGCACTGCGCACGAAACCGGCATATCTATGAGTTCAGCCGCCCTTCGATGCAGACAATGCACTGCGATTGCCGCTGCATTTGCCCAAGGTCGAAGTCTGAGCATTCCACACATCCGAGCGGTTTAAGCATCAGGGGCGAAGCACGATCATCTTGAAAAACTACTTCCGACCTGGCTGAAATTACGTTAGAAAATCACGTGGTAGACTGCGACAAAATAAAGCATTTGGAGATACAGTCCATCTCCAAGAGTTGCTGCGTGTGAAAAAGCGTTCGTCAATTCTTCGGCATCGTCTGCTGTATCTTATAATAAAAAAGTCTATCACGCCTGACGAGGTTCTCTACCACTGACATTTTCATGCATTCGATTCTTCTCTGCAGCCCCAGGCCGTGAGACCCTGGGCAGTCGTTAATGGTGATATTTTGCACGTCGCATCTATAGTGCGTTCTCTAATCTCGTCAGGTTATATTTACATTTGGTATTACGTGACTTCACCACAGAACAATACGACAGGCAGTAGCACAGAGGGTACGAGGGAAGTCTTCTCTCTCGGTCCTCCCAAAAAAGTAATTGGTCATTTATGAAAGTTACAGAGTGGGAAAACTCGACCACTGCGGCCTGTTATTTATTTTCATGTTTGTGGAACAGACACAAACTTCTGGGTGTTTTCACAAAAACTAAACATGCCAAGTTCAGCGTCATGCAGAGCAGACCATCTGATAAAGCCGCGTCACGCCCCCTCTTTCCATGATCCGCTGCCACATATTTTGGTTTCTCCGGGAGAATTACAGAGGCAATCTGCTCACGTTCGACTCTACTTTCAACACCCAGACACCCACGAGGTTAGCCAGTCATCCCCGTCCCTTTCAGAACCGGCATTGCTCTTTCGAAGCAGTTTTCCTCGTGCTGTCTCAGAAGAAAGGTCTCAGGCCAACATATCCATTCCAAAGTCCACAAGCACGCCGTTTTGCGGGTGAGAGCACGCTTAGAAGTCACCGTCATTCGTGACAAGAATACCTTCACATGTCGTTCTATCGTTATCTCTGCAATTACAGGTACAGCGGTGTGCTCTGGACGTTTTTATTGAGGTTAAACATCGTCGGTAGTCGGTAGATTCTTGAACTGTTCTTTTAATTCGTTCAAGATTGATCTTAATAATAAGGTAGGTAAGGTATTTAGTATTTATATCTCTCCGTGGTTATCTTGGTATCATGGCAACCATAATTCTGGTCATTTCATGTCCTATCATACAATTCTCGTAATACTATTCCAACTTTAGGATTCCTTACTACCACTAAAATGGACGGTATGTTTTCGTGACACGCCATCCATCAAATCTCTTTTGATGCGATGACGGGGTGTGACGAAACCATGACGATCACTGGAATCATTTGGTTTCCATGACTTCCTGTTAAGTTCTTCATGAACCGTCCGTTCAGTATTGTCTTTTCATGATCTGTCACTGTGATCACGTGTCATTACATCTTGATGATGTCCCATCTCGCCATCTCCTTCCAACAGTTTTGTTTTACAGTCCAAAGAATTCAGCAGAGACTCGAATTGTAGTCAAAAGTCCAAAATGTTTTCTATCTTCGCGTGAGAAGGCTTTTAACCCAATCTCCAAAGCTATTTGCCGATATTATACGGCTCGATTGCGCCTAGGGTAGAGAATCTCAGGCTATATTTGTTGGCATTAGCTTTGGTACTTAAAAGTGTCGACTGATCAACTGGAGTTTTTCTAGGTTTTCCGGCGTCGGTGGTCGATAGATTGTTGAATTATTCACTTAATTCGTTGATACTTTCCTTGATTGTAAAACGTAGCGGGTGTTGTGTACTTATGTGTCTCCATGGTTACCTTGACATAATGGCCACCGTCAAGCTGGTTAAATTGTCCTCCTTTAACCAATTCTTGTTGTACCTCTTTAAACCACCATCACTTACTTTCGTTAAGAGCGCTGAAGTCTCAGCTCAGGTGATAATCAGAAACGAGTGTCAGAAAACTGAAAGGAGAGCAGACTTAAAATCCAGTTCCACTTTTGTTCATAAGCTATTTCCTAGGGATGGGATGTTTTCTTTTATTAGTCCACTCGGCAACTTTGGAAAAGTCAAAGTCATTAGGTTAATCACCTCAGGGCGAATGGAATCACGCTTTTTGTTTGGACAAACTCGAAAATACAGCCTTGTTTGCTCAGACTTTTCATAGCTTTCTGATAAAATTGACCCAGACCTTCTATTGGGCATTATAACCTGGCAACTTGATCATATGAACCCAACTTTCCACCTGCGTTATGCGACCAAACATTTATCACGGAGAGCACTCTCCTTTCAAGGAAAGCAGGCAGCCAGAAACATTTTTTCGACTAGTTTTCAGCGTTGTCAGTCGCCATGCATAAGCTCATATGAAAAGCAAAAGGGAAAGTCTCTGCGGTGAATATTCTAAAAATATATGATTCACATTTATTCGGCAAAAAGACCTTGCTTATTCTCTTATAAGAGAAGCCGTTTTGCTTGCCTTCGAGCAAATTAATCTTTGGTGGTTACCTATGTCTGGTATAAGGCAAAAGATCTCATGGTAGAATGAGCGGAGAGATGCATGTTAAAAGCTTTTTTTTTGACTAGGTTGATGCCCACTAAATTTTTTCACGAACTCCGGCCGGAGGAAAAATGTCAATACTCCTCGCCTTTCCTCTAAAAATTCCAACAGCGAACAAGAAGACGGGCATGAGAATGATGGCAACCACCTGACGACCTCAGAAAAATCTCGAGTCACATCATCACTATCACCACTCCACTAAGAGGACTTTATCCCAAGGTTAACATCTTTTTCTCTTTCTCTTCCAACGCGAAAGAAGCAGCCCCTGGGATGATCGTGGGCTGAGCATGTAAGGTGACAAACAATTCTCGCGTGAGAATCGGAAGATGCTTCCTAAATTTCTGAACTTCGCTGATTTCTGTGTTGCGTTTAGCTGCATTTCTCAACTTTCAATCGACTTTAATTCGATGGGTACCTTAAAGGTTATGAGACTACCTGTCAGTTGATACATTCTGCAAAGGTGGAAGATGCTAGTGGACATCTGGTGATAACAATAGTTCTTCAACCAATCTTTAACAAGATTCTAAACTGCATGTATAAATGGGCAAAACCATCTTTCTAAGATATTCAATTATGCTTTGAGCTGAAGGGTCAAACTTCTTAGCAACATTGAATAAAATCGCTAAAAGTCTCCTTATTGCGAAAACAACATACCGCAGGATGTCTTCAGTTGTGGGATTTTACATTCCATCCGTTTCTCTTTTTGGCGAAGGTGCCGTGGAAGAGATGGTCAAGATGATCAAAAACAAAGGTTTCAAAAGGCCATTGATCGTCACTGACCCCGGTATTGCCAAAATTGGTCTTTCTGATAAGGTGTCCAAATTATTGAGTAATGAAGGGCTAAGCGTCTCGGTTTATGACCAAACGCAGCCAAATCCAAGCATGAAAAACGTTAAAGACGGCCTTAATGTTTTGAATGCAAATATTTGCGACGCTGTTGTCTCTATTGGAGGAGGTTCTGCCCACGATAATGCCAAAGCCATTGCCTTGGTTGCCACCAATGGTGGTGACATTCAAGACTACGAGGGTGTGAACAAGTCGCAAAAAAATTCGTTGCCACTATTTGCTATCAACACGACTGCAGGAACAGCCTCCGAAATGACAAGATTTACGATCATCACCCATGAGGAAAAGAAAACAAAAATGGCCATTATTGACAACAATGTAACTCCTGTTGTTGCGGTTAATGACCCTGCTACCATGTTTGGTCTGCCTCCAGCATTGACTGCGGCAACCGGAATGGATGCATTGACTCATTGTGTCGAGGCCTTTGTTTCTACCGCTGCCAACCCCATCACGGATGCCTGCGCCTTGAAAGGTGTTGATCTCATTAATGAGAGCTTGATTGCGGCATTTAAGAACGGGCAAGATAAGAAAGCTCGTACAAATATGTGCTATGCAGAGTACCTTGCAGGTATGGCTTTCAATAACGCTTCTTTGGGCTATGTTCATGCCATTGCCCACCAACTTGGTGGATTTTATCACTTGCCACATGGTGTTTGCAACGCAGTTCTTTTGCCACACGTGCAGTCGTTTAACAAGGAAGACAAGATTGCCAACGAAAGATTAGCTGAAATTTCTATTCATCTTGGCGCCTCTGAGAAATCTGCGGAAGCAGCTATTGAATGCATTCACAAAATCAACCGAGCTTTGAACATGCCAAACAATTTGAAGGATCTTGGCGTTAAAAGAGAAGATTTTGAGCTGCTTGCTGACCATGCAATGAAGGATGCCTGTCATGCCACAAACCCAATCATCTTCAAAAAGGATGAAGTAATTGCTATTTTGAAGCAAGCTTATGAGCACAATTCCAATTGAATGTCACGAGGAATGATTTTTAAGCAAAGCATTTTGAAATGTGGACTGTTTAAATTTTAATTAGGATGCAATAAGTTCAACTATTTAATGAGTTGTTGAGAAAATTCTTGAGCGAGCTCGAAAATGGCAGCTCCATCGTCATCCAGTCTTAAAGTGGCATTGGGCTTAGTTCTGTAATTGAAATGAAAATGCAAGTGTTACAAAAAATTCTATTGGTGGTGGATAACGGTACTCCGTGCTATCAGATACACAGCGGATAAAATTACAACAAAACCATAAACACCGAAACCTTTCACCGAGTATTTTGCGGAGATGTGGAAATTCCAGAAACTTATCCGTTAAGGTAAATTCAGTTTTCATTTTTAGATTTTGTGAGCCTGTTTTCAGTCAGGTGTTTTTCAAGGCCGCTGGGCTCAAGTCAAATAAGCTCGAGCTTGTAATAAAGGTCTCATTAAATTCGTTCCAAAGTTGGGTATCATGTACTGAAAACAAAATTCTGGTCAATAATGTACGAGCAACTAAGTAAAATCAAGATCCATTTCAGCGAAAAACCCTCCTCTGGGTGGCAAAGGAGACTATACTTATTGCAGACAGCTATGAGAGGTTCAAGGTCGCTTCTAACGAAGTAGTAGCGTCGACGGCTCAATTAGTAGCAGCCTGTCGAGTAAAAAATCCACCCTCCCAAGCAAAGTTAGAGCAATGCAGTAGAATTGTGTCTAGCGCAGTTAAAAAGCTCGTACAAAAACCAAATGAGGCACCATTCACGGAACCACTGAAGGAAATGGATCAGCAGGTCGAGATTGTGAGACTTGAGAATGCACTTGAAGAAGCAAGAAAAAGATTAGGTGACATTAGGAAGCAGAGTTATACCTAGCACGCTTATTCGAAAACCATATCCTTACTTGAGTCTCACTCAAGTAAAGACGTCTTGCGATTATTCGGCACTCCAAACAGTTAAGAAATCTCTTTTTCGCAAATACAGATTCCAAGACATCTCTAGTTTCCTTCGATAAGAGAGTCCTCCTTGGGTTTTGATTAACAAACACTTGTTCCTTAGACTCGACAACAGCATCTTGGAGTAAAGTAGCATAATTTTCATAAATCTTATCACAGACTTCTTGGGGTGTGGAATCTTCACATGGTTTGATTGAATGTTAGACTTATTTTACACAGGTGATAGCAGCATAAAGACTAAGCGAGAGACTCGTTTAGCCACTCAATAAATGATTCATAATCCAAGCAATTCATTCGATCCATCTTTGGTTCTTTTTCAAAAATATTTTCGACAAAGGGTTTAGATGCTTCAAGGTTTTTTTTCACGTTTTGGGGATTATTTGCCAAAATATGATTTTGATGAATCCATTCAACAAACACCTGGCCATCGTTTTCTTTGTTATACTGATGAGACAAAAGGTCCCACGCTTTTTGTTCTTTTGGGTTTTTTGACCAGAACTCGGATAAAACACTAGACAGCTTTTGTTGAGTAACCTTTTTCGTAATGCATTTTGAGTAGTAGCTTCTGAACGCAATAAAAGAATTTATGGAACGTCTCTTGTTAGTCTTTTCTTCCCTCCGATTGTTTGTTCCAGGATAAGTATTGCTTTGGGGGGTAATGAAGTTTTCTGAAAACAGTTCAAGGTGCCGAAGGACTTTATTTGGATCCGCAATCGTTATTTTTTTCTTGCGTGCTACTATTACATTACATCCTTTGAAATTCTTCAAAGCTATTCCCTTTTTATTTCGTCTCTTGTTTATTTGTTTTCTCTGCGTTAGCCGGTTCTGAAAATCCGGCCTGCTTTTGCAAATTTCGACTTTGAACGTGGGAATAGTGAATCTCGGCATCTCACGAGTAGTCATCTTAAAATACAGTTTTTTCAGCCAAGATCTTCTAGCAAGTTATGAACAGCAAAATGATCAATCATTTTTATACAAATCACATTCAAAGAAGAAGGATCGCTTTTATTACTTTTGCCAGACATCATGTTCCATCATAATGTTGTTAATTTCTTTTCGCATCTTTTAGTATTCTTGGGATGTTTTAAAACGTTCATATTAGTTCTGTTGCCTGTGGATCGATGCAGGTCATTTTCCTTTTTTAATTTAGGTTTTAAGGTCGGCTATATTAATAGCGGAAATTATCTCAGGTTCTAAGTTCATTTTCTCTAGAACCGCAATGTCAAAATTTCCAGTCTCCAGGTTACTGACGGACGCACAGAGCGATATTGCATTGAGGTGGGTCTACTTGTCACTAAGTGTACCTTTCTAAATCTAAATTTCTTCGAATTCTAACTTTCTGTTTTCTGCAAGTGACAATTTGAACACTCTCCGTGGTTTAAGCAAATTCTATGAAGTGGTTTCTGAAGATCTACTACAAGAAATATGCCAAGATGTTCTTATCGTATGTTCACTGCTAATTAATGCTTTGCATGCTTATTACTTACAATTATTAGCGATAGTCTTTACTGTCTTTTAAATTTAAAGATAACCTTTCGAAAGTGGAGTTACAATTAATATCTCAAATTCAATTTCTTAGTTTGAGTTTATTGAAAAAGGGAAGGGACTTTACAAGGTTGGAAAATACTCGAGAGTTGGGATTTAAGTTGAGGAAATTTTATAATTTCCTTTTGGAACGTTGGGTTGCGAACCATAACAACTGTCTCTATCCCAGCAATGAGCAGCTTTATTTTTTACGCCGGTACACAGGACTTTCGTTGATTCAAATAAAAGACTGGTTTAGCAATCGAAGGAGATCATTGAAAAAACATCAAATTTCTGAGCATGTTCTCTCCGTACTACCAAGTACCTGATCTTTTTCCTTTTTAAAACATAAACCTCCGTGCTTTATTCAAAGTCTATTTGATTTTATTTCCTGTAATTTTTACGAAGGATCAGTATCTCCTTGCAAACTTAATTTTTTACTTTGAAACATTTTCTATGCCATCTCTCAGACGCCGCATTAATTTCATTTGATCAGTCCCGACAAAATATTTCGTTATTATTCTCTCGCTCTATTTTCTAGCGTTTTGATCCGTTCCCTTATTTTCTTTCCGCTACCTAAGGATAGGATCTGTACAATTTTGTTCGGTTGCTGAGAGGGTTTGAGTCTTTTCGCACCTTTAAAAAACTGACCGAAGCCATTGGAAGAAAATGCATACCATCAACCTACAGTTACGAAACGCTGACCAATGCGGCAGACACTACAGCCATCGAGAGCAAGAACACCTACAAGGCCTTCTGTGGCAGATTCTCTCTGAAGGACCGCCCTCCTACCCGCACCAACCACTCCCTGCCACCTCCCATGCCCCTCATTCTCCACAAAAAGAAAATCCAGATGAATTTATTAGTTTAAGTCGAGCGGCTATTTTTCCTTTTATGGACATTCTGTCATATCTCATTCCCTTTATGTGGTGTAAGATTACATAAGAGTGCATATATGTTTTTGTTACTGCAGCCGGCTTTGTTTACCTTGTATCCTTTTCATTTCTTTTCTGTTTCTCATTTGATTGTTTGGGTTTCTTACTTATTTTTCTTTTGTTTCTTTTTGTTTTTTTTGCGTTTTTTATTTTTTTTTTTATTTTTTTTATTTTTTTTATTTTTTTATCTTTTTGGCTATTAATTCGGTTAAACTGTTAAGAGATTTGGCTTTCTTCGTTTTCTGCGAAAGCCGTTTTTCGGACAGTATTGTGGAGTCAACTGCGTTTTATCATATTGTTGAGATTATAATTAGTGCTAATATAGATAGTCATTGGGATGTTCGTCAAGCGCCTTCCCAGGATCTGCGAGAGCATTTTTTTGACATCCGTTTTTCGAACTGCGTTACTACTACATAGCGACAGTTGGCTATGTTAACCAGAGTGACGAAATGTTTGTCTCTACTGTCGCATGGAAAAAACCTGCGGGAGGGTATTTAAAACCTACTGTCTCGCAAATCAAGAATATGTCTTCCACAATACTCGACGTCATTTCTGACTTAATTATAAACGGGCATAAAAGCAATGCCCTCTTTTTAAACTTTGATTGTAAATTTGAAGGAAGGTCCTTCACCTAGAATAGCATATGGTCAGAATGATTTCGGTTAGACAATACTGGTATATCTCTGTTATGTTCTAACAACAATGCAAAAACTATTTGCATTGGCAAGAAAACAGGAAGGAATGAATGACAGTTGTTTGAAGTAATGCACGCTATGATTGAAGTGGTTCAATAAAGCGATTTTCGGGTGTGAACTCAAATCTCATCACTACCAACGAGTTATTGGGGCACCTTCAATGTTTATTTTGATTTCATTGTTGATCATCACGAAACTCTCATCAAAAAGGAACAGGAAAAAAATTTTGGGCCTAAAGATCGCGTGGGCGGCGGAATCGATATTGCACTGCTAGCCAGGTGTAATCAAGCAACGGGATAAATATGGATGGCAGCCTGACTCCACAATCAGATTTTCGGGGAGATTCAGGCGGTGACATCTTGGCGTTTCTATCGCAAAGACTTTTGACGAGATCGGAGGCAGCGCTTTCTAAGCTTGATGCATCCTTTCAGGAGAGAAAGAAAGTATCTGTCAGCAACAGTACCCTCGTGGAAAAAAGTCAAGACTTGTGTCGAACATATCAGCAATGCATTTCTCAATTGAATTCCCTGTGTATTGAAGCTCAGCACCTGCGAAACCAGATCGAGCACCAGCAGCCCTCGAGTCACGAGGGAAGTGATATGATATTCATGCAGCTGGTCTGCAGTTTTCATACCATTGCTCAAAAATTGGATGATCTCACCACAGTCACCGAAAATAATTCTCCAAGGTCTTGCTCTAATGCCAGTCCGTCGTCATTTCAGCCCAGGCCATTAAAAATCCTTCAACGAAGGCAAGCCTTTACCTCCCCGTCAAACACGTCGCCGACGAAAAAAGCACATAAATGTGTTTCTTTGGAAAAGCGAGAGGCTTCAAGTATATCTTTAAGAGCAGATAAACCAGGGGAGAAGAGAAGTGCATCGCTACCCGGTTCGCCGCCAGGAATTAGCAACTCAAATCAACTTAGCAACTCCCCGATTTTAAGAACTGCAAAATCGTGTGGAAATGATCTCAACAAACGAAAGCTGAAGAGCTCGAATCACTTGAATTTTTTCAAGAATAGACAACGCCTTTCGATCTCATTCTTTGATAAAGATGACTATTCCTCAGACGACGAGACGATGATATCTTCAAGCCCAAGATCTAATCTTTGTGACCCACCTGAAAAATTCTACCGGTTGAGAAAATGTAACTCCCATGAAAGTTTCCTAAGCACGAAGAAGAATGGTGCTCTGAAATACACTTATCCCATAAAGCCCATTACAGACTTGGTAATGAAACATCCGTCCAACGCTTCAATAGAGCTTTCACGCGTGGACCACGACTCGGTTAAGGGCAATAGGCAATCGCTCTATAGAGACCGTAATGCAAATTCGCGTTCTATTCTAGCGAAGTTCGCTCAGGTACAAAATCAGGGATCTCGAGAGAGCTGGGCTAGTTACGTAAAAAGGAAAAAGAAGGAGCTTCGTGAAACGTTTTCGGCTTTAAATACAAACATGCAGGTGACAGCAGAAACCGGTGAAGCGCGAAACTCCACTTTCAGCCCGCCTAGAGCAACCTTCTTTCGCCACAAGAATAAACGCTCACAGGCTCTAACTGGATCTCATCACACAACTATAATGTTGGGGCCAAACGGCTCGAAATTTGTCACAGGAAACTCGGCACCTCGTATAAGTGCGTCATTTTGTTCAAATGAATTGAAGGAGGCGATTGAAACGGACATACTTTTGTAATTGACAAAAAGCTTACCTTTAGGAGAAAAATTCTGTTGAAGTATTTGCAAAATTTTGAAGCCTTTGGCCCCTTTCGTAAGCACTGCGTAACGCTCTCCCCTCCTTCGAAAAGCCATGATTTTGCTTTCGCTTCGTCATGAACGTAATCGCCCTTCTGTGCGATGCAAGATTTCGTGCAGCTGTTGACTTGAAGGTTCTCATCCCTTCACGGAACTTCGGGGTAGTGTGTGTATGTGATTTGGAAAGTTGAATGAGCGGGGTGAAGGTCATGGTCACTGACTGTGTTTCTTCATTATATTCCTCTGAAGATCTTGAATTCTTGAAAAACGACTTGATACCCAAGCAACTTTTGAGGGCGTTCATATCACTGCACTGAGAGCTTCCTCTGTTTCCGTCAAAGGGAGGAGTCATTGTAGAGGATCTGTTGTCCGTAATCTCATTGTCACTTTTGGGTCCCAGAAACGATAAACTTTTCTGGACAAATTCCTGAGAGATCTGAATATGCTTGGCATTTTCGGATTCCAATGCAGGCTCTGAAATCTGGTCTGGCACACAAGATTTGGATTTTACATCATGACTGGCAAATCCTGGCTCTATAAGCGAGTTTTTCATAAAAGGTTCTTCAATCATGCTTTCGAAAAAAGCCTTGCATTTTGAATTCGATGCTATATTGGAGTGTTCCACCGACCCAAAAACGCCTTCTTTCAGGAGTTTTCTTCTCTTTGCGTGGTAGTTTTGAAGGTCTTCATCTTCCTCGTCGCTAATGTCAAATTTGGAAAAGCCGTTCGCCTTTCTGCGAAAACCTCCGGATTTGATATCCTTCAATATTCTGTTAACCATGTTTTGATCGCTAATAACGCTTTGTTCATTAATCATCCTTGCAGCGTCGTTTTCGGTCGCAGACCCTAAAGGCATATCATCAATTAAGCCCTCTAATTCCGAGTCGTCCAGCCCTGAATCCTCTCCATCTAATCCGCCAACACCATACCATTCATCTTCGGACTCAACTGCTTCGGTTTCGAGCATTTTTTGCACACCGCTGCTGCGAAACCTTTCTTTATTTCTCAAATTTTCCTTCTTTAGCTTCCATTTCTTCTCCGCTAAAGCTCTGTTCAGCATTTCCGATTTGTTAAGGTGATTCCCATCGGCCGTGCCTTCACTTTCATGAGAGGGCACGCTTTCGTAAATTTTGTTAGCCCTACGGGCAGGAGGCGGGTTCTTATTAGTGAGTCGAAGATTGGATCTGTCTGATAATAAATCTAGATCTTCGTTTCCATAAGAACCTATAATAATGGCTTTAGTATTTTTATCTTCTTCTTCTTCTTCAGACAACAGAGAAATTTTGGTATTTTTACCCTTTTTAACACGTATTAAATCCATTTCTTCATCTGAAGAGTCCCCTTCACTGGAGGTGCCGGCGCATGAGCCGTCATTTGCATCGGCTTGGTTACTGTCTGTGAGTGGCTGAACGTCATGGCCATCACTATCGGTTTGAATTTCATTATCGCTCGAAGCCAGAGAGTCAGAAGAAAATGCCCTATCCTCTTCGCGTTCACGCATCTTTTCTCTCTTTATTTCTTTCCATCTTATACGTTTATTTCTTGAAAGCTCAATTTCAAGTAGATTTTCGACCTCTATTTTCTCTTTCTCGATGTCTTCAATATTGAGACCCTTTTCTTTATACTTTTCTTCATGCGAAACGCGTATTTGTGCTTTGTTAGCCAGCCTGAGGTCGCTAAAGAGGCCTTTTAGTTTATTCTGGCATGCTGAGGTTTTTGGTTGGGTTGTTTCTTTGCACCCGCGAGATAGGCGAGCTCGGAGTCGTAAAATAGCCGCCTTTGAAGAGACACTGTAAGAAGTCCGGGGATTTTCGTCGTCCGAGCTGTCTTCGAGCTCCACGCCGGATGGCACTTGCAATGAAGCCTTCAACTTTCTATGATACGAGCGCAAATGTTGTGGTGTCTGGCCTCTATTCTCATCGCTGGCATTCGATGAGCCTATGTATCGCCTCCTGTCGATGTTACCGGGAGAGTGATCCGGCGACACGTGAGTTCTTGGTTTGACAGTCACTTCGGAGTCAGATTCGCTAGAGTTGTCGAATTCCTCAATAAATTTGATGTGATTCAATGAACTATCCGCTGTTGCAACGTTTAAATTTCTGTCATTCATGATTCCCCTCACATTCCAATGCTGGGTTGACACACTTGTGGAGACCTTCAAACTTTCAGGGATGGTTTGGTCACACGGTTGAAGGCTATCAGCCTCCTCATCATCTGCGCTATCAACTATTTCGTCCAAGACATTCGTAAGCTTTGCATCTTTCTGGCTCACACGTTCATCGGCTTGAGTGGGGTTTTCCTGTGATTCATTTGTAATCGCTTGCGTTTTACTTGTTATTTCGGAACTATTCAGCACCTCAACGGTCTGATCTGGTGAATCGCTTTTGTTCGATGCGTCGAAACTATTTGTTTCTGGCTTTGGCGACGTGACTATATGTTGTGTCTCACTGTCCGCTAGCGATTTTTCAGGAATATGGAACGTCAAGGCCGTAAAATGACCCCGTTGTACACCAGATAGCCCATCTTCGACATCTTCACCATCATAATTATGAAATCCACGATTATCTGGCACAGGGCTGCTTTTCTGATTTGCTGCTGTCGAAACATTGCCTTCTAACCGTTCTTTTACCTTGTTTAACAGGGAGTTATTGAACAGAAAGCCAAATCCTGACACCTCTGGTTCATCAACCTCATCGTAGCGCTCGATGAGCTTCTGATATCCAGTTTTAATCTTTCTATTGTCATTCAAATCGTCTATAAGCTCCATTCTGTCCTGGGATCCTCACCATGGGTATATTCAAGTTGTCGAAGCGACGCGTCAGTTAATGCTTTTTTACCATCAAGAACTTACGCGTAAGATGTTCTCGTTTTGTACGTCTCAGCGGCACGAAGCCCTCAATCACATGAGACATATTTATGTTTAATGCCTAATAAATTAGACTTCTTGCTTACTTAATTAAAGGCCCCCATCTTAATATTGATTTGGAATCTCTTCAATCAGAGATTCTACAAACGTTGTGCTTCCACGACAAGAAGCGCTGTCTTATGCACTATTGAGACTTCGATTTTTTCTTCTTGTCTTCACCCTCCTTCTCAAAATGAGCACTCCTTTTTGGCTTCGAGTACTCTGCTTCTTCTGGAGCCCTAAAGTCTTGAGCTCTTTCCTCTTCTCTTTCTTTTTGTCTAACGGCCTGCTGATGCTTCCTTTCCTCTAATTTCTTGGTTTCCTTGTCTCTTTTGTTCAGAAAGTATTCACCGCTCTCTATTTCGAGATCAACCTTACGAGGTAGTTGAGCAGGAGGAAATGGAGTGTAAACTTTCTTTTCCTTTGATATAACGTGTTTGGGCTTTTTACGAGCAACATTTCTCTTCTTGAAGTTTGGTAAGAACCGAGACCAATCCTCCTCTGCCAACTCTGGCCTCTTGGCGAGCTCTCTCTTGATCATAAGTTCTTTGATGTGGTAAATCGGATGTACATTTTTCATACAATCTTCGACAACACGGCGAACCTCTTTTAATCCTTTATAAGGCCCCATTGCACTGACTGTATTTCCCTGGACCAAAATGTAACACTTCGTTAGCAATTCCAAGGCCTTAAGTGTGTTTCCGTTTGGTCCAACTAGACGCTGCCTCCTTTTCACAAATCTTTCCTTGTTGCTAACAAAATTGCCGATTTTAATGACATCGCAAGCCATATCATCCTGTAGAATTTTTACAGCTTGTGGGAACGGTACAGAGCGGGCAAGCAATTTGATGAGATCTCGTGCTTTCAAAATAATGGCGGGATCGAATGTCTTTCTGGTCGTCTTGACAGTCATCGATCCCTCTACAAGATCCAAAGTACAAGTAATATGCTGCTGTTCCAAAGCCCTCGTCACGTCGTTCCAAATCGATTTCAAGTAAACTTCTCTGTACTTCGGAAAGAGAGTCATGAAACTAGACTCTTCAGCAAAAGGTTGGCCGGAAGCGTTGTCTTCAGGTTTAAATTCCTGTTCTTGCCATTTGTCAATATCAGGTGTATCCCAAGGCTTATCTTTATTGTGTGTCGAAGGCATTCGGCTCGAGTTTTTTCTTAGATGTAATGCTGATGGTGATGAGATGAGGTCAGGAAACCAAAATTTTTATGGCTGAAAACTTTCATGAAAATTGATGTAGCCCGTTTCAATAGACAAAAACCTCGTAAGAAACTGCGAAAGGTTCGCATTCTGACAAAAAGCCGAGGTTAATCCCAAAGATGGGTCACCAAGTTGTCAAGCCACGGAATTCAAAATCAAATTCTAAGGCCAAATCAGTCATCAAACCGAAGATAGCCAAACGTGACCGCATAAAATCAAAATTGAAGACAGAACAGAATAATCTGCTCGCAAGCTCGGTGTTTGAATTGAATTTGGCCCTCAAAAGCAACTTGAAGAGTGGAAGTAGCGAAGTACTCACGTTTTCAAACCTTTTGAAAGACTCAAAAGAAGACGAATCCAAGAAGGAGAGGCTAAAGAACCAGAAACAGGAAACAGATAACGACATGCTCCGACAGCTCAAGGACATATCTGACTTCAGTCTATGATAAAACCTTCTTTTTTAAGTCTTATTGGGCTAAATACGATGTTAAGGGAGCGGAGAAATGCGAATTTTTATTAGCGTTAATTTTATTTGAATATGCATTCAGTATTTATATAGATTAATATAATGTTGGCGGTTGAGTACAGTCCGACGTGTTTTAGAGCAACCAGAGCAGTAGTTTTCTTTCAATGCGAACTGTGAATACCGTCTTCCTCTCGGGTTATTACTTTAAGCTCTCACGTTTCTTAGGCCCGCTGACGACCTAAAGATGGCGTCGCCTTCAGCATAGCCTCTGCCTAGTCCAAATCCAATGCCAATCCAAACTGGGAAAGCTCTGCGTCTGAAAAACAGGACGGATGCTACAACACCAGCGCCAAAACCTAATCCAGTCTTGACTACCAAATTAGAAAGTACCACGTCCCATTTGTCATCTAGGATAGATTTCTTTGCGGGAGATACTTTGAGCTGTTCAGACATGTTTTATGAATCCCTTTAACTACCACTGAAGTTGATTGAGCTGTTAATACCATCAAGATTTAGCTTCACCAGCTATCACTTTTGCTCTTTTTCGCAAATTGAATATCACCTTGAACGTATGTTCTTTTCCTGACAAACTGATTGGCGTGTGCTTTGACGGTCGTGGGCTTCTTGAGAATTATTTCGAACGACATTTACCTCATGACAATCTGCATTAGAATGTGATACTGGCTCTTAAGCATTGCAAAACCTAGATTTATTCTTTAAATTTCAGATTCCTTGTGTTAAACAAAATTTACTGACCTCCGGGCAACGTTTTGGAGCAAGCAATTGATTTAACAGAACTCGAGCCACTTCTCTAGTACCAGGAGCTTGAAATGTGCTAGTTCCTAACGAGGCCAAGCGCTTGCAAACTCATATGAAAAGGTATTGAAATATCAGCCCATAGAGGAATCTCGAGTAGAGCTTCGCTCTTGATTCTATAAAGGCGGGCACTGTATAGAAACTTGTCTTCTTGAATTGATACACAATCCGAGACGAGATTGATTTTGTGAGTAGTGTATGGTAAAAACGAGGGAGCGCTACATTAGAGTCCAACTCCTGATGAGATTAAGCCTAAAATAGATGAAAGCGCCGAGCAAATATTCAGCACTTTTCTTTGACGCCCCGAAAGCCGAAGCTTCAGGATTTCAGCTAACAGTATCACAAGGTAAAAGAAATTTTGTAAGAGCTCTAGGGTCGCCAAAGAAATGTTTTGGTCTAGTGATTTCTGTCGCGCAACAAGCTTTCGCATAAGCACATCCCTGAGTGCATTTGTGGACCCTGTCCTAATATTTCCACATTCGTTTTTAAGCCTAAAGCGAGTTTTTATGAGGCCCACTATTCGCGACAAAAGCCGTCGACTTGACAGCAAGAGAGTTGCAAGCCAAAGCTTTGAGCCAAAATCGCCCTTGATGAGCTTTTGATAAATTACGTTGGATTCCCCAATGACACCGATAGTGCGCAAGAGCTGAACGTTATCGAATATGCTGCAAATGTATTCGAGCCCATTTATCGCTTTGTCTTCAAAATTCTGCGAACTTCTCGCTGTACCTTTTTGAAGCATACTTTCTGATGTGTCTCTCATCGAAAGCATTAAAGATAACATGCTGAAATCAGTACTCATCGAGTCGTTGTGTCATTGTTTTCGATGATCTCTGACTGTCAGCCCCACCTTTATCTGTATAATGAACTAACAATAAAAACCGCTTACGGTACATGACGGGTAATGATGTACGTGAAAGATATGTTAAGAGGGACATAGACAACAACAATCTTCTCTAATTTGGGGGGTTTCTGACTCCTCTGTTCTGCTCGAATCTCGCCTCCTCATCGTCAGATGCAAGCCAATGTGCGCACTCTGACTCTTTATCGGTTTGGAGCGTTTTATTGTCAAAATTAGCAAAGCTCATTCCGTTACATTCGTGGCCTAATTTGCTTTCCTCGGTGTAGCTTCTACTACACTGCCATATATATTTTCCTCTGTTCTCAGCGCGTTTGAACGTTCTCCTAAGGTCCATCGGATACCCACATCTTTTGCATTTCGGAGAGAATTGTAAAACTTGATCTCTCAGCGTCAAATTTACCCTAACTGCACCCGAGATTGGATGAAGGTCCTCGGCTGCGATAGCTTGCTTTTTTGAAAGATGAGGAACACAATGCTTAAATTCTTCCTGAAAGCCAGCGTGCATTATAATAAGGGAATTGTGCGCAGGTTTTATTGAGTATACCTGTGAGTTTGGAGGGGAAACTCGTCGAACCCTGAACTCTCTAGAAAACCCTAATGAAAGCGATGCGATGATAGCATGGGGACCAAGTCTCGTGAGTCTGTCTGAATGCCAATCCAAATCACTTTCTTTTTCATAAACATTGGCTAAAATTGTTTGCACATTCCATGAACCTGGCTTCACTTGATATCGAAGAACTTGTCGATCTTTGAGAGCATTATTTACCAGATCCTCGATCAGAATCTGTGCCATGACCATCTCGTCAGTACAAGCGGCCGTATCCGTAACCGTTTTGCCAGAGTAATGATACACATCAGAAGGTGGTGTTGAAAAGTATATTCGCGTCCGATGAGTTGAGGTACATTTATTGCCAAACAAGTAGAACTCGTTCGGTTTTGCGCCTTTGTCGTTCATGACATGTCGGAGTATCGATTCGGCCAAATGCGAGGGTAATACTTGAGTGTGATAAGTACAATACGGAATGACCTGTTCGATCTCTTCCTTTGTGAATAGCGATATAGGGCTTAGTGTCTTTTGTTCGCGCAGAGCGCGTCTAGTCTGTAAATTTGAGCCCAGAAGCGGGCCAAGCGTTTGCTGAGTTTTCGCCCTCTTAACGCTCCTATTTGAAAACGCCTCTGTTAAGCTGGGGTCGCAACCTAGCATTGCTTCCACCTTTTCACAAGAGCCATCACAACTCACCAGGATATCTAGCAAGCACTCTGTATCACAAGATGGGAACTTTTTATGAAGACGAGACAGCTTCGCTTCTGTCATGCTTATTGATTGACGATTGTCAGCATCTACACTCCTGCACCCCTCGGCACTTTAAGTCATATTCGGCGTTGTCCTGAAAGCAGAAGTAAGGGCATTTACCTATGACTGCTGTGACTGCTTCGAAAGTGGCGTGCTTCGTGAGACGGCAGGATGATGGCTTACGCATCTTACAAAAAAACCCCTCTGCGAGAAAAAAGTTTTGTAATTAGCGTTTACACTTAGAACTTACACCAGAACGAAAAAAGCTTATGGGCTCCTCTCTTCTTTGGTGAACGGCCTCTCACCCGTGGCAGCACGTCCCTGGCTAGTTGTTCTAGTAGCCACCAATTTTATGGGCCTCGATGGCATTATGGGATACATCATCTCACATCGACAGAATGGGGTCATGAATTGACCGTGGGACCCTAGTGGCCACTGAGCGAAGTTCGCTTATCAGCTGTCTTCCATCTAGAGTGTTTCTTTACAGCTAAATATGTGGCGGGGCGGAAACTTTTGATGTCTTCCGCAGGGCCTACCGGCATGATTCTACATCAAGGGTTCCCAAAGATCGAGAAATTGAAAGATTCGAACAGTTATACTGTTGTAATCATCGCCAAACATCGTCTAAGGCCCGCTTTTGTCAGGGTAGCTAAGCTGGCATTAGAGGCTTGCAAAAATTGCGCTCTCTTATTACGAGAGGCGATGTCGAGTTACCCAGTGTCTACCTTTTTTTATCATGGGAAGAAAAACAGGTCACGTGGTTTCGAGGGTTTGCAGTTTTCGCTTTGTGGGGGGAGAGGAGTAAGGGGCTCGACTAAACACTGCGAAAAATATCTAAGTAATGGCCTTTATGGGCGTCAAACTGTAGCTTGCGCACCCGTATGCACTATTCCGAATGTTTCAGGAAACCCAGCCATTGTTTTTCTCTCAGAAAGTGGATTCCTGTTAATTTTCGCCACTCTTGTACAAACATGTTTCCTTTGTAAAATTTGCCACTCGGGAATCGAACTCCGTTATGTGTTACCCTGTTTAAACTTGGGCTTCTGGCCAATCATATCGCTTCGTGGCAACATTTTTTTTGCGAAAAATATATTTTTTTCTGTAACTTGTAGATTCTCTCATTTCTCATACCACTTTTTCTCCCACTCAAACCAACTTTTTCTCCACCAATCCCTGGTGTCATTCCGTACGTTCACGGGTTTAAGTTACAGTTGTCAAGGCTAAAGATTTACTCAAGGCAGAAGCATATACGTTTCTACGGAGCTTTTTCATTCTTTCAGCTTTAGATCCCGACTTTGTTTCCTAGAGCGTTTACGGGTTTTTTTATCAATTCTTTGGTTTTTCTATTGAGTTTTGTGCTTGTTCGAAGTTTTCGAGCTCTAGCCCAACACTAGCCACTTTTTCTATTTTGACGCCTTAATTGCGCTGTTCAAAAGAAATTGAAGGAGTTTGGAACATACACTTCCAGCTCTCAATCAAAAGCGATTCAAAAGGTTTTTTTCACACAAGCTTTTGAGCTAATCGCTTTTTTTTTAATTACATTTTTGTGACAGCGTGAAAATCTCACGCACTACGTAGGCATCGGCACTAGAAAAAATGGAGTTGTCTGGGAAACGTACACACTCCAGTCTAGGAGACACGCCGGCCAACAATGGCTTCTCGAAGCGTCGAATGATGGGGTTCATGGAGTCTACAGCTGGCTCTCCAATTCTAAGGAGATTGTCGGTACCACGTTCTTCCTTTCTACTAACGAAGAAATGCCAAGACAATGGCAGTGACGACGATAATACTTCTTCAGACAAATCTACCCCAGTCGCGGTCAACCAGTCCTGTAAGAAACCGGCTGTTCATTTTAAGATGTCACCTGCGGTGGATGCAAAGCTGCTAAAAGCAGTCTCGCCATATTCTGATAGCGATGATGTTTCCACTCTTCCTCCCTCCTCTTTGGCGGATCATAGCTATGCGCTAGAAAAACGGGTGTCTCCATCGAGGCACTCATCGTTTTCCTCGACTAGCCGGAAGGCTTTTGTTCCACGGTCAGATACGCTTGCTCAGGAGAGGTGTTTCGACTACCTTCTGCAATCCATAGACGAAGTCTGGGCCAGGTATTGCAACACCACGTCTACTGCTGAAGCCCAGGTACACGACAACTTGTGCGACATTAGTAAAAGTGTCAATGCATATTCGAACTCGGTCGAGAATGAAAAATTCTATTCCTCTTCTGTTCTCAAGGGCATCTGTTCTAGGCGATTGCCAGCTTTGGCCTCAGATGATAAGTTCTCAGAAGATGATAGCGATGATGCAAGTGGGTACAAGTCTGAAGCAACGAACTTGACGGAATATGAGACTGATTGTGATTTACGCAAAGTTTCTACTTTGCCAGATTCCATGAAGTTACAGTGTCTGAAAGATAGGCTCAATAAAGCCAAGAACGATCTAGAAGAGGTTTATGGCTCTACAGATATTGATGATTGCGCAAGATTCTGGAGGCGTTGGGACATGATCAAATACAGCGCGGTTGAAACGATGGAGGAAGACGATGATGATGAAATCATTGAAAATGTCATAGAGGAACTAGAAAGGGGTCGCCAATTCACGAATTGATACACCAGGCTGTAGATACATGCAACTTGTCGTGATGGTAGATCGATCTCATAGCATGCTTCTCAAACATATGGGTATAGGGCGTTATTAAGGTATAGTTTATTCACGAAGTGTAAAATAGTATTGTATTCTCCGAAAAATGGTAGATGAATAAACTCTCTCATCGATACCTAGTCAGATGTTTATCGCTTATCTCCGTATGGCATTACATAATAGAGTATGTTGATGATCCGATAATGGGGTTCGAGTGTTTTCGCTTTTCAGTTCAAACAAATTTATTTACACTTGTGCCTTGCACTAGATCGAAATTCTTGACAGTATATTCGATATATGGGATATAGAAGGCCCAGAAAAGATGCAAAAATTTCCCTCGCTTCTGATCTACACCAGACTTTATCGAATGTCAAGCCCGGTCCCCTCCCTGAAGCTATGAACACATCAGATGGTTGGCTTCATTTAACTGAAGAAAGCGGCATTCGGTCGCCAATAAAGCCGCATGCATCTGACTATTTCGACGTTGGTAATTATGGAAGCATAGGGAACTCCAGACCTCAGCTAAAAGTTGATACTCTTGACTCCCTTGCCTCGTCGAGTTGTAATGCTGATTTGGGCGCCGGCCAGCAAACTCTAAAACCTGAAACGATGAGAAATTACTATGATGACTTTACTTCTGTTGACTGGGTTCGAGATTTTCTCAACAATGTGAGCCAGCGTGAGGAATTGTATTCTCTAAGGGGACTAAGAGGGAAGATTGTGAGGGGTGTCAGTTACCTGCAGGACTGGGTTCTAATTCTAAGCGTTGCTCTGGTCTGTTCCCTCATAGCATATGTTATTGATAAAGCTGAGGAGCTTCTCGTAGACCTTAAACGAGGCTACTGCACGTCTAACATTTTCTTAAACCAACATCAATGCTGCCGCAGCTTTACCTGTGGAGCGTGGAAGCTCTGGCCGGAAGTTTTCAAAGCTAGTGGGAACGGCATGGCTCGGTTAGATTTTTTAATTTATACCGTACTGAGCATCGGGCTTGCTTTACTGGCTTGTCAGATTACACTTCAAACCAAAACCACCAATCCACTCGCCAAGCAAGCGAATAATAAGAAATTCAAGACAATATACAGCGCGTACGGCAGCGGTGTTCCGGAAGTTAAGACGATCTTGTCTGGTTTCGTCATCAGAAAATATTTGGGGACCAAGACGCTTATTTACAAATCGACCGCTTTGGTTCTTGCAATCGCTTCTGGGATGTCGTTAGGTAAAGAAGGACCTTATGTTCACTTGGCAACATGCGTCGGCAATATTCTGAGCCGACAGTTTCAAAAATTTCGAAATAGTGGATTTGAGAGGAGAATGATTTTATCAGCAGCAGCAGCAGCTGGTGTTAGCTTGGCTTTTGGTTCACCGCTGGGTGGAGTCCTTTTTTCCCTGGAGGAAGTGAGCTATTTTCTTCCGGGGAATCAATTGTTTAAGTCATTTTTCTGTTCCATAATGGCAATTGTCTTTTTGAAGATCTTAGACCCTTACGACACGGGCAAGGCCGTTCTTTTTGAAGTCAAGTATGAATCCGATTGGCAAACCATGGAACTTGTATTATATGTCGTCATTGGGGCAGCGGGAGGCATTTTTGGGGCTTGCTTCACTAGATTCGTCAATTTCTGGGGCACGTGGTTTAGGCAGAAAAGTTTTATCAAGGAAAAGCCATTTACAGAGGTTTTTCTGGTGGCTATTTTAACCGCGCTTCTCACTTTTCAGAATCCGTACACAAATATTTCAGTTGCGGAGCTTCTCTCTAATTTGGCGTCTCCCTGCTATAGCTCTGGTGATTTCACAGGACCTTCGGGTCTTTGTCCTAATAACAATAATGTGCTACCTTCTGAATTCAGTAGATTGTTATTCGCTTTAACAGTTAAAGTTCTGCTCACATCGATAACCTTTGGTATAAAAGTTCCAGCGGGAATTTACGTTCCCTCAATGGTAATTGGAGCTTTATTCGGACGGCTTTTCGCGATGACATTTCAATACTTTGGAAACAAACGTCCACATTTGCTTATCTTCAAGCATATTTGCGATCATACAGGCACAGATGGTGTCTGTCTAGATTTAGGAATATATGCCATGATATCTGCTGGATCGTTTATGGCTGGAATCACTAGAATGAATATAACCTTGGCTGTTATCATCTTTGAATTGACCTCATCGTACAACTATGTGATTCCAATCTCATTGGCCATTGCAGTTTCCAATTTTGTTGCTCAGTATATTGAGCCCAATTCCCTTTATGAGGACTTGATTCGAAAGAACGACCTACCTTTTCTAAGCAACCAGAAATTTCACAATTTTCGTGACCAGCAATCTTCGGGCCTTTCCGCTGTGTTAACTGAAGTATCGTCCTCCTCGAACGAAGCAGGAATTATTGATTTAGCGGATCGTGCATATGTTTCCTCGAGTGATTTGAGATCCATGTTAACTCACCTTCAAAATGAAGGCTTGGTAGATGGCTACCTTCCAATTTTGAAAGACGGTAAATCGATTGGCCTTCTTCCTGCCCCAGAGTTAGAGCTCGCTTTGGATAAGCTGGATTACTTTTTAGAAGAATTCAAGCTAGAGAGAGACTTTATGATACAACTAAGAGACGATTTTCCAACAGACAGGATTGGTCCAAGAAGTCTTGAACTCCATCTGGAAAACTTGGCAGTCGAAGAGGAGTTGCTCATTGCAGGAAAATTAAGAAATCTCACCGATTTCAGGAATATGGTGGAAAGCATTCCCATCATCTTAGATTTTCATTCTTCATTAACTTTAGTTGAACTGGTTTTCACGAGGCTAGGTAGCCGCTCGATAGCGGTATCGAAAGATGGACAATTTTATGGTTTAATTCATAAAAAAACTTTCATTGATTACTGTCGAGGAAAGGACTCTTTGTGAAGGCAAAATTAAACCACTAATAGTCAACTAGGTGGATAGCTTAATTCCAGACTTGCATCAATAAGGCCATTCATGAAGGCTTAGCGATGCGGTCCTAATTCCAACACAGTAAATAGCGACACATATTTAGTTGAAGCTTTTTGAAAAAGTCGTGAGACATTTTTGACTTTCAATCAGGAGATGATTTGTGACCTAAATATACTGCCTCCACCCTTGCTTCCACGATGTGGGCGCCAGACGTAGTCGACCCGAGATACTTAAGTTACTTAGCGCTATCACTTCACATGGACATACATTTTGAGTCAATTATCAAAGAGAAACTTGCCAACCATTAGTGTCATCGATAAGCGATTCATCCCTTTAATATCGGTCAATGTATTTGAAGGTTGATCTGGGCAAATCATTTTTTTCACCATGTGTCATTTTGCCAGAAGTGATAGCCGAAAATGTCACCTGAAGTTAAAACTTTAAATTTACCTGCTATTGAGAAAAATATATACAGACATTTCAATCAACCAAAGTGATTCTGAAAGAGTTGATCCTTCCTTGTTTCGAGAGTTTGCACCACAGATAATATTTCTAGTGTTTTAAGTATTTGGTTGGTATCTCTGGCGCGGCAATAAATACAGAAAAGTAGGACCATTTTCCTTAAATCACTCCCGCTCAATTTTAATTGATATAATCCTACGTTGCGCCCGAGAGTAAGTATCCTCTGTTTATCGAATTAGTTCTTGGGCTAAACTCAAAGCTTGCTTGCTTTGATAAAGTTCTTAACCTAAAGGTTTGATTTCATTTTTCGACGTGAAACGTTGTTCTTTATTCAATCGTTTCAAGATGCAACTAGTAAGAAACGCACTGACACACCAAAAGAGATATAAAAGAACTCGAACATATGCCAATCGAGAGCCTGAACGTAAGTGTTAAGAGAGAATAAAATTCTAAGCGCTCTCACAACTTGTTTTAAATGTCTACAGGAAAAAAAGCAGAAGACTTCGACCGTCGTAAGCGGAACATCTCGATGAAGCCTGCTACGGTGTCTTTTATGAATGACAATTCTGAAAACTATATCCAAACAAATGTGATGCCTCAGAATCTAATCACAAACTCGCAAAATCAATTGGAGGGCTATCCAAAATTACAGAACCTCATCAACTTGAAGGAAAAACATATTGCAGAATATACTACAACCCCGTACGGTTGCAGAGTTGATATTGATCAAATGGTCCCCATTTTGCATCGCTGGATATTGAAAGAAAAATTGACGTTTGATGTCATTATGATAGGGGCGCTAACTGACAATCAGTTTATTTATCCTCTCCTTACACAGCTGCCAATCGACAGACTTATTTCAAAACCTGGGTTCCTCTTTATATGGGGAAGTGCCAAAAAGATCAATGAGCTCACAAAACTCATGAATAATGAAAACTGGGCAAAGAGATTCAGAAAGAGCGAAGAATTAGTCTTTATACCAGTTGACAGAAATTCGCCTTTTCATCCAGGGATCAGTGACAACGAGGAGTCATTGTTTGAAAAAATGCAGTGGCATTGCTGGATGTGCATCACTGGTACAGTGAGACGTGCAACCGACGGCCATCTCATTCATTGTAACATTGACACAGACCTTAGCGTTGAGTCCGGTCTCACAAGAAACAGTGCCATACCGTCTCATCTTTACAAAGTGGCCGAGAATTTCTCAAGTGCGACAAGAAGGCTACACATAATACCAGCCAGAACTGGATCAGAAACTCCAGTTCGTGCAAGGCCGGGTTGGGTGATCATGAGTCCTGATATTCTTCTAAATAATTTTGATTGCAAGAGATACCGACAGGAAATTTGCAAGTTGGGGACTCATCAACCTGTAAAACCGGAAATTGAAGCTCTAAGGCCAAGAAGTCCACCATCAAAGAAGTGAACACCTTAATAGCCTTCAAACTTTTTTTCTCCCGTTTGGTGTCAATTCATATGATAATCATGGCTTAGCATCGAAACACCTCAAATAAGATCGCGGTTTATTTGAACCAGTTCTGGTAGCCTTCCTTGATGGGAGCGATGAGCCCTTTCTGCTTTGGTACGTATTCAATACGGCGATACGAGTTGAGGTTCTTTCTCAAGACGATTTGAAAGCATGTTGCGGATCCTTGTCTAGAGATAATGGTGGAAGTAGCTAGGAAGTATTCCCAAATTCGAAACCATCTGTTGCCGTATTTGTTGAGAATTGCGTCCTTGTTGCCCATCCAGTTCCTGTACCATCTCCAAAGGGTAGCAGAGTAGTGCACACCAATATTGTCAATGGAAACTACCTCGAACCCTGTTGCTTCCAATTTAGAAACAACAAAATCTAGCGGAGTGGAAGCATCAGCTCCTGGGAAAATGTACTTGTTCATGAAAAGACCCCAAATCAAGTCCTCGTATTGCCAGGACTTCCTCAAGCCAGCGTATTGAAGATAAAATAAACCATCGTCGTCCAACATGTCATAAACTTGGCCCAAGAAAGATCCGAATTTTCTGATTCCAACGTGCTCTGCCATTTCTAAGCAGGTAATCTTGTCATATTTTTTGCCGTCTGGGGTAGCCATCGGGGTGTCTCTGTAGTCGAGGCACAAGATTTTAGATTGACCTTCAGGGATGCCTTGCAGTTTGAGTTTCTCGTTACCCCACTTTGTTTGGTTCCTTCCCAGCGTGATTCCGGTAACCTTGGCACCATAGATTTTGGAAGCATATGTCGCCAACGTACCCCATCCACAGCCAAGATCAAGCAGATGTTCTCCAGCTTGGAGATCAATCTTGTCGCACACAACTTTCAACTTGTTATCCTGAAGAGTCTCGAGGGATTCTTCTTTGGTGATATCGGAAATAACGCCGCTGGTGTAAACCATTCTTGGCCCCAAAAACCACGCATAGAAATCATCGCCACGATCGTAGTGATCTCTGACCTGTTCCTCATCTTGAGATCTGGTGTGCATGATGACTTCGGGAATCATGCCCAGCAGAAAGAATCTGAAAAGCGACAAAGTGAAGGAAAACTGAGCCCAGTCGTGTCTGTATTCCAAGATTTCGAGGGCATCACCGTTGAAGGAGACCTTGTCGGCAAAGTAGAGTTCGTGGAAAGTTTCCATGGGTATCTTTCTGCCATGATACCTTTGAGCCAACTTTTCATCGTGGAAGGTCAGGTAGTGCTCAATTGGCTTGCCTGGAAGCTTGCATTTCTCATTAAGACGGGGAGAGTACGTTGAAGCTAGGGTCCAGTAGGCCATGAGGATCGGAAGGACGAGAAGGATGAAAAAAAAGACAAATGTCTTCAGACCGCCTCCTAGTTTTCTAGTAACATAAAATGGAATTCCTAAGATAAGCGCCAAGACAATTCCATTTGAGAAGTGTTTCGACGAAGGACCGTCTGCTGGGAGGGGAGCATTCTTGATAGCAGGTGAGTCTGTCGTTTTGACCCCGTACTTGCTATTGGACGCTTCCTGCTGCGGAGCAGCAGGTGTCTCAATGAACTTGATACCTTCAAATTCACTAAAAGCCATTTCTTCCGTGCTATTCTGTTTCGTGGCTTTTCGAGTATCCTCTCAAGAATTCGGCTCGGGTCCCCTGTTGTCCTCTTTTATACGCGAAACGTGAAAAATGAGCGTCTCGAAAGGAACATGCCAGACGTCTAACACACGAAAACAGGCATTTTAGATGGGCAGCAGGGTCTACGTTAGTAGCAATGGGTGGCAAAGACAACCCACTGTTCTACTGATTATGTTTGCCGATTAATTCAGACGTTTCAAAATCGCTCGTCACAGGTCCCCAAAGCTGGGAAACTCAGCAAACGTCCAAACAATTTGAAGTGCACACTGCATGTATCGGCACATTTGACAATTAGTTGCGATGCTTTTGTTGCATTGACCAACTGTCCTGCTATTCTTGACGGTGGAATACTCAAGTGATGACGTTAAAATTTGGAATCACGTGACCGGAAGCGACGCGTTGCGGAAGCCGGTCGATAAACTTCTTTTTCTTTTTCATCTCTGCAGTGAAAAATTTTGGCCGATGAGATGAGGTAGTGAGAGAGGGCTTTACTTCAATTAGCGTCTGAAAGGAAAGAGGTTTGAGAGGTCTTTGTGGAAGGAGGTGATCTTTTGAAAAGCTTCATAAAAAGTTATTCAAGATGGGTAAAACACAGAAAAAGAATAGCAAGGGTCGTTTGGATAAGTACTATTATCTGGCCAAAGAGAAAGGTTACAGAGCCCGTTCGTCCTTCAAAATCATTCAGATCAATCAAAAATATGGACATTTTTTGGAAAAATCGAAGGTCGTCATTGATCTGTGTGCTGCACCAGGTTCTTGGTGTCAGGTTGCGTCCAACGTTTGTCCAATTAACTCATTGATTATTGGCGTGGATATTGTACCCATGAAGACTATGCCCAATGTCATCACATTTCAAAGCGATATCACGACAGAGGATTGCCGATCCAGACTGAGGGGTTACATGAAGACGTGGAAGGCCGATACGGTTTTACATGACGGTGCCCCAAACGTTGGTCTTGGGTGGGTTCAGGATGCCTTTACGCAGTCTCATTTAACACTGCAAGCTTTGAAACTTGCAGCTGAAAACCTTGTTGTTGGCGGTACATTTGTGACGAAGATATTCCGTTCTAAGGATTACAACAAGCTTTTCTGGGTATTTCAACAGCTATTCGACAAAGTGGAGGCGACGAAGCCTCCAGCTTCTAGGAATGTGTCCGCTGAAATCTTCGTCGTCTGCAGAGGCTTCAAAGCCCCTAAGAAAATGGATCCGAGGCTGCTAGACCCACGGGAGGTATTTGAAGAGCTACCCGATGGCCCTCAAAACGTTGAGGCGAAGGTATTCAACCCAGAAAAGAAAGTGCGTAAGAGAGGCGGCTACGATGAAGGGGACTACCTGTTGTACCATGTGAGGCCGTTAATGGACTTCGTGAAGACGGAGACCCCGATCGACATGCTCGGTAATCTGAACAAGTTTACAGTTGACAAGGAGGAGCACGAGTGGAAGATCTTGAAGAAAATGAAACAGACCACGACGGAGTTTTTGACTTGTATAGAAGACCTCAAAGTGCTGGGCAAGAAGGACTTCAAAATGATTTTGAAATGGAGAAAAGCTGCAAGGGAGCTCCTCGGACTTGACGAAGATGAAGAGAAGGAGGAGGTCGAAGTGCAACCGCTCAACGAGGAAGAGCAGATTGAGTCTGAACTTCAGAGTCTCCAAGAGAAGCAGCGCCTTAATCAGAAGCGTGAAAAGAGAAGGAAAAATGAGTCCAAGCAGAAGGAGATTACGAGAATGCAAATGAACATGCTCACGCCAGCGGACTTGGGTATTGAATCTGCAGAGCTTGGGAGAGAGTCTCTATTCAACTTGAAATCTGCAGAAAAAACTGGTATTCTCGACAAGCTTGCGAAGGGTAAGAGAAGAATGATTTTCTCAGAGGCAGAGCTAGCTCAAGACAACGATGTGCATATTGATGAAAATGCGCCCTTACCTGACCGCGATGAATTGGGCGAGGCCGATGAACTTGAAGCTCAATTAAACGGAATGTATCAAGATTTCAAGGAGAGAAAAGCGGAAAGAGATGCTAAGTATAGAGCCAAGCAGGCCCGGGGTGGCGATAATGAGGAAGATTGGATCGGTTTTGGAGCGTCAGACGGTGAATCAAATGAAAAGAAGAAAGCAGACTACGTTAGCGAGGACGAAAGTGACTTGTCAGATTCAGACGACGATGAGGCCATTAATAAACTTATTGCTACAATCCGAAGCGAACCTAAAAAAGAAAATACTCTCAGCGCAAAAGCAAGAGCTCTGTTCGAGGATTCCATCTTTGATGGTGTTCAAGCAGACTTGCCAACAGAACCGGCTGCTGTTTCAAAGGAAGCTCCAAAGGGTCAGGCGAGTACTAGCGTGAAGAAGAGAAAGCATGAAGACCTAGACGATGTTCAAGCCGACTCAGACGATGAATCAAGCTCTTCGGAATCTGAATTCGAGATTGTTGCCAATGACGAGGAGACACCGGAAAGTGATTCGGATTATGATTCTGCCTCTGAAAGGAAGCTTGCTGAAAATAAAAAGCTTTCCGAGGACATCGATATAGCCACAGTCGAGGCTATGACTCTCGCTCACCAACTAGCGTTAGGTCAGAAAACTAAGCATGATCTTGTTGACGAAGGTTTCAATAGGTACGCTTTCCGCGATGTTGAGAACCTTCCTGAATGGTTCCTTGAAGATGAACAACAACACTCAAAGATCAACCGGCCAATCACTAAAGAGGCTGCCACAGCCATAAAGGAAAAAATGAAGGCATTGAATGCCAGACCAATCAAGAAGGTTGCGGAAGCCAAGGCAAGGAAGAAGATGCGCGCTGTCGCAAGACTCGAGAAGATCAAAAAGAAGGCCGGTGTAATTAACGAAGATTCTGAGAGATCGGAGAGAGACAAGGCAGATGAGATTGCTAAATTGATGAGGAAGGTTACTAAAAAGCAAAAGCAAAAGCCAAAGGTGACTCTGGTTGTTGCCACAGGCAAAAACAGAGGCTTATCGGGCCGACCAAAGGGTGTCAAAGGGAAATATAAAATGGTTGATGGTGTTCTCAAGAATGAACAAAGGGCTCTCAAGCGCATTGCCAAGAAGCATCACAAGAAAAAACATTGAAACTGAGGCATTATAAAGCGTGCAGTTCTCTTTTTGGATATCTTAAGTATTTTTAAAAAATTTGGCAAAGAGATAGACCAATGACACAACAACGCATAGCACGGTTGTGAGTTGGAAAAAGTGGTAATCATTCATGTTACCTGCCGGTATAGAAACCTCAATTTTTGTAGTGTTTAAATGCGTGAAAACTGTATCCTCCGTGAAGTAAGCCTCGAATCCGAGACCCTTCGAGTAAAAAGGATTTTCGCGAACCGAAGAGGATCCACTATCGCAAGCTTTAAACACGAGAAGGTCAAAGCTTGCTGTATTGACCGCCACCCCATCAACGGGTCGAACATAGCGGGAATGCAATTTAATTTCATTTTCAATTCCTGGTTGAAGCCTGAACATAGTTTCAGAGCCCCATACGTCAGCGGGTAATTTATACTCCGGAAGCTCAAGATCCTGACTTCCATGGAGGAAAACCGGGCTGCTTTGGTACTTGTCCACAAACAACTCTCTGGGTAGCGTTATATATGAGAAAAACTCGCACTGTGTCTTATTGTCATGTTCTCGCAGATCAATAGCGACATTTGGGTGCAGACCGACCGGCTGACGCAACGTTAGGGGAGTTCGCGAATCAATTGGTCGCCGAATGTGGGCTTGTTGGTAAAAAAGCATTGTCTGTTGGCATTTGTCAATAGTACCATTTTCGAGCCACATACACCTGACTCCATTCAAAGTGACCTCAGTGTTATCTTCTGATTCCACAGAAAAGAAGCCTGCCTCGAGTTTACTCAAATGCTCATCAATTTTGACCTTGACCAACGAATCGGTCTCCACTTGAAAATATTCATCGACCTTAATAGTAGCTCCTTCTACTTGAATATCTAGATCCGCGAGTCCCTCATCAAATTTCTGCAAGATGGTAGCCACTTCTGGTAATTTATCATAGATCATGTCTTCATCAAATTCATCTGCATGGACGAGTTTGAAATTCGGTAGCATTGGACCATTGGATTCTGTCCTATTGCCGACATATACGTTTAATCCATTGATCAATGTAGGTTCTAAAATATTTTGCTGGCAATTCTTGGCTCTTTTCCAAGTTATTCGAGTGGCTTCCAGAGACGATGTTGGCAATGTTACATTTCTTTCGATAGTCCATCTTCGCTGAATGAATTGACCGTTACCTCTCATTACTACAGAGTTATCTTGGATATCCAAATCTTCACTGAGTACATCATGATTTTTCGAGACCACTGAAATTCTTTGGCGCATATCCTGAATAGCTGTATTTATATCTTGTGTCACGCTATAGCCTATCTTAAAGTTATCGATTTCATCAATTATCGTGAACCATTTCTATTAAGAAAAATTTGAGATATCAACTTGAGTTAAATAAGACAAGTTAGGCACAGCGGAGAATCAAGCGTAGCTCTTTCGAGTGTGACTGGCAGCTCTCCTTGTCAGATACTAGAATCTTGAAGATTTTTGGTGGAATTAAGCTTTCCAAATTATCATTCTGAGGAGCTGTAAAAGAAATCTGAAAGCCTTCAAAAACACGGAGAGAAGGGCAAGAACGAAGATTGAAAGTCTGGCACTTCCACATTTCAAAGTTCTCATTCTCTTAGAATTTTAAGCGTTTAAAGAATCGGATTCCCTCACCAACTGATTGTCGCTCATTTGCAGGTGGAATTCGACGATAAGGCGCGCGACGGAGGGAATGTGCGACACGGAACGGTTAGAAGTTCCTAAATTCAACAACGAAACGACCCCCTTGAGGAGAGGACACCGCCATAAGCGATCACTGGCAATTTCGGAAGATTTCGACTTTTTAAGACAGAGTTGTGGAGATGAATCCCCGCGGGCTGGACTCCATTCGTCTACGACATCACCTCGCAAAAATGATTTGAGTCCGAGGTTCTTCATGAGTGAAGAGTCCACGTTATCTCACGGCGTACCTGAGGCTATAATCGATTTGGATGCCGCTTTGAGCGCCAAACCCAAATCTTTCGCGGCGCACAGACGCACGGAATCCGCGCCTGCCACATTGAATTTATCCTTTAGACCTGATATATCACCCACAGAAGCCCCTTGCATAGAAGAAGAGGATTGTGAGGAGGAATCAGAGTCTCCACAATTACTTCTTTCCCCACTTGGTACTGTATCACAGCCCCCTATACTTTCAAATCCAGCTTCGCCTATACGCAAAGAAGAAATCAGTAACAATACTCTGAAAATTAACAGACAGAAAGAAAGGTACTACCATTATGCAAGACAATTACCTTCTGCCAGCTCTCAGACTCCTCTTGAGTTGAGAATGAAACAATCCTCTTCTTCCTCTATCACATTGGAAACTCCATCAACACCTCAAAGGCTAACAAGCTCACGGTCTAACTCAGGATCGCCAGCTTTGCCTCCAAATACGTTCGCAGTAAATTCTCCCCGCACTCATACCACTTTCAAGTACGAAAGTCAAATGTACGACGTACCTTTACAATACCAACTGAAACGGGAGGACAACGGTCTCAACAACGATAATCAGCTGTTTGCCAATGCGGTTCCGAATACTAGCAAACTCCATCGAAAGTCCAAAAGTCTGGCGACTTATGATCGCAATTCATCCGAGATGCTTCCAGATGACGTTTTGCGGGGCCAGCCGGGTGATATGGTGGATTTATCATCAAATGGAGTGAACGGACAGTTTAAAGACCTATCAAAGAAGGATTTTCTCGTTTCAAATCCCAATATCTCTTCCACCGCAACAGCCGTGACTGATCCGAGAAGCGCCAGCGACAGCTTAGTCGATCAAAAAAAATCATGCTCTTCGGGAAACAAGAAAAGAAACCGAAACAACTTTCTATCAGCTCTTGTAGCGAGGTTTAGATCCCGGCGTTGAAACCCGTGCAGTCCCTGCCCTTAATAATTAATATCCAGAGAAGATGCCTTGTGCAGTAACGACTTCATACATGTAACATTAATAGATATAGGATATAAACACAAATCAATCGCATATCGATACTTGTCTAGAAAACAAATACGTGTTCTTACTTCATTCGTTTTGATTTAAATACATAAATAACGTCTCAATGCGGGTCTTCTCCATATGTTACCTCGAGACCTCGCTTCAGAATATATCAAGTCAAGTAGGAAGCCAGGGGATTATGCGCAACTTTCATGAGAATAATCTTATTTGACCAATTCCAAATTGTCCAAATCTTCTTTCTCCTTAGCAGCGGCTTCAGCTTCTAGTAGGTAGGGGAAGATGTAAGGACGGTCCTCTTCTGGGGTCACCCACTTGTCCTTGGGCAAAAGGTGGTGTGTAAGCTCGTATTGATGAGCTCTGATGATTCTGAAAATTCTGGCATAGGATTCATCTTCTGGCAGTCTCTTCAATGCCGTCTGCGCAATATCATTCTCTTCAGAAATGAGGTCGTCATATCTCAAACCAAGTTGTCTGTAACCAGCGTATTTAACGAATTGCTGAGCAACTGGAACAACCACCTTAGACAAAGCTGGCGACTTCAAAATGAAGTCGCTCATCTTCACGATCGAAGTAAAAGTTTGAGGCATAATTGATATTTATGGTCAACCGCTAGAGCTAGAATACCGCTTTGACTTGTCAACTCTTGACCAGGTTGAGGCTCGTTCGACCGTAGTATAAGTTAAAACCGACAAAATTTGTTGTTCAGGTCAAGATGTATCATTTCATACAACTAGCATTATAGATTTGTGAATTGATTGGTCAATAGTCACATGACGAGCCAGAGTATCACAGATCACGTGATAGATATCAAACAGCTGTAAAAGCGCTAAGATGGCCCATCTCTATCTAATCTGATTCTTAAGCCTAGTAGGAGTATTGATCAGACTTAGATCCCGCCGTGTTGGGGAACCCACATTCGAGTAAGAATTCGTCGATGACATGCGGGTTCTCTTGCACGTGCGAGAAGACTTCTTGATCTTTGATCAGGATCAGACCGGCGTAGCCCGTAGCGTTGAATCCAATATTTAGTTTCTTGCTAAAGGCGGAGGAACGAGGCACCAGGCAGAGCCAGGATCGGGTCATCATGACGTTGTAGCCGACACTCAAACGTTCCGATTCGCTGGTCCAGTCCTGGAAAAACGTCAGAGTGCGCTGCAGCAGTGAAACAAACGTCATGGCGAGCAACTCCTCGTCGATGTTGGTTTCGTCCTCGGGCAAAGGCACGACGAAATGCGCGTAGGACACGTTTTTGTCCTGTAAGGGTTCCGAGTTCATGTTCGGTATGTAATGGGTCTGTCCGCTGCACAGGCGGTCCTGAAGCGGAGCGAACTTTTTTGGCAGGGCCAGCAACTGCAGGTGCTTGTGGTCCTGTGACGATCCGCTATTGGCGCCACAGTTGTAGAACACCATGTGTCTGACACCTTCGTCCTCGTCGTCCAAGGATTGCAGAAGCTTGTACGATGTCAACAGGTCTTTTGGAGTAAGCGTACTGGTCTGCGGCTTGAATTCTCTGGTCACTAGAAGCGCGTGTTCAGGAACAACGGGAAACTTATTGAGCACGAGTCTGAACTCGTTTTCTCCGTTTACATTGTCTACGACCGTCAATTCAGGTTCAGGCTCCGCAAAAGGGTCCTTCTTCTTAGACGCATCTTCGTCACGACGCTCCGGTTTCTTCAGCAAACTAGGCGCATAGGTCACCATGTAGCTAACCCCGCTCTTAGAATCTTTATGCTTACTCGACGACGACTCGGTGAAAACGACATCGCCGTTTTTTAAAGCCGAGTCGTATTTCTCTTTGATTTGCTGTCTCAATGAAGTGGTCATATCTATCAGGATGGAATCTTAAACTTGATCTTGAAATCCTATTTCGTCCAAATAATCCAAATGTTTAATTGTCAAGCACCTTCTTGTGAAAAATGCCTTGATCATCAGATCATCAGATGGCTACCATGAACAACTGAACAGAAAAAAAAGACAAAAAAAAGTCACGAGAGAGCCAAACTGTGCAATTAGCAACGGATATCAGTGAATTACACGAAAATGAGAGTCAAAACCGTCAGTTATAGTAGCCGCGAATTATGAATGCTAAGCTGTTAATAATTGTAGGTTTTCAGATAATTAGTCAAAATCACGTGATGAGTCATTCCACTTGTCGAATTTTTTTTCAACAGTTGTATATGACACGGTTTCTTGAGAACTTCGTTTAGGCGATGTTCTGTAAGAGCACAGCTGCGTATGAGCGCATCAATTGGTTAGTCGAGAACTTATTGTTAGTTTTGAGCTCAGTAGCGCGATGACGCAGATCACGAATGACATTGAGTATCCTGGAGATCTGAGAAATACCAGGAGCCTGTTCACAATCGCCGTGGACATTGGAGGCTCGCTCGCCAAGGTCGTGTATTCCCCGGAGGGATCGGATAGGCTTATATTCGAGGCAATGGAAACAGAACTGATAGACGAGTTTGTGCGGTTGTTGCACAGCATCATCGAGCATCACAACGGCGGGTCGCAGAAATCGGCCCAGGTCATCGCGACAGGCGGTGGGGCATACAAGTTTTACGACCTGCTGAAAAAAGAATTTCCAGACGTGAAATGCATATCGCGGCAGGACGAGATGGAGTGTTTGATACGCGGACTCGATTTTTTCATCCACGAGATCCCAGAAGAAGTGTTCACATACAACGATATCGACGGCGAACATATCGTGGTGCCGGAGCACGCGAAGATCTACCCATACATGTTGGTCAACATCGGCTCCGGAGTCTCGATCTTGAAAGTTGACGCCCCGAACAAGTTCACGCGTGTTGGAGGTTCTTCGCTGGGCGGCGGAACGCTGTGGGGGCTTTTATCTCTCATTACGGGCGCCAAGACGTACGATGAGATGCTCAGCTGGGCGCATCGCGGCGACAACACAAATGTGGACACACTAGTGGGTGACATATATGGCACAGGATACGACAAAATTGGGCTCAAACCGACAAGCATTGCGAGTTCCTTCGGAAAGGTGTTCCAGCGAGGTGCCCATTTGCCACACGCGGGCGCGATTGCAGACGGTACAGCTGTCAACGAGACCACAGATGACTCGGAACTAACGTGCACCAGCGAGATTCTGACCAGAAACAAAAAATTTAACCGGGCGGATATCTCAAAAAGTCTGCTGTACGCAGTGTCCAACAACATAGGACAAATAGCGTACTTGCAGGCCAAAGTGCATAATGTGCCAAACATATATTTCGGTGGCTCCTACATCCGCGGCCACTTGACGACAATGAACACTTTGAGTTACGCCATTAATTTTTGGTCCCAAGGACAGAAACAGGCATTTTTCTTGAGGCATGAGGGCTATCTTGGAGCGATGGGTGCGTTTCTAACGGCACAAGAGACATCCACCTGAAAAGAAAGAGACGGATTGTGATGTTTAGCTTTTTTCTGAAATTTCTTTAGCATAACTTTTAATCCCGCTCAGTACATGTACCAAAGCTGATTTAATATTACGGTCCTTCACGCTATTCAAAATTTCACGCTCAGCTCTTTCCGCTGCATTCTGCTGTGGCATGTCCCCGAAAATCTTCAAATCCGTCACAACGTCTCCATCATATGTCAACAGCACATCCACACCATAGCACCTCAATTGTACATAATCGTTTCCCAGAAGCACATCTAACTGGTCGGCCTCTTCAGGAAGAAAGTTTTTCGTCCAAAACTTCGATAACAAGTCAAGGGTTTGGCATTTGTTGGCTACATCGGCACTTGTAGACTGCTCGGCTTTACCTCGCGATTCTTGCTGAAGCGCGTCTTTTGTGGCAGAAAGAGCCGCTATTTGCTCTTTTAGTCGCGTCTCATGAAAAGCCATTTCTTGCATGCTTTTCCACGCCGCATAGGTTTCTGTTATGGGATCGACCTTGAAAGCTGCCGCTTCTGCTTCTTTTTGCTGTTCCCTTTTCATAGCGTCGAGTTCTTCCAAAAGTGACCAGCACTCTTCAAGAATATTTGTAGCATTCAGACATTCTTCATTAATATTTTCCCAGCCCTCGGTGATGCTGCCCGAGACATCAGAGATCTGATTTTGCAAAGCGTCGATCACCTCGCTCAAACCTTTAGTCGTAGCATCCTCGGACTCTCGTACTTCCTCGCGTAAAATCTTTATCTTTGCTTCGTCCAGCGCTTCTAGTTGCGTGATGTCCTGAATGGACATCGTATATCTCAGAAAATTGTCAAGGGTCTCTTGCTCGAGATGAAGCTCTTTCAAATTATCTGTCAGCCGAGACAGATCGTCAATTCTCTGTGGTATGCAGCTCGTGTCCACAATAAGTCCGTTGTTCTTCGAACCCACTACCAATTCGTTGTTTTCGGATAGCTGTCTGACGCTTTCCTGTAGCTGATCCAGTGCATCGCCGAAATGCTTCTCTTGCTCTGACAGCGCATTTTCGCTTAAAATTGCAACTTCGTCTTGCAACGTCTCAAGCTGCGTCCTGCTCATGATTCAAGCGCATTAACTAACTTCTAAAGCAGCAGACTTCCGGATTGGTGGCACGAATGGAAGCCCTAGAAGATGGCATGTATATTGTTTACGCGATGGAAACGTATGAAGTGATATATCTCGATCAATTGATCATTATTTAAATAGTGATGATCTAGATAAGCTTTAAATCTTTCTTCCTTTCAATGTTAATCAAAGCGAAATGGATGTTCCGTTCTTGTCAGCAAGGAAGTTGTGCCCTCTCGTTTGGAAGAGAGTTTTGAACTTGAATCCATACGTTTTGCCTGGAAAAAGTAGTCTCTATGATTTGTTCAAGACCCTGCACAACTTAAGTTTGGTTGGTGTGAGGCTAAGCTTCAGTCAATACCAGTTGAATGTGTCTATGTGCAGAGATTAAAGAAATCCCCACGTTATCTTGTATTACAGCCTGGTTTTTCCTTGCCCCTTCGTCGTGAAATGGCTTTATTGCCATCTACTTATGTGCGATCACCATTGGCTAAGTTTTTCAGCATACCCGAAAGCATAGAGGATTTTTTGTGCGAAGTGAACACGATGTTCTGCATTTGGACAACATCGAAGAGGATTCGAGTAGCGGGCACGCGTGAGATGAGAAGCCAGACTTTGCTCGACAGAAAGAAGGGAATTCATCTTTTTGAGCGAACTTCTTGCTGAAGACCGCCAATTGCCGGAGTTTTTCCTGCAATTGTGCCGGTGTTCGACAAAGAACTCTGAATTTAAATGCAGAAACGATGTGGGGGACATTTTTTTTTAACCTTGATATTTATCTTGCCTTCAGTTGGTGGGGGCCTGTTCTTTCCGAAAATCGCCTCCGCCCTGTTTCCACAGCCATAAAGCCTCCAACGCGTAGTTCCTTATCGAAATGTTTTTGGTCCTGGTTTCATCGGCCGCGTCTAAGATGGACTCGACCAGCATGCACGATTTGCACAGATCCCAAAACATAGCGTAGATCTTGTCGACCACCGCATCAGTGCCGCCGAGCTCTTCATAGGTCTCGGCGTCAACCTCAGGGACAACCTCGCGATATGCCTGCTTGCCCATCTTGTACAAAATACGACCAATGATTTGGATCGCCATGGATCGCTGAGGTGCGAAAGTGGACCTGGAAAGATGCTGTAGCTCCAAAATGGTGTAGCCGGGCAAATCGGGATCCTCAGAATGATGGTGCAGCCCGTCTCTTGTCGTGGACGAAAGTCTCGTAGGCGGTATGAGATCTCCCTTGAAATCAAATCGACATTCAGTGACATCGTAAATGACCTCCGACCGTGTTATTTTGTGGACAGGCTTCATCCAGGCCAGTTTATCGACCTCCTTGGGTAAATTTGGGAAGTATTTTTTATGCAAAACCCGATCAAAGTTGGGGTCGTTAATATCCAAACTTTGGAAGGTTTCTTCAAAGTTTTGGGCTGGGTTTATGAAATGAACGTCTTGCATAAGCTCTTCATTTGTCATGTGGTCCATTTTCTGCATGAACTGGTACTCTTGAGGAGCAATGTCATCCTCATCGGCTATGATACCCTTGTGGGCCAGCAATTGTTCCTCGTTCGCATCTTGGTCGCTCTCGTCAGAGATCGACGTTTTTTCAAATCGAACTTTTTTCAAATCGGAGTTCGCTTGAGTGGTGCTCTTATTTGCAGCCGTGTTAGCTGAGTCAGATGGTTCTGCTTCTTCGTAATCTCCCCCGACCCATGTGCCAGGAGCACCTTCGATCTCGGCAAAAAGCGGAGCCTTGGTGGTATCTAAAAAGTCAGATTCAGAGTTGCTGCTCATCTGTTTCTTGGATATACGCTTGCGGAAAGCTTCCAAAACGCGCGGGTCGATGGAGTCCAAGAGCTCTTGTTTTTCAAATTCGAATTGTTTGGGCGTCATGCTGCTTAGCCTTGTCGTATTTTCCCGATCAATCTGTTCAGCCTCAGACTTGGGCTTCACAGCTTGAGCCTCTGAGCGCCGCACAGATTTTCCGCCTGAGACGCTGTCACTTGCACCGCTACGTTGGGCTCGCGCCTGCTCGCGCTTCTTCTGCTGTAGACGGACTTTCCAGGAAGAGATCTTCTCAGGTTCGTAGAGCTCAGGAAATCCCGAACTGGGCGCCGAAGGCGCCGGTGCCGGCGGTTGCACGTCTCTTTCGATAATTTCGCCAAGCAGATCCATGTTTGGTGATCGCGCGCGAGGTCTGTGATCCACACTCGCTGCACTCGTTACTGATGCGGGCGTGATGATAGTCTTGGACTTCGATGGGATGACGTAGCGTTGTACGGAGAACAAAGTCAGGTGACCCGAAAGTCGAATTCAATCTTAGCATAGGTTTACAGTGTTGAAATTATATATAATGCTCGCCGTGAGCTCCTGCGCTTCAGGCGCAGGAGCTCGCTTTTCCAAGCAAACGAAATGAGGTAAACCAGACCAGAAGCAAGGGGCTGTTCAGTCCAGCTTGAGATCCGGTAGGGAGTCCAAATCCGCTTGGCATTGTACGTAGCTAAGGGACGTCGTCGGACGTGACCCAGAAAAGGTTGGTAGCGGCGGCGCTCGCCCGCTTAGCTCAGGGACCCGTACCCGTCGTTTGGCTGAGCTAGCGAGCCGCCCACTTCCGGGTACGGATGCTTGGAGATCACGTAGAGGGCGTGGATGAGGCCAGGGAAAAATCCGAGCAGAAAGAGCAGCAGGTTGAGGAGCGTGTCCTTCGAGAGGAACCCGCGCTTGAGGCCCACGGCGATGGGCGGCACGAAGATCGCGATGAACACGAGAAACCAGTCACGCGCGTGCATGTTTGGAAAACTATGGAAAGACCGGAAAACGCTAGTTTCGTGAGGGACTGTTGCGAACTGATGTCGTCTTGAGCCTTGTCCACTAAACTGAAATTGAGCCCACTTCCTTTCGAATGATCAATATATACCAGATAAAAGCCCCGCGTCTGCTCACAAGGCTCTAACTCGCTGTATATATACACCTATATTCGCCCCTAGCGAAAACTCACCTATACGCCCATCACATATCCTATTATAGCAAAGAGGGCATTTTCCAGACTAAGGGGCACGGCCGCCAGAGCAACCGGCGATAGCACAAGAGCGGGTAAGCCTCTGCGCGCAAGCCATCGTAAGCAATGACCGCGTCTGCCCTACCTAGTCACGTGACCACTACCGCCATCACTCACCGGGCTCGCAGCGGCGAAGCCGCGCTTGCGAGACCAGCATTTCGAGCCCGCACACGACACTGTCGATAAAACTCACGTCGGGGAAAGCCTCGTGTAGCTTGTCCTCCAGCCCAGAAAACCCAGCGCAGCCGAGAATGATAGACTGAGAACTGCGGGCCTGAATGTTCTCTTCGGAGATGACTTTCTTCACACGCTCCCAGTTCTCGTCCTTGTGCAGGTCCAGCACGGGCACGCCAGACGCCACAGTGCCGCGCCACAGTCCCAGCGGGATCGCGGGACCCGCGAGCCGCGCTATAGCCGCGTCGAGCAACGCGACCCATTCGTCGTTGGACGTGATCACGGAGTACGGCACGCCCCGGGCCACGCAAGTGGCCACGGCGGCGTCTAAGATGCCCACTACAAGGGTCGTGCGGGGTAGCCGCGCGCGCAGTTCTCCGACGAGCGGATGATCGGAAAAGCAAGCGACAAGGACCCCGGCAAGCCCGGACGTGTCAGTCTCGGCGAGCGCGCGCAGACACGTGCGCGTAGACACGACGCTTGCGGCGGAGCCGTCAATCTGGGCAGGCGCGTCAGAAGGGCCCGTGAAAAACGACAGTTCTGGGCGCAGATCCGTCTCCTTGTAGGCCGCGTCCAGGTAGCCCCTGAGGCTCGTTTCAAGAGCCTCGGTCATGGCGGCGGTGCTGTTGGGGTTGATGACGAGGAACTTCATGGGGGATCAGCTGGACACAGGGTGGGTCAAGAGTGGGGGTGGAAGGGGAATTACATGTGTTTCTTGCTCCTGCTGTGGGCAGCCTGCAGCCGTCCGGCGTGCTAAAGACGTTGGGAGAGCGGAGACATCCGCGGGAGTTTCACCGCGGCACGTGATCCACCCCTGTCCCTATCTCGACACCCGTTGCGTCATACTCTCTCCAACGGCGCTCGTGTGAGCGCGGTTTCTTTTTCCCGCCAAGGTCCGGTTCGAGCGAACGTCGCTCGCCCAGCAAACCATACGTCAAGCCCCAGAACCCAAAAACCTACGCTGTCAGCCACTTTTGCGTAACGACCCGTTCGCCGAAAAGAAACAGCAATGGCGCGTTCCACCCCCCGCGCTGCCGGTCCGAGAAATCCGCGTATTGTCGTCCATCAGTGCAAACAAACACAGGCCGCTATGCCCAGGCCAAATCGCGATAGCACATTTAGCTTTGGACTGGGCACGAATTTCTATACCCAGAACAGGAATGCGGAGATAAGTGAGTCAAGCCGCTGCGGGCGCGCAAGCGCGCCCTGCGCGGCCGTCTGGCCGCCCAAAGTAGAAAGAAAGAAAACATGTCTTGTTTCCGCGTACCGCGGTTTATGAGAAAACCCAGCCTAGTGCACCGCCTCAGATAGCGGTGCAGGGGCGCAAAAGGGTTTGCGGCGTTTTCTGAGCATCGCCACATACCGCTACGCGTTATCCAACGCGCAGGCTTCGCGCTGCGCGTCAGGCAATTTTCTTTTTTTAAACTTGGCCAGGCCCTCGATGGCAAGTTCGGACCGACAGTCCGTGGGCCAACCGTGCAGACCGATGCGAAAAGTTGTGGAAAAAAATAGAAAGGAATAGAAAAAAATTTTCAGGCCAAGAATATAAAAGGCGACCACACGCAACCCCCCATCTTTGCGTTGTACATACTTGTTTCAGAAAAGAACATACACAACCAAACATGCAATTCAAGAACATTGTCGCCGCTTTCGCTACCGTTGCCGCTGTCCAAGCCGCTAACACCTCTAACCACTCTAACGGTACTAACGGTTCCAACACCAGCAAGTCGTCTGTGTCTACTGGTGCTGCCGCCTCCAACGCTTTGGGTGCTGGTGTCTTCGGTGCTGCCGTCGCTGCCGGTGTTGCGTTCTTGTTCTAAGTTCGCGGGCCGAGCTGGGCACAGCGCTTTTTGAGGTTTTCGAGTGTAACAGTAGCAGTGCAAAAGCAGATAATTTTGATACACTGACTTTCGAGCAAGTACGTAATGGCTATAAGCCGCATTCTGTATAATTTGATTATAAGAGTTCGTTATTATGCTTGTGGAATTTTTTTCTGCCGGGTTCTGTGGTTCTGTGGTGGTCGTTCCCGGTGCGAAGGCACCTGGAACGTTACACCGTTGCCGTAGTAGTTTGGCATTCGTGAGTGGATTCTCGGGCCCTGAGACCTCGAACCGTTCGTGCTGTATTCTTGGCTTGGCACTACTGGGCTTCTCGAATCGGGTACTTGGCCAGCATCTTGTGCGTATTTTGGAATTCCAGGACTCTACTTCTTCCCGTTCACTTTTCATTCACTTTTCTCGGCTCAGTAGCAGTTTTTCCACGCCGGAGCGTCCTTATAGCGTCTTCTCACACTTTCTCTGCTGCATGCACGCATGGGAGCCAACACTAGCGTCCTCAGTGCGTGTGGCGAGACCACACGCCACGTACAAAGCATAAATTTCGCTGGGCGGAGCCGATCGGGGCAGCGGCGAGAGGACCACGTCGAGCGGTTTGAGCTCGTAGACGGCCAACTGGCAGCAGTTGTAGCTCCGCCAGCAACCTACGAGATTTTGGTGAAGTGCAGCCTCGACAAATTGAGCGCCTTGCGCTGCACCGCGACGTGCGTCTCGTCTCCCTCCGCCGTCGCAGACATCATACCCGTGAGCCCGTCGCCCGCGAGACACTCGAATAACAACTCAGATACCCCAGATTTGGAAGAACCTCTGCTCGCTGTTCATGTCACCATACCCGAGCTCCCTGGGGGCCGCCTGTACGTCTTAAGCTTATATCTGGGGTCACAGCGCATCGTCTCGGCCAGAGTCCTGCTGGCGGATGTCGTCACACGGGAACGGGAGTCGTCATTCGAGACTCCAACTAGCACCATCTCAGATGCAGTAACGGATACTGAACTGGATTTTCCTGCTGATGGCCCTCATTTCAGGACTCAAATCGCGCGATGGGACGCCGCCGTACCTCAGTTACGTGCAACTGTGAAAACTGTGGGAGAAAAAGCGTCGAAACTCGCGGGCTCCCTGGCTGCGTCCTATCGGGATGCCGAAGGTCTGGCGGCGGCTCTTCATGACCTTCAATCCCTGGGCTCAGCAGTACCGTACATGCATGAGCCTATTTCAACATTAATAAAGCTTCTGACCAAATTGGGCAAGTTTCAAAATTCAGTCAGTTCCGCGGTCTCGGGGAGCTTGCAACAGTCCTCGGCCTCTTGCCTAACTGCGCTCGACTTGAGGATGACATCCACCAGAAAGAAACAGTACCAGGATAAGACCAAGGAATTCTATACGTATGTGGGTAAGAACTTCAGTTCCTCTGACGCAGCTAACTTCGCGCGGAAAAAACAATTCGAACTTGGAAGATTTGATTATTTCACTTATTTCGTCGAACTTCTAAACGGCAGCTCTCTGCGGCAGCTCAATGTTGAGCTTTGTCGCTTTGCGGATTTGTTGGCCGGCCGTGTCGACCCTTCCAGTTCATTAACAACAGCCCATTTACTTCGGGAAGCATCCCGGGTTCGTGATGACTATGGCAACTACAAAAAGACTATCGTAGCAAAGAGAACTAATATTTTACGCGCGAAGAACTACAATGACTTGTCAAAAGAAATGGCTATGAGTTCAAATTCCGATTACAGAGTTTACAGAGAGGGAATCTTATGGACTCAAAAGGGGCATGGTAAAAGTTCCAGTTGGCACAAGCAGTGGGTAGTTTTGAGAGATTCTCAACTCGCGGAATATTCCGATTGGAAATCCGACGGTAAAAAACTAGCGCGTCCTATTCTCAACTTGACATTTTCTTGCATCAAAGGTTCGCATGACAAAAATAATGGCTTTGAGATCGTAACTGTTGATGGTTCTTCTCGGGCTTTCCGCGCTGAGAGCGACAACGAAGCGGAAAGCTGGATAAGAGACCTGCTAATATCGATTGGTATTGACCCACAAAACTCTTCAAAAACACGAACAACGTCATCGTCGCTCTTAGACGCCGTTCGCTCACTTGATGACTCAAACAAAATCTGTTGCGATTGCGGTTCTGAAGTTCAAGTTGATTGGATTTCCATCAATCTCCTTTGTGTGGTCTGCATCAACTGTTCTGCCGTTCATCGATCACTGGGGACCCATGTATCAAAAATACGATCTTTGAAGCTTGACTTTTTTGATTCGAAAGAGATGTCAGAGCTATTAAAACGTGTTTCGAATAAGAACGTCAACCAAATTTATGAAGCCGAACTAGCCGCAAAACCCATTAACTCCTCTGCAACAATCGAAGAAAGGACGCCGTTTATTTTGAATAAATACGCCAAAAGAGCTTTCGTGTTGCAGCTACAAGAACCTGATAAAAGAAGTCTCCAAAAAAGACTCTACCACGATCTTATCAAGTCAATCCATCTCAACAGCATTTACTCTCTACAGCAATGCATTGCTCAGGGCGTCGACTTCGAAGAGATTAATCAGCAGCATGGAGACTCCATTTTCCCATATTCATTAAAGCATTTTCAGGGCACCAGAGACAAGCCAGTATTTTTTATTACCGAGTTTCTGTTACTGAATGGGCTAATGGTAGGAAAAATCCCGGGAGATAAATCTGGCTTGTCCCAGCCAGAGTTGGCATATTGGAAAGGCAAGGCCGAAACCAATAGCGTTCACCCGCTCAAGTCCGTTAGTGGAAGTGTTTCGATGGCAAATCGGAAACTCCCCAGTATTGCGAAATTGAACACTTCACTAGTCGACACGGGACCATTGAGAGAACCTCCCGCCACTTCGTCAGCAGCTATACACGGCAGTAAGCGATGGAGCATTAATACGAGCATGCCCACCTCTCCTCCTTCTGCAGTGTCTTCGTCATCCTCGTTCTTCCCAAAGAATCTGAAGTTTCCAAAACTTCCTGCTGGAAAGAGTCTATGATCGACTTCTTCTGACAGAACGATGAGCAGCCTCGATTTCTTTGATGCGGACTTGCGTCTGTTTTACGACGCACGGCGGTCAATTGCATCATGAACTTCCTGATAATAGCACAAATCCCACATTCATAGTGGAAACCACAAGAACTGCTGAAAAACAGAACCATATCAAAGAAATAAATCGGGTTCTTTTTCTACCTTGCTCAAGCTTTTACATTTAAAGAAAGAATTGGACTCAAACCTATTGATATTCTGTAAACCGGGGCCGTCTCAAAAAGCCGACGCAATTTTCTAGCCGAGAGAGCTCCTGAAATGACACAAGGTCCATCCGAGATCTACGAACTCAAAGAATGCGTGGGTCGTGGCAGCTTTGGCGACGTCTATCGGGCCATCGATAAAAGAACCTGCGAAGAGGTAGCCATTAAGATAATAAACTTAGAAGAAAGTAAAGACGACATTGAAATCTTGGCTCAGGAAATTTACTTTCTATCGGAACTCAAGTCTGAATATGTTACGCGGTATCTCGGAACGTACGTTGAAGACGTATGCATTTGGATAGTAATGGAATATTGTGGCGGTGGGTCGTGTTCGGACATCTTGAGACATATTCCTGACAACAAACTAGCGGAGCACAAAGTTGCCTACATTATAAGCGGAGTTGTCTTGGGGCTGCAATATCTTCACAGCCAAAGGAAGATTCATAGAGACGTGAAAGCGGCTAATATTTTGTTAACCAATGAAGGCGATGTTAAGCTAGCTGATTTCGGCGTTAGCGGAGAACTCATGGCTACAACCAAGCGCACCACGTTTGTAGGAACGCCTTATTGGATGGCGCCTGAAGTAATAACGAGAAAGACAGATGGGTACGACGAAAAGGCTGATATTTGGTCTTTGGGAATTACCGTTATCGAATTACTCACAGGGCAGCCACCATACGCGAAGCATGACCCAATGAAGGTGCTAATGAACATTCCTTTCAAAAGGCCGCCGAGATTGCAAGGCCGCTTTTCTCACGCTGCTCGAGACTTTATTTCGCAGTGCTTGAATAAAGATGCTGCATCAAGGCCAAGTGCTTCTCAGTTACTGGAGCATAAGTTTTTGACGCGGACGACATGGAAATCCTTAGCCAATCTGAAAAGGGAAGTTGATCTGGTCAAGTCTATAAAGGTTAAAATCAACTACGCGAAGCACCCTCGCTTTTCTGTCGTTGACAAAATTTATACGGCGAGCGTGAGACGACTTGGCCATTCTTGGGATTTTGGCCCACATGTTTTGAAACAAGATTCTCCCAGAAGCCTTATTTCGAAAGTGAAGAAGGTGAATGCGGTGTACGCTGAGTCCGACGACTTATCACCAAATTCCGAAAATAGTCCCCTGACAGGTCTTATTAGTGCTAATATAAAGACACCTTTCACTAATATCACAACGCCAACCATCAAGTATAACATCCATGAAAAGGATCTCGATATCTCTATGGGTATCTACGAGGGAGAAAAAATAACTGATAATCTCGAATGTGTTAATGATAACGAGCTTGATTATTTGAAGCATATCATCCTCTTCAGCTTTGAAAGAATACGCGCAAGGGCGCGGTCGAAAGATACAAGAGTGTCGGTAGATCATTTAAGAGATGTGTTCAAGGAAGCTGAAAAATCTCAGCCAGGTCTAAGCGAGGCATTCGTTGAGGAAATTTACATGAGAATGGAAGAGATAAGACGCTATATTGTAGAGACTTCTATGTAAAAGACAGTTAGCAAGGCTACATAATGATATTAACTCTGTGGAGATGATAAACGGTGTCTCCGTCGCGCAAATTGAGCGACGCAAGTTGAATTCTATAGATGCCACAAAGAGAATTTGCAACTATAAAAGTAGGGTTTACATGAGCATAAAGTTACAATTTTGGATACCAGAAAGAGGGTTTTGTGGAAATATTTGCCAGTTCGAAGTAAAAGTTATTCACGCACAACATTCAAATAATTCTAGCAACATGAGATTTTCTGAGAAAATGGTAACACTTGCATCCTTAATGTCTACATTCATGGTGGTTGCTTCTGCTCAGCAGTATTTTCAAGACCTCGGATATGCGAGAAAACCCCATGCTGTTAAACTAAATCCGTCGTTGACGAAAAGAGAGACAGCGCCTGCTTTTGGGGTTTTGCAAGACGAGTGGTCAGCTGAAGTCGCAAATGCAAGTCCCAGAAGATTCGAAAAGTCGACTGCTGTTGATGAATTATGCAAAAAAGATGTTCATAATGTGGAATCTGCAGCTGACATGATGCAGATCTTACAAAAGTGCAAGCATGTTGATGGTTCTATCCACGTCCTGGAGTATTCAGATCCTATAATAGACTTGGGAAGTCTGCAAAGCATTGGTGGTGATTTGATTTTGCAGGACCTACCAATGGTCGTTAGATTGCAAGGCCCAAACCTTGCCAACATTGGCGGGGAGCTCAAGTTACACAGCTTGACCTCATTGGTAGGGGTCTCGCTACCACACTTGCAGCACTTTGATGCACTCGATTGGCGTGTGGTGCCAACTTTGACAAGCGTGGAACTGGCACCAAATGTCAGCTCTGCAAAGCGCATTATCATATCTGATACATCGTTGACAGCACTTGAGGGCTTTGAATTCATCGAAGAGCTTGAGGTGTTTAATATCAACAATAACAGATACATGGAAACTGTGAAATCCAACTTGAAGCGCGTGCATGAACAATTGAGTGTCTCCGCCAACTTTAAGGAAATCCAAGTCGAGTTCCCTCATTTGATCTGGGCCAAGAACCTGACGGTTCGTGATGTATCCTCAATCTCGCTTGACTCGTTGCAGTACGTTAACCAATCTTTGGAAGTGATAGAAAACTATTTCGAAACGTTTTCCGTCCCGGAGCTCAAGTCTGTGGGCGGGACATTGGGCGTTATCGAGAACCCCAAGTTGCACTCCGTTGATTTCGCTAATCTGACTAACATTCACGGAGGTTTCATGCTCGCGAACAATAGTTTGATAAGCCAAATCAATTTTTTGCCAGAACTGCGTGAAATTGGCGGTGCTATTCAGTTTATGGGCGCATTCCAGAACATCGAGTGTCCCAAATTGAGATTGGTGAGAGGAAGTGCCCTTATTCAAAGTACTTCTAGTGCCCTCGATTGTTCCAAATGGACAAGCGCAGCTAATGGAAATTCTATAATCAGAGGTGGTCGCATTATTTGTACCTCAGGCAAAAGACAAAACTCTGTCAGAGTTCATGAAGACGGCAGTTTGTTCGACCATCATGAGAGCGAACAGGCGGCGGAGGAGACCAAGAAAACCAAAGAAGCCAACATGAGTTCTTTCAGTGCCGACACATCCAAATTAAGCGTTTTTGCCTGGTCCTTGGGCCTCGGATGGATAATTGCCCTTTTATTCATTGCAACTAGCCAGTAGTCTCTTAGGGACGTGTCTGACTCATCTTTTGTTTTATCGATCGACCATGATGCAACAAGCCTTCGAAACCATCACATGGCCCTACTAATATACAAGCGTTGCTTACTCTTTCTTTTATATGTTAAAATATAAGATTTTCTATCGAAATTAAGCTTATCATCAAAATATTTACTGATTAGCCCATCATTGTTGTAAGAAGATTATTGAAAGCATCGACAAGTGCCAAAGTATTCTGATCCTGCTCAACGGAATTTGATAGGATTTGACATTGAGGGTATAGAAGCTGGGAAGAATTTGGTCCATATGATGAATTTTGTGGATGGGCGAAGGAGTGGTATGGGACGCAATCAATCTGACGTGCCAATCAACGACAATGACAAGGACGATTCGCGTACAATGAAGAAGGATGTTATGAGTGCTGAAGATACAATGAATGGTGAGACAGATGGCAAAAATAAGAGGCCTCGCAAAAAACGCAAGACATATAGTTGTGAGCTTTGTCGAAGGTTTAAGACCAGATGTGATTTTGAGCCCCAGGTGGGTAAATGTTACAGATGTAATATTCTTCGATTGGACTGCTCTTTGACGGTTGAGCGTGAAAATGAGATTGTGGCCGCTGTTGATACGAAACCGATAGGTTCAGGCTATGGAGGCAGTTCCAGACCTTTAGTCGGGCAGGAGTTTTCCGTAATTACAGACGATTTCGATATGCGACTGGATATGTCAACACTGAACAATCGACTGAACAAGCTTGAAAATAATATCGAACAGTTGGACGGTAAACTCGATTTGCTTTTGATGATGTTTCATGGGCCGGATTCTTCTGGTAAGATTTCTTTGAAAACCGCTAAGGAAGCTCAGGGTACTACCACCGGAAATCGCGACGATGATGACGGTGATGATGGCGTCAATATTGAAATCCCTGCAGTCCATGCACATGTGGATAGAGCGTGCTCTAGTGTTGATTCGCTGGATAACATGCAACTTCTTGATATCCGACGGAAAAGGCTTGCCAAGAAATATTCACATGGGTTGAAGTTGCAAGAGCCGCCCTTGAAACTGATTGATGATATTGACGAACGACTTTTCCCAACCAAGGCGGAATCGCAGGAGGATAAAGTGGCGAAGACGCAAAGACCATTCGTGGTTGCGAGATCGAATTTTTCATCTTATTACAATCAACACGAGAAGCTGTGTCATGATCTTGCGAGAGAGTTTTTGGTGAAATCTCATTTTTGGATTATCCCTGGTGGCATCAAAGAAATAAAGAGAGATTACGTTGAGAAACATTTGTTTATCACAAGCGTCTTCACAATCATAGCTATGGGTTTTGACGAAAATAACAAGTACGAGAAACAGCAGGAGATCTTGTACCCGCTAGTTGAGAGATTTCTGACCAATACGTTAACTATGTTTGAGAATCTGACAGATCATGACATCGAAGCGATTTTGTACTGTTGCATGTTCAACATATCTCGAAAATCCAAGAGGCACAGACAAATGAAGTTTAATGCACTGGTGCTCTGCAATTTTGCCCTCAATAGTGTCTTGAACATTGTCGATTACCATAAGATCAAAGAGAGGGTAGTCGAGTATGAAGAATACAATCCTTTGGACTTGTACCATCTTCGTATACTCAATTCGCTGACGACTTGTCGTATGCAATACTGCATTGGCTATGGATGCTTTACAGTGTCTGATGACCAACTGAGAGAGTTTAACAACTTAACGGCCAAATTTCCACAGGCCAATTTTGGCGATGACATAAAGATAAGCGAAATAAATTTAAGTGAAATCGTGAACGACATATATTTGGACTTCAAAACATACTTCAAAAAGTTCAGCGCTAATTTCAGGAGCTCCAAAGCTTATCATAAATTGGTGTCTGATCTTAAAGTTGGTTCTTCGCCTGAAAGCGTTCATGAAAGAAATTTGGTATCTAAGGCGACTTTCTTTTTCCCTGAACTGGATTATTGGCTCAAAAATTGGGATGAACTCTTATTGAAGGATGGCGGCAGTGTGCTGTTGTTTGCCTACAACTATTACTATATCATGATTTGTCGTTCATTCATTACCGAATTTTACGATGAATTTTACGATGACACCATTTATTTCAGATGCACCTTAAAGACTATGCAAAGTCACTCTATCGAATTGCTCGACAGCTTTTTGAAACTCTCTCCTAGTCTTATTAAAGGTGCACCTGTGATCACACTGCATCAATTGATTTATGCCTGCCTGGCACTGTGTGATTTTTTACATTTTTTTTCGGCATCAGAAAGGCAGCATATCCTCAACCTATGCACCAAGATATATTGGCATCTTAATACCATAGGCGAAAAGAGTAGCGAGGCAACTGAAAATGTGGGAAAAATCATAAAGTCACTGATTGATACTAGTAAACAACGAATTCACTTTGGTGGTAGAGCGCTTCCTTCAAAAGATAGGCTACACAACAACCACCTTCCTCGGATACACCGTCAGCCTTCACTTGCGCAGTCTGTATCGTCGCAAAACAGCAATAAGTCTTCATTTTATGGTACACCGAATGGCAGTCCACATGGTGGAGGTTTTAGCATGCCGGACGTGGATCAATTCAATACTTTTGAAGATTTCTTTCAAGACTTCTTTGATAACTTGAAGCCGACAATTCAAAACATCTTTTCTACAACGAATCAAGGTACTGGTTGATTCAACGGTGCTCTAATTTGATGGATTTGGCCCAAAAATACTTGTCTTTTGAGAGTGCTGTTTAATGTAATCAAAAATGGGACCAGGTAGTAAAGATCGCACGGTATCATCTGCATGTGCAATTTTTTGACGAATCGAGCTCGACGAGATGTCAGAATACTCATCTTTACTATTTTCGATGACAAGCTTTGAATGCCAAGAACTTGGAATATTTGGTTCATATCGTCCCTGCTTTATGTCATCGACAAAAGTGGCCTGATCGCTCTCGCTCAAGCCACTTGCTCCTCTTGTTAAACAGTAAAACTGTGTTGTAGTCATGAAATCCTTTAAAGCTTCAGCAGGAGCATGCGGGATATAATATTTAGCATCAAAGATACGAATAAGGGTGTCAAACCCAACCAAATAGACGAGTGGTAAAGTCGCTCCTAATTCTTGATGGATTGCAGCGCTCTTTTGTGCAAATTTTCCAAAGACGGTTAATGCGGCCGATGTTGGAATGAAATTTCTTGTTAAAAGTTGAGCCATCAGCATCATCATGTCCATTCTTTCGTCGAAAGATGCCGGTTGAGGTTTTTTATCAGCATTATTGACTGATAGTAGAAGAAGAACATGCAAGTTCTGGGCCTTATAGTGCTCAAATGCGCTTTGAACGAGATTATAATGAGCCCAATGGGGTGGATTGAAGGATGAATCTAAAACTAGCAGTTTAGCATCACGATCGAAAGTCCGGCGACCGAAAAATATCGAGAAGTCCTTACCTGAGGCTTGAAATTGCTGCAACACGCGCACAGAGCTTTTAGATGCTGTCGTCATCGTCGCTTTATAATTGATAAACCGAGCTCTTTCGTTAATTACAGAATAAATATACAGATCAACTTTTTTGCAACTGGTTATCTCGAGAATCTTTCAAAGTTCGTCGTGACCTGGTGTCTGCACTTTTACAAGAGTCACCTCGAACAACAGATCAGCGTTTGGCGGAATGACTCCACCTGCACCACGAGCTCCGTAGGCCATCTTGCTTGGAATATACAACTCTCGAGACTCGTTCTCGCACATGCCTAGAATGCCTTTTTCCCATCCTTCAATTACATAACCCCCGCCCAATTCAAAGTCAATGGGTTGATTGCGGCGGTGAGAAGAATCGAATACTTTTCCTCCTTCAATTAAGGAACCTGTATAATGAACCGAGACGATGTCCCCTTCTGATGCCCGATGCGAACATTCATTTTCAGCAACTTTAACAGTGGTCTTAATAACAAGATCGTCGAGACTGTCAGAAAACGTCAGACCTGTAAATAAAGCTGCGACTATTAATGCCACGAATTTCATTTTTCTCTGTATGTACTTCTAATATGGAAGAGCTTGTATCGAGTTTAGCAAGTTCATCAAATTCAGCATCTGAGCATCCAGTGATTGACATCTTGAGCTTGTCACGTGATTCTTGTGTATGCACGTGGCTCGAAATGTTGGTGTCGATAATGCTCGGCAAGTCGTTCTCTGCTCGCATTAGCTCTTCACCAACCATCTTGTCTTCAGTCTGTTCGAGTTTACCATGGGTCTCAGAAAGTAGCATATAAGCAGTAGCCCAAGGACAGTAGAAAGCAGTTTACCCTTCTCAAACGATGGGCTGAGCATGTCGAATTGTAGCGATGGTGAAAGTCTTGTGCAAAATATGTCGTGGCCAATGTCACATATCAGAGTGGTAGATTCCAAATTGGTTGGGATTGAAAGGAGGGAAGATTTGGAACCGGGGAAAAATGTTCTGTAATGTGTTAAGATGGATTGATCGTTTATAGGAATTCCGCACAAGTAGGGCAGAGCCATGAACTCTTTTTTATCCGCGTCCGTCATTTTTGATTCTTCAATTCTTCGACCACTCACAACACTCTTTGGCAAGTAAGTTATCTGACCACTTTCGAGTTCAAGTAAAACTGCTTTTGTCGTAACGTCAAATTTGGTAGCTGTCAAAGCCAGATTTCGAATAATTTCTGGATATAGGTAAGCCCGAGTGATAACTTCTGGTTTTCGAGCATAGAATAGTGGATCAGCACATGAGTCAGGGACTGAGTCTCTTTCATTTGGGGTCAGGGACTCGTACAGCTCAACAACGACAATTTTTTGTTCTGGTACGGGTTCCGAGCTGAAAAAGGTGTAAATACACCAGTGCTCGCCAAAAACCATGTTGACGGGCTTCTCAACGTTGACCTTTTCATCGTGGAAATAAGAGTGCACGAGCTCACCGGTGATCGTGTCAATGATATGGAACCGCAGCACGCCAGCCGACTCATCAGACACTGCGTAGGCGGCCAAGTTTGGATACAAATATTTGTAAAGTACTGTACGATCGCCCAAGATTGTTCCAACACTGACAGTGTGACCATGAGTCTTGCCTGCGTAGCCAACTATTTTCTCATTTGGCGACAGGTCAACTGTCCAGCTTTCTTTCAAATCATTGTGCTCAAGAACAAATGCACTTAAACCTCCAGCTTCGTGATCCACAATATAGCTCACATTTTCAGACAGCGGTACGCCGCTTTCGATAACGACCCTAAACCCTTGTTTTGTTTTGGCGAAGAAAGTGTCACTCGAACCCAACCTGTTTATAGAAGAGCAAGGAACAATGCCCTGTTTCCGGACAAGTTTCGGTTCTTCCTCTATGCTCTTGATGTCAAAGACTATCGAAAACCCTGAACTGGTGAAAACTACAAGCTCAGAATTGGTTTTGACAATTTCGAGTTCTATGATGTCCTCGAGACCAGTGTCTACTGTCCAGAGCTTACTGCCATCGATGGAGCTCAAAGCTGAGATTTGGCCCGTATTAGACGCCACTATCAAAAGTTTGAAAAACCCAAAGTCAATATTGCGTTGCCTCAAGGTTTCCTGATCATCATTCTCCAATGCTTCCTTGATAAGCCTTCCTGGAGAAATTCTTCTGGCAACAAACGCCTTTTTGACTCTTTCAAGGCTAAGTATTGCCCTGCGTTTATAGGCCTCGAATACGGGCATGTGCTCGTCGATTTCCAGCTCCCTTGTAATCCTTGTGGTTGAAACTGGCTCAAGGGACATGTACGTGTAAGCGCATATATCTGTAAGCGACTCATCACGGCTCCATTGTGCTGTGGGTACGAAGTTTTCGTATTGAATGTAGGAGTATTTTAAACCCTTGCAGGCCACTAGTGCTTGAAGGAAGCCGTCGTTGCTAGCCTCCAAGAAGAGTATCTGTTCGAAATCAGTTGGTAAGTCAACATGAAAGTGCTCGATTTCTGGCGATGACAGACCGTTTATCTGCAGTTTACCTTGATCGATAGTTACCACTGAAAAATCTGGTTTGCAGGACGACGAAAACACGGTGATTTCGTCGCCCACAAAAAGTCCACTTTTGGTGTCTAGTATATGAGTCTCGCCATTTTCAGATTTCAAGGCAATTTTAGAGTCTTCTAGAGTCATGGTATCTGCTACAATGAACGTTAAAGGTTGTCGAGACACGATGCCTCCATTTGAAGAATTCAAAACTGAAAACATTGAGGCGTCTTGGTAACCCGATATGATCCCAATGTGCTCATTACTCACTTTCACGGCGCACTCGTAGCGCCCTATGTTCTCCAAATGCCAGTCGGTGTCAAATGCTTCATCATCATAAACTGCTTCGACTTTCACCAAACCTATGGTGACAAACATTAAGACATAGAGGAGAAAGTCTCTCGTCCGAAAATCAGGGAACCACATCTCGTGTAGAAATGATGATTACAGAACTGAGCCCAATTCAGAACCTGAACAATTTGTCGATCGATCGGTTCGAATTTCGTCTCTCAGATCCCAGCCTGCATCTCTCACTGGCATTAAAAAGTGATGTAATCATTATATACGACAAGATTGACTTTAGTGTTCATCGTTAAAGCTTTAGTTGCCTGTCACCTCCCTATCGTTTTGGTCATCATCAGGTTTCGATTGAGCCTTATTGGCGGCGTCGTCTTCTGACATTAACACCGTGGGAAGAAATTTGATGCTCAAAGACGTCTCTAGTGCTAAATCTAGCCATGGGCTAAAGGTTGACCATGTTTCCGAAAGGTCGATTTCATCGGCATTGTGTACTTCAGGGCCGAGCATAATGCCATTTGCACCTGTTGGTCTTGAAAAGATCTGATGCATACTATTTTTTGGCGCGTTCTTGACTAATTCGTAGATCCTTTCTCGACTTTCTTTATTCCCTTTCTTGAGAGCTATCTTTTCCGCATCATCTTGGTGCAGTTGCTTTCCTAAGAGCTTAGCTGCCACGTCTTTGGTGCGTTTGTCCCTAAGAAAATCGACCATTTCGAGGTGATATTCTATTTTGTCGAGGAACTCCGAAAAAGACATAGGTTTAAAATTAAGAGGTCCGTACCATTGACTTACCCAAGTGTCTGCTTCGGTCGTTGCGCGTGCTACTGCCACACTTTGTTTAACTTCTGGGATATTTAGGGGCAGCACGTTCCCGCTAGTGGCGTCCTTGACTTTAAATTTTGTAGCGTCAACTCCTTCGTGATAAAACTTTATGATATCATTGAAAAACTGCTTGTCACGTACCGAACGCGCCTCTTCGTACCATGGATCGTACTTTAAAATTGTCAATCTGCAAGTCTCTAGAAGAGACTGACTTAACAAAATCGAACCACCTAGAAGGTACAACGACCTCTTGATGGCCATGAAGCGGGGAGAATTGAAAAAGCTCAGTCTACCTGCATCACTTATGCGAAAAGAGTGGGTACCACCGAAGGTGGTTGGCCCGTGGGCGGCCATGTACACTTTGCCATGCGTTGTTGAAAATCTATTCAGACTCGGTATTTGAGATATGTCCTTCTTTATTATGCCATTTCCAAGTGATCTAAACCTGCTCATGCATAAAAGTCCCACGGCTGTTTGTATGCTAATGAGAGTCCATAGGCCGATTCGATTGTCCGACGCGGGAACCAGAGGCCCCCAAAGCTTTAGCCCAAGGCTCGGCCTCACATAGAATTTTGCGGAATCGTTTCCATTCTCCCCCGAGTTCGATGCTCGGGGTAAATTGGTAGACGGATTTTTAGATCCATCAGGCGGTAGATATACGCCCATTTTGAGCTCTCGACGTCTAGGTATGCCTTAATGGACTTCGCAATCAATTTTTCGTTGCTGTTCCACGAAACCGAGTGCTTATTCCAGTTCTTGAATGCGAATACCTAAAAATACGTAATAAACGATGTTAATGGCAAAAGCGCCTATCGGTCGAGGTTTCTCCTTATATACTTTTAATGAGTTACTTACAACTCATCGTGCTCAACTTCAGCCTCTTCCACGACTTCTTCTTCTTCGGCATCTCCGTCCTCAATGGCGGCCTCCTGCTCGGCAGCTTTCCGCTTTAGGATTTCGGCTCCGTTAACACCATTGGATCCATTTTCCTCAATGAACTCCAAGAAGGACTCAATGGTTCTTGCGCCTTGGTAGACGACAGGAACGGATTTGTTACCGGCTGGGTATAGATACAAAGTTGGGTATCCTTCAATCTCCACGTTGACATCGTTCAAAGTAGCATCGACATCAGCGATTAGGACTTTGTCCTTAGCATCAGAGTCAAAAGCATAAACTTCAGCAAGTTCTTCGAAAATAGGAGCTAATCTCTTGCAATGGCCACACCACGGAGCGTAATATTTAACCAACACATCCTTTTCGGCGTCGTTGATGATTTCGTCGTGGTTCTTACCGACGATCTTGAAAACAGAAGACTCTTGAACTTCAGGAATTTCTTCGGACTTGACGACTGCTTCCAATTTGCCTGCGAAAAAGTCCTTGACGAATTTGGCCACATCCTTCGTCTTTAGTTCCAAAGACTTCTCTAGTTTTTCAAATTCTTCCTCAGACAATTGTGGTAGACCATACTTGAGGTTCTTCCCCAAGTCATGAATCACAAATAGAGGAAATTGCTCTTTCATGTTCAAGTTCTCGGCGTGTTTACCGTACAAGCTGGCGTCTAGACCAACAAAATTCAACTTACCTCTGTGTTCTTTGCCTAATTTGGTGAAAAATTCCTCGTAGGTGGAACGTTCCTCAGGGGAGGAGTAAAAAAAGTACGCGAGTGGTAGACCCGAGGCCATGTAGCTTTGGTAGGTTTCTCCGCTGATTTCACCAAAGTATGGTTTGGTCTCAACAGAGAGCCATTCCAAAAGATCAGCTAGAGTAGTCTGCTTGCCATCGTAAACAATAGGATCATCAGACTTTGGTAGGTAAATGGCTAGATTGCCCTTGCCCTCTTGAGCGTATTGCACAAAAGTGAAGTCATCTCTAAAGAGATCAGCTAACTCGTAAAACGTGGCGTTGGCACCTTCGACACCAGAGTCAACGATGACTGGTTGTCCAGACTCTTCCAATAGATCCTTAAAGTCAGCAGCAGCGTCTTCGCCCTCTAGAACAGTGACCGGGGACAAAGATTGCTTAACCATGTACGAGATAATCGCGTCAGCAGTTCTGCCGCCTTGATATTCCGCTGGACTTTCGAATTGGTTGCTCTTGAACACCTTCAATGTAGGGTATCCACGAATACCTTGTTCCATACATAGGTCGTGTTCAACAGTACAGTCAATCTGAGCTAGGGAAATGTTCTTACTCTCAAGTGCCGCAGCAGCCTCCACGTAGTGTGGGGCAAGCGTTTTGCAGTGACCACACCAAGGTGCGTAAAATTCTGCTAAAACAAGTGGGTGCGTCTTGACAAAATCTTCAAAGGTATCCGTAGTAAGTCTGACGACCGCGGAATCTTCTGGCGCAGTGGCTTGCTCTTGTCCACGAACAAGTGCTGTCGCCGCAGCCAAAGTAAAAAGACTTTTTATGTTGACCAGCATCGTCTTTCGCTAAGTTGGTTCAGAACAGTCAATCAGTCAAAAGGTGGCAAATAGGTTGTCTATTATAAATCTTTTTTATATTGAACACGTCAAAGGTCAGCCGCCCTCGTTTTCGTATAAAGCGATAACACCTATTGAGCGACACAGACGTACCACCTATAGAATCTGTCCATTAAGCCGCCTTTTCTTCGCTCAAAGCATGCTGGATAGGTTGTAGCTTGCTGGCAACTGACCTCCCTTCGATCGGCTCCGTTTTAGGTGTCGCGGAAGTGAAGGTAGCAAAATAGCGAGTTCTCTTTTCAATTCGCGGTGGGCACCGCTTTGGGCACCGTTGAAGTATGTGATGTGTCCTCGAATCACTTCTAATTAGCTTGTGGATTTGCGCTTTGACATTTAGAAATTCAAAATCAGCTGTTTTTCGCTGGAGGTGGTGGCGGTGGGGTTTTCAAACTGGCAGCAGGGCTTTGATCTTTACCTTCTTGGAAATAATCTTGCATCGACGACGCAGCAGTGGCCGCTGAGTGTGGCTTGGTTTTTCTTTTATGCATGGGAGGTGGAGCAATGAAATTGTCGGTCGTTTTAGTCTCCGTGGCAACAGTATTGGGTAGTGCAGCGGTCTGCCCAGCGGGCACGAACGCATCGGAGGAGGGTAGCTCAAAAATCGGCATGTCCGCAGGTTGAGGGTCGGGAATTCTGTGCAAATATCCGTACCCTACACCGCAACCCAGCCTGCCATCTCCGCCGATTTTCGTGGTTATGGGTCTCACAGAGTCGCTGCCAGAGTTGTACACATAGAGGACTAGTTCTTCGTTAGCACGCGAGCGCACGATCTCCTGGAGTAGAGTTTCGCCGCCGGTAGCCAGCAATCCGTCTTGGCACCCGATAATGTAGTCTTCCTGGGGCACAAGACCGGAAGCACTGGCGGGGCCGTGAGGATTGTGTATCTCCAAAACGTGATACGTGTATGTAGCCGCGAGTAGTGGAGCCCATTGAACTGAAAAGCCTAACGGCTCAAACTCTCGATGGTTCTGGTCTGTTGCCGGATCGAGCGCGACGTCTTCCACCTCGGCTTTACGCGCAACGTCAACGTATTCATCGCGATAGAACCCACCTTTTCCGGACCACACATTTAGTTTGATGCTGCTGCCACACGAGTTGTTGATCGTGCGTAAGATGGATCCAAAATCTGGATGTAGATACCCGTGTTGGTTTTGGATCAGGGGCATGGGCATGTCGTTGAACCCGACAATAAAATCGAAAAACGACGCTACCTGTAACTGCGTCTCATCACATCTTATGACCCGAAGACCATGTAACGTGCTATTACTATCGTTACCTGGAACAAGCAGGTTCGGGGGTAGCGACATGAAATAAGAGTCAAGCTTGTCGCCGGCCCCAATTGTGTCCGTTACACTCTGTTCGAAAGTTTTGACCAAATTTTTCGCTATCCTAAACATGTCTTGAAGTCACTCGTTGTCTACAGCTGATGATTTCTCTTGCTCTCTTTTTTCAAAGATATCTCTTACCTGTTTAAAAAGACTATGGAGAACTTAACGTGGTAAATTTCGGCAGAATTTCAAAAGCAGGACAAAATAATAGGACATGTCCAGGTTTTCAAGAACCACTGCATTTCGAGTAGTATAAGTTCACGAAACGATGATATCTTGAGCAAATATCGGTGTCTGTAACGCTACCTAAGATCATTGCACAACTCCACTTAAGTTGCTTGTAAATTTGACATTTCGGCATACTTATTCGCGGAACATTACAAGCAAAGTATGAGATGAGAAATTACTCATTTGAAAGTCGGCTAAGGTTCTTATTTAGTTCTCGTTAGGCCCATATCAACACCATGCTAAACGCACGAGACGTTCACACGAATAGTTGTTCACGTGAAATTTCGTGAAAATGGGCTTGCACTCTGAAAGAGTAAGACGTACCGCAGTTCCGAGGACGAACCGACTGTCAATATAACTAGTCCGCTTGAGATAAAATTCTTTCGAAGGAAACACCAAAGGTGTGTGAGTCCGCCTGTGGGGCGCCCATCATTTCTAACGGTTCAGATGTGGAACTAGCCGCGATCTTTTGTAGATTTAATATTTGAAAGCTCTACTTCAGAGAATAATAAGTTCTCAGGTAGCTGAGTTTGATCTCTTGCTTGACTATCGTGTATTCAAGTGACCGGGCTCGTCATATTTACATCGCGGATTCGAGAGAATTCGTTGCAGTTTTAGTCCTTCCTTACGAAATGGTTCGAATGTACACACTGAAGATGGCTATACTCATCTATTGAATTCGTGATTCATTGACTGTACAAGCGGAGCCCGGGACCGTGAGTGCGACGGTAACGGATCGAATAACGTCCTCAGCCATCGCAACTAGCTCTTGACTAGATTCAGTTGAAGGAGCAATTCGTCGACCTCGTGAAAAGAGATTAGCATTCGCTGGACTCGTGACCCAGAACCGACTATGGTCAAAGGCGTATCGTCAAAGACGTTTCCACCTATCACGAACCCTATTTAGCAACCTTCATCTTGGTCGTAAAGTTTCTCCTTGCCGTGAAGGGGACAAGGCACCTGACGAGGCCGGATGTCCAATGATGAAGGGAAAATAAAAGGGATGAGCAAATGCGAATTCTCACACCACGAGAGCGTCGTTCCCAGCCACTTCGTGAGCGCATATATCAAGGAACTTTTTCGCTTGGTGTAGTCTTCTCACTTAGCCAGCTTGACAAGCGTGAGAGCATAGCGGAATAATGTCATTTCAAAAGTTTCATCAACAGAACCATCAGCAGCTTGTCAAAGCTGTTGATGAGATTTGCGCAGAATTCGAAGTGAACTCTAAAAAGCTGGAGGAACTCACGAATTACTTCATAGAGAGCATGGAACAGGGATTGGGTTCAGCCGACGAATCGGCTGATTATAGGGGACTTCCCATGATCCCCAGTTTCGTGACTGGAAAGCCCAACGGAACAGAAAATGGTGTTCTTTTGGCGGCTGATTTAGGAGGAACTAATTTTCGAGTGTGTTCTGTCACTTTGACGGGAGATCATCAATTTAAGTTGCAGCAGTTGAAAAGTAAAATTCCAGAAGAGTTGTTGGAAGACGAAAATGTGACAAGCCAGGAATTATTTGGGTTCCTGGCCCGACGTACTCTGGTTTTTGTCAAGAAGTATCATCCTGAGTATTTGCAGAACGAGGAAACGCTTAGATTAGGATTTACTTTTTCGTATCCTGTTAACCAAACGTCATTATCGTCGGGAACGCTTATTAGGTGGACCAAAGGGTTCAAGATCAAGGATGCCCTTGGCAAAGATGTGGTCCAATTGTACCAGAAACAGCTAGAGGAGCAGGGAATGCCAATGGTACGCGTAATGGCTCTTGCCAATGACACGGTTGGAACGTTTCTGTCCCATTGCTACTCATCTTTGAACACCGGATCTGCCGCCACTGGAGATATTAGCGAGGCCGTCATCGGTTGCATTTTTGGTACTGGTACGAACGGCTGCTACATGGAAAAGATTGAGAACATCAAGAAGTTGCCAGAGGACGTCAGAGCAAGCCTAATACAAGAAGGAAAAACGGAAATGATCATCAATACCGAGTGGGGGTCCTTCGACAACGAACTCAAACATTTACCAACCACGCGTTACGACGTCGACATCGATCAAAAGTACTCGAGCAACCCGGGTTTCCATCTTTTTGAAAAAAGAGTGTCGGGGATGTTTTTGGGTGAGTTACTTCGCAACGTAATTTTAGATTTGCACGAAAGAGGCGTTATTTTCAAGCAGTATGGATCTTTCGATTCTCTGCCCCATAGGTTGCGCACGCCGTTCGACCTATCCTCTGAGGTGCTGTCGCATATCGAGATCGACGATTCTTCGGAGCTAAGAGAAACAGAATTGTCCTTGCTCCAAAGTTTACGTCTTCCTACGACATCTGAAGAACGGTTTGAGATTCAAAAACTTGTTCGCGCCATTTCCAGGAGATCCGCGTATTTGGCTGCGGTGCCCATCGCCGCAATCTTAATTAAAACCGGTGCCCTTAATAAGAAATACCATGGTGAGGTAGAAATTGGCTGTGATGGTTCCGTTGTTGAATATTATCCAGGATTTCGCTCTATGATGCGCCATGCGTTGGCCTTGAGTCCGATTGGCCCTGACGGAGAGCGGAAAGTACATATCTGTATCGCTAAAGATGGCTCCGGTGTAGGCGCCGCTTTATGTGCATTGATAGCATGAATATGCTGTACCGCCAACAATGTGGACATTTGATCTCATGGCATGTATAAAATCTGTATATCTTATGCGATGACTGACTGCGAAAAACCGGTTTCATTGGCAGGGCTCAGGCTTTGGCAGTGTTACAACTCGAAGAGGAAGCGCTCGTTATACTTTCACGAGTAGGAGCTTGATTTTTGGGTTTTAGAAATCAATCTCCTACTTGATAATAGGATAAGTCAAAATTTTAAATCAGACAACATCGAAAAATAATGATGGTGTTCTACAAGTAATCTAGCTTACAATACATTCAATCTTGCTTCTCGGTTCCCTATGTGCGTACACATTGCTATATATGGGAGTAAGTCCAGTCACTTGACTTGATCACGTGATACTTATGTCAAAGGTATCTGATGTGATAGGGATGGTATGACATTGATCATCCCCATAATACTACAAACCCCTATGAACTTGGTATAAAGCAAAAGTTCAGTGATCGTGATGCCTGTTGGATCGCAAGAACGGGCAAAAAAGGAGATGAAGGAGGCCTTTGTTCCAAAATATTGCAAGAGGAGAAGCTCAGGCTCTTCAAGACCTGCAATTGGCTCCTTCGACAAGGTTCAGCTTACGAAGCTCCTCATAGATACTTTGCATGAAATTGGGTATTCAGAATCCGCGAGGCAATTGCAAAAAGAAAGTGGTGGTGTAGAAGTAGAGTCGAGCTCTGTGCAGAAACTTTTCACCGCCATAACCCTTGGCCGTTTTGAAATTATTGATTTAGCAATGCTGACGAGTTTGCCCTTAAAGCATCGGATTCCCAAAGAACATCTAGCGGCTCTGGCGGGTTCTGACGTCCAGTCTCCACAACAAGAATTAGATTCTACTGACGCAGATTTGGCCTCTAAAACTACAGACTGGAATCGGTTTTTCGTTAACATGCAAAGGCAATATAAAGCGCTAGAAATATTCGCGAAGGATATGGCACATTACGATTTTGAGACCGTTGCTGGATTTTCCGACATGCTAGAAGTACTCGTTCTTGTGAACAGGGAAGCTTTTTTGGAGCTAATGTTTGACAGAAACGAGACAGAGTCTGCGGTACTGTTTTTGAGAACCATTTTCAGAAGATTCATACAATTATGGGAGTCAATCTTGATTGCGCAAAAAAGTGCTTATGCGCTCAAGCCAGATGATTTACTTAAACAGATGACAAGCGTTATGACCTCGCCTCGAGATTCTGACGAAATCTCTTCAACGTGGATGGGCAGTGTACAGAAATCAAGAGAATCTTTGAATGATGCCATTTCTGAGTTTATAGATCCTAATGATTTGGTTCCTCGGGGTCGACTTTTGACCTTACTCAGCCAAGCAGTCAAATTTCAAAATTCAAGAGACATACTCAACTTCGACGACGAAGACGACGATTCGACGGACGTCCAAGAGGGAAGAAAATACAATTTATTGCAGGACAATAAGTCAAACTCGCACAGAATCTCTTTTCATAATGAAAAGATTTTGGACCAGAACATAGATGAGATTTGGTATCTGGAATTTTCTCCCGATGGGAAATATCTGGCTAGTGCCTCAGCAGATTCCTTAACGGATAGAAAAGTTTTGATCTATGACGTTGAAAATGGCTTTCAAATTTACAAAGTTTTAGGAGGAAACGATCAATGCATCCTCTATTTGTCGTTTTCTCCGGACAGCAGATACCTGGTTTCTTGTCCATTCAATGAAGAAGCAAAGATTTATGATATTCACAAAAAAGGTGAACCTATTGAAATCATGGACTCCTCTAAAACTGTCCACACTGAAGTCATTCAACCCGAAGCTACCTTGCAAATTCCTGATGCTAGAGGCAACTCTATTGGGGGCCCACCTAGAATCTGGTGTTGCGGCTGGTTCCACACTGAGCGCAATAAGGACCGATTCGTCCTCGGGTCTCCTGATCGTGACGTTATAATTTATGACACCGCATCAAGGTCTATAATTTGCAAATTGTCAGATATGGACAACTCTAGTGAAGGTTCCACTCAAGAGCCATTCCCAAGGATCCATGATTTGAAAATAACTCGCGATGATAAACATCTCATCTTAATGGCGCACGAATATTTTGTGGACACTTATGATTTGTCTTCGCTTCCACCGACAGGTCGTGAAGATGAAAGTGGGGATTATGTAATGGACAACAATCCTATTCATCTTCCACGCATATCCCGGCTTAACATAGGCAAGCGCATGACTTGCATCAGCACTCCGACACCAACCAGCGGCTGCCATGACGCGGATCCATTACTTTTAATTAATGTCCAGCCACACGAGCTCCAGCTATGGGACATCAAGGAGCAAATTTTGATCCAAAAATATTATGGTCAGCGGCAGCTTCAATTTATTATTCGCTCCTGTTTTGGCTATTATAATAGGCTTATCGCGAGCGGCTCAGAAGACGGAAAGATCTATATTTGGGACAGATATCGGGGTAATATTATAGCCGTACTCGAAGGACACACTAGCGAGCGCCCAGCGCCGTCAAGTTCAACCAAGCCTTTTGGCAGAAACTGTAATATCGTAGTTTGGAATCCCGTGGATAAGACGCTGTTTGCTTCAGGAGGAGACGATGGCCTCATCAAAATTTGGAGGGTGAAAAGAAAATAACTCAGTTAGTTTAAGTGGCATTATTCCTGCATATAATGATTGTTTTTTACTCAATGGCTAAGTCGCTAATCTCCTTAGCCTCGCGCTTACCCCTGTCGACATCGAGCATTCTAAAAACGGGGAGCGATACGATCAATAGGAGCAAAAGGAGGTAAAAAGAGTACCTTATATTGTGTGTTCTATCAGTGAGGAAGCCCACAAGCGCAGGTCCTAAAATAGAGGAGCCCTTATCGGTAACATTGAAAAGACTAAAAAATGTCGATTCCTTACCTGGTGGGATAATGAGACTGAAAATTGATCTTGAAACCGCGGCAAGACCTCCCATGGATATGCCATACCAGATGGCAAGGAAGTACATCTCGAATTTGTGCTTTAACCCCACAGAACTCAAAAAAAATCCCAAGGTACCATAGAAGGGAATAACACTAGCCCAGCATATGATGGCCATAAGACTATGCTGAGGGGAAAGTTTGAGTCGGGCTGAAAGAAGCTCAGGGACCACGAATGCGCCTATTATGCCACTAACAAGGGAAAGAACACTGACTACAATCAAGTTTACAGTGGTCATTTTGAGCTCCGTTTTTGCAAACAATATTGCTGTAGAGTTTATAGTTGTGATGGAGTCGGAGATAATAAACCAGCCAATAAGGAAAATCATCACATCTTTCATCAAACGTGCATTACGTAGGGATTCAAATAAAGATTTCCAACCATATCCCACATAACGCTTTATATTCGTGAATCGCAAATCGACTCCTTCCGGGTCAATCGGAGCCAAATCCTGAAGAAGCCAGGTCATAGGAGTCTGCCAAACTAACCACCATAGCCCGACAAGTAACACCGCCAACTGAATATTATCGTGCGACTTACTTCTTTTCACTAAAACTATCGATACAATTTGAACCACGAGCGCACCCAAATACCCAAGACCAGAGCCCCGCCCGCTAGTTATCGAAGTGATTTTCTCCGAGTCGCTGTCGGATAGATTTTCCGTAACTTTGATGGAATCTGCAACAAAGATTGGAAGTAGTGAGTTTCCTACAACGTTGACGACGCCGTAGCAACAGTTGGCCATTATACTGAAAATCGCAAGCGAGTAAAATTGAGAAGTTTTCAACTGGCTAATAATCAAAGTTGAAATAGCTCCAACAATTCCAAAAACCACGACGACATTACCTTTGAACTTGACCGACTTCCATCTGTCCACGACCCCCGATACCGATATCACTAGAAGCGTTTGAAATAACACGCTAAGAGAAAATGTGTAAAGTGCAAAACTGGACGTGTCAATATGCCAGCGACCGCCAAACAAACCCAAAACACATTGTCCGTCTGAGTTGGCACACGAAACGCTGTGATCTTCAACTTTTACACCATTAATTCTTGCAAACTGTTCCAAAAGCAGCGGCACGTACGTCGATACCGCAGATACAATGAATGGCTCACTGGAAAATGCATATAAATACCATCCCACAAAATTATCCCGCACTTTTTTCCTGAGGTTGTCAAAGACTACATCATCTCCGCCAGTGGGCAAAGCACGATAACTCATGGAGAGTATTTCACTATCAATGACTTATGCTGATCGACCTTTTCCCTTGATGAATTTTTCGTATATCAGAAAATATATCGAAAAGCGATTCCTTCAAGTTCAATTGTTAAGATCGAACTTGAATCTAAAGGGGATGAACCTAAGTTTCCTGATTATAGATATTCAATGTCTCCCTTAGGGTTAGAGCTCTCTTCTAAAGAACGGGCCTATTCCCTTTGACCTTAATTATAGTAGTAAATCGGAGCTACTCATCATATACGAAGCATTCAAATTTCACTCAGCTCCACTACTCATTTTACACTCATTGCAGCTGGCAACAATTCAATTCGTTACGCAAACGCTCCCATTGAAAGCCTAGACGTTTCGAAACTCGCCTTATTGGGTTTCATGACGACCGATGTGCTTCAAGCTTGTAGGAGTTATTCACAATTGAGGATTCGTTAAGTTAACTGCACAGTAACTCGTAATTCCAATTCTCAAGTTCAAAGGGCGACATAATGACCATGATCGCTTAGGATACAATTGTCAAAAGTAAACCGTACCGCCAAAAGCTGCCGACATCGCCGGATACTGATAATACTCAATGACTTTAGTCACTCCGTAAAAACCGATAATCCATGTCACACACCGAGTCGAGTAGGAGTTCCACCCGGTAACAATTCGAATTACTCAATCGACTTTGAGAAATGATGAAATAGCATTAAACAGACTAGCAGAGCATAACTGGTAAAGACAAACGTGTGAAGAGCAGTTTTTGGTATTAATAGTATTTTTCTTTCCGAGCGCCTTATTGGTTTGCAGTTTATAACATGAGTTGAGCATCTTTTTCAGCAATGGTTAAGGCAAAAAATCAAGGGCGGAGGTAAAAAGGGTGCCAATATTATTCTAATGTTTTTCGACCACCACCTTAATAGGTGACAAAAAGATTTTTTTACAGTGTTCGATGTTTAAGTTGGATTTTCTAGGTGAATTTTCGTTCATTCAGTCAATCGTAAAAATGCTTCCTTCATAATTAGGTTTTCTTTATGGGTGTCGCTCTTAGATGAAGAAGCTGCGACAGAGCAGAGAAGTCACATGACAGCACCGACAGTATGCAAAATATGCGTAATGGGCCTACAGCGAAAGCGATATATGTTCAATTTACGTCTTCACCAAGCGATTCTTCCGTGCCTTCGGCATTGGCTGACGTCTCGTTTTCAGATTCGTGCTCTTGGTTTGGTATTGGTACGCCGGCTTGCATGTATGGATTAAATGGGGGCGCCTCGAAAACCAACGGCTCAATTCTGTATTGATCAAGTTCGCCGCCCGAAAGGATCTTGCTGTAGCTCAATTGGCGTTTGGGTTTCTCGTCTGCATCCGATTCTGGTGAAGTCCATCTCTGCCATTGTTTGGAGCGAACGTAGTATTTTTCCAATGGAAACTCAACTTGAGCAGCGGCCTCGGTCTCAGGTTGCTCATCGTTTTTGGTTTCCGTGGTTGTTGGAGCATCGCTCTCGACCTCTACAACATCAATGGTTGCATTTTCGTTAGCCACAATTTCGCGAAGAGCGCCGAGGATAAGGCCGTGGTCGCCGCCCATCGACAGGTTGACAACACGGTAAAACTTGGCAATAAGTGAGAGAGGAGCATATCCTTCTGCCGTGAAATGAGAGCGCAAGTACGAGTCCTCGTTTAGATTCTCCGCGCTAAAGTAATACTCTAGCTGACGCGCGATGTTGTTCACAGCGATGAAGGGATGTGGGGGCGTGGAAGATCCTGAGCCGTAACCCAAAGAGGCGTCCCCATGGCGGGGAAACGGCTTGCTGCGATAGCCGTTGAAAGAGCGCTGAGGCGATTGCATAGCATCGAAGGTTTGCTTGGGTGGGTACATGACGTACTGTTGGTATGGTTTGAATGTACCATTTTGCGTGTTAAATCTTTTCCTGTTCCCGTGTTGAGCAGGTCTTTTGAACGTACCAGAAGAGGCGTGGCCTTTTGAAGCTTCTTCAGTCTTCGTTCCGTTTACTTCAGCTGCTTCAGTACCTGTCGCGGACGGTTTTTGGTCATGGGCGGCGTTTTCTGGTAGCTCTGGCTGTTGCGCGGGTTGTGATGGAGTTGGACGACGCGGACGTGCATTGCCAGTGTTTTTACGGTTCTTTTTCATCGAAGCCCTCTTGCCATTTTGAGGCTCAGATTCACCACCGTTCTTGCGAGATCCTGACACGACAATGGACGCTTTCATCGGCACCCATTTTTCCCGGCCACTGGTGGCTCTGGAAGCACCGAAATTTGGCAAAAATGCACTACTGTCTCTCTCACGTTTTTCTAGCTTTTCGATAGCTTGTAAGGTCGAGGGCCATTTGTCAGATGCACCGTTTTTCGCCGATGCAGTGACGTTTGCCACAGGCCTCCAAGGCGATGAAATTGGTGGTGGCGCAGGGGTGAAAATCACTTCTTTTGACTTCCCTTTGGGAGCACTAGCGGCAGTGTTGGCAGAAACGCTAGCGCTTTCGCTAATTGTGTCGTTGACGGTTCCGCTGGCGTTCTCAGTAACGTTCTCGCTGCTACTGCTGACTGGCTTTACCTCCGTTTTGGTGCTCATGACTTTGATTAATGCAAAAAATGGTTCTGATGATGTTCTATTCGTCACTAAACTAGGGCTCAACCTCTCTTGTACCCTTCCTGGGGACTACACAGATCTTTAAAATGACCTTTTGGGTTTAGTTTTTATTGGCCGAAATATCAACTAACTACTATATGCAGCAAGTTGAGTTCACAGATTACGAGCACAAATAAACGACGAATTTCTGATCGATTGATGCTAATCTGAGAAGCGTTTCAAGGCTTACAAACTGGACAGTGACTTCAAGGAGTTCAGAATTTGATGATCTTGAAGCTCATCGGATAAAATTTTTTCACCAAGCTCATCTTGGAAAACTGAAAAATTTCAGAAAAATTTTCTAGTAGCGACAAGGTCGATGAGGAGGTGCAAACCCACACATTCGAAGGGCGAGTGAGCCGGTTTGAAGGCTCCTTCGAATTTTATTTAGCCCATTGCCAGTCTATTGACACTTCGAGGCATCTTTTTTGGTGCAGTGTAAGGTTTTCAAGGATCGATTTCGTTAGTCTGTTGGTCTCTCTGAGTGTCTGTTTGTGTCTCTGTCGACTGATTTCTTTATCTCAAACCGGAGGCCGTTTTGTTCAAATTATCCGGTATGGCTTTGAGGACGCAAGCGGCAAAGGACGGGTTCAAGTTTGCCAAGGGTCGGAAGGGAGGAGATGTGGGAGCTAAGAATGGTAAGATCCATGTACGTGGACGTTCGGTACCGCACAAGGCCGGCGTGAACGCTTACCAGGCGGCTGCGGCGCTGATTAAGGGCTCTCGGCCGCCAGCGCCCAGTCTTAAGGAACACTTATACTTCGAAAATCTCGCCGCTGTCGAGTACACACCGATTAAATTACATTTGGACTTGATCGAGCAGTATCTCAGTGGCGTGGAAAAGTCCTTCGAAAAACAACAAAACCGCTCAGACGTTGAACTCGCTCGTAAAGTTGAACAGGGGCTTAAAGAATTGGCCACTGAGGAACCTGAGGACGCCTCGGGCGCAGCTGCCGACACGAAAGGCGAAGACGAGGCAGCACTTCAGCGCACCAAAATGGCAGAGAAGCTAGTTAGGAAAATCACCAACGAGCACAAGCCCGTAGTGTCGCTGGCGCCCAAATCAGGCAACTTCCAGTACTTCTCGCAAGCGGTGCAGATGCTGAACTCACGCCAGACCATCTGCTTCTGCATCGACGTCGAGGCCTACGAGCAGCAGACCAACATCGTCACAGAGATCGGCATTTGCATCTTCGATCCACGCGAAAACGTACTCTCCACGGTGCCGAACTTCCGCACCTACCACCTGCTCGTGGGCGAGTCTCTGCACCTCCGGAACGGCAGATTTGTATGCGATCTGAAGGACTGCTTTCTGCTCGGCGAGAGTATGGTCATGTCGCTGGAGGAGTGCGCAAAGTTCATTCAGAGTCTCATGGACTTCTACATGCTACCGTGCTCCGACGCAGAGAGAAGTTGGCACCGCGCTTTCGTGGGCCATAACGTGAAAGGCGATTTGCGTTGGCTAGCAAACATCGGAGTCTCGCTGCCGAAGCATTGCGACTCAGGGCGTCCGCTTACTGCGCGTGATCGTGGTTCTGCAGCCGTGCTCGACACAGAAAAGCTTTACCGGTTTAGCTACGGAAGCAAAGGATCGAGTCTGGGCAAAATTCTAAGGCTGCTCGAGATCCCACATGCGTTTTTACACAACGCCGGCAACGATGCGTACTTCACACTCAAGCTCTTGTTGCACATGTGCGACATCAACTTCCGGAAGCGCGCACGATTGGACAATTTCTACGCCGTCGCTGATAAGATAACCACCTGGGAAGAGCGCGAAAAAACTGAAGCCAAAATCGTGCCCATGTCTTTCCAGAAGGCGCTCGCCGAGTTTTCCAACGCGAAAATCGTTAAAAGAAGGACCGTTTCTCAGACCGAGTTTGGCGGCTGTAGATGGATTGATTCCGCCGCCGAAGCCTTAAGCCTCTGCAGTGAGGATTAGGTAAGATTAGGTAATCTTTTCCTTTTTTGAACAGAATTTATCCGAAAAATTTATCCGGATGCTGCATGAGATTTGCATTATGTCAATAATGCAGGCACACAGGCAAGGTGCGAAAATGACAATTAAGCGTGGTTGGTGGTCGTCCAAACAAGGCTGGCTTTTGTCGCTGGTGGACGACAAACACCAGCAATTTCGCGAAGTGGGTACTTCCGAGGATCTACATGACAGCGCGACAAGCAAGCAAGCAAGCGGGCAGCGAAATTATCAACAATGTAAGAAGCTGACTGGATATTACAAAAGGGGACTAGCGAAATGAGGACTAGTGGGTCTGAGAGAGAAATTGATTCCCAGTTGGAACGTTTGGAACGTATTTTTTGAAGTAAAATGGTTTCAGCTTTTGGATTACTTGCCAGTACGGCTTTGGCGTCAAGCGTTGCTAAAGCGGCGCAGGTGTTTAACGTAGACATCGACTTCAAAGATGACTTAGACGTTTTCTACTATTTCCGTCAGGACAACGATTTAGTTTCCGTCCAACCTAACGACAGCGGGTTGCTAGTGACCGTCAACGCGGACAACGCTTGCGAAATCTTACAGTCGGGCATGGTCGTCTACAACGTGGACGGCGGAAGCGCAAACACTTTGCTCACGTGGAACCAGTACGACGTCTTCCACTTGGTGGACGGCCAAGGCCAAGATCTCACTTGGTCGAGCGTGAATGTTCAATCGTGCGGTAGCGGCACGCCTGCGACTTCTGGTTCCATGAGCGCGGCCCAGACAACGATGACAACGACTAGCGGTGGAGTTGTTCCCGTGCAATCCAGCGTGGGCTCTTCCGTGACGACCCCGACTTCCGTGATCGCAACCACTAACGTCGCTGCGTCGACAGGTGTGGTTTTGACCTCTTCTATGATCACTACCGCGGTAAGCGGCCAAGTGACCGAGTACCCCACGTTTTACCCAGTTTCCACCATTGGCTGCACCAACGGCTCGCAAGCACTATCGGTTGCTACCGTGACAACCTCTCACACGTACACTGTCGGACAAACCATCACCTACTGTGGTGGAGAAGCATGCTACGCTTCTGTAGTCACATCCGTTGAGACCGGAAGCGCAATACCTGCTACCGGGGCTGCAGCTCCAAGCATCACGACGTCCGCATCTCCGGGCAGTTCAGCATCTCAGGGTCAAGCTGCAAGCTCAGCATCGCAGGGTCAAGCCTCTACCCCAGCGTCATCTGTCACGGCCGCCGCGCCTGCTTCGTCTGGCAGTGGAAACACCAAGACTGGCAGCGTTACCGCCGCCAATGATGACTCAAACGTCGAGACCGCCAGCACCGTAATCCAACGTCCGTCTAGCGTAACTACTGCTACGACTTCCGGTAGCTCTGGACAAATCGTTTCTGTCAGCAGCTATGAAGGTGCTGCCAACGCTATCGCGAGCCCAGGCCGTAGTCTCCTTGCGCTGGCCGCCGCTGCGCCGGCTTTGATGGGCGTGCTTCTGTAAACGTCGATATCGCATTGTTAAGTATACAAATTTACATCAGACCAACAACACCTCATTGCTTCAACACTTTCTCCAAAAGTGGATCGAGCTTACCAGAAGCGTTCAAAGCCTGCAACTCGCTGTTACCTCCAATGTGTTCGCCGCCAATGAAAACGTTTGGAACGGTTCTTTGGCCAGTAATCTCAGTCAACGCTTCCTGAATTTCAGCACCGTCTTCCATCTGGTTCAATTGCAACACAACAGCCTGGTCCTTGCTGATCTTCTTCTCTTCGAAAATCAATTTCAAAGTCGCTTGGCAGTATGGACAGTATGTCTTAGACGCAATGAAGATTTTACTTTCGGCAATGTACGCTTTGACCTTCGCGATAGTCTCTTGCGACGCCATAATACTTCCTCTACTGAAAAATCTGCGGATTAAAAACAACTTGGTAAAAAATTTAACGCTGTATAGACACTTATGATCGAGAGTTCCCTGGTAAAGACCACTAAGAGCTCTCTGAATCGCCAATTAAAGGTTAAATCAGTTGTTTGAGTTCCTTTTAATTCTCCCTCTCTAATTCCATCAAAACTCCGGCTTCTTATATACAATCTGACTATTTGTCCGGGTAACAGATTTTGAGATTAATAAACCGCAAACGGTTGCCTTATCCTTTGCTGTTGATCCCTAAATATGTTAACTTTGGTCAAGAAGCCTTGGTCAGGGAACCCGCTGACAAAGACCAACAAGAACCTTAGAGAATGGGATTACTAACGGATCATCAACACACGGCAATAACAGACAGAATTGATGCAATTGTCTCGTCACCTGACCGAACCATTGAAGTGGAACTGGCCCCGCTGCTACAGACGATGCGTGCTGGCAATGAACTGCAGCACGGTGGGAACCAGGCAGAAGCCGCTAGATGTATTCGCAAAAAGCTGAAATACGGCGGGAAAAGGGAACAACTGCGGGCCTTGGAGCTGCTGAATTTGCTGATTTCACAGCGTGTGAGATTAGGTGTGATGTATAATGATAGAAAATTGCTGGAGCGCGTAGAGGGCATCGCGATGAACAGTGCTCGGGATTCGCAGGGAAACCGGTACGACAAGCGGATAGTGCGACAATGCGTGCTGGACGTGGTCGCTTGGGCCGATTTGGCCAAGGAAACGGGTGGGTCACGAGCGTATGCCGGCCTCCTGGTCATGGGGGATGCAGTGCAGCAGAAATACGAGGTAAGGAAGGGTGGAACGTCATACATGAGTGATGAGGGCGCAGGATCGTCTGGAAGGCGTAGTTCTAAAACTAATGGTGGGCGCAGACGTCGTTCGAGACGTGGGTTCATGGCGGACGACGCAGATGACACTGTTTTGACCGCTGACGAGCGTTATGGGATCCCCACAATCAATCTGGAACAACAAGCGCCACGGATACGCAATTTAATCAGCGATTCGCTTGCGTCTGCTATCGCACTGCGCAACACGCTTGCCTCGATTCGACCTGGCACTGCCAGCACGGAAGACGAAGACGCTACTGCACAATTCATCCAGGCGCGTGCCATGCGCCGTAAGGTCTTGCGGTATTTGCAAGTGGTTACAGGCGGCGAGTTTCTGGGCAGCTTGATACATGCCAATGAGGAGTTGGTGGGGGCACTGACACAGTACGACGCCCTGGGTGATGGTGCTGACGATCTCAGTGACGCCGACGACCTCAGCGACGATGCGGGCTCTTTGATTTCAGAATCTTCTTCCAACGTTTCGTCTGTCGCACCGTCAAGCGCCTCGTTTGCACCTACCGCACGCAGTGACGATCCCTTCGGAGACCAGAACCGCATTGCAAACTGATGCCCACACTAGAAATTAGAAAAACGAACACTTTAATACACTAAACACCGCTACTAATTCTTTTTGAAATTCAATGATGCACTGTTGACACAGTGCCTGACATCCTCAGGCAACCCCAGCCTTTCTTTCCATCCTTCGCCCTCAAACACATGTCCCATGTGACCGCCACATTTCGCACAGCAAATCTCCGTTCGCTTCATTCCAAGGGTATTGTCGGTGTGGTATGTGATGGCTCCGGGACGCACTTCTTGGTAAAATGACGGCCAACCGCATTGCGAGTCGAATTTTGTCTCGCTTTTGTATAGCGGTTCGTCGCAATTCGCGCAATGGTACACACCACCGTCTTTGTTGTGCAAGTAAGCACCGGTGTGGGGTCTTTCAGTGTGCTTGTCACGCAGAACCAGCAACTGTTCCGGCGTTAGGTTTTGATTCCAGTTTTGGCTCATCGCAGTGATCTTCAAATAGCGTTTCTGGGGCTTTAATGCTGTTTTGGTGTTAACTCTACTTATTGTGCCTCTGCTCACAACACGATAACTCGCAAGGACTCTAAGCATATAAATAAAGCAGCGCTTTACTAATCCCTGGTCTGTGATTTATCTCGTCACTTTATATCCACTGCAATATTGAAGAAATATCTTACGGCGATTGCTGCATAGGCTTATAACGAATTCATAAGCAAAAGCAGCAAAAGAAATAGGAAGGATACATCGACTACGCCTCCCCGATGTCGACCAAGTATCCCAGTACGATGAGTTGTGCTGAGGCCTTTGATCGGCTTACTTCGTGCTACTCTGTCGGAGGTCAGTTCCGGAATTACTACCGATACGGAGAATTTAATCCGTGCTTTAAGCAACTTGACAAATTCAAGTTTTGCATAGTGAACGGCACAGACGCGGTCAAAGTCCAGCAGTGGTATCGCGACGAGGCAAATTTCAACGCCAAGAATCGGGGTACTTCGGACGATATATGGCTAGAGCGACAGGTATTGAACAACTGATGAAAGCTTTAGCGATGGGATTATACAATTACGTACATGATGATGTGCTATAGAAGAAATCGTAAACGACGACAAATCACGTGGCTTCAAAATAAGTTTACTCATTTAATGACCCATACGTACATAGCGATATCATAATCCACCGTTCATAATGATTTATCACGTGGATTGAAACGTGAAAAGTGACGTTACCGTGAATAGCGATCAGACATTTCTCGTCTTGAAGAGGCTTTTGAGCCGTGTGCTAAATACAGATCATGAAACTAAGAGTAGACCGATAGGAAATTGTTGAAACAGTATCGTCTCGGGAAGAAGTGTAGTTGGTTGGTGTCAGCAATTTAAGAGTGAATTGACAGTGTTTGAATTGACAGAACTAAGGGTTTTATGAGCCTAGTAGACGACCTTAAGGGCCCTGAAGTCCGAAGCTGGACGACCGATGAAGTATGTGCGTGGTGCGCTGAAGTCTTGAGGGTCGAAGACGCCGACGCTTTGTCTGCCATTGAAGACGCGGTACGAGAAAATAACATTGATGGGCAAGTTATAGGAGATTTGACGCTAGATGACTGTAAATCCCTGGTCAATGGGGACCGGCGGCTGGCCGTGCGGTTCAAAATCGAGCTGAACAGGCTTCGGTCCAAGTCTCAAGAGGTGGACCAGACAGAGGAGATAGCAGTGACGTTACAGCAGCTGTACGTGGCTGTCACGGAAAAATTGCAGGAGTTTCAGTCGCAGTACTCGCGTCTGCGACTAGATGTTATGGATGTGATGAGGAAAGGAACGATGCCAGTACAACAACAGCAGCAGCAGCAGCAGCAGCAGCTGTCGCAACAGCAACTCCAGTCGCTGCCGCAGGCAACGCAACTACCGCTGCAGCATCCAAGTTCCTCGGCGTCAACATCTAACCAGCCCCAGCACGACTACTTTGAAGGTCATCGCGTTGTTACGAGCAGCTCTCCAGGGGCCACTGCGACTGTGACTCGCCAACCTGCCTTCAACAGGTCAACATCGAGTGCTTTTACCGCTCATGGCTCCGGAACTACACCAGGGACTCCTGGCGTAAGTTCTAATGAACCTCTCAAGCACATGCGTGCATCCAAAGACGATTCCTGCGAGAAAATTCTCAAAAGCGCTATGCGAAGACACAACTTGAAGGAACAGGATTGGAAGCAGTACGTCTTAGTGATCTGCTACGGCGACCAGGAACGATTTTTGGAGCTAGACGAAAAACCCGTAACCATTTTCAAGAACCTGAAGCAGCAGGGTCTTCATCCTGCCATCATGCTAAGGCAACGTGGGGATTTTGAGGAAGTCGGGGGTGGATTGACCCCAGGAGGCAGACTTTAGATAGGCTCTTTACTAATATACACAACTGTTTATAGGAACTCGGTTCGAAAGATAGTCAGACATATCAAGCATACGGATTGAATTTTCTCTTCGATTTCATTTCCTTTATCCTCAACTGATCTTCCTTAAATTTCGTCAGCAGTTCGCCAATCTCCTGCTTTTTGCGCTCTCTGATTTGAAACCGGTAGAAGTCTTCCTTTGCCTTTTTGTCTACCATTGACGTGGATTTGGCACGTTTTTCGAACTTCAACAATGGGTTACGGTTTAAAATCTTCTTCCTTATCGAGTTCAAGGACTTGGTATTCTTGCCCACCACAAGTGTGAACCCATCCTCATCGACTATAGAGCTCTGGGCCTCTTCTTGTGCGCGCTGCTCACGCTCCTCGAAAATCGCCATATGAGTATAAATGTCCTCTTTCAAGTACTCTAGATCCAGTGGCTTGTAAAAGTTGACAAACGTAGCCATTGACGGGGATTGGAAAGTCCAGTCGATCACTTTTGCACCCTGTGTCTCTCGCGAGTACTTGCACACAGCACTCCACGCATTTTCGAGACTAGATGAATCCATGAACTGAAGCAGTGCGGTATTGCGTGGCGTAAACCGTTTTTCTTCTTTGTCTCCCGTCGACATTAGATCAGAGGTTAAACTGGAAAGGTCGATTTCATTAATTCCGAACTCATCGTGATGCAACAGTTGCGAGACATGGGCGACCGTGCCAGATTGTGAGCATATTTCACTAAAACTCTTTTTCAACGTTTCTAAACCAGTCAGAAGCGGCAGGTTGATTAGGAAAAGGCAGTTTTGTTCTTGTTCGTTCTTACTTTGATGCTTTTTGACAAACATGAAATGGAACACCTCTGCATTGTCTTCGAGCTTTTCGCAACGCGGAAGACGGAATCTTATCACAGCAAACCCATTTTTCATGGATTTGACATCCGAACTCATTACGAAGTTACACGTAAACTGTCTGTATCACTTGACGTTTGCCAGCAGAATCTTGTTGGAGGTTGATAACTTTCGAGATAGACGCCGCTTGATCTTCCTACCTGTGATGAGTCCACGCTGAAAAATGTTCAGAAAAGCACGTGATAGTCACGCTACCATATTTAAAGTAACGTGATAAACAGATGCCGAAGCCTTCAACTGGCAGATTGAACACCCAGCTGCGCTCGCTATGTACAGGATTAAAAGCTTAGGGTAGAATCCTTTCAATCTCTTGTCATCATCACGTTGACGGGAAAATTTCCTCTTGAAAAATCTTCTCTTAAGAAATCTTCTTTTCAGTCCTTGGCGCCGCGAAATCCCTCAGTTTCCTTCATTAATTCGTAAAGCTGGGTCACTTGTTCCGGAGACATCTTGTCAAGCACATCGGCGGATAGTGTTCCTTCCGTCCAGTCTCCTTTGGAAACAGCGTGCAGATAATCCTGCCAAGATGCCAAGAACCCGACTATGTACAATGGGTTTTCCGTATCCTTGTGCAGCTTGAATTCGTTTTTAACGTACTTATCTCCAAGTTCCCGCTGGAATGACGGTAGTCTACGATGTTCACGTAAAATTCTGCGGTACAACTCCAACGGTGGCAGTAGCGGTCTTTGTTTGCGGGAAGCAAATTGGTGAGCCCGGAGCAGCGAGGTAGTACTGGACTTCATGAGATTCAAACAGTCAGGGTCACACGGAAACCAGTGGTATGCACGGTCAATTCGGGCAAAGAGGGGCTCGACTTGACTTAGGTATCGTGTGCATGCTACAAATGGTTTTCAATCGATTAGAGAAAGAGCTAATAATGCTTGCAAGACCGTTAGAAATATGGCACGTGACTTTTCTTGTAAGGCGAAGTGAGTGACTCCTCGAGATTTACTGGTGGAAGGTAGGCAGGTATTAGGAGCATTTATCTTGTATTGAAGGTTTAGCACGGCATGTTCCAATACCGCGGTTTCTAAAAACTGGGGTTTCGAGTTTCTCTTTGTTGTGTTCTTTTCCATGTCTATTGATTAGGTCTTTCGCATAACTTATGTCGAACCGGTTTACTGAAAAGATTCGGGCAAAAGACCTAGTTTCTGCATTCTGATCTTAATAGCATTTCTGTGCCCATCGAGGCCTTCGACCTTGGCCACGCTCATAACAGCACGACCAATCTTGTCAAGGCCTTCGGGAGTGACATTCTGAGCAGTAATGAACTTCTGGAACGTAGAGGTGTTAACACCACTGTACTGTCTGGCATATCCATAGGTTGGTAGAGTGTGATTTGTTCCACTGGAGTAGTCACCGCAAGACTCGGGGGTGTATGCGCCGACAAAGACACTGCCAGCATTGAACACCTGAGGCAGATATTTGTTAGCATTTTGGATCTGCAGAATCAAGTGCTCCGGCGCATATTGGTTGGAGATATCGAACGCCTCATCATACGAGTTGCAGCGAACAACAGAGCTGTGATTGATGCACTGGCGCACGATGTCCACACGAGGCAATTGTAGCGCCTGTGCATTGACAGCGTCCTGAATTTCCTGAATCTTCTTGTCGCTTAGACTGACACCAACTAAAATCACTTGCGAGTCAACACCGTGTTCTGCTTGAGACAAAAGGTCTGACGCGACAAAGTCTGCATCAGCGTCTTCATCAGCAATGACCAAGACCTCACTAGGTCCAGCAGGCATGTCAATCGAGCACAGCGCTTGCGTGTCATTTTGCACATACATTTTAGCCGCGGTGACAAACTGGTTACCGGGGCCAAGAATCTTATCGACCTTGGGTACCGATTCCGTACCATATGCCATCGCAGCAACCGCCTGCGCACCACCTGCCAATACAATCTTGGACGCGCCGACCTTCTCGGCGACGTAAACGACCTCAGGTGAAACTTTCCCATCAGACTTACGCGGGGGTGATGCAAATATGATTTCTTTACACTGTGCGACTTTTGCTGGAACACCCAACATCAAGGCAGTGCTTGGTAAAACGGCAGTACCACCTGGGATGTAGAGACCCACCTTTTCGATAGGACGGGGGAAACGGGAACAGACAACCCCTGGCTGGGTCTCAACTTTCAAAGTCTCTTTCTGCAATTGGGCTTCGTGAAATTTGCGCACGTTCTCCATTGACAGATCCAAAGCCTCTTTCATTTCGTCAGTCAGGCCTTCAAAGTACTCTTTTGGAAAAGGAGCTTTCAACACGGGACTCTCCAACTTGACTCCGTCAAATTTGTTAGTGAACTCGATTAGGGCTTTATCACCTTCTTTCTGAACTTTCTCGACGATAGGGTTGACGAGGTGCATAATCTCATTCGTTTTTTGAATTGGTCTGGAAAGACTACCTTCAACAGCCTTGGTATCAGTGGCAGAGACGACGTTGAGGTGAATTGGACCATTTTCAACAGTAGAACTTGGCTTGGGCTCGTCCTTCTTCTTCATGAACTTTTCCTTGGCGTCGCCCTTCCGTCTTGTTATTTTGAGGTGTTTCGTGTTTAGATTCCGTTCAACATCGGCCAGTGACACTCCACTGGCAACGAGCTTGACCATCGTAAAGTAGAAAAGGTCAGCAGCTTCCCAGGAAATTTCGCTCGTAGTTCTTGCTTCCGTTAGCTCTTCGGCCTCCTCTTTTATTTTCGCAGTGAGTAAATCGGCATCGTTGAATAGACGACGAGTGTAAGACTTTTCAGGGGAATTCTTCAATCTGCTCTTCAAAAGGTCTTCCAACTCGATCAACCCATGGCCAAAAGGTCCGAAACAAGAAGTCGTGTCTAGGTGGCAGAAGTTCGACTCACCTCCTTCTTGAACAACAACAAATTTTAGAGCATCACCATCGCAGTCCAAATCAACGCTGACCAGCTTCTGTGTGTTTCCAGAAGTGGCGCCCTTGACCCAAATCTCGTTTCTGGAGCGCGAATAGTAAACGCCTGCACGTTTATCAAGTGCGAGCTTGATAGATTCCAAAGACGAGTAAACAAGCCCCAGACAACGATCGTGCTCGTCAACAACTAACGTTGTGTACAACTTGTCCTGGCGATCCGTCTTGATGGCGCTTTCGAGGCTCTTGATAACGAAATCTATCGTCAGAAACTCTACCTGCACTATTTGAGATTTTGAGAACGACACTTTGGTACCAAATTCCGACGTGAACCCACCATCCTTAAAGAGAGATAGTCTTTCTTTTGGAACGCCAATTTCACTTAAATGATCAAAGTAGTTTTGTTCTTTAACAACGACCGCTGCCACACCATTGTTTAGCAGGCACACAACGTCTTCATCGCTTATTTTCTCAGTCAATGAGACAAACAGAGTCCCTGGAGTCACATCTGCATCGCTCAAAAGATCAAGGATCTGTTGAATTTGAAAATTTGTTCCATCGACTAAAGTTTGGCCAATGACAGAAACGAACTGCTTAGACTGTCTCACCAATTCGACATCTGCAGCGGACGCAAGGAATGGTAACACCGGAAATACCATAATTGTCAATCGCTGAAGGGCTTTATATGATTACAACGGTATCTTGAAAGCTTACCTCGACCAGAAAGTGTGTTGAAACCGTTCCTGTTTTATTTACTTAAGGCTGTAGTCAACTGAGTCATACTCATCCTATGGTGGTAAAAAAATTTCAGTCATTATAGCGTAAAGTGTCGATGATAAGACATGCGTAAACTGTTGATACACTAATAGGCGTCAAAAAGGCCAGGTGACTAAGGTTAGAATTCGGCAGGACGAGTGGAATTTTCTAAATTTCGACGAATTTTTCGCACATTTTTTCATGCGAAGCTCCTCGATAAATGGCGAATCGTATTGATGTTTTGTATAGTCAGCTCTCACTAGAGCCTTAGACCTGTAAAGTAGAAAGACCTTAGTATCACATGCTGTCCAGACTACCTCTTTCGAATTCAAGCTTCATTGTTTAGGCAATTCAGCGTTTGACACCAGATCCTGGGAAAATGATTCATTATCTCGGAATTGGACGCCCTCTCTCAGCGGGTCGTTTTCAAGCGTTAACGTTGAAGTAAAATCTCCAGCTGCCTGCTCTCGCGCCCGGATCATTCTTCTCTCGTTTTCTCGGATTTCTCGATGCAATTCTTCTACAACGGATAAAAGTTGCTCGTGTTCCGTCTCGAAATACAGCTTCTGGTTTCGCCATTGCTCTCTTTCATTGCTGAGCTGGTTACGTACCTTATCAAGCTCTGTTTCTAAACTGCGTATTCTCGTTTCGTAGTCCTCGATGGCAGGCTGTATATCTTCCAGAACGCCCCGCTGCTCCTCTATAAGTGACTTATACTGCTGCAGTTCCTGTCGTTGCTGTAGAACCATTGGTTCTAATCCTAGTTCCTCGTCTCTCTTATATCGTACGGGTGTTGGTGATCTGGGATCAACGACGTATTCCTGACGTCGCAACTGCGCAAGGGTATCAAATGGAGCACAATTGTTGTCTGCTCCATTGGCGGCTTCATCTATGAGAGCCGCAACTTTTTGTAATTGGATAAACAGCCCACTTTGTACATATTCGGTTTGGAAATATCGTTTGCCGTCAAAGGATCCATCGTTCTTTCCTATGTTCGCCAACAGATCTACACCGACATAGACCCCAGTTTTGCCCTCAACAGGACCCACATACTTTAATTGGCCGCGTCCAACGTTTGGGATCTGGATAAAGGCTCCTATTTTGCCTTGATATTGGTCCATCGGTTTTGGGCTCTTATACGGGTTTTCGACAATCTCGATACCTAACTGAAATACTTAATAAAGGTTGGCACCCTTTAGTGTAAAAGAGGTTGAAGGGCCACAGAAAATCGTAAGAGAGCGTTTGAAAAGCACTTCTATCGAGCTAAACAATCATCAGGTAAGAATGAGCGTGGATGAATTGATAAGAGAAGCTGAACAACTGTTTAGTCAAAATCGACATGAAGAGGCTGTGACGACGCTCACTAGAGCGTCGCAACAAAATCCATCTGAAGAAGAGAAAAATGCCATCGAGAACCTTATTCAAAGAATTTCTCAATATGTAGTGGACAACGGTCATGAGGGTTCTGAAAGGGGCATTGGTGATTCGCTTTTGGGTACTCTTATGAATAACGGTAGCTCAGGCAACTCGGGCATGCAAATGGGGAAATTGGCCCTCTTAACGACAATCTTGGTTTCTTCCAAGAATTCAGGGTCAGGATTTAATTTGGGGTCTGTTGCATCACTGCTGAGTGGTTCGGGGTCGCACAACAATAATTACAATGGTAATAACTCAATGGCAGGGAACTTTGCTCAGAATAATAATCAGGGGTATGACAGCCAGGGTTATAACAATCAGGGCCACAGCAATCAGGGCTACAGCAATAACTACAATGGTAACAGTTCAATGGGAGGTTCCAATGGTTCCACTGGCTCTACATTGGCGTCTTTAGCGTCTCAGATGCTAGGTGGCTCCAAACCGCCCAATAATAACAGTGGGAGCATGACCGGAAACAATCAAGGTAGTTCTTTGAGTGGATTGACTTCTTTGGCTTCTTCTTTCTTCGGGAAAAACAACTCTGGCAACAATGGCGGCTACGACGCTAATCAAAATCAATACGGCGACAATCAGTACGGTAACATTCATTACGGTGGTAACAACCAATCCGGGGGATCCACTCAGAACGGTGGTAACAACCAATACGTTAACAACCTTCACGGTAACAACCAATATGGTGGAAACAGCCAATACGGCGGGAACAACAATTATTTCCATGGTAATAACCCAAACCCCGGTAGCAGCAACTACAATAATAACTTTAATCAAAATCAGTCTGCCTATTCAGGTCATGGGAATGTCTCCAATCCCGATTTTGGACCTGATAATGGATACCAGAATAGTAATAATAACCAAATGAATTACAATTCAAATTCGCAACAGCAAAACCAGGGCAATGGGTTCAATTTTTCGGGCAATTTCGTTCCTTCTTCAAATCAACAGAAGCCGGGCTCTAACTACGACAATTACGATCAGCAAAACAATGGCAGACGCTATTAAAATGAACTTAGTGTGTTAGCCTATTTCTATATTTTTACAACTCTATTATAAGATATTCCCGTATACTTAGCTCGTCTAAAAGCTTGTTGACTTCAAAGGCAATACGTTTTCCTTGAAGAACTCCATTTCATCTTCACCTGGGGTTCCGTTGTAAACATTTCCGGCTGGAGCATACTCACAGATTAGATATGTCGAGTCCTGGCCATATTTGGCCATGGTGTCACATTGTATCACTGCGCATCCCACTTTAGTAGATGAAGCCCATACTAATTGAGTAAAGTGGCCGACATCTTGCCGGTCGTGTTCAACACCAGTTACATCGTTGTAGTCGTAATATCTGATTTCATCATACCAGTAGTCGACAAGAACATTTGGATTCAAAGTAGTACCAAAGGCCAGATTTTCACCTTGGTTACCTCTGTCGGATGAATGCAAGAGCTGACCAGAACATGGATCGTATTCGGTACCTTCCAAAGAATAGGCATAGTTGTATGCGAAAGTGGAAAGCGAGTCGTCCCAAGTCAAGTCAGGAGTGTTTTCATGAAGCGATCGTTTCGCATTGTGTTCAGCCAATAACGAAGAAGCCGTGCCAGCGTCAAGAACTGTAGGTCTGGAACTGACTGAAGAGGAAACTTGTGTTGGGGAAGTAGCCAAAGAGCTGGATGCTACCAAGGATGTTGTTGTAGGAGGAGTTAATGTTGATCTTGAAGTTGAGGTCTGGCTCGTCTCATCAGATTTACTCGTCGCTACTGCAGCAAAACTGGCAGAGGAGGATATAATGCTGGAGGATGGCTTACTGGAGGATTCACTGCTGGAGGACTCACTGCTGGAGGGCGTACTGCTGGAAGATGCAATGTTAGAAGTATAGAAGCTCGAGGCCGAAGAGCTGGCGGGTTGTGCTAAGCTTGAATCCGTTCCAGTTATACCTTGAGTCGCGCTTGAGGGAAGACTCACGGGTTGCGGTGACGAAGATGCTACTTCGATTGTACTAGATCCCACAAATCCGGGAAGGCTTGAGCCGCTCGATACTGTGCTGTTGGAATATATTAGTGACTGAGAAGATTGAGGCACACTTGACGAAGCTGGGCTTGATACGATTCCAGTTGTGGACTCAGCGTAGCTAGTAAAAGGGCTGCTCTGACTGCTGACGGAACTTACAGCGCTGGCTGAGCCGACAGGACTTAATGGGCTACTGGAAGCGCTGTGTTGAGGGGTGGTAGAGCTTGCAGAGCTGTAGGAAGAGACTGCAGAGCCAGCTGCAGAGCTAGGTTGACCGCTGGTTAAGCTGGAGGGAGAGATAACGGAGTAGACAGAACTCGAAGGAGTGCCCGCTGGATTAGGACTGGTCGGCGAGTTCACCTGTCCAGCAGAGCTTGAACCCGTGGCAACAGTCGAACCAACGACAGAACTAAAGGCGGCTGAATCTGTGCTCAAACCGCTACTCGAAGGAGCGTTGCTAAAAGTGTTGGCGATGAGGCTCGCTGTCGCGCTGCTCGAAGCGGTCTTAGTAAACCTCAGCTCCACTGCCGTAGCAGAAAAAGATTCGGTGACTGTGGTCTGGGCGGAAGTGACGGCGGCTGTGGCATAAAGGCTCACCAAACTCGTGAATTTCATTATACGGTTGCGAGAAAGAATCAAAGGAATGTGGTCGATACTTTGGAACTGGTGCCGTGCATTGACCTTCTCAACGCGACTAGGCTTTGGTGGTTATATAGATGCCAAGCGATTTCCTAAGAGTAGCCAGCTGAACCAGCTGAACCAGCTCGCTGCCGCGCGAATCTTACTGCAATCGCGTATTCCTAGTCCACGAAAAAACACCAGCAGCCTAATGCATTGTGCGAGTAAAATCGGCTTGAATTTTGCTGTCAACGTCCTGTTGGGCAACAAACACGCCCAGCGTCTATTTGCTTCCCGGAAAGACCAGTTCAGATCTGCCGCAAGAGATCCCGAGGCTCCACCAATTTTACCAGCATAAAGTGGTAATTTGGTTTCCCTTTACGGTCAGCAATAACTGTTAAAGGATCTCGAGATCTGAAACTTCTGGTGTCTCCAGGCAAATCACAATGCCACGCTTGACCACGCGCAGCTTGGGATCGTCACAATTGTCGCTGTTGGCGACCAAGCGCCGAGGACCACCTCGGATAATGATTTGCAAGGGCGCTGGGTCACTTGTCAATTTTTCGTGTTTTCTTTTACGACACGAAAAAAAAATAGCCCAGCAGAAACTGGGTAAATCGTCGCAAATCACTTATGTCACTGAATACGTGAAAACTAGATATCTTTTCGAAGATTGAAGCGTACATAGCGATATCAGGTAAGCAACATTCATGATCACTATGTACGCAATATTCATTTACATATTTTGTACGAGTTCAAGTATTTTTCGAGTTTTGCGTAAAGGATGATATGACCGTTAAATGTGATTTATGATTTCTAGCATCACGGAATTAGGAAATGAACTGTTAGGATTTAAAACATGAGAAGGCCAGTTACAAGAGGGCGGATTATGACAAGTCTAGGTCGTTGAAAACTAATTTAAATATTTAATGGCTAGATGCTGTATCTGTTGGGATAAGACGGTGGAAAACCATGTGAAAAACTGTCAAGAATAGTACGAAAAACGCCATTATGACCCTACACGCTCGTCGTATCAGGACTTGTCACAACTTGAAACGCGATGAACAGCTCCCTGAAAAAAAGACGTTTCAGGGAGCTGAAGGTAGTACTTAAAGTATTTTGAAGAATGGGCGCCGAACGTCGGGGCCATATGGATGGTAAAAACTCACGGTTTCCCATGAATCGCACAACAACACTATTCGGTACAGTGCTCGAGACGGTCTATGTTGACGAATATTTTGAAAATCTCGCCTCTGAGCCTTACACCTCGTCAACGGTATCTCTAATCGCACACACAGTAACGCCGCGAAGAATGCAGGCGTCTGCGACAACGCTGTCGACGGGCACGTACGTAGAGTTGATGTCCTCCAGCTCTGACGCAGCGTTGCCTACTTCTTCCGGGACGGCACTTCTACAGTCTATTGCGGCCAACGACGGTGCATCTAACAATACGCTTGAGCTCTCCATCGGTCTTCCAGTCGGTATTTTATGTCTTGGACTTGCCACTATCGTTGCATTTTTAGTCTACAACAGCTACAGCGTCAGACGACGAATAGATGCGGATGAAGAGAAGCTGGGACGCAGGGAACCAGCCCTTTCTCAAAAGTTCATGGATTGGTATAGAAAGGTTACAGGCGATGATTCTCAACCTGATACCGTCGTCAGAACATTTGAGGGCGGGCACGAAGCAGAAATCAGGTACAAGATTCAAAAAATCGAGGCAACCAATACTGCTCCGCATGTGTTGACCCCAAAAAAATCGTTCCATGCTCCGCAGCGAACTTTAAGCTCTCAACGCATAGATACGTTGTTGTATTCCAAGCCTCCGGGCATATGCCACATTGGTTCAGAATTGCCAAGTAAAAATGCGTCCAAGTCAGGCATTGATTGCAGCGAGTCTAGCGATATTGCGGAGCGTCGCAAATCGCTTTGGAACTACGAATCTCCACTTTCCAGATGGTTTTTGACTAAGTCGACATATCTGCAAGATCAAGTCATTCCGGCTCTAAAGACTCCAACAGTCAAATTGAAGCAGTTGAATATTCTTACTCGAGTCAACCAAAGTCGAATTCAAAGTCTTACTCTTGATGTGGAGTCGTCTACTTCAGAGAAACAGAGTGAAGCAGAAGACGATCTCCAAAGCGAGATGCTTCCCAGGCTCGATCCTTTGGTGTTTAGGGACTCCTCTCTTAAGTATCAGAAGGGAACTTCTCAATCTGAAGTCACTAAACCCTTCCGAAATGAAATTGCTCCCTCCTGGACTAATAAGGGCGACTATAATCCATATTCCAAGACTCGCACAACAACACACGCCATCCAGCCGCAGATATTGAACAGCGATTCGGATGCTAATCAATCGCTTTTTTTACCCATCAAACTCGACAGAGCACCTTCCAAGACGCACATGGATGAATCTCTCGGCCCCAAACCCGCTCTCACGAACCAAAAGAACAGGCTCAAAAAAGGGCTTGATCGTGCGCGTGCTCAAAAGCCACTTCCTCTAGCTCCGACTCTAAAGGGCAAACCCGCGGGTATTAGCGTCCGATCGGAAATGAACGGGCCCAGCACACTGAATACCTCTTCGGGGAACGACAGCAATGTCCAGCATCCTATTTTGGAGGTAGGCAAGGAGTATAAACCGAATCTCATGGATGAAATTTATGTTCGGGCTGGCGAGTATGTGAGGGTCTTGGCTCGCCACACTGACGGTTGGTGTTTAGTCGAGAAATGTAGTCGCAACGGGACCCCAGTTTTGCGCAAAAATGGGCCTCCGGATTACGATGACATCGATAACGAACACTATCTCAACGAGAATAGGGGTATTGTGCCAGGAATTTGCCTCAGAGCGTTGTGAAGGAACTAAATCGCTTAAAATGTCAATATATTGGAAAGATCAACGTATATGTATAATGCGCGATGCCAGATCTGCAACCCGCTGCCTATAGACTAAGAAATAACCTTTATCTCGTTGTCGATGTAAGTCTTAGGCTGTGGAGCCTCGACTGGAGCACCGAACACCAGCTGCGCCTGGACACTGTAGTGCTTTGGGACAATGTCATCGGAAGCAGAAGCCTTGACGAAGCCGTTGAAGTGTTGCAGATGAGCGCCCAGGCCTAGAAGCTCGAGCGCAGTCCACGTGGAAATCTGAGCGGCGCCTGAGGAGTGGTCAGCAAATTGGTTAAACGCGGAGGCCCAGGCTGGAAATTGGCCCTGTAGCTCTGACGTTTTTTCGTCGTTCACCATGAAAAGTACCGTACCGAAAGCTTCGTCTCTGACAGAAATAGGTCTCTTGGCGAAATTGCCGTCAACACCCTCAATGACCTTGGACCACAAGTCCTTGTGGGCTTGGCCCGTTAGAATGACTGCACGGTTAATTTGCGAATTGAAAGCGCTTGGCGTCTCTTTGACAATTTTTTGAACAACTTTCTGGACGTCTTCGATGCTTAAACCCTCTGGAAGCGATGGCTTGAGAGAGTAAATAGTGCGTCTAGCCGTAATGGCATCTAAAAACTGGTTAACTTTAGACATAGAGCTGGAGGAAATGGATGAAATCGTTGGGAATAGGGAATTGAAACTAATTGAATTGCAAGGAAAGAACCTTTCTCTCTTCTCGACCTGGACAAATTGGTGCTTCTTAAATGCTGAATTGTGTCGGACTATTGACATTTTGGAAAGTCATTGCTAATCGCGGATTACATCAGCATCGCCTAACATTTCCGTGATATTCGAGGAATTGTTAATAAGCATTACTAAAATGTGTGTCATACGAATTACATCCATCGCCGTTTAAAAGGATAGAGTAACGGCGTCTATCTTGCAGTATCTCGCAGTGTGGAAACCCGAACTCGACGGACGCAGCGTCGAGAGTGACATCCACTACTACCGTGGTATAGTATTCAGCCTCACCTTGCCTTCGCTTAATTGCATTTGTAATCTTAATAATGGTGCAAGACTGTGAAGAATGGTACTAATGTTAGTGCTGATGTTAATTCTATTTCAGTTTTATCTTGGTACTATCTTAGTACTATCTTAGTACCTGCATTAGTAGTGACTTTCTGGTTGCGTCATCTTTCTTGAATATTTCATTGTTACATTGTCATTTTACGTAAGCTATTTAGGTGCGATTTCAACTTTCATTGCCCTAACACCATATTTCGGCCACTCTTCTTAGCCAGCCGGCAGATCTCACTTTGGCCTTGTATTCTGCGTCTTCTTGCTTTAGCAGGTCCTCGTCGAAGATCTTTCTGTGTGAAATTAGATCGATGTGCTCGGCGCGGATAAACAGTCTCCAATCCTTCGTTATTAGCTTGTAGCCGAAATACAGAGCCATCAGAATTAACACTGCCAGGTAGTTCTCGAAAAACGAGTTAACGTCCAGTTTGCTCGAGCCCACGGGCTTGATAGCGATCCAAAACTGGCCAATAAGCACCAGCGACATCATGATCACCGCATACCACGACCCGTAGACGCCCGTCTGCGACATGTAGCCCAGCTCGCCAGTCGATCTTCCTTGCACCTTGAGAGCTCTTCTGAACCTTACGTGGGACAGACAGATGGATATCCAGGTGAAAAGCTGCGATAGACCCGAAATGGCCAAAAGCCAGGTGAAAACGGTCTCTTCTTTAGGCGACGCAGCGACAAACGAGATCAGACCAATTACGGCCCCCACGATCATGGCCATGAGTGGTCTTCCTGCTCTGTCGACGTAAGTGAGGAAGGAAGGCGCGTAGCCCTGTTCCGCGAGCGACAAAAGCAGACGCGAGGAACTGTAGTACGCCGAATTTCCCACTGACAGAACGGAGAGCAAGATCACTGCGTTTATGAAGTGTGGGACAACACGCACACCATGTGATGCAATGGCAATAACGTAAGGCGACGCATGTGTAGCAGAGCTGCCGGAGCCCATTAGCTCGTCAGAGTTGTAAGGCACTAGGACACCTATCAATACGATCGAACCCAGGAAAATGACCAAGATTCTGTAAAGCACTTTTTTGGCGGCAGACGGGATGGCACGCCTTGGGTTAGCTTGCTCGGCTGCTGTCAATGCAATAAACTCAGTGGCACCAAATGCAAAAGCGGCTGTCACCATTGTGGCCACAATGCCTTTTAAATGATCGATGCCGCGATCTCCATTGAAAGCGCCTGGGTCGTGCCAGTACTTTCCTCCCAAATATCCACCGTTACCAGCACCTCCGCAGTTAACAATGATACCAAGAATGAAAAATCCAGCTATCATGAGAACCTTGCACATGTTGAAGAAAAACTCGGCTTCAGCGTACCCACGAGCGCCGAAGATGTTGATCGCGATCAACAGCACGTAGAAGATCGCAACAAAGGCGTCTGGGTTCACCGAAGTAGTCCAGTATTTGATGGTGATAGAAGCGGTGACCAGCTCAAGCGGCATAACCACAAGCCATTGCAAACAGTAAACCCATGCGACGGCAAAATTCAGACCAGGGTCGACTAATATCGATGGGTACGCGTTGAAACCACCATTAAGAGTAGCGTAGGCTACAGCAAGCTCGCCGGCGGCTTGAATAATACAGTACACGCACGTCCCAATAATTGCGTACCCAATGACAAGACCTGCAGGTCCACCGTTATGCAGAGCTTTACCGTTGCCGACCAGCATTCCCGTTCCAATACCGGTACCTAACGACATCATGATAACGTGCCTTGTCTTGATGGTCTGCCTTAGGTTCGATTCTTTGCCCTCGGGGCAATTCTTACCAGCTTCCGCATCCATATTGGAGCTCGGGGAGCTGGGCGCTCTTCTGAACGAGTCCACGATTTTCCCAAAGCGGGTGGTCTCCCCCGCAAAAGACTTGTATTCGCTGCTCTGGACCGAAACTTTTTCTGCCATGTCTGATGCTACCTTGGTCGCTGTCGGACTCACCATTGCGTTTACTTGTTTGAAGTCGCCGGCGTCGTGTGCTTTCGTTCCGGCGGAGTTCACAGATTCACCAGGCATTTTAAATCGCAGAAGTCCTTTTGTCCACTAACGAATATGTTTCAAAGGAAATTAAGAGACTACTGACTAACACACATATATAGTTGGCATCGGCGGTGGGGAAGCCTCCAAAAAAAAAAATGTTAAGCCCCGCGACCTTGTAAGCGTTAACTGCAACTCATTTGGTGACTGATCGATGTTTCGCTCACCATCCACCGACAGGTTCATTTTGCATATGTTATCGACAAAGCGCCGAACGGCAGTGTAACCGCTAAATGCACTATAAGACGCCGCTCGAGGTTTCTTTTTCGTACAAAACGTTTCTTTTCCCGATGCCTTTCGCCATTATGAACCCTGAAAAAATTTCAAGTTTTGATGACGTAATCTTTTAGCCGCCCATTATCGACTTGCACCGCACCCAAAAGTGAGATTTCGACCCCACCTTGATTTAGTTCTCCAAAGAAAAAGAAACAGAGGCGATTTCGACCCAAGCGCTCGAAATAGAATACGCACTAAGCTGGGGGCTTGCGCGGCTTTCACGGTATCGGCAGGTTGCCTTAGAGCTCAGCTCCAAAAGTTTCGGGCTCGTGACATGAATCGTTACATTAGGGTAGTGAGCTACAAATGATATCTACACCATGCGAAAGTTAACACCAGAAGTTCGACATACGAACAGTCCACGAAGAATGTTTGATCCTGAAGGCCTCTTCTTCTGTCTCTTTTTGCAGGATTTCGGCATCAAAAATGGTACGGTGGGACACAAGATCGACTTGGTCCGCTGGGATCAAAAGGCGGAAATCTCTCTTCCAGAGCTTGTAGAAAATGTACAATCCTATCAGGATCGGCATGGCCAAGTAGTTTTCGAAAAACGCGTTGGCATCCAGCTTGCCTTCGCCAACGGGAGAGATGGCGACCCAGAACTGACCGATGAGGATGAGCACGTTGAGGAAGACCGCATAGTAGGAGCCCCAGACGCCCGTCAACGCCTTGTAGCCCAGTTCGCCCAGGGAACGGCCTTGCGTCTGCATCGCTTTTCTAAACCTTATGTGAGAAAGCGCAATGGCGGACCATGTGAAAAGCTCGCTGAGACCAGAAATGGCAAGCAACCACGTGAACACGGTCTCTTCTTTAGGGGATGCCGCGACGAACGAGATGAGCCCGAAGATGCAAGCCACAACAAGCGCCATGAGAGGTCTGCCTCTTCTGTCGACGTATTTCAAAAACGGAGGCGCGTAGCTCTGCTCCGCTAGCGAAAGCAGGATTCGCGAAGACGAGTACAGAGCCGAGTTGGCGACCGAAAGGACTGACAGCAGAATCACGGCGTTGACGAAATGGGGGACGACCCGTACGCCGTGCGAGGAAATCGCGATGACGAAAGGCGAGGCGTGCGTCGCTGAACCACCGGACCCAAGCAGCTCGTCGGAGTTGTAAGGAACTAGAAACCCTAACAGGATCGCGGTCCCACAGTAGATACACACGATACGCCACAGCATTCTTTTGGATGCACTTTTGATAGAGCGTCTTGGATTGGACTGTTCTGCAGCGGTCAAAACCGAAAACTCGGCACCACCGTTTGCAAAAGCAGCGTTGACCAGCACCGCTACCACACCCTTGAACTGATCAATCGCCTTGTGGCCCCTAAAGGAGCCCGGATTCCGCCAGTACAGGGCTCCCAGGTATCCGTCGTTACCGGCACCTCCGCAGTTGATGATTATACCCAGTATGAAGAAACCGGTGATCATGAGCACTTTGCACGAATTGAAGAAGAACTCCGCTTCCGCGTACCCAGCAGACCCAATGAAATTGACAACCACGAGGAAGACGTAGAAAATGACCACGAACGCGTCTGGGTTGATCACATCGTTCCAGTACTTGATGGTCATCGAAGCCGTGACGAGCTCCAGCGGTAGCACACACAGCCATTGTAGACAGTACACCCACGAAACAGCGAATCCGAACCCCGGTTCGACCAGGAGGGACGGGTAGGCGTTGAAACCGCCCGCAAGCGAAGTGTAGATCATAGCCAGCTCCGAGGCGGACTGGATCACGCAGTACAACATACTGGAGACGATCACGTACCCAATGACCAGCCCTGCCGGTCCACCGTTGTGCAGGGACTTACCGTTCCCGACCAGCATACCGGTACCGATACCCGTAGCAAGCGATATCATGAGCACGTGTCTGGGACTGATGTTCTGTTTCAGCGTCTTGTGCTTACTGTTACTTTCGTAGTTGCCGGCCTCTTCGCCGAGCTGTTCGAGGTTGTCTCCGGTAGCAGGGTCCTCTGCGCGCTTAAACGAATTGACAAATCTCCGCGCTAGACCATCTTTGCTTTCCGCCGCGTAGCTGGTGTCGTTCGTGACTTCGTAGGACCCGAAGGACTCGGATTGCACGACACCGGACTTGACGTTATTCAGCTCGAAGTCTTGTTTGTTTTGCGCCATAACGACAATGCCAGCTGTGTTGTTGCGTTTGCTAGATACTACCCAGCCAGCTTTGCCAAGCCAAAGATCGAACGAAAATATACATAGTTATATAGCGGATGTCTGCGCTTATTTTTGCTGACTTTTGCTGACTATTTGGCCTGTTCGCGAGCGCGTCATGTTCTGTTCCGGACAAGCAAGGCCGACCGGACCGGCCCGCTAATGAGCTACTGATAGCCTGATAGTTCCAGGAATTGGCAAAGTACGCTTGCTTATCGCAGCGCGCCTGCCTGGTCCGGAGGTTGTGAGAGCCTGTAAGAAAGCTTGCAAGAAAGCCCCTCCGGCGTTTCCGCTCTCGCGGAAACGCCGTAGCGGCTACTGGGCCCTTTCCGCACTACTGCTTTCAGTAGGGAAAAATGCCCTAGCCGTTCCGTCGCCTGCGGCGCTTCTGACGCCGTCTCTTCCGGAAGGAGACCGGAAGCAAACCAGAAGGAAACCAGAAGGAAAAAGTGCCCTAGCATTGCTCGCGGTAGGCGCCGCATGTTGCAATTCCGCATTTGAGCTGCGGCTGTGCCCCGTGTGCGGCAAAATCTCCGGGCTCTTTCAGTGCCTTTTGTGCGGCATCGCATTAGGGGCGGCGTTTCTTTTGCTGAAAAAGCAAAAAAAGATGCATTAGCCGCCCTGGCTTTTCCCGCCAGGCACCGCTTCTTCTGATTCGCTGCAGCTGCGGAGCCGTGTATTCGTGCGAAGTGCGAGGGCAATGATGCTGATGTCTGGGCGGAGACGTTCAGTCACTGTCACATGACAAGGACGTCACCTCATGGCATCACAGACGGCGCGGCCGGGTAACACTCGCGTGCCTCTTGCAGCAGGGGAAACGGCAGGGCCCCGGGAGAAGCTAGAAAAACCCAATCAGAGGAGCAAGCGACCACCAGCGCGCAAGCGTCGCTACCCACCTCCGTCACTTGTCACCCGCCACACAGCATGTCCGAGCCACAGCAAGAAACCAAGCCCGATATCAAGCCCGAAACACATATCAACCTGAAAGTTTCCGACGGAACGTCGGAAATTTTCTTTAAGATCAAGAAAACGACGCCGCTCAGAAGGCTGATGGAGGCGTTCGCCAAGAGACAAGGAAAAGAGATGGACTCGTTGCGTTTCCTTTACGACGGCGTGCGGATCCAGGCGGACCAGACGCCCGAGGACTTGGAGATGGAGGACAACGATATTATCGAGGCGCACAGAGAGCAAATCGGTGGTCGCAGCGCGTCCGTACGGGTCTAAGGCCGTTTTCGCGAGTTCGCTGGAGACGCCCCTGCTCATTGTATATCCACCGGTGTCCAGTATTCACTCAATATGATATATGCCCGAGCCAGCTGAGAGTCACTATCTACGAACTGAGTAGCGAAGTGAGTATGAGCTGTCGCTTAGTACGTAGTTTCGAACTCCATCAATTACTACTCTCATAAGCGTCCCTCAACCATAGGAGGCGCTAGAGCACGTCACACCATAATTTTGAAATGTTTACCAAGCCCGTGCAATGCCGAAGAGTGGCACTGGGTAACGCCTTGTGTTCTTGGTGAGTTTCACCCACTCAAGGAAGACCTTTTGTAGCGAGCAAACGAGTTCCACTGGCAGAAGAGCCGCGCATAAGCTAGGCTGTCGTGCAAAAGGGTGGCCCAGTGTATAAGCCTGCCCATCGGAAGCGTCTGAACGATTTGGACTCTCACTGCGAGTTTTGGTATGAACTGATGCGTATTTATGGCATTACGGGTAGGGAGGCTCCTTAGAGGAGGTTACCCGCTGGTCACCCCTCACGGAAGGAGCGTACCATGTAAGTAGCTTCATACGGGACGTCCCGCTTTCGTTCTTCTTTGAAGTCACGTGTCACGAGCTGCGACCATGACCGCCCAATCTCATTCTCGCGACGCGAAAAACAAAACGACGCGACGCGCGACGCGCGACGCGTCTCTTCTTTTTCTTTCTCGTCGGCGGCGCGTCGCAACGTCTTTTTTGCCCGAAATAGGCCACGACTAGCCGTTACTTCGCAGTGCTGATTTTCGTTGCCTAAGTGGGATGCCCAGGCCACGAAATGGGAATGGGACTAGCCCGGCTGCGCTGGACCCAGCTGAATCGAGCTGGAGGTGGAACTCGAGGCGCGAGCTGGAGGCGTAAGCTGGGATAGGAAGAAAAAAAAATAAAGACGTGTTTGTACACGGAAAATCCAATTTCACGCTTCTACTCTTAACTCACGGTTTAAAGCTTGGAGTGGCAAAACGGATATCCATCGTTGACCTTACGAAACGTGTGTCGAACAAACAACTTGAAATGGCGTCGCATACCAGAGAAGGCTCGGTGATCAAATCGGCGATATCCACGCTTAAAGACGACAGAATTGGGCCCTGGACGCTTGGCGCGACGCTGGGCTCCGGGAGCACCGGTAGAGTAGTAATGGCGCAAAACGTCGAGTCTGGGCAGCAAGCCGCGGTTAAGGTGGTGTCCAAAGCGATTTTCAACGGACAGAACAACGCGACATCGACCATCGTCGGGTGTAGCGACCCGGACGTTCTGCCGTACGGCATCGAGCGTGAGATCATTATCATGAAGCTGCTGAACCACTCGAACGTGCTGCGGCTTTACGACGTGTGGGAGACCAACAAGACGCTTTACATGGTTCTCGAATACGTCGAGAAGGGCGAGCTTTTCAATTTGCTCGTGGAACGCGGCCCGTTGCCCGAAAACGAGGCGGTCCGGTTTTTCCGTCAAATCATCATTGGGATCTCGTATTGCCACGCGCTAGGCATTGTGCACCGCGATCTGAAGCCCGAAAACCTGCTGCTGGACCACAAATTCAACATCAAGATCGCCGACTTTGGAATGGCCGCCCTGGAAAGCAAGGACAAATTGCTCGAGACCTCGTGCGGGTCGCCGCATTACGCAGCGCCCGAGATCGTCTCGGGATTGCCGTACCATGGCTTTGAGAGCGATGTGTGGTCCTGCGGTGTAATTTTGTTTGCACTGCTGACGGGCCGGTTGCCCTTCGACGAAGAAGACGGCAACATACGGAACCTGCTGCTCAAGGTTCAGAGCGGTCACTTCGAAATGCCACAAGATGATGAGATCTCGGAAGAAGCGCAAGACCTGATTTCTAAGATTTTGGTCGTGGATCCCGCAAGCAGGATCAAGACCAGAGAAATTCTCAGACACCCGCTGCTCCAAAAATATCCAAGCATAAAGGACTCCAAAAGTATCAGAAACCTGCCGCGCGAGGACACTTACCTGAACCCTCTCGAGAACGTGAACGGGGTTATCAACGACGCCATTTTAGACAATTTAGTGGTGCTGTGGCACGGCAGGAATCGCGACGAGATTGTACAGAAACTACGGGAGCCGGGCGCCAATCTTGAGAAAACTTTTTACGCCCTACTTCATCGTTTCAAGCACGATAGCCATCAAGAACAGATCAAGCAGAAACGCGTGAGCGGCACCTTCGGCAGTTCACCTAGCAAAGCCGCCGTCCGCCGTTCTAACTCAAGGAGGTCCGTCAACAGTACAGTAACTCCAAAGAAAAAAAACAAGGCGCCGGTAATAAGTGCATCGTCTTCCCATAAGCGGCCTGTTTCTTTCAGCAAGCTGCCTACATTAAACACACCAACCTCGAAGAATAAGAGATCCTCGGTGAATATATCCTCGAAGAAAAGAGCCTCTGCTCTTGTAAACGTCAATGCTTCGCCAACTCCCATGAACAAGAGAATGTCACTCAAAGACGTCGATTTAGCTGCACATCCAATACCGGTTGATATGCTGAAGGACTATGGCGTTGCCAATTCTAAGGCAACCAAGCGGTCTTCTAAGATCACCAAAAGACTTTCCTTCTTACCTGCAGGCAAAAGGGGGTCCATGACTACGAAGCTAATTGCCACATACGCCAAGATATCAGAGGAAGACGATTGGGAATTTATTGAGAAGGAAACCCGGAGAACAAGCGCTGATTTTGCGACGCTATGTGATCAAATCTTCGAACATGAAAAGTTCGAGCAAATAAGGAAGGAAAAGGAAGAATTGGAAAGACGTGTTAATGAAGCGAGAGAAAAAGAAGAGCGCGAAAAGCGTGAGCGTGAAGAGAAACAAAGGCTAAAACAAGAAGGGGAAAGACTGGAGCAAGAACGACTCGCCAAGGAACACGAAGACCGGCAGAGGGACTTGCAAGAGCAACTTGACGAGGAAATCAGAAAACTAAAGGCTGATTATGAAAATTCGAATAACGTCAGCTCGCAAATTCGTTCGATTTCTGCTCCAGTGGACAATCACGTAAAATCAAAAAACAGAACATCAAACGCGGAACTAGAGAAAGAAGTGAATGATTTACTAAACAGGCGAACCTTCTCTCTGGATCCACGTCCTGTTTCCAGACTAGACCCCGGCATGGTTACCACTGGCAGAGATGATGTTGACAGTGGTGAGGAGAAGAGTCTAGCCATGGAAAAGAGCATTTTAGAGACTATTAGGCGCTCCAAATTTTTAGGCTCGTCTTTTGATATCAAAAAGGAGCTTGAAAGAAGTAGGAGAATGGCAGAGGAAAAGCCCAGAGTAGAGTCTGATAGGAATGACCAACGTTTTGCTTCGTCGGCGACTACTAGTTCTACCACGAATCATGCTTTCGAATCTCAAGCTCTTCCAAAAAATGCCGCTGCCAAACCTACGGTTGAAGATCACGTAACGGACCCACGAAAAATATCTGACGTTCGTGTTCCGCAATTTACCAGGCGGTCGAGACATTTTACCTCCTCCAACAAAAGACTTTCTGTTCTCTCTCTGTATTCCTCTAAAGCGTCGTACACAAACTTAGCTGACCACTTGAGAGGCGGTACAGAACTGAATCCTATGAATGTCAGTGCTCCGTCGAGTGCAAAAGTCAGCCAAGAGGCAGAGTTCATGTTTGAGAGTGTTGATGGAGAAGGCAGGGATACAGCAGAAACTTCAGCGGACAGCAGACTTTATGAAATTTCGGAGGCTTTGGACTCCAAGACACCTTCGAAATCTGCCATCAAGCTAAACTTTGCTGACAGATTTGCCGATGACAAATTTAAGAGTGGGAGTGATGATGACACGGACATGTTGCCAACGTTACCCCCATTGGATAAGAGTAAATCGGGCAAAATCAACGGTCTGGGCATATATCAGCCTTCGAAATCATCAGACGAGAATTTGTCTGATGGAGAGGCTCGTAAGGCTAATCCCCGCTCAACAATACAAGAAAAGGATTCTCAAGATGCCAAGGAAACGAAGGAAATCCCCTCTGAAAAGCCTTCAGTTCCATCCAAAAAGCCAGCAATTCAACGTCCAAAACAGGCTGATAAAGTTAAACAGCCAGGGTCAAATAGAATGCCTTTAACTGACATTACACCTACTGTTGAAAAGAGAAGGAACAAATCATTATTCGGGAAACTTTCTAAGGGTAATGATGGCAAAGTTCCAATGACCAAAAATAGCAAGCTCAACACAACGGTACCAGAAGACCAAATGTTCAACGCATTGACGAAACTGCTTCTTTCCTGGAAAGACTACGGTCTCAAGGATGTACGATCCGTGGCTTCTAAACGAATCATCACTGGCAAACTAAGCAGTGAAAACCTTTTTTCCTTAAGATCGACACTCTTTGAAATTAACGTCTCAGAACGCGGTACAGGCTCCTGTATTAATTTCACTAAACATTCCGGTTCCAGCAAGACACTAGGAAGACTAATCAAGGAAATCGAGAAAATCCTAGAGTCGAAAAACGTCCTTGTTTTCAGTAACTAAAATCGTATAACACTGTATTATAAACAAATCTCTAATTATTTTGAGCTAAAATCTCGACGCTTAACATAGTATTCGAAGTTACTGCACGCTTTAAGGTACAAGTTAAAAGTTTGAACTTGAAGCAGTTATCTCGGACTTTGACTTTTGACTTGAAAAACCTCGAGATCCGCCTAAGATCACCTGACATTTATGAACATCAAATGTCAAAAGGGAAGCCAAAACGTTAAAAGCATCATTATTTTGCACAGTTTACTTAGTCTGTGGATTTTACCCCATAAGTCATTCCGTACTGTTTCATGAGACTTTGCCTTGTGACGGGAGCTACACTGCTCGGCAAAGTCCTGGCTGAAGTCGTTTTCCTGGAGCTTAACATTACCAGCGTAATTACAGATCATGCAAAGAATAGAATAGCCATCAATGGAGGTGATAAGCAATTAGGGCCGACGATAAGAGTTCGCTCCGGTGATGTTGTGAATATGCTGGTCAATAACGACATCTGTCAGGAGGCCGAGCCTTCAGAATTTGTCCATGACTATTGCGAAACTTCCATTCATATCCACGGCCTGGTCCTTGATAATGATGACCGTCTAGGAAATTTGAATGATGGCGTGCCTAATGTCACACAGTATGGCATTCCCTCTGGAATGTCCTATTGGTACAATTTCACAGTTCCTTCAGACGTTTGTGGAACGTTCTGGTACCATTCTCATTCGTCTGTGCAATACGGCGACGGGTTAAAGGGTCTCTTTCTCATCGACTGCGATAAAAGAGAAGCTCAAATCGATCGAATAATAGCGAAACTCGAGAATTCTGACAGTAGTTCTGGCGAAATTCTTGAGAACTTGCCAGAAATGGGTTCTGGTGCTCTTTTCGAAGAAAAAGACCTTGCACTAAGTGATTGGTATAGCAAATCGAGTGTTGATATTTTGAGAGAGCTTATGAGCGAGGCGGGTGGCTCGGATCCGCATGTGGATGGATCCACCTTGAATGGGGACACCGGTTCAGTGAAATTTTACGTCGAAGAAAACACAGCGTTTTTAGTGCTGAGAGTAGTCAATGTGGGCGTTAGTGGGACGAACGTTTTGCACATAGATGATCATGATTTCTGGGCGATAGAAACAGATGGAGTCATGACGAAGCCACGTTTAACAAGGACTTTACCTGTCGCCGTTGGACAGAGGTATACAGTTGTCGTGAATATAAGAGATAAGAACCCACTTCGACTTGTTCACGGCTGTGGAAAAATGATGGGCTACGTGACGAAGACGCATTGGATTTTGAGGAAGGGGCAAAATCCTGGCGCAGACTTTACAGATCGCATTTCTCATTTGCCAGAATACAGCGTAGCAGAGCCATATGACAAATTTGAACCTCTGGAGGGCGTTTTGCTTCCAGAGCCAGCGCAGCAGCTATCATTGGACTACGTGTTCGGATCAACACCGCATGAGGTTTTCGGCACACGAATGTACGACGTGAACGGGGACGCCATGTCCGAGTTTATGCCGGAGGGGGTGCTGATAAAGGGAGACCGTGGAATCAGGTCGCCCATAGAACTTGCAACAGACCAGGTTGTCGAAATCGCCATCAACTCGATCGATCATATGCGCCACCCGTGGCACATGCACGGACACACTTTTCAAGTAATCTCAGTGGGCGAGTCTCGAGACGGGCCGCTGTATTTCAATGACAACGACAGCACTGCTATGAAGCGCTATAAACAGGATCTCGTGCGACTGAGGGACAAAACACCTATGACGCGCGACACGATAAACATTCCGGGACATTCCTATGCGGTGATTCGTTTCCGGGCTAGTAATCCCGGCTACTGGCTTCTGCATTGCCACGTCGAGTGGCACATGGCCAAGGGCCTGGGCGTGGTTTTTTCGGAGGGCGATAGCCCGCAGGTCGACACAATTCAAGAGCCGTTTATCCGGGGACGAAGCTACCGTGCGCCAGAGCCTGAACAGGACACACCTGAAACTCCTGAAACCATTGAAACCCCCCAAGCCCTTGGCACTGCACAAAATGTCTCGCCTTCGACACCCAAGTGGAAAGTGCTCACCATATATCTCAGCATCATGGCCGTAATCAACGCGGTCATCTGGTTCGTTTGGGTTAAATAGCGGGATCCAGGCCCCGCAATATACACACCTTACACAATATCAATGCACCAATATTTCCAGAATGATTGGCGAGCATTGGCTGGATTGAAATGAACTCAACCATGCCTTTACTTCGCTTCCTCACTGTATGAACAATGTAGACCAAGCCGCTAGCACAGCATACGAAAACTAACGGAAATATCACGTGCCAAACCCTTAAATCACATTTAACGGATCAAGCTGACGTCTAGAATGATCATGTAGTCACAAAACACGAAAATGAGTAACGTGACTGTCACGTGTTGAAAAATTCTGACACCCACACACATAACCGTACACAATGCTCTTCTCTATTAAAAAGAAAAGGCCATGAGCGCCTCTCTATAAATCACCATTCCGTACAAAGCAACTACGAGCCAAGCAAAGTAACGCCTTTGGCTCAAAAATCTTGCGGGGCGAATAACAAGGGGCAACTATCACCTACCCTACCTAAAATTTTTGTGGGCGAAAATTGGGGGAAGCAAAAATTATTAAAGTGAGTATAAATAAGAAGGGCTCATAGACGGCACTAAGAGTGGCGGTTACCGAATAGACAAACACGCCAATAAGGAAAGAAGCGCCTGGACCATTATAAAAAGAGAACATTGAATTAGAGAAAGTGGCCTTGAAATAGCGGTTTTAATTGAGCTAGAGATTCAGATGACAGATGATAAAGGACTCGAAGTGGGAGAACTGCCTTCCATAAGCAGTTCAACAAGTATATCAGACAATGTGGCGCTGCGCAACTATTACGACAAACTGTTATTTAAGAATAGCAGTGGAAAGTCGCTCACGGATTTGCCTCGCAAGGGACGCGAGGAGGCGATGCGGGAACGCAGGGTTGACTTTGTCAGCGGACTGAGCGGCGCAACTGGCGTTTCCGGGGTTGGTAGTGTTGGAATGACGCCTTCGGCATCAGAGCCGCTTCAGGCACCAATGTTTCAGTTGGGTGAAAATGGAGCGGCCATGACAGGCCTTGGAACAAGTCTCGGAGCGTTGCATTCTGGTGGTATCGGCGCCGCGGGCCCCGATCGTGGGTTTGCCACACAGCAAAACATGCAGTTTACGTTTATGCCAGCCGCTGGCGCGCGACAGAACAGCATCGCGTCGACCGGGTCTTCCGGGTCGACCACTATCGCGTCGCCCACCAATTATTATGCTGCGCTTTCACCGGTGAACAGTGTTGGAGCATTGGGCTACCCTGCTACTGCAGCTGCCGACCAGCAGTACGCCGCCGCTCGGCGGTCGTCCTACATTTCAGATACACTTATTCACGGCCAAATGGCCTCACACCCGGGGAGTCACATCACACCACAAGGCGCAGACTTCAACTCCGGACCTTTCATTCAACCAGGTATGGAGTATTCGTTTCACTCGACTGGACCTCCCACCATGCAAGGAGGACCAGGACATTCATATGCGTCGAAAAACAGGTATTTGAATTTCCCGCAGAGACACCAATCGGTTCCAAAAGTGAACCTGAAAATGCCGACAGCGGGACCCTACGGTACCCCTTCTTTGAACCATGCGACCGCATCTCTAGACAACAGTTTGATACTCGTGAATGGACAGCAGATCGTAGCGTCTCCCGAGCTGAAGGCACTCTACAAAGAGTGTGGGTCCAAGTATTTTTCAAGCTCACAAGCGTGCGATTTCGTGGACTCTTCGAAAGTAATGCTCGCAGGTGACACTTCTAACGGTGTCGCGAGCCATATTGCGCGTTTCCTTGCATTTTTGAAAAGCTGCAACTTGAACTATAACCCTCAATCAGAAGCCTTTGTTTCAGGAAATGAAGCTCGCAAGTCGGGGTCTGCAAGCACATATTTACATTACAAGCCTTTGGTTTTAGTTGCCTTAAAAAACGGTAAACTGGAACTTCTCTCCATTCCACAATCGACCAATTTACTTATGACTCGGAATGATATGGTTGTTATTGACGGCGATAGAGGCAAAGACTTGGCGTTGGTGGTGGAACCGCAAGTGGATTTGGATTTGGCGCTGTTCATCAATTTCTTAAAAAAGAAAATCCATTTCGATTCTTTGATCACCAACAGAAATCAGCATTATCCTAACAATCAATTTGTAAAGGCACTCATGGACTCGACACGTGGGCAAGGGGATGAGTTGAACTCTAAACTTTACGACGTGATAGAGCTCACGCAATTGATAATACCGTCGAAACAAGTCCTGCGCTTTGCAACTTCATGGGAGGCAACCACAAACTTGCACAACAAATTTCAAGATGAACTGAAGGCCCTTCATATTGCGCAGCTCAAGCTCAAGTCGTTGAATAGTGGTCTTTCACATCACCAACACCAGGCGCCGCGCGCACAATTGAATATCAAGATTTTGAATGCCGAATTTCAATTCGATCGTAAAAAACTGACGTTTTATTACGTGTGCCAGGAACGAAATGATTTCAGGGAACTTATAAAGGAGCTTTTCAAATTTTACAAAACCCGCATCTGGCTCTGCGCCATACCCAACAACCTAGAAATTGATACCAAATATTATGACAATCAACTAAAGGAATTGAAGATGTATCAGGAAATGATGCAGCACTGCCCGGGGGAAGAACTCTTGGACAACGGTGGTGGATCAGGATTTATCGTTGCTCCTGCTTTAAGCTCCATAGAGCTGGACAATTTTCAGATTGGAGTTTACAAAGAGTTGGTAAATCAGCTTTTCTCGTGAAAGAGAGGGCGGACGTTAAATCAGACATTGGATGGGAACCCAATTTCACGCGGGAAGACATAGACCCTAAGCAACAAGGATTAAAACAAGTATAAAAACAAATTATGAAAAATCGAATTAGATTTACATCACGAGATACAAAGTATGCCTTTGGGGTAGTTAGTGCAAAGATGCGTGACACATGGTACATGGCTAAGCTGTGATTTTACGACTACGATCGTTATTATCATTTTTTTTTTTCATTTTGGGTAACTTTTTTCGATATTCGTCAGCGTTTAAGTTATTATACATAGAAATAGAGCTTTTATATAAGATAAAGTTGTTTTTGTTTATGGACATGAGATCTGAGACATGGGAACGCGGTTTCATAAATTCATTACAACCTACACATCTTGTAAGCAAGTTAAATTGATACGTAGTTTTCTAATCGGCCTGCGCATAGAAAAAGTTTGCCGCAATTAGCTGCAAGTGGTTTTCAGTAGCCATTTTGTGGATGCCAGTGGCTGCAGTCCCATATCCCCAGTTAGGTCTGTCCGCAATCTTGGTGAATTTCGACGAGTCGTTAGGCTGCTTGAAAAGCATCAAAACGTAACGGTGCTTTCCAGTATTCTTTGGAGGAGCAGGACCCTGGTACTCAACAATACTCCTACCGCCCCTTAGCTCACATGAAACGAAATCGGGCACCGCAGACGTGGAGTTGTGAGCGTATTCGAATGGTAGCCTGATATCAGCTTCCACAAAGTGACAGTATTCTGACCACTTGTGGTCTTCTCTGGATGGAGCGTCTGGATCAGTGAGCACCAACGTAAACAAGTCCTGGTCTCTGATTTTGAACTCCGATTGCGGATCCAATGTGAAGTGCACTTTTGGCTTGGATTGTGTATCTTTCACAAGAAGGGTGTTTCCCATAGCAATGGGCGAACTAGGGGAATATTCTGCGGCTAGCAGACCCCATGGCTTGAAAGATTGGTCTTTAATCACATCTGGAATGACCATGTGTTTTTTTAGCGACTCTGTCGCGGTTTCTGCGACGTTTATGGCGGCGTTCATGTCGAATGTGAAGTTTGTTTAATTTGTAGCGGCGATGACAGATTCCTCGCTATGGAAGAGCCAGCTAGATCAATGAATAATTTATACGTAGCCTAGATTTTTAGCGTTACTAAAGAATCTAGTTGTCCAATTAAACTTGATCGAAAGAATCTCTAAGTTGGGTACTTACAATGGTTGCTCCCTCTTCCTTATATACGACAAATCTTGCGCTGCCTGAATTGCGATTTCCATGCCCTTCATTATTACGTTGATCAGTTCTTACGTTATACGCCAAGACGACTTCAGCAAAATAGAAGCCCGAACGGGGTTCTGAAGGAGAGTCGTGTTTCATGTAGTTGACCCTTCCAATGTCAACTCAACCACTGCTAAATATACACACACGATGGACCGTGACTGCTCATGCATCTGCGTACTCAGCCTGAATGGTCTTTAGACGTTTTACAGGACCAAATCAAGCGCGGCTTCAAAGAATAACAAAAAAGGTAAATGCCTGTAAAATCGAAGCCCGAGGACTGTTTATATAAAGCTTGAAGGCGACCTGCAGCCCTCAGTGCGCTGATGCCTAGTTCTAGCAGGAACTCTTTAACTGCTATGCCTTGCAGTAGTTCGTTTGGCTCAGCTGAAGTTATTATCACAATTAACGGCCGTGCGACAACAGATTTCGACAGGCCTTCCTTAGCCAAAGACTGTTCGATAGGCAGTTGGAACGCCTCTGATATCTTGACAGAATTGCTCAGCCGCTAACTTCCTAGCACAAGTCGAAACTTGATTCCATTCGTCTGTTCGCTCGCATTCGTAACTGAGGTTGTCTGAGAGGTCAGCTGACCTTTTATCGTCTTGGTGAAACTAAATTAAGTTTAGGAGAGAGAGACCGAGGTACGACGTGAACCGAACATTGCAGGTCTTTCCCGCGTGAGGTCGATGTTCGGTAAGAGCCAGATTACAGGTACGATGCTGAATTAAATAGATACGCCGATTGGGACTCGCAGTAACATTAATTCAGGAGGTCACGTGCTGGATGGGAAATGAGAAGACTGAATCGGGTCCTCGAGGTAAAACTTGCCAAATCACCTAGATACTTATTGAAGACGGTGATGACATGGTGCGAGATATAAAGGTCAAAGTCCGCGAGGTGTACGAATATCTGGCTCCCTACCTGGTGTTCCACTTCCTGGCAGCATCTCTTTTGGCTTTATTCGTATATACGGAAATATGGGTGGATCCACGAACTGCCAACTTGGACCATGGTTTCGACCGGAACAACAGTGCCATACTGAAAAGCTATATCTACCCAGAGACTGTTTCAGCACTTGAAGTTGTACTTCTCGCGGCTATGGTGCCGGGTGTAGTGGTCGCATGGTGGTGCCTGATCGCAGAGGACAGTTGCAGACTCAGATCGTTTGCGAGCGCTAGTTCCCACAGACTATTAGAACCGCGGCCCAAGTGGATATCGCCCAAACTGCACATGGTTCAGGTCACGTACACTGCGTTGTTTCTTACACTAGCCATCGCAGGCGCCGCTACCAATATACTCAAACTACTGATCGGGAACGCACGCCCAGACTTTTTCGCCCGCTGTTTCAACAACAACGGCGCCCCGCAGATTCCCGCCGACCTGGCCTCGTCTAGCCGCATAACCCTAGGCCAATGCACTCAGAGCAGTCACCGTTTGCTGATGGAGGGACTGAAAAGCACCCCAAGCGGCCACGCCAGTTTCGTCACCGCAGGTCTGGGCTTTCTGTTCCAATGGCAATGCGAATGGATTACCGTGTCACGTGCTCGCCACCTATGGTGTCCTATCGTGTGTCTTATCGTGATGATATCTAGAGTGACAGATCATCGGCACCACTGGTATGACGTTATGGCGGGGTGTCTACTAGGCTTAATGTGTTCCTGGTTACCGTGGGTGAAGCTACTTTCAGTAAAAAGACTAGACACGAACGCTACTGAATCCGAATTGCCTCTTTAACAGAGCTGCATAAAAGCAAGTTTACGACTCGCTATCTGTATGATTGTAAAATTAGTATTCGACACAAGTTTTGATTTTTAGCGTTTCCAGCTTTTCCTTGTTACCATCGTTTAAGTGCCGTTTCCTGGCTTACGATGGCTCGAAATGCCAATCGCCACAACGGCTCACAGCGGGCTTAGTTTTTCAAAACAATCACCGACATGTTGCAAGTTTTGATTTTCACATGAGGCGCCTGAGAGGTGTGGCTTCTTCATGTGAAAAAAAAAGATACCAAGTATTTAAGCGATGAGCTTAACGACCAAAATTTAAAAGATATGGTTAACGAGAGAGGTTTGATTCTTGACGATTGATTGGATTCTCAGTTTCAAAGCATCTTTGCTCAGAGTACGCAATCTAACAACAAAAAAAAACTCCAAGACATTCGAAAATGGCAGTTGAAAAGACGTTTTTGTTCACCAGTGAGTCCGTCGGCGAAGGCCACCCTGACAAGATCTGTGACCAAGTTTCCGATGCTGTTCTTGACGCGTGCTTGCGTGAGGATCCTTTGTCGAAGGTTGCGTGCGAAACTGCTGCCAAGACCGGTATGATCATGGTTTTCGGTGAAATTACCACCAGAGCACAGCTCGACTACCAAAAAATTGTCAGAGACACTATCAAGAAAATCGGTTACGATTCGTCCGAAAAAGGTTTCGACTACAAGACCTGTAACGTACTTGTTGCCATCGAGCAACAGTCTCCAGACATTGCGCAAGGTTTGCATTACGAACAAGCGCTAGAAGATCTCGGTGCCGGTGACCAAGGTATCATGTTCGGTTACGCTACCGACGAGACCCCAGAATTGCTGCCATTGACCATTTTGCTTGCCCATAAGCTAAACATCGCCATGGCGGACGCTAGAAGAGACGATTCTTTGGCTTGGTTGAGACCAGACACCAAAACCCAGGTCACCGTTGAATACAAGGAAGTCGACGGCCAATGGGTTCCATTGAGAGTCGACACCATTGTTGTCTCTGCCCAGCACGCTGACGAGATCTCCACGGAGGACTTGAGATCCGAAATCAAGTCAAAGATCATCCAAAAGGTCATCCCTGCTGACTTGTTGGACGACAAGACTAAGTACTACATTCAACCTTCCGGTAGATTCGTTATCGGTGGTCCACAAGGTGACGCCGGTTTGACTGGTAGAAAGATTATCGTCGATGCTTATGGTGGTGCGTCTGCCGTCGGTGGTGGCGCTTTCTCCGGTAAGGACTATTCCAAGGTCGATCGTTCTGCTGCCTACGCCGCTAGATGGGTTGCCAAGTCCTTGGTCAAAGCAGGTCTAGCCAAAAGAGTCCAAGTTCAGTTCTCTTACGCTATTGGTATTGCTGAACCTCTATCTCTTCACGTCGACACTTACGGTACTTCTTCCAAGTCCGACGAAGAAATTGTCGAGATCATTAAAAACAACTTTGACTTGAGACCTGGTGTCTTAGTCAAGGAATTGGATTTGGCTAGACCAATCTACTTGCCAACGGCTTCTTACGGTCACTTTACCAACCAAGAATACCCGTGGGAGCAGCCAAAGAAATTGAAGTTCTAAGCTTATCAGCGGGAACGCCATTTTCTTCCACATGAAACTTGCTCAACTCAAGTTTTCTCTTGTAAATTAACCTAGCAAAGGCATGCTTTTGGAGGGATATGTTGATCAATTTGCATCTTGAATATTCTTCATAAACGGCATTATTAAAGATAAATACTCCACACCGAAAATTCCCTCAACGGACGGGTTCCACTAGTAATTGATATTTTCTAAAACTTCTAAAGCATCTTGGAGTTGTTTTTTTGCAGTTTTGAAATCCTCGTAGTTAAGTGCACTTATGGCATACCTTGCCATTTTCTGGATTTGAGAAACGTCTTGCTCCCGCTGAAGCATGCCGTCCAGATCCTCCTTAGTATACTTTGGCTTCGCGATTGGAGCGGGGTGCTCCGTCATGGCAGAGGCATTAAAGCGTGCGTCCTTCTCCTCCACAATTGGCGCAGTTGCCGCTTCAAGAGAACTTTCGTCATCGTCAAGGAAAACGGGCATGTGTGCCTCCGTCTTGGCGATCTCCGATTCATTTTGCTCAGCAGTATTGTCGGACGCTTCCATTTTCCTCAACTGCTGCAACAAAGCCTCTGCTTCTTCGTCTTCTTGCTTCTCGTTTTCTATGTCGCTATCGCCCGTGGGTATATCTTTAAAGGAATTTGCCAAGGCCTGAAAATGATCTAAAGATCGTGTAAGGTGTTCTTCTTTTTCTTCCCGTGCTTCTTCTTGCTTTCCTTGTGCAGCGGCCTTTTGGACTTCAGTGTCAGGTTCTACTTCGTCTCGTTGCTTCAGTTTCGCCAACAGGTCATCGATGTCTTCGTCGGAAGTCTCAGCTACATCTGCAGATGGTGATTTGCTCGTTAATTCCCCCTTAGCGAGCTTGCTCAGATAGAATTTGCAGATTTTGATCTTTTTGTAACACTGGTCGGGCTCCCCTTCGCTTAGCTGGCTATCTTTCCACAAGCCCAAAATTGTGCCCAAAAGATCGATGCAGCAACGCAGAGCTCTTCTGAGGTCATTGTCAAACTTTTCGGCTTGAATCTTCGCCAGCTGTTCATTGTAGAGCGACAGAGTGAAATTCATCACATAAGTTTTCGCCTTCGTTTGGTCCTCTAAAAGCTGTCTGGTAGCTTCATCTTGTGGACTATTCTTGAAATTTTCGATTTCGTCCAGAAGTAACGTCGCACTTTCTGTCATTTCATCATTCCTACTGGGACTGCTGAGTATTTCCTCAACTGCGAACAGTTTGATATAGTAACCCACGATAGGGAGCGCGTTCTCGAAATCGCGACAAGTCCGCAAAAGCTGACGTATATTTGTTGGTAGCACCATGAATTTTGAATCTAGGGGTAGCCAATTGACACCTGTTCTTTTGCTTTTCTGGACCGAATTCCCTTCAGCAATGTTTCTGATATTAGCTTAACTTATCAGATCCCTCTATCGCACCTTAAACAAGCAGCTTGGCATGCTGTCGCACGAAGGTCCCTGAGTACTATCTCAACGAATCTTAAGAGTTGGCGTTCTCATCTCGTTGGCAAAGCGCTAACAGTTGGCGACACCTTATTTCCCAGCTTCAATAGAGAGCTCTCTTCATTCAAGAAGTGACTTCATCGGGAACGTAATCGGAATTCGAGCTTAACATTATTCGTTGCAACTTTTCTAAAAAAAGATGCCAATCAACTCAAGAGTGTGACACACTTTCCGGGGCGTGATATCAAGAACAACCTCTGCAATATTTATGTCAGAGTGTAGTAGAGCGAGAACTCCTTCGCCAAGATCAAGTCGGAAATCAAAAAAGTTGAGCAACTTAACAACTCTCAGCTATACCGACAAGCGCTTTGGGGGGAGGGGCTCGAAATCATACTATCAGACGTAAAAATAAGCCTACAAATCACTCGTTATTTTCTCTAAGAGTAAATCCTTATTGGCGGGTTTCGCAGTTGGTTATCAGTAGTAGACATCGCTTATCCATTCTGGGTATATTGAATATCATCATGTACGTATGGCGTAGTTTCCGTTAGTATGCCAGTTCAAAACTCGAGCAACTGGTAACCATATCCAGCTTAAAAGCGCTAGGTTTACGCGTGTGACGTCCCCTCAAGAGACATTTGACGGAATTCGGTGGCAGAATTAGCGTCTCTAGCGATGGCCACTATGAGATCTGACCAAATTGCGGTTCCCAATGATGAAGAAGAGGCGCTAAAATTCGTTTTTAACTCGACAAAAGATTTCCTGCTTGCGGATCCATTTGTACAGCTTTTGAGGTCTCGACACGATGGAAGAGACCTTCAAAATCTGTCGGATAAATTATTGCTTCAGGAGCATGATGCAGTTCTGGAAGAAGACGAGGAGGGAAGCGGATGGATCACGGTGGAAGACGCGCAGAAGTTGGCGAAGGTTTTAAATATTCAGGACATTTTTGAAGCAGTAACGCAGGGCTCTGAAATTGATACTGATGAAGACGAGCCCTTACCGAAGAGACCAAACACTGACGTTGGGATCCACTTGGGTTCGCCGCTGAAAAAATTGAAACCTTACGCCGCGACATCCATCACGACTTTCACGCATGATTTGGATATTCCAACCCCTGTGAGCATCCAGCCTGCAAGAAAGCCTATTTCAAAATTTTCGAACGAGGAACGCGTGAAATTAGAAACCCTTTTACAACAAATCCTATTCCCAGAAGCTCAGGCTCCAAGATTTGAGTCGGTTCTCGCCGAACTCCAAAACTCCTATCCAAATACGAAACTGAACTTTAACATTTCAATTGATGAGTATGGGAATACGCCACTCCACTGGCTGTGTTCAATCGCCAATATTGGTCTGATTAAAGACCTCATTCGCAATGGCAGCGACCGTCTTTTAAGTGACAAATCCGGCGAGACTTGTTTAGTGAAAGCCGTGAAATCTGTCAACAATTACGATTCTGGTACATTTGAGGAGTTGCTTGACTATCTCTATCCGTGCTTAATCCTCGTAGATGACATGAATCGGACCGTCCTTCACCACATTGTTATAACGTCGGGAATGCCCGGATGCGCCGCTGCTGCCAAATATTACCTTGATATACTTATGGGATGGATTGTCAAGAAGCAAGGCAGAGAGATATTTGGTGAAGTGGATCCAGTGATTGCTGTTCTTGATCTCAAATGGTTCATAACCAATATTGTTAACGCACGAGATGTTAACGGAGATACATGTCTAAATATAGCTTCGCGCCTGGGAAATGTATCGATAGTCGAAGCTCTTTTAGACTACGGCGCGGACCCACAAATTTCAAATAATTCCGGTCTCCGTCCCGTTGATTTTGGAGCTGGTGCTTCTCAAAATGACACGCTCGCTGTCAAGCCAAAAACTGAAAACGGACATATGCCCGCTGGTCCAGATCCATCCGCACTCATCAACAGCATTCAGTCTCTTTTAAAGACAATATCGCAAGATTACGATACAGAAATGAGCCAACATAAAGAGCAACTGAGAAGACTCCACTCAGAGCTGGATACTCAGAGAGAGCTTCTTGCAACTTCAAGGGATAAACTCGCAAGAGCGAGACAGTTGAGAGATGATCACTGTCAACTCACCGAACAGCTCGCTAACATTCAGCTTGCCATTAGGGAGGAGGATGCTAATTTCAAGAAGGTAAGCGCAGAATTAGGAATCGATGACGAGTCATTTGACATGGCTGAATTTGATGCCGATGAGCCTTTCAGAGTAGACTTCATTTACGAATTCCTAGAAAAAAAGCTTCAAGAAGACTTTGATGGGAATTTCCAAAAGCTTATGAGCGAGGTCTCTGTTAGCGATCTCGCTGCCAAGCTTATGGAAGAAAACTCTGGGAGAGAGGAATTTTCTATACCGCCCGCTGTCCTGCTGAAAGCCCGCATTCGTGCCTATGAAAGAAATGAAGAAAAACTAGATGAAAGCCTGGGGGCGGTTTATAGGAAGCAATCAGACCTAGAGAGTCGCTTTAGAAGAGTTCTTTCCTTATGCCTAAAAGTCGATGAGGATAAAGTAGATGGGATGCTGGACGGTCTGCTTCAGGCTATCTCAACCGAGGACCCAGAGGATATAGATACGGAGGAAATGCAGGATTTCCTAAAAAAGCATGCGGTTTAAGTGTTTCGATTCCAGGATATAGCTGGTCAATGGCGATGGCAAGCTTTTCAAACGCAGAGCTATGCGATATTTGAGCCACTGATTCGCACTCTGACCCTCTTCTTCGGCTTTCAAAAGCCACCTTTCTTTCACAAGCCGTTGCGTGATATTTCTCACCAGTTTGGTGTTTGCTTACGAATAAGCCAATCAAAATAGCAGATTTAAGCCAAGCAGGCAATAGGCATAAGACCAAATTAGGCTGGGTAGCCATCTTCGAGCATATCTTTTGAGTAATATGTGCAAAAAAGCCCCTGTTGGCATTCTCTGGTGACAGTTTGCTGAACGTTCGCCTGCTCCAGAGCTTAACAAAGTTAAGTAGTCTGGTTCGGCGCGTTATATTCAGAAAGTCTTTTCGATGTCCCAATATCCTAAGCTAAATTTGGACTGGGTTGGTAGCGAGTGATTTAATAAGTCTTGTTGGATGAGGGCAGCACAATCGCATTCTGATAAAATTAAACCCGCAACAACGCCATGCGTCTCGCTAAAGTAACAATTTTAGTGGTTTGCATCTCCCGTATTAACCATGGATTGATCAATTTGGCTCCAGCTGGATGAATCGGAACGACCAAAGATGCCGAATACGAGTTAAAAGCTAAGTGTTTACCCTACGGTAATGTAGATATATTTCGATGTAATATATGGTTTCTGATGCCTACAAAGACTTAGTATTCGCCCCGCCGTTGGTACACAAATTGTCTAAAAGCATATGGTGGTAAGGCATCTTGGGAAATTATTTGGCTGGCTTTTTCCAGAAGTATTGTTTGTGAGTCTTCCTGCAATTTCGCAACCCAGATCTCCCACCTTTCAATGAGGTAACAAGCATCCTGCGGTCGGTGTCGGGATCATTCTCAAGATCATAATAGTATTCTTCGTCAAGTGGCTTTCCTGCGGCATCCTTCCCCTGGCGGCGAATGACACCGATGCATTTCTCAGTCACTAAAAGAGCGCGCAACTCTGACGTGTCCAGTGCTGAAATCTTGGAGTTGACGTCTTTCAAAAGAGAAAGTGGTACCTGCTGAACGTTGGAGAATGCCAAGTAATTGATGAGTACATTTTGTAACTCGACAATTGGTACATTTTTGCTAATGAGACATGAGACTATCTCTTCAGGAGTTGCGTCCTTGCCAGCAATTTGATTCTTTCGCTTATGATTTTTCTTTGGCGATGGTGATTCGAATTTTCGCCTTCTAATCGAAATTGGATCTGCCACCATTTCTTCGGAATTCACTCCGGGTTCTTTAGCTTGCAAGCAAGTGCCTTGTTCTATCGTGGTGTGTGCGGCTTTGGTGCGCGTGCCCTTATACAACGAAGGCGTCAATGACGTGACCATTATAGGTAACATTTCAGGGGTTGTTAAGGTGGCTGGTTCCAATCTTATTTCCTCTTGGTGTTCCATTAAGGTGTTCGTACGTGGTGGAGTAGAAAGAAGATCAATTTGCGACTGACCACCTTTTTGTGAAGTTGTAACGCTATGGTAAAAACTTCCATTCGGAAGACGCAAAGCCTCTAGCTCGTCTTCCGTTTCCGTCGCATTCTCAGCTTCTTCATCAGAAGTCAGCGAAAGGAAAGCCTGCATGTTTTGCCTAAAATCGATGACCGTGTCTTTAAAGAAGGGCATCAAGACTGTCTCACCCTTGAACATCACGAACGAAGTGTTCTCTTCATCCTGAACTATTTCTCTGTCACTTAATCTAGGTTGGTCTGTGTTCTGAGAAAATTCGTAGACTAAAGAATCGCTAGCACACCGGAGAAGCGGAAGATCCAATCTGTGAGGTATGTCAACAATGAGTCCGTTGGAACCAGTGCACTCTAATTTCACTTGCTCGGTTTCTGAGAGATAACTCACGTAGGCATGGTGCCTAGAAATGCTTTTGTGTCGAGGTAGAAGTATATCGCACAGAGTGGTGCTTCGGCCCACAGATATGCGCGAACCGCTAAGGGCATCCAAGAAAATGGAAATTTTGAATCCACGCGTCGTCTTTCTATGACGGCCTTCTTTAGCAGCCGCCCTTGATTCTGGGGGCGAGGAGTTACGGATCCTGACCGGCGACGAGGACCTGTCAAGCGTTGACGACGGATTCGGAGTGGGATACTCTGTGGAGCGCCGGTTGACAAATCTTCGAGGAGGCTTGATTTCTCGTTTCTGGAAAAAGTCGATAGTCGCTGCCAATGGCTTCACAGAGGGCTGAAAGAAGGGGTCTTCGTGGTCACCTTGGCCTTTCTCATGTTCTAGCACGCGAGCCGGAGATGAAGGTGGAAACTGGACAGACATAATCGACGGTTGAAATTTCAATTTTGCCTCTAACTTAGATATTCGTAGGATTTAAATAATGCTGGTCTACAGCTGCAATTGGCCTAGGAGAGCCAAAAACGAAATTTTATTGATAATTCTTGACAATTTTAGCTGCCAATGCTTCCTGGGCAATATGTAGAACCACCGGACGCGTCTGTTGTTCTTTTTTTTTCTCTACGCGTTTTGCGTTTTCGCGTCGCATTTTCAGCACTTGTCACGATAAGTTCGTTGGGGCATGTTAGAGATATTTCTCACTGACTAGCATCCGTACATTTTTCACATAAAAAGTCTCTCGAAACCCAGACATTACCATATTTTAATTTTCTAACTTTACAAAAGCTCAGCTCCGTGGGAAATGCCTTCTTTGTCTCTGGGTGCGCCAATGCAGAGCGTCCGAGCGACTCGAACGATGCAAACTTTCAGATGTCATCCGTGCACCACACGGTGCAGCTTCGATGGCCCATGGGAGCTGAGGTGTTTCATAGTATCTAAAACTTTTCAAACTATCCTGCTTGAAGAACACACACCTACAGGTCACAGAAATCAGAAGCTAATATGGGTAGTATGTACACAATAAGGCTGACAGTTTGAAGCACTGCACGAAGTTATGACCAATATGACCAACAGGATTAGACGGTAGTGGATATCTGGATGTTTTAATAAACATTTTTCAATCAGTTGTAATTCGAGTTGAGGGGGCTGGTTAAACAAAGTTAAGTTAAATTGAAATGAATTAAAGTAGATGGGCATTGGGACCTTCTGGGAAGAATAGCAGGGGTACTGAGCCGTTGAAAATGTGGTTTTGAAAGCGCAAAGGTCGAAGTTTTGATAATTGACAAGAGAATGCTTGCTGGATCTTTATTTTGCTCGCTTCTGAGCTTTCTTTCTGGAAGTCCAAGATACTTTGAAGGAACTGCTACTGGTGTCTCTCCTGGTTTTAAGGTTTAAGCTTCTATGAAATTACTCAATTTGGTTACTAACGCATTTAACAGAGGGTACTCCTTCTTTCGGTAAGCGTCACAACAAGTCTCACACTCTATGCAACAGATGTGGTCGTCGTTCTTTCCACGTTCAAAAGAAGACTTGTGCTTCCTGTGGCTACCCAGCTGCCAAGATGAGATCTCACAACTGGGCTGCTAAGGCTAAGAGAAGAAGAACCACCGGTTCCGGTAGAATGTCCTACTTGAAGCACGTCTCTAGAAGATTCAAGAACGACTTCCAATCCGGTGTCGCCAAGCCACAATCCGCTTAAGTGACTTTCAAGGACTGTTAGTTTTTCAAGGTTCCAGCGCCACAGGCTTCTCTATAGTATCATATTGCAGGTTAATACAAGCAATGAATTTTATCATTAGAATTTTCTATTTACCATGTCATGCATTTTGGGGTATCAATGCCTCGGGCTCTTGTACCATAGCCATGTACAGATCATCGGCGTCTTCCATCGACGTCATTTCCTCTAGCATGGCTTTCGCCATTCCTTTGACGTGCTCTTCGATGCCAAGCGTCGTGATTTCATAAGATCGTACGTTGCTGCCCTGCTCGAGCTCGCGGGTAATGAAGTCAGGCAAATGCCCGTCAAAAGCGTCTACAAAAAAATCTTGGTCATCTGAGATTTCAAATTGATGGATGCGATCAACCAAATCTTTGTAGCCGTCTCCTTCGACCTCTAGCAAATTTTCTCTAGAAGAAGTCCCGAACACAATCCGCCACAAAGCAACAGTCAATTCAGATTCTACTTCCTTCACCTGTAATGGTTCGCATTGGCCCCTTTTCCAAATAGAGTAGATAAATTCGACACATTGCGAGATGAATTCGCAATGCGTGACTATATTTTCCGAGTCACGACCTGCGAGGACCGTCAACAGTGTTTCCTGTTGAATAGCAAGCTGCCTCGCACAAGATATAAAGAGCTCTTGTTCATTGCCCAATCTGTCATAGATTAGAAGCAGTTTCTCGAAGCATTTCAGAATTGACTTTTTCAGTCTTATTGACCACCACTCCACGTCAACCGTAAACTCGCACAAGTCATCATCATCCTCGAAGTCCTTCATAATAACTTCAGGTATACTCTGGACTGTGTCTTTGGAGACTAATTTCGAAAGGTAGGCACCGTTGTGGTTATCCCCCATATGACGGATAAGGCCGTAAATGTTGGTATCTTTCGACAGATACAAACAACTGTTTTTCGAATCAGTTGAGTAAACATTGACTGCCTTCCTTTCGAATATATTAATCGTGCGTCTTGACGCGTTAATCCACCATTCCAGCTTAATTTTGTCCCTTATCTGTAAATTTTCGAGAACGATGCTCGTTATGCAATTCAGCATCTCCACCGAATTATAAATCACGTTGAAAACCGGTTGATGAGATATGCTCAGACTATACCGCATAAGATCATCCAAGGCTTTGAGAAAGGACTCGTCTACGAAAGCCGCTGAAGCTTGTGCTGATTGAGTTTGTAGGATCTTAAGCGTCCTTTCCAGGATGTCAAAAGAATATAGTACGACCAGGATGTCAATGAACTCATATTGAAATGTAGGTGGTCCGACGCCTAAATCATGGACAGTTCGATGCAATGGTTTTTTGAGAACGTGACGATTGACGCGAATCAAATCAGAGCCAAACATAAAAATATCTTTGAGGGCTGTCTCACGTACGGCGCTGGGCCTAAACGTTATCGTTTGAAACATTAAGGCAACGAGGAAAGGAACCGCTGTTCGGCATTCTTTCTCATTGTGAGAGATCTCCTTTATCAAAACAGCCAAGCTCTCTAAAACGACATCGATCATTCCATCCAATTTGATAGATCTTTTCTTCAGTTCAGCCAGCATACCAAAGATACTTCTCCCAATTGAAATTTCGGATGAAATGGATAAACTTTTAAATTTCAAAGGGCCGACAAACTCTAGTCTAATCTGATTTAGTATCTCCATCGTTGTCAAATCTGACCCTGGGAGTCGATGCGTTATAAGAACATCGTAAAAATCGCTAACCTCGTCCGTTACCACATGATGTTGTTTTAAAGAAGCCAACTCGACTTTTGGAGAGTCTTCTACTTTTCTTCTCTTAACGGATACTTTGGTCGAATTAACAGACGAATCTGGTGTGATATTAGAAGAATTCGTGGCGCCTCCCATGTGCCGCGGCTTGAGCTTTTCTGTCATGGCCGAAAACTTCTTCTCATCTTCAGCCCTTTGTAACTCAATCTTAAGTTTCTCGATCTCTTGCTGATGTAAATTTGACTGTTCGCGAGCCTTCTCGGTCTGCTTCTTATGTTCAGTCTCATTTTCCAATCGGGTGATTTCAAGTCTCCCTCTAAGAATACTAGCTTCGCCTTGGGCCGTCAGCAGCTTTTCTTCTAATAGGGCAAGTTTTTTCAAAACGTCAGTGTTATTCGTTTCTGGCCTGCTTTGGGGCAAACAGGCGCTAGATTCCTTGGGTGGTCTGCACGAAAGCTGCTCTAAAAGGTCATCATCCTCTGACGACGAATCACCAGCCCATTTATCCATTCCTTGCGATAAATTTGCGACCCTCCTTTGACTCTGCTCGCTCTATTTTTTCTGTCATGTTGTTGTAGTTAATCATATGTGTAGATGAAAGTCTAAATTGTCAATAGTCATTACCGCGTTTCAACGTAAGATTTCAAGAAGTGGAAACCAATAGATTGACAGGATTTGCTATTCTAAGCTATTCACTGAATTTACTGTCTTCTGTATTGTCATCTCAAACTCTGCTTTCTCTACCATTATATGCAGTAGCTAGCAGCATCTAAACATAAGTTCGAAGTTTAATTATATTGAGGTCAAGGTAATCCAGAATGGCTAGCCAGCGTGACGCCGCAGCTCTAACAGTAATATTTTACATTTAAACTTGAAATCGCGTATGAATAGTTCTCCCTGAGTGAGGGCTTCAAGTGACTGAGCACTAGCCGAGGATACAACGATGCGGGAAACGGCTCCAAAGTTTCAGGACTGCATACCACAACAGGGCGCCCGTAATCAAAGCATTGCCATCTATCGCATTTTAATAACAAGCACTTGCTCAGAATTGAGGTCTTGCTCTTGCCCTCATCCCCGTTAATCATGAATTTCGTTAAGTTTTCAAAACTGATGATGATACTGATGATTGTTCGAGATCGAAAAATTTTACGATGAGGAAACTTGAACCTGCCAAACTACAGCTAAAAACCAAACTATTAAAGAGGACGAGATGGTTGAAGACTCTAAAGTGAGGGATGCTTTAAAGAATGGCGAAAAAAAGGTGCTTCCTGCTTCATTGGTACCTCAGGCGCCTCCAGTTTTGACTTCTAAAGACAAAACGACACAGCGGCTCATCATTGTCTTGTCGATGGCATCGCTGGAAACACACAAGATTTCATCATCATCTGGAGCAGGCGGTGATAAATACGTGCTATTGAATTGCGATGACCACCAAGGGCTGTTGAAGAAAATGGGTCGTGACATAAGCGAGGCCAGACCAGACATCACACATCAATGCCTGCTTACGCTGCTGGATTCGCCTATCAATAAGGCGGGCAAACTCCAGGTTTATGTGCAGACCAACAAAGGTGTGCTAATCGAAGTAAATCCTACGGTTCGTATTCCAAGAACGTTCAAGAGATTTTCCGGTCTGATGGTCCAGTTGCTGCACAAGCTGTCGATTAGATCGGTCAATTCTGAAGAAAAACTTCTCAAAGTGATCAAGAATCCCATAACGGATCATCTGCCCACTAAATGCCGTAAGGTGACGTTGTCGTTTGACGCTCCAGTGGTTCGTGTCCAAGACTACATAGAGAAGTTGGACACGGACGAAAGTGTATGTGTATTCGTGGGCGCAATGGCGAGAGGAAAGGATAATTTCGCGGATGAGTGGGTCGACGAAAAGGTCGGTCTTTCCAATTATCCCCTATCTGCATCGGTTGCGTGCTCCAAATTTTGCCATGGCGCCGAAGATGCGTGGAACATTTTATAAAGGTTAAATAACGAGTAAAGGCTATTTTAAGAAATTTTCATACGTGCATCTAACTAATGTTCAATACCTGATTAAAGAGACAGGTAAACGAGGACATGCATGTTGAATTCTTTAAGATTCGATCCTGGCACAAGGGTGAATCATGGTGGTGACAATTTTTTCAAAAGTGAGTTTGTACACCAAATCATAAAATAGATTTAACATCGGGTAAACTATTGTTAACAGTAACAGGCCCAGGTAAAAAAGACCCACATAGCAGTAATCCCGCTCTACCAGGATATAACCCTGCAAGGTATAGTATTGATATATAGAAAGCTAAATTCGGGTCTTGAAAGCTTTCAATTTTGAGCCTTTCCTAAGGTTTTAGATTTAAAATCTACTCATAGTTTATCGAATTTAATTTGAGAAAACAATCCGCGATTGCCAAAAGATTGACGAAGTCTCCATCTGAGGTGTTTAATATACTTTCTTTTCGTCGACCCCTCTCATCATAAGTCAGAATAACCACATTATGATCATTACGATAAATTAGAAAATGAATTTCCCTCAATTATAATGAGACGTTATTTCTAATTAAGAGATTGTTACCCATATCTATTAGCATTTTTAAAACACCCAGTGCGTTGTAAAAAACTGCTTTTGATTATGACCCTCTCTACAGCTTATGGCTGCTGCCAGAATGTTTCTCAAACATTTGTGTTTCAAATATGTTATACTAGGGTAAGAGCTGTAACAACATCGAACATATATTAAAGCAGACAAATAATGAGCCGCTTGTTTAATTCACTAATGGAATCCGGCGATGGTCACTAGTTATTTACAACTGGGAGATCGGCTTTCTCAAATATGGCTAAACAAATATACCTTATGTGTGACTCTGGTGATAGCGAAATTGACAATTTCTATAACGTCACTCCAAAACCAAGTCACAAATACCCAACAGCTTTTGGAGGCCGGCATTAAAACTCTCGAGTTGAATTTTGTACATTCAGTGCAAATGACACCGTTTTACCTGAATGAACTAGGCAATTTTCTTATCAAGGAATCAGTAGAAGGGGCCCTGGATGGGAGCTTAAAGCTGGCATCGCTGCTGATTTCAGCGGCGGAGAATGTCGCTAAATTTATGTTTGATTTCTATTTCGGCACTTACATTTGTCTGGCCACGAGTGCCGTAGATGGCGCTGTAGACGTCGCGACGAATACTACCGAAAAACTGATCGATTTTGTCAACGGATCGCTGAGTACAGTTTCCAAGGATCTTAGCGAGGGAGTTGATGAGCTGTCAGATATCGTAAACAAGATTATAAAAGCCGTTGCAAAAATCGAGAGTCTTGTCACCGGTGACAAGGGCAGCGCAGATGCGCAATTCAAATCTGTTGAGCTTTCCATCGGAAAGCTTCAGAACTTGACAATCCCATCTTCAATTGATTCGAAACTGGAAGCACTGTCTCAGAATACACCAAACTTTGACACCGTTATGAATCGTACTCAAAGCGAAATTGCGAAGCCGTTTGAATTGGCACGCAGCAAAATAGCTTCTTTGAATGTGTCATCCCTTGTCCCAAGAGATGCGTTGCCTGCTGCCCAAACTCCTCAAAATGTTAGCAATCCTTTCCCAGCTCTTTCTTCAGAACTCAAAGACTTGTGCATCGCGCTCAACAAAAGTTTAAACATAACGCTCATTGTAATAACTGCAATTCTCGCGTTGGTTGCTTTGGCGGCTATGATACCCATTGCATTTTCAGAAATGCGACAGTGGTTCCGCCTGCAGCAGCTGAAGGCTCGAATAGACGCGCAACGTCTTTGCAGTGAAAAACATTCTTCGGATCCGCCGCTAGACGCTATCGAATGTTATCAAAGGGTGTACCACAAGTGGCCTGTGCTTCTCGGGGAATATATATCGCGAAAGCTAAGCCTCCAGGATGGCACTCAAAAGCGCATACAGTGGTGCTTTGCTTACGCTCTTTCGCCTTACTGTATGACAATTCTGCTTATTGGGCTGTGCGGGATCTTTGTTGCCATAAGCGAATTAGCGATTGTCTCAGTTGCGTCGAGAACTCTGCGCAGCAAAGCGTCAAGCGCAGAAATAGCCAATATCGCATCCTGTATGGACGGCATCCTGACCACTTCCCTCCAAGAATGGGCTCTCTCTGCCAACAACTACTTGAATACGACACAACAGTCCATAAATTCAGAGGTATTCGGCTGGCTTTACAACGCCAGCAGTGCACTAAATGAGACCGCTGCTATTGCGCTTTCCGACATTGACTCTGCCGTAGCGGATGCGTTCAACGGCACGCTACTTTACAAGCCAATCTCAGGGATCGTCAAATGCACAATTGACAAAAAACTGGAAAAAATACAAAAAGCGGCTGTCTGGGTCAACACCAATGCCAAATTATCATTCCCACCCCTAGACGCTGTATCATTGTCTAAAGTGTTTCAATCCGCCTCCAATATATCCAATTCAACAGGGTTCTCAGACACCACCACAAGTTCCATCCACCTAGGTAGCCAGGCTCGAAAAAGTCTCCAAAAGATCTTGAACCAGTTCAAACAGATAGCTATTACTGAGCTTATCATCTCATCGGCTATTTTGGCAATTTGGATCGGTCAGTGCCTAATCTCTGTTGCCATTGGTTTCTGGATTAAATAAGCTCGACAACATTACGTAATTAGAATACTTACGAAAAGTAATGTCTTACGATATTCTACGATCGTTTCCATGAGCAGATTCGTTCCTTTTATGAAGGCGTCTTCAAAAAATTATCCTGCCACAACGTTGGCTGTGCGGATCGGTACACGGGATAGTAAACACCCAAATTAGAAAAGTCGTTTCAAGGATCGGCGTCTACGAGAAGCAAAGCAGCACCAATTCCACTGCCACAACATCTGGGGTTCCAGGATCGTGGCTGTGACGCAACTGAAAAAAGGAAGACATTGTTTTGGTAGCCGTCTAGGTAAACAATCGACTTGGGTGTACTGCAATCTTTTCCAGCATCGGCAAGGGTTTGGTGAGGACGAGGTTACAAAAGTTGAACGTAAAATAAGCCGAGTTTGAACAGATATCTTTATTGCCAGCTCGATCTCTAGACACCCTTCGAAAGCACTCCAAAGCGAACTTTTTACCAGAAGAATTCATTACAAATGAAAAGGCTTTTTTCGGGTCCCAAGTCACCGACGTTAGATTTCTTGTCGCCGCCTAAACCGTTTCAGGACGCTGAAAAAGGCGGGCAAAGGTCTAGATCCTCGTCTTTCTCACGAGTTTTTTCGTCGTCTGACAGTTCCCCGCGACGTAGTCCGGGAGCTCTCGACGACGTCGCAACACCGACGTCGTCGGTGACGCCTGAACTCGTCCCTATTGTCACACTGTTGTCAGCCCAGGCACACCGGCGGTATCACGAAGGAATTTTTTTGATTCTGAAGGATCTCAATAGCGACGGGTCTCCAGCTGAAAGAAAATGGAAAGAAGTGTATGCTGTTCTGCTGGGCACTCAGCTGGCGTTATGGGATGCTAGGCTTTTGGCTGAGAACAATCACGATCCGGACATGCTAATGAAAGCGACTTCCAAGCCCACTTACATCAACTTGACGGATGCCAACTTTAGGCCGCTCGATTCCAAAGAAAATGTCGTTACGGGCAGCGATAAGAAACTGAAGAATAGCATAGTGCTGTCGACGACACTCAAAAACAGGTATTTCATTCAACTGAGTGATAAGGAAGCTTTCAACCAATGGCATGGGGCCATGCGACTGAGCGCATTCGAGTTCACGTCGCTGCAAGAGGCTTATACTGGCGCTTTCCTTTCGACCAAAGGATCAAAGCTCGGAGATATTCGTGTTATCCTTGCGGACACCAAATTTGATTATGAAGACTGGGTCAGTGTAAGATTTGGTGCCGGTATGCCTTGGAAGCGTTGTTATGCCGTTATTTCTCAACCAACCAAGAAAAGCTCTAAAGGCAAACGCTATTGCGGTGAAATTAACTTCTTCGAAAACGATAAGAAAACGAAAAAATCACAGGCGATGACCACAATCAAAGATGCAGATGCAATGTATGCTCTTTATCCATCGTCTCCCACGTTGATTGATTCTTCCACTATAATAAAACTTGAGGGTTCTGTTAAGTTCGGTAAAAAAGATGAGCCTAAACAAACTGACATTTTTATAATGCCCGAAAAGCATTATGCTGTTCCTGGCTATGATACTATCATTCGGTTTTTGGTGCCCAGTATGAACGCATTTCAGCTCTATGGTAGACCCGAACGTTTGATTGCCGACAGGTCCAATTTCGACTCATTACTTTTCGGATTACCAACCTTACCTCATGTCCACTATTTGCAAACCGAAGATTTGCACCCTTTGATCAATTCAGTTTCAAGCAAAGATTGGTCTGTTTTGGAATGGAGAAAGCATATTAAGACCATTTTGTCTAAAAGACTCAATAAAGGATACACCGGATGCGGATCTAGCGAAGGATTAACAGGTGCACTTTCGTCACCTGCCATCAGTACCAACGAATTGTTCGACACTACTCCCATCCAGACCTCGCCTCTGATAGCTACCGTAGCGAAATTTAGTGGAGAACAGCACTCTGATGGTGTCAGTACCCCTGTGTCTTTGAGAGGTCCCACAAATTTAAGAAATGTGGTCGACTCATTTTCTGACGTCGATGACTCTGAACGGAATCGTCCAATGACGGACATGAATGTTTCAAATGGTTTGGCAGATCCATCTATGCTTGAGAGGAAGCAGAAGGAGAGGGTTTTGAAAGCCACGAAACCAACCATTGAGATTCAGCACTCGAACTTTGAGAGTATTGAGCAAATGACTGCTCCTAACGATTCTAAAATAAGCAGCTCTCATGGTTTAATGTCGAGAAAATCGGAGCTATCTAACATTTACGACAAATATGCGGAAGATCCTTTCGGCTCTACAGGCGGGGTGCGGCCATTGGCGGCGTCAGAATCTGATAACCGGGATTCAGTTGGCGCTTACGATAAGTATATGGGATCTCCAAACGTGAAAAAGTTTGACATTTCTACCTTAAGGCACTCCGATAGTTCTGAGGCGACAGAGCACACGCGTCACTCAGGATCTTTCAAAGAAACCCAAAGTAGATCCAAAACAAATGGTGAAGCTCTCACATTTAGACAAAACAAGGACGACGTATTGGGAGATTTTTACAGTCTTTCAGAACAAATCGCACAGATTGATCCTCAAAATTCAATCAAAAGTAAAGACTTGGATTCGCGACAATCTGAGGACTTTAATTTTTTGGCGAGTGGTAATGAAACTGGCGAGGACAACGTTTTTGATCCGGATTTCATGGAGCAGAACCAAATGTTGGAAACTGAAAGTAGTTATGCTTTGAATGAGAAGAAATTTCATCAGAGTGAAGAGGATCTCACCGGAAACCAGCAGGCTGACTACCATGACATGCGATTGCAATCCAGTTACGTAACAGAGCCTCGTCCTCTGCCTAAAATTCGCGGGCAGGCGGGTGATAGAACTCCCGTTAAGCAGATTCCGGGCTCGCAAGTTGACTCAAGGGGGAAATCACAGGGAGGAATAAGGCATTCTCCAGGCTATACAGACTTAAGTGCGCCAAGACAGGATATAGCAGCCGCGAGAAGTGGGACCGTCACGCCCACTAAAGGCCAATCACAGCCAATGGCTGGACGTCCCCCGCCAACTATGGTACCACATGCCGTTAGCAAGCCTCCTACGATGCAAATGCCTCGCAGACGAGCAGCTCACCAGCAAATTGGGCAGCAAATGCCACAGCAAATGCCACATCAAATGCCACAGCATATGCCACATCAGATGCCCCAACCAATGGCTCAACAGATGCCCCAGCCATCCAATCTCGCATCGTTTCCTAGACCGATTGGCCAGAATGGACCTTACACAAAAACGGATGGTCGACCTCCTTATTCAAACTGGCCTAGTGGCTCGCCTGCAGGTTATCAGCCTCATAATTACAATATGGGCCCACAATTTGCGCAACAACCTGTGTTTTCTAAGCAAAATGTTATGCCTCGGCCTCAAGGTTACAATAATGCGCGTATAAATCAGGGTACCATGGGCGCACCAAGCAAACCCGCTCAGAAGCCTCGGTCACCAATGACAGGTGGGTTTTCCCAGTATATGCCTTCGACGGCCAACCAAACGAATCCATATGTTGCCAATCCATATTCCAATTAAAATACTTCCACTTTTTCCACTCATTTTTACTGGCTTGTCAAGATTATAAGAATTCGCCACCTTGATTATACTGAGCATCTGTTGCTGCGAAGCCCGGGGGGCATCTTTGTATTATTATATTGTCACAAAGTAATTTCGAACATATGTAGTTGAGAAGTTTTTGTTTGACACGTAGTGAGATGTATTAGGTCTTGGCGGTTGCAAAATCCCCTCGTGCATCAGTGGACCTTCGCTTAACATATTTTCGCAGCTAACGTGGTAGAAAGGAAACGCTTCTACTTCAAATTAATGGATGCAACAGCTCTCGCTTAAACTACAGCGGCAAATTCGAAGAATCATAAAACCTAGCTTCAAGAACCTAGGAATTAGAACGCTGGAATGCTCAAAATAAGCTCGACGATATTATCAATTTTTGACAATATCATGTCTGATTTCTGAAATTTGATGAATGTGTCCATATTTAAAAGTTGAACGTAAAGTGCAAAGAAATTAATGTAGAACGTTGAAGTGTATTATGTCATCAGACCGCGTTCATTCCCACACGGTAAACTCAGGCATCAAAATCCATTGCCTCTCCAGCAGAACTCTGGTCGCCCGCTCGAGCAAGCCAATTCTGGGAATATTTAGAAATATACCCCAAGACTTAAGACTTAATTAACCATAAAGAGGCAATTCATCAAAGCAAACTATTCTCATCCTCTTTACGTTGAAATTGATAGCATGATAAGATGAATTAAATGATAGGTCAAACCGAGCGACTTTATAACTACATGTCTCAGCTAAGTCAATCTAATGTGACAATTAGCCAAGCCTGTCGCAGTTAAGACCTGTGAAAGGGAGCTGGATTGGTGATCCAATATGCTGGAGATTTTAAACCAAAAGTCACGTCACACGAAATAGTGTTGAACTTGTTGAAACCGCCGTTTGGGAGAACTCAGTGACTGGTTAAAGGCTCACCAATTAAAAGCGGATGTTGGCGGCACGAATCCGAGCAATCCCGACTGCTCGATGCAGTGCTTGGCCAATGAGAATTTCAAGTTCAATTTTTCCAAATGCCATTCGGCATTATTCGGGAATGAACGTCCCAAATACACCCAACAATATACTGCGGCATGCCGGCGATCGAAATAAGGTTATAGATTCTCGATTTTGGCTAAGGAGATGGCAGAGCACTCAAAGTAATCGAGCTAAAAGCGACAGTAGGGGAGATGAATCGAAAACGTCAGGCTGGAAGGACATTAAACGACTCTTTGTTCTTGCCAGACCAGAATCAAGAAGTTTGTTCCTCGCTTTGGGACTCATCATTGTCTCCAGTTCGGTAAGCATGACGATTCCCAGCGTAATTGGTAAGCTAATGGATGTGGCAGAGGAAGGACGGGACAATGAGGAACAAAAAAAGGCTGGAGATGATAACGAAGAAGAAGAAGACGCTCGATCAGAAACACTACTGCATGGTCTTACGTTACCGCAGTTTTACACAGCCCTTGCGGTTGTCTTCGTAGTGGGGGCCACCGCCAACATGGGGAGAATTGTCATTTTAAAAGTGACAGGAGAAAAGCTAGTGGCCCGTTTGAGAACGCGCACACTCAAAGCAGCATTACAACAGGACGCTACATTTATGGACAAAAGTCGGGTTGGTGATTTGATTTCGAGATTGTCTTCTGACGCGAGCATTGTGTCGAAGTCGCTCACTCAAAACATGTCAGATGGAACTCGAGCTGCAATTCAAGGTATAGCCGGCTTCGGAATGATGAGTTACATTTCCTGGAAGATGACATGCGTCATGATGGTTCTAGCTCCACCGCTCGCAGCGATGGCGCTAGTGTACGGCCGGAGGATACGGAACTTATCTCGCGCGCTCCAGACGGCAGTAGGTGGACTCACCAAATCTGCAGAGGAGCAATTGTCGTCTACCAGAACAATCCAGGCGTACGGCGGAGAAAAATACGCCATTCACCAGTATGCCAAAGAAGTAAGGGACGTTTATCAAGTGGGATTGAAGGAGGCAATCACGTCTGGCGGGTTTTTTGGCCTTACCGGTCTAGTTGGAAACATCGCAGTTTTGGCATTGCTTTACACGGGTACTTCAATGATAAAAACAGGAACAATCACTGCAGGCGATCTTTCGAGCTTTATGCTTTATGCAGTATACACGGGTAGTTCACTGTTTGGCCTGTCATCGTTCTATTCAGAGCTGATGAAAGGCGCGGGTGCTGCTGCAAGAGTGTTCGAACTCAACGACAGGACGCCAGCGATACACCCAACGAAGGGGAGAGATCCATTAACTCTGGATGGTAAGCCGGTGGCATACAGTAATGTCGAATTTGCGTATCCGACTCGTCACCAGCACAAGATTTTCAATGACTTCAACCTCGAAATATGGCCTGGCGAGCACGTTTGCATTGTGGGCGCATCCGGAGGCGGGAAGTCTACAGTGGCATCCTTGTTGCTGCGGTTTTATGACGTAGATGCCGGAGCCATTACGGTAGGCGGAGTTAACATTAAGGAGTTTAACTTGAGGAAATTTCGAAGAATGCTAGGCGTAGTTCAGCAGGAGCCGTTACTGTTGAATGGCACAATTTTGGACAACATCATGTACACCGTTCCTGAACAAATTGCGAAAGACAAGGATAGAGTCAGGAGGGCTATAGGGGCGGCCAATTGCTCATCTTTTCTGACCACTTTTCCGGATGGGCTCCAGACGATGGTTGGCCCTCGTGGTGCTCAGCTCTCTGGCGGCCAAAAACAGCGAATCGCGTTAGCACGTGCGTTTTTGCTGGACCCCTCGATTTTGATTCTAGACGAAGCGACTAGTGCCCTAGACTCGAGGAGCGAAGAAGTTGTTGCACGCACACTGCATGCGCGCCGAGAACGCGGCAAAATGACCATTTCCATCGCACATCGTCTCAGTACTATCCAGCACAGCTCGCGGGTGGTTGTGCTTAATCGCCATGGACAAGTGGCCGAGACAGGGCCTTTCGAGCTGCTGTATGCCAATCCAGATTCTTATTTGAACAAACTACTCAAAGAGAAAGACGGAGGCGCTTCTCTCGAAGAGCACGAGACTGAGGAGACTGCGACGGCCAATGACTCACAAGAGGGTCGTTAACCAGTGGTAACTTGAGAGACCGATGACGCTTACCTGGGTGTCCATTCAAGTCACATGCCAATCACCACCCTCCTGGAGTTCGGCGGCTAAATTTCTCGGTTCAAGTCAAGTGCCGCTTTTTCGTAATTTCTATCTCACAAATACGACAAAGCAAGTGAAAGTCCCGAAGTCACGTGTTATTTTTTTTCATTTCATTCCGCTCCGCAGCGTCGGTGATATAAATTCACGTGATACTCCTTTTTCTTGGTTGTTCTTCTTTTATGCTCATATAGCTTACCAAGATGTTGATTCCTTAATGCCACACTGTGGCTTTTGGTCGATACGAGATGAAAGAAACTAATATTTGTAGTGGTTAAGGTGGTTGAAGGTTAACTCGTTTTAGATATACTTCACTTGCCCAGGTTATTGAGATTTGTGAATAGGAGTGTTCTGGCTCCAGGAATTAAAACAACCCTTGATTATAATTAAGGATACTATTATAGACTTTTACGAGAATAACGAAATAAGTTTTGGATAATGAATGACACCCCTTTGAGAAAGTCATCGTTCAAGGAAATTGACCCCAAGGTCTTCTACGACAGCAACCCCTTTGTGAAACTCGTGCATAACCAACGTATCGTCGAAGTTCCAGAATTGACACTAGAGTCTGGAGTTACTTTACAGAATTTCCCAATCGCCTACAAGACATGGGGTGAGCTGAATGAGCGTGGTGACAACGTTCTGGTCGTGTGTCATGCTTTGACAGGATCGTCCGACGTGGCGGACTGGTGGGCTCCACTTTTGGGAGTCGACAAGGCTTTTGATCCTTCCAGGTTTTTGGTGGTTTGCCTGAATTCGATGGGTTCGCCGTACGGCTCATTCTCTCCTTTGAACATTAATCCTGCGACAAACGAATCCTACGGCCCTGAATTCCCCCTCTGCACTGTACGGGACGACGTGCGGGCTCACAAGCTGGTCTTGGAGTCCCTAGGGGTGAGTTCCATAGCATGTGTGATTGGTGGCTCCATGGGTGGTATGCTTGCCCTAGAATGGGCAGCTAGTTTCGGTAAGGATTATGTGCGTAATATTGTAGCGCTTGCTACTAGTGCAAGACATTCAGCATGGTGTATATCTTGGTCTGAGGCGCAAAGACAATCCATTTACTCGGACCCCAAGTACCTGGACGGCTATTATTCACTCGAGGAACCACCTACTGTGGGACTAGCAGCTGCCAGAATGTCTGCATTGCTGACTTATCGTTCTAGAAATAGCTTTGAAAGCAAATTTGCTCGTCGTCTTCCCAGCACTGTCCACCAGAAGAAATCCAATAGGAAAGACATGCCCAAGAGTTCCAATTTGCACCAACATAATTTATCCATTCACAACGATGGCCATGTCCGGACAATTGTTAAAGAGCGTACGCCAAGCACGTCCACTATCAGCGTTTCAAGTGACACTTCTTCTGCAGACTCCCTCAAGTCAGCTTCATCTGTCACGTTATCCACTCTATCTTCTGCTGGGCCAGCAAAAGGTGCCAGCAATCTGAAGCCCGCACAGACGTATTTTTCTGCTCAGAGTTATTTGAGGTATCAAGGTGAGAAGTTCGTAAACCGTTTTGACGCTAACTGCTACATTTCTATCACGAGAAAAATGGATACTCACGATCTTGCCCGAGACCGGATTGAAGGCGAGGAGGAAGTGGAAGAAGTTTTGAGAGCTCTGGAGCAACCATCTTTAATCATAGGTATCAAATCCGATGGACTTTTCACTTATTCAGAACAAGAGTTTTTAGCGGCAAACATACCTGATTCGCAACTGGAAAACATAGACTCTCCTGAGGGCCATGATGCTTTTCTTTTAGAATTTCACTTCATTAACGATCTCATTAAAAAATTCTTAATGAAAAATGCTAAAGAGCTGATGGAGGCACCGCCGCGGCGTCTTTGGCAAGATTACGGGAAAGGCGAAGCTATGACAAATTCACTCTTCGGAGAAGCCGAAGAAGTGACCAACTGGTGATAAATGAATATTGAAATTTAAATTAATGCGCCTGCGCGTATTATTCACATAGAAAATAAAATCGCCCTTGTCTATAATGAATGATACATGAAAGTACCCTGTAGCCCACCTGCCCTGTGTCTTGCAACTGTGGTAAAAAAGAGCCGAAAGATCAAATTTATAGCTTTTAAATCATTAACCATGATCCTTCTTCGTCCAGTGGGCTGGACGTAACCTTTAAAACCCTCTTGGCTTCATTGGCTTTATTTGTCGTTAAACTCCTTGCGTACTCTAATTCGGAGTAAATGCATCCGATAGCTGTATCGACTCCTTTTTGGTTGGAGATTTCCTTTTGAATTTGCTGCGCTTTGCCGATGAGCCGCGAATTTGTAGTGACTTCTTTCAAAGCACGACCCAAGCTTTTACTGTTGAGCTTCTTTAAACTTATTCCTGCCCCAATATCTTCGACTCGGCCTGCAAAAAAGAACTGGTCACCAAAAAATGGTTTTATTACGCTTGGAAGACCAGCTCTTAATGCAGCTCCAGTAGTTCCTGATCCGCCGTGGTGAACGGCTGCATCAATTTGAGGAAATAGCCAATCATGGGGTATTGACCCCGAATTAAACACACATGCTGGAAGACCAACTTCAACTTTGTGCGCTTGATCGGGGCTGAGACGTTCAGACCAACCTTTGTTGAGAATACAATAAACATCTGCACTAACAACGGCGTCAACAACCGCCTTGGTCATTTCACGAGGATCCGTGACCACAATGGAACCGAAACCTATATATACCAATTTCTTGCCAAGAGTTCTTGCTTCCGATATAAAGTTCCTCAATTCGTCGGAAACTTTAAAGTCAATCTTCTCATCAAGGAACCAATAACCCGTTACTTTAACCCATTCACTAAAATCCACCGACGGCGGGAAGATTGAAGGTGAAATGTTGTACAGAAAGGGTACCTTATTCTGTTGCATCAGATCAAGATTAGTCTTCTCCAATCCTAACGTTTCGACTCTCCACTTATTAACCTGACCACTGATTCCTTTCCAGAAAATGTTCTCGAAGAGGACGTGCGTTAAATAATTGTAGTTCCCACCGCGCTTCTGATCTGGTACGATAAATGCATGAGGATAAGCTCTGGTTCTAGTCCATGGCATTGTGAAAGCCCTAAAATAAGGAAGATTCAGAGCTTCAGCAATGTGAATTCCAGCCATTGCTGAGGGGGACTCAATAAGAATATCGATATTTTGGCAAGCCTCCCAAGCGGTATCCAGTAACTCTTGAATCCAACCACGAAAATGCGTTGATGCCTTTCTCAGCATTCCTACATTCATCGATCCATGCTGAACCATAAGAGCCATAAGCTCCGCTGGGTTACCAGCAATTTCGCGAAAGGCAATTCCATGTGATTGAATCCACGATCCAAACTCGGCATGAGTGATGATTGTGACCTTATGCCCCTCTTTCTGCAGACCCTTGCCCAAAGCGATATAAGGCTGAACATCTCCTCGAGATCCGATAGTTAAAAGGCCAAATTTGTAAGCCTTTTTTGGAGTAATACTCGTTTTATAATAAGGATTATCCTCAATCATTAATGGCAAGTCATAGCCCTCTGCATTAATTTTGTCTTCGAAAAGTTTTAATTTCGCTTCCTTGCTAATCCCGTCCCGAGAAAGAGCCCTGTCTTTGGTAAGCTGATCTGTCAAAACGTCCTCGGCTGAAAGAGTCATTACCGATTTCTTGACACCACTTATCTTGCTATCTAGTCGTTTGAGCATGATAAATTCAGCATCATCTCTCGAGCTCCGAAGACTAAACTCAAAAAAGAGTTCTTCATGCCCTTGAATGACAAGCACCAAACCAAAATAACCGAATCTAAAACCTCTTTCTTTGTAGCAGTTTTCCATATCTTCGATTGGAAGGATCATCTTCGTCTTTGTTCCTGGTATGAGAGAACGAAAGCAAACCTTTGACTTCCCGACATACAGCTTTCCATAGATAGGAATATTCTTATTCAGATAAGTATAGTAGGCTGCTATCAAGCTTTCGTTTTCGTCAAGTGAAAAATGCTCTCGAAATCTAGAGTTCGCCGTCTGACTTTCCTTTGCTCCTGCAATATACTTATCATCTTCTGGAAAAAGAGTTAGATTCTGAACAAGGTAATGCACAGGGTGAGCCCCCCACATGTTGCCCATATGTTTTATAGGACGTGGCGTCCAATTAATCAGTTTAAAATGGGGTTCCTCTTTCGCTTCATTGTCCAACTCGTTTTCAGCCTCTTCACTTTCAGAATTCATCGAGTTTCCGACTTCTGGGAACGCTTCGTCCGAGCTCTTATCAGAGTCTTTCTCAATGGGAAAATATTGAACGTCCATGTCTTCCTCGATACAACTTTTACCAAGCTGCTTGCCTTTGAACGAGTCCGTCATGGATCTGATTCTTTCCTTTACTTTCAGTGGTGATCTCGAAGGTGACTGCTCAGTATCTTGAGTATGGTCCCGTTTTCTTGAACACGGAGAAAGCACTTGTTTGAAAATACTCCTTCTACTCTCAATTGTCCTGCCGCGGCCCGCTTCTGAGCGGTCGTCGTCCTTAAAAGTAAAAGGTGACTCGAGAGAATCCGGTTGCGGCAGAAGATTTCTGCCAAAATTGATGTTGGATCCTGACATTTCCAAATTTGCGAGCTGCTTGTCTACTGCTGTCTTCAAGAGGGCTCCAGAATTATTCAAAAACATCAGGAAATAATCATCGACAGCATATGAATCTGTACTTTCCAATACACGTATTCTCAATGTAAAGGAATCCGCTACCGTTTTCTGTTTGTCAATGTCTACTATATTTTCAAGTGGGATTTTGATTGACAGAGAGTCGTCTTGTGCGTTTTGCACAGCAAATATTTGCTTTCTCAAACCATTGCACCAGGAACGACACGCGTAATCCGAGTCTGCTTTGAATTTGAATACTTTGTTTTCCAACACGATTTTAAATTCGGTTGTCGGGCTTCCGTCCTGTCTGCATAAATCCACTTTTTGAGCATATCGTAGATCAATAGTCATAACGGGGAAGTAGAGATCCTTTGGAGAGCCAAAAAATGACAGGGTATGATCTTTCAAGACGGCCCAGTAGCGCGAGATTCGTTTTTTGCCAAGCCCAATGCTCAAAACAATTGACAAATTCCCCGACATTTTCGTTTTGCCGTCATGTTTGGGTAAAAATGCGAAGAACAACAGATTGCACTCAGTCAAGATTATGTGACCCTGAATCAAGACATCTCTCAAAAGCCAACAAGAGTAACTGCACAACATTTGGTCTACGTTGGGGTCGAGCTCAAATTTCTCGAAAAGCATCTTGTAAATTTTGCTGTGTCTCGAACGTGGTCCGTCTGTTGCGTTCGAATGGCCTGCAAAGGTGGGAACTATAGCTAGCTCAAACAAAGTGTCATCTTCCGACAATGACATCGACCCAGCAAGCTCATCGTCATCTTCCTGCCGATTGTCTCCCTTCAATCCATCACCCGAACTGGCTTTCCTGTCATCCTCAACCTCTGTAATTATCTGTCCCTCATCTATTCCACCCATTCCGGCATAAACACTTGCAGTGGTGAGTAGGCCCACAATACTCTTTGCCATCCCACACGGCCGCGCGACATCATCCTCCTGATCTCTTCCTAGTTCATCTTCTAAAAAATTATCCGACTGTGGACTCAAATCATCTTTTATGTTCAGACTTCCCATTGACTGACGCAAAGGTCGAACCTGGGGGTTTGGCTCCTCATTACCCCGGGCAGGCATCGATCCAGTATCATCAATACCTTCGCTAAAGTCGACCTCCTCACTGTTCTTTGTCGACTGATCAAAAACCATCAATGATAGCTCATTAAGATTATAACTTGAACATGTAATCCTACAAAACTCCTTGAAGAAGACTGTATCAATCTTTCCCGTGATCATATAAACCCCTTGCCATAAGATCCTTAGATGAGAAAGGGTCTCACAAAAACCAGATTTGTTGATAGCATATAGTACGACATAGATGAAACTTCGTTTAACTACAGATGCCAAACGAACCAAAGAATACGCTATCATCGCAGGAAAGAAACAGAAAGAGCTTGAAAATCTCTATACAATAAAAAGTATGGAAGACTGCAGTTACGGAATTTATTCAAAAGGCACAATCTTTCCTCAATTTGTCGATCACGGACTTTGTGCCACCGGTTATCGAACTATCCTTCTTCTTGTTAAATTCATGGACTTAGCAGAACACCGAAACGCTTCTTGAACTGTTTAACGCAATGCTTCTCTTATTTCTCTGTGAACGAAGAGAGGAAGATTTCTAGATTTGAGAATCGAAATTCTGTCCTCGAAGGCACGTGTCCACTACTGATATCTGGACTTTCCCTTTACCTAGGCGACACAGGACAAGGCTTAATCTTTTTCAATTCTTAACCGCTGGGAAGAGGGCCTTTTTATTATCTGCACTTGATTTTGAGTTAATTTACGATTTTTCATTCTCTTTTAGTAGGTAACGACGCGAGCTTGCTGGATACATACATTGCTCCATGTTAAGAAATGCTAGCAGAAATTCAAGCGTCTTGAACATTTGCCAATAGATATGATAGTTTTGGCTCTCTATAGTTCAATTCAAAAGTTTGCTCTCGCTTTGAATTGTCTATCAAGCAATAGATTATATTCGAAGAACGCCTGCATCGTACATACTCAAGATATTATCATTATGTATTACGTGTATATAATTATAATGCATACAAACTTCAAAAAGGTAATGCAAAAGGCAGAAATTCGTAACGTCAAAGGCAGATACGCACTTCATGATTTGATATCCAGACGCTCTAAAGTGCTTCGTCTCATGTCGACGATTTCCTGATAAACTTCATTTAGTGCTCGTATCTCTTTTTTACCGAACAGAAAGGAAATTAGACCGTCAATCAGGCCAGTGGCGGTGACAAACATCGTGAAAAACACCCAAAAAACCGACGACCAGCATGCACGCTCCGACGTAAAGGTTGTAACGACGTGCGCCGCTATAATGAAGAAGATAGAAACCCAAAAGTGACATCCTCTCCAAAATTTTTGTGCTTTCGCGACACGCTTATATCTCGAAATAACTTTCAACATTTCTTCGTAATTTGCCAGCCGTCCTATCAACAATTCTTTCGAATCGGATGAGGTATGATCAGATGCACTTTTTGGAATCATGCGCAAAGTGCAAAAATATGCAAAATGATCAGAAAAGCTTCCGATCGTTGCAATGCGTTCTGTAAATCTCACTTGAGCATCAATAGTCTGAAGGCGGTTGGGGTCTATAAGGGCATAATCCAGCCTGCAGGCTTCGTCAGGCTGACGCATTGAGCGCCACGTGTTCAACGTCGAGTCGCATGTCGTACCACCGTATTTTATTTGATTTAGCGGAGTCATTTTGGCAATCTGTTTGAGGTCTTGACTGCCATGCAACTGCTCCCAAGAATCGACCAGTCCGGTTTCCTTGGTAAGAAATTTATGCGGCAAAGATCCTGGCCTGGAATTCAGATCTCCAACAACAACGACGGCGTACCCTGCCTGTTTGTATAGATTAGCGAGTTTGCTGAAGTCCCATGCCTGACAGGACCTGTGACAATAATAAGCAGCATCGCCACGTCTTGCGTATGGCGCGTGCATATGACTGTTCAGAATGGCGAGTGGAAAGCTGTTGGAATCTACAGGACGCAAAAGCGTCACAGACACCGACTTTCCCACATACCAGTCGCCTCTAAAAAACGCACTAGGTCTCCCATTGATCGGGAATCGATATAGAAAAGTAGAATCAATGGGAATTTTAGACAGAATCGCAAGACCCGGACCTGCAATAATTCCAGAGTGGAAAATACGATAGTACGGATATTTGTGCTGACATTTTTTGACAATATAATCCCAATCGTCTTTGCACCATATTTCTTGCAATGCTACGATGTCATAATCATCCACTTGTCGCTCACGACTCCCAACACTAGATTGAGAGTCAATACTGATCAGATGATCCGCAGATGGATCACCTCCAAGTTTCTCAGCTATTGCACGCAATCTCTCCACTCTTTTTTTCGACACAAGCTTGAGACCCCATGTATTAAGGGTCAGGAATCGCACTTCCTTACCAACGATTGTATCGGCCATTTATATCAACCAGAGCTCCCAATGCAAACGCTTATTACTGTCTCTTGCCGGCTCAAAGTTCAACACTGTTTCTTGGCAAGTCTAAGGTATTGGAGGATTAATTAATCATTTTCGACCTAGTACAAAACAGCTCATCTGCAATGTCAACAAAGAAATTCTTTTGAACGAATGTTAAGCAAAGAGCGAGCTCAAGTTTAGCATTCCTAAGTTTGACGGACAAATACTCTCAAGATCGGCCGATATGCCTCTTGATGAGTTCCAGGAGCTGCAACTAAGCATGTCTTCTTTCCAGGCTCAATTACATGACTTTCTGGAGGGCAAAAAGTTGACTTTGATGCAGTTAGTCGATGAGTATAAGAGCGAGACGGAATCGTTAATATCACGGCAGCGTGAGCTGCAGGAAAGAACTGATAGTCTGCGAGCGCGACAGGCAAGTTTGGAACATCAAATTGAGTCATATCAGCGGCAGGAGGACGAGGCTTTGGCCGAGATCGGCGTCTGCCTAGAGTCGAAACAGGAAACTGAGCAAGAAATCCAAATGATCACCAACGAAATAGAACAGATGACCCAACTACTGGATGCTAAAAGAGAAGAGATTAAACAGCACAGAATGTCGCTCTCACGGCAAGTCGAGCAAAACCCCGAAGAAGTAAAAATCTACGAGAATTTGCTGGGAATGAAAATCAGTGCGCAAAAGCAAGACACTCTTACGTTTGTATTTTCACGAGTTGTTGCAACCGACCCCGAAAGAGAATGTAGTGTGACGCTTGACTTTTCCGCCAAAGATTACAAAGTGACCGAATCGTCGCCAAAGTTAAGTCGCGATGCCTGCTCGAGCCTTGAACAAAATTTGAATAGGACGGACAATTTGTCTCAGTTTTTGAAGCTGGCGCGATCCAACTTGGTAGGAGCCGTCTCAGTTACTGCTGACACTTGACTTTGTCAGGCGAGTCATTTCAGCCGTACGGAATGCGGCAGATTTTCGAAGGTTATGCTAGTGCACAGCGAGAAAGGATGCAGAGACATAGACAACATTTAGAGCAGAAAGTTACTGTAATCCCACCACTTCGACTCCGTGCTTTCAAGGCTTTACAATGAGATGTTTACTCGCAATCTTGTTGATCTTGTCGGGACTTGGCCCAGCCATGGCCTCCCCGGGCGACTGGTTGGATGAGTTCATAGAGTGCAACGAAGAATGCACGGCAATTAGACAATGTTTTGGGCCAAATGAATCGGGCTTCCTGACTTCACACAAGTCGTCAAATTTCAAAAGGACTCCCTTCCTGTTGAGACATTTTCTCCTATGGGACTGTGCATCTGACTGCGATTACCAGTGCCAGCAGATCGTAACTAAAGAGCGCATAGCAAGCGGTAAGAAAATCGAGCAATTTCACGGGAAATGGCCCTTTAAACGTGTTTTGGGAACGCAAGAGTTTTTTTCCACGGTTTTCAGCGTTGGGAACTTCATTCCGCACTACAGAGGTCTAAAACTACTTGCAGCCGAAAGGAAGCGGACTCCCGCGTGGAACAAGGCCAGAGTGCTTCTAACAAGTTACATGAGCGTTGCCGTGGTAGGAATGCTTGCGTGGACGGCCAGCACAGTTTTCCACACGAGAGATGTGGACATTACGGAAAAATGTGACTACTTTTTCGCGGGAGCTACCGTGCTCAGCGGATTCCATGCCATCTCGATCCGAGTTTTTCGTCTTGATTGCCTTGACGGCGTACGAAGAATCTTCAGCTATTCTGTGGGAGCCCTGTTCGCGCTACATATTTTACGTTTGCTCCTCGACTGGTCCTACACCTACAATATGCGATTCAACATTTTCTTTGGCGTGCTTCAGTACCTGCTGCTTATTGCGCTTGCATATCGGAATTATACTAAGCTGAAGACACTTTCGTATTCTCGAAAGCCTCGCTACGCATCGAAAAGTTCCCTGCTCAATCGCCTTTGCCTTGTACCCGTTGGTCTCGTGATCGGGACGTCGCTGGCAATGAGCTTCGAGCTGTTTGATATCTTCAACTATGATCTACAAATCGACTCGCACTCGATCTGGCATGCGTGCACTGTATTGCCCTCGTGGAAATTATACGACTTTTTCGTCGATGATATCGTTCATTTGAAGGCGTGCGAGAGCGATAATATGAACGCGGAATAATCGAGAAAACCCTTGTGAGGATGATCTTATGGTCCAATGTACGCATACAGCCATCGTCATAAGGGTTTTCCAAGTTCGTGGAGAATGACCTTCAATTTACTTAAATGCCCACCGTGGTGCTCTTCCCATTAAAGGTTTAATAACTAAAACCATCTAATGCCTACGAACTGGACACTTGGTAACAAGGTTTGGTAGGCTGTATTTCTGCGTCACTATCGATGGCTGAAATATTTGGCACCGATGTTTCAAGTGAGACTCCCGACGATGAAGAACTGCGCAAAAACTCGACCCCCGAAGAAAAAGTGGGCTGGAGAAGACGACTTCCGAAACCGTTTGCAGGGATCGTGAAAGATGTCAGAGATCGACTTCCGTATTACTGGTCAGACTGGAAAGATGCATGGGACTATCGAGTCATTCCGTCTCTTTTGGAGACGTTTTTCAATAATCTTCTGCCAGCAATCGCATTCGCGCAAGATATGTTCGACCGAACTGACCACGCCTATGGAGTGAACGAAGTTCTTCTGTCCAGTGCTATGGGCGGTATTGTGTTCGGAGTGCTTGCTGGGCAACCACTCTGCATCGTTGGCGTGACGGGTCCGATCTGCATTTTCAGCTACACGGTTTACGAGATCATCAAACCCTTGAACACAGATTTCTTCGGATTCATGTTTTGGATTTATATATGGAGCATGATCTTCCATTTCTTGCTAGCAGCGTTCAACGTTGTGTGCCTGCTGCAGTACGTGAGCACTTACCCGTGCGACATATTCGGCCTGTTCATCAATGTCGTGTACGTCGAAAAGGGCATTCAGATCCTTATAAGGCAATTCGAATTCAAAGGCAAAACTGACTTGAGTGCCGGCTATGCCAGCATAACAGTTGCTTTGGTCATGACTATCTTTGGTCTTGCAGCCAAGCTGTTCGTGTATACGCCTTTTTTCAATTATCGGATCCGCACTTTCGTTTCTGATTACGCGACGGCCCTTTCAGTTGTGTTTTGGTCTGCCTTCACGTTTTTTGGTGGCTATTTGAACGACGTTCACTTCCAGAGGCTCCCCATCACCAAGGCGTTCCATCCGACCTCTGTGATGAGAGACAGGTCCACCTGGCTGGCGTACACTTCCATATCGGTGAAGGATGTCTTCATCGCTTTGCCCTTCGGAATCATTTTAACGATATTGTTCTATTTCGACCATAACGTTTCATCCCTCATGGCTCAAAGGTATCAATATCGTCTTACCAAGCCTGCGACCTTCCATTACGATTTTTTGTTACTAGGAGCAACAACTGCGGTCAGTGGGGTTCTCGGTATACCGCCTCCGAACGGTTTAATTCCCCAGGCCCCAATGCACACAGAGACCCTACTCGTTCGTGACGAAAATGGTAATGTATTAAGATGCGTCGAACAAAGATTTACGAACACTTTCCAGGGCGTCATGACGTTGTGTACCATGGCACGTCCATTTCTGATCTGTCTGGGCCAAATTCCACAGGCTGTTCTCGCGGGCCTTTTCTTCATTATGGGAATACAAGGACTTGTACATAACACCATCATTCACCGAATAGTGTGGATTTTTACCGACCCCAAGAAGAAAAGCGACACGAATCCTTTAGGGAAAGTACGCATAAAAAAACTAGCTCTTTTCGTGACGATCAGTCTTGCTGGATTCATTCCCGAGTTCGCAATTACGAATACTAAAGGCACAATCGGATTCCCATTGGTTTTGCTGATTACTGTAGCCGTGTCCTTTTCATTCCCAAAATTCTTTACTGAAAAGGAATTGGCCATTCTCGAAAAAGATGTTGCCGAGGAGTTTGTTAAGAAGAATCTGATTATGAGCTCCCTGACTGAGTTTGATTGATATCCCTGTCTCTAATATATATATACACGAATTCTAATTTTTTCAAAATTCACTAAATAGATTTTCACCATAATATTCTCAACTAACGATCGTTAAAACAAAAGAAGCGCGAACAGTCATGATACCAGACCCAACCGACCCGGCCCTTTTGCGTGAACACGCCTTCTATGATACCGGTGACTTGGGTACGGTTTTGAATATTGACACCTTCACTGAAAAGGGTGGATTCAAACCAATTCTAAAATACGGACTTGGATACTTCAATTATGGATTCGGCCTACAAGACGAGATCTACGATAGGAGTATTTTATACATGGTGAAGTCGCATTTACATGACCATCCAAATCCGTATCTGTTTCTAATCCTGGTGTTTTTCGCGGCGTCTATATTCACTCTCTTGCCGGTCAACGGAGTGCTTACGGGCAGAAAATCCAGAAGCAAGAAAAACGAGGACGATGTATACTATGTGAAGGTTTGATAGAATAGAGTAGCAATTGAAAATTAGCAAATTCTGATTGTGCATAGAATGTTTGTACGAAATCCGGGACGGGCCATGGATCTTCACTGCGAGGGCGTGCAGTTCCTCCCTCGCGTCCGGGGTCTCCTTATATATATATGGGATAAAGCATTCCGACAAAAGGTGCCGTGCCATGCCAACATTAGGCCAAAGGCTTGCTTTCATCTATCCAGGGTTTATCTTTCATTTCGGGCACGATAGAGATAACGTGGCCGGAATTAATAACGGACTTAACGTTCGCAACTAGGAACTCCTCCATTTTTTTGATGGTTTCCACCGTGTGTGTGCCCATGTGGGGGACGGCGCAGACGTTTGGAAGGTCAAGTAACTCCTGTGGGACTTGTGGCTCGTGCTCAAAGACGTCGAACCCAGCAGAAGCGACTTTCCCGCTTTTCAAAGCGGCAATAAGGACTGGCTCGTCAATAACAGCGCCTCTCGCCGTGTTGACGATCACCACGCCGTCCTTCATCTTGTCAATGGCCTCCTGGTTGATGATGTGCTTGGTGTGGGCGTTGAGTGGGATATTGATTGAAATGATGTCGGACGTCTTGAGAAGCTCATCAAACGACACGTATTCGCAGCCGTTTTCAAGTTTAGGGTCCAGCCGCTTGCGGTTGTGGTATATGTATTTTGCGAACCCGAAGGGCTTGAGACGCTCGACGATCGTGCGACCAATGCCACCTAAACCAAGTATACCAACAGTTTTGCCCGCCGGGTCATGGCCCACGGGCGCGCCAGCGGCGCGCCCGCTGGAGGGCCACTTGCCCTGCAGCATGAGTCTGTGGCCCCATTCGAAGTTTCTGAGCGCGCCCAGAAGCAGGAACACGTGCGTGTCGGCTGTGGCATCGTCCACGAGCGATGGCACGTTGCTGACCTGAATGTTTCTGGCTTCGAAGAACGCAGTGTCGATCTGGTCGTAGCCCGCACCCAAATGGCACACTGCAACGACAGAGCTAGGCAAAGCGGCGGCGAGTTCTTTGTCAAATCTGCCGGTGTTCTTGACGCTGGCAAAAGTCCTAGCAATCACCTGGACACGAGACAATGGGTTCGAACTGTCTTTCAAGCTTTTCAAAAACTCGCCTCTGGTGGTAGAGTCATCCACAGTGACGACTTCGGCCACTTTGGCTAGATCTTCCCACGCTTGTTGCGCGTAGTCCACGCTTCCCAATCTCAACACAACTGGCTTAGGCATCCTTGTTCCAAGTGTAGTTGTATATGCCCTGTATGCCACCCCGCGGTTTGCCTGTCCAACGTTTCCGTGTACTCTTTTATACACCGGTTTGTTGCAGCCACATAGTAATTGTTGTCCGAAACCCCGCATTTCGCCGAAGTGCGCTTTATGCGTACTACTCAGCAATCGGGCGATCATAATAAGCTACGATTTCCTAATAACTACCTGGTTATTGAATTTATTCTACTAGATTTGACACCAACTCGGCTTTTCCAACTCTCGTCTCCTATCGTATCGAGATAACTGAGATAAAACCGTTTTTCGAACACTTGCCAGCATGTTTCCTTTTCGAGACGAAAACAAGATCGCGATCGTAACATGTTATGTGATTGGGATCTTCTTTTTGTTAATGGCCAAAATAGTTGGTACGCTGCGGTATCGTAAGTGATGGGTTGCCTCTGAGGTTTATTGGTTTACCTAAAATTAATACAATAGTGCCAAAGGTTTGACTAGTCTGAAGACGTACTTTGATCTTTGACGTGGTCCATCGTCGCCTTTCGAGGCCAAATAGTTTTATACGAAACTACATTGCATCCACTAGCACTCTTTTCGGCCAGAATAAACTCAAGCAGATAAGCCAGATTTCTTCTCAGTGCCGACTTGAAATCGCGAAGTCATCGTTCTTACCCCAAATATTCATAATTTTTTTGTTACTGTGCTACGTTATTGGACGCACTTTTCGCCTTTCTTACTAGTTTTGTACGAGACCTTCCAACTTTCAACATTAGAGTCAACATATGCAGCTTTTCGGTTCGTAGGCGAATGTCGGTTGCACATTGAACAATAGTCCCGCGCTTGAATGGCACAATCTTAATCCTTACGATTTCTCAACGGGTGTGACTTTGAATGATACAGATAACTTTTATAGCACGACTCTCATGTGCTGAGCGAATACAGATATCGGAAAGAGTTCCCAATGGGCGAAATGGTCAAATTGCATTATGTCAAATAAAGTCACGTGATAAAGGTGACAGAATAACCCACGAGACAGTGGAGATCATAAAAGTGCCAGAAATGACCCTAAAGTCACCAAAATTACTTAAAAGTCTACCAAAGATATGCTAAAAGGCGTGAAGTTAGATTTATCCACCTCTTATCTCAAAGTAATGTGCCGTAAACGGATGTAAGCAGCAAAAATCGCATAAAAAAGGCCATAGACCAGTATTAGAGGGGTAAAAGTTTAGCAAGTGCTGGATACTCGATGTGTTCTAGAACTAAAAGCAATAGCGAAATCGCTGGGGGATCAAATAAGCGGTTTGATAAAATCACGTGATGCATACCAATTTTTTCGTATAAAGCGATGTAGGGTTCTAGTCTTCCTGTTAATGTAAATTCAGTCTTAAGATGGTTTATGCTTGACGAGAAGGTCTGTTAAGTTTCTGACAAAAGGCTCCGAGAATACCGGCAGTGTGTTGCCCCCATGTCTCATTTCAAAGGCTCATCGAGAATGGGCTCTGGTTCATCACCGTTTTCTGCCGATGCAGCAACCAGGTTCAAAGTCGCCCATCAGCGGGTGTCGCTTGACATTGACTTGTCAACACACTCCATATCTGGATCCTGCGAGATTATTATCATACCATTGAGTGATCGACTGGAATTCGTGTCTTTTGATTGCAAAAACCTTTTGATTGATGGCGTCATTGTTGAGGGTCGGCGCTGCGACAACTTCTATCATGACGATCCTTTCAGGACGCAAGCAGAACTTTTCCAGTCGGGCGATCTGTCCGAAACTGTTCTGTATCGCGACAACTCCGTCGAGCAGTCACAGTTCCTGCGTAGCAAGTTCAGTGATCTGGCGGACGCTTCGCAACACTCAGACTCGAATCGCTCTCAACTCACCATAAAGATTCCCTCTTCCGTGAAGATCACTTTACAGGATCCCAACTCTCTCACTTTCTTCACACCTGTAACGCCTTCAATTCGCACGCCCGCCCAGGACGCTATTTTCTCGCCCATTAATATAAAGATCAATTACCATTTTCGAAATCCTTTCGGCGGCGTGCTTTTTGACACAACAAGGGAGCAACCGTCCTGGAATGCATTTACTTCCAACTCAGAACTATGCTGCAGTGCTTCTCAATGGATGCCATGTGTTGACGCATTGGAGGAAAAATGCACTTGGGAATTGGACTTTAGCATACCCAAGACTGTGCGGGACATAGGCGTGACAAAGGTTGTTGGAGTGCAACAAAGCAAGAGGCGAAGGCGGGACACGCATGCCTCAGATGACGAAGAAGACGAAGAAGAAGAAGATGCAGAAGAAGAAGAAGAAGAAGAGGATAACCCAATGAATCGAGATATGGTAGTCTGCTGCTCGGAGTTCACCTCGAGTAAAGAAGCTCCTCATCCAACCGATTTGTCCCGAAAAGTTGTGTCTTTTCAACTCTTCAACCCAGTTGCGCCTCATCATATAGGGTGGGCGGTCGGAGCATTTCAAAAGTATACTCTTCCCAGGGTAAGCATTCCGGAAGAGCAGGAGGAAGACCCAGATGAATTGAGAGCAGAAGGCGAAATTCCAGACGAAACCGAGGGAGATGATGTTCCGGTTCAAGTCTACGTGCTACCAGGTCCTGGCATTGACGATAGAACGGTGTTAAATACCACACTTGTTTGCCAGGAGGTCATCGACTTTTACGCCAAGGAGTTTGGCTCTTATCCTTTTACCTGTTATTCCATTCTATTCCTCGCATCTCTTCCAGAGAAGAGCATGAATTTTGCCAGTTTGACTCTCTGTAATACTAGAGTTTTGTATCCTCCAGAGGTTATCGACTCTATGTTTGCATCCACGGATATTTTGGCATGGGCTTTGGCATCTCAATGGTCTGAAATCAACATAACACCAGCAGAGCCAAACGATTTCTGGTGTTGCCTCGGTATGTCAGGTTTTATGGTTCTGAACTTTCTAAAGAAACTGATGGGACAAAATGAATTCAAATACCGGATAAAAACCCAATCAGAGGCAATAGTCGATCAGGACTGGGAGCGACCACCGATGGCAGAAACCTTTTCTGATTCTTCTAAGCCGATCTCTTCTTTGTCTAAAGACTTTGACTTTATCAAACTGAAAGCACCTGTGGTATTATTCATACTCGACCGTCGAATGACGAAAACGGAGCGGTCTTTTGGAATGTCGCGGGTTTTGCCAAAAATCTTTTTACAAGCCATGTCAGGGGACTTGCCGAACAACACTCTATCGACAGCGCACTTCCAGCATCTCTGCGAGCGTGTCAATAGAAACAAACTAGAAAATTTCTTCAGGGAATGGGTTTACGGATCTGGTGTGCCCATTTTCCAGATAACACAGCGTTTCAATAAGAAAAGAATGGTTGTTGAAATGGGGGTTAGGCAATGTCAAGCTCAAGAACTTGGGCGCGACAAAACAGTGGGTCCCGATGGATTTCATGCGAGCGCCCTCAACCATATGGACCATTGTGAAAAAAATATGACATCAGTTTTTACAGGCTCCATGACGATAAGAATTCATGAGGCCGATGGAACACCATACGAGCATATCGTAGAGCTTAAAGATGCATTTACTAAATTGGATATTCAATACAACACCAAATACAAAAGACTCAAAAGAAGGAGGAAAATGAATAAGTCGGCCAAGCATGAAGCTAAAGATGCGACGCCTTTCGATGGAAGCGAAAATCTAGCCGAGGACGATAACGAAGAAATCGTGTTCGTAAATTGTTTGGGTGACGTTCTCACGACTCCAAAGGACTGCAAATCTTGGAACTTAACGGATCCCTTATCAACAAGCGAAGAGGATGAATTCCAGCAGCAGAATGAGGCTTTTGAGTGGATAAGAATTGACGCCGACTTTGAGTGGATTTGCAAAATTCAAATTAATCAACCAGATTATATGTTCGCATCGCAGTTACAGCAGGATCGAGATGTTGAAGCTCAAATTGATAGCATTCGATTTTTTGAGGAAGTTATCACAAGTGCCAACTCTAATTCGCGTGTCTACTCTTCGATTTTGACTAGAACGGTCTTGGACGACAGGTATTTCTATGGAGTTCGAGTTGAAGCTTGCAGAGCGCTATCTCGATTCATGATGAAGGATTATGACGATAAAAGCTTCAAGGGCGGCGCATGGCATCTGATTATGATATTTCGCCATTATTTCTGTCACGATAGTTCCAACATCCCTCTGAATAATAATTTCTCAAAATTTTCTTCATATTTTCTGCAGAAATCCATTCCAACTTTTTTGTCGCAAGTGAAGACAGAGAACGGGACTTGCCCTCATTTTGTCAAATCCTTTTTGTTGGACATCTTGCGCTACAATGAAAATTCAGAAAATGCTTACAATGACACTTTCTATGTCGTAACCTTAATTACGAGTCTGGTTGACAGCTGCATTCAAGACACGAATGATAAGCAATTTGTTAAAGAGCTCATGCAAGAGCTGAGAAGATTTGAAAATCTTGATCGTTGGATTCCGTCGTATCAGTTCTTGGTGACAAAATGCATCATTTGGGAGTATGTACGGTTAGCTGTTGAAGGGCTCTGTGAATTTCCAGATGTACCGACCATTCTGCGATATGCAATGATGGAAGAGGGTGATTGGTCCGACAAAAGCGGGCGTCTTAGAGAAGGACTCCAGGACTTGGTTTTGATGTCCTTCAAGGCTGTTCTTATTGATGGAGGGATCAAGAATCAAGAGGCATTAAAATTGTTCTTCGAATTCTTCTGTTTCCATACTGACCCATATATCAGAATTAAAACCGTCGACGTCCTGATAGATGCGGTGAACTTTATTGCTGTGAAGGGTTACCTCGAAGAGTTGGACGATGACCTTGAAGGAATGAAAAAAACTTTCGAGAGCTTACCCACAGGTGATATTCATGACACTGGAACTTCGAACATTGTTCTCGATGACTCCACTGCAAGTATTAGAGAGCGACGTGACGTCCAATTGAGGGCAAGTATTATTGGTCTCATAACATTGTTACGTCGCAAATTTGAAAATTATGAGCCCCTAAAGGCTATATTATGGAGTGTGTTAAACTCACCTATCGTAGGCATTTACCAGAAGAAGCGCTTGATGGATTTGATAAGAGTTCTGTATCAGTTGCGAGAATCATTCTTAGCATCACTTCCAACTCCGAGGGCTAAGAAGCTTGTCGCCAAAATAACATCCAACGGAATTGTGAAAATCAAAAGGGAGGGAATCCTTAAAGTCCACTTGGCTCCTAAGATCAAATTGAACAGCAAGTCAAGTTCAAACAAGGTCAAAATTAGCCTTGCTTCCAGAAGAATGACACCTTCTGCAGAAAATCGCAAAGACTCTGCGGTTACTCAATCACCATCGAAAAAATCAAAATATTCTAAAGGAGGTATCTTCAGGTTGGGATCAATGCCTCTAAGGTTCGTTAGAATTTCTTCCACTGAAAAGAAAATTGACATCTCTGCCACTTATTTCAACAAAAACGTTGAGATTTTACGCGCCAATGCCCGGTCTCTCAGGATCAGGATCAAGACTCAACCCAAAACCGAAAAACCGTAATTCCGACGTAATCATGCTATGAGGACTCGTAAATAGGCTTTAATCGGCAAAATTGTATTGTAAATCGGGCCTTCCCCTCGAAATGTATTGGTCACGTGGTATGATCCCTTCTTTTCTACTTGATTCAAAGGTTGTGCCAAAGATTGGGAAGATGTTCAGACAGGAAACCCAGCTCTGTGACTCAGCAGAGCACCCAGATTTTAAAAGGTTGTAATCACAACTCTATGAGCCTTTGGTTAATAGTTGTGATTACAGTACAGCTTTTTGAATGTGCGAGGTCCTCTCGAAGATCTGTACTACTCGAGGACGAAATCAATTCCCCTCGTTCACCTAACAGTTGTGAAGTTATACTATCTCATCATTTCCTTTGGAATGGAAACACAGCGGCTCCAGAATATTCTCAGTGTTGTGTTTCGAATACGTCGCAGTTGGGGGTGCCACCTGTGAGTGAGCCAAAGGACGCTTTCGAGCCGATCTCAATTGAAATCTTTGATGACCAAAACGTTAGCTCTGAGAAAGACCATAAAACTCAGAGAAGTTTACCAAAAACCAATTCAAGCTTTTCAGCACTTAGTACACGATCTAGTGCCGCTTCTTCAGTTGTGATTTCGAGTGTAGCGGCTTTGAGCTCCATAATACACGAGGATAAAAGTGCGGACGAGGAAGATGGAAAACGTGACATCAGAAGCACACCCTTCATGTCATTCGACGAGTGGAAAAGGATTAAATTGGGAAATGAAGCGTCAGCAGAAGGTAATGTTGGACAGCGAGCTAAAAAAAACATAGATTACGCTTTGTACAAAGCTGACGTGATGGGAGATGAAATGGAAATTGATGTTGGACTTTTCACTACACAAGATACTGACATAGGAGAGGAAGAACCTGAAGGAAAATTATACATGGATAGATTCAATTATGCTTCTCTCGACTGCGCAGCGACAGTTGTGAAAAGCAATTCCGAGGCTTCAGGCGCCAACGCCATTTTGCACGAAAATAAAGACAAATACCTGTTGAATCCTTGCGATGCCTCCAATCAATTTGTTATTGTCGAGCTTTGTCAAGATATTCTAGTTGAGGAGGTTGCTCTAGCGAATTATGAATTCTTTTCCTCCACTTTCCGTGAAATCAGATTTTCCGTTTCAGATCGGTTCCCGCCGCGCAGTGGGTGGAAAACCATTGGAGAATTTGAGGGCCAAAACGTACGAAATCTTCAAAAGTTTGCTATAGCAAATCCAATGATCTGGGCTAGATATCTGAGAATTGAACTTCTATCACACTATGGAAGTGAGTTTTATTGCCCGATATCCATTTTGAGAGTACACGGGAAAAGTATGATGGATGAGTTCAAAGCTGATGAGCTGGATACTGCACAACGAGATTCAAAGAAACAGGCCTCCGCTAATGTGGCGTCAAACGAGAAGGAAAACTCGTTATGTCACGACACTACTGGCGGGTCTATTTATGGGGTCGATGAGTGCGGCGTTTTACTCGTCGATACTGAAACTGACATCAACGTAACAGAAAACCACTCTTATCAGGGAGGTAAGTGCCCTGCAGTTCTTCCTCACTTGCGGTTTGAACAATTCCTCAAGGGCCTCAACCAAAGCTTCTGTGACACCATTAAAACTAGCAAATCACCTGATATCTCTAGTTCACAACCTTCACCCTCGACAGAAGACTCTATTTTCCGAAACATAATGAAAAGACTTTCGGCCCTCGAGGCCAATGCAACGCTTTCTATTCTTTACATCGAGGAACAAAGCAAGCTCTTGGCAAAGACCTTTCAAACTCTCGAAGAATCTCAAGAAAAGAAGCTCGACATGCTACTTGAGGTTTTCAATCAAACTATTGCTGCAAACATTGACACTATTAATGTTTTCACAAGGCAGTTTAGGGATTCTTCCTTGCAAACACTTGAAGAACAAAAGCTTGAAACAGACCGATTCACCAGCGAAACCTCTTTCAGACTTGAGGCTGTCACGAAAGACGCAATTTATCAGAGGCGTCTGACTTATACCAGCTTGTTCGCTTTTTCTGCTTTACTTCTCTATGTGTTGTTGACTAGAGAAGCATACATTGATGAATACATGGAAGATGATGGTTGGTACCTTAGAACGCCCACTTTACAGAAAGCCAAAAATAATATTATGAAAAAAACAAGTAATGAGGGAAGATTTAACAACTCATTGGTTTTCGAGGCTGTTTCCAATGCGAGTGATGAGGACGATAATTCGTTCTCCTCATCTCCGACCTCACTATACGACAAATTGGGTCCATCTGAATCAGAAAGCTTCAGTTCATTGTATGAAGTGAAAAGAGCACGAAGCGCAGCTCAAGACGAATCTAACGAAGAAAAGCGACCCGAAAAAGGCGATTTTGATTAAACTACTCTGAAGATGAAATTCTAGTGATAATGATGTTAAGTCATAATGTTTGTAATAATAATGTTGCTTGTTCAAGCCAATTTCGACTTAAGTACGCGAGGCTGAAATTTAAACGCTAAGACCGCACCGTAAATGAGCCTCTGTGCGTAATCTATTTGTTCGCTAACAATGACGTTTTGTCATTCCTAGCACAGTTCGTGGCCAGATTTTGCGTCTGCGAAGTCAGGTTTGACATAGGAATGCTAATGATTTATGTTTCATGGTAAATCCTAAGAGGGATTGAGTTGCTTCGTTAGAAGCGTGTTGGAATGAAATCTTGACATGCTCGGTTTGTCAAGGGAAGGAGAGCTCGTGCTAGTTTGAATTGAGGCCATAGATGTGTTACTGAAAATTGATGAAGACTTAGTGGACGTAGGAGTTTCGGGGAGTTCACTCAATTCACCATGATGTAGCTGAGTCCGAAATGGCGAAGTCCATAAGCCGAAGTTTTCGCAAGTCGTTCCACTTCCAAAAGCTTGGACGGGAGTCTTTGGCGGCGCACAAAGAAGCTCGGTATCCTGGTATTTTGCCTCTTCTAATATATCGTCGCTGGCCAAACCGGTTAGTATATCAGCAAGGACATTAGATTCTTTTTGAGAATCATGGCGGTCGATAGCACCTGAAGCTCGGGAAAGCATGCATAGCTGAAGATAAGTGGCTAAATTTTGCCTTGTATAGTCAACGAGATCTTGTTGGAATTCGCTGGCTTTAATCTTTGCTTGAAGAACTCTCGAGCCCGAAGTCTCGCTCGAAAGCGTGTCGAAAATGTCGCTTATGTAGAAGAGACAACACTTTCGAATATCTTCGTAACACGACTGATCGATTTGCAGATTGAGCACTTTCCTTTGATTATCCTTCCAATACTCATCGAGGACAGATAAACCGCTGTCGCCAGCGACATAATGCGAGTTTATTCTGCCATCAATAATGATTTGCGGTGCTCGATTGTCGTCCAAAATTTTGGATGCTATAGCTAAGGCTGACAATGCTTTGACTGTGGAGCTGAAATACATGTAATTCTTTGCATATAAGGAATACAATGCAAGTTGCATCGAAAGTTCATTGATGCGGCTTGAAGTAACTGAATTACGTGTAAAAACGTCAAAATCAAGAAGCATAGACAACGATTGTTGAACTGTAACAACGGAGCTTATGTTCCAATCCAAACTTGTGAGTATGTGCATTTCCATTTGGGCAAACATCTGGCTTGTATACACGTTTCTGCATAGCATAACGAGCTCGTTAGCTAGAGGTGTACGGGATTTTTTGTCCTCGTACTTTGCTGCGATCCACAGGGCAGTAGTGACAACCAACTGGTAATGGCGGCTATACACAACTCTTTTGGACAAATATCGGTCGACAATGGAACCAGCCAGAAAAAGCGTCGCTTCGTTCAAACGAAAATAAGCATGCAATTCCACCAGGAAGTCAATTAAAAAGGGACGCATTTTCCACTCGAGTTCCGGTTGATGATCGATCATGGACACATCGATTCCGTCTTGGCTGTCAAGTTCCCACAAATAACTGAAAATCTCAGGTCTGAATTCGCGTAATGTTTGGCCGGCTTGACTCTCCAACAGACACTGATCACCACAATGGGTCCTTAAGACATTATTAATGCCATGGTCAAAGTTCAACGATAGTGACATTACCAATTCAAAGCACTTAATGTTCCTCAACCAAACAGTGACTGACCGCTACCGGTTACCGAGTATTAATCCAGTCTCGGTATTTGAGTCCAGCTCGAATCTTAATCGCAGTTTTCCAGTTCCTGCAAAACACCAATCCTTTCGAACAAAACTCTTACCAGAACAATTGGATAGGTAGTCGGCAAGTCGAAAGTGGAAGCCCACCAATTTCAACCAAGCCAATGCCGTCTACATATTGTATTATATCCTACATTACATCGAAAAACCCGGGCTGCTTTAAATTAAGGCAGCAGCAGCTGTACTCTGCAAACGGTAAAGAGAGTTTTTTTTTTTCCACAGTCGCGTTCCTCCAATTTAAATATTTTACGCGTTAACAGGCCTAAACTTACCGAAAAAAGCTTACCATTACCTAGCGGTCATAAGCCACTTTGGGACAATTACCGACGACGTCCGATAAAGGATGAGAAAACCGGCGTCGAACACGGTCAGTTTCTTGTTTTTTTTTCCTTCTGCAGTCAAAGTTTTTCGTTTGTTTTCTCACGCTCACATTCCTCGACCGGTCTTGTTGTTTTCCAGATACTTCCACTGAGGCATAGTTTCGTCATCTCGAACTATATTTACGTTCTACATATTTACATAAGTTGCGGGGGCCACAAGGCAAGGTCCAGAATGTAAGGATGGGTGCTTATTTACCAACAGTTCTTGCCTCGTTGTCTTAAATTGGTCGGGCATAGTGATTAGGGCACTCCTATCAAAATGGTCGTATATGGATGAAAGAGGAAAAACTTAGGAAGGAAATTTCCGAGAGTCTCGATTGAAAGAGTTCCAAGTATGGTGAGGTGCAGAAATTGCCAAAACAAGGCGTAAATAAAAATGTTCCGAGAACATTGTGCAATGCAAACGTTCTGCCCTCAGAGCCTTTGTTTTTCTGTGCAGCTAGATAGTTGGCGGATGTGTCATTGGATACTGCACCGTGCAAAAAACATTCCATGCCAAAAACGACCATTGAGGTTGTCCGACGGATTTGATTGTTTTTTCTTTCTTTCCTTTTAATTTTTCTTTTCAGGTCAAGAATTTATATCACTATTCACGTATTACCGCCGAGAGTTGGAAAGTCCGAACATTAGCCGCCGAGGCCATTGGCGGCTAAAAGTGCAAGATTGAAGGAAAAGTAAAAAATGACTTTCAGGAATGAAGAGCGCAGTATATTTTGCTCCAGTATAACACGCAGAGAAACCTTCCTAGCTGCCTCTTCGTAGAACGATCCGATTTATTTTGAAATGCAACGCTTACTCAAGCGTTCTGTATGAACACAAACACGTAGCTGCTAGTAAGCCTATGAAACACGAGAGTGTTTTGGTCTCGATAGCGCTGTCCCCGTCGTGTTTGCGTCAGAAGCCGTAGGACGACGATTCACAAAAAAGAAAATAAAAGACCCACGCTTCGGTCTTGTGAGCGAACTGAATGCTCTTCGCATATAACCCTTACCTGTGTCTCGAAAGTCTAAGTTATTAGCAATGAAAGCGGCGTATCTACTTCTTTCGACCCTCAGATTAGCTTTGGGCATCAAATTCATTGCCCAGGTAAGTCCCGAAAAAAATTTGGAAACTGTGATAGAAGAAATTTTCCCGCAAGGGTATGAGCGCGACCAAGTTGAAAGACTGTCAATTGGATTAGGATTTCAGGCCATCTATGGTGATTTCTCAGAGCAAGTACTGGAAAACCTGTTTTTCGATGGGCGGGTTTCTGCCATTTCAGTTGACAGAAACCTAAGTGCTTCTGAGTACATTATTCAAGAGCATGCACCTGCGCATCTGGCAAGATTGTCACAGAAGGCACCTTTGCAAACGCCCACGGGCGTCTTTATTTACCATTCTAATGCAGGAAATGGGGTTGATGTCTACCTCTTGGATTCAGGTATAAATGGAGATCATCCTGAGCTTCGTGGAAGAGTGACAAAGCTGGCTGATTTTACAAAAGAAGAAAATATTACTGGTGACCCACATGGCCATGGCACCGCAGTAGCTGGAGTTGTCGGTTCGGTCACATATGGCGTTGCAAAAAAATGCAATCTAGTAGACGTACGAATTGCAGATTCTACAGGCAAGGCGCGGCTTTTAAGTGTGTTGCAAGGCTTAGAATTCATTTCTAAGGTTGCTCCCATGACAGAGAGACCATCAGTTGCTCTGTTACCTTACACAATATGGCAGAATGTCATTTTGAACTCAGCAGTTGACGCTATGATTTCTGAGTCCAGGGTACCGCTAGTTGTTGCAGCCGGAAATTTCAACACGTCTTCATGTAATTTCAGTCCTGCCAGTGCTTCGAAAGCCATCGTTGCTGGCGCAATTGACACTGCGAAAGCGGACACTTTGGCACCATTCACAAATAGTGGTCCATGCGTCGATGTGTTTGCACCGGGTGTCAACGTCGAAACAACGCATCACAACAGTTCTGAAGCCGAAATCGTACAAAGAAGCGGGACGTCAATCAGCTCCGGATTAACAGCTGGCCTGATGGCTTACATAATGTCGATGGGTTATAATCCGGTGGAAGCACTATACAGAATGAAAAGCATGAGCGTAAAAGGTGGTATTTCAACTTTTGGGCCGCACCAAGCCGGCACACCAAATCTCATCCTGCAAAATCTTTGAGATCACCCACATCACAAAACGAATTTCCGTGCTATCGAATAAGTCCGCGTCTTGATCGTGAGAGGTTCTTTTTTTCGCTAGCTACGGAATTACACTATCACCGAGATGATTCATAAAAGACAAGCAGGCAGCAACAAGAAGAATTGTTTCCCATATATTTCCAAGCTACCAAAATTTACGTTCTATCTATTGGTCATGGAGAAACAGAAAAATTAGGCGAAGGGTAGTGACTAGCAATTCTCACGCGGTTCGTTTATTTTCTTGCTTAGCGCCATATTATCAGATTTTGCAAAATTTTGAATCCACACCCACGTTTAAAAGCTGCTATTTTCGAAGAATTGAGTTCTTCGAAAAAGTCATGTGGAAATACGTCTAGTTTTCATTTTTGCTCAATTATAGTATATCGAAAAAGTAGATTTTATGATATTGGACGACAACACAGTTTGTGGCCTCTATAACTATTATTTGCCAAAATAAGCTATCTTAAAATGATTCAAATAGGTTAGCCGTTATCGAAGGCAAAACGAGATGGCCGTTGTTGGTCAATATAGAGTATTGATGCTAAAATGTGGGCGAATTTGAGATGAATTAAGGTCATACTACACGAATTGATCTCAAATACAGTTTGAAGATAACGCGTAAAGCATCGCCAGAAAACGCGTCATCTTGAGATTCTCATTAGAACTCGAACAAGTTACTTTTAATGGATTATTGATGTCAACAGATCAATTCAAGGATACTGAGCTTCCACTTAAAATTTTACATGCGAGAATTGCCTTACTTTCGACTGCTATAGGAGGCCCTGACCACACCGCAGAGATTGAACCTACGCCTTACAAGATTGGAGATGACTGTCTTGCATGCCTGAAAGATCTGAAACGATGGTTCAAGCTTGTTGATGACAAGCAGCAGAGATGGGATGTAGCATTGGCTGCTGCGACTTACAATGTTTTGATAGACAACCTCATACCAATTCTGTTAGATTGGGAGAGAAAGTCATCCTTAGCGGCTAAGAGGGCGAGAAAAGAGGGTGGAATACCAGATTCTTATTTCAAGAATAAGTCTTATCATGATAAAATTGCTGTGAATGCCTTGCAGCTGATGGTCTTGATGACTTGGCCCTTGATCTTGACGGATCAATCCACTACAAGTCAAGTTTTGAATTATACCGAACTTAAAAAGCATCAACTTTCCTATAAAAAGGCAATTATCGAGGCAGAAGGAGGCCGTGCTCTTAAAGCTTCTCTCAGAATTGCCCTTGATGTCATCAAAAGCGAGAGACACCTACGAAGTCCAAAAGACAACGTAATTCTTCGGCTGGTTATTCATTTTCTTCGAAATATCGCGGCAATCGAGCCAAGTGAGTTAACCTTAACGACCAAAAAGAGGACAAGTTCCAAAGGGATTGGTGATACAGGAGCCTTGCCTCCTAACGTTTCTTTAGACGATATCTCGTCCAGTTCGCTACTACACGCTTTTGCTAGAAACAAAGTCCTAGATTTCATTGTCACGGTTGGATCTTTGATAAATCGAGATTTGGATGCTAATTTTGTTAGCGTCCCTCTTTTGGAGCTTATGTTTTATTTGGTCAAAAACGTTAATCACAAGGCCTTATTCATAAAGCAGGATGGTTGCTCCCGTGATAGCAACAGATCTGGAACATGCGATAGTAAAGAAAAGGACTCGGAAGTGGTACCGTCTCAGCTAGGGCAGCTTCTGATGAAGGAGCATGAAATGAAAAAAGCAGTAATCAACAACACCTCTGCGAGACACTCCAGGTTTGGCTCACTCATCTCCCTACAAACTGCTGATAATCAGAGGCTAACTGCTTCGGGCGGCCAGGGACTACTGAGCAATGAGTCTGTACTGAAAAAGCTCGATGAGCGCAAGAAATGGAATAAGCGCATTACTCAACGCGAAGAAACCATTGAGGGACTTCCAAGCAGTTTTCTCAATTTTATTCATGATGCAGTTTATTGGAACGTATCTTCGGTCAGAACTTTTCGTTCATTTATCGAGGCTTTTCTAAAAGAAGGTTTCAATCGCCTTCTCAAAAGCTTGACAGATCAATTAACCACTCAGTTAGAGGATACGGCGCTAGTTCATCAATTGCAATATTTATTGTTCATTGTTTGGTTCGCGAGATATCAGCGCTTTCGAGCAAAGGAGGGTGAAGAGTCGCAAGAGCCAGAGGTTTTAGAAGCCGTTTTCGAGGATACCTGTGTCATTTTAGTATCACAATTTTTACGAAGAGCCCAAGAGCAGAGAACGTGGGCCTTAGTGCATGCTTCTATGGTCACCTTCACCGAACTTTTTTATTTACTCGAAAGGTCAGAAAATCAGGGGAGCCAGTCTCAAAACGCTTTCAAGCAAAAGCTCTTTACGGAAGAGCGAATTAAGTTAATATGCGGTTTATCAAAAACTGCATCAAAGCATTCACCTCCATATATCAAATGCTGTGTTGAACTGAATCATATTTTATTGGCCCTACTAAAGCGCTTTGCCAACGAGCAAGAGCAGCAAAAAGGTTCGAATTCCGAGCCCAATGACGACATTGATTACGAGGAGGTTCGAGCCCTGGCTGCACAAGAAGGGATTGAGTTTGAAGATGCCCTCGACGCTTTTCAGATTGACGACTCTTTCCATCGTTTTGATTTTCTAAAAGCGATCAAGTATTTTCCTTTTGAAGGTACTGTTAAGACGTATATCAGTTTCCTGTCCCGCTTTCCCGAACTGGAAAATGAGGATATTGAGAGTTCAGTTGCTTTCCTGTATGAAGTATTTGTTGCTACAGGAGAGATTTCGATGCTTTTTAGAATTGATTTCTTGATTCTTCTGAAGGATATTCTAAGCTCAAATGGACTTTCTTTGCAATCGGCTTCGAGGAAGGTCGTAATCAAATTTGCTGATAAGTTCATGCTTCAATTAAGAGAGCGGCTGAAAAAGTCTCCTTCATGGTTTGTTAACATACTTTTTCCAGTCATTCACGATCGACAATTAGGCTTTTACCAGAAGTACGCTGACGTTAGGTCAGATTTCAAAAGTAGTCGTCGGGTCGTACCACCAGCAGAATTCAAAGCTATCAGTGAGCTTAAAAGCCTTAGTGCAGATCAAATCTTGGACTTTAAAATGGGTGTGCTGATTTCAACGCTGATCGATGATGGCAAGGAACAGCATATTCAGGAGCTCATTCATAATCTACAGAATTTCATGAACCAGCTTGGTAATCTAGCCAGCACCGCAGTAGAGCCTTCGAGCCCCCGATTCCGTTTTCAAACAGCTATCATTGATATACAAAAAGCCTTGAAATTTGACTCTAATTTTAGGGCCTTGTTATTATTGGCGGGGTTTGACATTCCGACGTCCATTGAAGAAGAATGTTTACTGTGCGTTGACTGGGACAAAAAACAAATCGAGCGTTGTACAGAGATTTTGGTGAAGTACTCGACCACTACCTTTGATACTGCTAATGGACTTCCATCGCGAAGTTACCTAAAGGTGTCAAATCTTGACGATCATGACTCGTCAAGACTACATGATGAGAAACCCAATTTAAGCGCTTTGGAACAATCTCAAGAGCAAGAAAGTTCTTATTTCAAGGAACTGGAACGTGGTAGAGATCAAAAAAATTCTACTTCACTACAAAAAGGCTTATCGCGGCGAAAAAAGGCCAAGAAAAAGCCCCAGCCTGTTACAAAGGGCCATTCGAGAGCGGCTCATGCCCAGCCTTCCCACCGTGGTATCATAAGCAAGGAATATATCAGCGACTCTGACGACAGCGATGATGAGAGCTTCAATTCCCATTTTTTTGAAAACGAAATGTACTTGAGGTGGTTGCTAGACAAGCATCAAGGAACGCTGCCACAGAAAAAGTTTAGCTTGTTTGGGAAATTCTGTCAGGAAAGAATTCAAAACGATGGGGAAGCTAACAATTCGTATGAGGTTATGTTCGATGGTCCCGTTCCTTCGCTTGAGGAACTAAAGAATGCCGAGTCGGACGTTCCGCGTCTTGACGTTGGTGCAAATGATCACTATGACCTTTCTCGCAGTCTCGATCAAATGAAGGCGTTAAATGATGCCAATACCGAACATGAGACGTCGCATGACGATAAGCTATTAACCAGCATGCTGCAAGATTCTGATTTGTCCGAATACAATCATTCGACTATTTCGAGCCCCAACGACAGCGAGAGCAAGAGAACGAGTAAAAGAACAAAAGATGGGCCCAAAGACCGTAAAAGAAAACGGATTAGAATTGACGAAGACGAATACTCTGAGTAAAATTCCCCCAACACGCACGACGAGCGGAGGAACAGCGAGAATCCTTTCTCAATTGAATTACATTTTTAAGCAGCAGTTTTGATGCGCTGTCAATAATGAGAACATTGCTTTTGTGCGCGAAACAAATCAAAGATCTGTACTACGCGATTTCGAGAATATGAGGATAGAGTTTTGCAAGTGATATTATATAAATTGCCGAGCACAGCTTGTCGCTGCCACCAGCTCTCAATCGAAGCAAGAGGACCGCGTGATTTGAGGGCAATTCTCTTGAGCAGATCTCATCATTGAGAAAATCATAAATCTGCAAGTTTCATACCAATATGCTTTAAAACTTATATCGAAGCGGGGTCACTTAAAGAACTGTCAAAGTTCAGAGCTTATCCATCGAGGATACAAAAAAAAATAAAAAAAAAAAAAAAAACTAGTCGTGCACGAATCGGCGTGTAATTAACAATGGTTAACTTTCTCGTGTAGCGGATTATATCTGCTTTTCATTTTTAAAGCACCTAGGTATTTCTGAGAAATTTTCTCCGCCTAGTTTCGATTATTTTAGTTAGCATGCTTGTGTCAAGCCTCGGATTCAACTAAAAAATCTCGAAATCAAACAAATCGGGTTCTACTGGGGTACTACGTGAGGAGAAACATGGTTTAGCTACCACTCAACGATCTCTTCAACATTTTTGCCGCAATCGGTGCTTCCTAATATGTGCTTTAAGGTAAATATCCCGTCACTGAGCATCTAAAGGTAGGCTCGGCTCTAGAGGCGGTGTTCCCAATATCGCTGCTTCGAGTAACCAGAAACAAGCACTTTCATAATCAAATATTCGCTCATTAACTTAAAAGGAGTTTAACTTTGTAGAGCTCTGATATTTATGCCGATTTCATTTCCGGAAAATTTCACAAATACTCAAGTACTGGAAATAATCTGCAGTATTCAGCCAAAAAGCACTTACGGGGTACAATCGAACTAAACTAAAAGTGGCTTTGTTCTGCGGTCCCAAATTGCTTTATATGGCACTGCCAACAAGTTCAGTATCGTAATTGTTATTGAATCATTAGCATGTGCCTTGTTTTTCAGAGGCCAAGAACGACGCGGGCAAGAATTTGCCGACATTATTGTGTACTATTCGCTTAGTAGAATATTTCTTTCCTCTTGTGGTGTGAATGATTCATTGTTTTGAGTGAGAGCTCAAAGCATCATCAAAATTTGTCTCTTCGTCAGTATCGGCAGTTGTTGATTCTTCATTTACGACTGGACTATCGTTCCGCGTCCCCCCGACAAAAGAGTCCTGAGGCTGAGTAGAAGTGATTTCGACAACTTTAGCTTCTTCTGCGTCTTTTTCGAGAGGAATCCCCCCGTTAGCAGATTGCTCAAGTGATAGGGGTTCTTCTTCTGCGACCTTGATGTTTGTTGTAGACATGTCTTCTTCAGGCTTCTTGACTTCTGAATCATGGCCAGGGTCCGTACTTTGCCTAGCACCAAGGTCCGAGCTGGTCTTAGGAGATTCTTTGTCAGCGTAGGATTCCAGAATGGATTGAGAATCGTTATTGTAAGTTTTACTGGTGTCTTGTGGCTCCTGCGATTTTACTTCTGATTCGAAATTGAAGGCGCTCCCCGCGTCAAGCTGTATATTGGAGTTCCACCCTTCTGCTTTCGCATCTCTGGAAATTCCTAGGCCAGAATTCAGATCGTGGCTTCCTCGTTCCTCTTCGGTATGTGGGTGAACGGGACCAATCTTGGCAGATACGGCATCGTCTAAGGACCATATACCAATGTGTGCCCAGTGTAACGAGGATCGCAGCTTACACAGCTGAGCCCAAGCTCGCTGAACATTAGTACTTGGCAGTTTCTCTTTGTTCCAAAAGTCGGGACCAGCTTGAATTGAGATTTTTTTCTGAACCTGATTCTGCTTGTTAAGAGCAGGAAGAAAGCTTAGCCGCTTCGATAGTTTATCGGTGGTGTTCAGATTATTTGGCTCGTTTGTGGCGATTTGTGAACTCGACGAAGGATCTGAGAGTTGGGAAGGCTCCTCTGATGGATTTTGGATGACAACCTTCTCTAAACTCCAAGCACCACTTTTTAAGGAGCGCAAAAAGGCGAATATGTCGCAAGTTTGTCTAATTTTTAGCAAACAATAGTGACATAGGGGAAACTCTGTTTCATCGTCGAAAATCCCCACCTCGCTTTTCAAGATTTTAATAACATATAGTCGCCCATGCTCCAAAATGTCATCTCTGTTTTCTGAACAAATTGCACAAGGTGTTTGAACAGCCACAGGTGGTGAGTTTACCGGATAGTTGAATAAATGACGCTCTTTTTGAGCTTCGAGTGCAGGTGAAGTGATGCCTGTGGTTTGTGGTGACGTGTACCCAGCTCTGTAAGTTTCATTTATGCCACTTATCGGTTGTATGGCAACCAGCCCTTGAATCATGAGACTCATCAAATGTCTTTTGATGTACCAGCCGAGCCCGTTGGCATTATCCAAACGTAGTATTGGCTGAATTTCGTCGTTAACTAATCGTTTCAGAAGCTTCGAATTGGCAGCGGTCTCCTTGATAGAGCTACAAGAAGGCAACGCAGCGATAAATTTCAAGAACTCCGTATACAGAAGTAAGTCATACCGCAAGGTTTGGAGATTTGGTGAGAAAATCACGTTTGTATCCCATGTATTTTCCACGTTCGACGGAGTTTTTGATATTGATAACCCGGAGGACACATTAGAGCTAGCCGGGATTTCATTTGAGGAGTTTTTCTGCACATTAGAATCTTTATTCGAGTCTAAGTTGTAGAGTACCTTCTTGAGATTCTTTAATTGGAGGGAAAGAGTCTCTAGCACCAAATCTTTTTCTTTGATCTGTTCGCTAAGGCGTGTATTCTTGATCTCAACTTCGTGCGTCGCTTTTCTAGCTTCAGCAACCATTTTATTCGCTTCGTCAAATAAGGACGCCGTCAAATCTTCTACCTCCTTGTTGAGCCTGCTTGCATCATCTTGAGCTTTTTGCCTTAAAGCTATTTCCGATACTAGTTGGTTTTGGCATTTAACCATTTCTTCCATTTTCTTTCTATGACTACTTTTGAGTTGCTCCAGCTCTGTTTTCAACGCTTCAAGTGAGTTCAAGGCATTGCTTTGATTTGAAATTGTTCTTTTAGCTTGCAAAAGTTGTTCTTCTAAGTGTGATTGTTTGTCAATGCTTTGAATCAACTGAGTTGATAAGGAAGACACTTGAACCGATATCCTTTTCGACTCTTCCTCGTCCGACATTCAAAGAGCGGTAAAGGATTTTGGATAAAATAAGAGATCCACAGGAGTCCAATTGACCTTACGACAGCGGTTTATCCTTTGATTTTCCGGTTTCTCTAATTCTTAGAGTTTAGATATATAAACATTCCGTCGTATATTAATACTACAAATCGCCAAGCAAAATTGAATGCACTACGATATATTAGGGAGATCATCATGAGGCCCTTGTATAACGCCTCACCCAGATATTTATAATTACGACCAGGATCGTGGTGCCTCTTGGTGTTCATTTAGCATTGCAAACCCACTAATCAGTCGTCTTTTTGCTCTTCTGACACCGAGCTCAATCGACTCTGGTTAGGTACAGAAGTCTCCGTCGTTTCTTTCTCTTCGACCGTTGGCTCAGGCTCATATGAAACCATCATTTGTTCTTCTTCTTGGGGTGTAGGCGAATCTTCAGGCTGCCCGACGAACTTCAATCTGTTTTCAGATGATTCATTTTCTTTTTTTGCATGTCTAACACGTCGTCTTGATCCATCGTGATCGCCTCTTGATGTCATGCTCTGTGACTGCGAATTTGGACTTCTTAGTTCTAGCAAAAGCGACCTTGCTCGATCTGATAAGTCTTGAGAGTTATCGGCGTCTTCGAAAACGTCATCTGTTAACCGTCTCGTTTTGGGTGCAGGCGTGGGAGATTTTTCAACCAGTTCTGATTGTCCTTCATCTCTCTTTTCCTTATTTTCAAAATTATCTTCCATGTTACTTTTTTGTCCTTCTTCTTCCACTTCAAAGTTGTCGAGTATGGTGGAGTTGGATGGATTGCCTTGCATGAGCTTTTTCCTGGCAAGGGCCCTCTTTCTCGCAGAAGATGGGTCGCTTTTTGAGGGTGCAGCATTCTTCAGCTTTTCTAAAAGCTTGTCCATTACGTCGCGTTCCCCTTCGCCATGATTGGATCCTAGTTTACCCGTTTGATTGGCTCCCACTTTTTCTAGCTCTTTTCTTTGTTGATTTTCGATCAGCTTCTTGCGACGTTCGTAGACCTTCTCCTCTTCTTCCACCTTCAGGTTGTAATTTTGGGCCTTCTTATACTCCTGCATGAAATCGGCGAACTTTTTAAAAAACGAGTTTCTAGCAAATCTATCTGTTGCATCTTCTCCAAACATCTTCATTAGATTATCAAATTCAAGAAGGGTTAATTTCATCTCATCTAGCAACAGCTCGCCCTTACGTTGAGCATCTGGAAGCAGTGGGAGAACTTTCATTAAAATCCTGTCCTCGGGATGGAACCTACTGGAATCGCTTAGGTTACCAATTTTGATTGACCGCTCAACGTTCGAAATATTTTGGGAAAACTCTTTGCAGTCTTTGGTCAAGTGCTCAATTGAAATCTTCACAGCTGGCAAAACGGGCTCGAGATCTAATAGAAACTTGTTAAAGGCTGGATATGTCTCTCTAACAATCTTTTCGACGTAATTGAGAAATGTCATTGTATTCTTTTCGTCCTTTATGAAGGTCAAACGTTGTAATGTTGCAAGCTTAAAGCCTTGCGCCTGTTTAGAAGAATCATTCATAAAATTTCCCACCGCCAGAATAACGTCGAAAACGTTTCTCAAATATTCTGAGTTCTGTACCGCACTTACAGCGGCATCGAGAGATCTTAATTTGTTTACCAGCTCCACGTATTCTTTTTCAAACGTTGTGATCATCTTGATCGCTCTCATACGGGAGGTCCAGTAACTTTGTAAATTTACAATTAGAGCAAGATATAACTGGTCTGCTCTTTGTAGCTCTGTGACGTCCCTCTCTGGCGCTCTCTCATCACCTACAGATTTTATGCCTTCCCAATCCGTACTGTAAGGAGCGAAATTTCTTGCTAAGTTATTGGAAACTTCAGTTATCTCTTGCTTGGAGAGAAATTCAATTACGCTTGGAGTCTCCAAAAAATCACGATCGCATCGAAGGATTTTGTTCACGACTTCATCGGGTTCGATTGATGAATACATATGCAAATTGATACCAAATTGCTGTGAAACATCTCGGGACAGAAATGATAACTTGTCAAGATCATTTTTCTTCCTACTTGATAAGTTCTTGATCTCTCTAGCGGCGAATGCATGCTCCAACCTGGACAAAATACCCTTCTCGTACAGTTCATCAGCAAATTTCTCGGCCTTCCCTTCTTTCCAAATAGAGTCGTCTGCATCATCAATTTTCTCCCAGTGCAGTTGCTTAAGCTTCTTGGCGGGACGAGGGTACTTGTCAAAGAGACTCCTAGGTGGAAGTGGTAGGGGAGATGCAGATCTAGATTGCTTTGCTGAGTCGGGGGGGAAGGCGGGCGCTAGTGGTGGAGGAGGTGGCGGGGGCAGAGGGTGCCCACCTGACGCTGACGACGCAAGCTTGGAGGGTAGCATAGGAGCAGGAGGAGGTGGTGGTGGCGGTGGTGGTGGGGGAGCTGGTGCATCAGTATTTTCTTCTTTTTTGAATAGGTGCTGTGGTGGTGGTGGTGGTGGTGGTGGTGGAGCTGAAACATATTGTGAGGTTGAAGTTTGCTCCGTCTGGTGGCAATTAACTTCGGCCTGCTCAGAACGCCCAGGAGTAAGGAGCGTCGTGGGCATGAGCGGCGCAGGAGGTATTGACCCCTTTGAATTTATCATACGGGCGTTATTGGTCGCTGTATATGATGAGTCTCCAGTATTGTTCATGTTTTTTGACTTCTGCTGCTCCGAGGAATTCTTCAGATTCGAACTTCCGTCAAATTCAGGCTCCATGAATATGACAGATTCGTCCAGGGGCTCTGAAGGCGCTGTAGCCTTCTTTACACGTTCCATGAAAGAAACTCTGTGAGACTTTTTTGCCAGGGCTGAAGAAGTAGGAATATCATGCTCCTCACCATGAGCACTATTTGTGCTTCTTCCCGTGCCATATTTCTTTGATAAAGTCTCAAGAAAAGAGGTTGTACTCTGCTTATGATCGCTGGCATCAGCTGTTGTTGGTCTCTCGTTTTCTGAATCAGAGCTTAGCGAGGGCTCATCACCGTTGTTATTCTTTTCAGCAAAATTGTCCTTGATCTCATTAAGTTGTTGTAAAATCATGGAAAGCTCTTCAATTCTTGCATTGATCTGTTTGGGATCCAGGCTTTTACCTTGGGAACTGAGATCCGTCTCTTCATCGATGTGGCTTACCGGGTCGACTTGGAAATCAATTCCGAAGCCTTTGTACCTCTCTTCCAATATTTTGAGCTTCTCTAGCGCATCATTCTTTTTTTCTTTAAAAAGCTCATTGACCCTTGCCTCAACATTGAATTTTGAGACATCGTTACTCTCCTGTTGGACTAATTCTAACCTTCTCTTTAAATCCATCAAATTTTTGAAATCATTTCTTTCAGCTGCTTCGTTGCGTTTTCTTTCACGGTGTATATTTGGAATAAAACTGCCCTCGCTCTGCTGCTTCTTCTGGAATTCAGAAAAATTGGTCATTTCCAGTTCTCTTGCTTGATTTTCAATGTCTTCCATACGGGATCTTAGCAACCTCAATCTCTTGTTTGGGGCTACAGACATGCCAGACTTCTTTGATTCGAGAGATATGTCTTGGCGTGTTTGCTGCAATTTGTCGTGGAGAGCCCTTTGTATCGCTAGTTTACGCTCAGGCTTCAGCAGGTTTGGAAGTGGCTCCTTTTCACTTAACGGTGGCGGGGACCCTTGGGGTTTCGTTTGACTGTTGAGCGACGTTAAGGCTTTTCGAAGTTCTACTTCATGTTCGTGCTTCGCCAGAAGGTGCTTCTTCTTTAGATCATCCAGCTCATGTTGGAGCTGAGTGGTAACGCGGTGACTTTTCTCAAGAATACGATCACGTTCTGTTAGTTCCATTTGGAGCTGTCCAACTAAGCCGTCCTCTGCCTTCGATAATTTATTCGCTAGACTATCTCTTTCGGCTTTGATCTCTTCATATCTCATCATCCAGTCACGGCTTTCGGAAATGGCGCGACGTGCCGTCTCGTCCGTCTGTAGAGCATCGTAAATTCTCTGAATTGTGGTGAAAAATGTTGGCTCCAGATCGCTTGAGGACATCGATATGTTAGAAATTAATGCGTCGATTAACCTGAGCTGCTTTGTTCGCTCCCCAGGGTCATCAGGGCCCTCGCCGAGCTTATTGCTTGTAATGAAAAGGTGCTGTAACACAGACGTAAAATAAGTTTCAGCATCAGTGCCCTCATACGTTTTCCATAGCGCCTGAACGATGGATTTTGGATCTTGCATATCAACTTTGTAAGTGGTTGGCCCAGTACTAACTAATGTATTGTAATCATCGGCTGTCCCATCCTCAAATAAACGTAACTGCTCGTTCAACTTGTCGTAATCAAGAAGAATTAGCTTCTTAATGAGGCGAGGTAGGCCGGCCGTCTTCAGACGGGTCCGAAAAAGGGTTCGTTTTTTAATATCAGGAATCGTGCTGCATAGCTGATTGACCAACAGCATGCTAAGGTATGAATATTCGAGAATGGCATTTTCACCACCTGCGTTCTTAAATTCATCAGATGCGCCCACTAGAGATCCCATCTTGCCTCGTCCGTCTAAAGTGTATTCCACGACCAAAAGCCATTGTTCTAGCTTTCGTAGCCCCTCGTAATTCTCCAGACTATATTCGCGGTAGTCATTAGATTTCGATTTCATGTTCTGAATCCGCGCTTGGATGTGTCCATTACCAGCAGATTTTGCCAATTGATCAAAAACAGTCAAAACTTGGCCCAGGCCCTTCTCGGGATCCCACTGTGTGACAAAAATTAATAGCTCACTTGCCATCCTCCTCGTACTTATTCTCAAGGAAAAGAGGCCTTCTATGATGGCCATTATAATAATTTTTGCCTTTTTGGATTTAACGGCTTCATCTGCGCCTTCTCGCAAATTCAAGATAGTTTTCAAACACTTGAAATATGCGAACTCTCTGTCAAGGTCTTCCTCTGTGATTGTAGTTCCAGAATTGTCCCTCCCACAAGACTTCATTATCACATTCGCAATTGCCACCTGCCCCTGGGCTTCTAAAAAGCCAAGGACCCAGTCTATTTGTTCAGTTCTTAGTGACACCCATAAGTCATTGAGCCTCTTGGATGATAAGTCATTGGCGATAATTTTGCGAACGTAGTAATCTGGGGAGAGATGCGTCGGATCCTGAGATAGCGTGGTTGTAGAGCTCGAATGTTCGGCGCCTCCTTCGTATACCTTATCGCGGCCGGTACCTCCACTTGATATACTATGGCGAGAGCTTTGAGGTCCAGACGCAGCCTTGCTAGCAAGTCCTACATTTGAGTCGTGCGGCGCCGAGCCTAAATGTTGAGTAGATCCCGCCGAAGTCCCATGTTTAACGTTACGGATTTTTTTTATCTCGTTTTGTATGTCTTGTCGAACTATTGTCCATTTTTTTTCCAGATCGTAGCCCTTCAGATCGCCATGTTGAGAGCGATGCACGGATTGGAAAACATTACGCTTATGAAGTACTTCTTCGAAAAGCTCATCTACCTCCCTTGGGTCTGCGGGCATCTCGACCCTCACATTCCCGTCAGCATTGACATATTTGGAGAGATTTGAAGATGACAGCTGGGAAACTAAGCTCGCGGAGGACGCACTTTGGTTGGTATGCTGGCGACTTAACTTACCCCCATTACTGGAACTGAAACCTGATACAGTAGCATGGCCCGAAGCTCCGCTGGCGGACCATTGAGACGCCCGCCGTGAATATGAATACTTGGTCGGAGACCCGCTAGATGCAGTAGACTGTGACCTACTATGAGTATTAATGTCAGTGTAGGCGGATAAATTTTGCACATTGAGAGTCGAATGTTTGCTTAAGGGCTTCGAGCTAAACTCCCCACTAGCGGGAATTTCGATCTTAGTAGGTGAAGATATATCGGACGGCTCTATGCGCTGTGTCAGGTGGTTTTGAGCGCTGCCCCCTTTCAGTTTCTTCAAGTTAGAGAACAGTCCTCCACTCCCAGAACTGCTGCTAGCATTACGGTTGTGCGACGCTTTTGATGACCTAGAATTCGAAGACTTATGCATCAAGGGAAGTCCAAGAAACCAACGCTAAAGGAAAAGAAACAACCGCCGCTCGAAAATGTTAGATATCAGACGAATGGCCCAAAAGCCTTGCAGTATTGCTAAACTGGCAAGCAATCTTTCAATGACGAACAGAAGGAACCAATAGGCAAAGGAACTTCGAATTATGCGGAAAAATCGTATCGAGGTAAGCCTTTCCAAAAACAGATTGTGGAACAGTCCAGTTTCAAAATAAGGCCATGAAAAACTGGTTTCAAACCAGCCCTAGTCAAATTTATTTTCTACGGCTTCTTTGGTCTATCAGACTAAGCTTTGTCCCTCCAGCCCTTCAGTTAGTTAGTGTGTTACCACTCTTAACATCGGAGCTTTCCTTCGGAAAGAATTGTATTATTGATGTCATTGTATACGTCACTCTGGTTGTTAGACCATAACTCTGGCTAACTGGCCTGACCTAAAACGATGGAATACGCTTCACTGGGATAATAATTGAGCAACAGCAAGTCCTACCTTCGAAAATAAATCTTCTCAATGACATCTTCCTGCAATTGAAGATACTAAACAAGTTTTGACCTAAAAATTACTTTTGCGTTGTGCGATTATATCTAGTTGCAAGCATATAAGTATATTTTGCTTCAAGCCACTCATTGAAATGTAACATAGTTGGTTTCTATCGAGTGACATTTGATCGATGGTACGATTCGTTTTAATTGGATCATATTGAGCTTGATTTTGTATGGTATCAATCGTATGCCAAGCACAGGCTATCACCTATCGTATCCTCTATCGCATTGGATAAGTACTCTCCGGCAGCTTCAACTTTCATGGACAATAAACTAAAAGTTGTTTAGGAAATTTGCCGCATTAGTCAAATGTTGGCCTTAATCTCGATTAGTTTTATTAGTGTACATATTTAATGCGCTTTAAATATATTTAAGTCCGTGAAACCGACTACTGCAATCATCAACAAACACTGGTTATGCGAAGTATCGACATCTTGAGTCAGTTCCAATCTAGGCAATATTAAAATGAATGATGATTATCATTGTGTTAGTTTCAAGCCGCTGCCACCCAGAATTTCTCCCACAAGCCCTTTGGTTGCTCCTCTACCCAGATAACATTCTCAATATCGCGCCTGTCGGTATCTAAGTCAATCTCATGTACCTTCCAGAAGAAGCACTCTCTTTTCCACAGCTGGAAGACGGCCCAGAAGAAAAAGAATAGGAAGACAGAGATATAGGCAGCGAAGAAATCCTTAACATTAAAAGGACAGAAAGCAGTAAATCCTTGGATGAGGATAATTAAACCAACGAAAAAAGCGGCGTAATAGGCTCCCCAAGGCATAAATTTGGCCTTGAAAGGTAAATCGTCGCGCGATATTCCTTGGAATTTCAACGCTTGCATGAACCGAATGTGAGCGATCGAAATCAGCAGCCAGGCAAAGAATCCAGCAACAGCAGTAATGTTCAAGAGCCAGTTGAAGACAACAGCTGCACCTTCGGATTGGTTCAAATAAGCCAAGAACCCAAATAACGTTGAAATTAAAACTGAAAAGTAAGGAATACCAGATTTCGTGGTCCACTTAAAGATAGGAGGAGCAAGACCGTTGCAGGCCATACTGTACAAGATTCTCGAGGCAACGTAGATGTCTGAGTTTCCGGCAGAAATTAGCGTCGTGAGAATGACGGCGTTGAAGATATGGGGCAAAACTTTAGTTCCGGAGTTCTCAATCGCAATTAAAAATGGTGAGCTCGAAATGTAAGAGCCACCGGACGAAAGCTTAGGATCATTGAAGGGCACGAGGAGACCAATGAAGAAGAGCGACAGAATGTAGAAAAATAAGATTCTGAAAAAAACCTTGTTGATGGCTTTGGGCACTGTTTTTCTGGGGTTAGCTGCTTCACCTGCGGTAATACCGACCAACTCGGTTCCCTGGTACGTGAAAGCAGCACTAATTAAGGAAGAGACCCAACCCAGAAATCTACCTTCTGCTTTCTTATTAGAAATTATACCGTCACCCCAAGGTCCTGGATTTCTCCAGTATCTGAACCCCACTGGACCCGTGACGCCCGCGCCGCACACCATACACAACGCATAGATGATGAAACCTAGGATAGCGATGACTTTGATGCATGCAACCCAAAATTCGACTTCACCATAAAACTTGACCGGCACAAAATTGGCCGCAGTCAAAACAACCCAAAAAATCGCAATCCACGCAGCATCGGGCACAGCAGACGTCCAGAACTGGATTACCTGGCCAATGGTCGTCAGCTCAAGGGCCAGCGTGATGACCCACGTCAAAAAATAAGCGTACCCGCTGGCTGCTCCGAGCGCGGGTGACAGAAACCTCTGGTTGAAGACCATGAAGGACGAGGTCACGGGAATGAAAGTCGCCATCTCACCGAGCGACTGCGTGACCATGTACGCAAGCGAACCCATGAAAATGTACGCAATGAGCGACCCGACGGGGCCTGCGTTGACCAAAGGCGTTGAGATCGAAATAAATAGACCTGTACCGATCGTACCACCCATCGCGATCATAGAAATGTGTCTGGGCTTAAGACCTCTCTTCACTTGTGTTTCCTTGATGCTACCCTGGTTGGAGTCTCCGCTCCCGGCTTCCAGCTTTTCGTCCGATTGTGTCACAGTCGTGAGTCCCTTCTCGACGACGGACTCATTAACATCTTTGAGCTCTTTGTCAAATTCCGACATTGTGTTCTTCACAGTAAGAAGTGACTCAATGCTCGGAGGTCCCTGACTTAGATTCTTGACAACTGACAACAGCGTCAAAGTTAATCACTCAAACCCGGTATATATATATATCTTGTTGACCTTTTCACACGCTTCTGAAGATACTTCATCAAGAGAAATTTTCCATGTCACTTTTGACTCTTATCTCAAGTCCGCCAGCGGTATCTCGATCATCATCAGCTACTTGTTCCTTACGTCAGAAAAAGAAAAACGGCGAGCCTGTTCACTTTCCACACGGGTAACGGCGGCGCCAGTACCTGTGGGCGAGGGGCCCCGCAGGAGGTTAATGCATGTGGAAAAAGAAAAAACGCATGACGACAGAGTCCTATTATAGCATGGACTCCCCTGTATCGCATCGCCTGAAGATGACGAGCACGGACATCTCCTATCATGAACTGAATTGTCAAGCGTGGAGCTACCTTCCCGTATTGCACCATCAGCTAGTGAGACTCTCGGCAATTCTTTCGGTCCGAAAGGGCTATCTTTTCGCCTATTCTTACTCGGCACAAAATTCGAGCGTAGTTGATGCCTTACGAAGGGCGCTATTTCGAAAAGCGGCTTCGGTGCAGGAAGCGTCTTTTCTTTTTTTGCCTACTGTGTACGTTTCTTTTTGATCGTGTCGCGTCCCTTTCTTGGAAGGACGTAGCTACAGAGGTCAGTGGGCTTGGAGAAGCTTCGCAAAGGATTGCCATGAGGGCCACGGCCGAAGCAATAGATGTGGCCGAGGATATCGCAGCCGTGGCGAGAATCACTCGGATCGTCAGACTAGAGCGGCCCAGAACGCCATCCACCGGCCCCGAATTCGGCTCCGCGGGATATCCTCATCGGTCTCCTCCGCACGAGGCTCCCCCTCGCAGTGCTTTTCAGACCCATCTATGCCATTTCGGTCGGTATCGATGTCTATGTCACACGACCGGTACGCTAGCGGACAGCGGGTCTTGATCTGGAAACACGCCCATATGACGATGAAAAGCAGGACGCTTATATAAGCCGCGAAAAACTCCGAGACGTCGAATGCGGGGGCAAAAGCGGTGAAGCCCTGGATCAGGATGATAAGTGTGATCGAACAAGCAGCGTAGTAGGCAGCCCAAGGCATGTATTTTGCTTTGAACGGTAGCTCTTCTCTTGACATCTTTCTGTGTTTCAAAGCGGCTATGAAGCGCAGGTGCGCGACGGAAATAGAGAGCCAGGCAAAAAACCCAGCAATGCTGATGATGTTCAGCAGCCAACCAAAAGTCTTGGCCGCGCTGGAAACGGCTAGAAACGCGAGTGATCCAAACAGCGAGACAGTGGCAACGCACACGTATGGAACGCCCTGCGCGGTCAGCACGCCCAACCACGCTGGTGCCAGGCCGCTGACAGAAAGTCCTAGAAGCACACGTGATCCGACGTAAACGTTCGAGTTTGCCGCCGACACAATGGTGATGAGGATCACTGCGTTGAAAATGTCGGGCAACACTTTCGTGCCTGAGTTTTGGATAGCGATGACAAAGGGCGAGCTCGATATGAAGCTGGACGTAGATACCAATTTCGGGTCGTCGTACGGAACCAGCAGGCCGACAAACAGCAGAGACCCAATGTAGAAGAGCAAAATTCGGAAAACCACTTTGTTGATGGCCTTCGGCACCGATTTGCGTGGATTTGCGGATTCTCCCGCGCTGATGCCCACGAGTTCTGTTCCTTGGTACGTGAACGCTGCGTTGATCAGCGACGAGACCCATCCCAGAAACCGGGCCACATTTTCGTTGCCTGAAATAATTCCTTTGCCCCAGGGCCCCGGATGGCGCCAGTAACGAAACCCTACCGGTCCCGTGACCCCGGCTCCACACACCATGCAAAAAGCATAGATAATAAACCCTACAATGGCGATAACCTTGACAATGGCTATCCAAAACTGGAATTCGCCGTAGTATTTCACTGGGAATAGATTCGAGACTATCAAAGGAACCCAAAATATGGCGATGTACGCTGCCAGCGGCACTGCTTTTGTCCAATATTGGATAATCTGGCCGATGACAGATAATTCGAAAGCAAAGGTAACGCACCACGAAAAAGCGTAGATGTAGCCTGTAGCAGCGCCCAGCGCTGGCGACAGAAATCTGTGTGTGAATACCGTAAACGAAGAGGCTACCGGAATGAAAGTGGCCATTTCACCAAGCGATTGCGTCACACAGTACACTATGGTGCCCATAATCATGTATGCGATTAGCGCGCCTACGGGGCCCGCGTTCGCGAGAGGTGATGAAATTCCGACGAAGAGCCCTGTACCAATGGTACCTCCAAGTGCAATCATGGACACATGCCGGGGCTTGAGTGTGCGCTGCAATGCCACCGACTTCTGTGCGTCCGCGCGGCCAAACTCACGTGGCGCCTGCTCTATATCCTCGAGTGTAGTCACGTGCCCCATGCCTGATACCTCGATACTGTCTTGAGTATCATCTGGTAAGTGTGAGACTATACTACCACTTTCCTTTGAGGAGATTCGCATTGCGTACTGGAACAAACTGTTTACGCCGCGGTGGTAGTTTTGCGTTCTTCAATATCATACACCAGATTTAAATTTCGCCTTTTATTCGTGAACTTCTTCTTCGGATTAGATTGAGTCGAAACTTATGTGAAAGCAGACCCGGAGAATGGAAGCACTTAACTACTAAATCGATATAAGATAGAAACATAGTGAGGAATTTGGGTTCTTACGTTGAGCTAAGCTAACGGGGAGGAATTTTTTCTTTCCTCAGCTATTAAGGCAGACCTTGCTCTAGGACACCTCACCTTGAGTGCTTTGTTTTAAATAGTTTCTTATAGCAAATCACTAAGGTGAGAGAGAAAGGGTTGATACCATTGTGTATGTTGAGAAGATGTCTTGTTGATTGACGCACCCTATTGGTCTTTCCTTTACGATTGTTTCTTACAGGCACTTTACAATGAATATCACTCGAAACGGTAGAATCGAAGACACTAATTGTGCATATCACGTTGGCATTATAGCGGCAACGACCGATACAGAGTATTACTATTTTGTTCGGCCGTGAATTTTAAACTGCCCTAGTCTCTTCATAAAATGATCATAGTGTGTTTGATTACAACGTAAGGTATTTTCTATGTCTTGCTCTATCATTAAAAGCTACTCTCTTTGAGAGTTCTGCGGCTCCATCTAGTACCCGCTAGGAAATACGGCAGCGCCTTGCGCGCTAATTCCTGCCCAATCACCAACGCTCAGCGACTGCAAAACCGTACGTTGCCCATTTCCTGCACCGGAAATTACTGATACCTCGACGCCGCTAGAATTGCTGCTTCCTGGGCTTAAAGCGTAAACATAGCCTCCCGCTGCAGCGATGTCAACGTAAGTGCGTGTGGTGTTCAAAACAGACACGATGCTTGCATCGAACAAGCTCAACTCGACCACATGACCGACCCGAGGATCGGTCACGAATGCCGAGTTAGAAGCAGGCGATACCGCGGCCCAGCATGTAGCCTTTTGGCCGGGGATCTCCTGTCTGTGCAAAACGCGGGACACACCGGAAGCTTCGTCTACGGAAATGATTGCCGCACCGAAAGAAGGATCTGCCACAAAGTACTGACTGGATTCAGGAATTTGCTGGAATCCGAAAAGTAGGTTGGTTTCGTTCAAACTGGTGCGGATATCAGCAGGCGCAAGACGAGCGCCTTCAAAGCCGGATGGTACAACTACCGGGTATATCGAGACAAAACCATTGTTCTCGGGGGTCCCTTTACCCTTGACGGTGGTGATAAGCGATGTCTCGTCTTCCGAAAAGTAAACCTGGGAAACGGTGTTCGCTGGGCCCACCGGAGGTGTTGACTGGCCCAATTCGAAGCTCCTCAAGAAGTCGAACTTGCCAATGCCCACATTGGGAGAGTAGGGAGCACATGTAACGCCCGAGCTGGCACCTGTCGTCGCAACACACACAAGCTCATGCAGCAAAGACGCATCCACGCTCACGGGAAACTCGCCAGGAAGTTTAGCAGGCTCTCCTAGAAGAGTCAAATTTGTAGGATTGTAAGCATCGATTGCAAAGATGGAAACAGTGTTGTCTCCGGCGTTGACAACGAATAGATTGTGGCCCACTACCTTTACAGAACCTTGACTGCTGAGTCCATCGGGGGCCGCTGTCATGTTTGTCGCGCTGCTGATGGAACTTGCACCCACACCTCCCGTAAGGACTCTACCTCCAAGCGACAGCGTGCCATTCACGTGGACATTCAGGGCGACAACATTGTTGGCCACTTCGTTCGTTTGGAAATACATGGCGCCATTCGAGGCGCCAGAGAGTGTATCGATCAATGAACTCGCAGGAAGTGCCTGAGCAATTTTAAAGCTTAAAAGAAGTGTTGTTAACACAGAGAGCATCATTCTGGAAAACATCTTTCGTGCTTGGCATAAAAATAGTAGAAGGTTTCGAATGTAAAACAAAGTAGCTCTGCTGGCCCCTTTATAGATCTTCTGAGTTCCATATTCAATTACTAATTTTTCGTGCCAAGGCTCAGCCTGGCCAAATTTTGTTAGTATATCTCATGATTTGTAAGATTTGTGACGAAAGAGATGAAATTGAATTTGCTCAAGCTCATCGTTGACTGCTTTTCGAAATGGCTGAGACGAAGGTTGGAACATTGGGCGCAGCTCGCATCTGGTTGCCATAGCAAAAAGAAAAAAGAAGGGCAGTTACAATGAGCTTTGCCGAGCTAGTAAACCGGGCTTATGCGTAGATTGTGTCGTCGGTGTCGAGGGCTTTGCAGGTGTGTCCTCGGAGCACTCATTGATAAGATGGCATAGCCACGAATGCCAAGGAACGGTGGATATGATGACAACAGCAATAACGATTCTGCGGGGTTTGCTTCATAACGAATTACATTATTAAGCTCGAGGGTGAACACAGGTTAAGCGGGAGGGAGAACCACATCAAGCCCACCTGCCAGTAACCTAAAGTAGGGACCCCCTCGGGTATGATGTTCATGAATGGGAGCTCAGAAACTGTCCACTAGACGATATGGGTAGTTTAGGTGCCTGTGAAAGATGGACAGATCCAGTTTGAGCTCAGAAACAACGCTAAAGAGCCATCTTCAAGCTACGCTCAAATATGACCAAGCAACCAGTTTTCTCTCTCTGGGCTGCGGTACTAGCTTGTTCCTGTGTGAAGCTTTTTTTCGGTGCCTGAGACCATTTTCATAACGACGTCAAGGAACCCGAATGCTTCCCTAAGCTACAAAAGTTGCTGACAACCCCCATCCCCCACATAAAAGAAATATCCATGTGGTTAGTTTGGATGTCAGCGATGAGGAAACTGCCCGTGATACTGGTGTTGCGACTGCCAGTATTACTAAATGATTGGTATTTGTATCTCCAACAGCGGCATTACTGGCACTGATGATTACCCACTAACCACCGTAAACAACAACTGGACCAAGCATTGTATCACTAAAAGTGGGGTTCTGGTTTGCTTATTCCAAGAGTGTTTCCCTCTTAAATGAGAAAAGCTCGTTAAAAAACGCCTTGTTTTGCTCGAACGTTACAGACAACTAGATCTCCCTATCCCAGGTACAGGCAGCCCGAAGTTCTGCTGAATCATACTGTTAGATAGCATGCCGTCAATTTGAAAGACAGTGAATTAATTGTATTGACCCTTTCCCTACAGCATTGTGTAATCTTACATGGGAAAAGAAGTTACCCATCAGCTAATTGCTCTTGATCCTGGAATTGCTGTACTTTCCGATCTCCAGGATACTTTTGCAGCAGATCAAAGCGTGACCGGCTTGAGAAGTTTAATTGAAGGATTGACAAATGAGGATGCCTGGATCACATCTAGATTTTCTCGCCTGACGCGTTTCCTTCGAAGCGATCACATGAGGTCAAGGAAAACAGACAATAAGAGACATGCGGAAACGACGTGGTGACTGATTCTAAGCCTTCAACTATAGCTTTGTGCAAGTCTTTGGATTCGGGTCACCATGTTCTAGATTTCTCTCCTCATTCTGATAAAAGAATCAATCTTACTGCCTTGAATTCGACGTGTCCTCCTTATAAGATGGCAATTTTAAGATTTTACGAGAAAGCCTAGAGCTGGTTTAAAAGAGGCGCATGTTGTTAACCTCAATCCATCTACTGCGGTGCGAAAAAGCTGGTGGCAGGTAAGACTCTACCGAACAGATTTAACTACTGTGTTATCGCGGGGGCCATGTCAGGCTACACTAGCCAAGAAAGACTATACATGTGTTGATAGGTTCATGGCGACCCATGGCTTAGTGATAGCCACGATGCTTGTCAAAGGGCAGATATTCTGGTTCGAACCAGCAATTGTGATGTTAGAACAGCACCTACACCGGTGTTATTTTCCTCCTGAGTACTAGCTGCACGATTCCAGGGTAGATCAAATTTAACACCTCGTATCTTATTATCAAAAAGATGCAACGATAATTAGCCCACCTTATTAAGAAATCAAAGTGAAGCTTATGTCAGCTCGTCTTTCTTCTTTGGCCTCCCACTTGGGCCTAGGGTTCTTCATCACAATTTGAGCAGGGCTTGGCGGCTATTTTGCCCGCCAGGCCCTGCTCTCCTCCCCGTTGCTGTGTTGCTAAAACGAAGGCACAGATCGTTTCTTTGTCGAAAAAGAAATAACTCCGAGATCACGAAGACATGACAATGCACAAAAGAAACGAGAAACCGTTAATTTTCGGTTTTTCGGTGCATGCTGACTTTTGCTTTTCTTTTCCTCATCAGAATTGCCCTTGGACAACGAACGGCACCAAAAACGGTAGCGGCTTCAAAAGGCGCCTTAAAACAAGAAAAGGCACATGAGATGCACTGCATTATATACTGTGACTACTTTTCCCGCCGGGAAATAATTTTTAGTGCGCAAGACGACTTTGTTCACCTGGTCATTTGAATAGTCATAAACTCACCTGTTCTTTATAAAAAGCAAACTCTTGAGGCTCTCTTCAGACTTAGGCGTCGTCAACGTCTATAGCCTTGTACTTTCAACATTACGCTTAATAGCTAGCATTGGCTCATGGGTGTGAACAAATTTTTCACGAGCGAGAGCCCTTTATCTGACCCAAGTCAAAGAGCCAAGAAACTTGACTCAGAATCAGTCGAGCTACGGACACTAGATATCGACACTGCAATCAACAGCGATGGTAACTCGGAGACTGGTGAGGGCCACATTCAGGAGGGCAAAGTCAAGCGAGCTCTTAAACCGCGTCACATTTCGATGATTGCACTTGGAGGAACGATCGGTACGGGTTTGTTCGTCGGTATCTCGAGTCCTCTTTCTAATGCAGGTCCTGTGGGTGCTTTGATTGCTTACATCTTCATGGGCTCGATCGTATATTTTGTGACGCAGGCATTGGGAGAAATGGCAACATTCATCCCCGTCACATCTTCTATCACTGTTTTCGAAGCGGTTTTTGTCCCCAGCGTTCGGTGTTGCTAACGGTTACATGTACTGGTTTAACTGGGCCATCACGTATGCGGTTGAGATTTCCGTTGTAGGTCAAGTGATTCAGTATTGGACCCTTGCTGTCCCATTAGGTGCTTGGATTGCCATTTTTTGGGTCATTGTGACGCTTGCCAACTTTTTTCCCGTCAGGTTCTATGGTGAAGTAGAATTTTGGGTCGCATCTATCAAAGTTATCGCCATTATTGGCTTTTTGATTTATTCCCTGGTGGTTGTATGCGGGGGGTCAAGCCAGGGACCAATTGGATTCCGCTACTGGCGCAATCCTGGCCCATGGGGTCCTGGCATCATCGCCGCCGGTGTTGGCGAAGCGCGCTTCCTAGGGTGGGTTTCGTCGCTTATCAATGCTTCATTTACTTACCAGGGCACAGAACTTGTCGGAATCTCTGCAGGGGAGGCCGCCAATCCGAGAAAAACGGTTCCAAAAGCAATCAACAAAGTTTTTTTCAGAATCTTGTTTTTCTACATTTTGTCCTTGTTTTTCGTTGGTCTCCAAGTTCCTTTCAATGATCCCCGTCTAGCCAGTGACACTGCTGTGATCGCGGCTTCGCCCTTCGTGTTGTCTATACAAAACGCGCATACCAAGGTTCTACCGCATATCTTCAATGCTGTAGTTATGATCACCATCATATCTGCGGCGAACTCCAATGTCTACGTTGGATCAAGAGTGCTGTACTCATTGGCTCGCACCGGTAATGCACCAAAACAATTTGGCTACGTCACCAGACATGGTGTTCCATACTTGGGTGTCATTGTTACTGCTTTGTTGGGTTTGCTGGCGTTTTTGGTTGTGGATCACAACGCCAATGTCGCATTTAACTGGTTGATCAACATCTCCACGTTAGCTGGACTCTGCGCCTGGCTGTTTATCTCCATTTCACACATAAGGTTTATGCAATGTTTGAAACAGCGTGGCATTTCAAGAAACGATTTGCCCTTCAAGGCTAAATTTATGCCATGGGGCTCCTACTACGCGGCCTTCTTTGTTTTCGTTATCATTTTCATTCAGGGCTTCCAGGCATTTACACCAAAATTCCAAGTTGCAGAATTTTTCACTGGATACATCTCTCTCATTTTACTCGCTGTGCTTTTCATCGGCTGTCAACTCTTCTACCGTTGTAGATTCTTTACCCGCGTAGAGGATATCGACATAGATTCCGACAGAAGGGAGATAGACGCCATAATATGGGAAGAGGAGGAACCAAAAACGCTCTGGGATAAATTTTGGACCGCCATAGCGTAATGGGAACATTCAAGCATATAATTCAGAACTCCTTGTGCATATATACATATATATAGACATTCCTTCACATTACGTGATGCATCAAATATCATAAAGTCATTAGGTATCATAACTTCACTCAAGAATTATTTTTTTTATAAAGGCGATTGGAAGAATGAGTTTCAGCAAATTAAGGCAAAGGTGAGTTTAACCTCACGCTTTTATATGACTCCAAATCAAATCGTATTCGAACCGGTATTCTCAATATTGAATTTTTTTAGAGTTTGAGTGGTGAATTTTGACTCTCAAACGCGGTTACGATAAAATTAACAAAATGTTAAATTTCTAATATCAAAAAAAGATATTGCCGGTTTGCAGAAGTTCAGTTCAGAAAGATGCCTATAGTCAACGTGATGAGGTCATTGTTTGGGTCTATTTTCTGTTGGAAGGAATTGTTCTCTACATAATGGTTTCTTTAGTGTATGTCGGATTTTTAGCTAAGAAAAAAATTTGAAGGGAAAGAATTGGTAACAAAATCACTCTTCCTTAATAATCTCAACAGGCCAGAGAATATTGAACTGCCGTGCCATTCGGAGGCTCATAAGTGAGCTGTTAGTGTGCGGGAAACATTTTGAGACGTAATTGATTTCAGGTTTGCGCAGGAACTTGATTGAGAGAGCTAGTACTCGTTACTACGATTTGCTCTTGATTGTCGTTTCTGTTGTCTTCTAGCATCCAAGAAACAGCGCTGTGGCAAGTGTGCTGCTGAAATTGGAGTTTATCGATAGCGTTTGAACGATTATAATAATGGGTGCTAATAATAATGAAGCTCCGCTCAAAAGTGCTACCAGCAATCAGGGACTCGGCGGAAATGAGCTTTTGTTAAAGTTTATCAACTCTGCGCATTTCACGCTATACAACAATATTGAGTACCTGACTCGATATGCACATAATGTGGGTATTCATTTTTACTTGTGTCAGAAGCTTCTGACTTTCCCACACAATGAGCTCCAGTTTTACATACCACAGCTAGTTCAGGTCTTGCTTACAGTTGAGACAGAGTCAATTGCCCTGGAAGAGCTGCTGTTGAGACTGAGCTCCGAAAATCCTCATTTTGCTTTGCTTACTTTCTGGCAGCTGCAGGCTCTTCTGGCAGACCTTTCCAACGACCCCTCGAGTTATGGATTCCAGATAGCGCGAAGAGTAATCAACAACCTTCAATTTATTTTGTTCAACACATCCAAACAAACCCTGGATCAGGAGAAGATGCATGAGAATATAGCTCCAGCCATGGTTTTATCATCAATGATCTTTGCGGGAATTGGTTTCCCGCAGCTTGGCGAATCAATTCAACCATTAGTCCAATCTCAAGGAAAGAGGCAAAAAAGCTATGTGTTTAAACTTGCCAAAAATGCAATGCGCAACTTGACGAAAAACCTTACGATAAAAAATGCACTGGTCGGTCAAAAAGATTCGACCAGCACAAAAAAAGATCACCTGCATTCGCCCATGGATGTAATAGACGACAGAAAAACAAAAGAGGATATGCTTTTCAAAAAGCCGCGCGAAGTGCCGGTTAGGGTTCTTAATTTCGACATTATTGATGATGTCGGAGAGAAAATGTTCCAAGAACGCATATCAAATTCCATCAAAATGCCAAAGAGAAGAAAGTCAATTGACCAGTCTTATGTTCATAGATTTTATCAGCAAAACATGGATGGGGGTAACACGGGCTCCATTTACGAAGACGAATACACAAACTCGATGCCTGACCTTCACGATGAAGTTGATAAATGCTTGTCTACTGCATCCATAAACTCGGCCGCATCCATGAGGGCACGGCAATCGGAAGAGTTTTCTGATGTTATTAGCAGGGTCAACTCTGAGCCACTCACGGGAGGGGACACCAATCAACGCAGGGCGTTAGAACATGTGAGGAAAACATCACGGCATGGTGCCAATCTTAATAATCTAGATCCAGCCCAATTAACTGTTTCCAAGAGAATCAAAATTCTGAAATCCAACTACTTTCGTTGTGAAACTCAACTAGCTATTGCACTAGAATCTATTTCTCAGCGGTTGGCTCAAGTTCCCACTGAAGCTCGTCTCAGTGCTTTGCGAGCTGAGTTATCTCTGCTTAATCGAGATTTGCCTGCTGAGGTAGATATTCCTACATTGCTTCCAACGAACAAAAAGGGAAAGCTTCACAAACTTGTTAATATTACCGCTAATGAAGCTCAAGTTTTGAATTCGGCCGAGAAAGTACCCTTTTTGCTCCTTATCGAATACTTGCGAGATGATATGGATTTCGATCCTACCACTGAAGAGAACGAACAACTTTTGAGGGAAAGACCTGATGAGGGCAGTTTCATATTTGACTTGAGCTACATTAATAAGAACATCCAGAATACCAACACATCTCTCGAGGAATCGATCTTCGCGAATACAGCACCGAGCGCAAGCCCTCAAATGAAAAACGAAACCTTCAACGGTGGTAAAGAAGTTGATCTAGGTGATGTTTCAGTGATAAAATTAACTAATCAAACTGAAGCTAATGCATTGAGACATGAAATAATGGTTCAAACAGCCACAAAGGTTCCGGTAATTCCAGATGAGTCAAGTCACAGAAATCCTGAGCTTCAGTTTTTGGCCAATTTGGAAGACATTACTACTGAACTACGCAGTCTGGATACGCGCGATGTTAAGGCAAATTCCGCTGAAGAGCTTGCAACACAAATGCGAATTTCCGCAGTCATGCTTGCACAGCTGGATAAATCTCCACATCAATTGAATGATTCCAAAAATCAAATCAGGGCAAAGATCATTGCCTCAATGCAGGAGGTTCAGGATAGATTTGGCTTCAGCGATTTGGACTCAATTCATGGCATGGCTGGCCAAAGAAAGCTTGAAAATGATTTAAAGACAGGAGGAATGCTTGGTACAAAAAGAGAGGCATCGTATTTAGGCGAAGACTGGGCAGCCAAGAAAGAGCGTATCAAAAAAACGTCTGAGTATGGGCATATGGAGAATTGGGATTTGTGTTCGGTGATTGCTAAATCTGGGGATGATCTTAGACAGGAGGCCTTTGCCTGCCAAATGATTCAAGCCATGGCGAACATTTGGGCCAAGGAAAATGTTGGCGTTTGGGTCAAAAAGATGAAGATTTTGATCACAAGCGCCAATACGGGGCTGGTCGAAACAATAACGAATGCGATTTCGATTCACAGTATTAAGAAATCTTTGACCACCAAGATGGTCCAAGAAGGAGTTTTAGATGAAAAAGGAAGAATTGCAACATTAACTGACCATTTTCTGCGAGCTTACGGTGACCCTCAAAGCTTCAAATACAAAAGGGCACAAGACAATTTCGGTGCCAGTCTCGCTGCGTATTCCATCATCTGTTACATTTTGCAGGTAAAAGACCGCCATAACGGTAATATCATGATAGATAACGAGGGCCATGTCGTCCATATCGATTTTGGATTTATGCTTTCCAATTCCCCGGGTTCCGTCGGGTTCGAATCCGCCCCATTTAAACTCACTTACGAGTATGTCGACTTGCTTGGTGGCATTGAAGGAGAACCCTTCAAAAAATATGTCAGTTTGACCAAGGACGCCTTTAAAGTAGTGAGAAAGTACGCCGATCAACTCGTGTCGATGTGCGAGATCATGCAAAAGGATAACATGCAGCCTTGTTTCAATGCCGGTGACCAAACGAGCATGCAGCTTAGACAAAGATTTCACGGGGAACTTAGCGACTCGGAATGCGACGAATTCATTGATAATGTCTTGATCGGCAAATCCTTCGGCAGCATATACACCCGCTTGTACGACCAGTTTCAGTTGATAACCCAGGGCATATATTCATAAAAAGTTTATAAATCGACAGTTTCAACAATTTTATTTTTGCAGACGAGGCAAAATGCTAGAGCTCGAGCTATGACGGATCATCGGATGTCGATCTGCAACAGATAAGGACTTCAAATAAATAAGCTGCTAATTTCTCGCTGCGATGCCCTGCAACGCTATACTTTCTGGTAACACAAGTGAGACTCTCAGCGCTTAAATACGTCAAAGATGACATAAATTTCGCGTTGGCCGAGTAACTTTTCCACGGCTTTTAGACAAGAAGACATTCAGACCGGCCTCGAAGTCCGGTTTTATAGTTTTTAAAGTTTTCGAGTTCCATCAAAGAAGAGGTTATTAGAGTCAGCATTGATACTCATCGGGCTACCGTCTTCACCCCAACGACCCGTCCAGTAACGCTAATTACCGAAGACGAATTTCTTGGTAATAAATAGTTCCCCCCAGTAGACAAGTTTCAGTTCTCGGCAACGGCTGCCTTAAGCGACAAAAATCTAGGACCGGACCAAAGGAGAGAGAGGTACATTAAAGAAACAAAAAAAAACAGAAACGCAAGTCACGTGAGTTCAACAAGCAAGGAATTCTGACCAATAGCTACTTTCCCACTAGACGAACACTTCAAAACCCGTCACCAAACAGGACGGGTTTCAGGTTTCAAAAGAGTTCAAGAGCTTGCAATCTTTATTCATTAAATCACGATATTTTGGAACAGGTTTGAAGTTGGTGCGACTTTCCAGCATTATTTTAACTGATATTCTTTGAGGCTGGGTCATAACCAGAAAGGCAACTTGTGGGAGAAAAATCCCATACATTTCCGGAATCAAATAGGCTAACGTTTACGTTTATCGACTCAGTTGTTTGAGATGCTTTCTGCTGCCAAAAGTGCACCAAAGCTCGGCAAATCTGTTTCCAGAACGGCAGTTAGGTGGGAGTCCCTGGGCAGACAACGAAGAGACGGTAATTCGAGTGTTGACATTTTAATAAGAAATCAGAGGAGCCAATTTGATAAAGTGCGTGTTCGAGACGATGCACACGACCTGTATCTACTCGAACAGGGTATCAAGAAAAGTGAGGATTTCACTTCCCAGTTCACGAACTATAGGTACAAGTTTGATAAGTTGCCTCCAAATTATGGTGCTAACCAAGAAATAGCGGTGGATCGCGAGCTTCAAAGAGATCTCGAAAACGTTGTTTCGTACTTTCATGCGCCTATCAAATATGCTTTTGGGTACGGGTCGGGCGTTTTTCAGCAAAGCGGCTATTCATCGAGTAGGGAACCGCCTCAGATTGACCTCGTTTTTGGCGTCAGTCACCCAAGTCATTTTCATTCGCTGAACATGCGACAAAACCCGCATCATTATTCTTCACTGCGCTATTTTGGTTCCAACTTCGTATCCAAATTTCAAGAGATAGGAGCTGGAGTATATTTTAATCCTTTTGTCGAAATAAATGGACAAATGGTCAAGTACGGCGTTGTGTCGATGGATAATTTGCTCAAAGACCTTGCGACGTGGAACAGTTTCTATCTTGCCGGCAGATTGCAGAAACCGGTAAAGATACTGCGGAATGATCGTAGGGTAAGCTATTGGAACCAGTTAAATTTGAAAGGTGCTGCTACTTTGGCGAAACATTTGGCTCTACAGAAAAACGATCAAGTCTTTGATGAAGGAGAATTTTACAAGCAGATAACGGCATTGAGTTACCTGGGTGACGTGAGATACAAACTCGGTGGTGAAAATCCAAACAAAATTTCCAACATCGTGAATAAAAATTTTGACAACTTTCGTCAATATTATAAGCCAATATTCAAGGATGTGGTGATCAACAATTCAACGTACCTACCACAAGGATTTACTGTTGATAATGCCGTTGGACTTTTGACAAGGCGAATAGCTAGCACGAGCGCTATTCAAACAGTCAAAGGCGTTTTCACAGCTGGGGTTACCAAATCAATCAAATACGCTTGGGCTAAGAAGCTCAAAGCATTAAAGCCAAACAAATAAGGTACTTTTTTATCATTTTTTAATGCATTCGGGACAATATCTCATTCAGTCGATATATAAATCAAAGTAGTTTTTATGCTGAAATTAAAGATCATCTTCGCAAAGCGGCAAAGCGTTTTTTGAGTTCATCGAGGTCATCTTCTCTAGAGTTGACACTTTCTTTTTGTTTGAGTACCTTGACGTCCCTTCGGATTCCCCTTGGGATATTCAAGCTCTCGCCCTGATTCTCACTATTTTTGCGAGGTTTTTTGACAACAATGGGATGTTTCTTCGACTCAGTTTCTTCACCTTCAACTGCCAGAATTGGTTTACCCTTTTCTGATTCGTTGTCAGTCGAAGTGCCTGAGGTTTCGAGATTATTTTCGGATTCGTCGTCAAGGTTGCTGTAATCAACATCATAGGAGCGTGCAATTTCCTTAAGATATAAAATAACCAGATCTTCGCTGGGAAGGCGTGCAGCGCATTTTTTTTTAATATTTTCTCTGGAACTCCTTCCTTCTCGTCACTTATCTTTTTAATAAAATCCAATCCAAATTTTAGAGCAAACAAATCCTTTAACTGTTGAAGCTCTCTGATTTCGGACACCTCTACAACGCAATACAAAAGTGCCCTAACAGCTTCATTAATTCCATCCTCATTATGATTCTTGCTCAAATCTTCCGCATTAACTACCGTGTTCAAAAGCCCTATTCTCGTATGTAACAGTTCACAGTAAAGTTCTAGAATCTCAAGCAACTCGATATGAACATCATCATTTATTAAGGCCTCAACTCTGTAATGTGCTTTATTTTCTTTCCCTTCAGAAAGAAGCTTCGCAACCTCCCTTCTCGATACTCTGGCAAGTGCGTGCTGTTTCTCCTGAGTGTATCTCAATCTTTGGATACACATCTTGAGCAAAGTTTTTAGTTTTATCTGGAGATTGTGCTCTTTTCTTCGACTGAGCACAGTGCATTTCTCAAACACCCTGTTGTTACTCAGAACGGAGAAAGCAGGAACGCTAACTGTTAGTAATGGTTAAAGCCCAAAACTTGAACTCTATTCGAACTTACACCTAACGGAATCTGATTCGCCATCTTGTTATCTCTGCTTTATTTCTCCTTGAACTTTTCCTCAGTTGTCATTTGGCTTGATGACTCTGATAAGGTGCGAAAATGCTTAGGTAGGGTACATTCTAATATCTTTAAACAACATCACCTAAAATTACAGTATAAAAAGCCTACACTGTTAGATACTTTTCCATGACAGAGTTAGCAAGCTCGTGATTCCCACTTTCATTATATATCAACATGCAATTATAAGCTGCGTGTCTCTTGAGCATTTGGTCCTCATAGTCCTCACATACTTTTCGATAGAAATGCACAGCAAGCGAGAAAAGGCCTAGAAGGTGGAACGCGCGACCAATATTATAGTCAGCTTCTTGCTGTTCCAAGACCGAGTACTTGGTTGTCCGAAGTTCGTAGTACTCAAAGAGATACCTTAAACCATGTAAAATTTGAAAATGCCTGCTTGCCGTCAGACGTTGCATGGAACGATGAAGATGGGCTAAACCCATCATAAAATCAATCATGGGATCCTGGGGAACTTGTTCTTTGAGTCTGCTGAGGTATTGTAATGCAAGCAAAAACCCCTTGCTGGAATAGAGCAAAATGGCATATATGTAATGCAAATATGGCGATTTCTCGTTATTAGGATTCTGCACTTTTTTGTTGGTGATCGACGCTTGTCCAGAAACGTGTTGAGACAGTCTAAGGCTGTCAAAAGCTTTCAATTGACGCAAAAAGAACTTTTGTTGTACAGTGGAGCTCAGAATGTCCATCGACAATTGACCTTTCGCCAGACAAAACAAGAAGCTTTGATATACCTTCCGATTGAATTGAAACAGGTTGAGAACACCTCGCAAATTGTTGATCAATTCCTCTTCGTTAGATGTTTGTAAAACTATTGCCAATTTGACAAATTTCATCATTTTAACCCTATCGGAATTTTGCACAAAAACGTTCACCTCTTGTGCAGTATCTATGATACTCAGTCCATCTTCGATACTTTGTAACTTCGTGACCATAAGTGCGAGTTCCATGAAAAGCTCAAACCATTGATCGTAGGTTAGACCTCGAAGTTCTTCTGCTGAGGTTAGTGTAACCCGTTCTTCCATCAAAGGCAATCCATCCAACAGATTTTCACCCTCAGATAACTTGGACAGACGCTCAATTTTGTAATCTATGATCTTGTTAAACTTCCTTGTTCTCTTTATTATACCGACAAACCTCCTGGAACGACTTTTAATGAAGAAGTTCTTCACACTCGAAAATACATCGATAAGATCGGAAGCGGTGTCTAGCCACAAAGTAGTTTGACTTTCCTGTCCATATTCCATTCCTTCCCGATAGATTTTGAGCTTGTTATATTTATCAAGAACCTTCGCAGTTATTCTTTTTTCGCGCTCTTGTCTCTCTCTTTCAGCATCCTGTGGTGTTCTCCTCTTTTTTGATGCATTCCTCTTCATATTAACATCTTCTAAGAGAGGCTTCCCCGGCGCAGCAACGACAGATCCCACAATTTCTGACGAAATTGGTTTTGGGATTTGGCCCGCTTCTGCTGCTTGTACCTTACGAGCTTCAACAACTTCTAACAGCAACTGATTGAAAGTATCATAGTCAGAAAGATGGTACTGAATCTCTGCCAGAGTCAGCTTTGTCTCAAGATTTTGCGGCTCCAATTCAACCAACTTTTCGAAAATTTTCTTGGCATTCGAATAGTCTTCGATTTCTTTGTAGCATCTGCTTAGAGGCTCATAAACGTCCAAAATACAGTAATCCTCTAGCCGCAACAAAGGGGTGAAAAACTCAATAGCTTCAGAATACTGTTCAGCTTTAGCTAAAGCCCCTGCTACCACAAAATACAGATCTGCAATATCATCAAAGACTTCATCATAAAGGAACTGGAAGTGATTCATAGCTTCTAATACGTTCTTGTTATTCAACCTTAGGAGCCCCAAGCGAACGCGAATATCTATAGGAAGAACGTAAGCTTTCTCCTTTTCACGTGTGGTTAAGGCGTCAAACTTGGCGTTTTTGAATCGTCTTTTATCGAATTCAGAGTCGTCAGGGACATCGTTCCAAAAAGTTTGATTCTCTCTGTCTTGAATCCATCGGGCACATTTCTTGATAACTTTCAAACCGTTGCTCTCGCCTATCAGTTTCAAGTAAAGTTCGGCCAGAATATTCAAAGATGACCAATCAAACGCTATACAGCGAAACTTCTTCTTAGTTTTTCTGACCTTTTTTGCCACTTGCAAACTGATGCCGAGATTGCTGTCAATTTCACCACTATTATGGTCTTGCGAATCCTCGTCGTCTTCTTCGCCCGTTTCCTCTCCAGATGATTCAATGGCGTTTTCTGATATTGCAGCCAGCGCTTCACGCCTTGCTACATTCGCCTCAAAAATCTTCAAGTACAGGCCAATGGCCTCATTGGTTCTATTGTACTCAACGTACAAGACAGCTAACTCTCGTAAGATATTTGCATCCAATGGGTTGTGATTGTATAGTCTTTGAAAGCCTTCCAGTGACCTTCCCAACTGGCCTGTTTGTTTGTAGAGAATCGACCTCCCATATATGCACTCCCATTCCTCGTTATTCATGCGAATAGCCCGGGTGTAGCAGTATATGGCTTGCCGTACGTGACCTAACTCCGCAGACAGAGTTGCAACGACCTTCCAAAATTCCCAATCCGACGGATTTAAATGAGCGGCAAGAAACCAGGAATTACAGCAATCGTTATACCGACCTTGCAGTTGGTAAATATCCCCGAGTGTCTTGTAGGCGGCAAAATTCTTCACGTCTTTTTTTATGACCTCATTGTAGAGTTGTTCTGCGACTTGAATATCGCTCCTGACAAAAGCCTCGTTTGCCTCCGACAACAGCTGTTTGACTTCTGGATCTAATACCCGTTCTCGTCTTGCCTTCTGCGGCCTTCTAGTCCCACCCACCTTTCGGTTTTTGCCCTTTGTCTTACGTTTAATTTTGAAATTGCTCGCTTCCCTAATTGCGTCCATGAAATCTTGTTCGTCGTAGTCATCGTCAGAAAACTCCCCGTAATCAGAAAATTCCGCCAGCAGGTCATCATCCAGCTCGTCTTGATATGCGTATTTATCGGATCGCTTGTCATCGGGGCTCACTAAAGCAGAACCTTCAATCTGTATTTGATTCAACTCGCTGTCAATCACATTCTCTTCGTCTTGGTCGTTCTTTCCTGGAGCATTTTTATCATAAACGTCACCAACGCGTGCCCGATGATCGTCATCGCCTATCATCTCCCTCAGCTGTTCAAGGTTCTCGTATAAATCCTCCTCATTTTCTGAACCAAGTTCATAGTCTTCATCGCTCCCCATTGCGTCAGAGACTGGATTCGGTTGTCCTACAGGGATGATCCTTTAAATCTTTACTGACTTTATCGTTGCTAAGCTTTGATTGATCTTAACGAATTATCAACAAATCACGTGACTAGGATGTAACATCACCTTTTCATTATTTATGGAGACCACATCGTGATAACAGCTTCGACCGTATACCCACCGACTAGCAGGTTACTGTGAGTGCTTCCCTCTAATTTCTTGGATCTCAAATTGCTCAGCGGATTAAACTGACATACTAACATATTTGAGTATCTCATTTCTACATGAAAAACCCCAAAGCTCTTACATATTCCACGAAATTAGCTAGAAGACGCAGGAAAATCAAAGCATAGAACTTTTCTTGGGTGATCATACCTCTTGAATTTCTCAAACTAGTAACTAGATGTCAATTGGTCAGGTGCACATTCATGAGATGGATATATCACGTGATTGCATCTCAATTGGATCATCCATAAGTTAAGGTAAGCTGAGGAACTTTTATATGAAAGAGAGGTGTATATAAAGAATAACTGTTAAAATTAGGATCTAGGTCGCATTCTAGGGCTTAAAAAATGTTTTCGGGATTTGGAGGTTTTAGCAGCGGTTTCAGCGCGGGTTTCAATACTGGATTTGGGGGTAATTTCGTGAACTTACCTCAAAAGTTTGAGGATTTATTCAGATGTTATCCAATATCTATGATGAACGATAGAATAAGGAAAGATGACGCTAATTGGGGCGGAAAGATATTTTTGCCCCCTAGCGCTCTCAATAAGCTTAGCATGCTCAATGTCAGGTATCCCATGCTTTTTGAATTTACTGTTCCAGACACTGGTAAAGTTACCCATGGCGGTGTTTTAGAGTTTACGGCCGAAGAAGGTCGTACGTATCTTCCAAATTGGATGATGGAGACTCTTAATGTACGACCCGGGTCGCTTCTACAGGTGGGTTCGACAGATGTGCCTTTGGGACAGTTTGTTAAAATAGAGCCGCAATCTGTCGATTTTTTGGACATATCTGATCCTAAAGCAGTGCTAGAAAACGTCCTGAGGAAGTTTTCTACCCTGACAGTAGACGATATTATCGAGGTTAATTACAATAACAAGACTTACAGAATACGAGTGCTCGAAGTAAAACCGGAATCGTCATCGAAAAGTATTTGTGTCATCGAAACCGATTTGGTCACAGACTTCGCGCCTCCCGTTGGATATGTGGAACCAGATTATAAGTCAATGCAGACAAAATCACTTAAGAGTGATAGCGATCCTTCGACTAAAGGGCTCGGATCAATGTCCAAGCGCATCAAATATGCTGAGACAGTTCAGCGTGCTGCACAATCATCTTCTGCTTTCACAGGACAAGGTCAGAAACTGACTGGCAAATCAGTCTCTATAGAGTCGCCACAGGACCTAAAAAATTCTTCAATAAATCTAGAGGGCGAACCTACGCCTTTGAATTTACCCGATGGGCAACTTTTTTTTGGTTTCCCAATTGTTCCGCCCAAGAAGGAGGACGAAACTCAGCAGGAGGACGACAAACCACATTTTAGATCTCATGGGAAGACTTTAAGGCAAAAAAGTAAAAGAAAGGTTTTAAATGATCACGACAGTCCCAAGGCGAAGGCTCCCAAAAGTCCGGAAGTCATAGAGCTAGATTAAAAACGAAGAGCTTCAGATTAGTGTATAAAATTATCTACCGAAAAATAGTTTAAAGCTCATTATTAAGTAAATTAATTATAGTGAATTGCTTAAAAAATCTTGAAAATCTTTGAGATAATGTGCTTTAACGAGAAGAGTCCGTAGTTGACTTTAATTTATTAGTGTTGACGCCTGCGAGAAAGAACTCTCTTCAAAGCCAAAGGAAGCTCGGTTTCAGAGTCCGGTTCTATTTCATCACGTGTTTCAGTATCCCCCAGAGTTTGCGTCTTGTTCAAATTATTGCCACTTTTGTTGTTGGAAGAAACACGGGATGCGATGGAGAAAGCACGGTTCCGTAATGTTTTGGAAATAGTATTTTTACCCGACGAATCAAAATCGGGTGCCTCGTTCAGAGCAACAGGCTCGTCCTGCTCTAAGGAATCATCGGAACCCTCTTGATCCGATGACCGAATCGATGACAAGGGGCGCGAATTCTGAGACTCAATGTCGTGGGTTGTTGTGTTTCTCTTTTTAACGAAATCTTGGAAATCTACGGCGGCCTCAGCTGCCCAATCCTCGTATAAAGGACGAGATAGGAAACCGTATTTGAATTCGTTGACCCCAACCAAAATTTTAGTAAGCTGCACTAGCTCTTCAATGTATTCTACCACTTCTTCCGTGGCAGCACTTGTGGCGTTCCAAGCCAGAAACTTTTCCTTGGTTATGTAATCATGCGGAGGTAACGAAAATCTTGGTCTAGCTTTCGGCTTCATTTCCAGCCCTTCTTCAAATTCGGAATTGCCGCTCGGTTCGTCTTGCTGAAAAACATCGACCATTTTGCGGGGGTTTAGACTTGTGATTTGGCCCCTATACCTCACCTTCAACGTCTCTCGCACTTTGTTCACCAGCCTTCTATGAGAAATTCTAGCGCTAGGCAAAAAATGTGGTAATGGTGTCTTATTAATTATCGCTTCCTGGACAGCCCTCATTGAACAATTAACGGACGCAACAAACTGTCGCCTGTAGGGGTATAGCACATGATTAAGCTCTTCAGCAATGGCGCTTCCATGTTGCTTTCTCAAAAGTTTGATATTGTCCATTCGATCGATGATTTGTCTCTGAACAAAAATTATCTGTGTGAAGACCTCCTCCAATTCTGTGTAATTACCTTTCAGTCTGGGTTCTTGACGAGTTAAACCCTTATAAACACTTGCCCGTCCTAATGCTGCCTTTGCACCTTCGGAAAGTTCCGAATGTCTCTTAAAGTTTCTCTCCAATAAGATGGGATTGAAAGCCTCACCCTCTAGGCCTGTAGCAACCAGTCGCTCCATTTCACTTATACAACCCGTAACAAATGCAATCTCTTCGTTCAGCTGATCTCTTGCCTTGATTGGAAAAAGTGTGAATTGAACAAAGACGGCAATGCCGCCACCATAACCAACTGCGAGACATCTTTTAGCGAAATTGGATAATATGGACCCCTGAATATCGGAGGGCAGAATGGCCGCAAGCATAACAATATAAATGCTTATAATTTGGATAATTGCAGCTTTCACATAGGGGGATCCTAGAAGAAAGTAGAATCCAGGAACTGCACCGAAAATTGTTATTATAACTTCCAAATAAGGATTCGTTTGTTTCACGCCAGCAACATATGACAAATAGCCCCATGCCGCACCTATTATAACACCAACACCTCGGAGGAAAAACACCCAGAATGTGCCACCCACAGAAGGCTCTAAAGCCAAAATACAGACGAAACCAACCCATGTACCTCTAATGTTCATATACCACTTTCGCGCTTTTGGAATAAACATAGGAAACGAAGCTAACATTAGGGCAATCGTTACTTGCAGTCCAAATCGGAAGTGCTCTCGACACCGGACATAGAACTTATTAAAGAATATTAATGTCTTTCTCAACGCTCGCGAAGAGTTTTTCTTAACGCGGGTTCCATAGCTTCTGGTCGCTGGAACTGCTGATTTGTTCCTTTGATTGCTGATGTTCATGTGGTTTGATGTCAGGGGCAAAGAGACAGACTCATATTCTCTATCAAGCTCTACTGTATTGGAACTTTGTTGTCCTAACATCTCTTCTTCTTCATTCTGAGGCCTGATAACAGCCATGTCACCTGGGGGTCTATAATTATTACCCGTGACACCACCGGTAAGACTTTGACCTTCTGTAATGGTCTGAGATCGCATTGATCCTCGAAACCATTTTTTGAAATCTTCGTAATTGGTTAAAAAGTTTATCCATACACTTTTCCCGCGAATCCAACCTTTAGCTTCTCTTTGTTTTCTAGTTTCATAGATTTTCTTGGTCACCCGCATGATCTCAACAACAGAATTTGTCACCTCTTTAAAGTTCATTAAAAATGATGAAAGCAGAAACATCTCATCTTTGGGTGTGAGCAAATCAACATTTAATTGGATCATTTCCTCTCGAAACCGAAGATCAAAGGAAATAGACGCATCCATGAGCCGATTGATGTGCTCTTCAAAATCGAGATCGGATACATTGGTCCTTTCGGTAAGCTCTGGTGACGGAGACGAAGACAACGGAGATTCCAGGACCTCTTTTAAATTAACATCCTGAGTATATGCTATTGCCAGCTTTATGACATATAGCGCGTCACTCAACTTCTTGTGTAAGTCAAATATCGGGACCTTCAGCTTGTTGAGAACACTCACTAGACGGTGAACATCTGCGTGAACGATTTCCTTCTCCGTCAGCGAGTAGAGATGCGTTTTCTCTTTCATGTCTTTCTCCATTCCATGAACCAGAACAAACTGGAGTTGACATGCATTCACCAAAGCATTAATGTATAAAGACAAGTTCTTCAGATCGCCGAACATAGGCCTCAAGTCTGTCGGTGACACATAGGAGTAGGAAATTTCGTAAATGCACTCGTCTAAAACCGAGCAACAATTGGAGACCTTTTTATCCACCGTGTCTTTCAACTTAAGAAGCGTTGCCAAAGATGTAGACCCATGGGAATATAGAGAGTTAGACTGGTCGGCAGACAACGTAATAAAATAACTGATTGAGGAGTCGAAAGCTTTGTGAACCTCGTTAAGAACATCGACAGTTGCATTGCCTAAATAAGTGCTTCCAAATTCGGGAAAGAGCACCAAATTCCAGAAAAGAGACATTCCAATTCCAAGGTAAAATGGGACGCTAAAAGCTTTCGCTACTGTAGCTGCATTTTGCTCTAAAGGAGCCATGAACGCGAAGTGAACCACAAGGAAAAGAGGGAAAACAATTCCGAAATAATGATGAGATACAGAGCGCATCCAGCCGTGGAAGAACAACATGAGGGTCTCAAATACAGCTAAAATTGCCAACGCACTTTCGTAACGTTTATAGTGGAATTCATACTGCTCAGTTTCGCTCAATATTGACCATGTGCTCCCTAAACATCTCTGAGCCAGAAAACGACCAAAAAGCGAGTAAGCCAGCCCGGTGAGCAGGCCAGTGATGGCGTACATAGCACCTTGTATTGTAGCACTTACTCTGCGACCTGGATGAACCATCACCGCTATCAGGGGTAACATGGCCGGTTGATTACCGATCCGATCCCTGACCTTTGGTATCAGGCATAAAATAAGGGCCACCGTCGCATGAACTGTGGATTTAAAGATTCTTTGAACCAGTATTCGGTTGCATGGGAATTGCTTCTTTAAAAAAGTTCCTATTCGTCTAGCTTTCAATCTTCCGCTGTGCATTGATTCTGCTTCATTAGAATTTTTCGATGATAGTGGTGTGAAATCAACTGATGACTTTAAAGATTTGAACGATCAAGACCATAAGTTAATGAACGACAGAAAACAAAAAAAGCACGTGACTCTTGAGTCAGAATCACGAACATTCTTCTGGAAGACACAGCTACCTCTCCACAGAGAATCAGGTATCTACTGTACAGCGGGTAGCAGGCTTCAAGCTACCAACCCAGTTTTTGGTTGAGAATTAAACCTCATATCTAGGTTCTGTCAACTGCAATAAATGATAAACGACATGTCATCATCGTGTCATGAAAGAACCTGATCATTAATAAAAATATTGGAAAAACCACTTGTATCTGATTTTAAACTAATATTGAAAAGATTGTCTTCTCTCACGCAAATCCACGATTGTCACCCTCAATGGAGACTCCACACACCCGTTTCCTAAGCTTTCGCAAGTTCAGATGACATTTTGGAAACCATCGAAAAACTCAGCCAAGGGAAGGATCGTAAACGAAGGTCCGATAAACAATCGCATGCCAAGTAAACGAATTTTGTGAGACTACCACGATAGCTGATGTTAGCGGCGAGAGCATTGATATAAGATCCCTCACGTATGCGGGAGAGGCCCAAGCTCAATAATCTTAGCTGCAATTTGATCATTAAGCTCTTGTCGATGTGGAAAGCTGAACGTCTCAATTGGGACACGTGGTGATACATCTTCGATCAAGGATGCCATCAAAGTTTTGGAACTCTTGGCCAGTACACCACTTTTCCAGTGTTCCCAAATTTGGTAAGCTGATTCGGGAGTTTTCATAACCACGTATGCAACGATTGATGAATCCCTACCAAAGTCATTTCGCGAAGAATAGTACAAGTCAAAAAGCTCAGCTCCGAAAGCGGTAGCTAGAAAATCAGCAAGAGCGGGCTTTTCTTGCAGCAATTTTCGGTTGGATAATAAAACTCGGAGGGTAGAAGACTCGTAAAATCGGTGCTTCTTCTTTTTATCGTCATCGAGATCAAGATGCTGCCAATCTCCGTAGGGTTTATCAAGTTGCTTCAAAATTCTCAAATTTATACCGTATTCCTCGTATTGTAAAATATCGTGCAAGGGCCACGAGTTTGCGGCCTCCTTAGACTCCTGCTCTCGCTCCTTTAAGACCTTGATCTGCCCTTCTCTCTCTTTGTTCCTCTCGACATGCGTCCAGTGTTTCGCTGCGAACCACGAGTTATAGGCAGTACGTCGCTGAGCATCAGTTAAAATACCAACTGCCACTCCAAGTAGGTGGAAGGTATGAATTGCTTTCTCGTCATTCGGATTTTTGTCGGGATGATAAATCAATGCCTTGCGTCGATAGTTCTTCCGGATTTCGTTTGACGTATACTTCAAAAGGTCCTCTTTACATGAAACGTGAAGATCCAAAAGGGCGTACAAATCCAGATCATGCTTTATAACATCGCTGAGATCCATGATTAGTGTGCCTTACTGTATGCTCAAATCATGAAGATAAAACTGTGCTAAACCTTGTCGATTCATCTCTTAAGACGGTTTAGCATCTATTATATAGAATTTTTGGATAGCCATAGTCATCCCGTCAGCCTTCCGTTACTGTAACGAGTTAAGATTTTCATCGGCGCCTTTATTTCCGATGCGGATGCCTGGCAAAATATTGTTACCGACAAGTTGTATTCCCTAACCTCTAAATACTATGCGATTCAGCCCATCAACCACATGAGAACGCTTTGCCAAAGAAACCCGTAGACAAACAAGAAGTAGTTACATTTTTTGACAACACTCTTCTTGACGGTCTGAAAGTCATTGACTCCGTCGACAAACAAGTTGAATTTGACCGATCTGAGCAAAAAAACGCCAAATGCGATAAAGAGATATACCTTACCGAGCAAGAAAAGGTAATAGGGCGTTGTAGGCCAGAGAAGAGCCATTGTCAAAGGCACGAACTTGTAACCGACATAACAGATCAGTTCCCAAAGCGGGGTCGTCGTTGAGTTTGAGGAGACAAGCAGATACAACCCCAGTTTCAAGATCAACAGGTCCAGCACAACAAACGCAAGGGTGGACGACAATTTCCGGTACAAGTCCTCAGGATTGAAAGATCCCTGCAGCCCTTGCTGCACATTGCACACCAAAATGTACGTGATAAGACCCATTACTGGGATGTACAAATCTGGAGCGTTCACGTCGACGCGCGGAGTTTGAAATGCGACTCCACCTGACCCATTCCCTGCGGCATCTGGGATCCTCTGCCAGCTCCGATGCATGAATGGGAGCACAATTATCTTGAGTTTTCTGAAAACGTATCCATTCGAAACTTGAAAATAATGCGACAGCGATGACGAGCTCCCGGCTGCTTTCGAGATCTGTTCCTGGAATTGATCCAAGTTTTCTTGCCCTATGAAATTCGTGAATGCAGAGTGCCCTAGTTGGTAAGCCATTGAGGCGCTTTTGCCTTGAAAAGGCTCGTTTCGATGTGTTTGTTGCGTCTGTTGTGCGAAGTGCTGTTGCGGAGGCGCTGCAAAAGACGATTGTCTTTCGACGTGACGTCCACTCACGTTTACATCTGAGTTTTCCGCTGCATATGCATATGGGTTGTAAGACATGTCGAGCACCTTTTGGACAGCTTTCTGTTTGCTTACTCTATATCTGTTTTACCACCTTTCAAAGTTTATGATACCCTGGTTCTCCCAATCCACCATAATTGGCTTCGACTAGCTAAAGCTAGAAGTCAAAAAACTTCAGAAATTTTCGGGACACTCGTGAAAAATGATTAATGATGAAACGTGACATTAGAAGCACGTGATCTTATATGGTATCACGTAAAAAGAACGCGTAAAATTTTCGAGAGAAAAATTTACGCGTCAGGGCGGCTGGATGGCAGAAACAGCGCATATCAAAGAAGATTAGCATTACAGCTCATCTAGCAGGAAGATCCACATTTATTCGTTTTTGGACCGACGTACTTGCTCAAAGAAGAGATCATGTCTAATAGGTATGGAAGGTCGGGTACGGCGCGGTTTGTGAAGAACACTGCCATGGAGGGGAGATTGGGAGGTATTACAATGACGGCACAGCAGCTGGTGGACGCCGCCAAGACGGACGAAATCGATACCATGATGGGCTTTGAACGATACATCCCGCCTATTTTCGAAGGACGGGCCAAAACGCCACAGGAAATCCCTGGACGAGTAGGGTGGCTTTCTAACATGCATGCCACCATAATTCCAAAGCAACATTCACAAGCGGTAGGCGACGCTGGCATATCCGGTGTGGATTTCTATTTCCTTGACGAAGAGGGTGGCAGTTTTAAGTCCACCGTAACGTTTGATCCATACTTTCTCGTCGAGTGCATGGTCGAAACGCGGGTCAACGATGCCGAAGAGTTTCTGCGAAAGCATCTAGAACATTGCTTGAAAAAAGTAGAGGTGGTAATACGCGAAGACCTTTCAATGAGTAATCATTTGCTAGGGCTGAAGCGAACTTTGCTTAAGCTTAGCTTCACCAACGTCAGCAATTTGCATGAAGCCCGTAAACTACTGAGGCCAATATTTCTAGACAATGAAGCTCACAAGCTTCAAAGATCAATTTACGAGCCCAGCAACATAGAAAAAGCAGATGTTAAAGTTCTACTGACGAACATCAGGGAATATGACGTTCCTTACCATGTTCGTGTTTCTATAGACAAGGACATCAGAGTCGGAAAGTGGTACAAGGTCACGTCGCGAGGACTTTTTGAAATGGTTGAGAAGGTGGCATTTGCAGATCCGGTCGTGCTGGCATTTGACATAGAGACTACAAAGGCCCCGTTGAAGTTTCCCGATGCATCAATCGATCAGATCATGATGATATCGTACATGATAGATGGCGATGGGTTTCTCATAACTAATAGGGAAATTATCTCAGAAGACATCGAAGATTTTGAATACTCCCCGAGGCCGGAATATCCAGGTAACTTCACAATTTTCAATGAAGATAACGAAGAACAGTTACTCAAGCGCTTTTTTGAACACATACGAGACGTAAGACCAACAATCATATCCACTTTCAATGGTGACTTTTTTGACTGGCCTTTTGTCGATACGCGTGCCAAAATTCATGGACTAGACTTATCGCAAGAAATAGGTTTCGCACCTGACTTGGAAGGAGAATATAAATCTCCATACTGCACACACATGGACTGTTTCAGGTGGGTGAAGCGTGACTCGTATCTGCCGCAAGGTTCACAGGGTTTGAAGGCAGTTACACAAGCTAAGCTGGGCTATAACCCAATCGAGCTTGATCCAGAATTGATGACGCCCTATGCTTATGAGAGACCTCAGCATTTATCAGAGTACTCTGTTTCCGATGCTGTTGCCACGTACTATCTTTACATGAAATATGTTCACCCTTTCATTTTCTCCTTGTGCACAATCATTCCACTCAATCCTGACGAAGTCCTCCGTAAGGGTACAGGTACCCTATGCGAGATGTTGCTGATGGTTCAGGCGTACAAGGGAAACATTTTACTGCCAAATAAGCATGTCGACCCCATAGAGCGGTTTTATGATGGTCATTTGCTTGAATCAGAGACATATGTGGGAGGTCATGTTGAATCCCTAGAGGCAGGAGTCTTTAGGAATGACTTAAAAAACGAATTCAAAATTGATCCAACGGCTATAGACGAGCTGCTCGCAGATCTTCCTCATGCCCTCAAATTCTGTGTCGAAGTAGAGAATAACTCCGAACTCGGTAAAGTAACCAACTTGAAAGAAGTCGAAGATCAGATCAAAGAAAGTCTTCTCGACTTGAAAGTGAACAACGAAAGAAACGAACTCCCCTTGATTTATCATGTCGACGTTGCTTCAATGTATCCAAATATCATGATAACCAATAGACTGCAGCCAGATAGTGTTAAAAGCGAACATGATTGTGCAAGCTGTGATTTTAATCGCCCTGGGAAACAATGCGATCGGAGACTGAAATGGTCATGGAGGGGTGAATTTTCGCCTGCCAAAATGGGTGATTACAACATGGTTAAATCGGCTTTACAGAATGAAATGTTCCCTAACAGAAAAAAAAATGCACGTCGCCAATTTCTCACTTTCGAGGAGTTGAGCTATTTTGACCAAGTCTCTCATATTAAGAAGAGACTGTCAGATTACTCCCGCAAAAACTATCGCAAGGTCAAAACATCAGAAGTTGTTGAGCGAGAAGCCATCATATGTCAAAGAGAAAACCCGTTTTATGTTAACACGGTCCGTTCTTTTAGAGATAGAAGATATGAATTTAAGGGCCTTGTTAAGGTGTGGAAGAAGAAGATGTCTGAAATCGATTCTAACAAAAAGCATGAGAGAGATGAAGCCCAAAAGATGATTGTACTGTACGACTCTTTACAGCTTGCCCATAAAGTTATTCTGAACTCATTTTACGGATATGTTATGCGAAAAGGATCCAGGTGGTACTCTATGGAGATGGCTGGTATTACATGTTTAACTGGTGCTACCATTATTCAAATGGCTCGAGCGCTCGTAGAGCGCTTAGGTAGACCTCTTGAATTGGATACAGATGGAATATGGTGTATTTTACCTGAGTCCTTCCCCGAAAATTTTGAGCTGAAGCTTACTAACGGTAAGACCTTATATCTTTCATATCCCTGCTCAATGTTAAACTATAAAGTGCACCGACAATTTACAAATAACCAATACCAAAATTTAGTGGATCCCATCAACCATAGATATGAGATGCACAGCGACAACTCTATTTTTTTTGAAGTTGATGGCCCCTACAGGGCAATGATTTTGCCTACCTCCAAGGAGGAAGGCAAGGGCATCAAGAAAAGATATGCTGTATTTAACATGGACGGCTCACTTGCTGAATTGAAAGGTTTTGAACTTAAAAGGAGAGGAGAGTTGCAGCTCATCAAGAATTTCCAGCGTGACATTTTTAGTATGTTTCTCGAAGGCGATACGCTAAAAAGCTGTTACGCAGAAGTTGCTGCTGTGGCTAACAGGTGGCTCGATGTTCTGGATTCTAGAGGTGTCATGCTAGAGGATGAAGACCTCATTGAGTTGATTTGTGAAAACAGGAGTATGTCAAAAACTCTCAAAGAATATGAAGGACAAAAATCAACTTCAATTACAACGGCTAGGAGGCTGGGTGACTTTCTAGGTGAGGAGATGGTGAAAGACAAAGGGTTGCAATGTAAGTACATCATCAGCTCCAAACCAGCCGGCTCGCCAGTTACCGAACGTGCAATTCCGGTAGCGATCTTCTCGGCTGATATGAGCACGAAGAGAACATTTTTGAGAAGATGGCTTGTTGATGCTTCTCTGGATGATTTTGATCCTCGAGCCATCCTCGACTGGAGTTACTACAGAGAACGATTGGCATCTGTGGTGCAAAAAATCATTACAATCCCTGCTGCTCTACAAAATGTCGTAAATCCTGTTCCCAGAGTCGAACATCCTGACTGGCTCAGAAAAAAGATTGCGATCAGTGAAGACAAGTTGAAACAGACCTCTCTTACCAAGTACTTCAAGAAAACGACTAAAGTTCCGGTTATAGAAGATATCGAGGACGGTTTTGGAGGTGCGTTCTCCAATGAGGTGTCAGCAAAGAAAAACGCGAAGGTTATATCAAGAAAAATTCTCAAAAGAAGATCAAAAGAAGATGTTGAGGAAGAAAGTCTCGTTCTACCATTGCAGATACCATATCTCGAAGATGATTATGCGGGGTGGTTAAAATGCCAGAAAATTAAGTGGAAAATTCAGGCCAGGGACAGAAAGAGACGAACCCAGCTGTTTGGCAATACATCAAGCGCGAGTCACAGATCGCCTTTAGGAAGTATAATCAGGAAGCAGGCAGAAACTTATGCCAATTCGACCTGGGAAATTTTACAGTATAAGGAAACTTCTGAACCCGGAGTTCTGGAGGCACAAGTTCTGCTGGATCAGAAAGTGCACTCTTTGAAGTTCATAATTCCAAAGACGGTCTACATTAATTTCAAGAGCGATCTTCTGCCAGAGGGTAGCATCAAAAACTGCACTGTCGAAAAATCCAGTGCCCTTTTGCCTAACCGTAATGAACTTCAAGATTCCAATCGCAGTACCTTGTTCAAGTTGACTTTACCGGAAGAAGCATTCCTTGATGAAATTCAGAACTCTTGCAGCATTGTAAATGACCAAGGAGTTCTAGGTATGTTTGAAAGTTCAATAACCACAACACAACGCGCTATTATTGAGCTAGGTTCTTCGGTTCAGTTCACTTCAGATGCAATTGGTGCCTTAGGTCGAGGTCTACAGAAAGGTTTCGAAAGAAAAAGCTTGCAGGCTGGTTCTTGCGAACGCTACTTAGAAAAAGTCCATTTTGACGTTATCTACCTTCTGCATGTCTCCACGAATGTCGGATATGAATATTTCATATTGTTCAAAGGTTGGGATAGACATTCAGAGATATATGTTTTGAAGCCTTCTGAAAATGCGCAAGACTTGAGTTCTTCTGCTATTGAGAGTCTATTTAAAGAATCTTGCAGCAGAGCCAAAGGAGGGATGGCTTTTAATATTTTAAAAGATTTCCCGCAGGAAATCACGATAGAACAGAAATCATTTACCAATTTGTCCAAACTTTACAAGCAACTGTCGCAATCAATATCAAAGACTGCAAATGAAAAAGGCTCACGATTAGTTTTACTGCTTCAGTCTCCATTCATTGAAAAAATGAAAAGGGCGGTAAAACCTCTGAATATTTTACCGCTTATGGAACTCAGCATTGGGGAATTCATACTTAACCCGCTGAATTGGCAAAACACTGTGAGAAAAAAGATCGTCAGTAGTATTTTGTCCTTGAACGGATGGCTTGAAGAATGGATTGCTTTGTCTCGGTACAGCGGTATCCCTATTTGTAATTTACGACTAGACAAGATGCGCCACATTATCGACGTCATGTACGCCAGAAAGTTGAAACGAGATGACATTGTTCTATGGTGGAATAATAAGACACCGATTCCTGACTATGGCGGTCTAGAAAAAGACTTCAATTTAACAACCTCCTCTTTTCGAAGGGACTTATCGCTGAATGTTTTCAACAGGCAAGAAGTTTATGACAATGTGGTATTCGAGATAGAGCTCAAGAACCTAACTGTCAACACCGTTTTAACGTCTGCTTTGATAAACGAGGCAGAAGGAAGCGATAATACTGATCTGTCATCGTTTCAAAAAGACCCTTCAAGCGGGGAAGGAGCTGGACTCGTTGAAGACTCTTTTTCTAACTTTGCGCTGTCAGTATTACGGTCACTTCTCAAAAGTCTTTGGGACGACGCGATGATTGAAAATCGTACGGCCGACAGCTTAATACACGCTTTCATGGAGTGGATTAACTCTTCTGATTCAAGGCTTTTTGACCCATCTCTGCAATATCATGTCCACAACTTGACGAAAAAGGCCTTACTTCAACTTGTAAATGTTGCCAAAACGTTAGGATCTACTGTCATATTTGCAGACAGATCAAAGCTCTTGATAAAAACTTCAAAGACGACGGTCGAAAGCTCATACGCATACGGTCAATATTTGATTAAGGCAGTGCGTTCAGCGCCAATGTTTAATTTTCTGGATTTATCCATCAAAAAATACTGGGATTTGCTTATATGGATGAACCGCAACAATTATGCAGGACATGCCTGTGATGAAATAAAAGATGCCGACGAACAAGATCTTCGGGCTTACTCAGAATGGCACATAAGGGCCTTTTTACCGCCTATATACCAGCAAGAATTTGACGACTGGCTGATAATTATCCTAGACAGCATGGTTAAAGCCAAAGAATCTTATTTGCGTCAGAAAACTGACTCTCTGCGGATGACGCAAATCGTACATTTGGAGGACGCCAGAGGAGTTCGTGATAAACAAGATCCTGATTTTCTGCAAGGCTTCACCTCGAGATTTTCGGCAGTATTGAAAGATAGAATCAAAAGACTTTTGCAAAACCAGCAAGAATACATTTTGGATCTCGATGTAGGCGTCAATTACCAATTTCCCCAACTCGCCGGATCACGGCACGACTTGAAAAATCCTTTACTTGAGTTGGTCAAGTATCTATGCCACATCATGCTTTTTGGTAAGACAACCGTTCTGGAGGTTCGTCAACTGAGAAAGGATCTACTGAAAATCTTCGACATGCGAGAATTTGATCCTGCAACGGCATTCAAGTATCCAAGTGCCTCTTTAGTCATTGGAAATCTTATTTGCGAATATTGCCATTCTTTGGACGACATCGATTTTTGTCTCATAAAGCCAAATGAGTCCTTCGCGTGTTCTTATTGCCATCGCCACTTTGACACCGTTTTGCTTCAAGAGAATCTCATACAAACACTACAAATCGAACTGCAGAATTATTACACACAAGATCTCAGATGTGTCAAATGCGGCAAGATCAAAGAAGATCTGCTATCAGAACATTGCCCTTGCTCTGGATCGTGGACTGCGACTCTTAATGAGAGGCAACTTTTTGAGAGGATTGAAACCTATCAGAACGTTGCAACGTATTGTAACTTTAGCCTTCTCGACGCTGTTATAAGTGACCTTTAGCATCATGTTCAACAACATTCACGTGACTTTTTTACAAGAACAATACTATTCGTAAACCATTCGAAATTGCATCAGATCAACAATCTAAGAAATGCTAAATAGAACACTCTCGATATCGCTAGGTTGTACAAGTCAATGAGCGATGGATCATCAAGGTTGAGCTTCAGAGATTACCAACTAACGGCCTTAAATTCATTTGTGAATCCATCATGTCATTTAGCAGTTGATAATCTCATCATTCATGGGCAACGCAGTTCTGGAAAATCATACACATTACAAGATTTCTTCGGAGGTAACCCGCGATTACTCCATTCTTGGCTTAATGTTGCCGAACTCGTAACGTGGAAGCCATTGTTGCAACATGTGGCAAAAAGTATAGCTGATACGCTGAAAAAAGCGTTTCACAAGGTAGATGTGGTTGATCAAGATGCACTGGAGGCCGAGGACTTTTTCCTTCTCATCAAATTTTTGCAAATTAATTTCAAGAAATATGATTTTTTAGAGCACGACGTGAATTTGTTCGTGGTGCTTGACGGATTTGACCAACTCCAAGAATTAGATTTCGAACTATTCCCAAAGTTTTTGAAGTTGCATGAAGCGCTGCCTTCAGGGTCCAAAATCCACCTGAGGTTCATTTATACCATTCAAAGCAGTGCCTTTGTTTCGCGATATCGAACGTATCTCATACCTACTATTGTATTCCCCAGGTACAGGTACGATGAAGTCATGGCCATATTACTGAAAAAAAAGGCCAAACAATATGCTGAAAGCGAAACTCTTCTCAAGAGAGTACTAAGATGTGGAATTGATCCAGAAGATACCGTTTTTGAGCAAATTGTTGAAAATTACATCAGACTCACGGTTCAAGCTTTCCACTCATACACGGGTAATGATCCTGTTGCCCTCGAACACCTGTTGGACTGTAAATGGGAATCATATACGAATGAGATAACGGCTAAAAACGTTACTGAACCAGTACTTCTATACAAATCAAATTTGAGCCTTTACTTGTCTACGGGAGAAACTTTGACAGAAAACACCGAGGAACAAATTTCAGAAAACGAAGAGACAGCAACCTCGTACGAATTGTCTCTAATTTCGAAATATCTGTTGATGTCGGCTTATCTATGCTCATATTTGGATCCGCGGTACGACAGTAAGATTTTTTCAAAAAAATCACATTTGAGAGCAGGCAGATCCTCTTACGGACGTCGCAATAAAATGAGAATGAATCCTAGGTATTTACAACCGTCCCTTTTTCCCCTAGAGAGACTTCTTTCGATTTTTCAAGCTATTTTCCCTCTTGAAGGTGTTGAAGACGATACAAAGAGCTTTCGAACTAAAGAATATATGAGATCTAATGTGGAGGTTTATGAGAATTTAGCTGAGCTCAATACGCTCAAGCTGATTATGACAGCGGCTCCAAAGAATGTAGATTATCTGAGCTACAAGATAAAATGGAAAATTAACGTTCCGTGGGAAATTATAAAGGAAATTGCATCCACGATAGACTTCGACATTGCAGGGTATTTCTCTGATCTACATAATTAATTCATTATATCAATAGTCATATCTCTGTACAAGGCCTGTGCCTTGATGCAAACAAGCCAACAGAATTGTTACGAAATGGTAGAATATGAGTTTGATCCTCAAAATCCGCTTAAGTTGAGAAAACTTGGTGACAAGTCGTCTCGGCTTACATCGACTGAATATGCTGATGAAAACAAGGATTGGCCATCCGACAGACAACCAAAACGCAGACGCGATGTGTTGATCGATTATGATGCCTCCTCGGACTCATCAAACGACGACAGTTCTTCACCGACAAGCCTCAAAGAGAACGAGACTAAAGAATTGAATGACGAAAATGATGACGACGACGATGATATGTTCAAGAGTGAAAACGATCATGACAACGAAACAAGTACGGCAAAACCGAGAAAGCCGAAAAAAGGTATCGATACTTTGGACGTGAGCAAGCTAATTCCTGAAGATGATATTTTCGATGACGAGGACTCACAATCGAGTTCTGAAAAAGAAGTCCAAATGGATCCGTTCAATTTGAAAAACGAGATCGAGTCCGGGGCTTTTGACCGCGATGGAAACTACATTGAAGCCCACAATTCTGAAGACGAATTTAAAGCAGAGGATGAATGGATCAATGGTTGTAACGGCATAAAGGAAACATCCAGGGCGCAGGAAGCTCAGCTACAGAGGAGGCGATACGAACAAAAAATCAAGGAGAAACTCAAAAAAGAAGCTCGATTGTTGAGAATCGACGAAGCCTTGGAGCGAATTTGTTTCTTCTTATTCCAAAATGAAACCGTAGCGGACGTTTTTGGTCGAATGAACAAACTGCGCGCGCAAAGCTTGAAGAAAGAATCCTCGCCTGGGAAATCAAACAAATCTTGTTCGGAACCAAAGTTTGTAATAAATTCGATAAAGTATTTCACAGATATTGTCAGTATTTTGGAACAAAAGGGAGTGGCCAGCGTTTACGAGCTTACGCGTGCCAAAGCCGTAAGTCTTTTCGACGATGAGACCCTTAACACTGATAAAGCTAACGACTTCAATACAAAGCAGTGGCAATTCAAATGGCTTGATGCTCTCGACAAGGTCAATGGGGATTTTTCTAATTATGAAATGCAGCATTGGAAGAATAACTATTTTAACGATCAAGTCATCGTCAAGTACTTGCAAGACCTGGACGAGCCGCGAAATTGGCTTGATATCAAGACTTTGTCATTCATGGCCGATGGCCAATAGGCTTAAGATCGCCACGTTACCAGAAATCGACCTGTGGATTTGTCGTGTTTGTTTCAATTTCAATGTATCCCTGGACGTCTCCCGCAACAGTTTTTGAAATGTTGTCAATGTCCTCAAATGACAGCTTTCGCCCTTTATCGCGTGGAGGTCGGTTGTATGCCATCAACAATAGTCTGAACTTGTTCTTCACTTTTGTCAGATTCTTGTCATATTTTACCACGTTTGATTCTTCATTGTCCATTGGAATCTCTTCAATCATATCGATGATAGAACGCGCGGTCTTGTGCAACTGTGGCAGAGAGCTGTTTTCAAGTATAACTTCACACGCACCTTTCATCAACCCCACTGTAACGTATCTCTGAAATCCAACCTGAAGCCCGTACTGCTTTCCCTCTAACAGATTATGCCGCAGATTTTCTTGTCTGCCCTCTTCAAAGCCTTCACGGTAAAACTGCTCTTCTAAATTCAAGACCGACTCCAAATCAATCATAGTTGTGACTTGCCTTATTCAGCCGAAGCCATCGCAAGTGTATGGAATTGAGCACTGTAGGAAATATATGATGATTACTACACAGCTATTTCGGAAAAGGCACCTATAAATCACGTGAACATGCTTCATACTACCAAAGATGACCATTTTCGACTTCTTCTGCCCAGTGGAACCAGATCTTTGGGACGGCTAGGTCGAGAAGGCATTGATGTCGCTTGTTTGCCATTGAAAGAGTTCGCAGTCATACAATCTGTGCATTTTTGACTTCTTTACCGGTCTTTTTGATCTTTGCGAGCACTGTTTCAAATGGGAGATGCGTGAAGACGTCTACTGTCTGTTTCTCTAACGAAACTTCAAATTTGGAAACCTCAGGCTCCAATCTGGTCAAAACTCTTTTGATAGAGTTCGAGCAGCCTTCGCAAGTCATTTTGACATCAAAGTGGTAGTGTTTGGCTTCGGGCATATTACAAAAATTATTCCTGGTAAGTGGAAAAGGTTATGTCAATTGCTAGCTGGTGCTCAACCAAGTCCGTGAACTTTTATTTGACATCTCAATGCAAGTTTCTGCTGTGCACCCGGAGCCAGCATAAAGCACGCACTGACAAATGGTGAGCACTTAAAGGTTCCGGGTAACTTCCATGTGATCCAGAAATCTCCGGGATAAGTTCAACTCTAAAGACGATTTTCCTCACGAACGTCTCTAATCTCGTCAATGCATTCTCTTCTGAGACCTGTATCTGCAAATAACTTGACGATCCATTGAATGATTTCGTCTGTTGTGAATAGGTAAAAATCGCCATCTGAAAACATAGTCATAATATCCGTCAGATGAGCATTGACCACTTTGCCAGTTATGACAAGTCTCTCTCTTAAATGCTCGTGTTGTGGATTATCTCGTAACTCTTTGACTGACGTCCCCGCGGCTATAATATTGATCAATTTGGCAATGTTTTCTGAATTCTTCTCGGAAATAACATCCCATGAGAGGACTTTTTGAATTAGACATTCATTGTATGTGAAGTCAAGAAATTCGGATAGTCTGTTACCACCATTAACCAGTCGTAGAAGCGAAGGTATGACACTTTCTTGTACGAAGGGCAAAAGCTTTTTCTTTGTGAATTCCCACTGGGGTCTGTTTTCTTCACTGGAAAACTCATTGAGCTGACGGAAAATCAGCTGCTGTGCAGTAATCTTCATGTTTTCTATATGCGTACGCACAAAACGCTCATTCAATTCGTGCAAGCGAAAAAGATTAATTTTGGGCGAACATTCACTTATAACAACTGTTATATCGTTGTAAAGTTGCCACCACTCAGTATATTTGCACATGCACATGGCCATAAAGGATGTGAGTAGTAATTGCAGCTTATAATGGTAAGTTGCTGATATCTGGTTTCGTCCTAGGGCATCACATCCTTTTTCGAAGTTTATTAGAGTTTGTTTAAATCCTTGCGGCATCCGTGTTATCATGAGACTTTCGTTTTTTGAATGTGCTTCTCTCTTAGTTTGGAAGTATTTAGCATCATTTTTCGGAAGCGGATCGATCTCAAGGTCAAGCGCGATTTCCTCCCCCCATCCATCATCCACATCTTCTTTGACGTGGTCTTTATCGTCTTTTTCTGCTTCATCATCATTCCAAGCCCACTCATCATCTAAATCATCATCCTGCTCTTGTTCAGGTTTCGATTCCGGTAAACATTTATTTTCGCGGTTTTCAACGAGCATTGGTAGTCTCCAGTTGTCACTTTCGAAAATGGCTCTTAGCTTCAATAATTCGTCATGAAGAATTTGATCTAACTTCAAATCAATGATGATCTTTTCGTCAGCTAGGAGGACATCTAACTTACTCCTGTCATAACACCAGTGAACAGCGGTGTTAAGAGACAGATCTGCCATGGCGGCATTAATGTCAATTAGTCGCTGTCGTTGCTGTGATACAATCAGTAATTGTGCTGCTTCTTGCCTCACAAACTTGATTATTTCATTCACCAGGAGGTTGCCAATACTTTGCAATATCAGGTCCGCATCCTTTGCGCTTACAATGCCTGACAAAAATGTGGCCAGGTTTTGGAAGCTATCGAGCGTTAAGTCGATAGTACGAGTGCGTCTTTCAGATATGATACAGCTGCCCTCAAGAAAGAGTACGATATCCGAGGAAAACAGGAACTTCTTGAAAAAAAGTATAGTTTGTTCATGCTTCAGGTATTTGTCGGAAATAGCCGAGAGTTCTTGGATGACCACGTTTTTTGTCGCGATAGATTCTATTGAAGAAACAAACCAGCACGAAGAATTGGAACCTAACACAGCATCTTCAAAAAGATGAGACTTCACACACTCAGATATTTCATTGTACAATATCTCATTGTCCCCTGACTCAGTTGTAAAACTGCTTCTGAAAGTGATGCTGTCCTTTCCAAATTTCCAGAACCCGTCGAGCGCATCACGAACGCGTTCGATGAGCTGAAAATGAAGATGATCCACCGAATCGTTGACTGATTGTTTGAATTGCCTTGATTGGCCGGCCAGAATGTTTTTTTGCAGCTTTTGATGGATGTTGCGCAAAGAATAAAAGCACGATTCAAGTTCCCAGAGCTCTAAATTAACATAAAACTCCTTCAAGAGTCCTCCTATTATACGCAACTCCTTATAAGCATGTAATTTTTCTGTCAGTTCCACATCTGCTTTTAAAAGGGCATTGATGTCCGCGTTACGGTCATCAACCACTAGCCTTGGTAAAGCAAAATTTGGGTCATTTTTGATCGATTTTTTGACAATTTCGATTCTACCCAGAGCAAAAGGACCGTCTCCCAAAGGGCTTCGAGAATGATCAATCGAATTGGAGCCGCTCATGGGTGCACAGATGCCGTCCTTGCTCTCAAATACACGCTCATCGGCAAAATTAAAAACTACAAGGTTTCTATCCAACTTTTTTCGTCAAATATGACATAATCACTTTTGACATGTGACACTATAATTTTGAGTGCTATCGGTTGGAATACATACCTTCCGAGATCTCAAGAGAGGGCTATTCATGATTCTAAATTACTCAAGAAATTACTCGTTTTTGGATCTTGTGTTCAGTATTTTGATGAATGTTGGATTGGAAATGTTATCGATCATTAATAATCTGAGTGAGCTGAGTAAAGTTTTCATCATCAAAAACCAAAAATGAGCTTAAGAAAAACCGCATGCAAGTAGACTTAATTGCATGCGTTTTTAACCACAACAGGCCTGTACGAATTACTTTGAAGAACAATATGGATTGTAGATGGGACTCTTTGTATGAACGGCTTGGATCACGCTAAGTGCCTCTAAACTTTTTCGCATCTGCAAACTTATATACAATTTTAAGTTACCCTGCCTAAGGGTTCAGGACGGACATTAAGTCAGGGCACCCTCGCGCATTTGAGGATGAAATGGATCATAAAATGTGTCGGACCGCTTGATATTCATTTCTGCATTTGAGGCAGTAATTTTGTAATTCTGAATCATTCTTCCATACGTTTTCGTAATCAGTTTCTACTTTTTGGCAGTTCGCAACTTCTTCCTGTAGAAAAACCAAGAAGTCGCCGTGAACTAATTCTCTTTCCATGGAGGCGAGAATTTTAAGCTCTACCAGGAGTTCGTTTCTCTTTATTGCCAACTCTTGTCTGGTTTTATGATATTTGGATTCCGTTCGCTGAGCGGTTGATTCCAGAAATTTGGAAAAGCAGGCATCATCTGATTGAATCAAAGAGCTGGAAAGAAGATCCAAGTCGCGAATGTAGAGAGCACGTTCCATAGGTTTGCGACCTTCATCAATAAACTGTTTGTAAAGACCTTCGGCTCTTTTGGCAGACCAATATGACGCTGTTGTTCGGCCCGACAGGATTAAATTCATGATAACTGAGAAGAGTAGCATTAGAAGTATCGTGCGATTCATAAGCACGACATTGGTGGAAACAGAATACAGATAATGGAAAAGTAGGCGAACAATTGTGAATATAGCATTAACAACATAAAACAGAGTCCATTTGGTAATGAATCTGAACAAAGGTCCCTTAGAGTATCTGACAACGTTATCGGGCAAACTTACCGAGATCTGGGCAGGTGCTTGGTCTTTATTCGACGATCCTTTCACAAGTCCTAGCTGTCCGCAAAGTTTAATGGCTTTTATGGTCTTCCCGTGGTTTCCAATTTCATCAAGATACTGTGATATGACGTTACGGCACAAAATAAACTCATAGCGACAAAAATGTAATACTAATTTTCTGACCAATCCGTCAAGGTAATTTAGTTTAATACCTGGTGTTTTTTGTGACTCGCCTGCAAATGTAATTTTGTAGTACGTGAACAGCGAACAAGAGCGTGTGAGGTTATTTGCATGTTTTGATTTTGATTTGTGATGAGACTGGGAGATAATGATGAATTTGGTGCTCACACTAAAGGGCTTGGTGAAGGGAATTTGGAACTGGCCTGATTCCTGATCCGCTTCGTAGTAATAACCTTCTTTTACTCTCGTAATTTTCTGCGTCAAATCAATATAGCGTGAATCTCCCGATAACTGTCCTTTGCGACCATTTGAAGACAGAAAGTTTTTGGTAGAGTTTAATTTGAACGTAATTCTTCTAAAAGTGATATTTTCATTGTTCTCTTTCTGGCTATACCATGGAGTTATCGTGTTATCGAAACCAGACCTTTCAGCCAAAAGTAGTGATCTGGGAAACGTGCGAGATTTGTTTCCAAACATGATGTGCATCAACCCTGTAGCGGAAATGTCAAAGTCTGCCCTGAACACCCTTGCGTATTTGATTTGAAAGGCTTGCTGCCGCTGTCGTAAATCCTTCTCAGAGTTATCCAACGTCCATATAGATTCAACTTTATCCTCTGGTTTTTTCGATGCTCGTTCTGCTTCAAGCGCCACCTTTATTTTTGAACTCTCGTAATCTTGCTGCAGCTTTGCCCACGCGTTCAAGACACTCCTTTCTGAACCAGGTTCGGTGGCCACGCCATTCTTTAATAAAAGCTGAATTTTCGAGGAAAGTAGTTTGGCGTCATCGAAAAATACGGTAACCCGCATGGACAAGCCCTTCATATCATAAAAGTCAATTAATTCACCCCCTTCGTGGTTCGTCTTTCCTGTGGCCTCTACAGACACCAGGTCAGTAAGGTGCCTTTTGAGCAGAAAGATAAAGCCCATAGAATTCATGTAAAAGTAAATGTCATGCATGGTAATGAAACAAGAGCCACAGAACCCCTGCTTTGTATTGGGAGACCATGAGCACGAAAATTTCATCAGTACTAAATCTTGAATTCGGCCTTTTGAAGATAAAGCTGATTCGAAGAGGGTTCTAAACTCGATATCGTCATTTTTACTAGCAGAGTAGAAATAATCGGGATATTGGAGCTGATTCCATTTTGGAAATGCCAAACTGCTTTGAGATGATTGTGGACTTTGAGCCGAAATATCTGGCTCTGAAGTCGATGCACTGACTTGATTTTCGAAACAATATCTCCCCCAATTTACGCTGCCCCAAAAATTGGCCATAATAGCGTTTGGAATGTTATCAGCTTCAACGTAATAAGAGGAAAGTATACTTAGTTTCGTCAGCTTGGTCATTATGGGTGCTTTTAAAAGCGGAATATCAAAAGGCGCATTCAATGGAATGGTCACATTACCACTTTCTGAAAAGGCAGCCCCCATCATCTGAAGAATTGATTTATAAGAATTTCCATCACTTTCATAAGTTGTGAGTAAGTGATCGACCTGCGAAGTTGAGCTGCACGAAAATTCATAAAATGTCGGGGGGAACCGAGAAAATGCCATTTTATACTCAGACTCAGTGTTCTTCAACTGCAGCACTCTTCTTTTCGCCCCCTCGAAAGCAAGAAGCCATGACTTAAGCTCCGCTAATGTTTCGGCCTGGAATATCACTGAAATATTTTCCCCGTTGCTGTTTCGGCCCGTCGTTTGATTCTTATCGCTACCGGCAATTTTAATTTCAAAACAAAATTTTCTATCCTCGTCTGCACAGTATCTGGCACTCGTTAGCAGTACACCAAATTTATCAGTTTCCTCCACACTTGTCTTTGATGGCGACAATAAAAACAAGCCGAAAAGTGAGTTCTTCAAAAAGCACCAGCGCCTAACCCAAACCTGACGACTAGGTTTGCCCACAGCAGTTTTCATATATAACCAGCCATACTTTTCGACTAAAGCGTTGTCTGTGACGCTCTCTTCTTTTAAAAGGCTGGCTTGACTAATATTTTTGAAAGTGTAGTCCTCTAAATCTCGTGATGGCTGCAATTGATTTATGGAAAATTGTTGAATTTGATCCTTGGCCCTTCTCATGTCTTCGCTTAAAGATCCGTTGTTTTTTAGAATTTCTCGTGACCAATTCTGATGTTTTGTGTATTTTTGTAAAACACTGTCGTTACTTTCGTTGAGTTTAACGTTCAGATACTGTCCACTTCTTCGAATCATCACGCCAACCACTCGAATCATAAGATCGTCCAAATTTTCTTCCATCTTCGATATTTCCCATTTCAAATCGAGAGAAGCTTGAAGGTAACTTTTTCGAACTTCGAAAAGTTGAAAGGCATCTTCTCGTATGCTAGAGGGCTCTAAGTTCGGATTTGTGACCTTCACACTTTGGTACTTGGCTAAAAGTGAGTCGTGTTTAGATTGATAGTATTCGAAATTTCTCCTGCTTTCCCGGTATGGTTCAATGCAGTGGGTCAGCATTTCCGATAAAATCGACATATAGCCCTCGGAGTCCCCTCTGATTAACTCAAAAGCATCATTTGAGAGATTGTCCAAATCTTTGTGAAACTGATCCAAAAGTGAGGGTGTGTGGAGCTGATTTTCAATCAGGCCATTGTATAGATAATCCGGAGGCGGTAGCGTTTGAGAATATAAGGTATCACTGATTTGTTTGAAGTCCCCTAAAGAAGGTAAAAACCTATTCTGTAAAAACTTGGAAACAGCAACAATCCATCCCTCAATTGATTCTACTTGCACATGATAAAAATTGACGCTTGCCCTAAAAGATGGCGAATCGAGCGAAGCTTCCTTAAAAGAGACTGATATCAATTTCAAAAGTCTCTGGGCATCGTTAGAATGTTTCTCGTTTGGCATTCTGTACCCATGAGCCCGCTTGACAGTTCCTAACGTCGGTACAGTGATCGCGGTTGATAATGAAATGGGAAGACCTCAGAGAGTTTACCAAGATTACTATCAGTTAAACTTAGCAGCTAACTTCCTCAATGCGAAGCTACAGATCATATATAACGATGGTCGGCATATCAACACACTTTTTGACGCAGTAAGGAAACCGCTGATCTATACCGCTAGTCATTGCCCTTAAAGGAGTTAGTGGACTAGAGGATGATTTGATCACTATTTTCAAGGATTATAAATCTATAGATTAGTTTTTCTGATGTTATTATCAAGACTCGAAAGCTATAGTAGTGTAAACGAACCTTCCATAAAATGCAGGTAAAAAATGATTGAAGTATTGTAAGTAGTTTAAAAGTAGACACGAGCGGTAGATCTTATGCGAGAGTCCACATATATCCTTCGTTTGATTTAAACAGAGTCCAAAGCGAACCGCCTTTTGATGTTGCTCACTGGCAGAGATTACATTGTTTTCACTTTAAAGTCAAAATCCAACCTTTAAGTCGATCAATTTGTGTATTTCGACACCTCTGAAACGACCTCTTATATGGTTCAATTTGAGAAAGCAGAGAATAGCTGTTGATATGACATTGAAACCAAAAGCGCTATTCTAGTATGTCTAACGACAATTCAGGCGTACATGAAATGTGAATTTCAGATTTTCTGTTCTTACTTAGACAAAAGCCCTAAAACCCCCTCTCTGCAAGTCCATTTGCAACGCCCATATAAAAGCTGAGAATGTCAATACTTGGTCTTACTTGATCTTTCAAAAAACCGTAAGATTCTGGAATTTTCGAAGATAGCTCGAGCTGTAACTTATTTTTCCAGTTTATGATGTCCAAATGATCGGTGTTGGTCAGGGTCCCCAAGTATTCGCCCCATTTGCTGCTTTGAACTGTAACGAGACCGTCGTTTGGCTGACCATTGGAAAGATCCGAAATTATTCTCCAAGATGGATAGAATACGTTGAACCATTTGGGATGAAAACAAGCGCCATAGCTAAAATAAGCAATGGAAGGGTCATTTGGAGTTTTTGCATTGAAATCTTCCATGTAACTAGTCGTCAGTTGGTATATCGCCGGTGCAAGTTTTCTAAGGGAATTCTCAACCGGTAGACTTTTCTCTAGAGAATCAGCAAGATTTACTACGAAATCGCCCATTTCTGACCCACGATGCGGGGTGCAAACTGTCGTGAGGCTCACGACCTTGTAATTTGTATTGGGAATGTTCGAAATGAGATATCTGCAGTCCAGTCCACCCATGGAATGCGCTATAAGGTTAACCTTAATGGGCTCATTTTCTGATTCTTTGCACTTTACCTTTGACCTATTATAAATCTCTTCCGGCTTGAAATTTTGTCGCAACTTGTCCGTTTCCCTCTCAATACATGCGTCTAGGATACCAGCTCTTGTCTCGATACTTCCGAATCCAGGAACTTTGGCCGTGATCACTTTGCAACCGTTCTTTTCAAGAGCGTCTTTGACACCAATCCAATACTCAATTTCAATCATCCCCTTGGTCGTGACGAGGTCGGCATCTTCATTCATATAGGATTCCTCGTTGTTAAGCACATTATGAATGTTGAGAACCTTCACCAATTGAGCGACCGACGGTACCAAAATGAGTTTATCAAATCCCGACAGACCATGACACAAAACAATAGGGTTTTTCGGTGCCCTGTAGTGTTTATACCGCGGAATATATTTGATGAATAGCGCCTTTTCGTCATGAGCTGTCACTACTTTATCGTACATGTTAACGAAGCTGTTAACCAGTTCATCAGGTCTTCGCTCTGTTATGGTACGGAAGGACGAGGGGTTTTCATCATTCAAAATTCCTGGCCAGATCCTATCTAACCATCGATGGACTGATTTTCGGGCTCTTTCACCAAGTTTTCCCTCGGTCATGCACGACTCGTTCAAATTTAAACTGTAGATTAGAATGACACCCTCGTTTCGAATCTTGAACTTTTTCCGCCAAGAAAAATGGAGATTTACAGTTTTACTGAGTTGATGGCTGACCAGACCGTTTTCTGATTACTAGCCAAAGCGGATGCTCAACTGCTTGCTTAAGTGGTCAATTTAAGTCCACACATGATAAGATATAAATGTTATACTAGATAAAAAAACCCCCGTAATCTTAACGATCACTATAACTTTTATCGTAGCGTCGGAAACACCTACCAGCTAGTTGTTGCAAGGACCTTGGACGTTGCCAGTGCTGTGTATAAGCTCTAGAATAACCTTTCTGTAAGTAGTTTGCTTGTTTCAACGAACCATTCCCAAACGAGGGATTTGATTTACTGAAGAGCTTTAGGGCATGGTCTTTTGTCGTTGGTGCAAAATAATCAAATTTCGGATTTTTATCGTTCGTTTATCGAGGCTTAGATGTCTGAGTTCTTTGACTTTTTGACTGAACTTTCATGCTTTTAGAGCTCTGGCAGAAATCCACATGTATTCTTCGATCGTCAATCAGCACACCCTCCATTTTGGAATAGGCTATCTCACAAGAATTCCGATCAGCATATTCGATAAACCCGTAGCAAAGAGATGAGCCACTCGATTTGTCTCTCACAATCTCGATGTATATTACCTCCCCACACTGTTGAAAGATAATGGCAAGATCTTTCGCTCTTGTGAGGGGATTGAGTTTGCAAACAAACAGAACTCTTTCTGAGGGCTTGATCCCGGCCTGCCGTATGTCTCCAAGAACTTCGAGTGTGAGTTCCTTGCTTCTGATATCAGAATCTATGAAATTGATTTCATCAGCAGAGTCCTTCTCATTTTCCAGCGGAAGACGTAAATTCGTCGTTGTGATTTTTGGACTGTAAACGATTAGCCCATCGGGATCTGGAAAAGGATCGTGGAGAATGTGTACTTTCCTGATTCGAATATCCGCGGCAGGCCTCAGTTGATCATCAGTAGTAGCTTGATTAATAGCTTTGAGTGCTTTCTCACTCTCTGGAATAACATGACCAATTTTGATTGTGTTCTGATAGCTCCGAGGAGTCTCTGACAAGGAGATTAATATTTGCGAACCGTAGAGGGGCCCCTCGTCATCCTGGTGACCGAGAATCATACAGACATCGCCAAACTTCTGGCTCTCTTCCTGAAGCTCATCGAAATGTGTTATGAGCTTAGCTGATGACCCATTCTCTTTCAGCAAACTTTGAAAAGCTGCATTATGAAACCTCAATTCGTGCCTATTCTCATTGCCGAGCAATGCGTCGCCCGTCTGTACCGAGAAGTGCCTCTTCAGGTTGTAAAAGAGTTGATACTGATAGAAATTGGCTTTGCATAGCTTGAGAAAATTGAAGCTCTCTGATTGTGCTTCCTTGTAAAGCAAGTCTATGACAATATCACCAACAGTTGTTTCGAATAGGACGCTCATTAAGCTTTGTTATCGCTATGCATATCACGGTGGCGTACGTCATTTTCGATAAATCGTTCATCCTAAATCGTTGATCATGAACATCAGGAAAATGTCATTGACTCTAACTAGCACTCTCAATAGTTTGAAGTAAGAAATGAGTTTGTTAATGTTAAACAATGGCTTTATCCTATGTATCGCGTATGCTCAATTCGTTTTCATTCTAAAGAACTTGAAGGATAGTTCAGTCATGTCGACTGGGGCCACTGACCGTACGCATCATAGTGTCCTTTAGGGGTCCCAATTTATCAATCAAATTTAATCCTAGAGTTCTTGCCGCAACTATTGGGCCAAAATCTGTCGAGTACACTTTATGAAGCTTGTCGACAACGCCAAGTAGCATATTATTGTACGGATATCTTTCGCTCCAGTATGGCTCTAGAGCCAAGAGGCTGCCAATATCCTGACCTCGTTGGATGCCCTTTTCGAGAGCTTTCACCAACGACTCTACATCTCCTTGTCCCATGTTCAGGCCTTGTCCTGCAAGCGGATGGGTGGTGTGTGCGGCATCGCCTACCAAAGCGACTCTTTCGGACACGTACGTATCGGCATGTGAAAGCTTTAAAGGAAAACGTGCTCTTGATTTTTCTTCGACACTTGTCACAGTAGGTGGGAATATTTCATCCATGAATGCATCTTCATTCATGGTGGCTAATACTTGCTCAGTTCTAAATTTGATGTCGTCTTTAAGTTCCTGAGTGGTAATGCTGCCTTTGTGTAATTGCTCATAATAGTACTTCATGTCAGCATCGTCTAACACAAATGCTGCATTGACGAGTAAAGTGAACTGTTCAGGGGTGATATCTAGTAAAAGTTTAGATAGCGGCTCTGTGGTGCTCCAAACGAGAGTCGCATTGTCGTCTGGAAGTGGTAAATGGGCGATGGGACCTGTGGGTAAAAATTTTTGCCAGCCTCTAATCTTGAAAGGTGAAGAATCCAATTTCATTGTCGCAACTACGCCAAACCTATTGTAGAACCACCCCCGCGACTCGATATGAGAAAACTTTCTGACAGGCGAGTTGAAACCATCACAGCCTATGAGCAGTCGCGTTTTGAAAGTTTGGCCATTATCTAGGGACACAATTGGCCAAGAACCTGGTTTAAGAAGATCCGAACTCTGGATTTCAACGACTTTTGCCTTGTCAATAATTTCCAAGTTCTCGGCGTTTAACTCATTTATACGAGCCAAGACCGAGCTTTGAATATTTAAAATTTCTACCATTGATCCCATGGACTCCCTCTCCATTTCCAGTTTCCCATTTGAGCATCCATCTGTCACATAAATGCCGTCAAAAGCTTGAACTCTTTCTTCCATCAAACGAACGCCTACTGTTTCCTCCAAAAATCTCTTGGATTGAGAAGTCAGGCTAATAACTCTATTGGTAAATTTCGAAGGAGGATTATCATAGAACCCTGCGACTTTCGTTTTCAAATCACCGGCGTCCACGAGTGTTGTAGATAAGCCTGCCAAATGTGGGGAAGTTTGGATCGCAGCTGCCAACGTCAGCCCCGCAGGGCCACCTCCGACAATCAACACATCTGTAAGTTTTGGCGCCGCTTTTGATGCAAACCCAGCTACTTGAAATAATCGACGTGATTTCAAAATCATTTCGTCTTTGCAACTATCTTGGTCAATCACACTAAAACAGGAGGAACCTTTAGACTCCATCATGTTGAAAGTTAACCTTGGAGCGTGAAGTGTGGATATACGTTTGAACGAAGGCATCGAGTTTCTATAATTTACCTTTAACTTCAAGACCAGGCTTTTTGATCGAAAGATGTTGAGATTTTGAGCAATTGCGGGTCCATGAAGTAAAGGCAATTTCGAAGGGGGAGAATTTTAAAAAGTCAAGAATTCAGGATAAGTATTTTCAGTTTTTTTAGTATCTTGTTATCTCTGGACTCATTCTGATAGGTGAGTTCGATTATTTCTGCCGGAGAGCGCAAAAAACCTCAAAGTACTATTCAAAAGTGCACATATGAGGGGTGATATGTAGTTGTTTACCCACAGGTTTAAAAGAGAAAGCGATAAGTTTTACGAAGGTTACTAGGTTACTCCATCATTGCATGTGATTCATTCCGATCTTGAAGGTTTTTTTTTCAATATTGACGTTACGCAGAGTCATCGCCCTCAATCAGCGAGAATTGGGTTCATATTTCAGTTCTCTTGAAAGAGTTATAGGCGTCAGGTTACTTCATAGTTTATTCACGGTGTCTACGATTGTTAAATTCCGTACGGGCCCTCTGAGCGCTGTTTTAAGTGGGAATATTTTGTCGAAAAGGTGGTTTTCGAAAACCTCGATGAGCTATGACAAGGTACACATCGAAGGGCTTGCTACCAAAGCAATCATAGGCCTGGACTCTTGGGGCAGGAACAGTGTGCAAGATTGCAGCATCACAGCTGAAATGGTAACGAATTTTAGAAAAGCTTCAAGCACAGATGATTTGAAGTATTCACTCAATTACGCTGTGATATCAGACGATATATCGAAAAGGGTTGGAGCTCGCAAAAACCATAAGTCTTTGATGGATCTAGCGAGGGACGTTGGCGGGCATTTGAAGAATAAATACACTGGGATAGAGAGACTGATCTTAACGGCGCAATGCGCCACAACCCATATCAGAACCGATGACGTGCGAGCAGAAGTGACAATTCCCCCATCAAGCGCAAAGCCTTATAACCTAATACACATTGGAAATCTCAAACTTTTGACTTTAATCGGAGTTTTTTCATTTGAAAGGCTCAAAAAACAGTTCGTCACTCTCGAGCTCGATTTACCAGTAAATCAAGAGGAGACCAGTTTTTCTAGTCATGATGTGATCGAAGAGGTTATCGCGTTTGTCGAAAATTCTAATTTCAAAACCGTAGAGGCGTTAGCCGAGGGCACCGTTCAATTGATTACTCAAAGACCTTATTTTGAGGAGAACAACCAGCTTCCAGTAACCGTCAAAGTCATCAAACTGAATGCTATCACTTCAACTAGAGGTGTTGGTGTGAGCTGCACAAGAAGACAATGCGAATTTGAAGGTTTCCCTGCAATTGAAATTCCGTCTGCTTCACAAGCCCATATTTCGAAGTTCGATCTACCGGTTCCACAAGAGTTTAAGAATCTGTCTCAGAATCGCTACATCGCGTATGTCGCTTATGGGTCTAATGTGGGCGACAGATTCTTTAATATCCTAAAAGCTATTGAATTGATTAATTCAAGTAAGCATTCAAAAGTCACTCGTGTATCCTCGCTTTTCCAGAGTGAGCCAATGTACTTTACTGACCAGAATACTTTCTTGAACGGTTGTCTCGAATTGGAGACGTCTTTGTCACCCCATGCGCTTTTGAAGTTTTGCAAAGAAATCGAGTACGATGAGTTGAAAAGAGTTAAACAATTCGACAATGGTCCTCGTAGCATTGATCTGGATATCATTTTATTCAAAAGTGGCGAAGAAGAACATGTTTTAGTGAATGATGATCAGTTAACGATACCACACCCAAGGTTGCATGAGAGATCCTTTGTTATGGAACCTTTATGTGAACTGGTTGGCCATGCAGAGCTTCATCCTATCACAGCAGAGCCAATTTTCAATCATCTTATTAATCTTTATGCAAAGAGCAATGCCGAAGACGTCTTGTGGAGATTGATACCACTGCCCGCTAGAGGAGGTAAAGAACGCTTCCTTAAATTTAAGTCTGTGACGGTTGTTGACGAAATGACTGGATTTCATACAACCAAAAGCGTGTCTTCCGCATATGTCATGGGAATACTGAACGTCACTCCAGATTCTTTTTCAGATGGCGGTCTACTGCAAGGGGAATTGGATTCTCAACTCGAGCGTACCAAACAAATGGTAATGGATGTCCTTGATAAATGTGAGAGTGTGATTTTGGATGTTGGCGGATGTTCGACGAGACCAAATTCTGAACAAGCAAGTGCTGCGGAGGAGTTGAATCGTGCAATACCTCTAGTTCAAGCAATCAGGTCTTGCAAAGATTTTCCTAACGAAAAAGTTTTCATTTCGGTCGACACCTACCGGGCTGAAGTAGCCCTTAAGGCGATCGAAGCCGGAGCAGACATTATCAACGACATTTCAGGTGGGAAATTTGACGCTGAAATGTTTTCTCTTATCGCAAACCACCCAACAGTCGCTTACGTCTTGTCACATACAAGAGGTAATATCAGAACTATGTCCTCGAAGACAGATTATGCTTCCACAGACTTGACCGATGGGTCTCATGAATATATCTTTGCACAAGATTCGAGTGATGCAAGTTCAGCATTCATAAGGACGATAGCTAAAGAAACTGCAGAGCAATATAGAAAAGCCTTGGACGACAATGTCAAGAGATGGCAAATTATAATTGATCCCGGCATTGGTTTTGCGAAGAAGTCGGCACAGAATTTGCGTTTGATAAAGCATGTTGAGGATTTGAAAAACTACAGCTATCAGTGCCCAAAGCATTTTACGACGTTCAGAAATTTACCCGTTTTAGTTGGGCCTTCTCGAAAGAAGTTCATCGGCGAAATTACTGGAGATGAGAAACCCTCCGATCGAGATTTCGCGACGGGCGCTCTGAGTGCTTCGTGTGTTGGCTTTGGTGCTGATATTGTCAGAGTGCACGACGCCAAAAACTGTAGTAAAACCATAAAACTCGCCAACGCTCTTTACAGGCAAGTCTGAATTTGATGAGATTCATGCTGCGAGATCAAACAGATCTAAATGACAGTGCTTTCGTAAGCTTTACCATTCAAAGCGAAAAATTACATTGATTTCTACAACCATAGTCTAATCTAAACCCACCACAAACTCAAAAAGAAGCGCTATACAGGGACCAGAAAAAAAAAGACCTCAAGTTTTGGTAATGAAACGTTTAATTTACTCTCGCGCAACTCCTAATGCACAGGACAGTCCCTGGAAATGTGGCCTGACTCGTTGCAGTTGTAACAAGTCTTCTCAGAAGACCCATTTGGACAGTCTCTGGAAATGTGTCCAACTCTGCCACATGCATAGCATTTGGCGTCGGATTGCAAGCAATCTTTGGCCATGTGGTTAGGACCCCCACATCTGTAGCAAGAAACCTTGTTAAGTCTTGGCGCAGGCGCAGCAGCAGCTCCTCCAAATCTTGGCTTTCTGGGGTCAGCACAGTCCCTAGAAATATGACCAGTCATATTACAGTTGTAACATCTTTGAACATTACACTCCGACTTGACATGACCGGTCTCACCACAGTTGTAGCATTGTTTGTGCTCTACAGTCTTTGGTAGCGTGCACTCCGATTGCACATGACCAGGCTGGTTACAGTTGTAGCACAATCTTTCAGATTCACAGTCTTCGGCCAAGTGCCCAATCTTCCCACAAACGTAACAGGCTTTCTGAGATGCTGACATCGCTAACTTTCTCTCTTAATCTTCCCTATCGACTGATATGCAGATTGTCATCTCCAAATGCGCATCGATCGCTTTATGTCCAAGAAAATTTTTTCCGATGATCCGAAAATTAAAGATATGTCATTGTGTACGCTTGTATCATGTGATTTGATATTTTGCTTTCGTCATGTGACTTTGATTTCCAAAATGATTTGAACATGACTTTAGAGAGATGAAGTATTGGCCCAGCTCAAAAGCTTCTATGGCATTTTCATCCTCTTGGAATAAATCTCTTCGTATCTCATTCCACAAAAGTCATTTTGTTTACAACATTTTGTTTACAACATTTTGTTTACAACATTTTTTTTCCACTGTGAAGATTACCTTGTGCCGTTTTTATATGGAAACCGGAAACCTGCAAGGTATGCATGCAAAGATCGGCGTGAAATTAGGTAGAATTTCGATAAGTCATGCTTGAGTACTCTGGTCCAAGGCCGAGCTTTACAAGTTCATCTTGCTCAATGGCCACCTCCCATGTCTCGAGCGGGTCGTTATCCGCTACAATGAGACCAAAGTCTCGTGTGCTCTCCATTACGTCCCATGCGTCATCCACAGAAGAGAGCCGCATCTGCTTTTGGCATAGAGCGCTGAGAACTTCTGGCGCCAGGACACATTGTGCGAAATCCCTTGGGCCCCACCACTGTAGTACTGGATTCTTGTTGAAAGTTAGAAGGTCCTGAAAGTGTGTGAAGATCTCATTTGCAACTCGCAATTGACGGCGAAGTCCATAGAAACCTGCCACGAATTTTCGATGATCAAGTTGGCGAAATTCCTGGATACTCATAATCGCGCGCTTCGACTTCCGCTGAGCCGAGCGCGCTTCGTTATAGAACAAAGATGGTCTTTTGCCCGAGAGAATTTCAACTACTATCGGCAAATGCTCCTCGATCGCAGTAACGAGGTCTGCAGCAAACATTGCACTAGGTATCTGACTCCTCTTAGCCGTTTCACGACGTAGCTCTAAAATCGCTTCGAATTTTGCAAGTCCCGATTCATGATTTTGCACAGCAAGAGTAATTGGATCTAAGACTTTGGATTTGGCCGTAACGCTGTCGAGTTCTCGTTCTCGCTGGTCCTGCTCGTCGAACATCTGTTTCACCCTTTTCCTAGCCTGTTCGTACTCGTCCAGCTGCTGAAATTTGTCGAGATCGCTCTGGTTCAGTTCCTCCAGTTCCTTGACCTCGACGTCACTCCCACTGTTTGGGAAAAGCGTAAGCGAGTCATCTGTATCTGACGAAAGCTCAAAACTTCGCTTAACATTTTGACGGCACTGTTTCAGAGTCAATTCGTCTTGGCGATTGGAAACCGAATCTTTTTCAATAAATTCCTGGTTGAGCTTTTCGTTCCCCGTAGTTTCATGAGAAACGTCCTCTCCCTGTTCTTGCTCTTCTTCTTCGCTGGATCTTTCGCCGTTAGTCATCGTTGCGTATTAAAAGTCACCACTCGTCACCTCAGTCTAGCCCTTAAACGTTTTCTTCAAATCGAACCAGTGTAGATCAGGTTGTCCCTTCCGAAGAGATCATTAAATTAAACAATGTTCACAATTCAAGCTCAGTAACTTGTTTTTAACCATGAAAAACGGTAGATTAGAACACGCTGAAAATGCCGAAAAGACTGATGGCTTGTAGAGGTCAGCCAGGTCAATGGTTAATTCTTCGTTCCTTGATCTTTGTTCAGCATGTGCTTTGATTTCAACACACATTTCTACATATAAAAAAGGCTACAATTCATCTAAGATCATCATCGTCGACAAGGAACAGGATATCCATTAAACTTTTAATTCAGTGACAATCACCCTCAAATTATCGCCAATCTTCGTCAAACTCTAGCATAGTTGACTGGGAAAGTAGCTCTAAATTCAATTAATTTTTGTTTCTGTTGTTTGTCCTTGTATGCCATTGACGTTCGGTGGTTCACTATATGGAAAAGAAGAGATAAATTTTGATCCATCTGATAGACAGTCAAAAAAAAAACGAGCGTCAGTTGAATACACCGTTTCTCTGTGTTTGCTGTTGTCAATTTGACTAAAATTTTAGGAACCTGGACGAAGCTGTTTGGACTGTGTATATGGCTGAATCTCTGAAGTGACAGTTATGAGCTCTGGGACAAAACTCAGCGAATCTAGCACTACCGTAGTGAAAAACTATCAAGAGGCCATTAGAGACTTGTACAGGGATTCCTTTCTCAAATTTGACCAAAAACAATACCACGATGAGCACTTCCAGCATACTGACTCGAAATTAACAAGATTTAAAACTTCAAAAGCCGGCAATCCGGTTCTGGACTTGCAGTTCAACCGTAAAGGCAGTTTTTTGGCTTATAGTCGTTGTGACGGGTCCATAAATTTTTGGAACAGGACGTCTGTTGGTACGCCTCGTCATACGTATGTCCAATGTGATCCGGACATCAAAATGTACACATTGACTTGGAACCCATCAGATGAATATCAGCTGGCAACGACGTCGGGAACAGATTCTATAACAGTCTGGGATGCGTTGACGGCTACTGTGTGGCGAGTTTTTGAGGTTGAGAAGGATGCTAAGATGAGGTTGGCTAGCTATGATCCGGAGGGGAAATGGCTAGCCACAGTACTGGAACCAAATCGCGTACAAATGCTCGACGTCGAAAATGAATATTCTTTGCTTTATGAATATCGAGGCAACACTGTCACGCCAGAGATCGAAGCACCCACTGTTGCGTCCTTGGCTTGGAACAATGACGGTAGCATCCTTCTGTGTGGATACGACGACGGTAAAATCGACGTTCTTCAAGTTAGTAGCTCCGAAATCACAAAACTTATCACATTAAATGGTCATATGGGATGCATAACGTCGATGAGTTTTGACCCGCAAGACCGGTTCTTTGTTGTTGGTAGCGAAGACACCATGTGTACCATTTGGGATTTGGAATCTCTATGCTGTGTACGTGTCATTGAGGCATGTCAGGAGCCGATTTTGAGCATTGACGTGAGTCGAGATGGATTCTGCGTTGCGATCGTTACCGAAAATTCAGCAAACATCTATTCTGCGGTCGCCGGCGAGTTATTGTACGAGGTACCATCGGAATTCCTTCCAGCTACACGACTGAAATTTGTTCCAGATCAAGAGGAGTTTGCTTTGAGTGCAAAAGCAGGTTTGGTAACGGAGTTTGTTGTTCCCAAGGCAATTGGCGTTTCTCGACCCTTTGCAACGGATGTTCACAAAGAGTCGCAACTGCGCCAGAGTAATAGAGGTCCCTCAATAAATAATCGTCTCCAGCCCAAATCGCGATACACCGATGAGGAATCCAGATTGCCTAGACGAAATGCGAGCAACCGTCGGTCTAATGCAAGAAAATTTCAGCTATAGAAGTTTATTTACAGAGGGAATTTCGCTATGTACAGACAACAGGGATTTGTAAAAATGACACAATGGGCCAGCACCTTCAAACGTCTGATAGCAAGCAGGAGAGCTCTTCGAAATACGGCTTTTGCACATGGTTCTGTATTTCTTCCTTTGTCAACCACGCGAAGCCTGTGTATTCCTTAGTGTTTTGTAATACAAATTTGCCTGCAACAATATGTGATTTAATGAAAAATTCAGCCGTTTTGGAATCAGCGAGTACCGCTGCGGGGGTCCGCGAGACTGTCCAAGTATTAATGTTCTCTCCACCTATGGATCTTAGTCCATGTTCGGCAATATCATGTAATGGCAAATTCTCGTTAGACCTATGATCAGATTTCGTCTTAAAGCTCGGAAAGGCCCATTCACCGTTTGTTCTTTTCAATAAAAGATACAGAGTCCTGCTCAGACTTCTTTCAAGACTCGTCAGATCACCCTTCCTGTCGGCCTCTGTCACTCTGGAGTTTGGAGTAATGGGTCTCGAAAGATCTTCTGATGAGCCATCGCCTTCACTCCCCACACTTGCTTCGCTCGGTAACTTGATGTCTTGTTTTATTCTTCTTTCTCTGTTGTGTCTCACGTCTGGAACACCTTTTGGAAACCAAACCCCAGGCTGCTTGCTAACCGGACCCTTTTGAAGCGCCAAAAACCGTCGTTCCGCTAACGTTCCCTTTTTGTAGTAGAAATACTGTGGGAAAGTCCACATAAGTCTGCGTTCTAACTCGCTCTGGTATTCGTAGTATTGGCTTTCCAATTTACTCAATTCCTTTGTCACAATTGGAGTTCGTGATATAATAATACCCGCTTTCACATTCGGAGGCGTTGCAGACGTTGCTAAACCCCTTTTAATCAAGTTTCTAAGAGCCATGGCCTGTGCAATTGGCCTAGCCATTGGTTTACAATAAACTGAAGCCAATGCCCTTTCATCAAGATCCTGAGTGAAATTTTTCAGCTCGAAGTTCGTTTCGTGAAAAACAACACTTTGATCTCATGGTACTTATTATGGTTAACTACTCATCAAGAGCTACCCATAAGAGGGCCAATAGCACCAAATTTTGATCGAAATCACGTAGATTCCTTGAATATCATGGTGTCGATACTTAAATGATCTCACATTCGTAGTACAAATGAACTGAGGTAGAAATGGATCTGTGGAACGTCCACATCCGTTTGCTTCATATTATCAAGCGGAAGGAGCATTAGTACCACCACGGTGATTGAGCATACTCATGAGAGAGTTCAGTTGAGCCGTTGGATCGAACTGTGGTTGGGCATTTTGCGCCGCCTGCGGAGCGCGATTAGAGCTGTACATGTTCGGCACTGCAGGCACTGCTTGTAGTTGCGGTACTGGTGGCATTCCATATGATTGTACTGGTTGGGCCCCATTATACATGACTGGAAATTGTTGCACCGGCATAGATGTCGTTGTGCTGCTCAAATTGCCGTACATTTGTGCCTGGTTTGGAGACTGCCGAAATCCGGTATTCCTGCTCGTTCTGCCAGATTTCGGCCCATTTCTTCCACTGTCCGTTGGCATTTTTTGGGAAATGGCTTTGGAAGACACACCTTCTCCAACTACAATGTCTGGTTCTTCAAAGACCATTCCAGCCTGTAATGGACGACCGCCTGTACCTCCCCATTCTGCGCTAACCGACCATTTCTTGTCCGCATCTGTGAGACGGTGAAGCGGAATGATACTGTAACCATGCTGGTAATCGCAGCAGTCCCTTGGACCAAATCCAACGCCCCACCTGGTACGTAGAGGAGAGGCTCCATCTTTGTTGAAGTTTTTTAAGACATTTTCGGCTTCTTGTCTCGAATACACCTTGACAAAGGCGTGTTTCCTTGAGCTGTTCAAAATGACGCTCTGTACTTCTCCGTAAGGTCGAAGAACCGTGGCAATGTCGTATTCCCGCATCGAGGGTGGAACACCACCAACAAATAAGGTACGGCTGTAGACTTTTATGTTGTCAGGAGGCACAGAGGCATCGTATGACATGGGTTTCGGCCTGAAATGCAAGTTGCTTGGAACGTTGGTTTCATCGGGGTAAAGATGATGGTTGTTTGCAGCGCTTGGGCCCTCTTGTCTGTGCTGGTCACGTCTTGGAGGACTTCTGGATCTGTTTCTTCTGGTTGAAGATTGCCCATACCGGTCGCGCCTATCAGCTCTACTGTTTTGTTGTTGCTGCTGCTGCTGCTGTTGCTGCTGCTGATACTGTTGCTGTTGCTGCTGCTGCTGATACTGTTGCTGCTGCTGTTGCTGAGGAGCAGGCTCTTGAACCGGTGCTACATAAACATTCGCAGTGATGACGTTTTGGTTTTTTTGCTGTTGGACTTCCACAAGTAATTTAAAGAGCGCAGCCTGTTGGCTCGCCAAATCGGTCGATTCAAGACCTTCTGGTAAGCCGACAGAAGGCAAGTCCTGAACGGGACGCAAATTCTTCAAGATATGCCGGCATCTGTCCTCAGGATTCTCTGGCAGAAGTCCTTGAGCAAATTCTTCGGCGGCAGAGCCCGTCGCATTTGTGTCCATGGCGAAATACTTGGACCGCACAGCATTCAAGTAGCCCTTTTGGAAAAGACCGCTGCGATCCCAGATATCGATCAAAGTCCGGATCTTTTCTTTGTGTTCCTCGCTGCTTTTGCTGATTGCGTCTCCCAAAAGTTCCTTGATGGACTCGCCTAAGGTATATACACCATGCGCACAAGATCCTATCTTAGCATTAGAGTTGATGTATTCGTCACGGGCCCTTGCTTGCTCCAAATACGCTCTACCGATAGAATCTATAATGTACAAGGACCCCAACTTGTGAGTATCGGGGCACTGCCGAGAGTATTCTATTATCATCTCCACCAAAGCGTCTCCATCTTTAACGTGATCAAGGGCGTACGCGGTTAGTTTCTTGATACGAGACCCAGAAATACCAGATTTCAGCTCCTTGAAAGATTCAAGAGTTGCTACAAACTCTTCGTGTCCGCTTTCCATGATAACTCTAATCCAAAAATCTTCCACTCTTGTGGCCCTTTTTTATTCAGTGTGTTACGTGGGGGAAAAATTCGATGAGGGTGGCTCGACTGATTGACTCAGTCACCTGCAATCAAGTGCGACTACTTTTACGGGCTACCTCCACTAAAAATCTTCAAAATATAAAAACTCCGAGGACTTGTCTTTATGTTAGAAACTGTTGACTGTTCAGGGGTCTTGGCAGGTGGTAAAAACTAAGTCGCACTGGGGTTACTGGTGCGTACTTATATAGTCGAATTTATGGAATGGTTTCATTCTAAAAAATTATTGTTTGTCAGGGTAACTTCTTATTCAAGCAATAGAAGACTTGTTTGCTCAATGAAGTAATAGCTTCCCTTTTGAGTTTATAAATTTGAAATTGACATATGAAGGGACAGCGATGCCCTCTTGAAACTATATAAATCTCAAGATGGGCTGGCTTAGAACGAGTTCCTGAAGAACCATGTCAGCCATATATAAACTCTCAATACAGGGAATCAGGTCTTTTGATTCGAATGACCGTGAAACCATTGAATTTGGTAAGCCACTTACACTGATTGTTGGAAGTAATGGATCGGGGAAAACTACTATCATTGAGTGTTTGAAGTATGCGACAACAGGCGATTTGCCTCCCAATAGCAAGGGCGGGGCGTTTGTGCATGATCCTAAAATTACAGGGGAGAAAGACGTACGAGCACAGGTGAAATTGGCGTTTGTTAGTGCGAATAATGTGAATATGATTGTAACACGAAATATTCAACTTTTGGCTAAAAAAACAAGCAACACTTTCAAGACATTGGAGGGTCAATTGGTTGCTATAAACAAGAGTGGGAGAACGACTTTGAGCAGCAGGGCTGCAGAACTTGACGTTCAGGTGCCTTTGTACATGGGTGTTCCCAGGTCGATTCTCGACTACGTGATCTTCTGCCACCAGGAAGATAGTTTGTGGCCGCTTAGCGAACCTTCAAACTTGAAAAAAAGGTTTGATGAAATCTTTCAGGCTATGAAGTTTACCAAGGCCTTGGACAACTTGAAAGTTATCCGCAAAGACATCTCCGTGGACATTAAGCTTCTGAAACAGTCTGTGGAGTATTTGAAAGTCGAGAGAGAAAGAGGGCGTGCCACAAAGGTGAACATCGCGTCGCTTGAGCAGAAAATTGCTGATCATATGAGGCTCGTTGAGAGTACAGATCGCGAGTTGGAGCGTATAACGGAGCAATCCGACAGGCTATTTAAGTCCAACCAGGAGTTTCAGGAAGTTCTTTCCAGGCTTGAAGGTCTTAGACACAGTCAAAAGTCCATTGTTGATCAAATCAAGCGGTTGAAAGAAACTACTGAAATTGTTGAAGCTCCTAAGGCTCATCTCGAAGGGTTGTTGGCCAATTTCACCGCGGTGATAGAAGACAGAAAGCAACAGTTGAAATCTGTGGAAGAGTCTTTAGCAAGGGAACAGCAAAGGCTCGGTGAAGCTCGTGAAAAGATCAATAATCTATCATCACGTAAGGGTGAACTCATCGCGAAAAAGGCTCGCTTTGAAGAGATCATTGCCTTAAGAAACAAGACATGCAACGAAATTAGCACAAGCCAAAACCTAAATGGAGAGGATGTTATGCAACTTCTTTTAGAAAAGTTGAGATTAAGCGAAGCAGTCGCTCAAAAAAATTCCCTTCAAAACAACGCAGAAAAACGAAGATTAGAGGCTCGGTGCTCCGAGGTAGAAGCTGCCAGGGTCAAGGATGAGCAGCAACTTAGCTATTGTAGGAGCGATCATAGCAAATTAATGGAGGAACTTGACTCCTTGCGCCATTCTTTGAAAGCGAAAACCGCGACTGATGATGATTTAAGTGAACAGCGACTTTCCCTGGCAAAATTTCGAACGCATTTAGAAGATCGACAGCGGTCTGGGGACATGGAGCGCACTATTGCTCAGATACAGGGGAAAAATGAACAAATTGTTGTGATGGAAAATGAGCTTGAAAACGTGCAAAAAGAAATATTGAGAGCCACTCGTCAATCGGATCTTATGGCTAGGTACTCCTTATCGAAAAAGCGTTTGGAAGAACTTCAGAGCAAACTTAAAGAATCAACAAATATATTGGCAGACGACACCAAAGCGGCGGATTGGAAACTGACGCCTCATAGTGACCTTGAATTAGCCATCAAGAAAGTAGGTCTCGACTTGCAAGGAAGCCTGGCAGTCGCGTTAAGCGACGTCAGTGATGCCAGAAAAACTGTTACAGAGGACAAGTTCATGTCTTCACAATGGCGTAATGATAAAGACCTTCAGAGCGATGCCCTAACAGTGGTTGAACTCTCAATCAAGAGAGCCCTACCCGGGGACTGCTCTCTGGATGACTACGATGAGGCTTTCAACGAGACAGAGGAATCATATAAAATTGCGCTGGAGAATTTGAAAATGCATAGAACTACTTTGGAGTTCAATTTGAAAGCTTTAGAAGTTGCAAAAGTGAATAACTGTTGTTATTTGTGTCAAAGGGATTTTGAGGACAAAAATGAGCAGAGCAAGCTTCTAAAGGAATTGGAGCGTCGCACACAGACTGATTTCGAAAAAACGTTGGTAGAGGCGGTACAAGAGGAAAAGCGCTATCTAGACTCTTTAAGAAAAGTCGAAAAGGACGTGATGAAAAGAAATGATTTAGTGGGTTCAATTTCAAGGCTTGACCACAAATTGAACGAAGTGATAAAACGTCTTAAAACCAGAGAAGAGATTCTCGCAAAGAAGGAGGAGCGGGCCAGTGCTATCAAATCCGACATGAACTACTTCGAAGGCATAGTTCGGCCCGTTGTTGAAAAGATCTGCTTGCTAAAGAAACAGTTTCATGAAGAGCAGAAAGGTGAAAGAAACTTGGCAGATGAGATAAGTATTTTTAGTCAGGGAGATAGAAAGTTGCAGACTATTGAAGAGTTACAAAACACCCAGTTGATACTTAACACTGACTTGAAGAAACTTCGCAAAGATATCGACCTATTGCAAGATGAAAAAGAGGCGAGATCGAGGGAAACTAACAACCTCATAAACCTAATTCACGAGAGAAGGTTCAAACTCACCGAACTTGAGAAAGAGGCCCAAGAAAACGTTGGTTTACAAAAACGAATCATAGATTGTGAAAGGTCGATCGATGAGATGGCTTCAACAATTTCTTCGATCTCTGGGCGCGTTGAAAGTCATCACAGCAAGATATCTGCTGCGCGTAATGAATTGGATGATAGCTTGAGAAAGTTTGAAGCTAGTGAGGCTAAAGATCGTGCTGAGTGTGCAGGCTATAGATTTAGCATTGAACGCATTGAACGCCTAGATTCCGAAATCGAAGACTATGAGATGCATAATGTAGGCAAGCTGGAGGAATGTGACGGGGAAATAGGTCTCCAGCAGGAGGTAATCAAGGAATCGACTGAAAAGGTCGAATATCTTTCAAATTTACTTGCCGCTGAGAGTAAAAAAATAGAGGATTCTAGGAATGAACAGAGAAATCTGAGGTTAAACTTAGATTTGTTAGATTTGCAGTCTCAGCTTCACAGTGTTACGGAAGAAATTGAACACTTGGATACCCGTAACGCGGAAGCCCAGAGAAGCAGTTACCAAGAGGAATCTACACGTCTAAGGAGCCTGTTTGAGAAATTCAGTGCAGATAATGCCGGGAGATTGGGCGAAATCAAACAACTTCAAAATCAAATAAACGCATTAGTCAATCTTCTGAGAACTGATTACAAAAATGTTGATGATAAATATCAAAATGAGTGGCTGAAATTGCAAACTAAAACCATAGTTACCGACGACATCGAAGTTTATTTAAAACTGTTAGACAGCGCCATCATGAAATATCACTCTGTTAAGATGCAGGATATTAATCGCATCATGGATGAGCTCTGGAAACGCACCTATAGTGGCACTGACGTCGACACGATCAAAATTAAATCCGATGAGACATCCAGCACCACAAAAGCGAAATCTTACAATTACCGTGTCGTGATGTACAAGCAAGATGCCGAGCTTGATATGAGAGGAAGATGTTCGGCAGGTCAAAAAGTTCTGGCCTCGATAATAATCAGGCTGGCTTTGTCTGAAAGTTTCGGTACAAATTGTGGTGTCATAGCTTTAGATGAACCAACCACCAATCTTGATGAGGAAAATATTGAAAGTCTTGCCAAATCGCTGAACAATATCATCGAACTGCGTAGACATCAAAAAAACTTTCAGCTGATCGTTATCACTCACGATGAGAAGTTTTTGAATTATATGGGAGCTGCAGACTTCACCGATCACTTTTACAAAGTCAAGAGAGATGATAGACAAAAATCCCAAATTGAGTGGGTCAGCCTCAAAAAGGTCATTGTTTGATCAAAAAACTTCTCCAAGGCTGACTACTTATTGCGTTAATCATGGATCGGAATTTTCGCTGCGTTTGGGCTATTTCTAAGTGAATCTCATATTTGACCTCCATAAGCTCCTTTAGGAATGGTTTCTCTTTATGGTTAATTGAGCTCTTTGCAAGTTGTAGTAACTTAGTTTCGTTCTGCTGTTCTCTAATAACATCTAAAACCGTACGATTTTGTCTCGAAGCTTTCCCTAATAAATAAGCTCCTCTTATGCCGATAAGCGAAGGCGGCTTCTCAGAGATTTTCACGTCAATGTCATTATTGATTAGAGAAATCAAAGACAGAAGCCTTTTGTTTTTGGCTTGGCTACCAACGACTATCAAATAATCTATTTCATTGCCAAGCTGGAGTGTCATTTCTTTAACTTCGAACGCCAAAAATTCAATTGCTGCAATGTACTGTAAAGTTAAATTTTTGAATGAGACATCGGGTGTAATCCCCATGAAAACTCCAGACATGGCAGGATCACAGTAGGGCGTGCGGTTTCCCTGAAGCTCGCCATACGTAAAGATGCCTTTGGCTGCGAAATGAACAGAACGACCTGTTACCTTTTCAATTTTGAGACAAGATTTTTCTAAGTCTTCAAAAAGGCGAGCAGGATCTCCTTTGTAGTCTCTAGCCGCAGGATGTACCTCAAACAGGTATTCGAAGAATTTTCCCGTACAAGATTGACCCGCTTCATAGACGTTGAAAGAGCCATGTGTCTCGGATTCTAAAATGTTAGTAAAAGGACCCCAAATTCCAGGAATAAACGCGCTGTTCTTGCTTGCTCGTAGGTAACAGGTTGAAGTGCCAGCGGCTAGGAAAAGTGAAGTTTCTGGCTGGGATGGACAAGCTCCAAACCAGTTTGCGTAACAATCAATACAACTGGAAACGGTGACTCGGCTATCTGTCAAGGGTTGAGGGTATGGTCCAATGTTAACTTTGGCAGGCAATTTCAGCTTCTTTTTGTAAAACTCTTTTGACCAGCCTGAAAGCTCACCGTCGTGGCCGATTCCATTTGTATTTGGCGAATTTGACGTTCTCGTGGTGTTCCAGCCAAATTTTCGGCCCAATTCAAAAGCAATGTATTGGTGCAGATCTAACACCGCAAATTGGAGATCGCCTTGAGGAAGGTTTTCAATCAATTTCATGAGTTTTGGAATTCCCATTTCTGGAATGAACCCTCCACCCATGAAATGCGTCACATCGAGGCAAACTTCGTTTAATCTGTGGGTTTCATTTTTGGCGCTACGGTCCATCCAGAAAACAACATTCTGGATGTCTTTTGAAGTAGCGTTTGTCCTGTATACAGGTATTGGAGAATACTTCCCATCGCGGTAAGTGAAAGCCGCTAAAGAGCAAGTAGCCGCAACCCCACAGGAAACAACGTTGTCCATTTCATTACCAAGATCTGTAAACGCGGCATAAATCGCCTGCATAATTTCAGCAGTACTTTGCGTAACTTTCTCGGAGTCATGGGTATAGTAGCGAACTCTTCTCAAACTGTACTTCAAAAGTTCATCAGTTTCAACATCGTATAGGCCAATTCGTACCGCTGATGACCCTAAATCTATTCCTATACCAAGTCTTTCTGGTGTCATCGTCGCTATCCTGTTTCGTGAAAGCTTTTAATGTTTTTTAGGTTTATCATGACATTTGTAAATTGAAAAATGTAAATGCTGCGGCGCCGTGTGACAATTAAGAGTTAAGGATTTTCGTTTGCAATTTAACTTCCGAAATACAAAGCTTATGAGCTATAAAGCGTATTTAAACGGACAAAGCCAATCTCACCTTTTTCCAGCTCTTGCCCTTCTGGAAGGCTCTGGTAATCTGAATGGGACTTTCATAGTAGCAATCTTATAAGTAGAAGCAACGCTTTTTGGAATTCCGAAAGCTTCGGCTTGAGAAACGGTAGCGCCTTTCACAATAGCACCGAGATTTTTAAAAAGGCTGACGATTCTTGAAGGTTTCAATCCTAGCTCCTGGGCTAAAGGAGAGATTTCCACGATGAAATTGTCCAAATGCAAAATAATGACTAAAATGTAGCTTAACAACTTATCCTCTCTTTGAGGGTCGATAACAAACGAACGATCCTTTGACTTTCCGAACTGTCCCGCTTTTAAGACTGTAAATCGTTCCAAAATGCCGTCAACGAGAACATCGGGAGGAGCATTCAGTCTCTCCAGCAGTCTGGTTTTATCACTTACCCTTCTGTTTTCGTACACTCCCAACAGGAGAGATAAGTAGTAGAGTAACTGGAGTTTAGGAGTTTGCGCAGGCTGAGTCAAAGTAGGCAATTTTTTCGAAACATAGCGAGATTTAGTGTGCGGGAAGAATTGAAGTCTCTTGGTCGCGTCCCCTTCCCTCATCAAAGTACCAACACGAATAAATTGCCATTCTCGCTTCGGTATGACATTGTTGATTGGATATATTTGTTCGACGTCCGTTGCGTCCACATTGGCGATTGGCGTTGTTCTATCCTGTGCAGCAAGACGAACCATGTCATCTCCTAGGGGAAGATCTTTAGACGCGGTTCTGACAGCCTCAACGATGTCAATAGCAGATTCTGCAAGTTTATCCGAGTCTATCCGATTTCTCTCCAAATCTGCAATAGCTTTTTTGGCTTTCTTGGTACCAAAAGCTTCACCGAGCGCATTACGGGAAAGAGCTGCACGCACATTGAGCTGTTTAATGTCTGGTCCGGCGAGCTCCTTTTTAGATTTAGATATCGCTTTTGTCGCCATAACGGGCGCATTAAACAGCTGAACGCTTCTGGTTTTGCGGTCGTAAACACCCACCATATATTGATTGCTGTTTACACTGTCCTCATCACATTTTCCCTCATATTCAATACGCTCGTTCTCTCCATGAATCTTAAATTTACCGGCATTAGATGTGCTCTGATACAACTCAAACTTGGTGTTTTTAGGAACCGTGAAACCTTTAAAGAAACTTCCAACGGCCACAGAAGGTTGCTCCTCGTAGCCCGTAATCTCAATCTCGGAGTGTCCGCGTTTAGAGCTCATGTTCAATGTGTATCAATCTTAAAGTTTAGCGAGATATTGAGCTCATCGCATGATTTTTTTCATTATTCTATGGAAAAAATTTTTTAGCGATGAGCTTAGACTCGATTCAGCGCCCATAAAACCCAGAATGAGTTGAAGAAATGACGAAAAGCCCATAACACCTTTACAAAAAGCTTAGCGATCCGATATAATTATCGAACTAATTCTTGATGTTGTTAATCTCATTGGGTTTTTATTTGAAAATTCTGCTCGTAGTTTTCCTAGCGGTTAAAATATTGGCGAAAATGTCGACGACATGAGCCTTTTCTTCGCATTGTGGTACTGAGAATTCTTGTATCATATCAATATCAATTTATGCTATTACTGCCAATTCATGATGCATAGATTAACCGTTGAAGTTGAGCTCCTTCTTCTTAAATTATTTTAATAAAGCCGCTGCAACAGTAGCGAAAAGATATATCATAATATAGTAGTTTTCATTGTGAGACTTGAAAGAGCGGGAGACGGAGACAATCAGTAAGGCTTGGATGAATCGACAGCGAACATATTATGAAATTCTAGGACTCGATGCTGACACCGACATTGAAGGTGTGAAGAAAGCATACAGAACTCAACTTCTTGAAGCGCATCCTGATAAAAACCGTTCGATCAATGGCTCTCAAGCGTCGGTGCAAGAAATAAAACAAGCTTACGCAACGTTAGTGAACCTGGATTTAAGGGCGAAATACGACGCATATCTAATGGAAAACAGTAAGAAACTGGGATTTCACAGTACTGGAGATGGGCTGGACTCTTTTTCTCTCGATGAGCTTGAATTTGATCCTGAAAAAGGCGTGTTCGCAATGGATTGCCCTAGATGCCAAAGGCAGCACGGTTTCGAGGTTTCCGAAAAAATTCTCGAAGAGCATTGCATTGAGCGAAGAGAAGGCGGGTTCCAGGTTGTGCTTCAATGCTCCTCTTGTAGTTTGTGGGTGAATGTGATTTTTGACATAGTAGAAGAGTATGAGTCCTCTTGATACGAAAGTGAGAAATCATATATATGAAGATAAATGTATTCGTGATTAATCATTAAGTCTGGCTGTCTCAGATGCTATGTTTTCAGCATCAACCAGAGAAATAAATGCTTTGGCCATGGCTTCGAAATCTGTCATTAAACTAACATGTGCACACTCAGAAGCAACTTTTGCCACAACTGGGAATCCTCTTCTCTCTGGAAGCAGCCACTTATGGTGCACCACTCCATCCCCAGGCCCATAGTAAAATTCATCATATATGCCATCCTTTATTTGCTGAAGACCGCTCACTTTTGCGCCACGAACTGTTGGCACTCTGTTGCCATAAACCATGGCTAAAGGAGGGTATTGTTTTGTCTTATCGTATTGAAGCTCTTCCAAAAAGACCCTCGTACGTTTAAGAGTTCTCTCAAGGTAATTCTTAGAGTCTTCGAGCGAAGTTTTAAACCCCTTTTCCTCACTACCGCCAATGCTGGGCTTCCGGATCATGTCAACGTGCGAAAGAATGCTGAAAAGGTCTTTGTCCTTGTCTTTGTCCTTCTCTGACGACGGTGAGCTTGAGTTACTGTTCTCTCGAGAGCGTTCGTCGCTAACCAAAGGAGATAATCCATATTCATACCATACATTTGGGTCGAAAAAGTCTAGATCGTACCTTTCAAAAGTGGCCTTGTTTACAAAACATCTTCCGTCAAAGGGCAGGAAGTAGAAACTGCTTCTCATGAAAAAATTAGCTTCGGCGCTTAAAATGGATTTATTGAAAATGACTTCATCTCCGAACCTTAGTGGGCCTAAAATGTTCGGGCATTGACTGGGTGCACCGACGTAAATGATTCCTCGAACCAGGCTTGTATGCTCTTGAAGCACTTTGTGGGCAATAAGGCCTCCCATAGAATGCGCAATAATGTAAGTCCCCCTTTTTACTCTTTGCTTGCGATGAATGTCTTGTAATTTTTCTGCAAGCTGCTTGGCCGGTATGTCTAACGAGAGTCTCCAATCAAAACCAAAGTCTTCGATGTTAACTCGTGGATTATTTCTCAATCGTTTAATAAGCCTGCTTGCCACGTCCACTGGCCCTAGATGCGTCAACATGCCGTCGGGATAAATGTGTTTTTGCGTTTCGAATTCATCTTCATCCCTGGGACCTATCAGTAAATCTACTTTCCTGATATTCAATCCGGCTCGTATCGGAATCCATGCCCTCCGCTTCGTCTCCACATCCCGCAAAATACTGCCCCTGTATCCGCCAAGAATAACAATATCCCCTTCGAGCTCTTCCCATATAGTCTCTATCCTCGCTTTAGAGTAACCATCGTGTGTGGTTTGATTGGGGTTTATCGAAAGTCCTCTGATAGTATGAAATAGAGCTTCCGGCGCAAAAACCCTCTTTACAGCCATGGCCCTAACGTTGTCAATTCCCTTTTCATCTTGAAAAAGCTTCAATTCTTCGATGGACGTGATTGTTTCCTGCCGTACAAGTTTTTCCTTGATTTCTTTTCGATTGTACTTTCGTAGTTTGTCCTCGTTCTTCTTGACTCCCTGCGTCTTATGACGCGGCAGTAATGTGTTCTTAAGCGTACTGAGCGGAGAAGTGGGAAGCAAATTTTTGCCTCCGAAAGGGAGATTGAAGGTAAAAATGCGATGGTTGTGTTTATCCACCTCTTGGCTGTCCTGAATGTCCGGCAATTCTTCTTTATCGGAACTACCCTCGTCTTCACTTTCATCATAAATAGTATGTGGTCGGCGTTTCACTTTCTTAATTTTCTGGTGACCCACCACTGTTGAACCGCCAATCAACGACTCGGTTTCTGATCCGCTATCGGTGCCCTCGTTCAAACTATTACGTCTTGAACTTTGCTGGTTATCATCGCTTTCACAACTCGAAGCATCAGTTGTGCGATCTCTTTCAAGATCTGAGTCCACACTACTTTCCCTGGATCCCATTTAGTAAAGTGATGTCTTGTGAGTCGTCTATCTCGGAATGCTGAAGTTAGGACTGATATCGGATCCGATTGACGAAAAACCCGTAATTAAGATTGATATCCCTTCGGCACGCCGCTTTTAGCGCTCGTAGTCTCAGGTAGAGCTAAATTTGTAAACACGTTACCGGAAAGTAATATTAGAATCGTCGATTAGTCTCAGATCTATTAAAAGTTGAACGCGATTTATTATTGTTGGTTCACGGCTGATTCTATCTCGATGGTTGATCGATCTTCCTGCCCTCTTGGAGAAACTTCGATCACTTGTAACGGTGAAATAGCAAGAGCCCGAAAAGTAAATACGTTTAAAATGATGAAAAATTCGTGAACAACGACGAAACGTCCAATATCAACAATCATTGCTCACGGTTAGGACCATCAGAAAATTCTCTGAGTCACTTGGTTTCCAGATTCATTACGCGATAATATACAAAAGAACGCGGTGCTGGGACTTTAGTTGAGTTGTTTTTGACTTGTTTCAGAGTACTCAAGTGTATGCTAAAAACTCTTGGACGTCGTATCTCAATTAGTCAATTTTGCAGAATGTCGACATCCCAGCCAAAAGTAGCGCAACCAAAATGGTACAAACCTGAGGCAAAGAACGAAAAACCTGCTCTTAAAGTTTATAATACGCTGACACGGTCCAAGCAAGAGTTTGTACCTCAATCTGGGGATCGCACTATCACTTGGTATTCATGTGGACCTACTGTTTACGATTCTGCGCATATGGGGCATGCAAGAAATTATGTGTCTATCGACATTAACCGTCGTATCATGCAGGATTATTTCGGATACAACGTGGTCTTTGTTCAGAACGTGACGGACATCGACGACAAGATCATCGTTCGCGCTAGACAGAACTACTTGTTCGAAGAGTTCGTTGCGGCAAACGGCGCGAAGAGCAGTCGTGAAGTCAAGGACAAAGCGCAAGATGCGCTTTTGGAGTTTATCCAAAAAAACTTGAAGCAAGGAGTCTCCTCCGTTCCAGAATATCAAAAGTGGTATAGCACGTTGGACGTTGCCAAGGAGAAGGAGCAAGACCCCAAATTCCTCATGAACTCGTCCTCAGTGCAAAAGGCTATTACTGGAATTGACACGGCTTGCGATGAAGAGTTTTTCGAGCTGATTAAAGATGTGATGATTCCGGCTCTTGATGCAGAAAAGGGTCATCTTGTCAACGACCCTGAAGTTTTCCGAAAGCTCCCGGCGTACTGGGAGAGTCAATTTGACAAGGACATGGCCGCTTTGAATGTGCTATCACCTACGATAACGACGCGAGTCTCAGAATATGTGCCCGAAATCATTAGCTTCGTCGAGAAAATTTTGGAAAATGGTTATGCCTACGCGACTTCTGATGGCTCTGTTTACTTTGACACTGTCCGTTTCGACTCGGATGATAGGCACATTTACGCAAAGTGCCAACCTTGGAATAAAGGAGTGGTCGAATTGATCAACGATGCTGAAGGTTCTTTAAGTAATTTCGGTACTGCCAACGGTAAGCGATCTTCCAACGATTTCGCGCTTTGGAAAGCTTCGAAGTCCGGTGAACCAGAATGGGAGTCACCTTGGGGAAAGGGTAGACCTGGATGGCACATCGAATGTTCAGTTATGGCTAGTGACATCCATGGACCTACAATGGATATACATTCTGGTGGTATCGACTTGGCTTTTCCTCATCATGATAACGAGTTAGCGCAGTCCGAGGCATATTTTGATGAAAAGCAATGGGTGAATTACTTTTTGCACACAGGGCATCTTCATATTGAGGGTCAAAAGATGTCCAAAAGTTTAAAGAATTTTATTACCATACAAGAGGCACTTCAAAATTACAGTCCGCGGCAACTTAGGTTGGTTTTTGCTTCTGCGCAATGGAATAATCAGCTCGACTTCAAGGAAAGCTTGTTAAGTGAGGTGAAATCAACCGAGTCCACGCTAGGCAACTATTTCAAAAATGTTCGTGCTCTGAAAAGTGATTATGAACATCAACTTGGGAAAGGAATTGTAATCTCTAAAAAATTACGGCCTGTGGAGAAGAGACTTTATAATGATTTGGACGCTGCTACAGAAAAGGTTCATGCAGCCTTCTGCGACAATTTTTCTACTCCAATTGCGCTGAAAGCGTTAGTCGAGTTAATCACAAAGGCGAACACTTATATTGCACATGAACAGTCTAACATTAGGATCGAAGTCCTCATAGCAGTCTCTCGCTTCGTCACGAAGATACTGAACATTATAGGTATAACATCAAGACCTGACGGTTTGGGATGGCTGGAAGATGAAAACGGACAGGGGACTGAGTTGAGAGCCTCAAAGGAAGACATCGTTCTACCTTATGTGAAATGCTTATCTTACTTTAGAGATCAGGTAAGGGAATTGGCTATCGACCAAAAGCCACATGGCGAGCTACTTACCTTGACGGACAGAATCAGGGATCAGGATCTGCTTAATCTTAACGTTGCCATCGATGATAGAAATGGCCAAGCATCTCTCGTGAAGTTTCTGACTGACGATGAGAAGTATGACTTAATCAAAGTTAATAACGAAAAATTACAGAAGCAGCTAGAGAAAGAAGCCAAAAAGGCGGAGCAAGCCAAATTGAGATTAGCTCAAGAAGAAGAGAAAAGAGAAAAGGCAAAGACTAGTCCGGAAAATATGTTCAAAACTTCAGAATATTCTGCTTGGGATGAAGACGGCTTACCTATCAAGGATAAAGACGGTATTGATATTACGAAGTCTATGACAAAAAAATTGAAAAAACAATGGGAATTACAGAAGAAGTTACATGAAACCTATTTTAAAGCATAAAATGATGTAGCAGTTTACTCATTCAACTTATAGAATCCTTAATATTACATTTTTCAATTTTCAGGTTTTTACCTTGACGTAGTAGTGGGTCTTGCTTGATAGTGAGAGATTGTTTTTCAAAGCAGGTGGAGAAAAATGGAGATCTAATACTTAGAAAGGTCTTCCAAAGGCTTTTCTTGACATTATTGCAAGTGATGGAAGCAACGTATGTATTCTCATAACGTTGAGTTCGTTTGATGTTTGACTAATAATAAGGAAGTGGTGTTGCTTTGAATAAACTCGCTGAGTTGGAAGAAGAGCTCGAAGTTGTTGATAAAGATGTTGAGCTGTTTAAACTAAAAAAGGTTCAACCAATCTTCAAACGAAGGGACAAATTGCTGGAAGACGTTCCTGAATTCTGGAAGGTAGTACTATCACAACATGGTGATTTTGGAAATTATGTAAGAGCAGGGGATTTGAAATATATCGACGCGATCAGGAAGATTGATTTAGTACCACTTTGCCTTGATGATTCAAGTTGCGACCCGCGCGACTTTAGAATAACGTTCTATTTCGACGGTATTGATGGTGACTTCGAAGGGCAAGAAGTTTCCAAAGTTTTCAAAGTTTGCTATGATAAAAGTAAGGTGAAGTTTTCGAGAGAAGAGGACGAAGACGATTATGATGAAGATTTAGGCTTTTTGACGAGTGAAGCTGTGAATATCAAGTGGCCCAAAAGTTATGATTGGATTAACCCACTTAAAATTGAGGATAAAAGCTCATCTGAGGGAAAACGCAATTATAGAATTGGGATGAAGTCTTTTTTTGCATGGTTCAAATGGACCGGCTTGAAACCACGGAAGGAGTTCCCCGACGGTGGTGGTCTGGCGTCCTTACTCAGCGAGGATATTTATCCTCATTGCATCAAATATTATGCTGAAGCTCAGCGAGATCTGGTTGATGAAACAGGTGACGATGAGGAAGTGAGTGACGGACCACTGCAGCTCGACGATGTGTTATTAGAATCAATGTCTGACTCAGAAAACCAACACGTTATAAAAAAGGCGAGGAAGTAATTTGTAGTTTGGATATGTTCAATAGTCCATATACGCTGGTTTTTTTTTTCCTGTGTTGGCCTAGACTCGGCTGAATTTTGGGACTTGTCTTTAGAAGAGTTAACACTAGAAGGCTTGTGAATTTTGTGGTGGCTGAATCTGCTGATGTCGCGTTGAGGAATGTTAGATGGTCTTGTAACTCGGGTAATTTTTTTTAAACTGGCGTCTTTTAATCGCCATTATAGGATCCTCGTTCAATATAGATGCATCTACTTTAGAGGACTCTCTATATTTTACGGAAGTATCTTGGTATCCGACGTTTCTTGTTTGCTGATCCTTCTTGGTTTGCTTCAATACACTGTCATCTATCTCCCTTCTTCCCAAAAGAAAGTCCTCATTCTGTGATGTTTTGGTTGGACTATCGTTGTACATCCACTCTAGACCATTTTTACGCTTCGAAACGGTCCCATTCTCGTTCATAGACGCTAGCTGATCCAGTGAGCGTTCTTTTTCGAGTTCAACCTGCCTTTGTTTTATTTTCTGGTGTTCAGCGAGGGCTTGTTGTTCTGTTTCCCATACCTTCTTTTTGTTTTTTAACAGATGGGGGTTCCACGATTTGAGTAAATTTAGGTCGCCTGTTCCCATTTGTACTGTTATTTTTGGTAGTTGCTCGCTCTTGTTATTTATCTTTCAGTGGAGTGTTTTCTTATTTTCGATCATTTAAGAGATAACCGAGTGAAGAGAGACACACGAATTGTACGGAAAGTTCATTATCTCACTTTATGTAAGATAGCAACGTGCTTGAAAATCGTATTGATGACTCTTGAAGGAGCATTCGAATTATTCCAGAGTACAAGCTATTTCCTGTACATAACTACTTAGGAGCCGTGAGCGTCGGTTAATTAGCAAAGATCCCGTAACTGGCATAGGGGTGAAGGAAAAACGTTTAAATGGTCGGCCTGAAAGATCGGGCACTTAGAAACCATGAATCTTGATGTTTTTCTTTTTCATCCCAAGTTGAGTGATCATAAATTCGCAAACTTTTGCTCTTTGATCACCTTGAAGCTGGATGATCTCACCCATTTCGTCGTCTTTGACAATGTTACCATTGCAAGCAAAGTCCTTCTTAAGGACTTTCAAAATTCTTTTCAAATCATATTCAGCTGGTACACCTTGAACTGTGGTTAAAGTTTTTCTACCGTTTCTTTGCTGGATACGGATATGGATGTAATTCGCTGTAGTTGTCTCGTTGTCACCAGTGTCTGCGAAAGGATCGAAAGACTTCAAGTTTTCGATAGACATATATATTAATAAGAATGCGTTCCTGCTGTTAAAGTGGTAATGATAGGGTTCTTGTATTGAAAATTTTCATTGCATAAGAAGCTAGTCTCCTGAGATCTTTTACCTCGTAAAGTGTGATTAAAGGTACTGTAGTGTTCAAGTACTGAAAGGTTGGATAGTTACGTGAACGTTGTTAACATTGAGATTGTGGGAGTTTTTAACATGGTTAAGAAGCAATTAATAGTAGCGTGTTGGCTAGAAAATTTTTAAATTAATTATCAAGGGCAGTTTTTGTGTTTGTGCAAAAACTTCGGAGTATGAGTTTTAGGATTTAAGCAGAATATTCCGAGGATCTTAATTGTTGATATATTTTGCTAACGATTATTGGATCAAAGTTTTATTAGGTTTTGTCAGGATCATGGTCTTTACGGTTGATTGATTAAGGAAGGCTCAATTAAAGAATAAGCTAAATCACGTGACGTTTTTTTGAAATACCGTTGAAATTTGATAGGGGCCATACAACGAGGTAAGTTACTGGCAAGAAGCTGCAGAAACAAGTTTAACCATTGGGAACCCTTTGGCGGTTATTAATTATTTCGGATCATCGTTTTTATTTAAATGTCGAGGTTTGAAGCGGACCTGGAGAAGTCTATCAAGAAAGCCTGTAGTATCGAGGAAACTTCACCCAAAAGAAAGCATGTTAGAGCTTGTATTGTGTACACCTGGGATCACAAGTCTGGGCGGTCTTTCTTTAATGCGTTGAAAGTACAGCCTTTTGCACAGGATGAGGTGCAATTATTCAAGGCATTGATCACGATGCACAAGGTTTTGCAGGAGGGACATCCTTCCGTTCTTGTTGAGGCAATTCGTAATCGTGATTGGGTTGAAAGTTTGGGTAGGATATACGCCGGTGGTAGTGGTGATGGATATGGCCGTATTATTAACGAATATGTGAACTTCCTGGTTCGCAAATTGGACTTTCATAGTTCGCATCGCGGCTTCAATGGAACGTTTGAGTATGAGGAATACTTATCACTGATGGCGACATCCAACCCAGATGAAGGCTATGAAACGATTTTAGATCTGATGGATTTGCAAGATCATTTGGACTACTTTTCTCAAGTTTTGTTTGCAAGTATTTCTGGCGCTCGTGTGAAAGAGTGCAAGGTTTCTGCTTTGGTGCCGTTAGTTGCTGAATCGTATGGGATTTACAAATTTGTAACTTCAATGCTAAGGGCTATGGTCAAGCAAACTGGGGAAGAAGGCGCAATGGCACCTCTGATGGAACGGTATGGTAGACAGCACTTCAGGCTTTTTGAGTTTTATGCCGATTGTTCGTCCATCAAGTTTCTGACGAGTTTAATCAAAATTCCAAAGTTACCAACTGAGTGTCCATCTCTGATGGAGTCTGAAGAAGGCTTGACCTCTAAAGGTCCTAGTAATGTTGATTTTAGGGATAGAAGTAAGTCCGCGTCTGAAAATCGGGATACCCCGCCATTGGTTCCACGAGTTATCACTGGAGGTAATGTTTCAAGTGTACCACCACAGATCACTGGATTAGGGCTGGTAGCAGCTCCTGTAGTGAATGCGATGCCTACAGGAATGCCGATGGTTGATTTTCAGGCTCAAATTGAACAGGAGCAAGCTCGATTGTTAGCTGCTCAGAGAGAACGCGATGCGTATTTGCAGCAGGAACATGAGAGGCAACTGGCATTTCAGGAAGAACAAGAAGCCATGGAGAGAGAGCGCCAAGCCCAACTTCAGAGGCAGCATCAAGAGCAGGTCGCTTTTGAAGAAGGTTTAAGGATGCAGCAAGCTCAGAATATGAAGTTGTTCGAACAGCAGCAGGTTCAGAGTGATTTAAATGCGTTGTGCGCTCAGCATGATAGAGATCAAGTCCTTCTTCAGCAGTATGATGATCGTGTGTCGTCTTTGGAGGAGGAGCTTGAAAGGTTGAACGTTAATGTTGAGAATCAATTGCAGAGTAAGGACGAACAGATGCGAGGTCTCGAAGAATGGAAAGATAAATATGAAGCTCTTGCTCGATTGTACGCCCAGTTGAGACAGGAGCATTTGCAGGTACTGAAGAAGTTGAAGAAGGTTCAAATTCAGGCTGGAAGTGCAATTGAAGAGAGAAAGAAGGCAGAGACGAAGGATTTGATGATAAACGATTATGTGAAGAAAAATGATGTTTTAAGAAAGCGTTTAGATGAAATGGTCGTGAAGTTGGATGCAAAGGAAGAGAGAGGAGCGTTGAAGAGAGTTGTTGAGTTAATTGAAAGTCTTCTTTATGGAGCGATATACGGTTTGGACCAAGATTGGGGCTCGGGGTCGTTTTACGATATGGCTTCTGATAAGGCTACAGAGTTTGCATTATCGTTTACAAACTATGTTGTAGAAGGTGAAAGTCTTGATGTTGATGGGTTTATTAACAATATGTTTGGCTTCGTGTGTGCAGTGGCAGCGCTGGGAAATGAAAATGCAGCATTTCAAGTAAGCGCGTTCCTTGGTGAGTTACTACCAGAATATCTGCGTGGGAATGATGAAGAAAAAACTGATAAAGTTATCGATCTTAATGTGAAATTACAAAGGCATTTATCTATAATGAAAGATATGGAACCTGCATTGAAGAGAATTATGCCATTTGTAGGAGGTGATAAATCAGGTACGGTGGAAGCTATTTTGAATTTGATTAAAGCATCGATAGAATGTCAGAAGGAAATAGGATCTGAAATTCCAAATGAGTTCTACAAGAAGGAGAATAGGTGGAGAGATGGGTTAATATCAGCGGCAAAGGCTATTTCAGTGGCAACAGAGACTATGCTTATTGCAGACAGCTATGAGAGGTTCAAGGTCGCTTCTAACGAAGTAGTAGCGTCGACGGCTCAATTAGTAGCAGCCTGTCGAGTAAAAAATCCACCCTCCCAAGCAAAGTTAGAGCAATGCAGTAGAATTGTGTCTAGCGCAGTTAAAAAGCTCGTACAAAAACCAAATGAGGCACCATTCACGGAACCACTGAAGGAAATGGATCAGCAGGTCGAGATTGTGAGACTTGAGAATGCACTTGAAGAAGCAAGAAAAAGATTAGGTGACATTAGGAAGCAGAGTTATACCTAGCACGCTTATTCGAAAACCATATCCTTACTTGAGTCTCACTCAAGTAAAGACGTCTTGCGATTATTCGGCACTCCAAACAGTTAAGAAATCTCTTTTTCGCAAATACAGATTCCAAGACATCTCTAGTTTCCTTCGATAAGAGAGTCCTCCTTGGGTTTTGATTAACAAACACTTGTTCCTTAGACTCGACAACAGCATCTTGGAGTAAAGTAGCATAATTTTCATAAATCTTATCACAGACTTCTTGGGGGTTCTTTTCCATCAGAAACTGGCAGACCTTGTCGATCGACTCGAGTGTGATATCACTGGCCTGCATCGTGGCCTTGCCACCCTTCAGCCACCGAAAACAATTCCAAGAAATTTACGCTTTTTATGATAACATAACTAGCTACAAAATCCGCGGCAAGATGCGACAGATCCTATACAAATCTCCCACATTCAAGCACGGCAGCTGAATCGATTACGCATGTTAAAGGAGCCGGGGGAAATCAAAAGAAAATGTATGGATCAAAAAAGTGGATCGACAGAAAATAAGAATGTTGAGGGCCGCAGGAAATGGAATGCAGGAAGAAAGAAAGTGAAAAGAAATTGAATAACAAGAAAGAATATAAGAGTGTCAAGAATGAATCAAGAAATTTAGAAAATAAATCAAAGAAATTATGGCGCAGAAAATGACGAATTTTTTACGGACCTTAGAATGCCAGCTCCCCAGAAAAAAAGCTGGCAAGAAGATCAGGACAAGTGGGGAGTTTCCATCAACCAAAGGTAGTTCACCGGAAGTCAAGAGTAAAATAATATTTGCGCATTCTAATTTCGTTGGGAAACAAATGGGATTACGGTCGCGCAATAAATTCATTCTCATGCGTAGTCTGCTGCACAGTGCGGTAGTGCAAAACGGCGAAATTCACTCGCTTCGAGATGTATCCAAACTGGCATCTTGGCTGTGGCGCAACAACCGGGGCCGGCTTCACATGTACTATGAAATACTCGCACTCTTTGACGACAAGAGTAGCACGCACAAGCATAGCGGCCCCGCCTTTAAAAAACTGACCGAAGCCATTGGAAGAAAATGCATACCATCAACCTACAGTTACGAAACGCTGACCAATGCGGCAGACACTACAGCCATCGAGAGCAAGAACACCTACAAGGCCTTCTGTGGCAGATTCTCTCTGAAGGACCGCCCTCCTACCCGCACCAACCACTCCCTGCCACCTCCCATGCCCCTCATTCTCCACAAAAAGAAAATCCAGGATCTCTTCACTATAGGCACGATCAAATAGCTCTACGTAATTTCATAACCACATCTTCAGCACTCTCCTTAGACCAGTCAACACCCCGTATGATAGATGAAACCTCTTCGGCACGAGAGTCATCGTACCCCACAAGCATTCCACAAACCTCTAAACAATTACGAGGTACGAATGTGACAACCTTCCTCAAACCGATTCTCCCCATAATTTCACGATACATGCACGCCTCAAAAAGCTTCCATATGAAACCGCAACAACTCCGATTTATCAATTCATTGTCGTAATCACTTACCAAATGCTTTAATACGAAATCCTCTAGCGACAACAGCTGAACATCTATCTCATGACAACCTGCTTCGTGTTCAGCCAAACCCATTACTGCAAATTCTTCCAATATATCCCTTTTCCACTGGACACCATAATAACTTCCGATATCATAATCAAATAACACCTTTGGAGTTCGTTCAACTATTTTAAATGAAAAGCCGTTAAATCGTACGGAATCCCTCAGAGCCCTCCTCATTTCTTCACCACAACTATCCATGTTACAACAAATCAGAACGTTCAGACTCACCAACTGACTCAAAAACATACTCACAAATGACTTTCTCCACTGATTCTCCTCTCGGTTGTCATCAATCAATAAACTATAACTTGCGTTCATAATTTCTCTAATACCTTCAGCATTGGCATTAACTCCCCTATCAAGATAATCAATATCAAACTTCATCAACCTGTACAACTCACAACTATCATCAACAAATGGATGTTTCATATAGCCACTTTGTAACAAATCAAATATCTTCACATAGAAGTTAACCCATCTAATTTCCCAGTTTCTATCCAGATCTATCTTCTTTCTCACACTTTCGAGCGTCTTGATGTATCTGAAAATAAAGCTATCAAGAAAGAGCACAGGTCCATAAAGAACAATATGGTAAAAAAGGTACAACGTCATTCTTTTCGTGAACATCTCACTGCTAAACTCGTTCGACATTTCACGTCGACTACCACAAATGTACTTTGTTAATCTTCTCCTAGAAAACACATCACCAACCTCTTCCTCACCAAGCGACAGCTGGCAAAAATCTTCCAAAACAGCTTCGTATATGTCAAGGTACCTCAACCCCGGTACATCAAAATAGAAATTCACCACAAGCAACAACATCAACAAACGATCGGTGCGGAACAAATTTACTACATCATATTCTTCACTAAAGTCATCATCCATGTCTTCAAGTTTAAAGCCCAGAAACTCAGCATCAGATAATTCATATATCCGTAACAGTTCCCTAATAACGGTTTGAAACTCAAGAAAAGCGGAATTCGCCTTTATCACTGAAACCTTGACATTATTAATCATCAAAAATTCATCGTCCAACTTTATCATGATCAGCTCGCCGTTCCCAAACTTCATGACTTTCACATGTAAAACTTTCGAGACAGCTTCCAAATTTCGATTTCCACAACCTTCTAACAAAGATTCATAACTCGATAACAGATGTCCAAGACCTTCTTTAACCTCCGCCACACTGTCATACAAATCTTTTATTTCCTTCGACCTCTGAGGAGGTGCGACATAATCCAAAATACACTCCACTCCCCGTTTTAAACAAGACGTACAAGGCCCGGGTCTCGTAACATAAGAATCGCACTTCGTCTTATTCCTTCGACATCTGACGCAAGATCTTAACGGTTTCTTTGAACCTTCAGCTTCATTCATCTATTAGAGCCTCTCATAACAAATCACCATTCGATCTTTCCTATAACAATCCGATGAATATCGACATGCACATATAACAATTACTCCACGGAAATCAATTGACTCAAGTCAACTCTGAATATTAATGTCCTTATCAACTTCAAGAAACAACCCCACGAAAACACTGCCAAACAATTCAGTCCACAAGTGCAGCCGGCAATATAATTATACCAACACTAGTAACAAACGGCAAAATGTTATAAAGTTCCCCACATTTATACACAGATTTTCCAACCACTTTTAAACTTTTCAAATTCCGAATTTCGGTCGACCAATATTCGCAACTAACGGCAACAAAAAACAGCTCAAAAAAAATTTCCAAAAAATGGAGACTACAAAGCCCTTTGAATTCAAAACACAACGAAGTTCAGTAGTAGCCGCAGCGTAACGTTCTTCGCGTAATGACAGCTGCAGAAAACATAAAGCACCACAATTAATTCAACAAATTGATCAAACTGGTATAGTCCCCTACTATAAATGGAAGAAGAACCTTACCACTCCAACATATCGCATTCTTCAAACTTGTACACAAAACGCCTACCCAATGTACCTCTTTAGTGCCCCCACACTAACATAACAACCGAGTAAAACATCCTCTTCGATCCAGATCCAATAGAATCTCAATTTAAACGACATCTTCACCACTCAATAAATCTTCGGCAAGGGCTATCTCTAAAAGTTCCGCGAAAACTATTCAGCCCAACACAATAACACCACTTTCTTTACTTGAAATTTCCCACTGTTAACTGACCTACACGACACACACAACTAATATGCACTCAATGGACTTTAAATAACTTCAAAGACTCCTTGATGACCTTTCTAATACCTTGACCACTGTTCATCCTCAAGGAAACCGGCCATTTCAATTCAATACGTTCTGTTTTAAGTCGCCAACTAAGATCCCAGCTTAAGCTCCACCAACTCAACATGATTCAATTACATAATACTTAAACTGTTTTAACTACAAAGTCATCCCATCATCTAAAAATATATTTCCAAACATCATTCGACATAATCTGAATCACGTTTATCTTATCCTTTCAATCCCGAATAGAACCAAAAGAACCCAATACCAACTTTCACTTGCATATTATAAAATTTAAATTCATCGAACTTCGTCCTAATTTCCAAAACTAACAGGTACAACGAAGAAATTCTAAACTACAACGATACAAAACACCATTAGCCCAAATCGCCGTTAATATTCAAGCAATACATTTAACGACAACCTCTTCCAAGAGTGCCCGCCCTCTATATCCACCACAATTATCGCCAGTAATACCAACCAACAACAGTAACTAAAAACGACAAAAACTCCAATCCAACATCAACGCCATCATGAGCGCAATGAGCGTTAAAGCATTCGACGGGCAACAACTAGATATCGACATACAATCAACGCTATGGCAAACATTCCACAGACAGATACTACCTATCAAATACGCAGAAGAACTAAAACTTATCATCACTTCTCTCACATTCTTCCTGGCAACAAAGAGGTCAAAAACTGGCACATCCACATACGGATCGAGACTGACAGGATGCGAATACAGAACAACAAAACTACCACTGTACGTTGCTACAATCTTGGGAGATTATTTGGCAAAGCAATTTTCGTCTTCCTTCAGTCACCAAACTAACTGCTTTAAAGTACTGAAAATTATAGACAAATTATCATCTCTCTGGGAATTTTCAACTTTCCTACAATTTGTGGCAGGATCACAAACATATCTCTCAACATGGCACAAAATTTTAAGCATACAATGCCAACAAACCAATTTTTCGGAATTCTACGGTGGCACGGTTTACGCAAGTCAAGATTTCTCAAATAAACAACTCCTATGGAACGCAATCTTAGAGATTCTCAATACGGAAAGCATCGGTGCCATATTGCTGACGAAACTCGAAAAACAAAACTTATTAACCAACCATAGCACATCAACAAAAACTTGTCCGAATTGCAACGAGTACCCAATTAATCCAACATCAATAAGCTGCTGCAAATCCACTTACTGCTACATTTGTTTCCTGAGAGTTTTGAAATCATCCCAGTGCAAGAGTTGCAAGTCAACTACTACACTACAAGGGACCCTTATTTATAGTCTCAAAACAGAGGAATCTACGCTATTAGAAAACCATCAATAGCGATCAGTACAATAACAACATACGAAGAAACGCCAACCTACAAAAATTTGACTAGATGAAGCTACGAAATAAAAGACACATAACAACCCGAAATGAACCTAAACGATGCCTTTCTATAATCCAATATTTGCAAATGAATTCTTTACTCGTTTCAATTTCAAGCCTAGAATAACTTTTAATAACGGCTTTGCTCCCACAATACACACAATGTCAACCAAACCGTTAATTCGCACACAAACAATACCATCATCACGAGAACTTATGGATGTTTTAAAGAGCCACAATGACTCCAACAAATCAACTGAAAGCTCTAGCCCAAAAATTTACAACAATAAACATCATTTGCGAGGGAAACCAACTACACTACATCATCTACCAGGTCAACGGAACCAAAAGGACGAAGGACAATCAACACATTCGACCCAGCGGGATAAGTTCAAAAAACCCGAACTCACAAAACTAGTACAATATAGGGCACTCGAAGATCAAACAACATTTAATGACTCCACGACGATCCACCCTACTAACAAAATGAATCAAAATGATCACACGCAACTTAAATATAGGTTCACCAGAAATAATCATAACGACCTCCTGAAGTCAAGCGCCATCCAAACTGATAAATACCTTACAGGTACAAGTACGAAAAGATATTTCACGACCAGACCAATTAAAAAACTAAAGGACACTATACAGGCTCCAGCTTCATCCCATATTAGAGATAAACAGACGAAATCCTTACTTCTCACGCAAAACAGCGCTGAAATTAATCTCAGGAAAGCTTACGACAAGATCAAATTTTCGTGTGACACAAACAACCCCGGTTCGGCCCTTATAGCATGGCTCGAAATTAAAGACTTACCTACTCGAAAGTTCAAGCACGACCCACTGATAATATACAAATTGATTCGCCTTTTTACAAACAACAAAGCCTACAGGAAACATTGTTCAAATTTACTTGAGAATATTGATCCAAAATTGTACACAAACCACGCGAAGCTACTACCTGCCATGATACTTTTCTCAGTTCAAACAAAAGACGTGTCACTAGCCAAAAAGCTTTTAGGAGAATTCAACGAAATATCAGACTCTACAAACAACAAGCTTTTCACTTCAAGGTTCTTTCTATCCACTATTCTCAAGATGCATTTAACTTTCAATGATACCGAAGGGGTAAATGACGACTTAAAGAAAATAGTTGATATCCACGGCTCCTTGTCTTCTTCCGACTACCAAGCAATAATAAGACATCTTCTTTCGACTGGGAAAACACAAGACTTCAATGATGCTCTAAAACTATTAAACACTATCCCACAGCAAAAGAAGTTACTTGCGATAACCTCTCTCATAATCGCAGTGACAAAGAAATTGCAACAAAACAGCTCTCCTTATGGAAATTTAGCAAAAACGCTCGACCATATTTTAAGAGAGGCGCATTCGCTCGACTCCCTCCATAGACACTCTTTATGGGACGTTCTCGCAGCCCAATACCTCAAGTACGTTCTAACAAACAAATTTAAGTTAGAAAATACAACTAAGGTTTCAAACAATGCCCTACAAGACAGTATTCTGGATTATGCAAAATATCTGTATGTCAACTCTCTTCAAACGCAAACGCAAAATTCAACGGTAAATCCTTTCAATTCTTCAGCGCCCCAAAATATAAGGCTCAAGTTGACAAAAAAAAACAGTTTAACAATTCTCAGAATCATCGCCTTGGAATCACTCAAGCAGAAGAGAAGCGACATATTTTCGTGGTGTACTCAGCAAATGAAACGCCACGGCACCAACCAAAGAGAACTCAAATTCCAGTTTAATATGATTTACAAACATCAGTTTCGTTTCAACAAATATGACACCATGGAAGAGCTCGACAAACAACTGAGATTTCATTCAAATAAAGATATTGGCAAGTTTATAAATAAACCCAAACCAAATATATAGATGACTCTGATGCAAAACCGAAATTTTAGACGATGTTAAACTTTCCAATAAAAATTACATAGTCAACTCCTACCGGGTGGCAGGACAGGCAAGCTTTTAGAAGGAGGTAGAGCTTTCTTGAATTCCCTTACTATAATGTGGCAGTCAATTTCTTCACACAAATTCTTCTTACGAGAAGCGGGCAATTTCTGAAGAAACTGTAAACCGGACGATCTCTCAACTGCATTGATAGGAACTTCAAAATCAATTAGTTTCCTTTCATTTGGAATGGGTTCGTTGGGTAAAACAAACGCTGCAACTGCTACGTCACCAGATTCGGGTTTAGACTTCGAGTTTTCGGCAACAATGACTTTAAAAAAATGTGTAGGTACAGCAATTGAAGGAGGATTACCAATGACTTCGTAGCTAACTCTGAACTTGCCATCTGCTCCCTGCTTGGGTAAGAACAAAGGACCACTTGCAATGCGAACATCATGATACTTATTTGTCAAAGTTCGGCAAAAATATTCAAAATGAGCCCAGTAATCACGATTGAAACCGTCACCAATTTGAGGACATACGTTAGTTAAGAAGAATGTTTCGTCCATGGCTTTCTGAGAAAATTTGGCATTAGCAGCGGGTGCCATATGACCTCTATCGTACCCAGATCTAAAATAATCCTTTAATCTAGCTCTGAAACTATCAGGAATTATCTCATCTTCTTTAAAAAATGAGTTTTTTCTGTCACCATTTCTATTCTTTAGCGATGCAGCAGTAACGTGCTCCACAACCCAGTACGGCATGCGAGTTCTTCTATCATAACAAGAAACAAACTCTTCACGATTTTGCAAGTCGTGAATCGGTCCTGGGAAACCATATTTGAAAAATCCGGAAGGATTTACGCCTGTACCATAGACTTGAATGCCTCCTGGGGGCTTTCCTCCAAGTCCCCGGCCTTCATCAGTTTGAACTGCTGTTTGTCCAGGATTATTATATTGGTCAGAGCGACCCCAGAAAAAAAACGCAATAACCGAACCGGTCCCTAAACCCAAAAGGCCTGATGAAGCAATTCTTGTTGTCATATGACGATATTTGTTTAAGATCTTAACATCAATATTTTCACATAAATATTTTTCTCCATTAATTGACACTTTTCAATCCCTCCATCGAACATAACATCAAACAAAACGTCCGAATATAACACGACAAAATAATGTGACACTTTCAAATTAAATCGTCAACTGTCAATTGAATGGAAAATAATGTGCAAAATTATGCACGTAACTTGCTTTTCATCCTTTAATTTGAAGCATTCAGGAAACTATTTTATTTAAATGTCTTTAGTTTCATAGACTGATTTCTTCTTTCAGAGACATCCGAATCTCCTCCAATGGTCAGTTTTATCAAACCTTTTACTAAGCCCTTTTCATGCTCATCAAGGTGTAATTGAATACTTCTCTTGACTTCCTCTCCATCGATCTGTATTAATTCCATGAGAACTTCAGAAAAACCTTGCTTTTGATCCGGATTCACTTCCAACAAGGCAGCCAAGGCAAGCACCGACAAGTTTATCACACCAGTTCTTTTTTCAACACTTTCTTTATCAATTTCTCCATTTAATTCTAACAGCAACCTCATCAAGTCAGCTGGCTTTACATAGGAGGAAACCTCGGAAGTTTGGAGATCTTTGAAGAGCTTTTCAAGAAAACATTTCAAAATTTTTGCTTCAGCGTAAGAGCGGCTCATGTTTTTGATTGTAGAACACATTATCCCGAAAGCTAGTTCTTCCTCCTCTTCAACTTTAAAAGATTCTATCAAGTTACTTGCAATCACTTCAATTTCCACAGAATCAAAAAGGTCATATTCGCTCAAGAGGATGATCGCTGTGGTAATGCTTAATTGGCGTGGCATCTCCTCAAAGATTCGACTCTTGAGTGCATTGTAAAATATATTAACCATATCTTTACCATCATCGAAACTCTTCGTTTGATTGATAATATACTTCAAAAGAGGTAACGTGAGCGGTACCAACTTCTCATAACCATCAGAATACATAATTTCACCGATAGTGTAGAAAAGGCACGCACATAGATCATTCTTAAAAACGACCGGAAACTTGTCGACGACAGAAATAAAACAATCGAAAACACGCTTAATAAGCAACCTTTGATGCTCTTCCGATAATGTGGAGAGAAGGTTGTTATGATCGTCAACAGACTTCTTCAATTGTGGTTGTAACTGTCCCAAAATCATGAAAACAATCCGCAAAAGTTCATATATTTTATCAAGCTCAGATATGCCTATCTCACCACTCTTTTCATACTCAAAAAACTTGGTAACAATTTTTTCGATGACATCAATGAGAGCAAAATGACTTTTTAATGCCCCAGTCAAAGCGATGCGATCAAATATTTGAGCCAATTCATCCTGAATTTCCGAGTCAAAAATGCAGTGCAAGGGAACCTCCAAACCAAGAACGCTGCCAACAGTGGATAGCGAGGATTGAGTCATACTAGCATCTTCGAAATTCGAAACAATGTTTTGAATACATTCAGCGAACATGACAAACGAAAATGCGCTTAAGTCCTGTTCTCCAAGGCATTGACTCAACAGTTTGGGGTTTTTGTCATTTGCACAACAGATTGCATCTATAACAACAAGCCACCTTTTTCGGTTCTCTTTGGAATCATGGTCAAAATTTACTCCGTTACGAATCAGAAAACCATTTTGAGTGGTCTTCACCCTATTGCAATTAATGGAGTGTTCACGTAAAGAAATGATCCACAGAGGAACCAAACTATTCCAATGATTTTCCACAAATATTAGCAGGTCAGATTTATTTGACGAATTACGGCAAGCATCTAAAGTCAATTCCGCCCAAGCGCTAAGAATTGATTTCTCAATCTCAACCTTCGCCCTTGAGGTAAGACCGTCCACTTTACCGGGAGTGTGATTGCTTTCTTTTCCACGCATGAACTCACCCAATGAGCTCTCGAAGAAAGAGGTGACTCTTTTCATTTCATCAAGAGAAACGATGTTAGAAGACAAATATTTTGCAGCAACACGGACCGCACAACAAAAATTCGCTGGAACCCTGTTCTCCCCAACGCACGACATGAGAGAGCTGACGACTTGCGCTTTCTCCTCATTTAGAATGGCCAAAGCTGCTTCATCTTCGTTGTTTTCAGCATAAAAATTAATGATGACTTCTAAAAGTTCAATACCGAGTCTCCTGAGACATCCCACATTCGATGTAGCTGCCTGAAAAGATAGTTTTATCAAGATCAGCAACTTGCTGCTCAAGATTGGTCCCATGTTGTCAAGTTCTGTACAATAATCAAAGTATTTTAGAATTGACTCCATCAGCAAAACTCGTCCTTCCCATCTTAATGGCTCATCAAGCGAAATCGAAATATTCTTATTCATTTGCTTGTGTTGGGCGTTTGAAGAAAATGCGTCAAAGCTAGTAGCATTTTCCTGCCGCTCGTCGACAGCGCCTACACTTAGTCCTATGACATGTATCATGCGTGGCTTATAGCAGTACCTCAGAAGCTCATCAAAGTGAACAGAAAAGAGAGCACAAACTTTGTTGACCCAAGTACTATCTTCTACCATAGTTTCAAAAAGCCACTTTTCTAGATAAACCTGACCTTCTTTTGTCCTGGGAAACATTGAGTAATAAGCCCATACAGTGTGCGCAGCATCTTTCAAGCTGGAGGAAAACTGTCCTAACTTCAAGACTTGATCAAAAAAGGTGAAGCTTATCTTAATTGCGTCCTCATTATACGATTTTAAAGGTGTCTCAACGCAAAGAGAGGTAGTTGGCATATTTTCTGCACCACAAAAGCACGAAAACGACTGCTTGATAAGAGTTCTTCCCAACAATACGCAGTGCTCAAAAGGGACGACATCAAGCATTTTAAAAGTCGCCAGGTTAATACAGATTTTTAAAATCACCATTTGGTTCTGAACGTTTCGGGACGATAAAAGTAAGAATATTAGATTCCTAAATCTTTCTCGAGATCTGTCATCAAGACTGACTAGATCTGGGCCTAGAATTTCAGTCAATCCATTTAGAATGTTTCCAATCACGAAATGTGGGTTAAAGGTTGTGCAATAGTTTTGTGTCCATGTGGAAGCAGAGAATATCCCACGCTGATCACTTAAAATAAACGTCTCCAAAAGCGAAAGAAGCTTTCCTGCAACAGCAAGATCAAGTGTTGTCAGACTTTCGAACAAAATTTCAATGCCGTACAAAGCCCAAGTGTGCACCACAGGATGAGTATCTAAAGATAACGTCTCGAACAACTCTAGCGCAGAATGGCTCAAACTTTTGATATTTCCATGTTTGCATATCGAAGCAATGGAAAGAGCATTGAAAGCACGCTCGTAAGGATTAGGAATATCAACAATGGCTTTTTGCAAAATGTCTATGTTCCCATGCATGTATTCATATTTTTCTCCACTAGCAATTTCGCGATCACTAAGTCGAGAAGTTACTATCAGACCGATAGCATCGGCTCTAAGCTTCATTAGTCTTTCATTTTCACCAAAAGACATGCCTTTCAATATTTGAAGCATCAACCCTCCAATCTCATTTTCGAGAGTCAAATTTTCCGAATGCAAAATTAAAAGTGCGCCATGAATAGCAAGACAAGTATTCACTGTGATAGCTGCAGTCCTTAGGTTGATAGTATTTTTGGAAAATATGCAAGAATTCAAGCTCTCAAGAACAGAGTGTTGAATCTTCTTATTCAGGAAGGGAAAAGTTAAGGAAAATATCTCGATCGAACAGTCGATAATGGACGTCGTGACTCGAGGGCAAAAGGCTTCAATCTTAGAATAACCTCGGCGGCTATAGAACATTATCAAATAGTCGTAGGACAGCACAGTCGTAATAGGCTTAGAAATTTCATCTTCGAATCGGTCGTACCAAAAACCTTTGGTTTCGGAGCAATCTAAGATTCCGTTAGTAGGATAAATCATCTGGGGTTTTCCTTGAATCTCATCTAATTGGTCACCGTGGCATTTACTGGTAATGCCGCATGAAAAATAAGACTTTTCACTAAAAAGTTCATCGAAGACCACGAGCTCTGAAGATAAGCCATTGCCGGATTTGCCAACAGCTTTGCCTTCAGCAGATGTTGGGAAAGCTGTGTAAATATTGGGATCTGAAAAGTTTTTGACAATCAATATCAAAAGAGCAGTATTAAAATCACCCCGAACATATTGAGGTATCTTCAGATATAGCTGTAAAATCCTTTTCTCATTCCCCAACAGTGCGGAATCAATGACTTTAGACTTAAGAGAAATAGAATGATTGAATGCAGAACACTTTGAAAGGAGGAAGCAAACTTCTTTGCAGAAATCGTCACCAGCTGATACAGCATCCAAAAATGCCAGCAAACAAGTTAAAGCATGACTTCTCAACTCAAGGTTTTTGTAAAGCTCATCTTCGCTGCTGAAATTAAAGGAATGTGTTAAAATGTTTTTCCAGAATATTAGCATTTGTGAAGTGTGATCCTTTAAGAAGTTCTCATCACGATACGTCATCAAGCCACACAACAGAATCCAAGAAATCAATCCCTTATAGTAAGACAAAGACCCGCTTGTACTACTCGACGCCTTATTCAAAGTAAGCGCAAAAACCATGATCTTCATCACCAGCTCAGTCGAGACAAAATCAGGATCAACAACGTTCATAAGCGACGATATGATCAAAGCGCTACCATGCGATTGTTGAAATTCAAAATTTGACGAAAATCCCGCCGTCAAAAAATCAAGCGACTGCGTCAAAGTGCTGTTCATGAAACGGGGAATTAGTTGCATGAAAATATTCAAAACGCGCACCGAATGTACTCTAATTTGGAAATTGTCGCTAAGACAAAGTTTAACGAGTTTTTCTTTTATGATAGATGTTTGCCGATTGTCGATGTCGAAGGACGAGGAGCTATCTTCCATGAGTAACTTCGAAAACTGAAGGAACGCTATCGTTGTAAAGGAGGTCTCATTTATGGGATCCTGGAGTAATTTCTCGCTTTTGTCACCGAAAATTGAAAAGAGAATGGCATTTTCAGAAGCCTCGCCAATGTACGGAAAAATGAGCCTGTGCAAGTTTTCGAAATATTGAAGATACCGTGAGATGGAGTCCAAAGTTAAGTTCCTGACATCTACATGTGAAAGAATCCCAAAGGAGAGATTCTCAAATAGTTCCAAGTAACGAATTCCAGAGAGATACTTCACATTAGCAAGAACGTTAAGGCTAACGAAATGACAAATTGATTCAAAGCAACAACTTTTGACAGCCAGCGTCTTCGACTGTATGAAAAACTCAATGTAAAACTCCCATGTTCGCTCTTGAGAGATAAGACCATGTTGTTCATAGTATAATAGTGTTTCAGCAATAATACGTGCCGAAGTTATGCGGGTCTTGGAATTCGTGAATGCAAAATGACCAAGATTGTCGTTAATAAACTTGGCTTTGAAGCTGTTTAGAACGTCGTCGCCAGACTTGTCCTTGATGGCTTTCCTTCGCAGAATATGTCCCCAACAACCAATAAAAGCGTCTATCAACCCTATGGGGTATCGATTTCGTTCTTCGGCTATGTCTGCCGATACGGTCTTCACCATTCTACTAACTTTGCCAATCATCTCGTCATCTATCGCATTGGCATCAAATCTCTCAAAAATTACCCAAATCAATTGAGAAATAGACGTTGAGTAATTCGCATGAATATATTTGTCTTTCTGTAGGTTTCTGATCAAGTTCTTGATCAATGAGCTGAGTAAAACTGGCACAAGTGAACTCAGTGCCTCGTGAAAGGTACTGAAAAGCCGGATCAGTATGGTAATAGCCAACTGCTTTGCATCTGAATATGAGTATCTTTTCTTGATGCGGTTTTTCTTCGAAGATTCAAGATTTAAATCTTCTTCACATATTATACTCGCCAAAACGTTCCCCACTTCCCACACCTGGTTGGGGTCCTTCGTTCTCAATTCATCGAGACAAACACACGTCAAAGATGCCATTTCATCGTTCACAGCTTGTGAAAAATTGAGATTTACCTGTCTAACCTCCAGAAGAACCTTGAAGAGCTCTCTTAGCTCATTTATCCGTTCAACGGCGTGCAGGTTTCTCGCAGAAATTACTTCTTTCAAGCAATTTGAAACCCATGCAAAGGCTTTTCCGTCATTTTCTATGAGCTCTGCAGGTGAGAATTCTGAGGTTTGTGCCATGGCATCCACCGCCAGTCGCCTCTTAGTTGTTTCTTCTAATAAGCATTGGTTGTCGAGCTATAACCTTACTTTCATGGGAAATCTATCATTTAAACCAACGTATATCATGACAATTAGGCGCCAATTCGAGAAAGGATAATAGAACCGAGTAATACTAACGAGCGTCGACTATGGTCTTTGCCGCCCTTAACATGGTAGTTTAGATTGTCAACCGCTTTTAGGGCCCATCCATGACACTATATCAAGTAGATATTTTTCGAAAAACGTGTGTGACAGTGAGGTTCACATCGTCAACACAGGGAAGCAAGTATCCCATCAATTATTATTTTACATAGAGAGGACGCGCTAGGAAACTTTTCAGCATAACATGAGAGCGAAAAAAATTATCGGGTGAGTTCGATAAGGGATTCCGTTGCTTATTAGAAAGCGCAAATTATCGCCCAGCTCAGACGAAAAATGAAAAGTTCAATCACAGAAGGACACACTTCTTCTTCTTCTTAGTAGAGGACTTGTTTTTCTTGCTTTTAGTTTTGCCCTGCTTACCCATCAAAGACGCGCGGGTGGCAGCTTCAAACACCTCACGCACACCGTAACCGGTCTTGGCGGAACATTCAATGTACTCGACGGCGCCAATTTGGTCCGCAACTTCTTGGGCAGCGGCTTGCGACAAGGGTTCTTGACCGTTTGCACGCAAGTTTTCGATGACTTGAGGATCATTTCTCAAATCGACTTTGCACCCGACCAAAATAATTGGAACTCCCTGACAAAAGTGTAGAACCTCGGAAATCCATTTTTCCATGACGTTTTCAAGGGAATCTGGCAAGTCGATCGAAAAACAGATCAGAACCACGTTCGAGTCAGGATATGAGAGGGGGCGCAGACGGTCGTAATCTTCTTGGCCAGCGGTATCCCACAACGCCAATTCGACGCGTCTCCCATCAACTTCGACGTCGGCTACGTAGTTATCGAACACTGTAGGCACGTAAACCTGAGGAAATTTTCCCTTCGCGAAAACAATCAATAAACACGTTTTACCACACGCACCATCTCCCACGATAACCAGTTTTCTCCGGATGCTGGCATTATTCAAACCCTGCTGAGACATCTTTGAATTTTCGTATTTATCACAAGACTTATCCGGAATCTAGTCTCGATCTTTCCGACTGTGTCTCAAAAACAAAACAAACTTAAATCCGTGTAAATTTAGATTTACAGCGTGCGAAAAGAATTTAAGTTGAATAAGCTTGAAACCAAATATTCAATATCGCGATCTTGTTGCTCTGTGATCTTCAAATCGAACTGCCCGTTCTTTTTGACAAATCTCCTGACTGGTTTGATCCCCCTCGAAGTTGTCCTGTTGTAAACATATATATATATTTAGCGGTTGAAAAAAAATTTGTGGTGATAAAAATTTCCGTACAAACGTATCCTACTTGTATTGGCCGGGCCAATTTGATCCAGAGAATGCTCATTTCAGACGTGAAACAGCTTGCTAAAACCTCTACTTCCAGAAAGGGAAGTTTAGTATGCACGGTGGTATTTCTGTAGCCAGGTCTTGGCAAAAGTACCTCGCTAAAGAAAGAAATCGTCTCCGAGAGCAACCACATTTCTTGCATCAATCTCTGCAGGAGCATGCAGCAAGAGCTTCCATTTATGCGTGGAACCCCATCGAGGAACCATCGATAGAGATTGAAGACCGTGGAGGCAATAAAATTGCCATTTGACTTCGAACAGCTCTCAAAACAAACTCTGAGTAAATTTTTGAGCCATAATTTTAAATTATTGTAACTAGGGTCAGCAAAGCGAGCAGAATTTCAGTAAATCTTGGCCGGCTGTCCAATAACGATAAATTCACGGCTAAGTCAGTGGCGGCCAAAGCTCAGCTAACGAAACACTTTGAAGAAATCCTATAAAAGTTTAGAGGTCTATGGATGTAAAAGAATGAATAATGCAGTTGGTGATTGATTCGCCTTGTTGGGCTGAAAACACGACTAGATCAGCCCTCGAAGCATATTTGAGAGCCAGCAGCACGAGATGAAAATGCTAACCAAGCAAAAGAAGAGGGAAGCTAGTCGAATTTCGCCATTTCTTGTATCAGATGTAAATTAAAGGAGCACACATTTTTTCTTCTTTTTAACAACGGCGCTTCCTGTGTTAGCAATAGCTTTCGACTGTCTTTTCCCTCCGAGTGCCGCTCTCGTGGCTGTCTCGAAAACTTCGCGTACCCCAAAGGCAGTCTTAGCAGAACACTCAAGATAAGAAACTGCACCAATTTTACTGGCCACTGCTTCACCTTGAGCCGTAGTCACGGGGCTTTGTCCAATGGCCCGCAAGGTTTCAATTGCTTGGGGGTTCTCACGCAAATCTACTTTGCAACCAACCAAAATTACTGGAACGCCCTGACAAAAGTGAGAGACCTCCGCTATCCATTTCTCCTGGACATTGTCAAGCGAATCAGGTAAATCAATCGAAAAACAAATAATAACAACGTTGGAGTCCGGGTACGATAAAGGCCGCAGTCTGTCATAGTCTTCTTGTCCAGCAGTATCCCACAACGCCAACTCCACATGTACCCCGTCAACTTCAACATCTGCAACGTAGTTTTCAAACACTGTTGGAACGTAAACTTCCGGAAATTGTCCCTTTGAAAATACAATCAACAAACACGTTTTCCCGCATGCACCATCCCCGACAATCACCAACTTTTTACGCAGATTATTACCAACCGTGTAGGCCATTCCAACCGATATATCTCTCCTAAAAGCCCAGGATACTATCTGCTAATGCTCGCACTGAAACTTCAGCCTAAATCTTGTTTTCTCTATTGAATTTGCTCCAACCGGAAAACTCATTGAGAACAAATCTCGAATCAGCCCTTTGATTTTTTTCCTTGTTCCTCGATCAAAATACACAAAACATAAAAAACATTGATTGAAAGGTGAAATAGTAAAATTTCAAATTTAAGTGCGGAAGATAATTATAGCCGTACATCAAAGGTGAGAGATAAGAACGATTAACAACAATAAGAAACAATCTCTTGAAATTGCCAATTAATACAACATTTTATCAGCCAAGTTGCCTCAGGTCTTGGAAAGTGGCTTCTCTTAAAATAATAGTATAAGGTCGGATTTTAATTTCTCAAATCAACAAGAACTTACTCGAAAACTTACTCGGAACGCTAGCGCATTTGATTTGGTTCACACTTTCAAATTTGAAGTTTCATAAGCAGGTCTCGTTGAAGACGTAAAGATGTAAATTAGGCTGGAAATACGTCTCTTAAAGCTTCGAATCCTGATTTGTTTCGTATTTTCAGTTCGAGATTATGGCTTATAGATTCGCCAGGCCCAAGTTAGTCAACTTTGGCTCGAGCTTTCTTCTGGATAAGCGCATAATTCATACGGTGGTGCAGTCTTACTACCTTTTGGAGATTCCAGTCCCCAAAAATCATAATCGAATTTCTCTCTACAAGCGGAAAGATAAATAATTGCCCCATCATCGAGAAGCACGCATATCTCGTTACTTCTGGCACAAAATTCGAAATCTTTGATAGGCTCCGCAAATGGTATTGTATCGTAGCAATACAATTTGTAGTGCTCAATTTTGTAAAACAACAAAACGCCTCGGATTGATGAGTGACCCTCCATCTCGCCGCTAATCACAATGCAATTGTAATTAATAATTTTGACTACTCTTAGGCTAGCCACAGTTGACTCGTTCACTGGCAATCGCTTCCATTGTCCGTCTACTTGTTGAATTTGGCAAATGATGTCAGAGTTGACTGTCACAGCTATCAACAAGTTGTCTGCTGCATCAAAGAACCTTATTTTATCTGTGGTTTCAACTGACCCGTTGCTATCAATTGATATTTTCCCATTCTGAATATGTAGACGTTCCGCCCTAGTGCCGTAAAAAATCCAAATATTACCGCTATTGGTTGGACATGAATAAATCATTGTTTCTTCCGCCAAATAAATCTCATCGACCTCTTGAATTTTCAGCCTTCCGGGTTTTGGCACTATCTGGATCAATTTTACTAAGGATTTCAGCTTGGCTGTTCCCGTTACGACGACTGAGGTTTTATAATCCTCTGTCTTCAGCTCTTTGATATCAAAAACCTCATCAAAAACGGCTAAGGAGCTTGAATCAAGTGGAATTGTCCTTCCGCTCTCCAACTTGGTGCAAAACAAGCATTTGTTCCGCGGGTTTACAATGAGCATCCTATTGATTTTCCACAAGTAAAGAAATATTTTATTTGGTACCCGCGAGCAAGGAAGAGTGATGTCATTAACAATTGGTGTACTGCAGGATAGCTCCATGACTTCCATTCCACTACTATGTAGAATGAATAAAAGTTTCCCCCGCGTTTTGACTTGCAAAATAGTGGAATGTTTCAGATATTTCACGAATGGTATGAAAGACGCTTTCATGTGCGGTAGATTTACAATAACGAGTTTCTTAGGACTGTGCAAAATGCATGAATCTGCCTCATAAAACACAACATTCCACAACGCCGGCTCAATTCCCTTTATAACAATGGGCTTAAAAGGAGGACTCTTTAAACCTGTCCATTTTGCCATATACAACAATCCATCAACACCACAACCAATTATTGTATTGTGCTGACTTGTACAGTTCAAAAAAAGAGGGGTATGAAGGGTGGTAAGACGCTGAGGCTTATCATCACAGCTGTATACTGAAATCTGATTGTTCATTACAAGCAAAAGAAGTGTGCCATGGTCATTATCCTCAATAAAGAAACCATTGATAATTGAAGATACATCAGCTTCTCCAAGGTAGAGAATTTCATGGTACTTCGAGTCTCGAACTATTTCTTTAACGAAGCAAATCACAACTTGACCATTATAGCGGTTCCATGCGACAACTTTGTTAGAATGTTGAATAGCGTCATGCACTTCAAAGCCAATACATTCTATATGTGGCAGCGCATTACTCATATCGTCGAGTATTATCTCATTTTCGGTGACCTGAATGGTGCAATGGTCAGTCAAAAAGGTTGAGATTATCTGACCACGACCAGAAACGTAAAATCCATCCAGTTCCACAATGCTTGATAGAGTGCAGTTGCTTTCATAAGTCACCAAAAGCGCGTAGGGATCCGTGACAGGAGAGTACGCTGTTAACAAAAAAAGCTCGTCGTTTACTCGGGCTTCCAAGTCTAACCATTTTGAGGCCCACTTCTCTGATGAGCTATCAAGTTTGATCACATCTATCGAGTTAAAGAATCTCATTTCCTCAACAGACGCCATACTTCTCGTATGTGTTATGATGAAGTCCGAAGCTATATTGAAAAAGCAATTTTGTGATAGCGTCCACAATGCAGTGACTTGATTCTGTCTGTTCTTATAGGAGTCTGAAAAAAAGAGGCTTGCTCTCTTTTCGTGACCAACATAGATAAGTGTCATTTGTTCAATGTTTTCCAAAGCATTCACTTTATAATCTTTGGAAATTTCTGCCAAATTCGTGACGTCAAGCAGTATTTCGAATATTCGGCCGCAGCTAACAATACGTAGACGATAAAAGTCTTCCCTTATTCCAACGTTTGACAATTTATATGCCTTGCGTAGTCCTTTAAATCTCGTGAGGGCCAAGAACTTTACCTCTCCTTCGGCACTTATTAGACAACAGCAAAGAGCTCCATTCGTTGTGGCAAAAACACAGCAATGATTGAAGCACCGCAGAAGGGAAGTTTTCGATTTCAACCTCAAAAGCAAAGCGTCGTCATTAAAACACCAGCAGACATCATCACCAAACATCGACCTAGGGAAATTACGAAAATTAACTTCTCCCGACATGACTTGATTGGCTGTCACAAGTAATATGTTTGTCGTGGTAAAAATTAAGCACCGATTTTCATTTAATGGAATGACGTTATTAACTCTCTCTGCAGTAAGTAGCGTTAATGGGTGAACATCTTTTTTCTCTTCAGTGGAACAGTCCACCACACAGTAAATAACACGATTGAAGCGCATAGCCGCGACAAATAAAGTGTAACTTCGTCTACTTCTGTCATCAAAAAGCGTATAGTTTGTGATTTCAGAGTCTTCAAAGTAAAGATTAGTTGTCAGCTCAAAATGAGCCAATCCTGTGAACGTGAAGAATCTCATAACACTATTTGAGGAAACCACGAAGCGTTCTCCATCTGGGAACAGCTCTATATGACGAATGACCGGCTTGGACGACAATTTCGGGAAATCCCACTGCTGCATGACTTTGGGCGTCAGATCTGCGTCGAACATGATGCATAATAATCTACCCGTAGGGCACAGAATCAAAATAACATCATCGTGCTCGCTAGATCTTTTGCTAACAACTTTTAGGTCCAAAATGGCAAAAGGACAGTGAAAGGTTCGGTGATCACATAGCAAACGCAAAGAATTCGTGCTAGCTACGATGTATGTCTCTAGTACTTTGCTTGAGTTATCATTAGCAGCTATAGTCGGTGACGGACTGATTGACGTTTCGCCCACTAACATATCGAGGTCCGAATCATCTAGTGTACTCGGTTCCCTGCTTAGCCCTTCCAAGGCGTTCTCAGCTTCATTAACAGGCGCAGGTGCCTTGTTTCTATCGTCTGTTAGTTTTACATCGGCAAAATTGTTACCAGCGAGGCTAATCCTAATCCCTTCGTAAAACAGTGGTTCTGCTGGCGGAATAACCCTCTTCTTGAAAAACCATTCACTCTTTCTCAAGCCGTTGAAATCATCTACATCTGTTGATGATGTATCAAACCAGTTCTCTTCGAGTGTATCACCGCTTTGAACAAATTTACCCAGGCTGGAGTCATAGATCATAATTCATCGCATCTAAGTCAATGCAGATCACTTTAAGTTTATTTCGTGTGATAATTGTCGGCCGACTAATTTTTGCTATAATAACAACGTTCTGAGGTACGGAAGAATCACAATTCACTGGCCATGCGAATTCGTAGGGAGACAAAATGAAAGAACTCAGAAGGAAAACAAATCTCGAACTTGATATATCTTAATTTTGGTGCATTCATTACTTCATTTTTGTACAGAATTAAAAGATACATATGGTAGCGGTTCTGACCTAAATGCAGCTTCAACGCATTCAAGCATCTACAACTTAAGTCTCTCTGCTAAAAACTATCCAAACAAATTAGTACGGTTTTCATGGGGATTGGTGTTTTTCATTTTTCAAATCATCGATTGTGGTATAGGACTGATATTGAGATAGCTGATTCAAAGAAGAATCTGATCTGTTAGCTTCGATTTTATGTGCTCTGAGCTTGTTCCCAAGGAATTTCCCCACATGTTTAACAAGAGACTTAAGTATAACTTTCTTGAGATGCAAAGTTAGTTCCATGGTGGTAATAGTTTCATTTTTAAATTCCAAACGGGGAAATACAAAGGCAAAATGTGTCACATTAATTAATCTTTGGGCCCCGTGTCCCCGATAGCTAATGCGTAATTTGAAGCTGTTGATCAGCAAGTTGTTTATCACCATATAGTCTGAAGAACGTTTGACCATTTCGTCGACGCCATAGGACCTTTCGGACCTTTCAGCAAATCCTTTATTGCCACCGTTATAGGTCTTGCTGATGGAAGCCCGCGCAGAGCCATTGGTTTCATCGCCACCCACTGACACAATCTCCTCGTCTGTATCCGATTCTGAGTCACTGTCAGCATCCGAAGATTGAGACGAGTGATTATTATGCAGAAGGGTCTCAACCTCTGTTGGGAAAGCCCATTGGATGATTTTAGCCACGGTTTCTTGCTCTATGTTGACATCTAGCGCCTGAATATGGGTTTCAATCTCCTTGATTACCTTAATGCCTCCAATTGGTTTTTCTATATCCCACACGACATGGATCAGAGGTTTCTTGTCGACGTTCATTGCTGAATGTGGTCGTGTCAACATTGGACCCATCAGGTCATTAAATAACACTCTTCTTTCTAGATTGAAAATCTGCGCTACACCAATGACAAGCTTGTTATTGTTAGACCCATACGTTGATTCAGCCCTCTGAAAGTAAGATTTTGCCAGAGCAACATCTAAAAATGGGCTTCCATCATCATGTAACATATGCAAAATTATTTCTTTTGCTTCAATATTCCAAAGTAAGTGCTGGCCCTCAGCTGCTTGTTCTTTACTACCTGCATTCAAAACTTTCATAAGAATGTAAAGATTTGTCAAAGATTCGAATTTGTTTCTCCTTATGCTCTTGAGATCGTCCATTCCGGCATCGTCTAAAATCTGTCTCTTGAAGGCTAATTCTTTCTCGATCCAATTAATTGATATAGAGGTCTTTTGAAGTTCCCGCACAATGTCTGCTAGGTGAACGAGATTCGTTGAATCGTAGCTCAACATTAACTTCTCTACTTCCTTCTTCAAATGCGCACTTCTAGGCTCCGTGTAGACAAGTAAGTCCATAATCATATTGTACAAAGCCAAATATTGCCGTGAGTTCGAGCTGATGATTAACTTCGGTAATTGGAAAATCATTTTGTTTTGAAGATCAAAATCTTTTGATCCACCCACGTTAGCGAACGGGAAGACTTTGTCATATTTGAAAATGCCAGAAAAATCGCGAATAAGGGTATTCGGCGTAAGTGGAGTAGAATCAAAACAAAGTTCAATGCCAAGCCAAGGCTGCCAGTTGTCTTTTCCGGACTCTCCGTACCCATGACTTTTGAAAAATATATCATGAAAGTCATCAAAGTTGTCCTTATGGAAAACGAACACATTAGCTCTGAGGAGAGCAACCCCGTACCTATTAAGAAAAACGTCCGTTTTGCTTTCGTTTTCGCTCATATTCGAATCGAAACCTAAAGTTTTGAGTTTAATACTGGGAGCTGTTAATAAGATACAAGTGTCAGGTTTTTGCGAAGTAGTCAGCTGAATCTGTGGTGCAATGAAATTCACGATATGGTTTTCATGCGTTTTGAATTTGAAACTCACTTCAAGCTCTCTGAGACCCTTTTCGAAAACATCTAAGGTATCTTCCTTCGCATCCATGCTATCGTATGGTCTTGCCTCGACACCCGGGACTTTGGGTTCAGATATGTCTTCTTTGACAGAATCCAATTGGGCTTCGCCAGTATTTTTACCTCCAATAATATCCTCCAATTTCTGTAGGGCTTTGTGATTGGTGATGAAGGAAAACTCCCGATTCATTCCAATTAGATGAATGTATTTGTAAACCACGTCCCGAACGTTTTCGTTCCATTTTAATAACATGGAGAAAATGAAAAATCGGTTCTCAAAATCTTTCGAATACGAAGACTTTTTGGCAATCCAACTGATGGAGTCGTAATTCAGGTTTTCATCATAGGCGACCTTATCAAACCCATCTTCATCGCCCTCGGCCGCTGCTCCCTTTTCCAGATGATTGAAGTCGTCAACCAGTTTGGAAACTTTCACTTGAGCCTGTTCTGTTTTAGCCAACTTCTGTCTTAGAAGAACGAGGGCCTCGCTAGAAGAGCCTTTTTCAATCCTTTCCCTTAACCTATCCCCTTGATTTCTCAAGGCTTTTAATCTGTCCTCGACGAGATACACCGGTAACCTAACGCTGGGTCGCAACGAGCACTCATGGTAGTTGGCGTTACGAAACGGTTCTATTGGCTTGCAGGTTTCAAGCTCAACCTGATACTTATCTCCATAACTTGCTTTCTTACGATAAACAAATTTGGGGGAGTACAAAAGTGGTAACACTTCGACAAAGGGCGTATGCTTATCCAAGCGATCAAAGTATACTTCACAGAAATCTCCGATGTCGTACCATGACATGTCATTGTCGAATATTTCAATGGAGCTTGTACGATTCTCCAGAAATGTTTCGCGATCAAACCGAGCCTTGACAGTCCTTATATCAATTTCGAAGGTAGAAATGTCGCCTTCTTCAAACTTGAGTCTCGAAAGCCTTTTGGTCGTGTTGAGCTCAGGCTTATGTTCATGGAACACCTCTCTTCGTTGATGGAGGTCCATGACAAAATGATCAGTTTTAGCCTTGAGTCCTATGAAATGATGGGAATCCTTTTTCTCTGAGTGCACCTTGTGATCAGAATCCAGAGGAGACACAATATGACTTATGAACAATGGTGCCACCTCTGCATGATACGATATCGTATAGAGGTGAACTCCAAATTTAGGACTCATATTGCCAGCGCCAAATAGAGGTCCACGACGAACAGGTAATACTCCAGAAAAACTCTTCCACCAACGAAAAAATATTCTAAAAGCACCAGGTGAAAGCTGTACAGTGTTGTACGCATTGTTGCTGTTCGAAAGTAGCGTAAACGACATATGGATGAAGTCACTTCTAAATCCACGGAAAGAATCATGCGTTTCTATGTTTTCTAGGTAAAGTGGATTGCACATTCGAACGTCCCAGTGTGGGCGTGTTTCTGATGTTTTACCTGAACCGTCTGATTTCTTCCTATCAAAGACCATACCAACATTCAACGTGATGCCTCCACTTAGAGTGATGGCCCTCTTTTCAAAGAAGTTGTCGCTCATGGTTTTCTTATCATCATCGAGCTGTCGTTTACTGTAGTCAGGCATTTCAATTAGGTTGTAATAGAATGCGTATTCCTGCAAATTGGAATATTCGCAGATTGGAACAAAGATACTTTCCGAGCTACTTCTGGCCCACACTGGAAGCGGTTTTGCAAAAAAATTAGGAACTGCGAAAAAGACTTCATTTGAGGAAAACGACACCAATCTCCTTGGATCTTCTGTCACGTTGCACCCAACAGCGACATTCCCTCGCAAGCCAACCACAAATCCTGCTCCTTCGCCACCAATGCTGTAGGGATTTTTGGAGCCTTTCAACGCTACATTAAGCTGACCTCCGTTGTTCCATCTAAATTTGATCCTCGCATGGAAGATTTCCCTTATTTTATCCCAAAAGCCGAGCTTCAAAGATGGGTCTATAGGTGGCTTCGAGAAGTTTTCGAAGCATTGCATGACTTGTTGAAGAGCGGGAGAGTATGAACCGCCCCAAACAGCTGTCGTTGTTTCTGTTGAATTTAACTCAAGGTCTAACTCCGTAAAGATTTTAATCGGAACTATTGTTCGCGGTACGAACAAGGAATAGAATGTGTCATTATTCTCCATCGTCGCGGAAGGCACTAGAGGCACGAAGAGTGTCCGAAGTTCTTTGTTAGATCGAAGCATGTCTTCGGCTAGCATCATATCTCCATGGAAGTGGATTGATTTCTGATTTTGCTCTTTTTGATGCTTTGCTAACTTCGGTATGTTTATGAATGGAAGGGGAAAGTCACGAAGGTGGCACCGAATTTCATCAAACCGCGCATCAACGTGTATTGGGATCATGATAGAATATTTTGTATCCTTAGGGACACCCTTACCGACATCGTTGACAAATTCTGGAATTCCTTTAATGCCACAAGACGGCTGACTCAGTTTAACGTCAATCCCCTCAATTATTAAATTCATTAGAGGAGGAGAAGATAGAAATTCAACAACGTGTTTATCCACTTCATGATAATTAATATTAACTCTTCCCCACAAGTATTCAAAGTTGTGCATGAATTCAATTTGCTGTTTTTGTTTGATGTCTTGTATCCGTTTGATCCACGATTTCGACATATGTTCTTGCAAAGTTTGAAACTCCTCTGTCACATTCTCCATGTCCGAGAAAAGTCGTTCATCGTTTCCGTCCTCTTTGAAGGTATCAAAATTGGTGCTAGATTGTGTACGTGGCAAATCAGAAAAGCTCCTCGACTTAAAGCCCTTGCCACGCCTTAAAATATCCTGCAGACAAGTTTTAATTTCTCGAGTTGCTTGAAAGGTTTCAGATCTTTTAACCCCCTTTCTTTTCCTTGATAGCTTCCTTAGGAGTTCTTTCTCGAAAAGCTCGTATTTCTCTACTCTTGCTTTCTGCTCCAAAAGGCCCACTTGATAGATCATCGCGACCTGTGACTCAAAGTGATCATCCTCCACACTGAAGATCCAGCGTTTTGAGGTTAACTTAACGTTTGGTAGCCTGGCAGGGCTTACTACGTGTGGATTTATTACAGAATTATTACTCGAGGTTTTCAACGAGTAGATCATCTGCTTCAAACTTTTGAAGACGGTGGGCAAGTTATCAACCAATTGGTACATTTCGAACTGGTGTGGTATATTGAAATGCCACATCTCGTTTTGCAAAATTACGGAAGGTTCATTGGGCATACCCTCAATAAAATCTTCGCGCATCTGCTTCACCATTGATGCAATATCTGCTGAACATTTGAAATCAGTAACAGTCGCCATTCGAACCCACGATCTGGAAACTTGCGGAGACTCCACGCAAAGCCGGAAATAATGGCCATTGAAATAAATATTGTGCAAATTCGGACATGACATTACTGATGAAAACAGTTCCACTCTTGTCTTGATACCATTAGGCAGCGCAAGTACCGATTTGAAGTAATCAACTTCCGCTTGAAACTTACAGAATGCAATAGTCCCGGGTTTCATGAGCAATCCAAGCATGGATCTCTGTTTTGCACGAGAGAAATGAAGAAGGTGCTCCTTAGCCTTTGATTTAGTTGCATGAGAATTGACATCTCGTTTGAAAGTTTCTTTGAAAGTGTGCACCACAGACAAAACAAGAAAAATGGTCATCAGTGAAAGCATCATTTCCACTTTATCCATACTCACGCTGATCATTATTTGTCCATTTTCGCAATTTCCATCTTCGCCCAATTCGGGGTATATTTTCACCACAGAACTTGATAAACTCAATATTTTTTTGGGTATTAACTGCTGCCTTCTGGTTTTAGTTTCAGAGAAAAGTTTCGATACCATGTTCTCGAAATTGCAGGTTAATATCCAGGGGAGATTCCTTTCTTCAGCCAAGGTTGAGGAGCTGTCCTCCAGCCCAATATCATCGAAAGCAAAAGCAAGAGCCCTCGTTGAATCGCTAGAGCTATTTGATTTGTCATCCCTCGCTGGTATATCTTTTGTCTCATGAGTAAAGCTGATTCTGACTCGGTCAATGCTATGTGAGGCCTTCCTTAACTCTCCATCGACAAGGTCACCGGGACTTTGGCAGTGTAAGTGATTGAAAACTTCATCAGACATAAAAACAGAACGTCCGCCAACAATCGCAGAAAAATCGCGAATGGTTAAACCCCATCCACCGCAATATGAAGGTGGGGGTTTGAACAAGACAGCTTTTGGGCAAAATTCCTTCCTTCTATGTTGAGCTTCCGTACGATTGCATGCTCGTATTGTAGAACTCATACCGTCAGAAAACTGCTCATAAATTTCCCTGAAATACTGGTTTTCTACCAAAATCATCTTAGAGTCGATTTTTCGGGTTATTTTGTTTAAGGCCATTAATGTAGCCAGCTCTGACAGATCAAGTTTGAAAGAATCAATAGTTGTTGTCATACCGATTCTAATGGATGGGATTAGCTGTGCCAGGGATTGAAAGGATAGGTTGTCGATGGACAGGATTTTGTGTTTATAATCCAACGACTTGTCGTGGTAATTGAAACCATAATCCAGAAGTTCTGCGACATTCTCTAACGTATAGAACAATTTTCTCTTCTCATTTTCATCGCTCAGGGCATATTTCTCTGATTTTGTTCGCACTGTGAAGAGTGAACATTGGTGGACGAGCAGTTCATGACCATCACTTATTAGAATCATGGGATCTTCGATAGTGATTTTGGATTCTAAGTGGGGTAGCAGAAACTGAAAGTATGTAAATATTGCTTCTTTCCCTTCCACACTTCTTTTCGAGCTACAATTGACGTCATCGCGGTGATCTTCCCTATTCCATGCAAGGTATGAAGAGAAGACTTTAGCATTTTGTTGGAAAGACTTTATAATAGAGAGTTCTGAGACTTCAAAGTCCAAAATAGGCGATGAAATATGGCCAACAACCTTTAGAACAGTGTTTGAGTTCGAGCTTGTACGTCCCGCGACACTCTTTGTAGATAAAATGTTGGTATCACCGTAGAGAGAAATGCTGGGTATTTCACAAAATTTGTAAAATTTTGTCTCCGTGATCTCTTCAGGGAGCTCCTGCTTCAAACCAAAGGTCAGACCGGATACACTCAATTTCAAGTCGATAGGGTTATCTTCCGGCGAAAAAAGAAGCTTATAACCCGGGGATCCCTGCTTGAGTTTCTTGATGAAAAACGCGAAATTAGAAACACTGATCTCGTATTTGAGAAGATCCGTGGCGCTTTTGACCTCTGATACCTGGGAAAAGGGAACGTCTTTCACTTGAAGAAAGTCCGTAGTAAAACTGAAACGTTCGTATTTGGATGCATAATGGTATGCTATGGCGAGTCGAGACTCTAGTTCTTTAATGCAATCGTCAGGAGAAAATTTCACGTTGTTTTCACCTTTTTGGCCTTGAACAATGTTGCCCTTGGTGGGATTGCTGGTAATTTTTTCGAATTGGTCCCAGGAAGCCCTGACGTTTTTCAGTTTGCAGTCAACATGGATTTTATGCAACGAAATCGCGTTATCTTCGTCGAACTGTCCTCCGATCTCGAACTCGCCACTGGTGCAGATCTTTTTGGCGTCCGCAGACACTTCTCGTACCGAAAGTGCGACATGCGCCTTGGAATCCTTGAAAACGCCCTTGATGGTCACGTATTCGGATGTGATTGGTCCGACCTGGGTGTCTTCTAAAATGAAATTGAAGTGCTGTATGTGGTTCAAGACCGACAAAATCGTCTTTCTGAGCCATTTCGGTACCGGTATGTTGGGAGCGGCGTTAGGGTTGCTCTGAGATTCGCCCCTGGGCCTTAAGTCCACGTAGACCCGTAGTCCGTGCACCACTATGCACCGATTCCACGGCGAAAAGTAGATGTATTTGACGAAAAATCTGCGGCGGAAACAGAGAGACCGAATCCTCAATCTGAAGGGGTCGATGAGCCCGACCGAAAACCCGACGAGTTGGTACGCGACGAAATTCGCCGCTAGCCACGCAATCGTAGCCACTAATGCGTACCACGCGAGATTTGACACCGTCGCAAATGCGTTCATGTTTGTAGTTCCTATTGCAGTTGTGGTTGCACTTGGCTAAATATGCTTCTTAAGTTGTGTCTATGATCGATCGCCATACAGTGGGCCGTAAAGCGGCTATAGTAAAGCGGGAAAGCGGACAAACCGATCGAACCGGAAATCACAATCAAATTATTGTCAAGAGAATCACCGCTTGTCACTTGCCTCTTTTCGCAGTTGCTGAGTAACTGTTAAATCTTTAATCTTATAACCGCTTTCTTTCGCCGTAAGTTTTTCGCATCCATTGCACGCATTTTCAATTTTCCCTTTCCCATCCCCTCAGAAAATCCTTTTTTTCGGGTTTCCGGCGTGAAGAGATGTCTAAACGCTTAAATGCGGACAAAGCCGATAGTTTGCAGTTCGAAATGGCCGAGCAGTGACACAACTTGCAACTATGACCAACCATTTCGTATCAATCAGTATACTAAAATGACAGATTGCTAGTATTTCCACACGAACGTTTGTAATGACCCACCCCAGAGAACGACATCCTACTAGAAGATTTGCCCGATCTCTCGTAGAACCTTACAGTTCATCGCGTGACCCCGTGACCAAACTGACCCACATTGATTCCTCGGGTGACGCAACTTCGGCGGCTACCGCGATCGAAGCATACCTTCCTTACAAGTTGCCCTATCATGTAGGGAAAGAGATCTTGCTAGGTGACGCTCAGGCATATCATAGTGAGTGTATTCTGTGGTCTTCTTCGTCGGCGTCATTTCGACGCGTCATACAAAAAAAATCCACCACCGCCTGATAGGACTTCTTATCCGCAACACTCTTATACACCAACACGCTTCAAAGAATCTTGTCCCGCTCTTTGGTATTACCCCCGCCAACCATTTAGCTCTTACGTGCCAGCCGGCTCTTGACGTAGTTTGAAAAACTAGCCACAAAAACCCATAGGATTTGTGACAGGATCTCGTCGGAGACTTTTGGGGGCCATGGGTGTGTATTTTCTACTCTGCGTGTTTCTGTCTAGGTAGACCGTTATATTGTTTCACGCGACAATGTCGTTTGACATTGTGATTGGGAAACGACATTGTCAAACGAATGAGACAATGAACAAGAAATGCAAAGGTTTCAATGCGTATGTGCGATGCCCTAAATACAGTAATGTACTGTGACTAATGTACCTAATCATAGGGCACGTAGACACGTTTTGTGAGATTTACCAAGTCGCTTCGAGGTGGGGCCACGGGGTCATTGATCAGCAAGGATAATCGTATGTGATGTTTCAAGTGAAAATCTACGATCACCAACTGGGATCTAAGACGTAGTAGCGTATTGTAGCGACGAGTTACGCATTTAAGACAAGAAAACTCTGAGGCAGCGTTAAAGTAGTGTTCAAGCTTGATATGGAGGACGTGGGGCAGCGGAGTACTGTGGTCCGGTTTGTATCGTGGGCACATCGCGATGTGTTGATGATCGCGTGTTACTAGGTGAAGAAGGTCTAAATGGGAAAATGGAAAATGGTGAAAAATTTTTATTAGAAAATGGTGAAAAACGATGAGATCTTCACACTAATAAAGCTCATCTAAGAGTGACACTGTTTGAACTTGGGACCCGACTGAACTCATAAAAATATTCGCAAAATGGCTCCTCCAAAGAAGAGTGTTAAAATGGATCTGAATTCGTTCCTGAACGACGAGTCGTTCGGAGAATCGTGGGCCGAAGAGGAAGTTGATTTGGAAAAGATCAACATCCCAATCAACAGCGTCAAGCCTTCGAACACGATCCCCTTAGAAGGGTTGACATCGATGAAAGGGTCTAGATTGGACCCTGCCCTCGCCCCTGAAAAGAGAGAGCGTGTTGAGTACCCAGTGCCAGATTACCCACCATACCGTGCCATGATTAGCAATGTGCCATGGGACGTTTCTGAAGAAGGTATCAGAGCGTGGGTCGAAGACGGACTAGACAAGCAGGGCGCTGTGACCGAGCTGGCCGCGCCAAGAGATTTCAACGAGCCCTCGCGTCTCAAGGGTTTTGCGTTCGTGACGTTTGCCGAGCGCAGCGATCTAGAAGCTGCTCTCAGATTTAATGCTACCAAATTGAACGAGCGCACTGTTTTCGTGTCTGTCGCTGCTCCTCAGAGGGGTCGTGGTGGAGATGGAGGCTTTGAAGACATCAACTGGGAATCTGCCAGAGGTTCCAACTACCAATCTGGCAGACCTAGAGGAGAAGAAGTCGATTTGGACTGGGGTAGTATGAGAGGATCTGCGTTCCAACCTGCCAGGCCCAGAAGAGAAGAGCCAGACCTTGACTGGGGCTCTATGAGAGGCGCTCAGTTCAGACCTCAAAGAGAGAGAAAGCCTAGAGAAGACGAACCTGAGCTTGACTGGGGTGCCATGAGAGGGTCTCAATTTCAAGCTCAAAGGGAGAGAAAGCCTCGTGCACCAGAGCCAGAATTGGACTGGGGTGCCGTGAGGGGCGCTAACGCTCCACAAAGACCAATAAGAACTGAAAGAAAACCAAGAGATGAGCCACAACTCGACTGGGGTGGAGCAAGAGGCTCCAAATTTGGGCAAAGTGCAGCCCCAAGAAGACCCGCTAAGCAAGCCAGTCAGACGGTGAATGCCCAGGAATCTCCAAAGATTCAAAAGTCGTCTTTTGCTGTTTTGTCTACTGAAGACGATGATGAAACCGAGCAAGATAAAAGTGAAACTTCTCAAAAGGCTACTAATCCAAGCTCCGATGACGTGGAAGGGCTTGAAAAAGCTACTGCTAATCTTTCTGTGCATAACGATGATGGCAACTGGGAAACTGTGGGTAAGAAATGATTTTTTTGATTGTAAACTAAATTTCATCTTTATTTGTGCTCATAATGTACTTTAGATAACTTAATTGACACTTGCCAGCTATTCGTGGGCCGATCGTAGATTTCCTGTAATTAGGCAGAAGCTACTTTCAACGCCTTTGTTCTGAATTTCACAATTCAGTGCCAGATTAAAAATGGCTAGCGGCGCTGTTTGCATGAAATAAGAAGCAAATCCAATTTGAACTTCTCAGCGCCATTAAATCAGATTTTTTTTCTCGATTTCGGGCGACTACCGTCAAGATGAGTTGTCGCTACGTAATTCTGAAATCGACGCGAGAGTAACCACAACTCATCAGGATATAAAATTTTATTAAAAATGATGGAACATGTTAAAAAAATGTCATCGGATGTTTGAATTTTTTTTTCGTAGAGTCAAGCCACTCTCGGTTTCTAAGTCTTTCACCCATTTCCATACAATCCAGCCTTTGTATGCCAAAAAATGTCTTTAAAACATAAAAGGTCAAGATATGAAAACGTGAAACGAGGTGTTCGAAATAACATAATGTAAATTCAAACAGTGGGTCATGTAATTCTCATCAAGATTCCGGTTACTGAGAATTGACTCCAGTTACTGAGAATTGACTCCAGTTCGATTTTGAATCATTTTTATTCCTATATATATCTGACTAATTCATTGATAACTGTGCAGTTTGAAAGCTGAAAACGACAGATAGTTTTCACCTCCATGTTAGGCGCCACCGCAGCCGGAAGCAACTTGATAAACATCTCTCTTCAAAGAAGGAATCCAAGATGCTGATTTCCAAGGCAAGACAGCATCTTCATACATTTCGTTAACCTCTTCCAAAGTCAAGCCCTTCGTCTCACATACAAAGAAAAACACGTAGACGAATGAGAAGACCAAACACCCCATGAACACATATCCGTAATAGAAATTGATCGCAGTAGTGATAAATGGTGTACAAAAACCAATTATGAAACCCCACACCCAATTGGAGCCCACAGCGATGGCCATTGCACGATTTTTTACGCGAAGTGGATACGACTCCGCGACAATAACGTAAGCAATTGGTGCCCACGTAGTGGCGAAGAAGAAGATGAACAAACAGGTGAATACAATCATGCAGTTACCGGCACTAACGGACGATGGCTGCTCTTTACCGTTCGGCCATAATTTCGTAACACCCACTGTAGCAAATACAACAAAGCAAACAGACATACACGCAGAGCCCCATAATAGACAATTACGTCTCCCATATTTTTCAACGGTGTACAAGCCAACAAACGTTGAGGCAAAATTCACCACGCCCAACACGATGGAAGTTTCGAAAGGATCTTCAAGTCCAACAGCTTTGAAAATTGTAGTCCCGTAATAGAAAAAGTAGTTATTTCCTGTTAATTGCTGGAGGGATTGGATCATGACACCCATCACCACTCGTTGAAGAATTTTCCCTTTGGATGAAAATAATTCGCCGAAAGTAGCATTGCCGGCCGCACGCTCGGCCTCAATTCCCGCGCTTATGAGTTCAATTTCAGCAGTAACACCAGGCTCTTCTTCGTTAAGCTTGTTCGATTTTGCGATGGAGCGTCTCGCCTCTTCCACCTTGCCTACCTCAACTAAGTAGCGAGGAGATTCTGGCACCATGACCATCCCAGAAACCATGAAAATAGCCCACAGGAAGCATAGTCCAAGCGGTAATCTCCACTGCACCGAATTCGTGTAGCTTTTAGTTCCATAGTTAGTGCAATAGCCAACGAAAATACCCAAAGTAATCATAAGCTGGTAAAAGGATACACAAGTGCCTCTCAAGTGCTTGGGGGAAGTTTCGGAAATCAACGCGGGGGAAAGGACAGCGATACCACCAACCCCCAGACCAGAGACAATTCTACCAATGAAATATTGAAACCATTTTCGCGAAGAGGAAATTTGAATTGCGATCCCTATTCCGTATACAATAATGACCGCCATGAGACCCTTGCGACGACCATACAAGTCGCCTAGTTTTCCAAGAGTCAAACCGCCAATGGCACACCCGATATTGAAAATAGCCACAATCAACCCTGTTCGTACATCAGAAAGGTAATATGTACCGGATGAAGGGTCATAGAAACCAAATCTTTGCTTGAAGTCTGTCATGTTGACAAACCCAGAAATTGTGCCCGTGTCCCAGCCGAAAACAAAACCACCAAATGCAACCATGAGACAGAGACACATCACCAAAATGTAGCTTGACAAAGGCTTCGAAGAAACCTCTTCCTCCAGTTGAGTATCTCTTTTCAAATCAAATCGGTCATCACTACTTTTCCCATTCAATGGTGTTGGCGCTAACGAAATATCTAGAGCATTGCTCCTTGTGAGCTCTAACGTATGAGAAGAACCGTTATTAAGTGGCGTTTCATTTGAAGACATGATGATTGAACCTTTTGGGCACCGCTTGAAGAAGGTGGCACTCAAAATTTCGACGAAGTACTGATTCCTCGCATCTCTTTATATTTCACGTCCCAGCGAAACTGATTTCGATTTCCATTTGAATTTTGGCGAAACCCACGAACGTGCGCGGGCTTACAATCCAAGAATGTTTCGAAGGATATCAGCCATAGTTAACATTTCACTTGCTTCCAGGGAAACTCGGCTGAAATTTCACCTGCAAAAATCAAGGTAGACTTGATGTCATTTTTTCTTCCTTTTCCTCGAAGTACCTTCTGGCGAAACTTTTAAGAAAAATGTCGTTGAAGCCTGTTGGACAAGGTAAAAAATATATCAAAACCAGCGAATCGATTGTTGACTTCGCAAGGCTTCTCTAAAGTTCTGTTAGGAGCATTTGCGATTTTAGAATTATTCTTTAACAACGACCGACATTGCGTCTCGCATTAAATTTTCAGTAAAGTCGTAGAAACCTTTCCTCGCAAAATATGAAAAATAAGAAATCGACAAATCAGAGGGCACACCCTTTATGGAAGCTATGCATATCCAAGCGATGGAATGCCTTAATAAAGGAATTTCTGTCCACAACAGGAAAATTTTTTTAACTAGAATCTAATGACCTTTAAACTGCGCCAGTGATCTCAAGGATTAAGTAGTATTGTGACAAATGCATAAAATGGAGAGGCTCGTAAAAGATTTAAAAAAGAGTCATTGCGTCATCATCCTAAAGGTTGAATCTATCAGATCTTTCAACTCTTTGTAGCTGATTATTATGCAATTTAGCTCGTCTGGAGTAGCGAGCATGAGACGTTCCGACACTCCAGCATCAAGCTTATTCAGACACCTTAGAACGTGTGTGAGATCCATTACAGGCTTGCCGGTTTCGTCAACCTGATGGAAGACATAGTCGTAGAAAAGCACTATTGGGAACTTGTCTCCCGATTCTGACCAGTTGATGTCGACACGAGACTCAGTCCGACCGAAGATGCAGCTCAATTTGCACATTAGCCTAAAAAGTCTGCCATTCTCTAACTCTCGAGAAAGAATGGATTCCGTGTACTCCGCATAGTTCTGGAAACTCGTCATAACAGGCAGAATTTTGTGCGAGATCAAGCCCATGAGTTCCTGGAGGGTTTTGAAGCTATTGTTTTCACAAAGATAATCAACGGCATTCTTGAATTGCTCATCTATAGCTGGGCCCTCAATCGGGCTATTTTTAACGCCCGTCATTTTTGACACGAGCTCTTTGAGCATAGATCCGAGGTCCCTGAAATCCTGTTGCTGCTCCTTGAAAAGGTCTCTGTCGCTTGAAGATAATAAAATATCTTTTGTCCCGCAATCGGCCACTTTAATCCGGCCCGGGCTTCCCGTGACAATAACCTTCTCAAGGCATATATTTTGGAGCGCCAGATTTTGGGAATGAACTTCTTGTATGGCGCTACACATCTGGACCAGATACGCCCAAAGCAGGTCTTGCGTTATCGGTGTTAGACTGAAGCTTACTTGATGAGTTTCTAGTAACGAGGGCGACTGTGGGTAGTAATCCTGGACCATGCAAAGGGAAGAATCGTTGAAAGCCCTGCTCACAAATGCATCGCGCAGCTTTACGACGTTCGAACACTCAACTTTTTCCCACGCCTGAAACGCCTTGGACAGCTGATGAGACTCTGCAATTTGAACATCATGTATTCTTCTCATAATGTACACTTTTCCATCAACGTTGCTGAAAACTTTGTAAAGCGAGTTTTGATGCCCACAGTACCGTTTATCGCTTGCAGGACGACTGTGAAACTCCAACGGGACAAGCCCAAAATAGTCACCGACAATGTCCGGCAGCATTCCGCTAGCTGGAAACACTTGAAGTGCAGCTTGATTTTTTTTCACCAGTTCTTCTCGCAAGTTATTCGGAATAAAGAGCATTTCCGGAGTTCGCTCGTTCGGTTTCAGAGACACTTGAAGATGAAGCGGAGGGTCGGGGGCATACAAATGGTATTGTAAAATTGAATGGCTCGGTGGGTAAATAGTGGGGAAGTTGGGATTGATTGCGGAGCTGCGATGATGATGCTCGAACGCGACGTCCGGAAAGCTCGAGCCTGAGACTGGTGCAGGCAACGAGACGTTGCCTACGTTGCCCATCACAGCGGGTGCAGAATAAGGGTTGAAAGCTCTTCCTGACGAAGACGTAGGAGGTGGAGTATCGGCTGGACTAGACGTAGCATTTCCAGGTGTAAAATTGGCAGCGTACGGATTAAACCCGCTGATAAATCCCGAACCTAACGATGCACTGGACATCTCGCTTCCCAATTTCTGCGTAGATTTTTCTTGCTTGATGATAGTTGGCTTCGACGAAGGTGTGAAGAAGGCCGCTGTTTTCGCATTATACTTGCTCCCTACATTCTGCACATTTTGTAAGTTCTGCTGACTAGGCTGCAAACCCACGGTGTTTTGCACATCCGACATCGAAGCACTCTGAGCACCCTGCCCCACTTGATTTGCACTCGGTTGAATTTGCGGTACCAAATCCTCGTTGTTCCCCGCTGTTACAGAATTTGCGTTTTTCGTGCCTGTTTTCGTACTCTTATGGTTGAAAATACACCCTTCGTTCTCGTACTTGCAGAACCCATAAATGGTTATATTCTTGCAAGGAATCTCTTTGGCCCAATCGGCATTAGCCTTATCCATTTTCCTAGAGCCCCCTCGCTTTAAGTCTGGTTTGTCCTCAATTGGCTATATATGTCAAGCCGTTTTTTCATCATCAGTTTCTTAGAGATCTTTAATAAACAAGGTTAACTAGTGATAAACCGAACATCCTGATACCAATAAGCAATGGTTACTGTTGTTCTAGTTACTGGAGTTTCCAGAGGCATTGGTAGTGCCATTGTAGATTTAATCTTTAAGTATGAGGCGGACGCCGTGGTGCTGGGGGTGGCACGCAGTGAATCGGCGTTGCAGGATCTGAAAACCCGATTTGGCAAGAAATTCGAGTATTTGGCGGCAGATGTCACGGATTCGCAGCGGACAAAACGGTTCGTTGAGGAGATGGTCGCGAAACATGGCAGTCTTGATGGAATTATTGCTAATGCTGGAGTTTTGGATCCGGTACAGGACGTCAATGGGTTGAACTCGGAAGATTGGAAACGTCTTTTCGACGTCAATTTTTTTAGCGTCGTGTCACTCGTCAGCACGACGATACCATTTTTGAAGAAATCGCACTTGGGCAACATTGTGTTTGTGAGTTCTGGCGCCAGCGTCAAACCATACGTATGTTTGGAACATTAGAACGAAGAGAATACAATTAGCGGTACTAACATCGATACCCCACAGTATGCCTGGGGAGCGTATGGATCGTCGAAAGCGGCTTTAAATCATTTTGCACAGACCATTAACGCAGAAGAACCGGCTGTCAATGTCATTTCCGTGGCTCCAGGTGTTGTAGATACGTCAATGCAGGACGATATTCGGAATACTTTCGGTCCAAGGTCCATGACTCCTGAAGCGCTAAAGAGATTTGCAGACTTGAAAGCACATGGGCAGTTGCTCAAGCCACAAGTACCTGCCGCGGTTTACGCGTTATTGGTGCTCAAGGGCATCCCACATCAGCTGAAGGGAAAATACGTTCGGTACAATGACGACGCTCTCAAGGACTACCAAATTTCGCCGTAATTGATGAAATATATGAAATATATGAAATTCCAATGAAGCTGGTCTAACATCGAACGATGTTGGCCGTTTTTCTTGTACAAGTTTCGTACTTGTTCGTTTTTCATGTCAAGCTGGATCTTGAGGGCCTCATATACTATACTATACATACTATGAAACTAAACATACGATAACTGAAAAATTCTTATATGCTTCCAATTCCACAGACTTATCTAAAGGACTTCTTAAGAGATTAGACCAGAATCATGTTGGCAAGATCATTTAAATGGAAGCAGTCTAGTGTTGTGAGGCTGAACGCTATGAAATGTCTTTCTCAATTTCCTCGTGCTCGAATGTATTCGAACAAATCGACTCCATCAGGATCGGAATCCAAACCTCCAAATCGAGGCAAAATCCTGATCCTTTTAGGTGCTCTTGCTGCTGGTTCAACGATTGCGTCGATGGTGTACCAGAAGGATGCACCTTCTGAATTTGTTGAGCCCCGAGAGATCTCAAAGGAAAAGAAACCGGCTTTTTCTGAGGACGAGGTATCGGTCATTTTTGTTCTTGGAGGACCAGGTGCTGGTAAAGGCACTCAATGTGCGAACTTGGTCAAAGACTATGGGTTTGCGCACCTTTCTGCCGGGGATCTGCTCCGTGCCGAGCAGAATCGGGAGGGCTCAGAGTTTGGTGCGCTCATCAAGCATTACATTAAAGAGGGACTCATCGTGCCTCAGGAAGTAACAATTGCTCTTTTGAAAAAGGCGATTCAACAGAATTATGAGAACGGTATCAGAAGATTCTTGGTGGATGGATTTCCACGCAAGATGGACCAAGCTCTCACTTTCGAAAAGGAAATTGTTCCAAGTAAATTTACGCTGTTCTTCGATTGTCCCGAGAAGGTTATGCTCAAACGACTTCTAGACCGTGGGAAGACCAGCGGAAGAGCAGATGACAATGCTGAGAGTATAAAGAAGAGATTTAGGACTTTTGTGAACACAAGCATGCCTGTTGTTGAATATTTTGAGCAACAAGACAAAGTCGTAAAAGTCAGCTGCGATCACAGCGTCGAACTGGTTTATGATCACGTCAAGAAAGCTATAGACGAACGGATTGTTAACTGATCAAAAAGCGGTTGTTAAAGCTACCATTTTCTAGTATAGGGAGAGAGAGACTGTAGAACCATGATAGATATTTCACGTGCAAAGAGAAGACGACTTAATTACTGTTTATATGTGAAGAGCGACTACGAACCGAAGAACTGGAAACTACCGAGGGTTACAAGACGTAGATGGACGATCAGCTACTCGTTGATTTTTTATTGCAGGACGATCTTTCAATTCCGGACTTTGAATCAGACTCCAAGTGGTTAAGCCCACAGATAACTTTTGGCTCTGGTAGATCTAAAAGAAGAAGATTTCGCAGTAAAAGCAAGAAAGGCCCTACCTTCGATCAGAACACCTTATGGGGGGAATCTATTGATGAGATCATTGAACTGATATGTCGATTGCCGTCTACATGGGAACCCTCCCGAAATGTTTCTGATGCTGTAACGATCGAATCGCAGGCGAAACCAAAGCGAGAGAAGAAGACCGAAAAGAAGAATAATGCGAAACCTGAAAGTGTTCCTGATATTTCTCTAATACAATGCGAGCAGTTGAACCTAGGAAGTAATAGGAAGCTGTCCAGAAAGGAACGCCAGAAGTTACGGAAGAAGGCGCTCAATCACAAGGAATCTAATATACAATACACGTCTGATGAAGAACAACAATTCCGAGCGAAAAGGCATTCATCTAGGAAATCTTCTCACAAGCAAGTTGTTTTGGAAAGCTATACCACTTTCCCAAAGCTTAATCGAAAACAACGCCTAAAGTCTACAAAAGGCCCAGAGACCATTACAAATTCAGCCCAGCAACAGGCGAATGGAAAAGAAGAGCATCCAAATCTCAAGAAAAAGGCAAAGAAAAGGAATAAAGAAAAGGCTAAGAAAAAGAATGAAACCCCTCAATTAGAGGCTCAGGCTTGAGATGATATTATAATAATTAAAAATGCATTCGAGAAAACCAAAAATTTGGCGTTCAATTCATTCCACATCCATCAAATCGGCTACTTCCTCATCTGAGGATTCCTGACCCTGCTTGAGTTTCTTCGCGATCTGGGAAGCTCTGAATTCACCCTCACGTTTTCTATTCAACAACCGAGCTCCCTTTTCCTGAATGTTCGAGCTAACCAGTAGTGGATGATCGTCATCCAAAAGCATTGTGACATTAATCTCAAGCGCTTGCTTAAGTAAATCTTGGGACGCTTGATTTGATGGGTTGATGGCCAAACTACAGTGGAGGGCATCAATGGCTTTCTCAATTTTATTCATTCGCAAATAAACAAACCCTAGAGCGCACAATGTGTCTGTGTCTCTTCCTGCAGTTTCTAATACCAATTTAAAGCACTTGACTGCACGCTCATTGTGCCCCAATTTTCTATAGGTATGGGCCAAATTTGTATGAATAGAAACCCATGACTTGGATTCAGAGCACAACGTCTTTATGGCCTCCCATGCTTTCTTCAAATATTTCTTGGCCTTGAGATAATCGCCTTTTTTAAAATACATCACCCCCATTTCATTCAGTAAGAGGGGATCATAGGGACATACCTCATATGCTAAGATGAAATACTCTTCCGCCAGCGGCAAAGAATCCATGAGAAGATATTGCATTCCAAGAAATAGATTCGGCAGGTGGGTGCCGGGAAAAAACCTGGACGCGGTCGCATAAGCAGAGACTGCTTGTTCATGCTCGCCTTCCACCGCATAAGTATGTGCAAATCCTATCCAAGCTTGTCCAAAACTGGGATCTATAATCGAGGCCTTTGAGAAATACTTGCGAGCTTCTGCCACTTTGTTTATTGTCATATAATAGGTTCCCACGCTAAACCACGTCACTGCACTTTTTGGGAAATGCTCTGCAAGCTTATGTGAGATGAGAAACAACTTGTTCTTCCCACCCTGCTCGTAAAGGCACGAGATATAAGTCGGCAAAATCGCCAGACTCAGCTCATCTCGCTCCAAAGCATATTCACATAACTTCATACAAGCGGAAAACTTGCATTGTGTAAAAAGCATGTCACATTTGCTGCGTATAACATCTATGTTATCGCCCAGCTTATACTCATCAATGAGAAAGGCGTGAGCCTTTTCGACTTCTTCAAGGTTGAGGAACTTGGATAGTCGCGAAATGTAGAGGTTTTTTATCAAATCTTCGTTGTCATCAAGCTCTGTAAAATCTAAGCTGGCCAAAAATTGCCACTCGTCGGCAGGAGTCAGCAAACTTTTGCTTATTAGCTCATCGAAGGCCTCAAAATTCTTAATGTCGACTTGAACCGCTTCTTTAAAAGCCTCTTTAGCCTTTTCGAAACTGTTCAAAGCACAGTAAATTTTACCTCGAAGAAAACACATGGAAGATACCAGTTTTATTCCACCATCCACGTTTTTTGGGTGGTCTCCGTTAGCGTCTTTGAAAGGATTAGTCTCTCCAACAGTATCGAGAGCTTCCTCATATTTTTTCAACTTGACTTGACATAGTGCCGTTAAATATCGACACATAACACTAGACGCATCTAAGTTATCATGAGACAGGAGTTCAACAGCTCTAATATACGCGCCCGTGTTGTAGTACACCTGGGCGAGCCAAAAAGCATCATTGGGGTCATGTGTCATACTGTAAACCTTATCGCCAATGTATTCGGCGGTGCGATAATGATGTTGCATGAGGGCATCGTGTCTCCAAAGCCGCAATTTCTCGGCTGCTGGTAATTCAGCTATCGACAACACGGCAGGTACTGAAGCCTGGTATGCATCGTTTTTGGCATCTTCGAAAGCCGTACTTCCCACCCTGGAGGAGCCAAAATCCCTAAACCCGCTCACTTTCCGCAGAGTGGAAGGAGCTCCTGCTCCCAAGAGCCCATTTTTTGTCATCGACGCCAAGAGACCCGCAGCCGATCCATTGTCAACATGAGGCGCCGGTGTCGCCAACGTCGCACTATTTTGGACTTTCTGAACCAGTGGACTGTAAGCTGCAGTATGATGTGGCGTTTGAGCCGTAGACTGCGCACTAGCGCCCGATGCTTGTCTTATTCCCAGTTGTTGACCATGGTGTTGTAAATTTTCGTGCGATTGGCCCGGAACATGTGGAGAAAAGTTCAAAATGGGATTCTGTTGAGCCGGTGTATTACCATGAGACATTGAGTTTTCACGAAGTAAAGAACGCTTCTCAAAGAGCGTTCGATGCCTGCTAAGACCTCCATCAACATCCTCGTCTTATAGGCGGTTTCAACTGGTAATCACAAACAGCACGGGCAACGAATTCGTACATTATGCTGGTCAAAAGTCCTTCCCAATTGTTTTAGACGGATACTCATAATTTACTCATCGCTTCGTTATACGTTTCTACGAATCGGTCAAAGGGTCGATGATCGAAATCGCGATGGAATTTTGAAAGATTAGTGAGTCAACTGGTAATGCCTTCCAAGTCATCCACTCGAAGAGTATAAAAGACCAGACTTCTATACTGGTATCTAATTTATAGCACTCCGTTCGTTATACCACAAGTTCTTTAGAAAGCTCTCTTTATCGTATAAGATCTTTCATTTCAAACAAGTTCGAACTAGAAGTTTCGAAGTATCTGTCGCTATCATGAGTCCCACTATTTTACATTTGAGAGCGGAAACCAAGTCTCAAGAGGCGCGTGCTGCTTTGGCACCAAGTACCGTGAGACAACTGATTAAAAAAGGATTTAAAATTTATGTGGAAGAAAGCCCACAATCGACGTTCAAAATCCAGGAGTATAGGGATGCGGGTGCCCAAATAGTACCTTTTGGATCCTGGGTTAACGCGCCAAAGGACAGGATTATCATTGGGCTCAAGGAAATGCCAGAAGAGGACAAATTCCCGCTGGTTCACGAGCACATTCAGTTTGCCCACTGCTATAAGAACCAAGGTGGTTGGCAGGACGTTTTGGGCCGTTTCAAGAAGGGTAAGGGAATTCTATACGACCTAGAGTTTTTGGAAAATGACCAGGGCAGAAGAGTTGCTGCGTTCGGTTTTTACGCTGGATTTGCAGGCGCAGCACTTGGATTGCGGGATTGGGCTTTCAAGCAAACGCATTCTGACCGCGAAGATTTGCCCGCGGTAACTCCTGCTCCCAACGAAAGAGTGCTGGTTAATGATGTTGCGGCAGACTACCAGGATGCTTTAAAAAAAGGTGCCAAGAAACCCACTGTTCTTATAATTGGAGCCTTGGGAAGATGTGGTTCTGGAGCTATTGACTTGTTGAAAAAGGTCGGTATTCCTGACGCAAACATCATCAAATGGGATATGAAAGAAACTGCTAGAGGTGGTCCCTTCGGGGAAATTGCTGAGGCAGACATTTTCATAAACTGCATTTATTTGTCGAAGCCAATCGCTCCATTCATCAACTACGAACTCCTCAACAAACCAGGCAGACGACTAAGAACAATTGTGGACGTGTCTGCTGATACTACCAACCCTCACAACCCCGTTCCAGTCTACACCATTGCCACAACTTTTAAAGAACCAACAGTGCTGGTACCAACGACGACAGGGCCGAAACTATCTGTTATATCCATCGACCATCTACCGTCGCTTTTGCCAAGAGAGTCCTCTGAATTCTTTGCGCGCGACCTTCTACCTTCGCTAGAGCTTTTACCTCTGAGGAATAGGGCTCCTGTTTGGGTTAGAGCAAAACAGCTCTTTGACAAGCACTCTGCTCGCTTAGACAGACAAGCTAAGTTGTAATAGACTGCGGGATAGTCGCTCAAATTATCATTATGTACTCTATATAAACCCCTTACTCTAATTGGACTTCAACTTTTCGTGAATGCTTTGCCTTCTTCTTCCTACCGGCTTTCCCAAGAAGAATCTCCTTCAAGGCAGCAGGATCTTCTTCAGCTTCGCTCTGTTCACCTATCTCTGCAGTTTCTGAGTCTCTTTTCCGCATGCTGTCATATTTTTCGATGCTTTCTTCGCAAATCGCGACACAGTTTAACCTCTCGCCACAGTCATACACAGCAACTTGGTCCTTTGTTTTCACATCCCACACAACAACCTTCCCGTCGGAACCAATCGTGACCAAATATTGACCAAAGCTATTCTTATGAAATCTAAAGTCCTTGACTCTATTGCCATGCCCATGAAGCTTGAATTCAGGCTTGAACTCAGGCTCATCATCTTGCACCTCCGCGTATAAAGGTTCCATTGGGAAAAAGCATACCGACCCATCGCTCAAACCAATACACAGGTATTCTTTGTCATCGAGCTTTTCGACTTCAATGTGCATGATGGTTAGCTTGCCCATATTCAGTTCGCGTGAAACCTTTGCCGTCGATGTCTTGTACAGCAAGATACGATTCAGCAAAGCGACAACGAAAAATTCGCCACTTTGACCGCACCACCTCACATGCTGGCCGTTCTGATTGTAGTTTTTCAGTTTCAAAACTCCAGCCTTTTTCACTGTCATGAGATTCCAAAGTCTGATTGCATGGTCATTGCCTACACTAATAGCGATTCTATTTGATGGATGGATGTCAAAATCGTTAATTCTAGCAGTGTGTCCCTTGAGTAATCCAAAGTTTTCCCAATCTTTAGTTCTCCAGATGACTATATTATTATCTTCTGACGCCGAAAGAAGCCATTTGTCCCCACTTTTCTTCGTCTTTGGCCGATCCACATCCTGTTCCGCATCACCGATGGTAGTCTCACTTTTAGAGAATCTTAAAGCTGTGATAGATCCTTGGTGCGCAAGTAGAGTCCCAAGCTCCTTTCTCTTCTGCAGGTCATAAATTCTAATGTGTTCGTCGTTAGATCCAGATACAAGGTACCGTTTCGAAACGTCAAGACATTTCACACTAAGAGAGTGCGCTTGAAAATGGAAAATGGGAGTGAAAGCGGGGGTATTTAACGATAGATCTAGCGATAAGCACAGCAGATTGTGCTCGTAAGACCCAACGATAACACGGAATTGATTTCTACTCATACTCTTTATCACACTAATGTCATGGTCTATTGAAGCTCATCGCATCGAAAATTTTGTTTTTCAAATTGGAAAAATTGAAAATTAAGACAGCGACGTCTGTCACCAGGACTTGGAAAACTTAAACTGACATTCGATAATAAAGATACAAGAAAAATGATTTGATGATGACTGGACCTTAGTCATTCATCTAAAGACTAATCTTCAAGAGATATTTTCTCCAAATTTCTTTAAACTTCGTAACGACATTTAATCTCATAACAGAACTTGATTTTATAGCTGATACACATGGATTTGTCAAGAGTTCGGTGATCATTTGCGGACATGATGGTTGTGAGCAATTGCGGAACCGGACGAATCTCTGTTATTCGTTAATTCTAAGGAAAACCGCATCATTTTCAGAGCTAGCAACCTCAGGTCCCTCTTATTAATTCATCAGGTCCAAGATCTTCATTGAAAATCAATTGCAACGTTGTTAGATATAAAGTCGCGGTAGGAGCAATATTAAGGTTTGGATGTGGTGCAGCGATATGAAATCTATGAGTAGGAGTAATTTGAGCAACCAAGGCTTACGTATTTAATAGCCATTTACAAGTATTTCTGTTGTTGCATTTGACATGAATGAACTTTGCTCATTCTCGATATAAGTAAGAGTTGAGATAGCACATTACCAGCATCGTAGCCAACAGTCTCAAATTACGCAGCGCTTCTCTTCGTAACGAGACCTCAACAGTCAATAATGCAAGAACTTGATACAATCTAATCTAAATATTTAGCAAACTACCCACATTATTCAACTCCAAGAAAAGCTTTTTTAATCTTTTTACGAACTTATTGCTTGACTTCTCATAGCTATCCCCAAAGACTCTTGAAATGCAATTTTGACCCTTTCGTTGCCGAGCATCAGCTTGGCAATGCCAGTTCTTAAATAGTCGGAAATGACTTGAGATAAATGATGTATCGAGTTACCGTCCTGTCCAAACTCGAAAATCATGAACGAGGTAAGAAGAACAATGGCCACTGGAAGCCAGAAGAACAAAAGCATTTTATCGTTTTGGAATTTTTGCCGCTGTTGGAAAAACCCATTAATGCGTGCTTGCAATGCTTCTTCTTCGTCTTCAGAGGAGGTTTGTGATTCTTCATTCAGTGAAGACGCCGGGCGGCGAGGGTCCAAAGAGTTTACGGAATTGATGATGTTCAAACCTTTTTCTTTTTCATTTGTGGGAAACAAATCCTCATATTTGGGCAGCTCATCATTGATGGCATTCAAAACTCTATTCCATAGCGATGTTTCATCTTGTCCGGTTGAACTACCTTCTAATGGGATATTTGGTCTCAAAGCATTTGGATGGGAGGCACGACGAGGCGTCACATTGAAAACTTCGTCGTCACCAAGTAAACCCTCGTCGCCATCCTCCTCATATTCCTCAAAGCCTTCGCTCTCGTCGTCGGAAAGTGGATTCTCGATCATCCTTGAAATGTGCACCTGAACGTTGTCATTGAGAGAATTGAGAGACTCAGTATCAAAGACGCTAGATTGAAAGCTACTGTCAGATAACTTCCTGCCCATAGAAAATGACAGATCATCGTCTGATCCGGCAGCCTCAAGAAGCTCCAGTACCTCATTCAAGAAGTCCTCATAACGTTCGTCGTCTGTGTCGTGATTAACAACGAACAAGTCCCTCGGTGTAATTCCGTTTGATGCCTCGGAATGCACATTAGCCTTGCAGCAGACCAGCAGGCGTATGATACGAGCGTCGCCGTTCAGACAAGCAAAGTGAAGTGGAGTTAGCCCGAACGAATCCTTAGCATTGACCCTCGCACCCGCCCTAATGAGAGAACTAGCTAACTGGAAATATCCTTTCAAGCACGATAAATGTAGCATTGTTTGTCCTTCCTCATCACACATTGATAGGTTTGAGCTCGAGTTAAGTAACTTTATGACTCTCAAAAGAAGCATTTCATCTGATAGTGGCATCTGATTAGAGTATTGGTTGTAATCATTTTGATTTGCTGAAGAAGGCGTAGAATCATTAGAAGAGCCCCCATCATTGCCGACTATACGCTTTGCAATGTTTCTCGCATCTTCCAGTTTCCCGTTCATTTTGAGACCAACAATCTGCAACGCCAACTCGATTAGTTGACGATCGGTATCGTCAACGTAAGTGAAGATGGCTTTGCTGTTGCTGGAGCTTGTCAAAGGATCTGGATGGCCCTCGGTATTATTCAGAATTGTGACTAGAACCTGTCCAGAAGTCGAAGAAGGTGGTAGATATGTGACCAAAGTAGTATCAGACCAGCATTGAGTTGACAATGCTTGATTTTCGCCAAATTTGACGATCATTCCAGGCTTGAAATTAGAGCCCAGTAGCGTGATTTCAATGCCGCCCTTGACAGGACCCTGCCCCGGAATCACGCGGTGAATGAATGGCACGGAGCTTTGTGACGATCCTGTAAACTCGGAAATTTCTTGCAGCATGCTCGACGTAGCAGTCATGATGTGAGAGCTGGGCTGCTGGGAATGTGTGGTAGACGCGTTCATTTGTTGCAAAGAAACATTGGAAGAAGAGTTCGAAAAAGGGGGATGCGATATGGACAGAGATTTGCTGCCGTGGTCCGAGAATGTCTTGGAAAAGGAGGGCTCATCGGCCGCAACCCGCTTCCGCTTGAAACCAGAGTTGCGGGGCTCAGCCGCCGACGAAGACATAGACTGAGCACGATCCTGGTTATAAGCATCTGTCGCGTGCGCTTCTGAACTGTCGCCACCCATAGAAGTAGGCGAAAGCATCGGCTCGTTTTTCACGCTCAAAGACATCCATTCTTTTGTAACAGGAGCCTCTAGATTGCTCAAATCACTTGTAGACGTAACATGCGGAACATCACTGCGTTCACTCTTAAATCCATCGGTGGTGTTTGTAGATTCGACGGCAGAGTCATGTGCAAGCGATGACGAACAGGTGCTGGTATTTTCTTTGGTTGACTTCTTGTCCATAATCATGATCGGCGTTGTGATATCTTTAGCCAGGATATTGTTTTTGGAATCCATCAACACAAACAGAAGTCTGAATCCTTCTGGCTCCTTGTGATGTCTACAATAGCATACGATTCTTGCTAGCAGTTCAAAACTTTTCGACGCAGACGAACAATTGTTGCCGTTCAAAGCAAACACCTGTTTACTGTTGAAAACGACGCCTCTTCTGTTTTCGTTGTTGCACCACAACAGGTTATCGCAAAGACCCGATTTTCTCCGCGACGCACGGCGCTCCTCGCGCTTGACGCACCGGCTGCACACATAAGTTGGCTTGCCGTTTGACGCACAAACCAAGAACGCCTCCAAGTACAACATTTGATCCTGGATATCACGAGGATAGTTCGTGATGTCGTCCTTCAAGTAAAATTTCTGCTTGGAAATACAGTCTGTAGGCAGATGCACGATATATTCTTTAGGCGGCGGAGAAATTGTGAATTGTAGACGGATTTGCGTCTCGACACGCGACGCAGCTGGCATGCCCGAAACTTTCATTTTCATGGGGAGCGCGTCACCGTCGATGTTCAGATATGCGCTGGAGTTGACATACGCGGACTGGATTGCTTTGGAGCGCCCAAACGCCAAAACCTGGTTCACAACGCGTTCGCTCTCCTTGAGCTGATGTGCCTCCTCTGCAGACACGTTAAGCCCACTGACGGGCGAAACAGACTCTATACGGCTGGGACCAGCGTAGTAGGCATTCTCGACTCCTGGCGACGTAAAACGTCGTCCGTTTTGAGGTTGCAGAAGTTCCGTCTTGATGAACGCGCTGAAAATATCCTCGTCCACCGCGCTACGAGCATTGAACGCGTTACCGGCGTTCCCCACGTCCCCACGTCTTTCGGTCCCATCACCATAACCCGCGAACAAAAAATCCTCCAGCAGGTCTGTCTCAGTCAGTGCTGTATCGTGTTCCATCGCCGCAAACTTCACCATCTATTAGTTTTCCAACAACCGATAAAACTTTAAAAACCGCGAACAAGAAGCTCTCAAAAGAAAAACGGCCTGTTCTTTGTTGATTCCTGCCGTCCCAATGGTCCAGCTATATATTCGCCCGAACCAATCTTGTTGCCCCCTAATGCAGCCTTGCCGTTGTGCGGTTCGTTGCCCGAAGAACTAGCCACCTACTAGAAGTTGAGGGGGTCAAAATTTTCAAAATGATTAATCTGAGACAAGATCACGTGATAATTTCACAATATACGAAATATTAATATCACATATTACGGTAAAATCACGTGAATAACCTCTTTCTGTTTCATCACATGGGATATACTGTAGAGATCAGACGATGAGAAGATGAAGAAGAGTCTTCGTAAAATTGATCGCTTGATCGCAGCTTTCGGAGGTGCAAGAGCTGATAAAGGTAATTTATTGGGCTTTCACTTACGGTGAGTACGCGGGAGCTTTTTTTTCAGAGAAATTGGGTGTAAATTGATCGAAAATGGTGGAATGGAAGTTCGATTACAGTGACTTGGATAAGATTACGGAAAACAAGCCGGAGACGGGACCAGGAGTGAGCGAAAAGGGCGAGCTGTGCGGAATAATGTACGATGATGAATACAAGGAGATAATGCGGGTGTTTAGAGGCGTTCTGAGCCTGAAGGAAAAATCCGAGCGTGCGCTGTACGCGACCGAGGTCGCGATCCTGGCCGTGCCAGCGTTTTACACCGCCTGGAATTATCGTTTTGATATCGTAAAAGCGCTATACGGGGACAGCGGAGATCAATTGGACAGAGAACTCGACTGGCTTGACGAATTCACACTCGCGAACCCCAAAAACTACCAGATATGGTCTTACCGGCAGGCTGTGCTGAAAGTGCATCCAAAGCCTATCTTCCGACGCGAATTGCCCATTCTGGCTGCGATGCTCGACGAAGACTCGAAAAACTACCATGTATGGTCCTATCGGCGGTGGTGCGTTCAGTTTTTCGGCGTGCTTGACGAAGAGCTGACGTTCGCCGACGCTCTCATCGTACGCGATGTTTTCAACAACAGTGCGTGGTGTCACCGCATGTTCGTTATGAAGGAGCTCGAAGTAGATTTGGCACAACGGGCGGCCAGCGCCGAGATCGAATACGCCAAGGCAAAGATTTTGATTGCTCCTCAAAACATCAGTCCCTGGAACTACCTCCGTGGAATCTACAATGGGATTCTCGGGAGCCAGTTCGATGCAGAAATCGTGACATTTGCTCTTGCGTTTGCGGGCGATGTATTTGACGCCCACGGAGATGCCAGCCCAACCGCGAACGCTCAATCGTCGTTTGCACTCGAGTTCTTGGCTGCTATCTATTCGCAGAACGAAGAAACTGCTCCCAAGGCAATAGCGGCTTACAACGCCTTGAGCAGCAAATACGATCCAATCCGGAAAAGCCTCTGGGATCACAAGATTGCGCGATTGCGGACATGATGATGGTGTCGAAACCAAAGGTACCGCAGAAGTCTAATTTGCTAACTCTGGTTTTGGAAATCGTGGTCAACTGTCTTTCAACATTGCCGCAATTACTTCTCGCAAAAATTTGACGCAAATCTAGTAACCTGGCCCTGTGATTTTCGTCACAACCTGATGAAAACTCGATGAAAGGAACACCAGCATCGCCGATTCCTAGTAAAGCGCAGGGCACAGGAATTTCCACTGAACAAATGGCTATATAAGAAGAAAGGACTTTAATTTAAAGGACTAGCATCTTAAGCAAAATACGAGCTCTTTCTGTTGTTGATCTTAGAGAGGTTTTCTAACTTTTTGTCTCGACTGTTTTGATTGTAATAATTAAAATTTTCATGCGATGCTCATCGCTCTATTCTTACAAGGTCATCGGCGAACACCATGGCAGACTTTGATAGAGTCCTAGGCAATATTTACGTGGGATCCCTGCAACCTATAATAGATCATTACCCTTTAAGCGCCCAACTGAATGTTACACATATTTTATCAGCCATAAAGTTCCAAAAGATTCCGGAATACCTGGTAAGAAAGAGCTACACTCTCAAAAATATTCCTGTGGACGATGATGATACAACCGACATTCTGCAATACATTGACGAATGTAACAGATTCATCGACTTGTGTCTGTTTCCGGACGAAGTAGAACTGGATCCCCGAAAAGTGGATTTCAGGAAGAAGCCTCAGAGAGGAACAATCTACATCCATTGTCACGCCGGAGTTTCTAGATCGGCCGCATTTGCAGTAGCGTACCTGATGTACAGATATAGCCTGAACCTTAAGTCCGCTCTGTATGCGTTGAAAAGAAGACGTCCCGCTGCTCAGCCAAATGATAACTTCATGGAGCAGTTGAAGATGTATGAGAATATGGGTGGACGCTTCGTTGACTTCGACGATCAGGCCTATAAAGTTTGGAAACTGACGAACTCTATAAAGCTAGGCGAAGGCGCTCAGCGGCTTTTAGCTAGCAGCGAAACGTTTGAGCAGGATGATAAAAAAAGACTGGAAAAACTGAATGCCGATGATTTGGATCGGGTCTCAGTCATTCGATGCAAGAAATGTCGGCAAAAGCTCGCGCTTTCAACGTCTTTCATTGCGCACGAACCCCCAAGCAAAGAATCGTCTGAGGGTCATTTCATCAGGAGAGCGGCGGGATCTCACAGAATCATCGATATAAAAAGATCTCAAGACGTGTGCTCGCACTACTTTGTCGAGCCACTCAATTGGATGAAAGAGGAATTGCAGAAGGAGCTGGAGCTGGAGGGCAAATTTATGTGCCCGAACTGTGCATGCAAGGTTGGGGGTTACAATTGGAAAGGCTCGCGTTGTAGTTGCGGTAAATGGATGGTACCAGCCATACATTTACAAAGTGCTAAAGTGGACAAAGTCAAGTTCAATGCCGACGTGCTTCCCAATATGATATCTTTCGATAGAACCTAGATAGCGAAAATAGACTTGAAGATCTTGAAGCTTTGAAGCCATGCCGGAGAGTTGTCTCATTTGGACCTTCGATACTCGTTATCGCTCAAAGAGGAAGGCTCAGCGGGGGAATGGCCGAAACCAGGTTCAAAATCCTCTTCGTTTTCGTCATCTATTTCATTTTGTTCGCTACCGAGATTTTCCTGGTTGTAAGCGGGTTGCGCTATTGTTTCAATGGACAATATATCACTTAACCCCTCGAGACGCGGAATTTCGTTCAGCTGCCCAACAGAAAGTCCGCTTCTCGCCCGAAGTGCGTCGCTTGCCGAAATGTGCTGCTCATCCACTTCTATATCTTCGTGATCCTCGTCATAGTCGTAAGAATCTATCCCACTGTCGGCATCAGGAATGTCTTGGTCCAAATCGACGTCAACATGCACGGGAAGGCTGTCGATGACGATGTTTGAGATCTCGTTTTGATGTGGAGGCAACATTTCTTGCTGTAGCTCATCCTCCGCCAAGTTTCGCTCCGAATTCGTTTCGTCTTGTGGTGCATTTTCCACAGCTGCTCCTTCCATCATTTCTTCGAGCTCTTTAGCCGTTTTGTAAACGCCCAGGGGTCGAATGGTGTCTTTGCCCAATGTTCGGTATCGATATAAGTTCTGCATGCGAAGTTCACGTCTGATTTCGGATTCGTTCACTATAAGCTCTCCGGTCTCGGAATGACAAACAAACGCAGATTCCCGGTACGCACTATACGCGGCCAGCGGTAGAGACACCCTCTTTTTGACAACGCTTCTTTCGCTTTTCCTTCTCTTTTGGACCTCATTCCACGGCCGTTTGTTCTTGTTACCGGTCTCCTCTCTCCATTCTTTGAATAGTGGCAATTCTCTCAATTCATCCTCCGCATGTCTACCCGTCACAACTTCCAGCGCTAAACAGAGCGTATGGGACATTCCAATTGGCATCGTTGACCGTTCTATCTTGTAGTTGATCACCGTCCTTTAATTTCACCTTCTCGTTAAAAGTCAGATACAGAACCTTTGGGCATCACTATATTAAGGAATATATAACAGGCGTTAAACGGCCAAAACAGAAGAATCCGACCACCTGATCTTGTTCAATTGTGTTCAGTTCATAGCATTAGAAGAGGGCCTCTTTGAAGTGGTAGATCTGTTGTTGTTCGGCTGGGTTGACCTTGGAGTCCTTCCTAACTCCTCTACCCTTTTATATATTCCGTTCATAAATCCATCGATGGGAGTTTCTTTCCTAAAATAAGCGCTGCGTCCCGCCATGCCTATGAGTTTATCAAATAGATACTCGCCCCAGTCTAAATAGCGCCTGACATATTTCTTGAGGTCTGAGGTCTCATAAGCCAAGACATATCCAGTGTTTCGGCGAAGTCCGGCAAGTATCACCGAAATCAGCGCCAAATCGAAACTCAGATGCGCAAGTTGTTTGATCTATTACGTATGGGATTAGTTGCTATTCGAATAGCCTCTGCATGCTTGTCTTACTTACCGAGGTCATCGTTGGTTATGGATTGTTGTCCCTAGCCAGGTAAATTGAAAAATTTCAAAAAGCTCTAATCGTGCTAGAAACAAACAAACTTAAAGGTGAGACTGGTAAGGATTGGTAGGCTGAGAGGCGTCAAGGGTCTCAGATTTTGTGAAAAATGACCATCGAGATCAATAGGGAAACCTTGATCAGTTTCAAAGCTGTCAAGAGCTTCAAAATGGGGGAAAACGAGGTAGCTCCCGTGACTTCTCTTAATTTCGATGACCACGGCCAATACGCATTGACAGCGGCTGCTAACGACAATATACATCTGTACGATGCTGTGGGATGTCGATTTCTGAACACGATTGGTTCTAAGAAGTATGGATGTCATTCAGCCAAGTTCACGCATTCTCAGGCTGAGTGCATATATTCATCAACTATGAAGAGCTTTGATATAAGGCATCTGAACCTAGAAACAAATCAGTACCTAAAATACTTCACGGGTCACGGGGCCCTCGTGAGCAATCTCGAGATGAGTCCTCTCGACGACACTTTCCTGTCGGCTTCCTACGACGAATCCGTACGGTTGTGGGATCTTAGAACATCGAAAGCACAGGCAATAATACCAAGTTTGGTGCCCAGCTGCATTGCATACGATCCTAGCGGACTAGTCTTTGCGCTGGGAAACCCCGAAAACGGTGAGATCGGACTATACAACGTAAGACAATTGAAAGCCGGTCCATTTCTCGTCATCAAGGTCGCTCCCGGATTTCACCAGTGGACGAAAATGGAGTTTTCAAACGATGGCAAATATCTATTGCTAGCATCATCGGCGGGCAAACAAGTGATTTTAGATGCATTCGACGGTTCACAGCTGTTTGAACTCACTGGCACAAAACCTTTCCCTTTGAGAGAATTCATGGATGCCGGATCTGCCTGTTTCACTCCAGACGGCAGATTCACGTTAGGAACTGATTATGCTGGAAGAATAGCTCTGTGGAACCATTCAGACTCTATTAGCGGCAGAAACTTAAAACCTACTGGCTCCATTCAAGCCGTGCCCGGTAGCTGCCCACGGACGATAGCATTCAATCCAAAATATTCTATGTTTATAACTGCGGATGAAAACGTAGACTTCTATGTATTTGATGACGCGAAGTAAATTGCATATGAAAATCACACCAATACTCTTTCATTCTAGAATCTCGCTGAGATCAGGATATCTGATTTCACTATTTTCCTCAGACCAGTTCACCCAGTCCTTTAGATATTTGATTCTGCTCCTTTCCAGCGTTTCCATATTACCGATTACACATAGCTGCTTTTTAGGACGGGTCATTGCGACATTAAGACGACGCTCATCTGAAAGAAATCCCACTTCGAATTTGTCATTACTTCTCACCAAGGAAAGTATAATCACTTCCTTCTCTCGGCCTTGAAACCCGTCGATAGATGACACTTCAATTAGCGGATACTTAGAATGAATCATCTTTTTTAGAAGAGAAACCTGCGCGTTGTAAGGTGAAATAATCCCGATATCGGTCTGTTTTACATTACTTCCTATCAATTGGTTAACGTGAAACAGCCCGAGCTGCGCTTCGTTTTCATTGAATTTGGAAGATGAGCCCTCGTCCTCTTCCTCTTTTCTTTCGTAATAATCATCTCCCTGAGTATCATACCAAATTAAAGGAACAGTTGTGTTGTCATCAGCATCAACTCCCGGTAGGTCAATGAGCATCCAATTAGCAACGCTGTCCGCGGCCCTAAGATGACCTCCATACATCTCCTTCGAAGAAAATTCCATAATATTACTATTCATTCGATATTGTATGTTGAGAAAGCACTTAAACTTGCTTCCATAATGATCCACCAATCTGTCAAAAAGTGTAGTGCTCAAAACCTGCCGTGTCGCAGGGTCGTCTTCGGTTTTGATTGTCGGCGGTAATTGTTTGTCATCACCAGCTAGAACCAATTTTGTTATGTTCGACTGGCAGTGCGAAATAAGAGGAATCCAACACTGTGGCTCGAGACTTTGTGAGATCTCGTCAATTATCACGGCGTCAAACAAATGGTCTGTATACCCGTAGCAGGCAATTAGCTCTCTGCCACTCGAACCGTGAAGAGTTGAAACCACAACGCGCGAGCTTATGATAAGGTCTGCAATGACCTTCCGCTCTCGCTGTCGAAGCTCTTTCCGTAGTCGTCTAACTTCTTTCCAGCTCTCTTTCCTGTCTTTGAAAGATTTGAGTGTTTTGATCCCAGCAATCGTCTCGTCGATTTCTTTCCTGATATCCTTTACAATAGCACCTGAGTCTCCACTCCTTGACAGAATTTCTAGTGAATGCGATAGATTGATCTCTAGAAGACGGGCGGGATGGCCCAGACGTAACAATAGGTTCCCCGGTAGAACTTTGGCTAGCCTTTCTAATATTGTATCGACTGCAACATTAGATGGAGCACAAACGAGTACACGCTCACCCTTTTCAACCAGTTGTTGAACGAGTTCAACTAGTGTATGAGTTTTTCCAGTCCCCGGGGGGCCATGGATGATACAAATGTCATTGCTCAATGCAAAGGATATAGCATTCTTTTGAGAATCGTTCAGTCCTGCATTGTGAAACGAGCAGTTCGCGAGCGGCTGTGCCAAAAACTCTCTCGAACCTAGCAGGTATTGCATGACATTGTTGCTCGGGGTTTTCTCGAATTCCGCAAGTTTGCGCATTGTCGACTCCATCCGTTGGTAAGTTATAGCATTTGTAGTTTTTAAAAGGTGAAGTCGTGAATACGAGTATAATTGGATCACTTCCTGCTCTTTAGACTCGTCAACTGCCACTGTAATTAATTTTTCGGTGCACTTTGTCACTACTCCATCGCATGAACTTGTTACCGAACTTTTCTTACTGGAAGAAGGCAGTACAAGCACGACGTCGCCTACCTTGATATCGCCTTTGATAACCTCTTTCTCAATGGATGCATCAGGTCCAAATTCAAGTATTACTTTTCCTGCCAATCCTGTTCTGACGTTTTCAAGCGTCAGGTTATTAATCGCTAATCCTCTAGCCACCAGTTTCTGCAATGGAAGAGAGCGCAACAGTCGCGCGGTGATCTCGGTATCTTGAGACTGTTCATGAGCTATGGAGGCTAGAAACCTGTTCGCGATAGCCTTGTTCGCTTCCATCGGGGGAAGAGCTGACCAAGTATGGTCACCATCTTGCAAAATCAATTATTTCTTATGACAGTGATATATATTCCAACAGTCCGACACGCTTCTTACAAAAGCGGCCAGAGAGAAGCTATCCTCGCCATAAAGTAGACCAGCGTTTCTGGTGAATTCTAAGATACGGAATGTATAATTTTAACAGAGTGGATCGTTTCTACATAAGATAAAACCGCTGCAATGGGACGAGTCTAAAACTGCGCACGAATCGTTGAGAACAACTGTAATCACATAACGGTCAAGTCACCAAATTTCTCCTTGTAACCAGGCACTTCCCACTTACCCTTCTTGACCATTTCCTCAACCTTGGCGTCGATGTCGGGTCTGGCCTTGGACAGATCGTCGACGGTTAATTCGTCGAAAGGACGGGCGGATTCGATGTTTTGCAAAGTCGCCTGCAGATCCTTAAGCTCCTGTGCAACGACGGTCTCCGTTTCCTTGGCGTTTTCTAGCGCTTGGGACTCGAAAGCCTCGATCGTGGAAAGTTGCTTAGACACATCGACCGTGACGGGCTTGTAAGACTTGAAGTGGGTTTCGATTTGGTTCACAACGTCCGAGTTTTTCAAGACGGAGCGGTAATGAGCGAAGTCGACCTCTGTAGATTGCGACTGTAGCTCAAATAGCTTTCTGCGCACTTCGTCGTTTCTCTTCTTGAAGGAGGTCAATTGTGTGGCAGTCTTGCCAGTGAGCTTAAGAGAAGAGATGACCTTGGCCCAGTCTAATTTGTTGGCGGCTGATTTTGCTAGAGACATTGTAAGAGTAACTGCGGCGAAACCTAGAGTGTGTAGTTGTCAACACAGAAAGCTGCTCGGTATCAAGTTCGGCAGACGATTTTGGTTTTCCATCTTTGCCATATCCCTGTACACGCTTCGTGAGGAAACATGAAAAATTTGAAAATGCTCACAACGTATCTAGCGATAGCGCTCTGCTAGCGGCGAGCCGCTAGCAGAGCGGTCCAGACCACGTGCTCGCTCTGGAACTGGCCAATCAAAAGCGTGTAAAAATTTGAGCCGCTGTATTTTGCCGTTAAAAAAGATATGAGAGGAGTTACACACGTGACCGAAATACTTACGTTATAAGTGACCTAACATTATAAGAAATTACAATTTGTGATCGCCACAAAGTCATAGCGTACGGATTCGACGAGGAAATAGCGACATAGCTATTCACGGTGTGAGCATGGAACCAAGTTCATCCAGCTCGGCGGCAAGATACAAACGAAAACAGGAAAATAACGCAAGTCGATCGACATATACCAAACAGTGGACTCAACGCCGGTCAAAGCCTTCTGTACTGTGGTGCGAAGAAATAAAGAAGTTTTAGCTTGACTCATGTGACCCTATGTGATTGAGCAGCTATGTGATTTGAGAGACCACTGTGATCGGAGACATCGAGTAGGGGACTTGGCCAGATGTGCCATTCTATAGGTTTTTATGAACTATATTTATGTACTGCTACTAGAAAACGCTGCTTCGTCTTGGCCGTGGAGATACCTAGCAATAGCTTTAGGAAGCGACCCCGAGATTTCTCGAGAGAATGTTGACAAAAGCAAGCTTTCGAGGGGTTTATATTGGGGTATTTGGGCATGACCTCTCCAATCAACAGAACAACACAAAAACGGTTGCAAAAATTTTTGTATATAAAGGAGAGTTTTTAAGTCGATGGAACTAAAGAGAGTTGTGTTTCCGATGTCAGCTATTTAGCCTCAGCGTCAAATATGGATAGAAAGATGGGACGCCATTAAGGCAAAGATCGTGTCAAGTTCAGAGAGGATGCAAAATTCTACATAGTTAAATAGAAGTCCTTGCTGCCTACGAGTCTGTCGCAGGAGATGGTGTCGGTTTTTTGACTGGTGTCTTTTTTTCTTTTCGTGTCACAAAAAATTTGGACAGGTGATAGAGGAATCGCCCCTCCCACTGATCGGCAAGAAAGCGGCTCGTCAATCGCCGGAAATGAGTGTACTGCGGGTTGGCCACAGTAGCATGTGGGCGCAGAGTTTGCCTCGATTGGCGTGTCTCTCGCATTGGTCGACGGTGCGATACTTATCGACCCCCGCGGGGCCCCGAGTCACACTTAACACGTCGCCCACCGAGTTCATATCGAATGTAAGCGCAGATCAAAGTTTGAGCACGAAGCAAAAAATCGCCCAAAAGGCGCGCAGTGCGCTAAGCTGTACAGACGACAAATCAAACACCCTGCCGAATAATGTGCCGTTTAATGTGAAGCTGGTGGACCAACAAGATCGGAAGATCGCCAGGGCGAAGGAAGCGAAAATCGACAGCACATCGCGCGCCGGCATCAGGAAAACAATTATCGATCCATATCTGCAGCTTTGCAAACCTCGACTGACTGTCTTGGTCGTCTTGTCAGCAATCTGCTCGTACGCTCTGTCTCCATACCCGGCCACTGTAGGTGAGCTGTTATCACTTACAGCAGGTACAGCGATGTGCTCGGCGTCGGCAAATGCGATAAATATGGGTCGAGAGCCGGAATTCGACCGTAAAATGGTTCGAACCCAGGCCCGCCCCGTCGTTCGAGGGCTAGTTACACCTAATCAGGCTTACCGGTTTGCAGCTTCTGTGGGCGTACTAGGTGTCTCCACTTTACTCTTCGGTGTAAACTCCACTGTGGCCGCTCTAGGAGCATCCAACATCATATTATATGGGATAATATACACGGGATTGAAGCGGAAACACATCATAAACACATGGGCGGGAGCCCTTGTTGGTGCTATCCCACCTCTCATGGGATGGGCAGCCGCGAGCCCGCTTACCCACCCCGGTGGCTGGTGCCTTGCCGGATTTCTCTACGCGTGGCAATTCCCACATTTCAATACCCTTAGTCATAATATCCGAAACGAATACAAGGATGCTGGTTACGTGATGACGTGCTGGAAAAACCCGAAACTCAATGCCAGAGTTGCCTTTCGGTATTCTTTGCTAATGTTTCCATTGTGTTTTGGTCTATCATATTTCAATGTGACCGATTGGTACTACCAAATAGACTCTGCCATAGTAAACACCTGGATGGCGTTCTGGGCGTTCAAGTTTTGGTGGCAACAAAGACAGAACTACTCGAAAAAAATAATGGCGGATGGAATCAAATTCAACAAAGGTTTAGCATTGGCCAATGTTTATGCCAGGAAAGCATTTTGGGTCAGTGTTTTACATCTTCCAGCAGTGTTGATCCTGGCCATTTTGCACAAGAAAGGACGCTGGGATTGGCTTTTCAATGAGAACAACAACCACAACAAAAGGAACTCGTGAAAGGGCTTACAATTTTCCGTTATTACAAAATTTCTCCTGTAAATATTCTCTCTTATATATAAGGCAAAAGGCTTCGCCGCAGTAATTCGAATAATATACAAACGACGGGAACTGTTCTTGTATCGTGAAATGCAACTATCGTTCAAACAATCCGTCGTCCTCGAATTCATCGTCATCCACATACTCCTCCGTGTAACCGCTAGATTCATCGTCATCGGTAGAATCTGTCATCTCCTCACTTGTGAGTATCTCATCCAAATGAATGTGCGTTAAAGTTTCTCCCTTCAAAACCGTCTTGGGGCTTACAATATAGGAACCCTCAATGTAGGAATTTGTCAATCTTGATTTTTTACCAATTTGAGTGGCAGGACCAACGATAACATTCTCTAAAATACTCTCGTCGTCAATAATGGCACCATCTAGCACAACACTACCGACAATACGACAGCGTTTACCAATCTTGGTATCCCTGCCTAACACAGACAATTTCACACTGGTCCTTTCTCCCACAATACAATTTGGTCCCACGATGGAGTCGGCACCTATGTTCGTGCCCGTGATTTGCTGCGATTGCATTACAGACGATTTTATCCTCAAAATGTAACGATTTGCCTCTGTATATGCCGTCAAGCTGTTAGATCTGATAAAAGCACCACCCGCGGGAAGCACAAATAGGCCAATAGTCTCGCGTAGTTTGGCGTGTCTCCAGGAACGTCTCGCCAAGTCTCTTATAACCTTGTCTAGCGACTTATCGACGTTGATGGAATCTCGTATCAACTTATTCTTTTTGTTAAAATAGCTGGGTTTGATCACCAACGACTGCTGTGTTGCATTCTGAGTTTCTTCGTCAGAATCCTCAGACTCACCACCGGGCGGGAATCTTGGATTCTCGTTTTCAGAAATAAGTTTGATGATATCGTAAGAGCACACGTAGATGAATGAATCGAGCAATTTCTTGGAAACAGACGCGTTTGGATACCGCCAAAGCAATTGAGTTCTGATTTGCAAATATTTCGACCGTTCAACGTCGTCACCCGAATACATGTCTAGCAAAACAGGCTGTTTCATGGAGTTCTCATTTTCTGAGTACACGATGTATGACGGTTTCAAATGTTTCTTGTCTATATTCTGGAACCCGTTCCGATAATAAACGGCCATTGCCAGATTGTCGGAGTCCTTGTTACGGTATTGATCAATCAAGATTTGAGGTGGAATGTCCGTTATGAAATCGCACGGCAAGACAACGAAATCGCCTGTGATGCGATCTCGCAAATCGTTGCACAGCACTTCACCGGTCGTTTCTCCCTTAGTTACTATGAAATTGATCGGCGCAGGTTTACGCACCTGTTGTACATGATGCGCTTGAATGCTTTTCAAGAGGATCTCGTATTGGCTCTCCCTCACATTGATATACGTTCTCAAACGCTCTTTAATCATGGCAACATCTGTGGCCTCTCCCAAAACGTTAATTTCTTTGAATCCACCTTGATCACACCAATCGAGCACATACTCAATCATGTGCCTGTTGGCGATGGGAAGCAGTGCTTTTGGAGCTCCAGAGTCATCTTTACGCTGCGTAAAGGGAAACAAATTGTAGCCTTTCCCACAAAAAATAAATACTTGAAAGTCCATGGACCTACCTGGGCCAACAATATCAGGGAAAGACGAATCAAACACTTATTCTGCTCTAAGAGCTTGTGATTTTGAGCTCATCTGCTAATAACCTTGATCATAAAATTTTCAACTTTCGTATCTTGTAACATCGAATTTTGGAAATTAAAGGTCCTTTAGATTTCGAATTTCATTGTTTTGCCACCGTAAGCTCCAACGGAGACTTACATTAGACCGGAACAGTTAGGTTTGGAGCCAAATTGAGGATTGAAAGAAGGTTTTAGTCCAAGAGAAATATGAGTGAAGAACAGGACCCGCTTTTGGCGGCTTTGCAGCAAGGCGCGGGACCAGAAGAGTCAACTGGACAAGGACAGAATAGCGAGGACAGAAGAGAGGTAGAGGTGGATCCTGCTGTAGAAGCACGCAACAAAGCACTAGCGAGCTTCAAAAAAAAGCTTATGGAACATAGAAGATATGATGATCAGCTTAAACAGCGTCGGCAAGGGATACGAGATCTCGAAAAGGAATATGAAAAAACGGAAAACGATATCAAAGCATTGCAGAGCATTGGCCAACTGGTTGGTGAAGTTATGAAGGAGTTGTCAGAGGAAAAATATATAGTCAAAGCATCTTCGGGTCCAAGATACATCGTGGGGGTCAGAAACTCTGTGGAGCGGTCTAAACTGAAAAAGGGCGTAAGAGTCACTCTGGACATAACAACGTTGACGATCATGCGGATTTTACCGCGGGAAACCGACCCTCTCGTGTACAATATGACCACATTCGAACAAGGCGAGGTGACTTTTGATGGTATTGGCGGCCTTTCCGAGCAGATTAGAGAGCTCAGAGAAGTCATCGAATTGCCCCTTAAGAACCCAGAAATTTTCCAAAGAGTAGGTATTCAGTCCCCAAAGGGTGTCCTTCTGTATGGACCACCAGGTACCGGTAAGACTCTACTGGCAAAAGCAGTTGCCGCCACCATTGGCGCGAATTTCATCTTCTCACCTGCTTCCGGTATTGTTGACAAATATATTGGGGAATCTGCTCGTATCATTCGTGAAATGTTTGCTTATGCCAAGGAACATGAGCCCTGCATTATATTCATGGATGAAGTGGATGCCATTGGAGGGCGCAGATTCAGTGAGGGTACTTCGGCCGACCGTGAAATTCAAAGAACGCTGATGGAACTTTTGACGCAAATGGACGGATTTGATAATTTGGGCCAGACAAAAGTCATAATGGCTACCAATAGACCCGACACTTTGGATCCGGCATTGCTTAGACCCGGTAGACTAGATCGGAAAATCGAAATCAACTTACCCAACGAAACTGGAAGACTAGAAATTTTTAAGATTCATACAGCGGGCGTGAAGAAGACAGGAGAGTTCGATTTCGAAGCTGCTGTCAAAATGAGCGATGGTTTTAACGGTGCTGATATTCGCAATTGTGTTACTGAAGCAGGCTTCTTTGCCATCAGAGACGACAGAGACCATATCACGCAAGATGATTTGATGAAGGCCGTCAGAAAGGTTGCGGAGTCCAAAAAACTGGAAAGCAAGATCGAATATCAAAAATTGTGAATTGTAGCAAAACAATGTAGTAATACAAAGCGGTCATACGTAACTTTCCTAAACAAAGCGTGTTTTAGCGACAGATCAAAGACTCTACTTTTTCATCAATTCCGGTTCTCAAATCTCATTGTGAATTCTCTGTCAAGATGTAATTTGAGTTCTGAGAACCTGTTTTTGAAATTTTGCCCACAGTAGACACACTTCATTTCAGTTTGCTTGATGACAATTTTTTCCAGAAAAGTCTCGTCAGGTTTTTGGTTGAGAGGAAGCTTCACCCAATTAACAAAGAACTCAGTAGTAAACGAATTAAAATGCTTCTTATTTTTTAAGCTAGGAGACTTGAAATCTCGAGTCATGATATGTACATGAAGGTTATTCATTGAAGGTGCTCCATGAATACCCACTTGTGTGAAATTGTCGATAAAATACTGTTTGTTCTCATACTCGGCATTTGTCAGAAACGGCTTCTTTCTAGAGCTTTCCTTTAAGCCATAACGTTCGTGAAACTCTTTGTAGATAACATCCAATGCCCTGTCAATGGCTGGTTGTAGCTTAGATTTGATCTTATTATCGATTAAGGTGGGATCGAGATCTGTAATGTCAGAGTCTCTAGGCATGACTAACAAGTGCCCCTGCGATTTGGGGAACTTGTCGCGAACAATGACTACATCTGAGTCATAGAATATGACATCGTGAGTGTATCGCTCCGGATAGTCGATAAAGCCTTTCAGAGCATATCTGAAAGACATCTCCTTTGACTTAAGGTGTGACATTAAGCGTAGATTTGTTCCTCGAAAAAACTAACAGAAACCTATCGATAAAGGCTTTAAAAAATTGCCCATTGCAATTCTTATCAATGAGAAATTAGTAACTCTTCTCAATAGATTTCATAACGTTTATTTGTGCAAGATATATATGTACATGTGTGAAGGACGCGCAGTTAAGGATGACCCGGACCTCTCTCAGATACTGTCTTTCACATGCTCAAAGACGATGCCACCAATTTTATCCATGTCATCTGGAGTCAGGGTGCGCTTAGGACCAGAAGCAAGTTGTTCCTGCTCTGCGAGATAGGCCTTTTTAACAGCGGTCAAAGGCATCCTTGGTGCCATCAGTTTGGCCACTTCCTTACTGGACAAAACACCTCTTCTGTATTTCGATCTTGGATTTCTTATTGTCAATAGAGCACCTTGGGGAATTGGGCTCTTGGCTATAGTATCTACCCAAAAGGACTGCTCTCTTGCAATTTCGGGCGCCGTACCCAGTTCACCGTCTTCTTTGAACTCTGGTTTAGGCCAGGGAATAACCAAATCTTCCTGCCCTGATACACATCTGTAAGGCATCACTTTTTTGTAATTCTTATCGTAATAGGTTCCGCGATATACAATCTCGCGAACTGCAACCGTTTTGAGCTTACCAGGTACCTCTGGATCCTCTATATCAGCAACAAGTCTTAAATTTTTTTGCTCCACGGCTATCGGAAATGTTACCATATGCGAGGTCTGACCTTCGCTCCAGAATTGCTTGGGCACAGGGACAGTTTTCGTGGGCCCATTTTCGTCCAAAATAAATCCGTTGGTTTCTGTGTCATGCTGATGAATCACCGAGACTTGACCCTTAAATTTGCCATTCATGATAACGACCCTATCACCTGGCATAAACATCCATTCTTGCGGCGTTTTGAATTTCTGATCCTGTTCGACTCTAGGTATCGCTGGAACCAGAAATGATGGCATTGATTTCTCTTCATATTTCTTGAAGTGTTGCGCCAAGTGCTTGGGCCTGCTATCCACTTGTTTTAAAAAACGCGATCCAGCCTTTGATAAATGTTGATAGCCAGACATTGTACCTGGCGGGGTTCTCCAAATTGCTCTGTTCCTCTCTTTAATATCTTTGTTGATGATGGATTGAATCTCAAATTTTTCACTTGGCCCTTCCAACTACTCGCTATACAGTATCTTTGAAAAAAACGAACGATTAAAGCTTTACGAGCTAGGAGTATTATACAATGTCGCGCACATGGATACGTTCTCATCCGAATCCACCGTCGCACTTAAACCAGCAATTGTTTGAACTTATTTTGCTATCTTGAAGCTCTTGTTTGCTCCTTTTTGCGTTTCGACGATTTTCACTAGAGTTGCGTAGAAAAACGGAACCAACGCCGTTAGACTAGCTATCTGTGCAAATGGCGATAAACTCGCGTTCGTTGATTTCACCATCATTATCAAGGTCGAATTCGTCAATCATTGCACGAAGTTCTTCATCTGTAAGATTTTCTCCCAATTCTTTGGCCACGCGCCTCAGGTTTTTGAGGCTGATTTTGCCTGTATTGTCATCATCGAAAAGCTTGAAGGCGCGACGTATCTCGTCAAGCGGATCTCTATTCAAAATCCTTTCCCCCATAATCAAAAAGAAATCGTCGTAGTGCATCAATCGCCTGCCATCTCTGTCATACTTATCTATCAGATCCAATAACTCCGTCTTGCTTAGATCAAACCCAAGTGCTTTTGCTGCAACTTTAAACTCGTGATAATCTAAATACCCATCGTTATTCATGTCAAATAACGAAAAGGCTTCGAAAATCTCCTGTTTGTTTTCTTCCAAAAGCTCCTTCTGAAGAACCGTGTTATCCGCGTTTGAGGTCTTAAAAAGACCCGCACCATTCCCTGGTGCCTTGAGAGTGGTACGTCGATTGCTCATTTGCTCAGGGTCAAACTTGTTTGAATTCGTTTTTGTTTCTTGATGATATTGATTATTGTTGATTTCGTTACTAGGGTTTTATTCGATTTTCATTGACAGGCCGGGATACATCATATAAAAGCTAAGAAATCACCAAGATCACGAACAATCAAGGCCCATATGAGCCGTTAATCGCTAACTTGCATGTGAGCTTCTTCAATAATTAAACAATAAAATATCTTGTTTCTTCGTACTTACTTGAAGTTGGTCTTCGAGTGACGACTTTTGGCTCCCCTCAACCAACCTAGACTCCACTTGCTTTCTCTTCATTGATCTTTAAGTTTATTCCAAGTTCTTCCCTTCTTGTTACCCAATTTGGAGCCTTGTCTACCTCGCTGCGAGGATAAAACCACTCCAGAAACCGATATAACATGAACTCCACAACGGCACAAAGCATAAATAGAGCTTTAGCCCAATAGCCTTCATTTGAGCCATAGTTTAGCAATAATGCGACCCAATCTTTCTGAAAATTATCACAGGCCATTAGAGAGTCGAAGACCTTCACAGTTCGTTCTGCTACGTTGGTCCAATCGTACATTTTCGATACCTCGTCGTGGAACGTTTCGGTATTGACTGAGTGATTTCTCAATGAGTCGATGGCGCACAGCGTCGCACTTACAAGGCTGTCGACAGAAGTAGCTTCAGCGAAAACGGTCATATGCTCGGGAAGCACTTCTTGTATGCCACCCACTTTGGTAGTGACAATGAGAAGTCCACACGACGCCGCCTCAACAAGAACAGTGCCAAACGCTTCAGTGAGACTCGCATGTAAGTATATGTCTCCGCGGCACATGACGTCTCTAACTTCTTCGTGCTGCACGGCCCCAAGAAGCTGTACTCGTTCTTGCAGTCTATAAGTTTCTATCATCTGTTGCAGATCGACAAATTTTGGGCCATCACCTGCAATTATGAAATTCACGTCTGCGTCCACCGAGCATATGTGCGGAATGACATGCGTCAGCAGATCCGCGCCCTTGTTCGGGAACAATCGACTAATTACCACAATTGTTATACTTCCAAGATTTCTTCGCTGTCTGGCACTATTCTTGTTCTGAATTGGTCGAAAATCACGACTTACCACCGCGTTGGGTATCACCGAAATCTTGTCCGGCGCGATTCCTGCCCGCAATACCATGTTTTCTTTGCAAGCGTTTGAAACGCATATAACTGCTCCTATGTTTGTCAAGGTGAATCTTAACAACTTGTTCACCAAGATTGATCCCACGGACTCGAAGCCGTACAGTGAATGATCCGTGAAAACCGTTCGTAGCCCCATAGTCGAACCATGCAAAAGACTCTCGTGCGCTAGCGACGAGACACTCACATGCGCATGCACAATATCAATATCTTCCCTAATAAAGATATTTCTTATGATGGGCAGACTGCTAAAGACCGATGGAAAACTCGTTCCTCTGTAGATGGTGAGGTAAGGAACATGATAAACCTTCAAACCATTTGTCAAATACCTAATTCCTGTCCGATCCTCGTAAGAATGTGTTATCACCACCACCGAATGACCGAGGTTTATCAACTTTTGAGAAAGATGGTATATATGAAATTCGACACCACCCAGCTGTGGAAAGAAGAAATCACAGACCATTCTGTCATGGTATATTTGTCAGTGTCAAGTTTTCGATCACATAGTTAAATCCCAGGTAAACTCACACATACGCGATGTTATATCCCATTGTCTTTGTTCATTGGTGGTGCTATTGGGCTCTGTTTTCAATGTCCTCATCACTAGTTGATATGTTGAATATTTCATTTTAGCTTCACGAGAAAAGAACGACACGGAGAGAAACCCGACATCTTCAAGAGGGAGCATGGCTGGCAATCTAGGAAATTACAGCAGGGTTAACAATAATGATGGCAGTGATAGCGGCGAAGAGAATAGGGTAGATGAAAACGCATTAGAAACAGATGATTTGGCACCTCTTCAGCCTCCATCTTACGAAGATCTCGAAGAGAACCTAGAAAATGGCTCACGTACAATGGAAACGATGGAAATCGAGGAAGAAGTGGTTTATATGAACAAACTGCAAAGACTAAAGCATAGATTTGAGAACTATATCGTGATTCCGGTCAGAGAGCGAATTTCTGACCCGCTTGTGCAGCTACTATCAATATTATCAAACCGGGTGGATTTTTATTTGAGTAAAGTGGGAAATCCACTCATCTTGAGACGGTTTGTGTACATCCTGTGCATGTCACTGGTGATGTTTTATTTCTCGTCAAATGGACTCCCGGGTACTGGAGACTCCGGATTTAAAGGCATGTTCTCAGACAAAAGAAGTTTTGTGAACTATGCTCGGAGAACAATCGACCTGTCCAAGATGGAAACGGATCTCGAATATCTCAGCAGCATGCCCCATATGGCTGGCTCTAAGGGTGATTTTGCTATTGCGACTTACGTGGGAGAGAGTTTTTCAAATAATAGATTACAGTTAGTTCTGGACGCCGGTTTTGACACTTTTATCAACTATTATGGAAAATTGAATTTGAACGCACGCACGAAATCAGGAGAAATACTTCAATTGGAAACGAATCAGAACAATTTTTCTCCTTTGAGCCCGAATGGTACCATATCAAACTCAAATCTGATATATGCGCATCTGGGGCGGGAAGCTGACTACAAATTGCTGGAAAGTGCTGGGCTGTCCTTCGAAAATTGCGTAGTCATGCTTCATTTTGATGCTGAAAGCGTAGACCAAATACTTCGTGCTCAGAAAATGGGGTTTCAGGCGGTATTATTTGTTTCCGAAAAGAGTGACAACAACGACTCGATTCAACAACGTTCGTCGGCAATTTTGCAATATAGCGTCGGTGATCCTCTTACACCGGGCTGGTCGTCCGTTCTACCCAAGAAAATTGATGCCAATGCCTCTCCAATAAGGCCCAAAATACCAGTAGTTCCTCTATCGCTAAATCAAGCGTTGAGCCTTACGCAAAAATTGTCGACAGAAAATGCTGTCGAATTCGAAAACGGGTGGGTAAGTGGTGTTTCTGGCGATATAACGTTAAATTTAGACCAAGAAACCATAGAGCATGCCTCACAACCAAACTGGAACATTGTTGGAAAAATTGAGGGCAAAGAACAAAACGACAAAGCAATAATCGTAAGTGCTGCGCGAGATTCTTTATGTTACGGATCTTTATACCCAAACGTGGGGACTACGGCATTGCTTTCGCTCGTTCAGTTGCTTCAACAAGTTAAATACGAGTTCAACTGGAGACCTTTGAGAAACATTTATTTTATGTCTTACGATGCATCTCAATATGGACACTCCGGCGCCACAGAGATTGTGGAAGCGGAACTTGGAAAAATAAAGAACGAGATATATTCGGTAGTTGACATCAGTCAAGTAGGCGTAAGCCCCGATGGACCGAAGCTGGATATACAGACACATCCCCTTCTGGCTCAATTTTTCAACGAGATGAACTCTCTTCATGAAATTGACGCGCTAGTGAGAGGAGTTCAACAGCATGGTGATTGGTCCGCATACCTTGCCAACGGAATCCCAACAACTATAATCGGAGCTTCGCACGTTATCAATCGAGCTTACCCCATTGATACTTGCGATGACACTTATGACAGATTGAAAAGCACCTCAGGCGACCGTTTCTGGGAGGATATGTCGGAAATTGTTGCTTACCTGTTCCAGGTGATCCTTGAGCTAGCCGACAACCCGCTGATCCCGTTTGACGTCGAGGACTACGCTAAGAAGATAGACGTCTTACTAGAAGATCTGAAAGCGTCCTCGGTAGAGAGTTTGAATTACCAGGGTATAGCAGATGGCATAAATCTGTGGAAGCATATTGGCGAACAATGGTCTTCTTTCAAGCACATGTGGACCAATATAGTCATGGTTGAAGACGACGGTCTTGAACCGTCGCTTCTATCCGTTCACAGATGGACCTGGAACAAAAAATTAACGAATATTGCAAGAAGACAATGTGATGCTGCTGGAGTTCCTAATCGCGAATTTTATAAAAACGTTCTATTTGGTCCCTCCTTGTGGATTCAACAATCTCACGACTCTTGGAGTTTTCCAGGAGTCAGAGACGCTATACAAGATTCAAATTGGCAGGGTGCTCAAGAAGAAATTAACAAAGTGGCAGATGTTCTTCGCAGCTCTGCCGAGCTTTTTATCGAAGAAACAACCAATTCATGAAATAGAATAATGATAGACAAGATCTAAGGGACCTACCTTCACGACAGATTCAGTGGTTATATGAAACTTTTTATCTATATAAAGCCTCTGAGCTCCTGGTAAGATGTGTTCACCAAAACAGACTTGTAGTAAACTAGATTTCAATATTTATTTCACTTTAGTTCGTACTAGTTAAACGTCCAACAACTCGTTCCCGATATTTAAGATAATCAAGATATATAAAATATCGTCGATCAAATTTCATAAAAACTGTAATCAAATCAGAACTCAAGCAATGTCTTTTATCAGGAATCTTCTATTTGGTGGTGTGAAGACTAGTGAAGATCCCACCGGTGTCGTTCAAGGTAGCTCCACTCCAACGATAAACGAAGCATCACAACCCATTATTGAAGGAAAGTTCTATCCTAGGACGATCTACAAATTTAACGGACATGATGATGAGAAGATATTTATTGCCGTTAAAGGTAAAGTGTTTGATTGTACTCAAGGGAGACAATTTTATGGACCCAGCGGACCTTATTCAAACTTTGCCGGACATGATGCCTCGAGAGGCCTTGCCACGAATTCGTTTGAGCTTGACACTTTGAGACACTGGGATCAGCCCATTGACGACTTGAAAGACTTGACTACGCAAGACCTTCAGGCTTTAGACGGTTGGCTGGAGCATTTTGAAAAGAAATATCCCTGTGTGGGTAGCCTGGAAGCAGAGCCAGGTGTCAATATTTAAGGGCTCTCCATCAAACCCTATTCAGGAAGTTTATATAAAATACTGGTAACGTCTTTTTTTAGATTAGATTGATTACTTTTCGTTATGTGTTCATGAGCCGTTTAACAGTTACTGTACGAACGGTTCTTGTCGCATGTGGGGAGATAGTGCTCAGTTTTCTCATCATTCTTGTATAACTTGTGAAAGCATTACTAGCGTGTTTCGAAACTTCGAACAAGTCTCCCATTTTTTGTGTTATGGTTTGTGAGATTTCATCATCTTCAAAAGCCGCAGCTTGAGTTTGAGGGACATCTGTAATGACGCTCATCATCAGTAAATCCGGATATTGGAAGAACGACAAGACTGGCAAAAACTCTCCTACAAGCGCTACCGCGGAGCGGACTTTCCTTTTGAGTCTTTTTCTTAGTTTTATCGCAGATGACTCGCTTTTATGTTCGGTACCTTTCGAACCATCAATACCATTAACGTAATGACTTGGGTTAGCTCTTATGGTCAAAGATGAAAAGTCTGCAAGTAGAATTCGACGTCCAGGTCCAAACTGAAGATATTCAGGTCCTTGTCCATCCGTGATAGAATAAGGCAAGCAAGTGGTCTTGATGACATTTCTCTCCTCGAAAGTGACCTTCACATCGGCGTGTTTAGATACCGACCTTTTGATGCGCACGGCGCTCTCAAAACAGTCTATTCTTGAAATTTCTGCATCGGTGCTTTCGAATATGCCAGGATTAAATTTGCGGAGTTTATATCTTCGCTTGCTGATAAGAGACTTATGAAAAGAATTTCTCTGCAATATTTTCACCCGGGGAGAGCGTCCACAACCATTTGGATATGACGTGATAATCAGAGGCTTGTGATCTGCATTTGCCGAATCAGCAAAAGAACCGAGATCGAGAAAATCCCCAGAGTTTAAAGGTGTATTACCGGCAAACCTTTCGCGAGATATTCCTCGCTTTCTCTTATTTCTTCTGTTAATCTTATGCACCTTGTGCAAATTCCAGTATCGCCTCACTCTTTTTAAAGTCGCAATTCGATGAGCGCCACTCGCTAATCGCCGCAGTCGACGTACTCTAGATTTTCTCGGGGGTGGAGCAACCCTCATGTAGCAGCAGCTATTGTATACTCCTCCTTTACCAGGGCTTTATGTCCCAAGACCCTGGCTTTTTACCGCGTCTTTGCGCATCAACAGATTTGACTTTACGTCGAGAAACCACTAAGAAATGTCGTCAAAACTTTTGAAAGAAAAACTCGCACAACGTCGCTTGACCGCGTCGACAGAGATATATGCAGAACTTATCGTTCGATTTGAATAGGATCTTTGGTCTGTCTTGATTTTTCATTTTTCAATTTAAAGTTGCGTGTATGTATAACACCATGAAGTTTTCACAGGAAGGCACCCTGTGGAATATTTTGAACGCTGTTTTGGAAGCCTTTAATGGCCACATCAAAGTTCCAGCCACTTTGTTCAGCAAGCATATATGTGTATTCGGCGTTAAGCTTGGTCTGATTATGCAATCTGTTCAAAATATCGAGTTGTAGCGGTGTCATTTTAGCTTGAATTTCGGGAGGAAGTTGTATTTGAGAAGTAGGGACTCCTGATGCCACCGAAGGAGTTAGTGTGGGTGCGGGTGTCTCTGAAGCTGGCTGCCCCGGCATCGCCTGCAGGGTGCTTGTTGGCAATGTATCCGTAGGCTTAGACCAGGAACCGTCAGCGTATGGCCTCACTGTCAGTAGATCAGAAGCAATGACAACATGACCTTGGTTTGGAACAATAATCCAGGTTCTATCGAAGGATTTTTTGCCAAGTTTGCTAGTCGTGTTGGAATGGCTGTGGTTGAATCTTCTGCTACGACCTGCAGTGGACGAAACAGCCTTATTAGCGTCTAATTCGGGCTTTTCAATCTCGTCGAAGAACCCATGCAGCGAGATTATGAAGCCTTGAACCTGAGGATATGACCAAGCTTCGACCGAATAGTTCAAAGGCTGCTCCTGTAATAAATGCTTAGTCTTGGGCAGGGACCGAAAAAGTCTGTCAATTGCTTCCTGGCCCGTGGCTAATCTCATAAGTTTCGTCTTTTCACTTGAGATTTTCGTCAGGTTTCTGGACAAACTCAAGTAAAAACTCAAAGAAGGATTCTGATCGGCATTTGGAACACTTGAACTTGGGACCGACGAATCAACTGACACGGAAAACTGCGACTGTGGCGTGTATAGCCCCATGAGTTGAGCTCTATCGCTATCCCATAGATTTAGAAAGTTTGAAACAAAATCGATTGAAGACTGACCCAGCTCGTTTGTCTCGAAAAAGAACTGCTGAATCTTGGTAGGAATAGAGTAAACAGACTGCAGCTTTGCCTCGTCTCGTAGAAGAATGCTGTCGAGGACAACGAGCTTGGGGAACAAACGTAAAATTTCCGTTTTGTACATTGGATCCGTGACGACCGGATTATTGGCCATCAGTAGTTCACGAAGTTCCTTGAACTTGCCCTTCCATACTTCTAGGGATCGAAAGCGTGAGATCTGGTTATTTGCAAGACACAAGTTCTTTAGACGTGGGAAAGTCTGAGCTAGGGATGATATCCCGTTGACATCACGAAGGCTATTATTTGACAAGTTCACACTTTCTACAACAAGCTGTGATTCCCTTGAAGCCAGCTTCATCAAGGCTGGAAACATCTTGGATTGCGTTGACGTTGAAGAAAAAAGACCGTTACTCATCAGCTCTGGATCGTTCTTTAAATTCCCCAAATCTAACATTCGTGTCTGTACATTGTAACGCCTAAACAAGAAGCTCTTGAGAAGCTGAATTGTGTTCGAAGTTCCAGGTATTCCAGAAATGTTGCTCATCCCGTTGCCCTCTGCGATGATTTCAAATCTCAACGCATTACCAGCGAATCGAACTCCATTCCAATTTAAAAGAGATGATGCATCTTGTCGACTGTTCACATATCCAACCACCAGCTCTCCTTCCACATAGGAATCGCAAATAGCGATCCTGGTCTTCCTGCTCACGAAATTTATCAAGTCTTGTTTCGTAGCATTTTGCCATCCTCTTACCCCGACTTTCACCCGGTTTTGCAGAGCGGCTTGCTGTGCCATAAATCCCACATTGTTGGCTACTTGAAATGTGCCATTCATGGTTCGGAAACGCCTAAGTATCACCCCGGGAAGGTATTTAGTAGTGCTATTCCATCATCTTCTCATCTCTTTCATTAGTAGCGCCTTTAAAATTTTCATTTTCTAGGACTTTCGTATAAAGATATTTAGTCTTTTTCAAGAAATCAGGACAACAACAAGAAGTTTGAAAACGTTCGGTGTTACCAGTGTTAAAGATTTAGTCTGTCTTGAAAAGAGTGTAACCAGGGCTTCGAAATGCCGCAGAGCTACGATTATGATGAGAAAGCTGAAACGTGGCCTTTCTTTGCTATGGCCGTGCTCGTTGTGGTTCTTTTGCCTCTGACGCTTATGCAGATTTATGAGCTGTTCAATAGCCAAAAGGAGGAAAAATTTGGAGAGCAGACGTCAACCCTGAATGAATTGAACCAGGTGTTAGTACCTCAGAGTATCAAAAAGTTTCGTGCCAAATACAAAGTGAAGAAATCCGGGGTTTGGAGTAAGAAAACTCTGATAGTTTGCCTCGGTTGGTGTTTGGTGGCCGTAATCTGGAAAACTATCGACAGCAATGAGGCTGTCAGAGAAGCAGCTTCCACGATTTTTGATCCTTATCTTTTGCTAGACATTTCTACAAGTGCCACAGAGAAGGAAATCCGGTCCGCTTACAGGAAATTGTCGATCAAGTTTCATCCGGACAAAGTTGCCAAGAATCTTAGCGAGCAACAACGTGCTGTTTTAGAAGAGCAATATGTCTTGATCACGAAGGCTTACAAAGCTTTGACGGACGAAGTTACGCGGGAAAACTATTTGCAATATGGTCACCCTGATGGACCACAGGCTACGTCCCATGGTATTGCATTACCTAGGTTTCTGGTCGAGAGTTCTGCTTCTCCATTTGTGGTGGTTGGATACATTGCTCTGTTGGGGCTTATATTACCGATTTTTGTTAGCAGATGGTGGTCAAGGACTCAATCTGTCACCAAGAAAGGCATTCATGTCAAAACTGCTTCCTATTTTGCAGACAGGCTCTTTAATTTTAAGCCCTCACAAGTGGTGACATCTGATCTTATTTTGGACTGGTTATCGAATGCAGAAGAGTACAAGATTATGTATCCACATTTGGGGCCCAAAGTCTTCAGGAATCTATTGAATGACCATTTACAGAGAGCCAGTAATGGGGAGGACCTGAATGAAATCAAACTAAGAGTTGTAGCCAAGACTCATTCCTTACTGTTTGGTTTACTTGATGTGTCTACAAATTTCAGGAACACAGAAATCTCTCTTGCTGCTATTGACACCTTCAAGTCCATTGTACAAGCTACGCCAGTCTCACCAGAATCCCAAATATTCCAACTACCTAACGTCGATCAAAAGCGGTTTTCAGAAGGGAGCGTTGATGATGTGAGGACTTTGGGTAAACTTTTCACCTACGACGAAAAGAAAATTGGCCAGATTCTTGGCATTAGTGATGAAAGTAGACTTCAGGAAACGTTAAAAGTAGCTTCCTTCATTCCACGTTTGAAACTTTTGAAGGCTGAATTCAAGGTTCCAGGTGAAACCGTTGTTACTCCTGAGTCCATACCACACATCGCTTTGAAGGTACTGGTAGTCTCACCAAAGCACAAGGCCTTCCCGCCATCCAAGTTTCCTCAAGTTTTTTTTGAAGAGGAGCAAGATTTTGAAGCTCAAAAAGATCCATTTGCCTCTGCACTTGAGCAGCCCCCAGTCCCTCAGACGTTCGCACCCCTCTTTCCTGTAGAAAGAACTGGAGGATGGTGCGCACTGGTGATGTTACAGAAAGACGGTAAAGTAATTCAAACGCCGTTGGTTGTGGATAGATTATCGTTTTCAAATTTGGACAACGACTTCGACAAGCGAGAAATCAAAGACGTTGAAGCATCTTTTAAGCCAGAAAACTGGGTAGTGGGTACCATAAAGATCCCATTCAGCCAGCCTGCTCCTCCTCAAAATGGGGATTATTTCTTCAGAGTGGTACTGAAGAGTACTGAGTATTTCGGCAGTGATCTAGATTTCACGCTCCCAATGATGGTTCGCGATCCTCCATCTGAAGCCGACTCTGATAAACAATACGACGACGACTCAGAATCAGATTCCGACGGGGAAGGTGACGACGACGAAGACGAAGATGATTTGGACGAAGAAAACGATAGTGACTACACTGATATCGACACCGACACCGACGGGGAAGAGGAGAAGAGCCTGGTTAATTAGAATCATTGTCGACACCCAATCGAAAATAAATATCGATCATCAAAAAAAAACGCTTGCATCTATCCTGTGACGATATAGAGTTATTTACAATTTTATTCTTTCATTTCAAGTCACTACATTGTTAAACATAAAACGACGGCGTCGGGCGAGCCTCTAGTATCTTTGTAGTAATCTTTCAACTCTTCCTGCTTCACGAAACCCTTAGTTTCATACCATTTCAAACCTTCTGAGTTATTGGTAGCAACATGCACAAAAATTTGGTGCTGGAAATGATTTTTACATTCATCAATAACGTACTCTAGCAGTTTTGACCCAATGCCTTTGCTTCTGTAAGGCTCCAACACAACTAAAATTTCAATGTACACACCTGCAGCTTTAACGCCTTTGCTTTTATTCGCAATAAGCTTAGCTCTCACTCCTCCAACTGCGACTTCACCAAAATATGCTAATTTCGAGAAGTACAATTCTTTTTGTTTGGCATCAGTGCTAAATTGATCGCTAAAAAACTTCTCGGGGTACGAGACTGGCAGAACTGTATCACTTATTTTCTTAAAAGTGCCAAGATTGTTCTCGTAGACGTTATCAAGGTTAATTGGGCTTCTAGTCATGTTTTCGTAGCCTCAGGAGTTCTGATGCTCTATGTTGAATTACTTGAACTAGTCTAAAGATAATTTCAAGATCTTCAATTTTAAGATATTTGAAAATCGGAACAATATCAACGGCTAAATTATGATCGAGAAATGGGCCAAAATGCGATTCTTAAGCACCAAAAATACACGGGGGCTATATTCTGCGTGGGATGTTTTATATGAAACCAAAATCCCCGATGGTAATGTTGCGATTTACTTTAAAAACTTGTTGGAAAGGTCAGCATTAGCTGGTGCGCTACCTGAGGAAGGATCTATAACGCAGATACTGATAAAGCACTTACTACAGCAGAACAGCAATAATCCAACAAAATTAGCTTATAGGGGGCAAATTAAGGAGTTGGTTCGGCAAATTGATAAAAATATTATTACCGAAAATGACATCAAATATGCTCTGGAAATAGCTTCCAGAAAGAGAGTTGTAAACGTTTCGAAACCCCTTATCAAAGAATCGACAGTACAGAAAGCAAATATAGAAGGATCCAAGCCACAGTTGACCATAAATCCTCAAAGACAAAATACACTTGATACAAAAAATATAGCACACATTGCCCGTGTGGGCAAGAATAATGATGAGCTGAGCTTCGAACGAAATAAAAATGTTGAGGATTTGAGTAAAAATATGAGTGAGATGCGCGTTACGGATCAAGGTAGTTCATTGGACTTGAATTCTTTGCAGCTTTTTCTGCAAGACGCCCGAAGGCTGGATTTGGATCGCCAAGAGTTGATGCGCGAAACGAAACAGTTGTACGCTTGGAAGTCAGAGACAAAACCGCTCTCTTTGTCTGGTGGGAACATTTTCAGCTTTCTGAGCGGACCACAGCCCGCGTTTTTTGGGAGGACGATGAACTTGATGAATTCTCAGGAACTATCAAGTCAAGATCCGGTTGTCAACATTTCAAACTCGTCAGACGTCCTTTTATACAATCTGAGAGATGATTCGAGTTCTGTGGCGCCGTGGAAGAAGCAGAAAAGATTAATTCATGTTAATACTCGGGATTTCTTCGGTATCATCAATGCGTCCGGAAGATCGCCGGAGCTGATGTTAGAGTTGGTAACCAGTCTCGAAAAACAAGGTTGGGATCTGGTGGGCGATGCAGGTTTCGACGGGACTGTAATTGTTTTCAAGAGGGAAGGTTCTGCTCAATCTTCATTTCTCAAAAGAAAAATATTAGGTTGGTTGATCTTTGCTCTATCTTCAGCCATATTGTCATTCAAGTTACTCGAGAATTACGAGACGAAAGAGTTAAAAGAAACTTCTTCAGATGATAGAAATACTCATTAATGTACAATTGGAAGTGCAAGAATTCCTGAATAAAATTACACATAAGATCAGGCACCCTTACTCATTTCGACGTCGGGTGCCTTATCAAGGGCATTTTTAGAGCCACCAATTACCCTCTCGGCCATGTCGTTAACCCTAAGTAATTTAAGAGTGCTCATGGATCCGAAGCTCAAATTCCATTTCCTCAAAAACGTCACGTTCTCCGGATCCATCAAATCGGGAGCCAGAAACCCAGATTTCAGTTCTTCCGATTCCGCATCTCTCCTTTGCTGCAAAAGAACTTGTCTGTTACTCGGAGGTCTATTTGCCCTTCTTTTGGCCTTCAAAATCTCGAGCTCTTCGTCATCGCGTCCAACAAATTCCTTGACAAAAACTGTGATTTCTTCGAGCGAAAAAGACTTTCTTTCTTCAAAAGATGAAGAATTTATTACTTCCTGGATGAATTTAAAGCGCGCAAGCTCGTAGCTTCGACGATCATTATATGCCTTTTTTTTTGCCGCAATTGTCTGTTCTCTCAGCGTTGAAGTAGCCAATTGCTGCAACTTTCTTCCCTTAGGGTGCACTCTAGTTCCCTTCTTACCCGCTTTCAAGTTTTTTTGGACCTTGGCCAAAGATTTAGAGACTGGCATGTTCTTGAAGAATTTCAAAGCACCTGTTCGCCAAGTGCGAAGAGCTCTTAGGCCTGGCTCGACAGATCGCAAGTGTGCAAGGTGAAAAATTTCAGCTGTTCGTCTTCGTCAAACATGATAAATGTCGTCGGATTACAGCAGATGGATTCAATACGCTGGTGATAGACTATGCTGGCAAGCGTTATCTTTACTGTAGCCCATCAATCACCACTCATCGGTCAGCTCCAATATGTCATTTATTTGCTGCGTTTTGAAATTAGAATTGGAGTTCTCATACTTGATTTTGGAATAATATACGGGACAATCCTGAGAATCACATTTCAGGACGACCTTTTCCATGTTGTCTACGACATTTTTCGTTAGGGGTTCACAACACGAGCGACAGACTGTTAATATGTCTTTCAGTTTTGTTTGGTTAGAGAATTTGGTATGGAGTAGCATTGAGATGGCTTCCCGCTTATTGGCTAAACAATCGTCGCACAGAAGAGGTGAACGGTTTTCTTGCAGGCGTTGGCGACAATTTACACAGGACGTGAGTTTCATAAATTTGGGAAGCTGATTTTCTTTTGATTTGTTTTGTATGAAACCTTGTACTCTGGATAGTTCGTTATACCATTCCTGTATGTCGACTCCCATGAGATTGAAAAAGCGCTGAAGTGGAGGTATGAGCGTTTTGGTAATGTAGTAAGTAGAGTCAAGCTCTAAATCCTCATTAGCAAGATACTTGTCGGGCGGAATGCATCTTTCGCGCAAGATTTGACCAGACCTTCCCTTGATCACGACATAAGAAACTCTTTCTTTGTATTGCGGCTCAGCCCGGCGGTCATCCTTCATCTTTTTGGTTGCCACTAAAGCTCCTGCTGGCTGAGTCTTTTCACTCTTGTAGCTTCCCAGCTTAACTTCTTTTGCAAAACAAAAGTCTTGAACGGAGACTTCGCCTTTCATGATTTTGGTAAACTGCTCCTGAAGATAGGCTTTAACCAAAGAAAGGTCCTTGGTGTCAAATAAAATTCTGAGACATTTTTCAACAATTTTTTGCTGTGCGGGATGTCCATCTCTTCTCACAGTTTCAATGCCCTTAGCGTCAAAAAACGGTACCTTTTGAGCTTCCTTTTCATACGAGTAACCAACGTATCTTTTTTTACTCACCAAAACGCACGGATGATATACTTTTTCAAATTGCAGCTTTATAGGTTGAGGATTGGCACTTGTGACCGCCGCAGCCATTTCCCTACCAAACTCGAACGCCTCATCTCTGGACTTCCCGGGAAAATAAACAAATAAACTGTCAGTGTCGCCATAGACCACCTTCGCTCCCCACTTAACATTCTTTTCAATCAAGCTTATTGCTTTATCTAGAGTTTCTCTCCCAGTTTGTACTATACTATCCGCTATGTCCGAGCAGGGCATGCGCCCGGAAAAAGAAGCAGACGTATAACCGTAAGTAACATTGGCGAGGAGCTTCAAGGCCACTTGTTTATTGTTTAAAAGTTTTGAAATAGTATCGTTCTTACCTTTAAGATCACTCATCGTTGACTTCACCAAAAATCTAGTGTCCAATATATCATTTAGCATTTTGGACAGCATCGATCTTCTGACATCGCTCTTTACAAAGATTGAGCCATTCGGTGACACCCGTATGCTTTTCTCCATTTTTGACAGAAAGTTAGGAGGACAATCTAGTTTGACGGTGCCAACTTCATTTCGATGAAGTCTGAGGTCGTGAACTCTACCAAGAATGGTCGAATAACAGTAATTGTAAGCAATCATGATCGAGGGGTACAATGATTGGAAGTCCAAGACCACCAATGGGCTTTTATAGAATGCAGATTCAGGTTCCATTACCATTGGGATACATTCGAGGGCCTTTTGGTTGCGAACGTCCCACTTACTGGGAGAGCTCAACAAGAAATGTTCGGACTTGCATAACCTCGCCAAGACTGATTCGACCTTAAACTGGGAGCCACGGTAGAAGACAGAATAGAAATCTATCCCAAGAAGCCGAGCTTGCTCTACTGTTTGGGGAATAGTTTGCTGATTCTGCAAAAGTCTGAGGTCAACCTCAACCCTCTTTCTCCAATAACTGATGACAGTTACCAAAGAAGTTATATCATCAGCAGATTTCCACAAAGCACTTAAATCCTTAAAGGAAAAGTGTGGCAGGCGCTCATGGAGTACATGAAAAGCAAGATTTTCTAAAGTATATTTCAAAACATTTACGGAGGACCTCATCATACGCCAAATGTTCAAAATATGCCTTCCTGGTACTGTTACACCCGAAGTATGTGTTCTACCGTACCTGTCGGTCCTTCTCTTGGTATCACTCATTTTGAGTCTAGAGATTTCTTCCGTGAAATCTAGCCCAAAGGCACATTCAAAGCGCTCAATAATATACCCCCAAGAACCAGAATTTACCTCGTAGCCCGAAAGAATATCAGGATCTAGAAGAAGGACGAGGTTCGCAAAGGCATCGAGCAAGTCGTATTCAGAATTGTAGAATGCGACGGGCACCTTGCCAGCTGCCTGTTCTATTCGGGTCATCAATAAGGTATTCCCGTCGTCCGGACAGAGCACGAATACGCCTTCTTCTGCTAAACCGATATCTATCGTAAATGAACCCTCTTCAACCCTCCAGAAAATCATCTGAATGGCGTCATACTTAGGATCTGGTATAAGTGGACCTCTGGTATTTACATGCACCTCGGCACACAAGTGAGATAGCGGTTCATGATCTCCATGGCTCAGTTTCTTCAATGAGTCATTACTTTTATACTTGTACCCAAATTCATTGCTTGAGTTCTTGTAATCAATCTGCGAACGATGATTGTACCCTTTCCCTTCCGAAACCTTTTCTGCCTGAGAGATAAAATTAAAGGTGGGAGGAGGTGGCAAATATCTCCAGAAGGTGGAAAGACCCTGTCTTTCGTTTCGTTCATAAGGGTCTTCAAGACTAAGTGCCTTGCGACACGACAAATGCGGGGAAGTGAGGCTGAAGTGTCGACCCGAGTAAACATATTCTTTCCTTTTAAGATCCAAAGGATTTGAAAAAAAAGGCCCCTGATAGCGGATCTTTGGTAAACCGCATGACTCTAAATCATTCAAAATGGTGTCAAACATAACTGAACAAGGATAGTACTTCCATGAGTTCGGTGGCTGCGGTATGCTTTCTGAGCTCGACAAAATGATTTTACTCCGTTTTGAAGGTCCGTGATTTGCAATTTCGTTCGCGTTTAGAGCCTGACTCTTCCTTTTCAGCAAATTTTGGGTCAAGGTCTCATCATCAATTAACTTGAGCGGCTGTTCCGATTCTGAGGGTGAGCTTGTCACGATTTCCTTGACTCCGGCTTCGTCGGCTTCGCCGACTTCGCTTTCGCCCTCATCAGAGCCTTCGGAATTTTCCGGCTCAACTGACATTTCTTTGAGAGCAGTTGTCTGCCTAGGAAAGATAGTTGTGCCAGCACCAAAATCGGCTTTTTCTAAAAAAGTGAGTGGTTCCGGCTGCAAATTCAGGAGCGCATCACTCGGGGTTGTTGCAAAGTTGAATAACGGCAGAGCCGTCTTGTCAGGATTGGCTATTCCTGGACTCTTAGTCGCAGTTCTTTTCTCTGCTTTCTTTAAAAATTGTTGGAGTTCCCTATCGTTCTGCCAGATGTGCTCGTCAATGGTTCGCTTGAGTTCCTGAGGTTCAGACCAGGGATCCAAGCCGAATTGTTGGCGGAGAGCTTCGATTTGATTCCAAAGTTCTTTAGTCGAAGATATAAAAAGAGTCTTGCCGTTATCAGTCAAGCTTCCTTCGAAAAGAGTGTTGTGAAGATCACGATACTCAAGGCTTCTTCTGTTATCAATGTGCTGCGCCAAAATATCTATTTCGAGCAGACTATGGCCCATTCTCTTAAAAGACCGGTCGAGACAATTTTCGCCGCCTTTGTTGAATCTATTCAGAAATCTCGTCAGGTCCTCTGTCTCGTAGAGCACATTGACCGAGTTCTCCTCGTTCAAAACTGGTGTACGAAAATAACAATTGGTAGCTTTCAGCCATGAACAACCGTAAAGATTGTAGTCGGTAGAAAATTGAAGTAGAAAAGGTAAGTGCGATTCATAAGTTTTCCTCTTTAATCCATCGAATTTGCCCTGCCGCAAAAGATCAGAAAGCTTTGTAGTATAAGCAGGATTCAGCATAGTAATTTTATAGAAAGCTCTCCAGCCGCAATGATACCCATAAAATGGAACGCCTTTGACGACACAAACGTCAGCGATGAATCTTAAAAAATCGATACCACTTTTATCTGGATTTTCGTCCTTGGCAACATCACCTGAATCTCCTGAGTTTCTATCAGTTTTGCGTTTCTTGGTCTTTTTGTTAACTGTCGCTTCTGCTAGTCGAGTTTCCACATATTGATGCAATTGCGAACATCGAGTTTTAATCGTCTCTATGCTATCCTCGTCGTCTCCATCATAATCTATGATGATATATGGCAAAACGCCATGAATATGACACAGAATGCGGTGACCAGTTGGAAGGGCTCCATAAACTCTAATAACTGGTACGTTACCAAACTTCAAGTTAGGAAGACTATTACCAAAACTACGGTCCAAAGAACTTGGTGAAGTCAGATAGAAGTCATGAGCGTTCATTTGGATATGGACATGATTTTCAGACAGACTCAAACTCGTTGCGTTGAAGCTACCATCACTGCTCATCCCTTCATGTTCTGGTGGCGATTTTTCTTTCTAAAGGTATAATTCTTATATTAAGTTTAGTAATGAAAGCTTCAAAGTTGACCACTATAAAGAGAGATGAACAACCTAAATACTATCGTATACATCAAGATCGCTAGAAAGAAGCGTGAAAATTTCCAAGATCCTGCAGAGTTTGTTTGGGACCTGCAAAAGGACAAAGAACTGTGGATTAAGGTATCAAGATCAGGTAACAATGGTGGATCTATTGACTGGGTGAAACTATCGGAGGAGCTTCATGCGCCTGAATACTTTCTACGCAAAAGAAGCTACAGACTTTTTGCAACACATTTGAGGAGTTTTAAGCACCAAATCGTGTCTCAGAAAGAGAAACGGAGTGTCGATTTAAGTGCCGACAAGGGTCATGCAAAGGGCACATCTGTTGATGATAGGGAAAAACTGGCTCTCAAAAACATATATAACGACAACATCAACGAAAAAGTCAACGACAATGACAACGACACATCATCGTCTAAGGTCGTGCAAAATCTTAGGTCGTCTAAGATATTGAGAAATCGTCTTCCTTTTAGTGAGAAGAATGAAGGTACATCTTCAAGCGAATACTCAAATTTAAGTGTGAGTAAATCGGCACTGGAGGAAGCACTGCTAGACCGCCTTCAACTCTAACGAACACCTATCGCAGGTGCAGTTGAAAAACCAATTTTCAGAGAAACTTTTTTGTCGTTCTTTAACATCAAGATCCAAAATGCCAGAATAATCGATGCAAAGCTGTTCGTTAGCATTGATGTCCTTATTAGTCACGAAGTGAAGTGTATTTCCAATCCTTCTCTTGTCGACGTTTGGGGCGCACGAATGGTTGAAAAACGACGCTTCTGGGATCATCCAGTACCCTAGAAGCTCGCGCGCATCAGATTGCAGCCCCAGTTCCCATATTCCGAATGAATTGGCATAATCTGCTCCTATGATGTGTCTGAACAGAGTACTTGTCAAGAAAGACTTCAACTCGAAAGGGAGAATGATATAGAGCGTCTGAAAGATTTTGATTTGAGACATCAACAAACTCGGAGCTCGCCTTATTTTAGAGATCTCATTCGACTGCAGACACTCGAAAGCCTGATTTCTGGTGCACAACTCTTTCTTAAGATTGTCAGCACGGATACGCCATAGAGTGTCGATTACGAAACGCACAGAAATGTATTCTTCCTCTGTAAGAATTGGGGCCTCCATTTGTTGGCGTGTGTCTTTCAGTTTGCTGAGGCGAGGGATCCATTCGGTTTCGATTTGACTCCATCGTTGCTCGATGTGTTTGTTGATATCCGCAGCGATCGGATCAGCACCTGTTTCCTCCGACTTTTGGGCTGCTCTGGCTTTATTTTGGCTTTGAAATAAACGCAAAAGCTTTTCAAAAGATATTAAAAGTACAGAAACATCTCGGAGGGTTAGAAAATCACGACGACATAGGTCCGAACAAAACCAAAGTCCCGCTCCTAAGAAACTGCCTTTTTTCAGGAGAGTCTCCATTTCCTTGCCAGATGGGTAAATCTTGATTACAAAAGCCTGCAAATCCTCTGCACTCAGTTTAAACTTCATGGTATTTCCACCTTCGTAATGGAAACATCGGTGACACACTTCTTTGCGGAAATCGTAACATACCGTGCAGCCTACGGGCTCTTTCGATTCGAGAATGATTGTTCCGCGAGAAATATTTCTTTGAGCGAAACAAGCGCGACCACCATAATTGGTTTGTCGTACCGCGAAAAACCCCGATAAATGGAGACCTTCTGGAGAGGGTGTCATTAATACCCTAAAGGAAGACAGAGCCCATCGCAGGCTTTTCTCTGTTGATAGGCCTCATGAAGTTTTCCATGCACTATGCAGAAAAACTTCGAGAAGGCCACGTGACAATTGGACTTCGACAATGTCAGAATACTTCAAGAGGCTTTTTTCACTGAAATGCTGTCCGTCTTGGTTGTTCTCTTTATGATCCTTCTTTTCTCGAGTTTCTTTATGATGGGGGTTGATTTCATAGGATATTGACCCGTCATTACTTTTCAATAGATGCCTTTTATATCGAGACGGAGCAGCTATTTGGTCGAAACTATTTCTTTTAGGGATTCCATCAATTGGTGCTATAGTATGACTAGCAATTATTCGCAGTAGTCAAGTTGCGAAGTTATTGTCGAAACATTTGCTGTGAAGGAATGTTGCCGAAACTCATAAGATGACATAAAGTTGGCTACGATGTTAAAAAAAGGTAAAAGGCAATTTGGAAAATCTAGCGGTGTTTCGTGTTAAACGCAGGAGCTGTTAACAATCGGAAACTGCGGTTCTTTCTTTTCGACCCCGAATCGTTTATTAGTTGTACGGCTTCGGGAGTCTTCAGGTCCTTGACGCTCTCAAGACGCCAAGTTAGGTTACCATACGCCCCGAATCATTAGAAAAGGTCACAGCTTGGAAGTTAGAAACTCTTAGTATACGCCGAGTCTCTTTTGTTGATTCAAATCACGACACCAACCGCTTTAATAGGATGTCGTTCAATGGAGAGAATTGTTATAATAAGCCAGCGTTCCGTTTAAGGAATGACCTACTACATATACCGAAAATCAAAGAGCTGTTTAGTTATGTCATGGCAATTTTGAGCCAGCTTGATCACCTTTCACCTCTATCTATCTATGATACATGGTTTCCTAAATTCCACTTATCAGGACATGTGAAGATCTTAAGTTAAGAAGATAATAGATCAATGACTCTTAAACAAACAAAACCCAATATCAAAACCGCGAACATTGCTTATCACAATGTCATTATATAAACTGATTACTCCAAGAGCTCTACAAGAATTGATTCAAAAAGAGACCGCTCGCCGTGTTATACCCGTGGATTCTACTTGGTATCTCCCTAATGCTAACAAAGATGCCAAAGAGGAATTTCTGGAAGTCGAACGGATTCCTAAGGCGACATATTTTGACATTGACGCTGTCAAAGATGTGAGTTCTCCTTATCCACACATGCTACCATCATTGTCGATGTTTAACAAAAGTATGAGCGACCTAGGTCTTCTGCAAAGTGATGTTTTGGTCGTTTATGACCGGAACGGGATTTTTAGTGGACCACGTTGTGCTTGGACTTTCAAACTATTTGGTCACAAATATGTGTTCCTTCTTAACGATTTCAAGGCCTATAAATCCATGGGATTTCCTTTGGAGAATTCTCCTAGAACCACGCTATCCGACTTACCACCTACGAACTACAATTCTACAACCGACTTGACCAAGGAAGAAACTGTTTCCTTCGATGACATGCTAAGTCTTGTCCAGTCTGGCGAATTGAGCAAGAAATACAACGTTTTCGATGCGAGAAGCACAGGCCGTTTTACCGGCCAAGCTCCAGAGCCCAGACCTGGTCTTCCCTCCGGTCATATTCCAGGTAGTCAATCACTTCCTTTCACGGAGGTCTTGACTGATGGTTCTTATGATGAAAACGCTGCAAAGATAAAAGAGCATCTAGACGCTTACATTGAAAAAGCTCAACTAAAACTGGACCCGTCCAATCCCACAATTGCTCTCTGCGGAACTGGTGTGTCTGGTGTTATTATCAAGTCTGCTCTTGAGCAAGCTGGTGTACCCAATGTTAAACTCTACGATGGAAGCTGGACAGAATGGGCCATGCGAGTTGATCCATCTCTTATTGCCAAAGGCTCAAATTGATTCAAGATAAACGTATATTTACAGCAGCTTATATAGAGCAGCTAAGGCTTGCAAGGTGAGCTTCTCACGCTTTCCCTGTTTGTAGTTGACTTTTTAGAATAGTCCTAGCCATAATAAAATTTCATAGATTCCAAATTTTGGTGATTATCTCTTAACGATGGAAATTGAAAGTAACGACTAGACTACTAAATGGCTGCTTTGCCAGGTCTTGCAGATAGTCTCACACCGCTAGAAGACACCAGTGATGGACCAAAATCCCAAGAGGTAGTGATACCTGCGAACCACGAATGGAGAGTCGAGTCACCTCCGGACACCAAGCTGGTCATAAAAGTGAAATCCGGAATTGCAGAGATATTTGGCATCGAGCTTGCCCTTGAGCAAAATTACACTTTCCAGGGTATGAATTTTGCATTATTTGCCGTTGAAATGGTAGAATTGCAATATTCTTGCTTAGATTTTCCTAAAACCACAATTTCGGATGATACCAACATGAAATATATCTACAACCTGCACTTTTCCTTTGAAAAAATGAGAATATCAAGTTTTGACGGTCCAAAGGTATTAATTGTGGGAGATTCATGCAGTGGCAAAACTTCCTTGGCCAAAATACTCTGTTCTTATGCGCTAAAAATTAAGTCATATCAGCCCGTGTTGGTCAATCTCAATCCGCAAGAAGGTGTGTATTCTGCACCTGGTTGCATTAGTGCAACACCCATATCTGATATTATCGATGTGACGACGCCAACTTGGGGCCAGAGTATGACTTCAGGCGCTACCAAATTACACTGCAAACAACCCATCGTCAAGAGCTTTGGACTGGAAAACATTTCCGATAACAAGCATCTCTACAAAACTTTAGTACAGGATCTCGGCCAAGTGCTTTTAGAGAGATTGCAGAACGATCCAGTTGTGCGTCGTTCGGGTTTCATTATAGACACACCCCCCGTATCACAACTCCTTGACGATCTGGAGCTTTTCAAGCTCATAGTGAAGACTTTTAAGGTGAATGCAATTGTTGTATGTGCGACAACAGATGATCTTGCGATCAAAATCGATGAAATTTTGAAGACTCAAACCATTACAATAGTGCGATTACCTCAATCGAGCGGTGTTGTAGCGGTTGACGACGTTCATAAACGATTTCTACAGCGAAATGCTATAAAGGAATACTTTTATGGCGACCACAATGTCACGCTAAGTCCTTACGTGGCGGGAGTTGACTTTGACATGGTCACCGTTTGGCAACCTCCAAGCATTTTAGAAAATCACGAATCTGATCCCACCGATCTACTTCCTGTCGAAGTAAACTCAAGTAACTTACAGCACGCGCTAATTGCGATCACTTACGCCCCACGTCGAGCTTCCAAAGATGAAGTTTTGCACAGCCCAATACTCGGGTTTGGCCTGATCATGGAAGTCAATGACGTGAGAAAGAAGCTTCGAATCTTGCTTCCTGTGCCAGGTAATTTGCCAGATAAAGCCATGATTTTGACGGCGTACAGATATTTAGAATAAAGTCAATACGAATTTTTACGCAAGGGAAGCCAATCGTATTCAACTAGCATCAATTGGCGAAGAATTAAAATATCATCATTTTTGGGCTTGATTTTCGTTGATATTGAGACTGTTTTGAACTCAAAAAGACGTTCTATAGCTAAAGAACCGGCTTTAGAAAGAAATCTAGGATAACTTCAATTCTATGACTCATAGGTCTCGCCTATTTATTAGCGAGACTTTGACTCCTCATGACGTGTCAATCTTAATTTTACTGGTATTTTATTGCATAAACATTGAACAAATTGACCTTGACATTTTTGTGAAGCTCATCCCACCGTCAACAGAAGAAAGCAATGATCTGGCATTGCTTGAGTTCAATCAGGGAGCGCCAATTGTGGCCGACGCGACTTTGTTTGGATGTTTGAGCATTTTGGAGGAAAACAATCATAAGGCATTAGCTGCCAGACTCGTATCGACCTTAAAATCGATCAGAAATGTTGACGGCCTTTCAAGACTGGTCAGGGTTCTGGAGAAACATTGCTTAAAGCCCAGCTATCGATCTTTTAGTGTTGGTGAAGGTGTGAGAGTTTTCAAGCGTCAAATAGCACAGGGCAGTTTCTTAGGTCGATATTTGAGTCAATGCATTCTAAGGCATAAAATCGAAGAGTTTCAGGAAAGTGAAATTCTATGGGAAAATCTACTTGTTTACAGATCTACAGGTTGTTATGAAGATGTGGACTTTGATTTGGATCCTGTCATGGCATATATCTTTACTCAAAGCGATACCGAAAGCGATATCTCGAGATTCAATGTTTTCAACCAAGGCCTTGAAGACGCACTGATACTCAAAAAGCCTCCCAAGGTAAATGGTCACACTCTCATGCTCTTCAAAAATCATTTAAATGCTCTCTTGAGTGAAGAATTCCACAGGATGACGCGGCTCGATTTGCAAATGTCTGATCGAACAAAGTGTATCCTGGCGTCAATGACCTTAGATGACCTATCCTGCTTCCCAACGGCGCACATGCTGAAATATCTTCAAGCGCTTCGAGATAGACAGTATGATGTTTCTCTTGATGAGCTTTACAAATATTTCGATTACATGTTGGGATACAACGGAGAGAACTTCTTCCATACTTCATTGCTGGCACTCGCCTCTTTTCATGCTCATTTTTACAATAATGACATTGCAGTTAAAACTTTCGAAGAGGCTACTACGGTCGCAAGAGAAAATAAAGATATCAATACACTGAATTTGCTTCTTATGTGGGTCTTTGAGTTTCTCGAAAAGGATCGTCAACGAGCAGACGAATTCAAAATTACGACAAAACAAATCCTTGATTATTTGAAGTCCAGCTCTGATGATCAAAGCTCGATAATTTTCGAAAATGCATACAAATTCGAATCGCGATGGTTACTTTTGGGTAATACTGGTGTCGACTTGGTTTTACAAGCTACATTCAAAGCCTTAGTTCTGAATTTCCAAAACCTCCAATTCACATCGGATCACAGGTCGCTATACAAGCATATGAGCAAAGTATGGAGAGATCTCGGCAGTTCAACGTTGTCAGAAGTTTATTCGAAATTAGCCGGAGAAAAGAAAGATGACTGCATGTCAAGCTATCGGAAAGCAGAGAAAGCATTTGATGAACGTGATTTTGCAACGGTGCGACTGCATCTAGATATCATAGATTCACCGGCCATTTCTTATGAGAGTCGGAAAGAATGGCAACTACTGCGTCTCCGCTTTTTGAAGGAAACTGGAAGTTATGTGGAAGCCATGAATTTCGTCAATTTAAGAATTAAGGAATGTAAAAATGAATGTCCTAATAGAATATGGAAACTCAATTTCCTTCTCGAAAAATGTTACATTCTTTTGGACTTTAACATGGCAGCTAGATGTATTCCCTTAATTGAACCTCTTCAACAAACTGCTCGCGAAACGATGGACCCAAAAACAAATGCTCGCTTGGCGCTATTGCTCGTTGAAATTCTTATGCATCTCGAAAAACTCGAGGAGGCCATAGAAGTCCTTAATTGTACGTTTCACTCGATGGTCCAGTATTGCGACTACAGTGATCACAAACATATCATGAGAAAATGCCTGATCATGAAAAAATCCTGTGGAAATAATTTCAAAATATCATTTTCTGAGCTGGAGCAAGCTCTAGTTGAGCTTGGGGGTAAATGCAACCGAAACTAGAGGCAAAATCGTCATCTTCACAAGTTCTCACTTTTAGAGGATGTTCCTGCATAAAAGTATCCAGCATCGGCTAAACTGACGACTGGAACTACAGACGGCCTACCATGGGCGCAGCAAAAAGGGCTGTGACACCTTGCCAAGGACTCAGTAATAATTTGGCATTCACTAGATGTCAAAAAGTCATCAAACTTTATAGCTGATCGGCAGGCTTTACTTTTTAGTGCTTGCAATATCATATCAGGGATTGCAGCCTCAAGTTTCCACCAATCAACTTTTAAGTCTTTTGTTGACCCAATTTGGGGGCAAGTTTCAGTGGCTTTCGTCTTCCTTCCTGTTCTAAGGTCTTCAGCATATTTATAAAGGCCTGCTTCCAAGAAAGAGGCATCTTTTCGGACCTTACGTTCGAGAAAATCGGGCAAGCTTGATACAATCAAAAGCGCATCTCTTTCTTCAGGGGAAGTCGATATGTGGATGTTAATGCCCCAAACTTGGAACTCTCTAATGAACTCCTCCACAAGCTGGGCATGAACTATGCTCAAGCTTGTTCGGAAATAAAAAGTGGCCAAATTGCGACTGAAGGAACTCACGGAGTCTGAAATATATCGTTCCAAATATTCCTCGTACCTAACCCTTTCATCTGCTGCATGCTGATCAAGAATCATGATTTTGTTGTCCGAAGTTCTTCGACTTAAGGCAGACCTCAAAAGAATGAACTTTCGATCAACTTGCCCAACTACGGAACAAGACCTCAATTCTTCTCTAGTTATAACAGATGTATCATACGCATCGGAGCTGCCCCTTTGCCTCAGTCTACTGCTTGTGTCACTAGAGTAATAAGTTTCTGGTTTCAAAAGAGGATGCAAAAGCAGTGTCTGCTTCGTTGTCTCAAATTTTACCGTGGTATCTTTAGCGGAGCTTTTGCTGTGGTAATTGGCACATATCTTTCTTCTCTTCTTCGTTTGCTGACCTTCGCTGCAGAAGTGAGATCTTCGACAATTGGGCGAGATTGGCGAAGGAGTGCTGAATTCATGAGAAACTTGGCCAAAAACGGGTGAGCTCGTTTCAAGAGTATCATAGGCACTTGACTCTTGCAGCTTAAAGCTCAAAAACTTTTCAATAGTCTTAATTGCAAGCGAATGAAATAACGTCAGGTTAGCAGAGCATTGTAGCTTGACGGAGGAGCATCTCAGAACAAAGAACGGGCTATAACGCAAAGACAGTCCTAGTTTCTGAGCGGAATGATATGGATTGCTAATTTTTTGCATTTTGGATGAGAATTGCTTGCTAATGCCTTTTTCAAGACCGTGTTCCTCGTCGCGTAACCTCTTGTTGAGCAACACTACGGTAAGTTCGGCTAAATCCTTGGGTACCAAAGCTAAAACCCCTTCGACTCGTTGTCCTTTATAACTGACAGAAATGTCTTCAGCATTTTTGGGCCACACCGTACTGCCGTAAATACTCTCGTAGCAATGTTTAACCTTCACGTGGAATGGTAGAGTCTCGCTCACTCCCGATGACCGCACCATAAGACGCCTCTCGCTTTTACCGTCAATTTTGTAAAATTGGACAGCGGCAGAAGAGCTGTTGATCTGGTAACGAAATAAATCGAAGCGGCACTGATGAAAGATCTTTGAAACGGGTTCAGCTGCAAGTTTCTTACGTCTAACAGGCAAATTGTAAAAAAACTTGTCAGCCCAAATGATTGTTCCATTTTCCTTCAGTATCCACTCCAGCAAAGATTTCGAGTGCGACGGCAACGATTTTAAAACAAAATCTGTCTCGCTGAGAGTTTTAATAGCACCATCTGAACCCTTTATTCTGGCTTCTTGGCCTGCTGTCTTGGAAATAATGGTTAAATGGGAAACATTGCTTAGAGATTGTAGAAACTCCCCTCTGTAACCATAATTCCCGCCGTTGGCATCGTTCCTACTGCCTTTAGATGTACAATGCGCTTCTGCAACCAATTCCATATCATCTGGTGATATACCACTACCGGTGTCAAGGATCAGTATCGAGTTCTTGTCGAACACAACATTTACCTCTATTTCGCTTGCTGTTGCATCGAAACTGTTTTCTACTAAACCCTTGATGGCCACTGTCGTTGAGCTGATGCTTACATGAGATCTTATGGCCGCTGCGATGTTGGCATCGAGTCGATGAATTCGCTTGGTCATTCAGGCATAGCTAAGTCACCCTGTCAAGATATATCAAGAGATCGATATATCAAGAGGTCGATGTCAAGCCTGAAATTAGAATTTCACCAGTGCCTTGCAGTTGGGTTAATGTTGAAGGTGTTAATTTTCAGTTATAAGGAGACGTGATTCCTCTTGCTTTCTAATTGAGTTTGGAAAAAGGCTTATAATCGAATTTCAAGTCTTGTTGGCAGGAAGATTAAAACTGGAACGAATGCTGAAAACTATAAAAGATCAAGGTAAATGAGAAATCAGAATTTCATGAAATATAGCAAAACGAACTCTTAGCTTCCCAATAACGTAGCTTATGTATGTGGTGAATAGCTTACAGCGTGGGTCTGAAAGTCTAAAATGGCAGCTTAAAGGCCTTAGTAAGTGGTTTGGTTGGAAAAGATAGCAGAGTTACTGGAAATAATAGGTCCGGCTGAAGAGGTCGATTGTCCCGCGGTGACGGTCACGTACTGGGTGGCTTGGTACTGAGTCACCGTGACGGTTTGTGGCACGCAAGCGGGCGTAGAAGTACCAATGACGATGATTTTTTCGTATGCACTGGTCGAAGTGGAAACAGCGTTGCTGTTGCTGCCCGAGGCACCCGACATGGTCACCTCCTGCGTAACGTAGAGAGTCGACGTTAAGGTAGACCACATGTCAGTGGACGAAGTCGAGCCAAGTTGACCGTCCTTCCTGTTCAGATCCAGGGTTCCATCGCTGGCAGCGGAGCCGTCGGAACTCGACGCCGCCGATGCAGTGGTGGTAGGAGCGTAGGTGATCGTAGTCAAAAGCGTGACTGTGGAAGTGAGGTCGCCATCGGTTGTGAGCTCCGTGATCGTAGAGGCAGACTTAGACACCGGAGCCAGTGTAGTGGTTCCGTTGGTGTATCCGCTAGCAGCAGAGGCTGTGGTGGTGAGCACGCAGGCGGTAAGGGCGCCGGTGATAAAAGAGGAAAACTTCATGAGATTGTTCTTAAAGAATGACTAAGTTGGAAGTTGGTTTGATGATTCTTCAAACGCGTCTGATTTGACTCCAAATACTGATGGTTTTTGAGATGAATGAGTGGACGAGACCTGTATAATAGGCTCACTGAATTGGTTCTGTTTACAGTTGGAAGGTGACAAGATGTCAAAACTAAGAAAATATTACGCTGCCTCCTTTATATATGCTTGCAAAGCATTCCCGCTACTGTTAAGCCGCATAACCGGTAAGAATGGCGCTCACAAGTTACTACCGCGACGCGAAATTCTTTCGAACGCGAAAAATCGATGTCACATCTGAAGTGAAAAATAGGTGAAAATGATCAACTAAGACGAGAGAAGGCGGGTTTACAATGCGCATTGTGGCATCTTTGGTTGATTTGATCTTGAGCAACGAGAATGCGGCGTCTTAATATTACGTATTTCGGGGCTTAACGGCCCACAGCATGCCGAAATTATTTTTTTCACATTAGTATTAATTATAGACTTGTATGAGTTGATATGGCTTCCATGTGAGGTTAGCTATCCCCAGTTTAGCATTCGTGTTTGTAATTCTTTGCAATTCGTCTGCGTAATTGTGTCCGTAATGGTCTGCTTCAGGATCAGAACAATCAAAATTCTTCACTGCAGTAGGTTTCATGAACTCGTGCAAATTCTTCAAGATCAAGAATTCGAAGCGGTTGGCTACTAGCGTTATCCAAGTCGAACGGCCCAAGGGCGTCTTCCTTGTTCCAAGGTACGGCTGAATGGCCGCTGCATGCTTGTCTTACCGATACAGAAAGAAACTTGGTTTCTTGAGCCATTAGTAACATTCTTGATGCAAAGAATTCGAAGCATGTCAAATGCGAAGAAAGATAAACAAATAGACGAGACCCAGCCCAAAGCTTCCGCGGAGCAGGACGTTCAGTCGGGCATACGACTTTACTCGGCATTGCGCTCATTGTAAAGTATGCCCTTTCATCCCGTTTCACACCGCACCGTATTTGGGCGGCCCCCGGGGCCTCGATCGCAACGACGGGTGTAACTTAATTATGCTGTCGACGCAAAAATACTGCAAAAGATTCAGTACAACAGGAAACGCAAACATCACCAGAAAAACTTGGAAATTGGGCCATGGATCGGACCATCCGAGTACAAAATCCGCGAACCAGTTCGCCAGATCCTTGAAGTACACTAGAAGCAAGAAAAGTGCTAGTTTCATGCAAACCAGGCCCCAAATGAAAACCGCCAGTTGCTTCAAGAACGCAGAGAAAAGTGGACCCTCAGGAGTATTCCGCTCCAAATGCCCTGGTGGTGGTGTATTCTCCAATTCTAAGTCCATCGGGTCATCCTCCACGTAGTACTTCCCGCTCTTGATGTTCTTGACGCCAAGGCTAAGCAGCACACTTTCTGTGTAGTGCAAAACAAACCACAGAATTGGTATGCCAACAGTGGTGTCCATAAGCAGATTTAAGAAATACAAATCGCACTGGTCATCACCGCCCGTGTTTGGCGCATTTTCGAGAAACATCAGCAGCACTTTTTTGCCCCGCTTCAGCAAAATGCTTGCAATCAAGTTCAAAAAATGGGTTCCTAAAGACCCTAAAACTTGTTTTCCGATGTCGTAAGTCCACACAGTCCAAGTCCTTCGAGGCCGTTCGTACTGTCTTTTTATCAGAAGTCCCCCTATTGCAGTGGCCCCCATAAACCCTTGTATTATCAAAGAAACCGAGCCCAAAAGTTGGCACGATCCATCGCTTTCGCCGTCGTTCATGGTCGCACTAAACCATCCAAACGGAGATTGATTAAGATACGTCTTCTCAATTTCGATATTATCCCATGTGATGAGGTCCTGAAATTGATTTTACGTATCTTATGATGCCCTTGACAGATTGATGTTCAAGAAAACTGACACCTCTAATGAGTCGACGCCAAGCAAGGGCCACTTCGAAACTGAATTGTTGTGGAAATGCTAGACTAGCTTAGCTGTTTCTGTAGAGATTATCTAAATCTTAGGATTCGATGAGTATTGTCAAAATGCCTGAAAATACTTGAACACGAAAATGCTTGAAGAAACCGCTATCTTTGCTTATTCTCCTATCTCGAGATGATCTTAAACTGACATCAAGGCTCTTCAGCTGAATCCTCGACTTTTTAAGCCGGGTATTTAGCCTTAAATGACCACATTCGCTTCGTATCTTGCAGAGCATGCTCAATCCCTTACGGGTTCCTTGAGCTGATGCTACCGCAGTATTTTATGTCTGTGGGTTGGCAGCAAGTAGCGAATAAAACGCTAAACTTGAATTTTTTGCTTCTTGAGAAGCTTTTCAGCGCAGTCGTGAAGCTTTTCTTCGTCTGAAGAAAGCGTTCGCTGGCGGAGAACCTCGAGTAAAAGGCCGGCGACGTATGTCGCATTGTTCAAAATGCCCGCACTTGCGGCGTCGTTGCGCTGTTGAAGTGTGCGGGCAGTATCGAGCACATTGTAAATTTCCATCGCGTATTGCTGAATGAAAAGGTTTAACGTCATCTCCTTCTGTCGGTGGAGGTACAACCCAACTGCTTTGAAGAGATGAAACAAATATTCCGGAGAAACCGTCTGTGACTGAAAACCTGGTTTTGTCGGACGGAACGCAGAAGCCCAAAGCTCATCTGCGATCTTTGGGTCCACTTCTTGACTTGAAATCGCTAATTTGCCCAGTATCAGGCACACAGGCGTGCCGCTGTTCGCAAGCACTACCGACCTCCAATTGTCGTCGGCGAGTGCCAGGCGCAGTTTCGAGCCTGAGAGAAGCGCTGCAAGCTTTGATTCAAGTGCCTCGATGAGTGGCGTAAGGTTCTGGTAATATGTGCATTGATCGTTTGCAGTTTTCAAAGAGACAAAGAGTAATTGTAAGTCTTCTGGGCGCAATTCTAACACACTGTCCGGATTCAGCAGCTTTTTGGAAATGTCCAAGAAACCTTGTAGCTGAACCGCGTCTTTCAGCTTTACAGCATTTTCGATAATCTTGCGAAAGTTTATGTGAGACGTTATCTCGTCCACGTCGCTTCGACTTGCAATAGAGTTTGAAAGAAGAATCATCGCAGCTGCAAGAGTATAGCCAGGTGAATCTTTGTGGATAGCTTTATATGCTATTTCTCTCTCCAAGAGGTTGGTGCTGGAAGGGTTCGAAGATATGTATCCGATAATGGACACTAGTCTTCTCAAAATAATAAGCTTATTCTCGTAAGTCTCTTCAAGCTGTGCTCTTTCTAGGATTGAGAAAAGGTCGTCCAAAACTTTGAAAGTTAATGTGACATCGGAAAAGTTCAACTTCTCATTTTGGGACGAAACTATCTCTAAAACGTCGGTGAGCAGCTGAAGTGACTCAGAAAATGCGTCTTCATCCTCGTCGTTGTCGTCAGCCGATTTGGGCTTTAGAGAAAATACTGCACTGCGCAGTACAGAGACCAGCAGTGCAAAATCTGGTAACGAAAATTCAAGATAAGAGTACTTGGCAAAATCCACTAGTATATCTAGCGCAACAAATACGTGGTCCCAGTCTGTTGCACGCAAGTCGCCGCGAAATAATTCTTCAAGTACAGCAATCATCGGCCTTGTGCACGAGAGCGCGCACATTTTCGTATATTCCTCATTCCCTATGCACAAATTCTTCAGCAGCACCATGAGTTTCATTCGAACCTCACTATCTGCCATGAGCAGCGCATTAGGTATCTGGCTATCGAAAAGGTCGGTTCCCGCTGAAACAACAATTTCACGGTTCTCGTCAATGTCTGCGACGCAATTTGCAATACAACGCACCAGCTCAGAAACCAATTCAATGAGATCCTCCTTTTGTAGTCCTCCCGGGAGCTCTAGCCCTGTAAACACTACCTTGAGTGTCCAGCCCAGGGCTAACACGAGCTTCTGTAACACCCCAGATTGACCTATATAATTCCTGTTTTCCGGTTCCCTCGCTGCCACCGCCACCGTTCCCAGAGTTGCGATGCTTCTTGCCAAAGAATCCTGGTCTATAGGGCCCGCATTCTGCCCCAAATCTAAAATGGGTTTCAAATCGTAAAGAACTGTTTCGAAGTCCATTTGCCCAGAGGTTTCTCGGCTGTGTACCTTTCCTAGCGTGTATTTTGGGTTTTGAGTGTTCTTGTAGAGTCCCAGTCGTGTCTAGATCCGGATGGCTTTGCTTAAGTCGTGGGTCGTTGGATGGTGATCATGTAAAGTCTCTGAAAGATGCTCCCCGCTAGCGATTTTTTCATCAATATCGCAAACAAACCTCTTTTTGAAGACGACGATCTAGACGCGGTATATATACCTAACGATGACACATTACCTGGCGAATTGACTTAGTTACGCTTTCAAGATGAGCTTGCTGATATATTACAAAAAAGTGGTTAAATTTTACGCTTAGAGCACCGTTTGAAGGCGATAAAATCTCTTAATTGAACAAGTACAATGCAAAGTGCTTGTAAAGCATAGTCCTCCTGTATTTACGCGTTGCTTTACGGATTGGTTAACCTCACCACCGATGTCAATTCTCATCCAAGAAATGAGTTTCCCTCGAGATTTCAAAAAATTGCTTCGTGTATAGGGACGTTGATATTCTCATCGCACGAAAGATTACCTTAAAGACTCAGGTAAACGGCGAAAAAGAGGCCTTACGGGAGGTTTGGAAAGCATAAAAGAAGGATCTTGTCATCGGTTTGTGAAGTTTAGGGCCTTTTTTCGATCTCTTTTAATATGGGAAAATTTGATCCAGACGAATTGCCCTACTATAACGCCCGCAAAGTGCGAAAAGTCGCTATCGTGACTGGAGGAAACAGCGGGATTGGATGGTATACGGTGCTGCATCTGTACATGCACGGGTTTGTTGTGTACGTGGCAGGCCGGAACTCGACGCGTGTGAACAAGGCAATCAAACAAATCAAACGAGAGGCCAGGCGGCGACGGCGCGTCAAGGAGGGTAAACGAGCGGCTACGGAGGCAGATAGCAAAATTAGTGCCAGTGTCAGTTCCACGGGACCGGTTTTTGGTGAGTTACACTATCTGCCAATGGATTTGACGGACCTAAAGTCTGTGGAAAAGGGTTGCAAGCGGTTCAAGAGTCTGGAACCGCGACTAGACGTGCTGGTCAATAACGCTGGAGTAATGGCGCTACCATACCTAGTGACGGCAGACGGGTTTGACGTTCAGCTGCAGACAAACTATGTAGCACATTTTCTGCTTACTATGAGGTTGCTGCCCTGTATCAAGCGCTGTAGCGGGCGCGTTGTGTCCGTATCGTCCATAGGACACAACCTGGAGTTCCGCTACTTTAGCTTGAACCGTACATTCAACTACAAGCCCGATATGATTTTCACTTGGATGCGGTATGCGATTGCCAAGACTGCGTCGATCCAGTTCACTAAGCTGCTTGCCATCAAAAACCCGGATATTTTATGTATGGCCGTACATCCGGGACTAGTCATGAACACGAATCTGTTTAGCTACTGGACGCGACTGCCGATCGTGGGTATTTTCTTCTGGCTGGTGTTCCATTTAATTGGCGTCTTCTTCGGCGTCTCGAACGAGCAAGGCGCCCATTCCACGCTGAAATGTGCGCTGTCGTTAGATTTGGAACCAGAAATGGACAATGGGCGGTACTTCACCACGCATGGTGTTGAATCCAAGGCCAGCTACGTGGCCAGTAACTTAAATGACGCTGCGTCAACTTGGATATGGACCATGCATGAGCTACGCGATCGTGGTTTCGACGTATAACTATTCCTCCCGTCTTCAGACTCTGCGGCGTGTTTTCGAACCTGGAACCCTGCAAAAACTCCCTCAAATTTTTGCGCGTCATTACAAGAACGGTTACTAATTAGCTCAGCGTTATAAAACCAGCATCTGGTGGCTGAATTGGCTCGATACCGGATTGTTCTATGGGTCTGGCTTCCGGTCACGTGACTTGTCTTCGACAATTTCCAAAGGTCTTTCAATCAATGGAAAAATTTTAAATTTTCAGTCATAGACACCACCAGGTATCATAAACCATCTCAAAGGGCGCTATAAGTCTAAAGATGTCTTCTAGCGGCGAAACGAAAGGGCTCGTGTTAGAAAACACAGCCCGCAGAGATGCTTTGATTGCAATCGAGAAAAAATACCAAAAACTGTGGGCTGAGGAGCACTTATTTGAGATTGATGCGCCCTCGCTCGAGGAAGAAAACGCCAGCATCGACTCCGAAGAACTACATGAGAAATATCCGAAATTTATGTCTTCAATGGCTTATCCTTACATGAATGGTGTTCTGCATGCTGGACATTGTTTCACGTTGTCGAAAGTTGAATTTTCCGTTGGTTTTGAGAGAATGAATGGTAAAAGAGCGCTTTTTCCTCTAGCTTTCCACTGTACCGGTATGCCAATTTTGGCTTGTGCGGACAAGTTAAAGAGAGAGGTGGAACTTTTTGGCGCTGATTTCGCTAAGGCACCTGTGGACGAGGATGAAGAACCACAGGACGAAGTCAAGCAAGAATCGGAAGATGTCACAAAATTCAAAGCCAAGAAATCCAAGGCTGCTGCGAAAAAAGGGCGTGGTAAGTTCCAATTCGAAATTATGTTGCAGTTGGGCATCGCTAGAGAGGAAATCGTCAAGTTCGCCGATCCTTACTATTGGTTGACTTACTTCCCACCTCTGTGCGAGGAAGATTGTACCTCTTTTGGAGCCCGTATTGACTGGAGACGTTCTTTTATTACCACCGATATGAATCCTTACTATGATTCCTTCATCAGGTGGCAAATGGAAAAACTGAAGAGCGCTGGTAAAATCAAGTTTGGCGAGCGTTATACCATCTACTCGGAAAAAGATGGCCAACCTTGCATGGACCACGACAGACAGTCGGGAGAAGGTGTCACCCCACAAGAATACGTTGGTATCAAAATAGAAGCTACGGAGCTTGCTCCCGCCGCCAAGGAAATAGTTGATTCGTGCGAAGCCTTGGACAAGAACAAAAAACTATTTTTTGTGGCTGCTACTCTCAGACCAGAAACCATGTATGGTCAAACTTGTTGTTTCGTTTCACCTAAGATTGATTACGGTATCTTTGACGCTGGTGACTGTTATTACATCACGACCGAGAGAGCTTTCAAAAACATGTGCTATCAGAAGTTGACTCCAAAGAGAGGCGTTTACACGCCAATTGCAACTGTCAACGGGAGAGCCCTCATTGGTAGTAAGATTCATGCCCCCCTTACTCCCTACAAGGATTTGAGGATTCTTCCTATGGAGACTGTCATTGCTACTAAAGGCACCGGTGTGGTCACATGTGTTCCTTCGAATTCTCCAGATGATTTCATTACTCTCAACGATTTGAGAAACAAGCCTGAGTATTATGGTATTAACCCTGAATGGGTCAAATATGACCCCGTCCCAATCATTAGAACCGAAAAGTATGGTGATTTGATCGCACAGGCGATTTGCGAGGAAAAGAAAATCAGATCTCCAAAAGAGGCTGTTCTGCTAGCCGATGCCAAGAAGGCTGCCTACAAGGAAGATTATTACAGTGGTACAATGATTTACGGTAAATACAAGGGCGAGAAAGTTGAAGTTGCTAAGGCCAAAGTGAAGAAGGACCTAGTTGAAGCCGGAGAAGCTTTTGTCTACAACGAGCCTGAAGGGCTCGTTATGTCTCGTTCTGGGGATGAATGTATCGTTTCTCTTGAAGATCAATGGTACGTGGATTACGGTGAAGAATCCTGGAAGGAACAAGCTCTCGAGTGTTTGAACCAAATGGAGGTTTTTGCTCCTGAAGTTAGAAATGCATTCGAGGGTACTTTAGACTGGTTGAAGAACTGGGCTGTGTGTCGTACCTACGGTTTGGGAACCAGACTTCCATGGGACGAGAAGTATTTGGTGGAATCTCTATCTGACTCGACTATTTATCAAGCATTTTACACCATTGCTCACCTCTTGTTTAAGGACTACTACGGTAACGAGATCGGGCCTTTGGGCATTAAGCCTGAACAAATGACACCTCAGGTATTTGATTACATTTTTCAGCACGCGGATAAAATCGACTCTGACATTCCTTTGAAATCTTTGCAAAGGCTGAGAAGAGAGTTTGAGTACTTTTACCCATTGGACGTTTCCATTTCAGGCAAGGATTTGATTCCAAATCACTTGACCTTTTTCATTTATACACACGTCGCATTGTTTCCAAAGAAGTTCTGGCCTAAAGGTGTGAGAGCGAACGGCCATTTGATGCTAAACAATGCCAAAATGTCGAAATCGACAGGTAATTTTATGACACTCAAGCAAATGGTTGAGAAGTTTGGTGCTGATGCTTGTCGTATTGCGCTTGCTGATGCGGGTGATTCCGTGGAGGATGCCAATATGGACGAAGCTAATGCCAACGCAGCCATTTTGAGATTGTTCATTCTGAAGGAATGGTTCGAAGAGGTTCTGAAGTCCATTGACAATTTCCGTACCGGTGAGATCAAGGACTTCTTCGACGTGTCTTTTGACAACGAAATGAACTCTTTGATCGAGGAAACCTACAAGCAGTATAGTTTAACGAACTACAAGAGCGCCCTTAAGTATGGCCTGTTTGATTTTCAAACAGCCAGAGATTACTACCGTGAGACAACTCAAGTTATGCACAAAGATTTGGTTCTTCGCTATATTGAATTCCAGGTCTTGGCCCTGACTCCAATCGCTCCTCACTTTGCTGACTACGTGTGGCGGGAAGTTTTGAAGAAGACATCCTCAATTCAGCTTGCCAAGTTTCCTCGCGCCAGTAAGCCAGTCGACAGAAGCGCTTTGGCCGCCCTTGAGTACTTGAGAGATCTACAAAAGAGTATTCGTGAAGCTGAGGGTCAGGCGTTGAAGAAAAAGAAGGGTAAGGGAGCCGATGTAGATGCTTCTAAGCCTGCCAAGCTAACAATTTTAATTTCCGAATCCTACCCTGACTGGCAGTCTAAGTACATCGAGTTGGTGCGGGAACTTTTCGAGCAGCAGACGTTGGCTGACAACAGAAAGATCAAAGAGTTTGTCGAACCAAAAGATATGAAGCGTGCCATGCCCTTCATTTCTATGTTGAAACAGCGTCTAGCGACTGAACCAGCAGATGTGGTCTTCAACAGAGAGCTTGTGTTTGACGAAGTCGCTACTGTGAAAGCAACTACCGAGACTTTGAAGAAGTGTTGCCAGATAGTGAAATGTGAGGAGTTTCAATTTTTGTCCTTCCCTCATGGCTCTAAGGTCGGGAAGGATATCCATACCGGAGAAGAGGTCGAGTTGGTTGCTCCAGCAAAAGTCATAGAGAACGCTGTCCCTGGCTCACCTAGTATAGTTATTTCCAACCTTTGAATCAACCTGGCCTAATTGCCAATCGCTGCTGTTTACCAGCAGTCAAGAGACTATAGGTGGAGCGCTTTGATAGAATGAAGCTGACGAACTTTTAGATACAAATTATCGCTTACGAGCATGTTATTAGTCTGTCAGTGATGCAGACTTTTTCTAATTTCATAAAGACACTTTAAAAGATTAAAATTTTTTTTGTTTTAGGAACTTCCTTGCTTCTCTATCGGTGCCACTTCTTTATTTCGAGATTGGCTTGTCTCAGGAAATCCAATTGACGGTGGTCTAAGGTTGCCCGTTCTACAATATTGACCATAGCTTGGTCAATTTGCGGATGATGTTCTGATTCGATTTATTGGCATAGTCATACTATCCAAAAGTCGCAACAATCTCTGCTACATTTCATGATTGAACGAATTACAAAAGCTAACGGCTATCTGCCGAGCTAAACTCGGCGACTTAGGCCCATAGATTGCGACCGCAAACTAACTTATTCTTTCGTAGCCATCTTTTAAATTAGATTTAACTTCGCCATGACGTGCTAAACCCGGAAATTAAAGCCAGCTCAAAGAAAAATACAGCTTAAACCTTGGTAGCTGCAAACCTCTCTAACCTCTACCTCAACTATTGGGTAGTAAGGACCTCTAAGCACGAAATACTGCTTCCGTGACGTAAAATTGTCTTAATAATCTTTTATCTTAGCCTTTCATATTGAGAGCTTCCCATAGCGTGAACATTCACAAATCCCTGAACTATTAAAAAGTATTGAACAATCTCTAAGAGCCGATGGGCCCTCTGGTAAACTTGATTAACTAACTAGGTGCAACGTTCTACGAGCTGGTCAATCAGACACTTTGCGTAAGCGGGCCCATGACCATGACAGACCTCGTTGCCCTGCAGGTGCTGCATCACGTAGTAAACATCGAAATTTCGCTCCTGCGAAATTTCGTGCAGGTATTCCCATGTAGCAGGTACGGTGAGTAACTTAGTGCCATCGTGCATATAGCTTTCCTTTGTAGCAGGGATATTAACGCCATGCACTCCCTCGGAAACAAGACTCGCCATAAACTCTGACTCTGTGGGGAAGGTGAATTTACCTTGTGTAAAAGTCTCCCCATGACTACCCGAATGGGTGTTTTTGCTCTTTTGGCTCAATAGGTTCACATTTTCTCGTCTCAGTTTTTCGAGCTCATCTTGCAAAGCCTTTCTGCTGGTCTCACTCTCCCGCAGCTTCTCCTCAGCTTCTCGTAATTTGGCCTCCTTGCGCTCTCGGAAAGCTTTCTGAGCTGCTCGGTTCTGCGCTTTTTTCCTCTCAAGCACTTGTTCTTCGGTGAGATCTTCACTCTCATTAAAAGCATTTGACCCTCGGTTGTTCCCTACCCCTTTACTCAGCGATCGACCGCTGACGTTCTCTAATCCGTCCGACTGCATATCTCCAGGGGATATCGACGAAGATGGAGTCGTGAACTGCATCGGTTGGCCACTAATCTTCTCAGACTGATACTGAAACGCATCTGGACCCGTTTGATTCAAAATTGCATTTGTGAGATCCTCTGTGGGCCTAAAATCCACGTCGATCCCAGAATACATCGATTCACATGTTTCTTTGAATTCTTTCATGAATGAGTCATTACTCAAATCGACTGGTAATGGAGCTTCCTCTGACCACCCCACGTTGCTTATATCGTTGCTAACATTCATTTTGACGTCTCAAATTGGCTAATCTCTCTTTAAATCCTAATCTTGATTCGAACCTTTCATAAGAGAGTTTCAATTTTCCAATAATTAATATTGGTCAGAATTAGTGGTAACGGTGAAAAATCGTATTAACATTAATAAAAGATGTGCGTGTATTTGTATTTAGGTGCCAAGCTAGTAAACGACGTTGAATATCATAAAACAAAGCCGGCCTCGGAGTCTCTGTCGCTTTCTCCGCGTAACTTGTACCATTTCCGTGGAATTTGCAAAATAATGGCTCCTGTAAGCCTGAAAAAGAGCTTACTTGAGCCCTCCAACTCAAACCCGAATCTATCATAAACTCCATATATCGGCGTCTTACCCGTGGTCAACAAAAAAGACGTTCAAAATAACCGTTTAACCCATTGGCAAGGTTCACCAGGCCATCTGTAAGATTATGAGTCCGATTTCCAACTTTTGACCATCCGGAGCAAGCCCAAGATAGGCTTTTTACGGCCCTTGGCTCTGTTAGTCAGCTTCTGTTTCTCGGACACCAGTCTCTGTTGCCGCAACACGCGCTGCGACTCGGCACGCTGTGCGTTCGAAATAGTACTAGGCGGATCAAACGGCCGCAGTTTCTTGATCACCGACGCGGGGACTTTGTCCCATTCGTCAAAATACTCAGTTCCCGTTGCGGAAGAAACCCACGGCAGTGGCTCACCCAAAGCTTCCAGTTTCATGGCGAAATCGAAAAGGGTGGACCCGCTGTCCTTTTTTTCAGCCGCATCCAAAAACACAGGTCTGTACCCACTATAAAACACGCTCGTACGTACGTCCAGGGGTTTAAACTGGTTCGTCGGAGGCGCTTTGGGGAGCCATGAATAATCACGTCTTTTTTTCGCCACCAACTCCACCTGGGTCTTTTTCTTATTTTTGATCCCGTTACCACTCTCCTTGGCCTCAGTGTCGGCCTTTTTCTCTCTCCTTCTCTCGTCCTTAGGTTGTTCCTTCTGCATCAATGACTGGTTGTTAGAAAACGTAAAAGAGGACTGGAAACGTCGTTGGACCGGGAGAAAACTCCTGTTGGCCCTTAGCACTCGATTTAGTAGCATCAGAACGTCGACTATGTTCAAAATTTTCTCAGAATGGGGTCAAACTGTGTCGAAGTACCGTTATACCGTCCAATGGCTGGTTCCAGTATCTGCTTCGTTCGTAGAAAGGGTTATCCTTCGTACCGTCCACGTAAAACATGATACTACTCATCATTATATGTAACGGTTTACGATTAAGAGAGTTCAAGAAAGTCTCGAGTTTCGGAAATTGAAAAGCTTAACGCCGACTGACTTACCGAACAAGAAGTGGCCATTGAGAGGGCTAACAGTGGTATTTGGCTAGGATAAAGGGTCTGAAGATGTGGCAGGACTTTTTGCATTATGTGCCCTTTTTTTCGCACGTCAAACAGACGAAATCTGATGAACTTTTGAAATTCAAAAAATGCGGGGAATCGACCGATATGTCCACGATTATCGACAGGTTTTGCCCTGAGTTCTCTGACAATTCGATGCAACTGTTCAACCCAGTGCTCTGCAGTGGCCATTTGCAAACCATTTACGCGGCATTGCGGTCTTTTGAAGAAATCGACCAAGTCTACTACAAGAGACTGGTGGTGAAATACTGCGACGGTGGTGAGGGAACTGCTGATTTTGCCGTTGACGCCTTTGAAGATGATGCTGGGTATGTTCCTTCAACACAACGCAACGCGCTTCTGCCGCAGTACGCGTTTTTCACACCGGAAGAGTCTAAAGCATTCACGTCGCAGGACGACAAACCGCTCCTAATCGTCCTTCACGGGCTAACTGGCGGATCGCACGAGTCATATGTGCGTGGATTGGTGAACAGGATCAGGAATTGCTACGGATTTGAAGCGTGTGTGCTGAATTCACGTGGATGTTGCGAAAGTTCGATCACAACGCCGCAACTTTATAATGGCATGTGGACGGACGACGTACGCGAGTTCGTCAAACAGATGCGGCAGCGATTTCCTAATCGCAAGTTCTACCTGGTGGGATTCTCGCTTGGTGGGTCAATTGCAGCAAATTATTTGGGCCAAGAAGGCGAGAATTCCGATATCGAGTGCGCCTCGGTACTGGGCAGTCCATGGGACTTGTGCGATTCGTCCTACTTCCTCACGAGCTCGTGGCTTGGTCGACTTGTTTATTCGCGTGCTTTCTCGAAGCGTCTTGTGAAACTCATCGAAGACCATCTTGAAGTGCTGAGAGAGGATCCTTACATGGCTCAGCTGTACGCGGAAAAATTGGACAAAATCGAAACCATCGAGGACTTCGACAACTGGTTCACAGCCCCGATGTTTGGTTTCAACACATCATATGAATATTATAGACATGGCTCAAGCGCCAACAGGCTACCTCAAGTGCGAACCCCTCTTTTGGCCATTAATGCTACTGACGATCCCATAGTTGGTTCTCAATCTCTGCCCCTGCGAGAGTTTCAGGACAACCCTTATCTTCTCATGGTGCAGTCCAGTAAGGGTGGACACATCGGCTGGTTTGATGCCACAGGTGAAAGGTGGTATCTAGATCCGCTTTGCAAGTTCTTCAGCTCTTTCCATGCTGAAGTGGTCGCAAAAGACCTCCAACCAGACTTGAGCTCTGTGAAATTACCACATAAGAATAAGTTTGTTGGCGACAGACTTGTGAACGCGACCGTCAGGGACTATTAATTCTGCATTATAGACATTTTATATTCTTACACCAACAGGTAACGTCAAGGATCTTTTGACTGATCCATTGAAAGTGCTTGCTAGCATTTCAAAAGCGCCACCGCGTCTCGTGGATGATGTGGGGCTACCTTTATTTGCTGAAGTTTGAATCGAGAAACACCGGGCATCTTCTTCTGAAGAAATTGTAGTCATCGAGGTTATTTCATCGCGCTTATCAGAATCGTAAATGCTGGAGGTTGTGACTTCTTCATAATCGGATATAATAGCATCAATCAACTCCTTGCAATCATCATCGGGGCCCGCTTCCTGGAACTTGGCAATTTGTAAACGCATTAGAATCTGGCGGGATATTGTCTCGCTCAGGAAATGATTCCATTCTGCCAACGAATTTTGAGGCTTTTCGTTCTCAAGGTTTTCTTGTTCCTCTTCTGTATCAACATGCGACTGGGCGTCCTCGAAAGCCTGGTCGCTCATAGAAGCTATACTCGGCGTGTTACTGCGATAGGTGCTATCGAAACTGCTGCGAGCCATAACGTGGGTATTAATAACATATTCGTCTTCATCTTCTTCTTTGATAGGGAACTCATTGTTTGAAACGTTGAGCTTTGAGAGGGGAATCACCTTGTTGCTTACAACAATAGACGGTTGTCTAACGATGGCGTTCAAAGAGCGAGAAGGTGTTGATCTCACTAATTTGGTATGAGAGTTTTTCCTGGTGACAGGTGTGGTTGACCCCTGGTGACTGCCTGCAGTCTGAGAGTTGGCACGAGTTAAAATTGAGGCGGCCCTCTTGATTGAGGAAGGAGAACGTCTGAGAGAAGTCTTATTAGGCTTTGGGGAAGTCACAATCCCTTCGGAATCATGTTTCACTTCAGGATCAGGAGTGGCTACCGACTGATCCTTTAAACTTCTGCTCTTGGTGATGGACACCGAATCCACGGTCTTAAGGGAGGAAGAAGACCTTTCAAAATTTGTGACAAATCCGTTAGCTCTTTTTAAATGGGAAGTCGTTTGTGTCTTGCTTTTCCTCGCTTTATTTCTGTTTCGATACGTGAAAAGTTTCTTTCTTATTGCAACCCGCCAGCGGTGGAGCCTTGTCCTCGTCCTATTTCGCAGCGTAGAGAAAAACTGAAGTAGCCCTCCTTTGCACCTAATTGCCTTAGATCTTTTCAGGTTAGTAGGTTTTCGAGTGACAGAATTTTGCCGCAGGGGCTTTATTGTAGAGTAGTCGGTCAACGAAGTTGGTTTCGAACGCATATTTGGCGACAATGCCGCGGCAGCAGACGCGTTGAAATCCGTTCCACAAGACCCAAACGTGATCTGGAACGACATATTGTCAGCGGTAGGGATTGTTCCCGCTGCTGTGGAGGCCGAGTAGCGATTTTTATGCGAAAAAGTTGACTGACGGCTAGGTCTAGTGTTGGAAACGTCAAGCGCTCTTTTCACAGGTGGCGTCGCTGTAACAGGAGGTGCCAGCGTCGAGGGATACTTTTTCCTGCCTCCCGAAGCGTTTGAGTCCCACGAGGGCATCCCGTTGCTTCCACTGGTCTTGGGCGCAGTAGTATTGTCCGAAATATTGGCAAACGAGTAAAAGGCGCTACCAATGGCATTAGACGAGTGACCGGAGTTAGAGTGAGTATAGTCAGAAAGTAATTGCGAGCTAACGTCTTCTTCTTCGTTATCGTCATCTTTCTGACGGAGAATTGCATCGTTAACAATATGATGATTCGACATCTTGTAGTTGTCCACATCTTCGTCTGGCAGAAAGTCCAAGCTTGGAAACTTAAAATCCATTTGAGTGCCGTGAAACGATTTCGTTTTAGTTCTAGTCGGTGATCTTGTAATCATCGTGGTTCGGAATGCTCCTCAGGTGAATAACAAAAACGGAGCTACTTCTGAATGAAGTTTCTGTTAATTTGGGTTTTCCCATCTTTTAAATCCCTTTGCCATGGTGGAGAGCGCCCAGCAACGTTGCCATTTAAAATTCAAATGGCTTAATTTCTACTCTGTGATCAAATCTTTCCGGACTCTCTGGCCAAATTGGGTATATAGATCTGATCTCTTGAAATTTGCTTGTAGTTTCGACGCATTTCCCCACGTCCTACGGTCTTTCTAAGCCACATCCATATTCCGACTATTTTTCTATAATTCGAATGGCTGGTTCATACCAAAGTTCTCATAGGTCAGGACACAGCCCTTCCCAATATTGAAAAATATCATCATCGATTATGTAAGCGATGAGCAAGCCATATGACGACGGTCTTCAATGAACCCACGTAAACTCTGGAAGTCAGCAGTTTAGATTGTAGAATAAGCGGTTAAGCAGAGTAGCGGTAGCAAGATTTGCAGCTGCTCATCATCTTCGACATATCATCATTCTTTTCGTTCCGGTTAAAAGCTTGTTTTCAGCTTAAATTTTAACCAAAAATTCGTCATTTGGAAAGACCTCATGCTTCCAGGACTCCTGAAAGAAACGTTTGCAGAAATTCGATAATCAAGCGCCGATATTGGTTGTGATCGCATCTTGGAATGGACCAAGTGGATTTAGGACGGTTTGTGCATCTCACAAAGCACAAATATAGGAAACAGCTCAAGGAACTGAAAAGACTGGTCAGAGAAGATGCCTTCCGGGTCGATGAAAGCACCAAAGTGTCGGACAAAAGCGTGTACAAGTATTGGACGCAACGTAAGAGCATATTCTCGGTTTTTGGAGGAAAACCCTTGTATTTGACCCGAGAATTGTGGTTCAGCATTACACCAGAGGCAGTAGCTCGGTTTACGGCCCAATTTATCAGAAGTTGTCTACCACAAGCGACTACAGTACTAGATGTCTTTTGCGGTGGGGGCGGCAATTTGATTCAGTTTGCCATGTTCTTCCCGACGGTATATGGAGTCGACTTTTCTATGGAGCATCTTTACTGCGCTTATCGCAACGCTAAGGCCTACGACGTCGAGGATAGAATATGGCTTAAATATGGCGATTGGAATCGATTAGCACGCAAGGGTCGTTTCGAAAAACTGGGCGTAGATTGCGTCTTTGCATCGCCTCCATGGGGCGGACCCAACTACTTGAAACGGGCGGTGTTCGACGTTGAGACGCAGCTGGAACCACTAGGTCTACGAGAAATGCTAAAAGGGTTTTTGAGAGTCAGCAGTAACGTCGCAATGTTCCTGCCTCGTAACTCAAATCTGTCTCAAATTTCCCAGATCACACGGGAGCTGCTGGGAGAAGGTGCCAAGTGTAAAGTGCTGTATGTTAAAATCGGACCTTACCTCAAGGGCATTCTGTGCCTCTGGGGCGAACCTTTCTACGATTATCAATGCGCAGCTGTAGACGAAGAAGTTCCAGCTCCGAAGGAGGAACTGGACTACTGAGCAGAGCTTGATTGTTCCTCGAGTTTTGAATGTATATTGGTTACTGTTATGTAGAAAACCTGTGGCGGAACGAAATTAATGAATGAATGAATGAATGAGGGCATGATATTGGGCAGTTCCCCGTTCCCGCCTGTGCCTATGAGTTTGAAGGTGCGTTTGTTCTTTGAAAAAGCACTTTTTCCGAACCAAACGACTTAAATCTGGCCAAAAGTTCACCTTTAGCATGCAAATCCAGGATGTCTGATTTCAGACCACTGTTGATGACCGATTTTCCGTTGATGAAGAGGAACGGCGGCGTCGCCACGTGTTTTGGAGACGGATTGGGCAGTTTAGAGAACGCAAGACAATTTTCAAGGATATACGTCTTCAATTGGGTGCCTCGGGAGTGTTTTTCAAGATCCACGATGGCAGGTGGAGGCGATATTTGGAAATCTTTAGAGAGTAAAGACCGCATTTTTTGAGAGTCGGCGTTGTCCGCGACGAAAAGCACGACTGGTGAGGTGTTCAAAATCTCTTGGAAATTCGTCTGAGCGTCAAACGCGGTTCCCGTGTGTTTGTAATTATTGGGCCCGTGGACCACCATGTTCGAGACCAGCTTCCTCGATGGTCCAGTAGCGACCGCGTCGCGCGCATTGCGTGTCGACGTGACGCTGTTCTGCTCAATTTCCTGCTTAATGTGCGAGATTGCCGCTTGTACTTCCAAAACGTTGTCGTTGTCTGTGCCCTTGGTTTCGAGGCTTAAAGTCGAGTAAAGCTCGCTGAAATCTTGGCTTGCAAACGTCACAAACAGCAGAATCGCCAGGAGCGTCAGCGTCGACGAAAACACCCGCATCGTCCGCTTATTCGTCTTTTCGCCTTTGCCGTGTTTCATCGATACTATCATGGTTTTCAAATGGTGTTTAGTGCGCGAATCTTGGCCGATTTCGAACCACTAAAAGATGCCGTGCCAAAATCCAATGCTGTGCTCTCAAGTCTGTCTCGCTCAATTCGCGATGAACCCACTTTCTGGCAGGAGTGGAACCTGGTTTGTCTATGGTTTGTCTATGGTTTGTCTATAGTTGGTCTATACATACATGTAAATATATATATATATATATATTTTCTGGTTTCAGTAAGGTTTCATCCTGATCAGATCCAGATGAAACCGGCTACTTTTCTTACCGGTCGTACCAAAGGCTAGAACAAGGCTACATTTCTCGCGTTTTTCCGCAGAAAAGACCGAACCCCAGATTTGTCGAAAGCGGTAAAAACGCGATTTTTCTGGGAACTGGAGATAGCTACGCGTGATTGTGGGGAAAATGGAACGCAGAACAACTCGTACAAGAAGTATTATAGGAGACTATCTAAGCATTTTATCCGTTGAAATGTTACGTCTGTTTCTGTTGCAAGGAACGCAGCTGCAGGATTTTCTTAGACAGAGTTTATTTTTTGAGTTGGCGGTGCGGGCGTTTCTGTGGGCTATTATAAGCCTCCAAAATCAAGAAACTGGCCGGACAGAGGCGTAGAATGGGTCCAGCTAGACAACGATTTCAATCAGGTATGTAGCTTAGTCTGAAGCACAGCTAGCCAGCTAGCGAGAATTTAGAAGTGTAGTGCTCTTTTGTAGCTTTATCCTGTAATTTTCCGCGCATAATTTGGTACCGTCTTTATCATTTTAGTAATTTCTCGAACCAAGCGCAGGACTCATGCAATTTGGCCCCAAAAATGGAGCTTTTTGGGCTGGTGCGATTCCTCGGAGCTCGGCGTCTCAATTATCCTGCATCGCCATGCACTCCGGCCGCAGGGCACTGTCGCGTAGACGTTTGGCACTCCGTAATGCCTCCAGCATCTTGTCCTTCCGCGCGACGCTTTTGCGCAGCAGCAGGAGCTCCTGTTCCTGTCTGCGAATGACGTCTTCGTCGCCCGTTCTGTCTTGAAAAGACATCGAGGTCTGGTGCAGTCTCTGTAACTTGGTCTCCAATCGCACTGACCGCAGCTCCAGTTGCTGAATATACTGTACTTGTCCGTTCAGGCGCGCCTCCAGAGCTCGCATTTTCTGCTTGAACACGCTGCCGACCGCTGCAGGTAAAAAATCGGCAATTTCCAAAAGCTCTTGATCCCGCAGCTCGGTGTATTCATTGTCCATGAAATGTTGGTAGAACTCGGGTCTTCGATGCAAGAGTTCGATGCTCTTCGCAAGCGACGGGCTCACAACCGTTTCGGTCCTACCCGCGACTTTTGGTCGACCCGATTCCGCAGTCTCTTCTAACTCCGTTGCCCTTTGACCGCTCTGTAATCTGGCTATTAGTTGATTCTGCTCCTCAATTTGACGATTCAACTTCTGGATCAGGGCCTTATCGTTTGCGTGGGAGAACGTTTCATTTTTCTTGGCCGTTATGGCCACGTTTTTGGCTCGTAACGCAAAGCGTAGCGTGTTGATGGTCTCGGCAAGTGCGTCTGGCCTTGAGTCGATCGTGCATATCGTGGTGACGATACTTTCTCCATTCAGAGTAGGCTGTAGAAACCGCGTTAGCTTTGAATTTCTGTAAGGGACATGGGTCGTTGATGAAGTTTTGCCGCTTTCCGCGTTGGTTCCCAGCTTCGAGATGACGTTTCCGAGCGCTAGCAGAGATTTATTGATGAAGGCGCCCTCTTTTCTGCGATCTTGCTGTCCAGCAGCTTTTTCTGATCCAGCCAGATCGCACAGCGACAACGTGCTTGTTTTCTTGTATCCATTGCCTCGTTGTGAACATTCCACTACGATGGATACCACCGCGTGCGATCGTGAACTCTTCGAGTTAAAATCCGTTTCTCCGGTTCTCCTATGAACATCACCCGCGGATATCACCCTCAGCATTTCTTCGCTAGATGATACTTTGAGTTCGTTCAATCCCACAACTGTAATGCCGTGATTACTGTCCTCGCGCAATTGAACTTCAACTCGAGGCGAGCCCTCATGGCTAGTTTGAGGGCCATGTGAGAGTTCTAGTAAGTCGTATACTTTCTCGTTGTAAATTTGGAGGTATGAAACTTTGACCTCGTACTCCTTATCGACACCAGACTCACATGATATTCGGGCAAATATTTCTTCCACAGACAGGGCGATCAAACCTGGGTTACTGTCGACCCCACTCATCGTAAACGTTTTCCCAGATCCTGTCATACCATAGGCAAAAATCGTGGCATTGAAACCTTCAAAAAGCTTATCGACGATAGGTCGTCCGATCGTTTCATATATCTCGTGGTTGTCATCCTGTGTGTCAAATACGTTATCGAAAGAAAACTCACCCGCATCTCCATGTTTCAATGTCTTCTTGTCGTCCGAAAGCTGCCAGGAGCTACAACCCGCGTAGCTGGGCTTTATTCGAACAGATACAGAGATCGATCCGTTGTATCTCGAGGACGAGGTCCTGCTGCCGCGCTGATGGAGGCCAGGGCTTTCGCCTCTCAAGCTAGACGACTCTGAATCGTCAGAATTCGAAATCGAGGTCGTTGCACTTAGCGGAGTATAAATCGTCGAGTCCATGGACGGTGACCGATCTTTTTCCAGATCCCAGTCATGAGCGTAGCGCGGCGTGGTATGCGGAGAAATCAACGGATTTGAAAGTTTATTGCGTACTAAACTCCCAAAGGACCCATCTCTGAGTCCATGAGCCGTAATTGGCGTTTCTGGGTTGCAAATATTCGTATTCTTTGAACTTTTGGATGTTCGTTTCTTGGTAGGGCTTTTTCGTATCATTGGTCGCTGGACGAGACACGTTCAATCATTCGCCCGAGAAGAGAGCACTTCAAAATCAAGCTTTCAATTGAAACTTTTCTCAGGACAATATTCAACTCCTTAAGCGGCCTTTGAACGGTTCAATTACTCGGTGTTGGTATTCGAGATGATGTTTAACGTCCATATTGATTAAACTAAACAGATCAACAAATACACGTGACCTATGAGACTCTATGATCTTAGCTCTTCGAAAAGAAGAACCACAACACGGTTACAAAGATGCGACACCATGAAGTACCATTTAGATCATCAAAAGTATGTGGGATTTTATACGCTTGATGGCGGTTAACACTTACAGGAAGCTATAGAATTTTTGGCGGATATGCCACTTATTTTATTGATTCATGTTATACACTGACATTTTATTATGAGTCTTTTACTGATACTCTGTCCGGCTCTCCGGCTCCGGTCCTCGTCTCGAAATATGTCCTTTCAATCTTAAGCAGCGGTAGCCAAACCAACTGCATCGTTGCCCAAGTCGTAGACGGAGTAAAACTTGCGCAAGAAGGCATCACCAACGATGGCCAAAGGACCAACGGGCTCTGGGAAGTCCATAGGCGTGAATGCAGAGATACACGAACCAGAGGCTTCCAAGGTGTAGTCATATGGCGTTATGGTGAAGTTGTAGCCATCAAAAGTGAAGGTTAAGTCGGGCAATTGGTCTCTGGAGTCACAGTCCACGGTGTATTGACCGGTCCAACCTTTCTTGGCACCAATTTCGGCGTTCAAAACCTCTGCTAGACCCGATGGCAACGCAATGAGCGAGGTACCGGTGTCGATAGCAGCGCCGGTACCCTGGAGCTCGGCGTATTCGTCGCCTAATCCGATACCGTCAAACTTGACCTCCCAGTAGGCCTTACGGCGAACTGGGAGCCATGTAATGTCGCCCTTGTACTTGGACTTGTCAATTCCACCAAAAGTAGCCTCACCGCCCTGTTCCGACTTGTCTGCGTCGTTCAAATAGAAGGCAAACTTGGGCTCGTCCAAGAGACCGTCGTGTAGCGCCTTGTACACTGGGGGCACGATCTTATTCACGGAAATTGTGTCGTACGCCAAACCCAAGATACCGTCGAACTTACCGAACGCAAAGGCCAGACCGGGTTCCGCAGTGGCCTCCGCAAAGTCCTGCTTGGGGATGGTCAAGTCTCCGATCGACAGGGTGTCTTGCGAAATGTAGCCCTCTAAAGACCCAGAGCCGTACTGGATGGCAAATGTTGATCCGTTGGCCTTGTACGACGAAGAAGCGTCGTGGTCGTACTTGGAGTGCAAAAAGCACGCCAACGACCCGCACTCCGCGCTAGGAACCCACAGGTTCGAGGACCCGGTGTCCAAGATGACCTTGAATGGCTGCGGAGGCGTTCCAAGTGAAATCTCGGTGAAATACTGGGCGTTCAAGTAGTTGCTTAGTGGCACGTCATGTCCGCTTTCCGCAAAGAAGGGGTGCTCTCTGGAAAACTCCACCTCAGGGTACGCACGTTCAAACTGCAGTAGGTACTTCTGTCCAAGCGTTGCTACATGGTTCTCAAATTCAATGGGACTAAAAAAAGGGTTTTCCGCAGGTTCAAGTCCTTCATTCTTGTAGATTTTTGCTTTGTGCACTTTGCCCTGCGCAAAGAGGCCAGTGCTTACCCAAAGAGCAGCAAGTGAAACGAGTGATGGTAAATGCATTATACGATTTTGGTGACGTCCAATAGACTTGTTTTCTAAAGGACTTTTGGTAGTCTTGTCAATGGCAAAACTTGGTTTCGCCGCCAAGGGATGATGCTCTGCCTTGTTCTCCTTTTATAGGGCTTCCTTCTCATTATATAAGTTTGTCCCCCCTTGAAATTTGATATTGTGTACGGCAGGTAAACACCAGCCGGGTAAAATGTAAAGAAACCCGTTAATAGTGACATATGGTTGTGGTCATGTGACCCTTAACGGTAACGCTCTAGAGGACGAGAAGGCTCTTGTCGGGGCTCTCTGCTTTGTCCAACTTTGCTCGCTTTACCTTCTTGTTTGGGTCTTGGCTTAAATTCATCGATAGAGGCCTCTTGGAAACCGAAGAGACCGAGGTCGAAGCAGATGCTTTACCACGAGCAGAAATCTCGAGCAACTTCTTATCCAGCAGCTTCTCGTCGGGCGCTTGGTGTTCTACTCTTCGGTCGTGGCCCGGAAATGGCTGTCCGTTGTTGAACAGACCGGTTGGGTCGACGATCTCGACCGTGAACGCGATTGTAAAATGTTTAGTCTTGTCCCATACGACTTTGACCTCGTCGCCCGCGTACAAAAGCACTTTGGTGCCCTGAGTAACGCGTACATCGTTCACAAAGCCTGCGTTCGTGCCCGTGTGGCAATACCACAGGTCGTCAAGACCCTGTGCTGGTGATTCATAGATGCTGTCGCCAACCGCGTGTCTCTTTTTTAGGATGAAGCAATGGATGCGGGATAGACGATTGTCCTGTATTTTGTAGCTGCACTCATCGGAGCGACCGATGAAAAAAGGGTTAGTGCCTTGCATCACCTCGATAGCGCCTTTCAGGCTGTTGTCGTTGCTTGGAACCAACTTTAGAAAAGTGCCCTCACCTGCCCCAGTTTCCGCCGCCAAGTAAGGTCGTTGCGACGCTTTCGGAGGCGGTATTTCGGCCATCGACTGCGAACTTGCCTGTGAGGAGTCGAATGGATTGTAATTGGCGGTTCTGACCTGGTGGCCGCCCTCTTGGTCCGAAGTGTTGCCCGTTGCGTATGGCTGCGTGAATCTGACTGGCAATTGTGCTGGAACTTTGAACGGTACTTGAGAGATTCTGTTGTTTGCGTTCTTCTCGGCGGGAAGCTCGATGCTTTTTGGTTGCTGTGACATCGACAGCGATAGCGATACTTGTGACTCTGGCAGCTGATGTCGGTCCAAAGCCTTAATCCAAGGATGTTTCAAAGCCTGCGCAGCAGTCAATCTGTTCTCAGGGTTGACTTGTAGTAAGTCCTCTATCAGATTTCGAGCGTCGTCAGATATCCTATAGTCTTTTAGAGGACCCTCGTGATAAGATCCTCTGCCTATCTGTCTGTAGAGCTCGTTTTGGGTACTACCACTGAAGGGAAGATGTCCCGTAAGAATGACGTACACAAGACACCCTATGGACCACATATCGACGAGCGATGAGTACTTGTTCCCCTGATTCTCCTCAGAGTTCTTCCCAGCTATCACTTCTGGGGCTACATAAGCGAGCGTTCCACAGAAAGTTTTCATGAAAGTGCCATTGCCTTGGATCTTAGCAAGACCAAAATCCGTGATCTTCACCAGAACGGGATCGTCCTGTTCTATCAAAATATTGTCCGGTTTGAGATCTCGATGACTGATGCCAACGGAATGAATGTATTTCACACCCTCTAAGATCTGCCTTGTGATTTCGCGGCCGGCATCTTCACCCACAGCACCATGAGCCGCGACGAAATCCATCAGGTCTCCACCAGATACAAACTCCATCACTAAGAAGTAGCTTTCGTTGTCCTCGTAAAACCCCTTCAACCTCACGACTCGCGGATGATCTAGCCGCCTGAGAACGTCTAACTCTCTCGTGACGCCATCTAAGTTCCCCATCACTTTCCGCTTGTTTATTATTTTGACAGCGTAAGTTTTGCCCGTTTTGCGTTCCACCGCCTTTTTGACTACAGCAAACGCTCCTTGGCCAACTATCTCGTCTGTTAAAGAGTAATCCTTGAGAATGCCCGACACATAGTTTTTACTGGAACGGGGTGATATGCTAGTGCCCTTTTCTCGCCCGCCTCGCGTCGTTTGTTGCTTTGCCGTGGCCAAGTTTTGCTTGAATTTGTCATTGATGAAAACCACTAAGCTCAGTACATCTTGAGGAACCCCCATTCCCACTGTAATCTCATCACCTTGCGACAAAATTTGGTTGTGACTTTTCTCAACTCGTACACCATTGAGCCACGTACCGTTGGTCGACAAGTCGCGTAGCAGCAGATTCCCGTCCTCCCCCAGCATTATTTGAAAATGTCTATTGGAAAACCTTGACGTGTTTCCAAGATGATAATCACAATGTGCGTTTCTTCCGAACGTCCATTGTTTCTTGATAGGCTCATTGCGTCGCAAAACAGCTTTCAGCTCGGCGCGAAGATCTCGGATCGGAATTTGGCCCGTCGTGCATATCACTCGGTACACGATATCATCGTCTATTTGCTCCTGTGAAAACTTCTCAATTAGGAACTTTTGGGTTGCCTGAGTCGCCTGTTGGGTTGGCTGAGTGCCGTTATCCATACCGATGTCGATATATCACCAATAGTCACTTTTCTCTTCGTGTTTTCTTGTTCGTTTCTGCTAAATGGGGTGACGCGTGAGTTGATTGTTTTTTTTCCATCACAATACACACGAAACGCGTTACATATCGTGATGGCGATGAGCTGACGCGCGCCAGTAAGTAATTATTGACACTTATGAGAAATAAAATCAACCTCATCAACAACCAGTGAGGTTAGTAAACTAAAAACTGCCAAGAATTATCCGATGTATGAAACAGGTCTTTCAAAATACCTCTTTTTTTTCTACTAAAGAACTCACCTTTTACATTTAAAAAAGCTAGCTAAATCAGTGAAAATGTCATAAATAATCCTGTGAACTCCTTTAAACCAGGGCATTGAATGAAAATCAAGGTCATCAGGTGAAGCATGGGTGTCTTATTGAGAATCTGAGGATCTGGTACCGATCTTGTCTGCGATTGCTTTAGTTAGCAGCAAGGGTTTGAGAGAGTTCCACTTAAACGTTTGTCTTAGATGCTGAAGGATTGCATGTAGCGATTGGTTGAGCGCTCTCTGCGAAACTGCTTTTAATTGGAGTGAAAGCCCAGTGTCAGCATCAATAAATCTAGCATCAATCGAATTTTGGTTCAAATTGACATAGGAGGGGTCGATTTCCAAAAAATACCTATGCACTTTCCCCTGATCTCTGAAGACAATCAAAGAACCGTTGAAATTTGCCGACAGGTACTCAAAATGCCGGATTGGTATTTCCAAACTGTGAGTGTGAAGTTCACCCGCAGGCAGAATAGATTCTGTGGGATGCCAGGAGATGATCTGCTCATTTTCCGTGAAAATCTGCCAAGCTTTCGTCATAGCCTTGAATGCGGTGTCTCGCTTAGTCGCATCGATGTACTGCCGGAAAAATCGAGGATCGTAGGCGCCGGATCCTTTTGGAGTTTCAATGGTGTCAAAGAAAGCTGAAATATATCTATCCTCCTTGCCGTTGCGCAACGCCAAGATATGCTTTTGCTTGAGTTTCTCAAGGAATTGAAAGTCCCTGTCGACTAAGATACGATTCTCGTACAGTTTCGACTCTGTCTCAATGGAAAGTTGCTCAATTCGACGCTCAGCGTCAAATTTAAGGTCACTGGGCTCAACAACGATCGAGCTTGAGCTTGAGCCTAAGCTCAAACTAGGCCTAGTCTCAATCCGAGGCAGGCGGAGACTTTCCGAAATCATCATTTGACGGGGCGCCCACCCGGACTCAGGGGTTGTCGCTGTCGAGTACACATGCTTGGATTTTCTAAACAGCTGGGACTCAAGCGCTTCGATGCAAAAAGATGAAGTGCTGTTCAAGTAGTAGCGGAGCTCATTGAAAAGGCCGAAAGAAGTGTCAAAAATTCCACTTATATGCTCCGCAACGTTTACCACCTTTACTTCGGCGTTGCTGTTCACATTGGCAAACACGATTTTATCTACTGGTGGTCTCCTTGTTTCCACATCACAGCAACGAACATCCAGTGCCCGCCAGTCGTACCATGAAAATGGCAACATTGGGTTACATATCCCCAATTTTTTGACCTCCCAGATGTACAGTAGGCTAATCACGTATTCAGCCTTCCAACGTCGTTGTGCAGCATGCTTCACTTCAACCTGTAAGGACTCAAAATCAAAGCATTCAGTTTTTCCGGTTTTTGCCATCAAATCCAAGCTTGCTGCCAAGTCCTTTGGGGGATCCACATCAAGTTGTGGTAGAAGCAGAAGATCAGCACGAGCCACAATATCGCTGGGAAGTCGATGAGAGATATAATCATCTAAATAATTTAAGGGCCGATTTGAAAGCGTTTTGTCTACCACATCGGGCGTCATCCCGTCTGCAGCGCTGTTGGCCCCATTTGTAGGAGCCGAGTTCTGCCAAAAGATACTTGCAAATGCCAAATAAAGTATCAAAGAACACAGGATTGGAATTTTGAGTTTTTTGGATGTCACAATTTCCCCCGGCCTTAATAAACCGGGCTGTGGAACGTTTCCAGAGGTTAGTAAACTCATACTCAGGTGGTCTTTCTCAACTTAACCTGATTTAACACAAGCCTCTGGAATGTAATGTGCACACTATATTTTATACTTCTGTGAATGTCATCTTGGCTCACAAAAACATTAATTTCCAGACTCTTTCCCTGTCGTTGGGCTGTGATGCACGTCGTCACATCTGATATTTCCTACAACGCTTGAACCTTAATTGATGCAAAGGAACTTCCAGCCACGTCGGAGTTCACCAAGAACGCAGATGATTCTTTTTAGAAACCTCACGTAGTGTATGACACCGGCTGGATTGCAACTAGGTCATGAACATGATTACCAAAAGAAGCATTTATTAAACGGCTGACTACTGTAGAGGAGCTAAGTGAGTTGCTTAAAAGGTTGATAATGATTTGCAGAGGTGTGTATCTGCCGAACGACCAGTATCTGCGCCTCATAACCGATTTTATAATGTCTCTTTATACATTTACCTGGAACTCGGCCAGTTCGTTATCAATCGCACGCTTCAAAAAAATACTCTCTTGGGCCAGTCATAGTTACAATCGCATTGATCTGGCGTCTCGCAAATGGTCCTAGCCTGTACGTTAACCGGGACACTCAAATTGCCTTACGTTGATCATGTTAAGCTATTCTGTCACCACAGTCACGTGATATTGTTATGCGTTAACCGAGTGATGCAGCTAGCGGACTACACATATATATCCAGTGGTATTAATTCAGCTCGAGTTTGTACTTTCTTCGAATTACACAATGTAAACCGCTTTTTGTTAGTTTTGTGTGTGCCCAACAGCATGGTGGGCTCTCTACTACACAGCGCAACATTGTGCCTTCTCGTTTGTCAGTTCCATGCGATATTGGGGCCAGCAGAATTTGCATAGACACATCGCGGCTTTTCCTAAAATTAGTGCGGCCTTTGCAATGCCATCCAAGGTAAGGTCAAGTTTCTCAGAAACCAGGGGCGATGAGCTAACACGGGTGAAATCGACACTGAAAATGCGGATAAGAAATCAGAGCGCTAGAGATGAATACAAGATACCTAGGGTAAATTGGCTTCAAAAGAGGACAGAATTAGTACAATTCCAGCGATGATGAATATCAAAAAAAGCGTCATGATCTCTAATATAATTCATGATTGAGACGGACAATGAACGACAAGGCACCAAAGAGGACATAGTAGACTGCTAAAGTCAAAAAATGGCAACCGATGGAGGAACTGGTTCCAGAGAAGTCGAGAGTTACGAAGTACAAATGGGTAGGAAGAAGTAGCCCGTCAATAGCGATACACATCCATAGAGGGGAATGTCTTAACGAGGGAGGTATAAATAACGGCTTGGCAACCGGAACAAATATATTGCGAGCAGAGTAAGGTTTGAGGTCTTCGGATTAAGCAAAAGGGGGGGATTAAATAGGCCAGAGACGTTTAGCGTAAGGTTTCTCAGTCTGCCAAGTGGAGAACCGGGCTTACAAATTATTGGTCATTTAGTTGGAAACTTTGGGTTACATGGAGATTACGCACCGAAAGAAGGTAAATGGCGCCGGGAAGACCAGGCACAGGACTAAGGGCGGCAAGGTTACCGAGCCGGAGAAGCCTGACGGGGTGGCAGATGGGGACAAATTCAGAGCTCGCAGCCCTTCAGAATTGCTACATCACGAACTTGAGCATGTACATTATTACGGCAAAGATCGGGAAGAAGGTGAGACTTTGGGTGAACTTTTGCACGACCACGATGTGCTACACGCTCCCAGCTTGACGTTTTGCTCACTGAAAACTCCTTGGAAAAGGAGGCTTCAAACACTCGCTGCTGCGTGGCACGTGGGGTCGTTTCTGTATATTTTTGCCTTCACGCTGCTTGCGCTCGTGAATCCTCTGTCGTGGATTTTCATGGTGCCATATCTGGTTTACTACATTTTCGATCGCTCGCCTGCCAATGGGAATGTCACGAAACGGTATTCGCTTTGGTTTCGTCGACTCGCGTTCTGGAGATACTACTGCGAGTACTTCCCGATCAAAATTCACAAAACTACGGATCTAGAACCTACCTTTGTGACAGAAGGCCCCGATGCTAGCGACAAAAACGCAAGATATGCCATTGTCTGGGTTGTTCGACTGTGGCCGGCCCACAGACAAGTGACCTTCAGGTTTTGGAAAAGGAAAGTGGTCCCAAAGACGAAAGTGGCTGGCCCTAAATACATTTTTGGGTACCATCCGCATGGTGTGGCCGCTCTAGGAGCTTTCGGCGCATTTGGGACTGAAGGTTGCGGCTGGACCGAACTTTTTCCCGGCATTCCGACGTGTCTGATGACGCTAATAAATCAATTTCAAATCCCATTTTACAGGGACTACTTACTGTCATTGGGGGTAACATCGGTATCCAAGAAAAATGCTCTCAAAGTGCTACAACGCGATTATTCCATCTGTATCGTTGTTGGTGGAGCTCAGGAAGCACTGCTCAGCAGAATAGGAAATGCAGACCTTGTCTTGAAGAGAAGAAAAGGGTTCATCAAACTTGCGATGGAAACTGGGAACGTCAGTCTTGTCCCATGCTATGCATTTGGTGAAACTGACTGTTACAACATCCTACAAACTGACGACAAATCCTACCTCCGGAGGTTCCAATTATGGATTAAACGCAACTACGGATTTACGATACCTTTTTTCTTTGCAAGAGGTCTTTTCAACTACGATTTTGGTCTCATACCTTTCAGATGTCCCATCAACGTGGTAGTCGGGAACCCGATTCACGTTAAGAATGCTTGTAAAAATCCAAGCATGAAGGAAATCGATAATTATCAAAAGCTATACGTTGCAGAACTGCAAAGAATCTTTGACACATATAAAGAACAATTTGGTTATAAAGACTTGTCACTGAATTTAAAAGAATAAAAGATATATAATTTGCTATAAGTCAGTGCTTCTATAGTGTTACTGAGGGATTTCACCATTTAATAGGTTTTGAGTCTTTAGTCCGTCAAGATGAAATACTTAAAGGTTTATCACTTAATAAAGGCCGCGAAATCAATAAAGGGTCGTTCAAAGCAGAAATGAGGCCCGAAACGAGACTAGTGAGTCCAGATGATCTTGAATTATGGCAAACTTCAAAATGCTTTGATGATTTAGTTTATTTTATTGAACATTTGGCACATGCAGTTGAAGGACATGAGAATTCAGATTACGAACAGCCAATTGGATCAAATGTCAGTTCAGTTAATGATTTGCTCGGAGAAATAGAGCAAATTATCAAGGCCCATCCTGTAGTTCAAGATGCTGGCAGCACAAGATTCGGTAAAATCGAGTTCAGAGACTTTTACCAGGAAGTTAGCGAGCGGACACCGGATCTGATAAAAACGCACTTCTCAGGTTTATCGGATGAACAAACAGAAGAAGTTTCTGCATATCTAATAGAGTCGTGGGGAAATTCGTCAAGAATCGATTATGGTTCAGGGCATGAACTGAATTTCGTCTGTTTTCTTTACGTGCTTCAAGAATTTGGTGTCCTAAAGATCAATGATTCAAGAAACATTGTTTTGATTCTCTTCCGTCGGTATCTGAAAATTATGAGAGAGCTGGAAACTTTATATTGGCTAGAGCCTGCGGGGTCGCATGGTGTTTGGGGTTTGGACGATTATCACTTCCTGCCCTTCTTGTTCGGCGCATTTCAGCTGGCACCCCACAAATATTTGAAACCCAAATCAATCCACAATAGAGAGACGATAGAGATGTTTGCAGACCGATATCTTTATTTCGGATGCATTGATTTTATAAACTCGGTTAAAACGACGGCTGCTTTGAGATGGCATTCTCCGATGTTAGACGATATCAGTGGTGTCAAAAAATGGTCGAAAGTCGCCGAGGGAATGATAAAAATGTACAAAGCAGAAGTCTTGAAGAAACTACCCATAATGCAGCATTTTCTTTTTGGCGACGTCCTCAAATGTCCTACGGGCGTCTCAGGGAAGGGAGCTGTACACGAACATGAAAACGGAATGGCATGCAACGATCATCTTCATAATACATGGGGGGACTGCTGCGGAATAAGAGTACCCAGCGCCGTAGCGGCCAGTACTGCACAAAAATCGCACAAGCCGCTACCATTCGATTAAAAATTGAGTAAAATATATATTTAGAACTGTTCTCGTAAATCATACCCGTCCTTGCGTCTCTTTGGCTTTACCAAGCAAATCTTAATTGAGATGCGGTAAAAACTGGGGGTTTCCATACCAGCCTCGAAGCGTCAATTGTCCGTTTCTTCTTTTCTACCATTTTTTGGTGCCGCTGTATAACCTCCTCATTCAAATAAATTATGTGCTGGCCCTTATAGTAACGAAGAATGTTCAACGCCTTTGCTGTATGCAAAATGTCAGTAGTGGTCATTGATGTGAGGGAGCTGATTTCATCGATTGTGACTTCAGGGCCGTGATTCATCAAAAGTTTGATCAACGCATCAGCCCAGTACGCTCTGTAGGATAGTAAACCCAAATCAGAAAGAGGTTTTTCGGGCGATCCGGCTTTCCCCTCTTTCTTGGACAATTCGTAAGAAAACTCAATCAAAAGCCTTCCATACCCCATTCTCTGATATTGAGGCAAAACTAAAATACATGCAACATTATAACCATCAGCGGATTCCTTCTCTTTCGAGAAATAACCCACCAAATGATGGCCTAATTCATCTCTTCTGGTCATGCAATAGAAGAGGAAAGGATCAACATCATAGTAAAGTGTTTTGTGATCCAAGAAAAGTTTAGAAAAAAGACACAAATTTCGACACCATGTCCGCTGTTTTCTCCCATCAATTTCGAAAAAAGATACGTAGTCGTCTCTGTAAATTTCATTCCCTGGAGGATGCCGCAATGTGCATTTCTCTCTATACCGCTCGTACTGCTTCTTGGAGCCAAAATATTGCAATGTGAAATCATCTATGAAAACAACGTCTTCGTCGGCGAGCTCTACAGGGTAAGGCGAAAAATACCAGGGCTCAATCTCATGTTTGCCCATGATGATTCGGTTCAAGTTCCTTACCCTCGCTATTTCACGTGGATTTTGAACCATCGAACCTGAAGTTCGCAGCTTTTTGATCTCGTCATCACGTGAAATTTCATCATTTCTGATTCCTTGTACATTCAGATTGTCCAAATCCATTATTTGAGGATCACCAGGCGTCCCAGACGCCGACGGGCTCTTTTGAGGATCGCCTTTCCGTTGCTTCTTTTTCTTACTAGCTTTATCCCCATCAGTCTCCTTAGCATCATCCGCCTGCGGAAAAAATACATCCCGCTTCAAATCTATTCTATGCTCCACAACCCATTCGTCGAGTCTCTTGTTGAAATCCTCATAATGCACGTAAAACTTGATTGGCTGACGTCTGCCGTTAACTGAAAGAATCTCTGCTAATCTCTCAATACCATCTTTTTCGACCCAACACTTGCAACCAATCACGATTTCTTCCACATCGGAAATGTGGCGCAAAACTACAGACTTCTTCTCTGCATCCGAGCTCATCCCCTTCTCAGATTCATACTAGTGAAGCTGCTTCAGTTCAACAAAGAGTAGTATTGGCTGTCTTTCATTAAAATTTATTGAGGAAAGAACGCCGTTCAGAATGACATCACCTGCTTCAACTTGGACCTACCTTGACAGTTCAAGGTATAGGTAGAAGAACGCCTCAAGGAATGAGATTCAGAACTAAAAGAGTCAACCACTGCTCAATCTTCGAGTCTTAATTCCATTTTCTGGGTGAGGAAAGTGGGGATGGATCAATGAGTTAGCTGTCCCCTTACCGTAAGAAAAAAGCGAGTAAAGGCGAAAAGAATAGAAGCCGTTGCAATCAAAACCTTTGCATTGGTAGATTCGGATCCCACAGTAAATTCGGGTGTGTCTCTGGAGTAGCGTCTTCAACTTGTTTCCAAATTTTGATGCTTTTGTCGCTCTCTCCAGTAATTAATCTGAGACCAGTTAGATCAAAAGCGCCACATAAAATACTTCTTTCACTTTCCAATGAGCCCTCAGCAAGCTCTGTCTCCAATTCCTGGTACCTGTGTCCCGTCTCATAGTCGAAAAACGTTAATTTTCCGCTTTCGCTGCCTGCAAACAGTATATTGTCATCGTTGATTCCAAGGCACGTTATTATTCCCACAGGCCCTGAGTCAAAATTGGTCAGAAGCTGCCCATCTCTGATTCGCCAAGAACGAACGTCACTAGTCGAAGCCGTCGCCATAGAATATTCCCGGGGATGCGCTGCTATATCTCGAACGCTCTTGCTGTGGTGAGTTAAAATTTTCGACGCTTTCCCGGCTCTAAGATCCCACATCCTCACCGAGCCGTCAGTGGACGAACTAACCACCTGTGGATCTACCGGGAAACACTTGACTTTGTTGATAGGCCCTTTATGACCCGCCAGCGTTAATATTGGGGCACGCGTTCTTATATCCCACAGTTTAACGACCGCGTCTCTTCCAGCAGACGCGATCACGTCCAGCGTAGGATGAACATCGACAGTGTTCACACCTGAAAAATGACCATGGAAATCTCTTATAGAGGTGTTTTTCTCCAAATCCCAGCATTTGACCAGTTTGTCTTCACTCGCGGAAAACATGTAGGGATGACTTTCAGAAATCGCGAGACCGCGAACAGTCATGGTATGACCCGCTAGAGTCAACTTTAGCCTCCCACTCGCCATGTCCCACACTTTAATCTGGGTGTCATTACTACCAGTAGCAAACCAATCGTTTTCAACTCGATTCACGACAATGCATCTGACCCAGCCCTTATGACCGTTGACAATGCGCTTCAGAGCCCAAGGGGCGTGCCATTTTGGAATTTTGTTTCTCTGTTGTCTTTGTCTCTCTAACACTGAATGCATCGCTGCATCTTCACCATAGACAGCAGGTATTATAGAAGCTTCAATAGGTTCTTTCCTCCCACCTTTAACCAGAGAATCGCTTGAAGGTCGGGTTGCCAAATCATTTTGGATCAGTTGGTAGCCTTCAAACCGCTCTAACACAGTTTTCCTTTTATCATCAACGAGACGTGACCCACGAGCGGAACTCAAGTATCTAAAACGATTGTTCCAAAGGGAGTTCAAGTATGCATCTTCTGCATCTCTTTTCAATAGATCGACCTTGGATACTTCAAGAGCGTCCATTCCAGCCTCTCACGGGCGATTGGATAAGGCTTGCGATTGTGATTGAGATCGGTTCTTGGATCTTCAAAGCTTGGAATTGCAGCAGTGTACCTTAATGAAAAACTGAAAAATTTTAGTTTGTCGATGCTCATCGCAGGAAAACTCACTTCACCGAAAGAATTGCAACAAGCCATTGTCGGGATCCAAAGCATACTCAATGGCTGTATCAGAGGGTAAACGTCACGCTAGTGATGTGGATGGTACTGAAGGAGAATTAGCCGACTCTCAAGTCACTAAAAAATTGAAGCAAGAGAGTTTGAGTGGTGATTTAAAAGAAGCTGATGTGGGGATTACCAACTTTTTGAGAGGGTCGAACGCTGGCTTTTATGGCCAAATTAAACAGAGATACACGGATTTCATGGTCAACGAGATTTCTGTAGCAAATGAAGTCATTCATTTGCTCGACAGAGGATTTAAGATGCCAAAAGTCGCCAAACCCTCGAAAGAGCAGTCGAACGAGCTTCAAGAAGCGGAGAACAGGGAGAGAAATAGCTTTGAGGTTGAATCTGGGGTCAGGGAGACTCTGGTCGAACTTTTGGGTGAGGAAGATACCGTGAAGATCGAGGAAGTGTATAAAAACGCGGGCAAGATGGAGACCACTAAAAGATTTGACGACAAGGCTGAGCGGACTAAAGTGCATCAAACGCTTCGTGCTGCTTTCAAAAACGAACTCGAGTCCGTCACGTCAGAGAACAACACTTTCAAGATTGCATTGGCCAACCGGAAGTCGAGGGTCAATAAAGAAGAGCTGCGGGAAAGAACCAAGGACGAAAATGGTGTTGAGAACTGGGGGTATGGACCTACCAAGAATTTCATTCACTTTACAATGTACAAGGAAAACAAGGATACCATGGACGTTGCCAACGTCATAGCAAAATTTCTTCGTGTGCCATCGCGTCTAATTAGATACGCTGGGACTAAGGACAGGAGGGCGATTACTTGCCAAAAGATGTCGATCTCAAAGATTAGTCTTGAGAGACTTAATGCTCTTAATAGAGCGTTGAAGGGTGTGGTTCTTGGTGGGTTTAAATTTGAAGATGATCCGCTAAATTTGGGAGAGTTGAACGGTAACGAATTCGTTATTGCGATAAGAGAGGTGCAAATATCACCAGAAGCGAGCGGTTCTGATTTAGAAGGCATTTTGAAGAAGGGCTGCGACTCTCTAATGCAAGACGGATTTATCAATTATTTCGGCATGCAAAGATTTGGCACTTTCAGCGTCTCTACTCATGAGATTGGCAGAGAACTACTGAGTGAGAACTGGAAGAAAGCTTGTGATCTGATTTTGGCCGAGCAAGAAAATGTGTTACCGATTTCGAAAGAGGCTCGCAAAGTCTGGGCGGAGACTGGGAACGCCAAAGATGCCTTGCACAAGATGCCACGCCAATGTGTGGCCGAGAATGCCATATTGAACTCTTTGATCGAGCAGAACGTTGAAGAGCCAAATGAGAGGAACTTCTTCGCCTGCATCAACAAGATTCCAAGAAATCTGAGAACGATGTACGTCCACGCATACCAAAGTTACGTTTGGAATGTTGTCGCAAGCAAAAGAATAGAGCTTTTCGGACTCAAAGCAGTTGCCGGAGATCTTGTCATTGACGAAGAGGATGCAGAATTGAGCAAGCCTGAACAAGTGGAAGCAGAAGGCGACGAATTTGCTGAGGATTTGAGAGACGCCAAAATTGTCAGAGCCAGACCGATTACGGACGAAGAAATCGCTGCAGGAAAATTTAGCATGGAAGACGTCGTTTTACCAACTCCAGGTTTTGACGTCGTTTATCCTACAAACGAGACTCTCAAAAACGTCTATAAAGAAACTATGGCACCAGATAACATTAGTCCCTTTGAAATGAGAAGAAAAGTCCGCGATTTCTCGCTACCTGGTTCATATCGTAAAGTTATTAACAAACCCGAAGACATGAGCTTCAAAATCGTGCACTATTCCTCCCCTACTCAGCAATTAATCAATACGGACTTGGAGATTTTGAATAATACTAAGGCCAAGGACAACGGTCAGAAATACATGAAAGAAAAGCTCAACAGGTTCCCCGAAGACAAAGGAGGCGACAGCGTAGCTGTTCTACTGAAATTTAAGTTGAGCGTTTCGGCCTACGCGACCATGCTCTTACGTGAGTTGATGAAGCTGGAAACGTCACGCCGTGGTGACATGTGCGACGTCAGGTTGTGAACCTGGAATAAAGTTTCACTTCCTTCAGTTGGATCGCCAGCTGCACCCACCGACTTATCGTTAGTCGCAAAGCGACACAAAAGAGATACTAGCTGAAAACTTGAATTCGGAGTTTTTTATCGTCAAGGCTTCGGATTTTGTTAATAATCTACTGTACAATTGATGGAGAACAAAGCAATAAGCAGAAAGTGAAGAAATTACCAACTCGAGATCAGAGCTAAAGACTATTCAAATAAAATACTTCACTTTACAATAAGATAATAATGGCCTCCCAAGGCCAATTTTTTGATAACTGGGATTACAATATAAATAAAACCACAGAGGGCAGATATTCATCTAAGTCTCACCATCTCAGACTAGCATCAATCACGTCCTTGATAGCGACTGGTGCTTTGAGCTCAAACTTCCCGGCGAAAAGGAGAAAACAAGAGAGCCATGAGCTTTTTGGGTTTCGAAAATTAGCGAAATCTTATTTGTGGGGTAGCGGAAATGAGAAAACCAGGCCGTCGTCAAGAAAAGAAGAAGCTACTTTAGGTCCATCTTCGCGATTGCGCAATGTGGGCTCTAAAAGACTCTCTGGAGGAGAAATAGCCAGCAGTCGGGGTAAAAAATTGCTGCCACAAAAGCGAGGGTATAGTTCGACATGTACAGCGGTTACTACCAACCGAGAAAATCCTTATGCAGAAAGAACTATGAAACTACCTCTTAACAACGAAAAATATTATCAAGAACTTTTCGAACCTTCTTACAAAAGCCATGATAATTTAGCCGCGGAGCTGGTCAACGAAATTGGTCCAAACGAAGGTTATCCACTGCAGTCGGACGAAGAGCCTGAGAAAATTGAGCTAGAGCAACGTGTTGTATCTTTTTACAATTTGCCCAAAAGCACAGGTCTCAACAGTTTGTTGGCGCAAGTTCATGGCGGACCTTTGGAAAAAATAGAATCTTTGAAAGATCAAGATGACCATAGCGTCTTGAGGTGCGTTCAATTGCATTTCACCTCGGCTCTGAATGCTTCGAATTTCATGACTTTTGTGCATTCGAGGAAATTCAATGTCAACGGGTACACACTTGAGCCAGCATGGGCACCCCAGTATGTTAATCACATCTCTGCTATAGACCATGAGAAAACAAGGGGGAAGCACGATAGGAAGAAATATCATGACTTTCACATTGAACCTCGCCGGTGTTTGATTTTGAAGAAATACAGCACCTCGAGGAATTCTCGATCAACTCGTCACTCTCATACATGCGCTCCAGTTTTGGCAGCGTTCGATGTCAAAGAACTGCGAGAGGATTTTGAACAATTTGGTGAGATAATGGAGATAACTCCAATGGTTTCTAGAAAGCTTTGCTTTTCCTTGAGCTTCTTTGACATTAAAGACGCTATAAGCGCTTTCGAAAGCTACGAAAACTGTAACGAGTTTTTGTACAAGAAGTATCATAAGCACTGGTCTCTTGGCTATGGTGCAGACGTTACAGACCGGCCATGCATCTTGGCTAACTGATAGTCAAATGTGGCAAGTACAGTAATATTAGGACTCTATAAAAAACTCAAGTTATTTCATTTGCTTTAGTAGCTTCGATGGATTAAAAATGTCAGTGCGTGCCGTCGAAAACCACCAGCAATCCGCCAACTAGATGTAGAGATCCAGTGACGAAGACGTCGACGGGCTCTTTTTCATTCTTAATGATCTCCCGAGCGGCCTCTATACTGGATGTAACGTTGATGTCAGAATTAGGCTCCAGCCCTTGCCAGACGTCGCGCAACGCGGTTTGAACCTCTAACTTGTCGACTTGATCCTTGGACGTGTTCATGGAAACAAGATCGGCACTGTAGTCGCCGGACTTCCATGTAACGTTAGTTGAAAAAATTACCCGGGACAGCTTTAACTCTGGGTAAAGAGTCTCGTGTAGATATTTTATTAAAGCACCAGCGTTGCGTGTTTGCTGATTGAACAATAGAATTTTCTTAGATGCCGAGTTGACAGCGACAGACTTAAACCAGCCAGAAGCCGCTTCGATGCTTTCTTTAGTGTGAGCTCCATCAATGTACCAGGTGATTTGTCCATCTTTCACCGTTTGACAGCGACCACTCCATTCCGTATTTTGAAGCCCTTCAATGAACTTTTGTGGCAACTTGGCGTCCTCACTCAATTCAAGGGGCTCTTGTAAAATATTGAGGCGTGACAAATGCTCGTGAGCCAACGCTACACTCAAAGAAGCGTTTTTAATCTGGAAATCTCCCGCAATTCCAAGTTTCACGTTTTTTAACTCGTTGAAAATTGGAACTACGGAAAGTGAAGTTTTCTTTTCCTCGGCACGCTCCTGTAGCATGCGTAGGCCGTCAGAAGGCTGACCGGTAATAGAAAAGGCTTTTGTGCCTGTCTTGAAGATCCCACCTTTGTTCCACGCGATTTCTGTGATGGTATCACCAAGCATAAACGTGTGATCGATCCCGAGCAAGGACACGCCACACGCAGTAGGTTTCTCGATGATGTTGGTGCTATCATATTCCCCGCCAACACCAACTTCGTAAATGCAGGAATCGCATCCTTCTTGCATGAAAACATGGAAAGAGAGTAAAGTCAAATATTTGAAGTAACCTGGCTTGCTTCCCGGAACCATGTGAGGAAACTTATCTTCAGGGGACCGCGTGGCCTCCAAACGGTCCCAAACTTCAAAGAAATACTTGGTGAATTTCTCTTCCGAGATGGGAGCTCCATCAACGCGAATACGTTCTCTCACCGATTTCAAATGCGGCGAAGTGTACAATCCAACTTTGCGAATTTGAGACCCATACTGCTGCAAAATTGATTGCGCAAAAGCGGCAGTAGACCCCTTACCTTTAGTACCAGTGATATGGATGATGTTGAGCTTGCTATAGTCAGATACCGAGTATCCAACCCGTCGTGACCATTCCTGCATTTCCCAGATGTTCATTTGATTCTTGCGCTCGCCAGAAGCCCTGATCGCCATGATATTGGCATAGTTGGATTGGAGCGAGTTCAAAGACGCAACTGCATCTTTATAAGTTCTAGAGGCCATATTCAATGCCATAGATAATTTCATCTTTCAGTTTTTAGCTACGGTATTGTTTAATTTCCATCTACCAAAATTATGAAAACCGATCACCAAGAGATTCTCGTTTTTAAAACGCATAGGTTTACCAACGAATGCAATTCTGGACTTACCAGTTCAAGTCGCTGAATATATTCTGAGCTTCTACCTATTTTGATGATTCGCAGAGTAAGCCAGTATTGACGACAGCATTGCTAATCATAACCGTCGAGACAGCTGTCACGAAGCGTTTCTTGTTGAGGGTAATGTTGGCTACGATGAGTCCTTGACGGGATACTCATCTTTTCCATTAGAATGTGGTATCACAGAGCCGAGACTGATAAGACCTACAAGACATCTAACCGTAGCATGGCAATTATAATCACATGAGTCTCAAATAACTCGTTCTACAGGTAACATGGCAAGGTTAAGCCACTTAGCACTCTCTTTTACAAGTAATCGGTCAACAACACTATACTAATGCCAGGCGAAGGTTCTGAGAGGCACTTGATTCAATATATACACAGTGGAGGTAATGAGCATCTCTGTAGAATTCTATAGCCAGGAAAGTAACATTCATGAATTGAGACTCAGGCGAGCTTATCGAGGAAAAATGTTGTGTCTAGGAGGCGATGAGGACAGATTTATCTGTTAAAATGGGTGATATTAACCGCAAGCATTTTGGCAAACTGCCACTTAACCTATTAGTAGCAAGAGCGAACTTTTTTCTCAAACATGATGTGTACTCTCTTATTGAGTCACAACCTATTCAATTTACTAGTTTCTTTGGGCCTTCGGTACTATTGTTGCGATACGATTCTAGTCCGTCAAGCATTAATGATGGTTTCGTCTCAGACCTGCCTTAGATTTACTCAAGTTATAATACATAATACACGCCTGAGATGAAAAGACAAAATCACGTGAGAGTAAGGGACGCACTTGCGTACATAATGACATAAAATAACGATGAACCCGGACCTAGAGAGTCTTTTGGTTCGAGTTCAATCAAGTTTCTCAGAAAACCAGAATCGGGAGACAGAGCCGTTACCGAAGGGTTGAAGGGCTTGGATAAAGTCCGGAACGACTAGAAAATTTTGTTTTGAGCGAAATTCAAATTTTCAGGTCAAGAATCGGAATATCCAAAGCGAAACTAAGGAACATACGGTTAAATGCACAATGTTCGCTTCGAAGCTGGAGCAAAACAACCTGAAAGCGACCATTGCCGCATCCTATAACAAGCTTTACTCTCAATTTAGTTCCGATGAACTTTCGGAGGTGGGGAACTACAAGATTTTGAAGATGATCGGCGAGGGAAGTTTTGGCAAAGTGTATCTTGCTAGACACCGGCCGACCCACCAGAAAGTTGTGCTTAAGACTGGATCAAAGCGCGATCCAAACGTCGTGCGAGAAGTATTTTACCATCGACAGTTTGACTACAATCACATCACGAAACTGTACGAAGTGATTGTCACTGAAAACAACGTCTGGATGGCGCTTGAATATTGCTCTGGCCGAGAGTTGTACGAATATTTGCTGATGAGGAAGCAGCTTCCTGCCGATGAATGCTCGCGGCTCTTTTCACAGATTGTAGGGGCCGTTTTTTACGCGCATGCGCTTAAATGCGTTCACCGAGACCTCAAGCTCGAAAACATCCTACTAGACAAACGGGGGCAAGCTAAGCTTACCGACTTTGGTTTCACCCGAGAATGTGCCACTAAGTCGATGCTGGAAACGATTTGTGGGACTACTGTGTACATGGCCCCCGAACTGATAGAGAAAAAAACGTACGATGGCTTCAAGATAGACACATGGTCTTTGGGAGTCATACTTTATACGCTTCTTTTTGGGTGTATGCCCTTTGATGAGGAAGATGAAACAAGAACCAAGTTGAAAATAGTCAACGAGGACCCTGGCTACGAAAACGGGGTCACGACGGCAGCTGCCAAAGACCTGATTTCAAAGCTACTTCAAAAGGATCCTCTCTTGCGTCCTTCACTGGAAGAAGTCTTGAACCATCAATTTCTTCAACCATATGGGCTTTATGTGCTTGGGAAAACTGAAAAGATTTTGAAGCAGCAGAAGCGCGGAGGCAGAAATTTTAGAGGCAAAATAGAGAGAAGATTGCTAAAAAAACTTAAGCAAAGTGGATTCGACACCCAGGGGATCAAACAATCGGTTAATAAGCGCAAGTGCGACTGTCTTTCTGGTCTGTGGTATTTGTCGCTCGAGAAAGAAAAGAGAAGTGAGTTCACAAAATTACCCAGAAGAAGCCGATCTGTGCTTTCCGTAAAACGCGTCTTTGATGTGGGTCCTCCTCTCAAGTCTGCTGCGGAAAGTATTAAAGACTTCAATAGTTCCGCTGGCCAACAAACGTCATTGTTACGGGTAGTAAGTCGAAGAAGCGAAGATAATGCAGGTCGAAAACCTCATTCACCCCATTCGGAAGGGCAAACTAGCCCCTTGAGAGCGCTTCAATCGAATGGCTCCTCGAGTCCCTCTAGTGGACGTCATAAAAAGAACAATATATTTATGAAGATGACCAGCTTCTTCAAAAACAAGAAACAGCATAGTGCTCACGGTACTGGAAGCAACTCTGCAAACTCGTCCATCATTAAAAAAACCGAAAAGCGGGAGTTTAACCCATCGATGGATCTCAAAGAGCCAAACGGCACCGGAGCTCTTCATAAGTCCAAGCTTAGCTTCGGTTCTGAGAAAAGCGAGAGCGTTCCATCCGAGGCCTTTAAAGTTCATCCCGACGCTACAGAAAGTCGACATGTGTTGGAGAAACTCAAATCCAATACATCCAGTGAAGTTTCACGGCAGACGTCAGGAGGCAACTACGATAGTGAGTTTGACTATAGAAATGGAAAGCACGGAATACCAGACGATGGCGACAATCAAAAATATGATCCACCGCCTCGTGGTAGACCGTTATCGATAGTTTCACACCAGTCTGAGTTTTCAAACGACACTTATAATTCAGAATACTCAACTGATGGAAATCCTCCTTCGTCTTCGAAGGGCAATAGCACTATAAGTTCGGGCACAAATCGCAATATCAATGCCGTCATTATGTCGGCCAAAAGCGATTCGTCCGAAATTAACTCCTCATTCAATAAAGCCGTTGCCAGGCGATCGGTGAGCATCATGTCGAGTGCGTCGAGCGCTTCAGAAAAGAGTTCCAGGGCAGATTCCTTTCAAGAGATTTCAACTGCACCATCTCCCAAAGGAATGGATATAAGAGCCATGAATGGTTTCACGTCCGGTACTGACACAGTGGCCCCCCGCATAAAACTAGGGTCTCATTGGCTTTCAAAAAGGGGTCCGTCGTCGTTACGAAGGGGACGACTTCCTAAACGAACTCTTAACCGAAAATTCATGAGCAGACATTCGTCCGGGCGTCAATCTGTCATCCAGGAGGAGAGTTCCTTGACGGACGAAGACGAGACGCAGGATCTTTTGATCGGTCAAGGACCTTACGTAAGTTCTGAAGAGCATGAAGGCAGCCCCAAGTTTGAGAGCCAGACTCCCTCAAAGGCGGGCACTCCTTTCAGCTCTGTTCCCACACGTGAAGATATAAGACCCGAGGTCGCTTCCGTGCGTCAATCGTTCAGCGAGGGAAGTGGGTGGTCGCATGACCTATCTGAAGACAACGTGGATTCAACTAACTTTGACTCTGGTACGCATGCCGAAGAATACTCAGTGTCAGAGATTGCCGATCATGAGGATAACAAAGAGGGGGAATAGTCATTGATATTCTCTCCAATCGCATTTATAATTATAGTTATCTGTAAACAAAAACTGCATCATCAGATAGTTCGAGCTGCGTAAGAGCCGCGTAGTGCAATTAACCTATAACCAGAAGGTGCGATCGTGGCTGGCGAACAACAAGCCGAACAAAATTCAAATTATTGAAGTATTTGGTACTGTCACGATCGGTATTTATCGAGACCACCTTTCTCTTGCAACGCCTCGGTTAGAAAAAACTCAAAAAAGTCTTCCTCATCTATGTCAATGTCTTCTTTCTGAAAATATTTCCCCAGTCGCTCATCATTTTCGCTCGCATCGTCGTCATCTTGCCCGTACTCATCACAATTACCATCAAGAGAGCTTTTGAGTTGTTCAAACAATGTTTGCAAATGACCAACCGCCTCTTCCTCCAAGTCATGTTCAATGTCTTGAGTTGATGTTTCTTGCGCAAAATCCGGAGCGGATTTGAGTTCGAAGTCTGAATTGTTCGGGAATTCTTTTAAGTTCTGCAGTCTTTCGATGATATTTTCTACCCCGTTGGGTCCGTGGTTGAGCTGAGACTCAGTCAAAAGCCCGCTTTTGAGCTGATCTTGGAGCGAATGCGATAGCAGACGTCCGTAAAGTAACTCTCGATCTCTTTCAGATTTGGCTCCCTTCGCAGTGGCGTAAGAAGCAAGGATCTCGCAATAGTAAAATGGAATCACAATTTTAGCTCCTTCCAGCACGGATTCATGTCCATCACTCTCAGAGGCACCGACTTCATCGCTCAAAAAAACTTCTTCAGAAAACGCGTGCTCTAGCAATATAGAAACAATATTCAGGTTTTTTAAAAGAACTTCTGAGTGCGTTCCTCTTTTGAACTTGATTTCGACGCATCTTAGGCTTTTCAAAAATTTAAGAGGAAAGGGCTTGACTATAGTTTCCATTAAGCGCTTGCTGACTTGCGGCACCTCTAAGCATTTGAAATAGGAATCCCGTAAAAACTGAAGCGCTTCGTGGGGATACAGCGAAACTCCCTGGGCCACCGTTGGAGGAATAAATTTAAAACTTCCCTCGTGAATATAAAGTCGATTATTGCCCACTGGAAATTCGTAGCATTCCGGCAAAACTTCACTCGATTCCATTAATAAAAAATCTCCATCCGAATCACAAACCTTTATAAACGTACCAAGGCCACATAATATCGATAATCTCTGTAGTAAAGCCACAACCAGAAATTCCTGGTCAAGAATATCACCCACAACTAAATGACCGAATATGTATTTAGTGCCAAGGTCATTTTCCAGTTCCTCAGTCCGCACACCTAAAAACTGACCCCACGGATAGCACTCATTCCAAGGCTTGACAATCTCTTGCCATAACTTCCGAACTTTTTTCAGCTCTGCATCAGTATTCGCTAATTTATCCAACGGGAAGATTCCGAAAACTAAAGTCCTTTCCAAGTTTCGCTTGAATAGCCCATTTTCATCTTCTGATGACCTTTGCCAAAGTAATGAAGCTAAAACATCGACATTTTGGCCGTTATTCATTGGTTTCTGCCAAGCTCTTATAGTAAGATGACTTACTATGACTGAAGTACTTGAGTTTCAACTTCTAGAGATACGTATGAAAAGGCAAAAAATGATGAGATAGAATACACTAACATGGAGGAGATTAGAAGGCTTGTTTGGGATGGGACGCTCAATATTGAGATCACAGTCGACGCTGATTTGGTTCTGGCCGATGCTGCGGAAAGCTCGCGACGAGTTTTCCTGAAAGTTCCCCGAGACATGTATTTGGTGATATATTTGCCATTTATCGTGGCAAGAATACAAGATATTTTAAAAATTGACTTGAATGACGTTTATCAAGGATGGTGGTTTCACTTTGGCGGTACTGCTTTGGATTGGACTCAGCCAATTGGCGTTTTGTATGATAGTTTGCATAATCATCGAGAATCGATGATGGGGCTAGGGGACTCCGGGAGAAGAGTTGAGATTTGGAAACTGAGATTAAATCACAGCCACCAGTATCCCAGCGGGATTATACCTATTATAAATGGACTCAGGCAAATTAGACACTATTGGATGCACCAATGGAAACAAGCGTGTTTCATTTCAAATGGATCGTCTAAACATATCATGTCGCTTTCGAAGCAAGAAGCCCTGGACTTTTGGGACAGCATTTTGCTTCGAGACCGAAAGCTATTCAGAAGTATATGCGATAAAATCATCGCTAGCTCACAGCCCGTAAAGAGAATTCCAGTGAAAATTCATTTGGTGGTCGGAGGGATCAGAAAGGTTAAAGACGCCGCCGCAGAAGGGCCTCTTTCGGCCCAATATACTCTCGGCGAATTTATAGGGCAACAATTTCCGGAATATTTTCCTCTTGAAAGTGCTGCAGGAGGTCAAACTGAGATTTTGATGCAAGGAATACGACCATCATTGGATTTACCTTTGGACCAGGTTTACTTCAAATTGGCCAGCTTCGACGGTTTTTTACACGTCCTTGTCAAAGTAGCACCTAGCCAAGCCTGTGATGACATGAATAAAATAACGTCTAAAAATATATGCTAGTAACTAAATGGGTACGTCGAAGGCCGCTTGTAACCACACGCGATACATCTTCAGCTGTCTTTTACGATTCACCAAGAGCCTTCTATCCGTACCAATTCTATTTTCTTCGAAATACTTATTTTCTGTGAAGATGTTTCTGAGTTCTTCCTCTGTAAAAAAATAGACTCTAGTACCGTCACCACGAATGTAAAAGTTATCATCCAGCAGTCTGTTTTTTTTGAATCGCACCTGGGCCAGATCATAGCGCCCATAGTCCCTAAACAATATTTTGCCTCCCGGCTTTAGAAGTTTATGCAAGTTTTGAACCGCTACAGCCCACTGTTCAGGAGCTAGAGCACTAAAGACAAATACCATGACGGCAATATCAACAGAATGAGGCTCGACGCCCTCGGGAAGAGCTCCATCTTTATTGGCAAGATCCCAAACAGTGGCATGAATGAATTTGGGATCAAAGTTAGGGTTTGTTTTGACCAGTTCAACGGCTCTCGGTGAAAAATCGGCACCAATCAATTTTAAATTGTCGTTCTTGTTTTCGCTCAAGATAGGGTAAAGGGTATTACCAGCTCCGCAACCAATCTCAAAAATGGTAATGGCACCGGCATCTTTCTTGGTCGACTCGTACAAGGAAGGAAACTCGATTTGTAACCACTTGCGATCTTTGAAAAAGTTTTCACGATTGTTCTTGTAGAAAATGTCCCAGTATCTTTCAGGATGTCCATTATAAAGTTCTTTATCAAAATCTGAGACTGGACTTTTATGTTGTTCTGCAATTTTTTCTTCAGCTGCAAGGATTTGTTCTTCACCCCATTCGACATTATCCCATGCATTGTGATCCCAGACATCTGATTCCTCGTTAAGTTTCCGCTGGCCGAACTGAAATGGATCATCACGTCCGATTCTCGTATCACCGGTTACTGCTTGGTTTTTAAGTGACCCGCTCAAATCCTCATGCGCCAAGGACTCAGCTTCTCCAGCTTCTAAGTCTTCATCCATGGTTGAAACATCTTGCGTTTCTTTCTCGCTCGCGTTAGGGCTGCCTAAAGCAACTGGGAAGTCTCCGATGTGGAAACCTCCCTTGATGTTGTGTGGTCGCCGGCAGAGCCCGCATTACCGTTTTTCTTCTTTTTCTTGTTTTTCTTCTTGGATTTCTTGCTGGATGTCGCAGAATTATCTTGTGATGGTGCTTGAGCAGCAGGCAGTTCCTGTAGCTCCTGCGATGCCTCTACTAATCCGCTGACAGATTCCTGCTTCGCTTCTGTAGAATTTTCTGGCTTTCCAGCCATTTCAGTTTCTGGATCTTGTGACGATTCTGCAGCATTGACATCAGTATCCAAAGCCGCCGTCGTTTCTCTTTCGGAGGCAGGCACAGGCTCAGTGGTAGCATCAGCTTCTTCCTCTTCAAGCTTTTCGTGTTCGGGTTCTGCAACCGCAGCAGGTATTTCCTGAGCGTTCTCGGCTACTTTGTCGGCTGGAACGTCAACAGTTGCACTTTCAACAATCCCCTCCGGAGTTTTTTCCAACGCAGAATTTTGAACCGCATTAGCATTTTCGAGGCTCTCCTGTGCAATAACCGAGTCTTTCACAATTTCTGAACCATTGACATGCTTGTGCTCACTATTTTTATCACCTTTAGCGGCCTTTTCGCTCTTCGCATCACCACTTCTCCCACTAGACAAGGTATTGGTCAAACCGCTCCCTGTTGAGCCATCAGTAGCTATATTCTCGAATCTTTTAATCAAATCAGCAACTCCCATCTTGAATTCACAGCTTCTCGGTCCACAACCAGCGATATCACCGAACGGACAAACCGAATTGAATTATTTTTGGCAAATTCTTCTAGCTAGTTTGATCTCATCGACCAAAAATTTTTCACATCTCCGATACTGAGCATCTATCACATGATTAGTAGACGAAAGCATCAACAACTAGCGTCAGGTCAAGGTAGCGTCAGGTCAAGGTAGCGTCCGGCCTCGTTACGAACTTTGGTGCCATCAACACTATGCTGGACATTCTCGTTATAGTCTGCCCAATTATCGGTTTTCTTCCTGCGCCCTCCTTCATTCCATTATCTCATCTTTAATATGACACACGAAACTAATGAGATAGTCAGCATCGTGGGATAGACTGACGAGAAATTTAGAATTCGTTATTAAATGCTCCGAAAATTGTTTCCATACTCCCAATTGGCTGCAATCGATTCCAATTTTAGGCCTTCCATCAACTTCATTGGTCTTGTAACATATTTTCGTAAAGATAAATTGAGCGGGCGGGAACTCCGACGCTGGAAAACTATTACAGCGCAGACTTTTGAAAATTGCTTCTTTTGTAGCCCAAACTCCCGCGACGTAACGAATTATAGGCTCTTGGGAAGTCTCCGTTTGAATTAAAGCCTCTAGTCTGTCAATTTCGTAGGGGTGCATGAACTTGGCAATTATCTTGTTCAAAGTCGATTTATTCCCCGATGTTGGATACTTGTCTAACAGTTTCCGGAATCTTTGCACATGAACCAAGTCTGTTCCTATGCCTTTCACATTAGCGAACCGCTTTAAACGGAATTTGGTAGCAAGGTTCATGAATATATAAAGTTATCAGACGGTGATCAAGAACACCAATTAGTTTTTCATGTACACGAAGAAAACATCGAGATCAATAGTTCCATAATGCTGTGACTAATAGATCACATACAGCTTTTATACCTTTTGTGCTGATAGTTCAGGCTTATTTATATAGTTAAGTCATGCAAGAGCTCAGGTTCGACGGAAGTGAGATCTTTACCATACATAATGGCGTCGACACGATCGTCGTGTCCTTTCAAGACGGCGGCTTTAGGAATACAACCGATGCGATTGAACTTGAACGCATCCCAAAGCTTCCAACTGGCCACATTTGTGGCGAAAACAAGATTGAATACCGAATATTGGTAGCCTAGAAGCGGTGCCCATTTCAAATAAACTTGACCCAATCTGTAGCCAATTTTCTGGCCTCTGTGGTGAGAGCTGACTAGGAAACCTCCGTTACAATTGTGGGAACAGCGGCCCACGTAGTTTGGTTTGATGTAGAAAGTTCCGAGAAACAACTCGTTCCAATTGGTCCAGGAGGCATTGATTTGATCAGCATCCGTTTTGATAACTACAACACAAAAGGAATGGAACCAATAATTGACGAACTCGTCAAGCGAAAGCTTCTCTAATAGCGGATAAGTATTACCTGCTTCAATTTCGGCATTAAATTGGTCGTGAAGGTGATGTACAAGGCCTTCAGGAATATCTTGCGCGGAATAAACCGGAAACGCGGTCGCTATACTGTCAGACTTCAACAATCTGAAATGGAGAGGCCGATCAATTGTTTCCGATGGTTTGAAAAAGGATGGTCCGTTTCGCAACATTAGTGCTCCGGTACTGCTAAAACTTCAAGGTTACCTATGATAGCGTCTTTATATTTTGTACTTTTTATATGTCATCAGCGACCTCGCCCCTCGATAGTGGGTTGCAAATTCGGGAATCGAGCGCCTCGAGAGATCGCGGTATCTTACGTGAACCGGTGAGAATCACAACTCAAACTCTTTCAAAAACGCAGTTACCATTTCCAGCAGATGCTCCCTTGAAGCGTCAAGATCGACGCGATGGCTCGCACCTTTGACAATCCCGGAGTTCTGCGACCAGAATTTGGTATCGCTATGTTCCCTCCATGATTCAATCAACCTTGACTTGTCTACGAACTCGGGAGCGAACTCGTCTTTCTCGCCATACGCAACTAGAAAGGGCTTCTTTATCTTGCCAAAAGTACTGCTCAATCTGTCTGCCTTTAAATCACTAGAAAAGTAGTCATCATCACCTTCAGGTAGCATAAGGGAGCACCACCTGTACGCAGAGATCGGCGTTTCCATCATGTACTGGGCATATTCGCGGGGTAAAATTTCGAAACCCTGACCCTTCAAAACAAGGGATTTCGCTCTAGCGTTCAAACGGTCTGCCACTTGTGGGTCCATAAAGCTTCCAAACGCTTCCCTGTCCGACACGGGTGCCTGCATAATACCAGCATCGACAGTATCCCCGCAGTTCAGCAAGTAGTGCATAACATCTTGGGAACCCGTTGAATGACCAAATATAACTATTTTGCTGCGAGCACCCCCACGCTCGCTGCGAAGATATTCGACCAATGCCCGAATATCCGTGATATCCTGATTTAAAGACGAGACCCCAAAACCTTTAAAACTACTGGTGAATTGAATTTGGACGAAAGACCATCCTATTTGACCCAAACGCTCTGCCAAGACTGGAATGTACGGAACTGTCAACAGCCCATCGGTCAAACCACCTATGAATACGACCACTTTTTCGTGGCCTAATGAAGCGAACTCAAACGCTACTTTCGATCTGGTATATTCATGTAAAACACCTTGATGTGCCATCTTGACAGATTTCAAGATCCCGTGATAAAACTCTGATTGTTTGATTTGTTGGTCCTGTTCCAGTCATGATCTCCGATGATATTTTTCAAATCCCTTATCGCGGCATCCACAGCACCAATGCTGCAAGTTCAGCTGACCAAAGTTATAGCTATTGTTCTCGCTACCAAACGTTTCTGGAAGCTAGACGGAGTCTGTAGCTTTCTGTAAAGACTTCCTCAAAGTGACACCAGGTCAAGACTTTGTCTATCAAAAAGCTATATAGTAGTGTTCAAGACGGAGAGGGGCACGAGAAAAAAGCTGAGGTCTAGTTTCAACCCACCTTCATGATCAAGTTGTAGTATGAGACAAGTAGTCTGAATTTTTCGTCTTTGGGCATCGCTGTCACTGCTCTCACTCCCTCCTTTCGAGAGCATCTTTCAAGATAAAAGAGCTCGGTTTTGAGGGAAGTGAGGGGAGGTACAGTTCGTAGAATTTGTGGTATTCACGGTCAACAGGAACATCAATCTAGTTGAGGCTCATGATACGAGTACAGTACCAAGTTTGTGGGTTACAAAGTTTGTTTCTCTAACTTTTATGTAGTCAGTTTCATCGTTGAAGTGGAGAATAATGTAATAAGGTGTGACAGATTTTAAGGGCCTAAGGAGATGAAGAATATAAAAAGAGATGACCAGTTAAACAGAGATTTTCAAAGCTAACAACGGCTGTAAATCGAAGGATTTGAAGTCAGTGGAAGTTAGTGAAACTCAGATCCATTTGACAATAAAGTTGCGCAAATCAAAGCTTACATCAGGAAAGTTCGACAGTTTTAAATAATTGAAATGGCAGGAGATTTGCCGAACTTGGAGAGAGTTCGAAAAATCGTTCTGAGATTACATCAGGAGTGTTTGGGACTTGATCTTAAGGATGCAGTCTTCAAGAAGTATCCAGGCATTGTTCTAAAGCATCTATGGCATCTGATTCGATCAGAAGGATCCATGAATCGCAGGAAACGCGCACAGATTATTTTGATCAGCCTGGGATTTATAGGACTTACAGGTATTTCAGGAGTTGCATACAGCGTCTATTCTTTGCTTTCAAAGATCAGGGCAGGTGCATTAAACAAACGGCCATTCATGAGACGCACAAGGTCTCAAATCATGCTTGACAACGGCGCGAGGGTCATGTACATCCCATATGGAGACGACGAAGAGAACAAAAAACGGGTACTTATCGGCCCCAAGGATGACGATCGATATGAGCACGACAAGTATTTGTTCAAGTATTTTGCCAAATCCAACAGATCGCAGCTATTCTACTCGAGATTCGTCAGCCAACTGAGCATTCTCTATCGCATCTTGATCCCAAAACTGACAGATAGAAACGCATTTTTACTCAGTTTCCAAATCTTTTTCTTGATCATGAGAACCTGGTTATCGCTGTTTGTTGCCAGATTAGACGGCCAGATCGTTAAGGACATCATTTCAAGAAACGGTAGGAAATTTATGCTAGATCTTATGTGCTGGTTTCTTATTGCTTTCCCCGCGTCTTACACCAACAGTGCCATCAAATTCCTACAGCGAAAGCTGAGTTTGAATTTTCGCGTCAATTTGACCCGCTACATTCACGACATGTATCTGGATAATCGACTGGCATTCTACAAAGTGACATTTGACACTCAGGCGGCGAGTTCTGTGATTGCAAACATTGACAACTCTGTTGCGAATGATGTCGCCAAGTTTTGCGATGCTGTGTGCTCAGTATTCGCAAATATTGCAAAGCCCGTTATCGACTTGGTTTTCTTTTCAGTGTACTTGAGAGATAACTTGGGAACTTTGGGAATACTGGGCATATTCGTGAATTATTTTGTGACAGGATTCTTTTTGAAGAAACTTATGCCCCCACTAGGCAAGTTGGTGAGCAAAAGGTCCAGTGCGGAGGGTGATTACTATAATTATCATCTCAATTTGATTCAAAACAGTGAAGAAATCGCGTTTTATCAAGGAACTCAGGTGGAGAGAGGTAAAGTGAATGTTCTCTATAATAATTTGATGGACCAAATGTTGCTTGTGGACCGAGTTAAAGCCAAGTACAATGCAATAGAGGATTACGTTTTGAAATACACCTGGTCTGCCCTGGGATACGTTTTCGCTTCCATACCCACCGTGGTGGCGACATTTACAACGGGAGTTAATAATGAAGAAGTGAACATGCGCGAGTTTATTGTTAATAAACGCCTGATGCTGTCGTTAGCAGATGCTGGTAGTAGACTCATGCATTCTATCAAGGACATATCCCAACTAACCGGGTATACAAATAGAATCTTCGTTCTCTTGTCAGTGCTCCACAGGGTTCATGCAAAACAGTTCGCCTATGGAGCAATCACCGACGAAGGTGATGGTCTCGACGACAAGCCTTCTCAAAGATTTGATGACGTGTTGAGGGGAACTGTTCAAAGAAATTTCAACGGAATACGCGTTGAAAACATCGACGTGATCATACCATCAAAGCTGGGAAGAGAAGGAACAAAACTTATCAATAAACTGACATTCCAAATACCCCCCGTCATCATTCCTGAAACCGCTACGTCAGATTCTCAGGTAAGCATCAGCCAGAAAATTGTCTTTCAAGGTCCTGGAAGCAGTCTTCTAATATTAGGCCCCAACGGTTGCGGGAAAAGTTCAATTCAAAGGATCATTGCAGAAATATGGCCCATCTATAACAAAAATGGTTTGCTTTCGATTCCCTCTCCTAGCGAGTTATTCTGCGTTCCCCAAAAGCCATACTTCATCCAAGATGGGACACTCAGAGATCAATTGATTTATCCCATGGCTGGTGATGATTTCTTTGACCAAGGGCATAAAGATCGGGAACTGGTTCAAATTCTTCAAGAGGTAAAACTTGAATACTTGCTCAAGAGAGATAGAGGCTGGAAATATCTCGACGCAAGGGCGGATTGGAAAGATGTGCTCAGCGGCGGTGAGAGGCAGCGGGTAAATTTTGCAAGGATAATGTTTCACAAGCCCAGGTTTGCTGTTCTTGATGAAGCAACAAATGCTATTAGTGCTGACATGGAAGATTATTTGTTCAATTTATTAAAACGGTACCGTTTCAATTTCATTACCATTTCTCAAAGACCATCTCTCATTAAGTACCATGATTTTTCTTTGGACATCAATTCTGATGAAAGCTGGCACTTACAAATGCTGGGAACTGACGAAGCGATCACATCAATTGAAAAAGAGATCGAGGGACTCGAAACAAACCTCCAAAATGTCGAATCGTGGGAAAAGGAGAGAAGTGAGCTTGTCAAAAGGCTGGCACACATATGAAAAACTAGTTCACAAAATCCGAGGTGACCAAGGCATTATTCCGCAAACGTTTTTCTGAAAGAATTGCTCGTCAGATTCTATCGGTGATTCGAGTTCAAAAGGTAAGTTATACGATGCTATAAGTCCAAATGGGTTCCGACTTAGTTTTTTGTTGGCAAGAACGGCTCTAGTTCCATACCAGTCATCTTTGAAAAGGTCAAGTGCGTTTTTTTTCTCTTGAGCTGCCAAGCCTGTATAATATTGGAGAAGTCTTTCTGCTTCAACGTAGCTCGGCTGAGGTTCGAAAGAAATATAGTTTATGCTTTGCGAGGGGAAATCTATAGCTGCTGCATGATAGTCAATAAACCTGCTCTGCTTGAAACCAAATCCCACAATTGTTAATTCGCTGGGATATAAACCCGTCATTTCGTTAAATTTGGCGATAGAATACAAAAGGTTGTCGAAGGAATCTAGCGCAAATTCCTCAACCTCAACAGAAAGATCAAATAGTGCTTCAACCGAGAGCCTCTTCTGACTCAAAATTTGTAAAATATTTGTACAAACCTGCATCAAATGTTTGTGTTTTGAAAGTGCTTCCGGTAATGTGTCCCCGCACTCAATTGCCCGTAACAATTTTTGAGAAAGCATGTAGTAACTGCGAGCTTCTGAAAGATCCTTAGCAGCCAGCTTTGTTCGAGACCCACTATAAAGTAGAACTGAATTCGCCAAGTTTTGCACCAGTTTCTCAATTGCCAAAAAAGAATGCATCATGAATGACAAGTGATCATTCCCCTCGTATTGGAAAGGCGCCAACAGCCAATGTTCAGGATTCTGACCAAAATTCTCTTGCTCATCATCTTCATCTGCTTTCCAGATTGAATGGCATGGGACTATGATAAGATGCGTTTTTGACATTTGCGACTTTAAAGATGCTCAAAGTAGAAGCTGTGATTTTTTCCAGATCAGATTTAAGACTTTCGAAATACTAAGGGCATGAATTTTAAATGATCAACAAATTTGGTAATTATTGAAAGGCCTTTTGCTCGATTGTGATGAAGTACTTTATGTTTGAGAATATCAAAATCAGGTTTCCATCAATGTTGGGCGATAATCGAGTATATACGTCATCTTCGAATCTCGACCATCTTATAATAGACGATTTCTCCTCGCAGACGCAGAAGTCCTGCTACAAATAAGTTGGAATTGGTAGTTGTAGGAGACATAATAGTCTTGTTTACTTAATATACATCATGAGAAAGACCCAAATGCTGAGAAATATGCAAGCAACGACCTCATTTGAAGTCCTTGTATGTCCATTTCTCGGTAACTTTTGGTTTGTATCTCCTTCCGCGCACTACAGGTATACGGGTCTCGACCTTGCCTGAACTTTGCAATTTTCTTAGTGTGTCATAAAGTAGATTGCCTTCTGGTTTCAGTTTCCGCAAAGAAAATGACAGTTCATCTGCAAATTTAACTTCCAGAAGATCCTCTTTAATTGTGTGTTTTGTGCCTAATTTCTGCTTCTTAGCCATTCTTTCTTTGCTCCTTTTGCCAGTTTCGACGTTTCCTTCTTTCTTAGCAACTTCTTGTTCAATGGCTTCTAATCTCTCCAGCTCGCGTACTTGACCTTTGAGCAGCTTAAGCTCTTTCTGCAATTTGACCTGTTTTTGATGCTTTTTTGCTTTGTTTCTCCTGTGCTTAGTTTTCTTTTTATTCACGACAGGCTTGTTGATAGACAGTTTGATCTCGCTTCCATCGTTTAAGGCGGCTTCCTCCTCTTCCTCATCTTCCGACGAAGATTCGCCTTCCTCGTTTGCATCAATGGTCTCCATTAAACGCGCTATCCTCCCTTGGTATTGCTCCAACTGTATCCGAGCATCGTCCTTCTTTTTCTCCGCATCATACTCCTTGTTTATCAAACTAGACCAGTCTTCTGAGTCGGGGTTATATGACTTACCTGCATGAGGCGTACTTTCGAATTCCTTGACCTTCAGCGGAGCTTCCTTCAAGGTGCCAGGAGCAACGGTAGCCTGGGACCACCCAGTTGTCGATTGTTTCAAAAGTTCTTCTGGCACCTCACTCTCAGATTTAGCAGCGAGCTTGAGGCCCGAAGGGGTCTTAATCTTCTTAGCCTCTCCCCACAAATCCGTACCTGTGGCTCTCACAAGGCCATCTTTCGCAACTGCAGTTTGGCTCTTGCTTTTCCCATCGGCGCGGCCCGCAAGGGCCATCAATCGACGCAACTCTTTCTTGCTGACTCCCTGAATCTTCTTCTTGCTCTCACTAACTGATCCGCTCTTGGAATGACTTAATGCACCGACCTTGGAGTTCGTCTTAATCGCATCTAAAATCTCAGATGACTTCAATTTCTTGGGAATTTGCTTCCGCTTGATCAACTTCGTCCTGACTACCTCGTCACCATCTGTATCAATTTGAAACAACTCGTCATCTTTAAGCTCTCCAACGCTACTTGAACCGTGCGTTATCTCTGCTTCCTGTCTCCTCTGTAAGGACTTCTCGATATCTTCGAGATCTATGTTCTTTCTCCAGGCTTTTTTCCCCTTTCTGGAGGTCTGCCTATACTGAGCCGGACGTGAGTTAGCCGCTGCCATATCCTATCAGTAAAACCAGGGTTAATGTGGGCAGATATCACTAGTTTTTTTTATGGACATCGAGCTCATCTCAAGGTCATCATCGGTTAGAAAATTTTCCAGTTTTCTATTGTCAAAAGGAAGGTCCATCAACCTTCGTCAGATACGTACTTAGTGATAGCATCTGGATGCACACTTCCTCGCATTATGGTTTAATTGGACTTAATGACAGTGTATATAAAGAGAGAGATGTAGAAGATGGTAGAAGTTTGAAGCTGAATTAGAGAAGAGCTGGAGGTATTTTATCAGTAACTAAGCGCCTCGCATTTGGGCTTCAAAATTGTAAACAGTTGGCGGAAAATAATCGTGACATGAAAAGACAACAAATTAAAAGGGAAACAAAAAAAACGGCGCGACGAGGTACTCTTGATGAACGCTTGTAGTAATTTCGCTTGGCCGCTGGCTTACAAGGTGATTTCCTTTTCTTCGTCCCATTGCTTTCTGATGAATCTCCAATGCATGGAAGGCCCGTCTTTCTTGTCTGCCTTGTCTCCGGTAATTGTTCCACTAGGCACTTCTCTGGTAGACAAATTGGCCATCGTGGCGAGCTTTGTGAATTTGTCTTGCTTGCCGTCGGTGTAGTCCTCGTCGACAAACCACCTTCTTTGCCAGTTGATGCCCTTTGCTTCTTCCTCCTTTCTAAGTTCTCTCTGAGCTTGTTCAAGAGTGGATTTCTCCTGGTCAATTAGTCCAAAATCGCCGAGCTTGATGGCCTCAGCGACTTTTTGCCAAGCCTTTCTGCTCTCCAAAGCGTGCTGCTTCTCGATGGGTTTCACGTAAAGATGTTCCGCTTTCACCTGGGCGGCGTCGTAGAAGAGTTGCTCGCTCTTCTTGGATTTACCCTTGTTTATCGTAGAGGTGCCAGACCACTGGCCACTTATTGTATACACCGCTTTTTCCTTGTCCTTCGAGTCGCTCTGGCCTTTGAAGATTCTTGCCTTGAAAGAGTTCTTCTTTCCGGAAAAATAGCCTCTGCCTGAAAACTCAACGACGGAGAACAGGCCACTAGACGACTGGATGTACGCTTTACCGTCGAGTTCTACAAAGGGAGATGCCACAAGCATGCCTTCGATGTGCAAGGGAGGCAACGTTATAAGGTAGTCCTCGTTCAAGTTTTCAAATTCGAGCAATGCATGTCCAAATTGACGCACACTAACAGTCGCGGTTGCCAGAGAGGCCTTGACTCGGTTGTAGCCTTGCAATTTGACCTTGTTCTTGTCGTTAAAAATCGTGTACGCGGTCACAGGCGGATGGTGAGAGACTTGTTCGCTTAGCAAAACGGTCTCGCCAAAAGCTGGATTCTCTTTGTTCTCCCATTTTCCCACAAACAGCTCGCCCAAAAATGGGTTCAAAGGTTTTTTCTCAGACCCCATCTGTTCGTTGCGCGAACAGTATTGCGACTTCAACGTCGAAATAAACCATTTTGTTACTGCTACCATACGCAACATCTCTGCCGAAGTACCTTCGTTGTCGGCTTTCTGAATGAACGCTGGTGCCAAAAACAAGTCCGGATGCTCTGCCCAGTACTGCGAGTATTCAGACAGCGAAGTAGGGGATATAATGAACGGAGGAGCTGTCAAAGTCGACAAATCGCCATTGAAAGATGCAATCGACTTCAAAAAGCTCGTCCACGTAGATGAGCTCGCATACTGGGACATCGCGGCGACTAAATAAGACTAAGGAATCGGAAACAAAAGTTTTCCCAAACTCAACGAAATCTCACGCAAAGAAATCCGTTGAAACTCGCCAATTTCAAGTAACAGGTAAATATTGCGGCGAAAGCGAACTCACTATCCACCAAATGTCAATATCAATCAAAGATCGATTTTCTAAGGATTCTTTCTCTCTGAGTAATCTCAAATGCGAGAATATAAAGGAGCCCATCAAGGAGTTTCTCTGAAAAAAATGTGAAAAAATGATTGATATATAACTCAAATGGTTGAGTTTACAAGAACGAGCTCAAAAAGCCAAGGCAATCGAAGGCATTGACAAGAAAAATGGTCGCTCAGAGACAAGCAAGTTGAGCTTCGATATGTACTTAGTGTTACACCGTTCAGCTTGTTTTTCCTGTCTTTTAGCGGATGTCAAAACACGTTTCTACACGTTTTCCCGACTGCCATGGTGGCCGAAGGTGTCGAGGAAATGAGGTTTGGTAAGAAAACACCCTGAAGGGTTGAAAGTATTCTAGAGAACACAATTACAACTGTCACGCTAGATTTCGGGCTAGAAGGTGCTGCTGGCCACTTATAGCTGGTAAATGAGGAAAACGTGAAATCATATATAAACCCCAAAGGGAAACCAAATGTCTGCACCTCGACCTTTCCAGGAACACCAAAAGAGTGTCTGGTACGGTCTACATCTCTCGAGAGCGAGTGTCCTAGCTCGTATTTTTACACACCGATCTTGGAAGATCGCTCTTGGATGTGCTCCACTGACATAGGTATCGCTCATCGACTATTTTACTTAGCATCACTCAAGCCTCGACAATCAAGAACTGTTACAGTCGACTGTTTGCTCGACAAACCACAATGTTTGGCCTAAATATCCTCAAAGCTCAAAGTTCGTAACAGTCCATAACGTATTGTAAGACAATGGGGTGACTAGAGTGCTGAAAATTTACGATCTTGTATATAGAAGAAAACAACCAAACAACAAGATCAGTAGATAGAACCATTTGATTTTAGACAAACTTCCAGAGGTTTTACCGTTTGGAACCGAAGTAATTAAGTAATTTCGGAACGAAAATCAGACAATTCTGATACTCTTGTTTTGAAGATTTTCGATATCCGACATCCGATTATTCAAACAATCTCTCGAGACTCAAGCGGATTTCGTTGGTCAAGCAATCCCTGTGGCTTACCATCCCATTTGCTCTAATATCTCAGAGACGTCATCGACGAAATTATTGCCTGAGGGTCGCTGTTTCGTATTCTTTCCGAGGAACCGTCACTCCATCGAATGTCGAAGCATTCGTCTGCAGAAGAAGATGATGTGCGAAGACCACAAGAACGTATGAATGAATACTTGTCCGATCCTGATCTCGTGTCTATTCCGTCTGATGATCAACCGCAAAACTTTCCCTCCGAGTCGAGAACTACGAGAGATCGCAGCGACTCCCGCGATGACGGCTACCATTACAACCCCCGAGCAGATTTCCATCCAAATCACACAATCTCGGCTTCTTCTTCGTACATTCCGAATCTTGTTGACGGATTTCATGGCTTCCCAGTGCAAGAAGTGATTCCCAGCACACAACTTCATATGCATAAGATGCATGCCGGTTCAAGTGGTGGGCATTCTTCTGGATATCGATCTAGAGCCGGGACAGGGGCTTCAGGCATGGCACATCCCCAGTCCTTGCGTTCTAGGGCAACTTCTTCCGCCCACCCAGGCGAAAGCCGACATGCATCTCATGACGATGGGGAAGTGGGAGAGGATGGAGACACCGACCAAGATCACCAAAGTGTTCCAATGATGGTAAGACCAAAAGCTTTGTATCAAAACCCTCAAACACCTTCCGTCCTTCCGTCTTCTTATCATCCAATTAATAAGTGGTCTTCCGTTAAGCATTATTATCTGAAAGAGATTTTGGCCGAATTTCTGGGTACTCTGGTAATGATGTTTTTCGGTTGTGCTGTATCTTGCCAGGTGAAGCTGGGTCAACAAAATCAAAAGAACGTTTTTTTGAAGCAACTGGCGGAATCTAATATTCCTGGCGCTCAGGAACTTGCTCTTTTACAAAATCTTGTTCTGCCAGATCCCAACGGTACTTTTGATGATATAGCGTTCTGCTGGGCCGGTGCAGTGGTTATGGGCTATTTCGCTTCAGGCGGTAGTGCTATCTCTGGTGCTCATTTAAATCCTTCAATTACAATCACCAATTGCATATTCCGTGGCTTTCCATGGGTCAAAGCACCCTTCTATTTGGCAGGGCAGGTGGCCGGATCTTATGCCGGGTCACTTATTATATTCATTTACTACAAGAGAGTAATTCAAGAGGTATTTCCTGATTGGCAGACAAATGAATCAGTAGCAGGAATGTTTTGCACAGTACCCCTTGCCTATTTGTCAACTACAAGACAGTTTGTGGGCGAATACGTGATAGGTGCCTTCCTTCAATGTGGAATTTTCGCTTTGACAGATCCTTATACCTGTTTGTCGTCAGATTTGTTTCCACTTTGGTTGTTTATTCTCATCTATTGCCTAAATGCATCTGTATCACTCCAGACTGCGGCCGCTTTGAATGCAGCAAGGGATATAGGTCCAAGGCTGGCTTTATACACTGTGGGGGTCAACAGGAGCTTACTCTGGTCAGCTCATCGTCATTTTTTCTGGATACCCTTGGTAGCTCCATTCGTAGGTGCCATCACCGGAGCAATAGTCTACGATATTTCCATTTACAGAGGTCACGAGTCGCCCTTGAACTGGCCTCTAAACATGTACAAGGAGAAATTACTTCGGGCCTGGATTAGAAGGCCAAGATTTTACAAACGTGACCGCAAACGGTCTTCCAGCAGCTTGAGCGATTGGGCATTTGATGAAGATGCGGAGCGTAGCTCCTCGAGAAATAGCGAAGAGGGAGAAAGGCCAAGGAGAGATTCCCTCGATCACGAACCAATTCAAAAAGTCGTTCAATTTAAGAGTTTGGCCAAAAATACAAACGCCAGGAGAAATCATACTTCTGGGATTCCTACAATTTTTGAGGAACCCGATGATGATGAAGATGATGATTCCAGCAGCAGCAATGGCGAGGATTTACTGCCACGCAAACAGGAACAGAAAAGCAAGCAGGCCCACAAATCCAAGAAGTCCAATTTTTTGAAAAAAAAGACCCCATAAATGTTTCTACATTGATGCTTGGGTTACGAGACAAGCGCATCTCTTACTCGTATTTGTAATAGAACTGAAATGCAAAGAGATGTCTCGATTTACCATGTAAAGAATAGCAGTAAAATACACACTGTGATTAACGTTGAAAGAATCAAAGCGTTTTTCTTTCTTCTGGTGTTAATCTTGGCAATTACATTGTTGATACCTGGAACCCGTTGAAGTGTTCTCAAGATCCTGTCGCCGGCTCCTTGTAAGACCGTACGCTGTGCTGCAAATTGGTCTCGCGTTTCCCACGCCTGTGTCAACAAACTGTCCACCACGTTATGGGAGTCCTGAATCCGCCGCGATTCTTCCTGTATATAAGCATCTTCATCCTGAACACTTTGTTGCGCCAAGTCTTGTTTGACACTGAACAACAAGTTAAGACGGTTACGTTCTTGTTGAATAGAGGACCTTAGGTTCCGAAAGTTTTGCCAATGTTCTTGTAAAATCTCTTTATGGCGTTGTAGTTGGGACAGTTTCGACGCTGAAATCTTCGAGTTTTCGTTACAAATTTGGTCCAAGTTGTTAATGCAGTCTTGCCTCTGGGTTAAACATTCCTCCAATCGAGTGTCAGTTGTTCTTTCTTGTGTTGAAGCTTCCGCACTTGTCGTTTGCGCGAATTGTGAGTATCGCGAAAGTAAAGACTCCGACTTGTTCTCAAGCGATATAAGTTGACTCCGTATGGTCACAAACGATGCCATTGTTCACTAGGTTTTGCACGATAATCCAGTTATCTTGTTTTATTTTTCAGTTTCATTAAAATCCTGTATTAGCTAAGCTAAATCTTGAAATATCGTACCGATTCTTTCATCAAACAAAGTCAAATAAACAGAGAACCATCTTTTTAAATACTTATCATTTTCTTGTCCCGTAATGTCGTTGGTATCACAACAGTGTACTTGAAACCAGGCCTCGCCGCTGCTTTGATCCATGTAGTCCAAACCTATCTGGAAAAAAGTGGTATTCAATACTGTGCTAAGATTACTGGGAAACCACAACTCGCGCTTTTCGAAACCGTCAACACACTTGGTTTTCCATATTCTAAAAGTCAAAAAGGGCTCTTGATAGATAGGATTGAATTGAATAGAAATTTCGAAAGTCACATCGGGCAAATTTGGGTGATTCGAATGAACATAAGCACAATGTACACCAATTTCGGTGTTTTGGCGTAGATCAAGGCGTACACATAAACGCCATTTGGATATTATCGGTATTAGAGAAGACAGCTGTCGATCGAATGCTTCGGGTGATATCATGTCTGAATTCTTCTTACAGGGGATGTCACAGAGCACAAGAATAGTATGTCAAGAATAAATAATAGTTCAAATAATAAATATGGGGTAAATAAATAAGGGTCGCGTTATGTATTGCAGAGGCGAAAAAAACCCACCACTACCTCAAATGAAGCTCATGTACAAGTAGAGGCCTATCTTGCGCTAGACGCATTTTTCTTGAGTCCAATAAATATGTTGCAACAATGTTTAGTTCTAAAGCTCCCACTCACATCACTTAGGCAGGAATTAGCGCCTTTTTGATCTCAGCAATGGCATAGCCAGGGTTCAAACCCTTTGGACAAGTCCTTGTACAGTTCATGATGGTGTGGCATCTGTAGAGAGACATTGAATTTTGAAGCATTTGCTTACGGGCCGCGGATGCCTCGTCACGGGAGTCAATTAGCCAACGGTAAGCTTGCATTAGCACTGCAGGCCCTAAATATTCTTCCTGGTTCCACCAGTAGGAAGGACAAGCGGTAGAGCAACAAGCGCACAAAATACATTCGTAAAGGCCGTTAAGCTTTTCACGGTCCTCGATGCTCTGCAAATTTTCTTTCCCATCCTCAGGAACCTTTGATCTTTGCAAATAGGGCTGAATCGACTTGTACTGCTGGTAAAAGTGAGTTAGATCCGGAACAAGATCTTTGACGATGTACATGTGAGGGAGGGGATAAATCTTCGTTTGTTTGGACTCGTCGGTGTCAATTCTGCAGAGACACGCTAGCGTGTTTCTACCGCCGATGTTCATGGCACATGAGCCGCAGATACCTTCTCTACACGACCGTCTGAACGTCAGCGTAGCGTCCTGCTCATTTTTGATTTTCAAAAGAGCATCCAAAACCATCGGCCCACATTTGTTCAAGTCCACCTGATATTCTTGTAGCTTAGGCTTCTCCGCCGGATGGTCTGGGTTCCATCTGTAAATTTTAAAAGTCTTGAGTTTGGGAACCTCCGTCGCGGCCTCGCTAGCGAGTCCTCTGCGGCTAATGATACCCGTGATGCCAACAACACTTCTTTTTAAACCGCTAGTGAACATGTTGTGTGCAATAACCCTGAACAAGTCGGTTGCGAAAGGATCCTTGAAGTTGCAATAAATATAAATGCCTTTTATTACTCCGGTTCGGACAAATACGATTCCTTTTATATTCGTACAAGGTTTATAGCTTGAAATTTAAGGATTATCGGAGCCGATCGCTCTTTCTCAATTTTTCTTTACCCGGATCCAAAACTCTTCCCCGGAACAAATCGGAATTGATAGTCAATGTTTCCGGAGTTTCCCGAATATATGTGTATGGGTCCTGAAAAGGGTGTAAGGGTGTAAGTACTCGTGTCTCTTCTGACGACTTTTGATATTTTGAGTAGTCAATGAGTTTTGTTGGAATGCTCATAGTTCCCCTCCTCCAAGGAATAATGAGTATTCGATCCAGCCACTAACACTAACATGGTATTAAAGTCATAAAAGTCCAGTGATTTGGCACCTATTCTATTCCTAGACTTAATAATGCCGCAACGTAATTTGACGTCTATCATCTTGATGTAGACTCCACCGAAATTATATATATAGTATGTGTAAAGTACTGTTTTACAGTTCCACTTGACAGTATTTGTTATACTCATTAACAGCAATGGAGAGATTCTTGTACAAGAATCTCTTCTCATGGGAATCCGATATTGGTACAAATAAGTCTGAAGATGCATTTCTCAGAGTGATTACAAGACCTGCGCGTTCTAATGTCATAGCTTTCACGTCAGAATATTTGACCTTCCACATTATTTCCAGTGAAGACAGACGAATTTCTATAACGTGGCTCATGGAAACAATCACAGCCAGCTGTTTCCCAGGAAGGACAACGTGGGCGAGATACTTGTCATTGATAAGCTCGCCCCCGTTAGCAGTTTTAAGCCAGAATTGGCCTTGGGATTCCCGTTCGTTAAAAGGCTTGATAATTTGATCAAAACCGACGTAGCGTGGTAATCTCACTCGAGTTGCAAGTGAACCGTCCAATACAGTGGTTGTGTTTCTTATACCCTCGCTAAAATTACTTGCCAGATCCAAAACACCAACTGCCGTTTTGGTAGGAAGCCCCACGATACCTTTCCCGAGACCTTTGAAAAAACCGGGCATGCCATCCTGTGATGCGCCTGTAAAAGGATCGACAGCCATGCCTCGCAAACCGCTTGTTATACCGTTGACAAATGAAGTGGCACCGGTTCCAAAGCCATTAAAACCTTGATTGCCTCTGGCTTTTCGCTGTTCTAATCTTCGACGTTCTTGAAACTCACGATCTTGAGTTGCAACAGATAAGCCTTTAGCTACAGACCCGGTAAATTTCGCAAAACTGTCTGAAAGGCCAAAAACAGATTTTTTGACGAAACTAAGGCCTCCCTTCGCTATACTAATTCCAAGCTCCTGAGGTCTGTCATTGAGCATGTAACCCTGGTACGGCTCATAAAAAATATCCCACACTCCTGAGCTTATATTGTTGAACAAACCAACAGGATTACCCAAGAAGTCAGCAGAGCCAAGGACCTTGTGAATTTGATAGAAAAATTGCTGTCCGTAATGCGTTTGAATGGCGCTCATTAGCATTGGCAGGGGAACTTTGACATTGTCCATGTACAAAGAGTTTAGTTTTATGGGTGCATCATTAATATTTCCTAACGCCATAGTCAAAACGTTTACGAAAAACAACAGCGCGTTCTGTGGACCCACTTTCTCGTCTTCTGGATTGAGATCTTCGGTTCGCACAAAGGATAAATGGAGCATGGTAGGCTGAAGGTGGAACATCTCAAAGTATATATCGTTCTGTCGCTGTAATTCCACAGGCCGCACAAGCATTGCGTAACTGTCACACAAGGAATCCTCCGCCTCGTGTAGCCAAGAGGCTCCCGGAATTTTTGAAAAATCAATGAGTGCCATTAAGAAATCTTCATCGAGCTGTATAGTCAGCTCTTGTAGTAATAACGTGGCATGCTTAAAGTATAAGACCCCATGGGTATCATCTTTGACTTTGGAAACTGAACCTGACAGAACAGGATGATAATCAAGCTCTTTAGAAGTCTTCTGTATCGCCGTTGGGTAGAGAATATTTGGGAATATCCCAGTAAACAGTTGATTGTCAATTTGGATCCATTTCAATTTGCAGCTGACGGTTTGGTATAAGTCAGACTCATTATACCTCAACTCGAGATTGTTTAAGGTAATGTAGCACAACTCCTGTAATTTCGTGTTAATAAGAGATATACCGACACCTTCAAATGCAAAGATAATTTTCGTGTGCACATTTCTGTCCTCTTCTTGCACTTCGAACTGATCCCCTCTCTCGGTGGAGAGGGAAGTGGACGTATTCTGAGCAGAACGGAGCTTGTATAGACTGAATTCAGGGTTATAATTCGAGATCACAAGGGCTTGTGTTGGCCCGTCTGCCACGACGTTTAGGTCAACTATCGCACGTTGCTCATTTTGAGCGGTGACAGGAAGCCTCATGGGTTTGAGGTTTCCAATCTCGGCTAACTGCACCTCTCGTTTTCGTTTCCTGGCCACTAAAATCAATTTCTTTTGGCGTGCAGCAGGATAGTCCCAGGCATATGGCATCACGCTTCGAGGAGGAACTTTGTAGAATAGTGGTTCATAATCCATGTCAGCGAGATCATCGTACAGTTCATAATCATCATCATTGTCAAAAGTTCTTGGGTCTCTTTGATAAAATATGAACTCATGATCACTGAAATTTCGAATAGAATATGGCCAGCTACCATCAGCGTGGCCAATGTTTATGAATATTGTTGCTCCTTCAAGAACAATGTCAAGCTTCAATAATTGGTGACCTTTTCCCCTCGTCAAAACCTTAACGTAAGTTGAGCCTATATCTTTGATCATGAAAGGCGCAGACCACGCTGAATTTGACCCCAGGTATTTTAATATCAGGTGCTTATTGGATATACTTCGCATCTTGTACAATGGATAGGAGATGTTTGTCTGGACGATAAAGACATTAGTAGATCCAAATTCACTGACTTCAATGTCGGCATCTAGTTCATTCCTGATAATATATCTCGGTTGGATATGAATGAGTTTACTAAATGCATAGCGGCCTTCACCCTCGGTCACGGTTATGCCAATATTGCTCTCCAGATTTTTGTTGGGAATACTCATTGTGAGGTCAACAGCCTGTCCTATGGCATCAAAAGATGTCCTAATACTCCAGTCAGAATCATTAAATCTCACACTGGCACGATTTCTGTTGCTTTTGTCGCGGTTAAAAGAAAACATTGTAGGCTTGGAAAAACGATTTCCGTCCTCTGTTAGTAGCACTTTCGCTAGAGTTATGTTGTTATTGTCGCCCTCGATTTGAAGGTCCCTATTGGTCCCATTCAATATCACGTAAGGCGAATAAATGCTCACTATCTTAGCCCTTGAGCCCTCGACGTTCTTGTAATGAGCATTCAAGAAAAGCTTTTGGCCAGTCTTATATCTGAGTGATAGTCTGGATTCAGGCTGTAATTCCGATCGGTAGGGAGTATTTATCAGGCATTGTTCTGAAATACTAATGTCCTCTTCATCAGGATGAATTTCTAATAAAAGAAAGTCATCTAAAGTGACACTGTGTATGAGTACCTTTTGTCCCTTGGCAAGTTGGTGTAGTTCTGACTGATCCTTGCGGGTAAAGCCTGTCGGCTTAGACTCCTTCCATAATAGTCTATAGCTCATGTCGTAGGGCAGCAAATTTTCCAAGATAAGAGGTGAAGAGATAATGACTTTCATGTGAGGGTAGACCCGGGCTAGTGGCTCGTTATGATCATATTGAGCATCGATTTCAAAATGGAACAAATTATCCTGGCTTTTGTTTCTGCACGTCACTGTTTGAGGACGGTTCAACAATTGCCTCCACCTAATGGATCTCGATGGCCACTCAAAATTTCCTTTTGGTCTCAAAATCACTTCAGTTTCGTAAGCTTTCTCAGCTGGAATTGATCTACTTTCCCCAGGGTTTAATTCTTGGATTGTTTCTTCACCCGCCATTTTAAATTCCAAAATGTTAGACGTCGAATTTTGTAACACAATCGTCGATCTTATTGTAACCGTCTTAACGTTATCGTCTCCCAAAGTCAGCTCGCAAGCTAGCCTGGTGTGGATTCCATTTTTCGGAGGCCTTAATGTGTAAACATCTTCGCCCTCTGCTGTAACATCAATCCTCAAAGAAGATTCATATTTCTTGTCAGCGACTTCCACTCCCAACATGTTCATAGTGCTATCGGTATCAAGGTTCTCCCTAACTCTTCGCCAATCTTCAAATTCCCACGGTAAGCATTCCATGCTTTCAAGAATTGTCAACTGATTCCTTTGGCTTTCGTCTTCGGATGCGATCCAAACATTTAAAGTCATGCCCGTGTCATTGACAATTTTATAAGGCTTTTCGGCTCCTCTGACGGTAAGGTCCTGATGGTCATAGATCGAGGACGGTATTTGAGAAAGAAGAGCAATTGTTCTAGAAGAAAGACTCAAACTGGCAATTTTGCTAGATACCACATCAAACACCAGTGCAGCATTGGTATCAGAGCCCCTGGAGACATGAAACGAGATTGGGAAGGCTTCCACAAGAGGTTCCCAGCTAGATCGCGAGTAGTTGAAAATGTTTGCGTATAGTTCAATGGTGGAGAGTAGCTCAACATCATTTGACCAATTGTTAGCTGAAATGTTGAAAGGCCTCACATTCATATCAATAATTGGAAGTTCATGAACATCACCAATGAGGACCATCCTTAATCCTTCAACGTCTGCATTCAATTTTTCTGCAGTGAGAATTGCCTCCTCATTGCGACGAGTTTTATTGCGACTGGAGAGAAAACTAGCGGAAGATACAATACTCGGCGCATACTTTGACAAAGTGCGCTTAAAATCTTTTGAGAAGGAACCATATTTGGTTTTAAAATCAGTCTCTTCTGATGTAGGTTCTGATGCAAGCCCGTGGCTTTTGGCCAGCTTCATTGCCTTATCAAAAATTGCGAGAGCCAGCCTAATGTCTCTCAAAGATAATCTCATTACTATAGGTTCCACAGATATGTGCACACTTGTTAAAAACTTTTCCGCATTGGAGTCCCTTGTATCAACAGCAATAGATGAAGAGAAATCGTCTAATAACCTAATTCTGTTTTCATCAAATGAGCCCATTCTGCAAAGAAACATCCCCAAGTTGTTGGCATTAGCCGACATGATATTTTGGTCAGCTATCATCAATTGTCCAGCACTAAACACAATGGCTTCTGTATTTTTATCCGAGGGATCTGATAACAGAATGATAGATCCATCAACAACGTTTAAGGAGTAATGAATTTTTAAAGACCCCTCTCCAGAGATAGAGTCGTTTTCTTTCAACTGTCCTTCCTCACTATTAATCTTGGCCGGAGGCTTCACGCTCAGAGTCGGATCAAAGAATGCTTTAAGTGCAAATAGGTAATCCAAAGCCAAAATAAGCCGAGGCGTGTCAACTGTCACACTTATGTTGAAAACACTAGAACTGCCTAGTTTCCGCTCGACAACGGTTGCCATAAATTGATTATTATCTCCTGACGTTTTCGGAATAAGCTCGGTAAACTCGTTTTCTTTCTCTTTTCTAATATCTTCGACGGTAAATGAGAAAGTGTGTATCTCTGCATTCAATTCCATGTCATCATTGGTTTTCAAGACCATACCAAAGTCATGAAAAGTCAATCTTGTCATTGCACACTCATCGACGCTCTTGCAACCCTTAGTCTCTGAATATAGTGTCAAAGAAGTATTAGGAGCAGCAAATTCCATGCTCAAAGAAATCTTTCTATCATTGCTGCTTTCTTGCGGTCTACTTGAAGCCTCAGAAAGTTCAGACTCGCCTTTTGGAAACATCAAAGCGCTTACGTCAACTGCGGCATCTTCAGCCACTACTAGATCGCTTTGATCAATCTGCAAAGCCTTGGGAAGATTTTGGGATAGAACATACATGTATTGGAGCTGCAAATCTGTCAACCTTGCTGAAAGCGGTTCGAAATAGCCTTTAACATCAAAGCTCCCTCCGTCATCACCATTTGCGGGCTTATGAGTGATATCAAAGTGCATGGCAAGATCTTGAATAATATGCAATTCTTGGAGGAGATTGTTTTCCATGTGGAAAATGGAAGAAATAGTTCCTGACTTTATGCCAGAAGAAATCGTGTTGATGAGGACATTATCGCTCTCTTTAAAGGTGTTCTGAACATACAGCTGTCCAAGATAGAAGGTTATGCTGTCGTATGTTTCCTTTCCTGGATCTATGAGTTTGGGAAATATGATTACAGGTGCCTTCACGTTGATGTTGAGTTTCATGTTATTCACTGACTCGATATTGCCTGCTTGGTCATAAGCTAGTTCCCGAGCATGATCAAAAAGCCCTTTCATTCTTTGAAACTTAGCCGCGTAATTCAGAAGCCTATTCAAGGCATCATCGACAACATTGATAACCATGGAACCCGTCCTGTAATCGAAAGAGGAGCTGAAATTGTTCGAGTTCTTAGCAGGATCGAAAGTTTCATAAGTCAACTCCACAAGCTCGTTATCGCTAATCGTGATAAGTTTCCGCAGTGGTGATGTTTTAGGGAGCCCTTTATGGATTTCATTTGTGAGATCAATTCCGCCAAGACTAGCTTTCAAGTTCATCGACTCGGGCAGTAAAAACAAAGCTATCTCTGCGGCACTCAACTCCAAAGTAGCAATATCTGTAGACTCGTCGCTGAGAAGTACTATAACGTTATCCATAGAAAGATGGAAATTTATTTTTTGAGGAGCATCCTCAGTATCTGGGGCATTGTGCTTTAAAGCATCGACAGGCATTTCGGGTCCGTTCGGATCAGTGAATGTGGTTATCGCAAAGTTGATCAACGTCAAAATTGTTTTGGGATTCAGAGTAAACTTCAGTTCGGTCATCGACATCATAACGTCCTGGTCTGCCACAGCGATTAAAAAGCCTTTGTGCGTCACGATTCTCTGGCTTCTAACAAGGGATATCTTAAATAAGTCGGAGTCATCACCACTATGAGCATGTGTTGATTGAACTATCCAACCAGTTTCATTCACTTGAGTATCTTCGATAAAATCTTCTATGTCCAGAGAATGCAGTGCAAGGTCTAACTCGAAATTTTTGGCCTTTTTCCCCAAGTCAAGTTCAAAATTCTTCCCAACAAGATTCACCAAAGGCGTCGTGCCCATGCTACCCTCGTCTGTGCACTTGTGAAGCCATACATGAATCAATTCGATGTCAAACTTCAGTTGAAAAATGCGTTGATTGAGCTCAGTCGGTGTCATTTTTTTCAGACCATCCAACTGCTCCTGCAGCATTTGACTTTCACGGGCGAATTGTGATTGAGAAGTAGAAACTTCATTATCTGTTAAAAAATTACCTTCAAAACCACTGTGCTCGGTTCCAAAGTTACCAAATTGAGGCAAACAATTATCAATCAATTTCATCAAAACCTTGTATTGATAATCATTAATCGAAAGCTTAAGTAGTGGAAGCTTCCCGTAAATTGCAATTTTAGGTAAGGTTAAAGCCCTCGGAAGGATAGAAATATCGACATCGAGCTCCATTTCCATTCTGTCCAATATAACTGAGTTACTCTCTCTGTCACTTAAATTCAGTTTCGAAATGGTACTCCTTATATCTGGGCCTACCAGAAACTGCATGTCGTTGAGTTTGAGTTTAAATCTATCAAACATGAGTCTTTTAATATCTTGAGGTGCAATTTTGTCGTACTCCTCTGGACTCATAGCCTTCATCTCTTTGATCTTTTCTTTTGGAACCAAGTCACTAGCAAGCGATATGTGGCCGGCATCAATTACTGCACAAGGCGTATCCCAGACATGAGGATTTAATGGAATTATAATGAGCGGGGCCTGTAAGTCCATCTCGACGTTGACTGTTTTGTGGTCTTCGAGTATTGCCTCTACTCCCATCCTGGATTGGGCGGTCCACCCTCCAACTGTTGCCTCCGCGGCATTCATAATAGCGCCAATGGTATCAAGATGTTTTCTGGGTGGATCAAATAAACGAATGATCTCATTTACGAAGTGAACATGATAAAACACGGTCATACTTTTCAGCTGTAGCTCGACCTTGGTGTCAGCAGAGTTATCAAGAGGATTTTGCTCTAGAGCAACTTTGAAAAATGGCTCCTGGTCTGAAGTCTCACCTTCCTCATCTTGTATTTGAAGATTTTTAACACTCACAATATGTTTGTAAAGCGTGTTCGGGGAGCCATCCTCAACTTTAAACTCACGCAGCCTGAAAGTTGCAAGCATAGAGTCTGGGCGCTGATAAAAGTCAGTTTCGCAATTCTCAAAGATAACCTCACCCAACTTTAACGACTTGGAATCATTTATGAAGCGAAGTGAGCCCTTTTTCAAAAGGCACGAAGCACTTGTGACAACCCTATCACGAGGTAAGCTTATTGCTTCTGACAGTATCTTAGTCTCGTCAAATTCTATTGCATCGTAAAGCTCCTTTCTCTGCTCGTCAGTCAACTCCAATTTGTCTTGCTGTTCTTCGTTCGAGCTGCCTCCGCTCCACCACGAAGAAAACCATCCTGCATTTTTATTTGTTTCACCCTGCTCGGAACCCGAAAGCTTCGCCTCACGGCTTTCAGTACGGAATTGTTTCGAAGCCATAGCCCTGAATAGCTTGATATCCTCAAGCGATAAAATCTTATGAAGCTCTTTTAGCTCTGCTTCGTCTTCTTCATTGAGCGACATTTTTGCATTGTGTTCTGAAGCTAAATGCTTCTTCCACAGCCCGATATACTCAATTCTCTTATCCCTCCTCCATTTGATAAAATCCCAACTCATCTTATAATTCCTACCATGAATCTCTTGATAAATCGATCGAGCGGCATAGGCAAACCAAGCGCGGGGATCATCAGAAACAGAGCACTTAGGCCTTTGTCTTCTGAACTTGACGGTTTTTTTATACCAGTGAATTTTTGACGCCGTGTTCAAAATGTCCTGATATTGAACGTCACTGATGTCGAGCCCAAACTCCTCGAACAAAAGCTTTACGTCAATATGTGGCTGTTTTTCTGTTGAACCGGCTTTATTGAGAGTTAGCCGCCCACATCCACTAACGGGTCTAAGTAAAAATTTGTGGTCAACTGCATTATTTGCACTACAAATGGAGTTTTCCATGCGAAGCCGGAGTTGGTCGTGATCAGTACTAGAAATACTGTCTGCATTGGAATTCCAGTAAACTGCCAAAGAATCCAGGGTCAAAAGCTTCTGTGTAATCGCCGTTGTCATCGAAATAAAGCTAGGAACCCAATTTTCGTTTGTCGAGACGGCTGAAATCTCACTCAAGGTGAGCCCAACAGCATATGGCTCCTCTCCAAAAATTCCCTCCATGTCTTCGTACCGCACATGTATATTCTTGATTGAAACCTGCAAATTATCCACGATCTTGGTCAACAAAGACTGTGTGAAAGTCTCATTTTGTTCTTGGTTGTCGCCTATAGCAGTAGTAGCCGCTTTGCTTATCTCCTCTATCTCCTCTAGCTTCCTAAGTTTGAACCTTAACTCCCGCTCTTCATCGTCTTTCTCGTCTTCTCCTTCTTCATCTCTAGGACCACATAAGAGATGGACCCCATCGATCAAGATTTTTACAGGTCTGTTTTTAAGGCTCTTCCATGGAACTGCCAACGTCAACTCCCCTAGATACCCATACTTCACGTCGATTGGTAAATCCAAGGCATCAAGGGACTCCTTCCTTAGTTTCAAGTTTCTCAGCTTGACGTCTCCACTCCAAATTCCCACGTTTAGTTGAGTGCTATCGAAGTTCTCGACATATGCCCCAAGAACTCGATTCAGCAACCCAGCAGCAAGTGACTCGAGCATTTTCTGAGCGCGAAGTTCCTAAACCTTACTTTTAATTCAGAATTGCCCAAATATCCCCTTTTCGCAAAGCCTTAGGTATGCTCTCTTGTTTGGAGGCATCGATTTGAAAGTGTTGATGTCTGATTATACGAAAGAATTCAAATCGGGTACTCGACATATGTGCATGTTTTGAGAAAGCTGGTCACTAAATGACATTTGCCACCCTAATTTAAGCGCTTCGGTACAGAGTTGATAAGTCATACTTATTGCTACTTCGGTGATACGCAGCATTTTTTATTTTACAAAGAAGCGGATTTATTAATCAAATGCAAGATATAAACCAATGAATGAGCAGACAGAACTGGATCTCATTGAAAGAAGTGAGCTTCGCCTGGCGTTAGCTTCGTCAAATGAAGCCTTAGAAAAATTCATGGATATATTTCTTACCCCTATTATCCTCAAGTTGGGCTCACCGCACGTTGCCGTTAGACAAGCAGTTTTAGGTTCGATGAAGAACATAATGGCTAGAATTACATCCCTACAAAGCGTGCAATTGCCAGCTGAAAAGCTTCTCGAACAGGTCAAGGAGCAGATACAGAATGAAATGAGCGGAGGCTCTTCTGTAAGTTTGTATTCGCTGGTCTTTTTGTCAAAGGCTGTGGACCGAATGGATGGATCCGACTATCACAAGGCTTTGAAGCTGGTACGAGACGTTATGACTGGCATTTCGACTCTCCCGAAAATTTTGTCAGGCCGAATGTTCCACATATGGTGTAAGCTCATACTTCTGTGGAATAAGTGCGGAAGGGAGGGCGCTGAGGAAGCGAACATTCTGTCCCTCTTCAATGAAGTTGGCATCGAAGATTTAGAATTTTTACTTGATAAATGCGGTGGATTTCTTATGCTGAAGCCACTGCAACCACAAGCTGACTCGGCAATTATTCCTCGTGGTTACAGTTGTCGGGGTCTGTCTGTTGAAGATACTGAATTTTTCACCTACGAAGCTGGCGTCACCTTTAGCCGTGAGCAGCATACAAAATATAAAACGGCGATATTTCATTTCCTAACGACCTTTTCATTTACCGGACCGCATTATTGGAAATATCTATTGATAGCAAGTGGTGATCAGGCCAGGTTTTCTGACGAAGCTTTTGGACTTTTTAAAAAAGCTCAACCAGATTTTGAGAATCATGTGTTCATTGACGATCTGCTCTCACTGTATATGGGTAGCACTGCAAATGGTCGGCCGCCAGTTACATCGTCGCTGCAAGAAAAGATCTTGACGTCTTTTGTAAAAAGTCAATACGCTGTGAAAGACTCTTCAAAGGTTCTACTACTTGCTTCTATTGGGCTCAACTCCTCTGAATTTAGTATCAGGTCTCTTACACTAGCTCTCCTAAGGCATGCTGCTGTTTTCAATTGCGAAGCGCTGAGTTATGTTGACGAAAGCAGCGACTTTTCCACAAATATCCCATCTCTCATTAGAAATAACCTTCATAACGAGGGATGGCCAACATTACACTTGGATTCTTCGATTCCAAACTTTTCCATTTGTCTCGAAAATAGAAAAAAGCAATATGAGACATTAGGTATTATTCTCAGGAAGAACTTATCTTTCGTGACAGATCTTTCCTTCGTAGAATTTCTTCTCGAGTCTCTGTCGAAAGATTTGGAGGAATTTAGGATCTGTATCCAAGAGGTTCTGTGCTCCTTAACACCATTACTGCCAGACCTTCCACCGAATTCAAAGCAGAAGCTAAAGACTAGTCTCTTTCAAATTATTTCAAGAGACTTCGGCGAGCTGGGCCACGATGCTAATGCTCCCAAGAGGGCGGCAAGTTTGCATTTAGTAGCTATCCGATACGCAAACGCGACCTTCCCTTTCGATGATTGCGATGCGCGTATCATTAACATAATGGGAACTTATCACCTTGAAAGTCAACTAGTGAAGGATGAGGCCGCCAAAATGCTTCAACCTTATTGGTTTCATCATATGAAGTCGATGGAGTCACAAATCGTTTCTGCTCGCCGAAATCCGGACCCAGGTAATAACTGCTATCCTAAATTTGCGGTCTTCGTCGAGGCTCTTTTGAGATACGTGAACGATAAGCATTCCCTGATATCTCAAAAGCTATTCGGCTGTTTAACCCATTCAATAACGTTTGCTTTGCATGCCTTGGCCGCACAAGCAATCTCGGGAAAAGACACAGGTATTGTTCAGGACGAAGATTGGCCGACAAGAATAGAAAGCGCGCTAATGTGGGATATTCAAACCCTTGGTTATATTGAAGAAGAGCTACAGATACTGCAACCAGATATTCTTTACGATTTGGTGTCTTTTTTAAGCCAAGTGCTCTTGGGAGATTTCTCGACGTCAAGTCTGGACAATGCTTCTTTGGAGTCGTCTGCTTCAATTTTGCTCTTGATCACTAGACTGGACCGCGGACATTCTGTAAAAAAATTGCATCAATTTTCTACCGACATTTATCAGCGCATGGTGTCCTTCGAAACCATTTCAAGGGACCTCACTTTGAATACTGCGTACCTGTATTCCCTAGCCACGCAACCAAGCTTTGAACTCATAAATAACATGATTGATGGGCTCAGGCATAGGGAAACATCTGATAATGAATACATCTCGATGCTTTATTGTTGCTCCTTTGCAGCCTCTCGACTACAGTTTCCTGCCAATGATGACAAAACTGCCGCTCTGTTGTCAGATTTAGTCACCCTTTTATTAGACAATTTGAAGGTACCGCGCCTCTTTACCTGTTGCATTGACTCTTTTTCTCAACTCTTGAAGTTTGATTTGATAAAGTTTTTACCTTTCCAAAAGAGAGAAGAGGTAGCTTCAAAGTTGTCTAAAGCTTTGAAACCTAGGCTTTTCCATAGTCATGGGGCGATTTTAACATTTTCATATCTTGTATTTTGCCGCGCAGAGTCATCTTGGGAAAATACTTTGCTGAATGAACTTCTTGGGCTCTGTCAATCAAAAGATTTGGATATCATTCTGACAGCTGGCGAGGCCTTGACGGTTGTTGCCGCGGGGTGGAGTTCCGACTACCTTTTCTTGTCAAGTCAGGTCGATACTGGGGAGTTAAGAGAATTAAAATCCCATTGCTCTCGTGAGAGAGAAGACGTCGTTCTCAATAGCATTCTGGGCTTATGTGGGGAGACTCAACCTCTCAAGCGAAAAGCAGGGTGCATTTGGCTTTTTTCATTTGTGAGGTTTCTAGGCAAACGCTGTGCTACGTTATTTTCAACAATACATTGTGCGTTTATGAATTTCCTTGCCGATCAAGATGACGTGCTCCAAGATATGGCTAGCAGGGGATTGGCAATGGTTTACGATATGTCATCTGTGGATGAGCAGGAAAATATGAGAAAAGGATTACTGCTCTCGTTCACCGATTCCAAAGCTGCTATGAAGCTAATGTCGGGAACAACTTCTCACGAAACCCAATTGTTCGAGACGGGACTTTTGAAAACCGAAGGCACTGAGTCCATCTCCACATATCGGGATATCATGAATTTAGCTAATGAAGTTGGAGATCCCTCTCTTGTTTACAAATTCCTTCCCCTATCAAGAAACTCTTCTTTGTGGTCTTCAAGAAAAGGACTTGCGTTTGGTATGGGTGCCATCTTATCACAAGGATCGCTCGAGGAACTGTTAAGGCAAGATCCCCTTTTGGCGAAGAATTTGATATGCAAATTAAACAGATACCGTTTCGATCCCAATCAAAAAATTTCGGAAATCATGGGTAATCTCTGGGAAGCACTTGTCCCAAGCACATCAAGTGCCATTTCAATGTATTCCGACGATATCATTCAGGAGCTTCTGGAAGGTATGGGAGTTAAAGAGTGGAGGGTTAGAGAAGCCAGCACTGCTGCAATTCAAAATGCATTGGAAATCATCGATTCCACTTTATCCCATGAACGAGTTCAACGTATATGGACTATGACTTTTAGGGTCATGGATGACATCAAAGAAAGCGTACGACAGGCCGGTTTAAAGCTTGCAAAATTTCTTGTGCGTAGGCTGGTTAAGAGTACCGAACAGGGCAGCAAGGAAAGCGCTTTGGGAAATGATAGTATTCGGGAGTTGTTGCCTCTTTTTCTTGGGCCTAAAGGCTTAAACAGTGATGCTGAAGAAATTAGACAATTCACTGTTGAAACTCTGCTGACACTCGTGAAGAAATCAAATTCTGCTATGGTCCCATACGCTCCAGAGCTCGTTTATGAGTTTGTCATGCTGCTGTCAGTGCTTGAACCCCAGATTATCAACTATATTGAGTTAAATGCCGACAAATATGGTCTCCCGTCGTCTGTTTTACAAACGAAGAGAATTCAAAACCTCAAAAGCTCGCCAATATTCGAATCTATCATTCAGCTAATTAAGAGCGCAGGCGAAAGCGGAATGGAGCCATTAATCGAAAATGTCATCAAAGCTACAAAGCAAGCTGTGGGTCTTCCTTCAAAAGTAGGAAGCTCGATGGCATTGTCACTGACGGTCGAACAGTATTCTTTGCAGCTTTTGGAGTACAGTGGGCGCCTTCTCAGGTGTTCATACAACGGGATGGAAGACAGAAGTAGTGTTGTTGCAGCTTCTTTTGCTGAATCCTTTGGCAAAACAGCGAATATTGCAACTTTGAAGAAGCTTCTTAAATACTGCGCAAAACTCTCCGATACATTCTTTAAACTCGAAGAAAGTGAAGGGAAAAAAACCATAGGCCTAGCGATCGAGGCCGTGATGAAATTTGCCCCTCAGCAGTTCGAAAGAGCCGCTTCTATTTTAATGCCACTTGTTTTTGTTGCCAAGAATGATGACAACAAGTCCAATGAATTGTTCACTGAGTTGTGGAATGATGCTTCGACAACTGGTGCCGGTACGCTCAAACTCTATTTGAAAGAAGTTATATCTCTAATCTCGGAAAACATCAATTCCCCAATTTTTGCGACTCGGTCTGCTTGTGCGAGAAGTGCGTGTGAAGCCTGTGAAGTAATTGACGAAAGCACGTCAGTATCAACTGTCGGTGAGCTCTATGAGGCTCTTATGATATCCTTAAGTGGCAGGTCATGGACTGGAAAGGAAATGGTAGTCAAAGCCTTAGTGACCCTCTCATGCGCGCACCACGAACACTTTAATAACGACCCGAATTTGAAAAAAAAAGTCGAGGACCAGCTCTTGACAGAATTGAGTCGTAAAAACCTTTCATATGTCCATTACATTGTCCTAGAGGTTGCTCCTTATATCAGGCACTATCCCGGAAATGAGTTATACAACAAACTGATTGAAGCGGCCGGTAAAGTTTTAGTTTTTATCGACAATGGCGAGCTGGAAGATCTATCTGATGATGAACAAGTATCTAAAAGGCCAAGAAAGCAGTCAGAGATTACAAAAAAATCGAGCGACAAAAACATCACGAATGAAACACTCAAGGTCAGTCTTTTGAGAAATCTGGCTCAATCCATTCAAGTAGTTGATGAAAATGTTTCCAGCTTAGCGCTCTTTAATTTTGTTACTGAAAACAGTCGATGCCTACTTCAGTCCTCAAATGTGATCCACACTTGGCGAACTCAAGTTGCCATAAACGAAATAGGTTTGGCCTTAAGCAAAAGCGGAGGACCAACTGAAACATTGTCTAAAGGGCTTGAAATACTTTGGACTGCTATCGCTACGGAGATTGAAGCTAACGAAACGATTGAGAACGTGAAGATAAGTTTCATTAGATTTAGCAAAGCACTTAAAGACGGATTTCCAGCGATTGCCGATGAAATCGATATTCGCGTTAATCATATATTCCGCGGTCAAAACTCCTCTATATTAAACGTCGAACTCCAGAATGCGCAGTTCTCAAAGTGAAGATTGAAAGTATATAGACATGAAAAGCATACGTAAAAGAATGTCTCTCCTTCATTGGGTATATACTTTTCTCCAACCACATCGCAACCAGCACAAGACGGTTTCCAAAGGCAAAACTTGAGAAAAGACAAGTCGTTAACTTAACCTCCTCTCAAACGCAAGACTAAGTGCAGAGTTGATTCTTTTTGAATGTTGTAATCCGACAAGGTTCTACCATCTTCCAACTGTTTGCCAGCGAAAATCAATCTTTGTTGGTCTGGAGGGATACCCTCTTTGTCCTGAATCTTGGACTTCACATTATCGATAGTGTCGGAAGATTCAACCTCGAGAGTAATCGTCTTTCCCGTGAGGGTCTTGACGAAAATCTGCATACCACCTCTCAGACGCAAGACTAAGTGCAAAGTTGATTCTTTTTGAATGTTGTAATCAGACAATGTTCTACCATCTTCTAACTGCTTGCCAGCAAAGATAAGCCTCTGCTGATCCGGAGGGATACCCTCCTTGTCCTGAATCTTGGACTTCACATTATCGATAATGTCGAAGATTCAAACCTCCGAGGACGTAAATACGCTTTACCCGTTNAGGGGTCTTGCGAAAATACTGTCATACCCTAACCTTCCCCTTCTAAACGGTCAACGTTACGTAAAGGTAGGCCAAACCGTTACGAACTACCTTTTTCGGAAATGGTTTGGTAAATTTCCTTTTAGGAACTAATTGGTTTAATTACCCGAACTAGTTTCCTAACCTAGCTTTACGACCTAGTTCGAACGATAAGAACTCTAGCTTGGTAGTCCGAGGGAGGTACCTACCCTCCTTGTCCTGAATCTTGGACTTCACATTATCGATGGTGTCAGAGGATTCAACCTCGAGAGTAATTGTCTTTCCCGTGAGGGTCTTGACGAAAATCTGCATACCACCTCTCAAACGCAAGACTAAGTGCAAAGTTGATTCTTTTTGAATGTTGTAATCCGACAAGGTTCTACCATCTTCCAACTGTTTGCCAGCGAAAATCAATCTTTGTTGGTCTGGAGGGATACCCTCTTTGTCCTGAATCTTGGACTTCACATTATCGATAGTGTCGGAAGATTCAACCTCGAGAGTAATCGTCTTTCCCGTGAGGGTCTTGACGAAAATCTGCATACCACCTCTCAGACGCAAGACTAAGTGCAAAGTTGATTCTTTTTGAATGTTGTAATCCGACAAGGTTCTACCATCTTCCAACTGTTTGCCAGCGAAAATCAATCTTTGTTGGTCTGGAGGGATACCCTCTTTGTCCTGAATCTTGGACTTCACATTATCGATGGTGTCAGAGGATTCAACCTCGAGAGTAATCGTCTTTCCCGTAAGGGTTTTGACAAAAATCTGCATTTCTTGAGCTTGTAAAACGGTCTTTTCTTCCAGATTCCGTACTATACGGAGGTTGAAACTGGACGCTTAGAAACCTTCCTCTCGCTCGGGTGGCAAATAATTGTCCCCCGATTTTTATACTCTCACTTTCAACTTTCATGCCCACTGCCCCTTGATTATAAAAAGCAAAGACACGAGCTAATGACTTTTTGTGGATGATTACGGAATGCATCCAAATTGAGTACGTTGTGGGTAATCGTAAACAGTGACTTTTGCCGTATCTTTGGGTATTCGGATTCTCGTGCACTTCGTTTATGATGACAACAGTTGACAGCCGTCTCTCACTGTGTTACCTATCCATTCGAACAGCTACGGCTCGACCATATATGAAACATGCGTAGCATCAATATGATTGGCGCTTCTTGCTGTTCGCAGGCATTAGTGATAATACATCTTGGAAAGGCTTCACTGCAAAAACGTTTTAGTACAAGGACTACACAAGTTTCATTTTGCGTTTTTGTGTCGTTCTCGGTCAATTGAGTTATTTGAAGCTCAAACGTTAATCTTCTTTGTTAGAACCTCTTGATTATCACCGACCGCTGCAGAACGTTCTTAGGCATAGTGTCCGGGATAAGGTTCTGTTCAAAATTTCTTCCCTCCTTTGCGTCGGCACAGAAAGAGTGTGTCACCGTGAACGTAAACACACACAGCGCTGGAGCTCCTGCATCACCGTGAATGAATGCGCGAGATGGCACTGTTAAATTGAACCCCCCTCCGCTATGGGTGATATTGGCCCATCGCGCTCCGGTAGACATGCTGAATGTGTACACCATTAGTTGCTCATCTGGTCAATGGTGCGTGATTCTTGCATTTTCCCAAAACTAATAACTCAATAACTCACAGTTAATCGTCTCTGTATAACCTGATGCATCTCTCAGGTAAGAGCTCGTGATCACACAAACGGATTATTGCTTAAAAGCCGAGGCACACCTCTGCGGCGACTCAAGCCGTCTTTCTCGCATGGCCTGTAGCCAGAGTTCTCGTCGTTCTCTTTGTCAATAGACTCCTCCTCTTCTAAAGGTCCCAAGACGTAGCCACGCACATGCTGATCTGGTACAAATTGCGTGGGCCGGTTTATATCAAGACTCTGGGTTTCTCGAAGTCGGCTTGGACGCACGTGACCAACAGCGGCAGAACCCTGAACCTTGAGGTGACTGTTGTCGGTCGATTTCCGGCCTGGAGTAGATATGCTGGATCTGAACTGTGTGAGGTCATTTCGCGCGCGTCGCAGTAGCTCGTCGTCTTTAAGCAATTCTGTAAGTCGCGACGCGATTGTTCGTATTTGTAGCGCCACCTGGCCGTCTCGCTTGTCGCTGACGTCAAACTCTTTCAATGTCGTTACAAGATATGAGTAAGCCCTAATCCACGAGACAAACTCATTTGATCCATTGTTGATTAAATGTGCTACCAATGTGAGCGTTTTCAGGATGTGTACTGCGTTCTTGTGCGAGCTTTTTTGGTAGTTACCACTCAGTCGTTTTCGAATAACCTGTATTATCTCGCGCAGTGTCCTGGGACTGTATGTCAACACAGAAAGTTCACTCATCAATGTACCCGTAGCACCATTCAGTTCATCGTCATCAGTGGCTTTTTTCACTTTGATCTCTGTCTGTGATTGGCCAATATTTCGGACAGTTCGAAGCAGAGACATTGCGTTACAATCACCAAAATTTAAGAGCTTGTGATTTAATTGTAGTCCGGCCTCTGTTGTCCAAATTTGTTGTTTTCTTAGCTCTCTTTTTCCAATCTCTTCAAGTTCAGCGCTTTGACGACTATTGAGCATTGACATACTCTTTTCGTTCTGTACGATATGATCATCTTCCAGTAATGTCTGCATAGAAGCACTTAAATGGAATCACTGGCACCGCCTTCAGCAGCAATTATGACCACTCTTTAAGATTATGCTAATAATTAATAACCTTAAATAAAACTACGAGGTCTTATTACTGAGAGTTTAATACCATTAGAGCCTTTTTAAAGTTTCCGGCAATGACTTTGTGGCATGGTTATCTTTTAGTCAAACCATTACTTTCACTTGACGAATTGTTCCATAAGCCTTCAATTAGCTTCGTTATAAGATCGGCCGTTAACTATAAAAGTTATTTTATAGCATTCTTCCCAGAAAACAGTGCCTCCAAATCTCATCCAAAGCCTTATATTGTTTGCCTATCTTACGAGCTATCACAGTACAGTCACCATATTAAATTGATTAGGGACTCATGTCAGATAGGGCAGGACGGTTTGAGCTAGGAGACAGGGTTTGTAGCAGTATTTTCGCTCACAGCTGGTCCTTGTAGCTCCAAGCCCCTTTGACGGACAACTAGGCCATTCTATATTCTTTGAAGTTGTCCAGCTTTGCTACGCATCGCCTGAGGCTTAATTATTAGCCCATACCTTGCCGCCAGCTTCTTTGAATGGTGTGATACAGCAGCCATTGTGGGATTTAAACCTGGCAAAGTGAAGGCTATACTATCCATGATCTTCAAAGAGCAAAATCTTCATGTTGAGCTCTGGCACTGGTTCCATTAATTTGAGCCAGAAATTATTTTCTTCGACCTCAGAACCCATGCACAAGAAAATTCAGCTGTGATGATGACCACAGCAATGCCTAGGCTTTAACAGTCAAAAGCTTGTCGTCAGCTAGAAGCTTCAGGACATTTCCATTTTCTCCCTCGAGTATTAACAAATCTTTGATCAGTAGAACATTGAAAGCCGAATTAACGGGGCAATTTAATGTTGACAGCCACTTCTTTCCTGTTTTATCGTAAACATACACATTTAGGAATGCAGTTCCATTGGCATCTTCGATCAAGAGATATAATGTTCTGCCACTTAAGTCGGTATCAAAAAATTTGATGATTTCGCCGTCTAGAGCAATTTCCTCGAGAGCCAAGGTACCTGCGGGCTTCCTGAGATCGATTACCTTAAGTGTTTTTGCAGTTGCCACAAAGAGCCAATACCCGTTGGACCCAAAGCGGGCATTTACAATGGGATCGTCTTCAGGTTGATTCTTGAGAACTTCAACAGGCTCGCTATTCAGCTTCGTTATCTCACGTATTATAAGGTCTGACTTGTTTCCAAGCAAAGCAAGAAGGCCATCTTTATGCATATCTGCCAAAGATGTTTCGAAGCTTGAGCTTTCCAGAATGTATGATCTCGAATTTTTTATGTCGGTTAAAAAGATGTTCCCATGCTCGTGTACTGTAACGTAAACGTCCCTGCTTACACCGGGTAGGTATCCGATGAACACCACGGCAAGATCATGACCAGAGGATTGGATATGTTCTATGGTTTTGGTGTCGATATTGAAAATGCCATGAGATCCATTTAACAGTCCAAATAGAAGACGATTTTCATCAGCCGGAACAATGCAAGAGACAAGAGCCTCTCCTCTAGTTAACTCATCGAGATTGCACTTAAGTTCCTGCTCGTTCACCAGTATGAAGCCGTCCCCAGTCGTGTCGAAAAGTCCGCCGAATTTCGCCCCGCTTTCGGAACCAGCGAAACTATTAAAGGTAAACTTCCCAAAGGATCCCGTTGTCGAAAGCTCTCTCTCGCATAATAATTTGAGCTCGGATGGTGGTCGTGTTGATCTAAACTTCCGTTTTTTATTCTTCGAAACAAATTGTTGAGATTTGCGAGCTAACTCTTGTAAAAACTCATCGCTGACAGGTTCGAATTGATTTTCTAATTTTTCAGAGGCGTTGAGATCGCTATTTCCTAAGTTTTCAGTCAAAACCTTGATCTCTTCTCGTAAGTGGTCGGCTTCGGACGTGGCCTTTGTTGCTACATTCATGGCCGCATCGAATCGATACAACGCCTTAGAGAGCTCTTTTTTGCAGAAATCCAGTTGCTCGTGTAATTCAAAGTTTTCTACCATCACTGCATCCCATTCATCCTGAAGAGTAGATAACAAATTTGGGATTGAGTAATTCGATTTCAGTGTCGATGAGTTAACAGCCTTGGTCAGTGCGTATTGTTGCGGTGTTTGTGCTATTTCAATCAATTGCGTGACATCCAAGGCATCTTTTGAGATAGGATCTTTTCCGTTTTGTCGGACATACTCTTCGATTAATGACTTTTCGAACACGCATTTAGAGTTCGGTGAAAGCACGGCCGTCTTGGGCACTTTTCCGCTGACTGAGCATAATCTGTTAGTACTTAAGATCTTGTCGTCGTGAATGAAAAGCAAACATGACATACTTGCGCAGAACATGATACCCTCAAACAGGTATATTTGAATTTTACTAGCTCTTAATAGCTCTTTTTTTTGACACTTCAATAAAAGGTTTATATCGTTATTGTCTTGAAATATTTAGTTCACTTAATTGCTCGTTAAAGAGATTGAAGTCAAAACTATGAGCAACGAGACGTTTCAGGACTTGATAGCTCTCGTCGCTTTCCGGACATTTGAACAACGTAATGAATTAATCAGGTCTTTGACCCTGATTCCGGAAACTGGCTTATTATAGATTATTTAAAGAATTGTCTCCTACGATGAAACGTACAAGAAAGCGATGCCGTTGCGATGGACTCATTAAAATGATCTTATTTTTCCAAAATCGCTAAATTGAGCTGGTAAAGCTTCATCTAATGTAGCGGCCGTCTATTCTTATGATAGCCTGAAAAATGGGAGTGAGCCCGGTACAAGAAAAACATAGGAAGCGAACTTTTGAAGATTTTCTGTCCCAGGATCAATCGCATGAGTATTCTTGTAACTCTCTCCATATCCATTTTCGCCAAATGTCGCCTGCGCAATTGAAAATGTCATCGAAAGAGTAGGAAGTTTTATCATCGTCGCCGACTTCTATCAACATATGGGAATTGGAAGACGATGAAGTCGGCTTTTTAGAAATTTCTTCTTGTTCCGCTTCACTAGAGCTCACGGAGCGCTGGTCTTCTTCTGGTGCATAGAGATGTCTGTAATTGTGATCATCCGATCGAGACAAGGGCGGTACGTTATTCAAAAATTCAGAGATTTCAGCCTCTTCGAATTCTAGGAGTTTAAACTCATGTTGCTGTAATATTGCAATGTAGACAAACACAAGTTGTATGTGTGGATCTACTAGTGAAAACGGTATGTCCACGTCCTGACTTTGAGTATCGTCTTGAAACCCAAGATTTGCGCTAGGGAGACTCTCTAGGTCGCTGTCGTCGTACTTGTTTCTTCTGAGTAACTCTGAGAATACTTGGAAATCGCATTTAAGTCTTGAGGAGCCTAATCTCATCGTATCGAGATCGGGGAACCAAAATGTGTCGTGACCGTATTTGCAAATTTTGTCGAAAAAGATCTGGTCAATTGAAGTGGACGCTGTAGTGGAGTACAAATGCTCAAACACTTTGTTATTGTAGTTCAGGTAAAAATTTATGCAAGCGGGATTCGGACGCCATCCTAACAAAGAGTCCCACAGCCTCGCTCTGTCCTGCTTGTGAAAGACGCGAGTACCGGAACATTTGAACCACCAGTAGATCCAGTTGGCCTTTTTTGAAGGTCTGAGAGTCTCTTCCTCGGCAATGGGTTGGTAAAGCTCGGGTAGAATGACGGAAAATACTTTGAAGAAAATTTGGCTCTGGAACGACAGATCACCGCCAGAAAGAACAGGGTAGTACTGAGAAGCAGAAAAGTTCGGGGACTCGGTCTGAGCCAGCTTTTGGGCCATTGCGATGTCCGGGCAGTGGAGAATGACGAGCACGATTCTTTCGTAAATCTGCGAGAAGTTGAATTCCGGTTTGGAGGGAAGTCGTTGGATGAGTTCGTCCGGGAGCGGATATTCCGACAGCAGGTCAACGGGAGACTCGTGGCGTTTGCCCTGCAGAACGCGGTTGGAGTCGTCTATGGGGATCCACTCAGCCAGCGCCAATGCGATCCAGGCGAGTCCGCTTTCGTACCGGAAAAGACGCGACCACTTGGCCAGAAACTCGAGAATGCAGCCTTTCAGAAGGGTGACGATATGATTCTCTTCTGCAGACTCGCGCGAGGACTCGAGGCCGCTGGGCCCGTTGGTGCCTGCGGCGCTCCTGCGCCGAAAATACTTGCGCAGATCCTGTGTGATACTGGTTTCGATCTCTTCGCCGCTGCGTGCCTCTTGGCTGTAGTGCCATTTGTTCTTCTGGGAGTCCCACGCCAGTGTGTTGGACAAGATATTGGGCGATATCACCATCGGGTGGTATTTCAAGAGCACAGGCCACACGTCCCTGCGCAGCTGCGGCGGAATCCCGCTCGTACGCGCGATGAGCGCGAGCGAGTCGTGGTCGTTGCAGGCCACGAGCTCGACCACTTTGGCCACGAGCTCGCGTTGCCACGCCTTGCGCTTCACGTTCCGCCAGTGCGAATGCGAATGCACAGACGCTTTTTTGTCCGTCATTACAGCCTTCCAGCGTAACGAGAGCCTCAGAAACGGCACCAGAGTTCCTGCTCGCTCTCGACGCGGTGCTGTGGAGTCATCTCCGGAATCTATAGAAGCCTCTGAATGGCCACAGCGCTGTTCGTGGCAAGCGATTCCTCGAAAAAAGCCAACTTGACCAGTGAGTAATGAGTAACCGAAAGTACTCACTTGTCGTGGAAAATGCGATAGTCGCCAAATGCGGTCGCCAAGCCCCAGACACCCTGGTTTCGTCCTCAGTGCTGCTCGACAGCCGTGCACCAGCTGTCTCCTGCGTCTTGTTGCTCTTGCTCCTCCCGTACACAGCGACACGGATGCGGAACGATAACCCCGGAAGTCCGGCACGGCTAGCACGGCGGTCAAGCGGCCGTTGCCTGTTTCGGCGTTAAGAGCCGCGGTTGTCGTGTTTACATGTTGCCTGTTTTTGGGCTGCGAGTGGCTTCTGGAAGCCGGCTAACGTTGAACGACCCCACCCCTGGTGGCCCGCACGGAAATGCGCGGGGGAGGCAGCGGTTGGAAGCAAATCTGAAAAAGAAACAAGGAAAGTTTAAATGTGGTGATCACCGTGGACGACAAGATACCGCAGAACAAGGTTACTCTCGTAGCGCAGCTGGATCCTGTAATCTCATATCTAACTCCTCTGAGAGTATCTCTCGAGAGTCCCAGCAGCCTTGTTAACATCGGTTCAATACGACGGCAGTGGCTATCGCCTAAGGCCGTGCAAGTTGGGGTTTCTACGTCTACGAGCAGAGTCGCAGTCTGGGCGTACGAGCAGACGAATACCGATCATGCACGCAGCGTTTTGGATCGTTGTATACAGCATCGTAGCGTTTGGACCGCTCCAGGCAAAGGCAGCGCAGACGTTCTGCTCGTCAGCCAATACAGGTTCGACTGCTGCGCAGTCGAACCTGTACCAGAGCAACGGCTGGTGCTCGAATAAATGCAACGGGTACCAATATGCGATCGTGCAGGATTCCGAGTGCTGGTGCTCCAACTCGGGTCCCAGCTCAACGACAGATCTTAGCGACTGCAGCGAGCAGTGTCCAGGCTACCCGCAGGAGCTGTGTGGGAATAAGGACTCGGGCCTCTTCGGCTACATATACCTGGGCAGCGGAGACCCGTCGTTGGCGGCGGCGTCGTCTGGAACGACCCCGTCGACGTTTAACACCCAAGGTCCGTCGACGTCGTCCAGCGGCCAAGGTTCCTCAACCGGGTCGGCTACCGGGTCGATCTGGTCCGGCAGCCTTCTCGGCACGGCGCCAGTGTCGCAGTCTGCGAGCCAGACCTCGTCGTCTTCCTCTTCGTCGTCTCTGTCGTCCTCGTGGTCTTTTTCCTCTTCGTCATCTCTGTCGTCCTCGTGGTCTTCTTCTTCTTCTTCTTCTTCTTCTTCTTCTTCTTCTTCTTCTTCTTCTTCTTTTTCCTCCTCCTCCTCCTCTTCCTCTTCGTCGTCTTCTTCCTCCTCGTCTTCTTCGTCTTCGTCTTCCTCCTCCTCCTCGTCACCGACATCAACTTCAGCGCCGCCGTCTTCTACCTCCAGTGCCACGAGCCCAATCGCGACAGCGTCTTCAACCCCTGCCTCTTCGACCTCGAACGCCCAGAAAATCACCACCTCGGTCATTTACTCGGTCGAAACCGTCACAGCGGCCGCTACGGCTTCGGACTCGTCCTCTGGAAACCAAATACTCACCACCCAGGTGATCACCACCATATTTTCAGCAGCGCCCTCGGCAGCTTCAGCACTCTCCTCTGGTAAGGGCTCCAGTGCGAGCTCTGCCAAGAGCGGATTTTGGGCATCACCGGGCAAAATCGCTGGCACTTTCGTCGCTGTGGGTGTAGTCGTGTTTCTGCTTGTGTTTTTCGCGCTTTTCTTCTGGTACAGACGGCGGCACGCTTCTGCTGAAGATTTTGAGAAACGGTACCACGACGTTGCAGCGCCTGCGAACTCGCTATCTACTATGAGCTCGTCCAACAGCTCGACGCCTAAGGCGTTTGTCTACGCTGACGACACCGGGTTCCAGGGTCATCCTGGCCGGAAGGGCAGTCATGCCACTACCCCTATAGCCGCGGCAGACACGAACAGACGAGGCTCGCAAGTGTCCTTAACCAAGGGAGAGCAGAGTCTCGCTCCACAAGAGTCTGAACACACGCCGGTCGTTGTCGACCAAAGATTAGATCCGCGACGCATGTTTATGGCCCAATGGGAGAACGAGGGAAGCCGTGTGTCACTCGCAGACGACATAGACTACTCGAGAAAAGTCCTTAGGGTAAGAAACCAATGACACACATGTCATCGTTTGGAGGCCTAATATTACCATTAGATAAATAATACATAATAGTTACTACGCTGGCTTGCATACAAGAGTCGTTCAGCAAGCCAGTAGAAGAAAATAAGAAGTTTTGAAATTGTCAAACGGGCTTTCGAGCCGCAAGCGCGGGGTACGTCAACCGCGGTCAACGGTGGCTAACAATGGTAAGCAGTGGCTCATTTGGCTCCGTTACTAAGGGCTTCTATTCAAAATCTTCAATGCAAAAGAATTTCTTATTTCCGATTTTCGTTAATGATGTCAAAGGAGGCTGATGGACCCTGGCAACCTCCCGTCCTAAAAGAAAGAGATATGAGTCGAAGGACGAAAATTGAGATTACGATTATTTGATTGACTCGTGAGGTATCTTGGACAAGAAACACTACTTGGACTTGCGAGACACGAGTGACAAGAAACTATGGCGTTGTTGAAAGACCTTTTGAATCAAGATGACTCGAAACATTATATGTCTTCGCCAGGCAGCGAAGATGATCGTGAAAGATGGGCTGACTCGTCCGTAGGGAGTTCAAGCAGTTCTCCTAGTACGGCATCGGAGATATACGAAAGCGACGAGAATACAAAGCTAGCATGCAAATGGGACAATTGTGGCCGGAAATTTGCTCAGGCTGAAGAACTGTACCACCATCTGTGCCAGGACCATGTGGGCCGGAAATCGAAGAAGAACTTGCAACTGAACTGTCAGTGGGGCACCTGTGCGATAAAAACGGTTAAGAGAGACCATATCACATCGCATTTACGCGTTCATGTGCCTCTCAAGCCGTTTGCGTGCTCCACGTGCCACAAGAAGTTCAAAAGGCCCCAGGATCTCAAAAAACATCTGAAAGTGCATTTGGATGACGTTTCGGGTGCCGCAGCGGGTCCGCGCGCGCGAATTACCGACAAGCGTGTTACCAAGGAGCAAGCGGACCGGAAACAACTGCGGCTGCCACCGATCTCGCTGGAAACGTTCGTGACAAACGAAATGCAAAACTACAGTCCGGTTTACACCCCGCAGCTGGGAGAACGGCTCCAGACCGTCTTACCATCTCCTGCCTCAGTTTTGGGTGTTGACACTCAACCTACGCTCATTGCGTCGCCGGGTTCTCCGGAGGTGCGGTCTGCGGCGGCCTTTTTCAGCACTTTGTCTAGCGATATGACCAGAAGACTTCCTCGTTTGCCACAGCTCGCTGGGCTCACCAACACTTCGCCTACAGTCCCACATCGATACCCAAGTATTCAACTGCCCTCGATTCAGAGTGCGTTTGGTCCATCTCCTGCTGGCTACGGGGGCTACGCAAGTTCGCCTGTGATTTCTCCCAGACCAGACACTGCCGTACGGTACATGGGGCGCAATTTTAACGCGAATTTCAGTCTACATCAAAGAAACGCTGGATCCGAACGCACTTCTACCGTTGAACTTGCCAAAGCGATGTCTTCGCTTACTGTCAACGATGGTGATGATGAATTCGCTGCTGTTCTAGAGAGGGTGAATATCATCAAGGACTACTTGATGTGTGTTCTCTTGGAAGAAGAGTATGAAAATGAAGACGACGAAGACGATGGGGCAGACAACACTGCTGTTTCCGATTACAGAGGTTACGATATTTCGAGGCCAAAGGTACTGACTACTTACCCGTCTGTTATCGTTTAACCTATGTCTATCGTTATAAACCGTGCTCGTGTATGAGGATACCTGATTTTTCTCCATAATCTAGAAACTTGTATAGTAAAAACATATTGGTGATGAGCTTTATCTTAGTCGACCGCCAATGAGAATCACAAGCCGACATGGAGGAAGGTATGTTTCCGGAATCTATTCTTCAAGGAATAACAGTTGTTTCGTGTGATGAAACCATGTTTGCTAACAAAAGCAGTGATAGAAGTTCCAAAATATGACGATGAGAGTTCGGTAGATAGCTCAGATTCCTTTTCCATCTCATCGCAAGGGGAATCTGAAAAGTTGGAGGAATCGAGTAATGAGTATGAGAACACTGAGATTGCACATGATCGAGATGAGAATGGTGGTGATGATAGTGATACTGCGGTAATTAGTGGCCAAGAGCGTGCACTGGAAAAGACCATGGAGAAGTGGCAATCTTTCTTGCCGAAACTAGGCTCCAATTACATTCATCTAGATGAAGCTAATCCTTGTTTGTACATTGGACTGAAACAGGGACAGGAAGTGGTGGTCAGTGGATGTTTCGAGTTGAAGATTCTCAAAGGCGGAATTACATACAACAACGTGCACTACAGTGCATCCAATGATCGAATTTCAATATGGCACCCACTCTCTGCTTCGATCTCGCCTTTTTGCGGGTCCTTTTATGCTGGGTGGGACGAAAAAGTGTTTTTAGACCAACGTGTGAAATCGGCTTTGGATATCAACGAGCTTGAGTGTGTGCTTAAAATTTCCAATTGGGCCAAAAACATTGAAAAATTGGGACATCTAGCTCCGACATATGATAACTTGTGGGTTCCATCTGACTATCTCCTTGATGGAGTTAATGCCTCTGATGCAGCTTCATTTGCTCTGATTTGCAGCAAAACGGTGCGGAATTTGAGCTCTGTACGCACAATGACACTGACGGCTGAATGGCTTAAAATAATAGGCGAATTACAGCTTTACCATAAAACATGTCAGCAGGACATGCGAATAATGACCGTTGGTGGTAAAAGTTCGGGCAAGTCCACCTTCTCAAGATTACTACTTCAAAATTTTTTGCATGGTGACAGAAAAAGCACAGATTCAATCTTATATCTTGACCTCGATCAGGGACAGCCTGAGTTTTCTGATCCCGACTGCGTCTCCCTCTGCAAACTGTCAAATGAGCTTGCTCTTGGGTGTCATTTTGGGCAAGGCAGCGCAGTCAAATTAGCTGAATGTTATGTGGGCAGCCCTTCCCCTCAGGACTTTCCCGCGAAATACCTTGATATGGCCGACTTTTTGATAGATGAATTAGAGAAGGAAGTTTTCATGGGAACTAGTTTACTGAACCTTCCCGGCTGGATCAAGGGCTACGGAATTCAGATAGTGAATCACCTGATTTCTAAGTTCAAGCCAACACATATCATCTTTTTGGAATCGCCTTCTTCGCGAGCAGTTTCAGCTACCGAACTTCGCATTCCAGATTCGTTTCATTCATTACAAAGAGAACATTACACGACATCATTGCATCACGTAACCGGGTTTCTGGGGCATTCTCACGACTCTCCGCCTGAGCGATTTCAAGCATCCCATCTTCGCACTGCAAGGCTTCTATACCTTTTTCACAAATCTCAAATATTCAACCATCGTCCCGAATATGATTTTAAGCCGTTGATTACACAACCGCCGTTGCAAATTTCATTCGGCTCCGCAGCAGGTGTGCGTGCTTTTCATTTTACTCAAGAGGGCCTGAATCTCCATGCCGATGACATCGTCGACTCGTTGGAAGGCTGTATGGTAGGGATCTTTGTAGCTGAGGGAGACTTTAAAGCGGATCTTATTGGTAATTTCCCCGTTTTGAAATCATTTGCGAAACTTCGGTTTGTTAGTCTTGGCCTCATTCACTCGATATCATCCAAGGACGCTTATGTGAACATTTATATTCCGTTTACCAAGAGGGAAATGCTTCTGAAGCAAAAGAATTCCAATTGGGTTTTACAAAGAGCGAAGACATCGACGCCCATTCACGAACTCTATCCTGCTCAATGCAGCAAAGTTTTCAATTCCTTTGGAGAGGTGCCTTTTGTCAGCTCAAAGAAAGGAAGAGGTCTCGAGCACATTTGGAAAGTTAGGCGCAACATCCTGCGTAGAGGTCATCAATAGACTATGAATTACAATGCATTATTTAAGTACTACCCACTTCATCGGCCGATTCATCCCGATCGACCCATCCAAGTTTTTTGTTAAGTTTGTCATAGCGCAGTCGTTCTCTATCACTAACCGATGGCTTTACCTTTCTCATAGCTGAGCCAAAGTCTCTCATGGTGACAAGAACATCACTTGTGGATGAAGTGCTCAGGTCTTCAAACTCTTTGTCTAGGTTATTTTCGGAGACAGATTGGATCTCATCCATCTTGAAAAAGCTTCTTTTCAAAGCTAAAACAGAACTTTCTCTGACAAGGGCAGCCAGATCAGCACCTGAAAAGTTTTTGCAAGTCTCGCTTGCTACTACCTTCTCAAGGTTGACGTCAGGAGCCAAAGGAGTGCCATTACTCCTTGTCAACGCTTTGATGATATCAACCTTCTCTTCAAAATTAGGCAGCTCTATGAAAAGGGTTTTGTCTAATCTGCCAGGTCTCAGCATGGCAGAATCGATCATGTCCGGTCTATTAGTGGCACCAATAACAAAGATTCCCCTTCTATCATTTAAACCATCAAGCTCGGTGAGTAATGTGTTTACGACGCGAGAAGAGGATTCGGAGAGGGAAGTATCTCTTCTTGGGACGAGAGCATCCAGCTCGTCAAAAAAAATAATACATGGAATAGAGGCTCGCGCCCTATTGAAAACTTGACGTATAGATCTCTCTGACTCCCCGACATATTTGTTTAGCAGCTCAGGACCCTTTATCGAAATGAAATTTGCCCGTGATTCATTCGCCACGGCCTTGGCTAGTAAAGTTTTCCCGCAACCAGGGGGGCCCCACAAAAGCACGCCAGCCGGGGCACTAATACCAACTTTTTCATACAATTCCGGCCTTTTGATGGGTTGAACAATGGCCATATTGAGCTCAATTCTGATTTTGTTCAAAGCTCCAATGTTAGACCAACTGACGTCTGGTACGGTGGCAAAGCCTTCTCTCTTTGCCGTCGGTTGGATGGTAGGTAGAGCTTTGAGAAAATCCTCGTATTTTATGGATAACGTGTCCAATTGTTCGGGTGACAATGGCTCAGGGAAATTCTGGATAAACCTTTGCACAGTTGATAGTGGGAGAGGATCAATCATGCTCACAGTGTTTTTCTGCTCTAGACCGCTTAACTCGGGGCCGTCAATGTCCATATCCGACCCGGGAGATATCAATGCGTAGGACTGGAAAATACGCTTGATTGCACAAGTTCCAGCTGCCGTTGTCAACGCCTTCAAATCTGCTCCAACAAAACCTGGAGTCAGTTTTGCTAGTTTTAGATAATCGATATCCCCGTCGATCTTCAAACTTGAAGACATTTTCTTAAGAATGTGCAGACGAGATATTTCGTTTGGCACATTTAAACAAATCTCTCGATCAAACCTTCCAGCACGTCTCAAGGCTGCATCCAAAGAGTCTGGTCTATTTGTCGCACCGATGAAAATTACGGGCTTTCCGCCGGTCTTTTCGAATGACATCTCATCCATTGATGTTAGCAGTTGAGCCACTATTCTCCGCTCCATTTCACGCTGTGCTCCTCCATCACGCTTGGGAGTGATGGCGTCGATTTCATCGAAAAACACTAGACAGGGAGCTAGACTTTTGGCCTCTTCGAACAAATCTCTGATTTTTTTCTCACTTTCGCCAGACATTCCGCTGACCACCGACGGAGCCGATATCGAAATGAAAGGGACTTGTAACTCACCTGCCAGGGCATTAGCAATCGAAGTTTTACCACAACCAGGTGGACCATGAAGTAACACTCCCCGTGGAGGTTCCACTCCTGTGGAGGCGAAAATTTCTGGATGTAAAATCGGTAGGCCTATCAGCTCCATGAGTTGCGCAACAACGTCATCCATCCCACCTAGTGATGAAAGGCCTATTTGTGGAGGACTCCTGTCTTCTTGTGTCTTTTGTCTTTTGGGCCTTGCAGTGGAATCTTTACCTCTTTTCCGGGATTTTTTGTCAGAATCTTGAGGGCTCTCTCCACGAGCGTTCTCAGAGTCCCCAGTTCTCTTTGCCGTGTCCCACTGGTCTGTAATACTCTTGTTCATCGCGTTGGATACCGGATAAGCCATCAGATTTTTTTCGCTAAGATCATCGATATCTGACTTAGAGGCCTCTTCAGATTCTTTCTGGGCGGCAAAATATGCTGCAAATTGTTCTTTTTCCTCGTCCACTATCTGTTGAAGAACCTTTTCGATAGTTTTTTCCAAAGGCACTTTTTTAACGCGTTGCATTGAGAGATCTTTGGATTTGACGAATGTAATCACTTCTCTAAAATCCAAGTCTCTAGCTAAAAAAATTTCATCAAACTCGTCCTCATATTCATCTAAAACTGTATTACCTTCATCATCCTCGTTGCTAGGCTCTCTCTTCCGTGCCTCTTTCTCTTTCTTCTTCCCAAGTGATTTCTCCTCCAACATGCGTTCCACCAAATCTGCGATTTTATTGTCCAAACCGGCCGATAAAGACCCTTTCTTGGCACGTATCTTGACCATTTCCTGTGTGCGTTTTGATAACTTGTAACTGTAAAAGCTAGGAAATGCCACACTGGCACTTTATACTCTTTTGCGATGCTCGATGAGGTCTCATTTATTGCAGAAGCGTCAAAAATTTTCGATATTTTCAGCTCATCAGAAATTGCATGGTACTGAGGTATCATCGACTAAACATAATGAATTAGGTCAATACTCAGTCTAAACATTCTTAAAAACCTTGTTCTCGTGACAATGACTTCTCGTCAAATCACCATTACAACAAAGAAAGCGATAATTACATCTGAATATACTTTAGTGACACAGCATGGAAAGTACTTTCCGCCCCAAAATCTGCTTAATGAATACCCGCAAAAAGATGTCACCAGGATATTATACCGTCGATTTGTTCGCTTGAAGCCTTTTGTGTCCAGACGTCAGATGGTCCGAGACACGTACGTGGGGTATATCAGATACAAATTTAGAAATGAGGATTACGAAAAGCGAAGGATAGCAAGTGGACTTAAATTCGCGGAAAAATCAGAGAATCTGTCCCAGCTATCCCAGCGTGCCCTCGCGACTTTAGAATTTGTCCTGAAGGCTATATCGCATGTAAAGAAATCAGATTTAGACACCAGCCATGGTGTGGAAATCTCAATGTGTCGAAAAATCCTAAAGAACTTACTTACAATTGAGCATGATAAACGCCTGTTGATCCAACACAACCCCAAATTTTTTTATCCAGTACTGCGGCAAGAGTTTTCATACTTCGGGAATCACGCTCTGGTGAAGAAACCGTTGCACGTTGTGGCCAGACTACGAGATTTACGTGAATACGATGCATGTCTTTTGAAATTGAATGAGACACTAGGAACTATGCTATAATAGGTTACTCAAGCGGAGCTATCGTGAGTTACACATGGGGCCCTGAGGTGACCGTCACGTGATTGATATGTCAATTGGTTGGAAGTGGGGATGGTATGTTGGTGGGCGGTAATGCTACTGAAGAAGTATGTCATGAGCAGCCTTTCTCTGAGAAAATCACGGTGGCATCAATTTCAAGTTGGTCTTGATTCGAATTACTTGGCTGTCTTTTCGAAATTGAATTTATAGATTTTTGTTTTGCCTGGGTTTGAGGCAAGCGCTTCTTGAACTTTGGTCGATGTCCAGTGAGGTAGGTATAAGATGTTTTAAAGCTAATGCGAAGGCACGAATCTACGAGATTGTCTGTAACGGAGTATAAAATTCTTTATTATTAGGACTCCTTTTCATCAAGATGACAACTTGAGCGTTCAAAACATTAATTTCAAAAAAGAGTGAACAAAGATTGGCAGACTCAAATTCAATAAAACAAGGTCAACTCAAGAACAAGATCCAGACACTTGTTGGAATTCTCGAAGGTATTGCGGGAAAGGTTTCCACACCCCCCCATCAACAACGAAATTATTGATGCCTCATTAATTCAATAATCCTGCTCCCTCTAAGCAAGAACATACATAAAAGGCATGCTTAAACCAATCAAGGATTTCACGGAATACCTTCTTGGTACAGAGCGCCTCAAAAGTTATTCCGGTTACGTGAAAGAAGCGCTTCTTGTATGCCATTGTATGCCATTGTATGCCTCTCACTTGCGGATAGATGTAATTCTATACGAAAGTAAAGTTAAGCCGTGCTGACCAGCATAGCCTATATTTAAAATAGATACATATTGGGATTCACCCATAAGAGATTATAAAGCAAAAGGACCTTACCATTAATCTGTGACTAGAGGTACACCGTGGTTGTGTTTGTGTGAGAAAACAGTGAAAGTCTAGTCTGGGTCTTGAACAGGAAGGTGCAAGCGTTGAAATAAAATGGGGCTAGCAAATTTACGTGTCGCGAAGACTCTGATGAGACTTCTGGCGATATGGCAACTTTTGATTGTAGCAGCCACAGCCAATAATAATACTAAACGGTTAGAAACTACGTCGTTGTTGACATGCATGGACAACTCACAGTTCACCGCGTCGTACTTTGACGTCAAGTTTTACCCTTCGAACTCGAGTGTCGTGTTTAATGTCGACGCGACGACGACGATATCGGAGAACATTACCGCGAAATTCCAAGTCATTGTCTATGGGCTCAATATCATGGAAAAAGAGATCAATTTGTGTTCGTTGGGTCAAAAGGCCCTGTGTCCTCTTAGTGCCGGTCGTATTGATGTCAGTTCAAGTCTGACGATCGATACATCAGTTATTGGCGATATTCCCGGCGTGGCTTACACGATTCCAGATTTGGATGCTCAGGTGAGAGTATTGGCTTATGCAACGAGTGACACAAATTATGAGACTCCTCTTGCGTGCGTGATTGCCTTTTTGGACAACGGGAGAACCGTGCAAACCAAATACGCAGCGTGGCCCATCGCGGCCATATCAGGTGTCGGTGTCCTGACCTCTGGTCTCGTTTCTGTCATGGGTCATTCGACAACTGCTGCCCACATCGCTTCAAACTCCATCTCGCTTTTCATATATTTCCAGAACCTTGCCATCACGTCAATGATGGGTGTGGCGCGGGTTCCCCCAATTGCAGCGGCATGGGCGCAGAATTTCCAATGGTCCATGGGGATCATTAAAGTAAAATTTATGCAAGACATCTTCAATTGGTACGTTCAAGCAACTGGCGGTTCATCGACTGTCGTTGTAGCGAACAAAGATGTTTTATCGATTGCCGTTCAGAAGAGAAAGGTCAAGAGAGCTGTCGTCGAAGGCGCAAAAAATCTTTATAAAAGATTTACCCTCTCGACTTCGTCAGACTTTGATTTGAGCAGTATTCTCAATGAGCCATCTCTCTACACCACCAATGAAAGGAACTCCACCAATTATGCTTCCAAGACTCTTGTCCTTCACGGCATTCAAAGAGTGGCCTACAAAGCCCAGATTGAGCTCTCAAATTTCTTCCTGACTGGAGTTGTCTTTACCTTTTTCTTTGTCTTTGTCGTGATAGTGGCTTTGATGTTTTTCAAGGCACTTGTAGAGATTTTGACGAGAGCACGCGTTATGGCCGAGACTTCCAGGTTTCATGAGTATCGGAAGAGTTGGGGAAACATCATCAAAGGTACACTGTTTCGGCTATGCATCATCGCATTTCCTCAACTCTCGATTCTAAGCATTTGGGAATTTACACAGCGTGACTCGCCGGCCGTGGTTGTAGTAGCAGTTGTGGTTTTGGCCGTCGTTGGTCTTCTCCTACTATATGGTGTTGTGAGGGTCATAGTAAGAGGAAGAGAGTCTTTGAAGCTTTACAAGACTCCCGCTTATCTTCTATACGGGGACGCGAACTTTTTGAATCGCTATGGGTTCCTCTATGTTCAGTTCAAAGCTGACATGTACTGGTGGCTAATACCCTTGTTGGCCTATTTACTTTTGAGATCTCTCTTCGTTGCGGTACTTCAGGATCAGGGACGTGCTCAAAGCGTCGTGGTTTTTGTCATCGAAGTCGTCTATTTTGTGGCAATTTGCTGGGTGAGACCTTACCTTGACAAAAGAACCAACGCTTATAACATCGTTATTCATCTGGTGAATTTCCTCAATTCCTTGTTCTTCCTCTTTTTCTCGAACATCTTCAAGCAGCCTCAAATCGTCTCATCTGTCATGGCCATCATATTGTTCGTCCTGAATGCAGTTTTCGCGCTATTTCTATTGATCTTTACGATTGTCACTTGCGCTTTGGCTTTGATATACAAGAACCCTGATGCACGTTACCAACCTATGAAAGACGATCGGGTCTCATTTATTCCCAAGGTTCAAACAAACGGTGCTGCTTCGAAGTCGGAGACGGAACTTTTCGAGCTGGGCAAAGCTGCGATGGTTACAAACGAAGCAAAGGACTCTTCTGGAAATTTGAGCAGCTCTTTGAATCAAAGCAGTAGTAGTGGCGGCAGAAGACTTTTGTTCGCTGATGAGATGGACGACTCCTCAGAGTACGTCGGACTCAATAAGGAGGAAGGCCGGGGAGGCAATTTTAATAACCAGAAGGAGACAGAGCCAGTACAACCCACTTCAGCTGTATTGGGCGGTGGGGGGTTTAGCGGCGCTTATCAAAAAGTTCCCACAGCGCCATCTAGCCGTGGTGGTGCCCAAAACTTGAGAGCACCAGAGAGTTCTTTTATGAATCACAGCAACACATCCTACCAGGGCTTTACAAACGATAGGAATCCTTACTCGAAGGGGAACTCTTATTTGTAGTCGCAACCTTCATCAATATCATCCCGCATGTACAATAGTTGTAAAATCCATTATATCATCAGGACACTGGGAAAAGGCTCGAAATGAGAATTTCGACATAAACGAGCCTGAGTTTCCATTCATAACTAAAAAAATGTTTGAATTACATGATGGCCCAACCGCTAAGCGGTCTTTAGAACCTTAAGCAGATGGTGCGGAAAAATGGTCGAACCAGTAAACTTGGTCATAGAATACCTTTTCCTTGGCGTACTTGACCGCTGGATTGGAAATGTCACCTCTAGCCGCGAAACCGTGCGAAGTGCCGCTGAAAATATCAAGCTGATAGACGGCGCCGATCTCCTGCAATTTGGCTTCAGTAGCGTGTCTGTTTTCAGGTGGGAAAATAGAGTCCTCCTCAGCGGCCGAGATCAAAAGCGGTTTTTTGCCCACGGCGGCAATTTCTTCCATACTGACGAAAGAGGGATGGGCGACCGCTGCTGCGTCCGCAACGCCCGCCTTTTCGTCGATGAGTTGGATCGCATACTTGGCGCCGAAGCAGTAGCCCACAAGTCCCAAAAACTTAGGCTTAAGCTCGCTCTTCACGGCCTTCACGAAGGGCTCTGAAATTTGTCTGGTAAAGTCTGCGTTGTGTCTGGCTTTCCAGTCGTTGAAATCTTGCGATTTGCTGGGATGGATTGGATCGTTGTCCAAAATATCTGGAATGAGGACTTTGTATCCGGCGTCTCCGAAAGCATCTGCAATTAGCAAGACGTTGTTGAATCTGTTTCCAAATATATCTGTCATGATGACTATGATTTTATCATTGGATTCTTGACCGGTAACATAGGTGTCTAAACCAAAAACGGTTGAGTGGTTGCCCTTAGCGTCGCCGATGTGACGAAATCCGGTGGTGCAACACTTTCCTGGCGGGTTAGAAGCCATTTTAATTCACGGAGAAGCGGATTCGATTTCAACTGAGTTAACGCGTCGTCGTTGCAAGATACGCTGTATTGGGAGGGAAATAAGACCTGCACCGACTAGATTTTATACAGACAGACCTACATCCGTTGAAAGTGACTTGGCTTTTCTACCAAACGGGAACCACCCGCTTATATGGCAAAGCCCTCCTGGACCTTAACTGTGGCCTCCTCGCGTGCTTTCTTTGCGGCATATCGTGCCTTTCTCTCACAGGAACGCAGGTAAGCGCTCGACGACAGTTAGCCGGTTTTTTCCAAGCTCGGATTATCTCCTTTATCAATAATGATATCGGAAAAACTCGGATTCTCGAAGGTGAAGAAGAAGCCGGTGTATTACACCTGGCAGATTTTGAACCCACGAGAAATGCCGCCGCTCCACCTGTCTGTAACGACGTAAAAACGAGACCTCGCAGATCGATTCATTAACACTTAATGCTCTCGGCATGCCGATTGGCTTTTCGAGAACTCTCGAAAACTGGTGCTCGAGGGCCTGTTGTTCGTTCAATCATCCGTAGTGCGTCTCTCCCGACATTCTTCCATATTGCTATATAAAAGAATGGCCCAACCCTGCTGCAGGTAATAGCTGACGGAGCCACCATGTCTGCTATTTAAGGCGGAGTTTATGTTGGAGTTCGTGCCGGAGTTTCTTGCCAAGACATATGTCGTTTTATACGTCTAGCCGCCTGACGCCCCTACAGTTTTTCGGCTCCAAGGGGTTCTTCTGTCCCCTTTCTTCGAGCAAGGGCCTCTCTAAATGATCGGAGTATCGTGCGAAAGGACGCCGTCAGATGTAAAACCGAGACCGGAACTCGGCCTAGTATATCGTTAACGCCGAAACGCCAATAGCAAAAAGGAACCTTAGACTTGGTTTTGTGGCTCTTCAGGTTGATAGCCGCCGGGGAACATATAAATGCGAGTTGAGTTTCGCGGTTAGAGTTCTTGTTCTGGTCTGAGATTGAAAATTAAAGGAGAGAATAAGCAATGGTCATGGAAATGCGAGCAACTTTGAAATATGCAGACTATGCTAAGACACGCCGTTCAGCATGGATCTGACAGTTTTGTAGACTAGACTTTCCATTAAAAGTGCTTTCAATCCTCCTTTCAGATATGCGAGGTCTATAGATATCTGGTGCCTGAAATGAGACAAGCGGAAAAGACGTGTTTTTCGTTTTCGTCAGTTTTAGATTTCCAAGCGCGTTCACTTTCACTTTCAGCCGAGTTTCTGTCAATAGTGTCGATTTTGACTTCTTTACCCTTGAAGCATTTTCGTTAATAGATACGGTACGCTCGTGGCAAGAGAAAAAAAAGCGTGCAGTGGCACTACGTCTTCAGCTGAGATGATTCTGCAGAGTTAGATCACCAGGAGAAGAAGCACTCAAAGCTGCGCTAAGACCCAATTGGTGTTGACTCTTCAAAACAGTTTGGGGCCTTTTCATCTCGAGCCTCTTCTCGGCTTTCTCTGCATATTTCATGGCAAAGGATCGATTTTCCCTTGAATCATGATGCATGGAACAAAATTAAAGCGTCCTAAAGGTGAGGGTGACAAACCCCACGAAAAACAATCACCGAATCCACACTCATCGAAACGAAACCGAATCTCTTTTGTTTGTCAAGTATGTCGGCGAAGCAAGACCAAGTGTGATCGCGGCAAACCTAGCTGTTTACGCTGCTTAAAACTAGGTTTATCATGCATTTACGATGTCGAGCAACAAACTCCTCCCAAGACACCAAGCAAAGACGCTATGATCATGAGACTGCGACGTGAAGCGGAGTACTGGCAGAAAAGAGCCATGGATCTTGGTGCTTCCATGTCACATGTCCCGTCCGAAACGTCCTCATTGCTTGCACCCCCTGAGTCGGCAACACAAGCCGACTTTTTCGAGCATGGCACTGTCTCAGAGTCATCCTTAAGCCAACAAAGCCGAGTGCCACGGCCGGATCAGATCATGATCAATTTGTACAAGCCGTCTGCTCGTCTGCTCGTTACGGCCTACACGAGTCAAGAACTCAAACCCTCTTCAGATGTTGCGCAGGTACGTTCAGACACGTTCTTGTGCCTCTTTTTCACTAGCTTTCTAGCATGGTCTAACAAAAATGCCCTCATAAGCTCTGTTTCGCAACGTGGAATTCTGTCTGTTTCGAAGGGGATCAAATTGCGGGACCATACGTCCATTCTGCGAGAACAGCTGTACAGATATTGTGCCAATGACATCCAGCGATCACGCGTGGATCTTTTTACGACTCTCTTGGAACAAGGGACGGGCCATTCGACTGAGGCAAATTCTGGCATTTTCGTAAAGCTCCTCAACAGCTCCGTACGCCATTTCTTCATTGAAGGGTCACGAGCAGAGAATGAGCCGTACACTCAGGTCTTGACCGAGCTCATCACGCAGATCGAGGCCACTTTACCACCCTATTGCATTGTCAAGCAATATTTGTTCCATTTTTATCAATACGTCTATCCTTTCATGCCTTGTCTTGAGATTTCATTTTTCGATTCTCTGCTCATTGAGATCCTCATAGAAGATCCAAGCAATCCCGAAAAGATTAAGCTCAATCTAGGGCGCGACAGACTCAGAGCAAAAGTGACTTGTCTGGCGACATTGTTTTTAGTTCTTGGAATCACTTACAAATGTGCCCTCGCTGAGCTAAGTGCTTTCGAACTTTTTGACTCTTCTAGCTCGAACGCAACTGATTTGATGACAATGGTTAAAGAGCATCCGGTGACGAACGACATGATAATAATATCTCAAAAATGTCTTACGACACTGAATATCTTTAATTGGCCCACGGAGGACGCACTGTGTTGTCTACTACATCTTTGGACATACTTCGCGATTTCACCCGAGAGTGGAGACGTTTATTACGGACAGTCAACGGAGTTCATTATGGGCCTTATAACAATAATGGCAACAAATATGGGTCTCCATCGCGATCCCTCCGAGTACGTGCAGCTCACTGACAAAAATTTTACAAACCCTCGCATGCTCAATTATAGGAGAAACTTATGGACCTTTCTTTCGACGCTCAACTTCTTTGAGGCCACCCTCAAAGGCAGAGGCCCGCAGGCGATGACTTGCAAAAATTCATTTCTTAACGACTGCTTAAAATTACCAGGTCTTTACAGTGAAAGAATATCTAGGGACTCTGTTGACCAGGATCCAATAGAATTGAAAACATCAGCGTGGAACTATGGCAAGTTCGAACTTTTTGCGATGATTGCGGAGCTAAATAAAATTTCTTCTAATCTCGAGGATGGTTTATCTTTAGACAAGGTGGAAGATTTAATGCAGAGAATTGACAACCATCTCAATCTAATTTTTAATCTCGAAGCACTGGAAAATGCAGGTCACGACCAAAAGTTAAAGATCCCCTCAAAGCTATTTTCTTCCGCGGAAATAAATGTTTCTCAGGTTCAAAAGGTGTATGGTCTTCATGGACATTTACTAGGGCATTTGGTACTTTTTAGGATCTCGTTTGCGCTGTTTCTTCATTTCGAAAAAGAGTACAGCAATAACTCTGCGAATTATCGTGTCTATTATGAAAGATTCCTCATGAACAGCTTCTCACGTTTAATCTATTTGCTCGAACTTTATGACAAGTTATATGGTGGGAAGATTGCCAAATGCTTTCCCTCCTTCACTGCGTTCATGACAGATAAAGCCATGCAAATGTGTTTGAATACCATGTTGTTTTCATTAATTTCAATGATCCTTCGCTTCACGCGCGCCGAGGCTTCACTTGGCGAACGGCATTCTCCATCAGCTCTACAAGAAGATAGCTGGCGCAAGCGGGAAAAATTTAAGTTCATACGACAGAATTTGGAAAGAGTTCTCGAACGATTGACGCAACTGACTTCGCGATATCTGCGAATCACTTTTTTCCCTGTCTTTAAGATGTCTTTACTCATGGATTACATTGTGAAGATCATAAAGGGGAACGATACGCTTGGAATTATCGACAAAGTCGCAAAGACAGTCTCAAATGATAGAGTACATCGCGATCTGTTCTTGAAATTTGGTCTGGATATCAAATGCATGGAAAATGTACGGCAAGAGTTGGATCATTCAAATTTTTTAAATGACCTTCACTTAGACCTCCTAAACTCACTCCAAAATTTATTGCACAAAGCTGGCTTCTCGACGACAGAAACTAAACAGCAGGTCGATCCATTTTATCCTGACAGGGAAGAAGAACTGACGAAAAACGAAAAAACGACTTTTATCCCAATGCAAAATCAAGTTCCGGACTCATATGCTAACGACAAGTACGCGGGCGTTGGAAATGACAGCATATTTGATTCGAATTTGGTGCACGGGTATATTGACTATCTAGATTTTGATTTTCTTTTTAAAGATGGGATGTGAGGCCTGCAGAATGTCTGTGTTTTTAATTCGAATGCTGAATGCTTCTGATGACTTTGTACAGGGTAAAGCTTATCAAAGAAGCAAAGCCAATTGCTGATGTGCCAAACAATGCGTATTGCCAGTAATCAACTTCTTCTTTCACCACGTCAGGTGCCAGACCGGGGGTATTTCTTGAAGGTTCCAATGCTGCTTCTGTCAGCTTTACGAACAATTCGTTTAGAGAGCTGGGCCAAGACGAGGAAACGTGCAGTGGATGATCAATAAATAACTGATCCGTAAAATCGTCTGGCTGAACCTGGCAACGCTGTTGTTGCTTATCCAGGTCGGCTTTAAGGGCGACAAAAACCATAGGAATATCTTGAAGATGCTTGTGCTGACAAACAAGATCATAAAGATAGGAAAATGATTCCGGATCACTCGAATCATATGCTAAGCACAAAACATCACATCCCTTCATTTTGCTACTGTTTTCGATAACAGCTGGTTCCTGCTCGCCAAACTCCTGCAGAATTAGATAGTATTGCTTGCTTCCCTTAAGTTCCAAGCTGTTGACAGCTATCTTAGGTTTAATGGTGGGAGAGTAGTTTTCAGAGAAAGATCTGCCCAAAAATGATTCCAAAAGACAACTTTTGCCACATTTCGGCTTTCCAAAGACGAAACAGCTAAAAACTTTGCGATCTGTTATTGGAGCGCGGTAAAGTTTATTGTTGCGGCGCCTGTGTCTCCGAGATTTTGTTATTTGTAGTGCCAAACGCGCATCTTTTTCGAACCCCAGATAAACCAAATATGCCGTGGTAATTTTGTAATCCAGAAAGGCGGTCATGGTCCACTGCGCTAACCAACCCTGTAGTGTAACATGCGCCCGATTACTGATAACAGTCGAAAAAGGAAAGTTGGTTTCAAGCCACAGAGAAGGAAGTCCAGGTGTACTTTTAAACAGAAATTGTAATTCTTGCTCATTCAAGCCACCATCATTATCTCTATCAAATGTCAAAAACAGTTCGACTAAGAACCTATATCCGATAGGGCTGATTTCAACGCTCGCAGTGTCGGGAATGTCAACTTTGGGATGCAGTACTTTGTCACTCAAAGAAAGTGAATCAGTGTAGTTGAAAGCTCTCAGAATACTCCATGTGGTTTCGTGACGTCCTTTCTCTGAATAGATTTTGTTCAAGACCAAAAACCCGTCCTTTGTCATTCCCTTTCCCGGAACATAAAGAACAAAACCTTCGTACTCTTGATTAGGGGCACTAAGACTGAGAAGCGTCTTTCCAATGAAATTCAGCTCCAAAGTCTCTATAACCTTCCCAAAGGCTCGACTCTGAAGCTCTATCAGTTCCACTTCACTCAAATACCCATCTTGATCCTTGTCTGACAAGAGAAATATTCTTTTTAAGGCCAGAACAGCTAAGAGTTTCAAATCACCAACTCTGGCATCAAATAGAGGTGCAATTGGATGCGTGATAGCACGTTGACACAGATAAAATGCCTGGTTGACATTTACCTTGTCCTTAGCGCTAGTCTTTATGCACGTCTCCACCTCTTTGAATTCTCGAAGAATTGGTATAAACTCTTCGTCCTCAATTTTAGTGTCATTTTCACTTGCGAAATCGTCTTCAATCAGGGGCTTTTCATGTTTCTGATCATCAAACGGCTTCTGCTTATCGCATTTGTTCTTGCATAATATTACAGGTAAGTTGACACCCAGGGATCTAAACATCATCATCCAATACAAAGATATCCTGTCGTAACTCTCATGATCGGAGTATATCAGCCATATCACATCGGCAGTCTTAAGCTCGCGATGAAGTGCGGGAAGTTCATAGTTTGTCGTATCCACAAGGAAGGTGGTCTTAGTAGCATACGGACTAGACTGGAAATCTCTGGGTATGGTCACAGGCGGTACAACCTCCTGGAGGCTTGCAATGAACTGATCCTTTACTAAACAAGCGATTAAACTGCTCTTCCCGACCCCTGTTTTTGAATGGATGTGTTAGGTGTTGTTCCAAGTCACGACTTCAGCAAATTACACTTAGTACTTACCATGATCACCACAGACTACAACTTTTATCTGCTCTTTGGTCATAATGTAAGCTCACCGACGCGTCCAAAGGACTTTGAAGACATTGATGGTGCGCAAGACGCTGAGGAACCGAACTAATCGCTTCTATAGGAGATGTATGGCTTAGAATTCAAGAACGTGACGCTTGGGATGCCAACCAAAATTCGTGGATAGTGAGACTTAGAGATATTTCAGATATCGTAGCCATTTCTTCAGTTAGCTTCTCGACTCGCGACTCAGGGAATGGCTCATGGACCGACTAGAAAATTTCATAAATGAATCCATAATGATGGAGAAGTTCAACAAGGTGGCAAACTAACACCTCTCTTAAGGGTTCAGCAGATCGAAAGTTTGAAGAATAGTGCAAATGGTATGTGGATGGGCAGAATGTTGTCGGAGTTGGCCGCATATAATGTTTACTAACAAAAGAAATAGACCTCAATTGGAACGGGATATGATCTCTCGAACAGTGTGTTCTCACCAGATGGCAGAAACTTTCAAGTTGAATATGCCGTGAAAGCGGTTGAAAATGGAGCGACTTCGATTGGAATAAAGTTTGATGATGGAATTGTACTTGCTGTAGAGAAACTAGTTACTTCGAAGCTACTTGTTCCGGGCAAAAACATGAAAATCCAAACGATAGATCGGCACATTGGTTGCGCTTATTCTGGATTATTACCCGATGGGAGACATCTGGTCAACCGAGGACGTGAAGAAGCCGCTAGCTTCAAGAAAATGTACGCCGAGCCCATTCCTATTCCCGCTTTGGCAGACCGTCTTGGTCAATACGTACAGGCCCACACCCTTTACAACAGTGTGAGACCTTTTGGTATATCAGCGATATTCGGTGGTGTGGACGAGAATGGACCTCATCTCTATCTATTGGAGCCTAGCGGAACCTATTGGGGCTACAAAGGAGCAGCTACTGGTAAAGGCAGACAATCCGCTAAAGCGGAGCTCGAGAAACTAATCAGCAAGAGGCCTAATTTAAATGCAAGAGAGTCTGTGCTAGAGGCCGCACGCATAATTTATCTGGCTCATGAAGATAACAGAGAGAAAGAATTCGAACTTGAAATGTCTTGGTGCTCCATCAGCGAAACCAACGGACTTCACAAGAGCATCCCAAAAGATCTATTCGACGAAGCTGTAGCTTTTGCTAAAAAGGAAAATGATGAGGAAAATAGCGATAGCGACGATTCTGGAGACGACAGTGACGGAAGCGATTCTGGCGAAAAGAAAGATGCGGAGGGAGATTTGCAATTAGAGTAAAATAAATTTAAATCGTATATTATCGTGCAGAGAATGTGAAAATTAACGGCATGAGGCGCCGCTGAATTAATGTGAGCCATGATCGTCGTTTCATAGAGAGATGTTATTGAACCGCTCTCGTAAAATTTGATTTTCCTTTTCCAGACGGAAAATTCGATCCTCTGCCGCCTCAGAATCTAATCTCCGGCGCTCCCTTTCAGCAATCCATTTGTGTTCCAACGATTCGATACGCAATTTAAGAGTCTTAACATCACTTCTTTCGCCTCCTCTGTCCTTCTCATCCAGAAGCATTGCTGCGTGTTCCTCGACTATGGAGTCTGTGGCGGCCTCGATGAAAACGTAAAGAGATTCCAATTTCGAATGCATCAATTTGAAATCTTTAGGCAGTGTGACATGCTCTAAGTTGGAAAGTTTATTCTTCGCCTGATCAATTGAGCTTTCCTGAAGAATTTTATTGAACGTGTCAAATATCTTATGCAAGTGCAACAACAAGTGTCTTTTGAGCTTTTGGAAATTTTGTTCTGTCTTCTTAGAATTTGATCCGTTTTCTTGGCTTATTCTCAATTTCTCGAAAAGGTCAGTTTTTTGTTGTTCAATAGATCGTATGGTTGTCTCAAGTTTTTTAACATGGTCTTCAAGTCGCTGATTCTCATTGACAAATATGCCAGAATTTCTTACTGCCCTTTTTAGGGCCTTTTCAAGCTCAATAAGGTTGTTTTCGGCCTCAATGTCCACATCGGATTTTTCAGCTTGTAGGATTTCCATTTCCTTTTGTAAGTTAGCGTTTGCGCTTTTCAGTGCTTCTATTTGATCCCACAAGTTCTTTCTTTCGGCATTAGAACTCGATTGAAGTTCTCTGTCGCAAGACAGGGGATCGCCACTCTTTGGAGAGTCTGTAATGTTGCTTATTGAATGTTGCATTCCCTTATGACTAACAGGGCTTGATTGTTGCGAATCAATGTCTTGGGAGACTCTCGAGACACTTGTGTCCGTTGCTTCAATCGTAGGTGATGAAACTTCTGGCTTTGCATTCTGACTCAACTCCTGTTCTTCATTATTTATATCCTGGAGAATCGGCTCATCTTCGGTTATGTCACTGGGAGAGGGGGGTTTGATTGAAGATATTTCGGTGTGAATAGTTTGAGATAGCTGCATCATTTCTGCTAAAAGATCGTTCTGAGTCCTTATCTTTCTTTCTAGCACATCTTGGAGGTGCGAGCCCTTTTCTAAATCTGATCCAACTCCTGTGAGAAACGTCCGATACTCATAATGCATGTCTTCGATGGCATTTTCAAGTCGACTGTCCATTAACTGAGAATGATTGGCTATTGAGCTATCTCCGTTGATTTCGAGTTGAGATTGACTGAAGTGCACCAATTCTGTCAAAACGTTCTCAACGTTGATGCTCAGCGCGTTGATCTTTACGTCCAAAAAATTTGGAGACAAGTTTCGGGCACTTTCAAGGGCATCCTTTTCAGCTTTCGTAATTTCACGGTTTTGGATGAATCGTTCTAACATTTCATCAATATTGGCTGCAATAACGTCCGAATGCTCCAAGTATGAGTTAATGTCCTCTAAAACAGCTGTATACTCGTTTTTAGTCGAAATGAGTTCCTGTTTTAACGCGATGATCTCTTTGTTCTTATCTTCAATCGTGGTCTGCAAAGCCATTACATTCGGCGAAGCATCAGTTGGCTTATATTGCTCCTCGAGACTTCCAATAAACTTATCGAGCGCATGTCGCCTGGATTCCAGGCCGGTGGTATTTTCTGGTACTTTCTCGCTGTCGTAGTCCATCTCTCTCACATATTCTGTCAAAACACGCAACCTTAACTTATAATTGGTTAACTGTTTGTGCAGATGCTCGATTTCAGCCGACGTGGAGACCGAGGCAGTTGCCGCTGCGCTTGAAAGTACTTCGTCAGAAAAGAGTGAGTTTCTGGTAATGGGTCTTGACCCAGTGGGCGAACCTTGCTCAAAGGGTTCGGCAACTGGCCATTCGGCAAGCTGTGAGCTACAGGAGTTTCGGATCTCGGACGGGTTTTCGATCACACCCGCTGCTGAAAATGTTCGCGTTTTCGCTAATGCGGCTTCTGAAACTTGTTTTCGCCAGGGTGTAAGCGTCCAATCTAACTGCGGGATTTTCATGGAACTCGGACTTTTGATGTCTAGTTCCGAGTGGCTCTCAGTGGACTGTTTTGACATATCTTGACCCTGACGTGGTATGCGTGTTGGCGTGTTTGATTGAACGTAACCACCTGCTTTCGAGCTCACAACCGAAGATATCGACATTCCATTAGGAGATGGTTGAGACGATGAATCGGAGTTCGAATCACCCTTATCACTGTCAATAGCATCCATCTTCAGGGCTATATCTGAAACATCTGAGAGCTTACTATCTATTTTATAGATTCTGTCATTACTAGGTTTTGTTTATGAAAATCATTCTATGAGCTATCGATAGGGAACATAGCAACTAGAGAGGAGCAAAAAAATGATCAACGACTAAGAGTGCTTACTGATACTAATCAAAACTAGCATCTGCCTTAAGCTGTCACTTTTCGGTCTACACACTTTAATGTTGAACATTGTTATTGCTTGTTATATCAAGTTGACCTAGGTGATCAGCTTTATAATTAATTCTTGTATCAGCTCTTTGCTGCAACTTCTTGATTTACAGAACGGGAAGAAAAAGAAATTGACACCTGCTTGCCAATAGAGCCTGTTAATGCGATGTGATGCAACGAAGCAGGGCGGAAGACCGTTCTGAACTTGAGAATGACCATTTGGCAGTTCACGAATTATAATGTAAGAAAGGCTTACGCACTTAAGAGACACACCAAGTGATCAGAAAATACAATAATACCGCAAAATTGGTTTGTTATGTTCGGCCTATCTTCACCGTTCAAGAAAATCTAGCGATCGCTTAGGCGCGTAAGCTCATTCCTTACTCTCACTTTCGATGCCCTGGCAATGAAAATAAACTCCACAAGATCGTTGCAGTTGCCAACTGGTTAGCACTTGTGACGAATTTGTGCAAAAGGGCTGTGTTTAGCAGCTGAGATGACAGTCATTTATAACGAACTACAAAAAAACTAAACATCGAGACTAATGATACATCACTTAGAACGGGTTTCTAAGAGTGTCAAGACTTGAAAATTTTTTAGCGGTTGTCATAACTAGCATAGATCAGCGTGATAACAGCATTGGGGAGAGAGGCAGGATATACATTTAGAGATGTCAGAAGCCCTAGTTGACCAAGAAATCAACTTAGAATCTATTCCCATTGATGACATTGATTTTTCAGATCTTGAAAGAGAATACAATGTTGACCTTGATGTGAACTTCGACAACTTCGTTGTGGTGGACGGAGCTCCAATTGCACCAGAGACGAAAGTGCCTGTGTTGACCAAAGTTTTGACCAAGCTGTTCTCACAGGCCGGTAAAGTTGTCGACATCAATTTGCCTCTTGACGAGGAAAAGAAAACGACTAAAGGGTATCTCTTCGTCGAATTCGATTCTGCCGCGGCCGCGCAGAAGGCTATTAAGCTTCTCAACGGTAAGAAATTGGATGTCAAGCACAGACTTTTCGTCAACACTTTGAACGACCTGGAAAGATACGGTACTGAGACCTTCAGCAACGAATTTCAAGAACCAAAACTACCTGAATTCCAGTCCACCAACTATCTGAAGTCCTGGCTACAGGATGAACAAGGAAGAGATCAATTCGTCCTTCAGAAGGGAGATATGACGGGTATTTTCTGGAATAGGAACACGCAGCAACCGGACAACGTTGTCGAGCCTCGTAAGAACTGGTCTAATTCGACAGTCAAGTTTTCGAGCAAAGGTACTTATCTTTTCTCTTACCACGACCAAGGTGTTGCCTCTTGGGGTGGTAAGAATTTTGAGAGACTTAAGAGATTTTTTCATCCCGATACCAAGGCCCTTGCTGTTTCACCAACTGAAAAGTATTTGGTGACTCTTTCTCCCCAGCCGATCAGCATCCCAGAGCATGCTCCCGAGGACTTCCCCTTTGGTCCAGATTCTGTGGGCCACCAACTGGCCATATGGGACATCGCCATGGGCGTCTGCGTCAAAACTTTTGCTCTACCGCCGGGCCAGAGACTCCACTGGCCCATGGTCAAGTGGTCCTATGACGACAGATACTGTGCCCGCTTAGGTCCCAATGCTTTGGCTGTTTATGACACGGAAAACAATTTCGAATTGGTCAGTGGTAAGATTTTAAAGATTGAAGGCATAATGGATTTTTCTTTTGCTCCCGCTGGTGTCAAACTTGCTGTTAACAGAAACAACGAACTTTCGTCGGTATTGGCCTACTGGACTCCTGAATCCAACAATCAGTCCTGTAAAGCTACCATCATGGAAATCCCTACCCGTAGAGTTCTGAGAACTGTCAATTTGGTGCAAGTCTCTGACGTTTCCCTTCACTGGCAAGATCAGGCCGAATACCTGTGTGTCAAGGTTGACCGTCACACCAAGTCTGGTAAGACAATTTTCACTAACCTTGAAATTGCCAAACTTACCGAAAAGGACGTTCCAGTTGAAAAGGTGGAGATGAAAGATCACGGCTTCAGCTTTGGCTGGGAACCAAAGGGAGACAGATTTATTACCATTTCGATAACAGAAACCGCGGAAGACAACCCTGCGATTCCAAAGAATGTGGTTACATTTTATGCTCCAGAGCGTAAGGATAAGACTAAGCAGGCCGACGATGATGCCAAGAACTGGAAGGCGTTTGCTACGGTCGACGGCAAGTTTTCAAATACCATCTCCTGGTCCCCTGCTGGTAGATTTGTCGTTGTTGCTACGTTAGTGACTCCTGACAACCGTAAAGCGGATTTCGATTTCTACGATTTTGACTTCCCTGGTGAAAAGAATCTGAACACTGTTGATGATGTTTGCGCTAGTCTAAAAGACGTTGCTCATCCTGATTACTTCAGCGCCACTGATATGAAATGGGATCCATCTGGAAGATTCGTGGCTGTTTGGTCGTCTGCCGTCAAGCACAAACTTGACAACGGTTACAAGGTCTACAACATTGGCGGTGAAACTGTTCGTGAAGAGATGATTGAGGGTTTCAAGAACTTCGTTTGGAGACCAAGACCTGAATCTTTGTTGACCAATGGCGAGAAAAAGAAGGTGAGAAAGAACCTCAGAGAATGGTCTGCTCAATTCGACGAGCAGGATGCTATGCAAGCCGACAGTGCCATGAGAGAACTAATTCTGCAACGTCGTTCTACCCTCGAAGAATGGAACGAGTACAGAGAAGCCACTGCTGATATTATGGAGTCTGATTACAACTACGTGACCTTCGACACCACTGTTGTTTCCATCTCCGATGAAGATTATGAAATTGTCGAGGAGATCAAGGAAGAGATTTTGGAGGAGAAGCAAGAAGAAGTGCTGTCTTTTGAGACTGCCGATGAAAACTGATTACCTGAGGACTAAGTTGCTTAGCATAAGTTTCTTACATTTTCTAGTAATTACATAAATAGATTAACACTTTTTCTCATAAGACCGAATTATTTACAGAGGTGGAGATTACTCCCCGAATCCGCATTGCGGCTCATTCGCTCCGAGTTTTTAATTGCAACCCATGCCACCTTTTGATATCGTCACTTAGAATCTGGTTGACCATTTTATGTTGTTTAATGACTGTCAGACCTTTAAACTTGTCGCTTGTCACATCAATTGCGAACATGGATCCGCATCCTCCACTTATGTCTTTAACTTGAAGTTGTTTGGGGCTCAGTTTATCTGTAAGCTTATCCATAACGATTCGTTCCTCAGGTGTCAAACTGTACAGTCGACGAGTTACTAGTCTCAACATCTTAAAGGCTTATCCTAAGGTGTTTTGTCTTCGAAGTTTCCCAGGTTTGGTCAATTTTTCAATTTCCATAGTAGTAAAGATCCCGATGAACAACACTATGCCAAGACGGAACCCACATGATAAAAAGTGCTTTTAGATACATGAGTGTTGCCGCAAATCGAGCTACAGAGGGACCAGTGGCTACTAGCATCAGTAATAAGATAAGGACTTCGTTCCCTGATTTAAAGCATTATGCCATCTACAACGATTCATACAAACACGCCGGACACCGTGGTATGGCCGAGGCAGACAATAGGACAGAGTCTCATTTCAGAGTAGAAATTGTGAGCGATAAGTTCAAAGGTTTAACATTGCCAAAAAGACATCGTTTGGTGTACACGCTTCTTGGTGAAGAGTTCGAAAATGGGTTGCATGCTTTACAGCTAACAACCAGGACGGTCGAAGAACAGATCAAGAAAACCAAGGCGTAATGCGAGCCAAAAGCCCATATAGCAAAACAATCAGTCGTGTGATATTTACGGTACGTAACCTGGCTACCCTTGACAGGACAGCTTAGTGGTCTTCTTGAAGCGATTTTTCGTACTGCTCCAAGGACATGAGTTCGTCGGTCTCCAAATCAGCAACGTTGTTGAGCTTTACCTTTGCTATCCAGCCCTCTCCAAGCGGGTCTTCGTTTATAAGTTGTGGAGAGTCGTTAAGGGCTTCATTTCCCTCCAGAACGACACCGCCCACAGGCTGGTAGATCTCAGAAGCAGACTTGACGGATTCAACGGATCCGAGCGAGTCTCCCGCTTCCAGCTCACTCTCGGCCTCGGGCAGCTCCACGTAGGTGGCGTCGCCTAGAGCATCGGCGGCGTACTTCGTAATTCCCACGAATGCCGTTCCGTCAGGATGAGCGGCGATCCACTCGTGTTGAGATGTGTATTTGATCGCCGAGGGTCCCGAACTCGAAAAAGTGAAGGGCAATTGCGCTCTGTTGACAGCATTCGACGATTGCGCTCTCAAAAACAGCACGTTTCTTGCTGCAAATCTGGTTGGCGCGAATCTCGCGACTTGGGTAGAGCAACGAAACATGATGAACACTAGAGCTTATACTTATTCAGAATCAAACTTGCAGATACGAATTGGAACCTAAACCAAACCACCTGTAAATTCTGAGGGACACGAGAACAACAAAAAAACTGCCAACCGATGATTCAAAAGGACAGATGATCCTAAGCTTCTCGCATTAACAATCCTGTTTCTGTCTGCTCTTATTATCGCAGCACCAACCGAACTTCGTCGAAGACTACACACATACGGAGCTTAGGCTCTTCCATCACATCGCCATATCGTGAGACTTCAGGTTTGAAAACTGACTCCGCGTGGATGACTCGGCGTTGCTGACTCCCTTTTTTCGACTCCTGTGGACTCGGGATCGAGGAGTCAAAAAATCAGATCATCGCCGAGTCAAAACCCAGACGACCCGATTTCACGTTCGACTTTTATAAGGCACGTGATGAACTTGCTCTTTCAAGGGAGGGGGCGGGGTAGTTGTTGGTTTTTGTGACGCTTTTCTTTGTAGTTCGTGACAGAAGCGCCATTTGTGTTCTTTGGCGAACTTTGCCAAGCTCTTGCCAAGTTCATGTAAAGAAACTGCTACGTAATGGTTTAGTTTTTTTACGCGGGGCAGTCCCTTCACCTGTTTCTGGCTTAGTTGAGGCTCTAAGTGAATATGATGTTACCTGGTTTTGTGCTTGCCTAAAGCTAACAGACACGGCATGGGTCTTATGTTTGCCGTTGAGAAATTCTAGAGCTACCATTTTCGTCTCACGACGGTTAGGCAATACTGAGTGCCTTTTTGTGGTCAACAAACCAAAAGCGTCCGCTTCGAGACCCCGGCTCAACGATATGATGTTTCAAAAGCTTTTATGCTCGACGATTTCAAACGGCCTAACTGATTTTTTATGCTTTCACATTTTTTCCTGTTGAAATCGTCTTCATTGCTCTTCTTTCAAGTTGCCACCGACTGAAAATAGAATAGCCGCCAATCTGTGATAGCAGTTTCTTAGCCTAGGTACCCCTGGAAGCACTGTGGGTAGTAAGGGAGAAGGAAGAAAAAAAAGAACGAGGTACCTGCATACGACTCGCCTGGCGATACTTCGGGGCGGAAGATAATGTTGTGATCATGTGACTTGGTTCATCGTTACGGCGGCTCAATTTCCGTCGGCTTTTCGAAAGGGAAGTCGCATGTATCGGCAGTAGAGGCGCAGCAGCTATTGGCTTATGTCCGCTAGGTAACAAGGGTCCAAAGTATGGGGATTTTTCACAGCAAGAAATTTGCGTAGGAAAAGACTGCTGGCTATAAGGTTTTTGCGTTGGGAATTGATTGCATGGCAATTTCGGTCTTAGTCAGGGTGGACGAAAATGCCGTGTGACGCGCTCTATCATGAGAAATGTGTGGAGGAGCGTATGGAAACCGAGTAGAGATACTTAGGAAAGCATCAGGCAAGTCCTCGCAGATTTTAGCTAAGGATGAGAGAGCGAAATTTGGCTTCGAAACGCGTAAAAATAGAGCTACAATACTTTACAATACTTGCAGAAAGTTATCTGACAGAGTCAGTCCGCAGATCGCCAGAGTTTGGGCTTGTTCGGCAAAGGGTTTCCTTCCACGGGTTGTTTGTTGTCTTGTTTTGGCAGCCAAGCGCCGTGTCTCTCGGCCATTGACTGTGTTGGCATTTTTTCCTGGTGATTGCTTGGGGTTGGCGGTGTGGGAGAGAGAATGAAAATCAAAGTGAAAAACGAAAATCGAAAAAAAGAAACAAAGTAAGTTCACATTTATTTTTTGTCGCAGTGCCAAATGCAAAGGCTAATTTGAATCTTTAAACCAATTGAGTCCACTACGAACCGTCATTTAAATACCCACTTACCGGCTAAAAACCCCAGCAAAGCTTTAAGTTGGAAGAGCAACTTGCAGATAAGTCATGAGTTCTCTTTTTTTGGTGAGCACAGTCACTGTGGATGCCCACTTGTCTGGTACATTTGATAGAAACCTGAGAGTACGCTGCATTTCTGATCTGATAGAGCTGTTGTATAGGGATCGACTTAGTGGAGCGCACTCTTATGAAAAAGATGTCTCGCTTGTTGTCTTCGAGCCACAAACAGAGAGAGTGACAAGAAGCAGGACGAAAGGGGTAAGAGACTTGAATCTTCTTTCTTTCCAAGATTTACAAGAGCTTTTGCTACTGCAATTCCCATGCTTCAATATCCGGGTTGTACGTCCACACGATTTGAAAAGCGTCATAGGCGAGATTAAGGCTTCTTCGGACCTTTATCATGATCGGCTGGCCAGGACCTGTGCCTGGATGTATTCTGATGATAACCACAATGAATCAGATAAACCGAATGGTAAACAGTTGGGTGCTAAGTGCTGCTCACAGAACGTATACTCCATGCTGCGACAGCTGCAACAAGCCCGTAAGAGTCGAGAACAACACAAGGACAAGATACGATTTTCTCAGCTTATAAGTGAGTCTCTGGACGTCCGACAACTACTTACACTTCCAAAGGGAGCTGATGACGCGCACTATTGGAAACTGCTTCAAACATGGGATTTCTGTGCACTTTCTTTGTCAATTTGCGAGCTGGTTTGGTGCAGTTTTTTGGTTTTGAAGCGTGCATCCCAGGAGGCTGACATGCTCTTATCCGAAAATGATTTACTAATGATGCTTATAACATTGGAAGCTTCGTATCACCAAGAGAATAAATTTCACAATTTCAGGCATGCGGTGGATGTTATGCAAGCAACTTGGAGGCTGTGCTTCCATCTATCTCGTTACTTGGATTCTAAATCAAACATCTTGCTATTGTGCGTTGCTGCCATAGGACACGATGTTGGCCATCCGGGGACAAGCAACGTTCTTTTATCCGAATACAAATCGCCTGTGGCATTGAAATACGATAATAAGTCTGTTTTAGAAAACTTCCACAGTGAGGTATTCATTGGCTTATTGTCAACTCACTTACCGTTACTTGTAGAAAGGCAAGGGAATTTGATAACGGAAACGATCTTAGCTACGGATATGGCATTGCATTCGCAATACGTCGATAAATTAAAATCCAACACTTACGCATCGACCTTGATGTCGCTAATAATTAAAGCCGCCGATATTTCCAACGTCACGAGGTCTTTGGAAATTTCAAGACAATGGGCCGTTTTAATTACTTGGGAATTTAATGATTGTGCGTTGCTCGAAAAGAGACTCAAGAGCAACGATGAAACGGTTGAAGCAGATGATTGTGCGGAAAGCATTCCACCATCTCTGGAAGAGACTTTAAGAAAATATCCCTCTTTGCCTAAGGGACAATTATTCTTTATTAACACTTTTGCTGAGAGCTTGTTCGCGGGTTTGGGAGCAAAGTTTAAGGAAGTTGGGTTTTTGAATGAAAATGTTCAATCCAACAAAAGATTTTGGGAGGGAAAATGTCAATAGATTAGTATCTAATGGAAAGTAAGATCTTAAAAGGGAAATATTCTCTATTTAACAATGCGTTCAAATGCGTTACATAAAATCACATTTCTCAACATCTGTAGGACTTTTGTTCTTCAGTAAGCACTGCGCTCAATCAGGCCTCTTTCTTTGTAGCCTCTAACTACTGCGAATGCCTTAATAAGCTTCCTCCTAGCGCCCAGAGCCAAAACACCCATTTTCTCTAAGTCCTCATCCTCTAAATATACAAGTTCAAACCATGGTTTCCCTCCGAGAGCATCGGAATATTTGTGAAGTCTTAGAGACTTCAGCCAAGCAGGAATGTTTGTAAGAAGCTTAGGATCAGTCAAAACTTTTGGATTCATTGACGAAGAGCAAGACGACGTGGGCGACAGATTTTCGCCATTGGGACTAACGCTCGTAAAACTGCTATTTCCGTTGTCCATAACGCTGCTAAACCCATTCCCATAGGTAGCGGTTGGTTTGACCGGGGCTTGAGATTTTTTTGGAGTCACTTTGCCAGGGGAAGTGAATTTTTTTCGTTGTTGAGTGTCTGCTGAATGAGGCCTTTGAGCGAGATCGTTGATGTAATCGTAGATTGGCTGCGACGTAGTTGCAGAAGCCTGTGGAGCTGGTGACCACTGTCTATTCATGCTCGCTCCCATACTTGTTCCCATGCTTGTTGACATATTGTTGTTCAATAATGAATCTAAAGTGAGAGGTTGAGGTGTCACGTCCCTATTAGGCACAGGAGATGCAATTTGCGGAGACATAACACTTGGTGGGATGTATCCACTTGAGATGAGGCTATCAAGTTTAAGCTTGGTATGATGCAGAACTTCCTCGCTCAACGAAGACAGAAGATTATCCATTACTGAGTTTTGTTGCGAAGTGGAGAGCATCAGCATCCACGAGCACAGCTGATTGAGGTCGTTTGCAAAGTTGATGACCACGCTCGCACGCGGAGGGGCAGGAGCAGGGGCGGGCGCGACACTGCTAGGCGGCCTAGTGAAGCTGTCGAGATACAAAGACGAGCTGGGCTGCATAAGAGGCGAGACGACAGCAGTGCCAGCTGCTGCTGTACGCTGCGAGTCCAGAAGCATGTTCTGTTGCTGATCCAGCAGATCGTTCAGAGACATATGCTGAGATGAAAGCTGTGGACTGAGCGGTAGATGAGAGATTGCGCCTGTTGCCGTTCCTGTGCTGTGACTACTAGCCATGCCGGACGCAGTGGGCGACAGAAGCACAGCTCCAGGATGTGCTCTTCTCGGAAGATTGACAGGCGAGTGAACCCTCGCTGGGAGCGAAGCACTGTCTTCTTTAAACATGGCCTCTATGCTTCAAAATTTTTGGTCTTGACCGTTCTTTCTACCAGCAGAAGAATGGTCCAGCGATGCGTTTATGATGAGTCCCAAGAAGGTCTTTTCAAATGCTGTAGAATACACTCGGTTCTGAAGATAAATTAAGCCGGAGGGGATCAATTCGCAACCTTTGACCGTCAAGTTCAAATCCTGTCTCTCTTGAACGCCAGGCACGCTGTGACTTTTATTTCGTCGCAAAGCTTGTTCAGGTGTTGACCGATCTTTTCTCTCCCAAGTTCGGTTCTGAACAAAATTTACGAAAATTTTTTTCTCAGTATGGGCCTGTATTCCACATTAAACGCGAGATGAGACGGCGCGAACGTCCAAAACGATATTAGGATTTTCCGATTGTCATTTCGAGATGCCCCCAATTCATCCAATGGCGACGTGACACAGTAAACTCAACACAGTCCAACAATGCAAATTCAGGGAATAGAAAAGCGTGGTTTTTCGGCTTAAAGTTGCGATATGCCTCGCATCATTGTATGGACGCTGTCCATTTTTCCGCGTCTCCCTTTTGAGTGCCACCAACTAGCTATCTATCGTACGGATAATATAAACCGACTATAATGTAAGCCTGTTCTCCCATTTTGTTAGAGAAATGTAAAATACACAAGGGTTATGAAACTAGAAAACAGTAGCTGTCACCTTGTTATCCCTTTTTATATTCCATTTTTGCCCTACAGTATTCTTTTTTTTTGTTTTTGTGTCATCAGCGCTTGGCAATACAATGAGGGTTTCGAAAAACGTTCCTTTCATCCATTAGTTGTTTAAGAATACAAATTCTTTAAAGGATTCACCATAAGATGAACAGAAGTCTAAATACGCATGCAAGGAGAATGTCGGTGATTACAGAAATCCGTCCCGTTTATATTTGGTATAGCAGTAGACACTTTTGATATTATCCGAACAAGAGTCCCGCTACACCTAAATAATGTAGCCCTCTTGAGTTGATATCGCTTCTGAAACTAGACTAGTGATGAATCGTTGATATTCTAAATATTTACGTGAATTAAACTGCGTCACTGTGCTTGCGCAGCTTTTAAATACACTAACAACGTCTTCTGGGCGTTAGCAAGGCGATAATTGATTTGCGATCAGTTGAAGTCCAAATTTGTCAAACTCGTGGAACTATTAATATTACTCCAGAGGGTATATTTAGCCGGCGGCAAAGCTGTCCTCGCCTGCCTTTTCGTATACTTTCGTTTTCTGCAGTTTTCTCCTCAGAAGAATTTTGAAATCAGCGATTCGCACTGCTCCTTCAGGGACTCATCCTCCTCCTTTACTGCGTCGAGTGCGACTTTGATGAACGGCTTTACCGGTGGACGAAACATGAGCATAAATTTCAGCGACTGGAATCCTAGAGACGCTCTGAGTGGATCGAGACATAGAGATTTTATTCTGTCGAGATGCTGTTGGGACAAGTGCGGTAGCTCACTGACGAGACGGATGAAATGCCTCCTATGCGAATTCTCCAAAAACGGAACGATCGAGTCCAGCACTTTTAGAGACCACTTATCATAAATGGGGGTAGACGTGACATCGGCCGCAGGAGCGGAACACATGACCGCTTCGAAATACCATTCTTCGCTCAGCCATTCAATTACCACAGCAATGCGGTTCCCAAAGTCCTCGACGAAATAATCGTAAATACTTTGCCTTACTATGTCGCTCATTTCGGGATTGTGACTTACCCCTCTTGTGGCTAGCCTAGATAAAAGCGTAAGCCACGAAGTTTTATTGTCCCAATCTTGAAGCCTGATTTTCGTTAAAGCGCTTGCATTCGGAAGTGTTGTGAGTGCCTGTTCTTCTTCCGAATCTTTGATTTTTGCAATGTGCTCCAGAATACGCTCGAAATGTTCTTTCTTTTCTTTGCCTGTAAGTGGCGAAGGAGCTCCAAGCGAAAATTCTTGTTTGTCCTCATCCTCCAAAATATCCTCGTCTTCTGGTTCTGGAGCTTGTTTTTTAATATTCGGATGCTGTAATTCGTCGTCGGGTGCCCTTTTTTTCCCACCCTCACCTGCGCTCGTCTTGTTCATCAAGTCAGTGTACCTTGAGGCCACTATCGACAATCCAGCTATGATTTTGTTAGTGTCGGTGTTGAAAAGACTTTCCGTGCACAACTTGATTCTGGAGGATTGTGAAAGTTTTGAGACGTTAATTTCTGAGCTTTTGCTGTTCATCAGTGAATATACAGATGCATAGGAGTTATCAAATGCCACAGGAGAAGTATTGAAGAATCCTGACGTCGAGGATTTAAACATCGTATACTTCTGCAGATCATTCAATAACTGAATATCAGGAGGGCCTAATATTTTAGGTTCTTGCTTGCCGTTTTTCTGGTTCTCTGCTGAGGACAGCTGGGCCTGTGCGGCGGCAACATAGCGCGATCTCTCTCGAGAAGGCATCTTACGTTCTACCTGTTTGGCATCGAAGTTCAGAATTCCTTTTGCTCTTGTTTCTTCGCCGATTGTATGTAATGTCTGCGAAATTTTCGAAAGCTTGTTATAGTACTGACCAGTAGTTCCAGAGTTCCTTATCAATTGCGACCTTAGTCCAAACTGCACGAAATTCTTGTAGCAGCGCTCAACGAAACGTTTAGCCATGCGATAATTGAGCACCGAGTCTGTCTCTTGCTGATATTTGAGATCGATATTAAATCGTAAAATGCCAGCTAAAATGCGGCTCGTGGCTTGAGGACGTTGTTTCATCACGAACCCAAGACAATTGAGTATACCATTAAACAGTGGCGTTACCATCATGGGCTCCTCACTCAGATAGTTTAAGAGATAGTCTAGCAACTTTTTCGCCTCACTTTCAAGAGCAGATTTGCTTTTAAAAATAGGATGATTGTCTGGCACCGATGCAAGGCCTATTCCGGAGTTCCCGTTCGTGTGCACTACCACAACTTTGGAGATAAACTTCACCGTTGCTAGCTTCACACCTAGCGAACGCGAATGATCGCCAAGTATATCTCCTGATGGCTTTAGCGGGAAGGTTGTCTTCCACTGAGACAGAATGAACTCTTTTAGCTCACACATGAGATTCCAAAGCTGAACATCGGAAGTTTTGGCTATAAGATCAAAAAGCAACTCGTAAGTGCGGGCAAACGTTAAAATGATATCCCGGAAAGTACAGTGACTGACATCGTTTTGAGATACGTCCCATAAAAGCTGCAGGTAAAGAGACACCAGGAAAGGTTTCTCACTTTTTGGAACGGCGTCATGGTCCACAACTTCCATTAGCAGTTCAACACACAGTTTCCCCAGCTTTTTAGAATGCGAGGAGCGATACAGGGACGCTGCGGTCTCCAGAACTTTAGGCAGCATTTCGCCCGGTTTATTTTGAGTAGCCAGCTGCCTGGCTTGAACAAGCTGCAACCATTGATCGTCTTCGCCCGCCATTGCAGTCTTGAGCTTTCAAAACGTCCAAAATCCTAAGTTGTTTACGAGCTATTGATAATTTTTTTCGCATGCTTCTTCTTACTAGAAACTAATCGGATTCTAAATACTCAAAAAGTGACATCTGAACATATTTCCCAACGCAAATGACAGAGAAGACAAGCGAGGAGCAATCCTCGATCCCTATCAAGAGACCATTAAATGAGATTTCGCACAAATTTGATTATTTTAATGCTCTCACTGAGCTTAAAAGAAATTAATTATCAATTGCTGGTAATTTTGAATCCAAAATATAGCTTGAATATTTAGTTAAGGGACTTCATACGGTGATGGATACGACTCTTAGAATATCTTTATAACTATTGTGTTCATATTTGTAGTCGTCATTGTGCCATGCCGTCAAGGAAAGCCATTTGAAACAGATTCGTAAATCGAGCTGTTTGACGTCGTGAGGCGGACAAACGTGATATTAGAACACTTGGAATTAGCTTCATTTTCAGCTTCTCTGAAGTAGCCAGAGATCCGACAGCAAGCCAATTTTCAACCTCTAAGTCTGTATTACAAATTTCTTGGGACAATATCGATCAAAAAATCAAACATATCACTCTTGAGCAACGCTTGTGCAATATCGCTTTTTTGTAGTGTGCGACGTTTGTGTTCTTCAGCAACACACCACGCCCGCATGGTTAGTTCTGTGATAAAAATTTCGCAAGCTTTCGCGAAAAGAATAGGTGCTTCTGCACTAATCATTCGCACGTCTTCGTCGGTCTTCATGACTTTTTTTATCCTTGCCAAAGGAAGCGAATGAGATTTGAAGTCATCGTTATGTTCGCTTCCAGGTTCATTGGTGGACTCTATTTCGTTAATAAGCTCTTGCCAATACTGTATCATTATCTCCCTGTATCTATCGACTAGTCCTTGCCCCACATTTCTAAACACGTCTATTTCTTCTTCTTCAAGCGGCAAATCCATATCTATCTCTGGTTTGCTAGCTTGTTGACTTTCTTTCTATTTTAATGGGCTCTTCCAAGGGAACAAATCTTGAATTATCTCTTCAAATTAATCGTCAGTTCCCGACTGTCGACCAAGAAGTTAAGAAACCTAAAACACAGTCATGAGACAATTCCAGTCGTTCAGTACTACCGCTCAAACGTCGCTTGCAAGTCAGCAACACAAGCAACAATCTGCCAATGACATTTACGCCGAGCCTGAGAACTTTTTAGAAATAGAAGTGGTTAACCCCAAGACACATTTCCCAGAACAAGACAACAAAGGAATGTTTACAGATTACGAGGTAATCTGCCGCACAAATCTGCCCTCTTTTAACAAACGTAGCAGCAGTACACGCAGAAGATATTCGGATTTCGAACTCTTCCGAAAATTTTTGATTAAGGAAGTCTCTTTCTCTAACCACCCTAAGGTCATCATACCTCATTTACCGGGGAAAATACTACTCGGCAACCGATTTAACGACGATGTCATTGAGGAACGGCGCCAAGGGCTCAATAAATGGCTAAATAGTGTGGCAGGACATCCACTTTTGCAAAGTGGTTCCAAAGTTCTGGTCAGGTTTATCGAAGACGAACATTTTTCCGGATGAACGAAGCGTTACAAAGTTTTACGAGCTGCACCCTGCGAGGTGATACAAATAAAGATTGGCGGCGAAACCCTGGTAATTCCACGTAGGTTTGTTTCTAAATCATGGCTGCCTGATGAGATATTGCAGTCTTGATTAGGTTGGCCAAATCTTGAAAAGTGCATTATTTGCGCCCGTTCAAGAATCAAATCCACACTCTGAGCAAGCCAATTGAATTTCGAAACTTTATTGGAAGCTGAGTTTTCAAGAATTCTGTATACTATTCCGGCATGCGCTTTTACTTTATATCGATTTTGGGTTATGGACGTAGTGAGATGCTTATGTTGAAAAAAATTCCATCAAGATTTCGAGAAGCTAAAGTGTAAAGAAGAGCGATAATGAAGAAATCAACGCTTCTGTCGCTCGATGTGTTTGCTAAAACCGAAGAAGATGTTCGAATTCGAACCAGAACGGGTGGTTTTATCACGCTTGCGTGTATTGTTATGACAATGTCGCTGTTGTTAAATGAATGGTTTCATTTCAACAAAGTGGTGACGCGGCCACAATTGGTGGTTGACAGAGACCGACACATGAAATTAGATCTTTTCGTGGACATAAGTTTCCCGCATTTGCCTTGCGATTTGGTAAACTTAGACATCATGGACGCCGCAGGCGAAATTCAACTTGATTTGTTAGACAGCGGATGGAGCAAGACAAGGTTAGACGCAGATGGAAATTCTCTTGGAACGCAGAAATATGAAGTGGGCAAAGATGTGTCTGAGCAACTTCCGGAAGACGAAAACTACTGTGGGTCTTGTTATATGGCCAGGGATCAAAGCCGGAACGACCAAGTGGATCCTTCCGAACGTGTGTGTTGTCAAACTTGCGAAGATGTTCGCGACGCGTACGCAGAGAAAAATTGGGCGTTTTTCGATGGCAAGAACATCGAGCAATGCGAGCGTGAGGGCTACGTGGAACGGTTGAACAACCATTTATCAGAAGGTTGTCGTATTGGGGGTCGGGCCAAATTGAACCGCATCGAGGGAAATCTACATTTCGCGCCAGGAAAAGCATTTCAAAATGAACAGGGCCATTTTCACGACACCTCACTCTACACTCGTACGGGATCTCTCAACTTCAACCACGTTATCCACAAATTGAGCTTTGGAGACGACATCACACAGACGACCGACTCCATTCCTATTTCTACCGCACCGTTGAACAATCGCGAAGTAAGCCCTTCCTTCGATACACATTTTCACCAGTTCTCATATTTCGCCAAGATCGTCCCTACTAGGTTCGAATATCTAAGCGGGACCGTCATCGAGACAACTCAATTCAGTGCGACGTACCACGACAGACCCTTGAGAGGAGGTCGCGACGAAGATCATCCCAACACTATACATTATCGGGGCGGGCTTCCTGGCGTATTCGTGAATTTCGAAATGTCGCCTTTGAAAGTGATAAACAAAGAACAACACGCCCAAACGTGGTCTGGTTTTGTACTTAACTGCATAACTAGCATCGGTGGCATTCTCGCCGTTGGAACGGTTGTCGATAAGCTGGCTTACAAGGCCCAGCGGTCCATTTTCGGCAAGAAAAGTAAGTGAAGCGAGCTAAATGAGCTTATATCTACGCCTTTTATAGGACTTACAAAAATCTTGTAAATTATTGTGTCTCTTACATACCTTGGCTTGTTTTATTCGGTGATGTTGATATCTACTGAATGTTTTCTAACGTTCTGTCGAAAAACTTGAAAAAATTAGTAGTGGAATAACCAGAACGAAAAGTGTTGACAAATTGGAGCTCAGCAAAAGTCAAGAGGAGCTTTCGTGAGCCGAGCACAATATGGCAGTGCAGTCGCAATCCACAACGTCTCTGCCAACTCTTTCATCGCAATCTACCCAGAATTTACTGAATAAAAGAGTCTCTGCAGAAGATTCTCTTTATCATATTTGTTTGAATGTGAAGCGAAGATTAGAGAGCCTTCCGCAACTGAAACCGTATGTAAATCTAGCGTATGCTAGCAGCGAGCTTTTGAGCGAAAGACAGGCGTTGTTACTGTCACAGAAACAGCAGACAACCCAAAACAGTCATTACAGTACAGGTTCCACAGTCAGTGGTGCGTCGTCAATTCAAACGAGTGTGAAAAACGGTGGTGACAGCCGAATCTCTTCTTTCTCGAATGCCAGTTATAACGAAGAACTGGACGTTTTGGGCCACAACATGGAAGATTCGATTCTGACATTCAGCATGGGCATTCTACCAATTTCCATGGACTGCGACCCAGTGACACAGCTTTCGCAGCTGTTCCAGCAAGGTTCGCCTCTATGTGTACTTTTCAATGCGGTCAAGCCGCAATACGCGCTACCGGTAGTTTCTTCTGACGACTTGAAGATCTGCAAAAAATCCATCTACGACTTCATCCTTGCGTGCAAGAAATACTACAAGTTTAACGACGAAGAACTTTTTACAATTTCGGACGTTTTTTCGACCTCAACGGAACATTTCATTAAAGTTTTGGACGTTGTCACAATTTTAATCAATTCGGCTCCGCAGATTTTCCCCCCTCAACCCATCGAGGATATTCGGTGGTCCAATACTGATCACAGCAAGATTATGAGAGAGTTCATCGAGACCGAGAGGAAATACGTTCATGACTTAGAAATCTTGAACCAGTATCGAATTCAGCTTCTTCAAAACGGTATTGTGAATTCCGAAGAGCTTTACATGCTTTTTCCAAACATTAGCGAAATTATTGACTTTCAAAGAAGGTTTTTGACTTCAATGGAGATAAATGGGCAAGTAGATCCTTCGAGGCAACGTATTGGAGCGTTATTTACGCACTCCAAGTCTTTTTTCAAATATTACGAACCTTGGTCTATTGGTCAAAATGCTGCCATTGAATTTATCTCATCAAGCTTTGACAAAATGCAGGGTTCCGGGTTTGTGATCGGTAACAAACTTGAGTTGCAATCATTTCTGTTAAAGCCAGTGCAGAGACTTTGCAAATACCCGCTCCTGATTAAGGAACTCTACCAGCAGTCTCGAGATAACGGAAATAACAAAGAACTCGAGCTAGCATGGGAAATCTCGAAAAGTATCGCAAGGAGTATAAATGAAAACCAGAGGCGAACAGAAAATCACGAGGTGGTGAAAAAACTATACGATCGTGTAGTCAATTGGAAGGGCTACCGTATTGCCAAGTTCGGCGAGCTCTTATATTTTGATAAAGTGTCCATATCAACAGGAAACTCGACTGAGGGAGAGCACGAATTTGAAGTATATCTGTTCGAAAAGATAATTATCCTCTTTAGCGAAGTTGTTCCTAAAAAAGTCAACTCGATCTCATTGAAGAAGAAATCCAATTCTTCTTCATCCACTTTGCATTTAAGTGGAAGCTCTACGGCTGTTTCAACAACATCCACTGGAGAATCAAAATTGGATTTGAGAGGACGTATCATGATAGTTAATCTCAACCAGGTTACTCCTCTCGATGCCCGCGGGCTAAACATCACTTGGGAGTCCCCAAAAGAACAGGGAAATTTCGTTCTGAAATTCAAGAATGAGGAAACAAGGGATAACTGGTCCACCAGCTTACAGGCTCTTCTAAAAAATTTGAGAAGCGAATCATTCAGAAGCAACGGCAGTAGCAGTGATAGGTCGTCGTTTTCTTCTTCCCATCAACGTCAACATTATAGCATGAATTCCATAGGAAGTGCGTATAACCGAAGAATATCGGACGTGCTACCGAAGCATCAAAACCATCAATCCTTCGAAAGCGAGTACAGGTCCATATCAGAAAACTACAAAAGTTCAATACCCGAATCAATGCTTTTGGTAAGAATATCTTTCAACAATGATTTCTACACGGTTTTGGTCGAGGTTAATTGTAATGTTGAACATATGCTTCAGATAATAAAAAGAAAACTCACACACATGGGTTCTGTTTCGAAAATAAAATATCAAGACGAGGATGGAGATTATGTGGTCCTTGAAAGCGAAGACGATTGGAGTGTGGTAAAAGACATGCTGAGGGAGAGCAATGAAAGAGTATTGAATGTCTGGGCATCTAATTAAGCCCTATTCATTGGTGTGTTATAGCATAGCATTTTCTAAGGTAATAATAAAGGTTTATGATACATTTCAACTAAAGAGAAAATAAATAGTCTTAGCAAAAATTGGTCAATCAAGTGAGAGTATATTTTGGCCCATCTCCTCCCTCAGGAACTACCCAATTAATGTCTTGGCTGGGTATCTTGATGTCGCAAGTCTTGCAATGAATGCAGTTTTGAGAGTTAATGTTGAATTTTACACCAAGCGGTGACGTCTCGTCGGGAACATACTCATAAACACCAGCTGGGCAAAAACGACTTTCGATTCCCTTCCACTTCGGGTACGCAGATTCGGCGTGTTTGACCGTATCTTGATCCGGAATTCTCAAATGGCATTGCTCATCTTCGTCATGGTAAGTTCCTGTCTTCGAAACTGAAGTTAAGATATCGAATGACAATTTTCCATCTGGTTTTGGATATTCGATTGGCTCATGCATACTTGCTTCTTCAGTAACGGCGGCATCCGACTCATGGTGTTGGAAAGTCCAGGCTACTTGGCCTTTTAGAAGTAGCGAGTCGATTCCTGAGTATACTACTCCGCCTAATCTACCCAAAAGAGGATTATTGAACGAAGGTCTGATGTTTCTCACTTCGTAAAGTTCGTCGTAAACCCAGGAGCTTTTAAATGCCTTCTCGTATGATTCAAGGTCAATCGGCGTATTGACCATCTCGTCAATTCCTTGTTCTTCGAGGTCATTAAGGGATGGTAGTTTCCTAACCTCACTAAATATTGCCTCAGCGGCCATCATACCTGTCTTCATCGCTGTATGAGTTCCCTTGATCTTGGGGACATTCAAAAATCCAGCCGATGCTCCAACCAAAACCCCACCGGGGAAATGAAGCTTAGGAACAGCTTGCAGACCACCTTCGTTCAATGCTCTTGCCGCATAGCTGATACATTTACCACCAGTCAAGACGTTGGCATAATAAGGATGATGCTTCATTTTTTGAAATTCCTGATATGGCGAGAAGTAAGGGTTCCTGTAGTCCAACCCAACCACAAGTCCAACAGTCACAAATCCTTCTCCGAAGTGATACATGAAGCCACCGCCATAAACGTCGTTGGTGAGAGGGTAGCCCATGGTGTGGGAAGCGAAGCCTTTCTTGAATTTGCTTGGCTCAACTTCCCAAACTTCCTTCAGGCCCAGGCCGTATGTCTGGTTTTGCTTGCCCTCTCTCAGATTGTACTTTTTAATTACCTGCTTAGTCAAAGAGCCATGACAACCTTCGGCGAGGACAGTTTGCCTGGCGTGAAATTCCATACCTCTTTCGAAAGATGATTTAGGACGACCGCTTCTAGAAACTCCCAGGTCCTTAGTCGCCACACCGACCACCGACTTGCCATCCCTACTATAAATGACATCTGAAACGGAAATACCTGGGTAGACCTCGACTCCGACTTCTTCTGCCTTTTCGCTTAAAAACTTCACAACTTGGTTAAGGGAGGCAATATAGTTTCCCTCGTTCGCCATCTGAGGTGGTGCAGGGATTGGACATGCGAGATCGCCTATTAAATACTTGAGTTCTTCATGAGTGACCTCGGTAACCAGATCTGGAGGTAACGGAATCCCTTTACCATGTTCGTCGTAAAATTCACTATCGGGGAAAAGTTCTCTTAGTGCTCTTGGCTCAAGGATTGCACCAGATACCATATGCAGTCCCATATCAGAGGCCTTTTCCAGCACCACGACCCTCATCGAACCATCGCCTTGTTCATTGTCAAGTTGCTTGAAACGAATCGCTGCAGCGAGTCCAGCAGGCCCACCACCCACAATACAAACATCGACTTTGTCAACAGCTCTTTCGGCAAAGAGCACTTCCCTCTCTTCTCCCGTCATTTCGCTTGTTGAGACTTCAACGGATTTCCTGCACAACGTATTGGTCGAAAAGAGACGAAGAAAATGGCCTAAACGCCTAGAAGTGTCAGTGACCGATGACCTCAGCACATTTGTCGGCAGCATGCGACATGCTCTCACAGCGGATCCACTAGCAAGTCTTCTTCGGATTGTTCTAGTTCCAATTCCTCTCACGGCAATCATTTGATCTTGTTTTCGGCTTGCAAATACCAATTGATATTTTTAACACCCTTGAAAACAGTAGCAGTTCAAATGTTCAAGAATACAACAATTAGCCAATTCACACGTCCCGTGTAGGTCTTATAATAAGTTAGCCGAGTCACTTCTTGATGGTCATTCATTTTAGAGCTTCATTGTTTGAGCAAAATCACGTGGCTTTATATGGTTATTGTCGATCTCTACATCATCTGATGACTCTGAGGTCCGAACTATCGAAAACGGCCAATGCACGCGTATTACATAACTGATTAACGATACTACAATGCTAGCGTAAACTGGTTTGCTCAAGTCTGTTAAACGCGAGCTTATTTTAATAGATGATTGAGGTTTTCTTACCCATGATTAAAATTTAACTACCGAAAAAGTACAGACAACGATGAGGTCTGGTATGCAATTGTGATCCAATGATTAGTTTTTGTATGTGATCGTCCTTGAACCTCTTTCCTAAAACCTACGACTGTGCGAAAAAGTTGTCAAGATCTTCTGAGGAAAGAGTTTCTGGCGATTCGATGTCCTGAAGTAAAAATCCGGATCTCACGGCTTCTAACCAAGAAGAAGTTGAGATCGTAACTTCGGATTGCTGCTCTGAGTGATTGTCATTGCCTGCGTTTTCAAAGACGGTCAGAGTTACTTCAACTGGCTTTTGAGTCGCAGCAATTCGATGCAGTGCATTAACCAGAGCAGCGCTCTGTTCTGTTACACTGAAATGCTTCCTGGCAGCAATTTTAGAAAGCCTCGGCGCTGCGGCGGCGGCTGTCACATAACCTGGTGTTACTTTGAGCGAGGTCTTGTGCTTTTTGGAAGGCTCAAAATCGGGGGATGCTCCAACTCTGTGTTTTCCACCATGTGCCACGACGTGTACGTGATCAGCAGCGACGGGATTCAGAGTTGCTTCCGAAATGGTAGGCGCTAAGCTCATTGAAACGGGTGAGGAAGCGTACGGGACATTATATTCGCTGGAAAAAAGATTCGACGAAAAAGGGCTTTGCGAACCTGTGGAGCGCGAGATTCCGCTCAAGCTAGAGTCTGAGCTTGCCGTGTTGGGACCGACAGTGGATCGTTGACTTTTTTTGGAACCTTGATTACCACCCTTGGTTTTGGATACATATTTTTGAAGAGACGCAGCCTGAGCCTGTGCTTTGAAATCTGTGGCCAAAATACCACGATAGACGTATACCATGCGTCTTGGAGATTGGTCTGACCATTCTCTTGAAAGAGAATACATCAACGTGCTTTCGCCGCGTTCTACCTTTTTAATGTACGCATTAAGTTTCGCTGACACCAGATTTGAGAGTTTGGTCGAAAGGTCTGCCATTTCCGGCCGCTTCACGAGTAAAAAATCGCAAAGCTGCTTAACGGTCATGCCCTTCTCCTCGGTATCATGCTCCCATAAAATAGTGAAGATCGCGTGCAGGACCTGGTCCTCCATAAAAGGGTCCTCCTCCTTGGGCGAAGGTCTTTCACCAGTGACCGGAAGCGATTTGAGAAGTTCGTTGGTTTTCTCATGTGCGGCGACAGTTAATTTAGAGCGGCTGCTGCTTGACTCTTTTCCAGTTAAACTTTCAAATGACGTATCTCCTAAAGTATTGGCCTGGAACTTTGGAGAAACTGTGTTGCGAATGGTGTCACTCTCAAGAGCTGATAGCGCCGGCGGCCTAGCATTCGTTAAAGCCATTTCGACGTCCTCAGGTCTCGATGATGTTTTCTATCACGGTTCAATCGATACACCGTAGAACAAGCTTCTAAAAGTAAGCCAATATTCCATGTACGGATGGTACCAAAACAGATTAGCCGCTTGATTTCTGGGTGTTTGTCTTTATCAGTGTGTCTTCGATAGGAGTGTTCTTCAGCTGATAGAATCTCGAACAATTGGCGACAACGATTCAAATAAAAACGAACACGGCAGTTCCTCAATGAAAAGGGAGAAACAACGACCACCTCTATTCAGGACAAACTTCAAAAAATGCGAATCAAATTGTCCCAGATTGATAAACTGACACACCGACTGATGAGATGAGATGGGCCTAATCGATGTGTTTAATTGAGGTATTCGTTGATTGGATGTGGAAAGAAAAAAAAAAAAAATAAAAAAAAATCTTTTGTAAAAAAAAACTGACGCTTTCGACAGAATGCCATCACATCTCAGTTTAAAAACCCATCGCCGGTAAGAATTGACTGTACAATAGTTAAGTGTGTATATCTTCTGCAAAATCATATGGTTGTCTGTTTGTCGTAGGAACCACGAACGATCTTGAATTGTTCCGTCTCAGTGCATAGAGAGTCGTCTTAAATTTAAGGCAGTCATGAAGAACCCATACATTTTTGTTGGGCGGCAAAAGTCAAATAAACTTGGAAAAAAAGCCGATCAGACGAAATGTCAACAGAAGTAGGATGCCCCAGATTTTTCAATTATTACGGCTCAGTCAAGCGAATGTGCATTCGACAGGATAGTCATCGATATTGAGGTGATCGGTTGTAGATAAAAATGCTTCCGCTATGGTTTTTTCCTGGTCGGTTTATATGTCGGTTTCTTTGTCATTTCTTTCGTGCTTGAGAGCAGCTTTTGTTCTTTCGTAGTCAAGTGGCCAGTACCTGTCTGGGTGCGAATAAAGGCATGATGTGTCTCGTCCGTTCGGTGGGATAAACCAATAGTTGACAGCGACATGAAGTTTGTCTGTAGCCACCTTTGGATTTTTCTCTCCGAAAGAGCTAACCTCGTGAAACCATCCCGTTGGCAGATACAACATTTCCCCAGGCTCGAGATTTACCACAATTCTGTTGGCCTTACCCAAGAGCGGCCATTTTTCGTGTACAGCAGAGGACACTTCCTCCCTTAGTTGTCTATCGGAAATCTTGTCTAAAAGTAGAACCGCAGGCGGTATTTTCGAGAACGACGGCGGGTCAACAGAGCCGTCTATTTCCACGAATTCGTCGTCAAGCTCTATGGTCCTCTCTAATTCTTGCTTTTCTTGGCTGCTCAAATTATTATTGTGCTTTAAAACGTGTCGAGCAACCTCGGCAACGAGCGCCCCATCGTCCCTTAATTTTCGCCAGAAGGGCGCGTTTTTGTTGCGATGGTAATCGATAAGTCCTGAGCAGAAGACTTCACGTATGTCACCAATGGTATACATCTTTACTGCATCTTTGGGCGAAAACAATGTAAAGCGCTTACGTCCAGCAATAGGCACGTAAAGGTTGTCGGCGTGATCGTGATGAAGACCCGATGAAGAGCCACCGTCCGGCATCAGGCGCCCTAATCCTAGTTTAGCGTCCTTGTTATCTAATTTCTTGAAAAGCTCGTCAAAATTTGACACTGTGCCTGATACACAGCCAACCCATAGGTTTATCTGTTGTGGGAGTAGTTTGTCCAGAAAACGGGGCAGTTCGGGGATTGTTTTCACTAGACTGGTGATTGGCGGTTGATAAAGTTCACGTATTCTTTCCTGTGCCTCTCCCATCCTCATAGGACCCGTTTCTAGTTCATGACCCAAAGTTTCAAGTTCCACGGAATGATCCCCAGACTCACTATCTGAGAAGTCATCGTGGAGGTCATCAAAGTTTAGTGAATCGTTATCAGAGAACGTTCCAGATCCGCCAAACCCTTGAATTGCGGGATCATCCTCCTCTTTTGATTCTTCTTCGCTCGAATGTTCTTCACTCGAATGTTTTTCGCTCTCATTTTCACGAGCTTGGTCTGATAGCTCTGGGTCGTCTTCCGCATATTGGGTTGTCAGGTATAAATTGGTATTGCCCCGTTCCATTTCTTGCAACAGGTCACCGAACTTCATCTTGAGTCGCTTCTCGCCACTTCCAAAACCACCGTCGACTTTACGTTCCACCTGTACGACCTCATCAGCATCCAGCGTTGTCGCCATCTTTTCGGGCGTTAGTTGGCTTAGAAACACCTCTGGATTCACTACACCATTGATTTTGCACGGTCTGCGAGGAATGACAAATTCCTCGTAAAACTCCTGGATTTCTTTCTCAGTCTCGGGAATATCAATGACGGCAATGGCCGTAATGCTCTCTTCTGGAGCATAGCCTGTATAGCTGCGACCTATTAAAGCGTCAAGGGTGGTAGCCTCTTTGCCATTGCGTCCAATTAAAGGCTCAGAATACCTTTTGCTCATTGATTCCAATGGGCTGATGATCAACCCCGATGCTTATGGCGGTGATTCAAAGATTCCAAATAGTCGAATGATCTAGATATCCATTGGTTGCACCACGTGACCTATCACAGACATGGAATGCTCTCCATACGATCAAGTCCGAGAGAACAGTCACAAGCGTTATTAATCACCAGATTAAACTGATAAGATCCTCTGGTTGCGATTGCCTCAAATCTTTTGCGTAACAACCGCCACCGAGTCCTTCGCAAAGAATTATGGGTTAGTTCTCGAATTAGAACAAAGAGATAAAAACGCATGTATTATGAACGAGGTGAAGAAAGTCTGTGACACCTCGACGGTGCGTAATGCGGCGCTTTTCATATGGGGCTATAATTGCTTAGCTTTTCAATTTAGGGGAATAGTACGGTAGCCTGGAGGAAGTCCATTTTGATTGACATACAAAGGTCGGCGGCTATCGTATATGGAGACACGTAGTTTTCAAAATGAAACAACAATCGTTTGCGTCTCAATAAAGTAAATTTAAGTACCGACTCAGAGGCTTTTGATTAGGGCCTCCTGATTATGACTCTGAGCCTCTTTCTCCGAGAAACGCTGACGTGGTGTCCACCTTAACATAGAAAATGCTTTGTACTGGTGCTCTCTCTTGCAGTGATTAAACTATGCAACAAAGAGTGGTAATAGATAAACTGTAGACACGAGAAAAGATTCGGATAAGCAGGTGGGGAGGAAGAACTACGGCATAACATCGCAGATTATGAAAAAAGCGCATGACGTGAAATGCTTACTTGCAGGTCTTTAATGGTTGCCGAAGAGAACAAATTTTGAGTTTTTTTTTTCATCGGATGTTACTAGCTTCTTGATTAATGGATAGAATCGCTTATAAAACATGGCAGGGTTTAAATAGCATTTCAATCAGCATATCTATGCAAGCAACAAACAATGGCCACGAGCCTTTGCTGTCGGTAACAAATGCGACCTTCATTAGACGTAAAAATGCACGTTCGCTCATATCAGGATATCTTTGGAAATAGATTATCTGATTTGAACAGTTACGACTGCTCTCGCATACGCTTGCAAGACACTGCAGAACCATCAAAGAACGAAGGATCCATAATGGACGAGTTGCGCTTAGCATGCTCGCGCTTGAACATTGCGGGCCGCGTAGCTGTAGCAGAGGTAAGATTGGTAGTACTAGTGGACGGGGCACTAGCGGAAGTGGCGCCGGCGCCGGCGTCAATGTCAACTGGAGAGTGAACACATGACTGAGGTGTTGCCATGACGCCTGGTCTAGAGGCGGCTGTCCCTTGGACCGATGCTGAGGAGGGGGTGGAGGGCGTTGGTGGTATGATGCCGAATCGAGAAAAGCGATTCGAGCCATTGTGTAAGCTATCCATACATGCGGCGAACTTCGCGTTTCCCTCCAGGAATTCATCTGGCTTTACATGACGATCATAAATCGATAAGCTGCGCAGAATTGGGTTCGCGTCGACCTTTGCGTGTCCCAAATACTTGAGTCGGAAACTGGAAGGGAAATTTGCGGAATGAAATTTGAGTAACAAAAGATCGCACACACGTCGCAAGTTCGGATCGACGACCTTTTCAGAATAATGCGAAAATGGAGATCCGGCTGTCAACTGAAGGGCATGAGTCGCAATGGTAACAGCTGCAAGCGCAACGGCCGATGCATTGTAATCGAAGGCCAGGACTGGGTCGAAGCACGCAAGCTCACATAGCACGACCGCAGCGTACTTGATATCATTGAGATTGAGGCCCTTGTAGCATAAGGAGCTGATCTTGTTTTTGACAAAAATGTCAATGAATGCGTCGTGCGGTGGGGCCGCGCAAGCTTCCCAGTCGAGGGCTTGCAAGATGTGAAGTTCCATTTGCTGGAACTGAGGTCTTGAGTACTGGTGGCAGCACAAGCTCTGTAGGGCACGCAGCGACGGCACACGAGGCTTTTTGTCGGTGAATTTGGACGCGAGCCACAGTGCGCAAAGAGCGACAAGCTGATAGGTGGCGCTTTTCACCACAATGCGAGCGCAGTAGCGGTCCAAGATGTTGAAGCACAGAAACAGCGTGGACGACGAAAGCGCGAGTCTCGTGTGGCAGCACATCACGAAATCGAATATCAGCGAACGCATGTGCACGTTGATCTCGGGTTGCGCTTGAAACGCGGTAAAACTGGCGCGTGACAGATGCTCACGTGCCACCAGATGCTTCAAAACGTCAACGCCGTACTCGTGACACGTCGACTGGTGTGCCACGAGCTCCATGCGAACCAGCCGCGGGTGTGAGGCCTTTGTGGCCCACACGGCGCGGCGTACGGCACCCATGGCCGAGTTGGATATCATGTGGGGGGTGTAGAGATGTGGATATAATGCAATTAACGGAGAAACCCGGGGCTCAATGCTCGAGACTAAAGGACCGGAACCGTGCTGTCGGGACCACGTGACTTTTTTTTTTCTCGGCGGCGCCAAAGAGCCAGGGGAAAGGAGACGAAAGGGCGACGCGTCTGAAACCCAGAAGACGCGAAACAATCAAACGCGAGAGATGGAACCAGCGTCTCTCTCCTGATGGTTCTTGCCAGTGCTTCCAGCGAGTCTCGAGGAAACCGGCGTGTGGACACAAAGACTTATTCTCGAGGAAAAAAGGAGATCCGCTTGCCGCGTTAGCTCGAAAACTAGTTTCCGTGCAGCCGGCAAACCACACACTATGTACAACTGGCGCCAGATCCTGTCTCGCCTAAAACAGTCGCGTGCCAGACGATAACTGTGAGAGCTGATAGTCTAGAACCTGGATACTAGCTTCTAGTCCAGACCCTTACTCCGTCTGTAGCAGTTCTACTCCAATTTGTAGGCATAATATATACAGCTTTAGATATATAGGTATATATATATATATATATATATATCTTAATTAGTTGCCTAGCCGTACCGCCTGCCTACTGCGTGGCCCTTCTGGGTAAAAAACCGGGCCCAGCAAGATCTACCATGAGCTCCTTCACAGAGGCCGCGGGTACGTCCGCTGCGCGATGTTCTAGCCAAATCGCGAGCGCATGAGCCTCAGACAAGCCCGCGACAGCCAAAGCTTTTCCGGCTCAGATACCTGCGTACCTACCTACGTACATATCTGTGCCCATTCCCTAGATTCTGCCCTATTGACGGCCAGCCCTATCAAAAATTTTTTTTCGGCCCGCAGCGACGCCGCCGCAGCGAAGCTGCGGCGGCGTCCAAACCCACTAGGCCGGACGGTAGGCGGGGAGAGTGGTGGGGGAAGTCCCCCGGGCGGGATGGCGGCGCTGTTAATTTTCTCAAAAGGGTGCCGAGCGTGATCTGAGGCACCGCGGGCATCGCGGAGTTCTGGCTAGACAGACCAGGGAAACAGAAGTGGGAAGGCAGGTTGGTTTAGGGCAGACGTTTTTTACGGCGTAGACATTGCGCAAGCAAGCAACAGGCAAAAAGAACAGCACATTACGTGAGAAAATGTGATCTACCGTGATGTTAGGTGCATGTGCAAGGATGGCCGTTGTGAGGAATGGCAGACGGTAGGATTATTGAGGACGGGCGGTGAGAGAGGTGGAGACATTTCCTAGCAAGCGTTGGGGCGAGGGCGACTGAGAGCGACCGAGAGGGTGACCGACCCTGCTCGACTACGGGGTGAGGTATCGTATTGTGTAGCGTGATCATAGTCACCCTAAGATCTGTAGAGTGTAGAAGTGTGGAGGGCCCGCGGATGGAGTTGCTGTTTTTCCTTTTTGTGCCTTTTTCCTTGCGGCGGGCCCTGACTTGGCGGCAAAACGGGTGTGTTTGATCCAGCAAATGGGAAAGTTACACGGGTGTCTGGGTTTACTCGCGCCGATAGGCCACAGGCATCGGTTGCCTTGGCAACCGGTCCCATTCATGCAACTCGCAAAGCGGGGGACACATTTTCCGTCGAGGAATGGAGCGGTGAGAGAGCGTATTAATCTTAGACCCATTTGCAGGGTGACCCTTCTCTGTTTGCTCGGAGACAGGTAACTGCTGTTGCTGCCATTTCTGCTGGCACCGCTGTGCGCTGGGCCGCTGTGGTTCTTTTAGGAGGTTCTAGTCCCTACTGACGGGCTTGGCATTGTTGCGCCGGGGCCAAGCGGAGACTTTCGGCAGAGAAAAAGAAACGGGTACGGCGGCGCGGTCATGTGCGCGAAAAACGCTCGATCAGAGGACTAGTGCGCTGGTATGTGCCTGTGTGAGATTACGTAAGGGTTGCGTTCCCGAGCACTAGAGATAAGGTCCACCGCTCGGGTGCGCAGGTGGCCGTTGGGTCGCGGTGGACGGAGCAAGGCCAAACGGAAGAAAGCCAGGTTCTATCGGCCAGTGCTGCGCATATTGCGTATGTTGAGCTCACTGACATGCAGGCGGTGAGGTGATGCTATTAAGAATCAAGGTAGTGTCTTTGTTTTTGTTTTTTTCTTCTTCTTGCGCAGCGAGCGGTGCCGACGAGTGTGCTATGTGCTATGTCTAAGTGCGGTCGACGTGTACCGTCTGTGGGCCCATGTGATGGAGCCTACTGCGCAGAACAAGTAGGTTACAACAGTGACGCCGCGCACTGGCCGATGTCGCAGACGGGGCGGCGCCCCATTGCGGGTGGTTCCTTGACATCAGAGAAACAGTTTCCGAAAAGGACGGGCACGTGACCGCGGTGTACAGCAGGGCAACTGCAAGCGTGAACAGCCGAGGCAGTCGGAATCGGCGCTCGTGCCACCACGTGACCGAGTCCACTCGAGAACCACGTCGGCCAAGGTACGACAGCCCGGAGCCTTGGGCCGCGTGTGCCACGAGGGCCTCGTGGCGGTACGTTTCCCACTCGCTCAAAAGCTGGTTTTCGGGCCGCGCGGCCTTTGCCGCGGGAGCCTGGCCGCTTTCTGGCGCGGCAGCGTGGCGTCCGGCGTGCGCTTCCTTCGCAGCGCATGCTTCGAAGTAGGTTCCCAGAAGCTGGGTGGTGCACAGCTCGAAGTTGACACTTTCCCAGCTGGCGTACGGGTCCAAAGCTGCGGCGATTTGCTGGAGTGGGTGTGATTCGTCACGTGACTTTGCGTCGTCAGACAGGAAGACAACGCTGGGTTTCGGCTCGAGCACAGGCGTGGTACCGTCCTGGAGCTGACCGTTGACAAAGCTTTTCAGCAGCCACAGAGTCTCCGCAGAAAGATCAAGGGAGTCCTGAACATCCCTTGCATGAGCGTTTGAGCTCAAGTCAAGAGACTTGGCCCACCCGAGAAATCTGTCGTGACACTCCAGAAATGTTGCCGTCCTGCTGTGAATATTCTCGCCTAGCGTGGTAGGGAGTCCGAATTTTGACAGAGACGTCTGCAGCTGTGAGTCTCTGCCTATTGCGTTTTCGAATTGCATGACTTTGAAAATGCTGTTGAGAAACTGAGCGTTGTTCAACAGTTCTTGAGCGGAAGCCAAAGATGACTGCCTAGTAGCAGGCGCACTTGGCGAGTATAAAAGGTGGATTTGGCCCAAGTAGGTGCAGCCAGAGGTCTCCGGAATGTCGTTTAGCTTTGACACCAGCAATTGTGCTGTCCCGTCCTCAAAACAAGCCGAATTGGCCGTCACTGTCGCAATTTTGTTCAAAATCCCGTATTTTTGCAACCGCTGTCGCACCTGCTGCCAGAGGTCTCCCTCGCTCGAGACTTCACGAACGTCAATGAGGTCCAAGAGATGCAAATTTTCAGCTTCCATATAGTTATTCAATAGGATTTCGGGCCTGGAGTCCTTGTCGTCACTTAGAAGATTGGGAGCAAAAGATATCGCCAAAGCCAGGTAGGAAGCTTCTTTCTGGTTCACGCTCACGGAGCTTACCTGCAAGTTCACGAAGTCTGTTAGGTCCAGAATTCCACTTAAAGCATCGTCAAATCTCTTAAGATACCGATTGACTTGCTCTGAGGCCTTAGATTGAGTCTCTACAAGCGATGTCTCAGCAGAGATCCCACTAATCAACTTCCAGGCGGCGCAGTCCACAAGAGCAAAGGGCGCCAAAGATTCCGCAAAAAGACAAACAGATGCAAACGCGCCCAGATCACTTTTCAGTTCTGCACAAAGTTTGCTCGGTATGGCCAAAGACCGTCCCTTGTGGCAGAGCAACTCTAAGACGCGATCTTTTGTAAATGACTTTTCGAGCGATTTAAACTCTGCCAAGTGGTTATTCGTGATGTGTTTCGAAAGATTTCCTGTCGACTCGCCTTCTTTGTAGACTTTCCCGCAATATATGCAAGTCGCAATTTTGACGTTTCCTGCCAGGCCAATGTTGAAGTGAGGCTTGAACTTCGAGCGGTTCATCCACCCATTTGTTGATCCCTGTATAACGTGTTGATCTCTTGGATTCTGAATCGCAGGCTCTGCCTGAGCCCCGCCCAAGTCCCCTCGCTTACTATTTTTGCCTCGTTTTTCAGTCTCTGACGACACTAACCTAACCAAGGTTTGCTCCATATTAGAGACTTTCGGCTCCCAAATTTCTTCAGAATAGTTGAGATTGTCATCTCCACTAGTCATTTCACTCATAATCTACTTCGTAGTCTCACGTTGAGAGTCGTCAAGATTGTTTCGTCGCGCTTGTTAAAACATCCTAAACTCATCTCAAACTCATTTAAAACTGGATTTGCAGAATGAGTAAAAAAATGAGTATTCCTCATTCACGTGATTGTCAGGTGATTATTCTGTCTACATCATGAAGATGATGGACCTACCATCGAGACTGAAAAATTTGGCCAATTGAGAGGTTATAACAGAGGTTTTTTGAATAAGCCAGGCTACCAAATGCTATCCAAAGGCCTCAAAATCTATCCGAATAGGGTAGCGCTCCTGAGACTACAGTCGACTAGCGTCACTGGGGTCAAAAATGCGAGTCCTATTGCTCAATTAAATTATGTGCTTTCTGAAGAATTGTCTGATCAAGTAGGATCGAGAAAAATATTCGATAGCTTTAAAGCGGGCATGTTTGATTTTGATAAAAATAATGGGAAATCAGGATTCACTTTGCAGCGTTCTTTCGGTCTGAACACGGTGCTCGGACAATTGCTGGAGAGATCGAAAGCCGATCTGAAGACCAACATCTCGACTTCTGTTCCAACTCCTCCGGAACCTTATGAAATTCTAATTTTTATGTGCGACTATGGCCTTGCGCGGGATTCGCACTTCAGAATTGTTTTCGAGCATTTGGTCGCAACCAAATCGCCCGAGGACGTGCTTGGCTTTTGGGTCAAGTACCTAGAAACGATCGCTGAAAACCCCAGGACCATCACATATGGGAGTTATCATTCGAAAAACATAGTTTTGGCCTCCATTGGGTATTTACTCCTTGCAGGAGACGAGCCGTCCTGTTCTGTGCTCACTCAGGTTCTAAGGTTTGATGCTGAAAAGGAACAAATCCCATTTACCAAAATAAGATCTAAAATAACGAGACTTCCATTGAGCGCATCTGCGAAAAAAAAGGCGTTGAAGAATTTAGATGTGTGTTGGTTTCAATTCTTACAATCTGACAAGTCTGCGTTTATCCGGACTATCGATGAATTGACACATGCCCGTGACCTTAACGAACTTTTCGAACTATACTCTAGCATTACTGGACAGCAAAAACAGTCTTTAGATTGCTCCATTGTCGCGAAATTTATGGACAGATTTGTAAGCTTGGGAAAGCCTCAGCAAGCGATCAACTGCTATAATAAGGCGAAAGCTGATGATTCCTTAGACCTTTCTATCAAGAACTCTCTTCTGTTGGCCGTCTCTGCAATGCCAGCCTTTGGCCGTCAGGCCCGCGAAGAAAAACTGAAGAGGGTTGAAGCGGTCTGGAATTCTTTGATCAAAACACACCAAGAGACTACCGATCTTACGTCTTACGTCGCTTTAATTAAGGCCTTGCACAGAATTAATGGTTTTGACGAGATCAAGCATTTCTGGAATCGCGAAATCCCCAATTCGTTGAAAAAAGAGCCAGAATTATTGCAGGAGTACTTGCTGACGCAGTTTCGAAGACAAAACTTCAAGCTTAGCGAGGTAGAAGGCTTTTTGCCTGAAATAATAACCTCCTTGGATCTTGCCAATGCCGTTTTATCAAAAATGATTGAGGAAAGGTACGGAGACTCCGCTATCAGCAGTTTTTACAAAAAGCAGCTGACGGACTCTAAGTTCCTCAAGCCCAATGCTACCACGTTTGCCATCAAAATGTTTCAAAACTATCTAAATTCCCAAAACCCAGACTTCAGCTTTTTGAAAAGCATATCAAAAAGTAAAAAAGACGTTGCATCGACTAATGCTATCTTTCAAGAGTTTGTGAATGTTTGCCCTGATATGAAGGCGATAAACAAGCTCTTTGATGAAATCAGAGAGCCTTTCGACTCCAGGAATTATGGGATAATGATTAAGGCCTTGTTTGCCGAAGGCAATGCAACAGAGGCTGAAAAAATTTTTAAAGACTTCGCTACTGGTACACCATCCTTGAATGCGATCAATAGATTTGTTCTTGACCCCATTGTAATATCCTTTTGTGAACTTTGTATCAAGGAGGGAACAGCGGGATATTTGAGCAAAGTTCTTCTCTACGCCGATGTTGCCAAACGGGCACAAAGGCAACTCACTTTCAGCGCCGCGTCCAAAATTACACACATGGCGGCTCTACTTGCAAAGTCAAAAGATAAAGTCATGTCACAGTCCGACAAGGATAATCTCCATGATCTTCTAAGAATAGTCTCTGAGATTCCGGATTATACTCCCTCGCCTCGAGACATGAAAGTTTTGAAGTCACAAAAGGAGATAACTTTGCCAGCGTCATTTCAGTAAACTCTGCCCCATAGACCATAATGACAAACTTGTAAATAGACGACACAAACTAAAGAGAATAATTTAGTAAACAAAACAAGCAAGTTCTAAATCCATAACATATAACGCGTCTATTTATCGCGTGGTCCTAAGTATTCATCCAGTATAGGTTTCGTCCAATGCTCAAATCTATCCTTCGCACTTGAAAAACTGTCTAATGCTGGACGTACATCCAGGTTGAAAGTCGGCAACCCATCTTCATCGTCAGCTCCACCGTAAAAGTCGATAATATAACGAACTTTCTTGAATCCGGGATTCTCTGTATCAAGAGAAGAGGGGTCTGGCCTTAAAACAACCCAATCGTGTCTATCGAATGGCAAATCGCGTGAAAAATGTGATGGAAAAACGTAACTGAGTAAGTGGAACCAGCGCGCACGTGGTGAGAGTTCCGTAGGTCTGCCCATGAATTTGAGAAGTTTTGGTTCCATTTGTGAACTTTCGGTGTATTTCGACTCCCATTCAAGCACCTGCTGCCAACAGCCCTCGTTCAAGAAATTGTGAACGAAAACCATCGATTCAACAGCATCTTCCGGGATTTCCTCGCCCGTGTTAGGATCAATCTTTCCCTTTCTCACCATGGCGTTGTACATCTGTTGCGGTGAAGGATATTCCCAGAACTGCTCATTTTTGCGATCACCCTTTGGAATGGTACTGGTCGTACGCTCTGTGGGTAGATCCAAGCGCTGTCCAGTCTGTTTGCCCCTCGAGAGCGAAAAAGGAATGTTATTGAGCGGATTGATCCTATCGTCATAAGATCCAGAACTTGGCGCACGCATAACTGGACATGCACTCTCAGTCTCAGAGTCTGGCTGTCCTGAAGACACAGGGCAGCTTGAGCTTGAAGCTGAAGGCTTTAGGCAAGTCTATTCTCCGTTAGTAACAAAACTTTTCTGGGACCGACCATTCCACAGATTTTCGTCGAGGAAACTTTAGTCAAAGACTAATTCTCGTCTTAAAACCTTTGACATACCTGAACCTGACTTTTTTCAGCCCAAAACCATCCCATGGTTGCGACTTATCTTGTTTTTTTATTCTTCGTGATTCATTAACTCATTTTCCAAGACTTCTCATATCGGTTTCTTGATGAGATGAGCTTCGTCAAAAGAAATATCGAAGCTCATCAAAACTGTCTAAAACCAAATCGTTCTAAGGACACCGAAAACAGGTCAGAAATGATGTTTTGAGTTGTTAAATGGAGCCAATTTGAAGCTAGAAATATGCTTTTTCATTGTGATCCATATTGCTATTTATATCGTTCCAACTCCGAGAAGATTTAAAAACCAGACACCTGTTCGACACTTGTTCAACACTTTCCGGCTATAATCTTACATGAAAATGAGCGGCCTTCGAGACATTTTGGTAAATAGAAGCATTCCATATTTGGATGGCTTATGGTTGAAGGGGTGTGATTTATGTGTTTGTTGTACATGAGACAAATGCGCTAATGTGGTGGACCTACGGGAGTGGTACAAGTTTCTTCAAGATCGCTCTCAAGGGGGTTTATCGGCCCTGAAAGACACATGTGCTCGACTGCATAGATGTTTCCTGAATTGCCAGTAGATGAGGGCGATGTGCCCCATTCAAAATACAGTCTTAATATCACCGAACAAATAATGACGCCAACATCACGTGAATTTCTAATGAAGCAAATTGGCGTTTCCCTGTATTCCTAGTGTGGATACTTCTCGGTTCGCAAGTAATTCATGTTTTTTTGGGAACCCAGCAATGAATCCAAGATTTAAACGTTTTGGCTCGTCTGCGTTTCACCCATGAGCTGATAGAGTCATGATCGAAAAAAGTCAAGTCTTCTGGACTTTGGAGAACCTTGATTGATAGGTCAAAGCTTAGTAGTCTTTCTAATCTCGTTTTTTTAGAGACAACAACTATCTTTGGATATTTCTTCATAGCGTCACATTCAAGTCGAATGCGTGGAATTATGGACCCAAGCTTGATTATTTTAGGGCAGCTTGATCGTTCTGGCGCAGCTTAACCGAGAAAATCACCACAAGCAAAAACATCATTTTCTTTTGAATTTCCTAATTTCTCAAACGTCGCCATATTTTCATAAATAAGCACTTGAGATGAATTTGAGTTTTAATTTGTCGGCACAATTGTACTAGGGGCCGTCAGTTCAGGTCTTGCAGAGCCCTACCACTGTTCTGTACCTCAACTTAATGGTTAAATTGACAAAGATAACGACTGTCAGAGCCGCAAACTGCGTTCTACCTGCCTTCGTTGCATGAAAATAAAATCTCGGAGATTGTTAGAAGGTAGCAGTCCTTTGAAGTGGAATTGACGTTGAAACCGACGTCTTGTCGCTCGTATGAGGGGGGTATCACGAGAAATCCGTGAATGATGATGTCATCGCAACTGCCGCTTCCTCCTTTCGAGAACCTAGACTAAGCTAAGACAGTACTATTTGAACACCATTTTATTAAACCTTAGAATTAAGTATTTGGCCACTTCGAATGGATGTCGCGGGTATTGAGCAGCACTTGAAAACAATTCAGCATGGAGTACAGGATTTGGAAGATGTTGATGCGATAGTCGCGAGCATTGATGAATTTCAGCAGGATCCGTTAGTTCTTGACCTCATTCTCCCTCAAACGATCAAGCAACTCACAGATGCGTATTTTGAGAAGGATCTTAGTGATCAGAAGCAAACTTGTCTCATTTTCTACACATTTTCCAAGGTCTGTGGAATCAAAAAATTGATGCGATGTCTCGATGCAGACCTGCGCCAATTAGATGCTCTTCGAACGGTACTCGGGAGCATCGATGCTACTCAAGAGTGGCAGCAAGGATTTTTTTTGCTCACGTGGATGGCTCTCATTCTGATGTCTCCGGTCAAACTCGACGACGATCTGATCATCCTGGAGGAAACTAATGCTTTCAAAAGTTCGCAATTTCTTCGGGTACCGCTTGTGCGTGTTAAAGCTGAACTGTTTTTGAAAAATAGATCGCTTTTTGACTTACATGTCAAGAAACATGGTCTAGATCATTTGACCATTCATTATGTCTTACAGGCATTGAAAAAACGGAATGACCATCAGGCAGCAACTTACTTCGATAATGAAACGCTAACGGACATTACGCAATTTTCTTTGGAAGCTTTTGAAGAAGTAGGGCTGGATGAGAAGAAAATGATTCTAAAGTCCTTACCAAAACTTTGTAAAATTTGGTTCCATAAAGATTGCTTTGATGAAGTCGAATCTATATTGACATGGTTCTTATCAAATCTAACCCTTTCATCAAGTGACCTTAGATTTACTGTGGCCAATGCTTGCTCAAAAGTGATTTCGCAACTTCATATATTTGCTCGAGAATCAAGTGATAATCTTATCAACGAAATGGTATCAGACGTTGATAATCAGGTGCGTAGCAACGACTCTGAGTTTATTGACCATGATTACTTGCACACCAATCTTCTAGTGTTTGCCGAATTGGCCCGGTTGAATATAATACCTGCAGATAATATTGGTACAATTGTGGAGAGTATTGTTCCAGTAACAATGAAATTTCAGCAATTAAAGATTGGTAGAGTTGTTGGCCATCAAATTAGAGATGCTACAAGCTATATCAGTTGGTCATTGATCCGCAAGTGCAAAATTGAAAACCATTCGCAGTCACTTCTCTTGCAGCTGCTGATATGCACCTTTGTTGATAAAGAGCTCGTTATCCGGTTATCTTCAAACGCGGCACTTCAAGAGCTTTTCGGTCGCTACGGACAACATGTGATCGACTCTGTATCTGCCGTTGAAATTATTGAAATGCCAGTTGAGAATATTCGAGTGTGCATTCTAAAGAACATTCCGCGCCTCTTTAGCATCTTTGAAATCAATTTCTCAAGTTTGAATGACTCTATTCTGAGCCATTTATATACTGAAGTCGTTGCTAAGAGTAATGAGCTCATTGTAGTGGAGCTCACTATCAAAATGATGAGCGAGCTGGCTGGCGACGCATTAAGAGGAACCGTTAAAAGAATACTTATCAATGCAGCAAAAGATTTTTCCGTCTCTAAGCTTAGGGTCCTAAATTCACGGTTATGTTATGGCTTCCTTTTGCTTTCAATCGAAAGCATCTCTTTCTTTGAGGTTCCAATCGTTAAAGCTCAATGCTTTAATATCTTTAAGGAAATTGTCCTCCCAAAGCTAAAGTCGAGTAGCAGTTGGTCACCATTGGAAGGTGTTTCCTTTCTGAAATTTTGCGATCTTATGTCAAAAACGAGCGATCCAGATTGCCAGCTTAAGAAATTTCATATCGCCTTACTGTTCAAAATTTTAAGATTCAGATGGCGACAGGGACCTTTTCATTCTCAAGCGCGGAGCTTGTGTCTGGCGATTATTGCACGTATAGTCTCTTCAGAAAAAGACATGGATATCAGTGCGAAACAAGAATTTGACTTGCTGTTCAGAAAATTCACAGAGAATAGTGATCCTATCTGCTGTGCCGCACTTGTATCCTTATCGCCCGATAAATTTCTAGATCGCTTTCGGAATTTGTGTCCCACGATATCTTGTGGAGCGAAAGCCGAGGTTCTGTTGGCCTTATCGTCTCACATTTCGAAGGTTCCAGTGCAAGATCGCGGGCCATTGATCATCATGGTTAGCGACTTCATGAATGATTACACAACGACAGAAAAAGGAGATGAGGGACGTTTGGTTCGAACAAGTGCTGTTGACCTAGTATCCAAAAATATAGCCTTGGTTTTCGGCCATGATCCCATGGTGACAAGAAATTTAGAAAGCAGGCTGATGCGGTTAGCTGGGGAGCCCGCAACAAATTTGAGGGTACTGAGTCTATCAATCCTTTCAAACGCACACGTTTATCTACCGGATTGCTTGCATGGGAACCACGACTTGCAGTTACTCCTGTTTAATGATAGAATATTTGAGCAGGTACCGAATGAAATGTGGAAAGGCTTTGCCTTGAGTGCTGGCGCTTCTTTTTCGAGCGATAACCAAATTCGGTCTGCCATTGATGCCTTTTTGAAGTATTATGAATCCTTACCCGATAGCAACAAACTCGAAGTTTGCAACGAGCTAACTCGGATAATCCCAAGCTATAATGAATTGAGGGCTTACAGCGCACGCGGAACTGCGGCAAATCATTGGAGTTGTTCTTCTAGAGACCCTTTAAAAGAAGCGTTAGCGGGCCTGACTTTCTGGAGACGTCTTATGGAATCAGGCATTGTCATGCCACCCCTTTTCAATTTAGAGGGCATGTACGCTAAATTTTATAACCTACACCTCGTCCCGGGCCAAACTCGCCTAAAAACGGCAGTCGTGAGAATTCTTCCTCTTCTTGTTTGTTGCTATAGGGGCTTCACTATCTCCCCACAAGATCCGTTTGTGAAAGATGCAACTCAAAAGCTTTGGAAAATGGCTAATCGAAATCCACATGGAAAGTTGTCATCAGGATGTCTTCAAAGAGCCGCGGTCGAGGGTTTGCTTTTGATTTTCCTACAACTTAATATGATCTTCGAAGCGGAATGCGTTCAGAAGTATTGGGATTCAGATCAACATCCTTTAATCGAGCTGAAGGACCTAATAGCGTCAAAGTGATCCGAGCGATTCCTTCTCTAAGATCTCAAATGTCTCTCTTAATCGCTTGGCAACCTCTATATCGGCTGAGAGATTGTAGTCTTTCGAAATTGTCGCTTCGTGGGGCGTTTCTTTTAATTGAATCACGCTTTCAAAGTTGAGCTCAGAAACGCGCAAGACACCAAACAATGAGCTGAGGCGTTCCTCATCAAATGGATTTCCGGAAGTCGTTGAAATTCCCAAATTCAGATTTTCCAGGATCTTGGAGAGAAGGGGATAATATTGGGTTCTTTCAAATCAACTGCCAATCTTTCATGGATTATCCCGTTTAAATCGGGGTGAAATGCCCAAACCCACTTTTTAGATACCTCGTCAACTTTCAAAATATCTTTCTGGAACTTCATCAAGTAATGGAAAAAGTAGAAATAAAAAAGCCTGTAATTAGTTCCAGATAAGCATGTGCGCATGAAAAGACAATAATCTTTCTGGTTCAAATCGAAGAGGGGAAGTCCTTTTTCTTTGCTCAGTTTCGGGTACGTTTCAGTGAAAAACCGAAAACTTTCGTAACCAGAGATTGTGGACGACGTGGACTTGGACAGGCAATGCAAAATGGCTCGGAAGCCACTTCTACTTTCTCCTGAGTTCAATTTCAAAGTGTTGATGAAGATATTAGCGTATCCACTCCTACACATAAGGGAGTGCAACAACAAAGACAAAAACCCCAATCCCTTAGAGGACGCAACATGATTTAAAATGAGTAATAAATGAAATTCTTTTAGGGAATTTCGGCAGGCATCGGAAGGTTGTGTTTGGTCAATATATTTGCGCCATTCAGAAACTGACATATTTCTGTCACTGAGTTTATTAAGCAGAAAATCGAATGCGTAGAAGTTCTTGTAAAAATCGAAGTGGCTTTTTTCGAGCAAAGAAATGTAGTCTTTTAAATTCAAATCTTCTTGAAAAGCTTTCCAGGAAACTGGGAATGTGAATGAGTTTCTCGCTTTATTGAGCACTAGCGTCAGTTTGAACATTCCATATTTCTTAGCCATAACTCTGACCCGATTCAAGTTGCGCCAGACTCTTCCACACTGGTGATCTATTCCGAACTGCAGAACATCACAGGCCTGCTCTTCTGCGCTATATTTTATGAACTCGCAGGCACATTTGTAAAGAAGGTCACTGAAGATCTTGGGATCAATGAATTTGGCCGAGTAAATTCTTCTCTGTAAATGCGCCTCTAAGTGAAATACTTGATTGGTTTGAAGATAAAATGCTAGCATTCCATAATTCTCTAGCTCTTCATCTGAAACTAGCTTGAGGGCTGATCGGACATAATAATGCGAGCCAGACTGAATAATCAAATCGATGCAATTTTTTAGGAAAATCCTATCGGGTTGCAATTCTCTGCTCTTCGTTGTTTGCAAATAGGCATCTAGCTGCGAAAGAGTGAACTTCGACAAAATCATGCGGTCTGAAACGGAACTGGTCTGTCTGGCAACGTCATGTAACATGTATGCAATTTCATTGTAAAGTTCGAGGGGAGTTCGTGAATCCGCAAAATGATATGAAGGTGAGTCCCATTCTATGTCGCTAGACCCCAAGCGGTTCAATAGAGCAAAAAACGGGGTTTTATCATTCATGACCCTCAGCCGCCTCAGTGTTTTGACAATACGCTCGACAGAAAGTAATATTTTTGTGTTCATTGGATTCTGTTGCAGTCTGGATCTTCTAGCAATCCCGAGCCCTTCACTTTTGGGAGAGATAGCCTCTGATAACCAAACATCGCTTAGCGTATAATAGTTAGGTCTCAATTCCTCCAAAAAACATTCGTTTACTTTGAGCATCAGCTTTTCACCACCTAGAGTCCTCGCCGCCAAATCTTGAATAGCATATCTCGGCTTAGACAATGTCAACCGAAGCATCTGTCTTGATCTCTCATTCGACTACAGGTTACTTTTGATGAAGCCCTCTTGGTATTCTTGTATGAGCCACGTGATTCTGTAATCCTCACCCACATCACATATAAGTTAGTCATTGTCAGTGACAAACAATAAGCAAAAGTGATATTTGAAATCAGGACACTCGCCGAATCCGATGCCTCGACTGATATCAAAGAATTATGTGCGTCTTGATAGCAAATTTAACTTTGAATTAGGTAGCACTAGTTCTCAACTTTTTCGCTTCCTCTAAATCCAGTTGATGCGGATTAAAATTTTTGGGCACCCTTCTCTTCTCATGGAGTTCTTTGGCCTCGAAAGGATGTTTCACGTCACGCAGAATCCGCTGATGATACAGAATTCTCAGCTGCGCTTTATGCTTTTGTAGCCACGAATGCTGAAGCGCGGCACTACTATTTGGCCGCTTGGAGGCATTTACTTGCAAAAGTTTGCGGACAAATCCTTTAGCCGAATCCGATACATGGCGCCACGGTTCAATTTCGAAGTTCAGGTGCCCATTTTTTGCATTTCGAATAATTGAACCTTCGGAACCGTCGCTGTAGAATGGTGATATACCAGTTAAAATAATGTGTGTGATGACTCCTAGAGACCAAATGTCGCATTTTGCATCATAACCCTGATACTCTAATGTTGCGACACGCGTAAATTCTCGGTAAATGAGTCTGTCGGCTCTAAATCCTACTTCTGGTGCACAGTATTCGGGCGTTCCAACAACAGTATGCATTCTCGAGCGCGAAGAGGAAATGTTTCGAGCAATACCGAAATCTGCCAGCACGATTCTTGTACAGGGCTCAGGAACACATAGTAAAATATTGTCCAGCTTCAAGTCCCTGTGCACAACTCCTTCCGAGTGCAAATATATGAGGGCCTTGATGATTTGATAAACGATGACTAATGCTTCTGTCTCAGATACCGGCATAAGGCGGTCTTCTTTGGCCAAATATGAGAACAGGTCTCCTCCTGGCACCAAGTCCTGGATGAGATAGAGTTTTTGATCTGGCCCAAGGAAAGTGCTGTGCACTCTAATAATATTGGGCTAACGAAAAGACATGTTAGTACTATTTGTCAAGCGAGCTGGCGGTATTGATAAGTAGGGGTGTTTTCATTTTTTCGTACATGTCTCAGTTGCAACAAAATTTGGGCCTCTTTGTCGACCCGGTCGGGTTTCAGTTTAATTACTTTCGTAGCGTAATCCAAAGGCCGTGTTGTTTTTGATCTTGTTTTCGTCTTTGACTGTTCCTTCGTCTTCACTGCAACCAATACGTGACCGAAAGTGCCGCTTCCTATAACTCTTGGAGTTATAGTCCATTTGTCGATATTTTGCTGAACTCCTAGTTGTTGTAAAAGATCCTTGGTTATGAGCTTCGACTTCGCGTAAAATCGAAACGTCGAAACCGCCGGAATCGTCACAATGTCACCGTCCTCCAGCAAACACGTCTGATCACGCTGCAAAGGTTGTTCATTGAGCAAAATACCATTTAATGAACAATCTTTCACATAGCACATGGGAATGCTATCTTCATCGAATTTAATGCCCCAAAAGGTACAGTGGATACTCGATACACAGGCCTTGTTCAATACAATATCACACTGTCTCTCATTCCGACCAATTTTCAAAATTTTGTTTCGTATTATAGGGATAGCGGCTAAATCGCACCGCCCCTCCTTAATCAAAGCGCCCCCATTCTCGTCGATTTCTTCAACAAAACCAAGCTCATTCATTGTATTGAAAGCTGTGTTAGACTTAATTGCCATCCCTCAAATCGCGGTACCCTCTCTCTGCCTGTCTCTTTATATGTCTGTTTGTTATGTTGTTGTTAAAGTGATGATTTTCGATTTCGATCACCCGTCTTATATTTATTATACCCCAAACCGTCAAGATGAACAAACATCGAACTTTGTGGTTTTAAAAGAGAATGAACACACCAGAGACTCCAGAGCATACTGGAGCCAATCAGGAGCTTAGCATCGACGATGTTGGACAATTGGACGATCAAGATTTGCTAGATGTCGACTTGGACGCCAGTCAAGGCTACTTAAACGAACCATCTGGTAATGCCAAGAGAGCAGTTCAAGATGAGCAAAATAGTAAATTAGTGTATGATGACAGAGATGACTTTCTTCCCAGGGTGAATATAAGTTCACCGTTTTCGTCGCAAGTGAATGTACAAAGAGCTTATGGGGAAACTAGGGAACCTGTGAGACAAACTCGAAGACTTTCGTCGTCACAACAGTCAAAATTCATTGCATATTGCGACGACAAACTAATGGAAATTCAAAGAAAATTCGTACAATCGCGCGGTTTAACAGACGGGAATGGGTATAGTGGTTTAGGGCCCCTTTTGGAGGATTTGAAAAGCGTGTTGGATTTTGTTTGGTTTTCTGTCGATGGGAGGGGCCATACCGAAACGCTGATAGAACAAAAATTGGAAAATATGTCACCAGAACAATTTCAAGATTCGAATTCGACGGATTTCGGGCAGAAGTATTACATTCTGCGCGTGGCAGACGATTTGTTGGACTATTTGGTGAAATTTGAGCTGGCAAATTTGAGCCCAGATGAGCAACATAGTACGCTTTCGAAAGTTTTCAAATTTCTAGTGATTCTTGACAAGATGCTAGCGAGGCTACTGGAAGGGCTGGTTCCAGGCCGGAAAAAAGTCACGGGCACAGAGATGGTCCGCATATCGGGTATTGCAGAGCGCACGAGGGTCGCGGTGCCCTTATTTTTGGGACAGCAGGGTATTCATGGATACCATTTCGAAGTGAGTAGAATTTATGAAGAGACACTGGAAAGGTGTATGTAGGTTGAAAATGCGAGTTTAGGTAAAGTAAATTACTGTGAAAACAGTGATGGAAAGAGCCCCCAGCGTGAATCAGTAGTTATCGAACGGATTTGTGGAATGTGTGGTGACGAGCGACGGTGTGGACAACGGTGTCACTAGAACAGATGCATGGGGTTCTTCCTGTGTCGATTGATAGTGGAAACTGGCAGGTTTACTGTTCTGCGGCTCGTGGCCCATTTGGTTGGATTGCTGTTGCGCTTGTTGTGGCAAAGGAGTATGCTGTAACGATTGCTGCTGTTGTGGTAGTGGTGGTGGTGGCTGTTGAGTCTGAACAGCTTGAGTGGTCTGCGAGGGTTGCTGTGACTGGGAAACAGTTCTGTATGAGCTAAGCTCTAGAATGACGGTTACGTCCTTGGTTATCTTGGCAAGCGATGCTAAATTAGGTCTAACTTCGCTTAATATAGGTAGATCCTTCATGATAATTTTTGTATTGGCCAAAATTGATATAATTGATTTCAGAAATGCATTTATATCTTCCCAAGTCTTCCTTTTCTCGAGCACACTGGAAAAGACATCATCCCCACTTCGGCTTATATCCATTAGGCGCTCTTTCAACGTTTTAGAGAGTTCCATCGATTGAAAGCATGTGTCAGTCAAATCTTTTATTTTTGCAGCGACTAGACTGGTAATGTTAGACAATTCACCACTCTTAGTGCTTGCAATGGCGCTTTTAGTTATAGCTGCCGTTAATTGGGAGTATACCACATTGACCATGCCTATAACGGTGCCTAAAGTTTGGTAAAGTTGCTTATCAACGTCAGGATCTGGCACTTGAGATTCCTCTGTGGCATTAGCTGCGCTGTCGGCTTGCGACATAGCGTTTGGTGGGGCGCTGGGCGCTGATGCTCCTGTGAACGCATGTATCTCGGGCGCTCTTCTGGCGAGGCGCGGCGAGTTTTGGTGAGTGTCTACTTTTTGACGAGGAGAACCATCTCCAACCCGCGCTTCGACCATAGATATATTCTGGGCTGGTGGAGGTGTCGAACTAACAGACGCAGGGTTTGAATATGATGCAGAGGGGGATGCAGGGCGTGTGTTTGATTGACTCGCCGAATTCTGTGACCTTTGAATGGTATTACTTCTAGTGCGGGCCAAACCATGCTTGAAAGGAAGAACTACGTTCTGACTTTTGATGCTTCTTTTCTTTCTATTGGAAAAAGCTTCGGCTGGGGCCAATTGATTCCAGGTGTTGTACATTTCGGAATAACAGCAAAGGAGATTCATATAAAACACTCTCACAAAACTGATATCATTCTCCCGGAAAAACGAGTCGTAATTCTTACGCAAAATACTGAAGATTTGTTTAAAGACGGGCACAATTGTCAGACATAGCTTGATCATAACCGCGTTATTAGCCGTTGTGGGCGAATCGCTCTGCTCCAAAATTTCGACTAAATTGTCGATATGAGATCTCACACTGTAAAGAAGAGATATGCATTGGATAGCGACGGCTTTTTCCTCGCAGAAAGAGGTTATTTTGCGAATATTCTGTTGGCATTCGGTGAAACTGAAAAGGAGTTTGCGACAAGCCACCACAATCTCGTCATGCGTAACCCGTTGTGAATTTGTTTCCTCGGGCAGTACTGAAAGTCGCTTAAAATAATCGTTGTACCGCGAATGGTTGTAAAGTTCATCTTGCTGACGCTCACCTTCCGAAACGTTTATAAAGCCCATCCGCTTGGCGGCTCTGTTCAATTTCGTCTCGAGGAAATATTTTTTCAAGGCGACACACCAGTATTCGCCAGGAGACTCGCTCCGTGACGGTGAGCTACCTTGCGTCAAGGCTTCGACCTGATCCAGCTCTTCTTGCGGTATTTGATTACCCCCAATTTCGAGAATTTTTAAATTTCGGAGGGACATCACGGCTGGGTACAGTTCGCGGAGAGAAGCCAGGTTATTGTTTTCTAGCGACAATACTTTCAAATTCTCGCACCATACTTGTGGGTATTCGTGGGGCAAATGTTCTATTGAGTTCATTGAAAGGTCCAAGATCTCGAGCTGCGGACAGTTCAACAGCGCGCTTGGGATCTCCTGTAACTTATTGTCATGCAAATCAAGATATCGTAGCTTTTTCAGCCTATCAAATCCCTGGGGTAAACTCGTTAGTGCGTTTTTCTGCAGGGACAGTCGTTCGACAGGCAAAAGAGGTTCAATAGCCTCCTGCGACAGCGATGTAATGCCCAGGTCAATCAATTTGATCGTAGGATCTCCCTGAGAAAGCTGCTTCAAAGTCAGGAAATTGAGATTGTTTCGGTCCACCAGTGGACGCGATCCGGACAAAAGCCCCCCATGACCTTCCATGTGGATGTTTAGGGGTATTTGGAGACGCAGGAGACGTTGATCTGGCAAGAATCGTCTGCTCCTGAACTGGCAGTGGAGGAAGCTAAACTGGATTATTGGTAACTATAGAGGCCCTAGATGCCACCATAGAGGGCGGGTAACCTCAATGCTGTCAAACCGGTAGCTATTTCTTTTCTTCTTTGGCTTATCTAATCTGTAGGGTCACGTGTTGATATTAAAATCACATGGTTTTGTGCTATATTCTTATTTTGAATGTAATATTAATCACTATTAACATGAATGTCTCTTTAAAGACCAGAGTCTCGGTTTACAGGAATCACATACTTTCACACAGGAATTTGTTGGGAAGTTTCGACATTTGGGATGACAAAGGGTGTTATTCTAGAGAAACTCCCAAACAGAGTGCTCCACTTTGACTAAATTCTTTCATTACATCTGTAAATTTTCTCCTTTTTATCGCATACCTCCGATATAGTTGTAGTACAATACCCTGCAGGGAGGACAAAATTACAAGCTCGATGTATTCTACCTCACTTCTAGCTGCCATTTTGCGTGTGAAGGCGTAATTCGTCACCTTGTAGCACGTGACCTTACAACAGGGCAGATGACAGTCATGTGACTGTCATCTGTTAATACCCCTACACGAGGCCTAAAAAAGAAATTAATAGAATTCCCAAGTTGTCACGTTCTACGTCATAGCACGTGACAGATAGTGCCTATGGGCTTCCATTATCTTCCTGACGTCCTGCGGCTTCCGCGGCGTCCCGCGGCGTCCTAGGAGGAAGACCACGAGAGGAATCTGACATTTTCCAATTCCACTTGAATCACCAAGAGGCCACCGCAGAAGCCGCCGGTCATAGCTAGCAGGTAAGAGATTATCGTATGCATTTTTTTCAGCCCAGAAACTGAGGCACGACGTTGGGTGATTAACGAGTGTCGTGGTCAAGAAGCCCGGTGGATTGACTACCAGCAGGCGAGCACCAGCAGTTGCCAAAAAAATTGGCAATTGTATATAAGGCGAAGCAGACATTGAGGTATATACCAACTGCTAATTAAACCTGCTTTCTCCCCACGCGCAGAAGTAACTCTGATCGTTAAAGACACATCATCAAAAATGGAATCTAGACTAGGCTGGTTGACCAACTTACAAACCGACACCGGTGCCAACTTGAGAAGAACATCCATCATTGGTACGATTGGTCCAAAGACCAACAGCCCAGAGGTTTTGGTTGCTTTGAGAAAGGCTGGTTTGAACATTGTGCGTATGAACTTCTCGCACGGTTCTTACGAATACCACCAATCTGTCATTGACAACGCCAGAAAATCCGAGGAATTGTACCCTGGTAGACCATTGGCCATCGCTTTGGACACCAAGGGTCCAGAAATTAGAACTGGTACCACCACCAACGAGGTCGACTACCCAATCCCTCCAAACCACGAAATGATCTTCACCACCGACGACAAGTACGCCAAGAGCTCCGACGACAAGATCATGTACATTGACTACAAGAACATCACCTCCGTCATCGAGAAGGGTAGAGTCATCTACGTTGATGACGGTGTTTTGTCTTTCGAAGTCTTGGAAGTTGTTGACGGTAAGACTTTGAAGGTCAAGTCCTTGAACGCTGGTAAGATCTGCTCCCACAAGGGTGTCAACTTGCCAGGTACCGACGTCGATCTACCAGCTTTGTCCGATAAGGACAAGGCTGACTTGAGATTCGGTGTCAAGAACGGTGTCCACATGGTCTTCGCTTCTTTCATCAGAACCGCTAACGATGTTCTAACCATCAGAGAAGTTTTGGGTGAGGATGGCAAGGACGTCAAGATCATTGTCAAGATTGAGAACCAACAAGGTGTCAACAACTTCGACGAGATCTTGAAGGTCACTGACGGTGTCATGGTTGCCAGAGGTGACTTGGGTATCGAAATCCCAGCCCCTCAAGTTTTCGCTGTCCAAAAGAAGTTGATTGCTAAGTGTAACCTTGCTGGTAAGCCAGTTATCTGTGCCACTCAAATGTTGGAGTCCATGACTTACAACCCAAGACCAACCAGAGCCGAAGTTTCCGATGTCGGTAACGCCGTTCTTGACGGTGCTGACTGTGTCATGTTGTCCGGTGAGACTGCCAAGGGTAACTACCCAATTAACGCTGTCAAGATGATGGCTGAGACCGCTTTGATTGCTGAACAAGCCATCCCATACATCCCAACTTACGATGACTTGAGAGACTGCACTTCTAAGCCAACCTCCACCACCGAAACCATTGCTGCTGCTGCCGTCTCTTCTGTCTTTGAGCAGAAAGCTAAGGCTATTATCGTGTTGACCACCACCGGTAGCACCCCAAGATTGGTTTCCAAGTACAAGCCAAACGTTCCAATCGTTACTGTCACCAGAAACCCAAGAACCGCCAGATTCTCTCACTTGTACAGAGGTGTGTTCCCATTCGTCTACGAAAAGGGCACTGAATCTGACTGGATCAAGGACGTCGAAAGCCGTCTGCAATTCGGTATCGAAAGCGCTAAGGAGCTAGGAATCTTGAAGAGCGGTGACACTATTGTCACCATCCAAGGTTTCGCCGCTGGTGTCGGCCACTCCAACACCTTGCGTGTCTTGACCGTTTAAACAGTTTGTTAACGACATAGTTTAACCATTATTATAACGTGTAAATTTAAATATATACAGCGGCTGACATCACCAATGGAGATGATTTATGGAAAGTCCTGTTGACTTGAGATCAACATTGTTAAACATCGAATGTGAAATTCAGAGCAGTACCCCTATTATGACAACTCTGGTTTAAAAGCGGCACGATTCTTCTTAGCATGTATTCCTCCCATTCCTGTCGTCCTGCAGCAGAGTTTGGATATGAGGAATGGTATTCGAGTCTTGACGACATGAGATTCATCATCCGGAGAATGAAATGGGTTTTCCCCGCGTCGCTAAGCTTGGTTAGGTATTTGTCAAATAGTATTAAATCCGCTGAATGGGGCCCACTGTTTATAGAGTCATCTATCCAAGACTGAACAAGACTCAGAATCTCTTTAGGACGGTCGAGCGCTTGAAATTTAATGGGCTCTGATAGGAAATTTCGGTTAATAACTTTCTCAAATTGCTTGTACTCCTTTGAAAGAACAGATTTTCTCATTGTCCTTTTCGTTTTTTTTAGGATCGCATGGTCTTGTTTTAACTCTCGCTGTATTTGAGAAGGCAAATGCACCATAAACTCATTGTCAAGTGAACTTGGAAATTCCAACTTCGGCGGAGGGTCCTGTTTCCAGTGTCTAGCCCAGAAATCCTTCACAGGTGATATTGTTACTGCCTTTTTCGGCGGTGGAGTTTCAGGTACTGAGATGTTTCTCTTGGAAAGTTCTGCTTTAATGTCAGACCTGAAATCTTTCGGCAGAGCATGGTAGGCCAGTGTATTGAGAGAACCCTTGGCTGGGTTTCCTACGCCTACAAAAAGACCTTTTCTCTGTTTGTCACGATCTGATGCCTTCATCAATTTATTGAATTGAACGGCTACACCTCTCAAGTCTTTGGGTGGGCATGAGAGCATACGTAACGATGACTTGACTTCTGTAGCGATCACACCCATTTCATCTGTCGGCACACCAAATCTGCTGTTTCTGCTAAAAGCATCACACTCCCCAGAGCCCAGATACTTCTCAGGTTCAATTGGAGCATGTGCACACCGTCTCAAGATTTTCAATGTCACTTGGGGCGTTATCAGTCCGAGCTCCTTCATTTTTTGGGTTAAGTGATCGCAGATTCGATCAATGAATGTGTCTATTTCGTGAATTGTATCAAAGCGGATGGCATAATTGATGTCGACAGACATAGATTTCCGAGTGAAGAATTCCACCGGATCTTTCAATATTTTGAGACTTTCCTCATCATCTTTTCCTTCCATGAACAACGCCAATTTGGCGCCAGTTTTGGAGCCGAGTTTAGATATTAGAGCTTGCCGGGTGGAATTTTGCTTCAGATCGGCGACAGTGGGTGAAGACACGTTTTTTCGGAGAAAGTTGGTCTTGATTTTATCCACAATTGAATATCCAACGCCAGGCAGCTCATTTAGTTTGAAACTCGAAACAAAACTTTCAACAGACTTTGAATCTCTGCTCAATTGAATACAGAAGCCGCCTGGCTTGGCACGCTTCAGTGCCAAACGGGCAAGCACTAAACTGCTGCCACAACCAATACTCACCGAGCAGCCCTGTGTACTTTCGAAAATACGCTCTCTCAAAGAGGAAACAATTTTCGAACAGTCATTGCGTATGGCCTCATCAGAAAGAGCCTCGTCACTGAACCTTACACATATCGCCTCATCTACAGATATAGGCAGGATCATGTTGAAGGCACCACAGGCTACCAGAGTCTCATACAGGATGCTGGACTTGACCTCGTACTGATTGAAGTTGTATGGCAAAAGCACTAAATCGGGACAGAGCCGTTTAGCGCTACGAACCCACATTCCATTTCTGACTCCAAAAGCACGAGCGGCGTAATTACAACTAGCGATTTCCGAGGACGCAACCCCATGCGCGACTGCAAGCGGTTGCTTCTCCAAGGAATACCTGCCATCTGCGAGTGCAGAAACGGTGGCGAAGAAACAGTCGAAATCGATGTGGAATATGGCCAGACGTGTCGTTTTTGGAAGACGTTCTATACTGACATCACCCACGTATTTCGAACAGAATTTCGCGCGCAGATCCGCCTTCCACGTAGACAGGTGATGGAGACGGGATTTGGCGAAGAAACTTGCGAGAAATTGAGGGCTTTTGCAGTCCAGCGTAGTCGAGATCGTGGGCTGGTTGGGGTTGGCCGTTATGAGCGCATATCTTTGCCATGGGAGACGTTCGCCAGCCGCAATAGAGTCGACTATCCAGTCCGGAGTGACGACCTTGTACTTCTGGAACTCGATTCGCTTCTTCGAGGTCAGGTTGCTCGCTATGATGTGGGTGACAGACGTTTTCCCGGAGAGATAGTGGTTGAAGACGCCGCCGTACAAGACAACGTTCTTGTGAAGCACGAGTCTGTCAGGGTTCGTGCGCCCGTTGACGTAGATGATACAGTTCTTGAAGATGGGTGGTTTGACGCCATGGATTTGGCGTAGTCTTTGGTCTTGCTGCTGTTGCTGGACGTGCTTGTGTTTGAAGTAAGTTTCGTAGTCTCCAAAAGCCAGCGGGCCGTCTGGATGCGCCTGGGGAGGCGCCTGGGGAGGCGTCTGTGGGCAGTCTATGACTTCATGGCGGGCGTCCTCCGGGGCTCTGTCGTTGTCACTGACGTCACTGACGTTCTCGAAATCCACCGGGGACACCGACGGCGACCCCTCGTCCGCGTCTGCCAGACGTCTTTCCGGCTTGGGACGCGGCTCGTACGAGTTTACCAGCTGGATGAGCGCCTCGTCGTCAAGACTGGACAACAGGTGCTGCCGCGAATGCCCTTGCGACAGATCCCCGGGTAACTCGTCGGCGCCACGGAGCCCAACTCCGGTATCTGAGCCCCAACGGCCTCGGACTTCGCTATCGTTATCGTGAATGATGTCACTGATGCCATCACTGCTGGCGTCACTACAGATATCGTTGTCGCTGCGCCTTCCGTCGCTACGTCTTCCGTCGTAACGACAATCGTTATCTGAGTTTTCGACCCGTTTGTCCCCGCGCGGTTCCAGCCCGGCGGCCTCGTGCTCCGAGGCAAGCGGCGATCCGCGCTGCAGCGGCGGTGATGCCTGCGATGCGTTTCTGCTTCTGCTAGCGTCCAACGACGAGTCTGTGAGCAGCAGCGCTAGTTCCTGGGAGTTCATTCCTGCACATTCTCCTTTCTGAGGAGATCTAGGAGGCCAAGGGGCAACTCTCGCTATCAACCGAAGCCAACGCTGCCACGAGGTTCCTTCGCCAGCGCGCTGCGTTCTTGTCACGGCTTTCCCGATGTTGGTATGAAAGTCAAAATGACGTTATACACGACACGAGCACGTGACTCAGACGTATTCCATAAACACGCCCACGTGACCGGTCAATACCACCGGTGGCCCACACACCCACACACAGTCCCATAAACCCTTTGTCATTGCCATTACCCTCCCCATGGTACCATTTCCATTTGTCCGTGTTGCGCTCACTGCCGCCGCCGCCGCCGCCTGAACGATCCAGAACTCCGTTGCCGCCACCGCCACCCTGATCTCCACCCCCGCTTGGCTTCCGTCATGCACAACCCTGCAGGACCCTGGGGTAGCTTCTGCGACGCATGCGACGCATGCGTCGCATGCGTCGATTGCCGGAGCAGGAAAAAAAGCAAGGTGCAGACATTCTCCGCTCCATGCGGGCAGCGCGGGCTGGGCGGGCCCCCCACGCATCGCGTCTCCAGCAGCGGACCGGATCAAAGCGGAAGCGCCATGCAGCACCATACAGCAGCCGGCAACGTCTGCGCTGCGCGTCGGACCCCCCTAATCGGGCTTTCTGAAGCCCCGGCGCACATCTTCCGCACATCGTCTGGGCGTGCCTGCGCAGCGGCGGTTCCAAAAAAAGGTTCCGCGGGCGTCCTCCCCTGATTCCCGAGGGCCTTGGACTCGCAATGCATGCCTCGACGCTGCGCTAACCATGAACTCCGAGGTCCGTGCGCCGCCCGGGCTCGCCAGCCACCCCCGCGGTTCTGGATCTCATCCAAAGCGGGGTACGTTTTGTGCAGTACGTCTTGCGCGGTACTGGCCCTGCCCATTATTCGGCAGGTATTGCCCACCCCACTTCGGTCTTGTGGCCCAGCGCTGGCGGTGCCAGCGCTGGGCGGCTCTATCTGCCTCCCCTTCCCCGTCTCTGCGCGCTCGCCGCCTCGGTAAACAAAACACGTGGCAATAACGATATACGAGCCCAACACGGAACAGCCCGCATGACCTGCGGCACCCAGATCCGCTTTCGACCCCTCCCTAAAACGTGCTTCACAAATCATGTAACTGTGTACGTCTCGCTCCTTATCTGTGGTGGGCCGGCGCGCTGCAGCCGCCTTGCGGCCGTTTCTGCGCCCACCCACACAGCAGCGGTGCTTGCCTGGCGGCCGCGCTTTTTTTTCGCACCGTTTTGCCAGAATGCTCGGCCCCAAACGTTGCTTTTGGCTGGCGTGATTCGCAACCCGCGGCCCTCGCAATCGTCCCTTTCCGTAGGGCCCGCCCTGGCCGCCCTGGCGTGGGTGGCTACGTTTGGGTTCCACCCAAACATTTCGGTCCGGTTTCCACCTGTTTCTGGTGCGACTACGTGGCACGCAGGGTACGCACCACTTTGCACAGAGAAGAAAAAAATTTCGTTATGCGAGCAGATTAGAAGGGCTTCCAGTATAAAAGAAGTGCTGCAACACCGGTGGACCCAGATTGGAAGCGCAGAGATAGAGGCACCACACAAACATTTCGTTTGGTGGATCATCCAAACCAAACCAAACCCCCCGTTTCACGGCTACTTCAATTGACAAGCCATAGCACTGTCACCATGGAGGCATCGACTACTACTGCACCAGCTGTACTGGACGAGTGGCTTTTCCCCGACGCCGCGCGGCTCGGGTCTTTTGGCGACTACGACGCGCCGGTCTCGACCTTTGACTTTGCGCGAGCGCCCGTCAGCGAGAGCTCCGAGTGCGTGTCTTCGTCGGCCGGGTCACCTCTCGACAATTTCTCGTCGCTTTTTGACGCCGGAATGGTCGCTGCGGGCGCCGGCATGCCGGGCTCGGATTCGGATACGTTGTTCACGGCTAGCAATACCGTGTCGCTCACAAACTCCCCGGGCATCAAACAGGAAGACGCCGACGCGCGCTTCCTGTACCGCGATCCTGCGGCCGCGTCTGAGGCGGCGCTTGCCGTCGTAGACGCAGCCTCAGCGGAAGACACACAGACCGATGCGGCGGATTCTACGGCGGCGGCTGCAGCCGCCGACGCTGCCGGCTCGGCCCCAGACGGAGGCGCGCGCCGCAAGCGCGCGCCCCGCAAGCGGCTAACGGCACATCAGAAACAGGCGCACAACAAGATCGAAAAAAGGTATAGAATCAACATCAACACCAAGATCGCCAAACTCCAGCAGATCATCCCGTGGGTGGCAAGTGAGGAGACGGCGTTCGAGGTCGGAGACGCGGCCGGACGTGGCCGTGGGTCTCTCCCGAGATCTGCGCCCGGGTCCGGGTCTGGGTCTGGGTCTGGGCTTGGCGCCTGTGGCGATTCCGCCACCTGCAACAGTTCTGAGGCCAGCTCGTGCAATTCTCGGAGCACGTGCGTCTCAGAATGCAGCGGAGGCGTGGACGTCGGCGCATGCGCCGCTGTCACGCCGAAACTCAACAAGAGCATGATTTTAGAGAAGGCCGTGGACTACATTTTGTATCTGCAGAACAACGAGCGGTTATACGAGATGGAGGTTCAGCGGTTAAAGAAGGAGTTAGAGACTCTGCGCCCGAAATGAGAGCGCACGCAGAGCGCACGAACACAAGAAACAAAGGCAGGGCGCGCGCCTGAGCCATTTTTGTCATTTACCAAATACCGAACAAGGAGTGTCTCGGGTGGCGCACAGACGCTGTGAAGAAGATATGTGTTGACGACTGTGATGACCAAGTATGTAACGTTTATAGATATTTTAATGATAAGGGACTGGATACGGAAGAAACCTCGGCGTGAGAAGGTGTGTGGGTGCAAAAGTGCGTAGGCGGGTGTAGGCGGGTGTATGCGGCCGAGTCGATTTGGAGCCTTCGTGTAACGAGGAGCAATCGACATTCGAAAACGTTCTCTGCAAAAGTGCTTTTGTGGAACTTCTAGAAAAAAGAAGAGACAGAGGATATTATGTAATCGGATCTGTGCATGGTTCCTGGAGGGCATTTCTTTTCCGTGTCGAGCTTGCTTCCAAAAGCTTTTCTTTTTACCTCTTGAGGGCATGCAAGAGGAAAAAAAAGAGAGGTGCATCTCATCGCAGAACATGCGCGGACCTTGGTGAAGACGGTCTGTTGAGCCTCAAATTGTACAGAACTGGACTCAATTGCTTTGCGGCGTCGAACACAGTCCAACTCGCTTGCTCGCGCTACAATACCGCCTGAAGAGCCCTTTTTTCATCTCGTTTGATCTCGATTTCCTCTCTACACAGAGCACAGACTATGGCTTCCTTCCTCAACCAACACGCAGTGGCAGACTTTGCGTCTCGTCTGCGGCCCCAGCAGGTCTCCAATGGGCTGTTTTTCGGACCGCTGTACTCGCTGTCGCAGCACGAGTATCTCGTCGCGAACAACATACGGTTCCTGATCTCGGTGAATCTTGCGACGGTTCGCGTCGCCCAGTATTTCGAGGCCCTGCCGAACAAAGAAGCGTTTGTGTGGGTCAACTTCGACGCGAATTTCAAAGAAGATGCCACGAGTGCCGCGTATGTGGCCCACAATTCGACTGCGCTGTCGCAATTGGTGCGAAATTTGACGCAAGCTCCAGACACACGCGGATTTGGATTTACATCCCAGCTCGTTGTCACGCCGCAACCTGACATTTCGTCCCTTCTCTACAACGACTTGTCCATGTACACCCACAACATCATCGCGGCGACGGGCACAACCAAGTTTTCCGCTTTCAACGATCTTTTGACTTTGTTCAAAGCGTCGGGCGCTGGTAACGTGCTGGTCTTGTCTAGCGACGGAAACGACGCAGAGATGTGCGCGCTCGTAGCGTCGCATTTGGTAAAGGACAACGCTTCTATTTCGATGCAAGGCGCCGTCAACTATTTGATCTCGCTACGGCCAACGCTCAGCGAGCCTGCGGACGCCAATGCGCTTTTGCAGTTCGAACAGCATCTTAGATCGACCGATGCGTTTACGCCGCGAGATTCCACGTGTGTTGCCCCCAAACGTCGAACTTCGAGCGCGTCGTCGTCGTCGACACCGACGTCTCTCATGGGGAATTCCAAAAAACAGGCGGTACGGACCGCACCTCAGGATTGAAAACCGCAACAGGTAGAATAGCGTTTTGGGGGAAAACTATGTAATATTTATTTTGAATGCAATGACACGAAGCGGCTGGGTTAATGAGATTTATCTTAACGTGCTTTCACTTCTTTAGAATTGTGACCACGTCTTCGTCCTCCAGAACGTGGCTCAGACCCACGTATTGGGGCTGGTGCTTGACGCTACTGCCGTAAACCATGGCATTCCGAAACTCATCGACCAACGATTTGTGAATTTGATTACAGAAGTCTTTGATTGTGCAGCGATCGGATCTCAACACCACAGGGTCCGAAAAATCGGGCATAGTACCCTTTGGTTTGGTGTAGACACGAACTAGATTTAAACGATCCCACATAACGTCCAGCAATTCGTCGAGGTTCCATTCTCTGCCGGAGGCAATTGGAACGGCGTTGGGAATGCGGTACAAGAGATCAAGCTCCTCCAGTGAAAGGGCATCCACTTTGTTCAAAACGTAAATGGCAGGCATGTATCTTCTAGAAGGAGCTTCTAGTACATCAATGAGCTCGTCAACGGTAGCGTCACATCGGAACGCGAGTTCGGCGCTGTTAATTCTGTATTCACTCATCACAGCCCTGATTTCGTCTGAGCTCAAATGCGTTAAAGGCACGGTGTTTGTGATCGAAATACCACCTTTCTCTTTCTTTTTTATTAGAATGTCCGGCGGTACTTTGTTCAAACGTATCCCGACACCTTCGAGCTCTTTTTCTATGATTTGCTTGTGCTGCAAAGGTTTGTTCACATCGAGAACAATGAACAAAAGATTACAAGTCCGCGCCACCGCAATCACCTGTTTACCTCTGCCTCTACCGTCTTTGGCACCGTCAATGATACCGGGCAAATCCAGCATTTGGATCTTGGCACCCTTATAACGAATCACACCTGGCACGGTTACCAGCGTGGTAAACTCATAATCTGCTGCTTCAGACTCTGTACCGGTCAGTTTAGACAGTAATGTTGATTTTCCTACTGACGGGAATCCTACAAATCCCACAGACGCTACACCGGTTCTTGCGACGTCAAAACCAACACCACCACCACCAGAGCCCTGCGAAGCAGATGTGACAAGTTCTCGCCTCAATTTGGCCAGCTTAGCCTTCAGCTGTCCCAAATGGAAAGATGTGGCTTTGTTTTTTTGGGTACGGGCCATCTCATCTTCGATGGCCTTGATCTTTTCAACAGTGGTAGACATAATGAAATGTGTCTAGGGTAAAAACTCTAGAGTCAAAAAAATATAAATCCAACGTCTTGATGTCGACAAAGGCTTGAGTTTCGATCGTACAGTCTCTATTGTCTCTGTTGACACTCCTTTGAATAACTTGAACTAGCATTTACCATTTGACGAGATGAGCTTCGATTCTTAAAATTTTTCAAAATGCTATCGTACACAGGGATGTGAAAAATTTTCAGAAACTTGAAGGTAAACTTATAAAAAACGATACTTGATGAGGCCTAAGATCATATGCAATTTCGCCCAACATAATAGCCTATTGACAAGTTCTAGAGGTGATTTGAAGTCTTGTCTGGCTTAGTATATAATGGGGAAGAAATCTAAAAAGAGTCAGGATAACTACTGGGATGAGGAATTCGAAGAGGATGCTGCAAACGCTCAGGAAGAAGTAGCCGAAACAGTGGGAGCATCAGAAACTGCGGCAAATAGCGAAAATGTGACACCAGAAGTCGCAGAATTTGGTGAAGATGCCAATGGCGAGGACGGTGCAGGAGCCGAAGCTGATGGCGACGATTTAGCCGCTGAAGCTGATTTCATGGCCGCTTTGAAGAAGTCTAAGAAAAAGAGCGAACAAAGAGAGGCAGATGAACCAAAGAAACCAGTACTGAAATCTAAGAAGGAGAAAGAAAAGGAGAAGAAGGAAAAGGAGAAGCAATTGAAAAAAGAGCAGGCAGCCAAGAAGAAGGCGCAACAACAGGCACAGAAGGAAAAAACAAAGGAATTGAATAAGCAGCAAGCAGAAGCCGCAGCGGACGCTAAGGCCAAGAAAGAAGCTGAAAAAAAGCCAGAGTCCGGATCGGCCAAGAAACCCGCTAAGAAGGTACCCGCTGGCCTAGCTGCGCTCAGACGTCAACTGGAACTCAAGAAACAATATGAAGAACAGGAACGTCTGGCGCAGGAAGAAGAAGAACGCCTAGAGCGAGAGGAACAAGAACGTTTGGCCAAGGAAGAGCAAGAAAGAGAAGAGTTGAAACAGGCCAAGAGAGAGAAGGAAAAGGCTAAGCGTGAGAAGTTGAAGGCCGAAGGCAAACTGCTCACAAAGAAACAGAAAGAGGAGAAACGTCTTCAAGAACAGAGACGCGCAGCTCTTCTCGCCGCAGGTAACGTGCATGTTGCTGGTTTAGAAAAGAAAGAGGGTACGCCCGAAAACAAGTCTAAGAGGGTTGTCTACGGCAAGAAGAAGAAGAAGACGCAAGCCGAAAAAGACGCAGAAAAGGCTGCTGCTGAAGCCCAAAAAGTAGCCGAAGAGGCCAAGGCTGCCGCAGGTGACGAAGAAGAAGACGTTTTAGTCGATGACTGGGAAAACTTGGCTCTTGATGAGAACGAAGAGCCAGCATCTGAAGGAGAAGAAAAAGAGGTAGAACAAGACGAAGAGGAGAACGAAGAGCCAGGGCAGAAAATTGTTTCCGAGGCTGTTCAGAAGCAGGAAAATGAAGTGGAATACGTACCATCGTCTGAGCAATCGACCCCACCACCAGCTGGTCGCGGTAAAGAGCTTCGGTCGCCTATCTGCTGTATTCTGGGTCACGTCGATACTGGTAAAACAAAGCTTCTGGATAAAATTAGACAAACTAACGTTCAAGGCGGTGAAGCTGGTGGCATTACTCAACAGATTGGTGCTACTTATTTCCCAATTGACGCTGTTAGACAAAAGACTGCTGTCATGGCCGACTTTGAAAAACAAACCTTTGATGTCCCTGGTTTACTTGTGATTGACACTCCAGGTCACGAGTCTTTCACCAACTTACGTTCCAGAGGTTCATCTCTGTGTAACATCGCCATCCTGGTGATTGATATTATGCATGGTTTAGAACAACAAACGTTGGAGTCCATTAGGCTCTTGAGAGATCGTAAGGCTCCTTTCGTGGTTGCTCTCAACAAAATTGACAGACTTTATGATTGGCAGAGTTTCCCAAACAACTCCTTCAGAGACTCCTTCGAAAAACAGCCTCGCACTGTGAAGCAAGAGTTTCAGACCAGATTAGATACCATCAAGGTTGCTCTATCAGAACAAGGTTTGAACTCTGAGCTATACTTCCAAAACAAAAACATGTCTAAGTACGTTTCTATCGTACCTACTTCTGCCGTTACCGGAGAAGGTGTTCCCGATTTGCTGTGGCTATTGCTAGAGTTGACTCAAAAGAGAATGTCGAAACAATTGATGTATCTCTCACATGTGGAAGCTACAGTTTTGGAAGTGAAGGTCGTCGAAGGTTTCGGTACGACAATTGATGTGATCTTGTCCAACGGTTACCTGAGAGAGGGTGATCGTATAGTTTTGTGTGGTATGAATGGTCCGATAGTAACTAACATAAGAGCTTTGTTGACCCCACAGCCGTTGCGTGAACTGCGATTAAAGTCAGAGTACGTTCATCACAAGGAAGTTAAAGCCGCACTTGGTGTCAAGATTGCTGCCAATGATCTAGAAAAAGCGGTTTCGGGTTCCCGACTCTTGGTTGTTGGGCCTGAAGATGATGAAGATGAAATGATGGACGACGTTATGGACGACTTGACGGGTTTGCTGGACTCTGTGGACACTTCTGGTAGAGGTGTGACAGTCCAAGCCTCGACCTTGGGTTCTTTGGAAGCACTTTTAGACTTCTTGAAGGACATGAAAATTCCAGTCATGTCTATTGGTTTGGGTCCTGTCTTCAAAAGAGACGTTATGAAAGCCGGTGCGATGCTGGAGAAGGCGAAAGAATACGCAGTTATGCTCTGCTTTGATGTCAAAATTGACAAGGAAGCCGAACAGTATGCAGAGGAACAAGGTATCAAGATCTTCAATGCTGATGTCATCTACCATCTATTTGATGCTTTCACTGCTTACCAAAACCAGTTACTAGAGAAGCGTCGTAAAGATTTCTTGCAAGATGCCATCTTCCCATGTGTTTTGAATACTCTGCAGATCATTAACAAACGTGGCCCTATGATCATTGGTGTGGACGTTCAAGAAGGATCTTTGCGTACTGGCACACCCATTTGTGCCGTGAAAACAGATCCAACTACCAAAGAGAAGACTGTTCTTTTGCTAGGTAGGGTGGTGTCTTTGGAAATCAATCATCAACCAGTAAATGAGGTCAAGAGGGGCCAAACAGCCGCAGGTGTCGCGATGCGTCTAGAGGACCCATCAGGTCAACAACCTATCTGGGGCCGTCACGTAGACGAAAAAGATACTCTCTATTCAATGATCTCCAGAAAGTCCATCGATGTTTTGAAGGATCAGGCTTTCAGAGACCAAGTTCCTAAATCGGACTGGATGCTCATCCGTAAAATGAAACCCGTTCTTGGCATTGATTAGAAAGTTTCAAGCATGAATATAGTTTAGTCTGTACTTTGAACCAGAGAGCATTTTTCATTTATCTACGTATGGTACCGCTAACTCACTCATCAGATAGAAATATCTTCCAATAAGCTGAGCGTGATAAATTTGTCTTCAAAAGAGGCTTTATCCAAGTCGCCTGTAAAATAAAATAAGCGACTCACTCTTTAATCAATGAATTATGCACTGTTTTCATATAATATTTACAGTTGTTAAATGTAAAGATGTGAAGTAAAGATGTGAAGTAACGATGTGAAGTCTACTTTGAAGGTATTTTGGCCAAAAGATCGAAAGAACCTGTGCCCACATTGGCCAACTTTCCTAAAACAATCCGGGCAGATGGGGTATGAAGTTCTTCACGCTCGCTGTCCAGAACAGCCTTCGTGAGGAAACCGCATGTGGTCTCGTATGACATTTTCATTAATGAGGAAGTGGAAGACTCCATTCCTTGTCTGTTAAAGGCCAGATAGGTACCTTGTCTTGTCATCATGTCAGCAATCAACTCTAGATGGCGGAACGACACGGCAATTGCATAACGCGAGAAGACGTTATTGATTTCATTAACAATCGTGTTTCTGGCTGCTTCCACACCATAAGTTTTTAGAACGGAAGCAATATCGTTTGACGTTATACCGTTGACGTCGATGAAAGCATCCTGGTCCCACATGGCGTGGAAGTTGACACCCTCTGTAACAAGCACTCGCTTGCCATTTTCTGGATCAGGGTGAACACAACGAGAGATATTTGGAACCTCTCTGATGACGGACTTTCTGCAAATTTCTTCGATAATGTTGATCATCAAAAGTTTCTCGGTATCAGCAGCCAAATCAAACTTAAAATGACACCATGATCCGTCTTCATCATCGAAGTTGTACTGTGAGATAAATCTGTGGGAAGATATCACGGCAGACTGTCTGTCACGCTGCGCTTTTGACAAGGTTTCCTGCAAGTCGTCATTCGCCTCTTGCTTTACGGCATCAACCATTTCCTGATCTTCGTCTTCTGATTCCGAAGAGCTTGTTTCCATCTCGGAAAGCTCCTCGTCGGTACGTTCAGCACGCCTCATTGTCTCTAATTCGTCATCATCAGGGTCCTCGTAAGAAACCGCTTGTTTAGATTTCTTGCGAGACTCCTCTTCGTCGTTGTCGTCGTCTAAAGAAGCGGCAGAAGCGGCAGTTTCCTTTGTAGCCGATTTGGATACAGCAGTGCTAATATCTGGAACCACGGTTTTCTTCTGCTTCTTGATTTCTTTAACAATTGCAGTCTCCAATGAGTGCAAGAACATGTCAGACACAACATTCTGAAGCTCTTCCTTCGACACGTCATACTCGGAAATGTAATCGGAGGAGGGGAAGAAAGACATATGCACTGCGTACGAGCGAGAAGCCGTCGTACTCTCGGACGTTCCTGTCGATTCAGTCACGACAATTTTATCAATCACTTCTGAAAGCATAACTTTCGTAATAGACTTACAGAAAGTTTCTGCCTGAGTGTCTGTAACATCATCTAGTATAGGTAAAGTCATCTGAGGTGTTTTAATGGCAGAGGAAGCAGTCATAATGATCTCTCGCATACGAGGTATACCAAGCGTCACGTTTGCAGCACCATGACCGGCGAAATGGAAAGTGTTTAACGTCATTTGAGTAGAAGGTTCACCAACAGACTGCGAGGCGATAATTCCCACACCTTCACCCGGATTGATAAGAGAACGCATGTACTTCAACTGCATCAAAGCTCTAAACTTCTTTTCAGTCAAGCCGTTGCGCGATTTGAAAAGTTCTGTGCTCGAGTCAATAAATTGTTCCAACTTATCCTGGAACTTCTCAGAAACAGACCCTAAGTATTTCCCTGGGTTAAACTTCGAAAGAATAGGATCATATTTAATACGTTGGGCGAAGTGGGGAACACCCTTGTTTTTCTTTCTTTGTTTTAGAGCCTTTTTCGAGTATTTGAGGGCTGCCTCCACATCCAAATGTTCAATAAGCGCTGAAGGATTATATTTGGTTAGTAAACCATCGTAGTTTTCAGCGCAGAAATTAAATTCGTTCATGTGAGACTCTTTGGTGACGTCCACAGCATCACCTCCGTACAAAAATTGGATTAATGTACCATCTGCGTCTCTCACGGAGTTATCGTACGAGACATGAACACCTTCTAGTTGTTTAGTCAAGCAACGTTGCAAATAGCCGGATCTGGAGGTTTTGACGGCGGTATCGATAAGACCTTCACGACCTGCCATACAATGGAAATAGTATTCCTGAGGTTTTATACCGGAGTAAAAGCGACCCTTGATATAACCTCCTGCCATTGCATCGGTCTCAAAAGGCTTAAAGGATGGAAGCGTTTTGCCACTTACCATGACAGGAACTCTTCTGCCTTCTAAAGCTTGTTGACCTAACAAACACATAATTTGGGAGACATTGACGTTGGAACCTTTGGCACCTGACAGAGCCATAGCCTGCATGGAATTGTAGGGGAACTTCTTCATCGTCCCTCCAGGAACACAAGTTGAAACAACTTTTGATGTGATCCCGTTAACCTTCGAGGAAGTTACCGCATCAAGAATACCTAGTTTATTGTCGTCTCTTAGAATTTCTTCCAACCGCGTCAATAATTCGGGGTCATTTGAAGCGACATTGTTGTCAAGATTAGTAACCTCGGCAGCAGCAACACGACCTATATCTCTGGAAGTTTTCAAGATGTCAGCTCTTGATTTGTTCCCCTCGTCTGTTAGACGCAAATCGTCCATACCACAAGTAAACGCAGTCGAAGTAATATAATTGGTGAAAAGTCTACCCAAAACGGAAAGCACCTTAGCAGCAGTTTCAGGACCGTAGAGTTCATGCAAAGAATGCACGATACCAAACTTCGAGGCACCGTATTGAGATTTGTCCAGAATTCCACACAAAAGCTCACCATTCCTGAAGATCACAGTGTTTTCGCTGGAGTGGTTGCTCCAGTAATCGTCTTTGATCTTGTTCTTAGATGTTAGGTTTATACCAGGCATGTTTGCTGGAGTTATGTTGAGGAGAACCGTTGTTATTATTTGCTTACCAGTCCATAGTGGCACTGGCTTGAACACAGCAGGTGGTACTGTCACTAGCTTGCCTCGCGTGGCATGGCCGTCTTCGGGACGTATACAGCCATAGAGGTACTGCTGATATTGTTCTCTGGTGAAAAAGCTGTCTTTGCTGGTTAGCCACACTCCTGCAGAAATGTGGTCCTGAATTAGACCTCTAACAGGCGAGCCAGATGTAGGTGTCAAATACTGAGAGTCTGTGTTAGCTAATGTGAAAGCCTCGGACCTGGCATTTTCGTTTTGAGGGAAGTGCATGTTCATCTCGTCACCGTCGAAGTCTGCATTGTAAGCACCAGTATTCGCATAGTGCAGACGGAGAGTCTTTTCACCAGGCAAAACTCTAACTTTATGACCCATCATGGACGCCTTGTGCAAGGTGGGCTGACGGTTCATTATGACAACATCTCTGTTCTGGATGTGGCGGTAAACTTTCTTGTTCAGAGCATGAGTGGAATTTTGAGTCGATGGGGTCAGTAATTGATTAGCCAAAGCTTTGCGCTGCTCCTGCGTCATTCCAATCAGCGAAACGAGAGATCCATCCTCGTTTTGAATCTGAGTGGCACCTGGCCATTTGTCAGGACCATTGATAACGGCTTGGCGCAACTCGGCGGCATTGTAAGAACACACTGGCTCAGGGTACGTAAGTTTTTTGGCGAAGACTGGTGGCACACCAATCTCGTTTGTTTCGATATTGGGGTCTGGAGAAATGACGGATCTTGCGGCGTAATTCACACGCTTACCCATCATGTGCTTTCTAAACAAACCTTCCTTCTTTTCCAGAGCTTGCTTTACACCAGGGATTGGGACCTTGCCTCCGTTGCTTCCCTGGGCCTTTGTGGAGTCTATAAATCCATTAACATCGTTTTGAATTGTCACGAAAGCATTCATTAGTCTGTTGAAGATCACTCTCTTGTCTTCGACGGATACCTTGTCTTTTTGCAATTTGGACATCTCTTCATTTAGGTCCCGAATGAGCAAAGACGTTGTCAGAATTTTGGAAAGAAGCTGATTTTGGGTGTTCTCGTGGATTTCATCTCCCAGCTTAGAGGGGAGGCGAAACCGAGTTGGAGGAACGACGATAACGTCCAAGAAAAACATGTCAGCAGACACCTCGTACTTGCCACGCTTTGGTCTCGAGTTTAGAACGTATTGAAGAACATTGCGCTCTTTTCTGAAAACGTTGCGTAAAATATTTCTGACTTCGGTGGACAGAATGTATGTAGACCCAGTCTTTGGTTTGGAGGAGTTCATTCTTTCCGAGTTGAAGTCTTCGTTGACTTCGCCTTGGTCGTTGCCGCCCAATTTTCTAGCTTGCTCCTGTTTCTTGATCATGTCTTGACGGATGAGACCCTTGACCCTGTTGTTGGTCTGTTGCTTCTCAGTCAAAGCCGTTTCAAAGATCTTGGTCACGCCGTCTTTTCTGAATTTGGGCGAGAACATGCCACAGTTGTCACACTTGGGTCTGGAGAGCAGTTTCCTATGAAACTCGTGTATCAGAACCTTGCGCTCTTCATTCAAAGTGGCAGTGAAGACCCCGTTGTGGCTGGTGCGGCCGACAGAGATCGCTTTGGCGATGCTTGTTTCAACGAATTCCGTGCGCTTCGCCTCCAACTCGCGAAGCGCACCGGTGTTAACAGGAGGGCCGGACAGACCATTGTCCTCGGTTGCCTCGTCGTCTTCGTCAAGATCCAACGATCCTACGCTGAAACTGTCAATTTGGTACGCTTCGTCAATGAGACCGTACTGCAAAAGCCGCAGTTTGCAGGCGAATGCATGCACCTCTGCAGATCTCAGTCTGAAGCGGTGGCAGTACAAGCAGGTGCTTCGTAGATATATGTATAAGCTGTTGAAAAACAGCGGGTTGTAGCAAGGGACCGGGAGCTCGATGTGGCCTTGATGTCCGGGACAGAATTTTTCATCCAGACCGCAAGTGGAACACAGGTTCCGCAAAAAGGCGCCTAGCGCAAGGTCATAGAGACCTCCGGAGATCGGGTGGCCCAAATTGTCCAGAACCGTTGGATTCGTGACTTGCATGGCAGATAGGTTGCGAATCTCTCGCGCGGACATCACGCCGAAATCGACCGACGTGATCTCCGATGCGACCGGCTTTGAGATATCCATGGCGCTCTTCGAATTTGAATGTGTAAAAGGTGCTAATTGACCAGCTTAGAGAGATGAGCCCCTGGGCTTTTCACGTTGTCGAGCAGTTCTGGCTGGGAATACGTCTTATGAAATGAGATGAGATGCGATGAGTTGATACACCTACTTAAAATTTTTCAGCCATTGGTAAATCGAGACACGGAAAAAGAAAATATATGAGGACACTTAAAGTCACTAGCGACGAAATATACTCATTTGGGACTCGCTTTTTGTACGAACAGTGTGTCGTCAGAAAGCGTCAGCGGCTGCATGGAAGCAGTTACATAAGCGGAACGAGGTGCGATATGCATGGATTGCTATGTCGCGCGTAGAGACGCGTCCCCGTTTTTAGCCTCGTTTTTCACGACTCTGCTAGACCCCCAGAGAGCATTGGTATATAAGTCTCCCGTCCTGCTGGCTCCTTCTCCCAAGAGTGAACCTTCCCGAGATGCTACACCTCACAGCAATAAAGCATGCCCGACAAGCAGGCTAGTTCGCACGACAAAGGAAACCTCGCTGGCTCCATCGCCGGCGCTGTCGCCGGCTCAGACATAGCGGGAAAGCTGGGAATGGGCCAAATCGGCGGAATTGCCAGCAGCATTTTGGGCTCTGCTGAAGGCGGCAAGGCCGAGAACAAAATCAAAGACAAAATCGATAACCACTGAACGGTTGAATTGGCCTCCCGCCGCCATGATGGCACCTCGACATTCGAACTCTTCTATATTCAGGACGTATCTAAATAGTAACGATTGTGTTGATGCTACAACCCATATAAGCTCCACCCGTGGAAGCCTGTCGGACTGCTGTCACGTTACACCTCTTACAGCCACCTTTGTCTTCGCACGAGCGGAGTGCACCCTTTCCATGGCTCCCTTAGGTCTGGTTTTCCCGCCGGAGATTCCCCACGCTGGAAAAGACGGGGACGGACCGAGCGCGGAAGTCATCCAGGAAGGAGAGAATGTTGCGCCGTACCAAAGTAGGCCACCTTATCTCTTTTTGTGGCAAGACGCTAGCTAGCGTTGGGGGCGCGTCACGGGAATCTGATGCAGATATAAAGCGAGAACAAACAAGCCAGGGGTTGGAAGCCCAGTGAACGATGAGATTGGCCGAGGCGCATCAGATCGGCATGGCTTAGCCACAACAGACGATTATTACTAAGGTTGCTCACGAGGCACCATAACTTCAATGTTGGTGTTTCGTGTATACTGGAACTTTAGGTGGGTTGCGGTAGTCCTGATGCTTTCGCGGGGTAAAGCTGTGAGCGGCTCGAGACATTCTTCTTTTTCCTACCTTCAAAACCAGGTCGCTGACGCATTTGATCCGATCACCGTTCGTATCGAACCTGACGTGCAGGAAAAGGTGGTATGGGAAAAAGAAATAATGGTGTCTGGTTGTCCGGTAGCCCCTCGTAGGAGCCAGAACCGCCGAGAAAATGGAAATAGAGAATATCGAGCATCACTAGGAACGGCACTTGATTTTCAGGACTCAAAAGCCGATACTGGTGGGTTTGCTGAGGAGGGGAGAGAAAAGCAAGAAGCAAAAAAAGCACGATAAATCACGTGACCGGGTCGTTGCCCTTTTTCCCCACCTAAAAGCTTCTGTCTACCTGGATACCCTACCACACTATCATCCAGGATCGCTTAAACTCCGTATCATCAGTGTGTGGTATTGTAAAATTTGGCCATAAGCATATGGACTGTACAGCCACGATAACACGGCAAGAACACACTTATTAACCCAATGCGTCGAGTTCTCGTATGTGAAGGCCAACTGAATTTTCTGAACAAATAAAGATAATCATCAGAGACTACCTGCTCAATCGTTTATACAAGGCGTGTTGCTAGGAACACAACAGAACAGCGGGAAAAAAAACGACAAGAGTACTAACAACAAGCTTCTCTACAGGCCTGCGCGAAGTGCCGCAAGCACAAGATCAAATGTGTGCACCAGGGCAAGCCCCCGTGTGCCCACTGCGTGAGTCGTGGAACCGTCAAAGACTGCCAGCTGTCGTATCCAGAGGTGAAAAGCCGCAAGCGCAACGCTGACGAGGCCGGAACCGGCGATGGCGACTCCGGCGATATGGGCGGGCAAAGCTCGGACACCACGGGCTCCAAACTGTCGCCTGTGGCGCCAATGGACGCGATTTTCACCCCGGGAATCCGACCCGACCTGCAGCCCCAACTTCGGCTTCAATCTTTCAACAACAACGTGCACATAGCAGCGATAAAATCCATCTACGACATGGTACCGATGATTCCGCTAGAAGTGGTCCGCGAGGGCGTCTTGCGGGTTGTCAGCGTTTTCCCAGAGCTCAACTTCTTTTACCTGCCGACGGCGCTCAACAACACCAATAAAATACACCCGATACTCGTTGGCGCATTACTAGCACACGCAGCGCTTTTCAATCCGTTTACGGATACCGCACACCACTCTTCTCGGGACCACTGGCTTGGTTCTCGCAGTTTTATCGTGACCAACTGCATTTACGAGAAATTGACTCTGGAAGCCATTTTCAACAACTTCACTTTTCTCATCAGACCTGACTTGGACATAGTCCGTGCAATGCTACTCATGAGCGTTGTCAAGTGGGGTCACAACGAATATTACGCGTCTTGGATGTTGCATGGAAATGCGGTAAGAATGTTGCAATCCTTGGATTTTGACGCGTCCTTCATATCAAAAGCTCGACAACATAAACTACTCACCACCATGAAAGCGCGAACGTACTGGTGTGCGTTTGCGCTAGATCGCATCATTTCCACGGGCAAGGGAAAATGCTATGTAATAGAAGATTACAAGAACATACCATTGCCAAGAAACGATGAAGAATTCTGTCTTCTTACTATGAGCGGGCTTGATGCTCCAGTGTACCGCGATAAAGATGGCATGAACAGCGAAACAAGTCTCACAGACAACAACTTCATCGAAAAATACTATGAAAATCCGCAGTTAATCAAAGAAAGGCCCTTTGCGGCTTTTATTGTAATGTATCTGATTTGGGGTGACATCAATAGGCGAATAATGAAACCATCCTGTGGAGGTGGGCCGTTGGAATGTCCATGGGATTCGAACTCTAAAACCTTTCAAATCTTGAAGAAATTGGACGACTTTTGGACAATTTTCCCCTCCGATTGGAAATGGTCAAGACAGTGGTTTATTAACGACAATCCTCTTTTGCGGAAGGACAACCTACTTTTAACCATCAACTCAATGTACCATCTTTCCCTACTTTTTCTTCACAGAGAATACCTCCCTTCTTTCCCATACGACGTTGACACTTTTGCAAGTCCTCCCGAATCCTGTGAATTCCCACCAGCACCCACACCCGATTACTGGGAGCAAAGTGCCCGTAAATGTTTCGAGGCAACCCGAAATTTGTCTTCGCTGCTTGGTGCCATGTTAGAAGACGAAATAAACAAACCGTCCGGCTCTGAATCTCGCAATCCTATTTTGAGCACACCATTTTATTCTTTTGTAGCGTTTGCCTGTGGTACCGCTTCTTGTTATGGGATGAATTTTTATTGGATGGATCCGGATCATGACAAATATGATAGCAGCAATGACCCAAGGGCTCTATCAAGATGCTATTCAACTGTGGTGCAAGTTCTTCAGGCCAGAGAAGGAATGTGCTCTGTTACACGCAGCTGGTTAGCAGTTGTCTTGAAAATGCAAGAAATTAATAGCTATGCTTCCAAAAATCGAGAGCGTTTCAAACAAATGGGCTGGGACAGAGAAGGTAGTCAAAACCTGAAGGAAACTTTACATCAGTTTAATCCAGATTTGAAAGAGATCGAAAAATCCTTACCACTTCTTCCGCGGCCCATCCAAAACCATAAAACTTCAGCTCGTAGCATAGACGGCTCGTTTGTGAGAGCACAAGGTGACATGCATCCAAGTCATGACTTACAAGATCATCAACAAAATCCGAACCTTTTTGCGTTACCCCATGCATTCAGTCCTAGTTCTTTCATGAGCTCATTGCCCTCGGCCCCGACACCGCCCATGGGATCAACGACGTCAAATGTCTACCAATCTCAGCGGTATCCACCTCCTCCCTTTTTCTCGTCAGCTTCTCCCGGCGTTTTGTCTCATCATTTTCAAGCAACACAATCCGCAGTGGATGCGTCATCTCGCGTAGCGACCACAGCTGCCTCGCCTAGCGCTCAACACCCTCTCATACCGGAAGTATCGCATCCAAGCATTGACCAATCTAGCAAAGTACAAGATGAAGGATTTTACCAGCAACAACAAGGTTACGGCGATCAGGTGCCCAGAAATGGGATGCCTTCAACTATCACGCCGTTTTCGGGCACTCTTTCGTATCCTCCAGTGATACCACATACTGTTCAAAATGAGTTTCCTGTGGGCCTTGATACAGATAAGCTTACACTTCTGTTCAATGACCAGGAACTGGACATGCTCCTTCAGTTCAAGGGCCAGTAGTACAATACGGTTTCTTCGGATGCTAAGGGCGGCAAGGGGTTATAATATAATACGGCTCGCCTTTAGATTTTTGGTTTCAAGATCTGAGTTGAGCTCATCTCTGAAAAATTTTCTTAAGCAGAGGTACATCATCAACCAAAGATAAAAAGCTTTTACCGCTCGAACGACGTTGGCCAGCATTGGAACGTGCGCTGCAGCAAATAAATAATAACGGAAATTTCAAAAACACAAATCCATAATGGTTGGAGTCAAACGCTCTGCAGAGGCAATCAGGAATGAGACTTTCATAAAGAAACATCAAAAGGAGATCAAAAATCCGCTAGACCCTAAAACGGGTGTCTCGAACTGTATTGTGGCTGTTCCAGTATCCATGTATCTATCATTGGCACCAATATACTCTCAAAAGCCTCTGGAAGGAATTGCCAAGCAGCATTTGAACCCAATGATGATGAAATACAATAACAATGTTGACGGCGTGGTACTAGGATTTGAGAAAGTGCGAATTGAGGATGCCAGTCCTTCAGAACTAGAAGGTGGCGCTCAGAAGCTGGTGAAGGTGACACCAGATACTCCTTTTGCCTTTTTGTGGTGTAGTGCAAAGCTATACGTATGGCGTCCCCAAGTAGGCGATGTGGTTGAGGGCTGGATCTTCATCCAGTCCCCTTCGCATATAGGTTTGTTGATTCACGATGCGTTCAATGCTAGCATAAGGACAAATAACATGCCCACGGAATGGACTTTTATATCAAATGAGGAAGAAAACGAGACTACCTCCGACAGCGAGACTGCCAAAAACCGGTCCATGGGCCACTGGGTTGACGAGAATGGTCAGCACGTGAACGGTAAACTAAGATTCACAGTGCGAAACATCTACAAGTCTGGTAGAGTTGTTTCCGTAGAGGGTACTTTATTAACCGACGGTACTAGCCAAGCCCGCACACCAGCTGAAAATCTGCCCGTTGTATCAAACAAAAAAATCATTTTCGATGACGAGGTGTCAACGGAAAACAGAGAAAGCCATAAGGACCTTTCTTTGTCTAAAAGGGTCACAGAAGACAATGGTGAAGAAATAATGTACGAGAAAAACTCGAGCGATACTAGCTCAAGCGACAGCGACTAAGAAACACTTTTTGTTTTCAACTGACATTTAAAACAAATCAATTAGGCGGCATTGTGTGTATAGATATTATTTGCGTGTGTGAAATAGTTAATTTAAGCATTTATCTTGCGCAATCACAGTTTAGGGTTTGTACAAGACTAATTATGTAGTTATCTTTCACGGTTGTGTTGTGGATTCTTGTTTTATTGCCTTGCTTTTTCGGCAGAACGAATTATCAACACTGAGTCTAAATCACAACATGTGAGACAACTCGATAAGTGAAGGAGCCTATAAACCTAAACATCAACAACCTCCATCATGTCAGCGCCTACTATGCGAACGACCATGCTTCTTACTGAGCACCTGGGCTACCCCCCGATCTCTTTGATTGATGACATTATCAATGCTGTCAATGAGATCATGTACAAATGCACACAGGCGATGGAGAAATACCTCCTGGAACGTAGCACAGTCGATCGTAAAGACTACACAGAGGAACTGAGGGTTGGAATAGCTAAGTTGGAGACATTGTGGGAAAACTCGGTTGATAGAAGCTTTGACAAGCTGGAATTATACGTATTAAGGAACGTTCTTCACGTACCGAAAGAGCTCATCGAAAGTGGGAGTTTCCGTCTCAAGCATCAAGAAGAACTGATTTTGCAGGATACTAGTCATACCAACGCACTTTTACGCGAAATCGAGGTAAAAAGGGAAATATTTGCAGATGCTGTAGCTAAAAGCATCGCGCTTCGACGCCAAATAAAAGAAGCGAAAAAGCTGCAAAGACAATTGGCAAAATTAGCGAAATTTGTGCAGAAAGCGCTGGCGCTCAAAGATTCAAACGATACAGAACTGGTTTCCATTTTCAATTCCCTTAAACCAATGGATCAGAGCCTTCAATTGCTGTTTGCGCAAATGCGCAGCTTGTACCTTGAATCGGAAGAAACATGCTCTCGGGAACGCATACAAAACGTCATTGCCGATCATGAGAGTATACAAGGTGACTATCAATCTCGCGCCTCCTACCTAAGCTCCCGTTCACAAGAAATTTTGAATTCGATTGCTCCAGAACAGAAACCAGATAGTGATGAGGAAATCATAAGGCCACTGAAAACATCTACAACTGCAGGGCAAGCCCCGGAACCAGCACAAGAACCAAACATAGATCATCCTGACTTATCGGCCATGGCCCAGACTTTGGTGTAAGTCGATTAAGGTCTAGATCACGTGAACACGAGTTATATCATGTGTAACGAAATCTGATGGACTCGCGTGGTACGGAGAAACGAAACTCACAAAAACGGCAATATAATATCAAACAGGCGATTTTCAGCAATGGTTGAAATCCATCGCTAGGTCAATCTCATAATCCTGGCTTTCACTCTTAGGGATATCTAATAAATTCTTCAAGCCTTGCGTGGAGTTAGAAAGTGATTCGAGTAGGATTAAAATGGATGGCGCTAATAAGGGAGAAATACCCGATGGTCATTCGGTTATCAAGAGACTCCAAAGCGAGTTGGTGCAGTTGATGATGTCTCCGACACCAGGTTTAAGTGCGTTTCCAGAAAATGAAGATGATCTTACGAGGTGGATAGGAGTTATCAGTGGTCCCGACGGAACACCTTACGAGGGACTGAGATTCAAAATATCCTTCAAGTTCCCGCAAAGCTATCCTTACACTCCTCCAAAGGTCGTGTTTGTTAGTCCAATGTGGCACCCAAACGTCGACATGAGTGGGAATATCTGTTTGGATATACTGAAAAACCAGTGGTCCGCCGTATACAACGTTCAAACGATTCTGTTGTCACTCCAATCGCTGCTGGAGGAACCAAATAATAGCTCTCCATTGAACGCGGTAGCAGCGGAACTGTGGGACAACGACATGGACGAATATAAGAAAAAACTGTTAGCGCGCTATGAGGAACTGGAAGACTAAACTACATCTAAAGACGACAATGATCTAGAGGTGTTTCACACAGCTTTTTTCAATACATGAACACTTGCCAAGTCTCTATGCTGTTTTCGTGTTTCTACAGATCCATGTTACATGAGCACAGGAAAGTAATTACGTAAATAATAAATACTAATATAATCAAATCAAGCAAATCGAAAATGACATGGCAAAACTATTATGTAGAGAGTGAAATAATGATAATGTGAATATTTTAAAATGAAATGACAAAATGTTGCCAGAATTAATTTCAGTGGCAGGTAATATGCCGAAAGAGCTTTAAGTGTGGTTGTAGCATGTCTATGAAAAAAGGCCCACGTCACTTTAAATGAAATTGAATATTCGACACACTGACCATTTCCTTAATCACTCGATCGACATTTGATGGGGAGAGATGAAATAAAGAAAAAAGTAAAAGGAAACAACTGCAAAGAAAACCCAATGATGTGTTAAAAATATGATTAATGAAATACCCATTTAAGCCCAAAATGTGGGAACGTCAGTCCCAGCCCGTTATAAAAATTTAGTAAAGTTTTTGTCCTGTAACCAGCCGATGCGTTCATAAGCAGCAAAAAGCCGTGATGCTTTGTTCACATCTATGCGACACGCCTTCTGAGCATCGGTCCTCCTAAACGGCAGATCTTGCTTTAGCCTGTGCACTTTTTCCAAAAATAATCTTCTCTTTGAATCCAGATAAAGATCACAAGGAAGTCGCAGCGTTTGTGCTAAAACCAGTTCCGCAGGATGTAGCTTGTCACGCAAGGGGTCATCAGACAAGTCCATAGAAGAGCCCTTCCAATCGACTTTCAAACATTTGCTATTATCTGGTAATGTGCTCAATGAGGGAGAGTAGTCGACCAATTTTTCCCAGCTCATGTTGGGAGCAGTGTTCACTGCTCCAGCAGATGCCAACGGCGAAAAAACGGGATTTCTCTTGCGTACACGTCGATTCAAAGGTGTAGAAGGACGTGAAAGGCCACCAATGGCGTCTGACCTAGAATCGTAATCTTCGTCATCGTCTTCGCTTCTTGTAAATTTGTAGCCCCCATTCCTTGTCCGCGACACACGCTCGGAAGCTGGTACGTTGGAGAGGTGATCCTTACTGCGCAGATTCAAGCGTCCTCTTCGCGTTACACGATCGTTGCTGTGATTCTTCATTACCCGCTTGGATTTGGCCGCATCCCAAAACCTGTACTGAGACAAAAACCTGCTAGTCGCACTTCTGTAAACGTGTCCCGGGGTCGCTGGTCCAAGTGCCCAACTGGGCCGTACCCATAGAACGCTGGGTTCCGGATTGGGGTTCACGACATGGTACAAAGGCCTCACGCCAGTACTCCCGCTCAAAGCACCCAATTTAGGCGACAGCGGAGGTGAAGGAATCAAATGGTCGTCAAGCACAGTGTCCAGCGTCCCGTCACGACTGTTGAGGCCATTGGCGCCCGAGGATGCCCCGGTCGCCGAAACGACGCGATTGTGGAGCGCCGCAAGCAAGCGTGAGGTGTTCTTGCCATTCACACTGCCCACGCCGCTCAATTCCGTGTATTCCGGTTGCGGCGAGCAAAATTCCATCTCTGTTGTCTCTGTTGTCTCTGTGTTCTCGTGTGCGAAACTTTTCTGCGAAAACCTCGATTTGTAATCCAAAACTTACAAGTAAAATTCACACTCGAGTTTTTTCTGATTTCCACTTGAAAATTGTACTTCTCGTGCTTTCCTGTTCTTTCTGCTAGCGCAATTGACTTGTTTCCGACAAAAACAATCTCTGTATGGCTCGCTTTCAAAAAGGTGCTATCTTACCAGTGAAACTGTATCTGATACTCATCTCATCCTCATCTCTTGTTTTATACGTTGAAGCATCCTGCCCAGATTCTGTGTATTCAGGCACAAATTGCTTTTCCGGTCGATGACTCTGGAGAATAAGCCCTGTACCATCCTGGGCCGCCGTTTCTTTTCTTATCTCTCGTCCGAGACGACATTTTTCTGTGGTCTCCCAAGCAAAAATACTGACTAAACTGCGCCAGCTAGTTTTAGGTTTCTTTTCCTGCGCTTCTTCTTCAGTTTCTCCAGGGATACTCTTATGTCGCGTTTCTTTTTATTGAAACCCTTACCTCCCCCTCCTTGCTCCTTGGATTAAAGTCACGCGGGCCAAAGCAGGGAAGCTTCTCGCACGAACGGCAAAGCGAGCTGTTCGTGTACAATGACATTCATAGTCACGCGGCCGAGAAAGCGGAAAACGGGCCAAAAAAATTAGGGGGCATTGGCCCGTTCCTCTTCAGGTTCACGTGTGAGCCCCACAAGCCTCGCAAGCCCTGAGGGATATGAGCAAACCCGTAGCCGCCGTGTAGGTTCCCGTGTGGCAAACGGGTACATATGAGAACAGGGGTAACCCCACCCCTATGAACGGACAACAACGGCGGCTCCCGTTCTGGCAAATCAAGAGTGAGACAACAAAAGGTCATCTGTAGCAGTAACGTCTCAAGGTTTTGATCACCTAATGCCATCTTTCCTTTCAAAACTTGACAGCTTTTGGCTTTCTTTCTTTAGTACCTTAGCGTTACGGCTAAAGTTACCATGGCAAGGCAAGTGACATGCTAGAGGCCAGAAAAAGCGCGCGTTTCACTAATGAAAAGGCAAAAAGCCCATAGTGGCGTAATCTAAATGGTAAGCATGTATTCGTCGACACGACGTGGTCTATGACAGGCGTACTACCTTTATCTGGGTTCCCGTTTAACTGGTTCAAAGTTACCCATGTGTTGGTTAGGAGATAAACTGAAGGTGGCGTACGAAAAATTTTTTTTCTCGTATCACGTACCCTTGAGGCCGGTGGATTACTCAAGGAGGAGATGTAACCGCTCAGGGCACGCATAAGTGCGGGTTACTCGCTTTTGAGTTACCCGGATAAAAATGGGGCGGGTAACTTGACCAGATGGGTTAGGTTTATACATAAGCAGAGCGAATTACATAATCTGAGTAAGTTTCAGGTATGAACAGTCACAATGATGGCTTGCTATATGGTGTGGGTTGGATTGATATTCCAGTTGTCAAAACCGAACACTTGCTTGATCAGGTCGTCAATTTCGTCACTGAGCGAAAAATCGTAAGTGTTAGCTAGACTGCTGAGCTGGTTGAGCGGCTGTTTTTCTTGTTCATGTTCGAATTCCGCGTCGTCCTGCATGCGCCGAGGCAGATCGTAAGTAGGCGAAAACTGTTTGAACGTCTCGCTGAAAAACTTCATCTCGCCCTCCGGAGACGAGAATATTGCGGTGATCTGAGGATCTGGTAGCATGGTGACCAGCTTGCGCAGACACGCCAAAGCAAGTAAGCAACTGTACAGAAGGTAGAGACTTGCGACGCCGAAGCTGCCAAAGCGAGCTTTGAAATTCGACAGTAGCACTTTCAGGTCGCCGAGAGCCTCCAGCACCACGACTTTGGATTCGTCGCAATCCTCAATGAAAGGTTTGTTGAAAGTCAACAGCACGATGTAGTAATGATACCAGAAGTAGGAGATGGTGGGGTCGGTTGAGATGTCCGTGTCACGCATGAGATTCTTGGACCACTTCCAAAAGTCCGGCAGGGACTGCCTCCAGTTATAGACCTTGAGGTTAAATTTTAGCAAATATTCAATCCTTTGCGGGGTGCTACCGGGCTCAATGAATATTTTAGAAGTGAAAATTTGAACGATTCTTGACAAAATAATCAAGTTTTTCAGAGGTAGCGACACCTGGAGAACGTATTTGCTATCAAACCGGAACTCTTCCGTGCCTTCAACCTCTGGGAGCTCATCTGATTCAGGGACAGTTGAATTAGAAACACTCAAAGTCGAGGTACGTCCCAGCAATAGACAGATAAAGTGGTCCGCAATGTAGCAACCCCAGTAAATGCGGCTTCTGATCTCGAGTTCACTTTCGGAAAGCTTCCCCGTATTTATGTCGTCTGTAATCCACACTTTTGGGTCTAGTTGAAACCCCATGTCATAGCCAACTCTGATAGCAAGCCCCGAAAAATACCATGCCAGTTGATTGTTCCCACTACCAAGTTCGTAGAACGCTAAACACAACAAAGCTTGAACGCTGGTGATTTTGGCCATGCTCTGTTCATCAAAAACAATTTTTAATAGTTTTTCTTTAGCAAGTCGATAGTAGTGTGTTGATAAGCTTCTTAACTCTCGTGTGAGACTCGAACCCAAGGCAGCCACGGCATAAACCAACTCCTCAGAACAATATTGTGAGTTTTCGTAATTATCATCATAATGATTGAAAAGTCCGTACAGAAAACTTTCCCGGTGCATAAAGATAAAGTGGCCCGGGTACAGGTGTCGGTAAAAATTAGACAAGCTCTTGAGTATACCCTCATCAGTACTGAGCGCTTTAGCGCCCGCAGCAGGTGATCTTACAATCACAGTCGTTTTCAAATCTGATATCCGTTGCTGCTGTTTTACGGGCCCCGGCTCAGATCGTTTGGGTTTGTAACTCGCGGGTCCTTCGGGATAAATGCTTCCTTTTACGAACATTTTTCTTCTCAAAATATCAGTTTCTAAACTAACAGCAGAAGGCGAGGGAGAAAGTTTAATGGGCACATTTGGTAAAACCTGTTCTAAGTCCGAATTACGACCGTCTTGTCCTCTTCTACCACCATTGCGATGGCTACCTCTCTTTGGGTCCACTTCACCATTAACATTTAATGAAGCGGCGTTAGCCAAATTCCGAAGCTTTTGCTCAAGATGGCTCACATGAGCTTCCAGAGCTTTGACATATGTTGCAGCATACCTTTTTTTCCTCATGTCTTCCATATTCACATTACAATCTAATTTGAGTCTCAGGCAGCTGCTACAAGGATAGTTGAGGTCGCACTTCTTTCTCCTCCGGCGGCAATTGGAACATGCTAGTCTCTTTCTTCTAACTTCGCTGATTTCATTTCCTTCACCGTCAGCTGCAAAAATCGGAAGATTCGAGCTGGCTGGAACATCTGATTCCACCTCCGAGATATCTAATTCATGATCATCTCCAGAATGCATCACACACCTTATGCGCGGCAACCATTCCCTCGGCTAAAAAGACTTTGATGCTTGTTAGTTTTTTGAAGTTTTTTTTTCACAGTTTCTGAATCATCACGGCTTATCTGAATCAAGAAAAATAAATAGTGGTCAAAGCTCATCATGATCTAAAGTATCATCAAATTTCTCAAAAGAATCCTCGACTTGATCTCCTGCATTGAGCTTTTCGGCTTCAACTTTTAAATTCTTCAATTTTGACTCCAATGCATTAAGCTTGAGAATCACTTCTTGAGGAATCGCCTCTTGCTTGAATTCCCTCTTGCTTAACGTCTTGATCGGTATTTCAACTTGGACGTAGTTAACGAGATCCTGGTCAACGTTGCCCAGGGAATTAAAGTCTGCGGACAGACGCTGGTAATGTATACGAAGCTTATCACCTGCGAATTTCTCCCTGTATAGGTTCATGTTCACGATAAAGACCGTGTCCATTTTATGGAACTGTAAATTATTCTTTTCGAGAAACTCTTTCCAATATCCAGCTTTCCAGTATGAATTTTGGTCGGCATCTGAAGCCCTAGGTATCGTAAAGACCCGGGTAGTTGGTTTTTGTGTGAAGTTCAGATCACCTATGTCAGCGTTGGGACTGAGATAGACAATCTGGTGGACGTCTAGCGGAAAGAGAACATCAAGCAACAAGACCTTGACTGCAGCCAGCTCGCGTTTTAGAAACCGTTGAGGACGTAACCATCGGGGCCAAACATAATCTACTCTCTCAAACGAAATTTCTCCCTTTGAATTTTGAGAAACGAACTCTAAAAAGTCTGCCAACTTCTCTGACTCACTTGGCGTGGTGGTATACCAAAATCTAATGGGACTACGTGAATGAGAAGCCACATTGAGGACCATTTTCTTGTATTCCGCCTGGTCTCCGAGTCCGTTAAGAATGGTAAAAATGTTCAAAACCTCTTCATTAAGTAAATCCTGAGGAGCTGAGTCATTTAGCTTAGCGACTTTCACGTAAATACGCTGAGGAGTGAGATCGGTAAGGTCCAAAGACGGGGCTGCTAAAAAGTCAGAACGTCCATTGGGTGAAAAGCCCTCGACAGAGTACCGCGAATCACAACTCTTTATGGTGTAATTCTGACCGAGAGTGAAAGCTTTCAGCTGTCCGAAACCAAACGTATTCATTGTTGTTGTCGAGGAAATAACATCACCTCTGGAATCGATCAACTGTAAGCAGAGCCCTGGAACGCCTTCGACAACACCTGTTGATGGAATTTGATCACTTTCAAAGGCGTTAACTTCGATAACCATATAGTCCACAATGACATTATTGTTGCTCTCCGTTACATGTAAATGAGAGGGAACTTCTAGATCGGTATCAAATTGCTTATGAACTTCAAACGAGAGTTTTGAATAGCCGCTAACCCATATTCTGTGAATAGGCATCAATTTTATGTCTTTAGCTGGCAGAAGAATGATTTGGACGTTGATCCACGGAATATCAACAACAGCAGAAGTTAACTCAAGAAGCTTTTGTGTTCTCTCTTCCAGAGGATCAAGAATCAGAGTTACGTCGACTGGTTGCTCGATAGCGTCTCTCCGGAAGCCACCGAGCGAGGGATAGTCAACAAGGCGATTAAAATTGAGTCTCGAAATTTTCGACTGTGCCGTGTAGTCGATACCATTATCAAAATAATTGTTGCCGCAATAAAAGATTTTACTCAAAGCAGCAGACAACATCTCGATAAAATCAGGGTCGACTTCGTCGTCGACAGACTCCGGCATAATCTTTTCTAAAGCTAAGACGCAATCCTTTGTCCTGAGAGCTTCTCTTTGTAAAATGGATTCCAAGGTAATGGCTTCAGGTATTTCATCCTTGCCAAGACTGATGTATCTGCCATTTATCAAAAGAAAGGATGACGTTACTTGTAAATCTGTAGCTCCGGGTAGAAAGCTTTTAAGAACATTTTTGTCGAGCTCTCCAGACTTGATATCATCGCGAATTTGCTCCGATAGCTTCAAAATGGGTCCACTGTTACCTTCAACAGCATGTTTCGCAATCTGCTTCCAATGATTATTCAGCTGACCTTTGTGTATGAGCCTAAATCTCACGCCGAACAGTTTTATGCTCAACAAATTAATAAGGCGAGAAATAGCAGATTTAGTTCCGAAGTCATCAACAAGAGTTACCGTATGAATTTTGTTCAGTACTTCGTCTCCTTTGAACTCAATCACTCGTCCTGGTAGCTTATCAAGCTGACCTAAATCGAGCGTGAAGAAGGTGGAATCCTGAATGAAGTCTGGGAGATATTTAGGATCTCTCAGCGTAAAAGATTTGTAGTGTAATAAGTCTCGTACCTTGAAATTCCCAGTTTTTGTATATTTTGGCAGTTCGCCTTTCAGAAACTCGACATCTTTCTTAATAACTTGAGCTATGAAATAGTTCCATGTGTTATGTTTGAATGGAAAGATTTGACCATTGACAATCAAAGAAGTCGAGTTAACTTTCAAATTGTGCTGCAGAATCTGCGTGACGGGTGGAACTGATATATCATCCAAACTTCCGATTGGTTCATATTTCGAAAAATTCATATCCTTCAAATACTCAACAAGATCATCGGGGTGGTTCTCCTTTATGAAGTACACTTCTCGAAGAAGCTGAGCGGAGGCATTATTCGTTGCAAGAGGCAAGAAGCCTAACCTTTGTGGATAACCCCCTTTAGTCACATCTATGGCTCTTATGAAGCCATTCAAGGCTTCTAAGGTCCCTGGCTCGTGTAACCTTGATAAATCGAGCACGAAAATGAGTTCATTCCAGTTTTCACGATATTGAGGCAACTCCCCATATTTTGAGTCTTTCAGGAAGACTGGAAGCTCTGAACTTAGGTCAGCATAAACATCATCATTTTCAATGTCGTTAACGTAGAATATACTTTCAGAAAACCCCGGGATGCGATGCAAATCATATCTGATTGGCTGATTCCATTGCATTGTGTCCAGCGATAAAGACGAAAACTCTTCAATTAATCGTTTCGCCAAAGGGACCGGAATGTCTTTGCTGCTAGTACGTTTCGCCAACAATTGTCGGACAAGTTGTATATTTCGAAACTCAGAGAGTATCGCCTTAGCAAATGAGTAGAAATCAAGGTCTGTAAGTCTCAAATTTAAGCCATTTATGTAAAGGCCGAGGAAGTTATGATCAATACCTTTGCTTCTCATGACATCGATGAATGTGTTCCACGCAGGACTAGGATCCGGCAATTCTGCTAATTTCTCTCCAATAACTGGAAAATTGTTGACCACCTGTCTCAGGAGGTGAAAGCACTTTTGGAAATCCTGTGTTTCGCTGTAGCAATCGGATATTAAGGAAGCTACTTTCAAACCCATGGAGGAAAGCATGTCACTTGAGGGTCGAAAAAGAGCTAATGCGCCAGTATTTGGCCTGAGCGAAGAAGGAACGTCTATGAAGGAATCGTCGATGACATTTTCGCCCCAAGTCTTCTCTTTGACCGTCAAAGTAGTTGCCAATGGCTGAAACTCGAAGTCTTGGTCATTAGGACAGGTGCTGCGCCAAACAAATCTAATTTTGCCGCCCTGCGCCTCAGAGAACAAATTTCTGTTAAAATCTTCGAATTCCTCGCTTCGATCACAACCGTAAAACAATAGAATTGGACTGTCCGCGTTCACACCCACTAATTTCTCTCCAGTTTCCAAGATTTGCGATTGTGGAACACGATACTGATAGTCAAGATCCTTAGTCTTCAAATAAAAGACACTTTCTGCGCTTTTATGTTTTTCTTCATTCAAAACGAAGTAGTTGTCTCGGCTTGAATCGGAGCTTGAGCCTGGCATCGTTTGATACAAGATCGGAACCATATCTGATGCTTCACGATATTCATAGCTCAAAATCCTAACAACCCGCTCTAGTAGTGTATCATCATTTTGGTTCTCATCATCGATTCCTGTGATCACAGCGTACAGATCTTGCAGTATTGTCGATTCGTCGACCAAGCTGCTAACTACTTGCCATAGTCGGACGCGTGGACCTGGTGATATGCTGGGAAAGGTTAATTGATTTGCCAGCGCAAATCGCCAGTAGAAAGCGTAAATGAACCATTTCAAGAGCATTTACTTTTCTCGATTTTTGAATAGAGATTTCTCAACACATCGCCTCAAATGTAAGGTTTAAATTTCACATGTATTAAATGTCATTTGAACGTCTGCTTAAAAAAACGCTCGTGAAGAAGACACGCTTCACATACAGATAGCTAAACGTGCTTTCGCCGTGTAAGTTATTTATGTATTAATCACGCTAGGATTTTTATATCACAGCTTTCTTGTCATTCAATACAAGCAATATTGCATGCAATTTTAGCAAAATTGTCAACCACATAACCCGTTGGTCAACTTGCATACCTATTCGATGGTTATTGTAACCACATTCCAGGCTTCAATGTGTCGAGTTCGAGGCCCCTGTCGGTAAGGTAAATGGTCTTGACGACGGTAATTTTACTCGAAATTATAATTAACGTCTGGAATGATTTTCTAGGCGTTTCTTGTTATCAAAAATTTTGTAGTTTCGAATCTGATCTACGACAGAAGACTCAAACACTGTTCTAAGTAATAGCAGAATTTGTAACTCCTCATCAAGGTGTTTCGATTACCTGCTAAGCAGTTCCTTAGAAGGCCTTGGACGATGACGATAGGTGACAAACAAAAATGGACGGCTCAGAAAGTTCGTTCGACTTTTTTGGACTATTTTAAAGAGAGAAACCATAGATTTGTTCCCTCTTCCCCCGTGATTCCGTTCGATGATCCGACTCTTCTTTTTGCGAACGCTGGTATGAATCAGTACAAACCTATCTTTTTGGGCACTGTGGACCCATCTTCGGATTTCTACGGTCTAAAGAGGGCTGTTAACTCCCAAAAATGTATCAGAGCCGGTGGTAAGCACAACGATCTCGAAGATGTGGGCAGAGACTCTTACCACCACACATTTTTCGAAATGCTGGGTAATTGGTCCTTCGGCGACTACTTCAAGAAAGAGGCTATCGAATACTCGTGGGAGTTGTTGACGAAAGTATACGGCATCTCTGCTGACAATCTTTACGTCACTTACTTCGAAGGGGACGAAAAGTTGGGCTTGCAGCCTGATATTGAAGCCCGTGACTTGTGGAAGGCTGTAGGCGTCGCTGAGGATCACATTTTACCAGGGAACGCCAAGGACAACTTCTGGGAAATGGGCGACCAAGGCCCTTGCGGACCCTGCTCTGAAGTCCACTATGACAGGATTGGTGGCCGAAACGCTGCTTCTCTCGTCAACATGGATGATCCAGACGTCCTTGAAATTTGGAACAACGTTTTTATCCAATTTAACAGAGAGCAGGACGGGTCTTTGAAACCATTGCCCGCTAAGCACGTTGATACCGGTATGGGCTTTGAGCGTCTCGTTTCGGTGTTACAGGATGTTCGTTCCAACTATGACACTGATGTTTTCCAACCGCTGTTTGCACGTATTCAAGAAATGACAGGTTGCAGGCCTTACTCCGGTAAGTTTGGGACTGAGGATGTCGATGGTATTGACACTGCTTATAGAGTCTTAGCGGATCATGTGCGTACCTTAACTTTTGCCCTAGCGGATGGTGGTGTCCCAAACAACGAAGGAAGAGGTTACGTCTTGAGGCGTGTGTTGAGACGTGGTGCTCGCTATGCGAGAAAATATATGAACTATCCTATCGGTAACTTTTTCTCGAGTTTGGCCCCAACTCTAATTGACCAGGCCAAGGGGATGTTCCCAGAATTAGCAAAAGACCCAAGTTTCCTATTCGAGATTTTGGATGAGGAAGAAGCTTCTTTTTCAAAAACATTGGACCGCGGTGAGAGGCTGTTCGAGAAATACGCTGAAGAAGCTTCCAAGACCTCCAGTAAAACACTTGACGGCAAACAAGTATGGAGACTGTATGACACATATGGATTCCCTGTGGACTTGACTGAGTTGATGGCTGAAGAACTAGGCTTGAAAATCGATGGTCCCGGTTTCGAGAAGGCTAAGCAAGAATCTTACGAAGCTTCGAAAAGAGGTGGTAAGAAAGGAGCTTCTGATCTTATTAAGTTGAATGTTCACGACCTTTCGAACTTGAACTCAGATAACGTTCCCAAGACAGACGATTCCCATAAATACAATGCCGCCAACGTTAAGGCCAAAATCTTACGTTTACACGACGGCAATGGTTTCGTTGAAAAAATAAATGAGGTCGGAAAGCAATATGGTATTATTCTTGATCAAACCTGTTTCTACGCGGAACAAGGTGGTCAGGAATTTGACACTGGATCTATTGTCATTGATGGCGAAACCGAGTTTAAGGTGGAGAACGTTCAATTGTACAATGGCTTTGTTTTTCACACGGGTGCCCTTGATGAGGGCTCACTTTCAGTGGGTGACGGAATCATTGCCACTTTTGATGAATTGCGTCGTTTCCCTATTAAGAACAATCACACAGGTACGCATATTTTGAACTTTGCTCTCAAGGAAGTTTTGGGTAGTGACGTTGACCAGAAGGGATCTCTAGTCGCTCCTGAGAAATTAAGATTCGACTTTTCACACAAGAAGGCCCTGTCTAACGATGAGATTAAGAAAGTTGAGGATATTTCAAATGACCAAGTCAAAGCCAACCACGTTGTGTACTACAAAAGCGTTCCACTTGATCTAGCAAAATCGATATGTTCCGTGAGAGCCGTTTTCGGAGAAACTTATCCTGATCCTGTCAGAGTGGTTTCTGTTGGAAGGCCAGTTGATGACTTGATCGCTGATCCACAAAACGAAGAGTGGCAAAAATACTCTGTTGAGTTCTGCGGTGGAACTCACGTCGCTAAGACCGGTGACATTAAAGAGTTTATAATCATCGATGAGAGTGGTATCGCCAAGGGTACCAGAAGAATTGTGGCAGTTTCTGGATCTGCAGCTCATGAAGCCCAAAGGGTTGCAAGAAAGTTTGGTGACGACCTTGTTGCTACCGAGAAGCTTCCATTCTCGCCATTGAAGGAAAAGAAGCTAAAAGAGCTTGGCGTTCAGTTAGGCCAGCTACCAATCTCCGTTGTCGCCAAAGATGAGCTCAAGAAAAAGTTCACCAAAATTGAGAAATCTGTAAAAGACGAGGTCAAGACCAGGGCCAAGAAGGAAATCAAGCAAACGATTGATGAAGTTAAGCAGTTTTTCGCTGACAACGAGCAATCCAGTTACTTGGTGAAACACGTGAACATCCCTGCTAACGCCAAAGCCATTACGGAAGCCGTAAACCATATCAAATCTTCTAGCAATGAAAAGTCCATCTACTTGTTTGTTGGTAATGACCCATCTGGTAAAGTTGCCCACGGTGGTTTTATTTCTGACGCGGCCCTCCAAAAAGGCTTGGATGGCCCTAGATTATTGAAGCTCGTAAGTGCGCAAGTTGGCGGAAAAGCCGGTGGTAAAGGCAATGTCTTTCAAGGAATGGGTGATAAGCTCGATGGTGTCGACCCAGCCGTTAAAGAGCTTAAGAACGCTTTTGCTCAGAAATTGAGCATTGATTAATTCTTAATTGCTTAATTCTCGAGCGGATAACAGTAGCCCAGTTTGTACGTGGATTCAAGATGATATGTAATGTATACCTGTATAAAATACATGCACCTAAAGTGTACTCAAATATCAAAATGTTTGGAGAGGTTTTTCAGTTTTTTTCATCTCGATTATTATAGATGAAGAGCTAAATTTTGTAAGAAATCAAACTCAGGACAAAATCCTTGAATATACTCATATATACTCATATATACTCATGGTTCGTTTGAAGAGCAGGTACATCCTTTTTGAAGTCTTACATCCCGAAGATGTTGTAAAAGACACCAGTATTGATGACGATGGATCGAATCCGCAAAATTTCATGCTACGTCTTCATCGTATATCTCCAGCGAATATCAACGCTAAAAGCATTATACTGGCCCTGAGAAAGGCTCTTCAATCAAACTTCGGTGACTTTGGATGTGCAAATGGAACCAATGTAATGCAGCTGAAGTACTTCTCCAATAGAACGTCAACAGGCATACTACGATGTAGCCGAGAACATTATGATTTGATTCTCATTTCCATGACATTGATGAGTAAAATTGATACCACGGAGGGAATCATTGTGAATCCAATCAAGATTAGCGGTACCATTAAAAAACTGGAGTTATACGGTATGAGACGAAGTAAAATCATCGGCAACAAGCTGAATTGTAAGCTTGAAGATAACTTTCAAAGTATTACCGAAGACCAACTTGAGGAATAACACTTTGACCTCCAGATCTGACGGCATCCCTGTGTGGAAGTCCGCTATCATTTATTAACGACCATGCATAAATAATTATAATTTTTTTGACTATCCAAGCTATTTAACCGTTGCGCGGCCTTTTGACTTCTCGCTCCTCGGCTTCGTCATTCTCAGTTCTCGCACTCTCGCTACGTTCAGCTCTTGTGAATGCTATTGGACCTCTGTGATTCGAATTTTGAGTTTCATTGGATCCTGTGCTCTGATTTAGGTTTCTCAGGGTATCACCAGCGCGCTCAACAGCATACGAAGCTACTTTGGGTCGATAAATACTGCTCCTGCTTTCTTGCATAAACAGTGGACTGTCATAAACTTGAGATTCATTTCGTCGTGCTGCCTTGGTGTATAATCTAGAGTCATGCACAATATCTTCAGAATCGGTTGTTTTCGCAGCACCTATAATAACTTTCTCAGAAACGTCTCTCCCCTGGCTATGTGCCAAAAACCTGAGCCTGTCGGCTGTGGACCACTTCGATTGTCGTGCCTCCAGTTCAAGTTGTTTGCGCCTTTCTTCGGCAATTATCTGTCTTTGACGAGCTTGGTCGGCCTGTGGATCAGCTGAGGAAAAAAAATGGGCTAACCCATGATCTTTTCGTTCCCTTGCTCGAAGAGCCATAAGACGTAGTTTTTCCTCCCTTTCTCTTGTGAGCCTTTCGGCTTCCTGCTTTTTGATTTCGGCCCGCAAATGAACCTCTTCCCGTGCTTTTCTCTCTGCAAGATCAAGAGCATTAGAGAGTTCTAAAGATTTACTGCTGCGTCCACTGAATGTATTTTCAACCTTTGAGCTAGAGGCTACTCTGTTCTGCAGATCAACAGCATAGCCGTTGGGATTTTTCCAGTTAGAAATGGCAGCTGGAATATTCCAGTCGTCTTTCTCTTCTTGCGTCAAGGTGAAACCACCGGAGCCCGATTTGTGCAAAATGGGGGCAAACGGTTCTTCAACGGGAGGAGCCACCCGCTTCTTGATCTTGAACATCTTAGGTTGCAGTGGATCAGAGACCTGTTTTATGACCTTTACGGACTTTTTTGGGCCTTGGGGTTCATGACTGTTTCTTATCTCAATGCTCTTTACCTCACTCCTGTTTCTAAGTGGATCAAAGTCTATCGATTGCGTGTTCTTGCTAAGAATACCATCTAAAACGTTCTTAGTATCTAGCCATGTTTTCTCGATTTCCTTATCGGTTGGTAACGGTATAGAAACGTTGCTTGTCATTTGTCTTAAAGGCATAAACTCATGAAAACTTATACGGCTCCGAGCGATGAGCGCTTCAGCAGTTGTGGTTCCAGGATCCTTGGGTTTTATATTCGATTTCGTTCCCTCATCACTTAGGTTCTTTGCAGTTATCTGCCTTTGAAGTTGGTCATTTGAAGATGTTGCGGGAGCGTTTTTAGGTGGCGGCAACAGAGCACTTAGTGAACTTGAAGTAAACATCAAAATGTCGGCCAATTTCTCAGTCCTTGCTGTAGTCTTCTGCTGCTTTCGGTATTCTTACTTTAATACTTATAATTATCTACAACTGGATTTTTCTTATATGAAGATACGACCCTACAGGAACAAACTTCATCGATTTATCAGACGTCACATTCGTGAATCACCATGTAGTGTGTCACATAACCCAGTATTAAATTGACGATTTTTTGAGAATACCCTTGCCAGCTTCTTTGCCGCTTCTCTGTCGCTTCCCTATCGCTTTCCTGCCTCTTATTAGAAGTAGCTATCGTCATTTACTAACTTTGGACTTTGATGTTTATGGATGGCACACGATCTCAGGCCGGGTGCATAAGCGGCTTTCTGTTTTCTTTTGAGTGTTTTCATCGGATCACTCTTTCCCGTATCTTCGATGACAATCTATGGCCAGCTTGCTGGTCAAGATGTGCAAATGAAAAAGGTTTTCGTGCACCTGCTTCCAGCTCCTCGGGTCCTCCGTTGTGACGGAAAGCTAACCCTTCTTGCCTTAGTCTATACCTTGGAGAAGAAAACTGCGAAGGCGGTGGTGGGTAATGGAGCACTGCAGGTTTCTTGAACCATCCTCTTCGTTTTGGCTTTGGATCCTCTTTGTCGCTCATTGGTGGAACTCCGGTAAAGCGTACTTTCTTGACTTGGACAGTGATGACTGTACTAAGCTCACCATCTTCCCCGTTGTCAGAGGTTGCGTTAGTTTCTGAATTCGACAAGTTTGTTGAAGAACCTGAATCTTTTTCTAAGTGTTCGACGTCAGTTTCACTGTCACCAAGTGTCAGATTACTGATTCTCAGCTCATCAGCCGATATTCGGCTGTCAGAATTTCTCATCAATGGCGAGGGTGACTCAGAACTCATGGCGTGCGTTGAAGCCACGGCGGCATATTTTTTGTTAGAATTACTGCTACCTCCACGTTCCTCGCGTACGGTGTCATACTTTTCGGTGAGCTTAGGCGAAAGATGATGATATGCATTCTGAATCATACGTTGATTTAATGTCGCGGCGGCTTGTAAAGAGTGCGCACGCTCATGACTAGCTTCACCCGGCGGTCCGCCTGATGTTTGTAATGATGCAGAGCGTTTCCTTCCCCTGTTAACAATAACAGATTTCATAGAAGAAGATGAGATTTCTGAAGGCGATGCCTTAAGTCCCGTGATAGAACCCCTTCTGGAGTTTTGTGGTGAAAGGTAGCTGGTCGTATTGTTCATAGATGATTTCATCTTAGGAAAGGAGACCTGTCTACGTTCGTCAGTTGAGGGAGTCCGGGACATTACCGCAGGTGATGTGGTACCAGACGACGTTTCGCTGGAAACAGAAGGTCTTCTCGCTTTCCGAGCTGAATTTGAGCGGAAAACGGTCTTTATGGGGCTCCGATTGGCCATAACCGTGGCGTTTTTTGTAATAGTTTGTTTCTCCAAGGCTTCGGCCTTTCTACTCTCCAGATAAGTCGATTTATCAGTCACAAACTTTTCAGACAAGAGTTTATCAAATTCCTCATCAGCCTTGTCTCGGAACGCTTCCGTGGAAGAGTTGTCCCTCAAATATGTCCAATTGTCAACCCAATTGTCCAAGAGGAGCATTCGAGTCCTCAAAGTTTGTACAAGTAATGTTACATGATCGTGAAAAGCATAAGAAATGTTTTTTGGTTGTACCGGATACAATGAGCCCTGCTTGCAAAATGAACCAAGGGTTTTTATTCGCGTCTCGAAACCTTCCTCCTCATCGCCAGAAGATAGGGCCTCTAAATCTTTCAGCAGCAGCTGGTACTCGTACGAGTTTTTGGCTTGAAATTGGGTTCGGGAGTCATTAAAGTACTTTTTGCTAGGAATGAAGATTTGTCTAGTGGCTGCTTTGATCATTTGAAGCAAGTATACTGTACGCAGAGCCATGGCATATATCCGATGCATCGTATATTGCCAGTATGGCAAACTCATGATAATTTTAGCTTGGCTCATCGAGGTGGCCCTTGTAAATCGAAACAAGGATGTATGGTAGGACCTCAAAGAGCCAATTGCCTTTTCGTTGAGATGATCCCTAATTTTAGTTAGAACCTGTAGATTCAACTTAGAAAAGGAGCTTTCAGATGCGTCAACATCGATATCTTTTATGAGTACGGCCAAATCAAGCGATAGACTCACCTCAGTTGGTTGTATTAGATCTCTCACCGAGTCTTCATCAAAACTGACAGATCTACCTGATATATCAGTAGGCCTGCTTGCATCACGTTCCATGCAGCACTCTTTGTACTTCCGGTTGTACATGAGTAGCGCGTTTTTGGTAACTTTTTGTAAAGCGCTTAACGTTCTGATCTGCAATTCCAGGTTGTATATCTTACCTCTATACGTATCGAAGTTAGAGTCCACTTCTGGAAATGTAGTCAAAAGTTCTACCGGTGAGCTGTTCAGCGGGATTCGAACATCATTGAAATCCTCGACCTTGAATTCCATCAGCAATTTTATTCTTCTCGCGATTGAAGGATGTACATTGAAAGCGGGCCCGTAACAGAGCGCTAAAATGTAATTCGCCAAAGGTATAATATATCTCGTCGTCGTGTTGTTTCGATTCAGACTCTTTTCTAAAATTGATATTACGCGACTGATCTCAGTCAGCTTGTACATCGCGGTTTTGAATTGAATCAGTTTGGCATCATGAGAGTCAAGGTATACTGCCCCTTTAGCACCAGGGGCAAACGTCGAAGCAGCAGCTTTCGCGAACATAGTTTCAAATAAGTGATGTTCAGCAGACTGTGTTACAACGCGTAGAACCTTAATGGGATCTCCGTATTTTGATACCAATATCGTTGTGTATCTTCTTGAAGTTCGGTCACTTTTTAACAATCCCGAATATTTGACACTGAGAAAGTCGTCCAGACAACAAATCAAGGAATAACCTGATATAATCCCCAAAATAGTCTCCCAAATAGCCCATTGTATTACTTAGCGTTTATATATACATGATTTATTTCTTTGTGTCGCCCAAAAGCCACTTCCAGATGAGTTCTCGGTCCCTGCCATCGCGGACAGGATATCCGCTCCCGAACCACAAAGTCCTTGCACTTCTCATCCATTGGTGACGAGGTGATCCTACATGGCCATTTTTGATAATTTTGGAGGGCTCAGATAAGTGTTTCCCGTGATTTCCCGAATAGTAGTTCATCATTGTTAGTTTTCTGACCGAGCGCAGAGATTTTAGGTTTGACCATGTTAAAGCCAAAGCGGAAGCAATAGAAAAAACAGTGACCCCGAAAAACCCCCAGTTGCTCTCTTCTATAAAATTTTTCAAATTCATACCATAAAATGCTGGAACTAATGTCGCGATCGTGAACCCTAAGGTGTAGATGGTGACTTTTAGTTCGAAGAGCATTAACGCATTCCGATTGGCATCTAAAATGATATTGACAATTTCCTCTGTGGATTTTATGTCTCTAATCAGCGTTTCGGACTGATGCACATATTCGTCGCATTGCTTATAGTAAGTCTCGAGAAGCATTTCCACATCTGAAAAGTTGTCGTCGACACTTTTCGGGGACGACAAATGCATTTGCGCTAGATCCTCATCGCTGTCCAGTAGTTCGTCAAGCACATCGCGGACCAGAAGCGATTTTTGGTAAAACGCTGTGAGGTTTTTAGAATTTATCAATAGATCTCGCAACTTATCCCTATTAATCTCATCTTCAAGTTCGTTCAAGATCATTCCACACTGCGAGTAATGCTGTTTGTACTCTGTTTCCAGAGACGTTGTAACGTTCATTAAAATACTCTCTAAAGCTCGATGCTCATAAGGTTGGGTAATGTGGCTGGTCGCTGGCATGGATAATTTGGACTCCAGGTCATACACAAAGACCCCCAGTTTCATGGCAGCCTCTGGGTTCGATGTATCAAAAACAAAAACCGAGTCCTTTTGTACCAGAGCTTTAATATACAAAAGATTCACCAGAATACAGGTTGGCTTTACAACAATACTGGGAATCACGTCCACCGAACTAGTATCAATCTTTCGCAGGTCCCGAGGATAGAGAGAATGATCCCTGAGGAACGACCACTTAGGAAATCTGCGGGAAACTGCCGTTACGTCTCCATTTTTGTTGAATATTGTACAACTCACGTATGCATCGTTGGGTGTTATAGGCTTCAGAGACAAGACACTGGGAGTAACGTCAACATTCAGACGCTGTGTGGACGCTAACCGGGGATGTCTCAGTGGCCTTAGGTGACTTATAAATGACCTAGGCGTTCTAAGCAGCATATGTCCATCAGCTCGCCTTTATTGAACGGTTTTTCAATTTCAAGTTGGTCTAAAATTCACCAAGATTGCAGCTTAAGCAAGTATTCGGACTTTCTATGAAAAAAAATTAATGGTAGGTCTCACCACTTCAAGCATAAACTCTCCTCGCCACAACAATTTCTTCTTTTCTACCTACTTAAGTATATCTAAGTGCTCCTTAAAAGGAACTCAGGTTCGTTTGTGTCTGTTTCTTCAGGCGCCGTCGTTGCTACGAGACGTCTTAGTCGAAAAACTTTCGGGACTCAGTGACGCCAAAAAGCTCTAGTCTGATGGCAGGCAGAGCCTCCTCGTTGAGAAGCTTGAGTCTCTCCTCGAGAGTGTTGTCGACCTCAATTTTCCCGGACTTGTCACTGACAATAGCGCCGCCCGCGGTGTCCTTGGCAAGGTGCTCGGAAGAAACAGCAATTTCGACGTCTTGACCGGTTTTTTCCTTGTATTCCTTGATCACAGCGTCCTTGATGGATTCGACCGCTTTGACGTCCTGTTCGCGCACCCTGACGATGACTGCGGGCTCAAGAAGCTTGAGCATAGACTCTAGGATAACCTTGTGAAGCACGGGCTTGTACTTCTTGTTGTCCGACGAAAGATTCTTGAGTTCGCCCTTGGCAGACTCAAAAATGTCGTCTAGCACCTGTTCTCTCGTGGCCAAGACCTTGAGACGCATCTTGTTGGCAATCGTCGATTTGGTAACTTGCTGCTTGAGGGTCGCCTTCTTGAGCTTATCCTCGAACGCAGCGTCGATGTTGCTCACCTCGTTTCGCACAAGCCCCGTTTTCTCTATTTCGTACTCCTGATCGGCCTTGAGCTTAATTTCTTTCGATTTCTCTTCCGCCTCCTTTCTGATGAAAGCTTGCATTTTATTCAGCTCGTCGCTGACTTGCGTGGGCGTAAGAGACGTAATTGCGGCTGACATTCTATAAAAAGTTTTTTGATTCAAGTATTCACAGTATTTCCGAAAGTTTTCCACGCCAAATTACAGCTTTCACCTGTCTTATGGATTCGCTTTTAACCAGAAAAACCTGCTTCTCCTAAGGGGTGGTAATCCTTTGGCTGCTTGTTTCCATATAATATATGATAGTATCATCAAAATTTTCCAAATATCATTACCCACGTTGAACTCGAGCATTACTTGAATGTCACTAACATCACGAGCTTACGGTAAACTTTAATGAAAACACGCTTTAAAGCTTTTCTACCTTCTTTCATACTGTTTTTCTTGTTATTTAGAATGCTTATTAGCCTTAGTTGTAAGTTTTATCTTTATCTTAAATTTAAAGAGTTCTTATACGAAGCTTATAACGTCCTTGCATTGAGACTCACACGTAGCACCCTTAGTGATTAGCTACCGTGGTCCTTTGAGAAACGTGGAAGGCTTGAGGGTATATTATCAAAGGCCACGAGGGTGTGTTGGAATTCTCTTGACGTTCAGACGTCCCATTGCGAGACGCGTATGGTTCTCTTAATATAACAGTGCTTTGACTGCGTTGGGGTTATGGCGTAGAAATCTAACGCAAAGACCTACTGTTTACCTCAAAAAAGGATACATCTTAGTGAGTCTCAGAATTTTGTACCTAAGTAGGCTGTCGCAGCGGCCTCTCCTTCGTTACATTCATTCGTCAAGAAGGGAGAAGTATCATTCTTCGCTAAAGCGTTGACTTAATGTTGAAGTCACCCTGCGGTGCACAGTCACGGTCGCTACTTGCTACGATGAACGAACGGAGCGTGCTTCCCTCACAATTCTTCAAGCTCTCTTACATTGTAGGTATCTCTGTGCCCAATATAATAATGACATTTTTTTTGATTTCTCACTTGGAGAAGCATCTCGATAAACAACGTTAGAAAGGGCTGTATATGAGGCTGTATAGGCGATCTATATGGCTTCAACGCCCTGTTATTCGGCATTTCAGTCCCAGCGAGCGTAAAAGCTACTCAACTGGTGAAAAACTGCGACTCAATGCAGTCGGAATTCAGCACTTAAGTGCTCATCTGCATAAGCAGGTGTTTGGGCGAAATTCAAATCCAAGTCAACAAGAATCTCACGAATCACAACACAAAGACTTGGAGCGACTTTCTAAGCAGTTTTTGAGACACCATGGTCTCTTGGGAAAGACTTCTGTGTCGAAACCAATTTCGTTCGATGTTCCCGAACTGCAAGGCAATTCTCTTGATGAGCATTTTCAGAAACTAGGCCAATTCGCCGCGTATCCTTACCTTGACATGGCTCGGAACAAGTTCACTAAGCTGGTTCGCAGGCCTGAACGCTGGATACTGAGAAGTGGGTGGATTCGGTATGAGCCCGGTAAAGACCCGGAACCGGTACCTCGTCCCGAGGAAGATACGATGGTTTTCGACGTGGAAACCCTATACAAAATTGGACCCTACCCTACGCTGGCCGTAGCAGTCTCCAAAAATGCATGGTACTGTTGGTGCTCACCTTATCTTTGCGGAGACGAAAGCATTGTACATCTAATTCCAGTGGGCACCCACGAGCGACCGAAGCTTGTAATTGGACATAACGTGGGCTACGATAGAGCGCGCGTACTCGAAGAGTACAATCTTCAAGAGTCCAAGGCATTTTTTTTGGATACGATGTCATTGCATGTCGCGTCATCCGGTATGTGCGCCCGGCAGCGTCCAAGATGGGTGAAGAGCCAGAAGGCTATGAACGAGGAAAGTTCTGATAATGATAACGAAACGACAGATTACGACAAGGATTTAGAGGATCCTTGGTTGAGTGTATCCACTGCCAATTCTTTGAAAGATGTGGCCTTGTTGCATTGCAATATCAACATGGATAAAGACAAGAGAGATGCCTTTAGCACCCTCGATAAACAAAATATTGTAAATGATTTTAACGAACTTGTCGATTATTGTGCTACTGACGTAGAAGTTACGAGCAAGGTTTTCGATAAAATTTTTCCGCTTTTCCTTCAAAAATGCCCTCATCCTGTCTCTTTTGGAGCTTTAAAATTTCTCTCATCTAGTTTTTTGACTACGAGGGCAAGCGAATGGTTCGACTATATCAATCGTTCTGAGACTATTTACCAAGAAAGTAAAAATTTGGTCGAAGATAAGTTGATCAGCATTATTGAGGAAATCGTCAAACTTAAGGATGACATGGGCTCTGTAAATCGAGACCCATGGCTCAAGCAATTGGATTGGACCCTCAAGCCTCTGAGGCTCACAAAAAAGGGAGAGCCACATAAGAATCAAAAGCTTCCAGGATATCCTGAGTGGTACAGATCGCTCTTTCCAACGAAAGATACTGAAAAACCACAAATTTCGATTCGTACCCGCCTTATTCCGATTTTCTTTAGACTTTCATGGGAAGGTTCTCCTGTTGTCTGGCACGCTGATCATGGTTGGTGTTTCTCAGTTCCATATCATTTGAAGAAGGAGTTCGAGGCAAAGAACTATATTTGTGTTAGAGATCTGAAAGATACGAACGAAAACGAAAGTGTTTTCAAGATTCCGCATCCTAATGGTCAACAGTTCAAATGCACCACATTACTTAGCAAGCCTTATATTCACTTTTTTGAAAAGGGTGTTTTGACCTCAGGTTCTGAATTAGCGCACGAGGCTTTGCAAATAAATTCTTCTGGTTCGTATTGGATGTCGGCTAGGGAGCGGATAATGTCCCAGTTTGTTGTCCCCAAGAAATGTGCTCCTTCGGAATTTAAAGGCCTGACTGGTGATAAAATTGAAAATGATGAGGTTAGTATTATTCTACCAGCGCTTATCCCGATGGGGACGGTCACGAGAAGATCCGTCGAGAATACTTGGCTCACAGCTTCGAATGCTAAATCAAATCGGATAGGATCTGAGCTCAAAGCTCAAATAAAGGCACCAAAGAATTATTGCTTTGTAGGCGCGGATGTTGACAGTGAAGAGCTGTGGATTGCTTCGCTAGTGAGTGATTCGGTATTTGGGTTACATGGCGGAACACCTATAGGCTGGATGTGCCTGGAGGGTTCGAAGGCGAGTGGAACAGACATGCATAGCAAAACAGCTAGTATATTAAATTGTTCAAGAAGTGAGGCCAAGATTTTCAACTACGGGAGGATTTATGGGGCTGGCATGAAATTTGCTAGTCAGCTTCTCAAGAAGTTCAATCCTGGTATTACCGATGAGGAGGCCAAACTTACCGCCGAAAGACTTTATGCCTCAACGAAAGGTACCATTCAGCATTCTAAAACCTTTAAAAAGTTCTGGTTTGGCGGCTCGGAATCGATTCTTTTCAACAAATTAGAGGGCATTGCTGAACAGAAAGAGCCAAGGACTCCGGTGTTAGGTGCGGGAATTACAAATTCACTGACCAAATCAAATTTGGGTAAAAGCTCCTTTCTACCATCTAGAATCAACTGGGCCATCCAGTCTTCGGGAGTTGATTATTTACACCTGCTGTGCTGCTCCATGAACTACTTGATTAAAAAATATTCCTTACGAGCTCGTCTCGCTTTATCCATTCATGACGAGATTCGGTTCTTGGCAGCCAAAGAAGACAAGTATCGTGTTGCCATGGCTTTGCAAATCAGTAATCTGTGGACCAGAGCCATTTTCTGCGAACAAATGGGGATTTCTGACTTGCCGCAAAATTGTGCCTTCTTTTCTGCCGTTGATATAGACCACGTCCTTCGTAAAGAAGTTGATATGGACTGTATTACACCGTCCAACAAAGAAGCAATACCACACGGCGTCTCATTGAGCATTAAAGAGCTGTTAGAAAAACCCGAAAGCAGTTTAGGAGATCCGAACCCAAAAATTGATGTTACGCAATTTTCTTATAACATAAGGGAACGTGTTTTAAAAGCATGCGACAAGGAATACACGGATCATTTTTTAGACTCTTTTCTGAAAATTCAGATCCAAACTGCGAAATGGAAAGTCGACGAGCTTGAGCAAGCCTTTCGCCGTGAGTTCGCAAACAAAGCATTAAAAACGCAGTTTTCTGACACTGATGAAATATCCCTTCAGGAATATATGGATGGCGTTCAACAGGACGATCCCCAGAGGGCAGGATTGGCCCAGACAAGTGCTCATGGAAATGTCATTGAGTTGCGGGCTTCAGACGCTTTAGGGCCTTTTTCCAACCTTCGCGATCAAGCCAAAATTGCAGCTTGGAACACTCGGGCAAGTACTTTCGATCTAGAATCACAGCATTTAGTCTCAGCAAAGGAGGGTTTAGACGCATCGGCAATCAAAGCTTCGCGTTTGGGGACTTGTATCAAGACAAGAAGAAACAAGCGAGTAATTGGAGGAACGAACGCATATACTGCTTTCGAGCAATGCATGAATAAACCTAGAAGCTACGTTGACACAGTTCAAAAAGCACTTTCCGCTATCGATGTTGATACTGTCGTCAAAAATGTGGTAGAAGGTAAAGCTGTGCCCGAGAAACGAGCAAAATCTGCAAACCCTGCCAAACTTGTGGGCTCAACCAAGAAAAGAGCCAAAAACCCCTGTACAACAAAAGCAGAATCGCGCTTTAAAACCACCAACGAAAAGGAGTTTGGTGGTTCTTTTCCGCGTCGGACTTTGAAAACGAGCGACACTTCACTGGCATCAAATGGGCTTTAGGTTCTAACAATAAGTATAATACGACAAAGTTTGATGTGTCACTCAATTACCCAAGTTTGAATGCTGTTGTTGACGGTTCCAGTAATCCTGAATTGCTTGTTCAATATCAGCGTCTGTCTTGACACTTTTCAGAAACTCTGTTGCCCGCTTTTCGGATACTTTACGTGGCTCTCTGTCCTCGACACGTCCTTTTAAATAGTTCTCATTAACATAAACGTCATTGTACCTGATTTCGGAGTTCCTCACCTGCTTTTGACCGTTATTATCAAAATGTTGGTGGCTCTCCTGAAGGTCATTACCTCTTAGTAGACTTGTCGAGGCGAAAAATGTACGCCCACACAATCCTGTAAGATCATGCGCTTCTAGTTCCTCCCGTTCATTTACGGTGTGAGCCGCAGCTTCTAGCTCTTTCTTCTTATCCGCATACCCTTTTGTCAGGAATTTCTGTCCTCTGGGACTCTTTGCGTCGAACTTCTGCTGTTCCAATTCATTTTTAACTGCTTGATAATAAAGCCTACCAAGCTCCTTATCCTTTTGAGACTCTAATATACTCTTGATATACCGAGATTCGTTGGGTATCTTCGATTTTGGCTCTTCTAATTTAGGTTCCTCGCAAACTTTCTGAGACCAAGATTGTGCTGCTGAAGCTTTCTGAACTTTATCACTTCGCGCCTTTATGTAGTTGAGATAACCATCATCACTACTATCACTTTCGCTACTATCATCGTTTCCAAATGCTCTTTTTCTTGGTTTCGGCATTGTTGATGATATGAATGGTATAAGCCAAATATATTTCGCAACCATCTTCAACCTTTAACTAGCACAACTTTAGTCAATATTTTAAAGCCATAGATGTCCTACGATTGGCTAAACGTTCCTGGCATTGTAATCAACAATGAGGATTCAAATCTGGGGGCACAACCACCGCCCATGGTCTCGTTCAATTTTGGAGAAAGAGAACATACCTCCAATGCTAATAACGCATACAACAATCAACCGAAATTACAACATGGTATTCGAACCAATTCCGGATCTTCTGTGTCCGCAGACAATATAAACCGGTATCCAGAAACGTTACTTTCTACTCAGCCGGGCCATGAGCGAAGAAGTGCATCGGAAACGGAACTGTCGAAATACGCCGAAACTCAAGAAGACTTACAAGTTCCGCTTTCACTTTCGCGAAGTCAATTGACCAAAGAAGAAATTAGAACGTACCTCCGATGGTATAATTACATTGCGAGCCGGAAAGGGTCGAAACTGATTTCTCTTGAAGACGTTTTTAGATTCCTTTCGAATTTCCCTCTGAATGAAATTATCAAAACTAGAATAGAACACATTTTCAAGAGTTGTCGAGGCGCTTTGAATATTGGCCGGTTTTTTGCGGTTCTGCGTCTTGTTTCGCGTGCCCTCACTAAGGGAGTGCTTCCAACGCGAAGTATGTTGAGAGAATCTGCGCCTATCCCAAAACCAAAATCTATTTTGGCGCAGGGAAATAACGAAGTCTACGAAGAAGTTGACGAAACACCCCGAGGCGAAAAACCTGAAATTGATTTTGATAGTTTTGCAGCTTTACTGCTCACCGGCCAGAAGAAGAAGAGGCTAAGAAGAAGAATTATAAATTACGATAAACGGTCTAAAAGTGTGCGTTTTTCTGACAAGTTGGTAACGTTTCAGGACGAAATGGTCAAGCCTGAATTTGTCGCGAACCATGAAGCCGCTGTCAATGGTGAAGACGAGGGCCATGATGACGACCCGTCTGAAGGCGCACCTTTGGATCTTTCATTGCCGATGGATCAACTTTTGAAGAAAATAGCATCCAGAAAGAAGAAGAACGACGCATTGGTAGAAAAGCTTCCTTCGGAGCAGGAGCCTGAGACCCAAGAGGAACGAGAAGTTTTAGAAGGCATGAAGGAGTCCCTGAATCATTTTCATCAAATTCAGAACGTCGACAACGTTTCGCGAAGCGGAATTACAGCCCAAATTAATAATGCACAAGCGACGGCAAATCATCTCAATGTCAATCAAACTCTTTTGGAACCTTTGAAACCTACCGCAACTGGATCTGCGAATCACCTTTTCAGGTCTAATTCTCAGCCAGCCAATGTACAGCAAAAACAGTTTCCTTTGCAGGAGCAATCCGGACAGGTGCCGGTAGTGCCAAATACGATAGAGCCCTTGCGTCCAACGGCAACAGGATCAGCAAATTACATGATGAGGCGCCATCAGAACCTACCACCGCCACAATCACTCCCTGCAGGTAATGCTACGACGAATGTGCACAATTTGTTTCTAAGTCCAGACTCAAACTACGTTTCGTCTCCCCGTTTAGGCGAACCCGCAGGTCATTCCGGAACCGCAAGTGATTACTTTCAAAACCTGTTGTCGCACTCGCCGTCCCCTAACAACAGCAGCGCGAGTTTACGTCCCGAAAACTATGGAATATCGTCTCAAGCCAACGGTAGCAGTCTAAGACCACCACCGCCACATCCTTTTCACCAACGACCAATGTCAGTATCACCTCAACCTACCCCAGGCGGGTATCCGAATTTTTTCCAGCAGATGTCTGCTAGTTACACTAATATGCCCGTATTCCAGCATCAAGACATGTCTCCTTCTCCCGTACACCAAATTTCTCCTGCGCCGCCCCTTCATTCTCAACAGGGCAACATCTTGGGCGACCTGAGAGCCCTCAAAGAGCAAGTTGATCAACTACAAAACAACTATAACAGATAAATACACAGTTTTTTTCAGAAGCAAACCAGCATTTTACTGTAAAATCAGAAGCTAAAATAATTTTGTCAAATGCTAGCAAGAATTTCAGAATCTTTATTGTTGTCAGGTTGGCGCTGAAGGCTAGCAATTTTGTTAACCTATAAATATGTCGCTGGTGTTAAAAAGAGCTTTGTTTTTCGCGGAAAATCGTCCAACATGATATCACCAATTGATCACTTTTTAGAAACGTTATAGTTTCAAGGCTTTAAATCACCTTCTTGTCAGTAGAATCACGAAACAGATAAGCCCAGGATGTCTTCTTCTGTGCCATATGACCCATATATTCCTGCCGAGGAATCAAACTCGCAAAATAAAACCGCAGCTTTGAAAGCAGTATGTGTTTGTTCGCCTACTCGTTGATATTACCATGCTGAAACTGAATTCTCACTAACACGTATTTGGCAGGAAATCGATGATACCGTGGGTATCATGAGAGATAACATCAATAAGGTGGCGGAGCGCGGTGAAAGGCTCACTTCAATTCAGGACAAGGCCGACAATCTCGCCGTCTCCGCTCAAGGATTTAAGAGAGGTGCTAACAGGGTTAGAAAACAAATGTGGTGGAAGGACTTGAAAATGAGACTCTGCCTTGTCTTGGTGATTATTATTCTTTTGGTGGTTATTATCGTTCCCATTGCAGTTCATTTCAGCTGATTATTCGTTGTCTTGGCTGTGGAAGACAAACTTTGTATCCCAGTGTCTGATTTTCCCTCATCATACCAACGAAGACCATCGTTACCTTTCCCGCAAGTTCAATGAATGGGTTTTGATATCGCATTAAAATGAAATTCAGTGACAACTATAGTTTGATTAGCAGATGCAAGATCAGGCGCATACAGATGTGCACCAACATATATGTAGACTAATTAGTAAAAACAGAATTGATGGATTACATTATAAGCTTCGCGACTAGACGTAAAATTTCCTGGCATGCTTATTGACCGCCCCTGTAGAGAACCTTCAAGTTAGTTTTTGGGCCTCTTGTACCGTCACATGCTGAGTGACTAACTCCACCACTCTTCTCGTTAATGGTAGGTTCATCCATGCTGGAATATATGCTTCAATGCGGCCAAACTGCCTCGTTTCAATCAAATTGAAAGGATCTTCGAATGGACCACTATCGACCGACAAAAATATATCACTGCTATGCGTTTGAGATTTGCCATCGGACGATAGTGATGACTCGCTCTTGACACGATCTGCGACGAATTTAAGCAGATCTGGAGAAATTGGAACTTCATAGTCAGCAACGGCGTACTGGGAAATAAGTTTTTGAATTTGAGCCGGTTTTAATGCCGAACATATTTCCCAAATAATATTGATATCCCTGAGGTTTGCCTTTTTCAATTGCAGCAGTTTTGAAGCTTGTAGCATGTGTTGCAGGCATTCTGTACCTTCTGGTAAATGATGAGACTTGCACCACTCCTCTAGACGAGTGACATTGTAGTTCAGCTGTAAACCACGTTTCCAAGATAAAAAGTTTCTCCGCATGATCAAATCGTTGAAGCAGATGGCATCGACATGCTTGAGAAGTGTGATTATCACATCTCGGAAAACTTCTTGCTCAACGTGATAGGCTTTCATCGACCAATAGATACTATTGAAGAATGTCAAAATGTCATCCATCTTGTAACTAGTACTCTGAGCGAAAAGTTTCGGCAGGAATGGTGATGATTCAGGAGCAATAAATCCAGGTAGCGACTGAGACATAACGACAGCAGAGATGGCCTTTTTCTCAAGATCTTTCTGGAGTTTCTTTAGCCAGATGTTGTAGATGTTGTAACTCAAGGATTCGAAGTCATCCTTCAACTCTGTGACGAGAGTCACATATTCCTTGTATTCTTCCTCATTTAGTCCACTGTTGTATGAATCGTCGTTGAGAATCGATTCTTGGGCGTACACAACAAAAGAGTATAGTTCGCGAACATTTGTTAGCCAAAACGCACCGTGTGAAACCAAATCCTCTCCCTTCAGATTTGTAACCAATTTCTGAATGGTAGACATTGCCTCGGCCAAGAAGCTCTCGCTTTGCTTAGTGAGGCCAAGCCGCCACATATCACTCAAAATGATGATCATAATTCTTGCTGGATAGAGAACTTCCTTTCTGGTGAGTTCGACAGCTACACCGGTCTCCGGCGTTTTGAATGCCTTTAGTAAGCCTTCGACGATCTCAGTGTTCAACGCTTTGGTATCTTCCAGCAATTTGTAAAGTTCATCGTTTATCTGCGACAAAGCACTGGCAGTTGATCTAGCATCTTCCTCCACTCCATTATTCATGGAAACAACGTTGAATTGTCGAGGAGAAGTCCCATCCATGAGACTGCTATGGTTGCTGAACCTGCGAGATTTTGTTGGTGTAGACGTATTCACACCGTTCGTGGCAATTCCATTGCGAATTGCATTCTGTAGACGGCCAATTTCGTCTTTTAGCGATTTCACCTCATTCTTCAAATCTGAATTTTGGGTTTGAGAGTCCGTATATTCTTGTCTTACTTGCTTGAGTTCCTCGAGTTTTGTCTTGACATCCTCTTGCAATCTAGCTTGCTCCTCGATCAATTCATCGATTTCGGCTCTGGCCTTGCTCAATTCTTCTTTAGCAAGAACAAGTTTTTCGTTGACCGCCGCTACCTCGGATTTATGCGTGTCGCTTCGGGCTTGTAATTCCCTTGCATGATCGCTCTTCTGAGTTGCTAGCAATGTCTTTATGTTTGCGGACTCATTCAAAGACTGTTGTAAAGATTCGATTTTCAAATTCAATTGACGATTGTCTTTGACCTTTTGGGCCAAAGATTCGGTCAGCTCGATGACTTTGTTTTCCAGCTTATACCCAACTTCTTTCAAGTGGTTGACAGATTTGGCATCCGCCTTTAGCTGCTTCAACTGCTTTTGAGCCAAGATCCTACGAACACCAGATTGGACAGTAACTGTTGATCTTTTTACCAAACGGTATTTCTGCCTTGGGACGAAACCTCTAATGTTGCTTTGAATGGCAACGACAGCATCCATTCTTTGTCTCTCAGCCAACTCCCTCTGCATTAGTTTGCGCTTCACAATACCTTGAATTTTAATCATTGTAGCTATCAAGCCCAACACTCGGTCTCGAGTGCTGATACCTCTGAATACACTTTGCAAAACTAGCGCTGCTTCGGTCTCCATTTGGATCTCAATCTGCTTACGAATAACAAAGCCATTTGTCAAGGCCTGGAAATTCTTGAGAGATTTCATTGTTACCAAGTACTGGCGTCTATAATAGAGTGCTTTGACCTTCTTTTGAATAAGGACGGATGCAGCATGCATCTTGTTTCCTCTCAATTTTTCCAAGTAGGCCAACATACCAGCTTTGAAGAAAATCTTGGTATTACCCAGTTGATATTTTTCCTTGTCTCCCACCGACACATCCAAGATTCTTCGGCACATATCTCTGACGTCTTCCTCAGTAGCCTCTGCAGTGAAAATTTTAGTCCAGTATTCGGAAGGAATCAAGATATGGTATCTAAGCACAAATTCGTTATACGTCCATCTGGATGGGAAACCGGCACATGAAATTCTGATTGTCTCTAAAACACCGCATGCCCTTAGCTGAGATAAAACCATCAAATTATCAAATTTCCAAGCCTCTTTGTCCTCGTTAGGCTTAATGCAACGAATATAATGAACATTTGTAGAATTAATGGTGTTCATCAATTCTATCAGCGAATTTTTGAAAATGGAACCCAAAGTTGGTTTCCTGTTTATCATTCGTGCTCCCCCTGGTTTCTTATTTGCCTCTTGCTGCTCAGCAATCTTGGCAGCGTTTTTGTCAATCGTACTCAAGATCGATAAAAGCGTTGGGTTAGCAGAGGCCTTGAGGACCTCCAAATGTCCATCCGACACCGTGTCTCTGTTCTTCTCAATGAATCCATCAACATCGTAAGCCACGTCCAGTGCATAATGGGACACAACGAATTTGGACTGTCCGAATCTCGGCTTAGAGAAGACTTCATTTGTAGGAGGTTTGTCTAGGGTTTGATACAATTTTTGAGTCCAACCTTCATCAGAGCCAGCCGGCAACCTGGATTCTTCGTCCAACAGCGATAAAATACCAACTTTATTCTCAATAAGGTCGATACAGGGTTGGTTGTCGTTGAATTCTATGAAAGACCATTCAATCTCCTCGGTAACGTATTCTTGTTGCTCTAATTTGAAGACATGCTGGTTAAACTCTTGCTGCAGTTTTTCGTTCGCGTAGTTAATGCAAAATTGTTCGAAAGAATTTACTTCGAAATGCTCGAACCCATAAATATCCAGTACTCCAATGAAAGATTCAATCTCGTTGGCCACTTCAGGATTACAGAGAACGGTGTTGATGTTTTCCACAAGCCAATCGAAAAGAGCAGAAAAGATGAATTTCGCGACGGAGTCCCGTGCTACCAAAGCTTGGCTATAACTCAAGTTTGACACAATCTTTTCCGATCTGGTGACAATTTGCTTCTTGGTGATCCACTTGGCAAAATTGAAGGAGTCAATTTCCAAAAGTTCACAAACTTTTTGCAAATTGGGTTCGTCAGAGCTCAGAGAAGCATCGTTTCTTGTCTTTTTAACTTCGATGTTACCAATATGCAGCAAAGCTGCCAAGATTTTGAAAAGTTGAAATTGGGTATCAGCAGAAAATCCCACGGTGCTGAGCGCCTCAACTGTGATTTGATAATCCTTTGCATCATCGACTCCATCGATGTGATGTGCTCCACCCTGATTTAGATAGTGGTAGTCCTCAATTTTCGTCAAACCTAATTGATCGCGCTGTTCCTGCGGTAGACCTTCCAAAAGCTGGTAGAAAATGTGGTAATTACGTTCATTTTGAGGTTGAAACACAAGTCGAGACCGCTCCAACAAGTATGTCCTAATGCGAGCACCTATGATACTCGTTTTCTTGTTGAAAAGAATTTCCAGATATTTCCCGAATCTCGAAGAGTTATCGTTTCTGGTGGTCTTTGCATTACCAAATGCTTCCATGATCGGATTTGTAGCCAAAATCCGTTCTTCTGTCTCCGACATCTCCAAAGGCGCGTGGCCATTGGAGGATCTGTGATCGACAGCCTGTTCTACTGACGCGAAATACCGCATGATGTACTTAGCAGACACCGTTTTACCGGCACCGGACTCTCCGCTCACGACGATGGTTTGATTCTTGTGGTCATTCTTCATCAGACGGTATGCTTCTTCCGCTATGGCGAACAAATGCGGCTCGAGTTCACCACGCCTTCTACCGGCGTAAGCTTGAATCATGTCCTGCGAATACAGCTGTTCGACCCGGTCGAACGGATTCGCTGCAATCAGCACGATACCGGAATATGTGTAGATGTTCAGCTGACCGTACCTCGCCCGGATCGCATGCAACACTGCGGGCTCGTTGAGATACGACAACGACGTCAGATCCTCGATGGCCTCGAGAATTGGCGGATTTCTGAGCAAGGGCAGGACATTGTCTTTGTCTTCCTCGAGAGACTTCGTCTCGATCTCGACATTTTCTCCGCTGGCAAGCGTCAGCGTCAACTGGTATTTGTCGTTGTTATGCGCGTGACTCGTCACCTCTGCGCCTATCCATCCCTCTTGCTTGTCTGGATACCAACACCGGGTTCCGACTTCGAAGCTGGACATGAACGCGCAATTTTCTATGCACACCTGCCACCTAAGTTCTTCTATCTATATCTTGGAGTGATCCTGGAGTGACTGGGACACTATTATAGCTCTTTCCCAATTCACGTTCACGTTCAAATTCGCGTCTTTGATCTTTGATCTTGTTTACTATGCCCTAAAAATTGACAGAAATTGACGCTTTTAAACGGACTTTTTCGGCTGATGTCCTGTCAAATGCTTCAATTGACGCTTATCTCCTCAAATTGGCCCTGATTTGACGCTGATTTGGTCCCAAATACGCCTTTGATCAACTCTGATCCACGTTGTTTCTTATAAAACTTTTATTTTCGGACACCTGCAAGACCTCCAAAAATCTCAAACGGGCCACAAAAGATCAGTGATTTGATACGACAACCGTCCAAAAAACCAACTGTTCCATTCCGACCAGCATTGGGGACGAATCACGAACCGAGTCAAGCCGTAAAGAGTGTTTGTGAATTCGAATAGTTTCCTAAGAAGCTAATAAAACTACAACGAATCCGCCACGAATCCGCCAACTTACAAGCATGATACATCGACCATGTCAAAAATAGAGTACTTAGGCGTCTCCTTCGTTCTTCCTTCGAACACTTGTTTCTAGCATTCCTGGTTGGCTTCCGCTTTTTTGAACTTAGTACAATGTACAGTGTCCTGGAGAGAGAAACTTACATTCGGCTAATTAGAGATCGAATAAGGTTGCCCAATAAGTCGGAAGTTGTCCGTGTAGAATAAGTTCAAGTCACAAGTCGTCTAATGGTCGCGGTTAGCTCCACCTCAAGCCGTTAAAGCTGATGACTTCGTCGCATATCACGAAATTTCTATACTGATGGTTTAGAGAAATCGTCAACTACACTTACACTAGCTGACAGAAAAATTGAGTTTCCCGGTTATTGGATTTGGGATCTCACAGCGTAATCGTATTGTCTATTCAAGTCATTATTTGGCTCGTCCTATCACCGTCATGGATTTGTTAAGGTTTTGGGTAGTTTCTTACGGGATGACATGTCATAATTGCGAGAGGAATCTGGGAGGTAAATGCGACTTCAACCCGCTAATTCAATCTGAAGTAGCTAAGGATCACACTGAAAGATCAGCTCAAGTGAGCAGACAAGTCAACTACCTCTCAAGTAAATCAAATTTACGCTGTAATGTCTAATTCGTGTAAAGAGAGTTGTCGCGTGACCCGAAAAGCTAGACTCACCGAATTTGTTCCTAATGCTGATCAGAACTATATAAACGCAAGGGAAATAATATTGGACTCGTTCCATCAATATGGTCTATATCTTCTCGATATGGTCGATATGTTATAGTTTTGCGGCACTTTGGGCTCGTACTGCTGGCTATTCTTATCTTTAAAAGACATTTAAATAGTATCTGGGCTCGACTGAACCACCGATTGACGATTTATCTTGAGCAGAGTAGTACCTGCTTGAAGTGTTTGAAGTGGTTGACGTGACTACAGTGTGCGTCTTCCATGGGTACCGTGTTCTTCTTGTAGTCCTCTCTTGCGTGCGATTGCTTACTTTTTGAGCCGTGTAATATCTTAGAAAAAGCAGGTCAAAGGGAAGGCCAAGAGCTGCATTAAGAGCTCTAAGGGTTTGAATTCGCGATTCTCTGCCGCTGAGGCATCTTCTGCTACGTACTTGTTCACAGGTTTTCACTTAGAGTGTGAAAAGTCAGTCATAACGACTTGAATCCATCTTGCAGAATAGACCTTTCTGTATGGTCGTGGCGTCAATGACAAAATCTCCTGAGACGCGAGTTTCAAGACTTGCGCGACAGTCGTCCGATGCAAGCCACACGTCGACCGTTGCGATTAACAATCTTCCACGACATGCATTTCACAGGAGCAGCCATTACGGACGCAGCGGACTGACAGAACCGGATTTCACGTCGACAGCGGTCGGCAAGTACAGTGAATGCATGTTCCACAGTCCTCAACCGGCAGAATTACATTCTGCAGGTACCGGTGGGGGATATCTAGATAAGCTAGATGAGGGTAATTCGGCGACCCAGTCATCTTTGTCTTTGCCTAAAAGAACTATAGGTACTCGTCCGCTGTTCTCCCGATCGTATTCCAATGTGCCCAGCTCGTCTACACCTATGACACCTTACCAGAGGCATCGTCGCAGTCCGTCGTCCGCCGCCCATGTCACGTCAATGGACGACGGGAAACGGCTCGTATATCAGTTTCTCAACGCGGACAATGAAATGAAGATGCAGGGAAGCTCGCAATGGTCAGAACGTTCCAAATCAAGCCAGTTTTCAGTTTATCGCGACTCCAAACGCGACAGTCTCTCGCACCTTGTGTTCTGCGACCTCCAGCGCACGTTGTCGTCTGGTCCCTATGAAAAGGGCATTGAATCTCTCAACTGCGACGCTGAGGTTCTCTCGGAGCACTACGAGGACTACATCACGCGGGCTTCAGGCAAACTCGAAAATTCTATCAAAGAAGCACTTATTGGAGGTCTCTCCGGGAAAGAGACCGAGATGAGACGCAGTTTTGGACAACTGGATGCATTGGGGAACGATATTGCATCTTTGAAGACCATCATCTTGGGTATTCGGGTTGACGTCGAGGACAAACTTATGACGGATCTCCAGTATGCGTTCGACAATACCGATCCGGAGTCCTTTGTTAATAAGCTCAGCAAATCGGTAAATCAGCATTTGAAGGGACTGGAAGAACTCGAGGAACGGATATCACGATGTAAAGAGGAGCTAGCACTACAAAAGGACGCACTTCAGAAATTGGAAGCTACGTTACGATTGAACGAGAAATTACGAGATACGCAACGTAATATGCGCCTTGTGGACAAAATACGAGACAATTTGGGCATTTTGATTGATCTAACAGGCATTTTACTAATTGTCTGCATGTTCAGTCTACTCAGGAAGTACCTTACGTTTGGCAATTCCAAATAAGCATCTGGGCTGAACGGCAGAGCGCGAGCGGCTTAAAATGAACGTGAGAGAACTGATCTTGGCAAAAGCGACGAGAGACGTTCCTTCTACGGACTTAAGCAGTAAACAAAACAAAAGAGCATTCATTGCAGGTAGCCAGTGGTTTGTAATTTTTTAAAAAAACAGTGTACTACGTTGGCTTAAACTGCCGGAAGGATTGGCAGATTATCATCGATTCTGTTTTTTAAGCTTTTATGCATTAAAAGCTGGCTCTTAAATTCATGTATAACATCATCACCAAAGGCTCAAAAAAACTATACTACACCAAATGGCGCCTTCGTATGTCACAAAAATGCTAATTGAAGTCTTGAGAGATCAGAGGACTAACCATTCCCCACGTTTCTTCAGTCTAGCTGTCATCGAAGTTGCTGAAGATGTTGTCTTGCCCATAAGAATATTCGTGAACAGGAGACAGTTGCTAAAGAACATCGAAAACTGTACGTATGATATGCGATACAACTACCAGGAGCCCCTGCTAACCACCAATATCAGCCAAAACCGTTTTCGAAACGCCAATTCTACCAAACAACTCCATCATTCGACTTAAATCGCCAGTCATGCGAATTTACCTCTCAAACGCAGACATGAAAGCCATGTGCGAAGAGATAAAACCAGAATTGCAGATCATTCTGTATGAACTAACGTCCAAAGAAGTATCGGAGGCAGTTTTGGATAAGCTTAAAGTGGGCAACGTCCTCAATTTCAAAGACGTTGTTCCTCATCTCCCGCTGTCCAAATACAGAAGAAACAAACTGCAAGATGACACCGTTACCGACCTATACAATCTGACAACCATTGAAAAGACGACCCGTAACCAGTACAAACTTCATTTTCGCAAATCGTGGGAACTGGATATTTACGTTAACGACATCAAGAAGCTTGATCGAATAAGAAATTTGCTACTACAACAAGCGGCGCTGCGTTCGAATAATAACAATGCACTTCCGTGGTTCCCATTGCTAGACGATGGGAGCATGAAGATCATATCTCGCCGAAGCGTGACTAGCCTGAAGCCTTCATCGAAAGATCACGTGTTTTCACCAGAATCAGCCACCCCACCTCCGCCTATCTTACAGGAACACTCCATGGAGCCCGCATTGCCCTTGGAGAACCCCGACCACGTAGCGACCGCTGATATCGACGAGGAGGACAAACCCATTTTGGATTTTAAACACTTTCAACAGACAAATTTAGGGAAATGTATCGATATTCAAGTATTACAGCGGCCGAGAAGGCGATATTAAGGCGATATTAAGGCAAAATCAAGCCGGAAATGGTTAACATTAGGAAGAATGGGATTTACAGACCATTTTAGTGGGTTCTATTGTGGTGGTTTTTTTGATCTTTCTGTTACTGTTAGCCATACTGGCGAGAAATTGAAAAATTTCATAGAGAAAAAGACGAAGCGACACTTGAGTCATCGGAAATTAAAGAACCACTATCAAAGAATAAACCGATGCAAGCTTCCGCAGAAACTATTGCTCAACAAGCCCGCAAGGCAGGTAACATTCTCAAGACTTTATCTGACGAGAACCGCTCTGCAATTTTGTTTAAGATCCATGATGGATTAAAAGAAAATGCGGAGTTGATTAGAAGGGCCAATGCACTTGACTTGGAAAAGGCAAGAGAAACCAACTTGACGCAATCTCTTTACAAGAGACTAGACCTGTTCAAGGGGGATAAATTCGAAACGATGCTTCAAGGCGTGAAAGACGTTGCAGCTCTCGCGGATCCTGCGGGGAAAGTGAAGTTGGCTAGGCAGTTAGATGAAAATTTGAATTTATATCAAGTAACTGCTCCAGTAGGCGTTTTGCTTGTAATCTTTGAGTCTAGACCCGAAGTCATCGCTAACATCACGTCTCTTTGCATTAAGTCGGGAAACGCTGGTATTCTAAAGGGTGGGAAAGAGTCTGTCAACACTTTTAGAGAGATTTCGAAAATCATAAATCAAGTCATAAGCGAAAACGTCGTGAGTACTGGTGTTCCCGTGGGCGCCGTTCAGCTTATAGAGACTAGAGAGGATGTGTCTGGTCTGCTAGAGCAAGATGACTACATTGATTTAGTGGTTCCTCGTGGTTCAAATGCATTGGTAAAGCAGATCAAATCCTCGACCAAAATTCCAGTTTTAGGGCACGCCGACGGAATTTGTTCCATTTACCTCGATAAAGATGCCGACTTGGAGCAAGCCAAACGCATTACTTTAGATGCCAAGTGCTCCTATCCCGCCGGTTGCAATGCGGTCGAGACGTTAATTGTCAACCGTCAGATGCCAAACTGGTGGGATGTATTGATTAACCTTTCGGAGGCGGGCGATGTGACCATTCATGCTACTCAAGAAGTCAAGAAGCTCTATTTGGTAAAGCTTCAAGATTTGGGATTAACAGAGACCTTCAAAGAAAAAGTTGTCGATGTTGACGAAAGTGTCGACTTTGACCAAGAATTTCTTTCTTTGGACATTGCTGTCAATTTCGTCAACACTGTGGAAGAGGCTGTGAGTCACATTAATACTCACTCATCAAAGCACACTGACGCTATCGTGACCGAAAATGAACAAAATGCCGAGCTGTTCTTGAAGGCTGTTGACTCTTCTGGTGTTTACTGGAATGCCTCCACAAGGTTTGCCGACGGCTTCAGATATGGTTTTGGTACGGAAGTTGGAATATCAACTAGCAAAATTCACGCGCGCGGTCCAGTTGGTCTTGATGGCTTAGTCAGTTACCAATATCAGATCAGAGGGAAGGGCCAAGTCGCCAGCGACTATGTTGGTTCTGGTGGCAAGAGAGCGTTCTTGCATAAGGACTTGGATCTGGCAAAAGTTAATATTTAAAATGTTGATTTAAGAGTAAGGAGAAATAATAGCATCGATTCATAAAACAGACATCAAAATATATCAGTAGGCCTAATAATCTTTGAAAGGATTGGCAGAAGCATCCTGTAGCTCACCGTAAGTTCCCCGTTTGAGGGTAGTGTCATACATCCTTATAATTTTGTCTTGTCCTCCTTCCTCACTTTGAGAAAAGGCAAACCCTCTTTGTTTCTTCATTCTCTGTACTTGCCTTACCCTACGAATGGCTTTCTGGAAATGCTCGACCCGAGGTCTATAATCACCGATATTGTACTTTTGCATCTCTTGAACAACATGGTAGGGCTCTGGCGTGTAGGTTCTCTTGTAATACTTCCAGATGAAATCTCTGAGAAGGGAGAAAACTGGCAGAACTAAGCACATGAACCAGAAGGTTGCTGATCCGTAAACGTGAGGGACTATGCCATAGTACTCCTTAGAAACATTGGCATGCGGTAATATGCTGGCGTAAATGGGAAAGAACACAAGCCAAAATACCATAGAGCCAGGTATGGCAAAAGCTGTGAATTTTGTCCACTGATTCGTCACCAAAGCTGCCTTGCCCAAGACGGTCATACAGCTTGCGGTGTAAACAGCGACACCCCAAGTCCAATGATCTGAGGTAGTGCCATGCATGTTGAGAACGTTGCCATTGCGGTAAAATAATATCGAACCCACAAACGTTACCGCAGAGTGATAAAACCCATTAATTACCCAACCCCAAAAGATTGTGACCGAAAAGAATTGTCCTTTCTGACCAAGTTTGTATAATTGCGGGTATCTGTCAAGAAGTCTGCTGCTAACAAATTGATCAAACACTCCCATAACAAAAGGTGGAAGCACCGTGAATAGAAGATTGTAAAAGGTCATTGTCCATGACTCCATGATGGACTGTCCCGAAAAGGCATTGGCAAAAACGTACCAGAATTGAGTCATGTAAAGTGCGATATTCTTGTAAAATGAGTATAAGATCGCTTGCGAGATGCGCTGGTAAGACCATGAACCATGAACGAGTAAAAGCTTTTTCAAGAATTTGAATTGAGCCACCGCAAAATCCGCTGAGCGCGCCGCCTGCATACCTTCCATCCCACTAATTCCAATGCCAACATGTGCAGCTTGAATCATACTCACGTCGTTGGCTCCATCGCCAATGGCTAGAAGTAGTGACTTCGATCTGTTTTTTACCATTTTTACCACTAGGGCTTTTTGGAGAGGGGAAACTCTACAACAGATCACGGCCTTGCACAGAGTACCTATCTCTAAGAGGCTCTCTTCCAATTCAGTTCCGAGAATAAAGCCCAGAGATTTACCGTCAATCACAAGGGCTAAATTGTTTATGTCCTGTTGGGAAATTTGATGATCATTGATAGCTTTCAACTTTTCTCTTAGATTTTTATGAGTATCTTTGACGTTGTCTTCATTTATTATTAAAAGGTTCATGTCCTCACTTAGAAGATGACAACTCATCCCAATATTAATGGCAGTTTCTTGCCTATCCCCTGTCAAAACCCAAACTTTTATTCCCGCCTCTTGTAGAGTATGAATTGTGTCAGGAACACCATCTTGGAGTTTATCTTCAATAGCGGTTGCGCCAATTAAAGTTAAATCCTGTTCGATGAGCTCAGCAACATCATCGAGCTTTTGGTTTCTGTTTTCTAACGTAGTGGAGGCCCCTTCATATTTTAGTGCCCAGCTCAAATAATCTTCTTCACGGATGTCTTTCATCGCAATGCATAATGTCCGTAAGCCCTCCGAGGCGTAATCTTCAAGGTGCCTTAAAGTCGCATCCGTGTAAGGGTTATTTTCCTTGTCTAGCCTCTCCAAGATCACACTATCTGCTCCCTTGCAAAAAAGCTTGATACTATTATCCGGCATCCTGAAAATTGCGCTCATGCGCTTTCTCGTAGAATTGAACTCACAGATGTTCAATAGCTGGTATTCGAGTTGCGAGTGCGTCTGCTCGATATCAATTGTGACAGAATTTGGTTTACGAATCACAAATTTGTAACCCAGCATTGCAGCGCCCTCCACCAAGGCACACAGGGGATCTGGCGACGCAGCCTGGTACTTTATTGAACCATCATCTTGAAATTCTGGTATGACCGTGTGACAAGTAGCTAGGAGCGTCAAGAAGTTTGAGATTACTTTGGATTCAGGATCATGCAGATCTTCTAGCTTTTGCTTCATTTCATCGAATTTTCGATAACCAACTTCAATACCGTCCTCGATTGTGGCACCTTTATCCTCGGGGACCGCTTCGATGTAAGATCGACCTGCAATTGAACATGACTTAAACTCCATAACATTTCTCGTTAAAGTTCCGGTCTTATCGCTAAAAATGTATTCGATCTGTCCCAACTCCTCGACTAATGACGAGGTTCTCACTATAGTCGGCGTATCAGTTTGCTCATCATAAAGATCTAGATCTGATGCAATCATGTAGGCCTGATAATATTTAATCATCTCCACGGTCACAAATAGCGAAATTGGCACCAAATTTGAGAATAAAATCCAATAAGTTAACAGATCCTTGAAGAAAAGGGCCGCCTTGTTTGTCCCACCCAAATAAAGATAAGAAAGATGATCTGCGTCGGTCGACACCATAATAACGTTACCAATGGAGGAAATCAGTGCAAGTGTAATTAAAACACCGAAAAGGGCAACAATTTGTAAATTAATCACCCTCTCAACTGCAGTCCGCTTGATAGGTGTTGCTGTCGCGTTGCGCATCAGCTTGGTTTCATGACCAGTGAAAATGACAATGCCGTAGATCCAAGCAGTGTTCCTAAGTGTTGCGCCTCTCAAGATCATCTGTTCAGGGCTCAGGGGAATTCTTTTCCCACCAAATGTAAGCGTTCCCTCATAGGTATATAAACTGGAGTTAGGCTGTTCGGACTCGATTTTTCCTGAAAACTGGGCAAGATCTCTGCTATCCATCAATTTAGAAGTCTCGACGCGAGCCTGCTTGATTTTCAAATTAGTCTCACCGTCCAGATTGGCAGTCTCAATATAACAAAGCCCTTCTGGTTCTGAGGAAGAAAGAAGCACGATATCTGCAGGTATGGCTTCTTCTGATTTGACTCTTATGATATCTCCGACAGATATATCTACCCACTTCCTTGAAGTGAAATCTTGCATTTCTTGACTGAAAACTTCTGCCCTCGAATAGTTGAGTTCCTTGTCAGAGTTAGCTCTTTTAATGTCCTCGACGGATTCTTTGATTGCGGATACAATCAATACTATCAATAACGTACCAATTGTAGTGAATCTATTCGTCGGCGTAACATTAGGAACCTGTTGAATAGCCGATGTGAAAAGGAAAAACAAATTGGCGTACTTTGAGAACTCCTGAAATAGAAACTTAGGTAAAAAAGTCGCTGCATTGTATTTGGTGGTTGAGATGTGATTGTCTCCAAATCCAGAGTTGGCATGTAGGTTTTCATCGTTAATGCTAATCGAACGAAACGTCATTCTGTCATCTGGATTTGCGATGTTTTTACGCATAATGTACTTGTTGAACAGAATCTTCATGTCAAACTTATTACGCGATTTCGCATATCCATTTTCATGCCTGGTATCGCCGAGAGTCTGCATTTCGAAACTTTGATATTGTTGGTCCTGTTTGGCACCAAGACCAATGCCGGTCTTAAGAGACCGGAAAATTCTTTGAGCCCTCGAAGGTTGGCTTAGCGTAAAACGATTCAATTGATCATCGTGACCAGCCATAAATGTTTCCCTTTGCCGGTCCGAAAATGGATTTTCCACAATGTCATTTTCTATACTATCATCGTTATTGTCCGAGAATACGTCGTGCGATCCACGCAGCAAGCCATCAGCTCTTCTGCCTTCCGTGGGATGTGTTATTTCTTCGTCGAGGTCCAGAAAATCGTGACTTGGCCGGTCAAATGGAGCCTGTGGCCCGTTATTTGGAGTGACACTGGTATCATCGAGAAAATCGATGTCGAAGAGCGTATCATTTGGGGTGGACACATTGGGATCCCTCATAGATATACAACTAAGAAGCTTAGTGCCTTGGGAAATAATTGATAGGCTAGAATCTGAGTTGGTGTCTTCCTCAAGGATCCTATTGCGAGAACCCGGCTCTACTTCTAAAGTCAACATTGAAGCTGCCTTCGATTTAAATAACTGTGTCTATTTTATGAAAATTGTCATCACGTGATTAAACTCTTACAGGTCAAGTAACCGCTGGCTTACAGGTTTTAGAACCAAGAGCATTTTATTGTCCGGGCCTGTGGCACCAGTCTAATTTTAGGAGGATCTTTCACAGCTGGCTTTCTTTGGGTTTTTCCTTTAGTGTTATTGACATTTCTGGAGCTCGAAAAAGCAGAAAATTAGTTCAGTGACTTTTCCAAATGCTAGATTTATTATAATTTACATGATGATAGTTCAGTGCGCCAACTCGCGCTGTGGTGCTTGTGTTTCTTCTTCGTACTCGATCTCGACTCTTGGCCTCTTTCTTTTGGAGGGCGCAGAAGGTTTCTTGCGTTTGCTAGCGGCTTCAGAAGTCTCGTCACCTTCAATAGCATCGTTGCCGCTCTCGCTCTCGCTGTCACTGTCGCTTTCATCCTCGTCTGACGAATCCGTACCGGACGCGTCTGAGCCGTCTAGCCAGCTCTTCAAGTCTTCCACTTCGACAAGATCATCCTCGCCGTCGTCCTCAACGTACTCGACTTCCCCGTCAGATTCTTCTTCTTCGTCCCATTCGTCCTCTTCCAGCTCCTCCTCGTCTTCCACGCGACCAAGCACCTTTTGCCAGATCTTTTCGTCAACGTTCAATGGTTTGTCACCGTACGCACCACTCTTCAGTCTATCTAAAAGCTCTTTCTCAATGGCTTTCTCGATCTTCGCCGCTGCCAATGCTTTTCTTTCTCTGTTTTCCTCCCGCCTTTTCACCTTGGGCGCTACGCCTACATAATGTCTCTCCTCCTCGCGCAATTCCATGCGTCTCTCTGTAATTGCCACCTGCATGAGTCTGGTAAGACGTTGTTTGCACTTGTGGATTAAAAACTTATTCCAGTAAAGCAGATGATCGTCTACCTGTTTTAGAGCCTTTGAATAATTCTTCGAAAGCTTGATTCTTTCCCAAAGCTTCGCCGGCGTGTGGGCTCTTTCGGCGGTTTTCATATATAAATAAAGCCTGCCCGAAACATTTTTCACAGTGGCATACTTAGCATTGGCCAGTGGACAAGACTGTCTGTTACAAAGCCCGGTAACATTGTACTCGTTTCTGCAAAAGTTCTGTCCCTTGTCGGTCTTGAGCTTGTAAGCACAAAAATGCTGGTTGATCACTTGCCAAATGATCTCGTCTGACATGGCAATCTATGATCGATTCGCCTGTATTCGCTGTACTGCAGCTCTCTAAAACTACGAAATTTTTCAAGCTCATCTCATCGCATCGCCAATTCTTGAAAATTTTCTAGCAAAAAGAAATACGGTTTTCGATATTCATGGACTTGAGTTACCCGACATCTTGAATTTCTATGGACAACTCAACTACAACAGAAAACAGGTCTAAGGACGTCGACTTAGGCCAGGTCTGGGCCAGCTAATGGGTGTCTTTGTATCGTCTATTTGGTTTATGACTACTTAATTGAGCTAAGCTGTGTACTATTAGTTTTGGAGAGCTGGTCGATTTCATCCGGACTCAGACAGGTGATATAAACGCACTTGCTGAGAAGTTCATCATCCGCTTTGATTTGGTAGAACTTGGACCATTGGGCTCTTAGTATGAAATTTTTGACAATCTGTATATTTGTCTGGAATTTACCATAATTCAAGACTTTGTGAGGAACGATCCAGTCTCTTTTCTCGGCGTTGAGTGTCAGATCTGATAAATACACCACTAGGAAGGGAATGCATCCCGTCATTGGATTCATGTCGTTGAGCAGCACTCTCATGTTCCGGTAGTTTCTTTCCAACGACGGTAAATCTCTGAGGTTCTGCCACGTGAGAAGATCTCCAGGTTCGATGAGTATCCATGCACCTTTGAAGCGTTGGACGGTGATTGAGCTCAACGCCAAAACGATCTGCATCAATGTATTGTAATTCTGGAAATTCCTGCAGTGCTCGGCGATGTGAATAAACCTTTGAATGACATTTCGCCTCAGTTTGTTTCCTGAAGTCAAAACAATTTCTGAAATGATCCACTCGACGGTCAAGTTGAATCTTGACACGGCCAGGTCGAGGCCGGATAGCCCATCGTTAAGAAAAAGCAACTGCAGCCAGCTCTTGACCTCAGGCACTTTCTTCTTGATCTTCAAATCTGCTAATTCTTTCCAGTCAATCTCTAGGATAATGTCCCGCTCAATGAGCGTTAACTGTTGTGCAACCGATACGGAATCATACATTAAAATGAATGGAATATGCTGTCCTGAATTCATGGCATGAAGCCTACTGTCGCGCGGAACGTAGTTAAGAAGCAGTTCGGATATGTTGATGTCTGGCGGGCTGGGGTTGACATGCTCGGTTTCGTTCTCTGATGTCGGTGTCAAAAACGTATCGCTTTTGGCACGCCGTCTCCTGTCTATAAACATGGAATTTCTTGGGCGCGAGCTTTGCATCGACCATCTGACATTTTTCAAGCCTAACTCTTCGACTTCAGTGGCAAGATTTACGGAGTCTTGGTCGCCATTGGGTTTGGATTCCTTTTCATATAACCCTTGCAGTTTCATCAACGTGGTGTTTATCGGGTCATCACCAATCGATTCATCGGCGATACTAGCAAAAACATCTAGTTTGCTTTCATTTATCTTATTCGGCGAGACGATGGGGGTGATTGTCCGCCTGTGATGCTCTCCGTTCTCCGTAGTTTCTCCTTTAGAACGGCTGCTTTCGGTTATGTCCGACTCCTCCAGCTCATGCACACTCAAGAATTTGTTCCGCAAGTTCTCCACGTTCCTTTCAGGTGATATGCAATCAACGCTTTCATTGTCGGGAGAAAACAGATACTTGATACCTTGCTCCTCTATCTCGTCAAGATTCTCTAGTGATATCTTGGCACTGTCTCTAACAGAGTTAACAGGATCGCTACCTTTTTCGTTGTAAGCTTTGAATGTATCGATTGTATGAAAGGAGTTTGAAGAATGATCACTGATGATCGATTGAATGCTTGGCGTTGCTGCCAAACCCATGCTTTTATCTTTGGGCGTTTCATTCAAGTTCATGATTTTGAGGCGATCAGAAAGCCTACTCCTGGCTTTATTGGGACTCGCTTGCCGACTTGCTTGCCGTGACGGGAAAAGGAGCTCGGTAGCTATTGACCTGGTATCAGAACTGTTTCTTTTCACTCGTCTCGCGGTCTCCAGGTTCGAAACAAGTATCGATGTGTGCTTTTCGAGCCTGTCTATTTCTGCTTCTTGCAACTTGAGCTCGTTATCCACTTTTGTGAAAACGTCTTCGCCAATCTTTGAAGCTCGAGATAAAGGTGTTTGGTCGGTTTTGAAGGTATCATAATCCACCGCACCATCATCTACTTCTGGTATACTTTTTTGAATGCTAATGCGACCGCTGCTTATAACAGTGCTAGGGAAGGTTGGGGATGATAAAGAAGTTAGACGCTTTGACTCTAGTGTTGTCATATCTTCCTCAAATGATGTAAAGAAGCTAGAATCATCGCCATTCTCGCCCTCGCTTTCGCTATGCAAGTCAATCTTCACGCTTTTGTCGACTTGAGGCTCTTCCTTGTATTCTTCTTCAAAGTTGAACTCTCTCAAATTCGACAAAGCTAGCTTTCTCTTTAAACGGGGCTCATCGTCGCTTAATTGTTCGGTCCCTGAAGTCGCTATCTTCACATGCAAGGTGGCTTGGGGCACTGTTTTTGCAGTTGTTTCCTCCTCCGCGGGAGAGGAAAGGCTTGAATTTGTGAGAGTCATTGGACGCGCTTGCCCTATTAAACCTTTTAATGGAGATGAAGATTTTTGAACCGATTGCGAAGATTCCTCTGCACCTGCAATGTCATAAAAAACAAGCTTTTCCGGTTGATCTTTACTTTTCCCAGTATTAGAAGACTTTTCTTGGCTGACAGTACCTCGAAGATTTGTGTCTGTTCTTGACGTTATGGCCTTATTTTTCATTACAATTCGTCGTTCTTTGACAGCGGCGGTAGGAGAGATTAGTTGCTGCTGGTGCAAAGTCTTGGAAAGTGAGAGAACAGAAGTGGCTATCGAGCTTACCGTCTGGTAAAGGTTTAAATTGTCTATGGCACTAAAAGCATGTCCATTTTCTAGTTCGTGGTTGCTTTCGTTAACTTTTTGAAGTGGCGGAGTCTGCTCGTGGACTTTAGTTCTGAGCTCATTTCGCATTGCCACCAAAAACTCGACTTCATCGATTGTACGTGCGCTCAAAATGTCAAAACCCCTAGGAAAGCTTAGTCGCTGCTGACTCGGGCGATTGGTCGAGACATCCATTGAGGTGATAGAGAACACATATTTTATCATGTTGTCAATGTTGGTAGCGTTTTCTTCCATATGAGAGTTGGACTCTGAATGGACTTTATTATCATTTCTCCATTTCTTTAACAACCCAACAATTCCTTTATGCTGACGTACGCCGCCGCCTTCGTCGGTATTTTCTCCACTATAACGAGCCTCTGGCGGGAGATAAGACGATCGTAGAATGAACTCAACGTTTTTGGCTGGCGTTGGTGGAATAACTTCTTGAACTGAGGACGAGTTGGGGTAGTCCAAATGTTTTATTACGTTGCCAATACTTCCTTGCTTCGAAAGTGAGCCAGGATCCTCGTCGGCAACTTCAGCCGTAGATTCTTTATGTTGTTTATCAACTGGTTGGTTGGTAGATGCAGTAAAAAAGTTATCCTTTGGAAACAGAAACATGCTTGCTGTTCTTGTCCTGGGTGCACTCGTACTCGCCTCCTGTTGAGACTTTTCATTTTTGGGCGTTAGCTGAAATTTGTCCTCGCTATTGTAGAGGGACAGCACGCTTCTGTTCCTAAAATGTGGGTCATTTGTACTTTGGAGCGCGTAAAAGCTCAATCGCTTGCTCTTGTTCGAGTCTGCTGTTGTCGATGCGAAGCTATGCAATGGAAGAGAAAGCCATTCGTCGAAGTTAGTAGGCAGTTCCTCCAGTTTGAAGTCTTGATAGGCCAGCTCGAGGGACAAAATCCATGTTTTCTTCACACTAACCACAACCCCTCTCAGGACCCTCGGACAATTTTCCTCGTGAATGCGCTCACTTAAAATATTGACGAAGTCCACAAACTGCTGCCTCAAAGAGTGACTCGCAAGGAAATCTTCGGTGAAATAGTTCAAAACCCAATGTCTCAGCACCACGAAAGTTCTTATAAGTGTCACTTCTCCCGTTTTTTTGCGGTCTGCATTGGCATCTGAAGCTTGACCGACAGTCCATTGAAATCGACTTATAAGCAACCTCAAAAGATCAACACTGCTTATGAACTTCCGGTAAGACAGAAAGAAGTCTGAAAGAAACGCGTAGTCGATTGTGTCGAGCGGGGAAGTCAATTTCACTATCAGCGCCGGCAAATCGGTTTTGACAATCTGCTTATGCGGTGCTGTACCCGCATAAACAAGCACGTCCGGTGCTGGACCAGGGTAATATGCGGGCTCATTGTATATGGAACCTCGATCTAACAAGGCCTGATCCCCAGCAGGCTGCGGAGAAGCCACCATAGTCTCACCCTGCAGAGTTCAGCTGACTTATCTTCTGGCGAATATGTCAAAAATCTTGGTTAACTCTTTCTTGAAAAATTACCGTTGACAGTTAACTACCACGATAAAGACCGAACAATGAGAGAAGAACCGTAAAATACATATTAAGGCTCCTCTGAACGTCAATTGGAACACGACTACAAAAAGGTTGGTTTTCTACTGAATTCAAGCATGAAATCTGATTTCAACGCTTCCAGTGTTGTTCTTTGATAGACCAACTTGGTATCAAGAATGTGGTTATCTAGATCCACCGCAGAGTTTTTGGAAGCCGAATGACTTGAGCTGGGCTGCAGTTATTCAAGACCACTCTTATGTCCGTTGATTCAACCATTCAGGTCGATTCCTAGCATGCATTGCGCTGGAAGCAGCGGGGTTTCTTGCAATACAAAAATTAGTGAGAAGCTAAGAAGCGTGGAAGGAATGTTCTAATTGAACTGACAGCTGTATAACTGCTGCGAATAAGTTAACATTAAATTCAGAGATCATGGGGCCTTAATATCCCATTAAGCGGTTGAATATACATGAACCTCGGTCACAACATGTCGTCAAAAGCCTACGAACTATTCATATACGTATAAGCTTCCGTTTAATTTTCTTAAATTGTTCCCCGCAACTTATCAAAAATATTTATAAGCATGTAACAACATTGTGAGTATCATTCAATTCGCTAACAGCTTCCAAAAGCTTTCCTGGAACCCGAAGGGTGCTGATCGTTCTTATTTGTTATGAATGTCTTGGATAACGCAACCTCTCAAAAAGTCAGGAACCAGGAGGATGCGAAACCACCAAGGACAAGGATGCGATTGTCGTTTGTATGCCAAAACTGTAGAAGAAGGAAAATCAAGTGCGACAAGTCTCAGCCTCAGTGCGGACGCTGCGCAAAGCTCCATTTGAAGTGCGTGTACGATTATCAGGATTCTGGAGTTTCTGGCAGTGACAAAAGTTCAGGAACACTGTCTACACAACTGTCAGAACTTGAGATCAAGCTTCGACAAATCAAAGAGGCTCTGCAAGCAGAACAAGCATATGACGTTGATGAACGGAGTCCTAGCACACCAGACCGGCCTATTCCCATTCGAATAAACTTTTACAAGGGCTTGGCTCATGCTCCATACGATGACAGTTTTAAGCAAGATCACAAGCCATTTTCAGACATGGCATTGATCGAAAGGCACGCCCGCTTGAATCCGTTTCTGAAGTATGTTACAAGGTCTTTTCAGCCCATGAAATTCGCCGTTCAAAAAATAGTGCACTCATTGGGTGGACAGATGGATGTGGGTTCTGACGATATCGAATCAATGGCTCACATTCTATTCTTGACACCTGAAATTCGAACTAAGATCAAGCATCAAAAGATGTCAACAAAGCACATTCCGGAAGAAACTTCTACTGCCATAAAGAAGTGTCTTATGGATCGCAACGCTGCACGCGATGCCAGGCTGACTTATGAACCCATGGAAGTAGACTTCTTCTTCACAAGTTATGGACTAGAAGCCATAACCGAAAGCATTCTCAAAAATATCCCTAAGAGAACTCAGATGCTGAAACTGATGGAGTACTTCAAACAAGTTGTTTATCCCATCGTGCCCTATGTAGATTGTGGGGTTTTGGAAAAGACGATATCGGACGCTATCCTTTTTGCTGGAACGGGGCAAGCTGTCAGGCTTAATTTAGGGAGCCCTCAAAACGTTTTCCATTCTCTCGGCTGTCTCGCTATTCTGCTAGTGGTCCTGCGCATATCTTACACTTCCATGATGCTAGTTGAGAAAAAGTTTGAGGTGGAAATCACCAATGATGCGATCTCAGTTGCACAGAGATGCTTGGCATTCTTAGTTGCCAAGTGTCAAGAAAGCAATGAGGAACTCCTCTCATGTCTTATTCTCATTCGGTGGGCATTAGTTTTTTCGCCTAAAGAGGGAGAAATCGTGGCACATTCTATGACAGATACGGTACTGTCGCTTGTTGTGAAGCATGCATTGAAAATCGGTCTTTATAGAGACTGTATCGGCGTAAGCGTTGACTCAAATTTGAGCCGGGAAGCAAGACATCGGTTACAGTTTAGAAGAAAGCTTTGGATTGGAACTCTCGTTTTACTCAGATCTGACTTTTGTATTAGAGGTAGTTTTCCTCTTCTCTCAGGAGACTATCTCCACATGGTTGCCAAGGAGGACCCAGCAGAATGTTACGAAAGCGAAGCAGAAGCGCGAATTCATAAAATCCTGCATTTGCAACACGATCTCTTCCTAGCCAACAGCAGGCTAGATGTGCTCGCATTATCAGTCAAAGAAGACATAAATCTCGAAAGGATCTACGAGAGTTTGGCTGTCGTTGACAGTAGGCTGCGCTATCATAAAGCACAGGTAATGGCAGTTAGCCCGTCTTTGAAAGGCACTTTCCAGGAAAGGGTTCTTCGAAGTATGGAAAATGCTCTGAACTTGAAAAGCAATTTGATATTCAAGATATTTGGCCTCGCAGTCAGAGCTTCAATTGTTTACGACTTAGAGCGACAGTCTAGAGATTGCTGCGGAAGCTCAGACATGCTGGTTATGAAATACAAAGAAGCCGCTATGGACTGTTTCGAGACCGTTGTCGACCTCGGGGAACATTTACGCGATTACATGGGGTCTTCTTATTCCGAAGGGGAGATGTTCATACTTGAAGATCATCGCTACATCTTAAACAAACTTGTTCAAATCGGCATTTTCCGAGTATCGTATTATCTTCTGGGGATGATGCTGACTTTTTTGAATGTCCGAAGCTTACTTGAACGCGGAGCGACACTGTCACAGGAGAAAAGCTCGGCCGTGGCGGACATGGAGTCCAAAATTCCGCTTCTCACTAAAATCGTTAAAAGTATTTTTGCCTACTTGCAAAAACTGATTGACTTAGGATCCCAAAAATATGCCGATCGATATTTCACATCGTTCAAGCAGTTCTTGTTTTTGGATTACGCAATGCGTATGATGCACAATGAGCTGCTTCCACACTCCCGTAGCAAATTGGACCAGATACTTTACGCGGACGATATTCCTCTCGCCGTGGACTACAATCTGTCTGATTGGACAATCCTAACGAATTACATTGACCAAGCCCTGGACGTCCAAGTTTTGAAGGACTCTCCACCGGCGGACGAGCAGCCGCCGAGCGAGGGAGTTGATATCAGTGCTTTCCCAGCCGAAAGTGCGTTATTGGGAACACCCTTGTTATTTGATGAAGAAAATGCCATTCAAAGTATGCTTAACGGCGATTACAACTGGTCTGACTACCAAGTTACCTAGTGCTTAAAAAAGCTAATGTTGGCAAGCTATCAAACTACATAGATAAGCGCTTCAAGTCAGATTCGCACACAGACTTGGATACTCTTATTAATTTTGTACAATTTAATGTTGAAACTACTAGAGAAGTGCTATTAAAGGATCCCGCGACGAAAGGCTCCAATTCGAAAATAGGATAGCTTCGGCGGCTATTCTAGGGTGTACGGATGCCTTCGAATGAGATCTCCTGGCTTAAATCCAAAACCACGGAAAACCGTTTCTTGGTACGGCTTGAACAAAAATTCCCTTCTTTTCTCTTGCTGGGTCATCATTAAAATTGGGGTTTCTAGGAGAAGGTCCTTCGAAAACAAGGTATAAAAGTGGCAAGCTCGATTATATTCTGGCATGTCAACCCGAAAAGCAACAACCGACGGAGGGAGCATGTATACAACAAAGGATAAGTAGTAGAACCTAGACAGCTAGGAGATCTTCACTCGAAGCTTTAAGCAATTGATCTTACATGACGGATTTACAAATGAGTCGGAAGTTGTTGAAATGAACAATTACGACAAAAACAAAAAGACTAAAATAGGTTTAATTGCGGTAAGACAATCAACGTCTTATACGCGTTCATAACATCGGTAGAAAGGTGTGCTCTCAATTGGAAGTTTTGTTCAAGCGCGGGGAAATTGGAAACATTTAGACCCCTTCCGGTCCTTCCTGCTCATCCCGGATTTAATCGAAACGTGATACGAGATGGATGTCACTATTGACGTTCGAAAAGATTCGTGAAGATTGTTGATGAGATGGCAACATAGTCAGACAAGAACTCATGAATGCCTCGCTTCGAACAGAGATTCTGTCCTTTCTCAGGCCTTCCATAAGCGAGTCAGAGTTTTTTGTGGGTTAAGTTTTCACTCGCAATTTTTGAGGGCCAGATTACCTGCCTGTGTCGGATTCGCTGGGGCTTTTCGGTGTCTTTTTCGAAACATCGTCAAGGTAAACTATAGGACGGCAAGAGATGCTCGCTAAACTAGGCCATCATGGTGACAAAAAGGGTTTAGACACTCACAGTAAGGACAACTCGTTTCTTGGAAAGACAGACGACTTGGTAGAATTGCTTATCGACATCGAGTCTCCACCATGCGTTCTTTATGGTTCAGCGACGGAATCGACTGGAGCGCTTTTAAGCGGCCTGTTAAAGCTGAGGGTACATGACCCCTTTGACACATTATTTCGCAGCGAGCCCTTAAGTCCCGTCACTTCGTCCTCTCGAAAGAAGAAAAATGTTAGCAACCTAAATTCTGCTCTTTCTCACACTTTATCACATCTGTCCCTGTCAAGCCCGAACATTACTCCAACGAACTCAGGTACGAGCTTGAACTTTGGTCTCCAGAAGTATACAAAGATATGCGTCAAATCTGTTACTTTGTCGTTTGTTCAAAAAGTCACGTACAGCAAGCCTTTTTTGCCAAGCGTTCATGCCATAAGCAGTTGCATGAACTGCCGGTCCAAAACAACCGAGCTTGCTCGTTGGGATATTGTTACAGAAGACACTAACATACCTATTGGGGATCACGCTTATCCTTTCTCAAACTATCTGCCTGGGTCCATACCTGCAACAGCTCGCCTTGGTGCTGACGCTGACACGGACATCAAGTATGAGCTGATAGCCATTGCCTCATATAGGTCGTTGGGTAAGACTAAAGGGAAGAGTAATGACCAATCGATTACTCAGTTGAGGTTACCGATTTCTGTCACAAGAAGCATTCTACGGGGCCCAGATCGCAACTCCTTGAGGGTCTTCCCACCAACAGATTTAACTGCGACTGCAGTGCTACCAAATGTCGTTTATCCAAAATCGACGTTTCCACTCGAGCTCAAAATCGACGGAGTTTCAACGGAAGACAGAAGGTGGAGAATGCGTAGGCTAAACTGGAGAATTGAGGAAAAGGCTAGAGTCCGCTTGAATGCATGTGATATGCACAAGGCTCACTTGGAAGAGTATGAGAAAAAAGTCGAGAAATCCGAAGCGCTAAAGAAAAAGCGTAATGCAAAACCAGCTAAGCGAGCGTATGACGCTGGCCCCACAACTACCACGTCGATTTTTACGCTAGAAAATGCGGCCGCTTTGATAGATACACAAGAAGCTTCTCAGGAAGACAACCAGGGACAGAACGTGGATGACGACCAACCAGCTTCAGAGGAAAACCTCATTCACCCCAGCGATGATGCTTTGCGTGAGGAAAGATTAGAAGTCCAACAACGCATTCGTCAGGAAAGATTACAACCAGAGCTGAAGCATGAAACCGCTTTATTTACTGAAGAAATACGGACAGTTGCGTGTGGCGAAGTTAAGGACGGCTGGAAAAGTGATTTTTCCGGAGCTGGGAAGATTGAATTGGTGACAGATATTGATTGCATGGAATTGAATTCAGGAGTGACCAACCCGATAAATAGAGCGTCCAGCTCTAAACCTATACCAGACACGGGATCGCAGAGAGCTACAGTAGCGTGTGATACTGAGGATCCTCATTTGTCTGTTTTTGTCCAACATTTTCTGATTCTGGAACTAGTGGTTGCCGAAGAAGCGTTACAGTATGCAAACGGACAGCCAATAGTGAAAAAGGCAAGTTCCGCATCCTCTAAAGGCAACCAAAACAATGCTGAACAGAGGCTTGCTGAGCTTTCTCCCATGTTTGTAGCCAAGAATGCAACAGTGCCGGATACCGTTCCAACAGCCTCTGGTGCGGCTCCGAGCAAGGATATCAATAATGCGAGACAGCCTCGAATCATGAGCGTTGCAACGGGAGCTGCCCGTGTTCTCAGAATGCAGTTTCGCTTGACGATCACTGAGCGGTCTGGTTTGGGCATATCATGGGACGACGAGGTACCCCCGACGTACCAAGATGTTAGACTTTTATCACCTCCAAGCTATGAAAAGTCTATGAAGAATCCACCGGCTCATGTTGGAAAGAGTTTTGCAGCTGTTCAGCCGACCGCGTCCTTAAATGAAATTCAAGGCGACAGACATCGTTTCTCATCCCAAGGCCTTTCTGAATTGTCACGTCCTCCTCGCGCACATCACCACTGCAACACTACTCAACCGCAGGAAACAGTTCTCCATTCTCCACCTTTGGAAAGCATTATAAGCATTCAAGGAAATGCTTGCCATGATCACATTATGACTCCGCAGAACACGCGCAACGTCGGACTTCCAAACGTTTCAGAAGTCTTCGATACAGATAGAATAACACAATAGTGATGAAAGAACCCATCCCCAGACATCTCGAGTGCGTGAAGGAAGGAAATGCAAGTTAAGGTTAAGGACAAGAAAAATATGTGATGAGTTTGATATATATACGCTTCATATCTCTTTGCTCGGTCAATGCCCTTTTTTCAAGTATCATGCAACATTATGTTCAGGCAATGGTCCACGAAGGAAGCCAATTCAAATATTCAAAGTTCTTGGATTCACCTTCCATTCCAAAGCTGATTGGGGAAAAGTAAAAAAATCCGGCAATCACGAGCGATCCATAAGCTGTGTAAACTGCTAAGCTGGCGACGCGGCCCAATTTGGACTTGTTCCAGCGCTTCGAGATCACCTCAATTAGGTAACACAAAACAATGAGAGCGAAGTACAGAGCAGGGAGATAATGGTGGACATAGGTTACTCTGCTCATTATCACGAAGGGCATAAAATGCAGACCCCATCCAAGCAAAGGATAGAGTCCACCCATCAAAAACAAGTTAAGATCGCGAGTTTGGGATAAATCAGTGTACTGTCTCTGCCATCTAAGTAATAAGATGACTACCAATGCCATGAAGGTAAAAACTCCAAAAGTTGAGAGCCATGTAGATGCTGGTGATCCCATGAGGAAATATTTCACAGTGTCATCACCCCACCCGCATAACCTGATACCAACATTCAAAGTGGGCCACTGCCAAGCAGAGGACGCTAGAATGTCAAGTTTGTCAGGATCTGGAATCAAAGCATTATTGGTTGCCATCATGGCCAAGTTCAAATGAATGAAGTTCTTCAAAAATCCGAGTTGAGGGTATTTAAAGTCGGCTGGTGGATCTGGAAGTCTTTCATTTGTATGCGTTTCGATATTCCACCAGGTGCGCTTGTCTCTTTTGAAAGGATTCCTCAAGCAAGCAACTTCACTTTGTCGAAACCCCCATTCTGGGAGGTGTTGGCCAGTCTGAGCAAGATAACAGTCCATTTCAAGGTTCTTAATCCGGAATGAGGTTGTCAACGGATGAATTTTCGTGTTGTCCTCGTTCCCGTGTTGCACAGCAACTTCCAAAAGCCAGTCATCCTTTGGATCTCCGATAGTTTCGTTTCCGTACCCGGAAACTTCCCAATCACCTTTCGAGAGTGGCGCTGCGATGGGATGTGTGTGAAGGTTTCTGTGTGTGTTCAAATGAGATATTCTGTACTCGGCACCAGGAGTCACATATTCGATTTCTGTTTCATCCTCGGTCCAGAATGGCAGTCCTCTCTTCCGGTCAAACCTCCAGTGGTTGTTGCTGTCCTTGTGGCCATAGCAAGTGACTTGCTGCTGATTCGATCCCTCAGGAAAAGTCTGTATGTGGGAATGCAGCAAAGCACCGCCTAATGCTTGGTTTTTGATGCTAACAGTGGAAGATCCGACTGCGATATCACGAGGGCCAGCACCAACTTCGGAGTTGAGCAGTCCGGCTTGGAAAAGCGAAGGCATGTTAGCATCACCAGTACCGCTGTGAGACAGTAAATCGAAATGAACTTTAAAACAAGCCAGGAAAACGATAAACGGTACAACAACGAGGGCAAAAATTCTGGCAAGCCAATGACAAACATAAGTCCTCTTGGAGACGCTTTTGTCGCCCAGCATTGTCCACAGGTCAGCCACGGTGTAAATTCCGACAAGCGTGATGACGAACAACCCCACCATTTTAACGGAAATCGTTGCACCTAGCGCCAGCCCAGTCAACAGTAACCACTTCCACCATTTTCTTGAAAATGGCTTGCTTCTTTGGTTGTGGAAAGTGACGAAAGCATACACAGAGGAAACAGTGAAGAAAAGTAGCATGGAGTCCAGCAGGATAAATCTCCCGAGCGTGGCGTACGAATTCTCGAACAAAACCAACACGGTGAAGAGCCAAACGGTTGGTAGAGAAAATCCAATTGCCTTGGCGGTGAAGTACGCGATTGGCACGCAGAGGGCAGAAAATGAAGCGTTAAAGAGTCTCATTTTGACGTAATCCAGGTACTCCGGGAATTCTTCGCCCGACGGGAAATCCCAAGATCCATTGTAGCCAGCGAGGTAGCCCGAAAGACCCACGAGCATTTTTCCGAGCGGTGGATGCACATCATGGTAAAATTCGTGTCTCAAATAGTAAGACCCGAACTTACCAAAATGAGCTTCGTCCCAAACAACGTGGTTGTTGAGCCCGATCTTGTACATACGCGTGAAAAAGGCGAGCCCCGTGAAAACTATGGGCATAACCACACTCTCCAGCTTCTCAAGCGGGCTGGTTTCAAGCTCTGGCCCCGCAAACACGTCTTTCTCCTTCTCGGTTTCTATTTCATCAGCATGCTGTTCCACATGCGATTTTTTCCTGTTTCTGAGCTCAAAATCTTCGCTTCTAGCCTCGAAACCAGATACTGCCATGCTGACACCTGATAGAAAGGAGTTCAAAGCGAATTGAACGCGAGATTGTTTTTCAGTAGGTTCTCTCCAAGGCGTATTTTTAAGAAACAAGTGACACGACAACTTTAAAATTTTAATTCGGAATCAATGTCACTGTGTACGAAAATCCTGAGATCTTTTTAAAAAAGAAATTTTAGAAGTAGAGAATATGACAAACGTGCAGAGTGACTAATTCGAGTAAAAATTGAAAAGTAATGTGCACGGTGCTTAACTCATGGGTAGATACTCGTAGATGTATGTACACGCGGTAGGTAATGATCTGTAGAATTTTCGCAAGCTCGAAAACTCGCAGACTACCAACCCTGGGCATGATCCCGGCGAACTTGGCAATTGGGAAATTCACAAATCCAGTCTCTTTCTACGAATTATTCGTCCCAACAAATTTAACGGACGGCTACTTAAAGCAAATTCAATTGAGCAATGGTTGACTTGTCTGAGGGCGTAATTTGGTGTCTTACCGGATGATCGTCTTTTCAAGGTAATCGATTCGCTCTACTTTTAGTAGCTTCTTACGATTTCAGTTTAGAAATTTAGCACTATTAACGGAGGAATTCTTCTCTAGTGTGTGATATCGCTTTATGCGTAAACGAGTTTCCTCCAAACCTTTCATGTTTTCTTCTCTCGAAGGAGTGGGGCGTCAACGTCTTGACCTGCGTTGACGAGGGTCTTTCTCTTTTCCAACAGGAGGGGATTTCCGTCTTCAATGTTCCTAAGGACTTCTTGCAATTCAGATCGATATATGTCACCATTCAAATGACGGGCAGCTGAAATCCCATATTTGAACTTCAAAAGGTAATTTTGAGACGGCACTTCTTCAAGCCAAGTATTCAGTGTGTCACATTGAAGATTTTGGGCTAGATTTGAAAGCTTTCTGATCTATATGGCAAATGATCGCCAAGCTTGAGATTTTGGCATTTCGTGCCATGCAAGATGCTCTAGGTAACTATCGACGCGTAACAACATTTTTGCAGGATCGAGGAAAAAAAATGATTTCGGGAACTTTCTATATCTAGTTCTGAAGCCAATTTTAACCACCCTGGTGCTGGTGCACATTAAGTAACGTCAGTTTCGAGCAATAGTGACAGTGCTCAGTGGTGCTGTTTACTTTGATAGTTATTCCAAAATAGCCCCAGAGATTTCTTTGGCCGTTATATATTGCATTTGAGAAATTAAATTACAAGCTGGTGCACAGTTGGAGCCAGTACCGCCGCCCTCCCCTGGGAGTTTGTCTGAGAAGTAACGATCGATCCTCAATAGATAAAGATATTGACATACACAGTTCAAACGTATCATCACACATAAGCATTCGAATACCTTAAATAGCGAAGGTTTTTTACAAAAAGTTCAAAGACCGCATTGAATTATTCTTCATAGTGTCAGATTTAAGTATTCAAAATGGTTACCCTGTATCGACGTATTCCTATGGCGTACGTACAACAGCTTGCTCTGCTTTCTAGTTCAATGGCTGAAGGCTATGTAAATACGATGAATTGAATATTTTGTAGCAGAACTTCTAAGCGACTTAGCGATGCTCTTTGAAATGCGAAAATCATAACACATGCATTTTGAGGCAATTGGTCTAAGATTTGGTGGTATCGGCGACTTTTTCTTTCCCTTATTTGTAGGATTCCAGAAAAAATACTAGACCGTAGCTCACAACGCTTCCCAGAGCCAAGCCGGTGGAAAGAAAAATGTTGGTGAAGCCTCCGGCCGCTTTCCGCTCTTGATCGGTTTGAAGAAGTGTGGGAACTTTCATGAAGCTGATGGAGACGACATTCCCGTTTGTGACGCCAAATATAAATTGGAGCAACAGGTAACACATATCGGACAACACGCGGTTAGAGGTGTGCGACGTGCCATTGATGTTGAAAAAGAAAAAGATTGGGACGAGTAAAAATCTACCCACAGAGTACAGGAAGATTTTCCAAGGCGTGAAAAAGGTGCTCTGAAATACCCAATGGTCAGAAATGCTTCTGCCATAAAGATCGCCCAGATTCCAGATTGTGAAAACCAGAGGAATGAATTGCGAATTATGCAGCGGCAGTCCCATGACTAAGGTGTTGGCAGCAAATACTGGGAAAGTTAAAGTGACCACGAAAGCCGTGAAAATGGCAAGAACAACATATTTTAGCTTCGAATAAAGCACCGCAAAAGGTACGGTGTTTTGTTTGTTCTGGTCTTCGTAACTGTGAGGAGGAGCCAAATCGGAGCTGTCACAGGCACCTACTTTACCCGCCCTGTACGCCACGGTTGCGGCGATCGATATCAGCACCGTGGTAAGGAAAAACACAAAGATTCCGAGAGAGCTTTGTGACTTGACTTCGCCAATGAATGAGAGCCCGAAAAGCGCGATTGAGGGCAGGAACCCTGCAACTGCCTGGCCCATCATCACCGCTTGACTAAACTCGCTGCCGAACAGATTGGCAATTGCCATGCATCCATTTTGAGTCATTGCTGTTCCCGCTGCGCTCACCAGCACGAGTATCATAAGGATAGAAAACACGACCCCTTGAGGTAGCAGTTTGTGAAGCGAGACCAAGGCACACAGACTGCCAAAAACGAGGACTTCCCACACAAGTCCCCTCACAACTCTCTGTGAATAACTATGCTGTCTGCGTGACAGCCACAGATTTATTACCACAGAGGATATTGTCGAGATACTCATCATCGTACTCACGTAAATTTTGGCATAGATTGACGTGCCACCGAAAACGTCCTGTTGAAAGTAGGATGTGGCGCTGAGAAAGCTGTTCCACGGCCACAGTAATGCGACGCCAAGTAGTAAGAATGTCAGGTATGTTAAATTACGCAATTTTTGCGATAACGGCGCATTTTCAAGCAACAATTCTTCATCCATACGATTCGAACCATCTCGGATGAGCGCAGAGTCTGCTTCTACAGCCATCTTTGTCTCTATGCGCCGCTTCTGCGGTGTGATTTCTAAATTTCTGAGTTTCTTGATTCGCAGAGATAACCAATTCTTAATTGATAGACTTGAAAGCCGAAAAAGCTTACGTCAGCATTTTCAAGAGCCGTTATCAGAACTCAAGATCTGAACATCATTTAAGGTATTAAAAGTCTAACACAAATGGCTGAGTCAAGTATCTCTTTTGAGCGTAGACAGCTTTAAAATATCGTTTAATTGTGCAATATCAGGACTATGTTGGCCCACTGTGTTTCTTCAAAATATTTGCAAAAGTTGCGAGATTCACAGCTAGCACAGGCAAGTGGTAGCACAACCTTAGAACATTTGATACATTGAATGGGGGATCTGTTATGCCTATTATTTGTTTCTCTTTTCGTCTCTCCGAAAATCCGGCTTCAGATTTTATCGTTTTGTATAGTCAAGTGACATTTAAATCTTGTGGGAAACTTCTATGCGATAACATAGTGAATATGAAATCCAGACCAAGCATCCACATGCAAAAGTCGTAACCATTTCGTCAGACTGATAAAAACTGCGTGTTAATGGAGAGGCACTTTTATACATCGGATATAATCCATCGTGGAAAAAAATCGCAAGCGAAAAAGAGTGCTCCCAAGGTAAATATAGTACATATGATGTCAGGTCGTAGGCATTATCGTTAACGGTGGCTACACTTTCCTACTCCCGCCACCGCTTGTCTTTGTGAATTCAAATCTCGATACGAGAGCAATGTGGTCACTTGTGAATTTGTCGTTGGGGAACCCGATAAATTTGGATGCGTATGTGGGATCTATTTCTCCCAACAGACCTCTCACGCGCAACCCTTGCGGAGAGTACCATATGTAATCGATAACGTCGGTGAAATCTGGTGACATATTTGTGAACGGTAACTCTCCGATAGAGTCGTAACTAGACTTCAAAGACAAACCATGGTAAAAGTTTTTCTGAGACATGTAGCCGAAGTCCCTGCCCTCGATGTCCTTGTGTTGGCGTACACTGCCAGTGTTGAAAAGTTCGTAAACGGCGGAGTCTGGCGTAGAGTTGAAGTCACCGCATACTACTACCGGCACTCTTTTGAGATCTTGTGCGTTATTGCAATTGTGCTGTTCTTTGATGAGCTTCTCTAAATGATCAAGAAGCACACCGACTTGGAATGTTTTCACGTCATTGAATTGTGGATCCCAATGGAGATGCGTTGTCGCAACCCAGACCTGATCCCCCGATTTGATATGCTGTAACTTGATTATCAACGCGACGTTATCCTTGTTCATCGCACGGTTAAGATAATCCTCCGTCCTCTGAAACCGTTTGTGTTTCATCCACATACTGCTGAAATCTACGATGTCGCTGAACAAGAGCTTAAACTCTGAATTCTTGTAGAACATTGCGCAGCCGTCCACTTTTTGGGAGTCCTTAGATTGCATTGTACGGGCTCTAGTTTTGGCCTGGAAAATAGAGCTGTAGCCCTTTTCCGTCATGAGAGGCGACCAGAATTCCGCGAACGTCTTACTTTCCACTTCTTGCAAACACACGACGTCAGTTTGATATGAGAGAATCTCATTTTTTAGTTTCTCACGCCTGTATTCCCAGCTCAAAGCCCATGAGGGTGTAAAGCGGTACATTTTAGGAGTCGCATAATGCTGACAGAGGGTATTGTATGACAGAAGGGTAAACGATTTTTTGAGAAGCTCGCGGCTCTGGTGTGAATCGGAGTCTGATACTGAAAGGTATTCCTTAGCCACCTCTCCGTCGGCGTTGATGTCCAGAAATTGTCTATCTTTTGGCAGTGGAATTTCAGGTGCATTGTCTCTTAAATAGAAAATCAAACCGGTCACCGATTTTTCGACCAAAATCTTGATTATTTGCCGGTCCATCGGATTTCCTTCGATTCCGAGGAACTGAAGGTTAAACAAGTACCCAAACTCCCAAGGGAGGTTGGAGACCATGTTGTCGAAGAAGTACAAATACTTCAAATTATAGCAAAGACCCAGCTCACGAGGTAATTCTGTTAACCTGTTCTGCGACAAGTCTAATACCCGAAGATTTTTCAACGACTTGATTGAGGGAGGCAAAGCTGTTAAATTGTTACCATTCAAATACAAGCGGGTGAGAAACTCGTACTTGAAGAGGCTCATGTTGAGATTGAATAATTGTATGTTCGACAAGTCTAACGCGTGCCACAGTTGATCCGTGGGGCTCGAATTCTTGGGTGCACCTCTGCGATGCTCAGTTTCGTCATCTTCATCTATGTTATATTGAGACAGCTTTTTCTGCTGTAGCATAGCTGCCGGCGTGGTGGCTCCGTTATTGCCATTGAGCTCTGCATTGGGTGTCATTGGTGTAGAAACGGCACTAGTAGACCCGTTGTTCAAGACCGTTGAGTCACCTGCCATTTCCAGTAGTAGTTGCTTCGTGTGGTCCACTAATGAAGCGGACATCTCGTTCAATGTTCCTCCCGCCGTTTGATTATTATTGAGCATGTATTTGCGCATCGCACTTTGCCGAGCATAAATATTTGCTTGGCCCATAGACTGCCTCGAAATTGATGCCAATTGCAACTGCAGCTTCCAGATGGGGTTCGCCATCATAGAAGCATCACCCTGGTGTGGGTGGTATAGCGGATTTCCAGCATTGGCAGTTGCCGAGACACCAGCTGCTGAAGCGACGGCAGCAGATCCACCGTTATTGAGATGGGAACTCATTTGCGAGAGGTTTCCGACCAATCCCGGTGGTAGACCCTGCTGCTGTGTTTGAGATGGAATGGTTTGAGTAGGCATCCTTGGTTGTTGCAGATGTAGCTGGGCGTGTAAAGTGTTAGGTGTTTCGCTTGTGGGCGCTCCACCCAAAGAGGGCGGTGCATGCTGCCCTGAAAGGCTCGGATAACCGGCCCCCCGGGACGAATTATTCATAATTCTGCTCTGACGTGCTCAAGTCTGCGAAACTGAGGCTTCATTTCGTCAATATCAGCACAGTTCCCTAAACTCGAAAGATTTTCATCACGAAACTCATTATCAAGAGTCCGGGTAAGAAGGCTTTTTCCAGAGATTCTCTCCATAATAAACTAGCGAAGATCTGCTAGAGAAGAATTCGTAGTTATCAGCTTGATCGACCAGTTTTACCCATGCAGTGCTCTAATCATATTTGTTTGTAGGATTTTGGCTTTCGATAACTTTTTTTCTTTTTCCTGCTTAATATGATGGAAGGTGTGAGTTCTTCGAAGTCGTGCAGATCAAATCCGTAATGTAAGGGAAAAAGCGCTCAAGCAAATGACAGCAACTTTATTCTTTACGATCCTCTTCTGTATCCAGACGCGCTCTTGTTACGAAAAATCACAGGCTTACCTGAAAGAAGCAAATTTTTAGAGATTCAAACCAAAACTTAGAGACGTTGTATCAAATGTGCCTTTCTTCCGGTGAACAGGCTGTTCTGTTTTCTTCCACGTCAGCAAGCTTTCGAAGTCTTTTGTCCCTCTAAACCAAAGTTCGAGTAAGTTATCAGCGACGAAGCTTCGAAAGCGCGATTCCTTGATCGACGACCAAGTAAAAAACAACTGCTACCTTACACTTTTACCCAATGTTAAAGCTTTCCCCAAAGTCGGTCCGGTATCAACTCCCCTTGTCCCGTGTTGACATGGCAAATAAAATTGAATTGGCATGCCCTCTTTCCCCCGAACTCAACACCAATTATTCACAAATGGCATACAGTTGTTCAGAATTCCTTTAAGCCAATTCGAAACTTGTAGAATACAACACTGTTTCGAGTGTTATGGTGATCGTTGAGATAGCCGCCGAGATGGACGTGCTCCTTATAAACAAAATCTGTAACAATTAAGGTAGTTTCGTTCAATACGACAAGGACAGCTCGAGAGTTCACACCACTATGGCTTTACATTCATAGCTCTACTGTCTATTTGATTGCACCAAAGCGAACTACTGACTTTTGGAATCCATTGTTTGTCATTGTAGTCTACATCATTGTTGACTGAACTGCTCTATTACAATTGGTCACCCTGGATGCAGTCCCTATCATAGATAAGACCTCATTACTACGAAGAGATTTCAATCGAAACACGTATTTACCAGAACATATTGCAGCGATTCAATGTGACAGCTTTGTTTAAATGCTTCTTAATGAGGATTTGACTTCCAGTCTTTTCATTTTTGATTGAAGAATTTTAGCAGTTACAGATCTCCACATGAGAGAGAAGGTAGATTCCTCTCAGTAGAGCACTCATTTTCCCATATGTCATTACTTATTTGAACATACCCTGTATTGTTCTCTTTGGAGTGCAAGACCTCTCTCACTTTTAGAGAGTAGACGTTTATATAGATTACCCTACTTTAGAATTTTCAACATGAAAAACTCGTGGCCTTGAAGACCGCATCTCCTCTTTCTGTTATAAAAACAATAGTAACGGTCAGTCTCTTCTGGCCGTTGTCTATGGGAGGTATCAAAGAAACGGACGGGTGTCTCATGATTTCTCAGCACTCATTCGTGATACGTACCTCCGAGAGCGACGATCAAGAAGTTTATACATATTTTCCATGTGAACGTCACTGCCCTATGGTTTTGGACGTGTGTAAGCCATGAATATGGGAAAGATACTTCTTAACATCACATGTAATTTGTAGGAGTATTGTACCATGTAGCTCGAGTCCGGCCCGGTAGCTAGGGTGCTGCGACCAAGGTAGGATTGAAGATACAGATCCAGGTTGTCGCGCAGCCACCGAAGCAGCTGACAACAGTTTCATCTTTTTTGGCCTCGTAGACAGGGTTCAGCGGACTGACAACGTTGGAGCCGTCGTTTTCTTCTTCATCATCATTGCCGCACTCACAGGTTGCACCGGTTTGCTGCAGTCTACCGCAATTCCCGTGTTCGCCCCAGCCCCAACAGAACACGGCTTTGCCTTCAGTACACATTATTCCGTGCTCGCTACCAACTGCAAGCGTTGTGATGTGTCCCGGGGCTGGGTCTTTTAATAGCTGGCCGTGAGTTCCATGGCCGTACGACAAGACGCGGTTGCGCGCGGAAAGGTGAACGGAGGACCACATAGCAAGCATTCGGACCTTGTCTGCCGGAGTTTTCGCACTTTGGATGTTTTGCGCATCCACAGCAATTAGAGATTCGAGTTCCTTCAAAGATCCCATTAGCACAAAGCGATCTACATCGAGAAAGCATACAAAATTTTTCCCGACGTTGAGCTGGCTCACACGGGAGCCGCTGTAAACCACTGTTGGCTTGTCAATGAGCCGACACTTTGGCTCGGACAGCTGGCATTTCGTATTGGAGCCCCACCCGTAGATTTGGTCGTCCACCTGCAAGTAGATGTTTTGGAACGCACCGGACAATGACGTTCTGGCGTTTGCAGGAACACGCATAATCTCTACGAACTTAGCGGTGCACCTTGTCGCAGAGCCTTGCCCAAGCTCACCTTTCAGACCCTCTCCGCAGCTCAGCACTTCTCCGGCGTCAGAGATCGCTACGGTGCAATCCCAGCCGCAGGCAACGTCTTTAAATCGCCCCGGAACTTGAGCCCAGTTAGGAATGGTTTCCGTATCGTCAAAGCCGCATTGTCTCTTTGAATTGTCCCCACATGTATGCAGGGTGCCATCTTCTAGTAAAAGAGCCGTATGGTTGCCCCCGCATGCGATTTTGAGGGGTCTTAGCAGCGATGTAAACGTATTTCTTGGCTTGATCAAGTCATTACAGTGGCCTAGGCCTAAGCTGACCAGACCCGTTCGATCCAAGAGCCTTGACTTCGTACATCTCAGCCCTTTACCTTATTTTCGCGATTAGATTTGTCAGTGGTGAAAGAGCTAAGCGAAAATTAGGAGGATCAGCTTGATATCACTGAGGTCGCGTGCACAGCTCAAAATATAAAGTGAGCACACGAAGATTTGAGAGTAAAGGATAATATTTATCGTGGTCTACAAAGGTGAGATACTGACTTTCTAGAGCGGGGGCGTTACGAAGTTCGACCAACCTGCTGGTCTAACTTCGAAGTCTGAGTTACGAAGAACATCCCTCTAACCTAGAGCAAGATACACAGAATTAACTTGAAATCTTGCGCGTTTTGTAACAGTGTGATGGGATGGTAGTCCAGAAACGAAGCGCCTTCTTGTAAATTTTTAGTTTCAATTTTGAAAGAAACGGCTTCCTAATTATTTCACATAGTAGTGTAAAGACTAGATGACACTTTCTTGCTCACAAATGATCAAGTAGCTATCAGACCCATATGATTTCTGCAGAGCCATGGTAATGGTTGACCCTTGAATGCTCTCGGTTTATGTGTCTACATATTTATCTTCATACAAAATAAAGATACTATACACATATCGTCATACACAAACCACTAAGACTTGGTTACGGAGACAGACATATATTGAACACAGCAATGGAAACACCTTAGCAAACACCCATGGAGGCAAAACAACGCGATGAGAGAGTATTACGCTCCGTTAATACTTTTTTACGAATAGCCGCCAACGTTCGGCGGCTTCGTCGTAAAACGATAAAAATCTAAGAATTTGCAGAAACAGCTAATCGCAGAGACTTTGAACATAAGATAATCAGTAATTAAAGTGTTTAGTGCTTCAGATTTACAAAATGTTTTCGGAGTAATTGTTTTTTGTCCATTGAGTCATTTGGCTTCAGAGACCTGAACAGTTCAACAGTAGCCATAGACATCTATACTGTCACACTATTTGGCTCAAATAGACTTGAACATCAGCTTCCTGGGCTGCCGTAAGCTTTTAGTCGCATATCCAGTCCCGGGCGGTAAGGTCGAGCTACGAACGCTTTGGAAGTATTTTCAACGCGAGAAAACATGCACGAGCTCAAATAGAAGAGAAATCTTGGGAGGCTTAGACCAAATTACTGTTACATTACGTGTAAGTTACCCGCTGCGCGATCCGAACACATAAGTAGACGCTTTTGCGTCTTTTCGCTGCGCGTAAAAATATGGGGATGACACCTGAAGAAGAGCAAGGCTTGTGACTACTTTTCCGAAATATTTTATTCCCCTGGGACATTGAGAGCGAAATGAATAATATCTACCTTTGGATTCGTCGCCCAGAACCTTTCATTTACACGTTTTGGATTTGTTGATATGTCGCTTGAAAAAAGACGCGACATCGAAATCCAATTTTCGTGATGGGCTAAAGAAGAAAGAGAAAAAAAGACAACCTGAACAAAAATTTGATCGTTAGAGGGTATCCTGTCAGATTTGATCACGTCTGGAAACGCATATCGTGAAACATGGAGCCCGAATCTAGAAGGCATGACAGCGATGTTCAAATTGCTGAATCATCGCCTGTCACCGATCATAAAGTGGTATCTTCTTCGCCTTTGAAGACTGATGCCGATACAGCAGCGCTGCTGCGCGACAGATTTGTTTACAGACCAGGTGAGACAGACCAAAATGGATCTAGAGAACCCAAGGCGGAAAATGCAGGATTCGGCACTAAAGTCGACAACGAGCTATCTCAACTGATGCAAGACTTCCCGGATTTTTCAGAAACACTCATCAAGGCCGTCTTTAAATCCAATTCCTTTGACATTAGCTTGGCTAGGGAACGTCTTGCCAAAATTCACGCGCAGAAAAACTCCAGATCCTGGGCTTGGAACCCGGGTGAAAGGAAGCCTACAAATCGGCTTGTCTCCCTGGGAGCTACTAACAATGGCAGCAACGGCCAAATCAACAATTTTGGTAATGCTGGCTCGCAGATTATCTCATCGCCCGAAAAGTCTTCTAAAATTACTTTGGAGAAGCAAAAGACCTCGATTTTCGACAGATATTCTCATGTGATGAACCAGCGTGCAAGGCCGATGATGGAATCGGTTGTTATCGACCCATCGACAATTTCGCAGCAGGCCCCGCGCAAGAGAAGAAGATTAGTTCGCGCGGAGGATACTGTCAAAACGGCTGGCAAGAAATCCTCCGTTTCTCTTTCAGACGAGGAGGAAGAAGAAGTGAGTGGTGAGGAAGACGTGAGCGGCGACGAGTATCATGAACGCACTCCCGAAGTCAACATAGATGAGGAGATTCTGAAATTCATTAACGAAGCAGATGTGAAAGACATCGCGGATATCGCTGACACAACGCTAGACAAGGCAAACGTATTAATTTCGTGTAGACCCTTCGCTGACCTTCACAGCTTCGGCCAGATGGACTTTCCGACCTCGGAAGAGCTCGACAAACAGAGAGAAAAGAAAAAGGCAACGAGAAGAGGTCAACAAAAAAAAGATGGTGAAAAGCTCTTGGACAAGATGGTTCAAACCACCAGAGGTTACTATGCAATTGATTCCGTCATCAAAAGGTGCTCTTCTTACGGAAAGCTTATCGCAAATCAAATGCAAAAATGGGGCATTGATATGGAAGATATTCAGAACGGAGAATTAAACTTTATAGATGTCGATGTCGAAGATGGCTACGACGATGATGCACCCGATGCTGATGAGCAAAAAAAAAGTGCGAATGGTAGCGAAGAGGTTACAACCTCCAAAAAATTCACCGCTGACCAAGACAGTGAAGATGAGGAAGACGAAGAGGAACTGTATCAAGAAAGCGAGGATGAAGACTACGGCGCCAGGAGGAAGTTGCGCTATACTTCTGGGCTGCGTCGTGGAAGACCAAAACAGAAGTCGGTCAAATTTTTCAAGAGAAAGCCTGAACTTTTATCCTCTGAAATGACTCTCAAGGATTACCAGCAGACCGGAATCAACTGGCTCAATTTATTATATCAAAATCACATGTCATGTATTTTGGCGGATGAGATGGGCCTCGGAAAAACATGTCAAGTCATTGCATTTCTAGCCTATTTGAAGCAAATTAAAGAGCCCGGACCTCATCTTGTGGTTGTTCCCTCGTCGACACTTGAAAATTGGCTTCGTGAATTTAATAAATTTTGTCCCGAAATGAAGATCGAACCATATTACGGTTCTCAACAGGAGCGTGCCGAGTTGAGAGATATCTTAGAGGATAACGACGGTCACTACGACGTCATTGTTACCACGTATAATCTTGCATCCGGCAACAAATACGATGTGTCCTTTTTGAAGAATCGCGGATTTAACGTTGTAGTCTACGATGAAGGTCATATGTTAAAGAATTCAATGACGGAAAGGTTTGCTAAGCTCATGAAAATCGAGGCCAACTTCAGACTGCTACTAACGGGAACACCCCTACAAAACAATTTGAAAGAATTAATGTCGCTATTGGAGTTTATTATGCCTTCCCTCTTTGTCTCCAAGAAAGACGACCTGTCTGCCGTGTTTAGGCAAAGAGCGCGAACTTCAGATTCCAATAAAGATTATAATCCACTTTTAGCGCAAGAGGCTATAGGAAGAGCCAAGACCATGATGAAGCCTTTCATTTTGAGGAGACGAAAAGATCAGGTATTGAAACACTTGCCCCCTAAGCACTCTAGGGTACAGTACTGTGACATGACAAAATCCCAACGAGAAATCTACGATAAAGAGATAAAACAGGTTATGGAGCACAAACAGTCACTCGCTCAGGAAGCAGAAGAAGATGCTACTGGTAAAGACGCCAAGAAGACTCATAGCCGCAGAGCTAAAAACTTGATAATGGCTTTGAGAAAGGCCTCTCTTCATCCATTGTTGTTTAGGAATCTCTACAAAGAGGATATTTTGAAGGCGATGAGTTACGCCATTCTCAAAGAACCAGAGTACTCACAAAACGGAAATCAAGAGTATATTATGGAGGATATGAGCTACATGAATGATTTCGAGCTCCACAAGCTGTGTTTGAAGTTCCCTAAGACGCTCTCCAAATTTCAGCTGCAGCATGACGAATGGATGGAATCCGGGAAAATCACAGTCCTGTCACAACTCTTGAAAGATATCACGGAAAAGAAGAAAGAGAAAGTGCTGGTCTTTTCTCTTTTCACGCAGGTCTTGGACATTTTGGAATTGGTGCTCACAACGCTCAACATCAATTTCTTGAGGCTAGATGGCTCGACGCAGGTCAATGATCGACAGGCTTTGATTGATAAGTTTTATGAAGATGAGGATGTCCCTGTCTTCATTTTGTCCACCAAGGCGGGTGGGTTTGGAATTAACCTAGTGTGTGCCAATAACGTCATAATTTTCGACCAGAGTTTCAACCCGCATGATGATAAACAGGCTGCAGACAGAGCACACCGTGTAGGACAGACGAAACCTGTCAGTATCACAACCATCATTACTCGCAACTCCATCGAAGAGAAAATTAATCAACTAGCGAAGAACAAACTTGCATTGGACACATACATTAGCGGGGACGAAAAGAGTGAGGAGGCTCTAGAAACCAAAGTCAGCGACATTCTCGAGAATATCATCTATGATGAAAATAAATAATTTTCGAACTCCTTGTAGAGTATATAATCATGCAACATGTCGACTACGCAAGATCAATTAGTAATTCAAGAAGGTGCGGTGAAACATTGACAGTTGTATTGATCGGAAATAAACGCTTGAAAAACCTTACAACGATGTCTTTCACACGAGACCTATCCGGTACTCAACTCCGGTAAGACTTTCTTTTCTGTTTTGATTCGTCTGTTTTTGGTCAAATTCTGGGTTTTTCATCATGGCCCCAATCTACTTACTATCTTGGTCTACACAATTTTGCTAAGTTAATATTTTCAACTTAAAGGATATATCATCAGGAGTGAGAAAAGTGGAAAGGTCAATCCACCATCTAAATCTTAGCCGTCAATAATCGCTTACGGTGTAATTGGCAAGGAGACTAGCGTTCAAGGAACTTGATTGATAAAGATTCTCGGACGAGCTTTGTGTCTGAACTAAGTGTTTCACGACTCTTATCTTACATCGGTGTGGCAAGACCCACAATACGAGTATCCTTCGAGTAGAAACCTTTCAAATTTCTGCCTTTTACCCGATAAGATCTCAAACAAGCTCTCTTATCAAGCCATGGAAAACGACTGGAGAATTACGCTATCAAGTCAGGAGCGTTCCAAGTACATCACTGATTTAGCTCAGATCCTGGCGCAGATCAGTCAAATCAATGGTGGGGATCGGGCTAACTTCAACTTAGAGAAGCTCAAGAAAACAGCGGAGCAGTTTGAGAAAAGCTTGTATGCCAGTAGCTCGTCTAAAGAGCTGTACCTTGATTCTATGCGGAAGCGCATAGCAGCGATGGATGCGGCTAAGAAGAAGGCGATCGTTAGTGTGCAACAAAAAAATGCTTCAATGGTCGCTGCCGGACAACAAGCGCAGCAGCGTCAATCCCAGTTTGTGGGTAACGCCCCGATGAACTCGCAAATGTTTTTCAATCAGCAGGCACAAGTCAGGCAACAGGCGGCGCAACAGTATCGAGGCAGCGGGGGCAATACAGCCAACAATGGAGCTGTAAACAGACCGCAACTGACTCCGCAGCAGCAGCAACTCATCAATGAAATGAAAAGTGCCGAAATTCCTCAGGAACTTCTGCAGCGAATCCCCAATTTACCACCGGGAACTAAGACATGGCAGCAGGTTACTGAGCTCGCACAGAAGAAGCGTTTGAGCCAAAAAGATATGCAAATCGCGAAACAGGTTTACCAGATGCACCAGCAGTTAGTTTTCAAATCCAAACTTCAACAAGCTAACGCAAACAACCGTAGTGGAGCGCAGCTCTCAAATATATCTCAGCAAGCTTCGATGGCTGGCATACAGTCTACACAGCAGCAGCCCAACATAAGTGGCTTACAACCTCAGCAAAGTCCTCATCTTCAACAACAACAGCTCCAAATGCAACAGCAGCTCCAGCACTTGCAACAACAACAACACCAACAACAACAACAACAACAACAACAACAACAACAACAACACCAACAACACCAACAACACCAACAACACCAACAACACCAACAGCAACAACAACAGGTGCAGCAGCAGCAGCAGCAGCAGCAGCAGCAGCAGCAGCAGCAACAACAACAACAATCACAATCACAATCACTGCAGCAGCCGCAACAACTACTGCCGCAGCAGCAACAGCATGACAAAATGCCCGGTCAGCAGGCCCAAGCCTCAACACAAGAACCGCCAAACGTTCTCAGTAAACTTAATCAACTTTTCACACCAGCGGAGCAAAAAGCGCTCTATGAAAATGGTAAAAAGCTAATAGAGGACTTACAGAGAGCCAATCGTCTTCCAGCGATGCTGACGCCACAGCAACAAGCTACTTACATCAAAAAATACATCAATCAAATGGCACTGAAGAAGTTGCATGCCCTTCGAATGTCTCAGCTATCAGGATCAAATGCTAACCTGCAGCAACAACAGCAACAGCCTCAATCTCAACTACCGCAGCAACCGGCTCAGCAACAGCTTCAACAGCCTCAGCAACAACAAGCGCAACAAGCTAACCATCAAGTGCCTGGAAGTCAGGGATCGGGCATACCTGTAATGAGTCAGTTTCCACCCAATGTGCCTAATCCTAATGCGTCAGGAACTACGGCTCAGAGAAACCAGCAACGTAAAACATTTCAAAATAATGGCACTCGATCAAATGAGGGAGGGGCCAATGTGAGCCCGGCTAGTATGCACCTTCGAATGAATTCCATTCCAGGTAGTTCTAGCGTCCCCCCTGCATCTGCAAAGGCACCACCCTCGCAACCAAAGATCTCCTTACCCAGGCCAACTGAACAGGATCTACTTGTGCTACGAAAAATATCAGCAGAGGTCCAAAAATCTCATCTTCGGCTCACAAACATCACAAATCAATTAAGTCAAGACCAGCGTCAAGCCATCAAAAACAAACTTCAGCTCAGTCGCCAACTTTTCACTAATGTTGATAACTTCATTCCTACCCTTTACATGATTACCAGAAATGAAGAGAACGTCCGCCAGCTCCTGCAGATACGGATGCTGGCCAAGGAAATCATTGAGCATGCTTCTAGAGGAGTTTTCATTGTCCCTGCAGAAGTAGTTGACAAAGTTATCTTGCGATATCAGAAATATTATGAATTCATCAAGGACCAAGTGCTAAGGCGTCATCAACAGATTTTAGCGGCACGGCAGCAGCAAATGCAGCAGCAACCTCAGCAGCAGCAGCAACAGCCACAAATCCAAACCCAGCAGCAGCCTTTACAACAGCCTCTCATGGTGCCACCATCAGATTCAACTTTTAATCAGCAACGCATCCAAGGTTCATTCCAGCAAATCCAGCAGCAAATGCAAATGCGGCAGCAGATGCAGCAACAGATGCAACAACAAATCCAACATCAAATGCAGCAGAAACCTCAAGGATCGCCTCACTTAGATTCCGGAAGGTTAAACAACGAAGGCATTCAAGGAGTCAACAATGGATATGAGGCTTCAGCTATGAAAGTTCTTCCCAACGGGCCCGACGCTGTGGGATCCCTTGGCAACGGTTCCGGTGCAGGTATAGAGTTTTTGAATTCTCCAGACCTTGGTGGTGCCAACCCTTCACCTCAGCAAGTGTCCCCTGCAAAACTGGCTGCTGCTGGCGCAAGGAAAAAAGCCGGTAAAAAAGTTGGTCAAGCCGCTTCTGCTGGCCAATTGAGCTCGGCGCAAAATTCACCTAATCCAGCTGCTGCTCAAGGTGCCAGCAGGACTAGCACCCCCAATTTGATGCCTGGCGCTGCGCCGTTGGTCAGTAAGCAAGGCTGGAGCCAGAACCAGAGCCCATCTCCCAAATCGGCCCCGGCAGGAGTGTCGCCTTTACATGAAAATCCTTTCAAAGAGGATGAGGACCATTTGCGGAAACTTATGGGCAAGAGGGGTGAAGTTGTTACTCGCTTCCGTTTGAGACAGGAAATTTTTGATCATTCTCCTGCAGATTTCTTCTTGTCCTCCTTGGCTGATTGTCTTGGATTAAAAGAGGACTCTTTTGATCTAATTGACACTATACCTAATGAAACCGTCGAATTATTCAACCGAGCTGCAAAGAAGAAGAATGCAAGGGGTGGACAGCGTACTAGGGAAGTTGATCACTCGCAAGCGTCGATTGAGAACAATAAAGTTTCCTTCTCAAACAAGATAGAACCATCGCTGCTGGCTATTCCTTTATCAGATATTGCAAGTGTATTCAGAGATGTCTATGGAACTACTGATGTGACTTCTTTCTCTTTCAAACCTACTGCCGCGGGCGAAAACTCGAGGAAACGAAAATTGACAGACGTGGAATCTAGCCCAAACATTTCTCCGGCTTCGTCTGCCCTAATGAGTGATTCCAAGAAAATCAAGGTTGATTCCCCGGAGGATCTCTTCGTCGCTCCTCCTTCGGAAGGTTTTAATAAAGCTACTAGTTTGCCAGATCACAGTTCAACTATCTGGAATTGGTCTTTCTGGTCGAACTAATGGCGTCATCAAGACCTAGAACGGTATGGTAAGAGATTCGAAGGCGATGTTGGTAAATTCAACAATCTTACGACCTCGTGACGATCCCACCTAGTGCGGCCCAATCACTACTGCCCTCCTCCTACCACTCGCTTGGGAATACGTACATTATTACCGTATACCCAGAAATCCATTGCGGAAATCCATTGGAAGTATAAGCGCAGAAAATGCCACGAATGCCCCTCCCCTCTCATAGTTTGGATAGGCGATGGCCGTTAAGAGATCAAGCGAAGTAATCCACATATGATTCAACCAATGCTAGATTAGCTTAAATTTATGTAACAAATAGCCGACTGCGCTGGGGTCAAATCCGTGAGAAGAGACTGGGCTGGCTGATTATCCTCGCCGTGCTGCAAATATGTAATGCGAACGATGACAGCAAACTATAAAAGCTCGGGAAATCCTGAGTCATCAACACCAGAACCAGAGGCACAAGGAGTGGAGTCTCGCATATAGAGAAAGCCACCACAAAACCGTTGTACTTGAGAAATACAATGGGAATTCCTCGGTTTCCTAAGGATAACGATGGTAGCCTCGAGAAGCGTCTAATACCGGAGGTTTTACAATGGAGTATTGCAAACGGACTTCTGTTGTACCCACCTAATTTTGAGATTGACAAGCCATGTAACGCTCCAACAACACTCTTCCCAACTCCTTTTCCCAAGAAAAGTTTTCAACATGCTTTGGCTTTACAAACCATTTATAATGAAGTTTATGCTAAAGTTGCACAGGGAGCATCTGACGATTGGCTAGTAGGCGAAATCGACAACTTGGCCCATTTCGATCCTGAATTTACAGGTAGATTGTGGGGATTATATTTGAAGGCCAAGGTACAAGGTATAAGTCAAAAGATTTCATTAGGTGTCTTCAGATCGGATTATTTGCTTGACAACGAAAAACTTGAAGTCAAGCAAGTGGAGTTCAACACTGTTTCCGTCTCGTTTGGTGGCCTTTCTTCTAAAGTTTGTGAGTTGCATAAATATTTGAATGACTCTGGGAAATACGATATGTCCTCAAAGGACTCATTCTACCAGCAGGAAATACCAGTCTCGGACTCGGATTTGAAATTGGCCAAGGGCCTTGCTGAAGGCGCTAAAGCCTACAAGACGCGTACAGGAAAGCCAATTGTTGCATTTATTGTTCAAAATGGTGAACGAAATGTCTTCGACCAGAAAATACTTGAATATAACCTTTTGAGACACTTTGGCGTGAGATCGGTAAGAATTACGATTCAGGGGATTCACGAGCTGACTAGGTTAGATCCAAATGATAAGAGGCTGTATTACGTTCCAACTGGTGAGGAAATCGGAGTAGTTTACTTTCGGGCAGGGTATTCTCCCAGTGACTATCTGAGCGAACAAGACTGGGAAAATAGGTTAACTTTAGAGATCAGTTTCGCCATAAAAGCACCAAATTTGCTCACGCAATTGGCTGGGACGAAAAAAATCCAGCAACTTTTGACGGACTCTTCGGTACTGGAGAGATTCACAGCAGACTCGAGCTCTCTGGAGATGCTTAAATCTTCATTTGTTGAAATGTACCCTCTAGACGATTCCGATCTTGGTAGAAAGGGTAAAGAGCTTGCACTCAAACAGCCCCAGGACTTCGTTTTAAAGCCGCAGAGAGAAGGCGGTGGTAATAATATTTACAAGAACGACATCCCTAAATTTTTAGCCGGCATTCCTGAGAGTGAATGGAGTGGATACATTCTTATGCAATTGATCAAACCACAGCCTACAACTGACAATATAGTGCTAAGGGGCCGGGAAATTTCAAGAGAGCCAATTTTGAGTGAGCTTGGTATTTTCGGGTACGTGGTTTTTGACGATTCCAATATTCTTGTGAATGAGACCGCAGGATGGTTGCTGAGATCGAAATCTAGCAGCTCCGACGAGGGAGGAGTTGCCGCAGGATTTGGATGTGTGGATAGCGTTGTGCTGTATTGAAAATAATCTACTATAGACCAGTCTTCAAGTGATTTTCTGGATCTCATCGGAGACCCACATTGCACCGCCTACAATATTACTAGGAATGGTTATTAATGAGACGAGAGGTACAAGTTCCAGCGCACCAGCCATCATCCCAAAAGCGGTAAACTTCCCAAGGTGCTCATAAAATGCATCATTCTTTTCCTCTGCGGTATTTTTGCGCAGCTTGAAGTACCTGTCTGCGTATGCATAACCTCTCTTGGGGCTCATAAGTTGGTTAACAGCAGTGGGTCCAATGATAGGAATCAACGACAAGACCATAAAGAATACTTTTACTAGAAAATGGAAAGACGCTGAAATAACCTTGAGAGGAAAAACACCAAACCAAAATTCGGGTGATGTTTTGCTGATCTTTTTTGATGTAATTTGCGGCAAGTATTTAGCCTCTCTCAGAAACTGCTCATTGCCAAGCTTAAAAAGCACTGTGTCAAACAAACTTGCAAAAAACACTGGAAATATCAAGATTTTTGTTAGCGCTACCGCGATAGCGTTGGACTGTAACAACCATTGGATATGGACGATAATAAATCCTATGGGTCCCATCGCAGCGACTGCCCATGTCAAAAGAATTGGCAGAATGAACAGGTAATATAAGGCAGCTACCATGACAAAAATGCAAAAGTATGAGAATGCCAAAATCACACTATAGAACCATAGAGATGGTGATATAGAAAATTTGAACAATCCCTGCATTTACAACAAGTTAGTATATTTGTGTCAGTGTTAAGGCTAAATTGAACAATATGGGAAGCATACCAAAATTGGATATTTATAAGTTTCCTCGACCGCTAAGTCATAGGCAAAATTTCGAAAAACAAAACCAACCCTTCTTCGCAGTTTCATGGAACATTTGTGGACAAATAACAAATATGAAATCTTTTCGGGCGTCTCTGCTTCCATCACCGTGGGTTGTGTTGGCTCCCCACCATTTTCATGAGTTCCATGTGACAAAGGTACTTGTGCCTGCATAGCTCTTGTTAAATTACAGAGGTTGAGGCCGTTCTCTGTTTTTGAGGCGTCGATGTTATTTCTTATAAAACGAGAACGTCTCCGTCTGTGTATTTATGGGGTGTTGGCCGTTTTTGGTCTTACTTCGGACACAAAAAAAGTCAAAATTTTAAAAAGCGTATGGATACTAATTTTAATAAACACTGTTGGAGCCGTTTAATTTGAGCTCATAGCACTGATGAGATCGTCTTGAAACCATAATGCGCGAGCCACGTAATTGGTGGTGATTAAAAGTCCGGACAAAATCGGAATAGATTCCAAGATACCGGCTACTTGACCAAAAATGGCATTTTTCCCAAATTCTTCGTAATATGCCATACCGTTCTGAATGGCATTGGGCATCTGCAATTCCAAAAATATTTCCGCATAGTCATATCCTCTGTTAGCGACATTTAGTTGCGATACTAGTATTATGCCCACGATGGGTACCAGCGACAAAAGAAATTGTGCAGTGCTAGAAACCCAGACTCGTACAAAACGGCAGAGCATGCTCGGTAATCTTCGAGACCAATGAGTGCCGCGCCATTGATCTTTCCTAATATTCCAATTGACCAGTCCTAACGTCATTCTATGACGATCGTCGGAATTTTGCATAAGCTTATTGAATATTTGAAGCCCATGACGTGCACTAGCCAATCTAGTGGTTTTATTCGCGTAGCAATTCACGTGTAAAACGGAATGAATCACAGCAACAGTGACTCCCAAGGGCCCTAGCAACAGTGTTGAGATGCCAAGAACGAAGGGAAATATGATAAAGTAATACAAAATCGCAATCAAAATAAACTTGGTGGAATATGTCAGAAATACCAAGCATGCTTCTTTCCAAAAGTAATTTTTTTCGAAGAAGACAAAGATTCCCTGTTTTTTGAGTTAGCGTGGTGCTCGAAGCTCGGATCTAACGAGGTAATGATACTTGCGAACACAGACTTTAAAAGGATAAATGTACCATTTCAGTACCAGAACGCTACTAACCATGCTCTCAATCGCTTTGGCCACCTTAATGGTGTAGCTTTCAAGTTTGGCTATGAAGAATGCCCTTGCCGCATTTGAGAATGTGCCTTCCTCTCTTGAATCGATATCTTGTCTGCTATATGCACAAGGTAAAATGATGGAGGACATGTTCTAGTGTCTCTGATTTTTCGGTGGTGTTAAAGACAAGGTTTAGTGTAGCGGATGGAGTAGTGATGTATTTACAGTGGTCAGGATAATGTGATCGATGCCATTCCACAAAAATAAGGACGCGCGTCAACGGACAACCTTGAATTTTTATCTAGCAAATATACAATTCATTTACACAAAAGATCAAAGAACAGGCTCAACTGTATCTTCCTCGACTATCACTGGTTCCGCTGGTTCCACCGAGCCTACCAATTCTACCGGTCTTTGTACAACGGTTTCCAATTCATCGAGCTCCTTTTCGGCTAGCAAACCAACGCCGACCATATTAGAAGAGTAGATTAATCCTGAAACGATTGGTAAAGTTTCTAGTTGACCGGCCACGAAACCGAAGGCGCTGTAGCCGCCGAACTTAGCATAAAATCTTGACTGACGCTCGCGATTGTCGAGCTTTTTCAGACGAAGGTATTTGGAAAAATAGATTCTGCTTATAACTGGCGAGATAGCAGCGGAGAAAATGGCGGGTCCCAGTATTGGTACGAAGGACAACAACACCAAAGTGATTACTACGCCAGAGGTGATTGAATAAACGACAATTCTCCAAGGCATGTAATTGAGCCAGTAATAGCCCGTATTCATGGGGATGTAAAACCTCTTAGCAGTTTGGCTTGAATGCAATGCGCGATTGATAAAGGCATCCTTTTTCTTGTTCTGTAGGGTCTTGAAGAACAGGGGCACGTTAAGCTGTGACATTCTCATTATCATCATGCTTAGCATATTTGCATGCAGCAAGAAATGCAAGTATGCCAGGACCAATCCTAATGGGCCCAAAACTCCAAGTATCGCCAGATAAACTGGAAGAACTGTAGCAAAATATATCAGCAAAATTATCGTGTAAACCGTCAAATAAACGATAAAGGGCTTAAGCCAGGACCAAACGTAGCTAAAGTTACTCAACATTTCCACAATTCCCTTTAATGGAAAGAGATACACATCACCTCTCAAAGCTTCGCGCCAGAAATTGCGTGTCACCTCATGAAATCTATGCGCAATGATACTCATTTCCTGTTTGAATATCATGCCCGGATAATTCTCTTTCCCGCGTGGAAAATCTTCATCTATCACCGCCTCCTGACCACAGTATTTGAAAGCTAATGCTCCCACTCCACATATTGCCAACGTTGCCGTAAAACTCATTGCTGGATATTTCTGATCTAAGCTATATAATCACTTCTCTCGAACAACTATCTAACAACAACGTTTAAAAATGAAAATGCCCAATTCAGAAATAGTGACACCCTTCTATCTGAAAAGCGGTGCTCAAACGTGGACATTACAAATGGATTCTTTTCGTCTTTTATATCTCGATTCTGACGCCGATCTCCCCCGGACACAAAGACCGGCTGGCGTCAACAGAAGACACCCAGACCTTTCGTGTCGCCGATATTAGAAAAATTTCAACATATCAACCTCAGATCAAGGAGTTTCGAGCAGGGGCAGGGATATAATAGAGCGGATCTGCAGAGAGTCCCAGACTCGAGAAGCAGTAAAGGCTAAATTTGGCCTACTTATAATCAGAATTAAGGAAAAACGAACAAGAACGGAGCAGTTGGCCCGGACTTAGCCGGTAATTTAGAGGCAGAACTGTGCTCTAACTTGTCGAGTAAAGCAACGTGTAGGCAACGTAAGGAGTGCACATTCGAGCTCAACGAAACACGGTGCTAAGACCCAAAGATCAGAACGGTTGATGCAGGTAATGTCGGAAAATATCGTTCATAGTGAAAACAGAAGCGACGGGGAGTTGTGGGACGCAGAGCCGAAATTAGCAGCAGCAGGGTTATCTCTGCCAGGGGGGAGTGATTACAGTTTACGTGAGCTGGTCAGTTTCCCGAACGAGTCTACCAGGGCTTATTCGTACAATCCGCTGTCGCCAAACTCGCTAGCAGTTCGGCTGCGGATTTTGAAACGGTCGTTGGAGATCATGATTCACAACCCAAGCTTACTGAAGGAACATGAGTCTGTGGACCACAAGAGGATGCAGACGCCGAGCTGGAGCAGAGCAGAGGCTCCATTGAGTGCTCTGGGCCAGAAAAGCCGCCCACAGCTGGGAAGAAGCAGCAGCCACGAGGGCATCTTATCACACCAGAGGACTTCGAAACTGCGAAACGCGTCTTCTGCAGCACTTTCTGCATTGTTCAGAGGCCCAGAGACTGGTGCGATACCGTCAGGTGACATGCAGCGGACTTTTTCGTCGCCAAGACCTTCTTTAATGCCCAGAGCGTCACATCCGTCACCACGAACCATAGCCGAGACTCCTAGCTCAGAGTCGAGCTCAGCGCGCAGCTCAATAGCTGAAAGCAGTAGCGTTCTCGATCCAAATGCTTCGGTATCGTCATTCTATCAAACTAATGGTAACAACAGCACGGACGTTTTACAGACAAAGAGAGATGATCTCGAGAGCTTACTTCATCTCTTGAATGAGGCACTACAAAATCATCTCTTTTCCAAGGCCTCCAATCTTCATAGGATGTCCCTTTTCAATATTAACAAATTATCCCTAGGTCTTAACGGCAAGGATAATGGAGATCCCATATCTGCTGAAGGTAAACAAGAAAAAATGTTGAAGAAAAAACTTTTAGACAGTCTGGCGCAACCTTTTTTCGAGTCTTTCACAACTGATTCTGCCCCCGACGAGGAGGTCGTAGATGGAAAAGATTTCGGTCGCTTTTCTCCCGACAATTTCTCTTTTGCTAACTTTCAAACGACCGCACCTGAAAACAACCGGATTTTGCATGTATTTATATCTGGCAAGAATTCGTCTCCACAAGCTATCTTTAGTTGCATCCACGAATATCCATGGAATTTTAAGAGCGCCAACGATTTAGCTTGTCTCACTTTCGGGATTTCTAGAAATGCATTGCGAGCACTTACTTTGTTGGATCTGATTCATTCAGACAGTAGAAATTTTGTGTTAAACAAGCTTACATCAACCGAGAATGAGGAGTTGGTTTTCGCGGGCGAAATTGTTGGCATTGTACAACCTGGAGCCCAGAGCTCACGACTAGTCTGGGCATCACTCTGGGCGAAAAGGAAGAACGGCCTATTAGTGTGCGTGTTTGAAAAGGTTCCATGTGATTACATGGATATGCTGCTGGATTTAAATGACTTCACCGTTGAAAGCATTACTGGCGGTGAGGGTTTAAGTTTCCGAGATCAAGAGGAATCTGGAGCTAAAGAAAATCAGGCGGAAATGAAAGATTTTCTCGGAAAGGAAACCGCTCCAGCGAAAAACGATATACACATTGTGAAAACTTTGAGTGGCTCTTTGACGAAGCTAATAGATGACGTTAGGAATGGTGATGTCTTTACCGAAGATGATGACCTTTTACCTATGTGCATTCGCGTGTCTCAACACATAAACAGGGTGAGGTATTTCACGCTGAATCATTTGTCTTACAACATACCTTGTGCTGTGTCATGCACCATTCTCGAGAACGGCATGAAGCTAAAGATCCATAGTCTGCCATATCAAGCAGGAATTTTCATTCTCAATTCGTCAAATTTCAAATTGATTAGCTTCAACAAATCAATCTCTAAGAACATGTTTGGACTTCACGCAAGTGAACTCATAAACAAAGACATTACCGAAATTATCCCTCCGTTTTGCGATATAATTGATCATATCAGAACCGAGCACCCGAACCTGGACATCAATTCTCCAAAAAATAAAGGACTGGTTCTGACAGAGCATTTTTTCCGAAAGATGCATTCGGAGCTGGATCCGGTAGGCAATTTTTATGATTCGATTGGCATTGATGCTATTCACAGAGACGAGAGTGTCATAAAAGTTGACATTCAATTGCGAGTTATGGATTCTTCAACGGTTATTCTTTGGATTACGCATTCAAGGGACGTTTTATTCCAAAATTATACAACTAATCCTTCTCAATTACAGATTTTGAAGGAAAATGAAATCGCATCGGTCACAAGTAATAGCAGTTCCGCATCTTCTTCTAAGACGCAAAGCAAAAGGTATAATGCACACGAATTGAAGTCGCTTGGTACAAAGCCAGAAAAACCTAGCCCAGAGAATAATACTGAGAAAGTTGGGATAAAAAAAGAAGGCGGCGAACCATCTATCAAGCACGAGAGCTCTTTTGAGGATGGATCTCAGGATATCAGCATGGACAAGCTGGACGAGGAGCTAGCTACGAGATTGCAAATTGCTAAAACCTTTAGTCAAGACAAAGCTCAATTTGTCAAGGATGACAATTTCAAACTTGATGAAAATCTTATCCGATCTTTGACTTCATATTCTCCCAATCCTACCCCGGACACGTCTTCAAGCTCCATGGACAAAGTTGAGACAGCTCTTGGATCCACGATACCAGCTGAGAAATTCCCAACTTTGCCTGTATGTAAGATCGGAGCACTGAAGCATGTCAAGAGATTTTCGGACTTTGTTGTTTTACAGAAAATGGGCGAAGGTGCTTATGGTAAGGTCGATTTGTGCATGAATAAAGCCGACAAGTACGTTGTTGTGATCAAACTGATTTTCAAAGAACGCATTTTGGTCGATACATGGGTAAGAGATCGAAGCCTAGGGACTATTCCCTCCGAAATTCAGATCATGGCTGCGCTGAACAAAAAACCTCATGAAAACATTCTGACCTTGCTCGATTTTTTTGAAGATGATGAATATTACTACATCGAAACTCCCATTCATGGAACCACGGGCTCTATTGATCTGTTCGATTTGATAGAACTCAAGACTAACATGACAGAGCATGAATCTAAATTGATATTCAAGCAAATCGTTTCAGGTATGCAACATCTTCATGACAATGGCATAGTTCATCGGGACATAAAAGATGAAAACATCATCGTTGATAACAAAGGCTGCGTAAAGATTATTGATTTTGGTTCTGCCGCATATGTCAAAAGCGGTCCTTTTGATGTTTTCGTCGGCACCATTGACTATGCAGCCCCGGAAGTTCTTGGTGGTGAACCCTACGATGGCAAGCCTCAAGACGTGTGGGCTATGGGTGTCTTGCTTTACACGATTGTCTTCAAGGAAAATCCATTCTACAACATTGACGAAATCCTAGACGGAGATTTGCGCATAAATGCAAACCTTGCTATAAGTGATGGATGCATCGCCCTCGTGACCAAAATTTTGGATAGGTCTGTCCCACAAAGGCCTTCCGTCCACGACATTAACAACGATAAGTGGTTGGAGTTGTAACACTATCATTTCCCTTCACATTCTTCTCTTTATCCCACTTCCAAATCCACAGTCTCTTCACGCCACCGGTTCTATTAGAGAACCCAATTTTTTAAGATATTTGCATACTACTTTGAATGTTTAGTTTACCCTAGTTTAATTAATGAGTTCATTACAATACGTGAACATTCATGTCAATCACATTAAAAGTCAGGATTTCACTCATAAACAAAGAAAACTCATGAACCTCAATTTACGTTAAAGACCTAAAGGAACACCACTCAATCCTAACAAATGGCATTCCCTAGTAAAGTTTACCTAATATATTTACAAGAAATGGCGGCGACGTTATGATCACTATATATTTTTTTATTAAACTACTGCGAGAGAACATGGAAAATGTAATTGAAGGGAAGGAGATAAGAATAAGTAAACTGAAGAACAAGACTCTAGTCAGAAGGATATTCGATGGGCGATGTTATATAGCATATAAAGGTTTGCAGAGGCCGTTTATTTCGTGTGTGATCATTTCCTTGAAGATAATCATTATACACGGACGACTTTCGACCTTAAGGCTAGGAAAGGATTTTAGAGGATTAACATGATTGGGGAGTTAAAGAGGACTAAATACCTAAGGGCGGAGTCTCGAGACATGCTTCTGAAGTTGCATCATTGCATTCGAAGGCGAATTTGAAATATATTTTTGCTTTCACGACTCCACGACGCTAGGCTGCATATCAAAGTAAGAAAACATTGTAGATGTCAGTGTCAGAGGCCGCGCCAAACAGTTCAATGACACTTCAAGACTTACTGAACGACAACGAATTTCAAGTACAAGATTTCAATCAAGAAAGGAACGATGCTAGTAATATTGATGTCATCGTGCGAGACAGCCTAAGCTTATTCATCAAAGGGGATCCCAAGCGTTCTCTGGAGCTTTTATGTTCTCCCGGAGTTTTGGGTCGAGAAGACCTAAAGCGACACTCCCAGGTCTGGAAATTATTTGTGTCTGCTTACAGGGATGCCAGGTACGATACGCTCGGCGTCAGCCTCCAGAAGGTGTTCAAAGAGAGCTTCAGGCATGCGAATTTCGAGCACATAAAAAAAATCTCGACTTCAGAACCCATCCAGGAGCGAATTGGGTTAACTTTGAAATATTTTGAGTGCTGTAGCAAATGCGCACGTAGGAGTTCTAACAAGGACCAGACAGAATTGCTTGCGCAGGAAACTCGAGCCTCTTTACAATTTTTTGCTGACCAGAAATATCAATCGGCACAAGACAAATCGCGGGTATTAATGCCTTTAGTCAGTTTTTACATTTTCACTATTGGAATCGAACTGCGACACCAACCGCCGTCAAGAGCTCTTCTGGACAGCCTAACACGTAGGGTTCCATCCCTTAGTGAAATTTTAGACTCTCAGGATGAAACTGCTACTCGAAACTTGGGATTTAACAGCATATATGCACGTCTTGATGAATTGGCGAGGAAAAAGCGCAGTTCGAAACCTGTTTGCACGATTGAAGAAAACAGACCTAAAACCGAGATCATTGAGTTACCACGCAGCCAGGTGCAGAAACCCGCTTCTCAAAAGGCGTTATCGAGCGCGGAATTGCTGCATTGGCGCAGCGTGATGAACATCATCATTCAAAAGAGAATCAACCCCAAAACTGCAGTGTTCGTAGTCCTGATAGCTCTCTTCGCTATGAAAAGAGTAAAAAATTTCCCAGTTTCGCTGAGAAAAATTCTCCTCATACTAAGATCTTTCTTCCGAAATGTCTTGAGGATAATTCAACTAATACTCAGTCTCTAGACTACATTCCCAGGTCTCGTCTTTGGCTCAATATGGTTACTCATTTAATACTCATTTGTCAATTGAGACGTCTCTAATGATATTAAAAAACTTACCCGGCTTTCCCGAGGGGCCCCTTTCAGTAAGGTTTTTCTGGTTCTAAGGGAAATGGTAAAACAGTCGAAGCCAAGGTAAGCAAAGGGCTGAGGGAAAGGAAAAGGACCAGAACGGTTTGCTGGAAGTGTCCTCCGTTTCTAATTAATATTACTCGAACTTTGTAGTAGAGATCTAGTTAAGTTATCCTTTTGCTTACGAGAAATAGCCTTTTATGAGTGGTGAAAAGGATGGATCTGAAAAGAAGATCAAGGCCGGTCAAGGATCTGCAGGAAGCGGAGATCTGTACCCGTTGGCGCTTCTGATGGATGAACTGAAGCACGATGACATAGCAAATCGGGTCGAAGCCATGAAAAAATTAGACACGATTGCATTAGCATTGGGTCCACAAAGAACGCGAGACGAATTGGTGCCATTTTTGACAGAGGTGTCTCAAGATGACGAGGATGAGGTATTCGCGGTTTTGGCCGAACAATTGGGTAAGTTTGTTCCATTTATTGGGGGAAGCAAGTTTGCAACTCTTTTATTACCAGCGCTGGAAATTTTGGCGTCAACAGAAGAAACTCTGGTTCGCGACAGGGCTGTTGAATCATTAAACAACATCGCACAGGAACTTTCTGAAGAGCAACTTTTTCACGATTTTATACCTCTAATTGAACACCTTGCCACTGCGGAGTGGTTTTCGTCCAAAGTATCTTCATGTGGGCTTTTTAAGTCGGTGCTTGCGAGGGCAAAAGATGACAAGTTTAGGAAAGAGCTGTTGGCTTTGTACTTACAACTAGTGCAGGATGATACGCCAATGGTGCGCCGCGCAGCTGCCAAGAATTTGCCTACCCTAATTGATCTTCTTACACAAAATCCAGATCTTTCCACAGCGGAAGATTGGGACTATATTTCGAACATGTTTCAAAAAATTGTGGCAGATGGTCAAGACTCTGTAAAATTCTTGGCGGTCGAGATTTTGATCTCTATTCTAAAGTTCTTCAATAAAAAGAAAGACACCACGCATTCGAGGGACTTGTTGCATTCATCCATACAACTCATCAGCGATGAGGCATGGAGGGTTCGTTACATGGCTGCCGATAGGTTTGATGCGCTAGCGGAGGAATTTAGCTCCAACCCCAAATTTATGGAAGAACTCGTCGGCCCATTTCTCTCGCTATGCGAGGATAATGAAAGTGACGTGAGAAAGGCCGCCGCAAAGCAGATTCCTAGGTTTTCGGAATTACTAGGAGACTCCCAAGTGATAGTCAAGTCAATGCTACCAACAATCCAAAATCTCAGCATGGATGAAAGCGAGGCCGTTCGTGCTTCTTTGGCCTCGGAAGTTACCAATTTGGCGCCTTTGTTACCCAAGAAAGAAGCAGTCGACTCCCTAATACCAATTCTTCTTAACATGCTCAAGGATGAATTTCCTGAAGTTCGTTTGAACATCATTGCCAAATTAAAAGTTGTGAACGATGTGGTTGGGATCGATCCGCTTTCAGAAAGTCTTTTGCCTGCAATTACGGAACTCGCCAAAGATGTGAATTGGAGGGTCAGAATGGCGATCATAGACTACATCCCGCTACTAGCAGAGCAGCTAGGTGTCGAGTTTTTCGACAAACAACTCGGAGACTTGTGCCTTTCGTGGCTGTGGGATACTGTTTACTCCATTAGAATGGCCGCGGTTGCTAACTTGAAAAAACTCACGGAAACTTTCGGATCGGACTGGTCCCGAGATGAAATTATTGCACGGTTGCTCAAGTCAGACTCTCAATTGTTGGAAAATTTTGTTTACAGGATTACTCTGCTTATGGCGTTGACAGATCTGGTACCGGTTGTTTCACCAAAAGTCGTTACCGAAAAGATTCTACCTTTCATAGATCATCTTGCTACAGATGGGGTTGCAAATATCCGGTTCAATGTTGCCAAATCATATGCTGTGGTCGTGAAAAGCTTGTCGAAAGATCCGACCAAGTTTTCCGATTTGATAAACAATTCCATTATTCCAAACTTGAAAAAACTGAGCCAGGATAGTGACGTTGACGTCAGGTACTATGCCGAACAAAGCATCGAAGAGTGCAAATCGTACCTGGCCTAGATATCATATAGAATTGTTTAAACGCATTCGCTCATCTTCGTGATTTTTGAGCTCAAATCAATGTTCACTCAAGTTAAATGCTGACGGTATAAAACAATGCTAATTTTCTACGATTTACCAGCGCCGGATGTGACTCTGAGTTTTTCATCACCATCACTCTCGATTTCTTCCTTGACCTCTTTGGAATTTTCCATGTATTCCACCCATTCTGAGTAATTACCCCGGCTTTTCCTGAAGCCTTTGGCTTTAGAAGCGCCCTTCATCAATTTTTTATCCACTGCATTGCAAATATCACTTGCCATACATAAATCACATCGCTTGCCTCGTGGGAGACATATTACTTGGCCAAAGCCGACCAAAACAGGGTTTATTTCATACCAGAGATCGTATGGCAACCATTCTTCCAAAAGGCGACGCGTATGTTCTGGAGTTTTAGCTTTGGCTGGATCAACCCATTTCCACATTTTACAAAGCCTGTCAACATGCACATCGACACCAATACCATCCACTTTACCCCATGCTTTTTGTAATGCCAAATACCCCATCTTGGGTCCGACTCCCGGTAAAGAGAGCATTCCGGCGATATCTGGAGGAACATCGTCGTCGAAGTTGTTCCTCAACAATGTAATCGTCTTTTTGATGTACATTGTTTTACGCGTATAGAAACTCACTGGATATAGCAGTTCGGTCAGTGTATCTTTGTCAATATCAAACATTGCGTCAAGCGTCAGGCCTTCCCCACTTTTCAAATCCTCATAGCAGTATTGCATAAGGTTGAACATGGCTTTCGCATTCGCTTCGTCTCTGGTTTGTGACGACAACATCAGTGCAATGAGAAGTTGAAACCTGTAATTCTTCGGGGAAATATGGCATCTTTTGACACCAAATTCTTGACTCACTGTGACTGGAAGCATTGCACAACCAACCGAATCGACCGGCGTGGCAATCTTAGATCTCATAAGTCTCACTTTCGAGTAAATGGGAATAAAATTTCTCGGAAAACCTTTTCTCTCCACCAATTCAATATCACCAATATCATCTTTAGTCCGGGCATTAACCCAATCGTAATACTCATAAGCATCCATTTTCTTGACTTTCTCAACATCAACGTCGTCTTTGCGACAACTAGATTTCAATACCTCTTCCTCCTTCCGATCCTCCTTCTTGAAATATTTCGATACTTCACCCGTTTCATTATCACCTCCAAGTTCACCTTCAACTTCAACTTCAACTCTAAGTCGTTTGGATCTTCGCACCATCGATACCAAAAAGAACTGTTCTTGCAAAGACCAACAAAGGATCGCTTCAAGTTGCAAATTATGAGGTTCGTATCGGCGTGCTTCTCCTTTTTCCTTCTCGATCTCCTCTCGATCACTTACTCCCCGTGGGGTTTTGCCCGTGGGTTCAATATAAATGGCTTCTAAGATCAATATGGATTTAATAATTTCGGACTTAAGAGACCACACCTCTACATAGGTAGATGCTTTTGACAAAAAAAGAACTGGTGGAAATTTTGGAGATTTATCAACAAGAGCTCTTAATATCGAGTTGAAGTCATCACAAATTCGAGACGGTGGGTCTTTCGAGAATTGCTGTTTTCCTGATCTTAACGTGGGCTGTTTACGGCTCAATGGTGCCAAAAGTTTCCAGCAAGTTTGCCAGAAGGCTCTTACCTCTTGGTAGCAATTTGATCGAGACATCGACGAAGAAACCAATTGTGGGAAACGGAGCAACGAATTTGGGTAATAGATGCGATACTTTCACTATGCTGACATACAATATGTTATCACCTTACTATATGTGGCCACAGGTGTACACGTATGTTCCAGATAAATTCAAAGAATGGAGCTACCGACACGCACTTTTGGAAAAAGAGATTCTTAACAAGTACCGTGCCGATATCATGTGTGTTCAGGAGCTGACATGGAAAGATTACGATAGTTTTTGGCAGGAACATTTGGAACAAGATCTGAATTACGGCAGTAGTTTCATAGCGAAAACACCTCCCAAATATTGGCAAAGACCCGAAAATGAGATGGATGGTGTGGGCATCTTTTACAACCGCGAGAAATTCGACCACATCTCTTCAACGAGCATATATCTTAGCGATATGATTGGAATTTTCAATATCAAGGAGTTGAACTACTTGAAAAGCACTATAATCACGCTCACGAACGGTGCAGGAGAACCTGTGGGCAAAGAGAGTTTGCTGAATGTATTACACAGCCGAAATCAAGTGTGTCTTTTTGTGTCATTGATGCACCGGAAAACTAAGACCTTGTTTGTCGTAATCAATACACATTTGTATTGGAAATACGACGAAGTCAAATTGTGCCAATGTCTCACGATTATGCGGAAATTGGATCGAATTATAAGGCAGCTCTTGATGGGTATTGAAGGCGCGACATATTCCAAAATCAAGATTTTATTCACTGGAGATTTAAACTCGCTACCCGACTCGCCCGTCGTGAACTTTTTAAAAGGTGACGTAGTGTCGAGAGCTGATTTTAACCTTGTCAATCCGCTACGTCCGTATTTGAATCGTTACATCTATCAAGATACTTCAGAAAACGCGTTTGACTACACATGCTACTCGGGGAAGTTGAAGGGTATTTTTGATTATATTTGGTATCATGATACAGATTTCCGTCTTAAAAAAGTACTCACAGGTATTGAGGTTACCGAAGAACTGAAATATTTGCAGCAGTTCGGATTACCAAACGAGTATCATCCAAGCGACCATATCCCAGTTTTGACTGAGTTTGAATTGCTCAGCTGATTTAAGATAACTTAGTCCTGGTCCTGCCGCTGGGAAGTAGATTAAGACAGTTCGCAACAGCAATCGGGCCCTCCTTTCTGCCAGTCCGACTTCGTCTTCAAGGCATCTCGTTCTAGTTGGTGCCCTATCAATGTCAAAACGATCTCGACTAAGCCAAAGCGAGGCAGCTACGATGAAGGGTGGTTGGACGAAGCTTTCCCAAATTGTGGGACCAAATAGGATTGAAGGGTAACTAAGAGAAGGAGGCTTTTTTCGAAGCCCTTTAAATAACGATCAAAAGGAGAATCAAAATTATCGTAAGGAGCAAAATAACAAGACAGGGCCCGTTTTCCCGAGCTGCTTTCTCGTAAATATCAAGTCGTGTTCTTGCTCTGCTCAGATTTCTTCCGCTAGTATCCACCAGACTTTCTAAATCGCGTAGAACACCTACATTCTGATCGGATAATTCATGATCGATGTCCAGCGATATATGGTGCACCCGGCTGATATTACTGGACAAATTATTCAAATGTGCATCTTGCTCCAATAACTGCTGTTGTTGTTGTACAAAAATCTCTTGATTAGAGAGCTGAGGTGCCACAACAAGATTGCTATCCCCAACACTGCCTCCTTTACTTTTCCCATACTCAAAAAGCTTAATCCTATCGGCATCAAGGTCCACATCAGCACCAGAGTCCTGAGTGGTATCAGAATACTCGATTAAATCATCCTTGAAACGGACTCTCTTAGATCTTGAAATGTCCTTTGTAGTTTGTCCGTGCCAATGTCGCCTTTCAAATGCATAAAGAGATTTATCGATTACACCGTCTTGCGGCACACATTCTAACGCCTCGTTGTATTTTTGGCAATAACCTTCAAAAGCTGCATAGTCTTCGTCGTCTATCGCTCCCTCACTGCTCTGTAACAAATCGAGTGTGCCATTTAGCTGCGTCTTCAAATTTAAATTATCAGCAGCAGACGGCTTAATTTTTAAAACAGAAATCAACCGCTCTCGTTCCTTCACCAAATCAACCAGTTTATCTATCTCATAAGACACTTTCAAAAGCTCCATCCCTTACATCTGCTCTAACAAGGAGTGAACTTTCAAAGTGAGTTAGTTGGTCTTTATTTGCTGAAAATTCTGTTACAAGTGATATTGACTATCCATCTCTACAAACGTAACGACAAAAATGAAAGAACCACTGTCTTGTAATGCTCTTGACGTCTTATTTGCTTTAGTTATTTCATCGTAGGCTAATCAAGTCCCTATTTGCTATGTGATATGCACATCAAACGTTTTTCTGTTGAGATGCCTTTTTTCTGAAAGCAGTTGATCGCTTAGTAACTCTACCAGTTTTGGATCTCTGTTTCTTAGATTTGAGTCCTTGCACAGAATCGCCTTTTGCCGCACGTAAACCCTCGACAGTTATTTCTTTACCTATGGTGGCTCTGTCAGCTTTTCCAAGAACTTTCTTGGCACGTCCAAATTTGGTTCTCTGAGAATCTGTGAAAGCTCTTTTATGGCCATGAGCCTTTGAATCAGGTCCCGTTTTTTTCATGTTCTTGCATCTGGAAATGCGCACTTTGCGCCCGGTACCGTTCAATTTCTTACCGTCAAGTAAAAGAGCCTTATTTATACTCTGGAAATCAAAAAATTGAACATATGCAAATCCTTTCCCCAAATTTGTTTTTGGGTCCCTAATAATACGCACGTACTCAATGGCGCCACAGGTTTCGAAGTAAGTCCATAGGTTTTCCTCGCTTTCCTCGAAATCCAAGTTTCCGACAAACACAGACCGTTTCTTGTCCTGTTCCGCTGGATGTGCGACAGAGTCCACCCTTAAATGATGATCTAGAAAGACATTGGCGTTCAATTGCTTACAAACACGCTGGACAACCGTTCTATCCTTATAAACGACGTATGCGTTGACGGAATCGCGCGATTTGTGTAGCTTTTGCTGTACAAACGCCACTTTTCTGGGCAGAGCTTCCTCAAACGAGATAGACCGAAATCTTATGCTCTGAATGGCGGTTTTCCGTGCCGCGTTTTGGGGTTTCTGTAACTCATTATCATCGTCGTCCGAGTCTGAATCCGATGCTTCCTCTGAACCAACGGCATGGCGCGAAATGTCTTTCTTGAACGAACTTTGTAAACCCGCTTCTTCAAACAGTCTCCTAAATTGTTTGTACGCTTTCTTGGCAAGGATTACTTCTGCCGGCACATTACCAACGAAAACGGTTCTGTTGGCTTTTTCTAGCTCTTCCTCTTTCATATTGACCTTTTTGGCCGCTTCAACTACAGTGCTATTTCCTGTCTCGGTTTCTGGGGTTATTTCGGATTTCGACACATCATCAGAACCGCGCTCTTGCGCGATCTCAGCATCTTTGCTATTGCTATCGTTATTCAAAGTTTTGGTAAAATACTGAGCCTCTAGATCGTCATTGGCGTCCACTCTCCACTTCTTGGTTTTTCTTTTCTTCTTAGCTGGTTCTGGTGTGGGTATCGCGTTATCTTTCTCAAGCGCCAAATTCTCAGAATTGCCCTTCTCATTGTCCTGCTCAGTATCGTCTATCGTTTGCTCTTCGCGTTCAATTTCTGGCAATACTGTTCTACTTTGCAACTTCAGTTTCGACGTACTGACTGGACCTGTCGATTTGCTGAAAAGCTCGTTGACATTACTCGCAAGTTTCTCCTCTTCCAAGGGACCAAAAAGATTATCAACAGAAGACATTGTGCGCTATTTTACGAAACGTATCAATCCGAGACTCAAACTATTTCTAAACCTTGTTCTTCAGCAGGTTCACGATGGTCGGATCCTGCGATGAGCTTGTATATTTCGAAAATTTTCCCGATGAACCTCGATGAGCAGTTCCTTCGTTGGAAACGACGGTCAGGTTTTAAGCTCAACGGCCTTGAAAGACGAAACCATCCCAATAAGAAAGTAAATATGACCCCTCAAGCCTGAGAAGGTCACTCTAGAACCGGATTAAAAGAATCTGTGAGGGATTACTGAGCGTGATTTGCATCAGATTTTGTCTAATGGAATCGAAATCAGAATCAGAATCAAAAGGTATGGTAAAATGCAGAAAGCAGATAGCAGAAGGGTTGGGGTGTATTTTTGAGATTAGAGTTGCTAACAAGAAAGGAGGATGGATTCAGACAGTTTAAAGTTGACGGAAGCAAACCTAGCGGCTATTCAAGCAGATTCCCAGGTCTCAAAAGTGAAGGGCGACACGGAAGACGATCGGTCGAGCATCTTGAGTAAAATCGAGTTTAACCATCCGGACGACGACGTTGGACTATCAGAGTATTGTGTTTCTTCAGACGCAGAGACGGAGAAAATGGACGAAGAAAGTTTAAATAGAGACAATGCAGGGCATCCGAGTCTCAAGGAGCTTGCCCACGAGGCTAGGGTCAATGATATCAAGAGTGACGAAGCGCTGGAGACGAATAACACAGTCGAAGAAGAGCACGACAAGGAACTCAAAAATGAAGCTCTTGAGAAAAGCGAGATTCCAAGTCTCACGGATTCAGTTTCAAATGAATTGCCAACTGCGTTTGTTTCAGGATCGGAGAATTCTGCCGATTTGAAGGTCGAATTCATAGCGGAGAAGGTAGAGAAGGCCGAGACGGCGGACACAGCCGAGACGGAGACAACAAACACCGCAGATCAGCAGCCTTTAATTTCAAAATTGAATTACGCACCGGAGGGTGAGCCAGATGACGTTACGTCTGAGGTAGCAGACGACGAAGAAGCCGTGTTGGAAGAGGCCCCAGATGTCGTTGACACCGCTGTCGCTACTGCGCAGCCGCTTGAAAAAGGTATCATTAAGAGACCTGCCGACGAGAATAGAGAAGGTTCTGATAATACACAGTTCAAGAAACCCCGTCTGCCCTCTATAACAGGGCCCAGTGGAGCACAAGAGAATGAAGAAGAGGACAATGACGCCGACGAAGATGAAGACGAAATTGAAGATGAAGACCATGAGCATTCCAAGCTTGTCTCCAAAAAACGATCTCCTATAGAAACTGAGTCGGAAGAACAATCACCAATGGAGCAAGAAAACGTAAGAAAACAAGCACTGCAAGAAATGATAGACATTGAACACCAATTTGCCGACCTGCGACAACGCTTATACGAAAACAAACTCGCAAAATTACAAACGGAGTCTCAAATGTGTCTTGAGGGCTCCCATCCTTCTTTGCAGACATATTATCAGAAAATCGATTTTGTGCGAGACCATAAACTACGGCGGGCGTACCAGCGGCAGAGGTACGAGCTAGAATGCATAGATAAGGAGACGAGAGCTACCCGATGTGCCATACATCAGGACTTCATGCGCAAAGTAACTGATCTAAAGCATGAATTGTTGGCCCAAACTACCCAGCGATGGTATGATATCAATAAAGAACGGCGAGAAATGGACGTGGTTGTCCCAGAAATGAATTATCATGTTCCTGTCAAGCTGAACGATAAGACTTTAAGCTGTATAACCGGTTATGCAGCCCCGGCTCATCGAAGACGCGAGGGTGAACTCTTAGCCGAAGATTTGGAATGCGAAGGCATTCGAATACAATTCAAAAGCAATCCGGTGGACAAACTTGAAGTCATTGTAGATAGAATGCGCTTCAACAACGAGTTGAGCGATTTGGAAGGTCTGAAACGGTATTTTTCAGGATTTCCGGGTGCTCCAAGTTTGAGTAGCCTCAAGGACTCGGAGGTCTTTGACGATCTGCAAAGGCTGAGCGGCAAACCTGCCATGTGAAATGCGGTAACCCATCACTCTAGGGCATATAAAAGTGGGTACATATGTACATTAATCCAGAACGCTGTTACAACGTTTTGACACGCTAGTGGACGTTGGCATAAAAATCTTGAAAACCCTCATGATTAAAATTTACAAAGGTACGTAGAGACAAACACGACGCGCGAGCACCAGTCGCGACGTTACGGCGCTCGATATGTGGCACACGCGCAAGAGCGAACCGTTAAGTTCGACACGCTTATCTCAATGGGATGAAACGGGAGGTGGTGGCACCAGCTCTACCGTGTCTGACTGGAGTGTAAGAGATGGAGAATTCACCCAAGTAGTGGCCGACCATCTCAGGCTTGATCTCAACTTGGTTGAAGGCTTTACCGTTGTAAACACCAACAACGGAGCCGATCATCTCTGGAACAACGATCATGTTTCTCAAGTGGGTCTTGACGACAGTTGGCTTCTCGCCCTCTGGAGCAGCCAACTTAGCGGCTCTCAACTTCTTCATCAAACCAGCTGGCTTGGAAGACAAACCACGGGAAAACTTTCTTCTGACTCTAGCTGGGGCCAACTTGACGAATTCTTCCGTTGGCATCTCCAACATCTTCTCAAGGTCGACACCCTTGTAAGAGTAGGTCTTGAAGGATCTCCTTTTTGGGGCAGCGGCTGTAGACATGTTGTGCGATGTTATTCTTCCCTTTTAAGATCACTTGGATGAACCGTCTCTAATCAGCTAGTGTTCTCAATATCCACTTGCAAACGCGACCTCAATCAGTGATACTTTCTCGAACTGCAGCCGTTTGCCAGTGTTTGCGTTCTGCGTGGGAGCCCTGAACATGGCTCTTAGGCAGGACAATGCCTGGAATGCCCGGCTGAGAGCGGCTCCCCACTGCTAGAGCTAGGCCGGCACGTACTGCGCACCCCCCAGCGTCCCAGCCTAAGACCTCCCGTGGACCTCCCTCTCTCCGCCCGCGTAAATTGCCTGAACCAAACCATGCAGTCAAAGGACGCATTTTCCAAAAATTAAAAAGACGCATAACTTTATGGAAACTTTTTCATAATAAAACCCATACATGTGTGACTGCTTTGTCCAAACCCCACACATTACTCAATCCGCCACGCGGTTTTCTACGCTCAATGTTACCCGGCACTACTTCTTCTGCTCGCAAATCACGAAAACGCACTGTGTGAAGGAAGGACACAGGCTGGCCGGCGTAGTCGTGACAAAAGTTGAAAATTTCAAGATTCACGCAATCCCCCGCTCACTCCTGTTAGTCTTCTTGGAAAAGCTACAACGAAGATATGAAGTACTTGGCCGCTTATTTGCTTTTGAACGCCGCGGGCAACTCCGCCCCATCTGCTGACAACGTTAAGGCTGTCTTGGAGTCTGTCGGCATCGAGATCGAGGAGGAGAAGGTCTCCTCTTTGCTTTCCGCTGTGGAGGGCAAGTCCGTCGAGGAATTGATCGCTGAAGGTAACGAGAAATTGGCTGCCGTCCCAGCTTCTTCTGGTGCTGCGGCTTCTTCCGGTGCTGCTACCGGTGGTGCCGCTGAGGAGGCCGCCGAGGAGGCTGCCCCAGAGGCCGAGGAGGAATCCGACGACGACATGGGTTTCGGTTTGTTCGACTAAGCACATCAAGGATCGCTATCTTACAGCTAGGCTATCTTTTAAATAATAGTTTTTAAAAAAAGGACAATATCTGCAATTAACCTTAGAGCGCTCGTGATAGCACAGAGACATAGTCGCCCTCAATGCTTTCGCATAGAGTCACGCGACCCGCGCATTATGTTCGCAAGGCCTTCGTACAAAGACACACCAGATATCCTTATTACATAATAACTTTATATCCAATATTTCCCGCCCTTGCATGAAAGTTGGACCCTGCATGAGATCCGCATGAGATCTGCAGTTGACTAAGTGGCTTCTGCATGCGTTTAAGTGCCTTTTTACGAACAGACCCTTCGTACAAAATTCTGGCACGTGTTCTTCTTCCAATAGTGTGGCGTCATCTTTGGCGAGTCTGTCGAGATACGAAAAGAAAAATCATTAGCCATCGCGGCTGCCTGTCAAACAGTAAACGGGCATGGCGCTTTTTTGAACGTCAGCCTTCAGAGTCGCATGCATGCTGACATATGCCGTAAAAATACCAGAAGCGGCATATATATAGAAGGAGATCTTAAAGAGACAGAATGGACACCCGTGTAAACATGTAGTATCGCCATTTGTGAAGAATAGCGTTTGCGTTAGTAACAAGCGTAACAAGCGTAACAAGCTCTAAGTATCTCTGCAATCTTCATTTTAGTGATTCACTAAAATTGAAAAATGACAATTCTACCTACCGACAGATTCGCCACGAAGGCCATCCATGCTGGCGCACACGTTGACGTGCACGGTTCCGTGATCGAGCCCATTTCGCTTTCGACGACTTTCAAGCAGACCGCTCCAGCTCAGCCAGTGGGCCAATACGAGTACTCTCGCTCCCAAAACCCAAACAGACACAACTTAGAAGAAGCCGTTGCTGCCCTTGAAAACGGCAAATACGGGCTTGCGTTTTCGTCTGGGTCTGCTACGACGGCCGTTATCCTACAATCGTTGCCCCAGGGCTCGCACGCCATTTCCATCGGCGACGTCTACGGTGGTACCCACAGATACTTCACCAAAGTGGCCAACACGCACGGCGTCGAAACTACGTTTACCAACGAGCTCGTCGAGCAACTGCCAAATTTGGTGAAAGACAACACCAAACTTGTCTGGATCGAGTCACCAACGAACCCAACCTTGAAGGTTACCGACATCCAATTGGTTGCTAACACAGTTAAGAAAATCAACCCAGAAATTCTGCTCGTCGTCGACAACACGTTCTTGTCGCCTTACTTGTCCAACCCATTGACCTTTGGCGCCGACATTGTCGTCCACTCCGCTACCAAATACATAAACGGTCATTCCGACGTTGTTCTAGGTGTTCTTGCTACTAACAGCAAGGCACTATACGAGCGTTTGCAATTTTTGCAAAATGCCGTCGGCGCCATCCCATCGCCTTTCGATGCCTGGCTCGCTCACCGTGGTCTCAAGACTTTGCATTTGCGTGTCAGACAAGCAGCTCTCAACGCCACCAAGATCGCCGAGTTTTTAACTCAGAGCGACAAAGTCGTCAGTGTCAGCTACCCTGGTCTTTCCACACATCCAAACTACGATGTGGTTAAGAAACAGCATCGCGACGCCCTTGGAGGTGGTATGATTTCTTTTAGAATAAAGGGTGGTGCCGAAGCTGCTGCTAAATTCACATCTTCGACAAGACTATTTACTCTGGCCGAGTCTCTCGGTGGTATTGAGTCTCTTCTCGAGGTTCCAGCTGTCATGACTCATGGTGGCATTCCCAAGGATCAGAGAGAAGCTAGCGGCGTCTACGACGACTTGATCAGACTCTCCGTCGGTATCGAGGACACCGAAGATCTGTTGGCAGACATCAAACAAGCGCTCGACGTTTCCGTCTAAAGCCTGTAATCAATTATAGAATTTGCTATAGTTTCTAAGACGTTGTAGGGATGTAATTGTGATATTTGGACACATGATCCGGATAGCTTTTGAACAGGTGTCATTTTTTGACATTTTCCAGATAAGTTAAAGTCTTTAAAGTTGGTGATAATCGATCAGCCTCCTGAGGTAAATGAAGTTCAGCCCACTTGGTTATGAAGCTTATTTGGATAATCTTACCCTTAGTAGCAGGCCAGAACCTCATCACTTTAGAGCCAGAAGTCAAAAGTAAGGAAGACTTCGCCGCTGAAGAACAATTATATGTTGGTGATAGCATAATTTGTGATTCCCAAGATTGCTATCCCAAGGTATTCGAGCCGAGAGAACATTGGCAAGAGATTAAAGCATCACAACATTTACCCGCTGGCCTTGATATTAGAATGAACATCGAAAGTGGCCTTCGGGAGGCCAAATTACATGCAGGTGCATCTGAAGACGATTCGACAGGGCTGTCGACAGTCGAAGAAACTCAGCAAGCTTATGAATTTAGTGAACATTTCAAAGAGATTCGCGACGCGGAAGCTACCGGAAACTACAATGATATGACCACGCATTTAGAAACTTTGATTGAGTTTTCGCACGGGTATCACCATGGATATAAAATCATTAGCCGAGATTTTGCAACTCTTGAAAGGCTCGTTTCCAATGTGTCCGTTCCTCTTCACATCAAGGAGTTAACGACAAGAATATTTACTGGATGCCTACGAAATAATCAGCCTGCGTGTGATCTTATTGTGCAAGAGCACGGCGATTTCATTCCGTTGATATGGTATCAACTTCATTTCCTTGTCAATGGCGAGCTCAACATGGAAGAGATGAACTTATGCAAAAGATACCTGTCAATTCTTCACGTTCTTTCCGTTCAGAAGAATACCGTTCCAGAAATTGATGAAGAAGCGTTGAACAAGATGTTTGATAGCGGTGATAAGCAAACGAGATTAAGAGTCTTAGAAATAGTGTCCTTGGATTATAGCGCATTAGATCGTGATGCGCTCACGAACCAACAGAAAAGGAATACTCAACCCTTGAACGCACAGGCTTGGTATAACAAGCTCGCCTTGCAGATACAAGACCCAAGTCTCGATGAATTTCAAGTGCGACTGTTATTTCGTGGGCTTCACAGCATCAAAACTCACGCTGGTAAAAGTGTCAAGACTGACCAATCTTTCGTCAAATGGCTGGCGGCCGAAGCTGAAAACAGGAGTGATAGACTCAAACAGCATGTTAAAGAGAGGGACCCCGAGCAGGAAGAATTTGACCGTCAGCTGGTTTCCAGCAGACATGCTGTCTTTGGGAATCCCTTAGCAAATCGGATCAAACGCTTCGACGACGAGCTATAAGTATTGCCAAACAATTAAGAGGTAATACTTGAATGCATCTTCTCTCTTTCACATAATTCATTGTTAGAGAAGTTCAAGTAGATACACATGAGAATCTAAGTATATTAATCCTTCGTCACTTCATCGAGAAATTGGCCATCGTTCTCAAGTCGTACCCGAAACTTTTCCCACCAAGAATCAAATCTTTTGATCGATACGTTTCCTTCAGGATCAAGGAAACCGGTAAGATAATTGTATGCATGTTGTACAATTTTCGCAGCCAATTGCTGAGTTAATTGAGGATATCGCTTCGCTAATTGACCTGGCGTTGAGATGTTTCCTTGTCCCGGTCGGGAAACGATAAGAGCCGAGCCACTGCCCTCGATTTGCTGTTTGGCCTTCCATTCCTCTAATTTAAGCATGGCCTGTTCTCTGGGCTCTATAGAGATTCCTATGATGAGCTCTGATATATTGCTACTAGGGATCGCACCCGATGATGGCTCATCATCGTCATCCATATCTATCTCGCCCAATCCGTCTGGATAGTCGTTAGTGCTTATTGTACCTGCTGCTGGTAATTTGACCTTAAAAATTGCACTTGGCTTTTCGAGCGCAAGGTATCCAAATAACTTAAATTCTTCTGTTGGGCTCAATTTGAAATACACTGTTGCTGCAAATTCTGGAGGAAATGTCACATTCGGTAAGATGAATAATGAAATATGCGAATACGATTTGGGTTTCGTCGATGATAGTATTATTGTATGTTGAAGACCGTTGGAATTAGGTACCTCGGTGGATAATTGTAGCGGATTGCCTGAAGCGATGGCAGCAAACATATCTTTGAACGGTTAAGTAGATTAAAGTCTGGAAGACCAACAATAAATTGTCTCTGATTTTATTATATTATGTGCCTTTTAATGGTCTAGTTGGATATTTACACTAACCTTGATCTTTCGAGAACTTTCTGGTCTTTAGCTTCTACTTCAATTTTGTAGTATCAAGTGATAAGCGTCGAAGGAACGCCGTAACCATATGACCAGTGTCAAGTAAGCATTAGACAGGTGTCGGTGATAGCTCACCTATCTTTAAGAGCTCAATAGCCTCCTTGAAGCGCTCGTTACTCTCAGAAGAACCTAATAGAGAGACGATCGTTTGAATTTTAACACCTGGGAGCGAACCAGTTAGAGCAAATCTGGTAGTCTCAAAAACGACTTTTTTTGGAATTTTTAACTGGTTTGAGGCTGATGCCAACTGCTCCTGTATTTTGTCTTCGTTAAGGTGGCCCTGAAGTTTTTCTAACACTTGTAGCACCTGCGCCAGGTCTTGGTTTTGAAGAAAATCTCTGACGTAAATGTTATCTCTGAAGCGAGGTTTGGTCAGAAGATAGTAAAAATTGTCACTAAAGCTATTCAGTGACTCTAGAGAATGCCCTACAGCTCTTAATACCTTTGTCAAGTAGTACAGGTCCAGTTCGGGGAACTCGGGGAGCAACAACTCGTAAAGAGCACCGAGCATTTGATTGAAACCGGTTTCTGTTTCCAGCCGGCGCGAAAGATAATGCTTGTTGAAAAACCAAAGCTTGCTTTCATCGACCTTCGCGTTGCCTTTCGTTAAATGGTCAATGTTAAAAACTGAGACTAGTTCTTGTAAAGTAAAGCATTCGTGGTTTTTGGCGGCGAGATTGCGAGGAGGAGACCACCCAAAGAGAACACAGAAATTTACAAGTGCTTCAGGTAAGACACCCTTCTGTTTCAGCGCCAAAACGTCTGCGTCGCCGCGACGTTTGCTCAATTTTTTGTCTGACATCGATGTTAAGAGAGGAATGTGAATGAATTTAGGCGGCTGCCACCCAAATGCTTCATAAAGAGCAATGTGCTTTGGAGTCGACGGTAGCCATTCTTCACCTCGAATAACGTGCGTAATTCCCATTAGATGGTCATCGACAACGTTTGCAAAGTGGTATGTCGGTAAACCATCTGACTTCATGAGGATGGGGTCATCGTAACGAACGTCATTCGCGTTCGTTTGCATCTGGATATCGATCTCGCCATGTAGCAAATCGTGGAAAGGTGGATAAATCTTGGGTGATCTCATTCTAATTGTAAAGGGCCTACTTTCCCTCAATTGCTTTTGTACCATATCATCGGCTATCCTTGAACAATGTCGATCGTACGAGGCTGTTGTTGGGGGAACCATGAGCTGGGCACTCTTGCGCAAATCTTCCAGTCTTTCCTTTGGACAAAAACATCGATAAGCGTGTCCAGTCTCCAGCAACTGGTCAATGTACTTCTTATAAATCTCAGCCCTATCGCTCTGTCTAAACGGGCCTAACCCGTCATCTTTAACACCAGGTCCCTCGTCATAAGAAATACCGCACCATCTAAGCGAATCATAGATATTCTTTTCGGCCCCTGGAACTAACCTTTTTTGGTCTGTATCTTCTAATCTTAACAAGAATTGACCACCAGTGCTTTTGGCAAGCAGGTAATTGTAAAGTGCTGTTCTAAGGGACCCTATATGAAGTAAACCAGTTGGTGATGGTGCAAATCGAGTTCTGGCTGGTTCTGTCGGCTGTAGATCATGCGTAGGTTTCTTTGACAAAAGAGATCTGCTTTCTGAAAGGCTATTTCTCAATAAGTTTCTCAAAGAAGAGTTCCATCTTCGATCCCATCTTTGACATCTGATAATGTACATTGTTCATTTAAGATTTGATCTTCTCTCTATTGGCTTTTATAGATCAACTATCAATCACCAATCACTAAAAAAATCTCAACTATCAAGCATTCTACTAAACCGTCAATTAATGCAAAACTGTATATATCAAAAGTATTTGTCTGTTCTTCCAAGTAGCATGGTGTCATCTGTGGATAAAGGAAGCCAAGGACCAGCCATGACGCAGTGAATCCTCATTTTCTCATGGTACGGGAGGTTCGGAAGTAGCTTTGGCGTGACTAAAATGTATTGTGACATCTTGTCGGCGCATGCATTCTCCATCATTGCCTTGTGAATACGACGCTCATTATGTGCATCCATGCCTTGATTAATTTCGTCCACCACCCTAAAGGGCGAAGAAGTAAACTCTTGTAGAGCTATCATGAAAAGAACAGTAGAGACGGCACGTTCACCACCAGATTGAGATCTGGAATCGAGTCGCTTCAGGGGTGCGCTATCCCTAAATTTGACCATGATTTCCAGTTTCCAGTTGCACAAGGGATCTGATGTGTCGAGTCTCACTTCTCCTGCGCTACCGACTTTCCTGAAGAGTAGGGCAAATTTCTTCGACAGATTTTCAACGAGAAGGTCCACTCTTGGTCGAACATGTTGAAGGACTTGCCTGATCGTGTCTTGCGTTGCTAGAAGCGCGGTTTCCATTCGGGGCACAGTTTCTGCGAGTTTCTCAAATTCTTTCTCCTTGCGCTGCAATTGCTCTAAGACGGATTCATCTTGGTTGAACATTGCGATTTCTGATTCCAGCTTAACCATTTCTCTGGTGACACATTCGAGAGTGAATGTGCCGTTTTCAGAATATTTCTCGGCCAATCTCGAAATTTCGGCTTTTTCGTCACGGTTGTAACCTTTTATCGCTGTCATCCATTCCTGATACTCTGCTGTTTCCTTAGTGGCGATATATCTATCCTTGTGCTCTTGATAAACCTCGCGCAACTGATCTTCTTTGCCTTTCAAAAATTCAAAGACATCTTTCATGGAATTTTCCTTGTTGATGAGCTCGATAGAACTGATTGCCGCATAATCTCTCAATTCTATGGGGTCCTGAAAAACCTTTATACGATTAACCATTTTGGCAACGTTTCCAATTTGCGCATTGATCAGATTTCTCATTTCATTTTCTCGTTCTGCAACCTGAGTTGATGTATCTTCTTTTGATCGAGATCTCAGTTTTTTCATTTCGGAGGCCAGCTCCTTTATCCTGCTTTCGATAGTCCCGATTCTGCGTAAATTTGATTTATTTTGCGCTAATCTTTTATCTAACGATTTCTTTTGATAGTTTATCTCCTTCTCATCGGCCTCTATCTTCTCCGCTTCGTGACGAGACTCTTGTATTTGGGTATTCTTCTGGTCTATCTTTACAGTAAGTTGCTTTATATCCCTTTCAATTGTAGCTTTACGTTCTTGTGAAACTGTCATTCCCTGATAAAACTTAGTTCCAGGAACACCTCGGGATACTACTAGAACCTGGCGATTCCCATATTTCGACCGAGAAAAGGTGTAAATTGTGTCATGCGCCAGGACACGATTGAAAGGTAATCTACCAGACTTATCTGGCCGCCGTAAAAGCTGAAGAACTTGATCTGAGAGGGGTTTCCTGGAAACTGGGATTTGATGAAGTCTCTGCTGCTGGCAGAGCATTTTGACAACATTCTCATCACCTTTAAGAAACTCCGACAAGTAGCCGTCAAATCCCCATTCTTTTATTTGTGAAATTGGCAGAGGGTGTTCAGTAGCATTTGAGGCAAGCTGTCTTAAATTCAAAGAATAACGCTCAACATATTTGTCATTAACTAGATCGTAGGCTTCATTGTCCAGGAAAGTAAGCGCGATTGAAGTATTGAAATCAACGCAAACGCTCAAAAAAGATGCCATTTGTTGATCGCTCGTTGACACAGACATCAGGGGAGGCTCTAAAATCCGGTTTTTTAAGCTCGGATCGGCTCTGATGGCGATAATTGCCTCTCTCAATGACCGGAGTCGGGGATTAGAGGGATCCAAAACCGCCAATCTGTCAGACGAATTGAGTTGCCTGCGTTTTACATTCATCTCTTTTTCTAGCGTGAATAATGCACCTCTGTGCATTCCTACTGATCTCTCTAGCGCTTGCTTCTTTATTTCGCATTCTTTCTGGCTCCCAACAATCGTTTGCAAATCGTTCTCGTATTTATCGATAGCATTGCGATCAAACCCATCGAACTCTGCCAACATTTGACGTTGCTCGTCCAGTTGCTTCTGTTTGTCTTCAATTTGTTTCGCAATTCGCTGCGGCAGGTCTTTCAAGTGCTGTAACTCCACTTTTTTGCTTGCTGCGGTTTCTTTGATATTGAATAGTAGCCTACGAATTTCAGTAAAACCTGAGTCCGTTTTTTTGAGTTTTTCTACCATTTTTTGTTCTTTTTCCTGCTTTTTGAGAGCCTCCTCGTGTATTTTGGATATCAGGTCATCAAAGGGCCGTTTGTCTTGCAAAAGTTCCCGTAGCTGCGCTCGAACCTCATCGTAAGCTTTCTTGTATTCCTTTATCTTTTGCTTGTGATCCTTAACCTTGACGTAGGGTAGAAGCTTCTTATTTAAATCGAGTTCGGCTTTCTTTTGCCTAAATCCCTCAATTGCCCTCACTGACACTTCCAGTTTCTTCTTTTCCGCCGCTAAAACCTGCATCCGCTCTGTGCTTACCGTGAACTCTTCCTGCTGCTCAAATTTCGTCTTCTGAAGCTCTTGAAGCTCTTTGAACTGCCGGACTAGCTCTATATCAACGGATCGAAGTGTTTCGATAAGTAACTTGTCCGATGAGAGTTTTGCGAACTCTTCTACTCTTTCTTGAGGAAGAAATTGGCAGACGTTGTCCAACTGAACATTTAGTGTTGCAACGAGTTCTTTGACCATGGATTCGGATGCTACCCTATCGTTTATCAAATATTCCGATCTTCTGGAATTTCTTGTCAAAATCCGTGTAATCTTCGTCGTTTGATCCGGACACACATAATCACCTCCTAATTGAGCGTCCCTTTTCAACGTGATTTCCACTTTGCCTTGATCTTTTCCGTTTTTGATGAATTCTTCGATCTTTTTGGCTCGTTTGATATACTCCGGCTTACCAGCCAAGCCAAGACATATTGCACATACCAAACTCGATTTCCCTGATCCGTTCGGTCCTATTATCATATTCATAGACGGAGACATGACAAATTCTGCGAGGGAATACGTGACAAAGTTTTCAACCCTCACTTTAACAAGGGCTCCATCTGAATAACGATCCAGCTCAGCAACATCTGCTCTTATTCTTTTCCCATGACCACCAACGATATCACTGTCTTGATCTTGGTCCAACAAACTAGCCTGAAGCTTACGCTTTAGAGTGGCCATTCAGCTAACTTCACTGCTTGAAGAGCTTGATGAAGATGATGTTGTCTGTTGTTCTCTTAAAAATCTTGATAACTCATCTCTCTCACGTCTCTTGAAAAACTCGTGGTTATTAAAAACTAGACCTTGGTGCCTTGATACGTCACTTATTGCAAACCAGTCTCTTGAACCAACAAGACAAAACAAAGCTAACAATGTCCAGAAGCGGTCGACTTCGAAGTAGGACTGTCAATCTGGATCGGACAACAAGCTCAAGGAATAAAAGTGAAAGTGAAGAGGCAGACGTCTATGGATTAGTTGAAGAAACAAGTGGAAGACCATTCCGGATGATCGAGGGACTTCCGTGTTCTACGGAAATACCACAATATGGGTCGGCACTTACGCATGCCCTTTCAGTTAAGGACTCTGCAGTTTTGTACAGCTCACTATTAGCATCCAGAAGAACGTGGATCAATGCAGAAATGTTTGACATGTTTTGGTCGAAACAGTATCTCAACACCAAGGAAAGAGAGCGTCTTCTAAAAGAGGGGATTGACCCAGATTCTATTGATGCCAGTGCAGCCCGTGAAAAGATGTACAAGCTATGCGACTGTGAGATGGTTGGTGGTCCGCATGCTTTCCCAGTGCGACTTTTCATTTTGAAGAACGAGGAAATGGAGAAAAGATGGAACGATGCGATAGAGTCGAAGCGCAGGGCTAAAGAAGAGCGAAAGAGACAAGAACTGGACCAGAAAGCGCGAAAACAGAAAGAAAGAAAACAAAATCAGGCGATGAAAAAACAGCTTCAGGATCAGCCTAAAGTCACTTCAACGTCTGGCGAACGGAAACCAACAGTAAAGCGAAAACCACGTAAGGAGTCAAATCAGCAGCAGCAGCAGCAGGCTATTCATAAACGTCGGCCACGGTCTCAAAGTCCGCCTCAGAGCAAACCGCCAATGCAATCGGCGGAAGACCAGAAAATGATTACGAATCTGAATATTATGGCTCAAAAAGACCCCAAATTGAATTCTCTCATGGTAATTGTTGCGGGAGGCAGTGCAACTGCTCAGCAGGTTGAAGAATTTAAGAAAAACATCGAAACAGCTCGAAAAATGCCACCTCCACCGGGATGGCAACCAGTTGTACAGACCCTTAGAGCTTTTCAAAACGCTGGCGCTAATGAGCGGAAAGCCTTATCAAAGAACCAGCTTCAAACCTCGGAAAAGTCCGTCTCCGAAGTATGTGATCAAGTCAAAGCAGAGGCTCAGCCTTCCGTCGACACTACTGCTTTTTCTGCAGAGCAACCGCGGCAGAAGCGGAAGTATACGAAAAGGAAACACGCTCAAGAGGTCGAACCCGAAGATAAATCGATGCAGTTGACTACTTTTCAACAAAAATATATGGGAAATGCAGATTTAGCATTTGAATATGTGGAAAGTCCCAATAAAAGGTATAGTCTACCTAAAGATGCTATTTTTGAACAATTAGAAGATGAGACATCATATCTTATGTCATGGATTTTAGTTCACAACCGAAAAGAGATTGACAAGTTCAGGGAAAAGAAGATTGCCTTAAGGGAAAAGGAAGAGCGTAAGAAAAAGCCCGACGAAAAACCTGACGCAAATTCTGAATCCGAAGAGAATGGTGCGAAGCAGACCGATGATATGACGTTAGACATTTATGATGATCCGAAATGTCCCGTTCCCCTTTACAGTCCGCTCACTCTCAAGTTCTCCAATATCCACAAGAAGTTTGCGCCAATAATAATAAACAGCGTAAACTCCGTTGACAGAGTTCAAAAACTTATGACGAAGATAATGAAAAATGGAACGAGATTGAGTGGTTATAACTTATGGTTTCAATTAGATGCATATGATGACAATGAGCTGTCAGAGAGCTTGAGGTATGAATTGAAAGAGTATGAGCAAGGCTTTAAGAGTAAAAGACAGAGAAAACAAATTTGAGAATCCCTTTATTGCGTAAATGGATATTAATTTTCTAAGGTTCATGAGAATCAAAGGGAATATTGTAGCTGAAGGCCGAATTTAGAAGGCCTTATGATAGCTCTCGCTTCTCGTGCGTCCATAACGTTGCTTGAAATACTTATGGGAGCACTTGTAAACTCAGTCCCGATAGAAAGTAAGAAGCCTTTGTACTTGCCTTCCCAAAGAACCCTTAGGTTTTTATCTCGCAGACTGGTGCTTAATTTCCAGACGTTAGTGAAATCGGTGTGGTAAAGATTGCGGGCAAAATTTTCGATTTTCGACTGGGGTCTAGCGACTTTTGTCACCGTTGATTCAATGTTCATGCTCGCCACCTCATCGGGATTCTTCGGGCTCGGTGCTGCAAGAAGATGATAGTACATTGGTGCTTTGATTTCAGCATTCCAGTTGTCAGGTCTGTCGGCGTCGCTCATCTGCTTGACGGAATATTCAGGCACTTGAACAATGTCGGAACTGCTGGTCCCTTGGAGTACATTTCTCCTACCTCTCCAAACTTCACAACCAAAGGACAAATTCGAGTCAATCGAGTACAAGTTGAAATCGTATTTTGAGCAAAACGAAGTTCCGTAGCCAGTTTTCACGGAATAGGTCGAGGAGATGTGGCCAAACAACGGATTCCATGACAATGTTAACGTTAAAGGTCTGCCTGTATTCGTTGAATGCGTACTGTATCGAAGCGTCGTAGAACAGGCGGGACTCGTGTTCAATAGGCCGAACCAAAATTCAGCTCCCAAGGATAATGACGAATTGTTATAAAGCGCCGTATCGAGTTTTGACTGACTCTGTGCAAAATTGTGTAGCAAGCGATACCCAAACAGTACTTCGTTTGTAGAAAATATCCACTCCTGACTATTTTGACCCGAATCTCGCTGCCAATACAGCGTTAGTATGCTACTTTGCGAGAGACTGCTGACGCACTTCATTACAAATTGTGTGTAAGAACTGAATCTTTTGACGATCATCGCTTCGAGAATTGAGCTTGGGTAATACATCCTGCCATAAAACAATCCGGGTCTTGCCTTTTCATCTTTAATAAAGAAATCTTGTCTTCTGCTCAGGTTTAATGGCCTAATATGTCTGTATGTTTCTGCTGCTTCCTGAAGCGGAATGGTTCTCGATCCTTTCACAGCCTGCTTGAGTCCTTCACAATCGGTGAATAAATATGCTAATGATCCATTGATGACCTTACTATTCGACAATTCGAAAGTTGTAAAAGTGTATGGCGAGGAATTGTTCGATACTTGTACTTTCAAAGCTGAAGGAATGCGAAAATTAAGCAGGTTTTCGGACGTTGCCGTTACATTCTCATAGCTATTCTCTCGATTCCAGCCACTGCAAAGCTCGAATTGCCGGCTCACTTGTTCCATATACTCTATCATTTGTCCCCATCTTTCTGGAAGTTTTTCGATAAACGAGATCTTTAACATTTCACTATTGTTAACAAACTGAATAAGACGGTAGACTATAAATGGGCGATGATTCAGAGTCGATGGAATCAGGACATGGTGTGGTGGAGCTGCCCTTTACTGGTGATGGACGAATTAGAGGTGATGAAGATCGAAGTCCTGAGACTTTCGCCTTTCCAGTAATCAAGATCGAAGAATTTCAAGAACCCTCTGATGACACCCCCAGTAAATCTCGGAGAAGGAGCCCGCGACGGTCTGGTAGAGGTACGAATGCGGTAAGTAGTGGGTCGAGTGGCGGGGGAAGTGTTACGCGTCGAAGACGGTCGAGCAGCCGCGCGTCAAGCAAGAATCTCAAAAGCTCGACTGACATTTCGCCTGCTTCGATGATATTTCGGAATTTGTTGATCTTAGAAGATGATTTGAGGAGTCAAGCGCGCGGTCAACAGCTGCTGAAATGGCAATTTACCATTTTTTTGTCAGTTCTGATGGGTATTGCTGCCTATGCATTTTGCGAGTTATACTTTTCACAAAGGAATATAAGAGGACTTTTCAAAGTGTTTCTTCAATTCATCATCATATTCATTCTCGTTACTGTTATTCTTTTTCATCTCAGTGGCGAGTACAAGAGGACCATCGTGATACCGCGAAAGTTCTTCACGTCGACGAACAAAGGCATTCGCCAGTTTAATATAAAATTAGTCAAGGTGAAAAGCTCGGTCTCTGACCAAATTGTTGACATTTTCAGGTGGCTGTGTAGAACAGTGGCGAATTGGAACATTTTCCTGATGAACAGGATTTTGCCCAAGGGACTTATTGGTCAAAGTGCTTTGCACCGATTTTGGGCTCTCGTCGCTATTAGATCCCAGCCTCGCATTGGAGCAGTTGATGTCAAATTGGTCATGAATCCTAGGGCTTTTAGTGCCGAGGTCCGTGAGGGTTGGGAAATATATCGCGACGAGTTTTGGGCACGAGAGGGCGCTAGAAGAAGAAAAGTCGTCAATGAATTGAGTCCAAAAAGAAGCTAAGGAAAAATACCGCGATGTGAAAGAGAGATCAACAACTAAGTAATATTACAAATCTTTCTTTCACCTTTTTAAAATTCAAATACCTCAGCCTTAGGGTTTCGACTAACAGTTCAAAAAAAGAGCAAACTCTCAAATAAAAAAAGTAAGCATTATCCTAATAATCCTAATCAAAAGTAATCGTCCTTATCAATTGGCTGGCTTCTACACATCAATTCGAAGGGCTTGTTCAAAATCGCTCTGGGCTCGCTCATCTTGATGTCCTTCTCTTCTCGTCTTGCTATTACCCGGATAAGTTGATTTCGAGGACTGATTTGTACTGCCCCTTTCTTCGTTAACCTTTAAACAATGCAATGCGCCTGAGACGTGAGGAGGAGGAGCAGAAAGTCCGGGCAAAATGATGCGAGGTTTCAAGCAAAAGGTTTGTTAGTGCATTTTCAATCACCACATTGGGTGGACAGCGTTGTCTCAGCGCTTTTTTTCGAATTTTTTCGTACTAACGAGGCGCTTTTAAGCTGATCAAAAAGACGACCGGGTCGTCTTCATCCGGACAGAAAAAAAAGGAGAAGGAGTCTTCAAAAAAGGGTAGTCCTTCGTCGGCTAGCAGTGCTAGCACGAGTCCCAAAAACCAATCTCCGATCGAGAAGAAAAATGGAGCCTCAGCGGGAACTGCGAAAAATACAAAGACTAAAAGTAATACACCGGCGAAACCCGTGAGTAGGCAGCCATCTGGGAGTTTGGCTGATGGCAGCAAGAAACAGGAAACGACGAGTCCCCAATCTAAAACGTCGCAGCCTACTTTAATTGCTGCTGCTGCGGCACCTCCTTCGCCTACAACAGCCACAGCGAATTTGGCGGTGCCAGGAACTCCAGCTTCCAAAGATACGAGCGCTTCTGGTGGAATTGATATCCCTAGGTCGTCGCATTCGTTTGAGCGACTACCAACGCCTTCCAAACTTAATCCTGATTCAGATTTGGATTTGATAAAAACTCCACAGCGACACTCATCGTCACGTTTTGAGCCATCACGCTACACGCAGTTGAACAAGCTCCCTCATTTTGACGATGTTCCTCCGGAAGAACAGATATCTCTTTTTATTGCCAAGGTGGATCAGTGCAATACGATCTTCGATTTCAACGATCCCAGCTTTGACATCCAGGGTAAAGAAATCAAGCGTGTGACGTTGCAGGAACTCATTGAATTCATAGTTACCAGTAGGTTCACCTACACGGAGGAGATGTATGCACATGTGGTGGAAATGTTCAAGAATAACCTGTTTAGGCCCATTCCACCTCCTGTTAACCCTGTTGGGGACGTTTTTGATCCCGACGAAGATGAGCCTGTCAATGAACTTGCTTGGCCACACATGCAATGCGTGTACGAATTCTTTTTGCGATTTGTCGAAAGCCCGGATTTCAATCATCAGATCGCTAAGCAATACATCGATCAGGATTTTATCTTGAGACTCCTTGCACTCTTTGACAGTGAAGATATTCGGGAACGTGACTGTCTCAAGACAACCTTGCACAGAATCTATGGGAAGTTTTTAAGTTTACGAAGCTTCATTCGTCGGTCCATCCACAATATTTTCCTCCAGTTCGTTTACGAGACAGAAAGATTTAACGGCATTGCGGAACTATTGGAGATATTAGGGTCGATTATCAACGGTTTTGCTCTACCTTTGAAGGAAGAACACAAAATTTTCTTGGTTAGAGTGTTGATGCCCATGCATAAGGTCCGGTGCCTGTCACTTTATCATCCTCAGCTTGCATACTGTATTGTACAATTCTTGGAAAAGGAGCCCTTATTAACTGAGGAAGTAGTCATGGGCTTATTGCGCTACTGGCCTAAAATCAATTCTACGAAGGAAATTATGTTTCTCAACGAGATCGAAGACATCTTTGAAGTAATAGAGCCCCTGGAATTTATCAAAGTGGAAGTCCCACTTTTTGTGCAACTCGCCAAATGCATTTCATCCCCTCATTTCCAAATCGCGGAAAAAGTCTTGAGCTACTGGAACAACGAATACTTCCTGAACTTATGCATCGAGAATGCTGAGGTGATTCTGCCTATTATTTTCCCAGCTCTCTATGAGCTCACCTCGCAATTGGATCTCGAAACGCAAGCAAACGAGAATGGGAACCCTACTTCGGACCCTTACATGCTTGTTGAACAAGCAATAAACTCTGGTTCATGGAATCGAGCTATTCACGCCATGGCCTTCAAAGCTTTGAAAATTTTTTTGGAAACTAATCCAGTGCTTTACGAGAATTGCAACGCTCTCTACCTGAGCAGCGTTAAAGAGACCCAAAGACGCAAAGAAGAGCGGGAAAAAAGCTGGCACCAATTGGAAGAGTATGTTGGCAAATTGAAGATCAGCGCAGGGTCGGAGGAACAAGGGGATGAAAGAATGGCCTGATGTAGACAATAGTGCATAGGAGTGGGCATCTCAAAATTATTCGCAATCACCTACTTGAGGCTGCTTCGAGAGCGCAAATTGAGGACAGTTTACATAAATATACCCTTTGGCCAACTTCTCATTTTTCATGCTTTGTTACTGATAATTGACATTCAGGACGGAGGTATGTACAACGCATATAGAAAACATTCTCTTCAAGTGGATCATCAATGAAAGGCTATAGGTGCGGAACAGAAAACAGGTAATTACAAATGTTTCAGGTGGTGTTATCATTGAGAATTACATGTATTTCTCACAAAATGCTTTGCACCTTGTCTTCGAGATATTTTCCAAGAGAGAGGCTTTAAATACAAGAAAGAAACATTCCAAATCATGCAATTCGATTGTTAAATAAACGAACATTCGCAAAATAGAATCAATAATTGAACGACTGGGATTGATGTCTATGGTTGTATCTGTTTCGAACGAAATGGAATTGTTGTTGATCCCGTTAAAGTTGCGTCACTAAGAACGTCGATTTTGGTGTTTTCCAACAACTGTCGTCCCTGGCTTTAAAGGGTAAACCCTACAAAAGATCCGGACTTTTAGGACTTTTAGCAATAAGCCAAAACTGCCCATTGAACCTCAATTCAAAAATGAAACTGTTCATTCCACGTGCTGGGCTTGCTAGCCAGCTCAGATTCTCTAGTTTTTCGAAAATGCCCAGAAACACGACATTTCTGTCAATGTCGACTAGAATACTCAAGTTTCCTCGTCCACAGCTGCTGGCCAGGAATGCACTACTAGAATTCTCTGCGGGGACCTCGCTGGCGCTCCTTTTTGGATCACAATTAGTGTCGCCACCGATCAAAAATGACACCATTCTAGACGTCAAGCAACGCAATGCTTCTGTTCCCGAAGAGATCGGCCTGCCCTCCCGTGTCATTCCTCGACGCGAAAGAAATGTGAATTACAGGCAACTATGCTTGGGGTCCATGTTGGGACTGTTTCTCGGCATCGTGGTGGGCAAACTATCGACCATACTGGTTTTCGTCACCGCGTGTGGGCTTCTCGGCGTACAATGGCTCGAAAACAGAGGACTTCTGGATAAACAATCTACTATTGGTCTCTCGAAATACGTTATCAAAACCGGAAAGGAAAGCGTCGATTTGAACACGCTGGTATGGGAAAAGCCAAGCTTCAAAATTCCGTTTCTGTTAACCTTCGTGCTGGCGGCCGTGAACATTTGATGAAATGTGGTAGGGAAGAGCAGGCCACGGCAGAACGCCGCAGTAGCAGCGATTCGACCATTCTGACCATCGCTGACATTTTTGTAAGGTCACGTGTGCACTTACTGATGGCATAGATCTTCATGCCTTTGTACGAAGAGGTTTACGTAGGAAATCTCATTTAAAGGACCCTCATCGTCATTACTCAGAATACCAAATCTTAGCGCCATCACGGCACTAACAAAACTGCATGTCGACGGTACACCTGGATACGTCGAACTATCCGTTCAAGTTCGAGCCCTTTCTGAGGCAAGAGTACTCGTTTTCGCTGAACCCGGACAGGCCCGTATGCGAATTCTACAACGCACGCGAGGGGCCCTCGTCGTGCCCGCGCGGCAACCTGTGCCCGAACAAGCATGTGCTGCCGATCTTCCACAACAAAATCGTGTGTAAGCACTGGCTGCGCGGTCTGTGCAAAAAAAATGATCAATGCGAGTACTTGCACGAGTACAACCTACGGAAGATGCCCGAATGCGTGTTTTTCTCGAAGAACGGGTACTGTACGCAGTCACCGGAATGCCAGTACCTGCACATTGACCCGAACTCGCGCGTGCAGCTATGCGAGGAGTACGAGATGGGTTTCTGCCCCGCGGGGCCCGGATGCAAAAAGAAGCATGTTAAGAAGGTGCTGTGCCCGCGGTACGTGACCGGGTTCTGCCCGCTTGGCAAGATGGATTGCGACATGGAACACCCGGCGTTCACGATCCCGAACGAGCTCAGCAAAACACGAATCAAGCGCGACGACGAGATCAATACCAAGAAACTGGACGAGGAAAAGGAGAGGCGTTTGAACGCGATCATCAATGGAGAGATATGAGAGGGCAGGAGCGAAGAGCTCCTAGACATCACGTGATCAATCCAAGAATTACGTACAATGTGACTATCATAAACGTCACTTAGAACGATATACCAGCGCACACCCACACCCCGCACAATTGTCTATCCTGAACCCGTGCACCCTGCAGCATTCGATGCATCTGCAGGAACGTCATCCTCCTACGTAAGCACCAGGCAAAAATAGAAGTAGGGGTACCTCCCAGGGCTCTCGCGCTGAGAAAAAAGGCCAAGAGCTTATGCCACCGGTACCGGCGCCGGCACGGGCCAGTGGTCACTGTCCACTGGATCCACGCCGCCAATACCGCTCACACCTCGTTATCAACTTATCTCCCTCTCCTGTAAAGATGAAAGCTCCAATGACGGCTTTCCGTTCCGCCAGCTGCAGGCAGCAGCTGGGGACCGGATTTTGCCGTTTTGGGCAAAACACGGCAAGGCCCGGTTCGCGTAGCAAAAAAAAGAAACCAGAACTGACGTTTAAAGCAAATTGAGCTGGTTCGGCGTAAACCCCTTTTTCGTGCGCGTAGCGGAGAGGAGGCCCGGCGGTGACGAAGCCGGTTGCCGGGGGGGCCCGCGTGCGCGCCCCCCTGGGGGACTGGAATATAAAAGGGGCACAGCGGCGAAAGGTTGTCATGTAGGGTTCCCTTGGCAGAAAAAGGGGACGTGACATCTGGAGCTCGAAAAACTAGTGTGAAAAAGCACAAGGACACTATAACTGCAAGGTTAGCCAGAAGAAACTACTACTATTACTATTCCTAGAAGATGCACAGAACATACTCGTTGAGAAACTCGCGGGCACCTACCGCGTCCCAATTGGCGAACCCACCTCCTCCACCAGCGACGACGAAAAACCGGTTTTTCGGACGCGGTGGGCTCGCGTACTCGTTCAGAAAGAATGCTGCAGGCGCGTTTGGCCCGGAGCTGTCGCGCAAGCTGTCGCAGTTGGTGAAAATCGAGAAAAACGTGTTGCGGTCGATTGAGGTCGCTGCGCACGAACGTCGCGACGCGGCCAAGCAGCTTTCGCTATGGGGGCTTGAAAATGACGACGACGTGTCGGACATTACGGACAAGCTCGGTGTGCTTATCTACGAGATGAGTGAGCTCGACGACCAATTCATCGATCGTTACGACCAGTACCGTTTGACGATCAAGTCTATCCGTGATATTGAAGGCTCGGTGCAGCCATCACGTGACCGCAAGGCCAAAATCACCGACAAGATTGCGTACCTCAAGTACAAGGACCCGGCGTCCGCCAAGATCGAGGTGCTCGAGCAGGAACTTGTGCGTGCAGAGGCCGAATCGCTTGTCGCGGAGGCGCAACTTTCGAACATTACACGTTCCAAGGTGCGTGCGGCCTTCAACTACCAGTTCGACTCCATCATTGAGCACTCTGAGAAGCTAGCGCTCATTGCCGGCTACGGGAAAGCTCTGCTTGAGCTGTTGGACGACTCGCCCGTCACCCCAGGTGAAACCAGACCCGCCTACGACGGCTACGAGGCCTCCAAGCAGATCATCATCGACGCCGAAAACGCGTTGAACGACTGGACTTTGGACACTGCGCAAGTCAAACCTTCTCTCAGTATCCGCAACGTTGAGTACGACGACTATGGCGAAGCGGACGTGAACCCTGAGCACGAGCACTGGGTTGACGAGGACGAGGCCGCCGTTGTCGAGCCAGAGGCTGCTGCCGCCTGAAAAAGGAGACCATTTCCCAAGATTTAATGCAAAACCTATGATCAGGACGGGTTTTTTGGTCAAGACAAAAAGCTCTAATTTTATCTGAAACTGACGAGCGACTCTTTAAATTTCAAAAAGAGGGCCTTCTTTTATCTGCAAGTAATTTCATTCTCTGTGTGTATCATTAAAATCAGCGATTTTTCCAATTCAACGTTACTCGAGACCACCTCCGGTTCTGGGATTTTCTGCTTGCATGCTGTCATGTTGATCTTATATATGTTTTTCGTAGTTGATAATTTGATTAAGTTTAGAAATCTAAAACCTTATATTACAAGGCTAGGAGTTATCAGCCAGCCCACTATCAGGAAGAGATGGCTGACAATGCCGGCCTCTCATTGCAGTCACTCGTACTAGAGGGCCGTTTGCCTCAAAATTTGGCCAAATACCATGCATCAATGCTCAATATCACTACAATTTCCCAGGTAAGCAAACTATCGGAACTTATACATACTGAGAAGTCAAACACGCTCAATTCGCTGCAAAACTACATACAAGCGTCCCACTCTTCGACCAACCAACGCGTCAGGAAGCTAGAGCTAGAACGAACAAAATTGATGCATACTTTATCCGCCTTACATCAAGTCTCAGAGTCGAACTCGAGCGCTAAATTGCTGGCCAAAGACGTGTCTTCCAGAATTGTTTCCGTCAAAAAGGAGAGAGAGATCGTTATGCAGACTCTAAACTTCGTCTCTGATGTGAGCACCTTGAAGCACAACATAGCTCTTGTTCATGAAGCCTTTTCGCAGAAAAACCTTTTATATGCGGCAACCAAGATCAACATAATTCGCAATCTCCCCGAGGAAGTCATCGACAGTGAATTTACTAGAAAGATGGTTCCCTCTAGTGAAATTCCGGAGGAACCGGGTGTTTTGCTGAATCAGTGGATTCAAGAGTTGGCCACAGCATTTCAAGAGAAATTTCAAAAAGCAGTTAAGGATCAAAAAGTAGGCGAATTGACATCAGTTTTCGAAGTATTCCCGTCCATTGGAAAAGCGGAATTGGGCCTTGATTTGTACTCCAAGTATGTTTGTGACATGGTAGCAGAACAAAGTCGAAAGATAATGACAACGGTTCCAAACAAAGGCCCTACTTTTTATGCGCAGGCACTTTTGCATTTATTCAGAATTGTATCCACGGTGATAAATGAGCACTCCAAAGTCATAGCGAAATATTACGGTAAAGAGTGCATGGCCCACATAATGACTAAAATACAAAAAGAGGCAGATATGCAAGCTGGCCTTATTTTAGACACATTCGAAACCAACAGAAACGTTGATGAAATTGTTTCGAAAGATTTTTCCAGCCAACAGAAATTCGATATTGTTGAACCTTCACTAAATGATCACTTTGCGCTTGTTAACGAGTTTTCTGCCATGCTTCAAAATTGGTCAATGTATCGTAAATTTTTTGCCTTGAAATGGCAAGAGTTTAGCGGCTTAGCGGTAGATGAGAAACTGGTAGTACCTGATCCGATATCAAAAGGAGCTTTCACCCTCAAAACCCAAAACCAAAAAGTCTTGACCAAATTTGAGAGGCTCGTCAACATTTACTTGTACAGATCCTTCCATCGAAGTCTATCTCTCGAGGAATTGCCCTCCTTAAATGATATTCTTACGAACCCCTATGTGAAGCAAGCTGATTTGGGGAGTTACCCAGTTTCATCAGTCCTTGACGATATGACAATGTTGATACGATCAAGTCTGATAGCTGTCGTTAACATCGGAGAGGGCTCAATTTTGATGCAGTTTCTTGACGATTTGACAAAATTCATTCAAAGCGAGTATCTCGTGAAGTTTCTCCAATCGAATCTGAAGCAACTTCAGCCCCGACTTGCAGGGAACACTGTCTTAAGAGAGCACAATCCTCCCTCAGAGTCTGTTGTTGCTTCTCGAGCCGCTTCGCCTGGTGTGGCAGATCAAGGCAAACTCTCAAATTTGCGCTTTAATTTCAAAGGTGCTGCTTCAACTGCGTTCTCAAACATACAGTCGAACTTGCAAGCCGTGTATGTCGACGAAGAATCGGTACTCAAACTACATCAGTATCTGATCTACATGAATACCATCGGCGTTGGATGCGAATACTTTGATCGCTTGCTCGTGAAGGATCTCGTCCAGGACAATGCCACATTGTTGAGTGACACGTTCCCTTTTGAAGACTGGCCTAAAGTTCTCTCAGAAAAAATCCATAGCGTCCAAGACACAATTTTATCTCAAAACAAGAAATTGCTACGCTGGAGCGCACGCGTCGTGTTCGAAGTGGTGCTACAATCAAGAATCACCAAAATCATGGGCCCCATTTTTAGTTCAACACCAGAAGACAATTACCTCTGTACTGCCGAAAATTTCGAAGATATCTCCGACATTCAAAGTTTCAAAGTCATGTGGCTGGAGCTCATACAACCCTACGAAAAAATGCTTTACAAGACATGCTACCTCGAGCTTTTAACAGTTTTGGTTGAGAATTTGGTAAATTCATTGAGCACTAGAATTTGGCTCTTACAGGTGAACGAGCTGGGTGCAATTAAACTTGATCGAGAACTCAGTGCTCTGATTTCTTTAATTTGCCGTGACAGATATTCGCTCAGGGACAAATTCACGAATCTTACTCAAATGATCTTAGTTCTCGGGCTCGATGATGATGATTTTGACGTTAATAGCGGTGACGTTAAAAAGGAGATTTTAGAAGGGATTACCTGGACTTTGACTTTCCAAGAGCGCATCGACGCTAAGAATTTAAGAATAGATAGGCGTCGCCATTGAGATTCTTCTTTCACTATGGCCAATGGTTAGCCGTTGTCGCCCATGGTGTTGATGATCTTCTCGCGTCAAATCACGATTAACGAAAGAAATAAATCCAAAACTGCGTAAAAAAGTAAGTTGTTCAAATAAGTTGATGCCCATAAACAACGTTGCCATACACTGATTGGGGGCGCTAATTAAAGCATCTTTCGGTTGGTTTAGAACCCCACTAATATTTCAAGTGCCCCTTTTTATCGAAGGTTTGGACTTTGAGACTTGGAAATCGCTGTTTTTGATTGGTGCCAGTGAATTAAGTACATTTTTCAATAGTCGCATCGGCAAGTTTACGACGCGCTTTTAGTTGGGGCAAGGAAAGCTACTCGGGCTTCTTTGGGAGGCAAGAGTGTAATAATCGATGATGGAAGGTTCGAATGATGCTATTACAGACATAAGGGACGCTGAAATACCCAGGAGTGAGAACTCAACGTCTATGCGGGAGGTTAATGGAGCTTTCTCGCCGAAATCAGCTGTCGCTCGTGATAGTGAAGACCTTAAGAGCGTTACCCAAGTTTCAGACAACGGGGACGCTCCTAATATGAACAGAGAGGCCCTTGAACTCGAACCCGATCTCAAAATGACTTTACCGGAAACTTTAGATCACGAAGACTTCTCGAAATTGCTTGAATTGCATTCAGGAGATGACCAGGACTTATTTTCACCCACGGACCTGCTGGAGCATGGAATGAGTGCCGAGGATGCTAGCATCCTCGACAGGGCTGCCCACGAAAATGATGTCGCAAGCGTTTCGTCTTCCAAAGCGACCGACGAAAATACGCCTCAGCCGCGACCGCCTAGTGCCATTAGTACGAACGACGTGGACCATCCACCTTTAATTGACGCGGTTTTGGCTGAAACTCGTTTGCCAGACAATGACGTTGTTCAATCTTTGGACAAGAACGAAGATTTAATGAAGATCGTGAGAGGAGCTAGTGCTGATATTTCTGCAAATGAAACGAAAAGAGATCAAAACACGTCTAGGGGTTCTTTGCAGGAGGCAGGATCAATGCCGAACGACAATCACATTCCAGCAAACGGTGAGGCCGAGAAAATCAACCTTGAAGCTTCAGCGCAAATGCCAACTACACAACTCCACGCCTTCACAGCAAGCGATGACGAACAATCAAAAATCTCGGCGTATGCAAGGTTAGATTTCCAAAGCTTCACGTTTTATGTTCAGACGTTACAGGTCATAATAGGACGACGTTCTGAGAACGAGATCAGTCATAAAGTTGATGTTAACCTTGGACCCTCGAAATCAATTTCTAGAAGACATGCACAAATTTTTTACAACTTCGGTACCGGGAGATTCGAGCTCTCAATTATGGGCAAGAATGGTGCCTTTGTCGATGACAATTTTGTCGAAAGGGGAATTACAGTACCTCTACAAAATAAGACCAAAGTTCAAATTGGCCAAATTCCTTTCCAATTCGTATTACCCGATTCAGAAGTTAAGGAGAGACAACCGGGTGACCCGCCTGCTGAAATTTCAGTTAATAAGGGTCCGGTAAAAAAAGTCGAAAGTCCTGAAAGGCTGAGCGTCGATGCGTCTCCGTCTGTCCCAGCCGAGGTTCCCAAGATTTCAAAGGAAAATCAGGTTAACGTAGAAGCTCAGAAACAGTTGGTGAAAAAGAAGGATAAAAAGGCACCTAGAGTACCCAAGGCTCCCAAAAAGGTTTACACATTGGAGGAAATTCCTTTCGAGTTTCGCGAAAAACCGGCGTGCTCGTATTCTAATCTCATTACAACTTGCCTGAGAAAGTTTTCCACCGCAAAGGGCATGTCCTTGTCTGAAATTTATGCAGGCATCAGAGAGCTGTTTCCTTATTACAAGTATTGTCCTGATGGCTGGCAAAGTTCTGTGAGGCACAATTTATCCTTGAACAAGTCTTTCAGAAAAGTTTCCAAAGAAGGCAAGGGCTGGCTTTGGGGCTTGGATGAGGAATATATTGCAGAAAGGGAAAGGCAGAAAAAAAGGCAGGCAGAAGCTGCTGCAGCGAAGGCTAAAGCGGCTCAAATTAAATCCGAGCAGCAACAATTACTCAGGGCAAAAAAGGCAGCAGCGAGTGCAAATGTCGGTACCTCTGGAAGAAGCTCCGTAAACATCCCTATTGTGAAAGCGACAACCAAGCAACCGAACATCTCACAGACATTGGCAGCCAATAGAGCCGATACGAAGTTGAATTCTGATGCAAACCAGAGAACGATGAAGCATTTACAAGAACAATTGATGATTCTGACGAAGGACAGAAAGGGATTGGACAAGCAAATCATGGCCAACATTTTGACACAAGCTTTGGCGATGACAATCAACCAAGTCACTCAGGCCGCGAAATCAAAAGGTATCACAGGGAACCCTTTAACCGCTTTGATTGATAGGAATCCTCAGCATTTGAATCTCATTCTGGCTGCGGCTGTTAATGCGGCCACAGTGAAGGTAACAAATGGAAAGATCAAGCAACTGGTTTCTATGCCCCCACCAAATGCTAATAAACCAAATGTCACCGAAACACCAAAATCGCTTTTAAACCCTCCACAAGCAGTTAGGAGCTCCGTGGGATCTGGAACTTCGTCATCGGCACCAAATGTCAAGTCAAGCGACTCTTTTGATCCCAGTTCATTATCGAAATTTTTCCAGCCCAAACAGCCTCCTAAACAGACGCCACCTCCAGCACCACGAAGCGTACTACCTAAGAAACGCACGTCCTCTGAGAGTGAATCAAGTTCTGAAGACAATTCTAGTGATAATGGAAGCGGCAGTGATGGAAGTGATGACAGTGACGGAAGTGGGGACTCAAACAGCGAGGATGAGGAAAGCGGAAGCGACAATGAGGACACTTCAAGCAACGAGGAAACCAGCGATGAAAATTAGAGGGCATAACGGCATATATGTTTGTAACAATATCATTTGCATATCATTGGGTTTAATATATACAGGACAAGTTGAGATGAACCTGCTGCGAACAATCGAAGGAGAAGGCTGATCAGAATGAGCACAAGACGAGTAAGACATCACGGTTTTTTATAACTATACACTAAAATAGGTGACTAACAAACCTAAAGGCTAGCCAATTACGTTGTTGAAGGATTTTTCCTGCTCCTTGACTTCCCAGAACAGAGTGTCCACGTCAAAGTTACCGTGATATACCCATCCGTCTTCAGTCACGTGGTAAAGATTGACAGAACCACCGGAGTAAGCGTCTCTATGTGCCGCGGCCAAAATGGATCTTTTCCCGAGATACAGAGCTTCGTCAACCGTCAGCTCCCATTTATAATTAGTATCCAAGACACCGTATGCGAATGTTTGACCAGAACCGACACAGAAGAGATCACCCTTCAGTCTGGTACCGTCCGAATCGACGTAGTATATGGTAGGACCCTCTTTGCGAGTGTAGCCGCAGATCATAGTACCCATGGATAGACCAGTACCTTTGTATTCGTACACCAGATTGCTCAAGATCTTCGAGGCAGCGGCGACTGAAATGCGCTCCTTTTCCTTTAACTCGTGGAGTCGGCATTGAGCACCAAGCCATGTCTCCCAGTATTGACAGTCTGCAGCACCTCCTGCCATGGTTCCCAGCAGAAAGGGGTTAATTTCGATCACTTTCTTGACGGTTTGAGATCCGATCCATTGCCCTGCTGTTGCCCGCGAGTCTACCGCGACAACGATACCACCTTGAAATCTGAAAGCCAGCGTTGTCGTCCCGTGCGCTATTTTAATGGCACAATCTGGGTTTTTAGAGTCGTCCGTGTGTGCTCTGAGAAACTCCTGAGGCGTAGATATAGGAGGCAACGCGATTCGGGGCGCCAGTTGTTGAAAATTCGATTTCCCTAAAACAAAGTCCTGTGAAAGCGTTTCTTCGTCATCGTAGTGCAATTCTTTGGCCAAACGGCTGGGATTCGAGAATTGGTCAGCGAGGGCCTGCATCACGCAATAATGTCGTGGATTAGGAAAGTAAAATGTGGTCGAGTTGCTGATCTTCCTGCTTCTCCTGATGAATCCGATCGTGAGATGGTGAAGGGTTTGCCACTGTTCTAGTAATTTGAGATTAGGCGAGGAGGTGATGATCACTTTGACACGAGATGGAAAACCACATGTTGCCGGCTTTATCAAAATATTATACATTCATACGAAAATGTGTCTATCTAGTTTGATCACCCAACACGGTCGGATGCGCGAATGATTTTCTTCATGCAGACGGAGCTTCTATACATATCAGAAGTGCCTGTATATGCGCGTCGGCATGTGCCGAAAACTCCACAGTCACAACCCCGTCGTTAAAAAACGTCGACAGCCTTGACGTCAACAAATTCACTTGCAACGAGGGTTCCACTAATGGTGTATGATACGGGAATACGATACACAGAAGACTGCATGTGGGGCTTAAAACACGTGATACGCTTTACGAACCCATCTTACGCCAATGTCACTTCTGATGTTTATAGAATCACCGCTTGCCTTTCAGAAGCCTTTCTGCAATCTGTCTTTGCTACACGATTTCTTCACCTTCTCTTTTATACGTCTCTCACCTTAACACACCACGGCTCTCAATTTGTATTTATAAAAATGTGTGACTGCCGCAGCCCGATAACACCCACACAATTTCATTCTAGACGAATGGTATGGGTGTATTTTGGGAAAAAAACGGGCTCTGGTTAATCGCCGTAAACGAATGATAATTGCTAAGATAGCCTGTCGTACATAATAACAGACGCATAAAATAACAGCGACGCGCAATCGAAATTTTTGGCATGTCGCACGGTTACACGTGACTTACACAACGTTAAACATGATTTCACCTCACAGCGGCTTTCTCAGCACGCGCGACATCGCCCTCAGGCATCCTGAAAAATTTTCTTTTACGCTAGTTAATTGTTTGCAGAGCTAGATGTTAGAAGTCTCTTGATATCGCTATCTCAGCACTCCATCACGCCAATAAGCCAAAGATGTCCGCTAAAGCCCAAAACCCTATGCGTGAATTGAAGATCGAGAAGTTGGTTCTCAACATCTCGGTCGGTGAGTCCGGTGACAGATTGACCAGAGCCTCCAAGGTTTTGGAACAATTGTCTGGTCAAACCCCAGTCCACTCCAAGGCCAGATACACGGTCAGAACCTTCGGTATCAGAAGAAACGAAAAGATTGCCGTCCACGTCACCGTCAGAGGTCCAAAGGCCGAGGAGATCTTGGAAAGAGGTCTAAAGGTCAAGGAGTTTCAATTGAGAGAGAGAAACTTCTCCGCTACGGGTAACTTTGGTTTCGGTATCCAAGAACACATCGACTTGGGTATCAAATACGACCCTAACATCGGTATCTACGGTATGGACTTCTACATCGTCATGGGCAGACCAGGTAACAGAATTGCTAGAAGAAAGAGAGCGAGAGCCGTTGTTGGTAACCACCACAAGACCTCCAAGGAGGACACTATCGCTTGGTTCAAGCAAAGATACGACGCTGAAGTTGTGGACAAATAGACGCACTCAACACATCCACGTAACATCCATTGTGTAGTTTAACAAGTCCAATTTTTTGTTGTCTATATCGGTGACCCTATGTACCGCGTGAGTAAAACTGTCCGTCCGTGACACCAGCTAGCTGCCCGCACCTAGCCGTTTTTCCACATTGCGGACTAACGTCTCCTTCCATTGCTGATCCAAATATGCGAGTTTGAGTTTCTCTTGCTCCTGAAGCGTGCGCCGGTACGCATTCAAATCGCTTATCTGGCCATTTTGCGTTGCTGTGATACCTTTTATCACTTCGCATGCGTTTTCAATGTACGTATTGTTCACGCCCCATTGTGCGTCCATTGTCCTCGCAACCAACCTTTCAAGCGCCAGTTCCTGATGTCGCGCGTATGCTGCTGCGGCTTTGAGGTCCTCCAAATTCAATTCATCGCTGACCACATATCTTTCATTTCGTATTCCAGGGCACAACCTCTTTCGTGCCGCAACCAGTTCATCTCCTCTGTGTTTGAGGGATTTGCCATCAGCATGAGACCAGCCGATTTCCTCTGCCCCATTTTTCTCAAAACTCAAAGCATGCAACAACTTTTCCCCAAAAACCTTGGCTGACTTAGGCTCACGCACCTGAACAATGCGCTCGGCCATTGGATGTATTACACTCGTATCCACCCCACCTAGCTCCGCTTCGACATAACCTATCAATCTCTGCTTCAAACTCTCATCAACATCGTCTAACTCCGGAAGCCAGTCCAAGATAAGTGCGTTTTCCATTGCTCGCCGATAGACCCTCATCTCAAGATATGATTATCATTGAAGTTCCCATAATTACCATCTTGATGCAAGCATATCGTATACAATGATACCAAATCATTACTTGCAAAAAGGATCAGGAATAATCCACAAGCTCAAATTGAAAATACGTTGGTGATCAGTTGCAATCCCGAACTAAGATTAGAAAGTTTTTTGATTTGAAAATTTGATACCCTTCTAGTTTGCCTGTTTTAGAGTTTGCTGTCAGTATCACGTGACTTATGAGGATATAGCTTTTACCAGTAATGATCTAGAAAATTTTCTGCAAAGTAACCACTAACAGACAAATCGCAAGTCAATCGATGCTACAAAGAGGCTTCAGGAGGTCGGCATCGACCTTTCAGCAGACGGACAGGAAAATACTAGATTTCTATAATTACCATGCGACAAACGCGGCGTTGAAACCCCTTATTTATAGGCCGAAGAACAAGAATTTGTTGTTGGCGATGGATCTCAAAGATCCGGAGTCTAACGCGCCGTTGAAGGCTAGAACACCTGTCAAGCCTTTAAGCAAAGACGTTCTCAATTCTTACATCTGGTCCGCTCAGGAGGCCTCTCAGGTGTTGGGAATGGTGCGCAAATGGACTTCATTGACAACGAGAAAGAAGGCGATCTGGCAGTTTTTTAATGCGAGCCATGTTCAGAACATGCTTTTCGCTGCTAATTTCAAGCTTGGAAAGTTCTCGGCGTTTGTAAGGGAATTTTACGCGCTCAAACCCAGATTCGAGTCAGTTGGAAGCGCAGCTATTTACGACGTTGAACACTTCTTCAACTCGCTAATTACGTGCAGTTTGCATAAAAACGCAGCCCAGGGTACTCGGGACGCTGATGTTGGTCTCAAGAAGCTCACGAACGCGTGGAACCACGTGGCAGTAAAAAATGACGACTCTGGTCTTGCTGGACTTTTGATCGCTGCATATGCGAAACAGCAAGGTATCACTAGCGAGGCCTTAACCAGTCTAGAGACGCCGCTCCCATCCATCACCCACGAGATCAAACTTCCCACACTCATGTCAGAATCTATGTCCATAGGCATAACCGCCAAACTAGTGAGCGAAAACCGCTTCAAATACGTGATGACGCGCACCATCCTGCAGTACGGTGACGCTTGCCTCGCAAACGACGCAATCCAGAAATTTGTATCTGAGTACCAACTACTGCAATCTAAACTTGATGATAAGAAAGATGTTTATGAGACCTACTGCTCAGTACTTAAGAGCGTTTTGACCGAGCAACACCCTCCCACCGTCACCCACAAGCACCCTGTTGCCGGTGATGCCTAGGGCTTCAAATCAAAACCTTTCACAGAGCTTACAACAGCGAAAAAGTGCCGGTTTGCGTTATACAACTATCTTTTGTTGTAGCGGCCAGCATTAAATCCACCAACATGCCGAATATTAACGATGAAGTAATTTGAGAATGGGAAGATTCTCTAAACCCACTGCATATTCTCGTCGCCATCCTAATTATTCATGGCAAATTTCTGGGTTTTTCTCCCCACGAATAAAGTCCTGCAAATAGTCATAGATACCAATACTCAATAGTGCTTTTTGGTTAAAGCATATTCAATAAGTAAAGCTCACAAAACTGAGCTTCATCATTGTTCCCCACCGGCATGGATACTGACCTATGTCGGATAGCGTCAGTGTAACTCTAACATTTTAAGGAAAAGTGCTTGTGTTATTGTGACAACTCATCTACAAGTTTATAGCTAAGTAGAGTTCTTTCAAGAGGACGACTGCCGCTACAGGAAACAAACACAAAATCATGCCGGCTAGAATTAGCCTCGATGTCGATCCACCTGGTAATGGGCAGTATTTTACGTCCAAGGAGGTTCTAAAGGGCCGCGTAATTGTCAATCTTGAGAAATCAACGACAATCAAGAAGATTAGTGTCAAGTTCTTTGGTGCTTCTGAGGTTACAGTGAGAAGCGATGATCATAACATGGATGGCACCAGGAGAAACATTCAGAGCCCTCCGTCTATAGGAAGGTCTTTCCACGAGATCGTGTCTCAAGAATTACAAGTTTTCCCTCCGTCAAATGTAGTGCAAGCAATGAATGGCAGCGAACGGGCCTTTAAAGTTGAAGAAGGCGAACATGACTACAGGTTTGAATTTAAAGTGCCAAAACGAGCCAAATGTTGGAGACGACATCGCAAGAATTCGAACAATATCTTCAGGGGGGCAATCTCGAATGGAATACCGCCAAGCTTCAACGATCGACTTCGCAAAAACCAAATTTCCGACGTGGGCACGTATCTATACTCATTAGGCAGAGTTGAATACCGACTGGAAGCGGCTTTGTACTACGGGAGAAGTTTGATGTGGCCCAAACCTTTCAAAAGCGCCGATGTTGCTGAAAAGAGAATCGAACTCATACCAGGAGATAGTGCGTCACGCCTAGTTGGGGAGAGTTTGACACCAGCTGTAACTCCTGCTACAATTTTAGATTCCAAATACGTTTTCACGCTCGAAGATGGAACAGAGGCTTGGACAGAAGTTCATGCAGACCGTTTGAAGTCGGTCTATCGCTTGGACCTCCTTTTTCAACAAGGTTGCGGCAAATTCGATAAGATCTACGTCGCTTTCTCGAACCTTGAGACTCGAGATACGTTGCAACTGCGGCTGGTCCGCCTTCAACTTAACTTGCTCGAGTTCGTAACCTACTTAGCCGGTGAAATTGGCAACAGAAACCTATCCTCACTGTGTCTTCTCAATATTGCGACAGACCTATCTATCGATCCCAAGACATTGCGTCAGAGACCTGATGACGACGTATTGGAGGCTCCTTTGAATCTCTTGGGCGTCGAAGCTCTTCAGCAGTTCAGGTTCAACGAGCAGGACTACAAGCACAAGGGAAACAGGCTTTTCAGCTTCACATCATGTAATATCAGACGCGAATACAGATTCCAGCTCTTTTTGGATTTCAAAGACGAGAATCAAAACGTCTTCCAGACGGAGACTCAAACCAACATTGTTAACATATTCTGTGAGTCCATTACCGTCCAGGAAAACCCACCACCTTACTGCATTGACAAAAGCACCGATACTTTGCCCGTGTATGTAACTTGATGGGCTTCGCAAATGTGTTCTACAAGGTTCAAGTGGGCTACAGACTCCATATGTAGAGAACGAATCGAATACCGCAGACATAAAAAGCTCGCCTTCAAGCCAATTTGAGACGGAAAACACCAGAAAAGAGAGAGAGAGACGAATTGGAGCTAACGCTCGAAATATTAGCAGAATTGACTAACTAACGAATCATAGAGGAGTTTCTCTAACCTAAGTCCAGTGTTAAGGATGATGATATGTCGATGGTTCACCATCTTGGTCACTACCTACGTTTGAATTTTTCAAAATTTTTGATCTGGAATATCAAGCAGGATGGCCGGTGAATCAGATTCATGAAAGAGAGGCCGGATTGGAATATAAGACATTGGGGACCATGAGCGGGGATAAAGATACTGTGAGCAGTCCTGTACCAGCAGGCAATGCAAAGAGTGGAGGAGATTCCGAAATGCCTGCTATTACGACATCTGCGGACGAAAAGAAGCTTTCTAACAAAGAGTTGAAGGAATTGAAGAAGAAGGAGAAAGCTGCCAAGAGAGCTGCGAAAAAGGAGGCTAGTGGTATTTCTCTGGAGAAACAACAGCAACAGGCGCTGGTCAAGAGGGAAAAGAAACAACAGAATGATGCAAACTCGCTCAATGGTAACAAAAAAAGCAGACAACAGGTTATGTCCACGGCACCAGTGAAGCAGTCGACGTTGTTTGGACATCTGGAAACGACAGACGAGAGAAGGGCGAGTTTATTGGCCGTGGTAAGTGCGATCAGCTCAACAAGTGCTTCGAAGATCACGGCAGCGGGTCTCTCTTTACCCATAGTGGTCAATGCGGCAGGGAATTCGCCAGTATCGTCTGCATCGTCTGTTCCTTCATCGGCTTCGGCTTCTGCATTAGGTCAGACATCTATCGGTCTGCCTGCAGAGGAAGCAGCTCAAATTTTGGCGTCTTTGACGTTAGACGATGATTCGCTTCTTGTGCCTGGCTCCGCATCTGTTATTCCACAGAGCTTGTCCGAAAAATTCAGCAAGACTCACTTAGCCTCCTCGATCAAGGAGCTGGTAGCAAATCGCTTTATGCTTCACCCAGTCATAGCGCAGCTTACCTCTGACATTGCCAGTTACAAAATCGTCGGATCCGTTCCTCGCTGTATTGCGATGCTCGAGGCCTTTCAGATTGTTATTTCTGATTACAAAACACCGGCAGGGACATCATTGAGTCGTAATTTGACGAGTTATCTGTCGCACCAGATCGATTACTTGAAAAGGGCCAGACCCCTCAGTGTCACAATGGGGAACGCCATTAGGTGGCTGAAACAAGAAATCTCGCTCATCGATTTGACCACACCAGATATGAAGGCTAAAGAGATTCTTTGTGAAAGAATAGCGCAGTTTGCGCGTGAAAAAATCGAGTTTGCCGACAGGCTTATTTTAGAAAGTGCATCTCAACATATTGTCGATGGTAGTACTATCCTAACTTATGGTTGTTCCAAAGTACTTACTGACTTGTTCATTTACAGTGCGACTGAATTACAGAAAGACTTTCAAGTTATTGTAGTGGACTCCCGGCCACTCTTTGAAGGTAGAAAAATGATCGATAGCTTGAGAAGTCGCGGCATTGATGCCATGTACGTCCTCATTACGAGTTTGAGTACCGTTTTCAATATGCATGTTGATTACGTCTTTCTTGGCGCTCACTCTTTACTATCCAATGGATTTCTGTATTCGAGAGTTGGCACTGCAATGATCGCTATGAGCGCTAAAAGAAGAAACATTCCGGTTCTAGTGTGTTGCGAAACTTTGAAGTTTTCTCAAAGAGTTCAACTGGACAGCGTCACGTCCAATGAGTTGGCAGATCCGGATGATCTCGTCAACATTGATTCGAACAACCCTGTCATACGTCGTGGGAATAAAGGATTTCTGTTGCAACAGTTTGTTAAAGAGCGCGCTCAACAGGCTGCGGCGTCGAAGCCAAAGGATCAGCAACAAAATTCGAAAAACCGTTCTTCAGCGCAACAAGACACGGACGAACAAGAGACCAAACCGATACTTGCCGACTGGCAGGAACTTCCTAAACTCAACATCTGCAACATCATGTACGACTTGACGCCTCCAGAGTACATCAAAAAGGTCATTACAGAGTTTGGCGCTCTGCCACCTTCATCGGTGCCGGTCGTCTTGAGAGAATACAAGGCTACTGCATAAATAGGCACCATATAAACAGCATACAACGAAAGAGAAAAGAATGCGTGTAGTATTAACTGCAGAGATGTTATATATACAGGGTGATATCAAGATTTGGCAGAACTGAAATCTTAAATACGATGTCTCTTGGAAGGGTCCACATGTAGCGGGGACCACACGCCTCTGACGCTTGAGTTCAAAGTCTCTACGTAATCATTCTTTGTTCTATCCCGCAGTTTTTCTCCAGAAGAGTCCTTGAGAAGTTTGAGTTTGTTTTCGACGTTGTCGACATTCAGGTTGCGCACACAGATAACCTTTTCTCGTCCGTTAACGTAGTGACCTCTGAGCAACGGATGACCCGATTTTTTTACAACGTGAAACTCGATATGAGGACACTTTTGGGCGAGTAATTCCAACCTCTTGCTCGAGAGAAAGTCCCGCATACCTTGCGAAGATCCACCCCAATTACAGTATTGCAAAACTATCTTTTTGCAAGGGAAAATATAAGCACCAAGGCCATTCTGAGCCACGGAAAGCTGTTTCAAAGCCTTAACCACCATGATCGCGCTTCAAAAGCAGTATTTCCAGAGCCGCAATGACACGCAACGTATTGAAAATGTCGTCGGTCTTATTAGTCTTTTGACATGAGTTTCGGTTAATTTTTCAACTCTTCATGCAAACCGAAAAAGTTAATACAAGACAGACAAGACAGGACCACACACACCATTGGAAAGGCTCAGAGTAAGGACCTGGTGTAACAAGTGAATGACCATCGAGCTCTAGAGTGACGATTATCAACTATGTAAAGCGTTGGAAATAATAGATCAGACGGTATCTTTTCCGGAAATTCGATGACCAAAATTAATTAAAAGAGTATTCTTTAATTAGTAGTCTCACATGCCTTGAATCATGTATATCTTGCAGCAATCAAGAGTAGACCAGTCGATAAGATTGACTGAACCTAATTTTACGAACTAGGAAGGACACTTATGTGATTGGAAAACAAAAAATTGGCTGAATCCATGTGACTACTGAGTTACTTCTTTTTTTACGTTACCCCTGCACTGGTTAACAGCTTATATTAACTTTGGTAAATATCCAGATTGAAAGCCCTTTTTCCTGCATCAATAAAGCTTTGGACCATGTCTACGTACTTTCTGAAACCAACCGCTCACCTGCTATTCTTCTCATTTGTGTAAGTTTTGCTAGTTTTTTGAAGGTTCCCATGATGCCGAAACTCCTAGGTTTACTAACTCAAACAGTTTTGGCGGAACGGCATTCTACTCGTATGTTGCGTCTCCCATAGCGTTCAAAACGCTCGACAAAGATGCGTTTTCCAAACTCCAACATTCTGTGTTCCCGTATTTCTTCCAAATGCAGTCCTTTGCGCCTGTCATTTTGGGTGCCACAGCTCCATTGGCTCTCAGATGGGGGCCATTCACTTCTTTAGCAGTAGCATCTACAAGCGGGTTGGTAAACTATTTGTGGCTTTTGCCCTGGACCCAGAAAGTAAAATCTGAGAGACGTAAACTCGCCAATGAAGTCTCTGGCGAGGAACTCGAAAGACGAGATGCTTCTTTGCGTAAAGAATTTGGTAAATCGCACGGTTTGAGCTTATTGTTCAACATGACGAACGTTTTGGCCATGACCGTTTACGGATTCTTTCTCGCCCGTGGACTTGTCAGATATGTGCCAAAATAAGACTACCGCTTTAAACACTGAATATGTATGTGCAAGATATGAAGCTTTTAATGATATTGTCTTTTCTGTTGGGCTCTTTAAGCTGTAGTTATATACATTGTGGCAATGAATTCACCAGAAATGATCTTAATAGAATGAATGAATGCCCCATCTTTCACCAATTTAACCCCCACCAGTCTTTTATTCATCAATCTCTCCTAGACCCGACTCCGCTCCTCCGGTCTTGCCGGACATCGCCTGGGCCATGGCTGCGGGGCCGCCTTGAGCGCTGCCACTTAAGAAAGTAGAAACGTTGACTGGAGGCTTGATAGCGATCATCAAGACCACATGCTCATAAACGGCTTCTGGAACACTTCTCTGATAAATCCCGAGCAAATCTGCTGGGTTAGGGTAGACACTCAAAGCTTTGTAGAATTTGAACGCAGATTCCATTTCGTTTCCAGGAACACTGGCAAGTCTTTCACCAGCCTCAACGTTCGACGTGAACACCGCTTCCCTTTCTTCTGGATCCGTAGAAATAGGGTCTTTAACAAGTTCAACCTCTAAAAATTCACCGACACGCGCCAATTTCAGCTTCTTGGCCCTCTCTTCCTCTATCTTCTCTTCTTCAACATGCTTCTTAACCTTGCGCTTTAAGTTTCTTCTAAAATCAGAATTGTTTCTTCTCTGATGGTCAAAATAAACCGCGTAACCGGCAACAGCTGTCGCAAGGGCAACTCCACCGATGGTCAGCACGCGCAAAATAGTTGAAGACTGGTTCTGGGACATGTTATTCCTTTAAATCTTTCGGGCTTTCCACAAGAGATGATGCAATAGTAAGACTTCTTTCTTCATTTAAAAATTTTCAGCTAATAGGGCCCATTAACGTTACTATAAGAAGCAAACTAGAAGGAAGGCATTCCATCGTTCCAAGTCAATTGACCGTAATGAACTCTTAGTGTGGGCGTAGAATATTATTTCTAAATACCCTCCTAAATTTCTAGCTGCTTTAGGCGAGTTTGGCAATTATTACTAGTAGCTAAATTGCGACTTAGTTTGGCGATGAAATCTATTACTAGAAAATAAAATCAGCCGTTTATGAAAAATCAATTTACAAACTACTAGCAAACGTCTTGATAAGTCGCGGCAAGATTGATTTTGTTAGCTTTAGAAGATCATCTTTTATCGTAATTTCGGCTTAGGTTTCTCACGATCTGACAGTTGAAATTTTTCAGTAGACTTGATTATCGGAATGAGGTCATCGACCTGGAAAGCCATACTTTAAAGAACTCGGAAAGGAGGTAATTAGGGTCTGAGGCCTTCGAAAAGGTACTAAAGATAGAATTTTAGTGAGAAACTAACAGTGGAAATATGGTGGCGAAAAGACGGGGTCATTTGAGAACCAAAGCAGCCGCGAGGCTGGCGATGACAAAATCGACGGAAGATGCCCCTACAAGCATGATTAAAAGCGATATCGGTACAGATATGGCTGATACAGCAATGCATATGGACGAAGATCCTCGCGCGTTTCTTCACCAGGCTAAGGAATCCAAAAGGGACAAAAGTGAACAAAAATCACAGCAATTTCTGGCAAGGATCAAGGAAAGCTCTTTAGGGGCCGGCATATCGAAATCTTCTTTGCGTCGAAGGAAGAGAAAGCTCAGAGATCGACTCAAACCGCGAATGGATGATTTACTCGTATCCTTGGAGCAGGAGGTTGATATTGCTGGGAATGACGGTAAGGAAGAAAATAAAAGGAAGCAAGTTAACGTGATTGGGGGTCCTAAAACTGAGGGAAATTCATCTGGTTTAAAGAAAAACCAGCCCAGTATCAGAAAACAGAAAGGTGCCAAGTTGCTCAATACGCGCGAGGCAGACCGTTTTCAGACCGTGCTACACAATGTACAATTTCAGCAAAGTCCATTCGCTACGCTGAAGGAGGTTATTAAAATGAGATCAGAATAGTAGCTAGCGCAACAGTTCCTTCAGTTTGAAGCTGAACACCTTGTCGTTGAAATTCCCAATTTCTGACAAGTCTAATCTCTTTTCGAGTAAGTCGTGATAATCTTGTTGGAATTTCTCTTCTGCGTCGTTGAGTCGCGTGTAATCTTTGGTATCCAAATCCAGGTCTACTAAATCTCTTTCCTTGAAACCCAATGCCATATCGCCATTAGAGAAAACGCCAGCATTCGACTCTTCCCAGCTTTTCTTCATTACCGTCTCAATGTTGACCCCTGAAAGCTTTTCCTCACGAGTCCTTATTTGAATCAAGCTTTGGTATGCCTCTCGACACTGTCTCTTATGCTCAATGAGGGTATCCAGCTGCTTTTTCAGAAGATCCACGTTTATGCCCTTGTCGGAGGAGTTCTCGACCCAACCCGCAAGATCGATTCTATCTGTTGTTTGATACTTGCTATTTTGTAGGAATTTGACAATATTGGTGAAGTAAGTAATAAATCCCTGGAAAATGTTTTCTGTGTCATGAATGCAAACATCATGAACAAATTCGTAGAACGATGCCTCATGTTTGTCCACTAGTTTGTTTATAGCATCAACAACGTTCAACGAAGTCATATGATTTTCTTGTCCATCTATGACAACATCCATCAACGCAACAAGGTCGGTCATAAACTTCTCAAAGTTTTTGAAAGCATTATCCATTCTGGAGACCCTGAAAATCCGAACGAGAGGCTCATAGAAAAGGGCTAGAGTTGATTTTAATAACTGTGTAAGTTGAGGATCTTGCCAGATTTTCTTCATCAGCATCTTATCGCGCTCACGAATATAAGTTTGCAAAAGATCCTTGACATGCGAGAAATATAAACCAGGGAATTGGCCTACTGACACATTCGAAGGTTGCGGTTTAAGCTCACTTTCACTAGAGTCATTATTCTGCTTCCATGCTGAGTAGGATTCGATCAACTCATCTAAAGCTTGTTGCGAGACTTTCGACGTTTCCGCGCATTTCATAACTATAACCAGAGCCATTGGCATCGACATAGATTGTGCATCTTCATGGATGGTCGACATGTTGACAATCTCTCCGTTTTCGTTATTGAAAATAACCTCTGCCAATAATTTCGCAACTTCTGTGCCAAACGTGCTCTCCTTCTCTATCGCTGTTTCTAATCCTTCAGCCACTTTAAGTTGAGATCTCAAGTCATCGCTTAGCACAGATGAAAACATTGTTTGTAAAAGAGAATTGCCACCAAAAGGACGTGCCATGAAAAGATCGATTAGACCCTTCATGATGGCCATTGGGTTTGTGAAGCGCAGAATTTGGATCATGACTGTGTAGGGCATAAGCTTGTGGAGTTTGCGAATTTGTGTGTAAAATTCGTAGCCGCTATCGTTACCCAAAAACATTTGATATATAGTAGCTGACACATTCACCTTACACCATTCAAAGAAACTCTGCAACATGGGGGATAAATCTTTGACAGCCGGTTTTTCCTTCAATTCTTGAAACATCTCCACAAGATAGCCCTCATTCTCTAAGAGGGATTGCCTGAAAGACTTCATGGAAGCTTGCAATTTGAGCGATTTCTCTAAGGCAAGTTTCTGAAAGGCTATTTGATGTTCCAGTTTCAAAAAATCAATGGCTTCTCTCTGCTTGACATCTTCAAGGACAGCTTTTGTAAATGAATCAGGTGATAATTCGTTTTTTCCCAAGAATTTCGACAGCGAAATGCTGCCAGCAGTCTCGTCATCATCACATAAACTTCTCAAATATTGTCTCAATGACGTTCTCATCTTTTCTCTAACTAACACAGTGGAACCAACCTTGACGCTATCATCAGGTTCTTCGTACGTGTCTCCCCCATCATCCCAATTTTCTGAAGCATTTTGAGAATCAGAGTCGCTTGACATAGTGGGGCTCAATAAGCTTGCCTTCTCTTGTCTTTTCGTTTGGTCATCGTTGTAGGATTCTTCATTAGTAAAGCTCGATACGATTTGTTCTTTCGGCGTGACAGGGACCGCAGAATTCTGGCTGAAGCCTTGACTAGCAACGTTCACCGGCGCCAACGCACCTGCTTTACTCTTATGAGGTAATCTAGGCAGTGTCTTGGCCGGAAATTCCTTTTTCAAGTCTTGTACCAAATTCTTGAAATCAGAGAACTCTTTGGCAATGTAAGTCTCGCCCTCACGCCCTTCTCTCTTGAGTCTTATTAGAAAGTAAAAATTGGACGACGCGGACGTCGAATCAGAGACAGTCAGTTTGGAGAGAAGCTTGGAGGGGGACGCGAACGTAGTTGGTGAAAATCCAAAGGCGCTACGCATCCATTTAGGAGTCGCGGGTTTGGACACCTTTTTAGGCTCCAATCCGTATCCCTGGGGATCTGCCGAGGCAGATATCACGTTGATGTCCCAGCCATTGATGTATATAGGCTGATTTGTGAGTAAGAATCTCAGGTTGTCTTTCGACGGCATTGTGAATTTGTCAAGCTTGGAAGCTTTTTGGAGACTTTCTTGACCACCGCCCGCGGAACTTTTGTCTTCTGCATAATATTGGGTTTCTTGCGCACACCCAATTCCGGCATTGTACATCAAAAGTATCATTTTAGACAGTTTGAGTGACATTCTTCTTCTCTTGGTAAGTTCCTCGCGGTCAAAACTCGTGCTAAAATTCATGCTCATGAAATGCTCAAAAAAGACTTGAACTCGCTTCTGCCAGAACTCCTGATTGCCTGCCAAGTCTTGCGATAGCAGCGGCAGCGAGACGACAAAATGTTTCAAGAAATGGCTGAGTATGGGGAATTGCGTGTCAATTTGGTCGTTATCGGGCTCGCTTTTGATGCTAGCCGCACCACTCAGGCGTTTTTTGGACGGCGACAAAATCCTGCCGATAGGAGTAGCAGTCGAATCGGTTTTCTGCGGGTCTCCATTCGAAAAAGGGTAGCCGAATTTCCGCAAGGCGTTTACATCATCCAAGAGGCTAAATTCATGGAATAACTGTAGCTTGATGAGCTCAGTCTTGAGATGGTGCTCTTCAGACGGTGTAAGCATTCCAAAACTGGTCAAAATACGCTCTCTTTTATATCTTCCTGTTCTTGTTTTTCTTGTTCAAGAAGTTGAGATTTGATTTCGTCTAGGTGATTTAAGCTAGAATCGCCGTTGGTCAAGAAAACAGTAACCTAAACAGTGGCGCCAAACTTGGAACTTTCTATTTAACGGCTTTAAGAGCTCGATTTGCAGGAGATACGGGGTCAGTTCGGTGTCGAGATCTCGCTTTTCAAGTATGGGTTCACCGTTCGTAGCTATTACGTAACGTGTTGGTATTTTGGCAACAGAGCCATCTCTCTGCTTTAAACCTGGTACCAATTTCATGGCTCCTCAAAAGCCCAGCAATGAGGTGCAGTGGTGAACTATAGACACCTGCGGGCTAAACTTGCGTCTTTGGCATATTACACCAGAAACAAGATTACCCGCCATTTAATACCGTATTTATACCCAATGGGCAGTTCATACCAGATCTGCACGAATGTACGTTGGATCAGAGAAAAACGCTGCTACACAGGAACAACTGTCAATTAATTGAACAGCGTAGCAGACTGTTTTCACCGCTGCGGAGTGTTTGTATCGCTGTGTCTGCGCGGGCGATATAGGATTTTCACCAGCAAATTTTGGAAAGTTAACCGTGACACAACTAGACTACCTGAAAGACACGAGACACGATAACAAGACATGTCGCTGGGCGAGTTCGACGAGCTCAAGTTCGACCATTCGTGTGCGAGGCTGGACGTGCCGTCGCACTATTTGCTCAAGAAAGCGCGCCGAAACCCCCACGGTCTGGAAGAGCTTCGCCAAAGCATGAAATCGGCCACGATTTATGTGGGAAACCTGTCGTTTTACACATCCGAAGAGCAAATCTACGAGTTGTTCAGCAAGTGCGGACGGATACAGCGCATTGTCATGGGTCTGGACCGGTTCAAGTTCACGCCGTGTGGGTTTTGTTTCGTGATATACAGCGGCGCGCAAGAGGCGCTGAACGCTGTGAAGTACCTGTCGGACACCAAACTCGACGACCGTACGATCACGATCGACCTGGACCCCGGGTTCGAGGACGGACGTCAGTTTGGGCGCGGTAAGAGCGGTGGCCAGGTCAGCGACGAACTGCGGTTCGAGTACGACGCGTCGCGGGGTGGGTTCGCCGTGCCTCTCGCGGACCGTATCGGGTTCAACAGCGCGAACAATTTCGGCGCACGTCGCGTGCGCGACGTGTACATCCCGGGCCAGGAACACGCCGGCGGAGAAGAAGCAGAAGAAGCCGAAGAACTGGATACGTACATCCCGGGCCAAGATTGAGCACCGCTTGGCCGGGGCTTGCTTGTTGTATATCATTTACTACGTAGACTTCTAATTTCTACCCGTTTTGTACCCACTGTTAGTCCTGCGACTCCTCAGATAGCTTCTTGAGCTCTTCGAGCCTGTCCATCAGCTTTTTGCGCCGCGTCAGAGGCGCGCCGGCAAACCGCCGCTCCAGATCCGCGTCGGACCCGTCTTCGGCGGTCCCCGGTCGCACGGACCGCGACAGCTGGTAGTAGTCGCTGAACACTTTGCGCCGCCGCACGTTTATGAACCAATTGCTGAGCTGCACCTTTGTAAGCCCCGTCTGGATGAGTAGCTCACGTTTTTCCTGAGGTGTGGGGTACGGGTTGTCCATGTGGGCCAGCAGCCACGCGTTGAGTATGTCCACAGTGTGGCGCGGAAGGTTCGTGCGGCGCGACACTCCGCCGTCCGCGGCAACCGGGCCCCCCCGCTCACCGGAGCCGAGATCGGCCGCTGGATTGTGCGCGTCGTGCGCAGCGACGCGCACACCGTGGCTTCCGAGTTTCCGCGCAGGCGCGGAATCGTAGACAGGATCGTAGACGGGCGCGAACACGCGCACGCGTTGTTCCCGGCCCGCAGGAACCGGCGGCTCGCGACCTTCCTCTGGCGCCGCGGCCAGCGCCGCTGCCAGCGACCCGTCATCGCCAGGCTCGTACGCGCTCCACGCGCGCGCGAGAGGCAGCGGCAGGGGCACAGGAGGGCCGGTTAGTGGCGCCGTTAAGTGTGACTCGCCAGGGAGTTGGTCGATCGACCGCAGCAGGTTCTGTATGCTGGGCAGTCTGACCTCGTTCTGCCGGGCAGTGTGCTGCTGCGCCATTCGCATTGGCATGCTGCTGTATCCCGATGTTTCTGGCTATACGACGACACACGCTTGCTTGGTTTTTGTGACACACTGGAGCATGCGAGACGTCGCATGCGCTGTGAATCGATCTACGAATATATACCTTGCCCACGCAAGATCCGTGTGCAACCTGTTGCGGCCTGCGACCGTCGTGACGGAAAAAATGTGTCACTTGGCCGGTTACGGCCTTGACTCAGAATGGCACACCCGACTGCAGCGCGTGCCCGCGGACAACGCGGCGTTGAGACGGACAGGCAGCGGTGGGGAGCCAAGGAAGCACGATTAGAGGGGAAAAAAAGAAGCGACACTTCGCTGCACAGACGCGGCCGTGCGCGGCGGCGGCCGCGCCCACTGCTGCAGCGACGCAGGTAGACTCCAACTCCAGCTGTGGAGCAGAAGGAGTTAGAGCCGGGGCCGGGCCACAGACTGGCGGCGAGACGTGAACGTCGCTGGCGTTTGTGCGGTGTGCGCGGGTTGGTCTGCGCGGCGCTTCGTCCGTGTCGGGTCCCGTGTCGGGTCCCGTGTCGGCCGAGGTCGGCCGGCAGTTGCCCGATCGGCGCGTCGAGCGGAACCGTCGTGACGGGCCGGTATAAGGCCGCCGCTTGCCGGCAAGGCGCGGCAGGACATAAACGCCAATTATGCACGCTCAGAATGCGCTATTTTTGACTTTATCGCGTTTCCACTGGTTGCGCACACCGGGTGCACGGGTGGCAGGCGAGGCGGAAAAGTGCAGACGCGGGTGCATGGGTGCCGGTCCTGCACGCCCCCGGTGACGTGGGGACGCCCGCCGGGTTCGAAGTGCGGACTGCAACGCTCGCAATCAGGGGAACGCGGGGAAGGGTCCCCCGCATCGGACAGCTGCGAGGCGGAAATTAGCCGGGTCCCTGGCAGTGCACAAGCCCACCGCAGACACGCGATCGGCACAACACCGGCACGACACCTACAAGAATTTTGAGAGGACAACCCATACTAACACAAAGAGACCGTTTGTAACTGTATAAATAGAGATCCGCGTGCGGCCCTGGGGCGGCCCGCACGCTCCCACTGTTCGAGCAGAGCACACACCCAATGACAATTCTCGACGACTCACACCCGGAGACCCAGCACAAGTGGTGGAAAGAGGCCGCGGTCTACCAGATCTACCCTGCAAGCTTCAAGGACTCCAACGGCGACGGATGGGGCGACCTGGCCGGAATCACGTCCAAGCTGGACTACATCAAAGGTCTGGGTGTCGACGTGATCTGGATCTGTCCCTTCTACGACTCCCCGCAACAGGACATGGGCTATGATATCGCGGACTACGAAAAGGTGTGGCCCCGCTACGGCACCAACGCGGACTGTTTCGAGCTCATCTCCAAGGCACATGCCTTGGGCATCAAGGTCGTGGTTGATCTCGTGATCAACCACTGCTCGGCCGATCACGTGTGGTTCCAGGAGAGCCGTTCGTCCCAAACGAGCCCCAAGCGGGACTGGTTCATCTGGCGTCCTCCCAAGGGGTATGACGCCGCGGGCAAACCCATACCTCCGAACAATTGGCGGTCGTTCTTCGGCGGCTCTGCATGGGAGTTCGATGACCACACGCAGGAGTTCTATTTGCGCCTGTTTGCGTCACGGCAGCCGGACTTCAACTGGGAACTCAAAGAGGTGCGTGACGCCATCTACGAGACGGCGGTCGGGTTTTGGATCGACCACGGGGTTGATGGGTTTAGAATCGACGTCGCCAGCATGTACTCCAAAGTGGCAGGTCTCCCCGACGCTCCCGTCGAGGAGCCCGGCAATCCGTTCCAGAACGGCGGCGCTTATTTCATCAATGGGCCCCGGATCCACGAGTTCCACAAGGAAATGCACAAATACATGGTTTCGCGCGTCTCAGACGGTCGCGAGCTCTTGACAGTGGGCGAAATCGGGTTCGGAGACGAGCGAAACTTCAAGGAGTACACGAGCGCCAAAGAGCGCGAAATCGGGATGCTTTTCAATTTTAAGCACGTCAGCGTCGGCGAGGGCGAGTTCAAGTACAACCTGCACCCTTATTCTTTGAAAGATTTCAAGCTGGCCGTCGCGGAAAGCTTTTTGTTCGTGAACAAGACCGACTGCTGGTCAACGATCTACATCGAAAACCACGACCAGCCCCGCAGCGTGACCCGGTTCGGCGACGACAGCCCCGAATGGCGCACTGTGTCTGCCAAGCTTCTGGCGCTGCTTGAGATCTCGCTCACGGGAACGCTTTTCGTGTACCAGGGCCAGGAACTGGGCCAGATCAACTTCAAGAGCACAGATCCCAAAGATTACGAAGACATCGAGGTGCAGGGCAATTACGAGATGGTCAAGAAAGAGTTTGGCGAAAACTCGCCCCAGATGAAAAAATTCAAGCAGGCCTTGCCCGTGATCTCGCGTGACCACGCCAGAACGCCGTTCGCTTGGACCCGTGACGCTCCCCACGCGGGTTTCACCACGGCGGACACGCCGTGGTTTGGACTAAATTCAACTTTTAAAGACGGGATAAACGCTCAGGACGAATTGAATGACCCAAACTCCGTTGTCCATTTCTGGAAGAAGGCTCTGCAGGTGCGCAAGCAGCACAAGGACATCTTAGTCTACGGGTACGACTTTGAGTTTTCCGACCTGGACCACGACCAGCTTTTCGCCTTCACGAAAAAATCCGACGGCAAGACCCTGTTCGTGGCTTTGAATTTCAGCGGCCACGATTTGAAGTTTAACGTTCCACACTCGGCTTCCCAATACACGCCAATTTTTGGCAACTACGGCTCAATTCCGGAGCCATCCGTTCCTCTCAGACCTTGGGAAGGGAGACTGTACTACGTCGAATAAGCAGGCAGCTCTCGCCTATCTGGTATAGCTACTCAAATAATGATCAAGATACATTACGTAATTATGATATAAGCAGGTATTAATAACGACAATCGAGTTATCTGTCAGCAGGCCACTTTGACACATTTTATATTTGTAGTGTTGTCCACTTTTACGTGAAAATAAGGAAGACCAGCTCATATTTAAGGAAAGCAGTCCTACCACTCCTTGCTTCGCGTAGGACAGCTGGATTTGTGGCGAGCAAAACTGTTTCTCAATCTCTATTTTATTTAAGCAATCTGATGACTTAGTACGATGTTTTCAGCGACTTAAAGTAAATATTGAGGTCTGTCCAGCAAACGAAAACCTGCCTTGTGAGAATATTTCTGTTAGGCGGGTTCCAACTTATCACAATGATCGGTATTAGTTGATTAAGGAATTGAGGTACAATTCTTTAGAGTCAACAAGACTGCAAACCATAAAGAAGCCTAGCTCAGCAGCCTAATTGGTCTGGATAATAGAAGAATATGCTGGCAATTCAGAATATGCTGGCGGGACGAAGCTGTCCAAACCTCCCAAAGACTGATTTCCTGCGTCTCCGATGTCGTTGATCTGTTTGGGTTCATACCTCGGAAGGTATGACGAATGATTCATGTCGGCATCTAGTAGAACCACCGGAACACTCAAAATATATTGTGCTTTAACGGCTTGGCCATTAGGACGCATAGTGACGACCTTGACTCTCGCTCGTACTTCATGCGAGATTTTCAGACTGTGGCATGGATTACCTTGGGCGTCTTTCAAAGGCCCGAGTTCAAAATGGTATGGAAAAAATTTGGAATCAGCTGTTGTGCCGCCAAAACATTGCTTTGCGATAAGATTATCGAACGTCAGGCTGTGGCACATTTGAGTCTGGTCCAGGTCGGTCACTGATGCAAGGATTTTGCCCATTTGCTTTTCATGGTAGCCCTCACCGTTCTCCAGAGGAAAAGAAATGGTTTGCTGCAGAATAATGTCTACCGTCATAATCTTACAGAAATCAAGTCTTTGTCTCAGCAGTTGCAGCGAAAGTTGGAACGGAGTATCAAATTCGATTAGTCGCGAGCCCAACACAAATTCTGACTCTAGCATGCCACTTTCCCAGAAATTATGACTCATGGCGCTCTCGAAGTATGGAATTAGTTTTGGTAACATAGTCTTTCTGACTTGAAACTCGGAGCTCATGAAAATGGTTTCAAATTTGCGTCTGGCTTTCGGTACCGTCACACAAGCCTCGGCCCGGTAAACGTTTGACCCGCAATGCGTGTTTACAGAGGCTAGAAAAGAATTTGCGTCAAGATTAAAGGAGAAAATGAAATCGTACGTGCCCTGTTCAAGAAAGGTCAATCCATTCAAATCGCCCGAATTTTTGTTGTCCTCAACAGCTTTTCTGTCAGACCCGAAATGTATCACGTCCTGGATAGTAGGCCAGTAATGCTTGAAAAGGCCACTCTTTTTGTCTCGTGAGAGCGTCTGGAGCATATTGCCCGTAAACGGGCTCCGGGTGTACATAAACTGCGCCGAATAGCAGCTGAGCCGAACGCATAGCGTCTGGAACAGAAACCCCCTTTTTTGCTTAACAATTACTCGTACCCGTCCCGTTACTGCCGTGTGGGACTCTCGTAGAGCAGCGTTTTGAAAGCTACTGTGCTGTTGCATCAGCGTCTTTTCGTCGAATCGCAGTCCTGGCAGGTAGAAACAGTCGTTGTCAAGTTCAAGCGATATTTGAGCCTGCGCTGAATCGTACATTGTATTGCAAGGATTTTCTTCTCTGTTGAAAGCGTTGTACAGAAATTTTGGCGCCTCTGGTCTTATATGGCGGATAACCCTGCCCGTTTCTTTGAAGTTTTGTAATTTTCGAATCTCGGCCGAACCCTGATTTTGGTGGTAAATGCGGCTACGCCCGCCACCTGCTAATACACATGCACCCACTTTTGGCCCGAGGGCCCTGGCACCATCGCTTTGCGATGGTGCTTCAACTGGAGCGCCCAGTGAGATATCTCCAGTCGCTCGCATCTTGATTTGTCCCCTGTGATCCTTGTACCTATAAATGAGGTGCCTACGGGTTATATTTTCCAGAATCTAGCCATCAGCGGTACACACTGTAACTATCGTGGACAATTTATACACATGTGCATTGCGCTTGCCAACCTTTTGCTCGGCCATTGTCATACTACAAAGAGTCATCAGCGCATTGTGCCAGTTTTGTCAGAACAGTTCCATCGCGTTCTTCCCAAACATTAAGAGGTGGAAAAATTGAGGGCTGAAGATTTCGAATCGCGCACGAAACAACAAGAGCGGGGGATTTGCCAAAAACCTAATTATCGCCAGCTGGATAGTCTAGCGCGTCAGCGCGCTTAGAGATACAGAAAGATGTGAGACATGGTGCGGCGATATAATTAGTCATGGGAGGCTTACAAAGAAGCGGAATTTTCGGGGCCCGCGTCGCTCTCTTGCGCGACGCACATATGTGCAGCAGCCGTTTAAGGGCAGAGTTTCAGTAAGCCGTACGAAGACGGTCACCTGACCACAGCGTCAGATATAATTTTTCCGCCCGCTCGCCAAGCACCGATCGAAATGGAATATTCCAGATCTTTAGCATTTGCAGGTTTCTTGTTAGAGGCTACTTGTTAGTGGCTACTTACTATTTTGGTGTTTGAGTGACTCCCGCGTTGTGCTGCGGGGGCTTGAGTCATTGTCCTGGCGCCGCATCGCAGCACAGAGGCACGAAAGGAAAAAAAAAGAGATCATAAATTGTCACCGCCTGCGTTGACATGCGGGAAGGCGCTCCTGCTACTCGCTGTCCTCGAGGATCGGGTCGAGACCGCCCATGTCTTTGTCCGCAATCCGGTTGAGCTGGCCCGCGTCCAACTGCGCTATGAGCCGCTCGGAGTCGAACGGGTCGACCTCGGTGGACCGGAAGCGGCGCGCGGGCACTTTCTGCGCGAACAGCTCGTCGATCTCGCCAAAGGTCCGGCCCTTGGTCTCGGGCAGATCCAGGTACGCCCACACGAACATCACGACACAGATGGCGCCCCAGAAGAGCCCCGTCTTGGCGCCCCAGTTCCACTCGTCGCTGTTCAGCATGTACGGCGTCCAGATGTAGTTGACGATGCCCATCAAGTTGTAGCAGTTCCGCGCGAGCACCACGGTCTTGGTGCGCATCTGCGAGGACGGGATCTCGGGCACAATGCAGTAGGTCACGGGACCGACGCCTATGTCGTACGCAAACACAAACACCAGCAGCAACGTGCCGATGGCCCAGCTCGCGTTGGACGAAGACGTAAACCCGAGCCCGCCGATCACGAGCAGCAGCACTGCCTGCAGCGCCAGACCGCCCGCGAAAATCGTGTACCGGCCAAACCGCTTGGAAAGCACCCACGACAGCAGCGTACCGACGAGACCCAAGCAGTACTGGATGATTGTGAAGTTAAATGCGTACGAGTCGCTGAGACCTGCTTTTTCGTAGAAATACGTGGAGAACCCCATCATCGCGCTACCACACGCGTTCTGCGTGACCCAAGTGAGACACGCGATCCGCGTGCGCCGTCCGTTGACGCCCTTCAGACAGTCCCAGTAACTGACACCCTCGTTGAGTTTACGCTCTTTTTCCGTAGTGAGCCGCATGCGCTCGAGCATGGCTTTGATCACGTGCGTCTTGGTTTCTCCGTCTACGTTAGAAATAAGCCTTGACAGACTGCGTTCCGCGGCTGTGTATCGTTCTTTACGCACCTGCCACCAGGGAGACTCGGGCGCAAAGTAAATGCCCAGAGCGAGCGGGAGGGGCCAGATCCACTGTAGTGCGAAGGGGAGTCTGTATGCCATGGCGCTGTTGGCCAGGTTCTCCTGTGAGTGTTTTAGCACCCCTGAAGCCATGATCTGGCCCAGAACCCAACAGATGTTGACCCAGGTAGTCAGATAGAACCGCAGCACGAGCGGGCACACTTCGGTCGCGTATGTCACGGTAAGCGTTTGGAAGCAGCCCCAGGGAATGCCGCAGAGCACTTCTCCCGCGAGAAGTGCGCCACAGTTGGGCGCAAAGAAGAGGATGAATATAAACCCAAACACCCCGATCAGCGACGAGATCAGCGTCCACCGGTAGCCGATGCGCTCCGCGGCTATACCGGCAAGCTGCAAGCCGATGACCTCTCCAACGTTGGTGGACATGCTGAGCGCGGTTTGCCACCGCGCAGGCACCTCGTAGACGCCGGAGTTGGGGTTGAAAAACCCGTACCTCTTCGCGAATGCGGGCAGTGCGTACAGGGATTGAAGCAACGCGGTATCGTAGCCCTCCATAATAAGGGCTGTGGAGAGCACCACAGACCAGAGCGCAGCGCGCGGATACTGACGCAGACCCTCCAGCAGGGACATGCTTTTTTCAGCGCCCTCAGACGCTTGCGCGTCTTCGGACGCGCCCAGAAAGCGCGCCACCAGCTCGTCGGTAGCGAGCTTGCCGTGCATTCCTTGGCCGGCGCCCAGCCCCGCAAGCGAGCTGTCGGCCTCTCCGTCGTCATCGTCGGCGTCGGTGGGTACAAACTCCACGTGCTCCGTGTCGCGCTTTTTGCTGTCGGGCGGTTGCGACCAGGACGCAGAGGTCGCGGGAGTCACGTGCAGCGCGTACTGCTCCTTAAGTTCTTTGTTGTCCTTGTCCATTCTGATGATGTGGATGAAGGTTGGAACCGGGTGTCGAATGCGTTTCCACGGAATCACAGGCTCGCTTTAATACGCGGTGGAAACAAACCGGGAAATGTACCGGCGAAGGGCGAAGGGCGCTGGCGCCCTTCGCCCGGGTTCTGTTGGGCGCATTGTTTGGTATTGCCTTGCCTGCCGCTGGTTGCCGTTTGCGCGGCATGCAAAAATGCGGGGAAGCGGAAATAAGGGGTTTTGGGTCAGCGCACCCATGCACCGCGGCGGCACGAGAAAGCCAGCGGATAATCCGGGCGGGAGGCTCGAGGGTGGAAAATAGCTGCAGCAATAACCGCCGACGCCGGGCGGGGGGCAGCCGCGGGGACAAAGGGCGGATTGGCGGTCGGAGAGTCAGGGGTCGGAAATTTTTCCGGGGATTTTCCGGGGGTTTTCTCGGAGCTTTTCTCGGAGCTTTTCTCGGGAATTTTCTCGGGGAAATTACCCGAACCAGCGTAGGGTCCACGTTGTCTTTTCTGGGCATGAGGATGCCGGTCTTCGACTGAGGCGCTGAGAGCGCTGAGATTCGGATCTTCGGAGCGTCGGAGCGTCGGAGCGAGTCGCCGACCATGGAGCACGCTGAGACTGTGACAGCGCGGGTGTTCCCGGTTCCGGGAACACAATGGGGTCCGGCGGGTGTAGGTCAGGGTTGAGGTTGAGACTGTCGTTGTTATTGTTGAGGCGGAAATATACAGGTGCCTGTTATACGAGAACCGGCTGATCGGACATGCGGGGTAGTATTTTTGGCAGAAGCAGCTCACCAGGTGTGTAGCAGATTGGCGTATAAGAATTGGTCCGCCGCCGTTGCAATAGCGCAAGTTCGGAGTCTCGAGAGAGACCAGTCAGCGGATCTTTTACTCTCTTTTTCCCGACATGACAATCTCGAGCGAGATCCAGGCGCACCCCGAAACTCAGCACAAGTGGTGGAAAGAGGCCACTGTGTACCAGATCTACCCTGCAAGCTTCAAGGACTCCAACGGCGATGGATGGGGCGATTTGGCGGGCATCCGGTCCAAGCTGGGCTACATCAAAGACCTCGGTGTCGACGTGATTTGGATCTGCCCCTTCTACGACTCTCCGCAACAGGACATGGGCTACGACATCTCGAACTACGAAAAAGTTTGGCCCCGTTACGGCACCAATGCCGAGTGTTTCCAGCTCATTGACGATGCCCACAAGATGGGAATCAAGGTCGTGGTTGATCTCGTGATCAACCACTGCTCGTCCGAGCACGAGTGGTTCAAAGAGAGCCGTTCGTCCAAGACGAGCCCCAAGCGGGACTGGTTCATCTGGCGTCCACCCAGAGGGTACGACGCCGCGGGCAAGCCGATCCCTCCGAACAACTGGCGCTCGATCTTTGGTGGTTCCGCGTGGGAATTCGACGAGCTTACGCAAGAATTTTACCTGCGTCTCTTCGCTTCGCGCCAACCAGACTTCAACTGGGAACTCAAAGAAGTGCGTGACGCCATTTACGACACTGCTGTCGGCTTTTGGCTCGACCACGGCGTTGACGGTTTCAGAATCGACACTGCCGGACTGTATTCCAAGATTCCTGGGCTTCCAGACACTCCCGTGCTCGAGCCCGGCGAACCTTACCAATTTCCCGGAGATGTCACTCACAACGGGCCGCGCATCCATGAGTTCCACCAGGAGATGCATCGTTACATGCAGGCGCGGATCCCCGCGGGCACCGAGCTGCTTACCGTGGGCGAAGTCGGTGAGGGCGATTATGAGACTCGGCGCAAGTACACCAGCGCAAAGCGCGGCGAGATCTCGGAACTGTTTCAATTCACGCACACGAGTTGCGGCGTCTCGCCTTCCAACCATTACCACATTGTTCCCTTCACACTCAAAGACTTCAAACTCGGAATCGCTGACAGTTTCCAGTTCATCAACGGCACCGACTGCTGGTCAACCATATATTTGGAAAACCACGACCAGCCTCGTAGCGTGACCCGGTTCGGATCCGATTCTGCGCAGTACCGCACCGTCTCTGCCAAATTGCTTGCCCTTATGGAAATCTCGCTCACCGGGACCTTGTACATTTATCAGGGCCAGGAACTGGGCCAACCCAACTTCCGCGACTGGCCCATCGAGTATTACGAAGATGTGGACGCACTCAACCACTACCAAGAAGTTATAGACCTGCACGGCGCCAATTCCGTGCAAATGCAAAAACTGCTTGCCGGTTTGGCGCTGTTGTCACGTGACCACTCACGTACTCCCTTCCCTTGGACCCGTGAGGAGCCTCACGCTGGGTTCACCACCAAAGAGGCCAAACCGTGGCTGCGTTTGAACGACTCATTTCGGGAAGGCATCAACGCCGAGGACGAGCTCGCAGACCCAGACTCAGTTTTACATTTTTGGCGAACCGCGCTTCAATGGCGTAAAGAGCACAAGGACATCCTTGTCTACGGCTACGACTTCGCATTTCACGACCTTGACCATGAGAAGCTGATGTGCTTCACCAAAAAATCGAAGGACAAAGTCATGTACGGGGTTTTGAACTTCAGTGATGATAATGTCGAGTACTCAGTGCCCTCGGACTCTGCTAAATACCATCTTTTCGCCTCCAACTACGCCGATGCAATAGCAGGGCCCACCGAGGGTCCGACTGAAGGCCGTACTTTAAGGCCTTGGGAAGGTAGACTTTTCTTCATTCAAAGCTGAACTTTCTGTCTACGCTTTGCTCTTTGTATAATGTTTATATGACCACGATATACTACGACTAAACTGAGATGACTTGATTTTCCGAAGGTTTGACGATATGGGTGGCATCATTAAAGACTACGTTTCGATTATGCTGGTATTTTTGGCACACTACGCATGGGTGTTCTGATGCCACTTCGGCAGGTTCTTCGGTGCTATCGAACTGCTTGTGGTCCGGCTACCCTGTTTTTTTTCCTTTTCCACGCTAGTGCCAATAAAGGCACCATGTGGCCATAGAAAATCTGGGGAAGGGAACAAGAAAACACGAAATTTAGTAGCTAACGGACGCTCAGTTGACTTGGAAGGTATATATTAATTAGAAAATCAATGTGCTTGAAATAATGAAAAGGACCTTCATTCTTGACGGTTCAAGGTGTTGATCCTTAAAATACGAAAGTAGGTTATTTGGCTTGAGTCATCCATCTCACATCGGACGAATTTGCTTCTTTTTCTTTCTAGAAAGTATTCTTGGTGTGACTCGACTGAAAAATTTCGACAAAATCTTAGCTGTCATTTCGACCGGCTATTTTAGCGAGTTGCTTTAACAGGTTATATAACAAACATAGGACGATAGTTTTCGAGTTTCGCCAACCTGAAATTGTTGATCCTTGACCCAGATTTCGTGAATTTCGAATTTAATTAATTCAGCTATCAGTTTTCGATAGATCAAATTAGAATCAGCAATATGACTTCTGCACCAATGTTCAGACCAGAAGCCGACGGAGACCAAGCCGAAGATGTCAGAATTCTGGGCTATGATCCACTAGTTTCTCCTGCGCTTTTGCAGTCGCAGATTCCAGCTACCGAGGTGTGTCTCAACACTGTCAAGAGAGGTAGAAGAGAGGCCTGCAATATCATTGACGGTACCGACGACAGAGTATTGGTTGTGGTCGGCCCTTGTTCTATCCACGACCTGGACCAGGCACAAGAGTACGCTACTCGTCTTAAGAAACTGTCAGACGAACTTTCGTCTGACTTGTGCATCATCATGAGAGCTTACTTGGAAAAGCCCAGAACCACCGTCGGATGGAAGGGTCTTATCAACGACCCTGACGTCGATAACACCTTCAACATCAACAAAGGCATCCAGGCCGCAAGACAGCTGTTCGTCAACTTGACCAGCGCTGGTGTGCCCATCGGCTCTGAAATGCTCGACACCATCTCTCCGCAGTACCTGGCGGATCTTCTGTCGTTCGGCGCGATTGGTGCCAGAACCACGGAATCCCAACTGCACCGTGAACTTGCATCCGGTTTGTCCTTCCCAATCGGCTTCAAGAACGGTACGGACGGTACTCTGGGCGTCGCTGTCGACGCCGTTTCCGCCGCGGCCCACTCTCATCGGTTCATGGGCGTTACCAAGCACGGTGTCGCTGCCATCACCACCACCAAGGGTAACGAACACTGTTTCGTGATTTTAAGAGGTGGTAAGAAGGGTACCAATTACGACGCCAAGTCTGTCGCCGAAGCCAAGGCCCAACTTCCTGGTAAGTGCGGTCTCATGGTCGACTGCTCCCACGGTAACTCTAACAAGGACTACAGAAACCAACCGAAGGTGAACGATGCCGTTTGCGAGCAAATCGCTGCTGGCGAGGACAAAATTATTGGTGTCATGATTGAGTCCCATATTAATGAGGGTAAACAGAACATCCCACCTGAGGGTAAGGCCGGTTTGAAATACGGTGTCTCCATCACTGACGGCTGTATAGGATGGGAAACTACCGAACAGGTGCTGCGCAAATTGGCTGGTGCTGTCAAACAGAGAAGAGCTATCAGAAAGCACTAATTTTTGGGCTGCGGAAAGAATTCTCGTCATGTTTTTGTTTTTTTATGTTCAGAGGTTTAAATTGACTTGGTAATAATGGAATCCAACCAAGGCAATACAAAAGTTTTAACGATGCTCTTTAAAGCACAAGAAAATATTATTATCGCTGACACAATCTAAAACAAGCGTTGCTGTCGCGGCTTAGTATATTTAAGTCTCAATTTCTTTAATGTTGTATAAACCCCTGAGACATCGGGTGATGTTGCATGTGAAGCTGAAGCTATGTGATCGAAGCATTTATAAAGTCTGGGGGGTTAGAACTTGTAACGATGATTATGTCGTTTTGTACGAATAGCCGCTGAGTTTTGATTTAGGGATTTAAAAGGGGACAGGCTTTGGACAAACGTCCATAGCTTTTTCACTCAATTTCAGTTTAAAGGGACATGGCAAATCTGCTATTCCATATGTCGGGTTAAAGGCTGAGGTTTGTGGAGTTTGAGACGTAGTCCTCAGGGCTGATTGGCATACGTAGTTGACGAAATTGTTTGCAATTTTTGAGACTTCATGACAAGGCAAGTCAATCAAACGGCAGGATTTCATACTCCTGAATCGTGCACCTCGTTTGAATTCACTCCTTTCCAGTCGTTCTCGTCTGGATATCTTTTTTCGAGCACAAAAGTCAAGGATTACCAGTTGGTGTTAAATTTAGCAAGCACCTTTTCAATTTCTGATCAGTCCCGAAATCGAGCATTCAATAAATGCGGTACCTTTGCTGGTTTCTTAGGGAATGTAGCCCTGAATGCAAGGTGTGTTTTATGGAGAATTAGAAGCTACAGATTCCGAAATTTTCTGTTCAATATCAGAGCTGGATCAGGGTCGGGTAGTGGCCTTTTATATTACCAAGTGAAAGCTCATTGAGGCGTTAACACGGAAAATAATTGCTAGAGTCTCGAGAATTATTCACTGCGAACTTCGTTAAAAATGCTCCTGTGTTTGAAAGAGTCACACTTCAATTTCGTCAAGACGGGCGACAATGAAGCTACCTATAAAGCGACTGAGGTTTGACCGTCAGCGGTATCTGGAATTGCTCTTTGTTCACTAATTTAATCACTATACTTAAATCATGAGTTTAGTGCACGTTATCGACGTTGAAAGTGGAAATTTGCAGTCTTTGACGAATGCATTGGAATATCTGGGGTATGAGGTGCGTCTAATCAAAGTTGCGAGCGACCCTGCATTGAGTCAGGCATCTAAATTGATTTTACCGGGAGTTGGTAACTTTGGCCATTTTGTGGACAACCTTGTCTCGCGTGGGTTTGAAAAGCCTTTACGTGATTATGTGGCCTCCAAAAAGCCTCTGATGGGTATCTGCGTCGGTCTACAAGCTTTGTTTACAGGTTCGGCGGAGTCTCCATCTAGTAAGGGTCTTGGCTTTATTAACCATGAGCTCACAAAATTCAGTGATGAAGAAAAGCCTGTGCCAGAGATCGGCTGGAACACATGCGAATCAGAGGCGCCTCTATTTGGACTTGACCCTTTAAAAAGATACTATTTCGTTCATTCATATGCGGCTATTCTAAATGAAGACGTGAAGTCTAGATTGGCCCTGGACGGTTGGAAGCTCGCAGTCGCAAAGTATGGATCCGAGGAGTTTGTTGCCGCGATGAGTAAAGATAATGTGTTCGCAACGCAATTCCATCCGGAAAAGTCAGGAATGGCCGGTCTTGACATCATTGACAATTTTTTGAAAGACAAGCATCCGGTTATCAACCACTCAGCGGAAGAGAGCTCCTTACTCAGAAACGACTACTCCAATTACGGGTTGACTAGAAGAATAATCGCCTGTCTAGATGTTCGCACAAATGATCAAGGCGACCTTGTTGTCACCAAGGGGGATCAATACGACGTTCGGGAAAAGTCAGAGAAGGGAAATGTCAGAAATCTTGGTAAACCTGTTGAATTGGCAGAAAAGTACTACAAGCAAGGTGCCGATGAGGTCACATTTCTGAACATCACCAGCTTCAGAGACTGCCCACTCAGAGATGCTCCTATGGTTCAAGTTTTGAAGCTGGCGGCGAAGACAGTCTTTGTTCCACTTACCGTTGGTGGAGGTATAAAAGATGTCGTTGATGTTGATGGCACATTTGTGCCAGCTCTGCAAGTTGCTTCTCTTTATTTCAGATCGGGGGCGGACAAAGTTTCTATCGGATCGGATGCAGTATACGCAGCGGAAAAATTTTATGGTCTTGGTGGACGAGGAGATGGCAGCTCTCCGATCGAAACTATTTCCAAGGCTTACGGTGCTCAAGCAGTTGTGATTTCCGTAGATCCAAAGCGAGTTTACGTCGATGGGCCAGACGCAACGAAGCACAAAACATTTGAAACTAAGTTCCCAAGTAAAGATGGCCAGAAATGGTGTTGGTACCAGTGTACCGTCAGGGGAGGGAGAGAATCTCGGGATATAGGTGTTTGGGAGCTCACAAAAGCCTGCGAAGCGCTAGGTGCAGGTGAAGTTTTACTGAACTGCATTGACAAGGATGGGTCCAACTCAGGCTACGACCTTGAACTCATTAATCACGTTAAAAGTGCGGTCAGAATTCCAGTCATAGCCTCGAGTGGCGCCGGAAACCCTAGACATTTCGAGGAAGCTTTCGAACAAACTGGGGCTGACGCTTGCTTGGGGGCTGGAATGTTCCACAGAAGTGAGTACACAGTAAAAGATGTAAAGGACTACCTTTTGAGTAAGGGTTTGAAAGTTAGGAAGGACGACTTGTGACCCCAGTGGAATATCGGAAAAGACCAACTGCTGAGTTACAGATGTTAGCGTTTAAAATTGAAAATATAAATGTTTATAGAGGTCTGATACCCACACAGGCTCATTTAATTCATTAAAGTGAAGAAATCCTTTTATAAACCCGCTTTTTTGGACGCACCACTCGAGCCTTACGATATTCGATATAGTTACACAGAGGAAAAACGACTTATTCCGCATGCTTGATTAAAGCTTGTGCAATTGAACAAACGGATTTAGTCATCATACTTATCAGCTCTTTTTTCTGCCTCGTCATCGCTCAATTTCACGCCACCCGAGACAGAGAATTGACCGCCACCACCGACAAACATAATATTGTGATCTTGAGTAGCAGTGTTTTTTATTCTTGTAGGAGTCTCCACATCTTCACCGGAAGGTCCCAAACCAACAGCATAGGTTTCACCAAATCCCCATGAAAAGACGATTCCGTCTTCAGATATAGCTAAAGAGTGGTGAGATCCTGCTGCAATACCCTTAAACAGAGGAACGTCCCGCAGCTGCGTTGGCAAAGGAACTGCTCTTGCCTTATCATGAGCGTCAATGTAGGTATAATCAGGAAGTTTATCTTTAGCAATGCCGATTTCGAACATATCGAGACGACCGAAAGTGAAGAGCCTTCCATCTTCTGAAAGAACAAGGGAGTGGTGTTCACCTGCGGCAACCATCTTCACCTTCACATCCTGTGGAAGTACCACTTCAGTAGGAATTGTCACTAAGGCGCCATCTTCGACCTCAGACGTCACACCGCACTGTCCGAACTGGTTAAGTCCCCAAGCGTAGAGTTTGCCTTCTCTTGTCAAGGCGAAAGAGTGGTTTTCACCAGAAGCAATGTACTTGACATTGTCTAGCCCAAACCCGCGAGGATCAAGCGTTCTAAGACGAGAACGCTCAAGAATTTTTCTGCCCAGTTGGCCCTGCTGGCCATTGCCCCAAGTGTAAACAACGCCGAATTCATCGAGAAAAAGGATGTGATCCTTCCCTGGCGCAAGTTGGACAATTTTGGAATTAGAAAAGGGAGGAACTTTCCAAGGCTCTTTTTGAACCTGTATAGAGTCCTGGTAAAAACCGAGAATACCTTCATTGCATCTGAAGGTACCCCATGCATAAACCTCACCACTGTCAAGCAGAGCACAGCTCAAATTGTCCGTTGCAGCGAGCTGAATTACCTTGCTTTCATCGAGAGGTAAAGCGTCTGGCTGAAGCTTTGTGGGAGTGCTTTCCAAATCGTTGAGATCGCCATCTTCGTCATCGCTGCTGTTATCAGCGTCCATGTCCTTTAGTTGTTCATTGGCACCGGAGGTATCTCTTCCAAGAGCTCCAGAATCATTAGTACCCCAAGACCACACCGCATTTTTAGAATCAAGAGCCAAAACGTGCATGCCTCCTACAGCAAATGATACTATCTTGGCGTCTTCGCGGCCCAAATACGGGTTCAAACGAGGTCTTTTCACTTCCTTGTTTTTAGCCAAGGGCCCCAGACCAAGTTCGCACATGGATCCGGTCCCCCAGCAAAAGATGTCCATTGGTACCACCGACACATACATGTGCTTGAAATCATCCTGTGTGTTGATTTTACCATAATGCTTATTCAACGTAGAAACGAGATGTTTCCGCTGTTTTTTCGTCGGAGTAATCGCTGGACTGGCAGAACGCTTCGTCATTGTCATTTTTAATACCTGTCAGTGGTCCTGAATCGTTCCTGTGAGCTTGTTGATCTCGTGTGATCTAGTGGTATTCGAGTAGTTTTCCTATGTTATTTTTCAGTTTCCAGAGCTCATCGCTGACTGAAGAACTTAAAAGTCACATGACTTTATCATACAAGACGAATTGTGTTCAAGATCCCTTCCCAAGTGAACCAAATATCGTCAAAATATGTCGAAATCCGACATTATTATCCTGTTTTCTGTGGGAGCACTTTCACGAGACCGCCCGTTTGTGTTTTTTAAATTTTGCTCTTTTTTGTCGTGTTTCACCAGGTGAAATTTCAAGCCCTTTGAATTTTCATTCTTTGATTTAGAACTTTAAGATGACATTTAAACCTAGCTCCCAAACAATCTCTCTCAAAGTTTCCTACCACCACCATCCATACGCCATGATGGGATCTTACACTCGTTTCATTATTTTTATACTGTCAATAAGCCTTGCCGGAGCTAGTTCTTTCGCCAGAGAAGCAGTTAGTGGCAAATTATCGCTGGCGACCTCTCCGTGGGTTTCTAAAGCGTCAGATTTCGACAAATGTGAGAATACCATACTGAAGGAGCTAAACGGGATAGTCGACAGTGCAGAGAGATTGCTGTACAATATGTTCCAAGCGGAGGCGACATACGACTCTGCTCGCGAAGTTTATGGTACCTGTCGTCAAATAGAACAACAAGGTTTCGCCATTCAGAAACTTTTTTTGGATTTTCAAGAAGAAGCCAGTAAAGCAGGCAGCGAAGACTTGAATGCTGCAGTGGCACAGATCGCACGGTTTGTCAGTAAGACGCTGGAAACCGAGAGTCGAAATATCGTGCCTGCAGGTTTGCAAATTTCAGGAAACGAAGTGGCATTACTTCGCGCCACACTTGTTAAAAACCTGATTCGAATTCAAAAAGCTTTAAGACAGACAGAAATTCAGTTGCAGGCAGCACTGAATTTTCATAAGCTTAAGGACCAAAAAATCGATAATGTTACAATGGAGACAATACCAGACGCTACGGCGCTCGATGAGGACGCTGTTGGCGTCCTCATTGGGAATATTATCGCAGACAAGATTCACGAACTGGTCGTCGGAGGCGATCTACACACTGCAATCACGCAAATTGCGAACAGTTTCTGCGATTTGGGAGTACTTTTGACCGGGTATGCGACCGGGCTAGCCCTCTGCAATTTAGCTGGAGTGCCTGGCGCTGTTTTCTGCGGTATCTCCATCGTAGTCTGCAGTGGAGGTACCGTGGTGTTTTTCTGCCGTCTTTACAACAATCTGAATAAATTATTCAAGTCTTTAGCATGAAGACGGTTTTAACAAGAAGAATCTAAAAGGCGGGCGGGAGAGAGACATATAGGAAGGTGCGGATGAGAGAAAGATATATTAGCTATCAATCTGCTAATGCTTTGAATTTTGGTGATCTGAGTGGTGTGCGTTTTTCTTTTTCCGGCGCGCTAACGAAAAATTTTAGTAAAAATATGTAAAGATGAGATGCGATGAGCTAGAAAACTGAGTTTTGTAGAGCAGCTAATAGGTTAACAGGGTCGTTAATATTGTATTCCAATGGGCAGAGCGACTAGTGGAAGGGCGAGAAAACAAAGACATGATCCCCTTTTGAAGGACTTGGACTCTATTGAAGGAAAATTGAAGAAGAAGTCTTCGCAGAAGAATGGAGACAGGGACGACGATGAGGACGAAGAATATGTCGATGCATCGTCTTCGAGAAAAATTCTGAGCCTTGCCAAGCAGCAACAGCAGGAAATTGAGGAGGAAGAAGGTCAGGATGGTGAAAATGACCGTGAAAATATGACCAGATTTCGGTTTTCGCAGACTTCGGCTGATGACGACGACGACGACGACGAAGACGAAGAGCAAGAGAGGGATAACATATCTGATTTCGCCCCCGAAGAAGGCGACGAAGAATTTGAGGAGGAGGTGATAGAGATCGACGAAGGAGATGCCGCCATGTTTGAAGATTACTTCAAGAAATCCACTGACTTCAACTCGGACTTTCAGAGCTACAATTTGGCCGATAAAATCATGGCTTCGATTCGCGAAAAAGAGATGAAATTGAACACTGATAGTGGAGCCTCGATCTCCAACTCTTCTGTACGTCCAGAACAAGGTGTTGCGTTGCCTCCGAAAGTAATCCAAGCGTACACGACCGTTGGCACAATTTTGAAAACTTGGACGCACGGGAAGCTTCCAAAACTTTTTAAAGTGATTCCCTCGCTCAGAAATTGGCAAGACGTCCTTTACGTGACAAATCCTGACGAATGGTCACCACATGTCGTATATGAAGGAACAAAGCTTTTCGTGTCCAACTTGTCTGCGAAAGAAGCGCAAAAATTCGTTAGTGCGGTGCTGCTAGAGAGATTTCGCGAAAACATCGAGACAAGCGAAGACCACTCGTTGAATTACCATTTATATCGGGCCGTTAAAAAGTCCTTATACAAGCCTAGCGCTTTTTTCAAGGGATTTCTTTTCCCTCTCGTTGAGGGAGGTTGCAACGTGCGAGAAGCTACCATTGCAGGAAGTGTTTTGGCCAAGATCTCTGTTCCAGCATTGCACTCTTCTGCGGCTCTAAGTTACCTTTTAAGACTACCATTCTCGCCTGCCACAACAGTTTTCATTAAGATTCTTCTAGAGAAGAAATATGCTTTGCCTTATCAGACAGTGGACGAATGTGTTTATTACTTCATGAGATTCAGAATACTGTCCGACGGTAGCAACGGAGACGACGGCACTAGAGTGCTACCGGTGGTATGGCATAAAGCTTTCTTGTGTTTCGCTCAACGCTATAAGAACGATATAACGCAAGATCAAAGGGACTTTTTGTTAGAAACGGTTCGACAGCGCGGCCACAAGGCAATTGGACCTGAAATAAGACGTGAATTACTTGCTGGGCAAAGTAGAGAATTTGTCAGCCCCGAGGTTCACGAGGATGGGCTCATGATCGACGTGCAGTAATGCGAATGAGAAGCCTTTTAACTTCGTGAAAGGCGGTCGCTGCTGGAAAACAGTCGCCGTTTTTCCACTACGAATGGTAAATGTACTTAAGACCAGTCACCATATAACGTTGTGAATTTCTAAGGTGTGATAATGATATCGTTGACCGAAGCTATTTGTTTCAGGCTCAGCCAACAAGCAGCATCACAACAATAAATTTTTAATTCTTGTTTCTGGCGCAAATAATACAGGACATGTATACAAGTTACCAATTCTCATAGAACACATTGTATAAATAAGTTGATATCTCAAGAGTAATCGATAGAAGTAATAAGCTGTTGTAAAATTGTCATGTTAAGGATTTGTCGCATAATCAAGAAATTTTCCAAATCTCGTTGCAATCCGAACCCGATGTTTGCTGAAGAGCAATAAACAGATGCACATCTTTACATTGATTAACTATATCTGCATTACGAGGAGCCTTGGATTTTGCTCGAAAAATGCCAGTTGGCTCAGATTGATTAAGCCTACTTTTCATTGTGAATTAAATAGCTAATGAGCAAGGTGTTAAGTGATAGTGGTTTCGCTGATAAGAATTGATTAACTTATATATGTTCACCGTGCTTGGAGACTAACAAACTCAAGCCATTTAAAGACATACTTTAACACTACAAGCGGGACAAATCGTACTTAGTCTCAATGACAAGCATCTAGAACCGTTTTGGATGTTGAAGTATGGTTGGTCTTAATACGCATCATGCTACCGGGACAGAACTTTCCGTTGATGGACAGCAATATATAAGCGATACAGATAATTTTGAGATAGAAGATGTGGGCGAAGTCGAAGCAGATGATTTGGAATTGGATTTGCGGGATCCCGAAACGTTTCCCTTAATTTTGACATCCCTTTGGATGAATACCGCGTTGTGCGCATTGGATGGTACGATTGTCTCGACGACGATGAATGAGATAGCGTCGCGATATCAAAAGGCTTCGCTGGTGACTTGGGTGGCGACTGCTTACATGCTCAGTACATGCTCGGTTCAGCCGTTGTACGGTAAGATAAGTGATATTGTGGGTCGCAGGAAATGTCTTTTGTTTGCGGAAATTGTATTTACAGTTGGAATTGCACTTTGCGGGCTATCAAGCTCGCTTGAGGGGCTTATCGTAGCGAGAGCCATTAGTGGGATTGGTGGTTCGGGTCTGGGAGCGATGTGTAACATCATTCTGTCAGATATGGCGCCGTTATCGGAAAGGTCGGTTTACATGGGATGGGGATCCGTGATTTGGGGGTGTGCACAGAGTATAGGAGGTCCATTAGGTGGTGCATTGCTTACATGGTTTGGTATTCGCGGCCTCTTCGTTGTACAATTACCGTTTTGTCTGTGGAGTATCTATTTAACCACTAAGCACATTTTTGATTCACCGGGCGTCGCAAAAGGTTCCTGGCGTGATATTGATTTCAAAGGCAGTATTTTCCTCATGGGAGCTATCGCTTCCTTCATATTTTCTTGTACAGTTCGCGGGCCAGCAAACAACACATCGCTGTTGTTCAATCAAGCCTTCACAATCGCGCTGACAATAGCGTTCTCAGCGGGTTTCATTTATGTCGAGAAAAACAACACTAAGCAAAGCATACTGCCCATGTCTGTTTTGAAGGGATCGCTGGGTCTGGTTGGTTTCATATTCGGACTCTCGTCGATGCTAGGTTACGTCGGGTTATACATTGTGCCCTTGTATCTGCAACTTGTGTGGGGTTCCAGTATCACGAAATCTGGAGGTTACGTGGTTTACGCTGTAATATCGACTTCGGCAGGATCCTTTGTGTGTGGCTGGTTCTTGAGAAAGTTCACCGATGCGAGCCGACAAAGCACATTAAACAACGCCGGATTAATGCTAGTGTTTACGACTCTAATTGGTGTTTTAGGTTGTTCTTTAATGCTTAAGTTTCTTATACAGATCGAGCCTGGCATCGGGGAAAACCAAGGCATTTCTGCATCGCAGAGATTTTGGTTCATTACTGGTTTCATTATCATGGGGTTGACTCAAGGTTGCCAAAGTGTTTCTGTCATGCTATACAACGTAGCAAAGGTGGGCAAAAAAGGTCAAGCAGCTTCAACCAGCGTGACCTTCCTGTCGAGATCACTTGGAAATGTATTAGGAGTCTCTTTGGCGTTAGGAATATTCACTTCGTCATTGAAGCGCGAATTAAATGAATTTTTAGCCGGTGACAACCCAGAACTATATTTCAAATTGATCGAGAATAGTGCGTCGGTCAGAACTTTTTTAATTCCCACACAGCAGATGTTGCAAATCCTCCTGATATTTAAGGACGCGCTGGTCAAAGCCTTCTTGCCATGCATCCTTTGCAATATATTAAGTGTCATCACTGCATGGTCCCTCTACAGCGTTGTAGTGCGTTCGAGACGCCAGAAACGCTGATAGTGAAGTACAGCACAGAAAACTCACATTTTAGGAAATATTTTGACAATCATATAGGTTAACAGTAGACCCACAATCATGAATAAGATACATCCCAGGTAAAAAAGAAGACCGAATTTGGAGTTGTGATACTTCTTGAGCTTTCCACCCAATGTAGACAAACTCTTTGAAGTCGTCTGTAGACCAATTTCTGTCGCCTTCAACACCGTGGTATCTTCTTGAAGAGCGGTTTGAAAAGCCGCGGCGCCTTGTCGCAGACTCGAAACGAGCTGCGTCATGTCTCCAATCAGCTCTTCTTGCATACTGTTTTGCACCTGCATGGCTTTTTCCACGGTTTCTTCAGAGCCATCTTGAGCCACGCTGAGATTCTTGTTCTTCCCGAGAAGTCGACTCCGCAGTTCCGCCAGCGAAGATTCATCGCCAGAACCATTTTTTGCAATCAGTTCTAGTTCTTCTTCTTCCTCCTTATTAACTGTATCATCCACTGCATCAAAATCTACACTGTATTTCTTCTTCCTCTGTTGTGACGATATATCGTGCTGTCTCTTCAGTTCTTGCAGGGTCGCACTATTCTTTGAAAAAGCATTATATTCGACATTAGCCAGTTGCTTCTGCCAGTCAACTGGGAGACTGTTGTTCTTCTGACCGGACGTTTGCTGCTCGATGGCCTTTTGCCTTACTATATTTAAATCGCTAAGTGCTTTGTTGGTGATCAAAAACTCAACAAACGCATCTGTTTGACCTAGACTCTGTTCAAGGTCTTGTTGCAACAGCGTACCGATTCGCTCACAGTCGCTCCCATTAAATGCCTCTGTCATTATGAGAATGTTTCGATTCAGAGCGTTGTATTGGGTTTTTCATTTATAGCACACTCTTTGCATAATTAACTCTAGATGAGATCATCATCAAATCAAGGACATATAAAGACAACAAATAATAGATCCTGTAGATGTCCATCGAAGGGGCTTTGAGGGAAGATGGTTCTGGGACAGCTTTTATTCAACATGTATAAATAATGCCGTTGATTTGACGGAGAAACGGCTGATGTGCGCCACATTAGGACATGCGATGATCTTGGCCTGAATACAGTGAATGTATTCAATAAGACAGGATAAGCAAGCGATTTGGAATCTAGGAAGGTGAAATATTAACTGGGCCTTGACGAGATAGATGAGTTTATCGGGGTTTTGATAATCGTTCGAATGGAAGCGATCCTATGACATTTCAGCAGCACTGGAACTATTAGCTGGTGACAAGATAGAGTTGTTTTGAAGCGGATAGCTGTCTTAGCGTAAAGAGACAAATTGGCCCTTCAACTGACTCGACCGACGTTTTTGGCGCTGCGTAGCTGCATTCGTTGTGTAACAAGCCGTGCATACGAATGGCTGCATAGGTGAGATATAAATCCGCTACAGAACTGACCTTCAACACTGAACTAACTGATCTGCAAGAACCAAAAAAATGAGCTATCAAGCCATTGGAGAAGACGGACAGCCTTCGAGTGCTTCTAAATTGACAGCAAGGAGAAGAAAACTCGTTGTTCCCATTTTTGCCTTGTTAGGGTTGGTAGGATTACTGTCTGGTCTACGTCTAGTGAGTACTAAAAAATATGAAAGTTGCTACAAATGCGAAACCTATGAGGCGATAGCACCCGCTTTCGACAAATCGTTGAACCAAATCCTCTACAATGCTCACTACAAGGACGAACTCATTGAAAAACTTTCTGGAGCCATAAGAATACCTACAGAAATATACGATTGGACACCTCAACCATCCCAAGATTTGAAGGCATGGAAACAGTTCTTCAAATTCCATCAGTATCTCAATTCCACTTTCCCAACCCTTCATGATGTCGTTAGACTAGAGAAAATTGATCGTGTGGGACTGCTTTACACCTGGGAAGGGTCCAACCCGGACTTGAAGCCGTTATTGCTAATGGCGCATCAAGACGTTGTTCCTGTAGAGCCCGAGACGGTCAATAAATGGGCTCATCCTCCCTTTGGTGGCTATTATGACAGAGAGTCAGATATGATCTATGGCAGGGGTTCCGCTGACATTAAAATCTTGGTTATATCGCATTTAGAGGCCGTGGAGAAACTCATTAAGGATGGATTTAAGCCAAAACGTACAATTCTCATCTCTTTTGGATGCGATGAAGAGGCTAGTGGTAGCTGTGCAGGAAAAATTGCAGAACACATCGAGGCAAGGTACGGTGCAGACAGTCTGTATGCAATTTTGGATGAAGGCGGAGGTGTTACTCAATTGCAAGAAAACGTTTTCTTGGGTGTTCCTGTCACTTCCGAGAAAGGATATCTTGACGCTGAAATAACTCTAAACACACCCGGAGGCCACTCTTCGGTTCCACCGGACCACACTTCTATTGGCGTGATAAGCGATCTTATCGTCTCCTTGGAAAGCGATATCGATCAGATCAAGATCGACCCAGGAAATCCTGCACTTTTTGGGCTAAGCTGCTATTTAGGCAAAGCCGACAAAGGAGACAAGAACTTGAAACGTCTGCTTGACAGTGGACGCTTGGTCGAATTTGGGAAAGAGATTGACAAGAATACTGAATTCAAGTATCTTTTTAAGAGTTCCCAGGCTATTGATATGATAGAGGGTGGAATTAAGGCCAATGCGCTACCGGAAACCGTCACCGCTTTGGTAAACAACCGAATTAGTCTGACATCTTCCGTGAATAATACAGTAGAGCGCATTTTGAATCATATGAAGTCGAAGGCGCGGAGATTTGACGTGGGTATTAAGATAGTAGAGGGTAGAGACGCTTTAGAAGATCATGCTAAAGTGGTTATACCGCCCACTGACCATGGTCATTTTTTGCTCAGATTAATCGATGCTCTGGAACCTGCGCCAGTTTCTCCAACCGACGAAGTGGACGTTTGGAGAATTATGGCCGGCACCACCACCAACACATACCAACAATCTCTCTTTGGTGGTGCTGATAACACCGTTTTTGTATCCCCCTTCTTGGGAACTGGAAACACGGATACGAAATCGTTTTGGAATTTAACAAGAAACATTTACAGGTATTCCGGAGGTTTGATATCAGAAGGTGCCAACGAGCATACCGTTGACGAAAAGAATAGTGGCAAGGCCTTAGTTTCTTCGGTGGCTTTTATGTATCAGTTCATTCCTAACACCGATCAATATTCTACGGAAAAATAAGAGCTCAAAAGATTTGCGCCCACCTACTATCAAACTACGAACTGTAGGTTTCCAGTCGTTGTTAGCGAAAAGGGCATAAGGAATGTTCCTATTCTAGGCTACTTGAGCTTACTTCGTCATGCGTGGAAGGCCAAAAATCGCGGCCTTTGCGAGAAAGATTCATTAACAAGAAAAACTCCTGAAACTGAAACAACCGCGATAAAATAGCTTGAACATGTTGAAGTGTGTTAAGAGCCTTTTGGTTGAGAACCGGAAAAAACAATTTCTGATGGAAACCTCGTTTCATAGTGTCTGTTTTTATTGCTAACAAGAGTGCCGGGTAATACGTTAATCTGTTGACTGGCCGATTTCAGGGCTCACCACTGATCATTGAGGGCTTCAAGCCCTTTAATCTCGGCTGGCCAAGCTCTTTTAATGTGGTTGTGAGCTTTATGTGAACCTAATGATATGCCATTAATAAGTTAAATAAATGCCCTTCTTTTATGTAATCAGCAAAAGTCATAAATTGGATTGAACTATGAACCTGCGAAAAGAGCCAGTCGATAATTGCATCCTTTTTGATTTAAATTCCTCACATTGATAAGCTCATTATTTGTATATGATCAGATGGCAATGAACGCTTTATCAAAATAGTGTCTTGTGAATGGGTAACAACGTTAAACGTTCGAAATTTATCGATTACTCAACTGACATAAGTGCTTTTTTCATGCTTTTCTTGTTCTTTTTGTTGTGCTTCTTACTGCCCGATGCAACGTTATTGGACTTGTGAAATGGGCTCTTGAGTTGCCCTTGGACGCCATTCATCTTGAAAAATTCCCTATCGAGATCGTCTGCAGCATTAAACAGAGCTGCTTGCTTACCACCATGGGTCACAGAAGTCGCTTCTTCAGCATCCGTCTTACTTCCAATGTGACCAGCGAAGGTCAGTTTGCTTAGATCGCGCGATAAATCTACGACATCAATTCCCTTATGTTTCGCCGCTTCAGCCAACTGTTCTTGTCTACTCTGAGGTAATCTCTTAAACGTGTACAAGTCACAGTTGAACTCTTCGCACTCCTCTCTTGTATATGGCACATCGTCCTCCATATGGGGAGGTGGATTCACGTATAACAATTTGCCGTTAACGTAATCTTTCAAAATATATCTGCTTGCTCGGGACTCATCAGCAGCACCAAAACCTTGCGTCATAAAACCACGGTTTCTGGCATATGCCGTTAAAAGCTCCTGCGCAGTTGGCACTCCCTCACCACCTTCCTCGATAGACCTCATTTGAATATGCAAACCGTAGACCGCTTCCAAATAGAACTTTGGAATTCTTTCCGTGACCAGAGTGCAGGGTCCGATGAAGTCGCGCATTTGATCGATTGGAAGGACACCGTTACATACTAATTCACCTTTGTTGTATGCAAAATTTGGGAATACTAAGCCTGGACAGTCACAAAGCATGACGTTGTCGGACAGTTTTATTGTTTGAAAATGCTTTGTCTTACCAGGTGTAGAAGAAACAGACACTTTTTTGGCCCCAACAAGGGCATTGATAGTAGAGGATTTACCAACGTTTGGGTATCCAACAAGACCAATTTGAATCAACGACTCCTGACCCTGTTTTGGACGATTCAGACTTTGAGACGGTGCTTTGGAGAGAAAGAGTTGCTCAAGTTGATCGATTTTCAAAATCTCAATCTTGGAAATGACCTCCTCATCGACTTCTTCTCCGTCCACTTCAAAAACTTCTTCTTCTTCGTCTTTATTAATGTAGTCCTCACCCAATTCCTTCTGTTTCTCAAGGATTTCATTGGCACGCGCAGCAGAGAAAAATGTAAATGCAATGTTGCGCGACAAGAAATACTTGGCCCAGATAATGCGCTGTTTGCGCGTCAGCAAATCTGCTTTGTTGACCAAAAGCAAGTTTTGTTTACGCTCGTCCAACTCCTTGACGTAGTTTTCCAAATCAACGGAGCGGAAAAGTAACGGATCCCTGGCGTCGACGATTTGCACCACCAAATCCGATCTCTCAACCACTCTCCACAACTGTCTCCAGACTTCGATGTTTCTCTCGAAGGGCGTCAAAAGCAGATCCTCATCGTTTTCCTGTAAAACCGCGAGGGTTCGTCTCCAGTCCAAAAAGGCTTCCTTTTCCAAACGTTCCAGTTGAAAGCGGGTCATTTCCTCGCTCCATTGCGGCCTTCTGGGCACAATCAGGTTGGAAGCATTCTGCCGTTGTTTTTCGTTAAGTTCTCTTTTTCTCGAGTTGGTCAAGGAAAATCCTTGCGATTTGGCACTATCGACACCTGCGTCCATCCGAATAATCTTGACACTGGAATGCTTATCTGCGGTGAAATCTTTGTCAGCAAGCTCTGCGGTACTCAGAAACTCGTCTAACGCCGATTCCTGCGTCACAGATCGTAGTTTCACCCAGTTTGCCTCATGTTTGTCCGTTGTAAATCTGAGTTCACCATCTGGTAGAATTTCTACCTCGTTTTCCTTTTGTCGAGCGTGTCTGATAGCTCGTCCTAGACCAATCTCATTTTTATTTTTACGCTGAATAGGCTTGGGACCCTTTGGCGCCTTCCACTTCTTTGGAGCTTCCTTCTGTGGCATATCTCTTGGGTTTATAGTCTCTTTATATTCCTAAGAGATGAGCTTGCCAATTCTTAGAAATCTACAAAATTTTTCTACTTTTTTTCATCAGAGATATCCATAAGAAAGCTCTATGACAGATTACCGAGAGAAGGACAACGGCTTGGGCAAGGTCCTGAATTGGGCCCCAGGATGAAATGGCCGAATGCAATAGACAATTATTTATAAATCTGCTCAAGCCAAAATCATGTATTAAATTTCTGTGTTTTCTTATTGCTTTGAAATTGTTGTAATAGCTTTATAGCAAGAAACTGTTATTAACCTTCGTTATGAACAGTTAAGAACTGACATTTTCAAGAGATTCCCAAGGTATTTCCAAAGCTACTCTTTGAGGCGAATTTAATGTTTAAAACTAACTATTTAATTTTTACGGATACGAGCAAGGATTGAACCAAGAGTGGTCAGAAGAGTTAACAAAAAACTACACTTGGAAGTAGACAAACGAGGTACAAAACAGTATCAACTGAAGCCGAAAGCTTGTTCCTGTACCCCTGCCAAGTTAATGTTGCATCAAGTTCATTTGCCACTTTGATCAGGGTTGATACCCTTTACATGATTGCTACTCAGAGATATCACATGCAAGGAACTCTAAGGACGGCCCTTAAAAGGGTGATGCAGTGATGCAACCGCGAGGATCAATTGCAAAAGAAACCTCACATCCCTGAGCCAGCATCATGAGAGTCTCATTGTTTAAATGCAAGCAAAATAGGTCGCCATTCAGATAGAACAGCTCAACCTCGCCTAACCTCGTCTAAATAGGTTCATTTAAGCAACGATGGCCAGAGATAAGAGTGTAACGTGGAAAAAAGTCGACCCCGACACAGTTGATTTAAAGTCCTGTAAGGCTGCCATTGTGGGTGGAACTGGTGGTTTAGGACGTGCTTTGGCAAGATATCTCGTTAGCAGAGGCGCTGTGGTTACTGTAGTGGGACAGACATTTCGGGATGCAGATATTAAGGGTTTAAGTTTCATCAAAGCCGACCTGGGACTCGTGAGTGAGGCCAAGAGAATCGCATCTGAATTGCCAGCTGAGGAGTTGGACCTGGTGGTTTTCACTACGGGCATCATCGCTGCCCCGGCTCGGCAAGTAACGTCGGAAGGTATCGAGAAAGACATGGCAGTAAGCTATTTGAGCAGATATGTCATTTTGAGAGGCATTGCCGATCGACTTGGCAAAGGAAGACTGAGTGACACTGCTCTAGCCAGACCTCGCGTTTTCATTACCGGGTATCCAGGCGCAAATAATTTAGGCGATCCTGAGGATTTGAATGCTGACAAGAAACCCTATAAGGCTTTCGGTGCTCATATGAATACAGTGGCCGCAAATGAGGCCTTAACTCTGGACTCGGCCCAGAGGTACCCCGGTTTGAACATTTTTGGGCTAAATCCTGGCTTGGTGAAAACAAACATTCGCGATAACTTTTTGGGCCAAAACTCCTGGAAGTCGTCTATCGTCGAATTTTTCGTCGGATGGCTTTGTCAATCTCCAGAAGCATACGCTAGAAATATAGGTCCTCTTCTTGTAACTCCCGAACTCGAATCCAAGAGCGGTGCCATTTTTGACAATAAGGGCAATGCAATTTTGGCGTCTCAAGGGTTCACGAAAGAACTTACTGGTAAATTCATGCAATCAACTGAAAAGTTGCTGGAAGAGCATGGTAACTGAAATGCTTTCTTTTGTATTAGGTTAATTATGGCTACAACGAACTCAATATGATGGTTAGGTATGTGTTTCCTATAAATAGGGATCGATCGCCTGTTGGCTGTCAGCTGTTATATAACGGCTTTCTAAAGACGTTCTGTGAAATTTTTGTGGAGCGTTGCTACGAAGAACTCGGAAGAAAGTTTCATATGTCCCATAATTGTAGGGAACAGTCGTAAAAAGAGCAGGTCGCTGCGAATCTTTTGCCCCAATCTCCACCGTAGCACATAGATTCATGCCCTTTCTTCATATTTCTGATCTCTTGAATTTCGTCGTCATATACTCTGACCACTTTGGCGCCGTTGTACATGCAACATACCAGCAATTCATTAGCAGAAGGGTCGATGAGATTTCGAGGTGACTCTGCGAACCTCCACACGCCTCCACCTAAGCACTTCTCACGCTTCCCGGCGGGCGGAACGTTCACGCCTGGATAGATTTCGTCGCCGAGCATTCTCAAGTCCAAATCTCTCATGTTGTCATCGTAAGAACCCGTTAAAATGCTAGTTGGTTTGTTTGCGCGAAAGGTCTCCGTGCTCGACTTGATCGCAACAACACCTGCGCCATGTATTCTCCCGTTAGACCAGATAACATTCGCTGTGCGAAGATCATGCGCTTGCAAGACAGAATCGTCACCTCCAGTGAATACGACATTTTGTAAAGGATGTAAATAGCCAAATTCGCCTGTCCAGCATTCCAATGAGTGACCGGAAGTCAAAGCAGGAGTTGTGTCTTCTACAGCAAAGGTGTCTTTTCCTTGGACTTTGTACGTTGATGAATCCACGCTATCATAGTGATCAGTCACTGCGTTCAGTGAGAAAGTGACACCTTCACGTAGCACATTAACAACCTTAGACTCACCAGACGTGCCCGTCACCAGAATCGACTCACAGTTGTTTGGTGAAAAATGTAGTGACGAAACCAGCACGTCTGGGTCGAAAATTTGGATATTGCAAATCTCCTCCAGTTCAATGCCATCCGCCGTAACAAGTATACGCCAGAGAGTCAAATTTCCCGTCGAATGCCCAGTTGCCACTAATGTGTCAAGATGAGGCGAAAGCTTCAAATCCAAAATAGCACCATAAGTGCTATAACTTCCTATTGATGTCAATTCGCGGTCATAGACATCAATAGAACCAGTGCGATGCCCAGTAGACTTATTCAGATCATAGGTTCCCACAAGCAAGAAATTATCCCTAAAAATCCGTAGACAGCATGGCGGGTGGCTTGTGGTTATTTTGGCACATGAATTGATCCCTGGAACCTCCATCTTATAAGGTTCACACCACCAGTAAATGCGCGATGAGCTCTACTTGAAGTGCTCATTCTTCCAAATCAAAGAGCGATCGTTAGAAGTTACATGAAAACAAAGCTTCGTGGAATCATCAGAGGAACCAAGTCTGAAGCTTTCTCCAAAAACCGAGGAAGAGGCGTTCAATTGAGCTAGAAGGTTTGCCAGAAATGGACGATCCGATTTATATCGAAAAGTTGAAACCATTCCAGGAGGGTGTTCCTGATGGTGATCCCGAAAACAATAAGAAACGTTACCTGGTCAAAGATCCAAAAAAACACTCTTTTGATTTAGAAAAGACTATTAAACGCTTTGAGCATTTACTTAACTTGAGTGGATTATTCAGGCACTTTATTGAGAGGAAAGCCGCGAAAGATGAGAAGTTCAACAAGGTTTTACAGATTCTTGACGATCCGTCGTCGCGCAAAGGTTCCAAATCGCGCTCGCATCAAGACAAGAGAAGGCGAAAGACGGAGACAGAGGAAGACGCCGAGCTTATGAAGGATGAAGAGGATGAGGGAAGTGAAGATATTGAGTTTCAGTTCAGGGAGTCCCCGCCTTTCGTGAACGGTAAATTGAGGCCATATCAAGTGCAAGGTGTGAACTGGCTGGTGGCGCTTCATAGAAATCATCTTGCGGGAATCTTAGCAGATGAGATGGGACTTGGTAAAACGCTCCAAACCATCTCTTTTTTAGGGTATCTGCGTTACATTGAGAAGCAGCGGGGCCCTTTCCTTGTCATTGCTCCAAAATCCACTTTAACCAATTGGTCAAGAGAATTCGATCGTTGGACACCTGAGGTAAAGGCATTCATTTTACAAGGGACTAAGGAGGAAAGAGCTGAGTTGATATCAGATAGATTGCTACCTTGCGACTTTGATGTTGTCATCGCCTCCTATGAAGTCATTATCAGGGAAAAGTCCTCCTTCAAAAAGATTGACTGGGAGTATATCGTTATTGATGAAGCGCATAGAATCAAGAATGAGGAGTCAATGCTTTCACAAGTTTTGCGAGAGTTTTACTCTCGAAACCGGCTGTTGATCACAGGTACGCCTCTTCAAAACAATCTACATGAATTATGGGCTTTGCTAAACTTTCTCTTGCCTGATATTTTTGCCGATTCTGAGGCTTTTGATGACTGGTTTTCAGCCGAGACAAGCGAAGAAGACAAGGAGGTGATTGTCAAGCAACTTCACACTATTCTACAGCCATTTTTGCTTCGCAGAATAAAGAATGATGTAGAAAAGTCACTATTGCCAAAAAAAGAGTTGAACTTGTATGTTGGTATGTCTTCAATGCAAAGAAAATGGTATCGTCAAATATTAGAAAAAGATATTGATGCTGTCAATGGCTCTAATGGTGTGAAAGAGTCAAAGACCAGACTTCTCAACATCGTTATGCAACTCAGAAAGTGCTGCAACCATCCCTATTTATTCGATGGGGCTGAGCCGGGGCCACCTTATACCACAGATGAGCATTTAGTCTACAATTCAGCCAAACTCAAAGTATTAGACACATTGCTCCAAAAAGTCAAGGCAGAAGGCTCTCGAGTGTTGATTTTCAGTCAAATGTCCAGAGTGCTTGATATTCTTGAGGATTATTGCTACTTCCGAGATTACGCATATTGTAGAATAGATGGTTCGACGGCACATGAAGACAGAATCGAAGCAATTGACCAATACAATGCTCCAGACTCCAAGAAGTTTATTTTTCTTTTGACCACGCGTGCTGGTGGTTTAGGAATTAATCTGACTACCGCAGATGTCGTGGTATTGTATGACTCTGATTGGAATCCCCAAGCGGATTTGCAAGCAATGGATCGAGCCCATAGAATTGGTCAAAAGAAACAGGTTAAAGTTTTCAGGATGGTAACCGATAATTCGGTAGAGGAAAAGATTCTAGAAAGGGCTACTCAGAAGCTGAGATTGGATCAACTTGTTATTCAGCAGGGAAGAAATACGGGCGGCGTGAAAGAGGCGAAGAAAAACGATAATAAGGATGCTTTGTTGTCTATGATTCAACACGGTGCCGCCGATGTTTTCAACCATCCCAGTGGCACTCCAAGCACGACAGGAACACCTCAACCTGTAAATGACAACGAAAAAGGTGATGCTATTGATCTTGACACGCTTTTAACTATGTCGGAGGACAAGACTAAATCTTTGTATCGAAAATACAACGCTCTAGGGTTGGATGATTTGCAAAAGTTCAATCAGGATTCAGCTTACGAATGGGATGGACAAGACTTTAAAAAAAAAGTGAATAAGGACGTCATAAGTCCTACATGGATACACCCTACCAAGAGAGAGCGCAAGGAGAATTATAACATTGATGGGTATTATAAAGATGTTTTGAATCCTGGAAGATCTACTACACCTGCTCAGCCCAAAATGCCAAGACCACAGCCTTTCAACAGCCACCAGCTTTTGTCACCGGAGCTCAAGATTTTTTACGAGAAGGAAAGAATGTGGAATGCAAAGAAGTCGAGCTATGTTCCAACTATGGAAGATGTCAAGACGACTTATGGTGAAGTTGACAATGAAGAGGAAAAGAAAACCAAATTGCAACTTCTCATATTAGCTGTCGCCAATGCACAGCCACTGACAGAAGAAGAAGAGAAGAGAAAGGCCGCCCTTGAGGCAGAAGGTTTTACGAATTGGAACAAGCTTGACTTTAGAAAGTTTATTACTGCATGCGGCAAATACGGAAGAAACTCTATCAAAGCGATCGCTTCCGAGTTCATTCCCTTAAAAACCGAGGAAGAAGTACGCCAATATGCAAAAGCGTTTTGGGCCAACATTCAAAGAGTCGAGGACTACGAAAAGTATTTGAAAAGTATCGAAGCAGAGGAGGAAAGATTGAGACGTGTGAAGTTGCAACAAGAAGCTCTGCGGAGAAAGATATCTCAGTGCAGCAATCCTCTTTTCGATCTAACGCTAAAGCATCCTCCTTCCAACAGCAACAAGAGGGTGTTTTCCGAAGAAGAAGACCGTTTCCTACTTATCATGCTTTTCAAGTACGGAATCGACAGAGGGAATGTTTATGAGCTAATCCGCGACGAAATCAGAGAATCTCCGCTATTTGAGATGGACTTTTTCTTTCAAAGCAGGACGCCAAATGAATTGAACAGGAGAGCCATAACGCTTTTGCAATGCTTGGAAAAAGAGTTCAATAGCGGTCTAATTCTGGACAATGAAATGAAAGAGCGACTAGCCGAGGAAGACCGAACGGCTGAAAAAATGAAAGCGGATGAAGCTTATGTCAAAGAGGACGAAGAAGTCAACGGAACGAAGCAAGAGGATCACCTTCAAGGCGCTGATGCCACTGAAGCTAATAACGGCAAGAGAACCTGGGACGAAGAAGTGAGCCAACCAAATGATATTGCTGTGACCGAAGTAAACGGTGCAGAAATCAAGAAGTTGAAAACTGACGCTTAACGCAAGGCTGCCTGCCGTAGCTCACCGACGATTTCGAACGAAGTTTCACAGTTCTGACTCGAGCCAAAATTACATGAATTAAATACTTAAAATATAAAATCAGCCATAGAGTCTTACGATTTTTTTCGTTACGAGAGAAAAGACACGCTACTGGCTTGACTAGAGGAGTGAGAAACCAAAGATGCGCGCTCATTGGGACAACAACTCCTCAATGGTATTTTCTAAGCTTGCAGGTTTGGTGAGCGAAGAGTATCTCTCATGGACGTTACCCTTTTTGTCAACCAAGAATTTCTCAAAATTCCACTTGATGCCCTTAAAGCCAAGAAGACCAGATTTCTGACTTTTTAAGTACGCCCACACGGGGTCCTCGTCAGAACCATTCACGTCCACTTTCTTCATGATAGGGAAAGTCACACCGTAGTTGACCTGACAGAATTGACCAATCTCACTGTCTGTGCCCGGTTCTTGGTGACCGAATTGATTGCATGGGAAACCAATGATTTCCAATCCTTGGGGGTTGTATTTCTTGTAAAGTTCCTGAAGTTCCTTGTATTGAGGCGTAAACCCACATTTAGATGCAACATTCACGATGAGGACAACCTTGCCCTCCAATTGTGAGAACTCAAATGGCTTCCCAGTCTTGTCTGTTGGGGCTAGCGCATAAAATTTGGACATGCTGATATGGTTATGTTGGTTTGATGATCTTAAAAGCTTGAAACCTTGTTTCCACAACTTTGTTTCCACGACTTTGTTTCCAGAGTTTTTATAGTGCAAACCAACGGTGCTTGCTAATTTCCCTTGAACCCTGGTCTTCCTTTGAAATGGGATGTCTGTTCCGCGGAACAAGCCATTCCACGGAATGGAAGAACGCCCAGACACCAACTCAACTGAAGAATACTACTAGAGAAAAAGGATTGTACTTACCCACTGACAGGCAAGCCTTATATGCACGAGAATGATGTTCCATGCATGAACATATGCCGAAACATGCTGGTCCCGGCATTAGAAAAGTCGGCCGCTTTGTAAATGACGCTGAGAAGGCTGAAAAAAGTACTGTTTGATTGATCCTTATGTTGGATAAGCGTTCTTAATTTAATGCTCCGGACAAATGCACACGAGTATATAATAAAATGGTCTCTGGGAATTAATAGAATCTGAGGTTCAGCCGTTGTGTCTTGTACGTATTAGTTTTTTTCTAATTGTTACCCGTAGCGCTTATGACAGACATGCACTTAAAATCGTTCATATATGAGGCCTTCCAAAGTCTCACGTTGCCGTCGTCTCCTGCCGAGCTCAAAATCGTTCCGGTAAGGTTCCAGCATACAGACCAAACTTCACCCCCGTGATCGGCATTCTCACTCAAGAGCTCAACTTTCAGCTTTGGACCCTTCGTCACATTTGAATCGTCTGTTGTCTCGCGTGGTGCTTCGTCCACACTCATCTCGTCACTGTCCTGCTGCAGTGTCTCGCTAAGCTTGAAAATACGAACTTTCCCGTCTTTACAGCCCGTCGCAATTAGTTGGTACCATCTTCCAATCGAAGGTGCCCAGCTAATACTGCGGATGAGCCCCTCATGTCCCTCAAGCTTTGCAGCGACATACATCTTGCCTGCTTGATCTCTTTGATAAATCAACACTTGATCCAACGCGCAAACGGCAATTTTCTCAGTAGAAAACCGGGAAGGACACCAAGTCAAACAAAAATCAGACTGAAGATGCGAAGCAGGTGGATTAGGCAGCACTTTGACCTCTGTGGATAATATCCAGGATCTGGGATCGGAGGGTTCTAGGGCTTCATACAATCTTAATATTCCGTCGTTGCCTATAGCGCCAACGCGCAATCCTAAATGTCCAGGCGCAAATTTCACGCTGAAAAGTGGGCCCGTCGCATCATTTAGCGTACATAGCTTCGTCCACCGCTTACCAGAACACTCAGGCGCATCTGGCTCCTCTTCCCACAAATTCACCATCTTATCGTACGAGGCAGACGCAATCATACGTCCATACTCAGGACTAGCCCAGTCCAGACTTACCACCGAGCTATCATGAGCCTTCCAAGAGTCACTTAATTGCCATTCATTCGTTTCTTTATCAAGCTTAAAAACTTTGATGTGTTGGTCCGAAGAACACGTTGAAACGTGTCTCCCATAAAAATCATACGCAACATCATGAATTAGGTCTTCATGACCTGTTATAAACGGTCTCATGTTCCTATTTTCGAATGGCCTCTGACCCCTGTGCTTGTTCTTTGATTGATTAGTTGACGATGCTCAAGATATCATCAACTTTTTCAAAGTCAAGAAAGTTGATATTTACGGACACGTTGTTATCACCAACAACAAGAACAGGTCGAGAACGCTACAAGGGTTCGAATGCTGGAATTGATCAAATTCGGTATAGCTTTGACGCTTATATATACTTCGAAGCATTATTCACCTCTTTTAGCCGCCGTTGGACTCTCCATTGTTGGTTATGTTGTTTGCGACTTTTTAATTCCACGTGTGGGACCCCATTTCATAAAAATTGGCCGTTTTGGCAAAGATTTGAGTAAGCCGGGCAGACCGATCATACCGGAAACTGTGGGTGCTGTACCGGCTACTGTTTACATTTTCATCATGTTTTTCAATATCCCATTTCTGTTTTACAAATATTTGGTGGTGATGACTTCGGGCGGAGGCCATAGAGATGTGTCGATTGAAGAGACACCAGGTGAAATCTTTTTTCCACATGCTAAACTTTCGGAATACTTAAGTGCAGTTCTGTGTCTCCAAAGCACTGCGCTGCTAGGAATCGCAGATGATCTATTCGATTTGAGATGGAGACACAAATTTTTCCTACCGGCCGTTGCCGCGATTCCACTGCTTACGGTTTACTACGTTGATTTTGGTGTTACCTACGTCCTAATCCCGGATTTTGCCAAGAATTGGCTCAATATTACGAAAAGTGCGGTTAATTTGGGACCGCTGTATTACGGATACATGAGCAGTGTGGCAATTTTCTGTCCAAACTCCATCAACATTCTTGCGGGAGTTAACGGGCTTGAAGTCGGACAAAGCATTGTTCTGAGTCTAATCTTTTTGATAAACGATACACTTTACCTACTATTCGGCGCAGAAGCGTCACAGGACTCACACAAGCTTTCTGCCATACTCATTATTCCATTTCTCGGCGTGTCACTCGCATTATGGAAATGGAATCGTTGGCCAGCCAAGGTATTTGTAGGCGATACTTATTGCTATTTCGCAGGAATGATATTCTCTGTCGTGGGAATTTTAGGCCATTTTTCCAAGACGGCGCTCTTGTTTTTCATTCCACAGATTTTCAACTTTGCCTACTCTTGTCCACAGCTTTTCGGACTCGTACCTTGTCCGCGGCACAGGCTTCCAAGGTTCAATGAGATGGATGGCCTTATGTACCCATCTCGTGCCGAGTTTTCGACAAAGCCACCAAAATCCGTAATGAAACCCGTGTTCAGAGTACTCGAATTCTTCAAACTCATTCATATCGAATACGATACAAAGACAGGGGAGATGGTAAACTGCACGAACATGACTCTCATCAACCTTGTGCTTGTATGGTTTGGTCCTATGCGCGAAGACATTCTGTGTAACACAATCTTGGCGCTGCAGTTTGCGATTGGTCTAACAGCGATTGCTGCCAGACATGCGTTAGGAACGCTCATTTTCGGTCACGACAATTTGAACATTCTTTGATTGAGTTTGTTGGGATAGAGTCATAGGAAGACACAATTTAAAACAACAGTACGACTTAAGGTGAAATTAAATATTATTTTTCAAGAGACTCGAAGAAACGTTCCCTTTCTTGCATTAGTTCCTGCGCCCAGCCTTGGACTTCTTGTGTCTTAATGCTACTCATAGCGGACCAGAACTGCGTCAAGTCCTTAGTGCCGTTGTATTTCTTTTCGTATTCAAAGCATTGCACCAGCATTTCGAATTTATCAATGTCTTTGACGTAACGCGCTTCTAATGAGCTGACGTTTTCGTAGGCGAGCCAGTCTTGCATTATTTCGGCAGCGGCTTCTGCATTGTTTGGCTTGATTAGCTCATTGCACAAGTATTCTATAGTCGAGAGCTCTCTAAAATGTTTTTCTTCTTTTGACACTGGGTCGAAAGGTGTGATATCGCCCACCAGAGATTCGGCGATGTCGTGCACTAACGCGATGCGAACACACCTATCTCGATTCACATTTGGGTTCGTAATGAGCATCGCTGCTACTCCCATACGATACATATGGTCCGAAATACTTTCACAGGGCTCAATTCCGTGATCTAACCAGCCCGTGCGACGTTGGGTTTTCAACAGTTGAACTATATTCAAAAAGGCCACAACGTAGTTCTTTGGCTTGCGCTTCAGTAGATCTTGTACATCTTTGGGAATGTGATCTTGTGGTTTCCACTTTGACGACGAAATCATTCTACTGTTGCTGGCAAGCGTTTTGTTTTTTGTTGACGTGGTGAAGATGCCGATAAATTTTCTGGTTTGGCGTATTTTATAGCTCATTCTGTAAGCAGAGTTCGCGAAAACCAACATCGACGGTTCACCGACTTGGGAAAAGTCCGAACCGGGCTAAAATCTCAAATGAAAACGTCTTTGTTTTCCCACGAAAGTGCCCTCCATCAAAATGGAAGAATCTATAGAATTAAAATGCCGAAACATTGTTTTGAATTTTTTGATGCCTGCCAACTTACGGAGGTCTTGACAATTCTATCGTTCTCACAATTCATCAGGCTAAATTGACCATTAGCTGCTAAACAATGCATTGGTTCGTCTTGGTTCGACGTTTTTGGTTTAATTCGATGATAAAGATGGTTTTCGCGAGTTTTATTTGTCTGATCGATATACCTAACTACATTCTAGTCAACAACATAAAAGAGACCCATGCCCATCTCCAGCGGTGTGGAGGGTTAACGTCATTTGCCGATAGAACCGAACCGGCTAGCAGTTTGAATCCAATGCAAAATGACTTATTGTTTAGAAAGCGAAAGCTCGTAATCGACTACATACGTCGAGAGTGATCATTGATCGCTTTCGTCTGATAGAAGTAGAGTATGGCCAAATTAATGCTATAGAAGTACAGAATTTAGATTAATAGTTCTGCGCTTAAGCGATCAATTCAACGACACCACCAGCAGCCTTGATTTTCTCTTCGGCCAATTTGGAGACAAATCTAGCTCTAACGATGACTGGGACTTCTGGGATTCTACCCTTACCCAAGACCTTACCGTAGCCGGCAGCCAACGTGTCGATGACAGGAGCAGAAGACTTGGAAGAAGACTTTAGGTATTCATCTCTCTTTTCAGCTGGGATCAAAGTCCACAACTTGTCCAAGTTCAAAACTGGCTTCCAGAAGTGGTTTGGTTGCTTGTGGAAGTATCTCATACCGACCTTACCGAAGTAACCTGGGTGGTACTTGTCAAGGTTGGTTCTGTGGTGGTGCAGACCACCGGCCATACCTCTACCACCGGGGTGCTTTCTGTGCTTACCAATACGACCGTTACCGGCTGTGCTCGAGTTAGTAAAATTTGGCTCAAAACTAAAGTGTTTTTTTACATCGTGGGAGGAGAGACGTCGTTTTAAAATTCTGATGGGGGACTAGACACACACGCAGGCCAGTGGACCAGCCACCTTACCCAACAGGACGAACTGAACTGAGACTTGCTGGCGGGAAAACTGGACGCTTGAGTGCTTTCAATTAAGAAGACCCAGCACCAAAAAGCCCGTTACGTAACGGATGGAGGAAGAGTTTACGAGAGACTGAGATCACAGAACGATATCCGCCCGGCCCCTAGTCACCTCATCACCACTCAAAGCGTAAAGCATTAGCGATGATCTAGTTTTTTTTGTTCAGCAGTCCTAATAAAAGTTCTTCAATTTCCTGGAATGCCCTTGTCCCAACACACAGAGTCTAACCTTCACCGCCCACGACACAAAAAATCACCGTCTTGGTTCTTTCATTCCCTCTTCCAATGGAACTACATACCTGAGACGTGACCTCTGTGCTTTCTGGTCTTAGTGAATCTGGTTGGCATTGTTGATGTCGGTAGATACTAATGGTGTCAATCCAGATGAACCTTTGCAGATTCACCTATAGCTTTATTTTACTTCGTGATGTTCAAGTTGCGTGATAGAGTGGGTTCACTGGGATGCATGGGTTATAAAGCTATGTAGATACAAGATGGCAATCGTGGAAAAAATATAATATCAAGGTGGTGCACGGAGTTAGATGAATGAAAAAATGTGCAGATGCTGTAAGTCAAATGTAGAGCCCTACGCCAAGAATTTAGGGCTGAAAAAACGCAGAATTATTAGCAAACAATTGCAAGAGAGATGACGTTTTGCACTTAAAAGTTACTAAGAAGCGTAACCACTTAAGAACTGCCACTGACTCTCATTTAATTAAAGGAATCCAGATTTTTCCGGGAGAGCGTAATCAAAGTTCAGTGGTTCATTTTTTAGGGTCTTTTGGGTATCACTTACTCTTACTCCCTAAATAGCTGATCAAGCCCTCGCACAGATGGCAGAAACCCAACCTTTGCTGAGAAAAAAATCAATGCTCAACGGTAAACTAGCTTTGACGACGTTAGTCACTTGTTTGGGCTCTATTCAATATGGTTATCACATAGCAGAGCTCAATGCCCCTCAACAAGTGCTTTCATGTGCCAAAGAAAAGATCCCGTGGTTTGATGTCCCATTTCGCCACACGTGGCTTGGTAGACATGGGTTCAGTGAGTGCATACCGCTGACAGAAGAAGAGATCGGCCTTGCAACGTCAATTTTTTCTATTGGTGGTCTCTTGGGGTCGCTTTACGCCGGAAGACTCGCTGATCAATACGGGAGGAAAAGGTTCACTTATGCGACTTGTGCGCTGGGAGCGCTGGGATCCGCTGTATTGTTTCAGGCCAATTCCTTTTGGGAGCTGGTTGCTGGACGATGCATTGTGGGAATTTCATGCGGTAGCGCAATTGTTGTAACGCCTCTTTTCATCAACGAAATATCGCCTAACGCGCTGCGAGGCTCTCTGGGATCAATGAACCAGGTTTGTATCAATGTCGGAATCTTGCTCACCCAAACGCTGGCGCTTTGGTGGGCTGACAGCTACCGGTGGAGATGGCTTCTTTTTGCAGGTGTGGTGATTGCGCTTGTAAACATAGCGCTGTTGTCGATGATTGGCGAGAGTCCAATTTGGCTGGCATCACGCGGAGATCTGGAGAGTGCCGACAGCATTTTGTGTGAGTTACGTGGAGGCGATATGGTGCAATCTCGACTCGAGATTGACCAATGGTTAACGGCCCGCGGCACATCTCGCGAAGATACTTTGCGCGTTATCCACGCGTCAGGCAGCAGCTCGACTCGTCGTTCATACCCCCCGGCCTCAAATGCCTCTAGTCAGTCTCAACCTTCAGACGAAAGTTTATCACTTTTTGAATATTTCAAAGACTCGCGGTTCACGGAGTCTCGTCGCGCCATCACGATGATTTTGATGGGCCAGCAATTCTGTGGGATCAATTCGATCGTATTTTATGGTGTTAAAGTAATCAGTGGCTCGCTACCGGACCAGGCTATTACGGTCAACTTCGCGATCTCGTTAATGAACGTCATTGTAACTTTTGGAGCCTCGTTTTTTATCGATCGGTGGGGGCGCCGGCCTCTGTTGATGCTTTCAACAGCGGCAATGACCATATCGACGGTTTTGATCTCTGTGGGTATCATTGAATCGAACGCAGTGCTTTTGGTCGCATTTACGTTGACGTACGTGGCGTTTTTCGCAATGGGATTGGGTCCCATACCGTTTCTCGTCATTTCAGAACTTTCGCCACATGCTGTCGCAGGCGTGGCCCAAAGCTATGGCGTTGCTTGCAACTGGATTGCAACTTTCGCCGTCGGATACAGCTTCCCGATTTTACACTCTTTCATGCAAGGATACGTTTTTCTAGTGTTCGCAGTTGTCTCGGCGGCTTTCGCGACGTACGTCTACTATTATATTCCAGAAACAAAGGGCAAATCTTACAAAGACGTCTGGACTGGCCGCTACCGTTCGGCCTGAATTGCCTAAAACTTCTTCCTTGATAGACCTCCCAATGATAAGCCAAGGGACCAGATACACATTTGAAGCTCGCTTTTCAAGCTCAAACCAGATTATCCAAGAACGACAACCGAAAAGAGGGCCTTATAAGAAAATTTATGGGAAACGTTCCAATTTTGACGCTGAGTACGTCCCTTATGAAATTCGCACGCAGTAGAATGTTCGTCTTACGTCCATAGGACCGAGTTCATAAGCAACTGAACAGTATCATAATTTCTAGCCCGTTCCAAGGGCAATTCTGTTTTCTATCTAAAATCTATTTACAAAAATGGATATCCTTACAAGATTTTACAAATTCCAACAGAGTCCAATTCTTGTTTCACTTTGTCCCGGATATGAGATGAGCGGCTTTCTATAAACAATGAAATATATTTTTGTACGTTAACTTAAATGGAAGAAAAAACGTAATTAGTCTCCTGCCGTACAGAATGCTTCAGAATTGGAATTTCAACCGCTTTAACGCATCGAGTTAATATTCCTCTAAGTGAGTACGAGGGTTCGAGAATTAGATGCATTTGTAGAAGACCCTAAAAGACGCGCCAGAATGCCAAAATTTCGGCGATGTTGAGACCATCTATATATACTAAGATAATGAAGCGGTAGTTAAACCTGGGACAATGTTACGAGGGTGGTGATCTATACAACAACGGCCATATAAGACGATGGAAGGAAGCGGGGCTTCGAAAAGCAAAGGTAGAACTTTCACTGGATGCTGGGCATGCAGGTTCAAGAAACGTCGGTGTGACGAGCAAAAACCGATTTGTTCTCTTTGCAAAGCCCAGAATGATCAATGCAGTTACGACGTACAACTGGTATGGCGAAGCGAAAACATATATGCGATGGATCGAGACAAGAAGCTTGTATCGTGGAAGAAACTACACAATCTGTGCCATAAGAACCACAGACATTGCATTTCGCGGAAAAAATTTAGAGAAATGACGCATTTCCGTCAGGTGTCTCCTCCGAACTCTGACAACGAATGCGAGGCCCACGAGGGTGCTCAGGAAGATCTGGAATCTCCTACTTTCACTATTAGTGTGCGAAGACTCAAGATCTACGATCAAGCGATTCCGGCGGTTCACGGCTGTCGAGACAAAAATTTCGATGTAGATCACGTTCACAGACGTCTGGACACGTTTTTGGACAAGATCGAGAGGTCGAGTGCGTCACACAGCGGAGATATAAGGTGGAGTGGATTCAGTAGCGGTCCGTTTGATGTTTTTCGCTCCGAAACTATGAGAATTGTATCAAAACGTAGAAAAATTGGATGTCGAAATGAAATCGATCCACAACTAGATGCGTGTGCAGCTGGGCCTCCAGAAGTGCCTCTCGCGGGCTGGGATGAGAAAGCACTGCATTCGAGTTTACCGGCGACCCCGTCGTCGCTAGAACAATCAGAATTGATACCCACTGGTCCCAGCGATTTTCCAGGTACTACCAGAGACCTGGCTCGAGAGTTCTGCAAGTATCATTGGCAAAATTTGCTCCTCGAGAATGGCCACAATTTTTGTATCCGTCAGCCCGATTTTGTTGGATGGCTTACAACTCGCGCACAGAGATATGTGCGGTCTTTGAGTGACGACCTTTTGCAAGAAATTTTTGGGAGGCAGACTAAAAAGGACAGATGGACCGTGGTCGTGGAGGAACCCTCGTCTCAATTCCAGGACTTTCAAATAATGCTGTTGTTCATGGCTAGCGCTAGCGCTGCCAGTTCGGCGCACGTTGTTTCTTGGCTGTGTAAACAAAGTCAGGTGACATATGCCGCGTTTCCTCTAATAGCACACGCGCTGGCAAGCGGATGTGACCTTAGCGTCTTATTTCATTGTCATGAGTTGCTCACAAATGCCAATATAGAGGATATTTTCCAGTACGATTTGGGAGCTATTTTAAAGATAAATGCGGAACGTCTTATTTTGCAATACTGGAACAACCTTATGACAGATCAGATGTCCGGCCACCAAGATACTTCCTTAACCGAGCTGCAACTCAAATATTGGGAAGTGCAATTGCAGTATAATGAGGAGTTCTACCGGGAAGTATGTTTAGCTTAATGATTACGAAATACATTTAGAAATAAAGATCACCATATTTCTAGAGCACCTCCTATTAAGAACTGCGCATTAGTTAACGGATAAACTTAGCTTACATGTGCGTTGACAATGGTGCTCACTTTGAATGATTCACCCCTGGCATTAACCAACTTTCTAATCTTTTGAGTTTCGTCCTCGTCGTCTTTGAAAATGACTTCGAGACTCTCATTGGTGGAGAAATGAGGTTGCAATTGCTCCCAGATCTTCTTCTTTGGGTTTAGTTGTTTAAGAGGTTCTTCGTCGCCAAAACCTTCGAAAAATATTTTGTCACCAGGCTTGGAACCCGCTGGGGGTTGAACGAATTCCACCGTACCGTCAGCAGAGCCACACAGAACCATACCGTTGGACTTAATTCCTCTCATGTTGACTGGCTTCAAGTTTGCAACCACGACGACGTAGCGCTCTTGCATGGCTTCCAGCGGGTAGTATTTGACAAGACCAGAGCAAATAGTTCTTGGGCCGTCGGACTCACCGACATCGATGGTGGAGACATATAGAGAATCAGCATCAGGGTGCTTGATAGCTTTTTGAATAAAACCAACACGGAAGTCAATGGAAGATGGTTTTGGCTTTTGAGGCTGCTGTTGCTGTTGTTGTTGCTGAGCAGTTGCAGCCTTCTTAGCAGCCTTTTTAGCCTTGGCTTCTTCTCTGAGTTTTGTCAATGTCTCTTCGTCTGGCTTTCCTCTTGGTCCCTTCTCTTTAGACTCAGGCTGTTTGGCGTCCTTTTTGACCTCTTTTGGCCCAGGTTTCTGGTCGTCCTTCTTGTCGTCCTTCTTCTTCTTTTCTAATACTTCGCGTGGCAATTCCAGATCTTCGTTGATGTCCACTCTGCTGTCGCTTGGCAAACCAAGCAATTCTTGTAGGTATCCAACCCATCTTAAAATATGTCGGTATTTAGCGTAATGGCCCTTAATGTCCTTGGATGACGCAAGCAGGTCCTTGATCACTGGCAATACAGATTCGAACACAGCGGCATCTGTTTCAGTGGGTGTCAGAGTATTCAAAATAAAAGCATGATCTCTCAAACGCAAGTTGAGCTCATCAAGTTGTGCTTGAATTTGACCGGACTTGACAATCGAATCCCATTGAGCGTTCACGGCTTCTTGCTCTTTGTTAAGGCTGCTCTTCAGATTTAGTTGCTGAAACTTCCCAACAAGGTTTGACATTGATTCAAATAATTGAAATGCAGCAAAACTTGACCTCAAATCCAGTTAACGGTTTGATCAATTGTTAGTTTAAGGGCTTTAGGGATGGGAGACCATCTTTCTGTAAGAAATTGAAAATTTTTTCAACAGGATCTCAGACTTGAAATTTTGCAAAACGACGAGTTGAACCCATGATACTTCAAAAAATTGACAAATTGAAACTGAGTATTTATGGTGCTCCGAGCCCTTAATGGTTGAAGAGAGCTTTTCGTTACAGTCCGAACCAATTCAATCGGATTAATATTGGTTTGAAATCGCTTTGTTGAAGACGCGATGATCCTAGAAAAGGGTTATAATTCCAAACCACTTCAATGAGTTCTGCGAAAAGTGGGCATCGACTACTTGACCGACAGGATTGTTTGTATCGTTAAAGAGATTGCCATTGAATTCAAACTGAAAACGACGCCATTGACGCGTTGAACTCCAATGGTGATTCGGTGCATGGTTTTCAGGTTCCTTAAAGATAGTAAATTCTTGGCATTCTTGAGCGTCCAAACAGTTCCTTTTGAGAAGAAGTTGCTGCCGGGACCTAGCATCAAACATATTTTTCATTCTATCTTAGAGCGAGAGTTGTCTCAAACAATCTACTCCCCCTTGACATACAACGCATGTTGAATATGAAACATATGAATGGGAACTATCCAGCGTCCTACAAAAGGTAGGCAAAAAGCTCCAAGAGTCGATTTCTTGCTTATTTGAGGCGCTCAGCTCTTATGAGATGCGTTCATCTCTTACGAGATTTGCCCAAATAATCTGACGGAACGATCAGATATACTCCAAACCGTAGGAAGTAGAATGCTTCAAGACTTTTCACTGCAGCTCTCATCGCGGGATGATTATCTCTGATCTCAATTTAGTAATTTCGAGAGGCTAAATAGCTCAATTTCTCCGCCGTCACGCACCTTAAACCATAAAGTTCGTTTACCTAAATTACTTGATGAACATCTTAAATGCGTAGCAAAGCTCCCAATTTATATCCATCGCCTGCTTGTCTTTATTTTTTTATTGATGTTAGCTCATCGAATTAAGATTGATTTTGATAATGAGGCTGTTGACTCGGAGTCATCTCTTGAAATAACAACCGATGGTCAAAAAGATATATGAAGAAAGGACCAGGTAGTCGTCGAAAGACCTCTGTGGCATGTCTGAACTGTGCCAGGGCTCATGTCACTTGCGAAAGCAAGAGACCTTGTTCTAGATGCGTCAAAAAAGGGCTCGAATCAAGTTGCGTCGACGCTCCAAGGAAGCGTAGGAAATATCTCGCCGACGTTCCATACGACAGTCTTCCAGTCAGAATAAAGCAAAATTTGAATAGCGTCGAGCAACAACGAATGAATGGGAATGGTCATATTCTGCATAGACCGAAATTCATGTCAAATGCAGCAGATCTCGAGTATTCAGTATTGTCGGACATCACGCAACGAGATGAGCTTGTCAGCAAAGTACCCATAGAGCTGTTGTATTCGAAAGGTGGCCCAAACTATGCTTCTCAATATATGACAACCGGTCACACACCGAGCGTACTGCCACCAGTACGAAGTGTTGCCGTGGAAGATCATCGAAACCGGTATGGTGTTTTACTAGGCGTCAACGCGTCTGAAGCCTTGGAGCCTGAAGTTGATCTGTTCACTACTCATTTCCCACTAATACCGCAAGATCCGTTATATGGGTTCCCTCTTAGTGCCGGTAAAGTACGATGCGACGACAAGGTGAATCAGTATTATCTGAGCCATGACAGCAGGTTCCCCGCTATACAGAGGGTTAACGAAAATATCAAGAGTTTAACATCTTTGTCGCTTCAAGTCGAACTTCCAGAATTTCGAGAGATATGCAATGTCCCCGAGATCGCACATACTTTACGCTACAGAACACCGATGGAAATTTACACCCTGATTTCTCAACCCTTTTCGCATACTCCTGGATTCCATTCTCTTTTGGAATATTTAAAGAAACGGTTTGATAAGACTTCTTTACTCGAAATGTGTAGGTCCCTCGCAGAATTCCGTCCCACTTTTATTGCAATTGCAGTCACGCTGACTGAAGAGGATATGATATTTATGGAGCAATGCTATCAGAGGACACTTTTGGAGTACGACCAGATTATATCCCAAATCGGCACACCGACATGCGTTTGGCGACGCAATGGTCAAATTTCTTACCTTAATGACGAATTCACTCTACTTACCGGGTGGGATCGCGAAGATTTGATCTACAAAATGACATTCATCGTAGAAATAATGGACGATGACAGTGTCCGAGAATATTTCAAAGTATTCAGTCAAGTGGCCTACCGTGATTTCAAAGCTTCGGAACAGATGCAGAGGTGTAGGCTCTTGACGCCTCAGCTTGGCCAAGAAATTGATTGCTGCTGCATGTGGACGGCGAAAAGAGACGTTTTCGGATTGCCCTTGATGATAGTCGGCAACTTTATGCCTCTTTTAGAGACAAAAGACGAACTCCTGTAAACAAGCATAGGCCTCGTAACGGGCGGTCACGGTTTTCAAAAAAAAGCGCACATTTTTGCATCAGAACTATAGCGCATGATGGTACATAACTTGCAAATTAGATAAACAAATTCCACGTTGCATCTCACTGTCTCAGCACATCTTCGATGAATTTCCTGTAATCAACCCCACCATCGGCATCCACTTCAACACCTTTCAGTAGTTCATCCACTTCTTCATCAGACAAACGTTCTCCCAGCCCCGTAAGCATATACCGAATATCGCCAACCGATACTTTGCCAGTATTTTCTTTGTCAAAAACTTGAAACGCCTTAATGAAATCTTCTACTTTGCCCTGAGTAGTCTTCTCAAGAGCGTCCCGATTTTCTTCAACCAGCGACCCAATTGTCTCCAAACTCAGTTCATTGGGAGCTCCTTGACCAATCTGCTCGACCAACGCGTTTGTAGGATTATATCCAATGGCTCGCAGATAATCCGCAAATTGTGATTTAGAGATCTTGCCCTTGGCTTGTCTGTCAAAGAGAGTAAAAATATCTTTCTGGGTCTTTTCTGACATCGTTAAAGCCACAATTACTGATTCAGGCTCGCAGGGCTCGACCAATATCCAACCTTGATCCCGATCCAGGCTTATGTTTTGGAGAGTTCGACAAAATGTGATACACGAAATCGAAGTTGTGATAATTCCGTGTAACAGTACATATACTTAAACTCTGACCCTGACTTTGACCCACACTCCAACTCTGAACCATACCCTGATCCTTACTCAAACCCTGAAATGAAAATGCTGTAGTCATCTTCGACGGGCATCACCCGAAGTTTTCTTTCTTTTCAAGGCTCACGCCACTTCGATATTAGCGATGCTTTAAAAGAAGCCGAATTCTGAGAAGCTCAACGAAATCTAAAATTCAACCCATCTCAAAGGAAATCTTTGATCAGGCCAGAGTAGTTAACAATCTTGAAGGATTGTTAGGCACTCATAGTTTATAGCCTACGCACGCTCGAAACATCACCTTCAGACCTTTCGCTAGACTTTTAGTGCGTGAACGACAAGACAAACTTTCAATTGACACCAAAAGATGATCAGATTTGTGCAGCAGACTCAGGTCCTGAAGAGTAGGGTTCCAAACCAATTCGTGTCCGCTAGCGCGCGGCACTCTTTCAACCACTCACTGAGGTTCAACTCAGCGATGGCTATGGAACGAACACCAAGTCAAGAAGCTTACAATTCTGCCCCAGGTGGATCAACGCAAGCTACAGCTGCGGTGGAAAAAGTGCGGTCTTTGCGCAAAAATCTTAAGATCAACAAGCAACTCACTTCCACACCAGATTCGCCATGGTTCCATAAAGTATGTGCGTTTGAAGACTGCGTTGCTCAGACTCTGCACATGTCACAGACACCTCGGCGTCGAACGAGAGCAAATGACAATGGAAATCGTCAGCAGCGCTCTCAAGTTTCTCTCAATGTAAACAACGCGAATCCGTTGTTTTGGGACTCCATTGGCCGCGCAATGGGGCTTTATCGCGATCTTTTGAGTACACCAGAGCTCAACAGCGACAGAGTGTCCAAACTGGTGCACTTACTACATAATGGGCTTCGTGCCAACCGTAATCAGCTTACTCGCATGAACAAAAAGCCAGATTATGATTCCCAGTCGTTCCACAAAGAGATGACCAATTATCTCTGCGAGTCTCTCCGTGAGATTTCACAGGATGTTCTTTCCAACAAAGTGGAATTGAACGAATACGGTGCCATGCATCTTATCACGGCTTTCAAAGAACTTCTTCTTTTCGAAGAAGCGGTCAGTATCTGGCGCTCCGCCATTTCAAGCCCCAATGAGAATTCGCGCACCATTTTCCTCAACCCAAGAGTGGTTGGTGTTGTATTGCCCATTCTTTATGATAACGGAGTAACTTATACCGAAATTCAAGAACTTTACAATAAGTCTTCTTCCATGATCAGCTACTTCCACCCAAATCTTTCTGTGGGCATGATTAGAGCCTCTTTGAGCGCCGGCGAAAACGAAATGGCTTTGAACTTGTTCCAAAAACTTTGCGAGGAATCCAGTGAGATGAAATATGGGTACTTGATTGAGACCCATCTCTCTTTCATCGGTGAATGCAAAGATTTGAATGTGGCACAGGCCTTTTTCGACAAAGCACTCAACAACGAAATGCCATACAAAATCGATTTGCAAGTTTCTTACGTGAAGTCGTTTTTGCGTAATATCTGGACTCAGACCCGTGACTTCCAAAAATCGTATGACATATGGTACAAGTCGTCCGTCCACTATGGCCGTGATGTCAATCATGGCATCTCTTCCTCTTTGAACGATACTTTCTTTGACATTTTCTTCGAACATTTTTCTCATGACAAAATTTCCGGGCTACAGCAACTCCAGAAATTGATTGACATTTACAACAACATAAAACCGATTGACGAACCATTTTTCAATATTATTTTGGCCAAGTGTACAGTGTGGCGCGACCGTCAAATTATTGAATCAATTGACAAAGCGTATGAACTTTACCACATTCCGAAAACCATTGTGGCCTACCGTATTCTTTTGAAATCCATGGGCTCGGTCGAGGCCACGAACGCCGAGATCTTCCAACGTTGGTGCGATTTAGTCACGAAATCAGATGAAATCGGACAGTCTTTCATCGCAAATGCCGACTGGGCGGCTTTGCGTGATGCAACCGTGACATGGACCCAACTTTACGATCAAGTCGACAGTTATAACGACGGATACAATGCTGCCATGTTGGCCGCCAATGCTTCTGGAGCTTTTGATGATATTCCCCAGCAACCACACCGCCTACAGGACCAGGATAGACTCAATCTTTATTTGAAAATTGTCAAGCGTTATTCACCTTACTGTCGCGACTCCAGGCAATTAGCGCGGTTGACCTCTGGTACCGCCATTAAATACCCTATCTTGCAGGACGCTTTGAGCACATTCAATTCGATGGACGTCAGCGACATTTTTGTCCCTCACTTTAAAAACCTAAGACATAATTAAAGGAGGACTTGTGGGCTGACAGATTTCTTTACGCCACATATATTCATGATTTATTAGGCTGATATTATAAACGAAGGAATAATATAATGTATAGTAGTTAACATTTTTTTATTGGGTTAAGTCCTATGGTGCCGTTCTCAAAATAGCTTCATTTTCAACAACTTGATCCTGATGTCGCACATATGGTTCGGTTACTTTGAGAAGGGGTAAAAAGAGATGGGGCTATGTGCTAGCAAAGAAAATGTCAGGGTTGAACAAAAACCAGCACAGTTGGATCAGAGACGAGGAATTAAACCTGATGCCAAGAGAAAAGCTACCCAAGTTCCGAAAGTTCCCAACGTTAAGAAGCCATCAGCAGCGCATGTAAAGACAAAAGGTCGGTCTCTTGGAGAAGGTCCTAATACTGGCAATACAGTCTCCGCCAGAGAAGCAGCAGGAAAAGCTGCAGCACAAAGATTTCAGGAAAAACATCAAACAAATACCAAAGGTGAGCTCGGCAAAAGACTAGCAGAAGAGAGAGGGAAAAGTCACATGACTCATCTTAAAGAGAGTGCCAGAGACAAACAGAATGAAAGAGATGAGGAACTCGTGTTTGACTGATGACTCCAGCAGGTTAAAATGAAATTATGTATTTTCATGCTTATTATTACACAATAGAGTAACTTTTGCCACTTTTGACAGTTCGGATTAGGTCTTTCTTTGACGCTTCTTTCACTTTTTCTTGCAATAATTCGATAGCTAGCCTGACGTCTTTTTCATCTGGAGCCTCGATAAGTAGGTACAATTTTGGCTCTTCTTTCTCGGTCTTAGGATTCTGTCCATCCGCATAATATTTGCCTCTGTTCGTTATACTGCACGCCGTCTCTTGCTTTATAGACATAAGGGTCGTATTTTTGGTTGTTTCCCATCTGACCAGCTGGGGTAAGTCGTTGACGTTTACTTCAGCACTGTAAGTCACCGAATTATCTGGATTTCTATTCTGCAAAAATTTGTATTGCAGTGTAACGGAAGTGCTTTCGCCACCAGCGGTAGCATCGGAGCCTTCTGTTGCAGGAGTGTCACGCCTGTTATGTTGTTCCGGACCCATTTCCTGCATCTCTTTAACTAGCTTTTGTTCCTTGACCATTTCCATGTGATCTAGCCCTTTACCACCGAACCCCTTACCCAGTCTAAACTTCCCAGAATTCATACCATTTTCGAATTTACTGCCCATTTCGATTAACTTGAATTTAGTGTACTCATTATGCGTTTCAATTTCCTCCTCTCTAAATGACTTCTTTAAAATATAAGCAGCATTTAATTCATCACTGAGAAGCAAAGTCACTGTTATCCCGCTTTTCGTTCCCCGGGCAGTCCGCCCCGCCGTGTGTACATATTGAGCAAAAGTCTTTACCGCGTTGTATATCACCACAAGTGACACTTCTGGCACATTCAGCCCACGAGAGAGGACTTCGGTACAAAGCAGGATGCCATTACGGGTTTTCTTGAATTTTTCCAAACTTGAGGCTCTCTCAGCATATGGTTTTCCTGCATGGATGGCATATGTCGTTATTCCTCTCTCTTCTAAACGAAAATATATCAAATCGCAAATTTGTTGACTTGAGACGAAGATAATTGTCTTATCATCAACATCCTCCAAGTCCGATCGTTCTTTAATACTATTTTCGCGACCTTCCAGTATTGATAGCAAACCCTGGAATTTCTCTTGGTCATCATTATAGATGGCAACCTTTTGCTTTATATTCTCGTTGATCAGGCTCTTAGAGTTGATAGTAATGGTGATCGGATCATTCAGAACTCTCATGGCAAATGACCTGAGTTTGGACGGAAATGTGGCACTGAATAGCACGCATTGCTTATCCGGCCGTATAGTTTTCATGATCTCAGTAACCTGAGGTTCAAATCCTAAATCGAAAAGCCTGTCAGCCTCGTCCATAACAACGAATGTAATACGCTTAGTATCGAGTAATCTCCCCGAATTAAGTGTGAGCAGGTCAATAAAACGCCCAGGAGTCGCGACAACAATCTCTACGCCTTTTTTAATCTCATGTATTTGGCGTTTCATTTCCGACCCGCCAGTGCAGCAAATCGACCGCTCGCGATGCGAGATTCCGATAAATTTTTGGACTTCTTCATGAATTTGAACAGCTAATTCACGTGTCGGTGCTAAGATCAACCCCAGTGGACCAGTTTCGTCATGTCCAAGCGGTCTAGCAGCGCGAATTTGTCGGAGAAGAGGTAACAAAAAAGACACAGTCTTCCCAGAACCCGTTTTGGAAATTCCTATAACATCTTGACCAGACATAATCGCTGGAACAGCCTGTGCCTGTATAGGCGTAGGTGAAGAGAAATTTAGCTTTTTGGTGATAAGATCCATGATATCTGAGGTAAGGCCCAAATGGGACCATTTAAAAACAGGTCGCGGACAGTTTTTGCCTCTAATTTTGACGTTATCCAAACTCAAACGCATATCTTCAACTTCTTCTTCCGTCATCGCAGATATCTCTTCTGGCTCGGTATAAAAAGTTCTGACAAACGGTTCTAACTGTGCAGAGTTGAAGTTGAGATTCCTAACTTTCTTCTTCCTGTTTTTCTTGAATTGCGACTGAATCCCATCACCGTAATTCTCAAATTCTTGTCCATTCTCATGATACTCATCAGAATCGCTATCGTTATGGAATTGGACTAAGTTATCACTCTCATTTCGGGAGTTCTGCATACTACGCATAAAAGCGTCCAACGAATCTTCCCCCCGTTTTGCATTTACTTTTTCACCTGCAAAGTTTGTTTCGACTTCGTCAGCGCCAATATCCTGCGTTTGATCTGGTCGGAACAGTTTTACATTACGGTCATCATCATCGTCATCGCTATCCTCAAACGTCACTCGTTTTCGAGTGCGCTGATTTTCAGGCCCACTCCAAGCCTCCCCTTCACCCTTCCTACGTTTAAATCTCTCCAGTTTAGCCTTTTTGGTCACCGATCCATCCTCTATTCTATCAACAGATTCTGTCTTGTTAGTAACCTGTTGTTTCTGCGATTCGGCCTTAGCTTTCTTCTGTTTCCATTTGTTTCTCCTCTCTTGCAAAAGCCTTTGCTTCTCTTTGGAACTTACTCCTTCCATGACCCTCTAAAGCTGCCTATTGGTGTCCTATTGGCCCCGTATTGGTTTTATTAGGTCTTGTTGGTGGTAAGTATCCAGGCTAATTATTTCAAAATTACTTCATTTACTTGACCTTTGAACAGTGAAAGTGAAGAAGCCACGAAACCACGAAACCACTTGACGATGAGCCTGAGACCTGAAAAGCCAGTATGGATGTCCCAGGAACAATATGATTTGCAATATGGCTCAGTTCAAGAAGCTGAGCCCAGGAGAAGGCCCATTAAACCCGGTAAAACAAACGACGCGATGACGGATGGCTCTAATGATGGCAACAACGAAACGACCGAAGGGTCTGAAACTGCGAGAGATGCGGAAGAAGAGGCTAAAAAACCGCAGTTTAAACTTCAGAGACGTAAAAACCAACGACACGATGCCGAGGATCGGAGAAAGAAGCACCAATTGCAGAAGTTACGTGAAGATCAAATCAAAAAACATGAAATTGAGATGACTGCGAAAAGGATGGTGAATGTCGATAATATTGTTCGAGAGCATTACAACGAACGTACATTTATTGCCAAAAGACGAAAAAGACATTTGTCTCCGATCATTAAGTTGAGAAACTTCAATAATGCCATTAAGTATATGCTGATTGATAAATACACCAAAGCGGGTGATGTCGTTTTGGAATTGGGCTGTGGGAAAGGCGGGGATTTGCGGAAATACGGTATGGCCGACATTTCACAATTTATTGGAATTGATATATCAAACGCTTCCATTTTAGAAGCACAGAAAAGATACTCTTCAATGGGGAATTTGGGTTATCAAGTCATTTTAATCACAGGCGACTGCTTTGGAGAATCGTTAGGTGTCGCTGTCGAACCTTTCAAAGAATGCAGATTCCCATGCGACGTTGTTTCTGCTCAATTTTGTTTGCATTACGCTTTCGAGTCTGAAGAAAAAGCCAGAAGAACGCTGCTCAACGTTACCAAGTCGCTCAAAATTGGAGGATATTTCTTTGGCACTATACCAGACTCTGAGTTTATTCGCTACAAATTAGGGAAATGTCCCAGGGACGTCGAAAAGCCATCATGGGGCAATTCAATTTACAAAGTTACCTTCGAAAATAATGATTATTTGAAAAACGACTATGAGTTTTCGTCGCCATATGGCCAAATGTACACCTATTGGCTGGAAGATGCCATCGACAACGTCCCAGAATATGTTATTCCTTTCGAGACTCTTCGTAGTTTGGCAGATGAATATGGGCTTGAACTCGAAGCCCAAGTGCCCTTCAACAAGTTTTTTGTCAATGAAATTCCACATTGGATGGATAAGTTTTCGCCTCGCATGCGCGAAGGATTACAGAGATCTGACGGTAAGTACGGCGTCGAAGGTGAGGAAAAAGAAGCCGCGTCCTATTTTTACGCAATATTTGCATTTAAAAAAGTGAAATGATGCCAGCTTAGATCTGATAGTTGATTATTATTCACCCGGTTTTTCATAGAGCAGTAGTGACGGTCATTGACTTCGAGTTTATAAGCATTGTCGGTGGCAGACCAGCTAACCATAGTTCCATATTTTGAGCATACTCGAGACTTGCAGATTCATTTGCATGAGTGTTGAGCGCCGGAAGTGGAAGCGTAGAGAATATCAAATCTGATGATCTAGAAACTTGAAACATTACGTCATTCAATATGAGATGCTGGGCTCTGCTTGGAATGTTGTTGAACGATAAGCTTTGTAGCTCATTCATGAGAGTTTCAGATGATTGACGAGGAGAAAGAGTTGGAAGGATCGGATTTTTGTCAGTATTATTCTGTTTTCCGTTAACATGATCATTTTCAACAATGGGGATAAGAGAAGGCTGCCCGCCGGTTGCATCTTCTATGACTTTAGTCTTAGGAATTGCATCGCTGGAAAATACAGGCATTAATGAAAGCACTGACTGCGCATCAGAACTTTTAGTAGTTGCTTTTTTCAATGCACTGATGTTACTCTTGGGAGGAAGACCTTGCTGCTTCGTCTTGTTGGCACTTAAAAGGGTCGAGGATGATCCCATTGTAGTCGAATTATTGTCTTCCTCATCCTCCTCATCCTCTTCATCAGAAGAAATCGGGAATTGGTAGTTATCATTAGGAACACTGGAGGTCATTGTCATAGAAACACCCAACCGTTGCAGCTTCGATACATTGTATCGCACCGAGTTCCGTCGAGTAAGTCGCGGAACTGAAATTGTATTAGGCTCGACACTAAGGAAACGACGATCAGACCTATGTGTTGTTCTAGCCTCCTTGAGTTCGGACCACCAGCTGTCGCCTTGCAACTTAATGTCGACTTCTTTGATGCCAACCGGGTCACCCTTGACAATGGTATTGTAAATTCTGAAACTATCGAGAGACAAGACGAGAAGCTCAGCATCTATCCTCAAGATTGACAGAAGATTGCGCACTTTTTTGGTTTCCTCATACTTTTCTGAGGCATCCTCAACAAAAACGGCGACACGAAGTGTGTGTGTTCGCTTCCAGTCAGGCACAGTGATTAGAATTGCTCCCAACTGTAAAATAAGAGTGTATGTGTCGAAATTCGTGGTAGTGATCCCACCGGCTGTCTCATCATTCAGGGTCATCGTTGCTGACATCTGAATTGGGTACAAGTCGATAAATCGCTTTCCCTTTCCTTTGCTCTTTGAGCTTTGACTGGGCAGATTGAGGTTTTCGAAATCGTGGGCAACTGCTATATTACTCTGCATTAGAGATAAATCCTCAATAATTTGAACCCATTGCTGAATGGTGATCTTTCTTTCATTCTTGCATTCATCAGTGGGCAATGAGCCCAGCTCAGGAGTCATTTCGATGGATATATCGCCTTGGTCGGTGCGGCTACCCCTCATGCATCTTAAACTCTGAGAGTTTGACTCAGATCCATCGGCCTTCTTATTCTTAGTTTTGTAGTGGTTCGCCAAATCGAAAAAGCCGATGACAGTGATGTTGGGCTTCATACCACCCAAACCTGAACCCAAGAAGACATTTCTGACTCCCCACGCTAAAGAAGTCCCGGTTCCGATCTGAACAAAGGCCTTGATATGTGCCATATCTCTTATCGTCATCCAAGCCTTTGTTTGTTTGCGGAACTCAGAGTATTCCGACTGGAAATTCTTCCCCACGGTGACATGTCCAAGAACGTAAAGGCCGCCCTTCTTCAGATGATTACAGAATCTGATCAAATTCCAACTTGTTCTAGGGTTGTCGACTAGAAGCAGAATCTGTGGTCTCCAATATTTTACATTATCCTGACGTAACCTCAAAAGATATTTGCGAACCTGATGGTAAATGAGACCTTGGGAGACATCTCCCCAGGACCTGGGGGGAGAATAAAAATGAATAACAATAAAAATAACCGAGATTGCCATGATAACAACAGAAGCGGAAATCCCATCTACCACAAACATGGCAATTATCGATAAAATGGCTCCCATTAATGCTGTGAAACGGTCGAAGTATTTGAATGAGGGCCTAAAATTTGGCGCTGCCGAGAGCTCAAGCAAAAAGCAAGCCAAATTCATCACGACAAAAGTTACAAGAAACGTCATCGTGATGAAAGTCGCAATTCGATTAACGTCGGAAAATAAACAAATCTGAGTGAGAAGCCACGAGAAAAGGATACAGTAGTTCGAATTTTTTTGGAAAATCGAGAGACCGGGAAGGATGGAGTCCTTCGCTATAGCTTCTAAAACATAAGCTGCTCCGACAATCCCAACAATAACTGAAAACAAAGAAGTCGAAAGCTCACCAATTAAAATAAGTATCTGTGAGGAGCTTATCGTCTGGATAATCTGAACATCCCTGTAGAGCGAATCACGGGGTACACAAAGTCCCACAGTCCCTATAACAATCGTGTAACAAGTAAATGTCAGAAGTAGACCCCACAGAGTTCCCTTGGGAATCGATTTTGAAGGTTGCCTTAATTCGCTACTCATTCCTGCTCCTGCAAAAATTCCAGCCGTTGCAGGAAAGAAGATTCCAAACAGATCATTGAAATTTTCTTTTCCCTTCAAAACCGAGCCAGCGGCTCCCTTGGTGAGATGTGGAAACAAGTTTTCTTTCAAGGTTTGGAGAGAGGGGCCCGTGTATGTAATCTCGTTGTCAAAAAAAGGTGCCCGCAGTAAAGATGAGACCGGAATTGAAATAGTAGCAAGTAGAAGAAACCAGAAAAGCACCTTTCCAGCCCGTGAAACCATTGCTGACCCGACTATAGCAATAGTCAAGCAGAGAAGTAATACTACCGAAGCATAAGCGAATTCGTGCCAATAACCACGACTCAAAAGTGGGAAAAGTGAAGGAGTTTCTGAATCAATTTTAGAACCAAAATTGTAAAGTAACGGTTCGATTATACCAACCGCATTCATACCACTATTGAGGATTTGACCCATGAAAAAAACCAAGCCAATGGAACCTCCAAATTCGGGGCCCAGACTTCTGGATATCATGTAGTATGCACCGCCACCTCGCACGGTGCCATTCGCGGCAATTGCCGAAATACTCAAAGTAGTAAGCAAATTGATGGCATAACTCAATAGTAATAAAACTAAGGTACCAATAACACCCATTTGCCCTATAATAAAACCGAATCGCAAAAACATAAGAATAGATAGAACGTTTAGAGTCGTGGGGACAAATACACCATCGTACGTCCCTAATTTCTCATCATCTTGATTATCTTCATCACCGCTGAGCGACACTGTGGCATGTCGAGTTGCTGTTGTGGATCCATAATCAAAATAACTTAAACTTTCATTTCGACCTCTAAAATTATTTCGTTCACCCTCATGCTGCGCAGGTTTGTGCGAACCAGGGAGATCAAAGAATTTGGACATAAAACAGTCCTAACGTTTTCGAATGTCTCGCAATTCCTTATCGATGCAAAACTCTACCGTTATATGATAAATCTTGTCCTTCGCAGCAATAAAGCGCAACTTTGAAAGTGAAAGTAAGGGGAAGCTCACCTTAGGAATTATCCTAGAGAGACAGGTTCAGTCCAAAACTGATTCTTATAGAGCCGCTTTTTATATATTTGAAGGCATGGTTTTCCAGAGAGATTATTGAATGGAATAGAAATTTAAACTGTCTTGAAAATATTTAAGATTGTCAGATTAGAAACTCATCTGATCAACTTCAAGACGAATCAAGTCAACGACAGTAAATGGTTGGTCAACAACGAAAGATAATCGAAATAAATGGTGATAATGAGAAAATAATATTACCTATTGTCAAATTTCCCCCGTTTAGATTGCGATCTGCTATGATCGAAAAAGATCCTGTCGTCTGGGTACATCTGCTAGAAACTTATAACAAATATATGCATTTTTTGCTTCGCGAGAATAAACTGAATGAAATCGATGAAAAGACTTATTTGGATCTGTGTGGTCTGGTCAAAAGTTACCTGCATGAATTGTCGGACGAAGAAGGCAAACTTTTGAGTTTGGGCATGAATGCCGAAGTCATACAACAGTTGAAGTTGTTAAGAGCGTTTATGTTCAATTTGATTCAAAGGAAAGGGCTTTTGGGCCTTAATGCGACTCCTGGGATGACATGGGATTTCGTGAGACTTTACGTTCGTGATAATGTGAGTACTGTGCAATCGTTAGTGGTCGGAAATGTTCAACAGGAGTCCAGCCCGCAGACGACACAGATAAGTCATGTCTTTCAAGTTCATAAGCGTCTTAGGGAGTTGGTGGAAAGTGAAAAATTTACTAGAGTTGACCTAAAGGCGTTGGAAAGTTTGCTCGCAAACGATGAAGGCAATAGAGAGCTGTTTGCAGATTCTTTTCTGACCGTTAAATGGATGGAAGGGCTTGAAGATTGGTTTGCACAAGGAGCAAGCAAAAATAATGATTTAGCAAGAAATTTGGCGGTACTATCGTATCTGTCCGCTTCAGAGACCCGAATAGCGGCAGCTGCGGCTGAATGCCATATACGAAGCGCAAAGGATCTTGCACAATACCCGCTTTTTGGATGTATTGTGACATGCGAGGCCTTTAGGTTACGAAAGCCACTGTCTTATCGTCTGAGCTTTATTCCAGAAGATTCGCCTTTGACGGATTTTTCTGCGGGCATAGAATTGGTTAAAGAAGTGTTTCCAGCTCTAGCCGATGACTTGGTGCGAAGACTACTCGAAAAACATGAAGGTAAGGTTGAGTTGGTAATAAATGATCTGTTTGAGAACCCATCTCTTGCAAGAGAGTCTGAAAATATGCAAGCAAAGGATGCTTCGGATACAGTATTTCAGGAAGACTTGAAACCTGAAGAACAAATCAGTAAGGACAGCGCGATGAAACAAGATGGAGCAGTTCCGGACGAGGCCCGTAATCGACTTTTGACAAGAACTCTCAAATTGCTTTACAAGGCCGACGAGGACGAAAGAGACGATACCTACGACGAAGCTGACGTTCAACACAAGACAAGTGAAGACGCCGAAGGTTCTAACGTTAAAATGGTATCAGAAACCGACAAAATCGAGGGTCGCCTCTGGAATCTTCTCAAAGAGAACAAGAATCTTTTCGAGAGATCTGCTCGGGGCTCGAAAGCTAGAAAAGGTATAAAGCAAGAAATATCCTGGTCTGATGAACAGATTGAGGGCTGGGCTAGAATGATAGAAAGAAGCCCTCAACGGGCTCAAATCCTGGAGGATAAATATACGTTTCGCGGCAACTTTCGATCAGGCAAAAAAAGTTTCAATCAAAAACGTTACGATCAGACAGTTGAGCAAACTCCAGGTGAGCCATCTGACAGACAAATGACTCCGAAAGTAGCTTCTCCAGCCCGTCCCAACAACAAAGAACAGCAGAGGCGGCAAAATGCACGAAACGAAAAGAATAAGGCAAATAGGGCTAATCACAACCGAAAAAATGCCCGCGATAAAAAAACCGCCAAAGCTACTGTATAATTGTATTATGTAAATTTACAAGGCTAGGTCGACGCGGTTCTTGGCTTGTTTCTCTTTTTGTCATTGTCCTGAAGGCGACCCCACATTTCTTCGTCATCCTGTTTGTCTTCCTCCTCTGTCAGCTTGTTGACACTTCTCTTTTTGCTGTATTCAGGCCCATCACTGGGGTATGGAATCGGCTCATCATCTAGCATGATCACTGAGTTGACTTTTGAACCAATATATACTTTCGTAACGCATTTTCTAGTCTTCAGATCGAATATCCGCACGTAACGATCAAGACCACCTTCCAAAACATATTTGTTTTCGTGAACGCTTACGAACGTGGCACAACCTGTGACATCTCCAGCGCCTATCTTGCCGAGGAGCCTTGCGTTAGAGTCAAATTGATAGATATTTTTCTTAGAGTCTGAAGCAAGAAACGAAAGTTCTTGTGACAATTTGGCGCGTATGTTACCTGCAGTGGTAATAGCGGAGTGGCACATCGCCATTTGTGGCGTAAACTCAACCTTCTCAACTAAACTTTTCGATAGCAAAGGTTTCCTGCCGTGTAAAGTTTTGTAAATTCTGAATTGTCCGTAGCGTGTCAAGGTGACAAATTCGAAATCACACTTTTCCTGACTCTTGCGCGCGTCATTTTCACTTGAGGTCTCAAAAAACCTCAGTTGCGTAGGCCAAATGGGAACTTTCAGATCCAGGCGATCGTTCTTGACATTTTTGGCCTCCCAAACTGTCTCCAGTTTAGAAAACCGCGAAATAAGGCGGCAAATTTTAACCAAATTCTCTTCTCCACCATAGGCAAATGTAAGAGTTTTCGAGTTGCGACCCAAGTCATACACTTGGGCAAAATCTAGAGGCCCTTTCACCTCGTGGGATGCTAGTTTGATCAGTTTATCATTTTTTACCTCGATTACATGTACCATCCCAGATTTTGTCGCGCACAACAAGACGTTTTGTAAGGGATGTGCCACAGAAACGCTGCAGAAACCGTCGTAGGGCCGAGACCTCTTTTTAGATCCTTTATGAATGTCTATCATCTTTGCCTCGTTGAAAAGCCCTTCCAATGATGACTCTATATTCAGTTTTTTGGCTTTGATGTCCATCTGCTCACCCTTTTCGGTGAGAATCGCACTGTTCTCGTCTTCAGAAATTTTCACCAGCTGCAACTCCCCATTTGCTCTCGCAGCGACCAATCTGTTGCCGCCCTCAAGTAGAGTCATGATCTCTACTCGCTGCCTGAAGCCCTCGGACAGATGTTGATCTACAAACGACGGTTGGCGCGCATTTTGTACTGAAGTATCAGAACCTTTTTCGCATAGCACCTCCTTTATTGACCCAGAATCTTCGCAAGCCACCAAAAGCCTCATTGAAGGATTATTTTGCCGCGTTTTGATCAATCTATTGTACGCGATGAGCTTGAGATGAGCTTGAACTCGTCAAATTTTCACGCCGTATTTAACGCTATGGAACCGTGGCACTAAGAACGAATCTACAAAAGTGAACTGAGGCACAGACAGTACATTAAAGAGACAATGGCCCAATCAAAGATCAACTATGTCATGAGATAACTCAATCACTTCTAAACTAGATTACACCGCAGCGATAATTCGCCAAAATAGTTATGTTCGTACATTGTGACTGATATTGGCAAAGAATCAATTTCATTTTCGTTGCTGATTTGGTTCAATAGCAAATTCCTTGATAAGCAATAAATAGCGCTGTTTTGAACTGTTCTGAGGACGAATCCAAGAATCCATCATTGTAATTTACGGATCTGATATTTGGTAAACCTAATCACTTTGAACGGAGAAGACAAAACTTGAAGTGATAAATAATTGATAGACAGCAAATCTGAACGCCGATTTGGTCTCTCGATAGGCCACCGTCTTCTCCAGTTATTGCATCGTCGTATATTGGCCGCACTTGCGACGTGTTTTTGTTGATTTCTTGCGAAACTATGGAAACGATAAGCACTATTGACGGTCGGATTCGATCCAGTAGATTTCAGCGCTAATAAAACATGATAAATGACGACTGGCGTAGGTTCATGAGATACAGTCTTGGACTCGTCATCAATCAGCTGGACCCTATGATTCCTGAGGATATAAACGTAAGAGTTTGTTTGACCGAGAAAATTTTATTGTTGTCATAATTACTGTAATGTCATCTGTTTTTATCACCAATACTTATTGAAAAGGCCACTCAGTGTATTTATGACAACTTCAATCACTTCATAATCAAAATTCCTCCGAAGGCCCCCATTGGAAACGGTTTAAAGGCGACGTAGTGACTTCATTCGGAGCCTCCTCGGTTAAGGATTCAGCTGTTAAAATACTTGATGAAATAGTTAGTCGTAGCAGGAATTACTCGTAGATCTCTCAAGTCGACTCACTCAAAAGCTCAATTACATCGACATTAGTTGGCAATGGACCATCTGTATCAATTGGTCTCTAGTGGTCCCCATGCTGACACTTTCAGCTCTTCGTTCAGTATGTCATGTGTTGATTACTTCGACATTAACATCAAGAAATTTCATATAGGGGCCCCTCATATTAGCTCGACACTTCTATTTATCAAACACCATCACAAAAACATCCCTAGCGTTAGTCGAGAGTCTCCTAATGTCTCAATCAATTGTTGCCAATTTCAAACTCGTAAAGGGTCCAATTTACTCTCACTGCTTCTCGCAAGATAAGAGGCTTCTTGCCATAACGTTTGGTACCGATTGTTTGGTATACGCACTAAAAGCCCAAGGTGCACCTGTGCTTGTTGCAACTTTGCCCGATCACGACAAAATTGTCACTGCGGTTGATATTTCGGTGCATGGTCGTATTGTGACATGTTCACAGGACAGGAATGCTATCGTTTGGGAACCAATCAGCGATGGATCTTACAAACCTACACTTGTTTTACTGCGTATTAACAGAGCTGCGACGACAGTTAAATGGGCTGCAAACGGTTATAAGTTTGCAGTGGGATCGTCAGCTAGAATCATCGCCGTGTGTTACTACGAGCAGGAAAACGATTGGTGGGTTTCTAAGCATATAAAGAAGCCAATCAAGTCTACGATTAGTACCGTAGCATGGCATGAAAACGGAATTTTGCTCGCCTGCGGCGGTACTGACGGATACGTTCGTGTGTTCTCGGGCTTCGTGAAAGGTTTGGACTCCAAAGCGCAGGCTGCAGGGTCTCCTTGGGGCGACAAGTTCCCGTTTGGTGCATTAGTGCATGAATGGTACCATGGCGCATGGATTCAAGATGTAGAATGGCGCAGTTCGCTCGAGAAACTCGCGTACGTGGCGCACGATGGTTCCTTGAACGTGACGGACTCTACGGGCGCCCGTTTCTCGACTTTCTCACCCGAGGGATTGCCATTCTTGGCCCTCACGTGGATCAATGACCATGAGATCCTCTGTGGGGGTTACTCATGTCACCCTGTGCTCTTCACAGAGGGGTCCAAAGGCTGGCAATTTTCGGCAAACTTGGATAAGGCGGGACCACAGCCGAAAAGCCCCTCGACTGCCGGTTCGGCAGGAAACGAGGACTCCTCAGAGGATCTTCCCTTTGGTCTTTCTGCGCTGCAGAAATTCAAACAGTTGGATCTTAAGGGTAAAGTCACGACCAGCGTGCAAGACACCACCCACGAAAATGCCATTGCAGGGTTAGCTCCTTTCAAATCCACCAACGGAAGCGTCACAGAAGTATCATCGTGTGGCCTAGACGGTAAGATAATTATCTACAGAGTGTAATCGGAACACTCCAATTAATTACGTTTTCAAAGCTCAACGTACATATAAGATCTGTGTAGATACAATCTCATAATCCTCGATCCATCATGCAAATAAATCTACACTTAGTTTCCAACTTCTTTGTTGCGTTGCAAAACAAGCGAATAAACACTTCCCTTAAACAAAGTCCCCACCAATGCTATTTTCACCTCGATTTCACGCAGCCGTCGCAGTACCTGTTCTGGTGACTCGGAGTCCTTGGCTTCTCGCAACATTTTTATACTATCATCCAAGCCATGTAAGCTCTTAGAAAGAGTAGCGTATTTGTCTAGAAGGCTCTTCTGCAGAGGCGTTAGCTCTTCCATGTTGGTGGTTTCAATGGTGTTGATAGTCCCAAGATTTTCGATATTAACATCTAGAAACTAAAATTTAATGTTTACGATAACTGAGAACTTGACGACTTTAAGGGAAAAAATGTCGAATCAACAACAATCCTATACCGTGTGGTCGCCGCAAGATACGGTTAGAGATGTGGCAGACTCTTTGGGGATTACCAACATCAGAGACGATGTACTTAAATCGCTTGCGATGGACGTTGAATACCGGATTCTTGAAATCGTGGAACAAGCAGTGAAATTCAAAAGACACTCTAAAAGAGACACGTTAACCACCGGAGATATTTCTGGCGCCCTGCGGGTTCTTAACGTCGAGCCCCTGTATGGATATCAGGACGGATCAGCGAGATCGAAAAGCATTTCTTTCTCTAAAGCAAGCGGTCAAGGCGGACAAACTATTTACTTTATGGACGACGAAGAAGTTGATTTTGACAAACTGATCAACGAACCTTTGCCTAAGGTGCCTCGTGTTCCAACTTTTTCGACACATTGGCTCGCGATTGAGGGCGTGCAGCCAGCGATTCCGCAAAATCCAAGTTTGAACCACATACGAATGTCACAACCACCTCTCGTGCGTGGGGCCATTGTCACAACCATCAACGATACGAGCTTCCAGACTTCAGTATCTGAAGAGAAAGAGGCACAGCATGTTTCCACGGTCAAGCCTGGTCAAGCCACTGAGGTCAGGCCGTTGGTGAAACACGTACTATCCAAAGAGTTACAGATATACTTCAATAAAGTGGTAGATGCCCTGACTTCTAACGGCCGAGATGAGAAATCTCACCACATGCGGGCTGCTGCACTCACATCTTTAAAATCTGACACGGGATTGCATCAACTAGTGCCGTATTTTATTCAGTTCATTGCTGAGCAAGTTACGCACAATCTGACAGATTTGAGACTTTTAAGCACCATGCTTGAAATGATCTATTCATTGTTAAGCAATCCTTCCGTGTTCCTGGACCCATATATTCATGCATTAATTCCGTCAATTCTGACACTGCTTTTAGCCAAGAAGCTGGGTGGTAATGCCACTATAAGCTCATCTGAAGATTCTTCCAAAGAGAATTCCGCCGAAGAAGTCGAACCCTCCTCTCAATCTCTGGTTAAGAAAAATGCTCTACGAGACTTCGCTGCGTCCTTATTGAAGCACGTTCTTGACAAGTTCCCGAAAATTAACAAGGCACTTAAGCCTCGAGTAATGAGAACTCTCCTCAAAACATTCTTGGACATAAATCGTGTTTTCGGAACTTATTATGGTTGTTTTAAAGGGGTCGCCGTTCTGGGACCAGAATCTGTGAGATTTTTCCTGGGCAATCTTTATAGCTGGTCCAATATTGTTCTAGTGGAGAATAAGTCAAACGGTCAAGAGCTCGTCACGTCGAGACTTAATAAGGTGGAGCACGATATGCTTTGCGACGTAATAATCGACTCGTTGTGTGTTTTGAAGCAAGACTTGCCAGCCAGTCAAACCTACGAGGGTGATCTTAGTGAAAGCGAGAAGGAAAAGCTGGCAAAGAGAATTGGTGCTACTTTATCTGACAAAATTACAGCACGTAATGATGCAAAAGAATTGATGGCTGCCATCTTTTTTGGCGAATGAAGAGAGATATTACATACATGCTTAAGTTGGTTTCCGTAATAATGTACAAATACTATGCAAATGATCCTTGGTAGTGCAAACATTCAGGCTGGTGGAAGCCCGGCTGTCATTCGATGGACCCGAACAAACGCCTGCGGACACGTTTTTTGGCGGGAAGTTGAGGTGACGCTATTACCCAATTTGCCGCTTTTATTCCGGTTCCAGGAACTTCAATCATGTCTCGAGTTGTCTGAGCTTGGCAGCCAGGGGTCGCAGGTGCCGTCCCTATTATTGGGGCCCTTTCGCCTGGAGAATCTTCGTCCCTTGTCAGAGAAACAAGTGGTGACTCAACAACCGTTAGTTTCTTACCGGGTTTAGTCCCACCGACAGGTCCTCCTGGTTTGAAAGGTGTTGCTTGAACTTGAATTGCAGCAGGTTCCTCAATCAAAAACGCTCTCTTCTTGACAGATTGACGCTTCCCTACGCGCTGAAATGACATGGTCTCAGATCGCTTCACTTGAGCTCTACTGTTAACAAGGCCCTCTCTAACTCCCAGTGAGTTTGTCTTGTCAAGCTCTTGGCTTTCAGAAACCAGATCCGTCACTGACAACTGACGCTTCTGAAGCCTCGTGAGCAAAACATCGGAGCCCGCACGATTCGCCTTGATGGGCTTTATCGAAGAAGAATTATCCAGCTGAAGAAGCTCGCCTAACTGCGATTGCGATTTACGTTCTAGCATAGGTGGGTTTTGCGGCAGCGACGATCTGCGCGAGACATCGCCAGAAACGTCGGACGTGGTATCGTGAGCTTCCATGCCGGAAAATGAAGACGCTGACCGAACCAGACTACCTCGCAGCGAGCCATCCTCATGTTTGAACGAACGCTCCGCGATTGCAGATCTCGATCTCCCTAGTTTTCTGTTTGAGTTGAAACTCAAGCCTTTGATTTTTTGTCGGATAAAGCTCACGGCATTAGGAGTTCTCTGAGCGTAATATGGAATCAAAACGCATGTGAGAAAACCTTGAGATGATGGTTCTTTAGTCGGATCTGCCATGCTCTTCGTGTGTTCTTTCAACGTGTCCAATACATCCCCGACAATCGTGTCGTCGTCGCCAGGCAAATGTTCGCCCATGATTTCGGTGCTAAGCATGCTATCAATAATGCAAAGTTTGTCAACAAAAATGTCGACCCTTTCACAAAAATCGAGTTTCATTCTGTCTGCTCGATGTCGGGTTTTCTTCCCCTTCCCCACTCGAATTCGTCTCAGCTTTGCAACGTTCCTCGCTCTCATTTCCATTCTTTTTTTATACTTGACCTCGAAATTGTCGAACTGGGTATCCATCCTGTTAATGTCAATCAACTCCAGTAATAAAATAATCTGTAACTTAATTTCTTTTGCCTTGATCACATCTGACAAAGCCAAAATTACTGGTTTTGGTGGCTTCGCGCTTATACCGATACTAGCCAAAGCTTTCCGCCGTTGCTCTTCTATCATGGGCGAGCCAAGGCTAGATGCTACGAGATCATGTCCTGCAGTGTCATGCCGCATATCGAATTCATCTATAGTTAAAGTCATGCGAGACAAGACCACTTGTAGGCTCAAGTCACTCTCAGGGCTGGTGCTCGCACTTTGACAGAAATTTCTCACTTTGACCATCGCTGATTTTACAAAATACGCGATGGGCAGGGAAAGCGCGAAAACGTTCTCATAGTATTTTCGTATTAAATATTGCTTAGGATTCTCAAAGCCAACCTTTTTAACCATCCTCTTTTTATTCCACGTGGTAACTTGAGACTTGTTTGGTGGTTTGAGGTCAAGTTTACCAGCTATTTCATTATCTTCGACAATATGGCCCGCAGGGTCTTCATTCCACAAACCCAAAAGTTGAATGTTTTTCTTTCTCTCCCACTCTCGGATATTACTGGGGTATTGTTCGTTATCCTTCTTTCGATATTCTGTGGTATCATTCAAAGATAGAATATCGACCCGCGATAGCCTCCATCTTAACCATTTTTTGCACGCATACCTTTCAAGCACATAAAAAGACAGCTCGCCTTCGGAGTTTGTTTCCTTCATGACATGTTTGATCCACGAGTCACAATTCCTGATTTTCGAGAGTACATGTTTAGGCAGCTGAGCTTCACTAAGAATCTCCGGTAGTTCATTGACATTGATGCTATTCGAAGGTAGATTCGCGGTTGATCCAACTAAGTCTGGCGTTATTGCGTCATCACACATCCAGAACAGCTCTAAGTCCGGATCTTTGCTGGATAAAAGTCTCCTATTCTCGTACACATCAAAATCAAGTTCCATCTTGTTCGTCGACATGAAGATGGTTCTGTTAATTTCATCATCAACACACCCATGCACCACACTTGATGTCGATGGTTATCCATTCACTAGAAAAGAAGTTAGATATTCTCTTGACAGAAGAGAGTCGTCATTCACAAGGTTTTCAGTGATGTAACTCACCTATGTTTGAAAAGCCGCGGGCTGGGTAATTATTTGTCTTTTTCCAGCGTGGTTTGGGCCTCTTTCTAGTAAGGAAACCTCAAAACCACGTAGAACCCTTTGACGATAAATGAGACACTAGATCCCCGAGGGCCTGGAATACAAATTATCTTGTCTCTCTTTAGGCAAGTTTTGGGACAGCTTGTATCATCTGATTCTGTTTTTAGGAAAGTTTTTGGTAAGACAATTATAACCAGGCGTCTATTATTTCAAAGCAGCTTTCCAGCTCTTCTGACTTGTTCATTTTGCTTGTCAGCTTCGATTTTATTGTTTATGAGAAGCACGGCTGTATGGCTCGCCATTGGTGTGCCCTTTATGGTTATCTTGCGCTCGACGCATCCGTCTACACGGTCATCGATTTGAATCGAGCAACCAGTGCTTTCTTTAATGGAATTTATATGCTTGCCTCCTTTCCCTATCACATTCCCCACGTAGGCATCGTCGATGTAAATTTCTTGCTGAACCATAGATATCTGCGGAGTGCCTGCGGCGGGGATAGTAGTTGTAGCTAAAGCATCGGCAAAACGCACATTGCTTATATTGAGGGCAGCTGCATACCCTTGAAATGTCGGCACTGAGGTGTAAGCGTAAGGGTAGTTTGGTTGCGCCGATGGCCTGTATGGTCTTTTCCTATGCTTCTCGCCGGGTCTATATTGATGTTGTTGTTGATGGTGAATTCCGGCACCATAACTGTTATCCAACACTGAATGAAGAGCATTGGGTTGGTAAAATATGCATTTTTTGTATGCGAATGTACTTTGGTGGTTTATAATTGTTTGTCCGACGTAGTAAGCGGCAATATGAACGGCGTCCGCGACGCCGTTGATGCACAAAATCCGATCGTTGGAGAGAGGAAGCGTTTCGGGGCCCGCTACAAGTTTAGCAGCACTCAGATTTTCAATCTCGCGCAGTCTAGAGCCCTGACGACCTATTACGCAGCCCATCATGTGATGTGGGATTAAAATATTGACCGTCATCGCCACCGACTTTTCATCAGACTTACTGCCTTCTTCTTCTTCATTTATGGCCCGAACTATCATGCCAAAGACTTTGGCTACGTCTTCGCAACGTCCCCTGACGTAGATGACCCGCTCCGAAATGCCTCTGATATTGTCAGAAACGTTGATTCGCGTGTTGGATTCTGCTTTCATTCTAGTAATCTTCTCGCCCCCGGGCCCCACAATCATTGAAGCCTCTTTAACAAGACATAGCATCCGCAAGTGAATGTAGTCGTCATCTCCTGTTTTCTCGTTTTCGTCCTCTACACGTTCCTCCGCTTCAACGTCTTCCAACGCTACTCTCTTAATTTCAGCTTCTAGCGATTCTTCGTGGCAATCTTCCTGTTTCCGTTTCAATACGTTGGAAGCTTCCAGTGGCCCTTTCAACGCTTCGTCTTTCATCGTTCTTGCTTAGTACTGAACACAAGTATAGGCAACCACCGGGAGAATCTCGTTGAAAAGTCAATTAGGTATAAAAATATGGCTCTCGATACTGGCAACGATGGGGATCACCGCCTTCAATGGTTTTTAAAAATGGGTTTTCCTTCACTATCAATATATGCCTAGCTAGCGTTTTTCTATTTGATTAACTTTTCTTACTTTGATCAACTACCCTATAAACCCAAGTTTAGGTAACGATACAAACCCATAGCAGCAATGATCTTGATCCGCTTTGTGATGAATTGGATTTTACTATGTCTGAAGTTGTTTTGGTGGTATTTTTAATGAATCTTTACTTAAAGCATATGGCTTACGTTGAGTCAACTACCGCTGTCATTAGTGAGCTCTACACTGGACAAGGGACTCTTTTCCTTTTCAATTCACGGTAAAATTAGCACTGGAAGCCGGCAACTAACGGCTAATTTCAATTGGGCTCGCATAATAGCTCTATTGTCCGGATTATCAAACAACTGTCCGCATATTGTTAAATGGCAACTGCTTCACGAACTACAGTCAATTTAACGATAAAAGTCTTGCAAAATAAAACTGAAAGCTGTAAAAATGTTGAAGGAACTGCTCGAAGGTCATCTTGAACCTGCCAAGGCCCCAACTATTTTTTTTCGATGTTCTTCGGATCCTTGTGATTATTTACCAACATCCTCACACTACGTACTTTCAAGTTCAACCTTTACTGAACACTCATCGAGAAACGTTTTACTGACAGAACAGCTTAAAATGGACGGGAAAAGAGATTCTAACACTGGCCGAGAACTTTTTGACGAGTCTCAATACAATGAGGAAGATGATCAAGATTTTGTGCTGGAAGATGGCGAGCAGGTTACAGCAAATGTTGGATCTGATATTGATGATGAAGACGATTACGAGGAAAATGGTGGTGAAGATGATTCGGCCAAACGTCAGAAGGTCAACTACTCTTCTATTGAAAACGAACAAGGTGGATTGATTAAGACGAGATATGCCCGGAAAGTCGAGGAAGAACTGGGCAGGAAACAGAAGTACGAATGTCTACGAGGTGAGGGTGTTAGTGAAGAGACGAACAATATATGGGAAGACTTGCAGCGAGAGAGCCGAAACAGAAGCCAGAAAAGATCATCTATAATGAGTTTGCAGCCGATATCAAGTACTGATGCGCTTATGGGAGAAGAGCAGGTTTTGATAGAACGCAGCTTTAAGTTTGCCAACGAAGTGGTGCACGAGAAGAAATGGGTTCCTAAATCCAGTGCTGGAGGCTATGAGTTTTTAAGAACTCAAAAAGCGAAGAATTCAAGAGATGTGAACGAGGTCAAGAAAGCTACAAATGACTACGGTATGACTTTGAGGCGACCTTTGAAAAGACCGCCTATACTTGAACAAATCATAGCAGGCGCTTTGAAGCCGAAGTTGACAACACTTGAGAAATCGAAGCTTGATTGGGTTGCGTACGTTGACAAAGAAGGTATTAATGAGGAACTGACGCTACACAACAAAGACGGTTATTTGGCTAAACAAGACTTTTTATCGAGAGTCGAAACTTTTAAAGATAATCAGTACAGGGAAATGAGAAGAAAGCAAATACAACAAAACGATTAAAAACCAGTCTATAAATGTGGTACGTTTAAGCTCGTGAAAATCATGTTGAAAATGCTGCAAACTCCCTCGCCAAGAACAAGTCCTGAACTGAAGACGATCATACTCGTCTTCGCCGAACCGTCCCTGGAATGCGTTCTGAGCCAGTAATGGGCCACACACCCTCCAATAAACCTGGCTATGGTAAAGCTTGGAGAATTATAAACGCCAACTCCTACTGCGACTCCTGAAGGTAGCAATACAAGCCAGTCGAAACCTTTATCGCGGTAAATGTTCTTTACGAGTGAAATAATTGCCCAAATAGAACCCAAAATGATTGACGTCTCTACCGCTTTTTCAGGTAATCCTTGTCCCGTCACCAGTCTTGCGCAGTCGATCCAAATCGCGGCTGTCGGAATCCTAAATTGCGTGCTCGGTATCTCATAGACGCGATTGTAGAAAATGTACATGATGCTCGATAAAAAAATTGACCATGTAGCTCCAATCATTTGCGCAACAAATTGAGCCTTTGGTGATGCACCTAATAAATGGCCAGTTTTTAAATCTTGCATGAGGTCACCCGCCTGTTGAGCTCCTGCCTCTGCAATACCGCCTGCCACTAAATTCAAAAGAACGGCTCCTTTCCTGTCGGGCGGTGTAATTACGGCAAAAATTAACTGCGAAAGTTTCCCTATACCGCTGACAGGATTTAAATCGGTTTCTCCTAGTGCTCTCACTGCCAGAATCGAAAGGAAAAGGGCAAGGATGAGTGCCATTATCATGGACGAAACTGGTAGAATTTGAGATCCGAAAAGATATATCATAGAAACCACGCATATTAATGACGACACAATTAGACCGCTGATCACCGTTGTATACTTGATCAAATGTTTTGAATCAACTTCGTGGTCGATTTGAGTGCTAACGAGTTTGACGGTGCTGCCTCTTCGGCCCTGGTTGGTAGCCCGATTAATTAGCTGCTCTTCCTCCAGTAACATAGATTCCATAGAATCATCCCACATAGATTCTAGTAAATCCTTTTTGTTGTTTCGCAAGCAAAAGCTCAACGTTGACTTGGTGGTAAATACCACGAATCCAACCACAGAATCCACCACCATAACCGCCAAGGAGGACCACAAGATCCAGCCCTGTATACCCTTTTCCCAATCGTTGACATCAGCATCGGGGTCAACCCAGCCTTTGTACCGTGCCAAAGGTGCTAAAATCCCCCAGCCCAAAAAGCATCCAATCAACATATATGTGACCGTTGGCAATCCCATAATGATGCCCTGGCCAATGTAAGCAGGTGACGGTTGGAAGTTCCATAAATAGGTCTTCGACAAATGATTTCCGAAGACTGGAACTGCTTTAATCAATGGTAGAAAGTAAGACAGTATTGTATAGGCTGATGAGACCATGAAAGTCCGGCTCAATAGACTGATATTTTTGTCGTAGCTGGAATCGTCATACCCAGGTAAGGAATTGTACGACCCATTACCTACCGCAGACGCATTCAAGTGAGGTGCAGAATTGTTGACAACACTTGCCTCTTGGTTTTGGTGAGCCCTGCTGGATTGCGTATAGTCTGGTGATCTTTCTGGCGGCGTCCTCATGAGCAGAGAATCTGTGATCAACACTTCGCTATACTCTCCTAGTCTTTTGGCTCTCATTTGTTCCAGTTCTTTTGGTGAGATTTCCTGCAGGATTTCGGACTTATTGAGCATGGCTATAAGCGTCGCAGTTGCGCTACCGCTCGGGAATGGCAGCTTTTCTCTCACTATTACCTGCTTACGCAGCGGCACGGCAAAGAAAACACCAAAAAAAGCCAAAGCCAAAGACCAAATAAACAGCTGAACGAATGTAAACCGTTCGCCGCTCGTCCTGGTTCCACCCGACTCCTCTGGTGTTAAGAAATGCTCGATTGCGGGTATAACGCCTACAAACCCGAATGCGAGAGGACCAGTACCGACGGCGATCGCTGCTGACTGTATATAAACGTTCTCCACATCAGTAAACGGTTCAGAGTTGGTGAAGAAGATAGGCCACAATTGTCGGAAAATTGCACATGCCAAAAGCGCTGAAGGCAGCGACATCATGGAAACCCAACCCGTTTGCAACCCGAATTGAAAATTTGATATCAGTACCAAAGACCCAATACCTAGCCCCGCAACGGTACCTCTCAATGTGATTTGCTTGATACGGGCTTTATCGGTAAATGACACTGTACAGTTTAACGCTTCCACATTTTCTCCAGCCATGACTAATATATTAACCTGAAGCTTATATGACTGATATTCTCTCGGCTCCTCTACTGATGAAACCAAATGTCAACCGTCTTTGGGCCCTCAAGTTCCTGGCCAAGCTCCTGGTCGAGTTCCTCGTCAGGTTGATCAACTTGGTCAAGTTCCTGCTCGCTCTTTAGTAATCAATATTGGTGAAAGATGCTGCCCAAGCAACCAGAGGAAACCTCACGCAGAAAAAATTTGGTGGTTGTATCTAAAGCCTTTCTTGACAAGACAGAATGACAATTAAATGGCTCTTAACCAGTGAACTGTGAGTCCTGTGTCTCGCTTTATCGTATCAATTCTTGACCTTAACCTTGATTCCTATTTTTCACTTTCGCGAAGTCACTCATAAATGCTAATGGGATAGCTTTATACTAAGTTCAAGATGCTCGATATTTAAGAGGACGATTGATTCAATAGTAAAGAATCAGTAAATCGCGTGCTATCGCCTGTAAGCGTACTTGGACAATAATCTCAAGATCCTTTCATTCGTTCTGTGATTATCTCTGAAACCCACAACGCTTGATTGCAACTGCACAATGTCAGTTTCACAAAATGGTTCGTTACCTATTGATTTTTAATATTTAACACCCTCACAGTAAGATGCACGATAATGCGGGTTCATTTCTCCTCAAACAGTATATATTTGAGAATGTCGCTCAAGGTCAGGACGCCCGTCAAATATCCCTCTTCGTTGACGACGAAAAACCGGTGAACCCTGGATTTTCTTATAGTGTCCATGATAGTAACGAGCTTGTCGTTTTGAGTGCACGTATAGACGCCCTCAAAGTCATCGGATCGTCTCATAAGCGCCTCGCCGACGCTTAGTGACAAGTCGTTGTAAATACCGCCCTTGATGAGCCCCAGTACATCAACTGCCTCGTACACGTTTACAAGTTTGCCGTGCTCGTCGACGATGGGTATGCTTGAGACGCCGCCTTGCGTCAGTAGCTGAATGACGTCGATAACAGGTGTGTGCATATCGCAGCGCAAAAGGTCGCCCTCCGTTATTATTCCCAACTCGCCAATGGGACGTTTGAGATAGCGCGTTTCGCGGCAGTTAAGAGCGACGAACTTCAGAATCCGATACTGCGTTAGTACGCTCACAACAATCTCCCTGCGCGTTTCTTCATCTTGATCAATGAGGGGGATCCTGCGACTTCTAGATTCCAGCATTTTGCAGCACGCATCGTAAAGAGGCTTGAAAGGATGGATTGACCCCGTGTCAAGCGGTCTGACGCCGATTGCGCGCTCCACGTCTCGAAGACCATCCAGCTGAAGCTTGTCGACCAACTCGAACTTGTCAGGGTTCGAGAAATAGTATTGGATCACGTTGATGAAATCTGACGAGGTCAGAAGTCCTGCAAATCTCGATGTGCGCGAATCCCAAAGAGGAGCGGAAACGATGTTGTTTTGCAGTAAAATGTTCAAAGACTTCTTCACCAAAAGTGACGTGTCCATCACGATCAGCCGGTACGATACGGGTAAGACATCGTACGATGTTTTAGACTCGAGGAACTTCCGGATGGACTGCACCGCTAGTTTTTGCTCGATCGCTATGGCTTCAGGGGTGTTTGTGGCCATCTTTATACCGGAAGAAGAACAAGCAATGTCAGCTTTAACTGCAATTCAGCAATTCCTAAAAAAGCAAGCGAAATAACGGGAACAAGTAGCGCCTTGGATGTTATTCGAGAACCAAGTGAACGGGTCTTGAAGGGGACCTTCATTAACTATTGGTTTCTTTCCACCATTCGTGACATATGATGTTATCAAACATCAACGTCAGTCAAACTGTACAGTGACCATGAGAGGCAGGGAACCGAAAGCCAACGAAGAGTGCCTTCTGAGGTGTTTGTTAATAGATTTGGTTGTTTATAGCGTTCAGATAACTCCAAAATAGGCTAGTGCCAACTTACTTTGATTCGAAGTGCAACAGGTGTAACAACGATATATCTTGACCAAGATTTTTCTACTGTTCGGCGTTAATTTCATTCATTCTAATTGCTAAAAAGCCTCAATCTATGCCTTGCGATCCTTATCTCTTCCGCTTCTTCAAAAGCGACTATTAGGATACGGGAATCAATTCCTTGAGGTATTCTTTTTCAAGTCAAACAAAAGGTATATAAATGTTGAGAGAACTTTCGGCCAGCGCAAAACGGTGGATGAAAACATGAAGAAAAGCTAAACTTGCAAAGATTTTTGATTTGTTTGAGGACGTAATTTGATCACTCAGGGGACCTTTGTTTATTTAAGTTACTGAGTCGTGGTGGAACTCGCTGTAATTCATATCGTTTCTCACGCGTTGAGTATATTTCAGGATCACTAGTAACGGATAACATCTGCTTCAGCCCGAATGCTGATGGTTATGTCATCGACAGCTATCATTATAAACGTCAATTTCAATGTCTTATGTCCGGGTAATTTCAAGTACGTTGAGATTGACATCTTACAGAATTTTCTTCTTTCTTTTAGCGTTACGGAAAAAAACTATATAAAGGGCCCAAGGTTGAGTTCTCTTTCCACATATCTATCTTTTTAAAAAACCAAATCTCTTTGCCTTTTGGCTTAGATCAAGTGTAGTATCTGTTCTTTTCAGTGTAACAACTGAAATGTCCTCAATGAGGATATTTATCATGTTACGATTTTCTTTTTGGAACCAAAATGGGGGAAGAAGGAATGAAGGGTCCAATCTCCCAGGGTCTGGGTCTTGCTGTGTCGCTTTTGTCGGTGCTTATGAAGAAGGTCGTGCTTCGGCGCTGTAATATGATGGGCTTGCTCATTCTCCCGTCTTTGTAATCGCCGGCTGTTGGTGGTACAGTTAGGACTGAGATCCGTTTTAAAGGTTTTTGGAACCCTCTATTCTTAGAGGTGTTGAGTCTATTGCACTTTTCCGGACTCGTGCGCTTCTCTAGTCTTCTCCCTCCCTTTTTTTTTTAAAAAAATCCTCTAAGTTCAGCCCAGATGAGCACATCTGGGGGATTTAAATGATTAATGGTAATTGGTAAATATTATGCATTTTTTTGCTTGTGGAACTAAATAAGTTATGCCGAGAGCTTGAGCGAAAAGGCCAAGCCAATGCGGATTTTGTCTTTATCTAATGAGAAAGTCAGAAAACTTGCGTTTTGATGGTGACCTGCTGCTATCGTCGTTGCATCTGTCTGCGCAGCTAAGCAGTCCCAATATGCTGTCTGTGTCCCCAGCCAGCAGTTGGCGTCTCTGCGAAGAATCAAAAATCTTGAAAAATTTGAGATTCTCATCCCCACCAACCGTGGCTAGTGTTGTACCATCCGGAGAAAGGTGACTGGAACATATGCGTGCTTCATGTGCATGAACAATCTCAGCTACTTTGAATTTCGTATCGTAGTTGTAGATAGATATAGCGTTTTCTGGATTTCCTCCCGTGGCAGCGATTTCGCGCTGCATGCCACTGCTACCAGAGCTCTGGCCCCAATTTAAGGAGCTCACTTGAGATCCTGTGTTAATGGATCCTATTCTGGCTCCTGTTGTGGTGTTCCAAAAATGAATATGCTTGTCGGTTTGCCCACCGCCCGTGGCAAGTAAATTGCTGACATCGGGACACCATGCTAATGCCTTTACGGCTGCTGTGTGCTGTCTCTTCACTTGCTGTGGCAGAGACGTTCGAGTGTCCCAAAGGACGACAGTATTGTCATTACTTCCTGATGCTAGTTGTAAACCGTCAGGGCGATAACTCAGCCCACAAACCTCGCCTCTGTGTTCGTCCCAAGTGGAAACGATATGGTTTTTGATGCGTACATCGTTGATGTGAATTTCGCCACTTTTCGCTCCTGTGGCAATGAGGGTGTCTAGCCATGATTGAGATCCAATACGGACCCCTAGCCCAGAACGCATTGTTCTAACATGCGAAGACGTCTCAACGTCCCAGATCTCGACATTGCCGTCGTTTTTGCCAATGGACAGATGGCAGTCATCATCGGACCAGGTGACGCTCGATATGGCGCAAGGCTGTTCGTAATCGACCAAGAGCGTGACGTCCCCACTGTCTCCATTCCAAAGGTAAAGAGCTGAGTCCAGAGCAATGGCAAGAACATTTTTGTTTGACCAACTGAGCAAATTTAAATAAAAATCATCTTGGAAGCCCGGAGCATCCAGGATTCTTTCAGGATTCGAGTTGACTTTGCGTAGTTTCGCTAATTCACCATTTGTGGCAGAGCTTCCTTTGGAGGAATATGAATAATGGGATCGGTTGCTGATGGAGTAAGAGTTTTTGTTAAAAGACGAGGGCGGTGGCTTGGGAACGTATTGCAGAATGCGCTGTTCGATGTCCAGACCACATGCTTCTGCAACATTTTGTTTGAAAACTCTCTTGGTTTGAGCACGCAGATGCGCCGATGGTGATGCACTAGGCGGAGGAACCTCTTCCTCGAGCGCTGAAGGTTCCAGTTTGGAAAGAGAAAACGAGTTCTCTTTCCTCAAAGGAATGAATCTGTCTGTACTGGGAAAAACGTCTTCTGATTCCTGGGATATCGGAAGCCGACTTTCGCTCACATCCGCGTCATCTTTGAAAAAGGACGACGAATGTCGAAGTAAAGGCGGCACATGATGCAAAGAGGGTCTCTGGCTTTGTGCCTTAACGCCCTTCTTAATGTTTGTAACATTCGAAAGTGAGCCGGCGGACGACTGTCTTTTTTCGATCTTCCCAGGTGCAGTTTTGGAGGTCATTCGTGACCAATCTTGCGAAATGACATTGAGCTTCGCTGGCGAAGTCAGAGATAGAACCGACTTGTTTGCACCAGCAGCATGGCCTTTGCTACTGCTCGGTTTCTTGCTGCGATTGCTAGACATGCCTATCCAAAGGTGAATTTCCCTGCTCCTTCGCAATCACAAGTCGAAAGTTCAGGACTCTGATGGCGTTTACAGCAGAAGTGTCTTTTGAAATGCGAAGCCTGAGTCGTTGACAAAATTGCCAAACCCCCCAGTGAACCTAGGAGAGTCTTAATTAGCCCTAGAGGATTATCCTTTTTCGGCCAGAAATTGCTATACTTTCACAATGGCATTTGTGAGCTTCTCTTAGCTCGAGAGTCAATGTTTACATTTTTCTCCTTTCGTGCATAGCGGAAAAAACAACTTTCATGTCATTTTCTACCCATTAGCTGAAACCTGGCCTAAGTCACCTGCACACCGTCAAACTCGACAGTGCAAAGATGAACGGTATTATGCAGGATACAAAGGGCATCGGCAAAACAACTGGAGTTCCCTAAATTCTCGAAAAAGTTTAGTGCTTAGACAAAGTCTTGGAACCATTTCTGGACACAGAGACATCACCCGGGGCTTTGAAGAGTGCTTTGATGAAAGCGGGAAGTTCACGGTTGTATAGAATATTGTAGTTCATATGCTTGGAGGAGGAGGAGCAAGGATAAGACGTATGTCTTTAGAGTTATCACACCCATCGTTCCACTGGATGTTGAGATGCAGTGTGGTAGTACTTTTGTACGATTAGCCGCCGACTCTCCTTTAAGGAGCCTATCGGTGTGTCAAAGATAGACAAATAAACCAACAATGAGTTTCCTTTCGCATGAACGATTCTTTTCATTGTAAGCTATGCTCGAAAGTCAATAATACCCGCAATTGTTATTTAGCGAAGCCTTTGTGCCGTGTTTTTCGCTATTCTTGCCAAATAAAGTGGTAGGCGGTTCAACAGAATTTCCGCTGTCGATTAAGCCGAGCCCTATAAACAAATTGTCTGAGAAGGTATTGAAAACTTTGGGGAGAAACGTAGGAAGGGGCAAACAAAGTGAAAAGTATCGTGTAGTAGGGAACACGTGGACTAGCTAGGGCCTATGGTAGGGAGAGCTATGTCAAGAGCTAGAAACTGATTCTGGCTACAAGTTTTATTGGCTTTCCAACTTAATCGTAAACAAAACGCTCTTTATCCAAAATATCTATGAAGAGGTATGGAATAATTTCAATGGAGGAATATATAAATAGGAAACAGCACGTGCGAGTGGTTAAGCCGCTGCAGAAGGCTGAGGACCGATGTTGTTAACGTTCCTGAACATTTTGACACCGTTCTCGCCCTCAACGAACTGACATGAACGAGCGACCTTCCAGAGAGAAATCCACATATTTTCGCCGTCGTAGCGGTAATGTTCACCCATAACCTTTTTGATGGCCTCGGTAGCCTCGCGGGCATGGTAAAACGGTATTCTGCTGCAGTAGTGGTGAAGCACGTGCGTTTCAATGATGTCATGGAAGATATGTTGTCCAACAAAACCGAAGTTACGATCGATAGTGGCCGCTGCGCCCTTGGCAAAGGTCCACTCTGAGGCGTCGTAGTGTGGCATGGTTGGGTCTGTGTGTTGAAGAAACGTGACAAAAACGAGCCAGTGATTGACCCACAACCAAGGTAGAAACCAGTTTATCAGGACAACGTGAGCTCCGTAAGCCTTACACCACAGATAATTGACAGTGAGCGTCGCGATGATACCCAAGTCGCTCAATAAAATGTACCAGAAATCTTTGGTGTCGAACACCGGCGATTTGGGCCAGTAGTGGGACTTGAAAAATTTCGAAACCCCGGGGTATGGCTGGCCCGTCGCGTTGGTCGCAAGGTAGAGCTGTAGGCCACCTAGCTGTTGCGCAATGAGGTTGAACGTAGTCATGATAGGAGATTCTTCTAAAATCTCTGATAGCTTCGATTTGCCCATGGCTTCAACATACTCTTCCTGAGAATATGGCACAAACACCATGTCGCGAGTCATGTGGCCCGTGGCTTTATGGTGCTTGCTGTGCGAGAATTTCCACGAGAAATATGGCACCATCCACCACGAATGCAAGACCCAGCCAACGGTATCGTTAACTGCATTTGACGACGAGAAGGCAGAATGGCCACATTCGTGAGCCAAAATCCACAAACCAAAGCCAAACAATCCGATCAGGTAAGACTGCAGCCCGTACGCGATTGCGCGGAAAGCCACGCTGTTTGGAAACCATTGTGGTATGTAATTGGTACCAACGTACCCGATTACTGCTATGGCAAAAATATCTCTGAACACGTAGTGCAACGACCAGAGAAGGTTTCTATCATAACAATGTTTTGGAATTGACGACAAAATGTCTTTGATAGTATAATCTGGGACTTTGAAAATTTTGCCGTTGGTGTCAACGGCAGTTTTCGACTCTTTAGTCAAAGTGGCGGTACCTGCGCCTGCGTTTAAGTTACGCTGTTTGATCGAGCCAGACTCTTCCATAGTCATCGAATTTGGTCCTTTGATTTCTCGAGAACAGAGTGAGAAACGAAAATTTTGGCATTGTATCCGGCTTGATGAGCGTCAGAAAAAGGAAAATCTTGAAAAATCGACCTCGATTTTCACATGCAATCAAAAAAATGGTAAAGCGTGTCAGCTAATTCGATAAGCTTTAAGAGAGCGAACTGTATCGAACTATCTAAACAAAAGGACATTATTGCTGAAGCGCTCGAGTTTTGTGGGCCTTAAATAACCTGTTAAATTAATATAAGTTCTTTATTATTAATACAAAAGTCCAAATTTCACATGTCCCTGGCCATCTTGTCATAATCTTGAAACGTCAAAAAACCCTTCGATGACTTATACGTAATCTTTCCTTGCGTAGACGGTTGAAGCAAATGAATTTTTCTGATGTCACAACGAAACAAAGATCGTCCACGGTGTTGTCGTCAGAGAGCTTGGCATCATTTTCTAAAAGGAAAAATTCTCGCAAGGCGTTGGAGTCTAACAGTAGATCTATGCACCATTTTTTGTTTGTTTCCGTGAAATTTTTGATCTTTGCGATCGTTTTTGGCTCAATTTTAAAAGTACCTTCTTCTGGCGGGCTAAATAGCTTCGGTGTGGCAGCCAGTGCCTCCAATATTTCGTTGAAAGACTTGTAGCCATCAAAAGCAGTGCGGAAATTAGTGATGTGATCTTCCACCAGCTTTTTATGCACAGAACTAGTTTCCGAAATATGAATAAATCCGCTCAGTTCCTTGAGTAGAGCTATGAGCAACGCGTGCATGTGTTCCATCAGAACCGAAAGCTTTGACGCATACTCTGGCGACGACACTTTTGGAAGAGACTTTTCGTCGTTCAGAATCTTCACTACGAGCTGCCGCAAGTAGATCATTTCCAGCAACTTTCCGTGACCAAGATCGTAGACCTGAAATTCTTCCGCAACCGCGCTGGCAGACAAACTTTCTCCATTCTGTTTGTCCAACCAGAATAACAGCTTTTGACCCCGTGGAATCATGATTCTTTCGATCAAAGAGTCGATAAACTCCAGCACGGGCTTATTAAGAGAGTGCGCCAGCTCTCGTAATATTTGGTTTAATAAAAGCAGGTTTTGAGGGGTAGCTGACGACAGCATTTGAATTACCGATGAGTGGTTTCTTTGGCCGCTATTTGGGCTTTCATAACGGACATCGAGTTCATTATCAGCAGTCATTCTTGTCTGCTTTTTATCTCATCGCTTAAAAGTTGACTCATTGACATCTTGAAATTTTTCATATTCGAGTAGGCTTATGACTCAACTACGATGTGTCAGAAAATCAGAGATGTCCGAGCCGAAGAGAGATAAACAGAAATGCTCTGGTAGCAACCGGGTTGCTAATCGGAATTTCTGAGTCGTTAGTACCGTGTTAGGTAGTTTTCGTAATCATTTTGGTGTCAGTTAGCGGCGGCAGAGACACTCGTTGGCCCAGTCTCGGTGCATTCGACCGGCGCAATCAATTATCGCTAGATGTCAACAATAATATCCGCGCCATTCGATTACTTGTCTAACTTGTCCTATTTCATTGAACTATACTAAGGCAAGTCCATGGTATCATAAGTAGTTTGGGGAAGTAGTTTGGGGAAGTACTTCTTTCTTCTGTATATGTCTCACAAGATGAAGCGGTGGCTCAATGGTAGAGCTTTCGACTCCAGTTAAATCCTGGAAATCCACGGAGTATTGCAATCGAAGGGTTGCAGGTTCAATTCCTGTCCGTTTCATTTTATTTTCTTTTTGAAAAAACGACACATGTAGCTGTGGGAAATCGCTTAATGCAACAGAGAGTTTCGCTAAGATAACAACATCATTTGGAAAAAATTGTATGACTGCATTGTAGTCACACTCCTAAATATTAAATCGATTGCGTCCTTCTATTAATATATTCCTTTCAACTAGATGAATTTTTAGTTTTGATTCGGTTTGCCCGCGAGATTATTGTCTCCTAATAGAAGCTTTGGTTACTGGTATAACGAGAGGCCTGTTTTGCGTCCTGCTTGGACTTATAGGTGGTTCTTGAACTTCAATCCTTTTGCTAATCTGACGCGAGAATTCGTCTTGCCGTCGCTCGTACTTAAATGAGAAAATTTTAAACTCAAGACTTTAGGAAAAGGTATAGATAAGGCGAATATGTAGGAATCGGTCTTTGATCAAGTGTAAAAGCTGTGGAAGGCAAAATCATCCCCAGTCAAAATTATTCTCAGTTATGGCTTGAAATTCAATTTTCCTAAAAGTTCTCAATTCACTCAAAATCAAAAAATTGGCCTTCCCTGCCAAAGGAGTCAAATGACAGTCAAGGAATATTATCCTCCCAATAGTCAGGAATACCTCCTCGAAGATATCTACAGTCATTTCTGGTAGTTCGTCTATATGCTACATTTAAAATCGTTATATCAGTTTCCTCATACCCTAGGAGCATTCTTGGGCAATCATAGTTTCCAAAAGGACACTAATCATGCAAAGCGAAATGTTTTTGAAACAATTCTGCCATCGGAACTTTAGCTTGCATCTTAGCGCATAGCAAAAACACTCCGCTAAATTTCCTGTGCAGCGAATAAGTCTCTTCCGGTGGTGGACACAGGCGTTCTTCGAGCATCAAGCCTATATTTTCACGGATTCGGTCAGTGACAGTTTGATGAGAGAAGTCAAAGAGACGATCGATTGGTCCTGAGAATGGTTCGGATAGGACCAGAACAGAATCTACATGAGCATCGACCATGGCCTTAGACTCGAACCCAGTTAGATATCCTAGCTCTTTTGACACTTTGGCCACTCCCTCGCGGTCCCGTTTGGTTCCCAAAGTCAGCATTCGCCTATATTTGAAAATAAAATCGTCAGAGTAAGAACGAGAAGCTCCAAAGTCTAAAAGTTCTAAAGTATGCTGTTTTGCGTTGTAGAAAAAATTGGCCCAGTTTGGATCTGTCTGCATGAATTTGAATTCAGCTATTTCTTGCAAACAAAGCTTCATGATGTTGGAAGAAATGAAATCCCGGGTTTCTTGGGGCGCTGTATCCGCCAGTTTCATTATTTCAGTGCCGTGCATTCTCGTCATAGTGATGATGTTCTCAGTGGTTAAATCTTTGATAACGTGGGGTGTCTTTAAAATAGGATCTTTGCTCAAAAGCTGCTCAAACTTTTCAAGACAGCTAGCTTCGCGCTCGTAATCGCATTCCCACTTTAATTCTACCCTCGCGTTGGCAACCGTTTTATCCAGGTACAATCCACGAGGCAAAAGTCGCGAAGCAGTTAAAAACATCAAGATGTTATTGAGGTCAGAATCAATGGATTCTTTGACGCCAGGATACTGGATTTTCATGACGACCTCTTCGCCGGATTTCAGTGTAGCTTCATGAACTTGACCAATAGAAGCAGCTGCTATGGGGACTGGATCGAATGAACCAAGCTTTTCGGCCCAAGCTGGCCCCAATTCGCGTGTTAGGACTCTATCCAGTTGTCTGCGAGGCATATAATGCGCTCGGTTTTGAACGCGGGAAATAATTTCGTAAAGTTCCCTTGGCAGGACTTTTTCATCCTGAAAAGACATAAGTTGGCCGATCTTCAATGCTGCTCCGCGCATTTTCGAAAACTTCTTCGTGATGCGCTCTAGATTCTCTTCTGACAAAATAAGCGATTTAAACGTAGGCTTCTTTCCGCTGATTACTTGATTCAAGCCCTGAGAAGCAGCAGATAGACCCACTCCAGCAGCTAGCGAGCCGTAGTGGAAGAGTCTAGAAATCCGCGACGAAGGAACGTCTGAGCTTTGCAATTCTTTTATCTGGTCCTTCTGACACATCTGTTAGTACACTCTACAAGCCACATAACAAAACATAAAATAGTACTTGCTATTTGTAACTTACTTTCTCTTCGAAATTTTGTCCATCTTTGCTCAATCGTCTAGCACTGGTGCTAAATGATCGAGTTGCCTTGCTAGCGACGTTTTTCGGTCTACCGGGCGACCTCGTAATGAATTTTTGGTTCCTCAAACGTTCAGAGAGCGATTTGGCCTTCTCCCACTCTGGATCATAAAACCATTGGTACTTGGACAATAACGGTCTTGTCAAACTCGAAGTTTTCAGCCAAAGTCCAGCAGATTCCCTAGCAACCGACGTACTTCCTTTAATCACCTCCTTCACAGAGGAAGCAACGCAAAGTGCCCCGTAAAGCGTTTGACGACTAACCATCAAGTTCTATTGACCAAAGAACAGACAATGGCTTCAGCAAGTGTCGTTGACATAAGTTCGTTACGTGCTATTAAAGGTTCTCTCTCATCTCATGTTTCTTGGTCTTCAATAGTTACCCTCACTTAACCTCTCCATTTTCACGATCTCATCTCATCATCTTCGTCACTTGAAGAAAAAATTTAACCTTCATAGAACTTGAGCATGCGATGAGCTTGACTCTAACGAGAGAAGAGCCGGGTTATTTGGGAAAAGGAGTGCTCTTAAGCGATTATAATGACTTCAAAGAGAAGATTGTCATCCAAGGATAATGGTGATGGCCATAATCTGGCAGTGGAGAGCTCTGTACCCGAACACGTTGCTGAGAAAGCCGAGGAATTGTCGAAGACACATCCACAGGCTGCGGAAGAACCATTGACGCATCATGACGCAGGCGAGTTTAGAAACCTGACGAGGCATCACACTTCAGCAGCTGACGCGGCAAAATTGGAAGACGGCGAAAAAAATCCCTTCACAGGCAGACCGTTTACCACACGTTACGTGGACATATTGAAGATAAGAAGAGATTTACCTGTGCATGCACAGAGAGACGAGTTTTTGAAAATCTACCAACAAAACCAGATTATGGTTTTCGTCGGTGAGACCGGTTCCGGTAAAACTACGCAAATTCCACAATTTGTGCTTTTCGATGAAATGCCACATCTTCAAAACACGCAGGTCGCCTGTACGCAACCACGTCGTGTGGCGGCGATGTCTGTCGCACAGAGAGTCGCGGAGGAGATGGACGTTAATCTCGGGGAAGAAGTGGGTTATTCTATTCGTTTTGAAAATAAGACCTCCAACAGAACCATCTTAAAGTACATGACCGATGGTATGCTTCTTAGAGAGGCAATGGAGGATCACGACCTCAAAAGGTATTCTTGCATTATTCTCGACGAAGCCCACGAAAGAACTCTCGCCACCGATATACTAATGGGTCTTTTGAAGAACGTCGTCTTACGTCGCCCCGATTTGAAACTCATCATCATGTCTGCTACGCTGGATGCAGAGAAGTTTCAGAAATACTTCCACGAAGCCCCACTTCTAGCGGTTCCTGGACGTACTCATCCCGTTGAAATTTACTATACACCTGAATTTCAAAGAGATTACCTCGATTCTGCCATTCGCACGGTTTTACAGATTCACGCCACTGAAGGGCAAGGAGACATCTTATTATTTTTGACAGGCGAAGACGAGATCGAAGATGCTGCTAGAAAAATTTCTCTCGAAGGTGACCAATTGATACGCGAGCAAAATTGCGGTCCACTAAAAGTTTATCCACTGTACGGGTCTCTGCCACCTCACATGCAACAACGCATTTTCGAGCCCGCACCAGAACCTTATAATGGTAGACCGGGAAGAAAAGTGATTGTGTCGACCAACATTGCAGAGACATCTTTGACCATTGACGGAATCGTTTACGTGGTTGACCCGGGGTTTTCCAAACAGAAGGTGTACAATCCAAGAATTAGAGTCGAGTCCTTGCTCGTGTCCCCAATCAGTAAAGCATCTGCCCAGCAAAGAGCGGGTCGTGCCGGTCGTACGCGTCCAGGTAAGTGTTTCAGATTATACACTGAAGAGGCTTTCAAAAAAGAGCTTATCGAGCAAAGTTATCCAGAGATTTTGAGATCGAATTTATCTTCCACAGTGCTGGAATTAAAGAAACTAGGAGTCGATGATTTGGTACATTTTGATTTCATGGATCCACCAGCTCCTGAGACAATGATGAGGGCGTTGGAAGAACTGAATTACCTGGCTTGCCTGGACGACGAGGGTGATTTGACATCTCTGGGAAGACTGGCGTCCCAATTCCCGCTCGACCCTATGCTTGCCGTAATGTTGATAGGGTCGCCAGGTTTCAAATGTTCCGAAGAAATCTTAACCATTGTGGCGATGCTGTCCGTTCCCAGCGTGTTCGTACGGCCTTCAAAGGACAAGAAAAGAGCTGATGATGCGAAAAGCGTATTCGCCCATCCGGATGGAGATCACATTACGTTACTCAACGTTTATCATGCTTTCAAATCCGACGAGGCTTACGAGTACGGTATTCAGAAATGGTGTCGCGAACACTACCTCAACTACCGTTCATTGGCTTCTGCCGATAACATTCGCTCACAGCTGGAGAGAATCATGATAAGACACAACGTCGAACTAGCTACAACTGACTACGCAGACGCACGCTATTTCGACAACATAAGAGAGGCGCTAGCAGCTGGATTTTTCATGCAAGTCGCCAAAAAGCGGTCAGGTGGGAAAGGCTACATAACGGCTAAGGACAACCAAGACGTCCTTCTGCATCCAAGCACGGTTCTGGGCCACGACGCAGAATGGGTAATATACAACGAATTTGTCTTGACCTCCAAAAACTACATCAGAACGGTCACATCTGTGAGGCCCGAATGGCTCCTAGAGCTTGCACCGACTTATTTCGATCTCTGTCATTTTCAGAAGGGCGACGTTAAGTTGTCCTTGGAACGCGTCAAACAAAAATTGGATCTAATGAAAGACAAGGGAGATCACAAATCTAGTAAGTCCAAGAAGCACAAGAAATAATGGAGATCTCACAAGTGGAAGGAACGAAACGATACGATTTAAAGCGTCCTGAATGTGTAGAATTTGATTTATAGAGATGAAATCTTTTTTTTGCGCGCGTGAGAACTCCGAGAGTCAGTTACGTTGCCTCGGCAACTATCGACGATAAGGGTTAAAACAGACTACGGTGATCTCGGAATTTACCAAAGCCAGATACTCGCAAGCGCCGAAGTCCTTTACAAAGAACGTCCGTCCACTGCTTGTAAGGTGGGCTTCACGCTTTTATTTTCTTTGGTACCGAGGGACTTTTTTCTTGAACCAGACAGCCTTATTTAAAGTGAAATTTGATCGAGCCCTTCAGTAACTTAATCCTTGACAAAGAAGTCAACAAAAAATGGCTTATGAACCTTTATATACTTTTGAATTTCTCCAGACGTATGGCGCGGATAGTGGCACTTCGACAGAGCTATTGCGTTTGAGCAGCTTGTTGATGTCGGTTGACAAGACAAGGAACGAATTGCAAGTCTTAAACAACCGAATGGCAGACGCTAAAAAATACTCGCTGTTGGACTTCAACTCCGAGTACCTGAACATGCCGCGCCGCAGAAACGATCTGTCGTTGGCTATGGTTCCCCTGGTCGAGAAACAGCGTGAGGCGGCACGACAGTTTCGCACTTTCAAGCGTCTTCACTTGCAAAGTGCTGACGCAGGGCTATGGGATGCGATGAATTTACTGGAAACTGAGCTATCAAGAGCTGAGTTACTTTTGAACACTTATCCGAGAAGAGGGACGCGATACTATTTTTTGCACGACGACGAGTGATAACGACTACGATGGCAACGCTCATATGAGCCATGAAAGGTGCAGTGAAATATACCCCTTCTGGTGTGTGCATTCAACCCTTCAAACCTTAGAGGCTAAAGCCGTATGAGATTGGACAGAAAGCTACGAAACTGGTCGAAATTGGCAGAAATTGGCAGAAATTGGCAGAAATTGCACAACAATTATCCAAACTCATTATACCCACTATACAAAAGCTCTACGATACCAAAACGCCCTACAGCGGACATAAACTCACCGGCATTGCTGGCTATCGCCGTTGTGTAGTGTTCGTATACAATTATGCTTTATTCGTAAGAAAATATATGCGTATGATATGACAACATGAAATCAAAGAGGGACCTTCAAAGTGGCGAAAATTTAAGTCATCTCTCTAACACTCTCTCTTACTCACGGAATCTGTGCCACATCAAAGGAGACTTATTCAGAGGTCATGTCAGGTATTCAAGACGAGATATCCAAAAATTTGAAGCTGGTAGTTGCGGAGAGTTTGAAGACGCTTCAAAATTTCAACGAAGATGCCAATTACGTCGCAGAATACGTGGTTTTGTTAATGTCGAATGGCGGAACGATCGAGTCCGTTGTGCAAGAACTGACGTCCTTATTCGACTCAGTGCCCTCCGAAGCGTTTCAGAACGTTGTTCAACAAGCGTTTCAGGCATTGAGCTACTTACAAAACGGAGATTCGCTGGAAATAGCTGTTTCGAAGTTGAACGGTGGGAACAGGGTTAATGCTCCTGCACCTGCACCTGTAGCGGCTATCAGGGCCGAGCCCTCGCCTGCGTTGAGTTTCGGAGAGCAGAACTCAGGTGCTACCGTCCCCATATCGGCGTTTGAGGGTCTTGTGGACGTGAACAACGCTTCTGACACTCGTGTCGGTGCATTTGGGTCTAGTTTCCCAAAAAGAGGTGCGAGCCGTGGCGGTATCGGCAAAAATAGTAGCACCAGAGGTGGTCGCGGAGACAGAGAGTTACGCGGCGGTAAATTCAATGCGAAACGGAATAATGCGCTGGCCACGGCGCTTGGTATGGACAATTCAAATGTGAACTTCGTGCAGAAAAAACAGGGCCGTTGCCCGTTGTTTCCCCGCTGCCCGCTCGGCAAACAATGCCCACATGCACACCCTACACAGGCGTGCAAAGATTATCCTAACTGCCCCAACCCTCCCGGAACGTGTAACTACTTGCACCCCAACGAGGATGTGGAATTGATGAAAGAGATTGAAAAAACCAGGGAAGAATTCAGGGAAAAAAGAGCCGCACAAGCTGCTACGAGAATAAAACCGGTGAATACGGGTATTGTGCTATGTAAATTTGGGAACCTGTGCTCCAATCCACAGTGCCCATTCGGGCATCCAACACCTGCAAATGAGGACGCCAAGGTTATCACTTTTGTTTGGTGCCCAGAAAACTTAGCGTGCCAAAACCCTGCTTGCGACAAAGCTCACAGCTCGTTGTCCAAGATAAGAGACGTTGCGCCCGTGAGCCACCGCAAACCGGCGCGTCAAGCTGCACCACCTGTGGAAAAATCGTTAGAACAGTGCAAATTCGGACAGCATTGTACGAACAAGCGCTGCAAATTCAGACATGCGCGTTCCCACATCATGTGTCGTGAAGGCGCAAACTGTACAAGAATAGACTGTTTTTTCGGTCACCCAATCAACGAAGATTGCAAATTTGGAGTGGAATGTCGCAATGCATACTGTCTGTACAGACATCCGGAAGGCCGTCAATTGCCCCAGAAGCAAGCGAATCCTCAGAGTGCGTTCCAACCAAACCCAGGCATGGGCGGGAACAGTGCGTCTAATGAGAGACCATTTGCCGTTCCGGACAACGAAGTGGTAGAGACGATAGCGCGGCATGATCACGATGCGATGATGAGCTAGCCATAACAGGAAGAGGAGGGGTGGACGGTCTGAGGAGAACTCTTTTGCGTTTATTCGCTTAACGTTTATCTATGTATCAATTAAAACAAAAACAAAAAAAGACAAACAATCATGGATGAAAAAGACATTCAAGCCTCCTAGATTCGGGTCAGGTCCTTTTGCTTATACTTCTGATATTTTATTTGCGAGATGGTTTCAAAAGGTTTTGGCGCGTTGCGCAGGAAAATGTCAGGTGAAAAGGAAGAATCATTGGGAGAAAAGCGGGCACACGTAATCAAAGACAAACGTTGGTTTTAAAAGAAGGTACACAGACTAATATATAATTTAGTACTTCTTCTTTTGGACAGCGGCCTCGTCGGAGTAGACGTCCAATGGGGACACTGGCAAAGGTTGCTCGTTCCACAAGTTTGGAGTCAAGAAACCGTAGGTGTTACCGATGGCGACGAAAGCGGCTTTCAAAGTGTTTTCCAAAGTTCTGGTAGAACCGTTAGAAGAGGTGTAGACATCCTCAAGACCGGCCAATTCCAAAAGCTTCTTGACAGCAGGAGAAGCGACAATACCGGAACCTCTTGGGGCTGGGATGAGTCTGACAACGACGGAACCACACTTACCGGAGGTCTTGTTTGGCAAAGAGTGGGGTTGACCCAAGTTGGAGCCCCAGTAACCTCTTCTGATAGGAATGACAGAAAGCTTGGCAATGATGATACCGGCTCTGATGGCGCCCGCGACTTCCTTAGCGGTCTTGATACCTAGACCAACATGGCCGTTGGAGTCACCAACAACGACGACGGCCTTGAATCTGGTTCTTTGACCGGCTCTGGTTTGCTTTTGAACAGGCTTAATGTTCATGACCTCGTCCTTCAAAGTTGGCAACAAGGTGTCAATGATTTGGAATTCCTTGACAGGCAAAGAGTGCAAGAAGATCTCCTCGATAGAGGTGACCTTACCGGCCTTGACAAGTCTACCAAGCTTGGTAACTGGGACCCAGCCCTTTTCCTCAACGTCTCTTCTACCTCTTCTGCCTTGACGGCCCTTGTTGCGGCCACCGAAGCCGCCTCTTCTTTGTTCTTGAGCTGGAGCTAGAGCTGGAGCAGACATTGGTGCGATGCTAGTAGTTGTCGGAATGGAACACGGAAAGTTGATGGGGGGTAACTTTCAATCGACAAGAGCTATGCGAGGAAAGTGGGACTGGCTACCGCGGAGCAGAGTGTTGCCAGTGGGCTAGTTTTGAAATTTCCGACGGACGGTGCGAAGCGAGTATTGCGTGGGTCATCGAATATCGTTCTGCACGGATAGCGGCTGTCTGACACGCGCATACGTACCATACGATCTGAGTTTCTCAATGGCCTGCGAATACCGTAAAGGTATGGGTGGAGCCCAAGAAAAATTAGAAAATTGAAACATCCGTGCACCGCAGCCGATTTCAAAGAAGCAGTCACGTCGAGTTCCATGAGGGGTAGAGTGTTGGCTGAAGAGGGTATGGCAAAGTGGGTGTTAAGGAGGGACGCGTGCCGTGACTAGTGAGTTGAGCCGCTCGCCGGCTAACGACAGGTATAGACACCTGTCGATCTCGAACGAACGCTTAGGTGGGAAGCCAATGCAACGAGCATCGTAGTTTCGCTTTGCACTTCAAAAAGATCAGCGTAAAATAATATCGAAGACGAAGCATGTGCTGTATAGCCAACGAGGCCAAAACAGCGTAGCGCGAGCAATTTCGAAAGAACCAAAACCTCTTTTGAGGAATCTAGCATATGCCCCAGATATCCGGATCTTTCGGGGCTTTCCGCCGTCTGAGAATGTCGTTGACGTGGAAATCGCTGAAGCGCACATCATTTGAGAAACGACTTCAACGCGCTGAAATATTTCCGACGGGGGAAGTCGTCGATTGCGGAAGTGATAGCGCTCAATTGCATTACCACGTGACCGCGATGACAGAATAGAAATAGAGGGATGAACGCACGGGTCATGATGAGCTTAACATGAGGTCATCGCAAAGCAATAATTCCTGTGATGGCCATGGTCTCAAGATGATCACGGAGAGATGTAACTACTCAAGCCCTCATCAGCTTTATTATTTAGATCAACTATGAACGAATTGAATGAACAGTTCAGAATAGTTCAGAAGTCTATCGACTGTCGACAATGACCAACCGACTACCGACAACGACTAACCTCGACTGCGGGAAGCGTACACCTCAATAAAGAACAGTCAAACCTCTCGACTACCGACAACGATGAACCCCAGTATCAGATCCCCGAAATCAGGCCGCCAGTGGTACGATGGATGGCGTGTGGCGAGGGTTCACCGTCAATCGCAGCGAAAGTGACGGATTCTGAAGTTACGAGACGATTTGAACAGATTTATCGTGCTCATTTCCCCCCAATACTCACAGAGAGATATAAAGAGATATAGCCGCGTGCTTCTCCTGAAAAGAGCACACCGTACGGCCCGCCCTGCTTACGCAGGAGTCTCTGGCACGGCAACACCCAATCACCCCGGGAGCGGCTGTTTTATCCTGTCGCTATTACGTAAAGCCAGGCGCACTCATCCGTACTCATCCGTACAAGCGTACTCATCCGTACACCAGGTTTCTCGTCCGGGAAGAACGCTGGAGATGTTACACTTCTGCGGGTGCTATGTCACTTGCTACGCCCCCACTACCACCATTTCATGATTACATAAGACGCAAGATTGAGGGCGGCTGATGGCCGTACCGCACGACACCCAAAAAGACTGCTGAGAGATCGTCTTTCTAGCAGGTGCGAAGGGGACTCCCTTTGGGCCTCCCTGGGTCTCCCCTGGGTCTCCCCTGGAGCCTGCCCACCGCCGCCGAAGGCGGCGGTGCTGGACAGGGCTCCCCGCCCGGACTCCCCGCCTGGACTCCCCTGCCTGTCGGCAGGGGAGTCCCGCTAGGGGCAAAGTTGCTCCGGGCAGAAGGCGCGCCCCGACGTAATCGGGGGCCGAGTCGGCGGGCACGAAAAAAAAAAACTATATAAGGGGCGGGGCGCGTCACGGGAGGAGCCCCCCGCGGGGATACATTGCGGTCTCGGAGTTATCGGCGACACAACATGGAACAACACGCGAAACAAGCCAAACGCCAGGCTAAGGACGCCACAGCAGAGGCCGAGCAACAGGCGGCCGAGATGGCCAAGGAATTGCGCGCAGAGGCGCGTGAAGTACGCGAGGAGGCCGAAAAGGCCCTGGAAGAGGCTCAGGAGCCCGACGGGCTGGCCAGCCAGGCGTGCAGCGCGCTACGCGCGCTGCGCGCGCAGCTGGTCGCTGCGGCGCGTGGTGCAGCTCGTCGCGGCGCGTACGCCGGGTCGTGGGTTGCCCACGAGCTTCAGAACCCGGTCGTTGCGGGCAACGTGGCGCTGGGCGCCGGTGCGGCCGTTTGGGTGCTTCGCGGGTATGCGAAGCACCAGGCCCGGTATCTGAAGGGCCGCTCGGACTCCGGCATCATCGCAGCAGTGGCAGGTGTTGCAGCGTTGCTTGCGACAGACGTGTACGTGAGCAGCAAGTACTACGCGCGGTTCGACAAAAGCGTCTCCAAGTAGTAGCAGTGTCTATAGCGGTAGGTTTGACGGAAGTAGCATTTTACGAAGGCTCATGGATTTCTTGAAAAATCAGCGTTTAGGTATGAGATCCGTTTCGCTCGCCGGGTCAATGCGCGACGGAATCCAGAACGACTACCTCGATCGGGCCCGTGTACGCGTGCCCAGCGAACTGGTGCGCGCTCCGCGCGCACCGGTCGCGACGACGTCGTTGGATCTCGCCGACACGTTTTCGCAGCCCGCCGCGCCACCGATCTTTGACGATGCGTCTTCCGCTGCAGACGACGTTTTGTCGTACCGGTCTTCGTCGCTGGGCCTTCCAGGCGGAATGTCCGCCGCTGGCTTGTCTGCCGAGCTGCACCAGTCGATGCACTCGGACAACGCGGCGCCGCGCGACGTTACCCACGAGCTGCCCGACGTTTTTGAGCGGGCATTGGGAACAACAGACGGGTCTGGTGCGTCGGACAAACAGTTTTTCGTGCTCTCCGCCGCGGGGAAGCCCGTGTTCACGATGCACGGGCAGGAAGAATTGGTCATGGGACTCATGGGCATCGTTCACACGGTTGTGAATTATTTCCGGATTTCCGGCAGTTCTTTGAATTCGCTGGTCACGTCGATGGGGTCGTCGGGGCAGTCGACTGCACAGCGGTTTGTATTTCTCGACAGGCCGCCGCTCCTTCTCATGGCCATGTCTGCGCGTGAAGAATCGCAACACGACCTTGCACAGCAACTCGATTTTCTGTATTCGTACTTTGTCTCCAGCATGAGTCGCAAACAACTGTCGCGATTGTTTGCGCGTCGCGAAAATTTCGACCTTCGCAGTTTTCTCATGCCGGCAGATTTCGACACTTTGCACCATATTTGCGACTCTATCGCTAACTCGCTGCGGCCGGAGTTGCTTGTGGGCGCGCTCCGGTGTCTCCCGCTGCGCAAATCCGTGCGACAGTCCCTGCATACGCTCATGCTTCGCCAGTTGCAAGACGCAGACCCAACGGACGTTCCGAAGGGTTGTCTCTTGTACGGGCTTATTGTCGCTCCTGGCGGGCAACTTTGCTCTGTGTTACGACCGAAGGGACACACTTTACACACCACGGACCTTCATCTGTTGTTCTCGCTCGTTTTTGACCGGTTCCAAAACTTGCAACCTGACCAGGAACTCTGGGTCCCTGTGTGTTTCCCGAAATTCAATTCCAGCGGGTTCTTACACTGCTACATCAAGCTTTTACCCCGCCCTGGCGACGATCTTGGTCATGCGACCGCGCTTCCCGATATTGTCTCTGTCGGGTCTCACACCGCCAGCACTGCGGCTTCCCGCCAACCGTCCTTCGACGTGCCCATGCCCAACGAAGAAGCTGCAAAAAGACCCAGATGTGCACTTGTGTTGATCAGCGCTCAGAAAGAGGGCTTTTTCGCCATGAAAACGCTTGCACAAAACATGCTCGCAGATCTAGAGGCCCGCAATTTACTCAAATACTTGTACGTGTCCTGGGATACTCCGTTCTCTATGGCAAGTATCCCGGCTCCACTCGTGAACCACTTCATATACAAATCCAAGAGGCACGTCCAATACTACGCGCCTCCCACTACTGCGTGGGTTAACCAATTTAGCAACGATTCAAGTTCCAGCACGAATGCTGACTCGACGCATGACGGCATCAGCGTTAACACTAAAGAAAATTATTACAAAACTCTCATGCGGTATTACTCCCACATCAGAGCCAACGCAGTGGCAGAAGACGGGAAACCCTTTAACAGATCTACCATATCTTTTGTGAGATGGACTACCGAGCCACAGACTGCCGATACAAACGGATTTGTCCACGGCCCTACCATCGTCACTGGTGTCGCTTGGCTCACGTCCAGTTTCGAGCTTTATCTCGTCTGCAATAATGGCGAAACTGATCGCAATGCGGTACTCGGAAGTGCTAAAAATATTGTCTCATGGTGCCGAAGGAACGAAAGCAGGCTTTTCGTCCATGATGGCGCAGTGTTTTAACCACTCACAGTCCATAAATCCGTTACATTTTAAACAAGGCTCTATGCTTAATTTTAGAAACTATCCTTTAGGCGGTCACCGGCTCAGAGCATTTTGGGTACTCGCCGGTCCAAAACAGAATGTCTTTTCCTTTGGCTGAGAATCAACGCCGCTTGCTCAACACCAAATTTGGTAACCAATTTCTTGTAAAACAACCCGCATGCGTTGCACAAGCTCCTTTTCCCCTTTGGGCCCCGTCGCCATTCGGGCGTTTTCGATGAAGAACAATGTCCGCACTGCCGTGAAGCGTCAGGAACACTGTCACTGCTGCTGGATTGATTATCCCCATTCGAAGCACAGTTTTGCTCATTTAACCACACATCGCATACCACTCCCAGATCTTTACTACTTGCATTTTGCAACTCATTGATTGCATCCGGTTTTAGCTTGTGTTGCAACGACCGTCCAGCCTTGATGTCGTGTATCATTTCGAGCATCTGAAAGGTTTTTTTCGCACTTCGCATGGTCGATTCCAGACTTTTCTGTGGAATCTCATCGATCAAAAGCTTCATCTGACAAGTATCTGCCACGTCTTCACTGTGCTGCGAGAGAGGCCAGTTTTGAATGCTGGTATAAACCAACCTATTGCTTTCCAATATTTTCGCCAATTTCAGCTGATAATCTCCATTAAGTTTAATGATTCTCTCAGCGCGACTTTTACCTTTCTTCATACCTTTTTCATTTCTCGACGACGACTCCACCAGTTTGGCCGCTTCAATCAACTGCATTCCAGGCTTCACCACTCGCCCCCACCGGGTATCGCTCTCACCTTTGGGTGCAGGTTTTCTGTCACCGAAGAATTTCTCAGATTTCGCTGACGCCTGAGAAGCGCCCGTGACGCCGCGTGAATCTATGCATCGCACGAGACAAGTCTTAGCACCGTTTATTCGACGCCGTCCGTTGAGGAATTGCCCCTTGTTCCAGAATCTGTCCTCCTGAATGCCAAAATTATTTGGCTCTGGCAGTGTCCGGTGCTGATTATCTCCGAAAACCGGCGACGGACGGTCTAGCCGAGTAATTTGAACGTGTTTGATCAATTCGTTAATTCCTGGCAATGTTCTATGGGTACTACTCTCACGACACTCCAATCGTAATTTTGGCAGTTTAAAGGCATGCTCAGGATCGTGCGCCAGTCCGGCTTTCCTATCATGATACATCGCGAAACCGAATCCCTATATTTTATAGCGGTTTTACAACAGGAATGAAAGCAAGAACGGAAGCGAACGGTAAAGATTGAATTCATTATTTGATTCAAACTTTTAAATATGACTTGCTTGTGATGAAAAGTTTCACCTATCAACCCGATTTCACTTATTTTGCGAGCGTCAACAATTTCACATAGCACTGACGCCTAAAAAAAGAGAGGAAAGGCAGGAATTTCGCAGCCCATAGGCGTAGAGCCTCCTCAAAGAGCTTTTATTGGCGTAACGTGACAATGAAATCTGGTTTTTTGATTATTCGATTTTGTCGCTTCTTGGATTGTTGCAGCGCGCTTATTTCAAATAATTGGAATCAGAGGAGTCCATTGATTCTTCTTATATAACAAAAATCAAGCCAACAATTACAGAAAACTCGGATCTAACTTGGGAAAACTATAAGCTTACGTCCTGTAGGGCTGTCTCGATGCCAAAGATCAAGAAGTTTCGAGTGAAGTAATTGTTATTTCTTTCCCGATAGTTTCTAGAATGCCGTTGAGAGTGCTACTCTTGATTTAAGTTCGCGAGCAGTTAAAGGCTGAATAAATCAGAGTACATCAAGACGATCTGGTGCTACTCAGGAAGAAGCAATCGCTATTAATGAGAATTCTAAAGCTTCTGGCCCTAATCTTTCTAGTATATCTAAGACCGACTGCTGCTTTTACGGATTATTTGATCAAGAAATGCTCGCAATCTGGGTTTTGCGTGAGAAATCGGCATTATGCGAACGAGATTGGGTTAGGTACAACAGCACCCGTGTATTCTGTGGACCGGTCCAGTGTAAAGATATCAACGGAGAACCATACGATCACAGCTATCGTAGAAAAACGGTTTAGCACTGGTGAAGGGCCAGAGACACTCGTAACTTTGCCGTTAACGCTTGATATTATGAACGGCTCTTCAATTCGTTTTACTATAGATGAAAATCGAGATCATATAGAGGGACCACTTCGATTGAACTCCAGGAGGTACAATGAGACTGCAGCATGGGCTTTTAGTCCAGATACGCCGTATTCGCTTGCTGAATTTAAAACTTCCCGATCAGTATGGCCGTTTTCGAGGAGCTATTTACAATTAAACAGTGTAAGTGGACTCGTATCTATCAGACTTCACTATGCGAGCTTCAAACTTGAGATTTTTTACAAGAAAGAGCTTGTATTCACTGTCAATGACCGCTCGCTGCTAAATATCGAGCATGCACGCCAAAAAGAACTTAACCAGCGAAATAAATCGCCTGCAGAAACAACCTTCAGTGACTTCTCTGACTCATTTCGGTACTCGAAAGACGACACTCTGCCATTTGGCCCAGAATCGGTAGCCATGGACTTCACTTTCCATAACATTGAAAACGTATATGGCATTCCTGAACACGCTGACAGCCTGCGGCTCAAGGAAACTGTTGCTTCAGATCCATATAGGCTCTTTAACGTGGATGTTTTCGAATATGATCTTTATTCAGGAATGCCAATGTACGGTTCCATACCGTTTATGCTTGGAAGCCGCCCGGGCCTGTCTGCAGGCGTGTTCTGGGTCAATGCGGCTGATACTTGGATTGATGTCAGCTATGAGTCTCAAGGTGCAAAGACGCATTGGATGTCGGAAGCCGGAATTCTCGACGTTGTTCTCTTTCTAGGAGATCAACCTTCCGACATCACTTCAGCGTACACCTTGCTGACAGGACGACCAAATCTTCCATCCTTGAGCTCTATAGGGTACCATCAGTGCAGGTGGAACTACAATGATGAAAAAGATGTGCTGACCGTAGACTCTCAAATGGACAAGGCTGAGATTCCGTACGACTTCATATGGCTGGACTTGGAGTACACCGACAATAAGAAATTCTTTACCTGGAGACCTGATGCATTCCCTAATCCACTAAAAATGCTAAAGAAACTGCACAGGATGGGCAGAAACCTCGTAGCTCTCATCGATCCACATCTCAAAGTTGGATACGAGGTTAGCGACGCAGTTGAGCAAAGCAGGGCAGCTGTTTTAACTTCCCAGAATGATACCTATCACGGTCACTGTTGGCCAGGAGAATCTCTATGGATAGACACGTTTGGCGAATGCGGCATAACCATTTGGAGCTCTTTTATTCAACGGTTTGTTGATAAAACTAAGAACCTCTTCATCTGGAATGACATGAACGAACCTTCGATTTTCAGTGGCCCCGAGACAACGGCTCCGAAGGATTTGATTCATGCTGGTGGCTTTGAGGAGAGATCTCTTCATAATCTATACGGGCTTAGTGTTCACGAAGCTACTTACAATGCTATGACTCAGGTGTACGGCGATAGCTCGCGTCCATTCATTCTCACCAGAGCCTTTTTTGCAGGCTCGCAAAGAACAGCTGCCACATGGACTGGGGATAACATGGCCGACTGGGGTTATTTACGCATTTCCATTCCTATGTGTTTGACCAACAATCTTGCTGGGTTTCCCTTCATTGGAGCCGATATTGCCGGGTTTTCGGGTGATCCAAGCAATGAATTGATTGTAAGATGGTACCAAGCCGGAATGTGGTATCCTTTCTTCCGAGCTCATGCACATATAGATGCTTTAAGAAGAGAACCTTACCTTTTCGAGGACAAGATACAAGAGACCGTCAGAAAAGTTATTCGTCTTCGTTACAGCTTGCTACCGACTTTTTACACGGCATTTCATGACGCCAGTGTTAATGGCACACCAATCATGAAACCTTTGTTTTATGCGCATCCGGAACTAGACGAGACTTATAAGATCGACGACCAATTCTATTTGGGCAACTCTGGTTTACTAGTGAAACCGGTCACCACCGAGGGAGAAACCGATACCCAAGTATTTTTCGCAGCAGGTCTATTTTATGACTATTTTACTCTCGAGTCATTAGAGATTCATCGTCCAGGACACTATTTGGTGAACGCTCCGCTGACCGAATTACCCGTCTACCTGGAAGGAGGTAACATCATTTTCCGGAAAGATAGGTACAGGAGGTCTGCCAAACTTATGGCCCGGGATCCAGTAACCTTAGTTGTAGCTCCAACGGCCGAGGGAGTGGCATTGGGAAGCTTATATCTAGATGACGGCGAGACATTGCTTTACCAAGGGGGCGACTTCCTCAAAGTAGAAGTGACGCTCAAACAGAATGAACTAATTTCACAGGTCGTCAACTCCCCGGACACCGAGTCTTTGAGTAGCAGCAATCACATCGAACGCATAATTGTCGCCCTTTCGAGGCAAGCGAGCTTGCCTTCAGTGGCCAAAATTACGCAAGGAAATACCACATCACAGAGAGAAATTACGCTTGATCCCACAAGCCATTTTTTCGTCATACAAAACCCCGGATTGGTTGTTGGACAAGCTTGGTCGGTCGTTTTTGAATAAACGATGCTTATTTGGTTGAGTTTTGACCTTCCTTAAGAATTAATGCGATTTTTGTCAAAGTTTTCCACTCCAAGGTGTGATGGCATGAAGGACAATTACCGTTCTTCGGTATGAGGGCTCTACTTGCTCCATCATGCAAAATATCATCCAAAAACACTCTATGTAAGCACTGCAAATGCGAGAAAAAGTTACAATTTTCCAACGGACAGAATGTAACCAATACGGTGTCATTCTCGATATAATTCACTTTGCTTGCGCAGATGCCACAGTGGAGTACGCCCCGTTTTAAAGCCCCTTCACATTTTTCGACGTAATCTTCCAATTCACGGACCACTCTTGAAAACAACATGTTTACATGTTCCAAATTACGCTGCGACAACTCGTCACCAAACGAGTCTGTCGTTTTATCGACTTCTAACTCATTGGAAACTTCAGTTTCCCCAACTGGCGGGCTGATCCGATACTTATTCTGTTCCCACACCGCGAATGCGTCAACACTGAAAAATTGGACGTTGAGCCCCATGTTATTAAAAAATGGATGCTTGAGCAGAAGCATCAAATTGCCAATTTTTTGATGAATACTTCGTCCACCCGTCTTGTTCTTTACGATTCGATCTTCCTTCGCAATGAAATGCGCAGAATGTCCATGCTGCCAAGCATGTTCAAACTGCAATGCCACTATTTTGCTCGTAAAGCCATATACACACACGATCATTTCCCATGGCCTCATACCTTCTTTCTTCGTTCGATACGCTGATCCATGTTTAACGAGTCCATTATGCTGTCGAAGTCTTCTTACAGGATTTGGGGTTGATCCTATATAAAAGGACTGTCTTTTTGGAATAGATTGCAAGAGATAGCAGCAATAGAAAGGTGGTATCAAATGGCCCTGCTTGCTTGTTTCCATAGTTTGTATATACACTTAGTTTTCCATGATTATTCTCCGTGATCATTTTCCATAGCCATTCGAAGGTGAACCAGTTAAAATGAGATGACTCAAGACTTGTCGTAAGAGAAACTGAGAATTGAAAATCGAGAATTGAGGCGATGATAAAGCGAGGAATTAGATCGTTTCGAGTTTTGTCACACTTGGGAATTGGTATTTATGAACAAGGGCTTTTGAAATCTTACAAAGTTCCATCACCGAAGGAATTGAAATCGTTCTTAGATGACTATGTCGTTGGCCAAACGACTGGGAAGAAAGTGTTGAGTGTCGCAGTGTACAATCATTATCTGCGGGTCTTCGACAAGCAAAAACGTGTTGATATGCTTCAGCAGGCCGAATTACTAGAGAAACAGCGGTTGGAAGCTGATAAAAGTGAGCCAATTTACAGTGCAAGTACCGAATCTCAGGCTGGTTATAATAATCTTAAATTGCAATTGGAGAGTCAAATGGATCCAGGAGATCAAGAATTAGAGCTTTCCAAGAGTAATGTATTGGTCGTGGGGCCTTCAGGATCTGGTAAAACGTTACTGGCGTCCACTTTAGCACGCATATTGGATGTGCCCATTGCAATAACAGATTGCACGCAATTGACGCAGGCCGGTTACATTGGAGAAGATGTGGAAGTATGCATCGAAAGGTTGCTTGTAAATTCGAATTACGATGTAGCTAAGGCTGAAAGAGGCATCATAGTGCTGGACGAAGTCGACAAATTGGCTAAACCAGCGGCTAGTATAGGAACCAAGGACGTTTCCGGTGAAGGAGTTCAACAGTCTCTACTTAAGATTTTAGAGGGCCATAAAGTTGAAGTCACGGTCAAACGGCCCGTGAATAAAAAGAAAGACGCACAAAATAATCAGATAACCGCCAAAAAGGAGGAAACATTCGTGGTCGATACTTCAAATATTTTGTTCATGTTAATGGGTGCTTTTGTGGGACTTGACAAGCACGTTGTAAAAAGAATAGAGCAGCTGAAATTCCCCCAGGGCAAGAAGGATTCCAAAAACAATGACATCACTAAGTTGAGATTCAGTTCATCTGTCGAAAGAATTGATTTGGGCAACGGTAAAGAGACGTCTGCTTTAAATCTCGTTACACCAACCGACCTTGTGAGTTTTGGGATAATACCTGAATTGATTGGAAGGGTACCAGTCATTACTGCTCTTGAACCTCTCCACAAATCGGATTTATATCACATTTTAAAAGAGCCCAAAAATGCGCTTCTCAACCAGTACTGTTATGTCTTCAAGCAATTCGGAGTAAAACTCTGTGTTACCGAGAAGGCACTGTTGAAAATTGCCAATTTTGCACTCGAAGAAGGAACAGGTGCTCGTGGGCTCAGAGGAATCATGGAGCGTGTATTGCTCAATGTTAACTACGAGTGTCCAGAATCTGGGATTGCCTATGTTCTGGTCGATCAATCAACCGTTGAATCTTTGAAGGCCACCGAACACTCCTTGTCGCCGCATGTGAAAGCTAGGTACTACTCCCGAGGTGAAAGGGACGCTTTTATCGAAGACATTTACAAAGAAGACCCAAAGCTGGGCGCCGAACTTGATAGAGAGTTTCATCGGACTCCAACTCGGCTTAAAGAGGGGAAAAAGATACACGAATAGAGATATAATTATTGAAACACCAGACCATAATTTTCTTGTACTACTACGCCCATGTGAATGACGTCGCCCTACGCTGATTTAGTTGGTTTTTTATCGCGCTTTGGCTTTTGAGCCGTCACCAATACGTACCTGGAAACGCCTGCATTTTCATCACATTTGCCCATGTGTTCGTTAACGTAGCGTAAGGGAAAAGAAGCTGGCTGACAATCGGATGGACAAGAAGAGCTATCTAGAAATCCCGTTCTCAGTTGAAAGTCGAAACCATGCAAGATAAAAAATTCGAAAACCATGCCCATCTCTGTGCTTAAGTCCCCTCTCTTGAGACTTACAACAGAGTATTTTACATTGACGAATCCCACTTCTTTCAAAAGCTGCACAAGATATTTCATAGGAAATGGTTGAATGCCCAATTTTGCTGCCTCTAATGTAACCGCGTCCGAAAGGGCTTTAAGTTCGACAGTTGTCGGAAACTCCCTTTTTGTCTTCTCTAGATCTTCACAAGCGTTCACGGTACCGAAATTACAAGTCGAAGTTTGCAAATAACCCCCCGGTACGATGCACCGAAACAATTCTTTAAGAAATCCTTTCCATTTGTTTTGCGCTAAATTAAACCATATGTCGGGGCACATAACAACTGGGAAGGATTCGCTCTTAAGGGGTAAGCGAATCTGTAGATACTGCCTTCTATACTCCTGAGAGATGCTGGGATGTTCGCCCTTAGGGGTTGAGGCCATCAACTTTTTCACACATTTTTTCGGAAACATGAATTGTGTCGGCAATTGTATATGTCGGTAATTCGCAAGTATGCTAGCATAATAGCCCTCCAGATAGGTGTTTTGTATTTGAAGAGAGGACTTGTCCAAGTCTTCTGTATTAACTCCTCTAGTCTTGGTCTCACTTTTAGGTGGATCAGAATGCGATGCTTTTCTTCTGAAAAGATTACTCAAGCTGAGCGATGATGGAGCGCCTTTGAAGCCTTTATGCGATTTTTTCTCTTTGATTGATAATGCCTCATCACTATCATTAGTTGAAGGTTCTAAAAACGCTCCTTTTGCTTTGGCGAGCTCCGAGCCTCTTGCTGGCAACGTTCTGAAGTCTCGACCCACACAATCTTCTAAACGGCCAGAGGCATAAATATCAGCAAACGTGTCGCTATTCATGAAAGCTTCGGAATTCAAAAAAGTACTCGGTGTATTCTTGTCTAAATGCTCGGTAGGGTCTCCGCGATCGAGGTCTTGATTCGGCGAGTCCTCAGAACTAAAAGGCGTCGCTGAGGAACTGATAGAGCTATTAGATTCTGAATTGGGGGACTTCAGTCCATTTCGTTCCGTTCCTAGCGTAACGTCTTCAGTTTTGCCGTTAAGTGGAGAAATATCCACCAAATAGTCTAAAACGTTCCAATTGGGTTCATCAAGAGCTAATTGCCAACCAAACTCTTGATCCATCGAGCAGCGAATGAGGAGAATATCTGTTGTTCTCATAGCGTCTTGCAAGAAATTTTGATTGTCATTGGGCGATGGCTCTTCATCATTAGAAGGCTTATAAAGAGCCGAGTATCTGCCCAAAAACTGAGCAATCTCATCAGAGAAAAGAGCCGAATTTTTTCCCAATAGGAACTTTAGCGACTGAATAAACCACAATCTAATCATTTCCCCAATTTCCTCGTAGTTCTGACCCGCTATATAGGAAGGGTATCCACCCCTTTTAGAATTTGGGTTGATGTTAACGTTAAAAGGGTAGCATGCGGACGCATAGCGCCAGGAATTATGATAAAGCTCGAGAAACTCGACAAACGACTTCAGTCGAGATTTCGCGTGTGTGTAAACCTCGCCAACTTTGCATTGAGAGTTGAACGAGAAAAATATGTCTAGTTTTGAGAAATACGGATTGTAGCGAGAATCGTAAAGAATCTGCTTTGAAACGCCGTTAACATTATGAGAAACGAGATTCATTGAAAACTTGCGAGCTCGCACAGATTCTCCGATCCGAGGCAATCTGTTCCAACTTCGGTAGGAGTCGGTATCTTTCATATACCCTGCATCCTCAAGAGAAGTTATCGGTTGCATCGCGGGCATTGAATACGCAACAGAAGGTCTTCGACTACTACCCGACGTCCTTCGTCCACTGCCGTCATGACCATCCGCCGCCGATTCTTCAGCGATTGTCGAAATGGACGACGACCACGAATGCGACTGCGATTGTGATTGCGTATTCAAGTCCTTCGAATATTCACTTCGCCTGTCCCGCATCAAACCCGACGACTCATCTTTGTTCTGCATTTGAGCGTTCTGAGTAGCCCTCGCACCTATGCCTGAATCGCTGTGTATTCCCCTTTCGATGAGGACCCACTACGTTTTCCCACTGCTGACGCCCTTTATTAGATCTCTAAGATCCTGGGCTTTCTTATAAATCTTACCCAAACCCGTCCGCGCCTACTTTATTACCCTTGAACCCTATTGCCCACTCTCCCGGTGTAACTATTCTTATTCTCGCAAGCTACCCGTCCAACAACTCGCAATTGATTCGGCTTTTGAATTTCCCCTTGTAGATATCCAGAAGCCTCCGCTGACACACTTTTAGACAACTTGCAACCCTGAACTACCGTATCTTTGCACCTTTTTGGGTTCCGAAGTTTGGCACTTTGGATCTTTCCTGGTCTCGATTTGGCAAACCACTAGATTTACCTCAATTCTTTTCACCACAGCAACCTTGTGTTCTTTGCATGGAAAAAATTTAACGGTTGTTCCATGAGTTTGGTCTATGCAGTTTTTTGCCAAAATTTCACAGTATAATATTTAACGGGAAAAGTGTCGGCAAGGGTCCACATCTCGCAATTCTGCAACTTGTTTGGTCGTTTCAGCTTATTGCACAATAGCGTAGAAGTCCACTGATCCTTTGTCGATGTTGTGAATTGCGTTTAAGTTGAGGTGATGGTGTCCTGATTTCGTAGTGAAAGGTAGGAACATGTAAGAAAAAACAGGAAAAGGTGAGATGCAAGCATGAAGACATATTTGACTTCCCTGTGTGATGCTCCCTTTCGATGTTAGTGTAACCAGTGTACGCAACGTATTCACTGTGTGCGGTGTATCCGGTATATTAGCCGTGTTGGTGTAATGATTTTCCCGAGCAAGTGAACGGTGTAGTCCTCTTAAGGTGAGTGCAAAGCCGCATCACAATGATATTATTATTGACCCAAGGTGTTACGGTACTCTTGAAGAACTGTCTCCAAATGTGTTGATGGCAATGCAAAGAAATGTGAACCATTGTGTTATCGACCGGAACATTGCAAAATCCAGCACGTAAGGTGATACAATCTTTCTAAAGACGATCAAAGACTCTGTGGCATGGAAAAGATGACTCTCTAAAGAGCTTCGGACTTTCTCGTTATCGTAGTTCAGTTGCAGTCCATCTCTCCGAAACGAACTTTTCAAGTGTCAATCATGTCTCGCGTTATCGACGGGTAAACGTCTAGCGAAGAGAGCCAACGCTACCGATTAACGTTTATCGCAATGTTTAGCGTACGACAGTCTTTCAAATTCTTTCCCAATTTGCTCCTGGGCCCCTGTCCCTCACACTCAAAACGGCAGTTCCCTCGACAACCCAACCCTTCCAAAACGCTAGGTGCTACCCTGTGAATCGCTTCCCGGCATCATTGCCAGCTATGCATATATCTAGGCTTTTTTTTAGCATGATTACTCTATTTCACTCTTAGCTCTCATTTGTTTCGGGATGATACTATCAGTTTTAGATTTCACCTGTTTGTATTTCTCGCTTTCATCTCGGCGGCTACTTCTTCATGATTATCGACAATGCAGTTTCAAATCGTTTCTCCTGAAGAAGCTCTTCGGATCACGAAAGTAGATGGCAGCTTTGTAAAAGTTAGAATATATAGTAAACCCTATTTGAAAGCTGTACCATCAAATTACAAAGTTCGATTGAAGAGTGCAATTGATGGTTAAATACAAAACGTTTTTTCCGAATGTTGAATGCAAAGAAAATGTGTTTTAATCTCATGTTGAAATGCAGAATGGGAGTTAAAAGCTGCCCAGAATAGATTAGGTCAGCGATGCAGAAGCGCAATTAGTGAAGACCTCTGAGAAGCTCAAATATACGATCTTTTCCAGAAACAAAATCATTGTCGACAATGTTCACCAGAAAATAGTTATCGATAAGGTCTTGCAAAAGCTCTGCGCTGTCGGACTTGTTATTTTCTTGGAAATTGAGTTTCCATTCGTCTAGAATGTGGAAGAACTCCTCTTTCCAAGCCAGGAACGACACCTTTTCGACGATCGTGGGTTGTTCAACTTCCCTCCCGGGAAATATACCCCATGTGACCGCGTTAGCCGCGGTGTCGTCTGGATGATTTGAGTATAGCTCGTCGGCGGCGTCAACCGCAAAATAGGTGAGCGGAGAGTCGTCCCCGATGTTTTGAACAAATTCCTTGAGCTTGCTCTTAGGTAATAAAAACTCCAAGTATTCTTTTTGGTAGACGAACCCGTTGCTGGGACCCCATCCGACAACGCTGTCGGTGGAGCTAGCGCCATTGACACGAGGTTGAGAGTTGACGGTCACAATAGAGTTCTTATTCAATTCGATCAATGGTTGCAATATAGAGTCCACTTCGTGGTTGAGAGGAGTGTCAGACCAAGGTAGACATTTGAGTTTACCTTCCAAATATGCAATGATCAAATTGGCAACGTCTTGCAAAGTGGTTGGTGTTGACCACAACTCCAATGACCGGGTGGGCGTTTGGCGAATGAGACCAGAACCACACAAATCCAGATCGCCGAAAGCTGGAGATGAAGAGTCACCAAAACGACCGTTAGGGAATTCGTCAGCGGCCCATTGAGATGTTCTAGCGACATAACTGTAAGGTCTGCGTTGCCAAAAAATTGGACGCACAGACTCGTTCCGACGTTGGGGATTCAAAGACTTTCTCCAAGGAAGTGGAACATTTGGCAAATTGACCTCTTCCGCCTCCTTTGGCAGAAGTCCAAGTTTGTCGAGAATCATCAAAGACGCCTTCTCCAAATTCATGGTATACATGTGCAAGTGCGTGACGTAACCGCTGTCAATCAGCTTTTGACACATTTTGGCCATAAGCTCTGTGCCATGTTCACGAACGAGTTGATCATTCTCTTTGATGGGTTCGAGCCTCGTGAGAAATTCTTCAGGAACGTGAATTTGACACCAGTTAACTCTTCTCATGAAGCTGGCATACGACGTGATGGGCATAATACCGGGGATGATAGGCACGCTAATCCCGGCAGCACGAACGTCGCGACACCAATCGATGAAAAGATCGCCATCGTAAAACATCTGAGTGATGATGAAATCGGCACCAGCATCAATTTTTTCCTTCAAAAATCCAATCAAGCTACGGCCATCGGTCTCCTCAGGGTGACCTTCCGGGTAAGCTGCGACACCGATATCGAAATGGTCGCCGTACTTCTTCCGGATGTAACGAACGAGATCCCGTGCATAGCTGAAGCCACCCTCACAGGCCGTCCATTTGTTGGTGTTCACAGGTGGGTCACCTCTCAGTGCCAAGATATTTTGACACCCAGAGTCGTAAGCTTTTTGAAGGGCTTCGTCGATCAACTCTACCGGCATATTGGTGCACGTGAGATGCATGCAGGTTTCCAGTCCCAGAACCGATTGCGACGTGGCTACTAGGTCGGTCGAAAGCTGCGAGAGACGGCCACCCGCATTCCACGTAATGTCGATGAACTGTGGATGCGTCTGGTACATCCTGTCCATTCGATCATACAGGTTCTGCACACCTTGACTGGTCTTAGGAACGAAAAACTCAAATGAGAAGGTGGGCTCCTTGGCGCTGCCATCGCGATCCTGGCGCTGCTGAAGCTTGTGGGAGATTCTCATGATCTAACCAAGAATTAGATAATTTTCGGTTCGATGAAAGCCTACACAAATGTGATGAGTCCCTTTTCTGACACTCAAACAAACCTCTGTCTCAATGCCACCAGTAGAGAACAACTCTTAATCTCGAGCTTTAGGCCTCACAGCGATCGTTCTTGCTAGCTGGAAAACTTTCTTCAAAGAACCTAACCTGGGTTCTTTCGTCGTTTATAAGAAGCATGTGAAATCGTTTTCCGAGTTGGAGTCCTGTCCAGGTAGTAGTCATATTATCTCCCCGACATCGGTGTTAAATGAATCAGAGAGCCACTCCTGTAAGGTGGTTGCGCTGGGCAACATGGCTGCTGCATGGTGGCTTTTCTAATAGCAGCGCTCATTACTCCCACACTTCCTAAGTTCCGAAAAAATCCACGTGATATCTGCTTTCGCCCGCTCGGCCTTATATGAGCTGTGTTTCTTGCAAAAGACTTAAATTGTGCGGACTTCCAGCGTCAAAATCTTTTTAAGGATAAGCTATTTCGCGCTTGTCATGTTCAGTATCCTTGGACGAGTTGTATAAGTTTCGGCCATTTCAATTTTCTGGGTTTACCATGACCTGGTATTTGCTGGCATCATGGTAGTGTCTTGAATTCCACAAATTATCTAACGCCGAATAAATACATAACCTTCTTTTAATCTTGACGAATTGACAGTTTCAGTTGATGTTAAACGGGAACATGAAATCATTGCGTAGTAGATCTTTAGTAGGACTAGAACCAGAGATGGGTGTTCGGAGTTTTCAAATAGTCTTACACGAGAGTAGGCTTGGTGCTGCTTATGACTATGAGCACAACATCAGAACAATCGAGCAACACAAATATGATCGATCCTGTATACCTAGGAGTTTTATAGCAATGGATTTTCCTTTAAAAAGCGATATTTCCCTTGAGTGAAGCTCATTTGTCTAAAGATCTTGGCGTTTAGCCTGTAGTCCTTCCTTGGCATGATTGAATACAGTTTTAAGCAAAAATTTGGACATAGCAGAGGTTCTCAGTCAACAGTTTCTATTACTTTGTGCAAGTCTGTTATGAATGTGAAAAAAGGTCAACAAGGAGTGTCATTTTTTAGCTCAAGCTTTTAAATTTCAGCGGCTATCGTATGCAGTTATCGAAATGAAAGCAGTAAGAGCTTTCGTCTATGTATGAGCCTTAAGGTCCGTGATATGACTAGATTAGTACTACAATCTACGTCAATCGTTATGCAGTATTCTTCAGGCGAAGCCAACCGGTCACCAGTCAATCGGCCAGAAACTCGGCTTCAACCTCATCTATTACATCCCACACCACGTCGTCGGCGACTTGGTGTTCAAATAGATCCTCAGGTGTCATTACATTAGCCATGGTCCTTTGTACTGCGTCAAAATATCTCATTTCTTCTTGGGAAGTGGCAATCTTGGCTTTTCCTCCATTAAAACAACTTACTGTAGGATAGTAACCCAGTTTGCTGTTATTTACGTATTTGTTCCTCAGGATCACATTATTCGATACCAGTCCAGGACTGGAATCCTTGTGCTCGTTCAAATTCTCAGATTTTGCTTCTGACCGCGTTTCTGTTGTAGCAGTACCATTTCTCCAGTAATTAAAGTAGAACTTCTCGTTGTATTTGAGTTCACTGAAGGGCGGCAGGAAGGGTCTCAGATTTTCAAAGGCCTTCCCGACTTCTTGACCATTGACGAAAACTTTCAAGAAAGAGTTATTTAATGTGTGGAACTCTTCTCTTTCTCGTTTGTCGGATGTGTAGTATTCGGGCTTAGTGGTCTTGATGTAGTCTGTAGTTTCAAAAAAAAGCTGATTTTTATAACGAATGGCAATCTGGTCCCGTACCACATTTTGCGTGTCATGCTCCAAAAGTAGCGCTTTTTGAAACTCGCGATTCATGATTCTGGTCTTGCGCTTTATTGGATTTTCCACGGAACTAGCCTGCGAAAGGTCTCGATGACTAGCCTCTGCCAAAGCATCTATCTTGATCTGTACGTATTCTCGAGACTGCGAAGCTTGTTCCTCAACACTGGGTAAAACAAGAAGAAGCCCAACCACATCACCAGCTTTCAAATGCTGGACCGGTAATACCTGACTGAGCTTTCCCTGATGTACCGATTCCAAACAATTGTCTCGAAGACCATAACTGTAACTGTCAAAGCCCACAGGGGCTTCCAGGGATGCCTCGCGCCTTGAAATACCTAAACGAACATGTGGAGTGGAATTGAGTTTTTCTTTCAGCGATTTTATCGACGTTGGCTCCTCAATGGCAGGTGATCCACCGTTACATATCTCAACTTCCCAATAACAAGCACCCTCTTTGATGGCAGCTTCGCATCTACCGCTTCTCCAACCAGAAGAAGCCGGAACGCAAATTGTTCGATTTGAGCCCTGGCAGAGTAAAAGATCATCAGATCTGTCCATCAAACTAAACCCAGCCCCATTAAAATCATACTCTGTAGTGGAAAATTTAAGCTCTTCAAAAAGAGGATTACCAGAACATGGAGTATAAACGAAATTTCTTCTGTTTAAGGGAATGTCTTCTGGTTTGACATACTCATCTTCAACTTCGCAAAAGACAGGCAATTGTGGTCTTTTTTCCTCCGTTTTAGGAATTTTGTATATAAAATCCGTCTCTGGCTGATAACTGATTGTTGATATTTTCATCAGGTATGTCCAGTAGCATCAAGAAAAGTAAAACTTCTCTTTGTACTTGTTACTACGTTCTTCTCATCGAAGATCCTAAATCAGCACTTATTTGTTTTTCTTGTTGATCTAATGAAGTTGGGATTCCAATGTCGATTTCGTACGAGTATCCATCCACATACCACTGACAAACATCAATACTGTGGAGCTCACTGAAGTTAACTGCTGGCTTACTACCGGTAATCTAAACCGATATGTTCATTCTGAAAATCATAGGCAATGGAAATGCAGCGTACCAATGCGGGGACTGCTGAAATATAGTAAAACATTGAAAAATGGCGTAGTACTGAGCAAAGGTATTTTGACATTACCGTGACACAATAAATCCATGTAAAAAATGACATCTTCAAGCATCCACAATGTAGTTAATGTGGTTAAGTTTCGTGAAGATTCTTATCAGACATCAACTGTGTGGAAATAAATGCCACTGAAGTTAATTTCTTACAAGAATTAGCAATTCAGTATATCAGCAGAGAGCATTCGTGTGCCCAAAGAACTTTCGTATTTTTTTAGACAAAAGTAAATCATTTGAATAGGAGAAGACCCTCTTCAAGGCAAACACCACCCCCATATCAGCCTTTTATTAAAAAAACCTTTCGTTCGTCTTGCAATTTTAAATAACTAATCTCTAGTGAAAGGACAAAAAAGGTCGAAGTGATATGGACAGCCAAAGTATGACTACACTTTTCTAAAGAGAATTAATGATATTAACAAAAAGCCTTGATACCGATTAGAAAATTTGAATGTCGATTTGTTCTTGTGCTCAAATTCCATGAAAATCGGCGATTGGGATTGGTAAGAAAAGTGATGATAAAAGCATAGTGTCCAGCCTTCAATCAATCTATGAATTATATAGTAAGGGTCATTTTTACTGCTTATCGTGATGATTTATTAACTACTTGGGCTCACCATGAGATTTCAATAAAAGGGCACAGCAGAAAACAAGTGAAGCATCCCAACAGCATTCCTATGGTATGTGCAACTAAAATCAAAGGGCCTCATAATAAAATCCGTAGAATGTTCCTTTTCAAAAAAGCCCTGACAAATGCCGATCATTTTCAACATGAATTAAAATCCTCTACAAAGAGGCATTGCTTTTAATGTTCCATGCAGAGTATACGGGTTCGATGGTGGAATGGCTTGTGGTTTTCGAGGAACATTAGCTTTATTCAAACAACAACTAAACATGGAGATACCAAAAACAAGCGGAAACTCATGTTAGCAAGCAAAAAAACAGATAAATCAAATTCGCTTCCATTACCTCTACAGAAGAATCTTTATCAAAGCTTTTCCTTCTAAATTTCGATGCTTTAAAGCCATTTCCCGGTCTCACTTGATTAAATCACGTCTCACGAAGATAGCTAATTATAAGGTAATCAGATGTCTATGAGTCGTTTCTCTAAGGACAACCGTGCGGACGTCATTCCCAGACGAGATGGGCATCGCTCGAGAGCGGGAAGAAGATTTTGATCAGACTCCAGATGTACCGAAGCTAAAGAAGAGGCCTTCGTCGGCTATAATGGGCATTTCAAGATCGATCGCTGCCTGCAAGAGATGCCGGATGAAAAAAGTTAAATGTGATCAGAAGTTTCCGAGCTGTTCGAAATGTGTGGCTGCAGACGAACCCTGCGTTTCGGTTGATCCTGCTACGGGGAAAGATGTCCCACGTTCTTATGTTATTTACCTGGAAGACCGTGTTGAGATAATGACCAAGAAACTTCTGGAATTGGGGGTTGATGCTTCGGCCCTTCAGGGTAATATTCCAGCAACCAGTGAGGACAGGCCTTGCGATGTCAGCTATTTTGAGGAAAAGATGAGAGCGGAGCACAAAGTGCCGGTGGATAACGCTATGGCGGGCTATATTATCAACAATGGTACCTCTATGCGGCGAGGTGTATCCACAGAAGATCGTAGTTCGCAACGCACAATGTCAAGCATCGGGAGCGACAAATCCAATGCCGCTTCTCCAATTCTCTCAGAGTTGAGCGAGTCGAGCCGAAATCTTGCAAGTCTAAGTGCAATGAAACACATCAAGAAAAAATCTCCTCTGAACAGCGCGTCAAATTCGTACCTAGGCGACTCATCGGGAATTCCTTTTGCAAAACTAATGTTTACCGCTGTGAACTTTCAACCGGAGGAAGTTCAAGACGATTCTGAACCAGAACACTTAGAGACGTCCTCCAAAGTGAATTTCGAACTATTACATTTGCCACCGAAGCATGAGGCTGAGGAGCTGGTCTCCCAATATTTTGCGCTTTGCAACTCGCAATTGCCAATATTGCATCGAGAGCATTTCCTAAAGAAGTATTTCGAGCCTATTTACGGCACGCTGAGTGAGAATGTCTCATTGGCATCAGATTATACTAGGATCAATAAGGACTTCAAACTTTCTAGCGCGGAAGATAGTGCTAAAGATAGTTCCGACATCCCATTATTTGAGTGGCTGTCGCAATACAATGGTGACGAAGAGGTATCTGATAGATTCCATATTCCACTTTTTTTCATCAACATGATAATGGCCATTGGATCTTCTGCTCGATTTCTGGATACAAAAGAAGCAACATCAGTTACTTTTAAAGATCGTGCGTCGTATTTTATGGAGGCTCTTTTCTGCTCTACTGATAGGTTAGAAGCTCTTGCTGGAACTCTTCTGATTGCAGAATATTCCATAATGAGGCCCAATGTACCTGGAGTATGGTATACAATGGGATCTGCGCTGCGTTTAGCTGTAGATCTCGGGTTACATGCCGAAAAGTTGAACAGAAATTATGATCCTTTCGTTCGCGACTATCGCCGTCGACTCTTCTGGTGCACTTATTCTTTAGATCGTCAAATATGTGCTTATTTTGGGAGGCCATTTGGGATCCCAGAAGAAAATATAAGTGCAGAATTTCCCAGCAGCTTAGATGACGGATTGATAACTACGGCGGCTGATAATATTGAAGACTACTCTTTGATCAAGAGCACTGTTGTCTCGTATAAATCAATTTCATTGGCGTTCTTTAAGATACGAAAAATCCAGGCTCAGATAGTACAAGTGCTTTATGCGCCCAAAGGCGCGCTCCCCAAAGAGTTCGAAAATCTCGAACAATGGAGGTTTATTATGGATCATGAACTTAACAATTGGTATACTAAAGAAATACCAAAAACGCACAGGAAAATGAACTGCATCTTTAAGCCAGATTTGTTTCAACTAAATTACCACCACACGAAAGTGATGCTTTATGGCCTCTGCCCAAAAATATCACATCTGGATCGACGTGCACACGAGGCTGTTTACGAGTCTACTAAAGGTATCATAGAGGCCTACTACAAATTATGTGTAGCCAAAGACATTAATTACACTTGGGTGGCAGTTCACAATTTATTCATGGCCGGTATGACTTTTTTGTATGCTGTACACAACGCGGATAAGAGCATAGTGGATAACGTTCACGAGCTACATCGATGGTGCGAAAAGCTTATGTATGTCCTCAAGTGTCTGATTGGAACGTGCGACGCTGCCAAAAATTGTCACAAGATTTTCAAGGTGCTATCTGCTGTTGTTCTTCAGCTCAAGGCAAAAAAGAACGCCGAGTTTGGCTCGGGCGGACCCACCAGTTTCCAACCAATTCAGGAAGAGCATCCCGAAGCAGCACCTGTCCATGAAACGAAAGAGGAGGATCTTGTTCAACCCCTTGAGTCCTTTGCTCCTTCGTTTGCAAACGACGTTGCTTTGGATCAATTTTTCCAAGAACTGAATCGTCTTTCACCTTCATCGGACGGAAGCCGAAATGCTGTTCCGCTTTCAAATTTTAATTCCCCTGGAGGCAGCAGAGAAACTCCATCTAATGGTATTGGTCTCGATCTTCCTGTGGGTGATCCACGCACGAGCATGAACAAGAGTATTGAGAAAAGAAAACTTTCAAAAGATGGTCAAAAAGTATATGAGATGATCAATCAAGTAAGCGCAGATACTATTTGGGACCAGTTTTTCAAGGGTCCTGTTTAAAATTTGTCCAGTTTTTTGCGTTGATGGAGTACTGGTTTGGACACAGGTGGGTTAACCGGGTTAGAATATTAATCGACAAGTGAAATAATTAACAGGATTAACAGAAGGATAGCTCACTGCTGCGATAGCAGAGTAGCTACGTTATGTAATTTCACCGAACTTCCATCTCTTACCCATATAATACAACAGACTGTCATAAATTCAAAAAGATAATAAAGAACTAGCATGCTGTGGTAATAACCATTTGATGACTCCTTAGGGTTTCAAAATTGAAGTCCAGCCACGAGACAAAAGGGTGCGCAAACACTATCACATCTGCATCCTGAGGATTTTCACAACATCCTCTGCAGAAGTGCTGCTCTCAATGGCTGGTAGAATAACACCATTTACAGCAACAGAAGGAGTGACGTGTACACCGTTCTGGCGCTGGTACCGTACAAAATACTTTAGATCGTTGGTGACAGCATTTCCGCCATTTTTCGCTTCTCCGCCGCTGTTTTTGATCTCTATCAAATCATAGATTTGTGAAGCGGGTACACCTGCATGTTTTTCGGCAAATTGCGCCAATCCCTGACCAATTTGACTCCTGCTTTTCTCAAAAGTGGGTTCGTCGAACCATTTGGTCTGCCCTTCGAAAAGCCTGCGGGAGAATTCGATCATGTTGTCAGGCGACAGACGCGCCACCGCAAGACCTGCTTCGTGCATATAGCATGACGACGCATGCCAAGGCTGAGGTACCTGAATCAATTGAAACTGGAAGCTATCAGCACCTAATTGTTTTTGGATTTCTGGAATTACGCTATCATACCAATTCAAAAATAACTTGCTGCTGAAAGGGCAACAGTAGTCAAGATAAAGCTCGACCGTGACCACAGATGGTGATCTCGAAGGGTAGATGGTGTGGGACTTAAAAAATCTTGGAGCAAGAGGCATTTCCTTATAGGCTTGGAGTTTACTGTACTCTCCCTATCTTTATCGTCAGTACCCCCTTTCAACAAGTGCTACTATTAATGTAATCATCACAGACTTGACCAGTGACCAGTGAGTTACCCGGGTGACAGTGTCTGCATACTGGGTCACTAGCAGCAAGTAACGAGCAGCCTGACGTTCTTCGTGGTCGTAAAAAAGCGATTGAAGTGGTGAACTACGTTTGAATTAGCACTAACAGATTTTCGCGGCAATAGTAATAATTTTATCAAGAAGTCATCGTCAAGTTTCGACGTCAGCGATGAGTGATTTGCCGTTGAGGTCTTCTCCCAGGCAAGTCCCCTGATCTTCATGCGAACTTCCTTGCGCTTTTGCACAATTCTGTAATTTTATTTTATCATTTAGTTGGCACTTGATATCAGGATTTCATTCAACGATCAAGCTTTCCATCAGTGGGTTTTGAAAAGGGCGATCCAGATCGTCGCCAAGCCCAATGTCAGAAGCCGACATATATTCCAGCTCTTCCTCAGAATCTATTTCTCTATCCATTGGCATTATGGGGGCCGGTTTGTAAAATCCAATTGCGTCAACCGAACCCTGAGCACCATTTACGTGCGGAGGTCTGGTATACTTTTAATTTCGTCGGGTTATTGATATTCCAGATCATGCTGTTTGAAATGCGTTTTGATTAAGCTTTCCAATGAAGGCAGCTTCTTTGAGCATCTTCATGGTGCGTAACCTCATGAAGTTTCTCAACTTTTGCGCTGGAAACAACCAAGAGAAAGGTGCATTGGGCCTAAAGAAATTTAGATAACCCATGTTGCTGCCAAAGCACAATTTTTGTCTGCTTCTTGCAAAACGATTGACTACTCAACAACGAAAAGTCGATACCCGTTTGTTTGGCCTTCATGTTCTTCATTTTCAAGGTATCCTGCGCACCTTTTTGGTAGTGTCTTAAGGCATGATAAACTCTCAAACCATTTGGTAGGTCAGTCTACTTCCTCGATTTGCATGGCTAGCGATAACTGCATCAATGGCCGAATTCCGACGAATGATTTCGAAAAATCAATGTCGCGCCTGTCAAGAGCAGATACGTTTCGCAGATGTGGAGTGATGACGTCTTTTTCGCTTTCAGCGAATCTGGCAAACCAACTTCCGTAGGCCGAGAAGTTCAATGAATACGTCAATCTGTCCCAATTGTGGCATCAATCGGTTGGGAGATTTAAAGGTCTTATAAAAACATTCGCCTCCTTCGATATGTTGATTTTTATAGAAAAGATGAGTAACTTAACTTTTGTCGGCTTAGATTTTGCCATAAGCTCGACAGAAAACAGTATTTAGCTTTGATTGAGACAAAATCTTCTGAAATTGACAATTGAGAGCACACCTTACGTACCGCGTGCCACCAAAAAGGTTAGAAGCTGAAGGCCTTAAATCAAAGCATATTGTAAATCAGGTAAGAATGCAGCAAGCATTCTTTTGTTGCGTTACCCATCATGACTGTTGCCACCTCCATCAAGTTAAACTCTTTCATTAAACTGGCAAAAACCTTACAGAGAACTTTACCGTCGTGTTTCCTCCTTTTGAGACTTATCAAGTCCAGAAAGTGTACGCCATAGGGTTTGTGCCCGAATTGTAAATTTAGCAAAATATTTTCATTCATTAAAGAGCGTAAAGGTTCAGTTTTTTTCGTGAGAGTAGTTCTTGATTGGATAAAGGAAGCTGAGACATATCTTTTGCCGGTTCTTCTTCAAGAAGACGTTTGCACAAAGCTGAAAGGCAACAACCCTTCAATCGCGATATTGCGGTCCCGAGCGCTTTTGGGCTAAGCTTGTATTCTTTATTGATCGATTGCAATAGTCTGAGGGATATTCTGGTCAGCGCAGGCATAGACACCGGAATGAACGTTGCGTACACGCTTTGCCATACTCCCTGTAGACTTATCTTCAGAATATCATTTTCTACAATATCTTAATTTGGCAATCTGGCCACCATTTGCGGTAAAAAGCTCAATGAGGGGCTTCAACGTGGATTTGCCCATCTAGTTGCTCGAGTTAAATTTCATTTCCTTTTCGCTGAGAGGCTTTGTCGGGTTCTTCCTATGAGTTGACTCGAGGCTATTAGCGCTCAAGCTCTCGGTGGCTTTTGCCAAACCCGGCAAACATTGCTGGACGATATGTTACCGTATTTCTTGGCCGCTGACGCTTTATGCTGACAATCTCTCCGCTCTTGACGCCAAACTTTCGATCTAAATCGTTCATTACCTTAATGACATGGGTAAACTTACAAGCGTACCAAATAAGGAGTCACTGGCACACAAAGAGATTTACTAATGAGGATTCATAGAAAGTTCCCACCGTCTGGTTAAATCAGAATCATCAACACTGGTCATTGTTAGCGTTCAACTCCAAGTTCGTCGTTAGAGGCCTCGCTAGCGTTCTTTAAGCGATTATTGAAGTCTATAATTGTAGTATTTTGAGCGTTCTTGTTCACAGTTGCAATGCTGACTTCATTTTGTGGATGACCCATTGGCGCTTTCTTGTTTATAACTGTTCCGAGAAGTCCATTCACCAAGGTCCCAAGACGGTAGATTGGCCATTGTAACACCGCCATGCCAACTCTGAAGCTTCCTGTCCAGAACCAAGGGATTGGCAAACGAAGACAACTTGTATTGCGGGAATTGGTACCTGAGCTCATTAACAACACGTTGCTCTAGGCCGGGAAGTAACGAAGTGGATCCTGTTATCACAATATTGGTCAGCAACGTGTTGTGAATTTGCTCTGGCGACACCACATTTGTTGACGTTGACGAGCCCATGCTAGAGGAAGCACCGGCTTTTTTCACAGCAGTTCCCACAATTTCCGTTAAACCTTCGCCTGGCGGGTAGTGCGACGAAGCTAAATGCGGTTGGAAAAGGTACTCTGCAACTTGACAACATTCCTTTTGCGTAAAGGACAGAGTTTGCCGTTTTTTGTAAAGGAAATTTCTGATGTAGTTCATGCCCATGACGTCCAAATTCATGGCTTCGAGTTCCTGGAGCTTTGATGGCGATACTTGTAGCATGTAAGCTTTGAAATCCTTGATCCATGACGCTGAGTCGCGCCAAACGTCTAATGATGATACAGTCGACGACTCGGAAGCATCTCTTTTAGCACTTACCAGCTCGTTCACCTGAAAGTCCAAGAAATTTCCAGCAAACCTGGACCGCGTCACCGCGCTTTTCAGCACGCTACCGTCCACGATAGGTGTGACAGTACTTTTCGCAGCCCCAATGTCGACCACCAGAGCCGTATTTCTGCCAAGCGACAAGGCTACGGCCAACGGCTCCAGAACCATCTGAAAAACTGGCACCTTCAAAGTTTCCAGCGCCAATTTCAAATACTGCGTGCGAGCCGTCTCGCTTATATCAGGGGCCACAGTCACAACCAGCGCCTGTTCTTCCGGATTCGCTTGCAATTGATCTTCCAAAATCCATCTCCATTGCGCTGCGAGCGCGTCCCAATTGTACGGCACTCCCTGATCGTCCAAAATTGTATAAACCGCACCTTCTTCTGCCAACATCATCTCGTTGTACCCAAACAAAAATGTACCATCATTCCTTTGCAAATAGCTCGAGGGACACACCACCTGTGGTAAATCGCGATTGCTGAATCCAGCTATAGTAGTATGAGTGCCATTGTGGATCACAATCGTCATCTTTGATATGTTACTTGGCTTCGGTTTTTGGTTTAATAACAACAAGGTGTCTTGAAGATTTTTCATTATTATCTACAAGAAGCTTTGAACAACTACTATATACATGGAAGAACAGAAACTCGAGTACAATAAGCTCAAATTAGAGCTCAAAGCAGCGATTGAGGAACGCAAGGAGCAGGAAAAGGAGTGGGATCGTCTACAACAGGAGATATTTGACAAAGAAACAGAGTATTTGGGTGGAAATAGCTCAAGTTATCACGGAACTATCATCAAGGGTTTTGACGGGTTTGGCAAACATACGCACGAATCGTCGCAGAACTTCAGTGATAAAGATCGGATTTTTTCGCTGAGCAGTTCTCTGTTTGTGAAACAGTTGGAAGGATTACAAGAAGAAGAGTGAAATCGAAATTATAATGGTAAGAGTCTTGACAATGCGACGGTCTATATCGTTGATGCGTCCGAATCCGGGCACCATTGTTCCAGCTGCTGTGATTAAGGCCAGGAGCGGATCACAATCGCACCTTCAGGTCACGGACACAGAGCCCCTTTTCGCGAAAACTGACAATTTGCTCAGCACTCGGTGCCGAATTTTGGGTCAGCCGCCAACGCTTGCGTCGGTGAGTGTACCTGCTTCTGTGCCGTTCTATGTGCGTCGTGGATGTCTTGTATCCATTTCTGATGCACCCGACGTTATTCTGTCACATACCTGGGCTGGGCCTGTAACTAAGTTTCTCAGATACGGGTCACTGAGACCCGCATTGTACCATGAAATCGTGGCTCCCGAACAGTTCAATGCTCTTGTTGCGCCAAACGTTGGTGCGGCCTGGCTGGGAGCGTCTGTTGCGGCCTGGCTCGGAGTATCCGCTACGCCGTTTCGAACGCTTTGTTTGCTGGATCTGGATGGTACAAGCGACTGGTGCGTTTTTGGACGCGATGCGGTCATTGCGTATGAGCGCAATACATCGCTTGAAGTCCGCGACCGGCCCCTTTTCAGCTTGAGTGGCGTAGGCGGGAAACATACGGCGCTACCGGCCAAGCACCAAATCATACAGGGCCGCGGTAACATCCTGCTTAGCGGTGCGGGCTCTGTTTACACGATAACACTGGACACAGCGGAAGACGACACAATCTTGCGGAGTGAGCATTTGCTCGGGATCAGTGGTACTTCCCGGGCCGAAATCGCCTCTGCGATCACCACGGACTTCTCCTGCATTGAAGCCGGAACGTCCCGTCAAACAGCGGTCTCTACGGAGGTAGAAAACGAGAGCGAATTCGATCTGAAGCAATTCGTGTCAATGACCAAAAACGGCATAGTAGCGACATGGAACTACGCGAAACGGGTCTACTCTAATTACATCAATGGCACGACCAAATTTTTAAGGATCAAGGGACCAAGAACCATTCTAGTTCAGAGCTCTTACAACGCTTTTTTGCCTGCTACTCCTATGTCTCGTCCGCGTATTGAAGGAACGACAATACCTCCACACGAGTCCACACCAAAAGCCGGTCCCGACACGTACCTGAACTACGTAACCGTCTCTAGGGACGGTTCCGTCGAATTCAAAAGCACGCCCAACTTTCAACGGGTCGTCCACGAAATTGAAGAACGGGGCAGAAACAAATGAGAGGCGCACACTCGCACTCGTCGAAAGACTCATACATATTCTTATAGGCACTCTAAGACTTAAAAGTACATAAAGAAATAGTTTTCAAACTTCAAATTAACATTTATCTCGTTGGGCGATGCCAGTCCTGACTATGTTAGTCTTACGCTGAGCTTATAGACTCATTGGGCAAGAGCTATGAGATTCTTAATTAACATAAATCACGTGACTACTATACTTACAGGCGACTTACTCAAATCGGTACCCGTTCCGTATAAAGACACCTACTCGTTTGTTACTCATTAGTCGTTAAATGTTACTTAAGTAAGTCATTATGAACGTGAGGACTGAGAGGATATCACGTGGTCACTTTGCCAAATTTTTCATCAGTCACCTTTAGATGACATGAAAAATGGGAACTTGGAAGAGTAGATTGTCTCTATCAAATGCTTGAATGGTGAGTTGGAAACAAGCGGCTAAACCATTCTTAAGCTCCTTCAAACGATTCACTTCGATGAGTTCCGTGAAACAAGAAATGAATTCGAAGTCCAAACTGCAATTGTCTTTGAAAACGCCCAAAGGTACCAAAGATTGGGCCGAGAAGGACATGATCGTCCGAGAGGCGATTTTCTCGACATTGTCCGGCATCTTCAAGCGTCATGGAGGTGTCACGCTCGACACACCTGTGTTCGAGTTGCGGGAAATTCTTGCGGGCAAATACGGTGAGGATTCGAAGCTCATTTATAATTTGGAAGATCAAGGTGGTGAGTTGTGCTCGCTGAGATATGATTTGACTGTCCCATTTGCCAGATTCGTGGCTATGAACAACATTCAAAGTATCAAGAGATACCACATTGCCAAAGTGTACAGAAGAGACCAACCTGCCATGACAAAAGGACGGATGAGAGAGTTTTACCAGTGCGATTTCGACATTGCCGGCACATACGAGGCAATGGTGCCAGACGCTGAGATCTTGGCTATCACGGTTGAGGGGTTGACGTCGCTTGGGATCAAGGATTTCAAGATTAAACTGAATCACAGAAAAATCCTAGATGGGCTTTTCAAAGTCGCGGGCGTCGCTGACGATGATGTTAGAAAGATTTCTTCCGCGGTCGACAAATTGGACAAAGTATCCTGGGAAGCAGTCAAAAAAGAAATGGTTGTTGAAAAGGGCCAAACAGAAGAGACGGCGGACAAGATTGGCGAATACGTTAAGCTCAAGGGATCTTTGACTGAGGTTTATGCGGTTCTGAGCCAAGACGCCGACTTGAGTTCCAATGAACTCGCTAAAGAAGGTTTGAAAGACATGGAGATTCTCATGAAGTACACCAAGAACTTTGGTATCGACGAATACATCTCTTTTGATCTCTCGTTGGCTAGAGGGCTTGATTACTACACTGGTCTTATTTACGAAGCGGTCACTCAAGCTTCTGCCCCACCATCCAATGCTAGCGAGCTCAAAAAGAAGTCCAAGAATGTGGAAGACGCCTCTGAATACGTTGGTGTAGGCTCAATTGCCGCCGGTGGCCGCTACGATAACTTGGTTAACATGTTTTCAGAAGCCACGGGCAAGAAATCGGCACATATTCCATGCGTTGGCATTTCGTTTGGTGTCGAAAGAATTTTCTCCCTTATCAAGCAGAGAGCCGACCTTCTCTCTGCCGTGAGACCCGCCTCGACTCAGGTCTTTGTCATGGCATTCGGAGGAGGAAAAGACTGGGAAGGGTATTTGCCAGAAAGAATGAAGGTTGCCAATGAGCTTTGGAAGGCTGGGATCGCGGCAGAATATGTTTACAAGAGTAAAGCCAACCCTAGAAAACAGTTTGACGCTGCTGAGAAAGCTCAGTGTCCGATTGCCGTCATTTTGGGGAAAGAGGAATATCAAGACAATAAGTTGCGGGTTAAGAGACTTGGTCCTGAATTTGCTGATGATGATGGTGAGTTGATCGAAGCTCAAGATCTCGTTCCTACTGTCCAGAAAAAGCTTCACGAAGTTTACGAAGGTGGTGTGGATGAAGTTACAAGACTACTTCGCGGCTTGTGATACTCAAGTTGGTTTCTTGTTAGAATTTTTAAGTTGGGTCTATATACCGAAGATAAATTTAATTGCAATCCTAACTAATTCTATTTTCAATATCTTTCATCTCTTCATGAATTTACAAGCTATGCTACAGAATTTCTGGTTTCATCACCAATGGCCAGCATGGCGAACTTCTGATTCTTCATTATCCTCTTCAGAACTCCAGTCACCCGCGAGGCCCAACTTCATTTTTTTACTAACCACATTTCCGCCGTCATCGATTTCTGATGGGGAATGCTTTTTGATACCAACAATGCTGCTTGAGTCTTCGACTTTCAAAACGCCAGCACTCAATATTTTTTGGCCCCATTCACTAGCCGCTGCAACACCGGTCTCGTCTCTGCATTGCTTCAAAAACGGCATTAAAGAAGTACCACCAGTCCCCTTCTGTTCTTTCTTTCCATGCGATTTTGATAAGCCGCTCCGCAAGGTGTTTCCTTTACCAGCTACTGACTTTTTCGAGGCTTGCATAACCACATAGCGCGTCACAATTTGGATATGCTTATCCCGGAACGATTTGAGCATAGCCAGACAAGCATCATATGCGACAAGCAATTTCTCATCGTTTTTGTGAGATAGCACATAGTCTCTTATATTGCTGACTTTCTCGAGGTGTTCCAAAAAGTTGCGGTGCTCGCGAGGCATGTAGTTTCTCATTTCGTTGATGAATGAATTGGACCCGGTCTTAGCTGAGATTTTACCTCCAGCACTGTGCTTTTTTCCAGAGGAAAAATGCTCAACGCCCAAAAGGATATCCAGCATTTGAATCAATGAGCTCTGTGCATTTGATCCACCGGCGTATTGTTGAAAACTGCCCTTTTTGCCATACTTCACACCTTTGGGAAGGCCAACATCCTCCATATTTCTCCAGCCGGCTAAGTAGGGCCGGATTCTGAAGTAAAAAATATGCGGGTCACACATTTCATCCATACGCATCAAAATGGAACCCAATCCGTCAATTCCTTCGGCGATCGACTCCAAATGGCCCACGAGAGACTCAGAATTGCCGTTCCGCACGTCATGAATAGCTTTTAGGCCATTTTCCATGCATTGCGCACCCGTTCGTTCGAAAAAAACGCTTACAAGGTAAAACCAGCTTTCGTCAATGCCCCCAGTGAAAGTGTTGATGGTCATGATGTCATGCAAGTCAAAGTCACCATCTAAAAAAGCGGGCAAATCCAAATCAACGACAGGTTCGAAATTCCACAAGACCAAACCGGCGTAAGTCGCGAGAGGGGGGAGACCCAATTTTTCGCTGATAATTAACAGTGGCTGTGCGACACAGTCGGGTAAAATTTCGCACGGTTCGTCGTATCCCCATATGTAGGCATTCGTGATGAAACAAAGCACAGAGTAAGATCTGCGCAATTCAGCCAAATTCTCTAAAAGACTCGTTTTGACCTCCAACGTTGGAAGACGGTCTACCACAGATCTAATTTTTTTCGATAACAGCAGCGATGGTAATTTGCCTACGATTGTTTCCCAGGGCTTATAATATTTGTCGGAAAGCCTCGTAACTGGAAATTCACCGGGTAAAAAACCACTACTTGCAGTGAGCCCATAATTCTCGAGCTTAGGAATTTCCAAATCTTGACTCATGTCTGGATTTCGAATTTAAGGAGGTAAGTCTAGTCAAAACTTGAATTATCAGTTTCTAGCTGTCAATTAAACTGTTGATGACTTCGGCAATCTGTCGAATTTAACAAGAAGAGGGTGCTGGAAAAGTGTCTTACAAGTAGCGTGATGACAAAATGGCATGGGAAAAAGAAAAAAAAAGTGTGACCACACGTGTAAGGTGATATATAATTTTACGTACATGATGATATTGAATGTCATTTATAACGTATCATTGGACAAGTAACTGTGTACGAGTTTGTCAAAATTTGATGTCGTGCTTATGTCAGCCATATTAGAGTCGAAGGCCTCTGTAAGCTTAAGCTCTCAAAGCCCGCGTGGGTATAACTGGATAGGTGTTAAGAGACAAAGAGCTCCTAGAGTCGCTCTCTGTAGATGGAAGTTTTGCCCCTTGTAGGCGTCAGTATATACAGATTTGAGTTTTAGTCATGGATTCGCTAGAGTTGCAGCGTAGGGGCCTTGAAGACAGTACTAGGCGAAGTGACACTCTGTGATGTGGGATGTGTTCAAGTCCCGCTCTAGCAGTGACTCAAATATGCAGACAGCGATGGAGATGTTTCAAAAGCCGCTGTCTGTCCTATAGGCTCCGCCTCAAATCGTCGAATTGAGTCATGTAGTCAATGTTCGGGTCACAACGCGTGTTGAGAACAGACACGGCGCTCTTTTGTAGAATACTTTCTACTTCACGTTGGTTTTTCACCCAGGCGTCCAGTCTTTGCCAATCGCCATATTCCAGGTCCTTCCGCATTTGCTCAGCGCGAGGCGCATAAGGGTCCATACGGGCACTGACGGTGGCCTGTGAAGCGTCCACGTTCTGCGCATACAGCTGATCCAGCTCGGTCTTGAGCTGACTCGACTCGTTCTCGCAGAAACTGATAACTTTATCTCGTATTCTCCAATTGCCAGATAGTTCATTATGTACAAAATCCTGGCATCGCGCTCTTTTCTCATGAGTTGTAAGATCTTTGACGTTGTTTAGTTTCTCCCGTATCACGTCATCTGAGTTATGACGCATAGCCCTCAGGAACGAGTTCAATAGGCGCGGATCCACGCATCCTTCCCTGGTGACGGTAAGTTCCATGTTCCGTAGATTTTCGGATCCTTTAAATTGATAAGAAAGGTCCATAACTTGAACCGGGGCCTTAATAACGAGCTTATTACCCATTGAAATAGAACGATATACTTGATTGATCAATAGTTCAGAAGGTATTCGACCGCCTCTGGTGCTGACCTGTGTCCGACATGCTTCCTCTATGACGAACTTGCTTTATAAACTTCGATTCGCCCTCTCATAAGACACGAAAACGATGATTCCACCTAAAAGCCTATCTTGGAACGAAATACACCCTTAACAAGACCTGATCCTGTTTCCTCTAGGGCCTCGTTAATGGTCTCGTTCGCGGCTAAGGCGTAATCGTTAAAAGTTCCCTCTAAGTTGTCCCAGCCGTTTTCAACGGCCCGTGAGACGTACTTCATCGTTCCGTAACCACCTGTTTTGGCGCCGTGTCTAACTGGAGCCACATATCGGTGGTCGTTGGAAGCGGACATACCGTGTTTATTGTCCACCTTTTCTTGCGGATCAAGAGATAAAGTTCCATTTGCAATAGCACTTTCTTTGTATTTGCTGGGTTTCCTCGCATTTCCACCTAAAAGATCGTCCAAGTCTTGTCTCCTAACGTAAAGAGTGCCTCGAGCCCACTGAAGCGAGTTGAATTCTGGACGGCACGGAATACGCAATTCGGGATTATAAAGTGTGTCTGTTGCATGGGTTTCAGCTTGCGAACTCTGAGATGATGTGTCCTTTAGGACCGTAACAAGACTTGCTTCTGATTTACCAACCCGAGCGACAATATCTCCGTTGCGTAGTACAGACGACTCACGGATATATTTGCTGTGAATTGGAACACCCAATGTCATGGACTTTATTTCTCGTAACTCCGGCAATCCCAGAATTTTCACGTCACCATTGACTAACAAGCAGATCAAAACAGGTGCTACGGCTCTTACTTTAGTCTGTGGTGGTGGAGTTGTACCCTTGCTCTGCAGTGAAACCGGTACAAAAGACAAGCCGCAAGTTGCAACTGGGTATTTGAAAATTTTGTGGCTGTCCTTCGACTTACCTGGTGTAGCCAGGCGTATGTCTGTAGCTCCACAAATGACAAGTTGACTTTGAACATAAATACCTTTTGAAAGTTGTTGCATTCCTGCTATGGTTGCTTGGCAAGGCTTACCGTCCATTTTAGCAAATGATTCTATGCTCAACAGGGGGCCAGAGTCATTAGTCTGGAGACATTCGATAGGATCTACCGCAAAACGACCACCTTGATCCGGCAAAACCTTAAACGAAAGCAACTCGCCAGCATCAGTGCCGGCGAAGAGGACGATACTCGAATATGAATCGTCGCCATAGCCCAGAATAGTAAACTCAAAGCATGTTGCGCATAAACTTCGACCTCGGCTTGTATTTCTCACGTTTCCCATATAAATGACAGCCGGACCACGTCTATCAATTACCATGATGGTTCCTTCTTCGTAGGCAATGGCGACAAATCCAACATTGCTGTTTTTCAAAGCGGATACTTTCCCCTTCCTAGCATGCACAGCCGTCGAGGGCATAAATCCTTCTCTGACATTGCGGGGTGCTCTATCGGCTACATCTATCAGAATTTCATTGTTTGTATTGAGCGAAAATCTTCTGAAATTTACCTCGACATCGTTAACTATGGGGCTCCCTTCTGGAGCAAAGTGTTCGTTCGTTTGAAATTTAAAAAGCACCACATCCCCATCCTCTACTGAAACAGCCAATTCGGCCGTTTCAGATGCAAATGAAATGTTGTCGACAGCGAGGCCCGTCGCCTTGTTAAGAACATGAGACAAATTCACATCAAAAACTGAGCTATCATCTAGTTCACCGTGAGAAGCATCCCAAATACGAACAGACCCATTAGTATGGCCTGTTGCCAAAGCAGACCTAGTTTCATGTACACGCAAAGGTTTTTTCACAGGAGCACCACCTTTAAGTAAGTAGTCCTTGTTGTAAGTAGAGGACATCATACCCAGCCACAATTTTTTAGGCACAGCAGTAGCGACAGATTTCGTGGCACAAGGGCGAACCCAAGAGATACTCTGGGGAAAAAGCGACGCTTTGTATGTCGTATGACCTGAAGGGAAAAGTAGCGTTTCCAGCTCCCCATTTTCAAGCAAAACAACAATGAATCCGGGGTCATGATTACCTGAAAAGTAGGGAGAAGCGCGAGCTAATGTTAGAAAATCAATCACGGACGCAGAATTATTGATTGGTAAAATCTTCTGTTTGACGGGATTAGCGTAGAAGTTGCTCATCTTTTCATATGAAGTGACAGAATACATTGGTGTGCCCCCAAGGTCCATGAGTGTTAAATTGTGGCAGCCGGTTCCCTCCAGCGAGGAGCCTCCCGCTATCAATAGCGATGTATATTCGGGATTAGCCTGACACAGCCACGCCACCTTGAATATTTTGGTATTCTTTACTGCTGAACTATCGTTAAAGTTTCTAGGAACATTCACGTCGGTGTCGAACAAAGTTCTGGCTTGAATCAAAGTTCCATTGTTAGCATCCCAAAAGACCAAAGAGTTATCTTCGTGAACAGTTAAAAGATTCAACGAGTTAGGATGATATAGAGATTGCGTCACTCGTGGTATCCTTTCGCTCTCCAAATCTACAGTTGAATCCCCTCCAGGAGCAGATGGAGGAACTTTGTAGATAAAATGGCTTTTGACTTGATTTTCCACAAACGAATAGATTACCGTCACCTTTGTGTAGGAAATCAAAAGAGTGCCAAAATCCCTGGGGTTCCATTGAATTGACACGACTGGTGAAACAGCTTCCTTAGGGAAGAAGTGGCTCTTTTGTAAATTCTCTATTCGCACAGGGGAAATCGCATCTCGATCAATATCATATATTACAACGGTCCCACTTTGGAGACCAAGAATTAGCCAGTCCATCGACGGATCCGATTCAACGCATGTGATTTTTCCGGGTGCAAAAAATGTTGCAAGAAAGCTCTTGGAAAGAAGTGAAAGCACTAGCACAGAATCCTTCGAATCGACCGCGACAAGATACACACCCTTCAAAAATCTCAGATTCTTGATTGTCGCCTTTGAGTCCACTGTAAATACTACTTCCACCTGGTGTCTCCCGTAAACATGGATTTCACCTGAATCAGTAGCTACAGCCATTAAACTTTGGACCGGATCGTAGCCTAACGCTGTTATTTGTCCGTTCATACCATATCTACTGATCTCTTTCAGTTCGAACAATTTGGAGTTGACACCGGCGGACACATCACTACTTGAGACTGTCTTGATGGCATTCGACACAGTTTTTAATCTTCTGCTTTTGAACATCGTGGTATGATTTACCCGTTCGGTTACTTCAGGATAGTTCAAGTTCAAGATGCTATACGTTTAAGTTTCAACCCCGCCATCGAATCGTATACAAGACTCAAGTCGTCACATGATCTCCAGAGACGAAGCCTCTGAAAAGGAAGCGTCTGCCATCGACAAAGTAGATTTTGAATTAACTTATGGCATAGTTACTAGGAATATTATGCTGCTATGAATAATTATCGTAGGAGGCTGTTTTCACCTGTAAAGGTCTTACAAAACGTGATTTCATTACTGTCACCACATTTTATAAAATGCAATCAATTTTGTTAGCTCATTACCGAGAAATCTACCGAAAATCGGCACTATCCCAGACATTATGTTTCTGATTAAATTTTTCAGGTTCATAGTTTCAATAATTTAGGTATGCTCCGTTTTCTGCCGATTTACAGCACTGTCAAAATCTGATAAGGTCCAAAAACGAAATTCAACGTACAAGCAAAGCTTTTTTTAGGTCCTCGTTTATATGAAAATCGTCTCACAAAAGCAAATCCTCTGGCATGAATGAGAAGCCCCTAAATTCTTCTTGGAGATCGGAGCTCAGAACAGACGGTAATGGAGTTAAGGTTGGTGGGGCCGAGGTAAACTCTTTCTCGAAATATGACGTATCGTCGGCCGCTTTGATCTCAGGAACATATGGGGGCTGAATTCTCATATTAAGTATATCATCAAAATTGACATTCCGGAAAAAGGGTTCTTCCATAACTTCCAGAGCATCACGAGGACCAGCTCCCAGACGCCTTTCCGGATCCTTTGTGAGAAGGCCTTGGAAAATTTGAACAATATCGCCAGCCATGTCGATTGGGTATAGAGGCTCATCTGTCAAAATCGCATTGAAGACCTCATCTTCATCGTCGCCAGAAAACGGAGACTGGCAAAGTAGCATCTGATACAAAAGCACACCAAAAGCCCACCAGTCGACTGCTTTGGTGTACTCTTGTTCTTTCAAAATTTCGGGAGCCATGAATTCTGGGGTGCCGCAGAAAGTTGACGTTCTGTTCCCGTACCACATTTCATCTTTACAAAGCCCGTAGTCGGCAATCTTGATATGGCCTTCAGGCGTCAAAAGAATGTTTTCAAGCTTCAAGTCTCTGTAAATGACACCGTTGTCGTGGAAATACTTTAATGCGAGCAAAACCTCTGCGGCGTAGAACTTTGCTCGCCTCACAGACAAGCGTTGATTTTGTACGTGCCACATCAAGTCACCAGCTCCAATAAACTCCATAGCAAAATAAATTCTGTTTTCTGTTTGGAATGAACAGAATAGATTGGTCAAAAACGGATGCTTTGCCTTTGTCGCCAACAGGAATACTTTTTTCTCAGCTCGCGCACTTTCGATATCATGATTCTTGATGATATGGTCCTTTTTTAGTACTTTGATGGCACACAGACGTTCGTTATTCTTGGATTTGGCCAGAAGAACTTTTCCGAAATTACCTTTTCCTAAAACCTTGAGGAGAATAAAATCATCCAAGGAAATTTTGCGACGTTTGGGGCCTCTTTTCTTATGCTTCGAGACCCCATGCTGCTTTTGCGGAGAAGGCTGCTTAGAAAGAGCCTCGGTTCCAATTGGTTGTTGTTGTTGTTGATCAGGTACAGGACGGGCATATGCAACGGAAGCGACGGCTTCTCTTTCCATCTCTGGATAAGCAGCTTGACGAAATGGGTTATTGCTACCATTATACTGTTGAGAAGGCGTAGCATCAACCTTGACACGCGGTTCGACGACAGCTTCAGTATTGGAGAAAGGTCTAGTTTCTAGCAGCGCCTGGGTGTCTTCGTCATTGTACTTGTCTTCCGTCTGGGTGGAAGTGCTCGCTGCATTCTCGACCTGCTGTTGATACCAATCATTTTCTCTTAATTTTGCAGTGATAGAAGCATCAACGCCTTGTAACGATATTTCTTGCTCAGGTTCTATGTGAGCCGGATCCAACGTACGAGAAAAATCATCGTATTCAAAAGCGTTTTTGTCGATGAAATCATTGAGCCTATCTTTAGCATGTTCTTCTCGTACGTTCTGAGGGGCAGTAGGTCTCAATGTTGGATGAGAGTTTGAAGTAGGTTTTAGCTCTTGCATCTCATCCTTGAACAATTCACCTTTCAAGGCAAAATCATCCAGATCTCTGCGCACTTCATCAGGAGCTCGAGGTAGCGGCTTCTGAGGTGAGGGATGTGAATGCACGTCAGAGTATACATGTTCCTTGGTCCCGATCTTGTTTACAGATGAAGCTATTTTCCGCCTTTGCTCCTGTGTGCGCTTGGTGTCTTGAATCGCGGTCAACACTGTGTTGGCCATTTCCATCGACATTCCACAGAAGTCAGGCACAAGGTGAGCGCATTGAGCGTGACACATAATTCCACACTCCGAGCATTTTCTAACATTCTTACGACCCCAAGGTAAAATGTATCCACAGTGGCAACACCATTTGGTACCACGGTTTGGAAAAGGCTCAAATCTGTGAGGTATTCTATGATTGAGTTTTGCTTCATCTGGATCCGTGTCAGTGCTGGTCTTGGCGATGCATTTTGTAACGACATGATCGTAACATTTCTTGTGACAGAGAAATTTACAATCTTGGCATTGAAAACCGGTATATCTTAGAAACTCCCCACAATACGCACATGACATAATGTTGTAGAATGATTTCTGCACAAAGTGATGGCCATGTTGTTCATATACATCTTCCTTGCGGTTTATGATGGCACCATGACGGTGTAATCCCCCCATGAGATGCTTTCTGGACGGTGTATCAGATTTTTTGAAGCCTAAGGTGAGTAAAATTTGGCCGGAGGACTCTAAAACAAACCATGAATGTGATGTGATTGATTGTGATGAATCATTTAAGTCATCTGAATCCGTCTTTAACTCTTTGCCCGCGCTGTTCGTTGAAGTCAACGTTAAAGTTGGACCTGAGGTTCCTGAAGTCGCATCCCGACTGTTGGACCAACCCGCCTGTCCCATGTTCTGTGTGACTTGGCCTGCCTTTCTTTTACGAATCTCCTCTGCAATGTCCGAGAGAAGCAGCCACATTACGGCAACAGGTACCATTTGATCGTTTACTCTATCATAAACAGCAATCTCGATCTCATTCCCCTTTTCAACGTGAATATTATACTCATCGTGCCACCGGTCGTTTCTCGACGGCTTTGTTTTTGCCCTTACGGTATCGTCTATCTTAACGATGATAAAGGTCTCTGGCTTCCTAGAGAATAAGGGCGACTGAACATGGTCAACATCGCGGATTGCATTGATACCAATCGTAAGAACTCCTGACAGTTGTTTTCTCCTGTACTTGTTTTGAGCTGCTGCGGCGCTCGCGTCCATGAACGGATCCAAATCTACGTTAATAGCCTGATATTTCTTTAAAGCCTTGGTGAGGAGCTGGATGCGCTGTTTAGACTCTCGGGAGCCTCCCTCCGCAGCAGAGCTGCTGCGCTGGTCCCCATCAATCCGATACAACTTGGTCAGCTTTTCGTTGGCTTCCTGGTACTGGTGTTCGACCTGCAGCTTGAACTCCAGTTGTTGCAGCATGTACTGGATCCGCTGCGACAAAGAGGGGCAATCGTACTTCACCAGATCGAGTCGCGAAAACAGATGCTCTTCGGGCGCAATGGTCGAAAGTTGGCCATAGGCCGGGTTTTCGTTCTTGGAAGTTTTCTCCTGGTTGGCAGGGTCTTGGCGCATGTGAATTTTCGCCAGGGTTTCTTCCAGGTACTGAATGTTCTGCTGTGCTTCTCGAATGTTGGTATTGCATTTCTGAATCACCATGACATTGTCGGTTTTCTTTTTCAGCTGCGACGCACCCTGGATGATGTTTTGTTCCCTTTCGATCTTTTTGTGAATATCATGTTCAACCTTGGTTATCATAGCGAACGCAATGGCTTAATGGCTCCAAATTTTGGTATGAAACCACGAGATCCTTATCCTTTTCTCGATCCGCAAAAGAGTGAGTAGCTATCAAGGTAAAAATAATGCGTCAAAGCTTTCAAAACCTGCCCTAGATTTAGATTTGAATTGTCGTGATACGTTGTGCGTCGATTGGCACCTACGGATTCGCCAATTCTTCGAAGTTTTGTGCTTGTGTAAAACACCTTGATCCAAGTTGATCTCTCTATATACTATCTATATTCAGCCACTTTTCCTTGTGCTTGTGAGGCATGTGACGCTCGTAATTTTATACGAGATACGAGCGATCTGCTCAGTGTCGTTATGGTATTTAACGATAACTGATGATGCCAGACTTGACAATTCTATATATACAAAAAAGAGCTTATCTAACCCAAAATATTCCGTTGTAAGCGTTTCCTTGTTCCTTTTCATATTTTTAACCTTTTAGATTTTTCCTAGAGCTTACAGGCTTGTCTACTTTCAAAATAGTTGCATAGATCTTCAGAGGACTGGAGCACAAACGGTTCAAATCTCATTTCACAAATTTTTCGTTCTTATTTGGCTACTTGAAAGTGTTCAGTTTGTCCGAAGACGTACTTTGACTAATCAGTCGATCTATTAATCGGTAATCGTCTATTCAGAAGAGGAACTCGCTTTCCCACAGTAGTTTTGTACGAACTCAAATCCATGAGCAATGATGATAGTCGGATTCGTTCACTGGCTTCGTCCTAGTGCTACGTCATCGTTCATCAAGCAATCTGTTAATGATGTTGCAGAGGCCGCCAACTCAAAAATAGGAATCAAACTTTGCAATAGCTCTGGCTTTTCCTGCTTTCATGGCAACTCTGAAGCCGTGTGATCGTATTGAGAGATATTAATGAGGATTACCAGAGTCGGTTGTAAATGGGTATCTACATAGGTCACTTGCACACACGACTGTAGTAGGAGAGTAATTTATTAGGTCGTGCATCTCACCACAATTATGTTGATAATTTCCATCTTCAATCATGTTGCTATGGTTTCCTGTGCAATACTTGAAATACTGTTTCCGGTGGCTATTACCTCACGTATTCGTCGCGCTACAGTTGTCCATATTCGGGTAGTTTTATAATTCCATGGAAGACTCTGCTGGAGCATTCTTCGGCTATTTGCGTCGGTCTAAGTCTTCGTGGGCTATTCTGTCATCATGGTCGCGTGACTTTATTCTCCTGTAAAATCATTACTTGAGATACCAATTTTCGCGAGCACTTCCGATAGTTATTTATGCCGCGATTAATGACTACCTTGAAAAATACAATCCAAACTGCATTCTAAAGCTGGGTTTCTTGTTTTTGGTTTTCTCGCTTCTCCTATCTCTCACTGTTCCTCTACTGGTCTCGGAAAGGGATACTACGAAAAAAGTCAATACGATGAACTACACCTAGACGATTAAACCAAATGTATGAGCGAGAGACAGAATAAACGCCATAAACTTAAATTGGTGAGTGATTATATATTATATTATGTAGACAATTATTAGAATACCCTTGGGTCTGAAAGCAAAGACATACTTGCGGAAACAGCAGCACTGCTCTCCAGGTTGTCGCGAAACAAAAATTTAAGAGGATTAGCCTCCCAAATTCGTTTCAAATTTGACCTTCTTGTTGTCTCTCCGTACAAGATTTTAGATTTTTAAGGCTAATTTGACCTTTATTTCCTGCTACAAGCCTGTTTCACGCCTCCAAGCAAACAGCTATCTATATAACATTAAATAACGAAGTGTACTCTCATCGGACACGATACCTTGGACAAGAACACCTTTTGAACACTCTTTTGAAGGTCAGCTCGCGGCGATACTGATGCGCATCCTACTGCCGTTGGATAAGGCAGGACATAGCGATGTCGGCAAACTTTCGGCTTCGGCGTCCGAGCGACAACTCGTCATCTTCGATGAAGATCTTCGCATCTTCCTACATGGTAAACAAAATGAGACCACGGATCGAATAACGATATATATCAACGATGCTACGGTGTTCCAGTGTAGGAACTGCGACAATGCGCTCAAACTAGTTGGAACCGGGCTTTGGGAACTTCACAAGGCCTTAATCAAAGATAAAGTTTTCTCGTCTAATCTCGTTATGAACAACGGTCACAAGAATGTTATCAAGATTGTCGTTCAATGGCATTCGAGCAGTCTCAGTGTTAATAGCAGTACCTTCTCTCAAGATGACGATTATTTACCCAGTTTTGTTGCGCTCACCAACGCCTCGCCGGTACGAGCTTTACCGAAAGACGAGTTCATCAAAGAGAGTCTTACGACAGAACTGAGCTATCCCATATATGCATTGCTCAACGTGCGACTTAAGAATGCCGCTATTTCGTCCAAACAGCAGCTTTTTTCGTCGCTCGACTTTCAGGGCTCCAAGTCTTGCGAAACCGTCGCGCAGAAACACGCCTTGTCTGAGGTAAAGCTAAGCATCGACTTCATTAAGTATGAATTAGTCGACAATTTCTTCACGAAAGAGCTTCCTCCGCTATGCCCAGTGGCATTCCCATTGGAGATTCGCCGTTGGGATGGTTTTAGCATCAACTACTGTCTTCCCCAGACCAAAAGTTTCGACACACACCGCGTGAAAATACAGCTGGGCTACAGGGTTTCGGTCGAACCTCACGTCTTCTCAATCCATACCTGCTGGGAAACCGAAGTCGCGCCGAAAAAGAACGCTGCGCCCGCGGTTTTCCCGTCGCAGCCTCCCTCGGTCGCGTGCACGCCGGTTTTCTCTTCGATTCCCAAATTCACAGGCTCCAGTTCCACGCTTGTTCCGTCTCGCCTTGCCAGCGTCAAGTTTAAGTTCCTGTGCACAACCGTTGTGAGCGTACGAAATTCAAACTTTACGCTTTCGCTGCAGATAATGAACTCTTCCAATTTCCCGCTGGACATGGTCGTTTACCAGACAAACGTTTCGGCTCGACCTCAAGGCCAATTAACGCTGGAAAAAGAATATCGTCTTTACAAAAAATGGACCAAAGTCGGCGAAAGTCTCATTTTAATATCAAATGACTACAAGGTGCCCGTCATACAGCCATCTGAAACGTTTTGCTTGGACCTGAACTTCCTTTCACTTGCCTCTGGATTTTTCCAGACCATTCCAGGGCTCAAAATTCTGGACTTGAATTCACAAGAGATCGTCAACATTGGTGGTGCGTTGAGCATTTTGATAAAATAATCAGGATTCAAGAGAGACAAGGAGAAGCCTAAAATTTTTCGCGAGAGCCTTATAATAATACAGCATTTTGGAGTATTTTTCTCCGTATTACAGTTTAAACGGCATTTCTCTCAAGAATCCTATAGCTTAGTTATCTCCGAGTCCGTCGTTGATCTTGGAACTTGCATCACAATTGACGATTACATTAATTTTGAAGTTCTTTCTATAGGGGATCTGAACAACGTAGAGATTAACAGGAACAGGCGTTCACAAGCTTTCTATTAGTAAACCCATAAGATGTCTGATAAATTCCCACCTCTTGAGGATGAGCAGTTTAATGCCGATGCCGTTGAATCCAATGAAGAGACGGACTTTTTGAAAAGAGAGGCCGAACTTTTAGGAGACGAGTTCAAGACCGAAGAAGACTCTGAGTTCCTGCAACAAGACAAAGACAACGAAATTGAAGACTTTGAAAGGACATATCCTGAGGTCTCAAATGTGCAAGCACATGGTGAAGTGGACGCCGATGCTAATGAGTCCGAATTCGATGATTTCGGAGAGCCTCAAACGGCGACTAAGGAAGCAAGTCGTGGTACGGCGGTAGCTCAATGGCAGGAGAAGCGCGCCACTGAGATTGCTGAAAAGGACATTGCAGAAGAAAATGCAAAGAAAGAATTGCAGGAAAAAGCCGCCAAGCATCTGGACGATTTCTACGAAAACTACAATGAAAAGAAGCAGCAACAGTTGAAAGCGTACAGAGAAGAAGCTCAAGAGCTTTTGCACCGCAGAGACGAGTTTTTCGCGCAATACAACACCGTCTGGGATAGAGTTTTCGAGTTGATCAACGTCGACGACGCCGACATTGTTGGCGACAGAAATAGATCCAAGTTCAAAGAGATCTTGCTGAGGCTGAAGGGCAACCCGAAGGCGCCTGGTGCTGTCTCTACCAGCTAAAGCGATTATTAAAAATATAGTAAGTACAAAAATCAAGGTCTCTCTTGACAACGTTGTGAGTAGTTCCAAAACGCAAGGTTGGAGCCCGCTGCGAGAAACGCCGTTTGTAGCGCAACGCTGTTGATTTTGTCATTGATCACACATCGCGTCATGTATTTTAAGACTCCAGGCCTTATATTCATTCTTCCAGCGTCGCTGTCTAGCGTGTAAAGTGCAAACAAAAGTATAGTGCAAGTGCGCAGAAGCGTACTGTTCGAGGAACCGGCAGCAGGTGACTTAAAAGCAGCCCACAGTAATTGACGCCAGATAGTCCATTTGAGCGTTACCGTGAGATTGCTACCGAGACAACAACCAATCATTTTTTCCCAACTGCTGCTTCGTTCGAGCTCGTTGATTTCCCTAAATTTTTCCTTAAGCATGTCCGAGCTGGACACGTAGCCCACGTCCGAGGGATCCTCACTCTGACGAGGCAGTTGCTGCTTCTGCTGTTCACGTCTTTTGAAAAAAAGCGATTTGGAAAATTGGTACAGTGAGATTCCATTCCACGCACAAAACAGCAACGCAAAGTCCTGTAGTGGTGATTTGCGAGTGAAAACAATTCTTCGAAGCCGTGAATCGTGCGTTTTGTAAACACCACCGATAACAAAGACAAACAGGGCTTGTCGTACCGCGTTTAAATGCTGTGGCTTGCATTTTGCCAGAAAATCCCGTACCACTAGTCTGTTCTTAGCGTAGTCTACGACACTTTCGAGCAGAATGTAGCTAGATATCCATTTTGGCGCTTTAACTCTCAATGACGCGGCCAAAGTCGCGTTGAAAGAAAGCCACTTGCTACTCAAAATGCTCGAAACATACGGGAACCCGAAAAGCATTGCTGCAATGGCAATACCGTTATCCAACGTTTTCTTCAAAATGACTTTATCCACACTCGTAGTACCAATTTTTCTACTTCTGTGCGCATATCTGACCAAAGAACCCACTGAAACGCCTAAAATCACAGTAATTCGCCTCAAAAGGTCTTTACGATCGTGCTTCTCACTCGTAATTATTTTCAAAAGTTGACCGTAAAATCGATTAATATCCGTATCCATAGTGTAATCGCTCTTCCATTTCTCTTCGCTAAGGCCGCTTAAGCAAATTGTTCCATTCAATGCAAGCAGATCATATGCTTATGTAGCTATCGACTTCCCCAAAATTCGACCTTCTCAAGGTTCGAGTTCTTGAGATGACCTTCAATTTCGATATCTTGAAAAAGATCTTGTATTAAAGGGGTAACCATATTATATGAACAGAAGGTAAAAGACGGTGAAACAGGATCAGAATGAGTGAGCCAACCACTCCTTTCAAAGTGTCGGCTACTTTCCCGTACACGTCAGAATACGATGATGATTTGAATTTCGAAAAGGGTCAGATCATAACAGTACAATCTGTTGAAGATGACGAGTGGTTTTTCGGGGAATACATGGGTAAAGATGGTTTAAAAAAAGAGGGCATTTTCCCAAAAAGCTTTGTAACACTTGATATGCCTGGGGTGGATGTTGCGGGGTTGCGAGGTGGGTCTGGGTTGCACGATATGGATTCAGGGAGGGTTTCAAAGGCTGAAAGTTCTGTAAATCCGGTTACGGATGTTACGGAGGATGTGACGGAGGATGTATCGCATGAAAGCGCAACTGAACGCGATGCAGACATGGAGGATACTCAGGGCATTGACGTGGGCACGAACAACTCCGCGGACATCGAGACCGGTCCCGCAACATCCGATATAGCGCCTTCAAAAATTGAAGACAAGAAAAATCAAATGAACACTGTTGAGACTCCTTCCAAGACGAATACTCTCAAAATGCCGCCCTTGCACATACCAAATTTTGGTGATAGTATTCACGGTGGAGATCAAGACGCCAACCGCGACACTTCTGCAAGCGCGATTCAAATTGAAAAACCCAAAATGAGCCTCAAGGAAAGAATAGCGCTACTCCAGGAACAACAGAAACAGCAGCAGGAGGCTATGGAGAAACAACAAAAGCGCGATCATCACGAAGCCATGGTTCATGCTGAAAGTCCCGTGGAACGGCCATCTGAGACTTTGAAGGCTCAAGACGAGACGTTAGAGGCAGAAGGCGGGGAAGAGGAAGCCGAATTAGGTGAAGAAAGCATAGGGACTGTACCAGCAATATCTGCTATACCTGGGGCAGCTCCTCCTGATGCCGGCCTCACAGAGAAACTCTCCGGAGTCGAGGTTAAACCAACTGGAAACCTGGAAACTGTCTCAAGACAAGAAGAAGAAGGTACAACTTCAAAAGAGGAGCCCTTACAGGAAGATCCTGGTAGTGCAGAGATTGATGATGAAGAGGCGAGGCGTGCTCACCTGAGAGACCGTATGGCTAGATTGGCAGGGGCTGGTCGTATGGGTATGCCAGCGTCTTTCAACCCATTTGGACTACCCACCGGAGCTAGTCGTAACCCTGAGAAGGAGACTAAGGTTAGAGAAGAAACCTCAAATGCAGGCTCTCCACAGGAGGACAAGGGTCATTTTCCAGCAGCAGTTCCTGTCATGCCGTTCGCCGATCCGAATGCTTTGCAAAAATTGAGAAAAGACTCTACAACAAGTGCGACGGAAGAAGCAGATCATGAAAAGGGTGATGTGCAAGATGAGCCATTAACTGGGGAGTTCATGGTAACACCAAAGGCATCTGAGCAACAGTCGGCTCCTCCTCAGCCTACCAAACCACCTCACGACTATGCAAAACTGATCGGTGGGATGAATCCACCCATGGACACACCTGGGATGGAAGCGGATGATGAGGATGAGGCCGGTAAGGTCGATAGTGCATATTTTGAGAAAGTTGAAGTTAACCCTGTTAAAGAAGAAATAGACAGAAAGATGCCAGATCGGGTCAAGAACACTACAAGCGAAGCCTTGCAAGCTGACATTACCGACTTGCGTAGCAGTGGATTTAATTCTGACTCTGCGGGATACCAGTCCTCTGATGAAAATACTGACGTTGGTGTTAAACTCCTTTCAAATTCTCCTACAAGCCCACTCAAAGATAAAGTGCGCTCCGGTTTGGGTCAAATTAGCGGTACACGCGATAAAACAAGAGCTTCCAGCAGGCTAAGGGAAACAGAAACCTTGGGAACCTATGAGAGAGGATATGCTGATTACACCACGTCGGAAATCGACTCTGAGGCAGGCCCTGACTCACCAGATGATTTCGTCGATTCAGCAATTGAACAACCAGGACCTCCTATCGCGGAGCCCTCGCATGCAACAGCTGTGCCGCGAATCCCAGGTGCTCCTCCTCCCATACCACTGAAGGAAGACAAAGATGCACTCATCCGTTCTGCCGTTCCTAAGGCTGCTCCTCCTCCCCCACCTCCAGCCGGCGAGATTAGAAGATCTAGCGAACTGGAAAGCAGTAGGCCTGCTGCAACCACGTCCCACCAATCTATTGAGAATACTACTAAACGTGAGATTCCTGCTATCCCCTCTGTTCCTTCTGTTCCTTCAGTCCCTCCTGTACCTTGTGTTCCTCCAATACCTTCAGCCCATTCTAGTGTCTTTAAAGAAGAGCATTCTCACCCAGGCTTACACGGAGCGCCCGAAGAACCATCGGCCCTAACTCCACCTACAGTGGTTCCGCCTCCACTGCCACCTGTGGGTATGCCCTTAGCAGCTGTGCACCATTCACATCCCGATAGTCAGAAATTTGAACAACCACCTGAAAGAGAGCAAAAAAACCAGCAATCGCGAAAGCACGAGGAAACTTTCTCACCTGCCGCAATGCCAGGAGTTCCTGAGAAAAGCCAAAGAGTCGTCAGGAAGCGCACCACTGACTTAGATCTAGAAGCGCATAAACCCACTATAGCGTTTGATGCAAAGTCGGACTGGTGGCTCGAGAAAAATATTCCGCAGGGCCTCATTCACAATAGCCGCTTCAAATACATCTGGGAGGTAGATGACTGCAAGATCAAGAAACGTCTAGATCAAATTTGGATTGCGAGGGATTTTTACGTCTTGTTTGAGGATTACTCACAGCTGCATTTGAACCTGTTTTTTGAAAGCAAAGATCCGAAAGGTACGGTTACGTCAAGAGAGGAGTTTGTAAGAAGCCCTGGGAATAGCGATGCCATTGTTTCCAATGCGTCTGAAATCGGTTTGAAAGTTTTTCAAGAGGCACTTTCAAAAGTTAATTCCAGCTCTGATAACTTCTTGACCACAATGCTGTCAGCGAATGCTAAAAGCGCCATACCTCCGATAGCTCAACGCACATTTGGTATTCCTATTTTAAGTTATGCTGCGGGCGAAACTCTTGACGAGAAATCGGCGGCACTTGTCAGACCTGGGGACATTCTCGTGATCAAAGGTGGTAAGTTTCAAAGCCACACCAAATTAATGCCCAAGTCGACATCAGAGCTTGGATCACTCTTTACTTGCGTTGTTGCTGAGTTCGATTTTGCCAAAAGGAAGATACGAGTTATCGAAGAACACAACGGCAAAGTAAGGCAGGGCGCTTACCGCCCCGACAGCATGAAGAGCGGTAAGCTCAAAATATTTAGGATAGTGCCCAGAGGTTATGTGGGTTGGTAGTTTTTGACGTTGCAACTGTACACGATCCCAGCATCTTATTCCTACCATAAAATTCTTTTTCCTTTAGTCGAGTGGCTCATAGTATATTTCAGTGCGATCAAGTAGCCCAAGACGGAAGTTTGGTCTCAAAACATATATCATTAGATCTATCAGCATATTTCCACGCATGTAAAAACAACATCAAATCTTTGGGATCAGGATCTGGAATGTTAACCCAACCGCACTCGTCGCAAACTTGCGGGTTTGTTTGTGTATGCTTCCTGTTTTGCGCTGCTTTGTTTTCCTCTAAAAATTGTTCAAATATATCTCCTAATGGAGATTCTAAATATTGGCCATCCTGCCAATCTTCGACGTTGATCATAAACTTGACGCGCTGTGGATAACTTGTCATTTCCAGGTTGTAGAACGGATCGTTATTGATTGGATGGCCTAATCTAGCAAGATGAATTCTGATCTGATGCGTTCTCCCCGTCACTGGTCGACATGCTACCAAAGTTTCGCATGAATCCGGATAAAACCTTATCGGATAAAAATCGGTCTTGGCATCCCTTACTGGGGAGAAGGCAGCCTGGAATCCTTTTTTAGGCTCGACTGTGTAAATGGGAGAGCTTGCACATGTAATTTTTGCTGGATCGGTAAACAAGGAGCTGAGATCCACGGGGTCAGTCTCGGCAAAGGGCAATCTGCCCTTGACGCGAGCAAGGTAAATTTTACTCATTTCTCGAGACCGGATTCTAGCTTGAATTTTCTGCGCGGTGTGCCCATTTTTCGCAAATATCAAAACGCCAGAAGTGACTCTGTCCAGACGATGACAGGGGAAAGCTTTCACACCTTTATTCTGAAGAATTTCACTAAGTGTATTTTGGTAATAATTGCCTGTAGGGTGGATGGGAATCCCGCTTGGTTTGTCGATGACAAGAAAATCCTCACTCTCGAAAACAATGTCAATGCCTGCAATTTTCTTAGGACCACTATTTTCTCCTGAAGTGCACCATTGACGCACAGGAGGTTCGTGTTTGTGACAGCTCGTTTGAATAATGTCTTTATTTTCAATCTTACATGTCAGCGTTTCGTCGCTCGATAAACTAGTCCCATCTCTTATAACTCGATACTCAAGATTTCGGATTTTCTCGACGTACTCTTCTCTAGAGTGAGCTCTAAATTCGTCGACTAGTACCTCTAAAAGCGTTCTGTTAAGCCAACGACCTTTGGCAAAAGATGTTCTGGAATGGTGATATGGTTTAATCTTCCGCAAACCACGGAAAAAGTAGACTTCCGGCTTCATTTTTGGCACTTTAAACAGATCTTGGTGGTTTTAATGACTCTTGTCGCAATCCACTGAGTTTGATTTCATCAATCAAAGAGCTTTTTATGGGATCCTTGAGTGCGTGGGATGTCCTTCCTCTATAAACTTGTATAGTCGATGCTGATCATCCACCTGGAAATTTTCAGATGAGCATCTCATCAACTTAATTTAAGATATCTTTAAGAGCAGAAATAGACACAACTGGCATTCTTTTTGAGATATACATGGAAAGCATTTTTTGGCTCATAGAACGGTATTTTCCAGGAATTTTTTAGGCTTCTTTGGCTTTGTTTTGGTGGTTATCTGGCAATTTTTATCTCCAGATAATGATGGGTCGATTAGTTCTCAAAAAAGTCAAAGATGTGGCTCGTGGCAAATTGAGTCAGCCTGTCGAAGCCGCTCAGAATTCGATCTTGTTTGAGACCAAGGGTTCGGCCAGTTCTGATTATTCTAGGGCGTTTTTGAATGAGTATCGTAAGCGGCTGAGGAACGGAAATGCGTTGATTAAACGAAATGGAAAACTTGAGCGGAAATTTCAGTGCGAGAGCCTCTCGGAGGTACGATCGAGGCTTCGCGGTACAGTCAGTGCCGCTCAAGTCCATCAAAATACTTTTCGCATTTTTTCCCCGCAAAGTAAGGTTTTCCAGTGCGATTTCTTCCGTCTGCTGTATTTCCCACCAGAACACTTCGTGGCGCTGCTTCGAAAGAGTAAGCCCGCCGTCAACGTCAGGGTTGTTGGTGAGGTTTTCCTCAATGGCAACGTCGCGAGAGAAAATGGCGAGCACGTCAAGTATACGGAAGTGTTTGCAGAAAACAGCAGGCAGGACGGTTACGGCAAGGCTCAAGATTTCAATAAAACGCGGGACATGAGATCGCTTTTTGGCCGTGCGGGACCCAGCGTACCGCGAAACTATGCATTTCTGCGGCGCGAACTGCGCGTTTTTGTCGGCGGTTGCATGACCGAAAGGTGGTTAGAATTACAAGGAGACAAGGCGGTTGCAGATCAGATTCGCATACAGGAGGGCAAAGGTCCTGCGAGCTCCACTTTGCTGGATGACAAGCAACGCCCGAGGGTTGGCGTTGCAAAAGACGGATTCTATCTGTTCCAGGTTCTGATATTCCCAGACAAGTTTACGAAGCCCGAATTCCGTCGCTGCGTCAGAGACAGCATAACTAAAGTAGCGGATTTAGACTGGGACAAGTTTCTGCAGGGAAACAAGTCTGGAGCGAAAACCTGGGTCGAAGAGGCCAACGCTCGCGTGCGTTTGCCCGTCCTGAACAAATTGCTGGAGTCGGACCAAGTGGCCCGAATCCTGAAAAAGACCTAAATGCTTGTCATCTATTAGAAATTACTACCTATCAGTGGCGAGAGCCCGCCGTATTGCCGCACACAGAGAGAGTCCCGAACACATGAATCTATCATTTTTTGCCCTTGCCCCCTTTTCCCAGGGATTCTTCTTCAGCAGCAAGCAATGCGTCTCGCTCCTCCTTTGCCCGCAGCTTTTCCAGCCGTTTTTGCTCTTCCACGAGTTTTTTGGAGCTTGGTTTCCTCGAACCTTCGTCCCATTTTGCGGCTTCTGCAGCCTCTACTTTTTCTCTGTGTGCACGGTCTTTCGCAGCAGCTTGCTCTCTTTTACGTTGCTGGCCTGCTGCCTTCTTTGGAGCTGATTCTGAGAACCGTTTACCCATTCTATTGGCGATCCTATCGGTGGTTTTTGTCGGTTTTTAGTTTTTGGTTCCCCCACTACTCATCGCTGCTAATATACCGAAATTTTTTTGTCACCCATATCTTAAGATAGGTATGGGTGAGTTAACAAGAGCAAGAAGCTTGGATTACGTGGTACGCCAATAACTTCGACGACAATCAATAACAACTGTCCGATTGACAAGCAAGGTATATGCGAATGGAGAACGGCTTTTCTAATTCTCGCTAACTTCGCATTGACAATGTCTGGTAAAGATTGCGAAGAATACCAAGAGATTTTCTTTGAGTCACGTGACTTTCATACTTGAGTCATGAGGGACTCAATTAAACCTGGGTGGAGTTTATAAGCCTGGAAATTCCACATTTAGAAAAAGTGCCGAGCTCATCGGGTCCTAAAAAGTCCTAAAAAATTACCAGAGTTCCAGACAAGGTCCGTTGAGAAGACAGGACTGAGTTCTGTGAGCAGTTTGGGACCGTCAGAGAACGCTAAGTGATCGTTTGGTAACGTCTGGTAGCGTCTGGCAGCTGGATCAATGGGTCTCATCCGAAGAAAGGTGAAAAAGCCGAGACTGGAACTGAAAGTTCATGTCGTTCAGGCCCGGAATGTCACTATTGAGAAGTCAGGCTGCAATCCGATATGTTTGGTGGCGAGTAACGGGGTGTTCAGCAAGACCAGTAAAGCCAAGGACACAGCTTCGCCCGTTTGGCACCAAGAATTGAAGTTGAAACTGCCCAGCCGGGCCAATTCCGGGAATGTGCGAATTGTGATCTACGACGTTTTAGCGTCGCCCGCTGCGGGTCCTGGAGCCTCCAGCGACGGCGATTTCGAGTCCCGTAAGTATCTGTACCTCGGAGAAGTGCAGCTTCCGCTTGTTGAGCTGTTCCGCAAAAAGGACGCCCCGACAAGCTATCGCTTCACAAAAGAGGCCGCGTGGTACCGACTGTACAACAAAAACGCACTGCAGTTTGCGCATGTGGATCTGGCCAAGGCCCCTCTGGCGTATTCCGTCGGAGAAATCCAGGTCGGATTCTCGATGGTGTGTTCCAAGGGTTTTTCCGTGTTCAAGGTCTTCAACGAGTGGCAAACGTCAACTCTCGAGGCAAGCCACCATGCGCGCCTGCTACGTAATCCTGGCGACGCCAGTATGGCTGCCGCTGGGTACCTGAACTCGCCCGCGTCGCTTGCAAATTCTGGCGACAAAAGTGACTCCTCCGACGAGTTTCCCGAGGGCGTCGATCTCGAGGACCTCATCGAGAACGCAGGCGTCAATGCGGATGCAGACCTGGATGGGGACGCGAACGAGGCCGCCGATGAATTCGCCGACACCCGCAGCAACTTCAATCTGAGCTCTACCGACTCGGAGCTCGAGGATCTTTCCGATATTGAGCTTACAAAAATGGCCACTGCCCTCGACGAATACGAAATTGTTGGCACTTCGTCTAGCTCGGGCTTTTTTGCGGGAAGTTTAGATGGCTCGTCGCCTACAGCCGACTCCGAATCTTCCTCTGCTGAGGACGAGGTACACAGTGACGGGTTAGAAAGCGACTACCGGCAGATGGTGAGTCAGAAAAAGCGAAGAGTCCGCCCTTCTAGACGCCGAGCCCACAAGCGGTCCGATTTTGAGCTTTCAAAGAGGGGCCATGCCATGGGGGTTGTGTTTGTTGATATAAATCAGATCACTAGTCTTCCGCGGCTCAAAAACCGATTTTCCAAACAATATTGCATGGATCCCTTCGTCATCATTAGTTTTGGCCGAAGGGTTTTTAAAACCTCATGGCGGAAAAACACGCTAAGCCCAAGGTATGACGAACGTCTCGCCTTTGAAGTCTTCCCGCATGAGATCAATTTTAGATTTAATTTTAAAGTTGTTGATCGAGACTCCTTCTCATACCATGATGATGTTGCAGACGGTTCGTTAACGTGGTCTCAGTTGGAACAGGCGCTTGGTATGGACGGTCTGGACGGCGGTTCTGATTGGTCGTCTGTTGACATTCCTCTCACTCTTGAAGATAACTCGCTGTCGGTCGAACATACACCGGTATTGCATACGACTTTCAAGTTCATTTCTTATAAAACATTGAAAAAACAGTTTTGGCAGAAGGCCCTTAACCATATTACGCCTCGCGATTCCTTTGATTTCACTGAACTGTGTATTCTCATGGAAAGATTGGGTACTTTCTCGGGTGGAGAGATTGCAGATATTTTCTATCATTTTGGAAGGTCGCCATGGGCTCATGAAGTTGTCAGCAGGGATGAGCTGGTAGAATATCTACAAGTTAGCAAAAAATTTGGAGATTTCCGAAAAGTAAGCAGGTGTCCCCTCTGCTTTCACAGATACAAGAAGTCTCGAAATGCAGTAAACTCGAAACTTGCCCTCGAAAATGATCTCATTACACACTTTGCCATTTGCTCATCTAAGGATAAAAACAAAAAACTTATCAAGCCAGCTTTTGTCTCTTCGGACTTCGCGTCCAAGCGGTGGTTTTCACGGGTTCTCATCAAGCTGACGTTGGGGAAGTATGCATTGGGCTCTAACAACGCCAATATTCTCGTGCAAGATCGTGATACTGGCATCGTCCTGGAAGAAAAGATCAGCGCACATGTCAAGTTTGGCATGAGAATCATTTACAATAGCAAGGGGACGGAGTCTAAAAAATTTAAGACTTTGCTTCGAAACCTTTCTATCAAGCAAGGTAGAAAATTCGACAGCCCAGCGTCTGTGAAGCAAATCGAATCCTTCATAAAATTCCATTCTCTGGATATGTCTGAGTGCGAGGAAACAGAATATGGAACTTTTAACGAATTCTTTTACCGGAAGTTGAAGCCTGGAAGCAGAAACCCAGAAGCAGACGGCGATCACTATCTGCTGTCACCTGCAGATAGCAGATGTGCAGTATTTGCTAGTATAGCTTCTTCTAGAGAAATTTGGATCAAGGGCCGCAGTTTCACAGTCACAAAGCTCACCGGCGGACTGCATCCGGAGATGTTCAACGATCGATCGTGTATCTTAGGGGTTTTCCGGTTGGCTCCACAGGACTATCACAGATTTCATTGCCCTTGTGATGCCGTCGTTGGAGAGCCGCTTTATATCGATGGCGAATACTACACCGTAAATCCCATGGCTGTACGGTCGGAACTTGACGTTTTTGGCGAAAATGTCCGAATGGTCATTCCTTTGCACACCAAAAATCTCGGCACCATATTGTTCATTCCAATCGGAGCGATGATGGTCGGTTCCATTGTCCTCACGGTCAAAGCTGGCCAAAAAGTTTCAGCCGGTGACGAACTAGGCTATTTTAAGTTCGGAGGCTCTACAATTGTGCTTGTCGCATCCAGCCAGCAGGTCGTTTTCGACACAGATCTTTTGAATAATTCCAAAGAACGAATTGAAACTTTGGTCAAAGTCGGAATGAGTGTTGGTCATTCACCCATTGTCCGCGAGCACAAGCGAAAACACGTTGAAGTACGCGACAAAGCACAGCTTGATCGTATCAAGAGAACAATCAGCATTTCCGAAGATGTTGCCGAAAGTATGGGCAACGTCACCTGGGAATACCAAGAACTACAGAGATTCGCTAATTTCGAAAACACACCCCAGCCATCTCCTCCTTTAACTTCAACGGCATTGCAGGATCAAATGGACTCATTAAGTATTTAAATACCAAACAAATTGCATCAACTGTATATACATGTATCCTTCCGAGCGAGCTTCTTTTTCTTGTCCGTCAACCATTACCAAAAGTTGGTGATCTTGATATATAAGGCCTTTCTCGAGCATGATTTAAATATCAACACTTTTCCAGGTTAAAGAGGACAATCCGGGATGGACGCAGCTTTGGAGCGATTTAAGTATGTTTACTGATGGCAGAGGAGAAACTGATTGATTAGTTGTTCGATTGATTGGAGGAGCGATTTTACTAATGCAAGGTGACTATTTTCAGCGCAACAAGACCGACCGATGAGCTGCCAATCAAAAGAGTGGAGGGGAAAGTGGGACCCGTTGACGAGACATTCAAGCTCGAAGGTCGAAATAGAGTCTACGAAAGACAGTTTTACTCGATGTATCAATACCGCTTAGATACTCTGAGAGAACGAGTGTTGAAGATGTGTTATGCCAAATGGAATGATAATTTTAGACTTTGGGACCGAAAAGTAGTAAGAAAACAGAAAGTTCTCGATATTCGTGCATCCGAACCTTCGTGGTGCGTGGGGACGATCTATTGTGAAATGAAGTACAAGCCCAATGTTTTGGAAGAAGTTGTGAATGACGTTTATGGCGCACCAGACCTGACACGAGGCTACACTGACGTTGAAGGCACAGACGAGATTATGCTTGAAGATGAAAGTGGGCGCGTTTTACTGGTAGGTGAAGTTGTTACTTCTACGCCATTTGTAAGTGGAACAGTGGTCGGAATCTTGGGAATGGAAGCTGAAGCGGGGACATTTCAAGTGGTGGATATTTGCTATCCAGAACCACTTCCGCAATCGATTATTTCAGAAAACAGAGAATCTCAGAAGATAGCATTCATTTCGGGCTTAAACGTCAAGCCCAACGACCCTCAGTTGTCCTTGAGGATCCAGCTGCTACAGGATTTTTTGACAGGGGATCTGGGCGCCCGTGAAAATGCCCAAAAAATCGTGCGTCTCGTGATTTGCGGCAATTCTATGAATCCAGATACTCAAGAAGATCTTCCTGGCTGTTTAAATGAATTAGGAACCTTTTTCGGGAACGTTTTACGTTCTTTAGCCATCGATTTGATGCCGGGCGAAAATGACCCAAGTGATAAAAGTCTTCCGCAACAACCGTTGCATAAGGCACTGTTTTCCGGTGCTTTCAGGAACATGTTCGAAGCAGTAGATCAGGAACTGTTCGAACCAAGAACTAATCCCACTTGGCTGTCTATTAACGATATTGACATTTTGAGTGTCAGTGGGCAGAACACCGATGATATACTAAGATATGTTCTTCCCAATCAAAGTTCCTTTCTGGATGAATCAGAAGAGGGTAACAATATGAGAATGCATATGATGCAAGCTTGTCTTAGATGGCAAAACATAGCCCCAACGGCGCCAGACACTTTGTGGTGCTATCCTTACAAAGATAATGATCCTTTCATACTGAACAAATGGCCCCATGTTTATGTGGTCGGGAATCAACCAAAGTTTCAATGCAAAGAAACTAATCTGGCTGAAGATGTCAAGGTCAAGGTTATATCGGTACCCGAATTCAGCAAGACAGGTGAGCTTGTTCTTTTCGATACAAAAACTTTCGAAGTAGAAGTGATGCAAATCAAGGTATGATGGTTTAATGTATGTACACGTTAATGAGCGGTGGCAGGCTTCTGCCTTTTAAAGTGTCAGAGGATCCATGACCCAGTGCGAATGCCACCTTATGCATTTAGTCTTGTTAAAAGGAATGCCAGATTCAGCATCTATAAATCTGGCCGCCGGGGGATCCTTGCGAAGGGCAATTCTCTGCCCCTTGTGTTTGACTTACAGCCATAAGTACTATCACTCCCAAAGCTTGCGAATGCTATGGTTCTCTTCTCAGGTTCAACGTCTATTCTGTTCAAAAACTTTGCTGACAGACCGGGAATGATTGGATGACAAAGAACGGCTGAAATTCTGGCGGCCTCAATTGCAGTAAATATGATCAGATCTTGCTCCTCACCTGTTTTCGTCCAGGGCTTGGCTATTTGCAAGAAGTTATTCGCTTTGTCAATAAGGTCCCATACGAGCAGAATGGCCCCGCGATAATCAAAATTCGTCATTCTCTTAGAATATTCTCCCTTCAATTTTAAAAGACCATTAATTACCATGCCGTAAGCCTTTCGTGCTTCTGCATCACTAATTATCCTCTCAAACTTATCGAAAGGCTTACTAGCAAAAGTCCTTGAAGCTCGCTCTAAGCTAAATTTTGAACCACAGCATCTGCTTATTAAGTTTCCCCATTTCGAAGCTAGCTTCTCACTGGTATTATGAAGCCTTTCCTCGCTGAAATCACAATCACTGCTCAAATGAGAATTTTCCAGAAGAAACAGTCTCAAAATGTCACTCCCATAATGCGATAGCATCACTTGCGGGTCTACTACGTTTCCCAAAGATTTACTCATCTTGACACCACCTGAAAGCCAATGACCATGAACCATGACTTTTTTCGGCAGCTTGAGTCCTGCAGCAATGAGAAAACTTGGCCAATATATCACATGAAACCTGCTTATGTCTTTTCCAACAACATGGGTCGTATTTTCCCACCATTTTGCGGGGCAGTCTGTTGAACTCAATCCGGTGTGTTTCAATTCGACTAAGGTATTGTCTCGAATCGCATCAATGCCACCCAAGGAAGTTAAATAATTGCAGAGTGCGTCAAACCAAACGTAAATTTTTTGAGAAGAGTCTTGAGGCACATCTATTCCCCATCTAATCCTTGAAGCTGGCCTAGAAATCGAAAGATCACTCAATGGTGAGCTCAAAAGCTCTTTTAGGATCTCAGATCGTCTTGATTGGGGTGATATGAAATCAGGACGTTCTTCAACGAGAAAATGAACTAACTGGTCGTAGACAGCAGAGAGCTTGAAAAAATAATTTATTTCCGATTGGTATATGACTTCATTGTTGGTTTCTGTATTGATAAATTTGCAATTTCCGCTCGTTTGGCCCGGTTCCAGTGGAGATTTAGTTCCATCCAAGGCCACTTTTACCACTTTAGACGTAGGATAGAATGATTCATCAGAAATTGAGTACCAACCCGCATGTTCTCCTTTGTAAATGTAACCACGATCCTCACATAGCTTCCACAGCTTTTGCACGTTGTCAATATGATCTTGATCGGTTGTTCTGATAAACCTGCTATATTCAATATCGGCATTTTGGTCTAACTTGATGAACTCTTTATACAAGACATCAACAAACTGCTTTGGCGATGCAAAATTTTGCGCTTCGCTTGCAGTTTGAATCTTGAGACCATGCTCATCGGTTCCGGTGGTCATGAGCGTTTGAAAGCCAACCATTTTCTGCCACCTTCGAGAGGCGTCGCATAACAAACTGGAATACAAATGGCCCAAGTGCGGTTTGGCATTAGGATAAAAGATAGGAGTAGTAACGTGATGAACTGCTCGACTTAGGCTCGAAGAGAACCTTCGATATGAGCGCATAGTAGGTTTTTGTAATACTCGGGTTTTTCTCTTGAAGATGAGCTTTTAAACCCCGTTATGTTACAATTTTTACCAGATCGTTAGACGGCTCATCTCATCAAACCGCCTCAAACAGGTTGGCCATTAGATTTCTCAGATATCGCAACCTCGGTTGACCGGTCTGCTCTGCGACAGTACTTGTTTTTAATATATACGTGGAACATGGACAAATATATGCAATTGCATGGGACGATCAATCAAACGAAGATCGCCATCAAGGCGAAAACGCTGTAAAAGATCGAAAGTGGATATGCAATGAGGACACGTGCATTGCTTAGTTGCAATACAGCTGTGAAGAAACCTGAGGAGGACCAAGTACACCAACACACGAAAAGCAGGCCCAAAACGTAGCCCAGGACGTTGTTTAATGAACAAAAAATGCCTACCAGAGACAGAAAGCACAACGGCAAGAAACAGTAACCCAAAATGGAGGCAGTCTTGAGGAATTGTAGGGGCATCACCACAGGGGTTTGTCCTGGCTGCGCGTTGCCTTCTTCACCCATGAGTCTAAACAAAGTGTGTAGTGATATGGTGCCGAACAAAGCGACTCCGTAAATGTAGCCGAAATGAACTTTCCCGCCGAGAAGTAGAAACGTTCCGAACAGTAGACAAAATATAAGAGGCCCCGCGAGATCGCTATCGCCTACTATGTCGCTTGGAATGGCACTGAATTTTTGCATGGGTTGAAGAACGATTTTGGTCTTGGTAATGATATGACCGAAATTTATGCCTAATTCTTCAAGTAAGGGAAGTTCGTGTGGATACCCTTTGGTGGAAAAGGCATTCAGTAATCCTGTGGGCAACGGTTCTTGAGGAAATGCTTGAGTGCCAGAACTTGGAGCTTGCGCAAATGACATGGACCCCTGTGGGAATTGAAACTCGGACGAAGGCTGGTAAAAGCCATTACCTTTGTTCACAGAGTTGTAGAAGGACATTTTCAAGCGTGCTTTTCCGTATTGTTCTCTCTTTCTAGTTTCGTGATACCGTGGAGTTAGATTGATCTTAATGTATCAAAGTTCAATGATCGCATGCGACGTGTTTGAACAAGCAAACGTGAAAAACACGAAAACTGTCAAAACGTTGAAACCCCTACTTGGAGTGAACCACATCAATGCTTATTTCTGAAAGTATTAGATTCATTGAGATCAGCTTTGGTAAAGCTTTTGTAGCCTCAATTTGATCGGTTTCAGTGATGGTCGTGCTATGAAAGATATCGAAGGCCGCTGAAGACGAAGGCTGAATTCTTTGTCACGGTGTGGAAAGAGGACAATTTTCGACAAGTCGTTAGACTTTGCCAATTCTGCTTCAAAGTTGAAGCTGCTTAGCATGTTCTAAAAAACGGCATAAGAATCTCGAAAAGGCACAATCTATTGAAAATGGGTCCTCTGAAACATTGTATCCTTTCGCTCTTGGCCCCAATTTCTCACACTCAAGGGGAAATGTTAATTGCTATTCCAGATTCCTATTATTGACCATGACGCTTGCAACGCATTCTTGAAAACCTTGGATCAATCTCAATTCATCCGCTCCTGGATCCCTACCATAATGCTACAAACCCTGATCATTGCCGCGGAAATTCCGCTCTGGCTCTCTTTAGTACCTCGAACAAACCTTACCTTTTCCCAGCCACTCTCAGTCTCCCTCGTTTGGCTCGGCGGCTAATTCGCAAAATCGCACTCAATCCCATGTCGAATGCCTCCAGCCAATTTAAAGCACCTACCTCGTAAAACAGATCTCGATGAAAACAGCCATACGCCTTTTTTTGAGCTTTTGGCGACTTTAGTGGCAGCACTTTCCATTCCTAGCATGTTTTCTTGATGCAACTCGAACCACAGCTTTTCGGGCGCTAAGTCTCCTCAAACTCCTCGAAGCCTTTCCAACTGTTCTCAAAAACCTTAAACTTACAAAACTAACGATAAAGCGACCCTCGATAGGTAAAACTGGCGCATCTGAGAGGATAAACTGTTGTGAACTGGCGGTTCCTCTTATATATCATTTTTCCTTGAAGTTCGTACAAACGGATAATCGATCTCTCTAAAACCAAAATTTTTGGCCAGACTCCAATACCATCTCATCTCTTCATCAAGTTTCCATAGAAAACATCACCTGGGTCAAAGTAGAGAACCATTTTCAGGTATTGAAGGTAGTATAATCGTCAAACAGCTTTAAAAATGGGAATCCTTGAAAAAATTAAAGCCATTGAGGAGGAAATGGCCAGGACGCAGAAAAATAAGGCCACGGAATACCATCTTGGTCTTTTGAAGGGTAAGCTAGCACGGTTTAGACAACAGTTGCTAGCGGACGAAGCTGCTGCTTCTGGTCCAAGTGGAGGCTCAGGGTTTGAAGTCGCGAAATCGGGTGACGCTCGTGTGGTGTTAATTGGATACCCCTCTGTCGGAAAATCATCACTTCTGGGTAAAGTGACGAGCACCAAGTCAGAAATCGCACACTACGCTTTCACGACGCTGACGTCTGTTCCTGGGGTTTTGAAATATCAAGGCGCGGAGGTCCAAATAGTGGATTTACCCGGTATCATTTATGGTGCTTCGCAAGGCAAAGGACGTGGTAGGCAAGTCGTTGCGACAGCGCGGACTGCAGACTTGATTTTGATGGTCCTGGACGCTACAAAGGGTAAGCATCAGCGGGAATCGTTGGAAAAGGAATTGGAAGCAGTGGGGATCCGTTTGAACAAAGAAAAACCCAACATTTACTACAAGAAAAAGGAAACTGGAGGTGTGAAGATAACGTTCACGTCGCCGTCGAGGACCAACCTCACGGAGGAGGCGATAAAGCTGTTGCTGAAGGATTACAAAATACACAACGCAGAAGTGTTGGTGCGCGACGACAAGTGCACGATTGACGATTTCATCGACATTCTGAATGACCAGCATTGCAACTACATCAAGTGCCTGTACGCTTACAACAAGATCGACTCGGTGTCGCTCGAAGAAGTGGACAAGCTTGCACGTGAGCCCAATACGGTGGTGATGTCGTGCGAAATGGACTTGGGGCTCGACGATCTTGTCGAAGAGATCTGGTACCAGTTGAACCTGAGCCGGGTGTTCACAAAGAAGCGCGGTGTGAGACCCGATTTCTCGGATCCGCTTGTGGTGCGAAACAACTCAACGGTAGGAGACCTGTGTCACTCGGTTCACCGGGATTTCAAGGACAAATTCAAATACGCATTGGTGTGGGGGTCGTCTGCCAAACACTCGCCGCAGAAATGTGGGTTGTCGCACAAGATCCACGACGAGGACGTGGTGAGTTTGTTCACGAAATGAGGGGCAAGAGCGTGTGTAAATAGCGAGAAACATAGTTAAAAGACGAGAAACCTATTTCTGACCGGAAGGCGCTTGGAATCCAAATTCCAAAAAAGATGGTTGCTAAGAGATTCGAACTCTTGCATCTTACGATACCTGAGTGTTCCACTGTTAAACAGCGTTAAGAAGTAAACTTCTTGAATCAGGCGCCTTAGACCGCTCGGCCAAACAACCAGTCGATGCAAGGGGAAAATGTGTAAGACGCTATACCTAACAGTCTTGTCAAACCTGAACCTTTCAAAAGCTGGCATAAAACCTATACAGAGATTGAGCGTGTTTCTTGGTCTCACCTCCCACAACCTGTTTCACGTCCCTATGATCTCTTTCGACAGCTACCGGCATTCCTCAAGCTCTGAAGACGAGCTTACCATCATAGGCCTTACTCGAGGCTGGAGATTAGTGAGCTGAAAAAACAAACCTACAATGTTTGTGTACATGTCGGGCTCGGGACAAGCTCTAACCAGCAGTGGGCCTCAAATCCCCGTCGAATGTTGTCAAATAATTGTCAAATAATTCTCTTAGATATGAATCTGGAGTTTAACTTATGAGAGACCTAGTTCTCCAGATTCGTACCCAGTGCTACGACCACCGATCGTCAACTCTCCCAACTTGTTTCTCTAAGTAGTCACGAGTACTTAATGACACCCCGGTTGAAGGGAGAAGAGAGAACCCCGAGTTGATGACATGTGAAGTTGAAACACTGGGCAGAAGAGCCGTATATAAAGGAACGAGATCTAGAGAGTTTAATGTAGATGGAGCAACTTTGTAGAACATTTTCATAGGGCGATTCAGCAGGTATCGCATTTCATAGTGCGTTTCAGGGTCCATTAGCAGATTCATTAGCAGATTCATTAGCAGATTCGAGAAACGTGTTGGAACAAGAAGTGACGTGGGCTTCGAATTATTTGAGTATTTGGTTTGACGTGACAGAGAAGGCGAAAGTGACCAAGGGTGATTGCAAGAATCCGGGGTAAAGGGAACTGGACAAAGCTGTTCTCGGAAAGTGTATTCAAAGATGTCAGCAAGCGTTGAACAAGACGCAGTTGATTTGGAAGCGCGGCTGTCGCCGCGCAACCGAAGCGGTGGGGTTCTGCGCGAAAATCTGAAGTCTTTTGCGGCAGGAGGCGTCGGAGGCGTCAGTGCAGTGCTCACGGGCCATCCGTTCGATTTGATCAAAGTCCGTTGTCAGGCCGGCCACGCGTCGGGCACCTTCGACGCAGTGGGGGCCATACTGCGCGAATCGCGTGCTCAAAGTGGGCCCGTGGTGTTGAACGCAGCGCGCGGGTTTTACCGAGGTGTCGTACCGCCTTTGCTCGGCGTAACTCCGATTTTCGCAGTCTCGTTCTGGGGTTACGACGTGGGCAAGAAATTGGTGCATTCTGTCAGTTCTCCAGATTCGCCCAGCACGAGTTTGAGCTCGATCAAGCTGTCTACGGGCCAAATGGCCGCGGCGGGGTTCATCTCTGCAATCCCCACGACGCTGGTCACAGCTCCAACAGAACGTATCAAAGTGGTGCTCCAAACGTCGCACGATTCTTCGTTTATCGGGGCCGCGCGCCGAATTGTAGCAGAGGGAGGTATCCAATCGCTTTTCCGAGGCACATTGGCCACTCTAGCGCGCGACGGACCCGGTAGTGCGCTTTATTTTGCCTCTTACGAGGTTTGCAAGCATTCTTTGAGCAAAGGGAAAAATGAAGATGAATTGAGCGTGGCCAACGTTTGTATCGCGGGCGGCGTAGCAGGCGTGAGTATGTGGCTCGGCGTTTTCCCAATCGACACCTTGAAAACGAAACTGCAGTCGGGTAGTGGGAGTATGAGCATGACGGGTGCCGCACGTGAAATTTACGTTGCGCGCGGTATCAAAGGGTTTTTCCCGGGAGTGGGACCGGCTCTACTGAGAAGCTTCCCTGCCAATGCTGCCACATTTTTGGGAGTTGAGTTGACGCACGCTCTATTTCGAAAATATAATGTTTAGTGTAATACATATATGTCCCTTGGAGTCATGGTCTCCCGTGTGGAAGGCAGGAAATATTATGATAACCTATGGAAATAGGACGAAAATTTCCTGATGCCTGCGCCAGCGCCAACGGCTGAGCTCAATCGGCATATTTCAACCAGCCTGCGGGCTTGGGGATGTTGTTAACGGTGTAAAACTTGGTAGTGCAAGAATAGCCCTTCCACGTGAAATCCTCGTTAGGATTACAGCTGCAACGATTGTTGAGGCGAGTCAGATCGTCGATTGGACATGCATGGAAAGGAACGTGGAAGTAACCGACGTCACCAAAATGGTGAATTTCGGACCGATCCAGAAGTAGCGCTGCTGCAATGGAATGAACAGGAGCATCACCCCAGCGTTCGTAAAAAAAGCCGCCCGCATGGTCCAGATAGTCGAAATAAGCAGAGTAAGCAGGACCACGCCATAGGTCGAGCCAACCGACCTCGAAGTTGGACCAGAAATGGCACAAGTTATAAGAAGCGCCTTCGTCGTCCGACACAAAGTCCAGCATATTGTTTGGATGGATATGTTCTGGATATTTCTCCATGAACTCACGTGTGGTCTTCCACAGGGTTTCGATCGTGGCCGGATATTCCTTGATGGAAATCGTGAACCCGTATTTTTTGCCGTTATCCTTCATGAACTTGAAAACGTCGTAATCGACGTCGCAGTGAATACGCGTATCAGGTTCAACCCGCCAATACCAGTCATAGTCCTTGAGCATTTCGTTTCTGTAGAAAAAGCCGGATTCAAAACGGCACATGTGTCTGTAGGATTCCGAATCTCCGTAAATAATCCTGTCGGCGCGCATTTGGTCTCTCACCTGTGCGGCTTTGTTTTGATCGATCCATTCAGGGTACGACCAGTGTTCTGGTGGCACTTTCCCGTACTTGGTCGTGCCACTGATCATGGCCGTTGTAACACGCTTGAACTCCTCAGTGAACTCTTTGTCATTCAAGAAGACCCAATCGTACTGGAACTTCCGGTTGAAACGGTCCTCAATGCTTGCAATTGACCCGATCAAAGAGTACAGATCTTCGTTTCTCGCCAACGTGACAAACGTCGCCTTCTCTTTGGTACCAGCGTAAACTTCTTTGGCCACTTTCCGATACACAAATCCATTTTCTTTCACGGTATGACTCGAGTTCTTAATCGTTCCGTTCCTACCGCCAGCAAAGCTGGCGCCCTGGAAGAGAACCCAAATTGTCACGATGAGGATACTCACAGCGGCAATGACGCGGTAAGCCCCATCCTTCTTGGCGGTTTGCATTTTTAGTGATTCCAATGGAAAAAAGACTGATGTTTCCGACCTAAAGGAAGGTGATTTAATTTTTCATGTTTCTGGATGGAACAAGACGCGTCAGTATATCTCACTGTGACGCGTCAGTCTTTGATAAAGGCTAAAGAAATCGGAGATATCGCCCAGGCCGGTATTTTAATTACTCGTATATGTGGTTCGCTTCTTGCAGAATTGGTTAAAATTTGTGTCATTGGGTTTTCTTTCAGCACGTTTTCTGAGTTTAATTTCGTTTTAATGCCACTTTCTCGAAGCTCTTATAGTTGGACAATGGTCACCAAAACTTTGCTTATTGACGGCTAAGAGTATATCTTTGAAGTCAATGCTGTTGCGCTATTTTCTCTAGCAGATGCTGCACCGTGCTGACGAGATTATTATAGGTTTTGTAGGATGTTGAAAACTCATACACAATTACAATATTCTAAGATGAGTACGGAGCCTTATCGTGCAGTTTAATGTATTCAGGGGATTGCAATAGCTCATTGGTGGTAACGTACAAAACTGCACGTTGTCTGTCTTGGAATTTTAGACTTCGTCGTTGTTGGTCTTTTTTAATATTTCATTCAGATTAAATAGTTTTGGCGATTTATTATAATCCCAAAAATTTCACGGCTTGGGAAAGATCAAATGGTAACAGTAGCTTACGCCCTTGTCCTTTCTCCTTTGAACTACGCGATCAAGCCCTCGGCAACCTCTCTGCGAGGAGTTCAAGGTGACTCCCTCCACTAGTTCAGATATTCTAGTTATTCCTGATGCAGCGATGTGACAAGAAATACGAAATGCGAAATTAGCGAGCAAATTGTAAAACGAATCAATCCAAGAAAACTGCTTTAAACATCTTGTGAGTACTGAATACGTCCATTTATGCCGTTACCTCCTCTGCGATATACTTTTTACTTTTGCTTAAGTTAATCAATAGTTTCGAGAACCCAGAATTTTTACAAGCTTTTCAGTGAGTACACACGCGCAAAGTTGGCACCAAACTATAGCCGAGGTTTTGGTCCTTAATGCGGGTTTGCAAAATTATGTGCCTAAGCTCTGCATCCGTTGTTTAGGCAAAATGTTATTGGCATGCTTAACTCCCATATATATGGGAAATTTTTCAACTCGAAAACCATCTCATCACTACAATTGACTTACTTTTGTAACGAAGAGCAAGATAGAAGAAAGACAAACCAGAGGTTTTGTGAGATGTCTGCAGCAGCCTCTGGAGTTAGACTCAAACGGTCTATTTCGTCTGTCCTTGTTAGCCTTTTCAAGCAGAGAAATACCGATGATGAAATCCAAGAATCAGCTCTGGTTGTAGAGGAGCAACCGTCACAAGAAAATCAAATACAAGACAGCCACAACGACTTCTCATCAGAGATTTCGGGCCTATTCGATGCTTCTATTGCTGATGGACCACCATTGGTGCCTATTTTGCCCATTCAGCGTTTGAAAATCCTACGCTATAAGCAATATTTGCGCAGATTGGAATACAGATTGGAAGTCCCCATAGACCAAGACTACCTGCTGGAAAATTCCACTTTTGCTGCGGACCACGAACGTGAATCGTCAATTGGAGTTTTAGGACCTTCGAAGAAGCCCAAAACTGGTATGAATGCGGCCGAAAAGCGTTTATATCAGCCCAAGAAGTCTGGGAAAAGGTGGAACGGAGAAATGGAATATGACTTGACTGAATACGACGCGGTGAAAAGACCTAAATTGGAACAAGATAGTATGGAGCCACCCCTGTTAGCGACCGATTCGACGGCTCCCAGGGACAGGATGAACGCCGATGATGGGTATCTCTCGAAAAAGCAAATGGATATCTTAGATGGCAAACCTGCGCTGGGTTCAAGCATTCCGAAAATCCCTCATAACTTTACAACTAATGGGTCTATTAGTGAGAAATCCGCATCCAGATTGCCGGCACTACCAAGTTCCGGCTTCGATTTTTTGAAAGCGAGTCCCACTAATCAGAAACTAACCGATAAAGCAGATGAGAGTTCGTTATCTGAGACGATCGCATCGAAGCCTCAAGCTTCAAAGGGCTTCAGCTTTGGTACCGGGGCCCTGGGAAACGCTAACACGGAGGTGCGATCTTTCGCAGGTGCCGCGAAAGCAAAATCAGAAGACAAAAAAGATTCCTCTGATTCCAAGAATTCAAGGTTCGGTAGCTTGGAAACTAATAAGCTCGCAAATCAGACTAAACCCAGCTTTTCGTTCGGAAGCTCTGTCTCGAGCAATGGCGGTCTTCTCTCAAAAGAACATAAGAGTGTTACGCCCTCATTTCAGTTTGGAAAGAAGCTGGAACATAATACAGAGTCGTTGAACTTTGACAACAAAAGACCGAGGGATCTCGAAGATAGCTCTGCTAAGAGTTTCGGTCAAAGCGAAAAAAGTGCGAATGCTCCACCTGCATCAAAGATCTTTCCGTCCTCGGCTTCAGTACCAAAAGCATCAGTTGCTGCTAAGTCATCATTTGTTTTTGGTTCAAGTACACCCGAAACTAAGAAAGACGCATCTCCAGACAAATCCAACGGCAGTTCTATATTGGGAAGTGGGGAGGATAAGAGTACTAGCTCTTTCAGCTTCAATGCCAACTCAAAACCATCTTCCAACGAAGCCGTAATAGATTCTGAGCAGAAGGTGCCCGTTGGCTCACTGTTCTCGTTCGGAGCGAAAAAAGTGATGCCGAATACATCCTCATTAAATGGAGGGGAGAAGTTCGATGAAACACAAACTCAAACGGAGTCTTTCACTTTCGGCAAACCTAATTCTGATCACAAGAACCTTCCGAATAACACAAATCCGTCGTTTTCCTTCGGCTCAAAACCAGACTCTTCGAAGGAGAGTAAAACCAACGCAGATGGTGGCAAGACAGCGACTCAGGCTTTTAGCTTTGAAGCTAAACCAAAAAGCGACAAAGCTTCGCAACCGGCTTTCAAGTTCGGAGGAAACACCCAGCCTAGAAACGACGAGAATCCAAAGCCAGCTTTTACATTTGGTGGCAAAGTCGGTTTAGAGAAGCCTGCTGCTAACTTGTCAAGTGAGAAAAATGCCATCACGCCTGCCCCTTCTTTGTTTACAGGACTCACTGCAAGCAAAGAATCCTCGAGTACATCATCTTTTACAGTTGGAGGCATCAATGGCGCCAACAACCAAACAAAGCCTGAAGCAGGTACTCAGAGCTTTAAGTTTACGTTAAACGAAAGCAAGTCGACGCCGGCGTTCAAATTCAATAACGACACAACGAAAACGCCAAATGGAACAGCAGGTATTGGCCTCTTGAATAGAGCACAAGCTCCGGCATTAGGAGCACCGCACCCTGTTCATCCCACAACGCCCTTTAGCTTCAGCCCGGCTGCCACTACACAACAACAAAGCTTATCGGGTTTCAGCTCGGCTTCTTCCACCGCAACTCCAGCCTTTGGCGCCAGCGCGAATGTAAATCAGATGACAGCACCCTCTGCTTTTGTGGGCAGTTCAACCACGTCAGCTTCTCCGCCTCCGTTTGGAAACCCCTCTCCCGGATCGGCTAGTGGTACGTTTCAACAAAATAGGGCATTTAGTCCGTCCCATACCATGAACCTCAACTTTGGCGGCACATCGGCAGCTGCTCAAGCGCCCAGCGCAATTTTTGGCGCTGCAACTAATACAAATCCTGCTCAAATATTTGGAGCACAGTCTAGCACACCGGCCGCGACGTTTGGAAATGATCAATCGCAAGGTACGCAAACGATGTTCGGTGGTGGAGCACTACCAAATCAACATTCTCAGCAACCTACTATGATGGGCCTACCACCCGGAAGAAAACTTGCTCGCATGAGAGCGAGAAGAACCTAAGCATATCGGCATACCTGACGGAATGTCCATGGCAATTAGCAATAACTCTCTGCATTTACCTGTAGTATATATACACAAGAACTGAAATTGACACAAGGTTCTGTAAGATCTCAGAAGTACGGACTTGACGCAAAGACTGTTTTCGCTGTTGCGATGGGTTTCTGGAAGTGATTGAAATTTAGTTCTAGCTAAAATGTATCTACAGGATTCCAAATGGTAATACGAAATTTCCTCGATTATCCACAACATTTCCCGAACATTTCGTGAATTGATTTTAGAAGACGTGCAAATATTTGCGGCCCGAGAGAAGGTTATCCAGTTTCGTTTTCACAGGTTTGCTGGATTACTTATTTAACGAGAATTTCAAGATTTCAACTCTGAGCATCGCGTCAGAAACCTTGATTTGAAAAGAATAAAAAATCGAAACAATTGGGCTGGTTTTGATGAGTTTGCGTACTGATTGATTAACGTTTACTTTTTATGAAATTTAGAGCTCCAATTGCCTTTGGAGTTGATTGACTTGGTAACCTAAACAGCATACTCAAAAGCTACCAAGCTCTTCGTCGATCGTATGAATCAAGAATATTCTAATAAAACACCAATGGATCAACTTCCCGATGGCCTAAAAAGTGCAATTCAAGGTCTCCAGATCCCGCTGAAAGACTACAAGAAAATTCACCCGCCATCCTTTTTCCTGGGTTGTTTAGTGACCATCAGTCTAACGCTCTTAGAGCCAGTTTTAAGGGCTTTAGTAGGAGGCATTGTAATAAGCATCTTGAGGCTTGTTAAGTTCGCCGTATTAATAGGAGGACTCTACTTGTGTGCTACGGTTATTTTTTCCAAGGACAGCGCTCCACAGCCCAAAAAGCTTGCTCAACTGTTCAATAAAAGTGAATCGCAAGTGCGGTTTGCCCCAACGCCGAAGAACGACTTCGTAAACAACGCAGACCGTGCCATTGAAACGGATAATTTTGTTGTGGCGAGGGAAGATGTACGTAAACATGGAAGACGTGGATATGTCGAAGATGAATCGCCAGAACGCGACGCAGCGTACGAGCGATTCATCAGAAAGGCAGGCAGCGGCGGCAGGAAACAGTGATTAAGTATAAGCTTCTGACTTAAAACGCTTTAAATTATACACCTATTAAAACATTTCGGCTATTTTGTTGGGTCTAAGAAGACATAAGTTTCGAGTCCGAACTGATGCTTTCAACTGGGGGGAAAAAATTGTATGCTCTAGTTGAAGACAAGTTCAGAATCTAATGAGATTCGCCTGGGATTTCGAACACGATTTGCTTACCGGTCAACTTGTTGTAAACGGCTTGGAAAGATTCCAACTTGTAGTCGACCTGTTGGACATCCTTGGAGTTCAACAACACCTTTTGGACTTTGTTACCACCCACCAAGTATCTGACTCTCTTGCCAACGATCTCGGTTGGGAAAACCAAGTCTTCCAAGATCTTGTCGTGGACAGCGGTCAAAGTTCTGGATCTTGGTCTCTTTTGGAGTTGTCTAGATCTTCTGGAAGGCTTTGGTAAGATTCTTCTCTCAGCTAGGAAGACAACGTGACGGTCTGGGAACTTCTTCTCTAATTCACGGGTCAACTTGGTTTGGACCTTGTGGTAACCAGCTAGGGAAGGAACTGGCACGAAAATGGCAATGGCCTTCTTACCGCCGGCAACATCGATCTAAGTTCGAAAGTTAGTAAAAAAGAACAATACTAGGTAAACGGCCGCACCAAACTCTCCTTCGAGCTTGCTCAAAGCTGTTCTGACGCAGTTCTGACGTCCACACTGCATCGGACGCCGCAGATCGAACGAGTAGGTCACTGGCTTCGCTAATCTTTGCTAGTCATGTTTCACATACCTCTCTGATAGACTTGAACTGCAATAGTCTCAAGTCAGCCTTCAACTCTGGGGAAGAGTTTTCCAAGTCAACGAAGGCTTGGGCGACTTGCAATTCCAATTCAGTTGGAGCTTGGGACAAAATCTTAGCTTGAGCAGACATGGCTGATCTTTGTTACTTCCTGTACTGGCTATAATCGCTTCTTGACTTTTCACGTTTCTTAGGATATTAAGAAACTCCTCTGAAAAAAAAATGGGCTACTGCCGGTGCTCAGCGCGTACGAGCCACGGCCGGAGGCCCAAGCTTCGTGGCAAGGGTATGGGGAAGTCGACGGCGTGGGCAGCAGCCTCTGCGCAGGGGCTACCAACGCTAGGCAGACCTGAGGGTCGGCATTCGGGCGGCGTAGCCAGGAACCGGCCTAATCCCCTGCCTACTCCGCCCCGCCAGGTAGAAGCGTGGGCAGGCAGCCGTGCAGCACGCTGGCAGCGCACCACGAAGCGTGCTTCCTCTTCTATTGCGTTGACGACGACACCGACTCATTTTATGTTCGTTCGAACGAGACGCAACTCGAAATCTAATATTTTATTGGCACACGATGTGTGGGTTGAAGCTCAATAGTTATATGTAAATATGTATGGGTGTATTAGGCTATTCTGTGACTGCTTTTAGGGCTTGAGATATTGTCAGACATCCTACATTACCATTGTCGTGGCGTTTCTGGCCGTCTTGGTATAGGCAAAAGGGAGGAGACGACAAGAATTGCATGGGTTTTTCTTTGAATCAGTGGGCGTGAAGGGCAGACATTAATGTTTAGTCACGATAGAATAGAGAAGAATATAGGTTTGCAACCGTTACACAATGCGCGATTATGTCGCAGTGGAGACAGTTCCGCAACGAGCCTCGTCTGTACTTCAATTTCAAGTTAACTGTTTGATGGTGATAGCTCTGCCGCACGTGACATTATTTCGTACAAAACGACTTTGTTCGAACGGCCGCTTGGGACTGTTGTTCTCAGATCTATAGAAGTCGTCCACGCTACTTTGTCACTAACACGGCATCTCTGTTTGTTACTGAGGTTCTGGGCCTTCATCAATCCCTCAACACTACGCAGGCTGCCGATATAAAAATTTCATTTAAACATGTAGGTCATTAGGTACGGAACCGCCTGTCTACACTGTCACTACAAGGTAACAAGAGAAATATTCAACCATAGACATTGTAAGGAACTATAGTGTTGGTGTAAATCTAGAAATAGTGACTAGGCGTAATTGAAGAGCGGCGCCTTGTGCGGTGACTTTTGTGGTTCTGAATTTTTTTTTCAATGGTAATTTTTTTTCGCACATGGCTTTATAGCTAGCAGTCATGAATGAGAATGGAGAAAATTTGTATGCCAAATCGGATTGGTGCAAACTCTTTTGTCCTGTGAATGTTGCGATTCTGCAAGAGGTACTCCAACAACCCTATCTGGCGTGGCTTCACAACTAAGACAACCATGGCCCCCTTGCCCGACTACAAAGATCTTCCCGCACTTCACAGTACTCTAGAAGAGGCTAAAAGAATAGCAGCTTACCGTGCCGTGGATGAAAACTTAATTCCAGTACAGCATCGTCTTATCGGTGTAGGAAGCGGATCTACAGTTATTTACGTCGCCGAGCGTTTGGGCCAATACTTGCTTGACCCCAAATTTTCGATTCTTGCATCCCAGTTCGTGTGCATTCCAACAGGGTTTCAATCAAAGGAGCTTATCTTGACAAATGGGCTCACTTTGGGTTCTATCGACCAATACCCATCGATCGACATAGTTTTCGACGGCGCAGACGAAGTGGACTCGGACTTGCAGCTCATCAAAGGTGGTGGTGGATGTCTCTTCCAAGAAAAGCTGGTCAGCACAAGCGCTGCCAAGTTTGTCGTTGTAGCGGACTACAGAAAAAGATCACCAAAGTATCTTGGTACAAATTGGGTCAAAGGTGTGCCCATCGAAGTCGTGCCATCGGCATATGTGCGAGTCCTTTCAGACCTGAGGATTAGGCTGAAATGTAAGCAGGCGGTTCTGCGCCAAGGCGCACCAGCCAAAGCGGGTCCCGTTGTCACAGACAACTGCAATTTTATCATCGACGCGCATTTTGGAGAGATCGAGGATCCTGCGAAACTTCATGCACAGATCAAAATGCTTGTGGGTGTTGTCGAGACCGGTCTTTTCATCAACAACGCCGCCAGGGCTTATTTCGGCAACCCAGATGGATCCGTCGACGTTCTGGGCTAGAATGGCCGATTAAGCATTGTATATTAGGAGAACCGGTGGGTTGCATTTTGCTGGAGAAGTAAAAATAATTTTTCATCTACTATATTCTTGGGCTGATATCATTAATTCCAATTTGTCCGAAGACTCGAGAAATCGAGAGACTGGGACTGTGCTTTTTCCGTAATATTACATATGCTCTCAAACACCTCATTATTTGTGAGTGTTGTTTGTGATCCAGGAGAGACCCTCTACCAGACCCTGTCCCGTCAAGGCGTTACTGCCGATCACGCACCACAGTTGGTTGTCTAGATGGTCTTTCAACTGCAAAAAATCTGAAATTTCCTGCGGCGTTAAAGAACCTTTTAAGTCTTGTTTGTTGGCCAGAACTAACAGGACTACTTCTTCCATCTCTTTTTCGCCGATTATACTGTAGAGCTCTTCTTTCGCTTCGTTTAGTCGGCCTGTGTCCTGTGAGTCGATGACGAAAATGAGCGCTGTGGTAGCTGGAAAATAATGGCGCCATAGCGGTCTCAGTCTGTCCTGGCCACCAACGTCCCACATGTTGAACTTGACATTGCGGTATGAAACGGTTTCCACGTTGAAGCCAACTGTGGGTGCCGTGGTCTTGATTTTGTTCAATTTCAGCTTGTAAAGAATCGTCGTCTTTCCGGCATTGTCAAGACCAAGCATCAAAATCTTCATTTCGCGATAACCGAACATTTTGCCCATGGCTTTTGAGATAGAGCCTCCCATTGCGGCTGAAGCGATTGACCTGTTTGCAAAGGCCTCAAGGTCTCTTGAACACCTTTGAAATCTGTCGTCGAATTCGCAACGAACTAGCGTGAGCTATAAATCAAATTATTTTTCTTAATGAACCGTTCAAATTCTCTTTTCAACGACGCAGATAACCGATGAGAACCCGCGATAAGAGAACACCGACCGTTTTTAACCGTTATAGGAATTGTGACACCATTGTCGCATTGGTCTCATACAAATTCTTACGATTTCTAGCCCGTCTTGTCCGTATGAGATGGGTTCGAAGACAAGATTTTCTTAGGTGATTCTTATGCATGAACGACCGTAGAACAGCCATCATAAAAAAAACTCTCCCACAAGATCAGAGAGAAATGCTAGGGAGGCCATCGTATTCGCGAAGCAATGCCTCTGTTTTGTCATTGCTTATCACTTTCTTGTTCAACGGTAAAGTCCAATTTCGAGTCAGATTGCGACAGCGCTGAAAAATTTTGGTTCACATCCTACTAGCTTTTCACTTTGAAATGTTCTTGTGTGCTTGCAGACCCGCACCTTGGGATTGGCTCGAGGCTCGTCGCCTGTAGAGCACCGTTTCTTGACCATGTCCTCTGACCTTCGTGCCTAGTGCCTTGGCATCGTTATCACGTTGACGTTATCAACGTTATCCCATGTGGCATCTTGTTGACTACAGGTAGGCAAGGGCATCGGCAGTCCATTTCTCGAAGACTTATGCGTCAGTGCGTTAACCTCCCCAAAAACAAATAACTCGAACTGATTTCTTGAAAGATTCAGTTCCAAAAAATAGCTGAAATTTGTACGTCACATATAACATTTCGTTGTCTTCGGGGTCCAACAACTTCTTTGACATAAAGAACTCCGAAATGCTGTTATAAGTAAGAAAAGAAAGCATATAAGACATATAAGAAAAAACAAAGAAACACATCTTTTGAATGTCTAGAAAACTTAAGAAAAGCGGATTCGCATTAAGGCTCTCTGAAACACGGCTAGTCCCCTCTGCCACTATCACGTGACTTTAACTGACATTATATATGCGAAAAACAGCCGCCGAGAATATATTTTCTCTCCTTGTTTAATCCTGGCAAGAACCGTTTCAAAGATAGAACGTATGTTGATGAGGCAAGGCGCTGTGTATCTGCGGGCTTATAGTTGACCAAGTCGGCGTGGCTGGTGCAACGCACAGCGAGAAGCCTTGGGTCCGATTTCAGCTATTCCATGGTACTCTGTGGTGCGCCTTGTTCACTTTCGTATCAATTACGATGAAGAGGACCCATTTCTTTCTTTGAAACATCGAAGATTTGAAAGTCAAAGCCATTATACAAACGAAACACGATCAAGAAAGAGCCTTCTCGGTAAAACACGCTCTAAATGTATCTCGCCCGTTCATCTGGGGCTCGCCGATTGTATTTTATGGTCTTTGGAGTTTGGGCCCAAACTGTGCCAGAATGGTAACTGACATCGACGATTTGATCTCAAAATCACGTGACAGGTTTGTTTGACGCTACACTGCCCGGTATTTCAGTATTGGGATGGCAAGCCTAGAAGTTCGAATGTGCTAAGATAAACCGCACAAGAGCGTTTGCGCTGCAAGCAAATGACAATGGATTTTTCTATTCCGAGTTTTCTTCCTAACGATGCTGTTCGAAGGCTTCAGGAGCACGTTAGAGACTATAAGGAGGGCGATTTAACCTCCAAAGGCTATATTAAGAAAAGGCAAGAACTTCTCAAGGAGTATACCAGCAGCGCGACATCTCACCACCGATCCAGCAGCGTTAGATCTACTCTTTCGCCGAAATCGAAGTCACATGCTCGAAATCACAGTTTAGCGTCGTCAACTCAAAGTCGTGTCTTCGATGTGGACTCGTCTACCGTGTCGCGTCAAGGATCCTCGATTTACAGAGTCACGACCTGCAAGTCCAATTCATTCACGGCTCAGAGTCCCACAACCTCATATACTGTGATGGGCGACAGAGCTTTGGGGCCCTCATATCAACCAATGATCCCGCTAGTACCCCGCAAAGATCCCTCGCCGCTGATCGAATCACTGCCGTCCATTCTTCGCGGAAGATCGCAGCTTTACGAAAAGGAAATCGCTTTTGTTAGCATCAATCGCAAGATCAAGGAATCGGTTGTCACCTGGGACAAGCTTTACTTAAGAGCAGAGAGAATAGCACATGAAATCAGTAAACACAAGCTTTACAAAATGGACAAGATACTTCTTTGGTATAACAAAGACGAAATTATCGAGTATGCGGTAGCACTAATGGGTTGCTTTATTGCCGGCATGATTGCCGTGCCGGTGTCGTTCGAAACCTACACAATGTCTGATATCACCCAGATAGTATCACTTACTAGCTCCAAATTCGTTCTTATATCCGAGAGTTGCTTACGCCAAATCGATAACCTTCACGTGGCAAATAGCACCAAGATCAAATTAACCAAGAGTGACATATTTTCTCGCATGACATTTGTGAAGACGGATGAGTTGGGGACATACACAAAGGCGAAGAAAAATACCCCCACGTTTGACATCCCTAGCGTCTCATATATCGAATTTACTAAAACTCCGCTAGGTCGCTTGTCGGGTGTGGTCATGAAGCATAAAACTTTATCAAGGCAACTGGAAACGATGGCGAGCACTCTAAATTCTCGGAGTAAAGTTCAATGGCGGAAGGGTGACATAAGGAGGTCTCATAAGGGTCAAAAGAGCTCATCGCGTTACGTTATACTGAACAGTTTGGATCCAACAAGATCAACTGGACTGATCCTTGGCCTATTATTTAACATTTTCACAGGAAATCTAATGATTAACGTCGATGAGTCTATTTTGCAAGATCCCATAGGTTACGAGAACGTCATCAATCGATACAGGGTTGAAATTTTACTCAATCACCAACTACAACTGAAGCAGGTTGTAATAAATTATCTCGACAATCCCGTCTTGACCACTTCCAAGAAGAAGAGCAAAATTGATTTGAGTTGCATAAAATGGTGTCTAACTTCATGCACAACTATCGACACTGAAGTTTCTGATATGATTGTTCACAAGTGGTTGAAAAACCTGGGCTGTTTGGATGCTTCTGAATGTTACTCTCCCTTTCTGGCTTTGCTCGATTTTGGGGGTGTTTTTATTTCGACCAAGGATCAGTTAGGATCTTTGGATAATTTTCCGGTCCACAGTCCGAAACTGCAGCTTCAGGATGAACTATTCATTGGCAAAGAAGAGCTAAAAGATAATATCATTAAACCTAGTATTACGGCTATGATAAACTCTTCAAGCTCCACAAAAGATTATTTGCGAGTGGCTTCATTTGGCTTTCCAATCCCCGATGCAACGGCATGTATCGTCAACCCCGATGATCAAACCCTTGCCCCAGATTTGACAGTAGGAGAATTGTGGATATCCTCTCCTAGCATAGTGGATGAGTTCTATCAAATGGATAGGATTAATGATTTTGTCTTCAAAGCTAAGTTGAATTACAAGAAGATGTTCGAAATATGGCAAACAGTCAATTCTTCGATCCACTCCAAGATTGAAGGATCATCCGATCGCGTTAGCATGATTACGAACATTTGCTCCCCCCAAACCAACTTCTTACGAACCAAACTCATGGGTTTTGTTCACAATGGCAAGCTTTACATCCTTTCCAATGTGGAGGATATGTTTCTGCAAAATAAGCTGATAAGACTCCCCAATTGGTCCCATACATCCGACGTTACTCGAGGAAAGAAAACTGATGAGAAGAGTATCGCACCCACCGATCCAGAGGATTCAATCAGCTCACGAAGGGTGGTGCAGACGTTTTACCTTCAGCATATTACTGAAAATATTGTCAGGATGGTTGACAAAGTTTCTGAACTTTCCGTATTCGAACTACCCAACAATCGTGAAGAGCATTTTTTGGTAATGGTAGTGGAAAGTAGCCTTGCAAGGGCTGCTTATTCCCAATATAGCCAAACTTCCCTCGAGAGCACTGAACAAACGAGAGAAGTTAGGGATAAGAAAATGAATACTTTCGTCGAGCAGATATACAAAATTCTCTGGATTTTCCATCGCATACAACCTTTTTGCATTCTTGTTGTTCCGCCTAAAACTCTTCCAAGAAGATACTGTTCATTAGAGGTTGCGAACAGCACCGTTGAAAAGAAATTCTTAAGCGGTGAACTCCCCTCTACATTTGTGAAGTTTCAATTTGATAATGTGATATTGGACTTTATACCACACTCCAGCTTCTACAATGAGAGCATTTTTTCCGAGCACCTTTCTACGCTGAGACACTCGGCAATGTTAGAATCAGAAGAAGGCTTGAGGAGCATAAAAGATGTTGGTTGTCAAACGTCGGGAATCGATTATCGAGAGAAATCTTTTGATCCGAGAGAGGGCCTTGAGCTCACAAAGTTCGATAACATACTTGAGATTCTTGAGTGGCGATCAGATGCTCAAGCCAATAATTTCGCTTTCAGCGATGGAGGTTCTAGCAACTCCCCCGGCAGCGGAACGTCGCACGTGCATCCAAGGATCTCTTGGAAAGGATTGAATGCTATAATCGCGCCGTTTATCAAGAAGATAGCGCTATCCAAAACTCCACTCAAGAGAGGGGATCATGTTCTCATCATTTCTGACAATAGCGTAGAAAAGGTCGCAATTATAATGGCCTGCTTTTATTGTGGCCTCACGGTTCTCCCACTGGAGCCTTTGAAAGATTCCAACTCCCAGTCAGAAGTGAGCTTTTTAATGAACGTCATACAAAGTTATAAAATCAAGCGGATCTTCGTTGATTTTGAAATGAACGCAATACTAGAAGAAAGTACTAACATCAGCAGAAATCTAAAAAAATTCAAGCATATGCTACCCAAAATCACAGTGTATTCTAAGATCAAGAAGAAAAGTGGTCAATCTCCGAAGGATTACAAGGAAACTTTGAGAGAGAAATTTGGCATCAAAACCAGCAGCCTGCCCAAAACCGAACCGTGCGTTATTTGGATTGACAGAGAGTCTGATAATTATCGCGATATCAATGTTGCGTTGCGGCACAAAGATTTGTTAAACATGTGCAAGATTTACAAAGAGACTTTGCAACTAACGAGCGATAATCCAATTGTTTCCCTGTGCTCTCACACCATCGGCATGGGTTTCTTGCAATTCTGCTTGATGGGGATATATATCGGAGCTACCACATTTGTTTTTAAGCAAAGTGAGGTGACAAGAGATCCTAAAGATTTTATGATCGCTCTCCAGAATCTGAGCGTCAAGGACGTTATTTTGGATCCAGATATGCTATATCTGGTTATGGACAAAGGAAACTCAATCATATCCGCGAGAAGCCAATCTGCCAATGAGAAGTCTGGCAGCAAGTTGACGAAGACCACACTTCGCCCGGATTTTTTGAGAAACGTTCAAAATATAATGGTTCCTTTCAAAGGGCGGCCAAAATTCTACGCCATTACGAATTTGCTGGCCCGCTATTCTTCAATAGTAATCGATCCCATGCAGATAAATTACGTCTACCATCACTCTTTCAACCCGCTTATATCGCTTCGGTCTTATTTGGGAATTCCGCCGATGGATATCTATCTGGATCCAACCTCGCTCAAGGAAGGCATAGTCAAAGATGTCAATCCTTACGCCATATCTCCCAGTGAACTGGAAAGGTGTATTCATTTGCAAGATTGTGGCATTGTGCCAGTGTGTGCCGACGTCTCCATCGTCAACCCAGAGACGCTTGAGCCTTGCTTCGAAAATGAGTTTGGGGAAATCTGGTGCTGTTCAGAGGCCAATGCCTATGACTATTACATAAGCAAGGCTGACGCACCGTTCCGTGAGGTCGGTTCTGGGGGCCACAAGAAAGGCGGCAAAGGTGGCCTTGCGAAGGACTCGTTTCTATCAGCCCAATTCAAGGCGCGTGCCAAGGGCGAAAAAGACAATGGACTCTCCTATCTGAGAACAGGGGATCTGGGGTTCATCAAATCGGTAAGCACCACCGACAGCCGTGGAAACGTCTTGAACTTATCGCTGCTCTATGTTTTAGGCAGTATAAGTGAGACTGTGGAGATTTTAGGTCTGACGCATTTCGTCGCCGACCTTGAAATGACGGTAAAGGCGTCGCATTTCTCGATTTCCAGTTGTATCGTAGCGAAAGCAGGCGGATTACTGTGTTGTCTACTCGAATGCAGGGGTAAACGCGTACCAGAATACTCGAACTTGGTTCCTTTGATCGTTGCAGCTCTTCTTCAAAAAAATGGTGTCGTAATCGATCTCTGTTGTTTCGTCCGCCCTAATTCTTTGACTTATGCCTCGAAGGACTGGAGCAAACTACGTGTGACTTTGTTATCTGACTGGCTGAACCAGAAACTACGCATTGACGAGCAAGTCGGCGTAAATTTTGGTGAGAATAACTCTATCTATTTGCTGTCAGATTTCGAGAGAACTAGTCAATAAGGAAAACTTATCAGGCAAATGTGATGCACATATAAAAGTTTAACTCGGCTACGGTCACCTCCTTGAATTTATTGTGAAGGTTGAACTAAAAATCGGCGATCGTTAGCGATAAACGCTAGCAATCGCACTGAGAATATTCCTGATCGTTCGCTGTCATATGATCGGAGTCGGAATTTACGAGCTCGCTTACGGTTGATAAGGCTAGGAGCTCGATTTCCTATCACAATTTACGTGAAAAGTGATGTTCCCACGTTATCCCACGCCTGGAGTTTCTGATCATCGGCATATAAAGCTGAGGGCAGCCTGATGATTCTTTAGCAGTCATAGCATACTCCGGAAAACTCACCGCTGCATTAGAGTGTTCTTCTCAGAATTAAGTAAGCTGTTATTGGTGATATCGAGTAACTACTGAGAAGTGTCGATTTTGATGGAATCCAAGAGGTTATATGACTCTTACGATAGGCCAAGCAATATGGGCTTCAGTCAAGCCAATCATTAAGATTTACTTAATCATCGGTAGCGGCATTGGGCTTGCGAAACTGAATATTCTCACTGTTGAGGCGACGAGATGCATTTCCGACATTGTGTTAACGCTACTTTTACCGTCTCTGTCGTTTAACAAGATCGTCGCAAACATCGAGGACAAAGACATAAAACAGGTGGGGATTATCTGTCTCACGTCAGTGATGCTATTTGCCACAGGGCTTTTTTTTGCGTATGTGTGTCGGCTGTTGCTGCCGGTTCCCAAGCAATGGCGTGGAGGAATTTTGTGCGGGGGCATGTTTCCCAACATCAGTGACTTGCCGATTGCGTATTTGCAAACTATGGATCAGGGTCTTATTTTCACGGAAGCGGAGGGGAACAAGGGCGTTGCCAACGTGATTATCTTTCTCGCTATGTTCATGATGTGCGTTTTCAATCTAGGTGGGTTTAGACTCATCGAAATGGACTTTTCGTATCACGACGAGGAGAGCGCACTTTGCGACAGCAACTATCAAATAAAGGAAAAATGCAGCGACAGTACGAAAAACAGCGATACTGATACATCTAGTATGGTTGCGCCGGAAATGAGGCCGCCCGTCCAACGTGCCGTTCTGACTGCGACGCACTCTTCCACGCCTTCTTCGACGCCCAACTCTCAGTCCTATGGCACACCGGGGCCTACTGATGCCGAAGTCACGTCTCCACCCATTGCACTGACACAGGACGCAAATGTTGTCAGAAGAAGAACGTCTCAACGCAGTTCTCACTCTAGTATCATGAGCAACGCAGAGTTACGAGAATCGAGTCCCCAGGACATCCATGACCTTGTGCGCGAATACTCTCATGTCGATGAATTTGGACGAAGAAGAAGTTCACGTGCTATGTCTATGCGCACGTCTAACCTTGCCAATCGAATACGGTCCTCAGACTTGACCCGGATAGTGACATCAGATGCCACTGTCACAAGACAGGACGTTTTGGACTCAGGCAAATCGCTCCCGAAATGGATCTATAAACTTTCGCCAACTCCATTTCTGGTTTTTTTCCTGAAAAACTGCCTCCGGCCTTGTTCCATGGCCGTCATCGTAGCGTTGACCATAGCGTTCATTCCCTGGGTCAAGGCGCTTTTCGTCACGACTTCGACAACCCCACATATCAAACAAGCACCGGACAATCAGCCAGCGTTATCTTTCATCATGGATTTCACTTCCTATGTTGGTGCCGCGTCTGTTCCATTTGGGCTTTTACTACTGGGTGCCACGCTGGGCAGACTAAAAATTAACAAATTGTACCCTGGTTTCTGGAAAACTTCGATTGTGCTTATTGTCTTAAAAATGTGTGTCATGCCCATTTTTGGGGTTCTATGGTGCGATCGTCTCGTCAAAGCTGGCTGGGCTAACTGGGAAGACGATCGCATGTTACTTTTCGTCATTGCAATCGATTGGGCCCTGCCTACAATGACTACAATGATTTATTTCACAGCAAGCTACACCCCTGTCGATGCCGTTGAAACTGTTCAGCTGGACTGTGTCTCGTTCTTTCTCATGCTCCAGTACCCACTTATGATTGTCAGTCTCCCATTTTTGGTAACCTACTTCTTAAAAGTTCAAATGAAAGTATGATGCTCCAAGCACTAAATACCTTCAACAGCATATGCATCGTTTCATCATAAAATGAAGCAAACCTATATATCAAAAGTCGCATCCGAATAGTTTTCGTCGCTTTTATTCACCATCGTCTCATATAGACATTGGCCGGTGATGATGAGCTCGTCCCAAACTCACAAAAAATCAAGTCATCTCAGAGTTAATGAGTATTAAAGGTTTGGCAAGAAGACAACTAGAAGAGCTTGTTGTTCATCATTAGAAGCAAGTTTACACAAAATAACTGACATATAAAGGGTTTAGTAAGGTTTTGATCGCCGTTTTGACAGTTCTTAAAAGTTCAACGATTACCCAAACGCGGTCAATATCGTTTTATCGAAAGTTGAAGCGCAGAAGGTTGCTGAAACGCAAAGTTAAAATGAACCATGGGGACGATATACAGAATGGAGTTGGACTTAGCAAACGACAACGATTATTGAACATTATGCGGACTACAAGAGACGTTTATGTCCCGACAGTTGCTACTACTTTGTCACAATTGAAATCGGAAGCCGGTAGTACACTCAAGAATTATTATGAACATTCTGGCAGCACTACCACCGGAAACGGTGGGTCGTTGCCGCCCAAATGGCCTGTCGGCATGCGAACTATAGTGTTCCCGTCATACACAAGAGTTCTTGAGGAAAACCGTTTTGAAAGTCATATAAGAGGCGTCGTTTATACGCCAGGATTGAATAGCCGAAAATCAAGACTACTTTTATCAGTTTGCAGACAGCTTGTGCGTCCCAGATCGACTGCGGACAAAGCGTTGGCCGAAGAGCAATTTGAAGCGCAGCTTGAAGATTCTCAGTCGTCGCTTGACAGTTCATCTACTTCCTCATCGTCACAGATCGGTGCAAAAGATGAAGAAACTTTGCGAACTAGAATTGCCGGTTTCTTGTACAAATACATCACAGGCGTACCTATTGACATTAAATTATCGGACGGTGCAAATCCAGACGTGGTAGCGCACGCAAGAACAGACAGCTGGGGGAATTACGATATTAAAATTACTACAGATTTTGAACCCTCTGACATTAAAGTCGCAATCGACATAACTGATGGTGATACCGTTTCGTGTCCTGTCAATCACGTCCAGAATAGTGGCGTTGCTTTAATAAGTGATATCGACGATACAATCAAGCATACAGGGGTTACTGGAGATAAAAGATCCATTTTTTGCAACGTTTTTGTCAATGATTTTGCCACATGGACAATTCCCGGAATGTCTCTATGGTATAACACGCTTAGGGACTCGGAAGGCGTTGACTTTTTTTATGTGTCGAATGCACCCTATCAAATATATCCCATTTTGCAAGACTACATTTCCAAGCAATTTCCTTCGGGTCCTTTGTTTCTCAAGCAATATTCTGGCAATTTGTTATCGAGTTTGATGACTTCGAGTGCTAAGAGGAAGATCGGATCGATTATAAGCATTATTAAAGATTTCCCAGCAAAGAAATTTATTCTTGTAGGAGACTCTGGCGAACGAGATTTAGAAGCTTATACAGAAGCTGCCAAACTTTTCCCAGATCAGATCATCGGTATTTATATCCGATGTTGCAAAGATTCTATGAGTGACTTCGCAGCCAATAGTCTTGAAGTCATGAAGGAGTTGAATCACTTGATTCAAACCAAGTATCTTTCAGAAATGTATCCAGATGACATTCAAAACTTGTGCGACAAAAGTGCTAATTCGTTAAACTCGCCTAGCGTCGCGAAATCCGCGACAAACCAAAGCGAAGTTGAGCAAGCCTCTAAACGAGCCCCTGAGATCCCTGCGAGAAAGCCAGAACTTACGCGTGAACAACTCAAAACAATTTATGACTCACGAAAGCCCTTTTCTTTGGTGTCCGGCACACCACCTCCTCCTCCGCCGAGAAAAAAGACTAGGTCCAAAATATATGAAACTTACTCACCACTTTCTATCGGTGCTACTAACGATGAAACTGTGTATTGCACGCCTTCGTCACAGAATGATTATGGAGCGTACTCTTCTTTCTTTGATTCCAGAGCCGATTCTTGGCGAGGGCGCGTGTTAACGTCCATTTTAGAACTTAAGGAATGTGGTGTCAAGGCAAGATTCATGTTCTTTTCAGAACCTGAAGTTTGCCTAGAAGACAGTTTTTACGTCATCAGGAAAGGACAGCTAACAAAATATAATGGAAACCCAGAAACTACAATGTCCAGCTAATTACGACGTTATGGTCAGGTTGAGGAAACTCGAGGGGTTCCAGAAACTCTATTGAGTTATTATGATACACTCTAACGAAATATTTAATTTAGTTAAACTATACTGATTTGATTGGGGAAGACGTAGTGAAAAGATGTACTCTTTCCGTTCTGGCGTCTTCATGCAGATGCGGTGGCGGGGGTCTTCGTCTTGATGTCGAAAGTTGGATTAATACCATCACCATAGTCTTTGATACCTCCGTCGTCTCTCTTCTCGGCATCACGTAGGGCTTTGGTGAACTCCGATAGATCCCAGGCAGAACCCTTGGACGCGTCCAAGTCAGCCAAATCGTCAAATTTCTTGTCTTCCATGAACTTCTTTAGCAATACTTCCCGACCTGTGGGTTTCTTATTAGCGTTTTCCCTCTGTTCTGCGTTCACCTTCTTCGCAATGTGATCTCTCTTCCATACGGCAAAATTCTCTACTGTTATAGGTGTGAGTTTGGCCCTGTTCAGTCTACCCCTTTCAGTCTCCAAAAACTCTTCTAAAGTGATTTTAGGTTGACTGTCTAGGGCCTCTTTTTCAAGCCTCTTTTGCTCTTTGGTTTTCAAAACGAATCCTTCCGGAAGAGCGTGCTTGTACATACACTTGTCACCACCGTTGGGACAAACCCAAAACCAACCGTATTTCCCGTTTTCCACCGCTTCAATGAAAAACTTGCAAACTTTGTCGGTCGTTGTACGTGGGTTACCGTGTTTCGACAAGATCACTTTCCGCAGTTTTTCTTCGTCCCACTGATCCATTGTATCCTGTTCTTTTTCCTCACGGACATCCTGGTACAAATCCTTCTTTTCGACTCTCCGCCCCACGTTAGGATCGTGAGAAAACTTACAACGGGCTCCCTTGTTACAGTTACCGATCTTGAACATCGCACACAAGATGGTCTTGGGATCCACCCCAGCACCGACCCGCTGCTGTTCCATGGCAGGATTGAACAGAGCACGCCGTTGTGCTTCTTCCAGCTCCTTCCGCTTCTTTTCCTCCAATTTCAGCCGTTTCATCTCCTCCTTTTTCGGATCCGCTTGCGACTGCACTTGCTTGATGTATCTCTGGACTTTTGTCGACCGGTTTTTGTTCTTCATTCCGAACGTCTTGTCGACATTGTCCTTCTTCTTCGAAGCTTGCTGTTGTTGCTTCTTTGGTGGCATATTTTCTGGATGGTTTCGTTGCCAAAGCCTTCAGCTCCTGAACTTACGGTTCTCCTGCTCTTACTATGGTAATAGCTCGTTGAATTTATTTCAATCGGCAACTGCAACTCATCGCAGTTCGAAAATTTTTCAAAGGAAAAGTTGTCGAATTATAAAGGTCGCTTTATACGTTTACCCAATCATTACTCATTTCGTGATGAGAGATATTTATTTAATGTCGTCTTTGACGAGTACTCATCTAATACTTTATTCGTTAATGGTGATATATGTTCTTCTTGACGAATACTCGTTCTTTTACTCAAACGTATCTAGCTACATGACTTTCATAAGGGCATCAGGATGATCATGTTTATAAAACTTTACATTGGGTTAAAGTAGAGTACCAGACCTTACTAGCCTTGCATGCCGGTCCTAGAGAGACTCTCTGCGGCCCGGCCATTTATGAGACTTTTTGCGCGTTCATCCGGCGGTCGCGGTGCGCGAAACGCTGCCGCTCTTTTTGGCGGAACCTTATTCCTTGGGTATTATTCCCTGTGGGGCAAGAATCCACTTCTAAGCGAATCCATCAAAAGCATCAAACATTTTGGAACGTCAACGCCCGAGTCGCAAGAACAGAACACAATTTCACTACTTTCTGACGCAGAAGTGACGCGCAGACTACGACAATTGGAAGAAAGCCATTTTGTGCAGCGTGGAAGCGGGCTTGTGCGATTCGATGTGGCGCAATTGCCATCCAATTCACCGATTGAAGACGCGCACATTGAGCAGGTGGTCACGGTTCCAGGTCGCGATGAAGCCCGTGACGAAGATCTGTATTTTTTCGGTGTTTTCGATGGTCACAGTGGACCATACACTTCAGCGAAATTGGCACAGGATTTAGTACCTTATGTGGCCCATCAGCTGTCCAAAGTTTATACTGCGGGCGTCGTATCGGCTTCTGTCGCTGAAAACGTCGTCGACAACGCGCTGTCCGACGCGTTCAAGTTACTCGACCGCGATATCGTTTTGGGTTCCCTTGGGAATTTGTTTCAAAATCCCTCTAAGGAAACGCTTACACGCGCCTTACCGGCGGTCTCGGGCTCGTGTGCGCTACTTGCCATGTTCGACTCTCAAAGTTCGACTTTAAAATGTGCTGTCACAGGCGACTCACGCGCGTTGCTTGCGTCTGTCAATAAAGAGGGCCAGTGGTCTGTGAAGGCGTTGACCGTTGACCAGACGGGTGACAACGAAAGTGAGGTTGCGCGTATCCAGGCAGAGCATCCGGGAGAACAAAATGCGGTGCGGAATGGACGTGTCTTGGGCTCTTTGCAACCATCGCGAGCCTTTGGCGACTACCGCTACAAAGTCAAGGACATCGACGGCAAATCGGTGCGCGATCTACCGGACCATCTCAAAATCTACTTCAGGCGCGAACCCAACGCGTTTCACACGCCACCTTACGTTACCGCAGAACCCGTTATATCTACCGCGCAGGTGAATTCCGATGTCAAATTTATGGTTTTAGCCTCTGACGGGTTGTACGAGCTTCTATCTAATGACGAAATTGCGTCTTTGGTAGTCAAATGGATGCAGCACAACCCAGTGGTACCTGGCGCCGCTCCTTTGCGTACGTCTGGCCCTGCAGGGAAGCTCACACCGGTCCGGGACACCTCGGAGGACGCAGAATCGCAACGTCCGGCTTTCAGATACAGATCTCAAACTAAAAACCCGTCCGAATACTTGCTGGAGGACAAGAATGTCGCTACGCATCTTATCCGAAACGCTTTGAGTGCCAAGGGAAACAAGGACTACGTCTCTACGCTTGTCAGTATTCCGTCACCTATGAGCAGGAAATATCGCGACGATCTCACCGTTACAGTAGTGTTCTTCGATCACAACGAAAACCACGAGCAAACCGGACGCCTGGTGATTAATGATGAGGCAACTACAAAGCCCAGAGCCAAGCTATGATCGTGAAAAGTAGGCTCTAAAGTCCCCGAGCGTATTTTATCCAAAGTTTGTCAGAATGAACGCGTTTTCCCCAATATTCTTTTAAGCACTGCCGAAAAAGTGGTACGCAAGCTGAACCCACCGACGTCACGAATATCGCCATCTCAATCGCCAGATTCACCTTTAGAAATGCGTTTGACGGGCTCTTCTTCATGTATCACGTGACTATACCAGTTTTGATATTTAAATAGTATATGAGATATCAGAGGCGAAGAATCAAGAACGAGACTACCCCTGGCGTGGAAAACAAGTTCTGAAGAGAGTAATCCTATTAGCAAGTGAAATGAACTCTGCGCTTACGTCTGTTAAGCTGGTTTTACTTGGAGAAGCAGCGGTGGGCAAATCATCAATAGTTCTTCGGTTTGTTTCCAATGATTTTGCTGAGAATAAAGAGCCTACGATTGGAGCAGCATTTTTGACCCAACGAGTGAATCTAGGCGAAAATACGATTAAATTTGAGATATGGGATACGGCAGGACAGGAACGGTTTGCGTCGCTGGCTCCGATGTACTATAGAAACGCACAGGCGGCGTTGGTGGTGTACGATATCACGAAACCACAGTCATTCATAAAGGCACGTCACTGGGTGAAAGAACTGCATGAGCAAGCCTCCAAAGGTATTATTATTGCACTGGTTGGTAACAAGCTGGATTTGGTTGAAGGCGGTGCGGATCGTAAAGTGGACCGTGAAGAAGCTGAGAAATTGGCAGCAGAAGAAGGACTTTTGTTCTTTGAAACGAGTGCCAAGACTGGAGACAATGTTAACGACGTGTTTTTGAGCATAGCGCAGAAAATACCATTGAAGAAGCCAGACGACGAATTGTCGACCAATCCTGGATTACGTGTGAACAACGACGGTGCAAGAGTTGACCTGGCAGCTGGCGGCCAGGGATTGGGTCCCTCTGGAGGCTGCAACTGTTAGTATGCTTCTATATACATAATGATTATTTTGTTGTGCTGGAGCGATGCGGACGCGGATACAGTCCGCGGGTTCAAAGGTGAGCTCAAATGGGTAATGGAGAAGTCAGTCACCCTGCCCGCTGCAATTTAGTAGTGTTTTTATTCATATTGGAACTGATGAAATGATTTTCTTTTGTTTTGACATTTGAGATTCGTTTGAGCCTTGCTGAGTGGCTACAAATCGACACTAATTCGAGATATGCGATTTTTCTAATAGTTTAGTCAACTTTTCTACCATTTCTGACAGCTCATCGATTTTTTTCTGCGCACGTTTGTTTCCCTCTTTGACTTCGCTGAAAATTCCGTAATTTTCCCAACCTAGGCCAGAATGAAATCCATCGCTTACCGGCTGCACTGAATCCCTAACGTTTTTGAACCATTTCTTGTCAACTTTGAAATGCGGGTCGCTATTCTCAGCTTCTCTTTGGAGTTTTAGAGAATTTTTGTTTTTCTTCTGGGTGGCAGCTATACCTGTGAGTTCATTGTTTGGTAACCATCCGTCTTCCTCATCCACATAGCCATCCGTGAGATCCCAAGCAACGTCAGTCTCATTAGCATCGTCCTCAAGCTTTTTTAGCCTATTATAGCTTACGCGCTTGGCCTCTCTAATCTCTTTGAGAGCGATGAACAAAAGCATGGGAAAGTAAATGATAGTCATCACAGTATTACTAAACTCTTTAGCGGTGTTTTTCGGCATCAGGTGCATAAGTGGAGTAATTATGATTTCGATGATGTTAAATGGAGGAACATAAACATCTTCGTCTGGTGCTCTGATGTATCTCATTGTTTTCTGTGCCATGAGAGCCATGTACTCATCCAAAGCATTGACGATAACTTTCTCATATGCAGTGCTGTACAAAGCAATGAGAATATTGAGAAGAATCACCGAGACCACAAAGCAGTAAATGTAATAAAGCAGAGCAGCGTAGGGATAGGCAAATTTGTCAAAGATCGCAAACCCACCGAACCCTAAAACGGTTAAAAATAAATGTTTGACGATTGGCCAAGTAATGTCTCTTTTACCATCTGCAGAATCAAGTCCCAAAAACCCTTGCAAGAAGCCCACGATTATCAAAAGTAAAAGGAAAAAGAAAACAATTGATTCCTTCATCATGTGCTTGAGAATAACGAGCAGCGCGCCTATGAATCTCTCCGATTCGAGATAAAGCAGTAAGCGGCACCATACAAGAGGCGCTGCGCAGGAAAGTATTCTGTATGAAACTTTATCCCAATATTCTGAGGACATGTGAGTTTGAATGGGACTCACGCTGACAATTCTCAGAATCATTGATGCGGCAATCGTGAGATACATGGAATCGTTAAACGCATTCCAAAACCCCACGTAGTTCCACCCTACATTATAAATTTTGTTCATTTCATCCAAAATACTCCCGACAGTGAAGAAGTAGAACACAACCTCTGCGGCGTCTATAGGGTCGACCTCTCGCGAGTTTTTGCTGTTGACAACAACGGTGTATAGTACAAGGTAACAAATCGAGAAGAAGACCTGAATAATGTTCTGGTACATTGGCGTCTTAAGTCTGTCCGGATGAAAATGTCTACTGAACTGAGAAGAGGGAACCGAGTCGCATAAAACGAATGTGCTTGCGTCGCCTTCCTCTTGCACAATCCAGCCCCTCCAGAGCCATTTCAAACAACGCTGATACCCACTCGAGCCAATTACGATTGTGCTGTGCATGTCCAATGCTAGTTCTAACACTCCCTCGGCCTCCTGGTCTTCGTCGTTCTCATTTATCACATATCGACGACACAACATGTGTATGAATAGGAAATGCGGATCGCGCGCCTCTTCTTCCTCAATGATAAGCTTGCATAGCTGCTGTGCCGCTGTGGCCCTTAGGGAGTAAATTTGAGCATTGTGAAGCTCGCTGGAAGCTAATTCCCAGTACCAGCCGCAAACTTTTAACAAACAGAAGATAACCACAGATTGATATTTGCGCATGGATCTTTCGTCCTTTTGATTCCCGCCGCATGCCTCTCGCGTCAGTTTCAAAACTTTTCGGTTCAAAATACGCGACTGATCAGACGTAATTTCACTTTCCTTGAACAAAATCGGCACCACCTCATCGATAAGATACTTCAAATTCAGGGCAATCCGCAGAATCTGTCTCGAATTGGGTGCTTCCAAATTTTCAGAGGTTTCGTGTACCCACGACAGTCCATTCGCGGTGGGCAGAACTAACTCAGTCATGTTTCATGTCTATTCTAAACTCGCCTGGGCCTTGTTTCAAGTAGAGACCCTTCAAATATCTAGAAAGTTTTGGTTTTGTTCGATCCAAATTCCCTTCGTTCAAAGTGCTATCAACACTTTTGCGAAACAGTCTGAAAAATTTCGTTGGTGAGAAACGGATAATAAGCTGAAATCCCGTTAAGCGGAGCCTGTGCAAGAAGAAGTGGTAAGCATGGGCAAGAAAAAGCATGGGAAGAGAGGTGGCCCAAAGGCCCGAGCTGATATGCCGACGGTGTTGAATGCCTCGGACGTTTTCTTCGATTTCGGGAAGGGAAAATCGGGGGAGAGAAGCGTTGAAACAAATGGACAAGTGCCCAATGCCGATAGGGTATCTGAGGCAGAAATATACGACGAAGAAGCCGAATATCCTAGTTCAAGGGTAATCAAGAGGGCTGCGAATGGAGACGTTGTGGTAGAAACGATTCCGAATGACAATAAGTCAAGCGTAGAACCAGATCAACAGAAGAACGCCAATAATGGGGCCTTACCGACTAAACTGGATTCACATTGGGAGTCTTTGACTGCAGAGGATAAGAAAAATATTTTACGAATAGACAAAGAAGAGGTTTTTGAAGTGATAAAAAGCTATCAAAGCGCTAATAGCTGCAGTTGTTCGGTGTGTGGACGTCGAAACGTCGCAATGGAAAACGAATTGGAACGCATTTACAATACGCTTTACGATAATGCCAAGCAAATTAATTCGGATACGGATTTTGTTCTATTCCATTTAAACATGATCAAAGAGCTTCAAAAAACTTCTTTCAGCGAACCAGGACAGCATGCGAGCCCTCCGTCATCGAAGACCTCACCACAATACCTGGAAAATATGCGAGACGAAGCAGTCAAGTATTGTCTCTCCAATAAGGCAGTCGATTCGCTGAAAGAGGAAGTTCTGCAGTTTAAGCACAACAAACAAAAACAACTGCAAAAGCTCACTAGCATGGCTGACGATGCGCATACAATGCAAGCTGCCAACCATCACCATCATAGTAGTTCGCCAGAGCGACCAGAGCATGCTGAGGCTGCTCCAGTGCGGCCGAAACCTCCCATCCAAAGCGAGCAACAACCTACTCAACCTAAATCTGGGGTTCAGGCTTCCATACAACCAGAGGTTCTCCCAAGGCCGAATCTGTCAAACTTGACAGATCTCTTTTCTGAGAAGTCGGCAGCGGTTGAAAAAATGCCTGAAGACGCCGCGGTAAATGCTGATGAGACTTCAAAGGATACTAATGATGAGGTTCGGTCTCCAAATCTTTCGCCTGGGCTCTACGTGACCTTCGGTGAGAACGGTATGGCACCAGGTATGAAAGGACCTGGATTATCGCAGTATCTACAATCTCCACTCACGCTTCCTTGGAGATCCCTTAACGCGGAACCCAGTGACGACTTGAAGAATAAGTACATGGACTTTGCCAAGACTTTCGTGTCTTCACATCCAAAGATAGCCAATGAATATGTCAATAGGATGATGATGTATCCGGACATCAGGGCCCTAACAGAAGACCTAATGAATAATAATGGACAAACATTTACAAAAGCGATGGAAGATTTTATTTTGAAACGAGGTGAACATCCGGAAGGGGATGTCGGCTTGTCAAGCGCGCAAATGGAAGTTCCAGTGAGCGATGGTCCACCGGTTTCTCGTGAGCAATACATGAATCTTCAGCGCCAGATCGCAGAGAAATTGACAGGATCACTCGATTTTCAAAACATGCGTGAGAGTGAAAGGGAGAAATTACAAGACCAGCTCCTCTCTGGTGATGCGCCCTCAAATATGTTGATGTCGCAGTTATTCAAAAGAAACGCTGCGCAGCAAATGGACCTAACTATCTCGGACAATGATCAAGCCAGTGTTGAGTATGATGAAGAGAACTACGATGAGGAATACTCGGATTACGACGAAGACGAATCTGATTACGTGGATGAAATGTATGATGATGAAGATGAAGGGGAGGATGAGGAAGAAGATGAAGACGATGACGATGACGATGAGGAACTCAGTGACGAACACTGTCCACATCACTATCATCATCATTATGGCGATGAGGAAGCGGAAGCAGAGCTAGAAAATGAGGAGAACAATACTATTGTTAACGACGAGGAATACGACAGCGAAGTGGATGAGCAAGAGCGTTTAGAAGAAGGAAGAAGGTTGATACAAATAGCTATCACCAAATTATTACAAAAGAAGCTAGTAAACTCGTATCATGAAAAGCAAGCGGAAAACAATCGACTTAGACTACTTCAAGAGCTGGAAGCTGAGGAGCAGAAAAAGAAGGAGAAAGAGGAGAAGAAACAACGTAAACGTGAGAAGGAAAAGGAAAAGAAGCGTTTGCAGCAGATTGCTAAAGAGCAGGAAAAGCGCAAAAAGGAGGAGGAAGATGAAAGGCGAAAGAAAGAAGCAGAAGAGCGTGAAATGCAAAGGAGAGAAGCTCAAAGGCAAAGAGTTGAAGAAGCGAAGCGGAAGAAGGATGAAGAGCGGAGACGGAAGTTGGAAGAACAAAGACGAAAGGAAGAAGAACAACAACAGCAAAAGAAATTGAAGGAAGAGCAGAAAAAACAGAAGGAGAGAGAAAGGAAAGAGAAAGAGGAATTAAAGAAACAAAAAGAGTATGAAGTAAAGAAAATGAAGGAACAGAAAAGGGTCGAAGGACAGGCAAGACTTAAAGCCGTCTCTAAAGCTACCGATAGTGAGGAAGTTTTGGTGCAACGTACCGACTCACAGTCAAGCACGAGAAGATTAAGCACACCCCCTGAGGCCGTGCCTTATGGAATTTCTGATAGCGGTTTTATGGGCAACAACGAGCTCTTGAATATGATCAACGAAGCTGCTTCCAAATCGGCGTCAACTTCTTCGTCACATCTCCAGACTCTGTTCCGCGATCAAAACCTTGCTCCTGATGCGCAGGCAGTATCCGCAGGTACTCCTTTGAGCGTGGAGCCCTCTGGACTTTTCAGTGGCAATGGAACTGTGTTTTCCGCGGGCTCATTGGATTCGGCCACCAACGGCAGATCCGGTATATCCAATGGCTGGAATAATGCTCCACCTTACTTCCGTACCTCTCCTGAAAACTTAACTGCCTCTGTGGACGTGTGCCCTTTGATGCCACCCGGCGTTGACGAACCTGTTTTCGCGCGCTTTTCCGAGAGTAGAGGCTCGAAAGGCAATTTCAATGACGAGTTAAACAACTTGACACATTTCCTTTCGAGCGCAACGCTCTCAACAGAACCGCTGGCGGGTCAGCCCTCAAACCAATTTTTGCCCACTAACGGCTTGTGGTCGGACAAAGGAGCGTCAAACTCTGCCACTGGTTTGGGCATGTTGCCAAACTCTGCCTCCGCCTTGCCTCAGAGGCCGCGGCACAAGTCAATCTGGAATTCTAACGCATCTGAGAATCCACTTCCAAGAAGTTCTCCTTCAAATAAACCAAACGCCGACGTCTGGGGCGCTTCAAGTTCTTTCCCAGACGTCATCTCCGACGCTCTCACTCGAGCCTATACATTTTTGCATCAGCAAATGGCGATAGACTTTGTACCTGTCGACAAGCTGTATCAAACTACTCTGCTTTACTTGTCTCCCAACACAGACTTCACCTATAATGCTTTCGTAGCCAAATTGATGACTATGCGGGCAACCTTACAATGTGACGTTTTGACGGATTCCGCTGGCTTAATTTCTCACTCGAGAATACTACAACCGGATTCCCAGCGTCCTTCCCGCGGTTATCAACCCACGCCGTCGCCTTTTTCCCAGCCAATACCCCATTCTGAAGACGTAAGAGCCATCCCAAACGCTCTTTTCGAAGAATTATATTCTCCATCAGCCAGCGACATCCACACGACGGTGAACGCGGGCTCCTCGCAATTCGACTATAACCAACCTTTTGCTCAACCTCGGACAAGCAACATCTGGCAATAAGTAGGCCCATCGGTCTATTGCAAGCGATCTATTCTTGATTTCGTAACTTGAACCGTGCTCTATGTAGAAGATCATCGATTTTCGTACAACGTCATTGACATGGGTTATTATCGAACATCTCATATATATAATTCCTGACTAAATACTAGTAAGGATAAGTCAACGGTTAGGGGTTCGAGCCACAATTGAGTGGAACTGTGACCTTTATTTTGGTTTCGCAACGTTTACTGACAACTTGGGCATTTTTTCACTGAATTTTCAGCGGCTGTTTTGGAGTTATGTCCGAAAATATAGTGAGAAGGAAACTGGTGATAATTGGAGATGGGGCATGTGGTAAAACGTCCCTTCTGTATGTGTTTACATTGGGCAAATTCCCGGAAGAATACCATCCGACTGTTTTCGAGAATTACGTGACGGACTGTAGGGTGGATGGGATCAAAGTGGCGCTCGCCTTGTGGGATACTGCAGGACAAGAGGAATACGAACGATTACGGCCATTTTCGTATTCGAAGGCTAACATAATTCTGATTGGGTTTGCTATTGACGATCCAGACTCGCTTGCAAACGCTAGAAGCAAATGGACAGAAGAAGCACTTCGATATTGTCCTCATGCGCCTATAATTTTGGTTGGTTTGAAGAAAGATCTGCGAAAAACAGGGTCAGGGAAGCATATGGTGAGCGCCGCGGAAGCTGAGCAAGTGGCAAAAGCCATTGGAGCCAAGCGGTACGTAGAATGCAGTGCTTTGACCGGTGAGGGCGTCGACGACGTTTTCGAAGCCGCTACTCGAATCAGCCTTCTCGTAAATAAAGAGCCCGGTGGAAGTTGTTGCGTGATTACCTAGATGGTGCTTCATCTCGGCGACTAACCTCAGACTTTTTTGCCCCACCAAATTGCCTGAAACCAGCCGAGAGACGATTCTCATCTTGTCATTACCACTCTCGTGACATTCGCAATTGATGTATGGTGATGGCCACCAGAATTTCCTGGGCAGATCTCTTCGGCCTTTGCTCGGATCACAGTCACGCCGCATCCTCCTCATAGAAGTGACCCATTGCTACAGACGCCGCATATCTTTCGTTCCAAAAGCTTCCTGGTTTCTGCTAGACTAACGGGGCACTAAGCCATCCCAAAAGGAACGTCGCGGTTTGTTTTGCTTCTAAAAAGTACCCTTCCGGAAGCGGACGTTATCCACTTCGATGAACATAACTATATAATAATTTTTTAAAGAAAGCACTGAATTTTTATGCTAGATCATACGCCCAAAGTTCCGAAGATATCGGATGGTTGATCAGTAGAACTCTTCCTAAGCGAGGACAGCTTGCGCGCTCAATAGGTAAATCCAAAGATCACTGTTTCTCCAAAGGATGGGATTACATGATATTTTTTTTGAGTGAATGCCAACAATTCACAACAAAACATAAACTCAAAAGTAAGATAACAAACTCTAGAAACGCGGTTAATCAAAAAACAACAAGGACAGCTTGAATTATTTCGAAATGATACAAGCTAGATCCCTCCAAATCAGACAACTACAGTAGAAACAATCTATGAGAATTCGAGTAATAAATCGAAAAAAAAATGAAATTCGACCTCGGTGAGGATTGAACTCACGATCTTGCGATTAACAGTCGCACGCCTTAACCAGCTTGGCCACGAAGTCGTTCAATTAAAAACCAATGTAGCTTGAGCTTGCTATAAGGAAAGGTTAAGCGCACCTGCCATTTTTTGATATTCATGAAGTAAACAACGCGTTATTCAGTTTGGATGATCAACTCAAAATACGTGCGTTTGACTGGTGCTGTTGGTCATGCAGGATGAAAGGAATGCCTCTGAGAGGTATCAAAAGATATCTCAGCTGGAGCATATCCTCAAAAGGCCAGATACTTATATTGGGTCCGTGGAGATCCAGGATCAGCACCAATGGGTTCATGATGAGACAACAGACCGAATGGAAGAACGAGAAGTTCATATAGTGCCGGGACTATTCAAGATTTTTGATGAGATCTTGGTGAATGCTGCTGATAACAAAGTGCGGGATCCCAGCATGAAGAAAATCGAGGTCACGATCCAACCAGAAGAGAATTTGATCGAGGTGAAAAACGACGGTAAAGGAATTCCTATCGAAATACATGAAAAAGAGAAGATCTACATTCCGGAACTCATTTTCGGACATTTGCTAACTTCTTCAAACTACGATGATGACGAAAAGAAAGTGACAGGGGGTAGAAATGGTTATGGCGCCAAGCTTTGCAATATTTTTTCCAAAGAGTTTGTTCTCGAGACTGCAGACACAACGACTGGACAACGCTACGTTCAACGGTGGGAAAACAACATGAGCGTATGTCATGCGCCTAAGATCACGTCCTATAAGAAGGGACCCTCTTTCACGAAAGTTTCCTTCATGCCGGATCTTGCTCGGTTCGGCATGGAAAAATTGGATGAAGACGCAGTTGCTGTTATGCGGCGCAGAGTCTATGATATCAACGGTGCTGTTCGTGATATCAGCGTTTTTTTGAATGGTAAAAGTTTGAGAATCAGAACGTTCAAAAATTACGTTGAGCTTTTCGTCAACTCCTTGGAAAAGAAACGGATTGCTGAGGAAGGAGGTGACACAGAATCTGTAAAGACTCCACCGATAGTGTATGAAAAGTTTAATGATCGATGGGAAGTTGCGTTTGCTGTCTCCGATATCTCCTTTCGTCAAATTTCGTTCGTCAATTCAATTGCTACCACCACTGGCGGGACTCATGTTTCCTACGTGACAGATCAAATCATAAAGAAAATCATTGAGGATCTCAAGAGGGGGAAGCGAAAGAAGATGGTGAAACCATTTCAAATCAAAAACAATATGTTTATCTTTGTCAACTGTCAGGTCGAGAATCCTGCTTTTACATCTCAAACTAAAGAGCAGCTCACGACTCGGGTACGTGATTTTGGTTCTAAATGCGATATAAAAGATGAATTTGTGCGGAAAATCATGAAAACGGACAGATTTCTGGATAAAATTTTAGAAATTGCAGATCAAAACGAGGACAAGGCCTTTCAAAAGACCGATGGGAGCAGAAAATCCAGAATCACTGACTACCCTGCACTGGAAGATGCAAACATGGCTGGAACTAAAAACGGTCATAAGTGCACCCTCGTATTGACAGAGGGGTTGTCAGCCCTGTCGTTAGCGGTTGCAGGACTTGCGGTTGTCGGGCGGGATTATTATGGATGTTATCCATTAAGAGGTAAAATGTTAAACGTTCGTGAAGCAAGTTCTGAGCAAGTTACGAAAAACGCCGAAATTCAAGCTATCAAGAAAATTGTGGGATTACAGCATAAAAAAAAATATGAAGACACGAAAAGTTTGCGATATGGTCATATCATGATCATGACAGATCAAGATCATGATGGATCTCATATCAAGGGCCTGATTATCAATTTCCTGGAGACCTCATTCCCTGGGTTGCTTGATATCCCAGGTTTTCTGGTTGAATTCATTACACCTATTGTTAAAGTGACTATTACTAGGCCGAGAAAGCAGGTTATTTCGTTTTACAATATGCCCGATTATGAAAAGTGGAGAGACGAAGAAAGCCATAAATTTTCTTGGAAGCAAAAATATTACAAAGGTTTAGGAACTTCGTCTTTACAAGAAGCAAGAGAATATTTCTCTGATCTTGACCAACATTTGAAAGAGTTTCATACTCTTATGGGTGATGACTCAAAGTTGATCGAGCTTGCATTCTCAAAAAAGAAGGCTGATGACAGAAAAGAGTGGCTGAGACAGTACGAACCTGGAGATGTTTTGGATCCCAAATTGACCGAGATTCCGATTAGTGACTTCATCAATAAGGAATTAATCCTCTTTTCTTTGGCGGACAATATACGCTCTATTCCCTCTGTCATGGACGGATTCAAACCCGGTCAGCGTAAAGTACTTTACAGTTGTTTTAAAAGAAATCTTCGATCAGAAATTAAAGTTGCTCAGCTCATTGGTTACATTTCAGAACATACGAACTACCATCACGGTGAACCCTCCTTAGCTCAAACCATCGTTGGGATGGCTCAAGATTTCGTGGGCTCTAACAATATTTATTTGTTGAAACCTAATGGTGCTTTCGGTACAAGAGCAGCGGGTGGTAAAGATTCGGCCGCGACCAGATATATTTTCACCGAGCTCAATAAACTAACTCCGCAGATCTTCAATCCACTTGATAGTCCCTTACTCAACAACCTTGAAGAGGACGACAAAATCCTCGAACCGGAATGGTACGTTCCCGTAATTCCAATGATCTTGGTGAACGGAGCAGAAGGTATAGGGACGGGCTGGAGCACAAACATTCCGCCTTTCAATCCTTCGGATTTAGTCAAAAACATAAGAAGACTTCTGGCTGATGAAGAGATGGAGGACATGGTCCCATGGTTCCGCGGCTGGGGTGGAAGTCTGGAAAAGATTGATGCACAGAGGTACAGAATGTACGGAAGAATTGAACAAGTAGGAGAGAATATGGTAGAAATCACAGAAATGCCGGCCAAAACGTGGACGGCAACCATAAAAGAGCTTCTCTTGTTGGGTTTTGGCGGTAATGAAAAAGTAAAGCCTTGGATTACCGATATGCAGGAGAATCATGGAACAGGCATCAAGTTCACAGTGACGCTTCGACCAGAAGAAATGGAAAGAACGCGGAAAATAGGATTTTACGAAAGATTTAAATTAGTTTCCACAATCAATATGGGAAACATGGTCGCATTTGATCCTAGTGGGCGTATTAAGAAATATGAAAACGTTAAAGAGATTATGTGGGACTTCTATTTCGTTCGTCTAGAGTACTATCAAAGGCGTAAAGATTACTTGACAGAAAAGCTCCAATGGATTGTAGAGAAGCTCTCACAACAGGTGAGATTCATCAAGATGATAATTGAAGGAAAGTTGATTGTCAGCAATAAAGCTCAGAAAATTCTATTGAAGGAATTGGAGACTTTAGGATTTCCAAGAATCAATAAGGATGGCAAACCACACTACGGCGAAATAGATGCTCAGTCGAAAGAAGTTCAGGAAAACGTGCCAGACAAGGATAGTGATACCGAAGATCAGGATGACCTCGATACCGTCAATGGCCCAGAAGAAAAATATGGTTCTTTTGATTACTTGCTTGGGATGAAAATCTGGTCGTTGACTAGAGAGAAATACGAGAGACTTTTGAAACAGAAGCAAGAAAAGGAGGTTGAACTCGAAGAGCTGCTAAAACTAACCGCCAAAGATTTGTGGAACAAAGACCTCGACGCTTTCGAAGAATCTTATGGAGTCTTCATGGCTTATGACGAAGCGATCCGGAACAACATAGTTCCAGATGCCGCTTCAAAACAAAAGGGGAAGAGGAAACGGAAATCCGCTAAGGATGATGATTACAATCCTGCAGAGAAGAAGCGCAAGACAAAGGTGGCACCTGCCAAGATTAAGATAGAAGAGCCCGCTTTTGAACGAACTCTCATCGAACAAAAAATCATTGAGAAGCAGAAGAGAACTCCAAAGATAAAAGATGAGAATCAGCAGACGCTAGATGGCATTTTGACGAAGGGTAGTAAACCTCAGCGGAAGAAAACGACTAACGTAAATGAGAGCTCAGAGACACCATCTTTACCCGAGGAAAATGCTGAGCTTACAACAGATGTGACATCTAACGACAGTGTGCCTGACGATGAGATGAGCGTTTTTTCGAACAAGTTCAAGCAGGCCAGTGCACTGTTCGATAATCTTGAACCTGGGTCTTCGAAATCTACCCCAGGTTTGCCAGAGGATGCTGGGAAAGACGTAAATTTTACGCCCAAGCCAGAAAGAGCAACGGGAAACAAATCGAGAACCCACAAGGTGAAAAAAGAGAGCCCAGAATCAGATGGATGTGACTCGGAGTCGGACGGAACTACTGTTAATGCTCCCAGGCGTCGCGCTACGCCAAGAGCGAGACCAGCGCGTTCTTACCAAGAAAATATCAATTTTTCGGATTCATTTGTCGCCGACGAGGGTGAGTCCGAAAATGACTCCGATGGGTCATTTCAATTGCAAGACTAAGTATAAGAAGCATGTCAGATCCAATTGAAGTGTATTTGATTTAATTGGAAGCGATTTTTTTTGCGATGTTCGGGCAGAATTTGGCTTATTTCTGCATCCAAGCCCAGAAACATACAAAAGTATTCTGATGCAGCTCCAGAAAAGCGCAAAATTGCATACTATCTAGCTCAATCTTCGATTAATCTATCCATTGGTGTAGCTCATCTCATTTTCGCTTTACTTGCTTCACTTTGCTGTTTTCAATAAGTTCTATACATTTCATACGTTCTATCAAAATTCTTTGCATGATGATTTTTGAAAAAGAAGGTACCGTTAATTTTTCAATTCATCGAAACTCCCCTTACCTTTTGAAAAATCCACGAATAAGGTGAGCGATTAAAGGGCCCTTTTCCAAATTGGTAACGCGTATACTGGCGGAGAATTAGTCATTGCTTTGATATTCAAAAAGTTTCCAGCGTTAACTGCGATTTTTTTTGTACAATGGCGACAACAGGGTCCGAAATAGTGGTACCAACGGACAGGGATCAAGTCGCAGAATTTGGCGATATAGACCGTCTGGCACCTCCAAAAGTTGATGAAAAGAAAGCTAGTAACGATGTGTCGAAGGAGCACGTCAAAAACTTGGATGCAGCGAGTGTAGAAAGACCTGTGGTGGACGCATCGTATGTGGGTTGGAAGCAAATTGGTCGGTGGGAAGAAAAAGACGAACTTACCCTTGAGGACGAACTGCTGGATGTAAACAGCGAAACGTTTTTGGACCAACTAATTCCAGACAAACTCTATGGAGACTGGTATCATGCCGTTGCTGTGTTTTTCACGGGTGGGTTTCTTTCGTTTTTGATGGGAAAACTAGGGTTTTCCTTGGGACCTGTTTTCTTTATTGTCCTTTCGATGTCACTGCTGTACAGAACTTCGATCCGAAAGTACAGAAGTTCTATTCGAGACCTGGTTCAGAAGGAGTTCACTGTTCAAAAGGTGGAGGATGATTACGAGTCTATGGAGTGGTTGAACAGCTTCTTGGACAAATATTGGCCCATTTTGGAGCCTGAAGTATCCCAAATGGTCGTGGAACAGGTTAACCTGGTTCTAGCGACAAACACGTCCATTCCAGCGTTTATTAAAGCCTTATGGATTGACCAACTCACTTTAGGAATCAAGCCACCTCGAATTGATCTTGTAAAAACTTACCAGAACACCGATACGGACGTTGTGGTCATGGATTGGGGGCTTTCTTTCACCCCCCATGACCTATCTGACATGAACGATAAGCAGTTAAAGAATTACGTGAATCAGAAAATAGTTGTCAAGGCAAAGGCATTTGGTTTACCACTTTCTGTCTGCGTGTCAGATGTGGCCTTTCAAGCTTTGGTGAGAGTGCGTTTCAAGCTGATGACTCCATTCCCACATATTGAAACCGTCAACGTGCAACTTTTGGAAGTGCCCAACATTGATTTTGTGGCGAAATTGCTTGGAGAATCGATTTTCAACTGGGAAGTCATGAATTTTCCTGGCCTTTTACCTTTGATCAAAGAATTGGCGAAGAAATACATGGCTCCAACTCTCATGCCTCCCTTTTCCCTGCAATTGAATATACCACAGCTTCTTTCCGGTTCTGCCGTATCCATCGGGGTTTTAGAAGTCACTGTGAAAAACGCTGTTGATCTGAAAAGAGCTAGAAATATTATTAACAAATCAATTGACCCATACTTGTCGTTCGAATTGAACGGTAAATCGGTGGGCACGACCAAAACGGTTAGAGATTCTCTCAATCCTGTTTGGGATGAGACCATGTACCTTTTGCTCGATTCCTTTACTGAACCACTTTCCATTGTCGTTTACGACAAACGTGAGAAGATAAAGGACAAAGCCCTCGGACGTATCGAGTACAACTTGAGTACGCTTCATGACAAAAAGGTGCAGAAAGACTTGAAAGTTGATTTCTTGAGAAATTCAAAGCCTGTCGGATCTTTAAGTTTTGATTTGAAGTTTCATCCGACGTTAGAACCTCGTCAGCTCCCTGACGGTACTAGAGAAGATCCACCTGAATTAAACGTTGGTATTGCAAAGATTATTATTGAAGAGGCGAAAGAGCTTGATGAGCCTGATGTCAAGGTTGCTGCTTTTGTTGAATTGTACTTCAATGCCAAATTGGTCTTGAAGACAAACATTGCTAAGGGTACGGATACCCCAGCGTGGAATGAATTCTACGAAGCCGTCATTACAGATCGTCGGAGGACTCGTACAAAGATTGTTGTCAAAGATCCCAAGGGTAAGATTATTGGGCATAGTGTACAAACTCTGAATGATCTGAGAGATAGGAGTGAAGTGAACAAAAACTGGATTCCCTTGATTGGCAATAATGGTCAAATCAAGATCACAACGTTTTGGAAACCTGTTCCATTAGATGTGAGTGCAAATGCGATCGCATACACCCCTCCTATTGGTGTTGTTAGGCTTTTGATCAACAAAGCTGACGGTCTCAAGAATCTCGAAAAGTTCGGAAAAATTGATCCTTACGCAAGGGTATTGGTTAATGGAATAGTGAAAGGAAGGACGGACGCCAAGGAGTCTACAGTAAACCCAATATGGAATGAAGCTATTTACGTCAGTGTCAGTTCCCCAAATCAGCGTATCACTATTGAGTGCATGGATGTTGAAACCGTCGGCACTGATAGATCTCTAGGCAAATTCGATGTCAACATTTCGGACATGTTCCAAAAGGGAAATGACGACAAATACATCGAAAATATTGTCGAGGACCCCAAGGTTGGGCGCTTGGTTCGCAACAAGGGTGCAAAAGGTTCAGTGACATATTACGTCGCTTTTTACCCTACTGTTCCCATTTTGAGCCTAGAAGATATTCAGGAAGTGGACGAGATCAAGGAGAGAAAGAGAAAACTCCAAGAAAAGGAATCCGAGGTGGATGAGAAGACTTTATCTAAGCCCGCCAAGGAAGCTATGAAACAGGAGAAATTCGAGATCGCAGAGCTCGAAGATCTATTCAGTAACAAGATGAAGCTTGACCTCGATGAACTTTTGCAATACAACAGCGGAGCTTTGGCGTTCTCTATTTTGGGCGGCGAATTACCCCAAGGCGGATGCCATGTTCAAGCGTTTTTCGACTCTGGTGGGTACGCAAGATTCGTGACTCAGAAGTACTCAGGGAGAACGTTAAGTCCGGGAGCCACTGGCGATGAGACGATCAAAGAACTAGAGTGGTCCATTACCACTTTTAGAGTCACAAAACACAAGGATGCCAACAAGGCTGATGATTGTCTTGCAGAGGTCACGATTCCTACGATTGAGCTGGTTCGGAACTGTTACTATAAGCCGTCCATTTTGAATTTGACGGGAAGTGCGAGCGCCAAACTCATGTTGCAAGTATCGTGGTTCCCACTTGCGGTTAGCGAGCTTCCTCAGGCGGATTTGATTACCAATTCAGGCGATTTGACCATTAAAATCATAAATGCCAACAATTTGATATCTGCGGACAGAAACGGGAAATCAGATCCCTTCGTTAAATTCTACATCGACAACGACAAGGGCTCCTTTTTCAAAACGCATCATCAAAAGCGCACGCTTGACCCGACATGGAATGAAACCTGCGTCGTACAAATTACGAACCGTGTCAATAATTATTTGAAAATCAAGATGATGGATTGGGATGCAGGCAACAAAGATGACCTGATCGGAGAAGGTGTCGTACCTCTTGCTGACATAGACCCGGAAAACCCGATGGATCTCACCGTACCTCTCGTTGGACCTAAGGGCCAGGACGGTGGAACTCTGAACTTAAATTTCAGTTTTTCGCCCAGATATACACTCTCCGTTCGCAAGAGAGAAAGAAAAGTTGGAGATCTTGCTTCCAAGGGACTTTCTTCGGGTATTCATGCTGGTACTACTGTCATTGGAGGTGGACTGGGTGCTGTGGGCAAGATAAGAAAGGGAATCTTTGGTGGGAAGAAAAAAGACGAAGAAGATTAAAAAAATAGTTAAGTAGATGGCTCGTGTCCAAAAGAACGCTTTAAAGACAGAGTGCCATTTTCCAGCTTATAGATCCAGTTTCTTGACATTTGTAAAAATGTTTACTTTTATCTTATTTTTCGACCTGGGACTGTAAGCTAGATGACGGTTAATTTAAAGATTGAAAAATCAAAGATTCTACGAAAAATCACAGGTTTTAGCAGACGATCCAAGCAAAAGGAAAAGGAACTGTGAGAGATATGGATCCACAGGAGGCTTCGTCTTCTACTGGTCTTCATCCAATTGAACTCTGTGTATATTCAATACTTTCGAATAATTTAGACGGAGTATATCAATGTGTAAATGAACTGCGAGAATCGCAAGCACTTCTAGTGTTACTGTTGAAGAAGGTACGAACTTCCGTCAAGGAAGAACTAGATTTATATAATCAAGACACTAGGCTGGAAGAGGCAGAGAGACGACTGTCAGCATTAACTTTGCGAGTAAATCGATTACTGGAACGGTACGACGAACTTCAGAAAACGTCGGAAATAGGTCTGTAGCATGAATTCCATAAAGATTTCGCACGGTGAATATAGTAGGTATGATCTATAAATTTAAACGAGACTGGGTAATTTGAACAGCTTGAAAGGGTAGCCGGTGCTCTTGAGTCTGAAAACGCCCATCAAGGCGCTGTAAACCAAGTAAATTGAAGCAGAAAACGTAAGGGCCAAAACGAGTTCGATCATGCTGGCCTTTGAACTAGATTTCTTGTTATCTTCGTTTTGATAGTATTTCTTAGCATAAGGGACGAATTTTATCAAGCATAGCATATTGATGGCCAGAATCGCGTAGATGACAGTAATTATTTGAGTTTCGACGCCGTACTGGTTTTGTTGTTGCCCTTCTAGAAAGTAATGGACCATGGATCCATCTTGCGCCATGCCCACGAATTGACTTCCTCTTATAGTGTTGAACATATAGCCCGCGTTCCACAGGATAATGATGAAAACGACTCCGACGGCCCAAAGGGCATTTGTCTTCACCAGTCGTAGCGCTTCGGATCTATATTTCTTGGCCGCTAAGGTGACCACCATTGTTGCCACAGCACTGATCAACACAGACCCCCAGCTGATGGGTTCATGGATTCTAAAGTCATTGATTCCAATTACCTGGCTCAGAGATTGTACAATGGCCAGAACACGTGCAGAACCGCTTTCTCCTGGTAAGTTGATTTGGTTGTAAGATTCGGAACCCTCACCAGGAGTCAAAAACAATAGTCGAGGCACATTGTTGACATTGAAATGCATGAAAACCTCGTTGTTACGTTTCGGTTCGAAATCTGCTTTGGCGAAAAAAAGTGCGTTTTCGCCGTCCTTCGACAACCCGTCTGGATGGTCTTTGATCCACGAGTCTGCGATAAGTTTGAATTCGGGCTCCAGTTCGACACAGAGAGAACATCCGATTTGTGGCGACGATGCAGTCAATAGCACGACCATGTACGCGTCTCTTTTACCTCCAATTATCTTCTCAAAGTTGGCATTGTTCAGTTTAATTACGCCCTTGTGCTTAACCATTTCTGCCGCTAATTTCTCGTTGGAAAGGGCCGCACTGAGCCTGAAACCAAACGTCAACATACTGACCAATGTCCACAGAAATTTAGACGCTCTCATAATGCCACTAAACCTTCAATTGACACGGGCTTGATTCCAGTTTTGAGTGAAGAAATGATTCCAGATATACCCACGTAGTCTCATTCATTAGTCTTGGAAATGGCATTCTTCGTATACGGTGATAGTACCGACCTCGACTCAAAGTTTGAGTCAGTGCCTTCATGTAAAAGCGAATTGTCTGCAATTCCAAGTCGGTTACATACCCACAAATCGGCGTTTCTTCCAGTGTGCCTTTTTTGGGTGTTGTTTCTCGATTTCTGACGGGTTGTGTTGTGGACGGAGTTGTCGATTATATGAAAGCAAGGACGTCTCTCAGGGGTATCAACGTCTCGTATATCGAGGAATACGAGCGTAAGAAGTAAATGCTCGTCAGCTGCAAATACTTTTGCAAATTGACCCCTAGCGCGTTTATTTTTTTAAAGAATAATAATTTATTTTTGAGGTTTACTATTGTCGGTAGTCTATAAGTCTTGAGGTTTATCATTATCGGTGGTTGATAGATTTCTAAATTGTTCATTTAATTCGTTCATAATTGATCTAAATAATAAAGCGGATTAGGAATTGAGTACTTATATCTCTCCGTGGCTATCTTACAACCATGGCCACTCACAATCCTGTTCATATCAGCTCCTTTTATACAATTTCTGTAACATCGTTCCAATTTTGGAATCCGTTCCTGTCTCTAATATTCACGGTCACGGTGAGTCATCATTACGACACCTATTATGTCACTCTTACAGTGGTGACGAAATGTGATGCCATCATGACCATCACGAGAATCACTTGGCTCCTATGACCTCATCTTGATCAAGAACCTTCCGTTAATTCTTCCAATTTATTCTGTCATATCGATCACGTGATGATGCAATTGGACGATATCATCTCCTCGCCAGCTCCTTCCAACAGTATAATCACCAATATCAGATTATAAGCGGTACAATTTATGCATTGGATAAAGCTCTCGGCACGTATCTCACCAAAGGTAACAGGCGATAATTGGAAATGATATAAAGATTTGTAAAAGAGTTGATACAATTATTATGAAAATGTTAAAATCGTCAATGTGATACGGAGAGATGCGGAACTCAATAAATGTTGGAAGGAGATAGAAAGAAAGTGATATCGTTCATTTTCAATATCACGTGATAGTAATGACAGAATAAAATTTGAAGAATGAAGAAACGGTTCGCATTCTACGGGAGACTGGAAACTCAAACAACTCCATCGACAATTCTGAAATCATCACACCGTCGTAATCAGATCATATGTGATATGATGAATGACGTATGGTGAGAATTTACTGTCTAGATTGAAGAAAGTAACGGATTCCAAATTTGGATCAATGTTACAGAAATTGTATAAAAGGAGCTGATATGAACAGGATTGTAAGTGGTTGTGGTTGTAAGATAGCCACGGAGAGATATAAGTACTCAATTCCTAATCCGCTTTATTATTTAGATCAATTATGAACGAATTGAATGAACAATTTAGAAACCTATCAACCTCCGACAAGGAAAAACCTCGACATATACAATATTCTGTTCATTACTGGGACCACTCAGAGCCATGGTGTTCTCACGTGTCGATTCCATCCGTTCAAGCCTTTCCAGTGGCATTCTGTCATTGAGATCACGCGATATTGTGTTTCCTGGACAGTGCAACTTGAAGATTTCACTCTTCGCGAGCTCATTCTAGCATCAGGATAACGCGTGAGATTTTCACAACTGAGAATTGCTCGCATAAGCCTCCATTAGTTCTACTGTTTACATCAAAAATACAAATCGCAGCTGTTTCACGACGAGGCGGGATTGGAAGCGGAGAGCGGAGTTTGAAAGCCAAACCAAGTATTTTAATTTGGCTTAATAAGGAACTTGGTGTGTAAAGTTGGCCAAATGACTTCTTATTCTTGTTTGGTTTACCGGCTGACGTGTCAGTCACTGAACGCCCTACCAGAAAATTGGGCGTCAGTTTGGGTAAAAGTGATATGGATTGCTAAGTCATATGAGAAAATGAAGTCGTTACCGCGAGCCAGCGGTATAGGCTATGCGGCGGTTTCATCAGCCGCGATTTTGAGATTTTAGGCGCTAAATTTTTTTCATAATGTCTTTGGAGCCATCTGCTTGTTCTGTATTTTTGCATGTTCCCAGTGTGTTGAAGCGACAACGACAGTAGACAGAAGATAGAAGACGAAGACGCAAGCGGGACAAAAAATGAAGACGAAAAATATCAAACTTTGGCGCATATCCAAGATTTCAATTCCAGCTCACTCAGAGAATTTCCGCGGACTGTTTTTTCATCTGAGATCTCCACAAACGCTTGAAATCAGAAATAGTATTTAATTAGGGCTTCTGAGTATAAACTACTCTAGAAAAAGGACTGAATCCCAGAATCAACTACTCTCAATTTTTCCAAAAGCTCATAACTTTGGAAGTTGAGCGCCTTCCCATGTTTTAGATGGTCTAGACGCTTGAGTTTCTCACTGATATCACGTGATAATCGGCCATTTAGTTTCTCACTCCATATAAAAGTAGAAAACAAGGCTTGAAGAAACTACAACGGGTGGCAAACCAACTAGGAGAGAATCGCACCTTCTAGTGACGATTTCGGCCGTGAAGCGTGTCAATTCCGTCGATGCCAGTCAAGTCGTTGGAGTCGTATTTGTTTGAGAGGGGCCTGGTCGGTACGTGTCCAATTGAGGCCTTGAAAAACGCGACTGTTGGAATAGATGTCAATCACTATGTGTCGCGTGTTCTCACTCCGAAACGCGAGCAATACTTGGATGCGATAGGTGGGTTTCCAACAAGCCTGAAAACTTACTTGGAATCAGATCTCTTGGTGTTCAAAGAGTATAATATCACGCCGATTTTCGTGTTCAGTGGATCCTCTGTGGCCAACCAGCTCGAAGCAGATGAGTACTATACTGCCGCGGCAGAAGCAGCAGAAGCCGCTGCTTCCGCTGCCAATGTTCCCAGCAACGCGTCTCTTGGCTCCGCGATGTCTTCGACCAAAACCACAAAGGAGTCCATCTTGGCGCAGAGAAATCGGGGTTGGACCCAATGGAACAATTTGCTATGGAATGCTCAAAGTTCATACATAGATTTGCCCTCGCGACCGCCAGAGGTTTTCCGCTACAACATCCCGCTCGAGGCTAGCCGTTTCAAGGATGATCTGATCCAGTTTTTCATTTCTCGCAATATCTACTACCAAGTCGCACCTTACTCGTCTTGGTCGCAGCTCGCTTACTTGCTGCAAAAAAAGTACATCGATGTTATTTACGGGCCGACCGATGTCCTTATGCTCGACGTCGTGGACAAATTTATCATCGGCATGGAGTTTCCCAACAAAGAGTTTAGATTTATCGAAAGACACCGCATTCTTTCCGAACTTAAGTGCAGCAGCGAAGAGTTCATCGACATTTGCATGGCTGTCGGAAATGACCTACAACCTTTCAGTTTGCCTCCGCTTCAGCTATATCCGCCTCAACAGCTGTTTGAAATGGCACTCGAAATGGTGATCAATTCGGGAACCGATTTCTATGCACATCAATTATTAAATCCGCTAAAAATGGGGGACTCCACGCCCGTGAAGCGCTATCAAAAGGGTGTCTCTGCACTCAATTTCATGCCAGTGCTAAAGGAAAATGGGCGGGTCGAACTTTTCTCGGAGAATGAGATGATTGACGAATCCGGAAAAGAACCTTCCAACTCCAGTATGTCGTCTCCTCCGTCTTCAGGGTCTTCGGACACGATTCCAAATGATCTACATGATGTCCTTGCACAACGACTACCTCACGAATACTATTTCTACAAGTCTGTCGGTATCATTGGCAATGCGCTTCTCGATGCAATCACCACTGGCGTTTATCCCGAAGAACCTCCGCTCGACGGCGGTATCTCGGCTTCCTACCGTCAGCTAGTGAATCAGTCCGTGGAAATGTTCAAGAATCAGGGAATTAATTTGCTTACACAACCGATTAACAGATATTACCAGATAAAGCCCATTAAACAGGTGAACTGGTTTGCCCCTGAGGATTCTATCACATTGACGAATCGCATGGCGCCTTCTACTTTCGACAAAGTGAATCATCTTGTGATTAAAACAGATGATTTTACCAAAAACTTCTCCCTCTTTGAGTTTATCCAGCACCTCAATGGCCTTGAAAACTTGGAGACATTGGTCTCTGACAAGATTCTTTTCGCCGACTCGGTACCTGCTGGTGAAAGGCTGCGCGCCCCTTTCGACTTGCTAGCGACAAATTTGTTAAGACTCCTAACGATGCTGGAGTTTTTCGAATATGATACTTCTGCCAAAAAATTGAAGACCACTCCGTATGGTCGCATTTTTCTACAACTCTGCGATCTGGGTGTAAAACACGAACATCTCGAAACAATGCTGACGTTTTTGGTATTTTCTAAGATGGGAGTCCTACGTCTTTCTGACGATTCCCAGTCTGCGACTCCATCTGCGCTTTCAAAGGCCACGTTGCAGTCGTACCCCACCGAGTCCGCGTACATCTTGGTACTGGCGAGGGCGCTCACCTTATTCAAATTGGATCAGAAACCTTCCAACTACCATGGCCCCATCGACAAAAAAACTTTGGTATTCTCGGACTTGCTTGACTACGTTCGGAAAAACACAAACGAGTTGTTCGAGGCCGTGGTGGTTTCGTCGCTCGCCGCCGGCGAGTTCGATCGACTATCGCTAGACAACTTGGCATGGCAGAAAGACCTGGTTGCACTCATGCCGTTCAAGGCGTCTGCGCCCAGCACAGTGGCCGCCATGATGTGGGAGTTTTACCTTCAAAAATACTTGCACAATGGCAGCTCTAAACCAGATGCTATGGCGTTGGTGGTGACCATTTTCAACACTTACAAGTCTATACCTAATCTAGACGAGGAGTTTTCGCGCTCTCTAAGTTACCTAGAGAGTTTCGTCTCTGTTCTGGAACAGATGGCGAAGGAAAAACTTCTCGATGCCGACGATTACGATTTGTTTAAGACAGCCTATACCTTCGCCAAAAACTCGTATACAGAATAAATCGACACCACCTTGAGTAATTACCTTGAGAAATCTCTGCATCTTAGTCGTAAAGCTTGGAAGATACCTGCCTGAGACCTTCATCCATGGCGTTAAATCACTGCTACACCAGTACTGCTCCATATACCTTCCTTCTTCTGCTTCTAGCTCAAACAAATCAGCTTCTATGGCCAAGTTGGTAAGGCGCCACACTAGTAATGTGGAGATCATCAGTTCAAATCTGGTTGGAAGCATTTTTTTGTTTTATTTTCCAAAATTACTTCAACCATAAATAAAAGGTCATGTGAACCTTTTTCAACAACGCGATGAGAGCCTTCTCCTCAACAAAACTGTTGATACAAGGGTGGAACGGGATCTAAGCCTTCCACTTAAGGATATCGCTACAACTTTCAGGGGAATCGTGACTGATAAAACGAAAAAATTTGAATCCAATTTGTTAGGATTCAGTAGGAGGCTTCTTTGTTTAATTAGCAAGGGATACTTTTTGAGAACGGCCTGATTGTTCTTCGAAGAACAAACACCCCATATCAATGCTTCGTTTGACACGTGCTAACGGGGCTAGCATGTCAGGATTGTCTAGATACTCAGGACGGGGAATTAGATTCATGCACAAAAAAGACGACGGGAAATCGCACGATGCGTCTGCGCAGCCGGATGCGACTTCTACGACGTTGACGGACACTTACGAGTACAACAAGCTTACGAACAGCGCGAAAACCCCAGAGGGGTTCAAGGCGACTTGGTTGAACGCGCTAGCAGAGCGCCAGAAGCAGTTGAAACAGGGTAAAATTATGGACTCGTATGTCTACAATAGCGTGAAAACGACGGAAGTTGGTGAAAAGACACGGGCTGACTCTTTCTGCTACTTGACGTTGCCGTTCAGAAAGGACCCTATGGTGGCTGATTTTTACGTTAACGCAGCGGGCAGAATGAGAATGGGTCAAATTTTCCAAGATTTGGACGCTCTTGCAGGCCGTATTGCGTACCGGCACACCTCTCCTGCTGAACCAGTGATTGTGACTGCGTCGGTGGATCGTATTTATCTTTTGAAGAATATTGATTTCATTGCCGACTATAACGTTGTTTTGTCCGGTTCGGTCGTGTGGACCGGTCGTTCTTCGATGGAAATTTCTATTAAGGCCTTCGCCATTCGCGGCGACATTCCTGATGAAATCAAAGAAGGCACACTTTCGGATGCTGACACTTTTTTAACCGCTTCGTTCACTTTCGTGGCAAGAAACCCGGAAACGCACAAATCGTTAGCTGTCAACAAGCTCTTGCCGCTAAACGAAGTCGAATGGATGGATTTCAGACGCGCAGAGTCTCACAACGCTGCGAAAAAGCTGCGCGCCGCCAGCGAAAGTTTGGACACCAACCCTCCTACGGAGGAAGAGTCTCAAATTATTCATAAGATGTGGGTAGCCTCGAAGGAATTGACCTCTTTGGGACTTAAACCTAAGAACGTGATGCTCATGAAAAATACTAATCTCAAGTCTACCATGTTTATGCAACCTCAGTACAGGAACAGGCATTCTTACATGATATTCGGTGGGTATCTCATGAGACAAACCTTTGAGCTTGCCTACTGTGCCGCGGCTTCGTTCTCGCATGCTTTCCCTCGATTTGTATCCTTAGATTCTACCACCTTCAGAGCCCCTGTTCCAGTCGGTTCCATATTGCACATGGATGCCACTGTGGTATACACGGAGCATTTACGTGAAAAGAGTGACAAGGCCAGCTCAAGTACCGCTGCTAGTAAGCCAGGTAAAGATGACTCCGCGTTCCATTTCGAACCCTCGCCTATTAACATTGTCTCCACTAACAAAGACGAATTTTTGTCCAGGCCAGGCACATTGGTTCAGGTTAAAGTTGACACCATTGTGCAGGAACTGGCCTCCGAGAAGCAAACTAAATCGGGCTCATTCATCTTCTCATTTTTCGCGCCTCGTGACTCCAGCCCAGAATCTCCTGGCAAACCAGGTTTCGCAAACGTTGTTCCGCAGAGCTATTCGGAGATGATTGAGTACATCAGTGCAAGACGGCGTGCTATTGAGACGGCCATGTATGCCAACACCATTCGTCGGACTAGCAAACTATAGGCCGATAAAGCTCTCTCTCTCTATATATATTCCTCCAACTGTCAGATAGATTATGTTTTTCGTTGTCAGGCAATTCTGTTATTCTTGTGCCGTGAGTAAGATCATTAGTGGTTCTTTATATATATATTACATCCAAATTATCCAAGACATTATTCATGGAAGGAATCTATTTCAGGTTCTTCTCCCTGAATGTCGTTTGCGTCCAGCACCCCGACGCCACTTCTGTTGGGAAGACTTACCAGTTTTTTTAAACTTCTTTTTCGGGATGGGGTCGAGGGTTTAGTTCCCGACTTCTCTACCCATTCGTATTTGTCTCCTTGCTTAACTGGCATGAATCCATCAGAACTACTTGTGCTTTGGGTTCGGTATGAATGCTGATCTTGAGGATTGTCTTTCGGATTTACAGGCGGACTCTGCGGTACCGGTGTAGTTGCTTTAAGAGCGGCGTCCGGTTGTGGATTGCCCCAAAATACTGAGTCTCGCAATCCAAGCGATGACTTTCTTGGGTCCTTGGGCAAGCTTCCCTCTTGGACAAGCTCGGTGTTCATAAGCTCCGCTGTCGTTACCGTTTTTAGAGAATTGTAGCTTTCCCTTCCACTTCGAGCAGCAGCAGGTGCGCTCGTGGAATACCTCCATGACTTTCTGTTAGTTGGCTTACTATTGAAGTACACTGAGGAAGTCCTGTTATTGCTGTCAAAGTATTCGTCATTTGGCGGCTGATCTAGCAATTGATCTTTGCTGCTTGTATTCAACGCACCGGGATAAACATCCGCAATTGGCGATGAGCACGCGGATAAATTGTCTTTTTCGTTGATGGTTGACACGTCTGAAGCGCTCGAACCCTGTTCATCGAGCTTCATGGCGTTTAATGCACCTAAACGACGTGCAGTGCTACTGTCGTCCACCGAATTCTCATCATCGAAGGGTGAGACAACTGGGAAAGCATTCGGCCTGTTGGCAGGGTTGTTTAGCTGAGGACCACTAATTGTTGGGCTGTTCTCCTTGTCATTCTCGGTTCCCTGTTGTTGCCTCTTCCTTCTCCACAGCAACAGCGCAAGTAAGCAGAGAAAGATGAATGCTAATGGAATTGCCACACCGCAGCCAATTGCAACGGCTCGATTAGATTTGTGAGAGCTTTTCACACCACTTACCAGCGGTTTTGGAGCTGCAGAAGCAGACGCTGTCACAGACGAGGTACTAGAAACGGTACTGGATGGCGAGACAGTTGTAGACGACGCAGCAGTGGATGAAGAGCTGGAGGATGAAGATGTAATGTTTTTGTTTCTCGCGTTGACACCAATGATTTCAAAAGACAGAGTCTGACTTCTGGAACCCTGTTGAGCCAACACATTTACGCCCACACTGTCCAAAGAATTCGGAGTTGTACCTGCCAATGTGAGATTGCTCGAATGGTACGAGAGCCAAGAAGTAGAATCAGATGAGTTGGAGAAACTCACGGAGACATTAGTTTCTTGGAAATTAGTAAACTGGGATGGAAGCAGGGTGTAGCTAAACCATTGATCTCTTGTGGCGTTAGCGCCTGGTAACGAAGAAACTGCGAACAAAGTCTGAGTTGATTCCACTGAGAAATCCAAGTAAACGACGTCGTTATATTTATCGAAAATACTGACACCGAAGCTGGAAGAATTCGTTGCTGAAGTTAAAGTTCCCTTCAGAGAATAATTTTGTAGCGATACCCAATCTGGGGCATCTGAGAGTTGCACGGAACTTATATTATCCACTGAAACTGGGTTTCCATCCAAATAGACGTAATTTAGTGGAATTTCATAGTCAAATTCTCCAGAATTAGACACATTGACAACTAAAGTGTTTTGAATAGAGGTCGAAAAATCGTGGGCTCCGACCACGAGATCGAAAACGATTTCGGCACCGTCGTAATTAGGTGAATTGGACGCAATCAACGAGAAGGAGTAATCCAGTTCGGGTGCAATTTGAGAGTTAACCACAGGTGCGGTTCCACTGAAAGTGAGATCACTTTCGTCAAAAAACAACCAGTTGGGCAATGGGGCATGGTAAAGCTGAGAACGACCGTAAAATTGAGTATCGGCGTTCAAATTGTCAAAAGAATTACGTCCAAATGTGATATTGAACACTTGGCCGGGAGAAAGTTTCAATCCGTTTTTACCATTCGTAAACCCACTGTCCTTGAGAAGATTAAGTAAATTGAAATTGGAGGCCACTTCGGGAACTGCATTGGGCCTGGAGACAAGTAAATCGTAGGTTTTGTTGAGTTGTTTGTTATCGGAGGGGTCAGTGCCTTGCAAGACTATACTAATAGTCGTGTCAGAGTCGTCACCGCCCAAAACCTGCTCGGACGGCTCCCCAGAGAGAGTTCTTGATGTTGGGTCGAAATTTAGCCAGGAAGGTAAATCAAACGCGTCATACTGAATTTGGACTTGACCGTTAACATTCGATTTGAGCGTATCGTTCGAAAACTGGAAAGAAAACTGTTCACCAACTTTCCCCACCGGAGGTAATTGTTCTTCAAACGAAAACGCCTCGTAAGGCTGACCCAGAACGCTTTGAGCCACCAGAGACAGCACAAAGACTACCAGTCTTCTGCGCATCCTACAAACTTCAATTATCAAGCGCTCTAACACCAGTGTCGCGCAAACCAACTGGACCTGTGGACCTAAACAGCGTTACAAGAATTACAAGATATTTTAAAATGTACAAACCACTGTTAGAAAAGGCATTCCATCATTTGCCGATCCTTGAACATAACCCACAAGCAGTAACAGAATTCTTGTCACTTGGCTCATCTCTAACTGCATCGGTGATCAGAAACGCCAAATTTCGCGACGCGTTTGGTAACTTTTCGCGTTTTGGCGTTTGTCGCTTGGAGATATGTACGTAATTTGACACGAAATTCACCAAATCAACACGAAATCAACGTAAAATTGAACCATTAACGGTTAAGACCAAGAGCTTGTTGGAAGATTCGCAGGGTTTAGTGATCACTGTGGGTACGGATTCGAAATGGACCCTCTTCCCTCTTTATTTGATCGTTTTGGGCCGTCTTTCGAGTTGCCAAGCAAAAACGGCCCCGAGCGGCCTGCAATGAGTACTGGCCTTTTGTAAGGCCATGCAAGGCGTTTAGGTAGTGGCTTGGCGTTTAGACGGTGATATTGAATCCTTGTATCAAGACATGACTTGTTTCACATGCTCATTGGAGTTGATGTCAGCGTCTTGAAGAAAAGATGCCATTTAATGTTTCAGACATCGTAGAAGGACGCTGACGAGGTTGACAAGGTGATGAATGACTCTCCCAATAAACTGCGAGCTTTTCAAGTGGCTATTGAAGTTATCAGGGCGACATTCTTGCTGTCCTGGGCGGTCATCTCGATGTGAATCGTGAAAGCCGTGATCAGTGATATGACTTCTTGACGAAGGCCCCTATAGCTTTCTCACCATTTAAGCCAACCACCAACTAGGAACTTGTGAGAAAAAGGAGACATCACTGGCTACCTGTAAGGGCACATTCGCAGGAGCCTAATACATTAGAGTCATGCCCAAGTTGGAACAATTTGAAATAAAAAAGTATTGGCAGATTTTTTCCGGTTTAAAACCTGAACAGAACAAGTTAAATCATGATCAAGTTTTACCGATTCTTTACAATTCTAAGCTAGATTCATCGATTTTGAACAAGATATGGTTCTTGGCAGATATCGACGATGACGATAATCTAGATTTTGAAGAATTCGTCATTTGTATGCGACTCATCTTCGATATGGTCAACAAAAATATCGACAGCGTTCCGGAAGAGCTTCCTGATTGGCTTGTACCGGGCAGCAAAGCGAGTCTAGTCAAAGAACGTGCCAAGAGAAAGCAAGCTGAGCGTGAACAATTGGGTTTACCTGGGACGGAAACCTCTTCCGAAAACCACAGAACGCCTGTCGTCGAACAACGCTCTGAGCCAAAACAGGTGGACTGGTACATTTCTCCAGCCAATAAAGATCTGTATACCAAGATTTTCGAGAAATGTAACGTCTTTACCGATGGAACTGTGTCTTTCCCCAGTCTTGCCAATGTGGTCAAAGCCGAGTTCCCGCAAGCGACCACGTCAGAAATCGATCAAGTATGGAATTTGGTCAACCCTTCCAAATTGAAGTCTATGAACAAGGATCCTGCAGTTTACCTCATCCACATAATCAAACAGAAAAGTGATTTGGGCTGCTCGCTACCGACCGAGCTTCCTCATGCCCTCGCAGAGATTTGTAAACAGCAGAGAGCTTCTTACGACCTCAACTCTAGGCAGGCAGAAGTCAGACGCGGTCACAACAGCCGAATCACCTCTTCCGATATTGCTTCTAAAAAACCTCCAGCGCTTTCCAGGACAAGTGATCTGGAATCTGCTCCAGAGGGCTCGGATTGGGAAGTTGTGAAATTGAAACAAGAACTCGCTGAATTAGACTCAAAAATGGCTGGCGGCCGAAGCCAAGAATCAAGCGTTTCATCACTTGCACAGGATACAGATGACCTACGAAAGCAATTTGAGGATTTGTTAGCTTACAAACAAGAACAAATCACGAGGAGTCCCAATGCTTATCGCCCTCCAGTGAATGCATCCAGCGTGTCAGACGACATTTATAGTATCGAACAACAAGTTGATGTCTTGGAGCAATACTTATCGAGCAAGAAACAAGAATTGGCGCACTTACAGGACGAGATACGTTCTTTGAGGTGAAATTCGCTCATGCACAATTATTCTCGAAAATATATATATAGCTCTATACCATCAACTGTTGATATTGCCCAATAGCTGGTCGCTCAGTTAGTTCCTCGATTTGATGTACACGACAACAACTTTAAAATTTCTTACATATGCCTTCTGTCAGCCGTCCTTGGTTTCGCACGGATGATGTTATCTACTCTTAATAGAACCTCTGCTGCCTCCGAGGCTGAGCTCACAACGGCTTTTTTCAGCTTATAACTTTCAACAATACCCAATTCCCTCATATCGGCGATACTTCCGTTGTTCAGGTCGAGACCAGAAGTAGTCATACCGTTGTAAATGGATGATCTTAACTTAGCAACCAATTCGCTGCTATCGAAACCAGCATTGTCAGCCAAAATAGTTGGAAGCTGCCTCAATGCACGAGCAAATGCTTCTACGGCTAGGGATTTTTTACCGTCCACATTTTGAGCTGCGGTGTCCACGGCTTTCGACATGATCATTTCAGCGCAACCGCCACCTAAAACGGTTCTAGTCTCTTTAGTGGTTTGAGACAAAACTGAAAGCGCGTCGTGAAGAGATCTTTCAGCCTCGTCGAGCATTTGCTCAGTGGCTGCTCTCAAGACTATTGTGCAAGCCTCGCCAGCTTTACAGCCGCTGAATTTAGTAAAAATTTCTTCACCAATCATTATCTCTTCAATCAATTCGCACTCTCCTAGTTTGCATTTCTCAGGGTTATCGAAGGTGGAGACAACCTCACCACCCGTCACCAAAGCAAGTCTTTCAACGCCTTCGAAGTCCGCATGCTCAATGGAGTTGATACAATGATCGGTGAAGAGTTGCTCAGGGTAGTCGTAGATCAATTGTCTGTTAATAAATGTGTTGATGCCGAACTGAGCAATTTTGTCAATTTTTGTCTTCATTTTTAGTTTCTCCGCCTTCTCCAATTGCGCCAATTTGGAAGTGGAATCTACCTTAAACTTGGCACCGAAAATCTTGACCTTGTCGGTGTCCAAAGACGTATTGGCAATCAAGATTTTGGCATTTTCAACACGTCTAGGTTGATTGTTACCAAACTTTTTTTGAAGAATGAAACCTTCATCGAGGAAAGAGTCCGAAAGTTTGCCGCCACTAATTTTGATAATTTGAATGTGCTCTAGGTTCGTGGATCCCCGCAAACGCATGACTGCGTCGGCAGCCAATTTCGAAAAGTGTTCTTTGTCTTGCGACAGGATCTTAGACGACAACGTTGTCTTAGCGATATCGACCAGATCCCGGTAAAAAACATCCTTGTCATTCGAATGGTCCGTAGCCACCTTTTGCAAAGCTTCTAGAGCGGCTTTCGAAGCTAACCTGAAACCCTCGATTATAGTCTGGGGATGAATTTTACCATGCTCTACCAATTTTTCAGCTTCACGCAGTAATTCTGCACTCAAGACCGTCACACTGGTAGTACCGTCACCAACTTCATCGTCCTGCACTTTACTAATATTCACCAACACTTTGGCTGCTGGATTATCTAGCGGAATCGATTTCAAAATTGTTGCGCCATCATTTGTCACCAGAGAACGGTCGCTGCTGGCACTTTGTAGCAGTTTGTCCATACCCTTCGGGCCTAGCGTTGTTTTCACAAGATCCCCAACCGCAATGGCGCCTACAAAAGCAGACATACGAGCGTTTTCAGCTCTTTCTTCAGATACTTGATCACCAAAAATTTGAACACTCTTTAAAACAAAAAAGAACCCGTTAGTAAACTGTTTCGACTAGTTCAAACTCCCACTTGACGAAATTCACAGCATAAACATACCATTGCAAAACTGTAGACAAGTAAATCGGTCCTCTATTGCCCTTCAACGAGCCTGTGATGGTTTTTGAAAGTTATGTTCGCCACTACGAAGTGGGCGAAAATTCTTAAATTTCATTTGAAGATACTATCATTATAGACGTAAGTTGCCCTCGATATAAGAATTTCGGCGGCTAAATTCTTTCTTTCTCCTTTACACACCACATTTACTAAAGTTCACGATTCAAGATGGTTGATTCAAGGGCATAGGCAGTAATGGCAGCCTTTCTTTCGCTGAATAATCAAATTATATTTTCGTTGGCTGTATATCCAGCATTCTGCAATTCTCGTGCCTCGGGCTCCAAACGCTGATTACTGTACCACTTGGGCCTGAAATGTTCACTTATAGCTATGCCATTATACACTAAAATACAATCTTTTTGCCTTGAAACTTAGCATTCTTTTCTTTCTCCTCGGCTTGACGCTTTGCCTCCCAGGATGGATGGATTGGTGCGTCCCTAGCGGGTTGAGATGACGTTTCCGGTTTAGAGTACCCTCCAGATCCGCGTTGTCCCTCAGGCTGTGCAGCTTGTTGAGCCCTGTCTCTCGCTTGACGTTTGGCGACTCTTTGCTCGTATTCTTCTTTTTTCTTTAACCTCTCGGCTATCTCTTGCTGCGCTTGGCGCTGCACATGGTTTGCATGTCTACCGTATTTTTGCTCCCAAATCTTCTGTCTGGCTCTTTGGCCACGTCTGTTCTTACGCTTGGATTGGTTAGAAGCCTGTTCAGCGGCGACTGCATCGTCTACGACATCGCGCTCGTCGTCTGATCCTCCACTATAGTAACCAATCATAAGCTCTGGGAGGTTGTGGGCCTTGTGTACCTTCAAAGGTGGTCGGTTGGCCGCTTTGTCGTCCTGTTCAGTTCCGCTTTCGCTGTTACTTTCACCTTCCTCTTCACTGCGCTCTTCATCTGTAACCTCGTTGTAATTCACATTGGGGTCCAATGCGTAGTCGGATTGCTCGTCTATTTCGTCATCAGATGCTACAAGCATGCCCTCGTATTGCTTGAGAATTTGTTCCTCTAGGAATTCGTCGTCAACGTCTTCCTGTCCTCGCCTTGGTTGCGCTAATACATTTGAAGATTTGTCCTCTTCCTCTTCCGACTCCGACCCAATCGAATTCAAACTGTCTTCGGCAACACCGGTAGTGGCGTTAGCTCCTTTGGCCTCTTTCTCCTTCCTCTTGCCTGATAGCACATCCAAAGATCGGTCAAATGTATCGAAAAGCTCTTTAAACTTAGCAGTGTTCATAGTTGAACTCAAAAGCTTGTCGCACCCTTTGATAGACATAACTGTCTCGTTCCAAATTTTGCTAGGATTATTAAAATCATTCTTATCCTGAAATTGTCGAACGTATCCGCTCTCAGCAAGCCATTTGGGAGGATTTGTTTTTAACGCTTTTGTTGGAGCCAGCTTCGAAATCACAGCCTTGGTGACCTTAGATACGGCTATCATTTCTGCAAATCGATGCAACGTAAACCGCTGTTCAATTGTCTTCAAAACTTTGAGTTTCTCACCATTCTTTGGATTTTTGTTCTTTTGAAGACTGTCCAATTGCTGTTGTAGAGAGCGCTCAAAAGTTGCGAGAACTTTGGATTTCAAATGGAACGTTTTCTTGAGTAAAATCTGGCATTTGAGATCATCAAGTTGTCTTGAAACCGCCTCTAGATCATCCTGTTCAAGCAGTTTTGCCACCCTTTTCGATGTCTTTTTCCCCTTGGCATTAAACACTTTCGTGGTATTGTTCAGTCGTGGTTGAAATTCATCTAAAGTATTGTTCAAGCGGTGCAACCGGTACTCTAAGCTATCCAGCTTCAAGATCAGATTATCCTTGGCCATATGAGAGTCTTAGTTAACTTTCCGAGGTCTCGTGCTTCTGTCGTGTTTCGATTCAGCCTCCGATGAGCTGCGATGAGCTCTTCTCTTTCAACCTTCATTACTGAAAAATTTTTGACACTATAGAGCGAAACCCAGGCGAACCACCAAGAACGTTGACAAGATCACCATGTGGACCTGTGAAGGCCTCCAGAACGTTGGAAATCAGCATAATCATTTTAGTGACTCGGTTCCATAACAAAATTATGTGGTAAAATACTCTAAGCTAGTTTTTGAACAGGAGGTCCCTACGACTACAAATATTCTAAGGGTCGGACAAGAGAATCGAGGGGCGTAACAAGAAAATCAGACTGACATGCAAATCGAATAGTTTTTAGTGAGTCTCTTCATTGACGATGTCTTGAAGTAGCTCATGTGTCATCATTCGAGGTAAAATAGGAAGTATCGGTTAGTGATAGGCAAATCGCATTTCATGGAAATATTCAATTGCTAATTGGTTTGCTTGACCTCAAACAACGGAAGGACACATTCATGTGCTTTGATAAAAAATCAGTCTAAGTGCCCTGTCACAGGCAAATATCATCAACATTCCCAGACCAAACAAGTTAGGGAACAAACAGTTGACCGTCGTGATAAAAATGATCATCATAAACAAACACACATGCGATGTGTCTCGCGGAACTTCACTTTCCGGAAACCTTTAACTATTGAAAGTCCATGACCTGGTATCGTTTTTATGTTTTCAAAGAGGCATCAGACGCGAAAATTTGACTTCATGAAAGAATCAGACATATGCTTGTCTTAAAATTTTCGTACTCTCATCTTCTGCCCATTTCGTGATTGATCCGGAAGGAAAGACAAAGGACCTATTCGAAAATAGCCCCAAATAATATCGCGGCAGCATCTTCTGATGGTGCTCTCTTTCTACTTCCAAAATTACAATCGATATGAGGAAACGCTGTTGCAAAACCGCTCAATAGTCAGAAATGCATGAATGGTATATTTTTAGATTTTGTCTTCAGTGAGAAAAACCTCGATTCAGACTCGTCATCTAAAGGGTTCATCATACGAGAAAGCGCGAACAGGTTCCACATGGATGTAATTTTGTATTGTTTCAAGTAGTCTTTCGACAAACGATATCTTTGGGGACTAGTTTCGAAAAAGTTCAGCATTGAGAACAGATCAGTAACGTGGGGTTTCTAAGCCCACTACAAGCGGTGTCACTCACGTGGCTTCTTTCCTTTGAAAAATGCCTCAGTGCCCAGTGCTGTGTCTCGTCATATGTACAGCTCATGCTAAACATAGAATCACTCCTCTGCTCTTCCAAAACCTTGCAAAAACCCCTGTTTCCTACAAGGCTTCAAAATTCAAGCTCTTTCGCTGGACAGTCCTACAAGTCAGAAGTAGTGCAAAAACGTATCAACATATAAGCGTTCAGCCAGTAATTCCAGCTTTTGTTTTTGTTCAATCATCATTCAAGTAGGTCTCTTGTCCAACCACTTTGATAGTCTGTCGACTTAAACCGAGAAGGCCAATAATCTACACCACTGCACCTGCAGTATTTGCATTTAGATACGTCCCTCAGGAACATGATCGCTTTTCTAATCATAAATGATTCAGAAACTCTAGTTTGTAATATTTCAATCTAGTCATCAGTGGACGTTCGAAGTGCGATTTTTCTGTAGCTATTTGCCAACTCCGGTTAAAGCCCCAAGCCTAACTTTCAAACATCCATTAACGGCTTTGATAATGAAGAGAAGCTTAATGTTTGCTCAAAATGGTTCGTCCTGGGCTCCTCGTTCTCCAAGAGAATAAAAAACAGAGAGTCGAAAAGAGTTCCTGTGATGTTAGCCCTTTTATATGAATTTTGAAAAAATTTTCACAAAATTCGGGTAACTCCATTTAATATGGGTAACAGATGTCATAGGGCAACTGCTCGAACCGGTAAATTTGGAATAACAACAGCCTAAAAAAGGGTCAAATCAAGTGTTTTGAAATGGTGAAAAGGATGGCTTCAGATTCCAAGACCGAGAATGATACGATCAGGAAAAATAACGAGGAATTCTGGGTCCTTGACGAGTGTTTTAAGACCGAAAGAGTTGCACAGGCCTTAATTTTGGGAGTTACCGTGCATTTGGCTAGTTCCAAGTTCATGAAGACGAGTGCGGATACTGCTCTTTTCACTGGAGCTTCGACCATGGTTGCAGCCTTTTTGGTGGGCAGTTATGTTAACTACAGGGCTCGCAGTCGGGATAACGGCATAAACGGTAACGAGCTCAAGCACGTGAGGGAGTTTCTCCCCTCCTTCAATGTTCTTTACTTGTTGTACTTGCCGTTTATGCTGTCAATGCTTTTTCAGCGGCGATTGGCCCCGATCAACTGCGCCTTGGCGTTCAACGCGATAGATATGCCGTTCGTCCTCAGGTGGATGCTCGAAGCGATTTTGGTTTTGATTAACGACGAGTTTTACCATGAGATGAGCCGCAACTTGAAAGCCATTGTCCTGAACGGCTGTCTGAGCTATGTGTTACAGGGAGTTGGCCACTTGAAAAGTTTTGACATCGTTGAGTGCAACCTTTTTTCGATGTTACTCACAAACGTGCTGTATCTGATTAACTCGGATGAGCTCCATTTCCAAGTATTGCAGAAAACCTTAATCGCATTTCTTGCCAGCGTTTCGGTGAACTGCGTGTGGTCCTTGATTTTACCGAAGCGATTTAGATGGCTAAGATCGATCGTGTTGTTGGCCTCATTCGCGGCGGTTTTCCCTTTCACAATAATCCAAACGTTAACGATTGACGGACAAAATCCGGCTGTTTGGTTAGTCGACTATATCTCGTCAAGTGAGTCCCGCACCAAGATACTTGGATTCTGGCTTCTTTGCCTGCTGATCCTCATCCCTAATATAATGGTTTTCAAATCCAACATGTCGTTAAATACCTCGCGCAAAGTGTGGCATTTCATTGTAATGGCACTCATCATTGGACCACTTCAAATTGACCCTCAGTTTGTTAAAATTGCCACTTCAGGGACCGTCGTTCTTTTCCTCATAGTAGAATACATCAGATATTTGAAACTGGTTCCTGCGGGCGAGTATTTGGATGAAAAACTGAGATCTTTTGCCGACTTTAGGGATGAGAGGGGCCCTATCATCATTTCCTATATTTACCTGATCGTTGGTGTAGCAACTCCTCTCCTAATAAATGGGTCATTGGTCGGTGTCGTGAGCCTTGGCGTGGGAGACTCTTTGGCATCGATTGTTGGACATAAATGGGGTAGAATCAAGTGGCCCGGAACCAACAAAACAGTTGAAGGGACATGTGCTTTCATAATTGCAACAGCCGCTTGCAATCTGATTCTTCAAAGCCAAATCGGTGAGTTTCCAGATATTGGCGTGGCCAATGTCATTTTGACTGCTGTCCTATCTGGCATTCTCGAGGGAAATAGTGTTTTGAATGACAACATCTTGATTCCGGCATTCATGTTAATTACCACAGAGGTATGTAAAGGAATTTGATTTATAAGGTATTTATAAGGATCTAATATAATCATCATAGAAATTTGCATATATTTACAAGACTGAGAAAGCGTATTTACTCATTCATTCTACTTCGGTCCTTGCCTCTTTTTCTTGTTCTTTTTTGATTTGGATGGAGCTCCCTCGATAAAGTTGAGCAATTCATCGATGGACTTGTCAGCCAGTTGGGGATTGGGCGAATCGTCTTTCTTGGTTGAAGTCTTGCTATTTTTCTTTACCTCGTTTGAGCTTGAAGCAGCTTGTTGTTGACTCAATTTCTTTTGCTGAAGTTTACTTTCAATGAGATTCTCTAATCCAGATATCCATTGTCTGCACTGAGCAGTTGTCTCATCGTTGATACCCAGCTCTCTTGTGAATACGTCTCTAGCATCTTTGATTGCTTTCAAAGAGTTGCTTAACTGATCAGCAGTCGCATACAAGTTTCCGAGTCGAGACTGGTTGTAGCCGTAGGGCAGAGATTGGTTCCCATCTTCAAGTTTTAAGATCAAGTCCGACATGTGTTTTAGTATCTCTATTGACAATTTGGCGTTTTGTAAGCCCATTGCTAATTGCTGGATCATCGTGTAAGCATTGATGATAGCAGGATGCGAGCAAACACACAAGCATTCAATGGTGTTTATGATACGCTGTAGTAGCAACGCAGCATTGAATGGAGACCCATTGCTAGTCTCAAGTATGGCCAAGTTTGTCAAACATCTCAAAACCTCGAAAGAGTCCACTCCATAGATCCTTTCGAAAATAACCGACGCCTTTCTGCAGAAAACTACTGCTTCAGTTAGGTCACCAACCTTATGATAAATTGTTGAAAGAGCCATGTATGATTCAGCCACGGAACCATTCAGTAAGCCATTAACTTCTTCTTTGACGGCAACGGACTGCGTTAGTAGCGCAAGTGCTTCAGCTTGCTTTTCGTTTAATGAAGTAGCGCCCTGATTCCAAAGATCATCGCCGATTACAGACTGAAAGTCGCTTCCTTTAATGACAGGCACTAGTGTAATATCGGCAGGAGAAAAGGTTTGAATTGGTGCCACGAGCTTGTTGCGCAATTTCTTCTCCTGCAAATTTTTGTGGGTCTCGAATTGTTCTTCGGTAAAGAAGTATTCCTTATTGAGCAATTGAGCGCCGAATTTCTTGTTGATGGACTTGATAAAAGGGAAGGGCAAGGCAAGAAGTCTCTCAATATCTTCGATCGAAATGGTGAAGCGGAAACGTCTCAAGACCTCAGTGCGAATTTGATTCAGGAGATGTCCACGGGTCCAAGAAGTGAAGTCAAATGTATCTTTAGAGTAAAACTCATCTAAGATCTCAACTTGAGGAGCTTCATTGTATTGATTGCCTAACAAAATATTGAAGAAATGGGCCAAAAGGCTGGAAATAACAGAAGGAGCCAAATTGAGAGCAGCCTTTCTCAAAATATGTTTCGAAGAACGAGCAATCATTTCAAGCTTAGCAGTCTCAATCAAACAGTTGATTTGATCGCGGTGAACTAGCACGCCCTCGCCTTTAGTAGGTTTCCTGATTTCGTTTTCATCGAGTTTAAGATTTTCTTTCAATTCTGGGGGAATATCTTTACCCTCATATGTCAATTTGTTGATCTCCTCCTGTCTTTCCTTGATCATTGCTTCAATTTTTGCAAGATAAGCTTTCTCCCATTGTTCATGATCTGCATTCGCTTCTGAGACCTCGCGTAACTTGGCATCATGTTTTTGAATTTGTTCTTCGAGCTCTTTCTCAACCAATGTGACAAATTCACCCAAGTAACGCAAGTTGATACCATTCTTGTGGAAAGCCTGACTTAAGTGCTCACCATCATAAGGAGCAGTAATAGCACCACTGGCGTAATCTTTCACGACATTTGGAAGAACGTCATCTGACAGGTATTTAGAAATTTCTTGAACGCGCATATCTTCGACCTCGGCAACGTAAAAGGCATCAGGATCGAAAGCATACATTCTTTCATCAAAAGCTTTTTCTACATTAACACCGTCGTCTTCAGTTTTGTTAATCCACCATTTTTCAATCAATTCGTGACGAAGAAGGGTTTGTTTATGAGGGTAGCGGTGTTCTTCGGAAACGCTCTCGTAATGCTTGCGGTAGAACTGCACATCAAAAGGATGCGTGTTGGCCAAATCCAAAATGTACTTGCGTTTGTCAAATCCTACAATACCCTTGGATTGTGACGAAAAACGCAACGGGGTGCCCTTGAATTCGCGGTCTTTTAAATGAAATACCTTACTGAAGGTGTCCATAGCCTTGTGAAATTCGTCGTTTCTCAAGACTTGTTGGCTACCTTCATCCAATCCATAAGATACGGTGACATCACTGGGAAGATCCTCAGTGATAATTTCACCCGTCTTCTCATCTTTCTTCGTTGAAGCTCCCATGGCGCTGAGAAGTCCTGGAACTGGAGTTTGAGCCAAAATTCTTAGACCGCCAAAATCCACGATTGTTGTCAGCAAATACCGAATATCTTTCAAATTCAACTTGTGCAACAAACGAACGGTGTGTAAATCCTGATTAGATGCCGATCTAGCCGCTTCTTCCCCACCCTTGTCAGCGTAATTTTCATTAACGTCTGTCACGTAGGAATAGAAAATGTTGTCTTTCAAGAAGATTTGTTCCGGGCGTGATGATTCGGGGTTCATTGGTATCAGATCACCATGGAAAATCGACATTGCGCCCTTAACAGATGCCTCGGTGAACTCGTGGCTTATTTTTGCTATTAATTTCTCGGAGTCCACACGGCTTTGATAGTTTTCATAAGTCATGTCTTTGATGGCCTGAAATTCATCGTTGAAGTTTCTCTCAGTGACGAACGAAGACTCACTCAAAGAGAGACGGTTGGTGTTTGCTGCATTCGAGGCATTGAGGGACACGAGCCATGGCTTGGCGAGAAAGTTCGTGGAAGGCTTGAGGTAGAATGCAGGATCCACGGATTTCAGTTTTTCCGTCAACGCCTTGACATGATCATCAAATTTTTTGGAATGCGTTGCAATCAAGTCATAGAGTGTAGTCTCCGTAGCACAGCCATCTCTTGCTGTTGGGTCGAATTTGCCACTCGTAGACTTGTTAATGTAAAATCCAGCGGGAGTAGCCGTTACATGAAAGGACTCATTTTCCAAAGTAACAATATGCAGATATAACAAATGTCCTCTGGATCTGAAAGAAGGTGGAACCGGGTTCTGATTAGAAGCACCCAGAGAGCGAAGACATGGCGTAACAACGCTGCTTTTCGTTTCTTCGAGGTCGTTGAGATCGGGTGTCATATTCAAAACTTCTCTGATGGTTTTCTCAAATTGAGTCTTTTCCACGTCAGAAACCTTGAGTTGGTCATCTTTTTCGTTTGACTTATTGTCAGAGGACTCCTTCTTTTCAGTTTCCTTCTCCCGGACAGGGTACAATGGCATCTCGATAAACTTACTGTTGGCAGAAATTCCAAATTCAGACAGCGAATCTTGCGTTTCTGGAATTAATCCCACCGAGTTCCGCAACACGTCTACATGCTTAACAACTTCTCTCAGCGTGTAAGGAGCAAACTCAGCAGCCAATGTGACCTTTTCGGCTTTTGTCAAGTCACCCAAAATCTCGTTCTCGGACAAAAGACGTTTGTTGAAGCTCAAAGTCAAAGTTGTAAAGAATTTTGTCTCTGCGGTGAATTGCAGCACATCTAGCAACAGCTGAATGTTGGAATTTCTTGCAAGTTTCACTTCCACATCCTTCTTCCTATTTCCTAGCTTGACAAGAACTGTCAAGGCCTCAGAAATCTCTTCAGTTGCCATTGAGTCGTATTGGAATTCCCGGATTTCTTGGCAGTGAGTGGATTAAGAAGGTTCAGTTCAACTTTGAAAAATTTTTAAGACTATAGTTCGTTTCCGAGTGAAAATCGGCGAAATAGCGTAATTCAAGTAGAGCGCTTGTGTGGATTGAGAAGGCGCCAGTCTTATCGTCTGAATTTGGTGCAATGCTGGCAAAACCAGTCTGTCTGATTCCGCCCTTTTCGTCCAGAAAGTTGCAATTCTCTTGCATTTCGATGTAGTCGTTCTTTGTAAAAAAGAAACCCGACCATCTTTTCTTCTCGCCTGGGATTCATTTTCTCACCGACTGCCTATGTGAAATCGGTCCAAAACGACTCATTCAGGAATGGATGGGAAACTCCATGCGAGAATTGGTCTCATACCGATTTGAGATATCACGCAAGTTTACTCCGTCGATAAATCGGCTGGAATGCATGAAAGTGTGTCTACGGGTGGGAAGAACTGACAAAGAGCTAAATGATAGTCGTCGGAGGAATTTAAGTCTTGTTTAACTAAAAAATAATAAACCTAGACTTGCATAACAGGACAGCAGCCGACGCTTACCAATGACAAGCTCACTTGTTGCAAATATGATTTACAGTCAAAAGGGCACGAACACCAGCACGCTGTAGCATACATTGCTGAGCTTTAACGCAACCAGTCTCCACTTCTCCGAGGCAGCAATGCTTTTGATTCGGTCACACAATGCTGTCATTGCTGGCTACTCTTAACAGACACTTTAGTCACGTGGCCACTATGAAAATTCTCCATCGGGTGATCTATACCTCTTAAATGTAAGTTCTAGAGGATTTAGTATTTTAAATTATCAGCTTCGGCTTTCGATAGTTTTCTGAATCGGTTTTTGCTTCCTAATAGTATAATACTTCAGGTATTGTGTAATTATATCTTAATGGGCAACTGTAAACGTTTTTCCCTTGTACTACCTTGTCCATGATAGTCTTCCTTTGGTGGCAGTTTGAAAATGCCATGAGATGCATGGGATCACTAGGTTTTTATGGCTTCTGTTGATAAGGATTCAAATTATCCATTTGATCATTACGAGGGTTATTCTGTCATAATGATCACGTGATGATAATCATCAATCCATAACGAAACTTGACAGTGATCAACTATCGTAAGCCCTTTCTAACATCATGCTCTTGTTTGAAGGTTCATCCCGCTCGCTAGTATGCCTGAACTAACTGCGTCGTGTCTTCGGATCGTTTGTCCCTAATTCATGTTTTTAAACATGAAGGGGAATTTGGTCAATTCGGGAAAAGGAATGGAGTCCCCCAAAGCCATCTTCCATTATTAGAACCCCGCCTCACTCATTGGTTTACATTGGCAGTGAAAATCAAAACATCTTCGATTTGGATTTTTGTGGGAGCAACCATGTACTAATGATGCTTTCCAACATTTGTATTCTACACTGTCAGGTTATCACGCCCTTTTTTTTGAATTCCAATGCCGCATGATTCTCTTCTTATATATCATGAAATCACAACCGTGCTAAATAGCAAAAACCAAATTACAGTGCTTTGACATTGTACCGCCCATAACATACTCCTGAAGGTTTCCAAAGGCTAGAAGGCTTGACACGCTGGGATAGTCGTACCCACATAGACCCTCTGGCACTTTGCACCAAGGAAAAAAAACTCCGATACGGGGAGTCGAACCCCGGTCTCCACGGTGAGAGCGTGATGTGATAGCCGTTACACTATATCGGATGCTTGTGGAGGTGCAATGAGGTTTGAAGAGTATGGTATCCCAGACAACACATGTGCAATACATTTTACTATGGAACCAGCTTTTGGTGGTCCATAGTGTCTCCCAATTGACATAGAGATAAATCTATCAATCATCGAGTAGTTTTTAAATGATGCGGACATTTTAGTGCCTGCGTTTCAAGACAAATGATACCGGAGTGATATGACTTAGATGTAACGTACATAATGATCCACATGCCCTTTGGAGTTGATCATATTAGGAGAATGGTAAGATGAGCTGTGGGAGGAACGTCGAAGAAGCCAAGAGCCAAGTTGTGCCCTTGAAAGTGGTTCTTATTTGTGCCAAAAAAACTGCCGACCATGGATTACGTTAAAAAAGCCATATGGGGTCCGGATCCCAAGGAACAGCACCGAAAAATTCGAGCTTTGGTGCGGAAAAACACCAGAGGGCTCGACAGGTCGCTGAGAGAACTTACGGCACTCCAAACCAAGACACAGGGATTCATAAAGCAAGCAGCTAAGCAGAGTGATACTCGTAGTGTGCGAGTTTATGCCAAGGAGCTCTATCAGATTAATAAGCAATACGGCAGACTGTATACGTCGAAAGCGCAGTTGCAGTCCGTGGGAATGAAAATCGAAGAAGCTTTTCGAATGCAGAGTTTGCAAGAGAATATGGCGGTATCAGCTGGGCTAATGCGCGAAATTAATTCTTTAGTAAGACTTCCGCACTTACAGTCAACGATGATGGAGCTTGAGAAAGAGCTTGTCAAAAGCGGTCTAATTAGCGAAATGATGGACGACGCTCTGGAAACGGCAGACGTCGACGAAGAGCTTGACGAAGAAGTCGAGGATCAAGTTAATAAGATCGTGCAGCAGTATACGATCAACAGACTCGACAAAGCCGGCGAAGTACCGAGTGTCGAGCGCCCCGCTTCAGACGTTCACGAAGAAGTTGTTCCCGAGGACAAAATCGACGACGAAGCGGGAAACATGCTGAATGAAATGCGAGAGAGACTAAAGGCTCTTCAGAGTTGAATTTTTAGAGAGTTAATAACTAATCTTGCGCGAATTATCATACACTACTGTCCTCTTTGGCCATTTCTCGTTTAACTTTTTCTCTGAATTGAGCATTTCGGAACTGTTCCTTCAGCATCTGCTTTATTTCCTGTTTGTGTTTGACCCATTCTTCGGCTTTACCTAAAGTGTTATCCACTACGCTCATTACGCTGTGGACCATTTCCAAACTCTCTTTGGCAAGAATCAATACTTTGCCATTGGCAGTCAGATCCGGGTCAAATTTGGCCAAGTTTTCCTCATTCATGTAATCGGTCCAATTCAAAGGTAATTTTAAAAGTGATTCTCGTACCTGCGTTCTTGCCGGTTCCGGTAACGAATTGCCCGCAAATTTAGATACCAACGAATATACCTTTTTCACTGTTCCTACGACCTCTGTTTTGATCACCTTTGATTGTTCATTTAGGTTATCCGACGCATCGTAGTATTCTTCATCGTCACTTTCCTCATCTTCTGGGTTCGCTGATTTATGCCGCAGTAAACGTTGCTCTTTCACTACCAGATCTTGAAGAGAGTTGACTCGATTCGAAAGCTGGGTGTTCGCAAGTTTCAAAAGATGCAAACACGTAATCAACCGTTTCTTCGATTCTATCGACATGTTGAGCTTGTATTCTTTGAAACTGTCCTTAGATTTAGCTATCGCCCGCGATATTTTCTGACGTTTCGAGACTCTGACTCCATACGTCCTATCATCTAGAATCGTACTACCATCATCTTCATCTTCGGTTTCTTTCTCAGAACCTGAGCATATCTCGTCGTCACGCCCATGTTTCTCTCTGCTTTTCCATTTATTACTCGTCTTTTCAATTCTTCTGACCATCGGAAAAAGAGCTTTCCGCTCCATTATCTCTGCACCTTTTCTAAAACTGGGGTATTGACTTTTGCTCTGTTCATAAACTCGAACGGCATTGTTTATAATCGAATTAGACCGTACTTTATCGAGCAAAGTGTCTTGCTGCTTTTGCCCATGTGAATTCCGTAACTCATCTAATGCCTCAACGGCTAGCGCGATTTCGCGTGAAATACTCGCTTCTTGACTCAACTCAGTCTCGTAAGCACTCATAAACGTATCCTTGGTTGTGGAACGAGCTAAATGAGTAGATAATGATGGTTAATCAACCAGTTTTCAGTGATTTGATAGGTCATCGCTACTAAAATTTTTAAAATTGAAAAATTAAGACATTACCTTCAAATACCGGTTATCGTTGCCATACTTTAAAGATGAAATTCAGCTTAAAAATACGGCGATGGAATTCGAATTGGTGCCAATTAGACCACATATATGGAAAGCAGGGTATTGAAATACCTAAAATAAAGTTATTGGGTTCAAAACCACCGCAACTTAGAGTCGGCGTGATACTTCGTTCTTTGAATAAGTCTCGCGATTTGGCGTTTCTCAGTGCACTACTGGCAGATGTTTATACACAGGATAAGTACTGGATGGACGTTTTCATGCAAAGACATTGCTCATCTTTTTCCCAGAATCTTTTGAAATTTGGACCGCATTTCGATGTTCAATCAACGGAAAGCATTCGGACTTTTACTTTACCGTCGCCATGGCTGAGAGAAAATAACGTCCAATTTTTGGAAACGACTCGCCAGAGTGTCCTGACAGACAATTGTCATCTTTATTTGGATTTGCGGTCTCAATCGGCAGATGCCTCCACGTTATCCCGATGGCCTACGTTGTATATTCGAGAGTCGGACTCCGAGTGTGTGTTAGAGAGAAACTGGGTCAACTCGCAAAAAGCGTTGAATGCGGTCAAGGCGTTTATTAAGGATAAGCATCAGGTCAAAGAGTACCTGAGAGACTTGGAAGATTCGAATTTCTTAGCGGTAAATAAAATGCTGGAAACTAAATTTTCCTGCAAGGATGAGATCTTGCAAGATCTGGGGAAAGTAGTAAAGGCCGAAATTTTTGACCAGGATAAATCGTTACGAGAATTTGAAACCCGTTCCGCTGAGGACAAAAATCGTGAGGCCTTGATAGACAGTTGGACGGTAAATGCTCATCGAGAATTGCAACAAAAATTCTTTCCAATGATGAAGGCGTTTCTTCGGAAACAACTTTCAGTGGGCAAATTGTACACTTATTCCGAGAGTAAGCTTGAATTAAAAATGCGAGAGACTTTAGGTCTCATTGAGAACACCAAGATTGAAGAATCCAGAAACCATCTACGAGGGTCTTTAGCATTGGGCCATGCGAATCACGACGTTTTGGACGTTCAAAAATTACAAGACAAAATTCCGGGCTTGCACGAAAAGATTAACAAGGCTGTTTATGCTCAATTTTTCCAGTTACAACTTCCCATTGTCATCGTTGCCACACTGGGTGTGGTTTCGGGTCAATTCACGCTGTTTTCGATGGGGTCATTAGCCGGGGTTGGGCTGGCGTTGGGAGTTAATAAAGTTATGAGACAGTGGAATAGGTTACTCCACAACTTGTCGACAACAATCACCGAGGAGACAAGACAAGCTATTGAATTGGAAAGGAATAGCTTGCGGGAAGAATTACGAGCCAAGGAATCTAAAGAAGCTCAACTGACGACTAGGAAATTGGAACTTTTGAGTAATCTTTAATAAGCGATACATACGAGTTTTTTACTCGAAGCTTGTACTTTTAAATTTGAAATGCATATTCCTTGTCATTAACAGTCTTGTACCTCACCCACGGAAATGACTGGTAGTGCAGTTGATCTTCTTCTATCTTCAAGTATTCGATTTTCAGTCGACTGCAGGTGTAGTAAGGAATCTCGAAATCCGCGGTAATGGCAGCCCGCGGTGCGTTCGTTAAACTGTCCGGATCTCGATGCGTCTTGTTGTAAAGCTTCTCCAATTGCAAACCTTCTCGTAGAGGTGGTGGATCCATCGAATTTTTGAGCTCTTCCTGTTCTTTTTTGAATTGTTCTTCATCGAACAAATAGAATTGGGCATGCATCGTATGGGAGTTTTCTCCATGGCCACCTTTTATACAACCCACAGTCCAGAGCAGAAGATCATCTGTAAGATTGAATGCGACCGTCCCGGTGTCGCACTTGAAGCGTGGAGTCTTGGTAAGGTCAATTTTGTACTCGTGAAATATCTTGGTTAAAGGTATTCGCACGTTGAGGCTCGAAGTCGAATTTTGAGCTTTGAAATGTGGTTCTATCGTAACACTGACATTAAGCTTAAACTTTTTGAAGTTGGGTGTCACTTCGAATGCGGCGAGTTGAATCACAGGCGGGTCTTTGATGCTTCGTTTCAAAGTGTATTCGCAGAGAAGAAACTCTCCATCCGGAGGTATCAACTCAATGGCCTCTCCGGTTCTCAGATTGTCCAGTGATACACATTGGTGAAATTTTGCCGTTTGTAAAAAAGCTTCTCTGTTTTTTTGCATTTTGTTAATACAAATCTTGAGTTGTGGCATACCAGAAAGGTAAGAGCGACACTGGATTCGGCCACGAATGAAATGTTTCCGAACTATCTTTTGTTGTACATCCACTGACAGCTCTAAACCCTCGACAACATCGAGAAAGAACTCGTTTTTCGCGTAATGGATACCTTTAGGACGCCACGACACCGCTTGCGTCGTTGTTCGCAAAATGAAACTGTTGATATACTGTTCGTCGTCGCCCAAACCGTGCGACAACGACTGTTTAGATTTTTTTTCCTTCCTAAATGATTGCCTCTTCCAAGATTTAAGCATCTGCTGGTCATCGTAATCATTACCATCATTATCGCTTTCCTCGCTACTCTCTAAAGCTTCGTTATGCGCCTTTCCAGAATTCGTGGACGGTAAATTAACCTGTACTTTGATAAAATCTTGCACAATGTTGTACTCCGTCAATTGTGGGACCCCGTATTCCGTGGTTTCATCCAACAACTCATATATTAGGTTCACGTTGTCGATAATGCACATTCGGTCCAGACGTTTTGTCGCCATATACCTTTTCAACAGTAGATAGAATTGATCCAGATAAACCACCACGGTCATAACGTTGCATCTAGCGGCATGTGCCTGCACCGAAACGAAATACAGGCCATCTCTCTGTATAAATATGATGGCAGAGCCGTTTTTCAAAAGTACTGGGCCATAGGTATCGTTCTTTAATTCAGCGATTTTGAAAAACCCCGTTAGCGACTCAAAAAGAGCACGATTCGAAAAATTCCTGGTAATTAAAGCATTCTTTTGCTCATCGAATATGCCAATGCCAGATATCATCAATTTTTAGCTTCTCTAAGGGGCCGGTTGTATGTCTTTTCCGGGTATTAATAAAAAGAGATGATGATAATTAGAACTTTGTCGATGTACATACTACCTTGATAACATGTACAATTTAATTAAAAGGACACCAGCTAAGCTGTTAACATCAATCGAGCTTGAAGGGCGTCTTTTGAAACTTCCACGTTGGCAATTAACGGATGACATAATCTCACGACAGCTAGAATTCCCAGATTTCGAAGCCACTTGGTCGTTCTTAAACCAGGTTGCGTTACGAAGTCATCTCTGGGGCCATCACCCGAAAATTGTGACGAATTATAATCAGGTTTTGATCGAACTGACCACACACGATGCAGGTGGAATTACCGACGTTGATGCGAAACTAGCAGCCCGTATTGACCTATATGCGATGGGCCGTGAGAAATGTGCCGAGAATGAGCTATAAAGATATATATATCTACATGCATGTTTTAGTGGGATTTGTCTGCGAGTTTCTGTTCGAGTTTCTCAAACTCTTTTAGAGCGACTTGTTCCTCTGGATCAAGGATCTGGACGACCTCTTCGACCTCTTCGATGTAGTGTTTGAGCATAGACTCTATGCCGTGTTTCAGCGTGACTTCGCTGGAAGAACAAGACTTGCATGCACCTTGTAATTTCAAATAAACGGTCCCGGTCACTGGATCATACCCACGATACTGGATGTCCCCGCCGTCATCCATGATGGCGGGTCGAATCCGCGTCTTGATGAGTTCTTCGATCATATCGCTTATTTCTTGTTCGTCCTCAGTGTACTCGAATTTCGGAACGTTCACATCGTAACCTACCTCGCCTTCGTGCACGCTGTAAAACTCGGGAGTCAACGCGTCCTGACCCGAAGCAAGATATTGCGTCAAAACGTCAATGACACCGTTCTTTATTTGGTTCCAATGTACCAGTTCGTCTCTGTTCACCGTAACGAAGTCGTCACCGACCATAAGGGACTCGACTCCCGGACACTGCGTGAAAATCCTGTGTGCGAGCGGCGAGTGTCGGATCAATTTTTCGTCCGTATTACGAATTTCTACACTGGGCTTCCCGCGTTCTTGCAATAGTTCCCCATCGGAAGACACGAATTTCAGTGCGTTCTCGTTCGGTGTCGAGACGGTTTTCACATGCAGAAACCGTCTTTGCCCGGCGATTTTGGGCCATACAGATTTTGAACCTCTTAAAAACATGCTAAATGGATTTTCAAAGGTGCGAAAGACCGTTGAACCGGGTTCTGTTTCGCTGATTTTTTAGGTTTCCGGAGTTTGATCTATATTGAATGATGATCGATGCTTATGAATCTAAAATCCGTTACAAATGATATATCCAATAAGACCAGAGTTCTTAAGTCACGTGCCACTAATTAGACGAAAGCCTATCTCGATCTAATCTGGTTCGGCACCATTTAGATGATCCGATTACTCGATTTAGTCTCTTGGTCGGCAATTATCTATTCATATTTTCTGATTCGCCCCATTAGATTGTACTGGATTGAAGTCAGATAATAATTACTATGAACCAAAACGTCCCATGAAGTTCTCGTTCCCGCGTTTACCTATTTGTCCGCATTTTCTGGTAAGTCAACAATTAAGTCTGCAGGGTGCAACGCTAAGATACCGGTTAATGGTGTCGTAGAAGAGCGTAAGTCAGTTCTCATATGACGTATCAAATGATATCTTCGAGTCCTTCCTAGATATTCATAAGTCAAGCTTCTGACGATGCTCTGGTGGGACTCGTCGGATAGCAATCTGGTGTTGATGATTTGTTACTACGGAAGTTATTGCCTGAAATTAATTTCTATCCGCCAAGAGGCCTCTGGTGTCCGAAGGGTGAGTTGAGCTTGTCTCAGATCAGTCCCCACTCTCCATGATCGAGACAAAACTGGATGTCTACTTCCAAACACTTATGAAAACAGCTCTTTGAGTTAAGCCAGGTCTCGGGACGCCTTTTGACGAGTAACTCCTCCTCCCCTTTCCCCTTAAATTCCCAACTAGGTAATTTTGCGAACATACACTTGCCCTGGGACTCCAGGTGGTCATCGTGAACCATTTAAGCTAACCAGATTTTTTATTTCCCAAAAAACCCGGCGAAAATGCCATCAATAAATGATAATCAAACTCTAATTCTACTGCAGACTTAAGTCTGGGACTGTGAACCTCCAAAAGGTAGCCAATACCGGAAATAGAACGAGGATTTGGAGAAGTATTTAGGTTCGAACGACTCTTTCACCAATCACGGCCTCTGGCCAAATATTTGTAATGATACATGGCGACAATCTTGTGAATTATGGTTCAATGTGAATGAGGTACCAAATTCGTTGAACTCAAGGGATTTCAATTCTGGAGATCACTGGGAAAAAACTTTTGGACAAAATGGAGAATTACTGGACAAGTAGAACCGGTGATGACGAGGTCCTGTGAGTTCACGAATTAATACGCATGGCACATGCACCGAGACCATTAAACCCCAGTTTAATAGAGAATCAGCGGGGGAATTAGCGGAGAATTACCGCAAAAAGATATCCTTCATGAAAAGCGAAGAGTTTACGACCATCTCCGTATTAAAATGGTTCCTTTTGAGAAAAGGAATACTTTTCAAGCTTTGAAAAATTGCGAGATTGAACCTTCTGTCGATCGTACTGACACCCGAGCTGAAATTTCCAAAGCACTCTCTGAAATTCATGGGAAAATGTTCTCTTCAAGCGCAATCATAAGCGTGCTCTCCATGAAATCTGGTATTACAATCTACTGCACGGGAGTCTTTTAAATGAGAAATTCGGAGCTTTCGATGCTGTTAGAGCGATCAGCGACTGTCTGAAAACGGGTTTGCATTTCTATCTAAAAGAGATCGATCTCCGCAGTTGCAGTCGCCTCCACGGGTACGATCATTTTAACTGCTGCCGTCCCTCCATCAGTTATGAAAAAATCATGGAAGATACCCTTCACATTGGTAATGAGTAAGGGTTCATAGGTAAGAAAGGCCATTAGATGGCCGAGGGCGCTGCCCCAACTTTTATTCTCGGTGAGGCAGCTAACGGAAAAAAACTAGATCTTTGAACTATGGAGGCGGTCGAGATGGACCGGTCAAATGGTGTAAAAAATGGTTTGCAACAGACTCATAAAACCAAAGCCTTTATTCGAAAATGACGAGACAAAGGGTGTACTCAGGCATGATGGCCAGCTCGGCTGGCGTGCACCACGAATACCTTTAGATATCGATTTCACGCTCAAGTTCTTCCCTGTCTAGTGCTAAACGAACAATTCAACACATTCAAATATCGACCTCAAGCTTATCTTCAATTCGATCAAAGCTCTCGAAGATTTCTGGTAATTTGTAAGATTCTAGTTTTGCTGTCGTTGAAATTTCAAAAAAAATCGTTATTGAGGATTACAAGCATCGGTATTTGGTAGTTTTCAAATGGCCACTTAATCTATTCATGATCTAATAATCAAAAAAAAAACTTAACGTATGTCTCCGTGTTTATCCTGACAATATGATCTCTAAGGCCGACCGTATCGTTTCCTTTTCATGCTATTTCTGTCTTCGTTTTCTCGATAATCTTCTAACGAGGACTAGTAAATAATCGCCTTGTTCTATCCATCTTACAACAGTTGGTCAGATCGAAAGAAGCCATAGTCATCTCCCTGCTTCCATGTCCTAATATTCAATCGAACTCGAATCATCCTTTTGGTTATTCCTTATTTCATTCCGTCATCGCGATCACGTGACATGAACTTTCGAAATCACTAACTTGACAACAAAATCTATAGCAAGCTACTTTCAGCAAGAATACCTTCAAAATGCTTTCAACTATGATAGCACTGGTAGCTGAGCAGAGGAACTGAGTACTTGCTACTTGACAGTGAGTAGTGAAGCGAAATTTGTAAATACGTACAAAATGAGTATTCATCCATTAACTTACGGGAATTAGCTTCATCAAGGTTTTAAACCCAGTAACATGATAGGCAACCTGTGAGCCTCAATAGTGACTTCAGCATCATACTATAGCGATAAATATTGGGAGTTTTTCCTCCGCAATCAAAAGGGTCAACTCTATCGAAAATACAGCTTTTTTGATGTTGCAATTTCTGACAGTTCCTATAGACATAACGGATCGCTGGAAATTTTGACTGGAACTATGAAATCAGCTCTACTTTTCTTCCGAGTCTCTGTTACGCTTACACTGTTCTTCGAGTGTCAAATTCGCCCTTGAACTTCATTTGCTTGAGCCAATTCAAAGGTCTAAATTAAGGAAACTAATGAAAAAAAGTTGCCGGCTTATAAACTCCTACTAATTTACGCAACCAGAAGAGACAAGCAATTGCCGGTAGTCAATTAGGATGATCGGACTTCAACTGATAGCGGTGTTTTCGGCGCTTGCAGGTTTGGTGTATGGCAATAAGGAGAGCCTTTCGGAGAAAGATAATCAAATATGCAGTGGAATGTATTCGAAGGCAGACTGGGGTGGGAAAGTGGATCCGTATATTGCATTGAGTTTTAAGGAGCTGAGAGACACTGAGGGACTTTCCGTGGTGATTTTCGACTTCAAGGACTACCAGCATCTCGGAGTTTCCGCTTCCGACGGTGAAAAGTACTACATTTGCGATCAGAAAGCGATAGATTTGGGGCTGTGCAATTCAACGTCAGAGAACCAATACCTAGTAACCGAGACGTTGTATGACCCAGATACGCAGGAAAACAAAACTCTGTCGGCACCAATAACGTCCTTTTACCAGACTTCAGAAGGTAAATGGGACTCTAAATATCCAATCAGGTCTACTGGTTATTACTGTGTCGTAGCTTACAGTCAAGATGAAACTGCGAAATTTTCCGCAACGGTCAATTTCAGAAACGCATTTGGTCAACTACCAGCCGCTGAGATCAACAAACTTCCGCTATATGGACTCTTGGCCATTTTTTACGTGGTCGCTATGGCGCTGTACAGCTTTGCTTTCTGGAAACACAAGCACGAGCTCCTGCCTCTTCAAAAATATCTTTTGGCGTTCTTCGTGTTTTTAACTGCCGAGCAAATCTTTATTTGGGCCTACTACGACCTTAAAAACGAAAAGGGCGACACTGCGGGTACTAAAGTTTACATGGTTTTTGTTTCAATGCTCAGCTCGGGTAAAATTTCTTTCAGTTTGTTTTTGCTTTTAGTCATCGCGTTTGGCTATGGTGTGGTTTATCCTAAGCTTAACAAGAAATTGATGAGACGGTGCCAAGCACTGGCCGTGGTCAATTTTGCTCTCAGCGTCGCATACTTGATTCAAAACTACCTAACAAATCCAGAAACAACTTCGCTTTTACCTCTTATCACACTACTTCCCTTGATGATATCGGTAGCATTGTTCTATTTCTTGATAATGCGCTCGCTGTCGCGCATTCTTCGTTACCTACAGGAACAGAGACAAGTCGTCAAACTCAAAATGTACCGCAGGTTGTTGGCCACGATCTCCATATCGCTTCTCGTGCTCGTTGCCGGGCTCGTTGTCTCATCTTTTGTTTTTTTGGGCATGAATTCAATAGAAATGATAGAGCAGCACTGGAGAACAAGATTCTTTTTCGTTGATTTTTGGCCCTCGCTCGTTTACTATTTTGTCTTTGTCACAGTCGCCTTCTTCTGGAGGCCTACTGATACTTCTTACATGCTTGCTTGCTCTCAGCAACTGCCAACGGATCCCGAGAACGTGGCAGACTTTGATCTAGACGACCTGCATTCTTTGGAAGAGCACACATCTCAGATCGACGACGATCTAAACTTTTCCGACGACGAAACACCTGCGGATGAAAATCGTCATGATTCTCACCCACAGAAAACATCAACCTAAAATCGAGAAATAGAGAATTTTAGAGGATTTTCGTAGATATATTATGTAAATATGAAAGTTATTAGGAATCCAGCAACATCACTCCGTTATGACATCATCAATGACCACATCCGCGGACCTCCTTTGAGAATGCATTCGGGCACTTATTTGAGATTGCACCACATGTAATTCTTCAGGATGGGATTCCTGCCATTCTCTGAGTTTGTAAGACTGTCCAGACAAGTCCCAATAAATTCCTCTTACGGTAGTGTAGAGCCCCTGTCTACCTTCCCACAAAGGATAGAGACAGACAGCAAAAGCAGTTAGGAAAATCCAAATTATCAGGACAACCACCCAACCAGTGAAAAATCTCTTACTGAAAATATAATTGGAACCATACATTGGCATGGGCCACAACACGAGGAGTGAAATTGCGAAAAATATGGACAAGCATGAAGCGATCTTGCTGGCTTTTCTCAGTTTTTCCTCTTCTTCAAGTCTCATAGCTTCCAGTTTCTTCTCGGGTATGTCATCAGCAAGTGAAGTGACAGATTTCACCCCCTTGAGTTTTTCTTTGTCGGTATTTGACTCCGCGTCGCTCTCTACTTCTCTTACACTACCTTCGTTTGCTAGAATTTCTTCGGTTTCACCAGCTCTGGTGATGCTCTTGAGGCGATCCCAGTCAAAGTTTTGAGGTTTGAACACATACGTCAAGATAGGGATGAAGACCATGGGCGAAAGAAGTGCGACAACATTGCCGGTCAACATCGGGTCATCCTCAAAGGTTGTATCGACAGTCACGACGTTGAACAGGCTCTTGGTACACACGAGCCACCCCATAATGGCCAAAGCGGTACCCAGTATAGGAGAAACGATGACTGCAACTTTGTTCTGCTGCTTCCAGAAAAGAGTCAACGCCGCTGGGAGCACCGCCGACGAGATGATAATGCCCATGAGTTCGTAAAGATAACCCATTGAAATACCGGCGTAGTAGAGACCCACAGAAAATCCGCTCATAGCGAAACCGAATATGACACAGGTTGCGTGCGAGGACAGAATTAACTTTTTCCCACTCGCGTTGGGGTTGACGTAAGTTCTGTAAATATCGTAAGTGAAAATGGAAGACACAGAAATTAATTCAGCGGACATCGCAGATGTAACTGCCATGAAAATCAGCAAAAGCGCAGCGACAGCCCCACCAGTACCCAGAATGGTGACCGCGGCAGAAGGTAGCACTAAGCCCGCGGACACTTGGTCCGCACTGAGCCGATCGGGATAAGTTGGGAAGTTAGGACTGGTCTCGAGCGCCAAGCAGGCAAGGCCCATGACAGTGGAGGTAAGTGTAGGAATGGCAAACCAAGCGACACCACCAACGACGTAGCCTGGCAAACTGGCCGCAGGAGACGCGGAGATGGCTTTGTTCCAGTACCCGTTGTCCAGAAAGACGGTACCGAAGTTACCAACCAGGTTGATCACGAAGAAAATGCCGCCTGATCTGGATCTCATGGTTAAGTACTCGCCGCCCGCGTTGCCCTCAATTGGGTGTCTCAAAGCAGCTTCGCGCACGAGGTCGTAGACCTTGGCTGGGGAACCCAGCTCGTCGCTCGTGGCGTAGACGGTGAATGCAAAAGTCATGATGATCGCAACTATGACGATGGTGTGCAGGTAATCGGTCAAGAATGTGGCTTTAATACCACCGAAAAGCGTGTAGATAATGACGCCGACGGGTAGGAGGAAACAGGCTGCGATAGTATTCATCCCGGTTAGATCAGAGACGACGGCCGAGCCACCTGTGAGCAACATGGCAGTCACGAGGATGTTGGTCGCGAGAGCGTAGAAAAGGTACACACCGTGAGCGGCCTTACCGTAGCGGGCGTAGATGATCTCGAGAAACGTATGCGCGTTGGGAGCCTTCTGCTTGGCCTTGATCGCGAGCGTCGCGAATGCAATGATCTGGAAACACGCGCCCGCTCCGTAATAGTAACCACCGGAAATCCCCACTTTGTACACCATCGAGGTTGATTGTAACAGCGTCGCGGCCCAGGTCCAACTGGAAACGACAGCAGCGGCGATCAGACCCGTTTTCACGGTTCTACCCGCGGTCGCAAACTCTTCTGCAGTGATGATCTCCTTCTGGTATCTTTTCAGCACGTACGTGGTTAAAATCATACCAAAAGCAAATACGAATCCGAGTCCCACAACGACTGCGTACCCGGCGCCTTGCGGCAGCGGAACCTCAATATTTACCATTTTCGCCTTTCCAGATTTTATGAAAACTCCGAAATGCCTTATCGTGCTTTTCAATCGATTATCTCGGTGACCTGAATACCACCACTCTACCTTCTCTATCTCGCAACTCTGAGCCTTATATAGCCCGTTCCGTCTCGTCTAATTCCAATGCAAATACTTTAGGACCTAATCAGCCCCGTCAGTCATCGCTGACTCTTCTCAATCAGCCGCTGCTTATCGAGATAAACATTTTCCAAGCGCTTACAAAACCCTTGGCAACAATATCACTGATAACGGTTTCATGAGAAAACCGCACAAACGCAGCGCAATTTGCGCAACTCGCCCGAGAATATGCGGTACAGGTACGGCACCATTCCGCAGCATGGAAGTCTCAGAGTTAAAGCCAACGGCATCTTTCGACGATGCTGACTGACGTAAGAGTGGACGGACGACACTTGCATTGGACAGGCGCGATAGAAGTATGAATCGCCAGGATTAGATCGGTGCAAGCCAATCATCTGCAGTCAAGCGTATCGACCGCATTTTAAAAGACGGTTCCGTCACTGTGTAGCTCGATAGGCGGTCCACCTGTCGAAGGTCTTAACTTCGCAGCGATCTCACGGCCAGCTTTCCAGGAGCCGGCCTCGATGAGCTGTGGAAGCGCAAGTGTGTAGTTGAGTTTCTTGTTCAGAAGTGGTAGTAAGTAGTCGAGTAGGCCAATCGTTAGACAGCGCCACTCGACAATGACACCGTCATCGGGCGCGAAGGTTGGGATTTCGGGCTTAGAGCCCTGGGGCGCGGAGCTGAGGCTCGCAGAGAGTTCGAGGCCGCGTGCACGCGCAGCGGGGTTGAGCTCGAGTACGCCGAAATCGTAGAACAAACCACCGTTTCTGTATTCGGGCAGTCCGGTTTGGAGCTGCTTGTTGCGGACGAGGAACTTGTGGCCGTAGGATTCGAGCGGCACCAACAGAGAGTAGCATAACCATTGCGTGAGCTTGTGGAACGTGACGATGTCCGCAACTTCCGGAGCGACAGCAGGCACTGCGTCACTTGCGCGCAGAGCCGCGTATGCGTCTGCTTTGGTGTCTAGTCTCCACGCATCGCCCAGAGATTCGCCATCGACCGTGGTGCGCGTAGCTGGCCAGATACTGGTTAACCCGTCCATGAGTGCGTCCCAGAGATCGTTCAAGTCTATGGTGCGGCCAGCGGCCTCCACGACGCTCTTACCGTACAAATAGTCGACAATCGCTCCGGGCCGCGCCTCGGGCCCGAAAATGGCGACGTTGGATTCCAATGCGCGGCCCAGCCGCTGGATCAGGCTGCGCCGGCCCTCAGACCCGTTCATGGGGTTCGTATCCGAGATTTGGAAACCTTGGTCGAATTCTGGCTGCGTGAACGCGCTCAGACGCGCCCCGTTCACTTTGTGAGGGTCACTGGCATCACTGGAAAGCGCCCCGGCATCAAAAAGTGCGTACGACGCCACTGCAAGCCCCTCGGAACGCCCAATGGGCTCTGCGCCTGCTGCTGTGAATTTCCACACGTTTCCTGCTCCTGCATCGACAAGAACGCTGAACACGAACAAATCGATCAATTTGCGTGCGATTTCGACTTCGTCGACACCTGATGCGCTCCAACGGGCTATCAACGCCTCTACACGCTGAACACCGCCACAATTGAGATGTTGCCACCGTCCATGTGGCGGAATCGCCGCGTAGTCGGTCCCGTAATCACGGGCAATGATCTCACTCAAAAAATCGACCACCGAGCCCATTTTGGCAAGATTCAATTTGAAGTAATTGGCCTCCCCGCGCTCCTGTGCATACTGGAATACTTGTGAGGTTGTTTCCCGCACGGATGAAATGGATTTCAGGTATTTGACGGCTCCAGTGGAAACTGTCATGACAAGCGGTTTCTAAGAGTATTAGGATTGAAAGAGTGACACACTAAAGCAAGACTGTTGTCCCAATTACTTTGTAACAGATTGACTCTGAACAATGGCTCAAATGTGGCTGGCTTAACGTCACTGCCCAAGTAGGAGTTTAGGTTTGTTCATTCCTCTATCTGGTTGGTTTTATATCAAACTGGCAATGTATCGATTCCACGTTTACGGGGCTGGCGGAAGCTGGTTAATTCCTACGGAGCTATCGATTATCTCCAACGGATCGGATTAAGAATGATCTCCGACGGGGGATTTTATTAAAGCCCAGACACCACTTAAAATGCGTGACCGCTTTTATACACCCATACATTATTCTGAGATAATAAATAATTGATATTACAACCACACACCAATTGAAAGTAAAGAAAAGAATTCTATATCTTCTCCAAGGTGTTTGGGTTTTATAGATCATGCCCCACGCGGATTTCATATCTGACGCTCACTTGCAAGAAACCCATACACGATAGGAACCATCTAATACTCTATTTTTCAACACACTCATACTGCTCTCATCTCACAGAACTTCATTTGCGGGAGAGTAAGAAGATTAAAAGGTATATATCGAACAAAATGTCTGACTTCCAAAAGGAAAAAGCTGAGCAACAGGACCAACCTCAGATCCACAAGATCAGAATCACCTTGACTTCTACCAAGGTTAAGCAATTGGAGAACGTCTCTGCTAACATTGTCAAGAATGCTGAGAACTACAAGTTGGTCAAGAAGGGTCCAGTCAGACTCCCAACCAAGGTCTTGAAGATCTGCACCAGAAAGGCCCCTAACGGTGAAGGTTCCAAGACCTACGACGCGTACGAGATGAGAATCCACAAGAGATACATCGACTTGCACGCCCCAGCTCAAATTGTCAAGAGAATCACCCAGATCACCATTGAACCTGGTGTCGATGTCGAGGTCACCGTTGCTGCTTAGACGCGCGCTTTATGTGTGTGTGTGCTGTGGTCGTTTTGTTTCCTGTTTTCTTGTACCGGGCCTACGCTTAGTCTGATTTTTTCGTGACGCTGTCCTTATCCCAAGCGCACCTGTTAACGACCCACTCTAGGTATTGCAGTTCCGATATACCTCTGCTTGCTATCAGTGGTTAAAAAATGGACGCCTCTCCGCCGTCTATTGACTACTTGAATAAGTAGTTCTACGTCGTTGTTGCAAGTGTCGCTTCGAGGGCAGACCGGGGCGTCGAACCCGTCTGCTATTTTTTAGCGGTGTAAGTTATATAAAGAATAAGTCAACGTTTTGAGCCTAAATCGTGTGCTAGCGCCAACTGAAAGCCTGTCCGGTGCCCTAAGCTGGTGAATTTTTTTTCCAGCTCAGGGCTTTTCAAGATCACACACCGGCGGACAACTATAAAAGCTGCCATTTTCTACATTGTTTCCACAGAGGAGGTGAGCGAAAATTGAAACAAGAACCACATCCAGGCAAATGATTAACGATGGCCACTGCTGCTGCCGCTGCGATACTGACAGACCTGCCTGTGTCAGTCGACACAGGCCGTACTGGCTGTAATCTTGAATAAAGAATTCTGTTTATGATGAGAAAATGTCCTTAGAGACAAACTATAAACCCAGCTCTTCGATATTTTAGATGAGACGAAAAATTGACAAACGCTCTGAGCAGACTCTTAAAAGTAACCGTCTTTCACCTCTTGGAACTCGCAGCAGCTTTGAAGAAAACGACATCTTTGTCCTGCATGAGGTAGTTTTTACCGGCTCTTTTGACTTTGGCCTGTGATTTGAGCTGTGACTCTTGCAGCGGGGGACTCAATTCAGCCAAATCCGTATACTTCGTAATGTCCGCGCTGATGAATGTCTTCTCGAGATCTGTGTGAATGACGCCGGCCGCTTCAGGCGCCAAACTGCCCTCCCGGATGGTCCATTGTCTTGCCTCGAGCGGTCCGCATGTGAAAAAGCTTATCAGGCCCAGGGACTTCCGCATTTCCAATATAATTTCGGACATAGCGCTCTGAAATGGCTGGGCAACGTTTTGAGCATTGTAGATCGTCTCAAACTCGGCGCTGAACAATAGCAGCTGACTTCCGGGTGAATATTCTTCCACCCAGTCGCGAACCTCTTGTAAATGTCGGTTTTCCTTATGTACATAGTCTTGAACTCCGACGTTCAATAAAATCACGGTGGGCTTTGCGGTTAGAAAGTTGTGCTTGTTCAATACCGCGACTTCGTTTTCAGTCCAGGTGTTGTCTTTGAAGTTCCAGATCTTCCTGCCCTCATACATGTGTTCTTCAAGTCGATTGAGAAACTCTATCTCGAACAAGTGGTCCTTGTATTCAATGGAAGTCCTGGGGGTTCGCTTGCTCATCTTTTCGACCTTCTCACGCACGCCTTCCAGGAACTCCAAATCCTTCAGGATGAGCTCATCTTGAACAATGCTCAAATCTCTTGTGGGATCGACAGAACCCTCTATATGTGTAATTTCTTGACCGTCAAACCCACGAACCACTTGATAAATGCCGTCGACGTGTCGAATGTCGTTCAAGAACTTGTTCCCGAGACCGTCGCCTCTAGAAGCGCCTCTGGTGAGACCTGCAATGTCGAATATGGTGAGCACAGCAGGGATTCTCTTGCCACTGCCGTACAAGTTTGCAAGATGATCCAATTCCGCTGAGGGAACCACTACTCGGGCTTCTGCGGGTTCAATTGTCGCGAACGGATAATTGGCTGGATTGCCGAGTTTCGAGTTGGTGATGGCTTGAAAGAAAGTAGATTTACCGACGTTGGCCAAACCAACGATGCCCGCAGTCAAATTGTTGCTGGGCCTGCCCGGTCGGAGTCCTTGAGTGGAGTAAAGGCGTGCAATGAAACGGATTACCATGGATTTTCCGCTGGGTCTCGCAAGTGCAACTGGCTTGTAGGATGGAAGTGAAAAATTCGGCTGGCTACATATATAGTGTTGACGATGGATACTTATAAGGCTCTTACGGGCCAACTGCCACTGTACACGACTTGGCTAAACTTTTGCATCGTGTAGCGAGTTGTAGTGCTCGCCGAGTGCGTACCCGTGCTTGTAGTAGACGAGTTTGAGTTCCGGGTAGACCGAACCTTCTTGGTTGACCTTGTGCGTAGCGCGACCGCTCATGAGAACGCTGATGGAGCACTTCAGCACTTGTGCAAGCGCCAGGATCTCGACTTCGCCACCCCATTGCGCGGTGTTCTCTATGGTGTCGGTGTATTCGTCGACATCTTTCAGCGTGCAAGTCTGCTCATCGAACAGGTACGGAACGAAGTCATCGCGATGGTCTCTGACGTGCTGTGCGGCCCAACGTCGTAGCGTGTAGACGGTAACGTTGTCGAGACTCGAGTCGTGGGCACAGGGAGCCGGCAACGCGTACGTTGCATCTGAAGGGTGTCGCAGTCGCATTTGATCCAGGATGGAAGCGAATAGGCAGTGGCCATCGGGCTGGATATCGACAGGAGACAGTTTTGCCAGGGAACAAAGCTGCGTGAGGGCTTCTTGCTCGATTTGTTTGAGATCTGGTTGTTGTGCGGCTTCCAGTTCTGCTTCGGCTCGGATCCGATCCTGTTCGGCCTGTCGTCTTGACAGCCGGTCCTTTTGGCGATTACGTTTTTTGCCCGGCGGCGGCAGCAGCTGTTGCTGCTGCTGCTGCTGTGACTCTTGAACAACTCCTTCTTCCGTTTCCAGCGCAAGCTGCGCCAGCAACTTCTCAGGTGTCAGTTCATCCTCATCCTCGTCCGAGATCACGCCTAGTTGTGTCTTGAGCTCCCGGATCTCCTGTTCCTGCCTGCGCAGGAGCTCGTCCTCGAGCTCCTGGCAGCGGGCGTTCACCTGTTTACGCTTAGACTTGGTAGCTTGTTTCTTCATTCCCGTGATCTGGTTCTGGAGGTTCTTTTTCTCAACGCGATGCTGCGCGAGCAGCGTTTCGACGGTGGTCGACATGCCTAGGTCGTGGTAGCACTGATGCAATGCCACTGCTGGGTCAAACTGGCCTAAGAACGGTATCGAACACCGGAGTTGCTGATTTTCAGGTTTCAATTTTTTTCACTTTTTCATCGATACCTTGGGGTTGAGCTACAAGAACAAGTAGGACACAACGAACAAGGAGACCGTGTTGACAAGGTCTGATTCAACAATGCGACCAAAATCGCTTACACCACGGAATGAAGACTTCTAGCAGACAAAATAATATACAAAATGTAAACACCGTGAACTCCCTAGTGGCTATAAACACGCCGATACACAGCCACGCAACCGGCTCTTAACCTCTTTTACAGAGTGTTTTCCACAATGTCTGTGCTCAGCGGTTGCTGCTGGCGGCAGTTCCCTGTTTGTTCCTCGTTGTCCTCTGTAAAGCTGTGATGGTGATGTGAAAAACAAAAAAAATAAGACAACTAGCGCCGCTAGGTTTCGATCCTAGGACATCAGGGTTATGAGCCCTGCGCGCTTCCACTGCGCCACGGCGCTGTCTCGATAGAAATAGGCGTGAAAAAGTTGTATTTGCCGACAGCAGGACACAAAGAAATACAGCTACGGGAAAACGTTTAGGATGAAGCACTCTATAGATATGTACTGGGCAGCGCCCATCCTATACTACGTAGCACAAGGTTTTAGTGAGTGGTACTAAGTATTTTTAACCAGCGGATGATGTCCTTGCGTACGTGTGGGTTACGACGGGGTTTTAAGCTGCCTAATGTTTTAAAGGGTAGATTCATATCAAATGGAATAATAATGACAGTAAAAACACGTTCGGCAATGTGATGATGCTATTCGTACGATTGGAAATCATTTGAAGCGATTTGGCGCCATTGGGCGTACCCAACGACACCGAGACGCGTACAGCTGGTCATTCTAAGCATGGAAATCCATCTTTTCATCCCACTTGTAGGAATACCGCACGAAATCGGCATGCATTCTTATTGAGGTTTACGTGCGTCGGTTGTCGACAGATTCTTGAACGGTTCATTCGCGCATAGTTTTCCTGATGTATAATATTGAGGTTATATTGAGGTTAAGAAGCAGTTACTTCTGTCTGTGGCTACCCTGACAGATAGGCCGCTGCAAAGCTGATTATTATAAGCTCAGAGACTATTATCAATCGACACTCAAAGTGAAGTACGTGAAATCAAAATGCAACGCTTCCGACATACTAACGGAAACATGCGCCGTGGAGATATTCTAGACACTCACCAAGGGTTGGATGATGTAACAATGAATTGACGCTATGGGGGTTTGCTGGAAGGAGATAGCAAGACGGGATATCGTCGAGTTGTGGTATCACGTGATCACGACGACGGATCAAAACGAGACGGAACTTAACAGGAGTTCATCACATCGCGAGCGATCTGGTGGACGACGTGTGGTGAAAGCTTACCTTCCGTTCTGGAGAAAGTAACGAATGCTAAAGTTGAAACAGTATTGGGAGCAAGACGATTCGGCCAGTCTAACAGTGGCCACATCTTGAAGATAATCACGGAGAAGTGTAAATGCTCAACACCTTACTCACTTTATCGTTGATATTGTCGGAAGGAGATATCGGAAAGGAAATATCGTTCAACTGCATGATCACGTGACCACGATGACAGAATAAAGCATGAAGATAAGCGGACGGTTCGCGTCCCGTAGGTGCCCCAGTTATTGTCACTGCAGACTTTTGCTTGCCTCGTTCAATACCACACATAGGACCTCTGTACTGGCAGCGAACATTCCCATAGCCACTTGGACGTTTGTAAAACGAATCACGTGACCTCTCTCGCTTTGAGAACCACGCCACGTCGTACAGTCGAGTAACGAGGCTTTATCTTCGTGACAGAGTCAGGGCATATAACCACAAAGAGACCCGCCCACCATCCACTTCCGTAGTCCAAACATAAGCTCGACGCCTTATTCTGTCACATTGGTCACGTGATTCATGACTGACCTCTGGCTGTGTTTCTAATTCCAACACTAATATGCAACTATCGGTCCATTCCACATGCTGCTGGCTACGCTCTCAGCATCAAAGTAGGCTTCTGGAACTGGTTCCATACTCTCAATTCGACCACGAGACACCGCAGATCGCCTCAAACGAACCGTTATGCGCAGGGTCCTTGTCGTACATGATTACCTCTATTTAAAAACAGATTGTTCCCGCGTTCAAAGAAGCTCCGCACAATGCCATACTGTGCTAAACGACAGTCAAATTGTCGCGTGTATAAAGAGGATTGATCTGGCTTTGTCACATAGCTATCAATTTCCTCTTTTTTGCACATATTCGTACACAGCGACGACAAACCATTTTCCCCGCAAAAAAAGAAAATTTCATCTTCTCTCTCTTGATCACATGACTTTGGCGCTTTTGCCTTTTTTTTTCCTTCCCGGCTCCGTTGCCGATGCCTGTTCCGTGTGTGTTTAGGGAAAATATATCGAAAGATTATCATACGGGGATCCCCATTTAACGCTCTTGACAACGCAAGCGTTTCGGAGCCAATTGCGGCCAATTGCGGGCAAAATTAGTGATCACGCGTATAGATTCGGCTCCTCACAATTATCGGCTTTTTTCTCCGGGTTTTTCCAAGCGTTTCTCATTCCGTGAGCCCATGGCAGAACCCACAGAGCACGCGGAGCGTGCAGAGCGGGCCAACTCGGTTGATTCGCGCTCCTCCGAGCGGCGGAGGTCCAAGGTGTCGCGTGCGTGCGACCAGTGTCGCAGCAAGAAGACCCGCTGCGATTACAGCGACGAGAAAGCGATTTGCACAACCTGTCTGCGCAGCGGCAAACAGTGCACGTTTGAGCGTGTACCGCTCAAACGTGGGCCCATCAAGGGCTACAAGGGCCAGGGGGACGATGTAGAGAGCTCTGCGCCGTCTAGCCGGCGGAGCTCGCGCAAGCGCAGCAACTCGGAGAGTTGGCCGTCCAAGACTCACGGCGCAGGCGTCGGTGCTGCCACCGGTGCTACTGCGGCAGCGCTAGCGCTGCCGCCGCTTGCGCACTACTTGCCGCAGTCGTACGCCGGCGCTCGCACACACACGCTTGTCGGGCTGGAACCCCAGCAACAACAATTCTGGAAAGTACCGTACCATGAGTACCAGTACGATCGGCGCAGCTCGGTGGGGTCCGTCGGCAGCGACCTCCACGTCCAGCAACCGCGCGACCGTACCCCCTCCAGCATTTCTACAAGTTCCACGGTTTTCAGAGGCTCGCAACGCGTGCCCTCCGACGCTGGAAACGACAATGGCAGCGTTGACGGCTCCAGAAAGTCTCCCAGCGAACCCGCGATTTTGAGACATCCGTCCGCATCGCCTTCCCAGCACCAATATCCTTACTCGCAGTTCGTGCTCGCACAGCAGCAGCCGGCGCAGGCGCTGCAACCGCCCGAAGGACCTGTGGGACCCGTGGGACCTGTGGGTCAGCCGCCTACGGCCCAGCATTTTAGGCATTTCGAAAACGGGTTCCACTCCCGCAAAAGCAGCGATGTCAGTGATGCACTCTCACCCAATTTCTCTGCAGTCAGTCACTCGGGCCCACAGCCAGTTTTCCTCTCCACGGGCGAAGGCGACAAAAACTCACCCGAAGCGAGCTCGTCAGCGAAGATTCGAACCCCCAAGATCCATGAAAATATCGAAAAGAGAAGCAAGCGGCAAAGCGAGCAGAAAAGTCAAGGCGACTCTCTCTATTCTCTGGGAAAGGCTTCCTCGGAAAGTCCCTTTGGGTCCATTGCATACGGTCAAATTCCTCACATTCAATTGATCGACATATACTACGAGTTTGTTCATCCAAACTTCCCCGTGATCCCAATCAATAAGCGAACTTTAACCGACGATCTTCTACTTTTCAATACGCAGCCCATTTCTGGAATCCATGAACTTAACAACTTCGTGCTGCATTGGTTCCGCAACTCTTTGGAACTATTGATCCGCGTCGCTTTGAAAAGGCCCGTTTCCAACAATGGACTCAGAATAGATCCGCTCACTTCCCAAATGGGATTCATTGCATCTCTCCGGGAATGTTTTCAGCAAATTGTAGACGCGCAACCCAGATTGAGAGGAAACGAACAACTCATATCTCCCAAGATCAAATTCATATACCTCAGCGCTTTTACCATATTAAACTATATTTTGGCGCTAGTAGGGTTCGAGAACTCGTACGTGCTGGGAATGTCCGTCACCATTTACAACGAGTTCAAAATACATCGCTACTTCCTATTTGCGGGCATCCTGTCCGAACGAGGTGACTCTTGCGAGGTTCAAGAAAATGGCACAACAGCGGATAAGGAGTCTCGACATACTTCGAACCCAAATGAAACGGTACCCAAGGAGGGTAGATTTTATTTGCTTTACAAACGGCTGTACGCTTTGCTTGCCATTGTCGATTCTCTTCAAAGTTGCTGTTTTGGAGTGCCTAAACTGATCAGCGTCCCGCTTACGGGCATTACTGCAGACGCGTTCAAACACACAGATGACAGTTGGAGTGTAGATTCGGATCCGGCCAGAGTTGAACTGATATTGAAGAACTTGAAACTGGGAGAAACACTTTCGGAACTTGCTATGAACAGAGAGACGATGTCTGGCGACCACGCTCCAAGGGCTGCGCCTCCCGACTTGGAATTGTCACCCTCAGACAATGACATACCGTCCATGTTTATGCAGACCTTGTATCGAAAGAAACGGTTGCAATTGCTGTTGTTCGAACTGGTTGATTCCGAGGGAAACTTCAGTACGTTGACCTCTGAGATCGCCACGAAACTCGTTGATCATGTGTGCTCTTTGATCTCTTGCATACGAATCATTTTGACCCTAATTTTGAAAACGAATCCAACCAACGGCATCGACTTCAGCGCAAGGCCGCATATCACTAGCCCTGACATCGAGCAACACCACGCGCCTGACCCGCAGCCCGCTGAAGAGAATCTCGACATTTACAAAAAGTTGCTGGGCCTGAATGAATCGCAGGACAACAGCATTTCGCGCGGTACCGTATCGCCGTACTTGGCGGCCATCTACCTCGAGCTCACTAACATTTTGGAACACCTAAAACACATGCCAACCTCGCTGATCGCGTTGGTCATGAGTGCCAATTCGGGAGAAACTCCAGTGGTCCCGCACGCACAACAACAGGACGTGATCATGACCTTATCCAACTCTATGAATGATGTGGTCCAGATTACAAGTCTCATCAACGTGCTGCAACCGTTGAAAATGTTGGAACGGGTTTCTCCTACAGAAAAGCAGTATTCGCAATCCATCATGAAGCTCAAAATGGCACCGCTGGAACTCGTCAAATCGCCCTTGGATAAAACCTTACACAATTTTGTCGATCTTGCTTGGAAATTACTCGACGACGACGAATTAGGCTGGGCCTAAAGGGTGAACTTCATCTCCAGACCAAGAGCCAGCAACTGGCTACTGGCAAGCGTCCAGCTCGACCGGCATGAGCACGGTCCTGGGCAACGCTGGCTTACCTGGCCATTACCGAAATGGCCTATTCCTTTCGGGATTAAATTTCCACGTGATCTCCACGTGACACAACCCAATTTTGATCCGTGATCGCGTCGCAAATTTTTTTTAGAACATTAAGATTCAAGAATCTCCCTTTGTGTTTCAGTGAGATTCTTGTTAAGGAGCCATCACCCTTGTGTTAGTTCCTTTCAGGAGTCCATCGCTTTTAAAAGCCACAAGTTAACTTCTGGGATCACCAATTCCGTCAGAAAGTCCGAGCCAAGAACCCATAAGATGTTCGCCAAGAAACACACCAAGACACACTCGACATACGCGTTCGAAAGCAACACGAGCAACGTTGCTGCGTCTCAGATGCGCAATGCGCTGAACAAGCTTTCGGATTCTGTCGAGGATGCAGAAAAGCGTGCGAAACTTGAAAACGAGCTGGACTCCTTTTTCACGCTTTTCAGACGGTACTTGGTTGAAAAGGCGTCTGGAACTACCCTTGACTGGGACAAGATCCGGTCTCCAAACCCAGATGAAGTGGTTGATTACTCTACGATCCAGCAACAACCGGCGAATGTCGCGAACTTGGCGAAATTGGCCGTGTTGAAATTGAATGGTGGGCTGGGGACCTCCATGGGGTGTGTAGGACCCAAATCTGTCATTGAAGTTCGGGATGGAAACACGTTTTTGGACTTGTCGGTACGTCAGATCGAATTTCTGAACAGACAATACGACAGCGACGTTCCACTGTTGCTGATGAACTCGTTTAACACGGACTCGGACACAGAGCACCTGATCAAGAAGTACACTGCGAACCGTATTCGCATCAGATCCTTCAACCAGTCGCGGTACCCTCGTGTTTTCAAGGACTCAATGTTGCCCGTTCCTTCCGATTATGAGGACGATTTGGACGCTTGGTACCCTCCCGGCCACGGTGACTTGTTCGAGGCGTTGCATGCTTCGGGAGAACTGGATGCTCTATTGGCGAGTGGCAGAGAAATCGTGTTTGTGTCGAACGGTGACAATTTGGGTGCCACCGTGGATCTCAAGATTTTGAACCACATGATCGAAACCGGTGCCGAATATATCATGGAACTTACCGACAAGACCAGAGCAGACGTGAAAGGTGGCACTTTGATCTCTTACGATGGTCAAGTGCGTCTTTTGGAAGTGGCCCAAGTGCCTAAGGAACACGTGGACGAGTTCAAGAATATCCGGAAGTTCAAAAACTTCAACACCAACAACTTGTGGATCAACTTGAGAGCCGTTAAAAGACTTGTAGAATCGAGCTCCTTACAAATGGAAATCATCCCAAACCAAAAGACAATTGTCAGAGGCGGTCACGACATAAACGTGCTGCAATTGGAAACCGCATGCGGTGCCGCTATAAGACACTTTAAAGGTGCGCATGGCGTGGTAGTCCCCAGATCGCGTTTCTTGCCTGTCAAGACTTGCTCCGACTTGTTGCTAGTCAAATCCGATTTGTTTTGTTTGGAGCACGGCGCTTTGAAACTCGACCCATCCAGATTTGGTCCCAACCCTTTGATCAAGTTGGGTTCTCATTTCAAGAAAGTTTCGGGTTTCAATTTGCGTATCCCACATATCCCGAAAATCGTTGAACTCGATCATTTGACCATCACGGGGAATGTATTTTTGGGTAAAGGTGTTACTCTTAAGGGTACTGTTATCATTGTTTGTTCCGATGGTCAAAAAATCGATATTCCTAATGGCTCTGTTTTAGAAAACGTTGTTGTCACTGGTAATTTACAAATCTTGGAGCACTAAGGGTCTTCTGGAGCAAATCAAACGCTCGAAGCACAATGATTGAATGTCAATAGCTCGCGAGGGGGGAGTCCCTTTCCAGCGAAATGCCAAATTGCTTGCTGCGTATATAAGTAAACCTAACTTTAACGAAGACAATTTAGATCTCATCGTCTCAGCTACAAGGATTTAGCCCTGTGAGTCTTCAAATAATTTCTCGGCTTGTCACGTCTTTAAGTTATCATTGATGATAGATCGTCTTGAACTATTTCACCTTTTACCATATAACCCTAACCATCACCAACTTGGAAAACCTAACATTGAACACATCCATCGAAACTATCGTAGCCCTAAAACCCAATGGAAATTGACGTTAGCACCATCATACTTGCTATCGTGTTCTTTTTCCTGTTTTTCTCTTCACCAAGTGGCGACGGAGTTACATCGCAATACGAGTTTAATCAACTTCAGACCTTGAAGGATCAATGGCAAAGCGAATACGACGAGTTCCAGAATATAACTATTGGCACAAACTTCCGGAACATAACCGGATGGAAACTTAGCTATCAAGACGTGGAATCGAATCCTGAAATCAATGCCACGTATCCCATCGAAAACAAGGACTATACGCACTGGTCTAATACGCAAGATTATACGGTTTTACCGAAAGATATTTTGAAGCGTATATCGTCGAAGATTTGGGTCGACGGTAAGAATGTTTTTCCTCCTAATATTACGAGTACGCTTCATGGTGCCATTTCTTTGACGTCTAATGACAAATACGAACATCTACCTATGCCTGTGGCTAATTTCTACGAACCGCCAGACGACTTTTCGCAGAGCAGACCAAAGCCTGGGGAACGGTATCTGGAAGATTGGCCGCATTACGGCCAAACTCACAATGTAACTTTTAAGCATGGAGAGGTCGTGGTTCAAATATCGCATGCGGACGCAGTTTCATCCCGGTTTGACGGTAGAAATCAAGAGTTCTTCAATACTCAAAGCGACAAATGGCGCATGCTTCACATGCAAATCGATTTCACAGACTCCTCAGAAAAGGAGAAACACACTATGAGCTCTAAAGCCGTTTACGATGTCGAAAAAGGTCGCATAGTTGCCATGTCACAGAGTGCAAAATTCCACTCGCTTTTTGGCTATCCGCATTACATGAGTTTGCTGGAAGACGATGACAAGAGTTACGATCAAGTTAAGAGACTTATGAACGAATATTGGAACGCGTCCAACTACGTTGATACGTTGAGCATGAGGCAACTGCAGGAGGAGTACGATGTGGCAAATTATAAATGCGAATTTATGGCATTCCTGCAATTGGAACCTTGGGACAAATTTACTCGCGACCAGATCAAGGTGATTGACCAAGAGCTCATGTGGCCCACCGGACGATTAACAAATCTCTCCCAACTACCACCTGTGAACCTAGCGTCTGGTTTGCTTTATTCGCCTGACTGTGGACTGAGCTTAGAATTCAACAATGTCAAGGGACCTCGTTACGAACTGCAGGTCAGACAAATACGGAAGCATTTGCTAGTGGGCATTGCACTATTTGCTGGCCAGATTTATTTACTGCTTTCCCAAATGCATCATACCAACACACCTTCGGCCGTCAATAAAATGTCGTTTTGGTGCTTCTACATGATGAACCTTGTGGACGGGTCGCTGGCTCTCATATACCTTGTTGCATCTAGCGCTCTCATGGAGCTGTATCTGCCATTGATTATGAGTGCTTTTGCGTGTCTAATTTTGGCAATGATATTTGAAACAAGGTATCTGGTGTCGATATACGCGTCTCAAGTCAACGAACGCAACGTCGGAATTTTGACCCTAATTCGCGGGAACAGAAACACCGAAGAAATAACCGTGCCGACAACGATACCTGACGAGGCTGCGATCAGCAGTAGCATATATGGCAGGTTCTTCTTCACTTTGATGGCGTCCACTTTCCTAATTTTAAGCGCTTTGACCTGGCCAAGGAACGTGCGCACGATGTTCGAGTACACATGTGTCATCCTCTTGAATTCGTACTGGCTTCCTCAAATAATTCGAAATGCCATTAAAGGCGGTGAGCCTAGAAGACAAAGAAATAGACATACTGAGACAAACCAGACAAACCAGGCAAACCCCACCCCTCAAGCACAAACCTCTATGCCCTTGTTGTGGAGGTTCGTGCTAGGAACTTCTTTCATAAGAATAACGCCTGTTCTCTACGTTTTTACGTACTCGTCCAACGTTTTCCGGCATCACACAGATGTCAGGTTCGTGGTCATCCTCTTCCTATGGGTTCTATTTCAGATCGCGGTACTTTATTCCCAGGACATCCTCGGTGCCCGTTGGTTTTTGCCCAAATCTACAATTCCTGAGGGCTATTCCTATCACAAGGGCATGGTTTCACAAGATCTTCTTGAACATGGCTGTACTGAGGACTACACAGTCGAATGCGCTATTTGCATGAATAACCTCCCCGTCTACGTTGATGATATTCCAGAGACTCACAATGTCGATACTGCCACTTATATGGTGACGCCGTGCGATCATGTTTTCCACACAAGATGCCTGGAAAGCTGGATGAACTACAAATTACAATGCCCCGTCTGCCGAGCACCACTACCTCCGCTATGAGCTAGAGAATCGAGTTGATGTGATCGGGATCGATCTTGTACTGACTTCACGTGACCCTTTTCATCGTACCAAAAATGGTCTTATTTGGAATATAGGAAGACTTGGACTTACTGGTGATCCTGAATGGATACTAAAGGTAAAATGGAATTCTCGAAAAAGTATGAATGGCTTTGTAGGCTTTAATTGGGAATTCTTAGATGTTGCACGGTTGCTAACTTTAGCTCAGCATTAAAGCATGTCTTTTCGACATGGATGGTTTATTGATTAACACCGAAGACCTCTATACGGTTGTGACTAATGAGATTTTGGCAGAACACGGAAAAGGCCCGTTAAAATGGGACGTCAAGATTCAATTACAGGGACTTCCAGGACCTGAAGCTACCAAAAAAGTTTTGGATCATTTTGAGCTACCTTTGACCTCTGAACAATTCAATGAATTACAAGTCGCGAAGCAGTTGTCAAAGTGGCCAACTTGTTCATTTCTGCCGGGCGCTCTTGATTTGATCAAGGACCTTAAGGCAAGGAACATTCCAATTGCTCTTTGTACTTCATCTGCTGAACACAAGTATGAGGGGAAGACCAGCCATTTGAGACACGGATTCGATCTATTTGATGTCACTATAATGGGCGACGATCCTCGTATTCAACCTGGGAAGGGAAAACCGCATCCAGATATCTACCTCTTGGGTTTGAACGAATTGAATCGAAAATTCAAAACCGATATAAAACCCGAGGAATGTCTTGTTTTCGAGGACGGAGTTCCTGGTGTCAAAGCTGCCAAAAGTGCAGGTGCTTTTGTTGTGTGGGTGCCTCATCCTGAAGCCTACGAAGTGTTGGGGGATACAGATGCCATTTTGGAGGGCAAAGGTATTCTTCTGCCCTCATTGATGCATTTCGACCTGGCAAGGTTTGGGTTTTAAAAAGGCTCGACCTCAAAGGTCTTACAAAGGTGTTCCCATACTCTACTCCTGAGCTTTAAATAGATTAGACTGTCGCGCTACAACGGATAATTCTTGAATAGATACGAAATGCTCTCACCATTGTGCAAACGACGAATACTCTCCGCAAGTACAGCACTAACATCAATGACATCCAACTTGGGACATAGTTTCATTTTCTCTTCGAATGGTACAGTGTTTGTGCAAACTACTCGATCCAATTTGGAGTTGTTTATGTTTTCAATAGCTTTGCCTGAGAGAACACCGTGTGTGACTATGGCAATGACAGATTTAGCGCGATGATCTAGTAAAACTTCTGCGGCTTTAGCCAACGTACCACAGGTGTCAGCCATGTCATCGACGATTATGCAGACCTTATCCGTAACATCACCCACAAGAACCATTCTGGAGACTTCGTTCGCACGAGCTCTTTCTTTGTGAATCAAAGCGAAGTTGAGATCGAGTCTGTCGGCTAACGCAGCAGCTCTTTTGGCTCCACCGGCATCTGGAGAAATGATGATAGACTCTTTGTAATTCACATGTTCGCGAATGTAGCGCACAACGCTGGGCTCCGCGTATAGGTTGTCGACGGGCACATCGAAAAAACCTTGGATTTGAGAAGCATGCAGATCCATGGTAACAACGTGATCGCACCCGGCCGTTGTTAGCATATCTGCCATGAGTTTTGCCGTTATAGGGGCACGGCTTTTATCCTTCCGATCTTGTCTAGCGTAAGGGAAATTGGGAATGACAGCCGTTATTCTGCGCGCCGATGCGGTTTTTGAAGCATTGATCATGACAAGAAGCTCCAAAACCCGATCGTTTACAACACCGGATCCAATTTGCATGATAATGAAAATGTCTTGATCACGGACAGACTCTCCTATAGAGAACGATACTTCACCAGAGGGATCCCTTTTCAATTTTATGTCCGTCAAATCTATGCCTAATCTCTTAGAAACCAATTCAGCAAGCCCACGATGCACATCGGGTGCCAAAAGTTTAATTGAATTCGTAGCCATTTTTATTTTATCGATATCGAACAAAAAATTACGCTAGAAACCCGAGTTAATTCCAGCCAAAAGATTTTAGTCTTTGAAATTACTCAGTCCTTGTTAAACCCTCAACACAAAGCTTGGATCATCTAAGTGTCAAAACCTACTTCCTCTTGGAATTAATCGCTTCTATGACCTTCACAAGGTCTATAGAAATGCGATGAGATTAAACTGCTTTGTCAAAAAAAAAAAAAAATTTTACAAAAATCGGAATTACTTGCTCAGACGGAAAAATTATTTTTCCGTCGGAGTAATTATTATCCATAGTGACATTTTATTAATGTCTCATTTCTCACCACCGCTCATGATGCGGTGTTCCAACCAATTGTTGGCCCTCCCTTCTGGTAAACTAGTTGCGAAAGATTTGAATCAAGCAGAGCGCCGAGCGTTTATCAATTTGTGTTCCTTGATGAAATACTTGCAATCACTTCCTTTTCGACCCAGAACCTTTTTTCTTCTTGACCACCACTGTACCCTGTTTGACGTTTTCATCGGCATCCTTGAACTTATCCCGAGCCTCTAAATAAAACATTAGATCTGTTACCTGTTCCTGCAGGCTACTTTTCTCATTTAAAACTTCTTTGTACTGCTCTTCCAGTTTCGTCGATGATCTTTCAAAATGCTCGACATTTTTCTGTAAAGCACTTGACACCATCTGTTCTTCTTTCAGCTGTTGACGCAATAATTGGGTATTTCTGCGTTCATCCTCCAGTTTGGCGTACAGTTTCTGAAATTTACGTGAATGCTCATCGCTGGAAGCACTCGCCTTAAGTTCTAGTCCCATCACTTGTTGTCTAAGCGCCTCGATGGCGGCGGAGGCCTCTTCTTGTTTAAAAGTATTCGAAGTATTTTTCACTGCCATATCTAGCTTACTTTCGTAGTATTCCCGTTGAGATTCGAGCTGTGAGACCAGCACTTGGACATATTCTAAATGATATTCTTTGTTCCGTTTTGAAAAGCCATCTCGACTCGAAGAGCCGACTTCGACAAGTTTGCCATCAACTTCGTTTTGAACCAGTCTATGCACATAGTTATCACCCGCATAGTCCCATACGCGCTGCGTGGTAACATCCATGGCAAAACAATGGCCTGTAGCTTCAAAATGTTGGATTGCGTGCTTAGAGTTATAGCGACCACATCCAACATTGCCGCAAATAAGACAGATCCAGGAATTATCCTGAGCACCGCATACAATGCACGACGCGCCCTGGCGAGCAACGGACGAATTCGATACTCCAGATCCAGAAAAGCGACAAACCGGGCATCTTGTATCTTTCCACTTATCTAGGCATTGACAATGAAATGTGTGTTGGCACGGAATCGTGACTAGCCCAGTGACTTCGGCGTCCATTCGTTCCAAGCATACGGGACAGCTTGGAAGCTCAACCGAGGTATGTGCCGATACGTTCGTGAACGGATCGTGTAAAAGATACGGGAAAGAGGAATCGCTATCGTTACCTATGGGAAAGAGATTTCGTCTAAAGACGACTTCCTTGATAAAGACAACATGACAAGTTTCAGGATCCAATGCATTAAACGCGCGACCATCGTATTGCTCCTTGAATTGCTTAGCCGTAACCGCATTCCGAAACTTCATAAGTAGCATGAATTTGTACCCCATTTCTTTGAAACTGCGTATCACCCTAAAATGCGAAATTTTGGTCACAACCTGGTTTCCAAGGAATGAGTGTAGTAAGTCATGTGCGGACAAATACGTTGGAACAAATAAAATGCTTACCATTGTGTTATCACCTGGAATCCTCATTAACTCCTCCTCCTCGTTTGACGCTTCGCCAACCCTGAATAGGTGGATGGTCCCGTGTCCCACAAACTCTGAAACAATCACTTTCCCATTCTCTTCCATTTTCAAACCTCCGACACCAATTTTACCCTTTCTCCAGTCGTGACCTCTTGACAAGTTTTCGTCAGCCTCTGATTCCTCGCTGATTGATGATATACCCAACGAATGCCCACTTTTGTAAGATTCAAAAACTTCCTGCAACGAGTCCGGATTATCTATCTCAATGACTATTTGGTAGGGATTTGCCATTGGATCTTGAATCTTCCATGTTTCGTTACAAGCTCAAAGTTTATGAACCTCGTCCTGTCGCCTGTCGCTGAGCATCGAAATCCAATAGTCGATGATCAACCCATACGGACAAACCGCCAAGAACTTAACATGTATACGATTTTCACCTTCGGTGGCTATTCAATCCGTTTTGAATAGCTAAATCGCTCGGGGTTTTTTTGCCGTTGCTTTAAGTGCTTTAACTTTCCGCGATGACCGAATTAATGTAAACTGAGACATCTTTACCACAAACCAAGTGAGAGGCAGAAATTTTGGAACAGAAGACTTTGATGAAGGAGTCCACACCGTCGATGCTTGATCGACCTCATGATACTGTTAGGAGTCATTAAGCCTTTTACTTAAGTCACCTCTTTGCCCTGGTTAACTTCCACTTCAAGAAGGTCGACACGTTAAATCTATTGAAAACGGGAGTTCGTAACTCTACTGAGGAAGTTTTGTAGCCCAATTTTCTGAATCTATTTACTGATTCAGGGATACCATACGCATATAGTAAGAATTAACAGCTATTCGCTTACCTAGGTCTCTCTGTATCAATTTCTTTCCCACTTGGAGCACGGAAATCTTGACCTCACTACTTAAAGTACCCCATCCTCGATCTCCCTGGCAATTATTCATGTGCGCATGTTCGGAGGAAAATTGATGTGCCGAAGGCAAGCCTCAAGGTTGACACTCGCAGCTAGTTTTCAAAACTTTAACGCGTATCTCGAACATTTCTGTTAAAGCTCGGTCGACTCACATCCTTTGAACGCAGCAGAACGCTCATAATGAAGCCAAAAATGTCAATTAAGAAAGAGCCCGCATCTCTATCGGCACAAATGCCAGTGCTTCTGTATTGTTTGTCTTGTATATTTTTCAGTAACGATCTTGTCACTTTCCTAAATTTAACATGTCATCATCAAATTCGACATCTCATCGATCAAGTTCAATCTATCAAAGAAGTTATTTGAACCCCTTTAATGAGCATCGATGTGGCTATTGCATTTCAAAAAGTTAAGCCTATTTGTGTTGAGCTGTCGAGGCACGCCTTTTTGCCCCCTCAGCATTTCAATCCGTCCTCTAAAGAACTATTAAAGAGTTTACACAATTTGAATAAAGAACTCGAAAATATTGCTAATGATGCGAGTGCTTTGAGTCCCAAGTTTGCAGATTATGTTTTCGTACCCATTGCTAGCTTGTTTAAACAAGAATCCTTAGACGTCCCCCACGTCCGTGAGTTACTGCTCATCATCTCTCATCTCACTTCATTGTGCTGGTCGACACCGGGCTCTTTTCCTCAAAGTTTATCCAGACAGCTATTTCCACTCATTACATTTCTCATCAGCAGCGACAAGCATAACGCGGGTCTAAATGCAAAGGGAACCAGTTTCCAATTGGCCGCCGCGAAAATACTTGAAACCGTTTATGCTAGTTTGGCAATACAAAAAAGACACAATATCTATGATTTCTTTTCGGAGCCTAACAATCTCCCCGCATTGGGCCACTCGGTAACGATTCTATTGGATATCCTGGTGCATAAGGGTGAGGACAAGGAAGTCGGAGAAGCGGTTTTGAAAGCGCTCGACGTGCTTTATCGTGAAGCCATTAACGACGGTGAAGTTTTATCATTTATTCTACCGGGGAATGTTTCTTCCATAGCCAAACTTTTCGTAAAGCCCGGTGTTACTGTGAATTACAAAGTCATATGCAAAAGCTTGGACTTACTCGAGTTTCTGCTTACAGTGGTTTACAGTGATACAGACCTCGAAGCCAGAAATGAGACGTTTACCATAGAGCAAATTGTGGAAGCAGGCCACCTTTCTCCAATTACCGTAATGACGGCTAACAGCACGTCTGCTAAATCAGGAAAAGTGCACAGAGATACAAAATGGTTGCAGGCAACGAGTGCGCAAGTCAAATTAGCCTTGGAAGGTGTCATGGAGAAACTGAAAAAAAGGAACAATATGAACATTATTAAAGCGTTGGCCAATTTCGCAAAAGCAGTGCTACTTAACTGCACCAACTCACTCGCAAACTGTCGAGAGCTTCTCTTAACAGTTCTCTTTGATACTTCTGGGGATCAGACTTTATCTGCATTTGATGGTTTCCAAGCTGCCGCGGTAAAATCTATGCTTGAAACCGATACAAGCAGAATCGGTCATTTTATTCAGTCTGATGATGACTCAGGAATGACGCGTATTAAAAGAGCCACGGAATACTTGGCAAATTCGAACTATTTGGAAGATGAACTTGTTCCAAAGGTTGTCTATGCAATAAAAGATGGTATGATCCAATTTTTAGAGCAAAAACGATTGAGAATGAATGACACGAAGCTCATAGAGCAAGGTGGTGGGATTATTATTCACCAAAACCTCTTAGCTTTGGACAGCGAATCTTTTCCTTTGATTCCTACCTTGCCAAACAATTTCACTCTTTCCTTGGTGAGTCTTGTTCAGCTTTTAGGATCAGTAATCAACGAAGCTCAGTTTTGTGATGTTGTAGATCAGATTTTGGGCGAAGAAGAAACATCTCATTACCTTCAAGCGGCAATATCTGTTTGGATGGGATCTCTGTTGATGGTAGGGCAATCAGGCCTCAAGAGACAAATTGATCCTCATGTTGACGAATTTCTAGATTTTGGCACAGAAGGTGCAGAATTGGCCGGGGCGCCACTGGGTTGTTGCTACAGTCTTTTAGAGGAATGTTCAGCTATTATTACAGAACTTACGCGGAACAAACCTTCGCTTTCGAAGCCCTCTGAGATGTGCGTGTCTCTCAGTCTCGAAGGCATAAAACTGCTGAGTGAAAGCATGGGAGAAAACTTCAGAGACGAGCTCATAGATTATCTGTTTCCCGTCATTGACTGCCTTGCTTCCACTTCCCCAATAATTCGCAGTTTCGCGCGATCTGCCGTACAATCCATTGCTGATAATCTGTACAAGGGCTCCGTACGGGATCTTTTGCTGGATAATACTGATTACCTGGTGGATGCAATTTCGAGCTTTCTTAACAACTGCGTCACCGACAGGGTTGCAACCGTTCTTATGGTTTTGTTCCAAATTGGAGGCTATGACGTCGTGCAGAGATCGCAAGACGTTTTACAAACTCTCTTTAGGCTAGTCGACTCTTATCACGGTTACACGGAGCTGTGCATGGACTGTTTCCAGCTATTTGACTTGATATTGTCCCAAATCAATTCTCTTTACGTGGTTGAATCTGTAAGACAACTTCCAAGCTCCAAGGAATTCAAGACAAGCTCGTTTAGTCCTTGGGGTATTCAAAGCATGAATGATTTAATGACAATATTAGATCGACCCAAAACCGAGGATTCTTCGGTGGTCGAGTTGGAAGATGACAAGTATGAAGAACGTGTTTCGGGGTTCCAGGACTATTTTGACCAGAAACTGAGGCAAGCGGACAGTGACGATGAGGATGATGACGACACTATGGAAAATGGCAACCAGCTAATGGAGCCGGTGCAAGTGGAGTCACACGATGCCTGGTTGTCGCCAATCCCACTTGAGTCTTACCGACTGCTACTTCAAATATTTGGGTACGGAGAGAGATTGTTGATGCACGATTCCAAGCCCTTGCGTGCCCATATATTGAGATCAATGGAGCGTATGGCTCCTTTGCTGGAAACGCAGCATAATTCTTATTTGCCCCAAGTCGCGAGCAGTTGGAACGCTGTTGTCGAATGCTCGCTGTCAGAAGACTACACATTGGCAACCGCGTCATTCAGAACGCTTCGTGCGTTCATTACGACCGCTGGCGATTTTCTCACCAAGAGATTCATTGACTTGTGGACTACCTACAAAAGAAAGTCTCCCGTTGTAAGACACACAATTGAATTTGTATCTACGGCTAATGGTTTGTCAATTCCTCGCGAATTTCCTATGGTAATCAAAGAAGCACTTATCTCACTCGCTGAACTACTTTTGGAAGGGATTTGCAAATCAGAACTACACATATCGGATACACTACAGCAAGAAATGTTGAGACAATGCTTAATTGTTTTGCCAAAAGAACATATACAATCGAAATCGCTGCATTTGGGAGATATCGCCGAATCGTTGAATTACACTATAAAATCGACCAAGACTATTTGATGTTACGCGACTTACGTGGTGTGGTTTCCCATTCTCTTCTTTTCTCTTTGGCTCATCAGTCGATTCATCGACAACCGTTTGACCCGCGATGACCACTGAAAAATTTAAACTTTATCACTCAGTATCTCATAGTAAAAGGCAGAAAAACAACATCGGAACAGAGGGTGGGAAATCAGTCGGAAGTGCGTCGTAATACATGGAGAGCCTGTTCAGAAATGAATGACGATGATAATTATATTTCGCCGCATGAGACTGCCCTCGCTGTGGTAGCCACGGCGATGAAAAAAGCACGACTTGGATTAGACACATTGATCGTAAATTCAATAATGGCAGGTATTTTTTTTAGTGCTGGAGGGATTTTATTCGTGAGTTTCCATGGATATTGTCCGTTGATTTTGGAGCAAAATCCTGGGATTTTGCTTTTCGCAGGTTCTTTTGCATATCCTGTGGGTCTTTTCTACGTGATCATCAATGGTACCGATCTGTTCAATTCGAACATTTTATTTTTCACCGTGGGATGTTTGCGGCAAGCTGTGAACATTTACGACTTGCTTATCAGTTGGTTCGTAAGTTGGTTTGGAAATTTTGCTGGAACCCTTTTTGTTTCCTATATTATCATGTACCTCTCAAAAGTTGGACGCGACAGCCATTACATTCATGGCTCAGTTATTCTTGCAGAGGACAAAGCTGTGTACAATTTCATTGAGACGTTTATTAAAGGTATGGTGGGGAATTTTTACGTTTGTCTTGCCATTTACCTGCAATTGATGGCAAAACCGCTTCATGTGAGATTGATCCTGATGGCTCTCCCTATCGTCACTTTTGTCAGTGGTGGGTTTACGCATGTAGTTGCAGATATGTTCATCTTAACTTCTGGTATGCTTAATGGAGCTGATATCTCTATAGCCAAATTTGTGTGGAGAATGATGCTTCCGGCCACTTTGGGGAATGTAGTCGGTGGTGTAGCTTTTGCTGCCGTGGTTCCCTTCTATTTGCACCTTCTAGTTGTTGAAAGAGATAGGAAGAGGTTGTCCTTACCGCGCTATGATGCTAGAGATGAGCAGCCCGACCTGAACATGGATTCACGTGTGGTCAAGATCTCTCCCGAAGAAGCAGAGGAAGAACAAGAAGCTGCCGAGTGTTCAGCTGTGGATGAAAAACAAAGTATTTCTCCCCTTGGCGAAACGTCCAGCTCAGAAGATGCCGCTGTATCAGTGTGTCACGGGCCGATCGGAGCTAGGTCTATGTCGCATGAAAGTCACTTGAGCAGAAGCGATACGCGCTCCACCCTGAGACGCAGGGTACCAATTTCTAAAAGATCACCAGCAGGCGTGTTTCCGGTGAAGGGCATGGGATTACCTTTGCAGAAGGAAATGACCATTGCCGATGATAACGCGAGTATCGGAAGCGGAAGCACGTTTAGCGTCTCCAAAGAGCCATATAGAGGGCCTGAACCTTTTACTGCCGGTTCTTCAATGGAAAACGATGTGATTCCCGTGGAATCCAGTAATTCCAGGGCGCAACGTATTTTGACTGCACCTACGGGCTCTGAACCCCACCGGACTTTTCGACCACACTTACCAGTCAGGTCTAATTCGTTTTCTCAACGAGGTTTCAATGAGCGCCGACGGGGCAATTCGAGCCATCAGGGTGGTTATGATGTTAATGAAAACAAGTTGGGTACGAAATTGGAAAGAGCACTCACCCGCTTAGCATCGCGTGTTTCATCGACACAGGAGGAGGAGTCATCGTTGCCGCAAACGACTCAGGATGTTGTCCCTCGAACGACATCACGCGTAAACCCTCATGAGACGCCATCTAGTGTTTCTCTCCCAAGGCCCGCCCCTGCCAAAAAACGATCTACTCACGGAAGGAAGCTGATAGAGTCATTGAGCAGGTCAAACACTAGAAATAATCCGGAAGAGTTTTTGAAACGGATGTCGTCAGCTGGTATTACCACCGTTGCTGCAGAGCATGCCAACACTACAGCCGGAATCGAAGATTTAAGCTACGAAGACCTACGATACGAAAGACGACATGCACGCGATCCCAAGTCGAAGGAAGGTCGCACGGCTACATGACGAGGAGCGGTAGTGAATAACTACTAATTTTCGCTAAGTACGATGAGAGCTCTACGGCCAAGGAACTCAACGCCAACAAAATATGAATATTCAAGATGACCACTCAACCAAGCATAATATCGCATTTTTTGATGTTTTTTTAATTGAAGGTTACACGTTTAAACGTCATTGAAATCGAAATGAGAGTTGAAGACGTTTTCATAGCGTCCAGTACGCTACTGGTATGCCGATCAAGATATCATGAAATTGGATCAAGTCTTTAAATGTTGACCAAGCTTTAAAGGATCGTATACTCATTACTTGTTTAGAGCGATGACCTAAATCATGTGACCATGTCAATGTATACGAAATTCTGTTTTCGCGTCAGTATTGAAAATAAAAGACGCGTTAACGAGATGATGATCTTCACATCTTCTGTAGTGCTAACACGTCAAGGAATTGGAATCACTATGGTGGTTTTGAAGACTCAAATGGCTTTCAAGAGGTCGATTATACCGACAATGAAGGAAAACACGACCGTTGAGCAATTGCTGGATACTCTAAACTCCCTGCATGAACATTTATCATCTCTGAAACAAGAAGCCCTTGACGTGTCATCGATTGATAAATATCGAGCCGAACTCATGGACCGGAGGATTTTCAAAAATAAGGATGCGGGCGTGCGGACTCTTTGTGCTTGCTGTTTGAGTGACATTCTGAGACTTTATGCGCCTCATGCTCCTTACACAGGAGAGGAGCTCCGGGCCATCTTTCAGCTGTTTTTCAGTCAGTTTCGGCTTCTGAAAGAGCCTGATAATGGATACCATGCGCAGCAGATATTTTTGGCTACGAATTTGTTGGAATTTAGGTCCATTGTTCTTCTCACACACGTTCCTAAATGTGACGCCTTGATCGATGAGCTTTTTGAAATTTTCCTTCCAAAAGAAGGAGCCGCTTTTCCTGAACGTTTGTATAAGCTGGCGGCGGGACTATTGGGCGAAATTATCTCAGAATGCGATGCACTTCCTACTTCTGCTCTCAAGAGAGTATTTAACAGAATTCTTTCTCATTCTGCCAATGCCTCCCTTGCCAAGGCTCCGCCCAAAAAAGATGCAGGTTTTGAAATTAGCCTAATCATCTGTGAGACGTACTCCAACAGGCTTGGAAGGCATTTCATAAAGCTATATTCCGAAATCATGTATGAGCTTTTAGACACGCGTGGGGAAAATGGAGCAGAACTCGACAATGGTGGACGACACGGAAAGGGTTACAGTAAGCTGTCAAAACTCAATCGCCTAACTTCCCTTTTATGGATTTATGCACCAGAACTTGTATCTTCGGTACTGGGCTTCGTAAATCAGATGCTTTGTTCGGACAATGAGCTTTTGCGCGAATCGGCAACAGACTGCGTTGGTCGAATGTTGGCCACTACCCAATCGCAGAACTTTGTGGTGGCTCATAAGGAGACATATAAAATTTGGTTAAGCAAAATGGCAGACATTTCTGCCAACGTCAGAGTGGCTTGGCTGTCCGAGATTTCATCCATTTTGCAGGTCAGAAGTGATATCTCCGACGATATCTCTAAAGGGCTCTCCAAAACGCTCATCGACTCTGATCATGTCGTTCGCTTAGCCGCTGTTGAATCACTGGCTGCTCTTAACGTCACAGTTATTTGGGCCATACCTTCCATGTCAAAAGTTATCTCAGCTCTACTACATTTGGTAAGAGAAACCAGACGAGACGTCAGAGAGAAATGCCTTGAAACTGTCACCGAGCTTTATGTTCAGTCGATGCAGCAGGAAAACAAAGTGCAAAGTCAGGACCTTCAAACTGTTGTCAAAACTATACCGTCAGTTATTTTGCACTTGTATTACATCAACGATCCTAATATCAATGCTCAGGTCGATATGGTCTTATTCGAAAAGCTGTTACCACTAACGCTTAGCAGTGAGCTTCTGGTCGAGCGCCTTCTAAACATGGTACACGATTTAGATAAAAAGGCGTTGAGCTCTTTTTATGCCTTTAACAAGAGGCAATTGCAAATGTCAGCTGCGTTGCAGCAATACATTCAACTGTGTGAGAAAACTAACATGCCAGAAGGTGAAAAAGTATCAAAAACGCTAGAAGATCGTTTTCAAAAGATTATTCAATGGTTAAGCTTTGGCTTTCCAGACCAGTACGATGTCAAAGGCGTTCTGCAGTTGTTCAGAAACTTGAATAACAGACGGCTTTACTTTTTGGTGAGCGTAATTATAGCAGATGACTCGAATTATTCAAAACTGAGGAACGCGTATCAAGAATTCATAAGACGGCTTGGGGATGGGCAGGCTCTTTCCAGCCATAGCGACGAAGCTGAAACTGACGACATGGGGGAAGAGACATTGATGGTCTTCAAAATCATTCTCTATCGATCTGCTCCATTTATCTATAACGTTAGCAACGTACCGTTGCTACTGAGAGCTTCTATAAACACCGACCTTGCAAATAGCCTTGTTGCAAAGAAGCTAATTGATCAAATTTCTGAAGCTAAGCCTGATATTCTCGAGGGACAGAAGAAAGAATTGATTATTATAATCGAGAATGGGAGAACCACCCAAGATGAAAAAGCACTTCCTGTGGGCGATGCTTTGCGCACGGTTTACAAAATTGAAAAATCCCAGCAAGAACGTCGTGCCCAATATGAGGATAAGTTCTTTGATTTATTAATTGACTACACCGTGAATGGATCACTAATTGAGGCAAAATACGCTGTAAAACTTTTAAGTCTGTTTCCGTCGAAGGAGTTTTGTCTGGAAAAAGTAAGAGTCAAAATTCTGCCCTTGAACTCTGCATCTAAAGATTTTGCGAAACAGGTTCTCGTTCTTTCTGAGATATTCAAATTTGCTCCTCACTTACTTGACGAGAACTCCACTGATATAGTGAGCTATTTGATAAAGGAGACCTTATTGGCGAACAATGTCGAAGAAAGGCCGGTTGACAATGTCGGATGGATCAGCGATGAGAATATCATGGACGGAGAGTGTGACGCTCTGGCCGCAAAAATCTTTTCCTTGAAGCTCTTCACAAATAAATTAAGGGCGATTGCGGGTCTTGTAGATGAAGATGAATTGGCAAATGTTTTTACTCAAAAGACCATAAAGCTTTTTGTCTACATAATCGCTGGGGGCGGTGAATTGATTCCTGAAGATAGTGAGTATTTTCCTACCCCGCCGGATTTTCAGACGAGATTAAGATGTAGCGCGGGTCTTCAGGTACTTAAGTTGGCCAAAATTCCTGCATTGAGCCACTTAATCAAATCCGAGTACATTTCCAAGCTCGTAAATCTTGTTGAGGACGAGTCACTCAAAGTGCGCTCTGAATTTCTCGAGAAACTCAAAGATTTCCTAGGTAGAGAGGAAATTTCCATCAAGTTTTTACCACTTATCTTTTTCACCGCCTATGAGCCCAATGCAGATCTGAAGGCCACCATAAAGACCTGGATAAATTTCATGTTCGACAATGTAAAGGCCAAAACAACCACAACAAGTACAAAATTTGAGCGAGCTTTACCACGATTTATACATTCCATTGCTCATCATCCAGATATCGTAAACGGCCTTGAAGCAGAAGGAAAAGCAACCCTTGATAGCTTGACTACAGCAGTGGATTACCTCATTTTCTATTTCGATTCTATTGCAAATGCGTCCAATTTAAGTTTGCTGTATTACTTCTCCGCAAGAGTTAAGCAATATCAAGATGCACTAGAAGACGAAATTCCTTCAGAAGGCTTATATGATTCCGAGTCTAATTTTCCAAAAAGTCTAAACGTTTACGTGATAGCCGAACTATCTCAGCTCGTCTTGAATCAACTCAGTGAGCAGAAAAATTGGTCCATCGCTGCTCACCCTGCAAATCTTAACTTACCTGGTGATATATTTAAACCTTTCGACACCATCGACAAAGCACGACAAAACGCCTTCGAGACATATCTAACACAAGAGCAGACCTCGATAATGCGTAAAACAATCGAGATGAAATTGGGACGGCTATCAAAAAAATCTCAAACTGTCAAGCAGCAAGTACAAAAGAGGAAATTGGACGACGAATACAAGGGATCTAAGCGAAAGGTAATCACAGGAGTACACCAAGACTCGAACGTCAAATCTTTGAGAAGTGCGACTTCGTTCGATGATGTGTACGTACCCCCAACTTCTTCCAAGGAGAGTCGCAACGTATTGAGAAAAAGCTCACGGCAGAAAAAGAATGTAAATTACGATGACGGCGAAAGTGATGATGAATACTAATTATAACGATTCTTTTGCTAATATACAAGTATGTTGTCACTCTATTAATGAGAATCGTTGTGAAGAAGTTGACTTTATAGACTTCTGATGCAATTTTACGTATAAAGTCCTAGATCATTATGCAACGTCACTATCTCCAGTTCATATGCCAAAAAACCTCATCACCTCTTTCTTATCCTTTGCCTCCAATGCCTTCTTCAGTAGCAACAACTGCGTAATCTCGCTCATGTTTATCTCGTCTCTTATCAATTCTGTCGTTGCAACATTGCATAGTTCTTTGAAGTCCCAATGCTTTTTGAGATTGCTATTTCCGAGCGAAAAGTACAGTAGCGAAGAGATATCCTTCATGGTCGATGAACCCACAGCAGGTGTTGCGGTTATCTTGTCTACTAGCTTTTCTTGCTCATTAAAATACAACTGTCTTTGCGCATTTCGAGCGCGATAGATTTTATCTATGAAATCAAGCTTTATTGACTTCTCAGGCAGTCTGACTATTGCGGAATCTGTATTGGTCTTTTTCTCTTTGATGACTTCCTCTGTCAAAGGGACTGCGATTTCATCCAATTTCACATCAATATCTCCGTCATTAGGAATGGCGCCCATAACATCGGTATGCAGAAATTTTTGGTTTCGAATGAGTCTTCTTCTTTTATTCTTGATCAGGTCATTTGCATGTAACGGGCAGCTCCATCTACTGCCCAAATTTTTGAAAGAGGCACGCGGCACATCGGGCAGACAATCGAGATGCCAAGGTGTAGAACAATAATCGCAAGTCATTATCAGCCGTTCGTCCTCAGGATGGTCCACTGTACCCATCTTGGATTGACGGCAATTGTAACATACCAGCAACTTGTTGTTTTCTTGATCAATATGCAGCTCAGGGTTGAATTGATCCATTTTTGTCAGACTCTGGCCATAAGGAGCACCAAACAGTTGCTTTTCGTTTAGCGGCTCCTTAAGAGAATCGTCCGTGTATTCGCCATGATTCCCTGTATGAACGTTAACAAATGTGCTATCTCGCAGAGAATGCGATAATTGAAACTGTCTTGGATTTGCCTTTTCCAACCTAAAGAGAAGCTTCCCGAAAAGAGAAGAGCCCTGGGCCTCTCTTAGATCAGCCAAGAACTCTTTCTCCAATTTATTAGCAGAACTTTTGTTAGGGCATTTCATCTTGAATTGGCATTCGGTGCAAGACCAATCCCCCTCTGGCAAATTGTCCGCATCCAAAGGAGGATTACAGCACGCGAAATGAAAAGATTTAGGACAAGTGTCGCAGCACAAGAAAACACCTGGCTGGAGACAGCTGGCACAAAAGTCTTCGTTTTCAATCACGGCATCTTGGTCAAGAGTCGAAGCGGCTATCGTCTTCTGATTCGTTATGGAATTTTGGCCGAAGAGTTTGTTCTCTTTGGCTGAGGTTGCCTTGATTTTGGTGTGCAAAGGAAAGTGCCTTGGCTTGGGTCCCGGTCGCTTTCTATTTTGCCTGTTTTCTTTGTAAATGTCCTTGGGCTTTATTTTATCACGTAGTTGGCTCAGGGAGGTTAGTTTCTCCGAGCGAAGAGTTAGAAGACCGTCTTTATAAGACACCCCTCGGCTTATACTGCCCGATTTCTGGGGAGTGGACTTCGCAGTATTTTCCGCACTTTTTCTATGATTCCAAAAGCATTCTTTCTTTACTTTATCTGGTGGCCCCGAGCTCAAGGGAAGTCCAGTGACTCCATTAACAGGGTCGGTTGCTTTCGGTTCGTTGAAGGTCAAATGACCATCTCCGGACCATTCCAAAACTTCTTTTGCGGGCAAATCGTCCGACGAAACCTCATCATACTCATTTGCCACAGGGAGGATCCCAGGACGCTTATTGTTGAGAAAGTCATCGACAGGTATAATCTTGCGCTTTTTCAAGTTGTAGTCAACATTCAGCGAAGCAGACCTTTTAGGACGTCTAGAGCCTACGTCTTGAGTCGAATTCGGTTCTGACAAGGAATTGGCCGTGCTGGACCTACTTGGAGCAGAGCTGGGAGTTGGGGATTTGTCCATGGGAGACACTGGTGTGTGGAACGCCTTGCAAATAAAAAAAGATGCTCAAAGTGGGAATTTGGCAAGCAAAAACCGAGTCTTTTTTCCAAAAAAGATGAAACTAGGAACGGCCTCGTGCACAAAAAGGGTCTTATCGTTCGACCAGCGATAAATTGGGAACGTTAAGTAGCCGTTAGATTCAATGATGAGTGTGCTGGAGGAATCACTTTCTCAGCGTCGTGGAAATGCTTGCTGAACAGCCAGAGACGTGGGAAAAAAAATTAGAAAACCAATAAAACCAACTGTTTAGTGCAAGCGGTGATTGCGCGTCTGGATAGATAAACCGCAGTGAGTGGCCAGCCGTTAAAATTGGCCTTTTCTTGTTTATTAGCGAGTTTCTATAAGTTATGTGATCTAATGCTGGAATTGTGAATAAAGCCGTTGATTGATGCTGAAAAGTAAGTTCGTGGAGAGTGATTTTACCCACAGATATCGACATTGTCCTTGGAATGGAACAGTGAATGAGCGATATTTGCCTACACGGGCGAACTTTCCTCCTTGTTCGTGGGATTCCATGCTCATCGTCTTTGCTTCTTTTCCTGTCTTTTAAAATTTTGGTTTCAGACGCATTATTAGGATGCGACGAAAAACGAAATATCTAAAAACCAGTCCAAATGGTGTCTTAACGTTGAGTTGACCAATCAGACCCGGCATGGGCTCATAGGGTGTTGGTAATAGTCGTGGCCATGCGGCGGTTTGTACATATCATGTTCTGACCACTATGTCACGTGATTTCAAGCATGGAAGTCACCAATTTTGAAAACGAGCAGTTACATAAGAGCAGAAGGGCTGATGTGGCCAGCGAAAACCCCAGATGTCGGTCTCTAAGTACTGCATCCCACAGAAGGTAGCGAAGTGGCCCGGAATACTCCATTGTGGTAAAGAAATGATTTCAAGATTTCGGAATTTCATATCCGTCTGTAGTGATAGAAGCAACCTCGGAAATCGGCACTGGTTCACGAATTTACGAATCAGGCGAACGCCGTCTCTTCTCGCGAGCTTTATTTTCAACACATACTTGACCAATAGTCATTTAGCCTATTGTAATTGAGAAACACTGGGCTTGTCTAAAAACGTCAGTTGAAATCTTACTGGACTTTCGTCGCATATCCGCCGGATTTTGGAAATCGTTTTTTACGGTTATCATATGTCCACTTAATTCCGCGATTTAGGGCTTAACCCGTATCTCACTGCGTACATGAGTATTCGTGCGTCACTCACCGATCAAGTCTGTAATAACTACGCAAACCGTCTGGAGCTCATTGGCAGGCAGGGGGAGAATAGATTCGCTTCTGATGTACGTACACAGTGATTACTCTATTAGGAATCTCAGTGCGAGGCCAGTGAGCACCCGTGCACCACTGTCCGAGATCTTTCACAGCCATCAACTACTATCACACCTGCTCTCTACTCGATCAAAGCGTTCATTGATAGCGAAGAAATACTACAATCACCACCAGCACACAGCCGCCATGGATTCCGAATTACAAGCTATTCGCGAAGCAAGACTCGCAGAACTCAAGAAACATTCCGGCCAAGACCCAGGCTCTGCTACTCAAAGGTATGTAAGTTTCCGTTGCACCTTTCCTAAACGCACTGCAATTTCATCTGCTTGATTCGTTTTTTCGCCATTCTCATGTACACCCGCACGATGAGAAGTTGGAACACCCGTGCACCCTATTGCATCTCATCGCCATTTCTCGAAACTAACCCCTACCATCTACAGACCCGCAGGCGAGTCTGTCGCAGCGTTTCTCGAACCGCTTGCGCTCGAAAGGCTCTCGCGAGTTTCGCTGGTACGGCCCGACAGGGCTCGTGCCGTCGAATCGTACTTGCAACAGATGGCCTCGAGAGGTCAAATCAGCCAAAAGATAACAGAAGCAGACGTTGTTCAAATTCTGAACGGTATTGCCAGAGACGAAAAAAAGAAGAACGATACCAAGATCATCTTTGATCGCCGTGAAACCGTCGCCGACTCTACAACGATCGACCCTCCGGACTCCGAAGATGACGACTTTTTCGACTAGAGCACTATATACGAAAAGCGTGTTTTCGCATGGAACTGCCCTAATAGGCAATTTTTCCGGCACCAATGAAGCGTTTACCATTATCCGATCCACTCCGCCTACAACCTTTATCCAGATAGGCAAGGCTCATTTTCGAGCTGGTATCGGATCGATAAGCAACAGTACTGCCATGAATAGAAGTGCTAATCGCGCTTAGATCGATTGTTTTTGCAGCGTTAACGAAAAGTATTTAAGCAGTGGTGGTTTTCTCAGTGTAAGTAGTGTATAGGGACAGCTCAAGGATCAGCGACAGAATAGTACAAAATGACATCCAAATTGCACATCTTCGACCCAGTAACAGACACTGAAATAAGAACCACAGCGAAATTGCTGAAGGATCGGTACGGTGAGAGTCGTTTACATTTCATTCAGATCGACCGTTTGGACCCCCCAAAAAAGCAAGCACTCCAATATTTGGACATTGAACGTCACGGCCACGGAACCTTGCCTTACATTCCCAGAAGAACGTATGCGTATTTTTATCTCGACGACAAGATGCCTTTGTACAAGGCGATTGTCAACGTTTCGGACCGCAGGATTGTCGCTTCTCAGGAGACCCCGGAGGGTACCGTGGGACCTTTACTTCCGGATGATGTTGCCGAACTTGAGGTCGCGGTGATGAAGCATCCGGTTGTGCTTGCGGAAATCGCCAAACTGAAATTGGACTCGGTCTCGTACGACCATCCGAGATTGGGGAAAATCGGCTACGAAGTCGTTTGTGAGCCTTGGATGTACGGTACAGACTCGCCTCACGACAAAATCCCCATGATCCAGGCGTACATGTACATGAAACTGGCGCATCCTGAGGCAAACCACTACTCGATTCCACTACGGTTTTCCCCAGTTTTTGAATACTTGACTCACAAATTTGTGAGAATGGATTACTTGCCCGCCGGTGCTGACGAGAAATTCGTTCAGGACACGTTGCCTTACGCGCCATTGGGGACTGTCGAGTATCATCCAGAAGTCATCGAGGACACTTCCGTTAGAGAAAACTTGAAGCCTCTCATCATTTCGCAGCCTGAAGGTGCGTCTTTCACCGTCGACGGCTCCAAAATCACCTGGCAGGGCTGGGAATTCCGCGTTGCGACAAACGTCAGAGAGGGTTTCGCCCTTTACGACGTATTCTTTAAGGGTAGATCTCTGTTTTACCGTGTTGCGTTGAACGAAATGACCGTACCTTACGGTGACGGTAGACCTCCTTTCCACAGAAAGCAGGCCTTTGATTTGGGAGACTGTGGATTCGGAAACACTGCAAATTCGCTCGCTTTGGGGTGTCACTGTCTCGGAGTCGTCAAATACTTGGACACCAGAAGAGCTGACAACAAAGGTAACCCTGTCCTGATCCCATCTACCATCTGTATGCACGAGCAAGACTACGGTCTCTTGTATGTGCACAAGAACTACAGAACGGACCACACAGTGACAACCAGAAGAAGAGAGTTTGTCATTCAAACTATCGCAACTGTGGCTAATTACGAATACATTGTGAACTTAATTTTCGATCAAGCAGGTGCCATCACCGTGCAAGTCAGAGCCACTGGTATTTTGTCGACCATGCCCAACGACGAAGGAAACGTCACTGATTTCTCTACCATTGTCGGACCCGGTGTGACGGCTCCTTTCCATCAGCATTTGTTGTCCTTCAGATTCGACACTAGAATTGACGGTGACAATAACACCGTGGTCTACGACGATTATGTTCCTATGGAAGAGAATCTTGCGATCAACAAATACAATGTAGGATTCCGTCAGGAAAGAACCATTATGGAAAAATCCGGTTTCGTTGATCAGTCTCCATTTACCAACAGAACTTATAAAGTCATCAATGAGAATTCTATCAACCCAGTCACTTTGAAGCCTGTCGGGTACAAGTTCGAAATGCCTGCCAAACAGATGATCATTGCATCGCCAGCGTCTTACAACGTCAAGAGAGCTACATATGCAACCAAGCAACTATGGGTCACCAAATACAAAGATGACCAGCTATACGCCGCGGGTGAATTTACCAATCAATCTCAAGTCGATTCAGGTCTTTCCGTCTGGGCAAACGGTGAAGACAGTGTAAGAAACACCGATACAGTGGTTTGGGCAACTTTGGCGTTAACACACCCTCCTGTCACTGAGCAGTTCCCCGTCATGACTTCAGATTTCCTACAATTCCTGGTTACTCCTGCATCTTTCTTCACTAAAAACCCTGCTCTGGACGTTCCACTCGCCAACAACAATTTTAACAAATCAGTTTACTACGAAGATGCTCAGAAGGCTGCTGGATGTCCTTCCTCTTCTTCCTCGGCTGGCTCTTGTTGCAAGAGCAACGTTTAAGTATATTATATTCTTATTATTTTTTGACATACAAGCAATCATATTCTATTTAAAGCGATTTTAGTAGTCTTGGAGCAGTAGAGTTGATTTTATAAGGAATCTTAAAATTGATCACGTCCCTTGAGAACTGCCGTCAATCTGCTTGTAGCTTGTCATACAGTTATCAAAGTTTCTATTCCTTACTCTCTAAATCTACGTCCATCTCAATGTCAGTACATGATTTGGAAACATTAAATTTGCCCACCATTGAAAAATTCCGGAACTCGAGGAACAGATCATCATTAGAAAGTAAAAGGTTACATGTACTATTAAAGAGAACGTTCAATCGAGACAAACAAAGGGCCATCGCTGGATCGTACATCAAGCAATTGGCTTTTCGACTGATACTGCAATATGAATAATGACACCGATAAAGCTGATTTTAAAAAACCCGACCTTTCTCTGACCAATGCAACAAGGTTACGTCCGTCTGTGCCGCGACGATTGATGGTACCACAACAAACTCAGAATTTCAATGCTCCTTCACAAGCTGGATGTTCAACACTTGCATCTGGTGGTTACCGGCAGAAAGTGGCGCTGAAACCTGGCCACAGTGCATTGGACTGGCATGAACTTTCTACAACCAAGGGCCAACGTGGACAACTTTTGACCGGTGTCTCTGATTTTGTCCATAGCGCACGAGCAGAACAATTGAATCATTCTCAGACCATCGACAGAGTAAGAAACGGTGTGCCCCCTTTCATAATAAATCCGCCTTTAAAAATTGACAAGATTGAACTCGCTAAACACAACACGCCCGATGACTGTTGGTGTGCCATCAAACAAAGAGTATATTGTCTTACACCCTACTTCGATTTCCACCCGGGTGGAAAAGACATATTACTGAAATCTTGTGCTGGCAAAGACGCTACCGTTTTTTTCAACAAATATCACAGATGGGTCAATGTAGAACGACTGCTCGGAACCTGTTGTATTGGAGTGTTGGTTTGAAAAAGGTGATAAATACAATAGAATCATATTTCAATTAGTACATAGACCCTTAGGTGCTCACAAGAAATTTATCCAACCGTTGAGCCAGTGAAATAAATGGTTAGATATAAGAATTAATATTAGAAAAAGTTAGGGCCCTTTTTTGCCACGTAAAACTCAAACCGCTGCTCAAACTCTTGTGCGAGCTCTCACGATTTACTCAGTACCTTGAGGTCTGCCTGCATCGGCAGCAGCTTCTTCTGGATACTGTTGTTCCCATTCCCTTAGCTTCTTCTTGTAAGAATTGGTGTATTGTTGTTTCTCGTCTGCGGATAACGAACGCCATCTCTCGCCAATTAGCTTTGTTATTTCGATAAGATCCTTATCGGGGTTGTCACGAACAATTTGAGGTCTGACTTCTTGGGTGAACTGGATGAATGGGCCCGAAGGTCTCTTTGGAGGCAAAGTAGATTCGTATTCCTTTCTTGCAATCCGGTATTTCTCCCAGTTCGCCTTGAACTTTTCGTGGTATGGCTTTTTGTCCTCATCCGTCATCTCTTTCCATTTGGCTGAAGCCAATTTTGATAGCTCAGGTACTTTTGCATCTGGGTATTGTCTGATCAATTCCTCTCTCACATCCATTGAGAACAGGAAATAGGCTGACGAGGGACGCTTGGGACCTTGCTTTTTCAATTGCTTCCGCTTCTCAATCCTGCTTTGTGCGGTAGACAGCTTCTTCGTAAGAGGCTGTCCCACGTGTAATTGAAGCTGTTGGGTAGGTTGAGTCATTGCCGGATGGGTCATCTCCATCATCGAGGGCGTGTTCATGGCTGCGTGGAAAAATCGCTGTGCGGGCTGGTTCATCATAGCTGCGGCCATGGCGGCGTTGACCGAGTGCGCACTCGCGTTGAACGCGTTGTTCAAGACGTTGGCGACCTGTCTCTGGCCGAACTGCGCGAGAAAAGAGTTGAACATCGCGTCAGAAAACTGTTGCTGTTGCTGCTGTTGCTGTTGTTGAGGATTCTGTAAATGTACCGGCACTTGTCCGTAGAGGTCCTGCTGTACCGAACTTTCTGCTGGAGGAGGTTGCGACGTATGACCCAAATGTGTCTTAGGTTTCACGTGGTGTTGCTGTGTTTGTTGCGTTGCCTGTTCTAGTTCCTGGTACGGCAGTAGCTGATCTTGTAGACTTGTAGCGTTGGGATGTCCAGTAGCTGTGGTCTCAGGAGGAGAGATTCCCGTGTTTAAAGTAGGAACGTTTATTTTGGGCGGTTTTTAGAACGGAAATGGGGGGACACACAAAATTTCGGGGTTTTGGGGGCAGTAAACGCACTTGCCTCTCCGGTCTTTGTTTACTCGTAGCCTTCTGTTGCTCACGCTTGCTCAAACAAACTCTATGATCGTTACGCCACTTATGAATGCGACGTGGACTGCAGACTTGTCTGAATACGGGTTCTTAAGCTGTGAAAACTCTGAGTTTCAGAAATGCACGTACCGAAAAGGTGTTGTTTCGGAATTTTTTTTCAGGCGTGAAAAAAAAGCCTCCTTGGGTTCCGTATACGGGTTGAAACCGTGTTTTTATTTCCTTCGAGTTTCTCTCAGAGTTTCGGGAACTGAAACGGATGCAGCTAAGGACGTATCCGTATGGAGGTACAAGCAAAGTAAATCCATGTTCGTCCAAAACGATGTTAATACACGTGACCAAGAATACAAAGCCATCGATATATCGCTGTTAACGACAATGAGTAGTAAATGAGTATGGCGGCTAAGGAAAATGGGGGTAAATTCCAAATATTTCGGGTCGAAGAGAGGTTCTTAAGCCGGCGTCTAAGCATCTTTTGTGGTCGATTTTGCCAGTTAGTAGCATATGACCAGAGCGTTGGCTTGCAACTGTGTACCAAACAATCTGTTCGAGAGCTTTTGTTTGTTGTCCTTTTCTAGGAAGTGGGATAAAGTTAGGAAGGACGTCCCATTTTCTCAAACTCCTTATATACTCTGGCATGGAAAAATGATAACAATTCTGAAAACCGGAAAAAGCCCAGATGAACCTCAGGCCTTAAACGTAACCATTATATAGTAAGTATGGTGATGCGGTTCTTTGAAATATGCGGGTTCGATCTTCGCCAACATAAAAAATGCAATGAATTAGATGATCATCACCATATCCCTCTATCGAGGGTCTCTTGCTGAGATGGGGTATGCCAAGATTTTCTTCCCCATGAATTTGGCCTTAGTTTACGCAGGACCTTGAGGATTGGGTTCCTGTTCCTGACTTGTATCTTCTGAGCCAGAAAAATCGTCCTCGTCGCCGGACGACAATCCCTGATGGCTCCCTTGTAAAAATTTTTGAAAGGCACTGGATAGCGACAACTGGGGCGGTGCTTCGCCTAAGAACTGTTTGAGTCTATCCGTGAAAGAAGACATACGATTCATGCTCGCACTACCCAGCTGAGGTGTGCCCATCTCATCTTTCTTGAACAGACCAGCTGTGCTGACAAGATTTTGGGAGCCGTATTGGAGCCTGTCCATTTCTGAGGATTGAATAGCGCTGTACGGGTCGTCTTGGAAATACTCGTTCATGTAGGTTTCAATATTGGACAACATGCCGCTTTCGTTCACGTTTATAATGGGTGACACTTCCTCTCTTTGAAAATGACCGCGCAAAAGTTCCTGGCGCATGCTGTTGAGAGATGCGAGGGTTCTCGCATCGTTGCCTACATCGGTTCCGGAACTGCTCTCTGTGGTAGACAGCGATTGCTCCTCCTCCGGTTTCACCAGTTTCAATTGTAACGTATTGTAGCTAAAACAATTGTTGCACCGGAGACCCAATATATGGTATCTGCACGAACTCTTGGCTTTGCAATCGTTGCACGATACGTAACAGAGCCAATCGCAGTAAGGCAGCGGTAAAGGCTGTTCTTCTATTTCTTTGTCCAAGACCCGAAATTGGGCCTCCATATTCAAAACCGAAACTTGACACGAGGGACATTTGTAAGAGTGTTTAGCGTACTCGTCAAAGCAATGCTGATGGATCGCGTGCCCACATGGAGACATATAGACAACGGGTTTGACAGATGTGAACATGTAATCACCACAAATGGGGCAACTGGCCATGGTGGCACGCTCAATGCAGTTATGACTTCCTTGAAGTTCAATGGAAAGACACGCTTGACAGCCATCACAGTGGAAAAAATCGATGCCGAGTCCCAGTCCCAGTCTACATATACCGCACTTATCACAGTGATAGATGTCTTTCGTTTCGTCGCTATCGAAAAGCTTACATTTATCGCAGAAGTAGACTGCCAATTCCTCTCTGCAGTTTTCACAGTCCTTTTGAGGCTTCTGGCAGTGGTTACACCGCATGCACATGATTCGTTGCGTCTTGTTCCTTTCCAAATGATGTTGTGACGCGGGCTCTTTGGTCATCATATCTTCATCGTGGCAAAAACGGCACGTATACCAGCCCTGACATTCGTGGCATTGTAGCTTACAACTGCGTTGGTAGTGTACACAGCCAAAAACGCCCTCTGCATGGAACGTGGGCAGCTTTTCCTCGTCGGAAGGCCGTCGAGTCGTAGCATGCAGTTCGCCATCGTTGTCGCGGTCACGTCGGATGTCAAGCGATGGTGAACGTCGCGAAGTTTCGTCAAAATGTTTGCCCATCATCAGCCGCTGGACCATCATCGCCTTTTTCGCAGGCTCTACGTCGAGTTCTTGAATGTGGCGGATTCGGTCGCGCAAAGTAGCTTCGTCGTGCAACGCTTCCTGCGGCAACTCGGTCAATTTCAAAAGCTGTTCGTCCAAAAGACTTGGGTCTTTGTCACGCGGTAGAACCATATCGTTATAAGGCGGTATGACCTTCGGGCTAGCCGCAGGCGTGACTCCGGCAGGCTCTTCACCTGCGACGTTTTTCTCGTCGCGCGACGGAAGCAGCGTACTCAACAGCGCTTCTTCCGTCACGGCTTTCACAGTCTGGAGACGCGTTAGCGCGTTTGAGAAACTGAGGCCCTTGTGAAGGTCGTTGATGAACGTTGTCACTTGAAATTTCCGCGTCCATTGGCCCAAGTCCGGGAAAGACCCCGGCTCTGTCGTGCTGCCCTTTGAGCTCCAAATGCTGGGTAACGATATCATGGGGAAACCGCGTCCCAGTTTTTCGAAATCCACGTCGATATCGTTCAAGGAACGGTCCTGGTCGTCTTCGTTTTCAGAAGATGAGCCCGCCGTCGAGCGGGTCTTGTGCAGGCTCAAATCCGCCATTTTAAGTCAGAATACCAAATGTTGGACAGCAAGAAAAGATGCGTGTACGAGCTGGGCTGGAAAATCGCCACGATGACAGCCGACACTGGTCTTCGTTTAAAAACGGTTTTAACGATGAGATTGGCGAAACCCATTTCTCGGGTTCTTGGATGAACTTTGGAAGCCCTTCCTTCGTATAAACGCACAACCAGAGTTTGAACATTTAATCTCCAAGGGAGGTCCCAGGTATAAGCCATCAGCAACAACGGCATCACAGCAAAGACCAAATAAGAGCGTGGTGGACAATGGCGTTGGGCATCAAACAGTTTATCAATGTCGCAGGCATTGTGAGGGATCTCAAAAGCTTCAATTTCAGGTATGTGAGGGGGCGAGCGACGCAAGCATCGGAGGCGTGAAAGCGGGAACGAGACTAACATTTCGCAGCGTGTACGGACAGTGGTTCGGATACATAAACATCGTGCTGTGCATGGCGCTTGGAATCGCGAATTTGTTCCATGTGAGCGCGGTGATAGTGTTTGGTATCATCAGCATTGTCCAGAGTTTGGTCATTTTGTTCATAGAGGTGCCATTTCTACTGCGGATCTGTCCGCTGAGCGACAATTTCATTGCGTTCATCAAGCGATTCGAGACGAACGCGAAACGGACCTTGTTCTACGTGGTGATGGCCGTGATCCAGTGGTGTTCGCTCGCGGTGATGGTCACGAGCCTGATCGTCGTGGCCATCGGACTCACGATATCCGCTGCGAGCTACGCGGTAGCGCATTTCCGGCACCAGCAGTTCCAAAACACAAGCATCATCAAAAACCCAGCGGACGACGATTTCCCGCACGAAGCCGTTGTGCGCGAGATGCTGTGAGAACCGGCTCAGCAGCAGGGTGCAGTTACCTCGAAAAGCTCCGTTACCAACTTACATATATTATTATTTTACATTGAGAGGTATCACAAACCAGTGGGCGTAGCACGTGCTTAGCACGTGCTACTCACGTACGTTGTCTTCGCCGTTGACACGCGCAATGATCGCGTTCAGCACCGTCTTGACGTCTTCTTTGTTGACGCGGCCGTCGTGAATCAGGCTCTTGAGCGACCCGGCGTCCGGCGCGGAGCCGACGGCGCCGACGGCGCCGACGGCGCTTCCGCCCGAGCCCGTGAGCTCCTCGAGCACCTGGGGTACGTGTTTCAGCCGCATGTGCTGGAACAGATTGTCCTTGCGTTTGTGGCGGCTCTGGCACCAGGGGCAGTTGTAGGGCTTGGCGGACGAATGCGAGAGCAGGTGCCGCTTGAGCCACGATTTGCGCTTAAACGACTTGTCGCACAAATGGCACTTGTGCACGTTGGCGCCCTCGCCGGCCAGCACCGTGACGCCCGGGACGCCCGGGACCACGCCGGGGACCACGCCGGGGATGCCCACCAGGGACACGCTGCCCCGGTGGTCCGGCAGCTGGCGCTGCTGCAGGGGCGGCAGCGACGGCGGCAGCCGCTGTTGGTGCTGCGCGGGCGGCGGCGCCGCCGCGGACCCGCCCACGGCGGCAGGGGGCGCAGGCTGGAACGGCAGTAGCCCGGGGAAAGCCGCCGAGTACTGGCGCAGGTCCGGCGCCGCGGCGGCCGCGTACATGACTGCGGACATGTCTGAGGCGCTCGGGTGGCGGCCCATGGCCTCGGACGGATGGGGCACGCCCGCGGGCACGCCCGCGGGCACGCCTGCGGGCACGTACCCAGAGGGACCCGTTCCCCCGGGCGGGGCCCCGGGCGGGCCCCCGCCCGGGGGAGGCGCCCCTGCGGCCGCAGCCGCGCCCGGCGGCGACCCGCCAGGCCCGCTCGGCGGCTGCTGGAACTGGTACGGGCTCCACGAAGACGGCGCCCCGTACGGGCTGGGCTGGAAGTTCCACATCACGGGCTGCTGTAACAGCATGGGCGCGTGCACAGACGCGCGCGCAGGCCCCATCTGGGACGCGGATTTGGAAAAATACGCGTTGGCCGCGCCGCCGCCGAGTCTAGCGTCCCACTCGAGCTGCTGCAGGTTCGTCTGGGACCCGCCGCCGCCCGCGGTGGTCGAGCCCAGCTGCGACCGCTGCGACTGGGGCGTGTCCTGCGGCAAGGGGTGCGAGTGGTCTATATCTGCGACGTTCGAATGCTGTGCGTAAGGGTGTACAGACAGCATACAAGCGTGACTTCAAAGGCCATAGAGCAGCGCAGGAGGTGTTTCAGAACGAAAGCAGGAAACACGGGGCTAAAAACACAAACACACACAGCGGGGTCTCGTTTCCAGTTTATGGCCGCTTCACACAGGCTCAAATCCCGAAAGGAACCGAATTATATAGGCTATTTTACCCCATTGCTACACAGTTGTTATATACCGGTGTAACGGGCGTGCGGTCAAGCTTGGCGGGGCTCGGCTCTCGTAAGCGGACCAGTTCCGATGACGACGCGGTCCGTGTCGGGGGAGCAGCCCCAGAAAAACAAGTAGTAGTCGGGGCGGACGCGTGCCTCCTGCGCGTACTGCATGGCGCGGGTGCGGCGCCGCTGAGCAGACACAACGCGGTCCTGCGGCGACCACGCAGCAAGCCGCATGCCTGCCCTTTGATACAGGCGCAGCGCTGGCTGGTTGTTTGAGAACACGGTGAGCTCAACTCCCGCGACGCGCGACGCGCGCGCCGTTGGGAATACGCATTGCGAGAGCATGCGCAGGCCCAGGCCCCTGCCCTGGTGTCTGGGCGCGACGTGGATCTCGTAGAGGTAGAGCACCTGCGGCGGGACGGTCTCGGGCGCGAGGTCGGGCTCGTCCGTGACGAGAAACGACAGAAACAATGCCAGCGCCGAAGGTGACGCCATCTGGCTGTAAAACACGTAGACGAGTCCCGGCGTGCGCATTTCGTCGCGTTTGTTGGCGCGCCAAGCGCGGTTGTTGCCGTACAGCTGGCGCGAGACCCGGGCGTAGGTGGAGCCCAGATTCGCGGCGACCAGGTCCAGCGCGGACGCGAGCCACGGCTCGGCGTCCGCGCGATGCGTGGCGTGCGCGGGGCTGTGCAAGGTCGGCCCGTGCTGGTCGATGGTGACCACGGTGCGGAGCAGAGAATCGGAGCCCAGCGGCAGCTCCGGCGGGAAGTGGGCGAGCGCGTGGGGCAGCAAGGTCGAGGCGGGGGCGTTGGGCATGGGACAGGCGGGGAGCTGGGCGGGGAGCTGGGCGGGGAGCTGGGCGGGGAGCTGGGCAGGGAAAGCCGATCGGAATGGGGGCAGGCGACGGGGCCTCTCCCGGCAGGGGCTGAAGCCGTTTTCTTTTGCGGCGCCCGCGCAGACGGGGACGCCGGTGTGTGGGTGCTGCACGCGCACCGGGCTGCTGCGACAGGCACGCGCCCGGCGATCGGCAAAGCAGACGCCCGCTGCTGCACGCGGCAGGCACGCGCGCAGCGCGCGCAGCGCGCGCGCTGCGCGACATGCAGGCGACATGCAGGCCCGCATCCAGGCAGCCCGGACTTGCCTACGCATACGCAACTATATTCCTGCCTGGCCCTTTTGCTCCGTGCAACAGACGCGCCCGCCTAACGGCGGAGAGCTAAGCGGGCGAGGCCAGGCAGACAGCGTCGCGGACGCAGCAGCGCCGTGTGGTTTTAGGTTCTTGTTCAGCTACGGCGCACGGTGGACCGCCGCTTACGCACGTCGCGCAGGAATCGGGGTCCGGCGCGCATGTTTGTGCGTGTGTGCTTGCGAGTGTGCTTGCGAGCGCTCGGGGCCCCCAATCTATAGAATTTCAAATAAGTAGTAGCAGGCCGGGGGCGTCGACGGCGCTCGTCCTTGGATAAAAATCTCTGTGTATTCACGGCCTGTCTTGTGTGTATCTGTCCGCCCCCACCCCGTTCCCGCCTTGAGCCGCTCAGCTTAGCGTGGCGTCTGTCCCCGCACCGCCGCCTTTGTATTTGCCAGTCATCTCGTCGCGCGCGCAAAGTTGGATCGAGATCACGCACGACGCACGGACCCCGAGGGCCGGCTGAGCCCGCGGAGCCGCCAGGCTCGCGAGGCCCGCCAGGCCCGCTGCCGCCTGCTGCGTACGCACTCGGGGCCAGAGCTCCGCCGCGCCCCGCTGCAGTCCGCACAGTGGTTCCCTTACACGAGCTCCGTCGTACTGCCGCGGTTCCTTGCCTCGGAGCTGCCACGACCGGCGTGGGCCGTCGAGGTGCGAGGCCTGGCCGCCGAGGGCGACGCGCCCCCGCTGCCCACGCCGCCCGTGGCCCCCCTGCCCGGACCGCCGCACGCCCTGGCGCAGGCGGGGATCCCGCCTGCGATCCCGCCCGTGATCCAGGACGGGCGGTGGGTCACTTGGAACGAATGCATTCGTCCGCGCTGGCCCTCACCCACAGCCACTGCCGCGGCCGCGGGAGCAGCGAGCCCCCGAGGGAGCCCCCGAGGGAGCCCCAAAGAAAGCCCCGGGACGAGTCCCGGGACAAGCCCCCGGATGCCGCCGGGCCAATGCCGCTCCCGCCGCCATTACTCTGCCCCGGAGCCGCCCACGGCGATGTATGCGGACTCCGCTGATCCGCACAGAAACCAGTGCCACACGTGTCTCAAGACGTTCTCGCGCATCAGCTCGCTGCGCGCGCACTTGCTTGTGCACTCGGGCGACCGGCCCTTCGTGTGTCCCTGGCCAGACTGCGACAAGTCCTTCAACGTCAAGAGCAACATGATCCGCCACTACAAGATCCACACACGCGCTACTGCTGCCGCTGCTTCTTCTTCCACGGCGCCACACCAATCCCGCGGAGATTGACATCCCGCCCGATGTCGATCCCGCGACGCGCTTCCGCTGCTATCTACCTGCATGTATCAAATCTTAGCTATCGCATTTGCCCTCTAGCACCTACGTTTCAGCCTTCCCGGCTCGAGCGCGCGCCAACTGCGGCGTCTGCGCTGACGCGCGAATGTGCAAGGCACTCTCGTGCCTGGACGCACGCTGTGCGCACGCAACAATGGCAGACCAGGCATGTACATGTGCCTGCATGCCTGGCAGTGCGGCCCCTAGCAGCAGGCGTGCCTGCGGGTTGCCACACACGGCACAGCTCGCGGGCGCGGCACTTTCATGTAAGCCATGTGCCTGGACCGTGCGGCATTTGCCTGGAGCGGCGCCAACGATATGCACAACATATGCACAACAAGGATTGGCCAACGGACCGCGTGCGGTAGGCGGATCGGTCACGCGCGGCTTTGTCCACTTCGGGCGTACAAATACCGAGTCCCGACGGTGCACATCTACCATTGTTGTCCTGCAGGAGCAGATTGATACAAGTGTGGCTGCACTGCGGCTGCATCGCGGTACCGATCGACCTACCCGCTTCCGACTCATTCGTAGAAAGACACATAACCACGTCCGGGTAACACGGGCGCTCGGGGCGGATCGTTTGATACGGATACCTGTTCGCGACTCGGTTCGTATAGGCGTATATCCACATCCGGGTAACACCGTACACGGGGACTCGTGAAAAGACCCCGTCCACAACGACTTCAACAGTTGGACAGACCTGCAGGTGCGCCCCAGTGCAATTTCGAAGGGCGAGCGCGTATCACGAACAGGCTTTTATAAGGGCATCGTATGCGAAGAGCCGGAATCGAAAAACCAAACCGGTGAAGCGAATCGGCAGTCATCCTGGCTGTTTAAGACGGTATGAACGCAGTTTCCTTCATTGCAGATCACATCTCGCCCGCTGGCGACGAGACCAGTGCAGGCGGAGTGGCTCACGACGTCGTGAACGACGTCGTGAACGATCCAGACGACCAGAAGGCTAGCGGCGGCTCCGATGTGGAATTGAGTCCCGAAGATACCCCAGCTGCTGGGGCAGCGGCCGCAAAACCCCGGAATCGGGCTCTTTTATGGTCCATCGTCGTCTTCTTGCCCAACGTCTTTCTCGTGAAACCGATCCTGTTCCTATGGTTCATCGTGACTTTCCCGCTGAGTTTGGTTGAAAGAACTTCCCAGGCGCGTGAACGCGTCGCTGCCGGCGGCAGCGACGCAGCTGCCACCGGTGTCGCGGCCGCCGTTGACGACGGCACTGCAGGCGTCGCAGTGGACTTGCAACATGCAGGCTCTGTCACGAAGTTCAACACGATCGTCGAGGAAGAAGACGACGATCTCGCGGGAGACGAGATGATTCTTCAGCCCGACGCAGCCAAGGACTCTCTCACAGCAGAAGTCGGTACTCCGGCGAAACCAAACGTCGCTAAAACGACGTCGTCTACAAGAGCCAGCGTTCGATCCGGAAGTTCTGGCGCGGTGTTGGGGTCGCGGCGCATGGGCCGGTTCCTGTTCCCGAAAAAACTCGTTCCCCAGTCGGTTCGCACGCGCTCGAAGCGCAAAACGCTCGTCCTGGATCTCGACGAAACTCTGATCCACTCCATGTCGCGCGCTACGTCGTCGAGCAATTCCTCGCAGGCACACATGGTCGAGGTCAAGTTCGCGGTCAGCGGCATCTCGACGCTCTACTACGTGCACAAGCGGCCCTACTGCGACCTGTTTCTCAGCAAGGTCGCCGTCTGGTACGACCTCGTCATCTTCACTGCGTCCATGAAAGAGTACGCAGACCCGGTCATCGACTGGCTCGAGGGCTCGTTTCCAGGCCGCTTCTCGCAGCGCCTGTACCGCCAACACTGCATTCTACGCGACGGTGTCGGCTACATCAAAGATCTGTCGCTCCTATCCCACTCCGCACCCACCGACGTATTCATCGTCGATAACAGCCCGGTCAGCTACGCCATGCACGTGGACAACGCGATTCGCGTCGAAGGCTGGATCAGCGACCCCACCGATACAGACCTACTCAATCTACTGCCTCTGCTACAAGCGCTACGATTCACGACCGACGTCCGGTATGTCCTTTCGCTCAAGAACGGTGAGCACGCCTTCACGTCCAGATAAGCGACCATATCATATGCCCGCCTTCCCAAGATTTGTTCCATTGATAACACCAGTTTCTTGGCAGCTGGCCCCTGCTCCCCACTTGCAAAGGGTTACAGATAACGGTACGCCCGCCCTTATCGTGACACCGCCGTTCCTCGGTATTATCACCATCGGACTAATTTCAGCGTGTTAAAAATCGAATCATCAGCAGCCGCTCCAGTCACTCTGTACGGAATGACTCAATCTGCTCAGTCCTGCCCGCATCAATCAGCTGATGCCTACGCCTACGCTATCGTCCACGCTCACTGCGTACCCACAAGGCACACAGGGGATCCGACACTGGATGATGAAGGCTTATCAGTCAAACCCGCTAATTTACTGTGTCTCCAGGATCCGACGGAGATTCCATGGTTAGAAGAACTGTGATGACGCAGAAAGAGTCTCTGCATACTTCCGAGGCTCTTCGTGCGCCACATTTTGATATCTCCTGCAAAAGAAAAAAAGATGCAAATAAAGTCCACACACGGACCCTTGGGTACGGCGCTGGCGTAGAATTAAACGAAGTGAAGTCGCGATAGGGCGTAAGGTGAAAAGAAAGCTACTCAGAGCAAGCGCAGCGACCGGAGGTATGGCTTTCAGACGTTTTGTTGAACAGGAGCTTCGACTTCTGATAGTGGCACACATGTGAGAATTCAAGCTCGAGAACTAATACGGGACGGGAGCGCTTGCTGACAAAAGGCATATATAAGTTGCTGGCACGGAAGCTGGTATAAAGCTGGAATTGCCTGGAAGATTTTTCTGGTATACCAACCAAGACCAGCAGCCGTTGCCATGGACAAAGACACTGTGCTGATTAGCAATGCGCAACACAACTCTGAGCAGAGCTCCGACGATGACATTCTTTTCACAGAGACCAGTCAGCGTCACCGGAACATTTCTCCAGAGATGGACAAGACGCGGGAGATAGTGCGCACGTTGAGCCCGGATTTGAGAGGAGAACTCGAAAAGGAAGAAGAAGAAGAAGGCATATGGGAAGGCGATCCTACGTTGCTCCCGGATTCGCCGTATCCGGAAGTGCGTGCCACGGTAGCCAACACAGATGACCCTACGGTTGTGTTGAACCATTGGAGAACTTGGTTTTTGACAACCATTTTCGTTGTGGTTTTCGCCGGTGTAAACCAATTTTTTTCGCTTCGGTATCCAACGTTGACGATCAATTTTCTCGTCGCCCAAGTGCTGTGCTTCCCTGTGGGCAAACTTTTGGAACTTTTACCGGACTGGAAGTGTAAGCGAGTTCCCTTTTTCGATCTTAACCCGGGCCCCTTCACCCAGAAAGAACATGCGGTCGTTACCATTGCGGTGGCGCTTACGTCGTCCACCGCGTACGCTATGTACATTTTGAACGCCCAAACAAATTTCTACATGATGGAATTAAATGCTGGCTATCAGATTCTGATTGTGTGGTCCTCGCAGATGTTGGGATACGGCATTGCAGGTATGACCAAAAGATTTGTCGTGAACCCTGCTTCCTGCATATGGCCTCAAACCCTAATTTCGGTTTCGTTGTTCGAATCTTTGCATTCCCGTAAGATCGACCGGTCCCTGGTCAACGGGTGGTCCATGTCCCGTTACAAGCTATTTTACATTGTTTTCGCTGCTAGTTTCGTGTTTTACTGGGTCCCAGGATTTTTGTTCACGGGTCTATCCTACTTCAATTTTGTGCTATGGGGATCCAAGACAAGACACAATTTCATTGCTAATACCATCTTCGGTGTTCAAAGTGGTGTCGGTGCGATTCCACTTTCATTTGACTACACCCAGGTTTCTCAGGCCATGACCGGTTCTGTTTTCGCAACTCCATTCTGGGTCTCGGCAAACACGTATGCGTCGGTGCTCATTTTTTTCGTCATCGTCTTACCAATTCTTTATTTCACCAACACCTGGTATGCCAAGTACATGCCGGTCATTTCTGGATCCACTTACGACAACACGCAGAAGAAATACAATGTCACCAAAATTTTGAACCCAGACTATTCCATTAATTTAGAAAAATACAAAGAGTACTCTCCGTTATTCGTTCCATTCTCTTATCTGTTGTCGTACGCTCTCAACTTTGCCGCTGTTATGAGTGTTTTCGTGCACTGTGGGTTGTATCATGGCAAAGACATCTGGGCTAAATTGAGAAACAAGAACCATGGTGGCGATGACATCCACGTTAGACTATACAAACAGAACTACAAGGACACTCCAAACTGGTGGTATGGAGCAGTACTGGTCGCCACTTTGGGTATGTCTTTCGGTGCCGTTTGTGGATTCGAAACTCATTTTCCTGCATGGGCCTTTGTAGTCGCCGTGCTAATTTCTTTGGTCAACATGATCCCTCAAGGTATTTTGGAGGCCATGACCAACCAGCACGTTGGACTTAATATCATTACAGAACTAATTTGTGGCTATATGCTACCTTTCCAACCAATGGCCAATTTGCTTTTCAAGCTGTATGGTTTCATTGTCATGAGGCATGGACTTGATTTCAGCAGAGACCTGAAAATGGCTCTCTACATGAAAGTTCCTCCCAGATTGATTTTCTGGATCCAAATGTATTCGTCCATTATCTCGGGTCTCGTCAATGTTGGTATTCAAGAGTGGATGCGTTCAAATATCAAAGATATTTGCAGCTCGACTCAACCGGATGGATTCACTTGCGCCAATGGTAGAACTGTTTTCAATGCCTCGATCATTTGGTCTATGCCTAAGTACCTTTTCTCTCCTGGCCGAATTTACAATCCGCTCATGTGGTTTTTCTTGATCGGTCTTGGTGTGCCATTTGTTGTCTTTGGATTGCAAAAGCTCTTCCCAAGGAACCAATTCCTGAAGTATATCCACACACCCGTCTTTTTCACCGGTCCGGGCAACATTCCTCCAAGTACACCATACAACTACTCTTTGTTTTTCGCCATGTCATTTGTGCTTAATGCCATCAGGAAAAGATGGCCTAAGTGGTTTAGCAAGTACAATTTTGTCACCGGTGCTGGTGTTGAATCTGGTGTAGCCATTTCAGTTGTCATCATTTTCCTATGTGTTCAATACCCTGGTGGGAAATTAAACTGGTGGGGAAATTCGGTTTGGCAAAACACTTACGACAATGACTATAAGAAGTACTATGTTTTAAAGAAAGGCGAGACATTTGGGTACGACAAGTGGTGGTAATCGTACCATTGACGATTTGGAGCCTGCCATGGAAAAGGCAAATTAGGTTTATCTTTGCATTGTACAATATAAATCGATATGTAAAATCGTTTAACCCACATTGCGGAATATTATATTTAATGATCATCGTATCTCTATAATCTGTCCTAATCACCATTGATGAGAATGAACTTCAGGATCGTGTTGAACCTTAACCATTGGTCTATAGACTGGTTTCCACATTTGACTTGTGACCCATTTCAGACATTCGTCGAAGTCGCGAGGAACTCTAACTTTATTCTTCGTGCCCGGCACGAGCTCATTTTCGACCCGAGCACTACCCTCTTCCAGGGCTTGCAAAACTACTGCTGTGGCAACCTTCGCAGATGTATCATTTATGACTTCCAATGGAGGCAAAAGGCCAGGCTTCGAGTTACCTTCAGTCATAGGAGAAAGCGACGCTAGTTGGTTGACAGCGGCAGATATCATCGTATCCGAGATCGTGAAAGCACGGGAAAGAACAGCTCCTAGACCTATACCAGGAAACGAGAAGCAATTGTTGTTTTCTGAAATACGGTAACCTTCGACTGGTGGGAATGGCGAACCAGTTGCGACTAGAGCCTCAAAATTGGTCCATCTCATTAAGTCCTCGGGTACAGCTTCGTGCAACCTAGTTGGGTTTGAAAGAGGGAAAATAATTGGTCTTGGATTGTGCTTGTGCATTTCTTGAACGACAGCCTGGTTAAACGCACCAGCCTGAGTAGAACATCCGATCAAACATGTTGGCTTGACGCGCGACAAAACCTCGATCAATGATGTTGTAGTGACGCCCTCCCATTCGCTGTCTGGCTTAGCATACAGGTATTGTCCAGGTGAGCTCATGCTTTCCATAGAGGACATGATAAGGCCGCGTCTGTCCATGAGGAAAATCTTGGAACGAGCATCTTCTGGGGTTAAACCGCTTGTGACCATATGGTTTACGATTTGGTCAGCGATTCCGAGACCAGCAGATCCGGCACCGTAAACTAGAATTTTGGAGTCGGCTAGCTTGCGGTGGGTGTGTCTCAACGCCGCCAAGAAAGAGGCCATTACGACAGCACCGGTACCTTGGATATCGTCGTTGAAGCATGCCAGTTGGTTTCTGTAAAGATCAAGCAAAGGTCTTGCGGTGGTGACACCGAAATCTTCGAAATGCAGAACAGCAGATGGAAACCGCTTCTTAACGGCCTGGATGAATTTATCGACAAATTCGTCATACTGTTTACCTCTGATACGAGCAAAACGGTTACCCATGTACAACTCGTCGCGTGCGAGTTTTTTGTTATTCGTACCAACGTCAAGACAGACAGGTAGAACGCGACCAGGATGAATACCAGCGCAAAGAGTCATCAAGGCTAACTTAGAAATTGCAATACGGATTCCACCGATACCTTGATCACCAATACCCAAAATACCTTCAGAGTCACTGACAACAATGTAATCTACATCTTTGTCCTCACCATATGACTCTAGACGACGCTCAATGGAGTCCGGCTCAGTAATGTCCAGGAAAACACCTTCTGGCTTCCTAAAACGATGCGAATACGCGGCAATGGCGTCTCCCTCCGTTGGTGTGTAAATGATTGGGACAAGTTCCCGGATGTGACGGCGCACCATTTCGAAGAATAGGACCTTATTTTGGACACGCATTGACGTCATGAAGTCGTTTTTGGCCAATGGCGTCTTGAGGTAGCACAGTTGCTTGTAAGCACGCTCCACTTGTTCGTCAAGCGTGTTGACCATCGGAGGAAGTAATCCCTCGAGTTCGAACGCTTCACGCTCTTCATTCGTGAAAGCAGAACCTTTATTGAAAAGCGGGGAGTTCAAAAGCTGAAATCCTTCAATTGGACACTCAATTGGGCCATCCACGACCAATCGGGTTTGTTTGGGCTTTGGGTCTGCCAACATTCTCTTGGCTTGGCTCCCGATGGGCGTTTTTTGCCAATGTGCATTGTCATGACAAGCATCTGTGCCCCGACCAAAAGTATTGTCCTTCGTAGTAGACGTTAAATTCGTACTAGAACGCGTGGCATACGCTCTTGCAATCTTTTTTACCGTGGATAGCTTGAAAACGCTTTCTACACGGATCCCCATTGTGATAGAATCTCTATGAACAACGATATGCGAAACCTAAAAACTATGGCTAGCGTGAAAAAAAACAATCGTCAAAAATTTCCAGAGATGGTCTGTTCAAGATGCCTGCACAATAAAGTCCTGGTCGATGCACAATGAGTGCTTGTTGTTCTCTGTACAATGCCTACTAACTTTATGTGAATAATCATGTGGGTGACTCAATTTTTTATACCGGTAATTCATCGGCATTTTAAAAATTTTCATGATATCTAATTTCGCGCCGATCAACAGCCGTATATTAATTTCCGGAAAATCCCGGAAAAACTCTTAAAGAACTCCGGCAAAACTCAAGAAATTCCGAGTCAAAAAGAAATGCGATCCCGGAAAAAACCGGCGCTGACGTAAACGTAAATATCACATCAAACGAAAAAAGAAATGTTATCCGGAACAAACCGGAAATGACGTATACAGCGATATCGCATCGAACGAAAACTCGCTGCCGCCGTTGACAAAAATTCTTCGTAATTTAAGGCGTATTTCGGAAACAATGGGCAAGGGAAACAAACGCGAAACATAATGGAAACATGAAGCGCGTTTTGCGAGAGGAACGGTTGGAGGCAATGTGAATGGTAACGCGTTACGGAGGTGGTGACTTCTTTTCTAGGAAACATTTTTGCAGACCACGTTATACCAAAAATGCCGCCCACTTGCAATGGGCCGGGCCATTTTGCATACTCCGATTATAACAGATCAAATTGTATCAGAGTACCGTTCAAAGCCCAATTGAAGTCGACAGGCGGATTTTCGAACTCGGCTTTCAGCAAAAACAAGCATTGGATTAATCTGTCGCTGAGATCACGTGACTTTGATGTCATGGGCTCTAGAAACATGGAATATCTCAGGTATTCGATGAAAGGCGAACTGTCGTGAAAGCACTAGCTGTTATTTTGCGCGTTGTCATCCAGGTGCTATCTCAAGGTTCTCATGGATATGCGTAAGGACATTTTTGAAGGCCTTCCGATTTGCAGGGTAAGCAACGCTTGGCGACGCGCGATCAGTTATCGGAACTGTGTGCACAGTCGAGGGAAACCGGTGCCAATACACACACCCAATATCTTGCACTTCGACGGCCATTAATCACCTGCTTGACAATATCACCTTGCTTTCTGCGCTGGAAAAATCCAATATTTGTACCGAATCTTAAGCTGGATTTCGCATTCGTTAGGAAGCTGGAACAACGGCAAGATCTCGTTCCGGCGGCGATCACTAACACCGCTGGAGTTATGCTACCTCAATGTTAAGATCACTTCTTCACCAGTACGCAAGCTGTTTGTTTTGAAGGTATGATTCGTATAACACGACATCAAATGAACCCTGATCTCACGGATGTAATTCCTTTAATTTAAGTTGAGAAACCGTGTTTTCAACTAGTGGCTCAGGGCTTGTTTTGGCCTTCCTCTGTCACATTTGAGACCAAGAGCAGAGCATATAAGCTCTTCAGGGCAATAGGGCAATTCGTTACCCCCCTCGACTAGAATCCTTGACTAATTAGTGCTTTTGAACCGTTCTCTGAGCTTACCTGACAGTTTATTTCACTACATGCAGATATTATGACCAAGTTTTTATGGATAAAGCAGCCCGACATTGGTGTTGCAACAGATGCAGAAAGTCATGAAGAGCGTCCGGTGCTTGGAGTCACCGGTACTTTTGCCATGATGGGCGACAGCGATGCCTCGGCCGGACAGGATCTTCCAAATTTGAAAACAACAGGTAAGGGCATTATTTTGAACCCACAACCGACAGAAAGTGCAAGAGACCCTCTAAATTGGCCTATATGGCGGCGAGATGCCGCGTTACTCGTGGTTGGCTGGCACTGCTTCGTCGGAGCCGGTCAGACGTCGATTCTGGCCGCGGGAATGTCAAAACTAGAAGAAGAGTTTGGCCGCTCTGCAACAGATATATCGTATCTCGTTGGCGGAATGATGTTGGCGCTAGCTGTAGGGTCCATGTTGGCCGCACCAACAGCAGTTTTGTATGGTAAGCGGGGCGTCTATCTTTTAGGAATTATCGTTTTTTTTGCAGGCAGTATCGGCTGTGCAGTTTCAAACTCCTACGAGGGACTACTAGCCTCCAGAATAGTTTCGGGACTTGGCGTTGCGACAGTCGAGTCTCTACCTTCGGCGACTGTCGCAGAGATTTACTTTGCACACGAGAGAGCTTACCGTCTCGGGATATACACATTGCTCCTACTTGGAGGTAAAAACCTTGTTCCATTACTTTCGTCCTTCGTCTTCCAGAACCTGGACCGCCATTGGCTTTTTTGGATCGTCGCGATCATTGTCGGTGCCAATTTCTTATTGCACTTGGTGTTCGTTCCGGAGACTTTTTGGGACCGGACTCCAGTGCCCGATAAGCGTTCTTTGAAGGAAACCGCTGTGGCACGTGCCGTGGACGACCGTGTTGTTTCTGAGATGTTCTCATTGTCCGGAGTATATGATGGCTATGACGAAAAATTGCATGACACACCCTCAAATGACCATAAATCCAAACAGAGACGTTATTCGCTTCGAAAAGCTCAAACTGCCATAAGCTCACTAGCACCTTCGCATTTGAGAGTGGGCTTGGGTTTCTATCATGGAAGACATAGTTCTGACAAGTGGTGGCTCATCTTCTTGCGACCTTTTGTCATGTTCTCATATCCTGCCGTACTGTTTGCTGCATTCTTATATTCGCTGGCAGTTGTTTGGCTGATAATGGTTGCCCAGGTGGTCGACAGCGTCTTGTCCGAAAGCCCGTATAACTTTAAACCCATTTCTGTCGGTCTGATATACGTCGCACCGTTTACTGGCAGCGTACTGGGCTCGCTTTTTGCTGGAAAGGGGAGCGACTTCATAGTGCGTGCCATGGCAAAACGCAATCATGGGATATACGAGCCGGAATTCCGACTACTGACTGTATTGCCAGCCGTGGTCGCTACAGCGATGGGTCTAATTGGATTTGGCTGGAGTACACATGCACAAGACCCCTGGATCGCGCCGGCTGTGTTTCTGGGTGTATTAGGCTTCGGATCTTCAGTCGCCAGTACTTCTGCTATCACATACGTGGTCGACTCCTACAAACCTCTCGCGCAAGAAGCACTAGTCAATCTAAACGTGCTCAAAAACGTTATGGGATTTGCATTTTCGTTTTTCAATACAAAATTACAGGCGCAGCATGGCTCCAAAACCGGGTTTGTCATTTACGGGTGTGTCGAAATATTCGTTGGTCTTTTCGCCATTCCTCTATATTACTATGGTAAAAAGGCGAGACGTTGGACCGATACAAAAAAGTTGCTGGAGTTCACCTATGACCATAACGCTTCTCCAGAGGTTGATTCTGAAGCCATTTCAGAGCACTAAAAGACCCTGTATCGATGTTAGCTGGGCTAAAACTTGGGTTCGTGCGTTGTTATTAGTATATACAGATCATCTTTAGAAAATTAACTTGGTTAAGAGTGAAGATCATCAAACCTGGTGAAACTACCAATTCATCATGGAGAGATCGATCGATGACATCGTTAAGAGCCTGTTAAAATTCGTTGTGCGCGGATTTTACGGAGGTCCTTACGTTTTGGTTCTGGATGCTATTTTGTTTCATTCTGTTTTGTCAGAAGAAGATCTTGCTCATCTGCTGGGTATAAAAAGACCTGAACTTCGTGGACTTTTAACCAAATTGCTGGAAGATAGAATCATAGCTCTTCATTCTCAGCAGGAGTTCCACTTCAACACGAGAAGTATCAAAAGGTACTATTACTATATAAAGTACCCGCAAGCGATTGATGCGATCAAATGGAAAGTTCACCAAATGGTGTCCAAACTTAAAGACGATTTGGTGAAAAATTCTGCTCCTCAGGGATACATGTGCCCCGTGTGTCAAACGAAGTACACCCAACTGGAAGCGATTTCGCTATTAAATTTCGAAAAGACGCAGTTTCTGTGCAGTTTGTGCGACGAGCCATTGGTAGAAGACGATTCCGGTAAAAAATCCAAGGAAAAGCAAATGAAACTTAACAGATTGATGGATCAGGTTCAGCCAATCATTGATTACCTCAAGAAAATTGACGATTCTCGGATCGAAGAGAACACTTTCGAAACATCTCTTGCGAGACTCATTCCGCCTCAAAACAACTCTGCAGCGTCGTATACCGTCAATCCCAAGGCGAAAAAGAGCAAAATGTTTACGCCTGGCGAAACAGATGGCTCGCTTGACAATGAGAGCAGCAGGAGAGCTGGCGCGAAATCTCAAGCCACATTGCACGTTAGCATCACAACCGCCAGCGACGAACAGGCACGTAACGAGTTGCGTGAACGTGAGCTGGAAGAAAAACGCAAGCAAAATGCTTTACCAGCATGGCACGAACAAAGTACGGTCGGCGAGTCAGCTCTTGGGAGACTTGATGGCGAGGAAATTCCTGAGACGACTAACGGTGAACAAGTTAAGAGAGAAAACGGCAACGAAGAGTTTCCAGAAGTTGAAACTGAAGAAGCTGACGCTGCTCTTTCTGTACAACAGCTACCACCGCTCACCGAGAAAGAGATAGAAGAGCGGGAGGCGGAGAAGACGTTGGCAGATTATTACGCACAACTGGCTAAAAAGCAAGCACTTGAAGAAGAAGAAGAAGAGGAAGAGGATGAAGACAATGACGACGAAGCTATGGATGCAGAGTTTGAAGATGTGATGGAAAACGAAAACAATTCCCTAGAGCAAGGCGACAACGACCAAAATGAAGATGACAATGACGGTTTAGAAGATGTAGAGCTCGTTGACGTTACATCAGAGAAACAACCCGTCTCCGCGAAACCTGAAGATGACGAAGACCTCGCTGACTTTGAAGACGTTTGAATCGATCGAAAGGCTGGCCCCATGGTGGTTCGCCGATGGTTCGCCGGTAATTGGCTCAGAATGGTGCTTTCACGTGACCTTGAAATTTTTTTTAAATGGAACGGACATGCGATGAGCAGGAAAACGGCCCTCAGAAAGACCACTTTAAAGAGCGATTGACCTTGTTTCTGGGTACTTTACATCTGTGTGGCTCTAAGTAATGGATCGCAGTAATTTAAAAGTCATAGCTGCGACGGCAGTTTTAACTGCGGTAGGAATCAAAACTTTCGATGCTCTCATGAATAATTACAGGAATTTTGGAAGCTTCTTGCCAAAAAAGTCCATTTCGGCGAATGGCAAATCGCGACGTTTGCCAAACGGCTTCACAGAAGATGCAGCTGGGTATGACGATGAGTTGTTTCGCGAACAATTGGCTCGAAACTATGCATTTTTGGGTGAAGAAGGTATGAACAAACTGAAAGAGCAATACATCGTTGTGGTGGGTGCCGGTGGAGTTGGATCATGGGTAGTCACCATGTTAGTGCGTTCTGGATGCCACAGAATTAAGATTATTGATTTTGATCAAGTCTCGTTAAGTTCTTTGAATCGACACAGCTGTGCGACGCTGAGAGATGTTGGAACTCCAAAGGTTGAGTGTTTGAAAACGCATCTGAAGCAGATTGCTCCGTGGTGTCAGATTGAGGCTGTGAATGAGCTATGGACGAAGAGCGAGGCGGACAGACTCATTTTTGGTACAACAAAACAGGAAAACCCCACATTTGTAATAGACTGCATTGACAATATAGACACGAAAGTTGATTTATTGGAATTCGTGCATCGTCACAATCTGCCATGCATTTCTTCCATGGGGGCCGCAACTAAGAGTGATCCAACCAGGATAAATGTTGGAGACTTGACCACGACGGAAGAAGATCCGCTCGCGCGTTCAGTGAGAAGGCGGTTGAAACAGCGAGGTATAACCAAAGGTATTCCAGTAGTTTTCAGTGCAGAAAAGCCGGATCCTAGAAAGGCAAAATTGTTACCTCTACCTGAAGAAGAGTTCCAAAAGGGCAAAGTAGACGAGTTGACTGCGATCAAAGATTTCCGCGTAAGAATCCTTCCAGTTTTAGGAACCATGCCCGGAATGTTCGGCTTGACCATCGCCACCTGGGTACTCACCAAAGTTTCAGGGTATCCGATGGAACCTATTGAGGGTAAAAACAGAATCAAGATTTATGACGGAATATATCAATCTCTAGCAGGACAGATGTCTCGTATAGGCATGCCAGACCAGCGCGTTCCGATTGCTTTGAGGGAGATTGGATACATTGTTGAAGAAGTCTTCAGAGGGAAATCACCTATTAGTGGGTTCTCTACGAGGCTGACATTGTCCAAATGGGACCCAAAGCTTCCCGTTTCTTTGCAAAACGTGGTACTTCTTACAAAGGAGGAACAGAAAGAGCACGAGAAGCGTGTGCTTAACGGGCATGAAGCCATAGAAGACGTGTATTCTGCACAAGTATTAGCAGAAGTTAATAAGAGATTTGAAGAAGAGAATTATTATTCTCAATTTAGGTGATGCACAAAAGAATATAAAATTTCTGACATTAAATAAGTTATTATTTGTATTACAGATGCTGTCGTTCATATCCCAAAGTGCCATTTCATGCGTTCGTAAACGAAAAAGCTGCAAGCAACCATGGGAGTGACCTTGATATATCCTATGCTTAGACCGACAAAAAACCCTCTCCAGCCGCGTTCTTGATATATGATTCTAAACATTTGCGGTATCGATTGAAAATTGTGCATGGAAGATGGAGATACAACACTCACCTGGAGTCGTCTTCTAATAATCTCAAAGGGATATGCCGCTGTTTGCGAAGCCATCCCTGCAAGTCCACCTGCGGCCAATTCAGCCCAGGATTTAAGAGGCGGACCACCTCTTTTGCGAGTCTGCTCTGTCCGTTTCGTTTCGGAGACAGGTAAAACTGAATAAGGTGCTATCAACGGGCTTCTGAAAACGTCACCTAAAATGTCATGCGCAAGAAACGACACGCCTGCGTACGGGATCATGCCAAGAATGGTTGGTGTGAAACCACGATAAAAATTGCTCCAATGGGCAAACCAACTGGGTATAAATGGTTTGGAAGTGAGAGAATCTGACGCCCGTTCGTTGAAAATCTGTTTAACAATGGGCCACATCTTGATGCGACGATGGTCTGTGACGTAAGCCAAACGAACTCGAATCAAATCTAACGGGTAAGCGACAAAAACGCTACAAAGTCCAGCGATCGATCCGCTCGCCAATCTACGCCATGAAGTTTCGTATTGAGCTGACGGAATAAGCACATGTCGCACTTGTTCGTAAGCGATGAATTTGATAGCTGCATAGGGGAAGATTCGCAATAGAGTCGCCGAGTGGCCTTGATAAAATCCGCGTATGCCGTCGTTGAGTCGAATATGACTTCCAGCACGTACAAGTCCCATCATCGAGCCGGAATATTTAAGGTAGTGCGGATTGGAAGTTTGGAACAGAATTTTGATTCTATCCAATGGTGCAACTAATGTCTTTGCCACAGACCCAGCCATCCCACCGGCAAGCCCCGATTTCAGGATGTATTCTGCGGATCGTTTGTCCAACGTATTGGTGGAAGTCACGACGCCCGTGCCATGTTCATCCTGCGACCATTTCACCATCGGGGAATTCGTCTAAAAGCGCAAATTATCCACGTCGCGGTTCTAAAACGTTGTAGTAAAGGATAAGTGGCAACCGGGACACTGCTTAACCAGTCAATTTGGGGGTTTGAACAATCCTGTAACGACGAAATTGGGTTTTCAAAAATAGGCATCGAGTGACTATAAATTTCAAGATTCTTTAATTTTTTTAAAGCTATCGGAATTGGTCAGGCTTAAAAATCGATGACTCTCGGACCAATTGGGGGAGTAGAGAGGGGTGTGAAGACGTGATGGGAAATGGAAATATATTAGAGACGTGAGGACTTTCGAAACGCTTATTTTCGATGCGTTTATTTGGTTCTTTCAGATTCGAAATTGGTTGAGTTTCGATCTCGGAAGGTGGGGATGAGCTTAAAAGAAGGGCAGGCTATCAACCATGCCAAGAGTGACGTGTTTGATATTTGACGAGAGTCTTGAGAGGGCAAGCAGACTGGTCAGTTGATTCTGCTGCGATGCATGACACGAATTCTCGCAAGAAACATGAAATAATGGTGAGATGATAAGTATATTGAAAATCGAAAACATTTTAATTAGCCAATGGAGTCATGCCCATGGAGTAATCCCCATTAAATCACTTTGCCAGATGCGACGGAGCTTCCAGCGTTGATGTTGGAAGGAGCTAACGATGGGTTTCATCACGTTTTGATGGATAATATCACGTGGTCACGATGACAGAATAAGTCTCAAACGATGGAACCAGCTGAGGAGGCGACAGGAGCCCACATGGTTCTAGCAATCATCATCGAATTGTTGCACCACTCCATTGGGGCTACCCGCGGCATCATTGCTTAGATAAAATTATTTAACACCTATTTTGCTGAAAGTGACATATTAGAAATGGTGTCACAAGGTTTATCTAAGAGACGACATGATAAAAGTCAGAAGGCCTCAAATTGCCTCTTTGAATCATTGCAAATATAAATATGTAACACAAGATATTTTTAGAAGCGATAAGGTTCGACTGCCGATGCTGATAACCCTCAATGCATGTCGAGGGAGAGAAGCTGCAAGTGCGGCCGCCAGCGTGGGTACTTCACTAATGATGGCTTTCGAGTTAGACAAACAACTTTTCCAGTTTCTCCCTACTTTCTACGATCGTCTCGCTCTCGCAAGCCTGGCCGAATAGCCCACCTCCCATGCAGGTGCCGTTGGCCATGCCGTTCAAGTCACGTGGCAGATCGAACACCACCTGGGCATCAGGCAAAACGCAGCAAAGCAGGATCTTATTGGAAGAAACAGTAAAAAGGTTCTCCCTAATATAGTTAACTTCACCACACACTTCCCTACGCGTACGTCATTGCACAGCATCTGTCTTCTGTCTCGCTCCAAAACCCAAATCACCTTTTCGATATTCTGTCACTCACATCACGTGACATGTTTCACTCCTGCACAGCAAGTTTCCCCTATCGCCACGAATTACTTCCTACACCTACTATAAAGGCCGCCGAACCCCTGTTTACTGCATCAAATCACCCACTTCTCCCAAAACTTACTGTTTACGCATTTACCTCTGCTTAATTTTCATACATAATCCATGGCATGAAGTGAAAAATTAAATCCCACCGGAAATTTGAACCTCTGCGAAAACATCATGCGATAGTCATATAAGAAACCCGCCAACGAGAGTGTGCATCTAACGTTTATATAGCTACTTAGCGTTTAGTTGATCTCAAGATCAAGTTTAAAAGTACCACAACCATGACCCAGAAACGACAAGTGGACCCATTGCATTCGTTTTTAGCAGGTTCGCTTGCGGGTGCAGTGGAAGCATCGATCACGTACCCGTTTGAATTTGCCAAAACTCGACTCCAACTCGTCGACAAAGCTGCCAAAGTGTCCAGGAATCCACTTACGCTTATCTATACCACTGCAAAAACTCAGGGTATTGGTTCCATCTACGTCGGTTGTCCAGCGTTCATTGTCGGTAACACAGCCAAAGCTGGCGTGCGATTCCTGGGGTTCGATGCAATCAAAAATGTGCTGCGAGACCCCGTGACGGGCGAATTGAGTGGCCCGCGTGGTGTTCTCGCGGGTTTCGGTGCAGGTTTGCTCGAAAGTGTCGTGGCAGTGACACCCTTCGAGGGCATCAAGACCGCATTGATCGACGACAAGCAATCTGCGACCCCCAAATATCACAACAACGGACGTGGCATAGTACGCAATTACTCTGCGCTCGTTCGTGACCAAGGCCTGCGCGGCCTGTATCGCGGAGTTTTGCCCGTCTCGATGCGTCAGGCGGCCAACCAGGCCGTCAGACTCGGTTGTTACAACAAAATCAAGACTTCGGTGCAAGAATATACTAACACGCCCAAGGACAAACCACTGTCTTCTGGATTGACGTTTGTCGTCGGTGCGTTTAGCGGGATTGTAACCGTTTATTCGACCATGCCCATCGACACGGTGAAAACGCGAATGCAGTCTCTGGACTCTTCCAAATACACGTCTACTGCCAACTGTTTTGCAAAAGTGTTCAAAGAAGAAGGAGTGCTTACATTCTGGAAAGGCGCGACGCCGCGTTTGGGACGACTCATCCTAAGCGGCGGGATCGTGTTCACCATATATGAGAAAGTATTGCTCGTGCTGGGCTAGTAGCGCGCGTTTCCAAATCACCGACTTCATTATAGAACCTGTATGTATACTTGTTAATTTACATATATACACCGCTGCCCACTACACGCGCTCCTGCGTGAGATATCGTCTCTCCATTTTCTTGACCTTAACGTAGTCGTAAATGGCTTTGCACACGATCAAAATACCGGAAATTAGCAACAGTACCACCAAAAACGGCATGTTCTGTTTCTGGTCCACTACTCCATGGCTCAGTTGCGATTCGAACTCGTCTCGTGACGCCTCACCCGCGTAAACACGTGCATCGTTGATGTCGTTTGGGTTTACAGGCTCAATCCGGTCTACCTGCTTGGTACGACCCACTTTGGACGTAACGTCGCTTGGAATCATCGAATACGCATACCCGAGAAATGTGAGCCCCAGCCCCAGCCGAGATCCTTGCTTCGCCGCATGCGACGTGTGCAGTATGTACGTGAGCAAAAACCCAACAAACTGGAAACTTACGCTCACGATGATGTTCCACAGCAAATTGACTACGTTCCCAACTGGTAAACCTTCAAAACAAATCTCGTTATAATACATGCCAGCACCGTCTTCGTCCATCCCATAGTAAGACGGCACGATATCTGCAGCGGCCTCGTCGTACGTGGGTGGTTTGTCACTCTCAGGAACGGTTCCGGCGCCGTCACGCGTGTCAGGTTTCGCCGTCAAGTTACTGAACACACCGTCCGCGTTGGCACCATATTGCAACAGCGACAGCGGCGAATCGCCGCTGTTACGCCGTGGCAACCGGTCCAAGATATTGAACTTTCGTCCCAAGAAATGGAGCCGTCGCAGCACCGATTCTTTGGCGTCTCTGGCTCTGTTTGTCTGCGTGGCAAGTGTTCCAATCGCCGTCTCTGGTACATCATCCACACCTGTTTCGCGCGAGCTTCCAGCGGCACTGGCACCTACGTCCGTATGTGACATTGTTTCTCGTCTTTCCAGTCGATCAGAGAGCTCGTCCTTGTTCTCTTTGGTAGTTCAAGAGATACCGTTTGTTAAAGTGGGAAAAGCCTCAAACCCGTATAAATATTGATGGTGATGGTAGACGTTGTTGATGTCATTGTTCACGAAAGGCCATCGTCTTCAGCTTGAACAGGGTCATCGCCGCTCATTGGAACCGCCTTGGAAGGCTTGAATCGGCCAGGAGGCAGCTTGATGTGCACCATGAGATACTCACCGGGAACATGGTCAAGTACGTGGCAAAATTCCGTTTCAATGGCTGGGTTTTTAGGCAAAACAGGCCGAAATTCGATATCCGAGTGCAACTCGTAAGAGCTGACGGCAGGGCCCAGATCGATGCCCCCAGGCAGCACGGTCGACGGGATTGGGATGCGGAAAGTCTTGGGTACATCCGAGAGGTCTGGTGGTGCCGCGGCATCGGTTTGTGCGGGGGTAGTGGCCGTCGCGGCGACGCCGCGCCGGCTATTACGACCTTGACGTCGTTTACGACGCGTGTCGCGGTCTTTATCACGGTCCAGACGCTCGAGTTCCGCGGCAGACACCCTAAGCAAGTTGGGCGTGTACACGCGGGTGTCTGGGGGCGTGCGGTACACGTCGTCGATGGTAATGATCGGTAAGAGTCGACTGCGGATATCGTCGTCGTCGACCACGGACCCGTCGAACGGGTACGCAACGAGCGCCAGCGACCGATGGTACATGTGGACTTGTTCGCGGATGGAGTGGGCAATTGCAGTGGCGAACTCTCCTGGCAGTTGCAACTCGTTGCACATACATTCGGCAAATTCTTCCGGGTTGTTGCCCGGGTTCGAGATGTCCCACTCGAAGTTGTCAATGAGCTGGTTCTGGCCCACGACGACGTCGAGCTGGATACGGATTCTCAAATCGTCGCCTCCTAGCTGTTCTTTGTTGTGTGTTATAAAAGGGTCAGGTTGGAATTCTGCGATTTGTTCACGCACCGCTTGCACCACGGCCTCCGTGAATTGGTCGTTGGCGTGGAATCGGTAATCGCGCAATAACTCCGCAACAAAATCCTCGACTTTGAGCAAATTGTCATTACGGTTCCAAATGAAAGTGTCACGCAGCGAAAATTTGTCACGTTCGGCGTCGAATTCGAGTCGCACGGGCACAAGTTCTGCGTCGGTTTCGCGCATCGCTTGCCGATACACGTCCTCTAGACGGTCGTGCGTGAGGAGACGGCCATCGGTGGCGACGTTGCCCGGTACGATCTGGGTGATCGTGTTTGTAAACCCGTTGCCGTAGCCGCTGTAGCCGTCGCCCCAAATACTCTTGGAGACGACGCCCTGGGTCGTGTTGGTGATGGATTTCATGCGCGTAGCCTTGAGTTCCTTGTAGTAGTTGAGATCCTGCAACAGCCGCGTAAGGTATTCCTTGTGACTGAACCCATATTTGCTGAAAGGTTCATAGCCCTGCCGTTCCTTGATGAGTTGCTTGGCATTTTCGCGATCGCGCCTGATAATTTGTTCGTATAGAAGTGTGGTTGTGTCGGGTTCTTTTAGTTTGGTTTCGCCTTGCTGGATTTTGTCGGTCCAGTAAGAGAAGGAGTTCATGATCTGTTCTGGAGGGTCCTGGAACACGGGCTGTGGTTTAGGCGCCGCGACCGCAGCAGCAGCAGCAGCGGAGGCAGCAGGAGATGGTGCTGTAGGTGTCGCGCCAATGTTTTTACCTGCACGCTGTGCTCGTTGCACAGGTGCAGGTTGTGGGCCACGTTGTTGCTGCTGCTGCTGATGCTGGAGTGCGAGTTGTTGTTGCACCGCAGTGATGGCAGCCGCTGCAGCCGTGTTGTTTTTGGCAATGGCCTGTTGCTTGAGACTATTCAGCACACGCTGTTGCAACGGTGGCGGTAACTGTGCAATTTGAGGAGGGAGATTGATAGGTTGTGTCGCCGACGGAGCCGGTGCAGCGGGCGTAGCTGGCGTCGTTGGCCCTGGAGTATGTGCATTGAACTGAGGTGTATGGCCCTGTGAAACGGGCTGTTGCATGGGCTGTTGCATGGGCTGTTGCATGGGCTGTTGCATGGGCTGCTGTACGGTTTGTTGCTGTTTGGCTTTCAAAATCTGAGCACGTTGTGCCGCATTCAACTGCGCGGCGCTGGCTGCAGTGGCTGCACTAGTCTGAGCTATCGCACCCCCATTGCTACCGCCACCACCAGTTTGCATCGCCTGTCGCTCCATGAGTAACTGCTGGTGTTTTTGCTGTATCATCTGCAATTGGACGGGCGTCAAATTCTGTAAAATGTTGCTCGGCACTTGCGACAGATTGAACGCTGGAGTGCCAATATTCGCAAAGGGATTTACCTGCGAATTGTTCATCGCCACCAATTCTTAGCTCCTGGAAACCCTGACACCGCGCCTTGTCACCAGTTACAGTTGGTTTTGGGTGAGATATCCAGGTTCCGCTCTTGTTGATTTCATGAAAGTTCTGGATGTCATCTAATACGAAAGGCTTTCCAATTTTCAATTTATCAACAACTTGATCAAGATCAACTCTACGCAAGTGAGCTCAGTCGTAAATAAGACAATTGCGGGCTAAGGAGGCCCATTTAACGAGCTTTTAAGTGCCTTTTTGAAATTATCAGGGTTAATTAGGGCATAGACGATGATCGTGGCCGTTTTCATTGCGGATTCACGCCAGGAACTCGTGTTTCAGTACCTCGTGAGCTCGGATCTGCCCGGTTACAAATCCTTGCGGAACCGGATCCAGACCATGGCTCCGACGCTCGCGGCAGAGCCGCAGGCTGGGAAGGCGAGTGTGGGCCGCAGTATGGAAGTCTACAAGCACGTGTCGCCCAACGGGCTCGCGTTTTGGTGTGCAACGAAGCCAGGCCCGACGACGCCCGGTGCGAAGCACCCAGGTGTAGGGCACCCAGCGGAGCCGCTTGTGTTCTTACAAACGCTCGAAACACTTTTATTACACTATTTCGACAAAGATCAACTGAGCGTTGCGAAAATCCGCAACAATTACGACCGTGTGACGATGCTGGTATACAGTATGCTTGACGCAGGCGAGCCTGCAAACGTGGACCTGGGCCGTCTTCAAGAAATGGTACCTTTGCGACGTGATTTGGCCAAAGTCGTGAACGCGACTGCGAGCTCCTTAGGGAAACGGCTCACACAGGGCGATTCTCACGCACTTTTTGCGTTGCCCAATGTGCAAGGCGTGTCGTTGCCCACTGAGAAATCCGTGCCCTGGCGTACGGCGGGGCTCGTTTTCGCGGATAACGAACTGTACGTGGACGCGACCGAGACCGTGAACGCCGTGTTCCGACGCAGCACGCATGGCGCACGCGACCGCACGCGGTGCGTGTCTGCGTTTCTCGAAGGTACCATCGATTTCAACTCGCACCTGACGGGCGACCCGACAGTGCTTGTGCGACTCGATCTATCGGGCCACAAGCTCGCGGTGCCCGCGCTGCACCGGTGCGTCGACACGCAGGGCACGGATTTCCATGCGAGTCGACTGCGATTTGTGCCTCCCGACGGCAAGTTCCGGCTCATGCGATACGTGGTTGACTTGACGCCCGGCACCGCGCCTGCGTCCCACCAACACAGTCGAGCCCTCGCGAACCTGGGGCTCGTGGTCCCGGAACTTCAGTCGGCGCTCGGTGCAAACCGTGACGAATTCGAAGTCACGCTTGACATTGCACCTTCGACAACGGTCTCAGCCGTCGATAATGTCCAGGTCGCACTTCATTTTCCGCAATTGCCCTCGGGCGCCCGCGTCAAGGCCCTCCGGACGACACATGGCCGCTTTGAAAACAGCGTTGACAATCGCGACGCCCTGTGGTTACTCGACAAAACCACCAGCACGGGCACTCGGCCCGTGCTGCGTGCGTGCATTGAAAACTCCGCTGACGACACTACTACAACAACGACTACCGCGACGACTCTACGCGTGTCCTACGCACACAAGGGCCTATTGCCCAGCGGGATAAAAGTCGATGCCGTCGACATCGTGGCCGGGCTCCCATCCACCATCAAACCTTTCAAAGGTGTCAAATACCTGGTCAAAACCGGCGATTTTGTCCTGCGATGAGCCTCTTCTTCACATTTTTCACCGACGGAGTTTTCCCGAAAGTTGCGATGAGCCGTACTAAACGACACCAATTGGGGTAAATCCGTGCATGCGGGGTGAATGACCCCTGTTGGAGCGCCCAAAAGCGCCGAGGGAAGATGGAAAACCTATAAAAGGCGAGGGTTTTGAATCTTTGACATTGGTTCACATCGGTAACAATTGTGACATGAACAAGGGAAAATGCCTGAAAAACTAAGTTTTAAGGACAAAGTAGTGATTATTACTGGTGCTGGCGGCGGATTGGGCCGCGTGTATGCGCTGGAATTCGCGAAAAGGGGTGCAAAAGTGGTGGTGAATGATCTGGGTGGCAGTTTGAAAGGCGAGGGCCACAACGCGCGAGCGGCCGACGTGGTGGTTAACGAGATCAAACAAGGGTTCAAAAATGGAGATGCAGTGGCGAACTACGACTCTGTGACCGACGGGGCTGAAAACATTGTCCAGACTGCGCTCCGCGCGTTTGGACAAGTGGACGTGGTGGTGAATAACGCTGGGATTTTGCGAGACGCGAGTTTTGGCAAAATGACACCGCAGGCGTTCCAATCGGTGCTGGATGTACATCTGAACGGCGCCTACAAGCTGACCAAAGCCGCTTGGCCGCATATGAAGCAGCGGAAGTTCGGCAGAATCATCAATACTTGCTCTCCTGCCGGACTGTATGGGAATTTCGGGCAGGCCAATTATTCAGCGGCGAAATTGGCGCTTGTAGGGTTTTCTGAGACTTTGGCGAAAGAAGGATTCAAATATAACATCTGCGTGAACTGTATTGTACCCCTGGCGAGGTCCAGAATGACCGAGAAAATCATTCCTCCGCATATTTTGAAACAACTGGCGCCTGAAAAAATCGCGCCGCTCGTGCTGTATTTGACGCACGAGTCCGTGAATGTGACCAACTCGATTTTCGAATTGGCCGCTGGATTTTACGCGCAAGTGCGTTGGGAACGTTCCTCGGGCCAGATTTTCAAACCAGACCCAAAAACGTTGACTCCCGAAGCGCTGTTAAAGGAATGGGGTCATATCGTAGAGTTCAAGGACAAATCGTTCCAAAAAGTGGAACATCCAGTGCAACTTGCAGATTACAATATGCTTATTACGAAAGCACGTCAATTACCGGCCAGCGACCAAGGAAATGTGAAAATTGAATCCCTCAAGGACAAAGTTGTCATTATCACGGGCGCAGGCGGTGGATTAGGTAGAGCACATGCGCTTTGGTTCGCCAAGTACGGTGCCAAAGTTGTCGTGAACGATATTCGTGCTCCGGAACCGGTGGTTGACGAAATTAACAAATTGTACGGGTCCAATCGGGCCATTTCAGACAAGCATGACGTTGTCGCAGAGCCCGAAGCGATTGTCAAGACCGCATTGGATGCGTTTGGTACTGTTGACGTACTCGTCAACAACGCGGGTATATTACGGGACCGTTCCTTTGTGAAGATGACCGACGCGGAATGGGACGCAGTGCTAAAAGTACATTTGGTGTCCACGTTTGGGCTTTGTAAAGCCGTGTGGCCCATTTTCTCGCATAACAAGAAAGGGTGTATTTTGAATACCACTTCTACCTCCGGAATTTACGGCAATTTTGGACAGGCTAATTACGCGGCTGCGAAAGCCGCAGTGCTTGGATTGTCCAAGACTTTGGCCATTGAAGGTGCCAAGATCGGTATCAGAGTCAACGCGGTAGCGCCTCATGCAGAGACCGCTATGACCAAGACCATCTTTTCGGATCGCGAGCTGCAAAACCATTTCGATCCTGCACTTGTGTCTCCGTTCTTTGTATTGCTGGCCAGTGACGAGCTTTCCAAAGTATCAAAGGCGCCCGTCACGGGCCGGTTGTTCGAAGTCGGCGGTGGTTGGTGTAGTGAAACCAGATGGCAGCGTGCCGAGGGTGCTGTGAGCATGTCACCGGATCCAGAATTTTTGCGGGATCATTGGAGTCAAGTGTGCAATTTCAATGGACCCGAGGTGACGTATCCTACTTCGACTCAGGATTCTTCAATGGCCATTTTGCAAGCGGTTACCCAAGCGGCCAAATCTGCGTCTGCAAAGGATCTGTTCAAGTACACCGAGCGCGATGTGATCTTGTACAACATTGGACTTGGAAGTACTAGCAAAGAACTCAAGTACACGTATGAAAATGATGCCAATTTCCAAGTGTTGCCCACTTTTGGAGTTATCCCATTCATGTCCAGTGGAAACGCGATCAATTTGAGTAAACTTGTTGATAACTTCAACTATGCGTTCTTGCTACACGGGGAACAATACTTGAGACTCAACCAATTCCCTTTGCCTACCAAGGGCTCACTTAAGACCGTTGCCAAACCCGTACAGGTGTTGGACAAGAACGGTAAAGCCGCGGTCATCGTAGGTGCCTACGAAACCACAAACGCTGCCACTGGAGAACCCTATGTTTACAATGAAGCTACATTCTTTGTTCGCAAAGCCAAAGTTCCTGCATCCAAAGTCATTAACGGGTCTCGTCCCAAATTCGCGGTACAAAATTTCCCGAAGCCTTCGCGATCGGCTGACTTTGAACTGGAAATCAAGACCGATGCAGACCAAGCGGCCATTTACAGACTTTCCGGCGACTACAATCCTCTGCATATCGATCCCAACGTAGCCAAGATGGTCAAGTTTTCTCGACCCATCTTACACGGCCTGTGTACTTTGGGTGTGACCGGTAAAGCACTCTACGAGCGATTCGGACCTTTCAAAGAAATGAAGGTACGTTTCACAAACGTTGTGTATCCCGGTGACAAACTCAAAGTTCGCGCCTGGAAAGAGTCCTCGGACCTTGTAATTTTCCAAACTCTTGACGTGGATCAAAATTATGTCGTTCTTGACAGTTGTGCCATTCGGCTGTTGGGATCCAAGTCGAACCTATAAGTTGTCGCCAACGATTACTACGATTTACATAGCATTTACATCATTCTTATGCCCTCATTCATTCTTGTTAAAAAACGTTGTAATGTTGAATTGAATATATGGTTTCTACCTTTCTCCTTCTATGGAGAGGTTTCCCGTTTACATAAGTTTGTTGATCTTGATAAATAAGGCAATCAAGCAGTTGAGCTGTCTTCCGGATCGACTTCCTTAACCCAGTGAGAACCAAAGATTGGGATCTTTTTGTAGAAAGTGTCTTGAAATTTTGGCCAACCATCGGTGAACTGGAAAACGGCAAACATGGAGGCACCACCCCACAAGGCAAGGTTAGGAGTGTAGCTGAGCAAAGCAGCTAACGACAATTTACCGTAGTATGGAGCGGTCTTGGCAGTAAGTCTCGAGACGTACTGTAATAGTGGTTAGTATGGTTCGGGAGAGATACAGGGATCATTGGGACATACAGAAACCATCGTGAAGTGTGTGAAGTTGTCGAGGTCTCTGAAACGATGTGTCGATGTATATATGTCCGTTAAGTTTCTTGAAATTGGAATTTCGATTGAGAGTTGAAAATATCGCTAAACACGAAGAGTAAGTGGTCCTAGATTCTGATTGGCTGAAGGCAGACGGACCGTTAATTAACAGAATTTATATTAACAAGCCATTCGAATCTTGGGAACTGAACGAGACGTATGGGTTTTTGGTTGAGCTGTCTGCGTACAGCTGTAGCCCGGTTACAGCTTTGTTACAATTTTTCCCTGGTTTCGTCGTTTCTCGCATTGGTGCTGAAAATGGATACGACCAAGTGGGGAAAACAGGTTTGCCTTGCTGCCGTTTGGGTGCTTTATCTAGACCGCAAAAAGATTCTGAGAGGGAATCACGACAAAACGTTGACCCACAAGGTAAGGCTTTCTTTTTCTTGATTTTCCAAATTCTGACATGAAAACTGCAAGCAATTGAGACCTTCCGGTAGACGAAGTTCGTATTTGAGCGGAGCCGGTTGCTGGGGTTGTTCTGCCTGCGTAGCGGTTTCCGCGGGACTCGTTTTTTCCTTGTTTACCAGAAACACAGACTCCAGGTCTGTTCCCTGTGGCGAATTGACATGTGCTACTATTGTCACGGTGGTTTGCGTAGGCGGTATCGATATCGTATAATTGTTGTGACTTTCTTTCAAATCTTTGCCCTTGAAAACGTATTCTACCCATTTCTGGTTGACGGGCGGCATTGCGCCAGCAGCAGGTTTAGTGGCCTGTCTGTAGACTGAGCGAGAAGAAGAGAGACTTATATCACTGATAAACTTGTACGACTTCTCCTTGGCCGGTTTCTGGTAGTCCATGCCCAGGGATTTCATGAGATTGAATTTTGTCTCATCGGGGAAATCGAGCATAGGCTCACTTGCGAGTTTCTTAATCCTGGAGTCGTCTGCTTTGATTTTCGTGGGGCCCAAAAGATAATCGCCCGAAAACAGGGTTCGGTTGTATCCGTTTCCAAGACCCTCGTAGTGATTGAAATCATAGTCCTCCACTTCACCGTTTTCGTCCTCTAGTCCACCCTCATTTTCGTTTCCACCATTGGCCAAATATTGCTCGTATTCGATCTTGTCGTATTCGAGTTTGACTTCACCGCGTTCACTGGCATCTTTCAAGTCCGCAAAAAACTGTGCTTGCATTACTTTCCGGAAAAACTGGAGCAACTTTTGAGCGTCTTGATGGATGAGTGTATCTTCATTATTGAAAACCAATGCGTTTTGGAACACCAGTTCCATGTCAATGTAAAAATCGTAAATTTTGGTGTAAAATCCCATGTCCAAATTGTTTTTCACCAGTTTTAGCGCAATGGGCTTGTGGATCACTTCATAGTAGTCGGGGAACGAATCTTTATCCACGAGCTGCATGAAAGGCTCGCAGATATGCATCGTCTCGTCTAATCCTTCTTGCGGCTTACCCGTCACTTCTGCAATGGATTTGTCCGTGGCGTCTAGTATGGTCTTGAGCGCTTTCATGAGAAAAGCCTTTACTTCGGTGTTGATTAAGTAGTTCCTGGTCACATTTTTAGCCTTCAGAACTTCATATTTGATGAAATTGACCACTTGCATCGAATTCTTCACAATCAGACTCTCGGGGTCATTGTAGGCAAAACAGTTCTTGAAGATGAGCTCCACGTCCAGCAAGAAAGTCCTTTGTCCATTGAGATACTCGTAATCTCGCGATTTGATCTCGTTTATGGATATGGGTTGATCGATTCTGTAGAAATAGCCTGGGTGGAACTTTCTGCTGGGCAACTTGATGAAGTCTTTGAATATACCGCGTGAGCTCTCGACCAGATAATCGAGTGTAAAGGAAATGAAAAGATTGAACTTAGGTATAAACCAATTTTGGTCCGCAAAAAGCTCTCCCTCAGGGTCCAAAGGCTCAAAATAATTCACTTCTACCGCTGGAGAATTTTCAGGTCTGGGCTGTTTCCCAGCCGCATATCTGGCCCCAGTCGCACCGGATTCGACCACGACTTCGGTCTCCTGGATCTTTCTCTTCTTGGGAGCCATGTTGGGCAAATTTGACAGCTGGAGACGTCTCGTGGTTAGTATGCTCGGTGCCTTTAGTTCTGCTAGCGTCTATATTGATGTTGTTGATATTGCAGGTCCTTTTCAACTTGAATTCGTATGTAGTTACGTTAAGGTAAGTGCTCGTGTATGCTGATATTAAACAGTGTTTAACATAGCGACATGAATAGTCCCATTAGTATCGAATGACTCCTCAGGATGATTCGATTCGGCTCTGGGAAATCCTATTGTGTTTTCCTTACCCACTAAGTATTCATTACAGGGAGACAATCAGTTTCCCCGCGGGCTTGACTTGGAGCTGTTCCTGCAGACTGTCAAAGAATTCATTAAAAAGCTGTTTACACCGCTCCCGCTGGCTTGCATCGATCACTGCAGGGTCTACACTCTGTAGCAACACGGCCTTTTTCTTATCTGTACTTGCATTTTCCTCAGAACTGTGTTCAGTCGTATTGCTCAAATCGCTGAGATCGTGCCTCTGTACGACGATCCCGCTGTTGCTCATCATTGAGATGTCTATGAGTTTGTCATTGGTGTTGTTTACAATCTGGGTCAGTTCTTGCTCACGTGCAATCATTTTCTGTTCTTCTTCTTCCAATTGACGCTGTGCCGCATCGTAATCGTTCAGCGCACCGCTCCCGTACCCATTTTGACCGTTCTGTAACAGCGACTCATTCTCAGCGTTGTTCCCCCGGTTGAAGCAGCAACTTAAAATAACGCCCATATTTTTGTCGCCTAAGGGTGTCAAAGCAAAGCAAATCAGGAGCAGGAGCAGGGGCAGAAATGGGGTTCGCAATGAGGTATCCGTAGTTAGCTTAAGAAGTTAGTGAAACTCTTGGTTGAGATGGGTCAAATCCAATATCACGAGATCCGGGTAAGTGGTGTTAAATCATTTTGGACGGATAAGGAATTTGAAAAATTTCGTTAATAGGAAGAGTAGCGGAGAAGTGATTAGAATAAGTTCAACTGAGGACCCCTGTTTTGTATATTCCGGATCGTCAGGATGCTTGCTCTTCACTCCGGAAGCCACACTTGCAAACGTCACATGCACACAAGCTTTGTGCGCCAGGATTTCATGTCCTGGTTCAAGAGAAAACAGGCCAAACAAGCTACAGCGCCCGTGAGGGACACTGCAGAAGTGATCAGCGAGATCGAAGCTGGTAAGGACCAAGAGGGAACTCCAGATAAGGGTAAGTTGCGTCTGACGGACAACGATTTTGTTGGTACAGAAACGGCGCAGCATGACCGAATCCAGCGCGCAAAACTCGTGCAAGATGTGCCGTTCAACAAGTGGCTTTCCGGCGAGAAAGTGAAGGATGAGCGTACGCTGAAGCAGATTCTAATCGAGGTGCATAATGCGTCGACTGATGCCGCACACAAAATCAACACCATTGAGGATCCAGCCGCACAAACCGCATTTCAAGATCTTACTTCCAAATTCCATTTCTCCAAGCAAGTCCAGGCGCGTACGGGTATCATGATTCCAGACTACACACTTACCAGACTACGTTCGTGTGCGTCGTTTCACACCTACTTCCAATCAGAAATTCTTTCGGGCAAACACGCCCGTTACAACGAACGTGAGCCTAACGCCATCCATCTCAGCGACAGCGCGTTCTCTTCAACCAACATCCATGTAGTCCCAGAAGTGAAGACGCGGGACCGGAAGAAGAAATTGTCCTTGCTTCTAGCTGAAGCGGCAGCGCGGGAACGCGATGCTGCCCAAAAAGCTTTGCAAAGCGCTCGCTCCGAGGGTCTTTGAGTGATCTTGAGATGAAATCAAATTAAAGTAATTCGTGTATATAATGGAAAGAGCATGCTGCGGAGTTGAAACATGACGGAGTTAAGAGCAATTGTGGACTTATTTCAGCTATCGTTAATAGTGATGAAAGGGTTCACTGGCCTCGGCGGCTAAATATGGTATAAATATCTGGCGGCTAAGATATGAGCTTCCTTTCAGATGAACACCACTTTTTCTTAGAGGCTAAACACACACAGGGATATGCTTATACTTCCGCTTCGGATACTCATGTATTATGGTATGCTCTTTTCGCGGGTCAGGGCTTTGAGGAGAAGAGACGTGTGTCCTCGACTCGAGGACCTTGAACCGCTGGATATCGAGCCAAACAGCAACGTAAGTAGTATAAATAGCCAGTGATTATGTATGATATGGAGTTTCCCGTCAGTTCATACTAACCTTTGGTCGCTTCAAAGCATCAGGAGCTCAGAGAGTGTCTAACGCGGGAGTTTCGATTGGCGTACCCGACGTGTCCAGCATGTGTGATTGTGCGTAAAGATTATGCGGACAGCAGTCAGTGTGAGTGCTTCCAATGCGTGTCGAGGGCTCTCACAGGCCATTGTCTCGACGAGTTTCGTAGCATTACCAATCTCACAGATACAAGCGCGGTACATCTTCCGCTTTTAAACTCCAGTGGCATGGACACAATCCTTCTGAATGCGCAGCAAATCGATGAACACCATATTTTCTATCTCATGGACGAAAATCTGGTTTTGCGTCGCAATTTGATGGGTTTTGAAGTCGAAATCTTGATCGATCAGTTTCTGGCGCATCTGTTCAGAATCCGGCAGGCTTCTAATTACCAGCAAGACATGGTTGACGCGGAAGCAGCAAGCTTCCAGTCTGCTATGGACATCCGAATTCAAGCGCTCTGTGGTGTTCATGGTGGCGACAGTGTCGCGTTATGGAACCTGAGCAAAAATGGAAGTGAAACGGAAGACTTCGAATTACTCCAAGACTCAGAAAACTTCAGTGAAAAGCTCCAGACTGGCATTAAGTCCAGGAGAGCGACATGGGCGCGATATTTCATGAAAAGAACCTTTCTGGAATCACCAAAAACTCAACCCGAAATGGCATCTCTACATTTAAAGATACGAGATCTGTCTCACCAATCCAGAACACAGAAATCAAAACTGGAAGCGCCTGGCAGCAAGAATCAAAGCAGGTACATAAGCTCTGTGCTGAGAACCCTAAAGAAAAAGAGCATCTTGATCGCCTTCGTCTCATTTGCAATCACAGCAGCACTCGTGACTAAATTCAGCCCTTTTTCTGGGCTACTATATCGCCTCTTTGTGTCAGCAAATATTTATCCCGATTTGAGTGACGGCGGGCCATTTCAGGACAATATTCTCCTAGAAGATGAGGACTTCGAGAGTTGTACCCTTTACAACCTTTCATCAGAGATACCACATGGAAACCTTTCCTTCAAAGAAATGACAGCATTTGTTGTAAGCGCGCCACACGCTTGATTTTATGCTCCTTCTAGCTTTTAAACTTGTCCGCTTTTCTTTTAGCTCACTTCATCACTCTTGACTTCTGTGTGATTTTTCAGCACGCGATGAAGTAACGTTTCAAAAATGACAAATTTGAACAACTAATGCCGGGCCAGACGACTCATTGTCGCGCCTTTTACGATGCAATCACTCAGTTCAGCTCAACCATCAGGCTTCAAGTGGTTCCTGACGACTTCCGTGATACTTCGTGTGCCAACTCAAACTTCCTTTTCGTGAACTCATGCAACGAAATAGAGATCATTTGCTTCAAGACAACGTTTTTGAAACTTTTCAATGAAGCGCATCTCTATTTTAATGCATTCAAATCAGGTATGTCCCTCCAACTCCATGATCGGTTTAAGCTTTCAGTCCTAACTTAGTTTCGAAGAAAGGAATTATCCGCTCAACCAAGAATCTTACTTGGCGTCAGTGGCACTTTTGTTCACTTCTCCTGAAAATCGTTCCGCCTTGAACTGTCACGATATTATCATTTCAAAAGTTTTAGAGACCGAACGAGAAGCATATACCGATTACTGGTCAATACCCTCTATTTTTTTGCAAAAGGAATTCCTCTTCCTGAGAGCGTTACTGACTTGTTCGCTTAATCGCATCAATAAATCCTCATCTTTATGGTTACTTCTGAGAAAGATATATGTTATTTATAAGGAGCGATTTTCAATACTGAATTTGGATTTCCAAAGTGTCTTCCAACGTTCTGCTGAGCAGCATTTCTCGAATTATTATTGCTGGAATACGGTGCGTTGGTTCTATGACGTTGAAGGTATAGAAAGCAAATTGGCACTTCTGAATCAAACAAAAGAATTCTCGTTCAAGCACATAAAAGATGTCTCAGCTTGGTCTGCACTCGCTTACATGGCTTGCAGAACACACTCCCGAGAAGAATTTCATGATTCAGAGTATCGGAGACTTGGTTCTCACTTTCAAGTTGAAATTCAAAGAAATGGTTTCAAAAATGACACGTCCCTACTGCCTAAAAGATTGAGTTTAATTGAAGAGATCAAAACTTACATTGAGTTAGCAGAAGTCAGAGAATGGCCACCTTATTTTTGTCTTTGGTGCCTCATGAGTCTCGAGGGAAAGAATAAGGTTCTAGATATATTCGAGGACTGGTACAATCAATTGTTAGATTTTGAGAGAATCTACGGAAGAGTTACAGCAATCGAGTCTGTCGGAAATCAACCCCAGGTACAAGACACGATTTCGCACACGCTAATTGAGGTCATGTCGAATAAAAAGAAATTGCTTCAAAAATTGAATATCAATTTTTGAGCCGACAGCTCCAGGCTGTGCCATCTGTGCCATATGAGGAGCGCCACCATCACAGCTGCTAATCAAATATTTATTCTCATTCTTTCGCGGCGTCCACTTGAATCTTGTGCTTTTCTAGGCCCGATACGTCAAATCGATCCGTAAATTTTTGCCCCGGTAGAATTGGTGCTATTTCCAAAATGCTTTTGATTTGACTTTCATGATCTTCATCCTCTGGAATGTGTTTGTAGATGTAAAATTCTAGGTCATCGTCGGGATTCGAAGCTTTTCTAAAAAGTTTAGGATGGAATTCGACGCCTTGTTCAGCTCTTTCTTTGGCAAACGTTCTCTGTTCATCCTCAATTTTAAACTTCTCATCTGTTGCTACCGTATGATCACGTAACGCTAGTGCATCTGTCACTTTTTTCCATAGTCTTCTTGATTCATATTTACCTTGCTCTTTCAATGGACGCACGGAAGGTTTCAAAGGCTTGCTCTTCGTGGCATCGAATAGAACGCTCTTTGAAGTTTTTTCCTTTAGGTTCTTAACGTAAATAACCTCATTCCATTTGCCTGATATTTGATAATATTCATTGCCAGAGTAGTCCTTCACAACGCCCTCAATCATATCATAGGATCCAGAAATAAACCCCTTTGTCTTGAAATCCACGTCTATCTGAAATTTAGGCGACTTTATTATCATATGGTCTCCGAGTTCTATGCGCATTTTGCCGAACAAAATGCCTCGCGCATACATATCTGGTTGCGTTAGTGTGTATTTCTCGGGTTTCCCGTCTTTATCTTTGATATCCAAAAATTGCAAAACAGTTAAACCTTTCATCATTGCAGCGGTTGAATTACCCCAAAACTTGGATATAGGTATCGTAATGCCGTCTACTCTAATGTTTGACTCTGGAATCATGTAGAAATATGACGATTTCGGTGGGTGATGGCTGGTTTGCTCTGCAATATAGAACGCCTGTTGCTTGTTGGGTAGATCCCAGTATGCTGTAAAATATTCACCCAAGACAGGATTCAAAGGCTTTTTCACCGCTTTCGGCGCTATATGCCAACCTGACAAGTACCATTTAACCACCAGCAAAAATCGTTCGAGATCGTTCTTGGTGCTGTGCGCTTCAAGTAAAATATCAGGATATTGCAATTGATTTGTGATTCGTTCCAGCATAGATTTCTTCTCCAAAATGAATGTGGGTAGCGTAATTCGCGAAAGATCGCAACCAGGCTTAAGTTGCGAGATAATACCCATCAGAATATTCTGCCCCGATTCGTCATTTTCGTCGATATCATCCGTATCAACCACTGCCTTCTCGTTCCCGTTCGCCGTCTGATCCGTCATAGACGAGTTTGACGAGCTCAATCCATTGATCTTTGGTTTTAATACGTTTAGCCCCATATTTCCCAGCTTTGCTTAAACTGCTTCCTTTTGGTCCAAAAATTAACCTTTTTCCAGCTCAAGAGGGCCCTATTTAACGTTTAATCACGAGACTATCAAGCCTATATCTTTTTGATCCCGATTCAACGCTTTTAAGGCCTACTTTGTCTTGTTGATGTTGTTTAATTTGTTAAATATATCAACTCCCCAAACTTAGATTTTCATAATAGGAGCTTCTGCCAGCCTAAACCCATAACGAACCAAACCGTCAAATTCAAGAAATGGTAGTCCAATTGAAGATATATATGCATTTACGTAGTCTTGAGTTTAATCAAGATGCTCTGTCAGCCAATGGCGTAACAGCTGTCGCGACGTTGATATTGTCGCTTGCTTTAGTCGGTCTTTTATCGTCGTTTTCGGGTTCTTCTAGCTCAGCGACAGTTGACTTGGGTTTTTTTGCCTTCTTGTGAGGTTTATCTTGTTTCTTGCGTTTGGAATGCTTGACGGGACGTTCTTCACCCTCTGCGTAAACAGTATCAGGTAAATCGTGAAGCTTGACGTATTTGATCATCAAAGAATAAGTATCAGGATCGTCGTATTCGCTGAACGAACGGCAAAGATTGAAAAAATCGGAACAAGGCACATGTATGTCAATCTGTTTTTTGCCCTCGGCAACCACGTCGAGTCCGATGTACAATGTGGTGATGTGGACTTGTTTACTGGCTTTGACAGTTTCTTCCTGTGCATTTGCATCCGTTTTCTCGATAAACTGTTTTAACACGCCCTCTGTCTTGGACGTACCATAATTGTCGACAATTTTGCTGCATTCTTCGTCAGTTTTGTACAAGTATGTGCACTCGAACGGCTTCACGAAAGGATGCACGAGTTTGATTCCGTTTAGAACTTCCAGTTTTTGAACTAGTAACCGAAGCTTACTTTCGACCAAACCACTCCATTTCAAATGCTGCTCGTCGGATCCTTTCGTAGACGCCATTACGGTCAAGTAGAATTTGTATCTGTAAAAAAAATCGTGCTTTTGAAAAAGTTCACTCCAGGATTTTTTGTTTGTAAATATGTCGTTGGTAATCTGGGCACCTCTTTCAAGTTCCCTCAAAATTACGGTTTTGGTCGACTCGTTGATGTTGTGAGTAGCGCACATCGACGGGTACGCCGGTGTGATGACAGGCATCTTATGAGATCTGTCCTGCGCGTATATACGAGGATTCCATACTCGTACTTGCAAAGGACCATCCTCAATGGGTTTGAGCAAAACTGGTTGAGGCCAATTCCATTTCGTCAAAATGTGAAAAAACCGAGCAACAATGACACCACCACAAGCATTGGGGTACAGCTGACAAATTCGAGCCACGAGCATTGCCCACGCAACACCACCTGGGAAACCAAACACGTTACCGTATACGGCGCGTCTACTGGCCCATAGTTTGATAGCTCTTAAAGCGGTTTTAAACGCAGTGGGTTTAGGCACCAATTGCAAAATCTCGTCAGTGACTCGTGTTCCGTTCAAAGCTCTGAGATCCTTCTCGTCCAAATTTCTAAGCAGGTTTTTGTCTGCTAGGGTCAGCGTCAAGGGCACCTGTGGCACATCTAGTCGGGCACAAAGCATATCGATCGAGATCCCACTGAACTTGATTTTGAAAATCGGTACAAATGCGTCCGGTACAGGTGCAATCTCTTCCAATTCTGGCCTTTCTCGCAGTAGCCGGTCCATGACTGTGAAAAAATCCTCTCTTGTTACATGTTTAGGCACTACGATCAAAGTGTCCAGATCGCTTCCGGGGCCGTGTACGCCCAACCGGTATGACCCAAAAGTGAAAATTTTACCTCCGGCATCTTTCGCCATCCCGTCTGACATGTTTTTGCTCTTGGAAACTTCAAACACAAACTTCTGTGCCAATTCTTGCATGACTGCCAAAACTTGAATCCTTTTCTGCGTTTCCGCTTCGGTTTCGAACGATCCCTCGCGCTTTAACTCCTGAACAAGCGCATCGTTTAGCTTGTTTTCCGCGGCAGTAGGACCCGCTGCAGAGATCGGTCCCGTAACACCTAAAGTCTTTTGTCCGCTCATCTTACTTGGCTAGGACAGTGTTCTTACTCTGATTGATCGATTGTCGTCCGAAACTCTACCAAATTCGGGTCAAATCGTTTCGAAAGAGATTTTGCAGTACCTTTTAAAAAGCCTCAAATTTTAAGGAGACTAACTAAACTTGGGGTTTACCACTCAAATACTGCCCAATAATTCGATATAACACCTCTTAAAGGTTGTGTCTTCATTGCCAAAGATCGATCAACTTTGTTCACTTTGTGATGAAATTTGGAAATATGTTCGGGTAACGGTTTGTGATAAAAAAATCAGAAATCAACTTGAAAGGGGCACACTAATCACTGATCAACTAACAAAACGATTAGAAGGCTCAAAACGCGACTTTCTGGTGGATTTGGCACTAGATTTAGTAGTGGATTTGGTTTGGAGTTAGTAGTTCTACACGCTACAAGATGGATGAGACTTTGATCTCGACAATCAACAAGTTACAAGACGCGTTGGCCCCTCTTGGAGGTGGATCTCAGTCGCCCGTAGATTTGCCCCAGATCACAGTCGTAGGGTCCCAATCGTCGGGTAAATCGTCTGTGTTGGAGAATATAGTGGGTAGAGATTTTTTGCCTAGAGGAACTGGTATTGTGACTAGAAGACCGCTTGTTTTACAATTGATTAATAGACGAAAGGCGAAAGTGAATCCCGCACCTGCAAAAGATGATTTGTTAGATCTTGCGAACGGGGATTCGGGCCAGTCGGAGGACAACGTTGAAGAATGGGGCGAATTTTTGCATTTGCCAGGCAAAAAGATCTTCAATTTTGACGAAATTCGTCAGGAGATCGTTAAAGAAACTGAAAAAGTTACCGGTAAAAACGCCGGAATATCTCCGGTGCCGATCAATTTGAGAATTTACTCTCCACACGTTCTTACGTTGACGTTGGTAGATTTGCCAGGTTTGACTAAAGTTCCAGTGGGAGATCAGCCCGTCGATATTGAAAAACAAATCAAAGATATGATCTTGAAATATATTTCGAAACCTAATGCGATTATTTTGTCCGTCAACGCCGCGAACACGGATTTAGCAAACAGTGATGGGTTGAAACTTGCTCGGGAAGTCGACCCAGAGGGAACTCGCACGATAGGTGTGCTCACGAAAGTGGACCTGATGGATCAAGGTACCGATGTTATTGATATTCTCGCCGGTAGGGTTATTCCACTCAGATACGGTTACATTCCGGTGATTAACAGAGGTCAGAAGGATATTGAAGTAAAGAAAACCATCAGATCTGCGCTCGAGGATGAAAAGAAATTTTTTGAAAACCATCCCTCGTACAGTTCCAAAGCGCACTACTGTGGTACTCCATACTTGGCTAAGAAACTGAACTCCATTTTGCTACATCACATCAGACAAACTTTGCCCGATATCAAAAACAAGATCGAAATCACACTTAAGAAATATCAAGCAGAACTCATGAGTCTTGGGCCCGAGACTTTGGACTCTCCAAATTCCATTGTTTTAAGCATGATCACCGATTTTTCCAAAGAGTACACTGGAATTCTAGACGGTGAAGCTAAGGAGCTTTCCAGTCAAGAATTGTCTGGTGGTGCTCGTATCTCCTTTGTTTTCCACGAAATTTACAAGAATGGAGTAAGAGCGTTAGATCCATTTGATCAAATCAAGGATTCTGACATCAGAACCATCATGTACAATAGTTCCGGAGCTGCACCATCTTTGTTTGTGGGCACTGAGGCGTTCGAAGTTTTGGTCAAGCAACAAATTCAAAGATTTGAAGAACCAAGTTTGAGACTTGTAAGCCTGGTGTTCGATGAATTAGTCCGGATTTTGAAACAAATTATTTCGCAACCGAAATACAGCAGATATCCAGGTCTAAGAGAAGCCATGTCCAACTATTTTGTACAATTTTTGAAGGAGGCTATCATTCCAACAAACGAATTTGTTTCCGATGTTATCAGAGCCGAGCAAACCTATATCAACACAGCGCACCCTGACTTGCTGAAGGGATCGCAAGCCATGTCAATGGTTGAGGAGAAATTGCACCCAAAACAAGTAGTGGTCGACCCTAAAACGGGCAAACCTTTGCCCAATCAACATGTGCAGCAGCAAACACAACAACAACAGACCTCTGAAGAAAAATCCAGTTTCTTTGGTGGATTTTTCTCTTCAAAAAACAAGAAAAAGCTGGTTGCCTTGGAGACACCCCCACCTGTATTGAAGGCCACCGGTCAAATGACCGAGAGAGAAACCATGGAAACAGAGGTGATTAAACTATTGATAGAAAGCTATTACAATATTGTCAAACGTACAGTGGCTGACATTATCCCCAAGGCCGTTATGCTCAAATTAATTGTGAAGAGTAAAAACGATATACAGAAGATCTTGTTGGAAAAACTATACGGTAACCAGGATATCGCCGAACTCACGAAAGAAAACGATATTACAATACAGAGAAGAAAAGAGTGTAACAAGATGGTCGAGATTTTAAGGAATGCTAGCGAGATTGTATCTTCTGTCTGACGCGTCATGTGCGTGCTTGTGTTCTCTTGCATAGTTTGTCTGCCTCGGCTTGTCCTGATTCACCTTGATTAGATTTTTCAAATTGGAGGTACTTGTTTTATTCGACCCCCAATCATTCAACACTGATTGCTTGATGTTGTTGGTCTTTTCTGGCTAATGCACTTGTCGTTTTACCGGTAATTGTCTCTAGCGGCTAGTACGTGTGTGCTTATGCTACTAGGTTCGTTGGAAACCCAATTTAACGTCCGCAAAGACTTCATTCAACAATCTAAAGCAAATCATGGATATATGACAAGTAGCTAGGCTGAAGTCTTTATATACTCACTAATTAGCACCAAGAGTGACAATTTCATTAAGATCTTGGTGAAAAAAATAGTCAGTGGTATTTGCATGTCCCGTTTTGTAGCATACATTACAGCCTTTTGGGATCGGTAAGGACCTCCACGACAGTCGAAACAGTTTATAGCCAGCATTTTTTGATCCATTGATGTCTGTCAAGGTACCGAACAGAGAGATTTCACCGGAAAACAGAGATGTAGGATCTCTGCGGCAGACCCATGAGTTGACATCGTTCAATATACAAGATAAAGTACTTGCAGTGTTCTTTACCACGCGATCTGGACTGTGTCTAGTCAAGATACTCTACGAGCTGGCTTGTGGACGTATAAGTCTTGTTCAACACCGCAAGTGGCAACAAAAACGACAGCATCACGGCATTTATAGTGATGATGCTTATAAGAAAATGGTGAAAAAATGGACCGGATCGTTGGATAGTGTATCTCTTTTACTGGACGTTTTAGCCAGGAATGAGAATGTCGCGCTGAACCTCAATAACTACACTATACCAGAATATAAACTGCCACTGATCTGTTTGCTCGACAAAGCAAATGAATTTTTGATCGTGGACGAAGAATACAATCTGCTTCTAGACTTTCTGTCAGTTGTGAGGCCGAGTATCGAGAAACTACTTAACGAGGAAACGCTGTCACTTACGTTTTACAAGCTTGTAGCGACCCAGAATCGCGTTTTCGAGCTCAGTGGACGTTATATCTGGTATACATTTGATGATGACGATTGGGAACAGTCTCAAGAGATTATACACAAATATCTATGTGTCTTGACCGACAGACTTACTGCACAGCAAGAGATCCTTCCGCATCTGCAACCGCTATTCGATGAGGTAACTTCGACCAAAAACCCGTTCTCACACGCTAGGGTTCCTGATGGAGAAAACAGTACCGGGGGAGACTCGGCTGAAGAGCAAGTTTACTCTTTTGACTTGAATGAGGATGGAAGTTTGGTCGTGCCGGACGTTTTTGCACATAACGAGAAGCGACATGAAGCATTGTACCGCGTATTGGGCCTCGCGAAGCATAATTCATCGCCTTTACTGCGGTCCCAGTTTTTTGCGCTTTGTGGACTAGTCGATCCCGTAACTCAGCCCTCGCCCAATGATTCGCATATCATATCGATCGACTTACTATCAGATATGTTTTTAGGACTTCTGCATGATGGTATACGCCAACTGACAGTTGACTGGCGATTTCACGTATGCTTCAATTTACAAAAAATCATAAATGCCACTTTACCACGACTCAACTGCGATGACTTTCAAAGGCTTAACTCCGTGAACAATAGCGATGAGAATATAGATTGGAGGCAGAACCTGCATAAGTGGTTACCGCATGGGTTTAACACCCAGGATCTTGAACTGGTCTATATGATAGACACTTTAGCCATTTACCTGATTCACAAACTCTACTCAAAATATCCAATACAAATGAACCCATTTCTGGCTCCAATGATCTCATTGTGGAAGAACCTTACATTTGTTGTCTTGCTGGGGCTTGAAATCGACAGATTTGAAGAAGAGCAAGAGACGTTTGAAACTCCAGTTCTTGTGCGCGCTACAATTCGCGGTGCTTCCGCGCTGAGAAGCGTCATTGCGACCGTCTTGAACGGTCATGTCGAGGCTAAGCTCCACGATTTCAAGCATGAACCTGTAAACATTTTCATGTCACCGCATGGCCGAAAGTTGTGTCATGGTGCTCTTTACGCCGACGTAAGATCACACGCCGCTGCAATGCTTTCACTGGGGGTAGACCTTGAGCAAGTGACCAAACTTCTAAGCGATTTGCAACCCGGTGATAGATTCGATGAAGACGTCAAATACATGTTTGACTACGAATTCGAAAACTACAATGAAGTAGATACGGAGCACATGGACGAGGAGGAACTTGAGGATGCTGAGGCTAGAGAAAGAATCAAAGAATTAAGAGGGTACTACAAGCGTTGTCATTGTACTTTCGACGATGACGAAATGGTTCCCGAGACTGAGACTGGAGGAGAAGAAGTTGCTAATGAGCGCGAGCAGTTTTTCGCCCAAGGGGCTACTCTTGCTAAGGGATCCAAATCGGTTGCATTCAGATCTCACAAAGATAATGTGGAATTTGACGTGAATGGGAGAGATTGGAGAGATATCCCGAGAGGCCTTAATTTCTATTTCAATGAGGATTTCATTTTTGAAGACCAGTGCCGTTCTGAGGATATATTCACTCTTATGAAATTGGCCTCTAAGCAAGCTGTATCCAATGAACAAGCTTCTCTTCTTGTGCGAAGCGTGGCCACTTGCGTTAAAAAGGAGCAAGAGTTGACGGTTCTCAGCAGTGTGTCTCCACGAATGAAAGAGACAGCTTTGCAAGAGGCCGGCTTGCAAATCGATGAGGACGTCGAGCTGACGACCGATCTTATTTATGAAAAATGGTGTGAGGACTCTCTATTTGAGAAGATTTTGCATTTCAATGAGGAGCTTGGTTGGCGCATGATGGATGAAATGCTAATGTGCAGCGGCTATCGTCGTGTTCTGATTTGGTTTATCACCCATTTGAAAATAAGTGGATCCGTTATCCAATACATCTATCAGCTGGTTGTTGGACTAAGAGGAAGTCCTCGAGAAGAAACAAACGTGGCCAAGGTGACTTTCCCCACCAACGATGCTACCCCTTCCCAGAATGGTGATCACAATTGGAAAGTGCCATTTTCAAGACAAGGTTCACTTCTGCTTTCATCTATAGAGGTCAAAATGCTGTTCCAAGAATTCCTTACAAACTCTGTGATATTCTTCTCACGACATCTAAGAGAGTCGCAGTCGCCGGATGACTTACAAGGGGGCGAAGATTCTGCTCCGGTGTCCACGTACATCCTGGGAGTGATAAGGCTTATGTGCTTCATGTTCGGCAGACTACTTCAGGAAGACAAAATAGACCTGACCGACTCCGAATTTGTGTTTGAGCTTCAAACGCTGCTGATGAATTCGATCTGCATTGTGCCCGAGGCTAGAGACCTGTTTTTCGCATTGAGAGCTAAGGTTGAAACTGTCACGGCTGCCAACAGCAAAACACTTGGATCCAAAAAGCCTGCTCGGAATTCGAATGATCCTAATTACGTCTTGGACGAGGCTGTCGCGTCACCTTCGGACCTATCCATCTACAATCAAAAGTTGATCTCGCTACTTCCGCCGCCCAGCGACGCTGAAAATACCGCTGTCGCGGCGCTACGACATTTTATCACCAAACATTCGCTCACCTCGGCCACAGCCCTCTTCGGAAGAAGAGTCGTTAGCACCGATGATCAGATTTTGCCCATGTACATGACAAACAATGAGATGAACATGCGAGATTTTCTGGCCGAATTTGGTATCGACTATTTTGACGTTGTCGAACAACTTTATGCACGAGAAGAAAATGGCGAAGATGTTAACAACAATATTATAGATAGCAATTCACAACTTGCTTAAAAGTTTGCATCCCATGAGACAAAAAGTCTTGAGATACGTCAAGCCATCAAATTTTGCATTTTTCATCGACGCTTTCATAATGGATTGCTTTCAATGATCATGACCTATGCTATAAAAGCAGAGGCCAACACTGAAGGATATACCCTCGGAGTTTTTTCTTGCTTACCAATCAAGTAAATCTTCTGCAAATCTTGAATTATGAAGCTAACTCCAACTACTACGAGAACTTTGAACAATGGTGTCAAGGACCCACTTATGGGATTCGGTCTTTACCAAACTCCAAAAGAAACCGCGGGAACTATAGTATACGAGGCCTTGAAGGCCGGCTACCGTCGTATTGACAGTGCCGAAATGTATGAAAACGAGGCCGAGAGTGTGGAGGGTATTGCCAAATTTCTGAAGGACTATCCTCAAGTTTCTAGGTCCGACATCTTCTACACGACTAAGTTGAACATAAACGTTCACGGAACAGAAATATCCAGAAAGGCCATTCAAGAGTCATTGGACAAGGCCAAAAGCATCGGTTACGTTGACTTGTTTTTGATCCATCAACCAGTTAGCGGAACCGAAAAGAGACTCCAAGCTTATGGTGCATTGCAGGAGTTCTACGAGGCGAAGAAAATTCGAGCAATCGGAGTTTCCAATTATAGCATTAAGCACCTGGAAGAGCTTTTCAACTGGGAAGGGTACAAAGTGAAGCCAGCCGTCAACCAGATCGAAGCTAGTCCGTGGCTAACAAGAAAGGATTTGCATGCGTATTGCGACAAGGAAGGTATCGCCGTTGAAACATTCTCGCCTATCACAAGAGGCAGAAAGCTGGGTGACCCCAACGTTGCCAAGGTTTTGAAGAACCATCCTGGACACACTGCAGCACAGGTTCTATTGAGATGGCAGCTTCAAATGGGGTTTCTTCCTGCTGTTAAGACCGTTCACAAGGAAAGATTGGCGGAGAACTTGGGCGCCTTCGACCTAGAGCTTTCTGAGGATGAGATGAACACTCTTACAAATCACGAGGACCATTTCCTCGCTCAACCCGGTTTCGACCCAGTCACCAAATGCGATTGATTTGCATTTGCCTTAGGAAAAGGTCTGCTTGAAGAATCTTTGCAAACATTTAATCTTTTCTGTGATACTCAGGACATAGTAACGCACTTCTGTCTGTAGAAATGCGTTTCGTCCATACACATCCATAGAGTTCTCGATATTAAGCAAAGAAGTTTCGATATCATATGATTTTTTTGGAAGCGTTTCCATGTTTATAAGTTGTTTTAATTTATCTCGGTCTGTAAGACCCGCTTCAATTTTGGTTCTATTAGATTCCAGAAACTCGGTAAACGTTGCTTGCCTCTCGTCGAGACTCAACTTTTTGTAGTAAAACAACAGCTTCGCTACGAAGTTCTCCTGTTCCCGTTTCGTGATGGTGTCCTTAACGCGAAACTGATTGAATAAATGCTTGTTTTCAGACTTCACGTCTTTGTAAATGGTCGTCGGTTTAATGTTGCTCTTGGAGACAATGTGAGCCAGATAATGATATTTGGTAGGTTCGAATTGGGCTTCGTCACTGTCATCAGAATCGAGTCCTGACTCATCGACGATACTATGTTCATTGCCTTTTGAAGCGTCTGCTAGCACTTTTATGCACCAACCTTCGAATATTTCGCTTCTACGCGCTTCGTCCTTGATCAAGTAGTACTCCGGATCGGCATTAATTTGCTTTGATTGTAAACTCCACGTCGAAAACGGATCCAGTTCATATTTGGCAAACAGTTGTGTGAAAGCTTGTTCCCGATCTGCGACGGACGTTTCGTCAACATCTTCAATAAGGATCTGACCTATTTCGTCGTCACTTTCAGCATCGCTCTCAGCATCATCGCTGGAACTGTATCCAGCAACAATACCTGCTTCACCTTGCGGAGTCGCAGAATTCTCCTCGGGGCTCGATGTTGCACTTTCAGGACCTTCAGAAATATTTTTGTCACTTAAACTATTTCGAATGGACTCAATCTCACCAACTACCTCGCCATAAGCGTCGCGTCCTTTGTAATCATAACCGCGAGCCACACCTATCAACAAAACGAGTTTCTCACGGTTAACTCGTAGCATTATTTCTTGTGACGCTTCATCATCCAACTCGTCAGAAACTCGCCCAGACCCAGAATCAAAAAAATATCTGTTCCCCAGACTCGTGATGACCAAATACCAATCGTTGGCCAACAAAATGGCAAATTTCGGTTTTTCATCCAGTTTCCGCTTCTTGTTTCGGTCTTGCTTACCAGCGTCTTCATCTAGGTCTTTTGGTCTTTCCCAAGTAGACGTCTGTGTCAAAGTATTGAAGTAGTAATCTCTACCATCCGGCGTTTTGAATTGTTTCCAAATTCGACCCATATTACCGGGTTTTCTCTTGTTCAACGAATTTCTCAGTCAAACCTGATGAAAAGTTCCCAAAGCTAAGGGTCCTTTAGAGCCACTTCAAAACATCACCAGATCCGGGTAATCCTAAACTTTCAAACGGGCCTTTCCAATTTGATATATTAACCTATTAAGCTAAGGTGGCGAACACCGAAAGGTATACACCATCTCTACTATATAACACAGTCGAGGGCTATGGGATCCAGAAGATACGATTCGAGAACCACGATATTTTCGCCCGAGGGCCGTCTTTATCAGGTTGAATATGCGCTTGAATCCATTTCGCATGCAGGTACTGCGATAGGTGTGATGGCGAAAGACGGAATTGTGTTAGCTGCCGAACGCAAAGTGACAAGTAAACTACTGGAACAGGGAAGCTCGAGCGAGAAGCTATACAGATTGAACGATAACATCACGGTTGCGGTGGCAGGGCTGACGGCAGACGCAGAAATACTTATTAATACGGCGCGGGTATACGCGCAAAACTATTTGAAAACTTACAATGAGGAGATCCCTGTTGAGATTTTAGTCAGGCGGTTGAGCGACGTGAAACAGGGTTATACACAGCACGGTGGTCTAAGACCCTTTGGTGTTTCCTTCATTTATGCTGGTTACGACGAGCGTTACGGGTACCAACTGTATACGTCCAATCCGTCGGGAAATTATTCGGGCTGGAAAGCGATAAGTGTTGGTGCCAACACGTCAGCAGCGCAGACGTTGTTGCAAATGGACTACAAAGATGAGGTTGACTTGGAAGGCGCCATGGAGTTGGCATTGAAAACGCTTTCGAAAACGACCGATTCTAGTACTTTAACACATGAAAGCGTCGAATTCGCTACAATTCAGAAACTTGACAACGGTAAAGTCGTACAAAAGATCTATAATCCACAGGAGATCCAAGTACTGCTTTCCAAGACCGGAATCACCAAAAAAGATGACGAATGATGGTGATCGTTCTCTTTAAAGCTTGTCGTAATTGAAGATATACCTGTGTAGTATGTATAGTATCGCAGCATCACCGAAACGAAACCCGTTATAAAAGCGTAAACAGAGGCCATTTAGCATTCTGCAGAGTCCATAAGCCTCTAACTGACTTGGCATGAGGTATGTAACTTGTTACATTAAAGAATTCCCCCTTCGAAAGCTCTTTAATTGTGAAATTTCTGACAGGTTTGACACACGGCAACTTCATGGAAAAACCTCGACTAACGCAAATTCTCCTACGATAGATCCTTTGTCACTTCGGGAGATGTTCCTATAGGGTATACAACGCCGTCGTTCCCGTCGCTTTATTGGCCCATTAATAACAAAAAGTACACTTTGTCATACTTATACTATACCACCGATATTTGGAAATTCACGGTTTTCTGGACATTGATACTGTTTGTTGCGTTCTACGCCTCCGCGGGGCTACTCGCCAGTTACTCACATCGCAAAGTTGCCGGTGGATTGTGGATTTTGGCATTTTACATTTTTATAGGTGGTGTCCAGGCGCTGGCGTCGGGAACCGTTGTGGGTTTACTGTATGTTATCAATTGCATTTCCCAGCTTCGTATGCACCCGTACTAACCAGTGTAACCAGTTTGGCTGTGACATATAAATCAGGACTTTTCGCAATGTCTACATGGATTCCACTTTGTGCTGCCGTCGTTATGACGTTGTTTACTGTCGATACCAGTTACAGTATGATGGGGTCTCTCATATAGCAGTGGGGAATTCCTCTACAGAATTATGGGTCTGCCCCGTCTGCCCCCCCCCCCCCCCCCCCCCACTGCACGCATCTGCGTATTTGCCTGCTTTCGGGGTTTGAAATGCAAGATATACCAAAAAAGTTGGATAAATGCCAAGGCGTGCTTTTGAAACTTCAAATTCACATGTGGCTCTCTGCGACCCACAAGCAACTCTTTTCTCCTGCCGTCTATCGCCAAAACAACGATCAAATTGACCTACAGGAACAAAAACTGGCTGGGACGGGAAAACTCACTGAAGGGTGCTCCATAGATTTAGAGACTCAAGCGCCCAACAAGAATTAGAGAGAACCTTTTGGCCTCGCTCTCTGGTGACCATTCGGCTTCAAATCAGAAGGCTTGCCAAACAAGTCACGTGATTCTTTTCAACTCTTATTTAAATCATTGATGACGAAAGTGTTTTATTGGAGTCACGTGAGCATTTATAAATGGATTTGATGTATCTATTTACGAGGGGCGTCTCGTTTCTTTATCAAATTGCCAAGTGGGCTGAAGATTAAGGTCACTGACGTAAAGTCTCATTTAAATCCAGAACAACTCATTGCGTCACAATTGAGGAAGTGGAAGAGCTTCTCAGATCAAGGAAACTCGGGATATAAGAATGTCCGCATCGTCGATCAATCGTTCCTTAACGACCATCAGAACGGAACTGGAATTTCTCAAAGAGTCCAACGTGTTAAGCGAAGAAACGTATCAAGAAATCATGGGATCATTACCGGAAAAGGCGGATTCAAGCAGATCTGGGGGCCAAAACAATGCGCCAAATGGTGCCGAGTTTGTCGAGGCGATATATGCGTTTAGAGCGCAACAAGACGGGGATTTGGATCTGCAACCTGGAGACAAAGTACAAGTGTTGGAGAAACCGTCACGTGAATGGTTCAAAGGTAGCTGTAATGGACGGGTTGGTATGTTCCCTTCGAATTACGTGAAACCGGCGTTTTCCGGTGGTAGCGTTGTGGGGTCAGATCGTAGTAATTTGCCTCCTCCGCCTCAGTATCAGGCACAGCCCAATTTGCAACCTCAGCCAACGAATAACAGTTACCAATCGAACTCGTCGCAACAACCTTTCCCACCACCATCTACCAACTACTACCAACAACCGCCTCAGCAGTACCAACAGTACCAGCAACCTCAGTTCCAGCAACAGCCTCAGTACTACCAACCACAGCCACAACAGCCACCCCAGGAGCCCGCTCAGCCTGCACCACAGGCGCAAAGTCATCACGGTAGCGATGCGTTCAAGAGATTCGGTAGTAAGCTAGGAAACGCAGCAATTTTCGGTGCAGGTGCCACAATGGGTTCAGACCTCGTCAACAGTATTTTCTGATCAAGTTGTATAGCGCATGCTTAGTTTGAAAGACATTTAAAGGTTATAAAGAATGTTAAAAATATGGGGCATAAACATGATAGAGGCGATTAACCACGTTAAGCTTCGCAGTGTTTGATAGTTCTGCGCTTACTAAGTCGTCCACGTCTCTATACCATTCCGTTTGTCGACTTCTTGGCACGAGCTTCTCACCGTATGTATGTGCAGATGAAATTTCCAAGGCGAGAAGACCCGCATTGAGATCGCTATCGTGATCATCACGTACCGAGTCGCCGCAGTTCAAAAGTCGTTCGATGTTGTTCAAACTAGCGGAAAGCTTGAGTTTGAAAGTAGCCACATTGGACCAAATTCGGCCCAATTTAGCCAGTCTGTAAGTGCATGTCCAAACGCAGTATACAATTAACAAAGCAGGAGATAAAGCCACGACTCCAAAAACCAGTTGTTGAGACTGAAGCAATTTGTCAATCCCATTCAAAGCGAGAGAACCGTCCACTTTAGTCTTTTGCAACTGTATTAGTAGAGATCGGACCAGGCCGCCGGTCGCGATGTTTTTGATCGGGTGATGCAATTGAGTTTCATATATCTGCATAAACTCGGTAAGGTCGCCTTGTTCAACATTTCTGGTGAGCAGATCGACGTCTACGCTGGAATGTGAGTTGTCGACAACGGCCTGTACGACCATGCGTGTCAAGGAGCTCAGTTCGGTGTCGAGCGAACCCTTTGACATGACGGCTATGGTAGACTCAGACTCGTCATGTCTCACCGTGCTCCAAACTTGCTGCAAAGGAACCCAAATCCAGTTTTTGACAAGACCCACGCCAAAATCGAACAGGTTTTCTTTCAGCAAGGTCGCAAGCTTGTAGCGAGATTGCCATGCGGTTATGATGAGAGTGGGACCAAAGACTAAAGAACTCAACAGTGTGGGCCAATACCTGGTGAGAAGTGAAGGGGTCTCAACGGCAGAAGCGGGGCAAAAAGCCAACGCCGCACGTACTAAGCTTGACAATGAATGATATTCGCCCTCCGGCACGTCAAGAAACTCCGCGATCAAGTTTTTCGCATCGTCAGCACTAGTTGCGTGCGGAAACGCACTCACAAGACGACCTAGTCTTGCAGTGCAAATTTCGAATTCTTCCCTTGCAGTTTGGCTCTTGGAACTGGACTCTTTACGAATTGCAGCAAACGGCAGCTCCCAAACGGACCCATTCAATGTATTAGGGCTTTTCGAGAGACCCACGAGCTGATACGTGTGAATCTTGGCCCATTTGTCCCACTGATGAACCGTTTTAAGGGCCCATTGCGACGCATTCGCCAGTGGCCTCGCGACGCCATCACGGGAGTCCTCGATTACGGCCTGTGCGAATCTCAAAGTTTTCGCAGGCAGTACTTGGACCCCGTATAGCAGAGACCAACGCACGGAAGAGGTCACCTGCGAGTAATACTGTTGAGTATCGCGAAGTTGTGGCAATTGTCGTATGCAGGTGCTCACAACGCTGTAGTAAAGACAGATAGTCACATAGCGGGTGATGGCGTCGTGGACCAGTGGGACCAGATCTTGTTGTGACGCGACCGATGGTGACGAAGCCCCGTTCGCGGAGGTCGCCCGCTCTAGCCGTTGTACCGCGGCGAGCAGCGCACGCACGTTGACCGTTGTAGATGGCCTTTTCTGGCGGAGCCCGGATTTCAATTTGTCGACTTCCTGTTTCACGTCGAGCAAACAATCCTGGATCGCCTGGAGTGTTTCGTAGTTGCTAGGCCCGGGCCCACGGGTTGCAGGCAAGAGCGAGACTTTCTGGAGCCCCAGCTCCAGATCGCGGTCGATGTGCGCGATGGCCGCCAGTGCAAAGCTGTCCGTAATCATGGGCAAAGAATGGGAGTTGTCGACGCGACGGGCCAGGGCCTGCGTTACTCATTTGCTACCTGTATTAGAAAAGTAGAATTCGGAGGGAGACGGTTCGTGTAGCGTGACATGCATCGAACACCTCACAGGCACTCGTAGGCACGCCAGGCACCCTCTCCGCTGGTTCGAAATCTAAGCAGTAATATCGACTACGTAGTGATTACAGAAACGCGGCCGCTCGCGCGCTCATTCCATGCCGTCGAACGCGTAGTTCTTCTTCGACATCCGTCCGCGCAGCGCCTTGCCGTAGTAGTAGAATGCAAACGGGATCGCGATCATCGCCGTCGAGATGAACGCCAGCAGCCAACTGGCCCAGTGCAGCCCGAGCCGGTGGTACATCTGGCTGGTGAACAGCGGGAACGCCGCGCCGCCCGCGGACCGCAGAAACACCTTGGTCGCCAGCGCGCTCGACGCGAACATCGCGTAGCAGTCGATGATGTAGTTGTTTAGCGAGTAGTAGATCAGCACCATGCCGTATCCGAACGCAAGCCCGGACGACGCGGGGCCGACCCAGATCACGTGCTTCTCCGCGGTCGCGCCGAGGATCCATAGCGCGATCGCCGCGAACGGCGCGCCAATCATCGCCCCGAGCAACCGGTCCTCGGGTGTCGGGTTCCGGCGGTGCGTGATCTGTAGATATTTGCTTTCGCAGTATGACGTAGTGGCCAGCGCCAGCGACGCGCCAATCAGGATCGGGATGAACATCAGCCCGATGAGGTTATCCTTGTAGCCGTAGAGTTCGCCGAAGATCACCGGGTATGCGAAGAAGAACGCGTACAGCAGCGAGTAGATGAGACACACGTAGAAGCACATGAGGTCTAGCACCGGTTCTGTGATGGCGAAGTAGAGCGGTCTCAACAGAGTCGTCCGTAGCATTTCGCCGAACGAGAGGCCCTGCGCCTCTTGTTCGGTCATGATTTTGGGGTTGCCGGTCTCGCGTCTCAGACGCGCCGCGCGCCGTTTCAGGATCACGGGTGCGAACGTTTCTGGGATGAACGCCACAATGAGCCACATGGCGCCTGCAAACGCCATGTTGACCCAGAAGATGAGGTCCATTCGGCCGGTGGACACGGAGATGAAGCCGTTGACCAAGGGCCCGAAGACGGGCCCGCAGTACGGCGCGTACGCGAAGAACGCGATGGCGCGTCCGCGGGTTTCTGGCGGGAACATGTCTGCGATGGAGCCGCCGACGAGACAAAGCCCGGACGACGACCAGACACCACATAGAAACCGGCACGCGAGCAGGCACCCGATGTTGGGCGCGATGGCGCAAGGGATGTTGAAGATGACGTAAAGCCCGAGCGACACGAAATACGCGACGCGGCGACCGTACAGGTCCGACACGGGCGACCACAGCAGGGGCCCGAGCGAGAACCCGATCACCATGAGCGAGCAGGTCAGGATCGCGACTTCCTGGCTCACGTGATACTTCTTTTCGACAGTCCCGAGCCCGCCGGTGATGCACGCGGACCCGTACGCGACCGAGATGACCAGGATCGAGAGCACGATCGTGTACAGCCACCGGAGCCACAGGGGCCAGTTGTGTGGGTTTTGCGGGTCGCCGGTCACGAAAGTGACGAACTCGATGTCTGGGTCGAGGTCCGCGGCGCCCTTCTCAGACGCCGCCGCGGCCGAGGCCGCGGCTGCGGCCTCGTCTTCGGCGTCGGCGTCCTTCTCGCCGCGCAGCGACGACGTCACAGACTCGTTGCGGTCCAGCTGGCGCGTCCGCGAGCGCGAGATCGCGGTCGCGGTACGGCCCAGACTGTGCAGCGTCGCGACAGGCACGAGCCCTGTGGGCGTTTCTAGCGTGTACTCCTCGGGGAAGATGGCGCCCTGCGACGCGGCCGGTGCGTTCACGTCTGGGAGCGGCGCCTGCTGCGACATGCCGATGTCCTGCAGCGACTTCACTGTCTCGGTAGGCACCAGGCGCAGCCGCTGCGCGGAGTCGGCGCCGGAGGAGCCGCCGCTGGCGCGGCGGTTGCCGGTGCCCGCAGCGCCGGAGCCGGACTCGGAGGGCGGCACGTACGTCTGGGGCACCTGTGTGTACGACTCCTCGGAGTTATACGAGTTGATGGACTCCTGTTCTTCGTCCATGGGGTGGTGGTCAACGATGGGATTATATTATTAGGGAGGGTCTCAGGCGGTGGTGTGTGGGTTTGGTTCCGGAGCTAGCGACACAATGACCAAGAGTAGACGGGGGATCCAGGTATTAGCGATTAAGGGTTGTATCCGTTGTAGGTATCCGATTATGTCCTCTGGAGGTGTCCTCTGGGAGTCCTGTGTGGTTCAGGGTTGCCCGGGGTCTGGCAGTTGCACTACGGGGGGCCTATATATATCTTGCACGCAGCGTGCACGCTGCGTGCGCAAGCCGCGTCGTGATGGCCAACGGCATGCGTCGGCGTGTGTTTTTTTTTCCTCTTCCCGCTGCCACCCTTTATCCCTCGCCTTGAAGTAGGCGCGGGTCCCTGTCCCAGAAACGGGCGCGGGCCGCTGTCGTTCCAGGCCGGGGCCCGGTACGGCGGCGTCTGGGCGTGGTGCGCGGTTTTCTGGGCAGGCCCAATGGACCCCTACGGGAGCGGTGTTTGTTTTGGGTAATTCACGCGGGACTCGGCGGGCGCAGGGTGTGGTGTACGGGTGCGGGAAAAAAAGCAGCGCGGTAGAAGCAGCGGCACTGCGGGAAGCTGGAAGCGCGTACGAGAAAAAGAAAAAGCGGCAGCGAGGGCCGGGTAACAGCGGGGAGGGGCCCTTCTTTTTGTGGCTGTCTCTGCGGCGTTCGTGGGGTGTGATGTGTAGCCGCCTAGAAGGGGTGTGGGTGGGAAATACCGTCGACGCAATGACCCTGGCGGCGGTCTGAGTTTAAACATTTAAATAAGCGTAGAATTAAAGACGAAGAGTAGCAGAGGTAGGCTGTTCCCGTGGCAGGATGACAGAAAGAGGGATCCGTGGCCAAGAGGGCGAGAATGCGGATTCGTGGGGCAACTACGCCAAAGATTATCACAACTTTATCGAGAGGGGTCCTCCTAAGGTCTCGGCAGAACAAATTCTGAAAAGCTTGGATTTGGTGGTGCCTTTTGAAAATGCGAGCTGTATCCTTGACAACGGGTGTGGTACAGGAATAGGTACGAGCCGTCTTATCGACTTGTATTCGGAACGCTTGCCGAGCGATGTTCGAATTGTTGCAGCTGATCTGAGCCCGGGCATGGTCGAAAAAGTGCAGCAGTCTGTGCGGGACTCGCCGAGTGGGAGTCTCTGGAAAAATGTGGAAACTTCTGTTTGTGATATTGAAGACATGTCCATGTTTCCAGATGGCACGTTCACCCACATAATTGCCTCGCTTGTCATGTTTTTCGCTTCGTCACCCGAGAAGGCCTTCTCGGAGGCTTTTCGCATTCTCGCTCCGGGCGGAGCCTTTGCGATGACCTGTTTCACGAAAAACGATTACATGGAGCTCGTGTCGGTTGTTCAGGATGCCGTAGGCGGCGGAGCCACAATGCCCTTCATGAACAAAAACTGGGCCTCCGAATCGTGGCTGCTCGACCAACTTGCTCATGCTAAATTTAAGAATGCTGTTGCCAAAGCAACGGACGTCGAGGTTGAAGTAGAAGATGTCCATTCTTTCCGTCAACTTTTTTTCAACAACCCGTTGATGGTGGAAATTTTGAAGCATGTTTCCGCTGAAGGCCGGGAACGTGCGACCCAAAAATTCGACTCTTGTTTGCTAAAGAAGGCTTCGGCCGGAAGCATCAAAATTTTCTGGACGCTATTAACTTTAAGTGCTGCGAAATGAGTTTGCGTAGCTAAGGCTACGATGCCCTTTTTAAACGTGTTATTATTTCAATTTCGCATAACTTGTCACCAAGCCAGCTGCGAGACTAGAACACCCTCAATGCCGTGATAAGCGCCTCACGCGGAGGGTATATTCTGAAAAGCAAGTTGCAGCAGGTAATCTTAACGCGCCAATGGATCAATTTTATGGTCAGGACTTCTATGTTGGCCCACGACTAACTTTGTAAACAACTTATACTATTATCAAACAGGTAGATTCAAGAGGGTTTGCTTACGGCTTACCATCAGGGTAAAGAGCTTCCCATTTACGATCGGAAGTGATAGGAGGAATTTTTGTTCGAAGATCAAAACTTGACCCTCTTGAAATAGACGGACACTTTGGCGGAGGTCTTGTCGACCAATTATCTTGTTCGCGTCGGCTTTAGATGAACACTTAAAACTGCTGTCCTTCCTCAAATAATCACAATCGTGGCATATGCTTACGTCGGGGAATCACAGACATGGGAACTATGAGATGGAGATTCAGTGGAGGAAATCGTACAGTTGCATTATTGTTACTTCCCACATCAGTTGGTATCGTGTGCTCATGCATGATAATGAAGCAAGCGACGCTTGGACTCGGCGTTCGAAAGAGACACACTAAGAGGCCTTGAAAGCCCAAATGGTTCCAGTAAAGGCCTACAGATATTGAAGCCATTGAAAGAGTCTGCTAAGAGTGTACTAGATGCCCCAAGACAATGATTCTTTACAATTTACCCACCAGAGCTAAAAGGCGATGGGAACACGAGAATTGGATGAGAGGAGACGACATTAATGTTGCATGAGTGATCCTAATGCCTAGTCGGATTCGAAAAGCCCCTCATACTTTAGAGCGGAAAGCAAATGTCGTTGATCCAGAACATTTTGCCGCTCTCGAGGTCTCCAACTGGACCAGCAGACCTTTACTAATCACCGCAGAGGACATTGACGGGAGAGTGCTCGCTGCGTGAATTCTTAACAATAAGAAACCAAGTCAAAGTGAGTGCGGTAAGGGCCCCTGGGTTCGGTGACAATCGTGCGATCTCGCTCGGGATAGTGCCATTTTGCCAGGAGGTACCGTTTTCACTGACGAATTGGTTTTGAAACCTGGAAACTGTTTTTGGTAGCATTTGGGATCTGTGACATGGCCACCATCGCCAAAAAGACAGCGATAATGGTATCAAGAAGAACACCCAAGCCTGAATCGAGCAAATTGAGAACTCGATCGATCTGCGAGAAAGATCGTTGAGAACACCGGCGAGGGTGGATCCGTCATTGTCGGTAAGACCGTTGACGATTTTGGTGGTAAATTCACCAAGGGCTACAATGCGGTTGAGAACGAGTACACAGATATGTTGGCGGGAATCATCGATCTTTTCGAAGTGGTTAGATCCTGAATGGATTCTAATTTGAAAGCTAGGTTCACATTGTTTTCAAATTGATCGTTCTAATGTTGTGCTTATAAAAGTTGAGATCGTGATGTGCGAGTGACCGTTTATGTACGAAAACGTTCTATACGCACATCTAATAAAAGACTACAATAACAGATTCGCTGGCGTCGAAGGGCAAGAGGTTCCCGAGTTGCTCCGTTGAGGTTTGCCATCGTCGGTGTGCGGTTCTCGTACAGATTGGAAACCTTTTGCTCAATCCTCTTACTGTCATTGCGGTCACGTGATAATGCACCATAGCACTTCCTCGCCCTCTCCTTCAAGGGACGGCGTGTTAGGCGTCAACACTTCCAACCTTTTCAACAGCATTTCGTGAACTGAATGACTCCAACCTTCAAGCTTGGTATAGACATATAATAGAACTTGATCAAAATTTGAGTTTCACCGGCGAAACGTTTTCTTCCAAGAAAAGAACATGAGAGAAAGCTGTTGAACCCCGTGCTATTCAAAAATATTGGCTGGAATAACATCGACACATTTTATTTCGATGGTTGCAGCCTATCTTGCAAATTTTCCACCTTGCCGTTTGCCATTTACCATATTTAAATACGAAAATTAAGCATTTCATCAACCAAGAGTACCACAGGTTCATTCAAGACCAAAATTCAGAATACCCTTTTGAAGTCATGAACCTATCGCGCTCTATTTGTCGGGCATGCTTCTTTGAATTACAAATTTGTTTGAAGGTAGCTACCAGTTGGATTTTTGTCAACAGTTTGCAAATGGTTTAATGGAAACGCCATGCTCTGACGTTAAAATTGAAAAAAAAAGAAGGCATCATTAAGTTCTGGCCTACGTAGTCTATATGCTATTATGATAGCGTTTATGAGTTGGTTTGCAGGCGATACTTTTTTATCCTTTGCCTTTCAGGCCTGATAAGCACTACCATCCGATTTTCAGCATAAGTATTGCGCTCCCATTTGAATATTCAATAGCTACAACCGTCTGGTACTGGTGGAATTGCGAAAAGCGGGTTTCTGAGCTTGATTTTCGTGAACCCGATTCGTGAAAAGTCTAAACTGGACCGATCATGGGATCCAAAGACGCCCCAACCTTTCATACCATATATTGATGCTGGAAAGAGACTGAGAGATGTGATATTGTCGAAATGCGTTGTGGGAGATAAGGGGGGTCACGTGATCATGGTGACAGAATAAGATAAAACTCCTGATCGATTCGAACCCGTATCTACAGGAAGGTTTCGAGCCGCAGGAGATATCAATGATGAGCAATGGAATCACCGGCTTATTTCAAAACATGTTGAAAAACAAGAAGAAGATGTTAACCTATTATCATTAAAAAATAATTATCAATTGAACATATATCACGGAGATTGTATAAAGGAAAAAGATAGGATCAAAGCTAGGATGGTCACGGTATCAAGGTAACCACAGAGAGACACAAATACTCGATTTCTAACTTACATGCTATCAAGATCAACTGTCGACGAATAACTGAACAATTCCAAGTTCATTGACCCCAGAAACTGCTCACCTCGCTAGTTGAGTAATAAAAGCATATTGTAAAAGCATACAATGTATGAAAAATATAAAAAGGGCAATTACATAATCAAATATATATTCAAATTTCGTGAATAGCTATTTAATTGATTTGCCACGGCCTGCACTGGAGATGAATTCGGGGACTCACGATTGCAAGTAACACACTAACAAATCACACGAGAGAAACACATAAATATTCTTATTCTTCATAAATTACGTGGTTGATGGAACGCAGTTGTACGTCGCCGGGTTCGGGCGGGGTCCGTGGTTCGTCTCGAATGATAATCACATGTGGCATCCTGTCATCTCTCACGAGGCCTTCGTCAACGCGTCTTACGTTTCGCGTCTCTCGATGGAACCGCCATCTCTCATCACCACCACATTACCCCAGCGTACGTCCCATGGACGCCGAACAGCAACTGAGAGCGCTCGCGGATACGCTTGCGCCCCGTACCGCCCAGCAGTACAAGCTCTACCAAACCAAATACATCCAGTGGTGTCGCGCGCAGGGTCTGGTACGAACCCCAACGGCGCAGACCCAGCAGACCCAGACCAACAACGTTTATGCTGATGTCGTGGTCACGTCGCCACTGGCACATTGGTTCATACTTGCTAACTACGTGTGCGCGCCAAATGCCTCGTTAGGCCCGTCTGCGCTGCGTAAGATTTTCAGCGCACTGCGACTGTTATACCGCATCTGCAAAATCTACGACCCCGCGTACCCGTTTGTACTGAACAACGAATATCTTGAGGCTGTCGTACGATTGCACGTCAATGCTCAGGCGGATCAACCGAACCATGGACCCAGTGGTGCTACGCCGCTCGTTACCGTCTCTGCAAATCTCTGGAGCTCACACGCGCCAGGTTTGAGTGACAAGTTTTTCCGCGGTGGACTCGAAAAATTGAGGTTTCTTGTCGATTTCCACGTCCAGCAATACTGGCATTTGCAATTTTCAGACCGGGCTCAAATTAAAATGGGAGACTTGTTTGCACGCGACGACGTTTTGCTCTCCAAGCGGAACGTTACCGTTGAAATCGCCACGTCGGATCTCGAAACCAAGTCCGCGACACCTGCCACAGAGAAGCTCGCGCTTCTCGCTCAAAATGCACCTTGGGCTTGCCCACTCGTCACGCTCGCCGCATATTTCTACCTACGATTCTACGGCGCCAGTAAGCGCTACAGAGGCGACGGCTTCCCAGATTTGCTTGACGAAATGGACGAGTGGGCACATTTGCCGCTCGTCAGAGGTAAGTCGCTCGACAAGTACCCACGCGAAGAGACCGTGAGCAATTACTACGCAGAAGTGTTCCGGTACTGCCATTTGCCTTATAAACGGCGCGAATACTTCCACAATCGCGGTGCCGATAATTGCCAGTACCCTGCACTAACCGCTGATGACGCGACCCAGTTGCATGCGATAGGGAAAGGCGCTCAATCCGAGTATTTCCCGGACGATATTCCTTTGGACTTCTTGCGACAAATGAACCGGTATCCGCTCAATGATGCCCCCATCGTCAACCGCGCTCCAAAAATGCCAGCAGTGCCGAGGAGTCTAGAAGTACAAATTTTTCCCGAGATAGAGGAATATCTCCGGAAATTGGAACATCTTTCCGAGCGAGGTCGCAAATTTCTGGAAGTAATGCTTCTGCTGCGCGCAAGACTCCTGTACGCCATGCCTTTAATAAACCATTTTTTCCCCGAACATGACCTGTTTGCCGATTCCATCTTCCAGACGCCCGAGTTCCAAAGCTATTTCGAAGAGACCATCAACGGGTACACGCTAAGACACGAGCTGGAAAATTTCAATCCGATGCCTAATTTCGCCGAAACGCATGACCCTGGTCCTCTTGCAAGGCCTCCAAATTCCAGAGAAGTTCTAACGCTACCCGAGGAAGCGGTTTCTGACCAGGCGTCTGTGTTGTCGTACCTTCGAGATCAGACTTTCCAATTCGTCCAATACCAGACCGCGACGAATTTCCACATGCTCATATCGCTGCTTACCAAAGTGTTCGAGAAGTTAGAAACGAAGAAAAGTAACCGTGAATACATAATCCATCAGCTTAACGCTCTGGAAAACACGCTCAAAAATCGAATAGCGGCTTCTTCACCGCAAGAACTCAAAAAAGAGTACGAGCTTAACGTACATGCTGCGAGGCTCCCCGGCGAAGCTCAAAGCGACAACAGCGATATCGATAACGACCAAGGCGAAAGTCCCGATTCTCAAAGCAACGGCGACGATGACGCGGCTTTGCCTGAAGAGTTCCACACCCTCGTCGCAGAGATCATTGATTTCAAATTAAGACAATCTACAGATGGACATTTCCGGGAATTGGCAAGACAAGTGGACCGTCATTTGCAGGAACAGGTCAAGACATTGGTCCGCGACGAGATACGAAGCCAGCTCAGCCAGTTGAAAGGTGGTAACTATTCTCGAGACAGTGAATCACAATCGCAATTGATTCCAGCGAAAAGAGAACGGGAACTATCCGTGACAGACACCGAAGAAGCCACGTTCAACATTCAGGCCGATCTGAATGACATAGAGGACGTTATATTAGAATGGTTCACTCCAAATCCGAATCAAAATAATTACTGCATCCATTCCATGAACAAGGATTTCGGACGCGAGTGGAGGACTAAGAACGCGGCCATCTCGGCGCTGTATCGACAGCGGAAAACGATCGTCGAATTTTACATTTTCTTGGTCAATGCCGAGAACAAAGATAGGTACGAAGCGGTCTCGATCTGCGAAAGACTCAGAGGCAATCGATCGCTCGAGGATTACAGTAACTGGTTGAGGGACCAAAAGCGCGCCAATGGTAACTCTTACGCCAAGTTGTTGTCGGAGGAAGCTACTGGCGTTATGGGCACGTGATAAACATGTGCTACACACGTGGCTTCTTGCTGGCAATGATTAATAATCACGTGGTTCTGTCTCGTGTGTTCCCAGCGACGAACCAGAGGGATTTCCCGTATAAGTCATCTCTCTCAACTAGTGTCAAACAAGATGGCTTCTCTCCAGAAACACAGCATGTCGTGCGTTCTTTTGGCACTACTGTTGGTTACCTATGTGGGTGCTGTAGTGCCGTGGATTGATAATGACTTTTTTGAAGAGATGTCCGAAGCACCTAAACTGGGCTGGGGTCTGCCGCCTGTTTTAGCTCCTGGAGACGTTACTGACGATACGAAGAGTTTACCATATCAGGGCCACATTCCGCAATACGTGGTTGATTATTGTCCACTCGTTCACCTTTACAGTGAGGAAAGATATTGGCCAGCAGATATCAGGAAATACGCCCATCATTTCACATTAAAAGACGAAGAAGGCGGTTACGTTATAAATAGTACCTTTGGACTTAAGGATTTGAAAGATTCCTTTGATACTGACCCCAATTCTCCCGATAAGATCCCCAGCGCCGAAACGTTCATGAGCGCGGTGGAAAACTTCGATGCAGACCCACGTTGGCTTTTGGGACACAAACCGGACTACAGTTCCGGAAAGATAAAAGATGCGCCAGCCATCTTAATAGTTGTCGATAAGGGCAACGGATGGGTTGATGCGTTCTGGTTCTATTTCTATGCCTTTAATTTGGGGCCCTTCATAATGGGGTACGGACCATGGGGGAACCACGTTGGGGACTGGGAGCATTCTTTGGTGAGATTTTACGAAGGCGAACCCCAGTACTTATGGATGAGTGCGCATGGTGGAGGCGGGTGTTACCAGTATCATGCGATCGAAAAAAAATCGCGGAATCGAGTTGTTGACGGTGTTCGTATGACAAAATTGATTGAACGGCCTGTTATCTTCAGTGCCCGCGGTACGCACGCTAACTACGCATCGGTAGGGCAACACGCGCATGACGTTCCCTTTTTTTTCAGTGCTTTGAGCGATTTCACGGATCGTGGCCCTCTATGGGACCCGTCTTTGAATTTCTTGGCATATACGTACAATGGAACCGTCGTGACACCCGTTTCAAAGCGCGAGAGGGAAATCGGTAGCGACTGGTTGTGGTTCAGCGGTCATTGGGGCGATAAGCAATTACCATTTACCGATCCAAGACAAAAATGGTGCCCCGTACAATGGAGATACATAGACGGTCCACGAGGCCCGCTAAGAAAGAACTTGGAAAGGACTTCTTTATGTCAAAGAAGTAAGTGGTTCAATTTCTGGGGCGGCTGTCCCGCAAGGCGAAGCATTAAAAGAGGTCAAGGTCTGGATGCCGAGAGAAATGATCTTGTCGGCGATAATTGTGGTGTTTTGTTATACCGAGTGCGTCCCAAACTGCTGAGGTCTTTACTCAGACTAGTAATGTGGCGCGGCGTAACCTGTTTCGTAATGGACTACTTCACAGGATAGGACTGAGGTGACTGGCTAAAGTTAGGAAAGTCATTAAGTGAAGGAACAAACGAGAAAACTATGAAACCTGATACCCTATGAAGCGCACATAGGCAAACGCTAAGGGCGAAATGGTCTGATGGACTCGAGGTTTCATCGAATCTTGAATTGGTTTAGGTGAAAGTCTCATTTTTCTAGAATATTCTAGAAATGTTTACGTAAGAGGCGACTAGAAAGTCCCAGATGATGGTCGAACTTCAACGCGATGACAAACTCAGAACAGAGGAACTCTTATAAAATGAGGGTTGGACAAACCTGATGTGACTTGTCTGACTGGTTTCCGATTAACACCAATCACCGATATCCACAAATTCTTAAAACGCCCAAATGTTTCAATTTAACGCTTCTCCATGTCTATTTGCTCCTCTACCCACAAACAATTTTGTTGAGTCATCCCCGATTCTCGCTCTGAAGGGATCGAGAGCCAACGCCACTCAATTTGTGGAAAGAAAGCCCAGGAAAAAGGTGGATTTGCACGTGCAAGAAGCCGAAGACCATGTTACTCTTACGTTCCAGAAAATAATTCCAGATAAAACAATTTCTGACGCAATTTACTTAGCTGCCTCTCAACTCACGCAGAACAGGAGTCCCAGCTACAGAATTGCTAGGGATTTTTTCGGTAACGAATATATCTACCAAGAAGAAGAGGATGCTGACGCGATTCTTCGCGAGGCGATCTCTAAAATTGATGTGCGCAGGCTTGGTGCCTCGCTTTCTAAGAAGGCTTTCCAAGATTACGAATTGACTTTAGACAATTCAGGTCATGTCTTGTCCATTTCGAGTCAAAATGATGGGCTTTACAAGCAGATCAGTTTTGCGTCAGCAGTGGAGGATTTCCGTGTTCTAAACTGTCGCATGGTAGGAGACAGGACTGCACAATTGCAGATTGCTGTCCAGCAACCGGTGAACTTTTTTGTGAATGCTGTTCATGCTGTGCAGCCTGTTCAGGCTTCGTCAGCTTGTGTCAAGCTGGCATGGGCGCCTCGCAAATGCATATCTGGTCGCAGGGACAACTCCCACTACGAAATCTCTAAGCCTCCCATTTACGCTACTCAGCAAGAAAATTCCGATTCTGAATCCGAGTCCAAGACGGCGTCTGAGGCCGAGTCTGAGTCCGAAACTCAAGAGAACGTCCCACAGGACAAAGGTGCAATTTTGGCGGCTGCTTTGGGATTGGTTCAGAACGAGTTGTCAGAAGACTCTCAAAGCCCAGACGAGATTGAGCCAGTGCACTTGGAGACTCACAAACAGAGAGATTCAAAACCCAAAGAGCATAAACGCAAACAATCTAAAGCCGAAAGGAAGAAACGCGTAGCCGACAAAAAGGCAAAGCTTATCGAAGAGAAGAGAATGCGCAGACTCAGAGCCAATCTCGACAACCAGATAAACGCAGCTGAAAATAAGTCAGAATCTGAGAAAGCCAGTCCTCAAAGCGTTGTGATAAACATAAATTTCGCCAATCAGAACGGCGATTCTCAGTCTACTAAGGAAAGCAGGAACCAAAGGAAATCACGTTCTAGGTCTCCACTGGTTTTGGAGGATGTGGAAGATGAAGAGATTAACAGATACAACCAATCTCTTCAGAGATCTCCAAGAGGTTCATGCATCATTGACGATGATGAGGTATGATTTTATATAATGTATAGATGATACGAAGACCGAAATACGAAATGAGAACGTCAACTTAGTTTGTAAAATAATGCCATAAAGTTTAAATATGACTAGGTCGGAAATTATATTCGTGAGAAGGAGCTGCTTAGAAATTCCAAATATAAACTCAAACAGCTCTCCATTCTCAACCTTCTGGGCGTGTGGCGTAGTTGGTAGCGCGCTCCCTTAGCATGGGAGAGGTCATCGGTTCGACTCCGGTCTCGTCCATTTTTTTAACCCAGATGACTAAATACGAGCATGGTTCAAAGTCAGCCGTTCAATTTCCGTTTCCATGCAGCATTACGAAGCCACGACCCATGCTTCTATAGGAAATTACAAATCGTGGCGTTCAACACCCCAATGGCGATTGAAGTCCTTCAAGACTTTAGCGAACGCACAGAATCATTGAGATAGCCTGTCCTTTGTTGACAAAAATTGGAGTACTCTGTTCCGCACACCCTACTTGCCGTGCTGGAATTTCGTATAACTTGAACGGGGACTCCTTTTTTGAGTCTAGAACACCACCCGTAAGTCTGTAGCTATTGATCCATTTTGACAGCGATCATTGTCTACTTGACGTTTTGCTACATCCAAGATCAGTTTTTCCCTACTTTTATCGAGTTAGCCACTGCAGGGCATCGCCAGGTATACAAGGAATATGCCCCAGGCTTTACAGAACCGAAGACCGGTCAAAACCTTCAGCGACATGCTGTACCATCATTCGCGAGCGCTTAGCCACGTTTCCGTGGCTTACGCGAGCAAAGAAGACGAAATTGAGAGTCTGCTGAATGACCTGCACCAGGTACTGAAAACTGGCAAAAAACTGGTTTTCGCGGGCTGTGGCAAGTCTTTGAAGATCATTTACAAGACCGTGGCGATGCTCACGTCGTTGGGTATGGATGCGGCGTATTTGCATCCCAGTGAGGCTTTGCACGGCGATATGGGTGCCATACGGCGCGGAGACGCCATAATAGTGTGTTCCAGCAGTGGCGAGACGCAGGAACTGGTCTCTTTTATGAAATATACATCTTCCGTGCTGCAACCGTCGCTCAGGGTTTTGGTTTCGTCGCGAGCATCGTCGACGTTGCAAGCACTGGCAGATCGCACATTGCTGATACCCCAACCGGCCGAGTTTCAAGAAAGCTACCTCCAGGATGGATTGCAGTCGCCCACGGTGTCTACGACACTTATGCTTGCGGTTCTCGACTGTCTGTGCCTTGCGCTGAGCGAATTGCACTACGAAGGCGACCTCGAACGCCGGCGTCGATTTTTCCAACAGATGCACCCTGGCGGTGGCATTGGCAAAAGCCGGGTCGCCCTCGTTGCAGCAGCGCAGCAGCCCGAAGACGAGATCGTCATTGCGCCGCGCGTACCGGTGGTCGACTTACAAGATGCCGTTACTGAGCCCGAGTTTCTGCGATGCGTCGTGGAATTCGACTGTTGTCGTATCGCGGGAGTCGACTACAACTCCAATTTTCTACAGCAGCGATATCGTCTGTGGAAGCAGCAAGCGAAACAGTATCCGTCCGCCTACGATGAGTGGGGCCTCCGAATTCTATTGGACCCACGATTGTCACCATATCCAAACAGATTCTGATCAGCTTCTATGCATAGAAGTATGTGTTCTTACCTAATTTTACATGTTTATATAATCCGTACAAAATGCGAATGTTGAAATTTCCTTTGCTATTTTTTTTCGGCTTTGTGGCATTTGCCACAAAAAGGAAAATTTCAGCCGTTCAAAACGCGAAAACAAGCCTCGTTTGGTCTTTTTTTAGAAAAAGAACGCGTCTGGGACAGAAAGAGGTATCACGTGAGTTGTGATAAAAAATCTCTACTCACGTTACCCGGATGGTTGAAATTCTTGAACAAGCTCAAGTTTCTTGCAAGTGATCAAATACACATTTTGTCGAGCAAACAAGCGAAACTGCAGTTGACGAATCGCGGCAAGTCAGCTAAATGTCGGTCAGAAACTTGACGAGCGGAACAAGTGAAGCTTCTGGGCAAGGTTCGTCATCGTCACCGCCGGATGGAGACATGGAACGGTCAAGAAATGGCAGATCAAGTAGTGACGTTAAGAATCCGTTTTCCGACTACTCCGCAGCTGAAGAAGAGGATGAACCACGGGTTTATACGTCTCAAAGCGGTAGCGATGCGTCCCTGATTGAACACGCACAGGATAAGAGTGGTGAAATCGCCGCGGGAGCAGCGATTTCGGACTACAAGGGCTATTATTCTCGGAATGGAGGCGCAAGACGCGGTAGCAGGCAGGGCCACCTGCGAGTTCCGGCGGCGTTACCTTCAAGCAGCACTCTCAGTTCGAATGCCGGAATCTCAAACAACGACATTATGTCTCCACCCGCGTTCGACCGTTACCCACTTGTCGGGTCACGTGTTGCTTCGATGGCCGCAGTAAACCCACATATACAAGGTGCGTCGGGTACGTCAGGAACTCCCGTTGGTGCCTCCACGGCAGCGGACCAAGACAGGTCAGCATTACCTCATAACAACTCATCGTCATCGATATCGTCTTCAAATCCATTTTTGAGCGACCAAGATTTTTCACCTTTTGGTGGGTATCCTGCAACTTCTTTCCCGCTTCTTATGGATGAAAAAGAGGATGATGATTATTTGCACAATCCTGATCCTGAGGAAGAGGCGCGGCTTGATCGCAAGAGATTTGCACTCGATTTCAAGCACATGGACAAACGGTCCATAGGTGGACTGCTGGGGTTCTTGTTACTGTTCTTGGGAGGTGTGGCCGTTTTTGTCGTTTTGCCAGTTATTACCTACACAGGTGCTACTGACCACGGAAGAGCTTCGGTGGTCCCACTATTGACTTTGTACCAGTATCCCCAACTTTCTGCTATCAGAACAAAACTAGTGGATCCCGACACTCCGTCGAATGCGCAAACACGTGTTGCAAGAGACGGTTCCAAATGGCCATTAGTATTTTCAGATGAATTCAATGCAGAGGGAAGAACTTTCTACGAAGGCGATGATCAATTCTGGACTGCCGTGGATATTAACTATGCATCCACTAATGATTTGGAATGGTATACTCCAGACGCAGTAACTACCACGGAAGGTGCAGCTCGTCTGAGGATGGATGCCTACAAGAATCACGATCTTTTCTACCGGTCTGGTATGTTGCAAAGCTGGAATAAAATGTGTTTTACCCAAGGTATCCTAGAAATTTCCGCGAATTTGCCCAATTATGGACGTGTGACAGGTTTGTGGCCCGGTATGTGGACTTTGGGGAATTTAGGGAGACCCGGTTACAGAGCGAGTACTGAAGGTGTTTGGCCTTATTCTTATGAGGCTTGTGACGCTGGCATCACTCCAAACCAAAGCTCTTCGGACGGTATCTCGTATTTACCTGGTCAAAAGTTGAGCATTTGCACTTGTGATGGTGAAGATCATCCTAATCAAGGTGTCGGTAGAGGGGCCTCTGAAATCGATGTCATTGAAGCGGAAGCCGATACTAAATTGGGGGTCGGTTTGGCCTCTCAATCGCTACAAATCGCTCCTTTTGATATCTGGTATATTCCTGACTACGAATTTTTAGAAATTCACAATCAGTCAACTACAGTGGTTAACACCTACTGTGGTGGTCCAATCCAACAAGCCGTGTCTGCAGTGACAACTTTGAACACAACCTGGTACGAATATGGTCCCGACGCAGGCTACTTCCAAAAATATTCGTTTGAATATCTCAACGATCGTGACACGGGTTACATCCAATGGTACGTGGGTGACAATCCGACTTTCACTATAAATGCCATGGCTTTGCATCCCAACGGTAACGTTGACTGGAGATACATTAGCCGAGAACCAATGTCTGTGGTTATGAATTTGGGTTTATCTAACAGTTGGGCCTACATTGATTGGGCTGCCATTTATTTCCCCGTGACGATGAGTATTGACTATGTGAGAGTTTACCAACCGAGCAACAATCAAAGCATAACATGTGATCCTGAAAACTATCCAACATATGACTACATTCAAAAACATCTAAATGCTTATCAAGACGCCAATTTGACGTCTTGGGAGGAAGCAGGCTACACTTTTCCTAAGAACGTACTTACTGGAAACTGCAAAAGCTCCAAGTTTTCGTTTTAGAGAGATTTAGATATTGCATATGAGGTGAGAGTGGGAGGATAAACTAACCAATACATGTTGGGCTTGACTTTGCGGACGGGCTCACAAGACATAGATCGACACCTATACACCTTAAACACGGAGATATTCACCATTAGATATCGAGGCATAAAACATCACAAAATTGATATTCTGTTCTTACTCGAACTCTGTTTGCCGCATGCGATAACTGGCCTGTGGTAATTAGAGAGAATTGGGCGACTCTTCGTATCTTTCCTCGAAAGGAAGCTAAAGGAGATGATACTCAATCTTCATCATTTGCATCGCATCGATGTCACTTTTCAACAACAGATTGGTGGAACGATATGTGTGATGCGTTTTAGACTATTCATGTAACAAATAGTAACAGAACATGTAATTTATGGTACTTGATCTGAAGACGGATTGTACAATGACAGCACTAGTAGATATTATTGGCTTGTATCTCGCTACTGTACTATAATAAGTGTATGTTTTTAATGTCATGGTCACCTTGACAAACAAGAACGAAGATTTACAAAGAGAGATAGAAGCTTGCTATGGTATTGCAACATTGGGTGTCATATTGAAAGCTGTCACTTTGCTCAGCTGCTTCGGCATATATCGACAACACTACCGTCATTTAAACGTCCTAGAATATTGCACGCATTTAAACAAACCAGAAAAGCCATTAATCAATATTTATAAAATAATTTTCATGTAACGCCCTCTGGTACATCTTTGAAATGTTTGCCTCTTTAGTTTCTCTCGACTAAGAAGTGATATGCATTGTAGAAACGCCAAAGCTCACGATAGCTATTGAAGGTGCAATGACCTAGTAAACCAGACTTCTGAAACCCTAAAAAATCAGCCAAAAAAAATATGCTAGAAGCCAAAGAACCAGCCAAGGAAACCAGCGAAAACTACTCAACACTGATGAAAACTCATATTATGTCTCTCTGACGTTTCCTGTCGTTTCCTGTCGTTTCCTGTCGCTTCCTTTGACCTGATCCCAAGCCCTCCGGGATTCCCTCAAATATGTTCAAAAATAGTTCAATTCCAATAACAAGCGCAAGTGGTTTAGTGGTAAAATCCATCGTTGCCATCGATGGGCCCCCGGTTCGATTCCGGGCTTGCGCAAATTTTTCTCTTTTTTCCTGACGTAGATTATGTCATCTTGGGTCGATGCTGATAGCCTAGTTGGGTTAAATAATTATTCCAAGTCTTGCAAGCGTTTTGAAAAATTAAACATCACCGATTCACTGATAAAGACAGGTTGAAGTAACAGATAGTACGGACACCTAGGACACCCAGGACCCCTAATTGCTTACACCATACATATGTCTTCACCGAATCGAAATATGTTTGTCCAAAGATCCGAAGGCAGTGAGGCCAGCTCACAGATGGACGGTAATAATGGTAGTGTTCCAGGTCGCAATGTTCAATCTTCGCCTCGTTTCTCATCCATGGGTACTGGTTTCGCTGGAAGCAGTCAGGTTGGTGAGGATTTTGAAGGATCGGGATCTAATTTTGCGGCACCCGTTTTCCCCAGTTCTTCCGCACCGATGCAAAATGCAGGTCATAGTAGTCAAGACAACCGGCGCCAATTGGGAAGCAGCGAGCCTTTTGAAAGAGACAATGCATTTGAGGAGTCGGATTTACCGCTGGAAGGAATTCGCCGACGCAATTTGAATGCTATAAAGAAAGTGGATGATGTTACCGGTGAAAAAGTGCGAGAAGCATTCGAGCAGTTTCTCGAGGATTTTACAGTGGTTTCAGAAGAGGAACCCCAGGGGAACTACATATATCGGGCTCAGATCGAATTCATGAAAATTTACGATTTAAGCACCATTTACGTGGATTACCAGCATTTGGCCACAAGAGAAAACGGTGCATTGGCAATTGCCATTTCTGAACAATACTATAGATTTCTGCCGTTCCTGTTAAAGGGTTTGAGACGTTTTGTCCGCAAATTTGCGCCACAGCTGTTGCTCACTTCCGATTCTGTACTGTCTCAAAGTCCAGAGTCGCTTGACACTCAAGCGGGGGATGCCATCCCGGACACGCAGCAAACAGAAGCGAGTGCAGTTACAGGTTCCGGCATTGGAAATGCGAGCTCGGGGCTGGCCACTGGCGGATCGACAACAAGTTCTCCTGAACAAAGCGAACGTGTTTTCCAAATAAGCTTTTTCAATTTGCCCACTATACAGAGAATTAGGGACGTCAGGGCCGAAAAGATTGGGTCTTTGATGACTATTTCTGGCACAGTGACCAGGACCTCTGAAGTGCGGCCAGAACTTTTCAAAGCAAGTTTTAGTTGTGAGATGTGCAGGGCGATCGTCGACAATGTCGAGCAGGTTTTCAAATATACAGAACCTACTTATTGTCCTAATCCTTCTTGCGAGAATCGTGCCTTCTGGAGCTTGAATGTGGGAAGGTCCAAATTCCTCGATTGGCAAAAAATCAGAATCCAAGAAAATGCGAACGAAATTCCAACAGGTTCGATGCCACGTACTTTGGATGTCATATTAAGAGGCGACTGCGTGGAAAGAGCCAAACCGGGTGACAAGTGTAAGTTTAGCGGCACAGAGATTGTAGTTCCGGACGTAACTCAACTTGGCCTTCCCGGCGTTAAGCCGAGTTCGACTATGGATTCAAGAGGAATTTCAAGAAGTTCAGAAGGTCTTAATGCTGGAGTTAGCGGATTAAGAACGCTAGGTGTTAGGGATTTGACATACAAAATCACGTTTTTGGCGTGCCACGTCGCGCAATCCGGCCAAAACTCTGGAACTAACCAACAAGATGGGTTGGACGACCTTGCAAATGCACAGGTCGCTGGAGTTTATGATGATGATGGGAAAGATCAAGAAATTTTCTTGAATAGTTTGAACTCTCAAGAGATCAATGAACTGAAGGAAATGGTCAAAGATGAGCGCATTTATGACAAATTGGTGCGATCCATCTCTCCAGCCGTGTTCGGACATGATACTATTAGAAAGGGTATTTTATTGCAAATGCTGGGTGGTGTTCACAAGACAACGGTAGAGGGGATCAAGCTTAGAGGCGATATAAACATTTGCATCGTCGGAGATCCTTCGACTTCCAAGTCTCAGTTTTTGAAATACGTTTGTGGTTTCGCTCCGCGGGCCGTTTATACATCTGGTAAAGCGTCTTCGGCTGCAGGGTTAACCGCCGCTGTTGTCAAAGATGAAGAGGCGGGTGATTTTACTATAGAGGCAGGTGCGCTAATGTTGGCTGACAATGGGATTTGTTGTATTGATGAGTTCGACAAGATGGATATTTCAGATCAAGTTGCCATTCACGAAGCAATGGAACAACAAACCATCTCGATAGCGAAAGCGGGGATACATGCTACGCTTAACGCCCGGACCTCCATTTTAGCAGCTGCTAATCCTGTTGGTGGTAGATACAACAGAAAGTTGACTTTGAGAGGTAATCTTAACATGACAGCACCTATCATGTCTAGATTCGACCTGTTTTTCGTCATATTGGATGACTGTAATGAGAAAGTTGACACCGAATTGGCGTCGCATATTGTCGATTTGCATATGAAACAGGACGATGCTATTGATCCTCCATTTAGCGCTGAGCAGTTACAGAGATACATCAGATATGCTCGCACTTTCAAGCCTGTTCTCAATGAGGAAGCGCGCAACTATTTGGTCAACAAATATAAAGATTTGCGACAGGACGATGCACAAGGATTTAGTAAATCGAGCTACAGAATTACAGTTCGACAACTGGAAAGTATGATCAGATTGTCCGAAGCTATCGCGCGTGCTAATTGCGTTGATGAGATCACACCCAATTTTGTTGCTGAAGCGTACGACTTATTGAGGCAGAGTATCATTCGTGTTGACGTAGAGGATGTTGACGTCACTGGAGCGAGCGACGACGGGACTGACTCAGATGCAGATGAAAACCACGACGACCCCACACCTCCAGCCAACGAGGCCGAAGCACGTCGCAATTCTACGGGGACAGGAGAATCTCCTGAAAAGAGGCCGGTTACGAAGGAAAAGCGGAAGCACACGATTTCCTACGACAAATACGCCGCGATGATCAATCTGATCGTACAGAAAGTTGCACACGAGGACTCGATGGGCAACGAATTGACTGCTGCTAATATAGTCGATTGGTACTTGCTACAGAAGGAGAACGATCTCGACAGCGAAACCGAATACTGGCAAGAACGGAAGTTAGCCTTTAAAGTGCTGAAAAGACTGGTGAAGGACAAAATCCTCATGCAAGTCCAAGGAACCATGCAATCTCTACCGGACACTCAGGCGGCGGCCCCGGCGGCTTCAAACCGTATCGTCTACGTAATCCATCCCAACTGCGCTGTCCTGGACGGACTCATTGGTTCGTCGCAAGGTCGTTAGCGCAGTCACGTGCTCTGCTCTAAGCTACAACTCTCATCAAACGATACCACTATAGGACGAGACAGCCACGGTCGTTAGCCTCGCCTCGGGTGAAAATAAGTCACCGATGAGTTGTTGGTCCGTCAGTCTGGTCAAGATAAAAGGTTAGAGACATATACCGTCAAGGAACTTAGCCTTAGTCGAGCCATCAAACTCTACGATATTCTACTTTACGATTTTTAAATCTAGGCTCCAAATTCAGGCGTTTGTTAGACATCTACAAGAGATAACCGTCGAGCGAACGGTAACTAATCCATCTATCAGCTTTCTCTGCCAATCACACGTGATTATATCGAACTTACCAGTCTCATCTTGTTAATATTTACCCTCCTCTGGAAAGCGCATTCGGTAAAGAATATCAGATGGTTCATGTGCTGCAGAAGGAAACAAAGGATAAGGGGGGTCGAGATCCATCTCAAGGGTTGGTTGCGGGAAATTTACCAAACGAGATGCGCACTTATTTCGGAAAGTATAAATGTCAATGGTGGAAGTGGTACCCCTTGGAAGTGTAATAAGCTGGGCTACGGAAGTCATCGAAAGAGACGTTTCTCTTTCTATCCAAGTGTTGAATAATGAGTTTTGACAGAAGACCAAGTTTAAGTACTAGTCAATCGAATGACTTGATCTTCAAAGATCCCAATTCGCCTCATGTGCCGCGGCTCACGAGACGGTTGACCGGTTTCTTACCGCAAGAAATTCGAGCCATTGATAGTATTATTCCAGCCGAATCTCGCAAACTTTGGGATGCCCACAAAGTGAAGAAGTTCAACGAACCCTCTGAATTCCAAGACCGGTTCATTTCGCATGTCGAATGGACACTTGCACGGTCACTCTACAACTGTGATGATCTAGCTGCTTACGAAGCGACGTCAAACTCGGTTCGTGACAATTTAGTCATCGACTGGAATTTGACGCAACAACGTCAAACCGCAAGAGACAAAAAACGTGTCTACTATTTGTCGTTGGAGTTTTTGATGGGTCGTGCCCTGGACAATGCTCTGATTAACATGCAGACCGACACGTCTTCCAGTGGAGAGTCAAGAGAAATGGTCAAAGGAGCCATTGGAGACTTGGGATTCAAACTGGAGGACGTCTTGAAACAGGAACCCGATGCGGCTCTTGGAAATGGCGGGCTTGGTAGATTGGCCGCTTGTTTTGTTGACTCTATGGCCACGGGTGATTATCCAGCCTGGGGCTACGGTTTGCGCTACCAGTACGGAATTTTTGCCCAAAAAATCATCAATGGATTCCAAGTCGAAACTCCGGACTATTGGCTGAATTTCCCCAACCCATGGGAGATTGAACGTTCCGAGATTCATGTGCCCATCAATTTTTACGGCTACGTGGACCGCTCCTCCAATACGTCTACTTTAACGCCAGCCGAATGGCTCGGTGGTGAGAGGGTCTTGGCAGTTGCATATGATATGCCAATTCCAGGCTTCAAAACCTCTACCGTTAACAATTTGAGACTTTGGAGCGCTAGACCCACTACTGAGTTTGATTTTGCGAAATTCAACAGCGGTGACTATCGCAATTCGGTCGAACAACAGCAAAGAGCGGAATCGATTACCGCAGTTCTTTATCCGAACGACAATTTTGAACAGGGCAAAGAGTTAAGACTAAAGCAACAATATTTCTGGTGTGCGGCTTCTCTACATGACATCGTCAGAAGATTCAAGAAAACGAGAAGACCGTGGTCGGAGTTCCCAGACCAAATTGCCATCCAACTCAACGACACACATCCCACGTTAGCAATTGTGGAATTGCAAAGAATCTTAGTCGATTTGGAAAAGCTAGACTGGCACGAGGCTTGGGGTATTGTGACGGCAACATTCGCTTACACCAACCACACGGTCATGCAAGAAGCGTTGGAGAAATGGCCTGTCGGTCTCTTCGGTCATCTACTACCACGTCACTTGGAAATAGTCTTTGATATCAATTGGTTCTTCTTGAAGGAAGTAGAAGAAAAATTCCCTCATGATGTCGATCTTTTGTCCCGGGTTTCTATCATTGAGGAATCTTCCCCTGAGAGACAAGTGCGCATGGCGTACCTTGCAGTTGTTGGATCACATAAAGTCAACGGTGTCGCTGAATTACATTCGGACCTGATCAAGACTACAATCTTCAAAGATTTCGTTAAGATTTACGGTGTCCATAAATTCACCAACGTTACCAACGGTATCACACCTAGACGTTGGTTGAAGCAGGCCAACCCCAAGTTGGCCTCGCTTATCAGCAAAACTCTCAACGACCCAGAGGACAAATTTTTATTAGATATGTCGAAGTTAACAGCGTTGCGGGATCTCGCTGAGGACGAAGACTTTCAGGAGAAATGGAACGACGTGAAGCAGTTCAACAAGCTCCGTCTGGCAGATTTGATCAAAGAGCTGAATGGTGGCGTAGACATCCTTGAGCGCGATCATATTCGCAACACACTCTTTGACATTCAGGTCAAAAGAATTCATGAGTACAAACGGCAACAGCTAAACATTCTCGGTGTTATCCACCGTTACCTTTCTATCAAAGAGGCACTGGCATCAGGCGTTAAATTCGAAGAGGTGGCCAAGAAGTTCCCTCGGAAAGTTTCAATATTTGGTGGTAAGAGTGCCCCAGGGTATTACATGGCCAAGTTGATTATCAAGCTGATCAATTCCGTTGCTGAAGTGGTCAACAATGATGAGGAACTGTGTGACATTTTGAAGGTCGTTTTTATTCCTGATTACAATGTCTCAAAAGCTGAAATCATCATTCCAGCTAGCGATCTCAGCGAACACATTTCTACTGCGGGCACGGAAGCTTCCGGGACTTCAAACATGAAGTTCGTGATGAACGGAGGCCTCATTATTGGCACTGTGGATGGCGCTAATGTGGAGATCACTCGTGAGATTGGAGAGGAGAATATCTTCCTGTTTGGCAATCTGAGCGAAAACGTCGAAGAATTGAGGTACGCGCATCAGTACCAGCCTCAGAAGCTACCTCAAAGCCTCGAAAAGGTTCTGAATGCCGTGGAGAGCGGCGCTTTCTCGCCGGACTCCCCCTCCGAGTTCCAGCCTCTGATTGACAGCATCAAGCACCACGGAGACTACTACTTGGTCAGCGACGATTTCGACTCTTACGTCGCTACGCATGAACTTGTCGACGAGTTGTATCACAAGGACAAGAAGTCGTGGCTCAAGAAGAGTATTTTGAGTGTCGCAAATGTTGGGTTTTTCAGCAGTGACCGCTGCATTGAGGAGTATGCGGGTACCATTTGGAACACAGAGCCCCTAAAGCCAGAGTAGACACCTTGGATCCCCTCCCCCCCTCTTTCAACGCTCCTTTCCAGGAGAGATACAAGCCAGTAAATATGAACCAAGAAGACTTGAAATTTCTAGTCACCTTGCCGAGTGTATTTTATATCCCCGCGCTCTCCAAGTTACTTGACGATTACATAATCTTACATTATAAAACTCCGAGATTATAAATATATTCTTGTACGTCTATGTGTTTTGGGCCAGGCCACAAAAATGAGGACATGCAGGAAAAAAAATTCATGACCCCCTTAATCATGACGTAAACTAGCGTTAGCTCGGTCAAAAGGAAAAACCGGTTCTTAGTTGACCTTTCTCGGCCCAGCATGACAAGGCCCTTCTCGAATTGCAAATGCCAGGCAATAATCGAGGTCCGGCATTGCGGGAGTCGTTTTGGTTCTTGAGCTGCTCCGCTTGGCTCTAAGAGAGGAAGAACGTCTTGATGACCAAGACAAACCGAGCGAACTCCGACATGACTATATATGGATATTTAGCGGAGAACGACTTTCGTTTTGGATGAAGTCGCCCAGCAATTCGAATAGTATATAAACAAGAGAGAGGGGCGCTGTAATTGAGCAACTCATTAATTTGGAATTCGAAAAACTAACCGCGATAAGGTACTTCAAGCCATAACATTAACGCGTCATTGATCAATATAAGAAGTTACAATGTCTCATGGACTCGAACCTGGCGAAGAGTCACGTGACAAGGTGGAATTAGAAGGAGGAAATAACGGAGTTTTCGGAGATAAGATAAGAAGAAAATATTCCGGAGAATCGTTTGAGACGGAGAATAGCAACGAGGATGTCACTGATAACGGAAAACCAAGAAAAGTATGGTTTAGCCGCGCAGAATGTGTGGAATATATGAAAACCAGGTTTACCACTTTGATACCCAGCAAGCAAGAATTACGCCAGGCACGTGAGGAATATCCACTCAATCCCTTTCCTGCACTGGGAGCAATGAATTGGCAACAAACGCAGTTCTTCATTGTTGGATTTTTGGCATGGACTTGGGATGCCCTAGATTTCTTTGCCGTTTCTCTGAATATGACGGCAATCGCCAAGGATTTGGATAAATCGATCAAAGATATTTCCCATGCTATCACTTTGGTGCTGTTGCTGCGGGTCGTGGGTGCAATTATATTTGGGTATCTTGGAGATCGGTACGGACGTAAATGGCCTTACTGCGTCACCATGGTGCTCATTGTGATCATTCAGATTGGAACTGGGTTTGTAAAGAGTTTCCCCGCGTTTCTGGGCTGCAGGGCCCTGTTCGGTATCATCATGGGCTCCATTTTTGGCGTTGCTAGTGCTACCTCGCTGGAAAATGCACCTCAAAAGTCAAAATCTATTCTATCTGGAATTTTCCAGGAAGGTTATGCGCTCGGATATCTACTGGGTGTGATATTTCAGCGCGCGATCGTTGACAATTCTCCATACGGATGGCGTTCATTTTTTTGGTTTAGCGCAGGTCCACCAGTGCTATTTATTGCTTGGAGACTTCTACTTCCGGAGTCGCTAGCTTACACTCGTCGGAGGCAAGAAGAACGCAAGTTGGCACAGGAAACTTCTAACACCGAATCGTCGCAATTCTGGAAAAACTGCCGTACTGCACTCAAATACCACTGGTTGACACTAATATATCTAGTTTTGTTGATGGCAATGTTCAATTTCTCGTCGCACGGATCCCAGGACTTGTTTCCGACAATGATTTCCAACCAGTACGGTTATTCCAAAGACGCATCCACCGTAACCAATTCCTTGGCCAACATTGGAGCGCTGACAGGGGGCATTATCGTTGCCCACGCAAGTTCATTTTTAGGTCGCCGACTCTCGATTATTCTGTGTTGCTTTGGAGGTGGCGCTCTTCTATATCCATGGGGGTTCGTATCAAACCCTAAAGGGCTAAACCCAGCGGTCTTCTTCTTACAATTTTTTGTTCAAGGAGCCTGGGGCGTTGTCCCGATTCATTTGACTGAGCTTTCTCCAGTAGAATTCAGAGCATTCGTGACAGGTGTTGCTTACCAGTTGGGAAACATGATCAGCAGCGCGTCCTCCACGATTGAAGCCACCATTGGAGAAAGATTTCCAATCGAGGGAAAGGAAGATGTCTACGATTATGGCAAAGTTATGTGTATCTTCATGGGCTGCGTCTTCGCTGGGCTTCTGATAACGACCTTCGTGGGTCCGGAAAACAAGGGCCGCGAGATCACTTTAGATGATACTTATTTGAAGAGCAGAGGATCCATCTCTAACGATAATTTTGGCAGAGACGATGATTTAGAATATGGCGCTGGCGCCAATGCATCTTTCAATGATTCGAAACCTGCCTTCGAAGAAATAGAGGATATCAAATGAGTTATAATAATTGTCGGTATTTGAACATACTTATAACAGCTATCTTTTCACCAGCTTCCCGGTTGCCTTCGATTGATATATATATATATATTGGCCGAATTACCTACCCATCGGGCTTTTAAAGAATCTCGATAAGACCCTGTACGCACAAGATTCACGTATTGACGTAGTTTATTTATTTGGCAACGCCAAACACTTCGTAAAGAGCATCACCCAGTCTTCTAACACCGTCGCGTAGTTTGTCGAGTGGAACCGCCGCATAGGTGCCTCTAAAGAAAATGTTATTAGGGTCAGATACTGCTTTACTGCTTGCCGGTTGTGGTGGTTGGGTTTCTCCCTCGGACTTGAACCATTTGCCTGGAACGACTAAGACACCACTGCTGACAACCTTCTCGTAGATGGCTTGCTCAACAAGTTCTGGGTCGGATTTGTATGTTGTGGCAAATTCTGGGTGAGCAGATGCATCAATGTTGACGGTGAAAAACATGCCAGCAATTGGAGGGTTGATGTTGATGAACGACGATCTTGGCAAATATTCGTAAAGAGCATCGATAGCAGCATCACGTTTTTCGTTATATTCACGACGCAAACCGATCAGCCAATCCAAGAATCCCTCTTGTCCCCATCTATTCAAAGTACCAGCAACAATAGACTGAGAAAATCCACTTGGGTTCTGAATTGTCATCTCGTGAAGCATTTTGTAAGCATCCAAGATTTGCTTAGAACCCACAATCCAGCCCAATCTCGTTCCTGGACCCAAAACTTTCGAGAAAGAATCCAAACGAACAACTCTACCCTCAGTGTCAATCGATATGAATGATTTAGCCATGGATGCAACAAACTCTTCGGTTGTGCTAAAATTCTTTTGAACTCTTCTCGACTTGTCCTGTTCGTAAGCGTCCATTTGCAAAAAGTAGTATGGTTCATCTTCGATGATCAAGAAGTCGTGCTTTTGAGCAATACGATAAATTTGAGTCTTTCTGTCGTCGCTGAGCGAGCTTCCGGTTGGATTTTGGCCTGTTGGAATAGTGTACAGAAATTTAGGCTTCGCGGCTTCGGGGTTCCAGTTGTCCAAAATCTCTTCCAATTTTTCAGGAATCAAACCATGCTCATCCAATGGAACTGGGAAAACATTGACACCTTGGGCTTCAGCAGCATACAAAGAAGCAGAAAACGAAAACCGCTCGGCCAAAATCGTGTCACCGCGATTACAGAAAACTCTCAAGGTAGATTCCCACGCAGAGGTGTTACCAGCCGTCGCCAGCACATCCCAGTCGGCATACTGCATTTTGTGAATTTTGTCAGTGTGTTCTCTGACGAACGACAAAAACTCTGGTTGACCTTGACTGAAACCGTACTGAAGCGATCTGGACAGAGGGATGTCGTTAGTCTCACCAGCTTTGGTAGTCTCGTTCTTCTTGACAGTCACGTGACACGTATCTTCTTTACTGCCTGAAGGAGAAGCACCGATGCCTTTTGGGAAGGGAGGTAGCGGCGACTCGATTTGCAAGTTGTCCCAGGGGAAGTACTTGCTCATGGGCAGCCCACCTCCAAGAAACACAATGTTTGGGTCATGGAAAAGATGAATGCATGTTTTCAAAGGAGATGGTTTTCTGGCGTTAGTTTCATCTGAAAAGAAGTACGAAAAGTCCTTGGACTCCATAACGGTCATTTTTGTAACGATGTAATATCAGCACTTGATTGTTTGGCAGTCTCAATACCTAAGCTCAGTCAACTAAAAGTAGTCTGTTCGGCAATTAGTGCTTTATATAACTGTGACTTATTTCGGTTCCCGCTCGAAATCTGAAATGATTCTTTAAGAAAATTTTGTTAGATGACATGGAGCTGCTGAGTTGACTCATGAAATTTGCTTATCTAAGTATGAAATTGAAATGATAGTCGGTAAGTCTCGCTTATTCGCGGAAGATGACAAGTCGAGATGAAACCCATCCACCCTCGGCTAACCACGGATCGGTAGCTTCCGAATGCGCGCTTCTTTTTTTTGAGAAAGAAAGAATGAGAAGCGACGTTCGTGTATGCCCGACCGGAAAAACCTTAGTTTTTCCGATGTTGCCTGGCACATCAAGAGGCACATGCATGCATGAGCAAATGCCGAGATAATTCGTACAGAGAGATTTTAATCAGTATAAAACCCACACACATCAAATTATGTAGCTTTACGTCAAAAGTGACTTGTCTTACTGCACCTGGATCACCATTAACGACAAGGGAGATCCAGGCCCATCTTCTAGGGATGTACCATTGAAAGATAGACTCAGCTTTCACCTCGAGAAGGAACAGACTGGCAGCTTGGAAAGCCGTGACGCGTTCGACTCGAATCTTTTTCCCATAAACTGATGGCAATAGCAAGCGTGGATCGCGGATCCACTTTAGCAGGCTTGTTTTTCCTCCTTACACTCGCTTTTGTCAGCGCACTGCGAGAGAAATCTAATTATGCAGTGTCGAATGATCTTTTACCCTGGGCTCCCGGTGTCAAAGACCAATTGTTTCTGCCTGAAATGTATGCAGGTCATATCCCTTTAGGTAACAGCGCTGACGAGGATCCCAACAAGCTTTTTTTCTGGAAGTTTCACGATACACACCCAGCGACTTCCGACACCGAAGCTGTGATTTTTTGGCTTAACGGAGGGCCCGGTTGCTCTTCAATGGACGGTGCTCTGATGGAAAGTGGACCACTTCGTGTTAATGACAACGGGAAACTTATGCTGAACAATGGAAGTTGGTTCTCTCGCGGCGATATGATTTTTGTCGACCAGCCAGCGGGAACTGGGTTTTCAGTCGTGGGCCAAAATGGTGGCTACGATGAAGACCTTCAAGAGGTTGCTAGCGATTTTTTGAGTTTTTTACAAAAATATTTGGAAATTTTCCCCGAAGATCGCGAGAAACAGGTGATTTTAGCAGGAGAAAGTTACGCAGGCCAGTATATCCCGTTTTTTGCACAGGCTATCCTCAATTTTAATCAAGATTCAGACGAAAAAATCAACCTGCAAGGCCTTCTGATTGGAAATGGCTGGATCGATCCTAATTCTCAATCACTTTCGTACATTCCATTCGCTGTGGAGAGAGGAGTTATTTCTAACAAGAATCCTCAGTTCTCGTCACTTTTGAAGCAACAAGAAAAATGCCAAAACCTCATCAACTCAGGAAAAAACGGATTTGTTTACGAGGAATGTGAAGACATTTTAACTCATCTGCTGGCAGCAACCAAAGCTTCTGAGGATTCGGATGGTAATAAAGTGCCCAACAGTGAGAAATGTCTCAATATTTATGATCTCAGATTAAGAGATTATTATCCCTCATGCGGCATGAATTGGCCCCCAGACTTGCCAAGCTTGTCCAAGTTCTTTGCCACACCTGGTGTCGTGGAGGCTTTGAACATGAACACCGAAGAAATTCTTCTATGGAGGGAATGTGATCACAAAGTTTCAAATCACTTGAAAAACCCTACATCCAAGCCGTCCGTTCATTTACTACCAGCTATTATGGAGGCCGGTGTCCAGGTCATCCTGTTCAATGGGGACCAAGATCTCATCTGCAACAATATGGGCGTTGAGGCTTTAATCGGGGATCTTTCCTGGGGCAGCAAAAAGGGATTTACAGATCAGGTTCAAAACTATGACTGGCTTTATCATGATGCTACTTTGGGTAGCAATGTATCCGCAGGATTTGTGAAGTATGAGAGAAATTTAACTTTCATTAGTGTCTACAATGCGTCTCATATGGTGCCCTTTGATAATGCACGTATTAGTCGGGGTATTGTTGACATTTTCTTGAATCAAGTGACACTTGTTCAGGGTCCAAACGGGGACACGCTATTGAGCGAGGAATCATTAGCCCAAGGTACTGAACTTGGGACCAGCTACAGTGATCAAAATGAGCAGCAAAGTGAGGAAGAGGACAGTGAAAAGGATGATCGCCAAGCAGATGAAGAAGGCGAGCACGAGGACGAGAAAGAGGACATTGATGATGACGACGATGGTGGTGACGAAAATGATGAAGACGATGAGGAAGAAGATAACGAAGAACAAGACGAAGAACAAGATGAAGAACAAGACGAAGAAGACGAAGAAGACGAAGAAGATAGTGACCATGAAAAACTGCCATTGTCAGACAGTCACAAATTCACACTCGCTGTCATTTACTTGCTCATCTTTTGTACTTTTGGAACTGTCGTCTACTTCGCTATCAGAGAGTTTTTTAGACCCAAGATTCGTGCAATTCTTGTTGATCCCGATAACAGGCCGGAGTCTACGAAGAAAACGGTGTCTTGGGCGGATGATCTCGAACAGGGTGTAGAAGAATGGGCTGATCGAACTCCTAGCGTAAAAAAAAACGGTCATTACATTAGCGTTCCAAATGAAGAGAGAGGTTCGTTCGAGCTTGAAGACATGTGATGGCAATATTTAGAGATTTATAAAGGCTATCTTTGGCAAGTTGTAAGTGATATTGAGTAATCCCTGAATTTGAAGTTTCTTCCTGCGGCGGTTTGCAGAGAAACCAGTGAAAAAGAAAGCGGAGGATATACCTTAAAAGCTACTCAGTCATTATAAATCGCCATTTTAGTATAGTGGTTAGTACACATCGTTGTGGCCGATGAAACCCTGGTTCGATTCTAGGAAATGGCAAATTTTTTCTTTCCATTTGCATCAGAAATGCAATGTAGTTGATAACTCTTCGGCTTTAACTCTATTGACTATGCTACATACGCGAACGCTTGCAAATGCGGTTCATGGACAATTTGGAGATTCTTTAAAAACAATGCAAAGGGAAACATAGCCCGAGAGCGCTATACACTTATCAAGGCTTTGGGATTTTGAGACTCTTGGAAATCATGCCACATCCATGTACACCAAACGCCAAAACCGCAGGATGAAGTTCGTACCATTCACCCTTCGCATAGATCCCAAAGGGCAAACTCTCTAAGATAAGACCCTGGTGTACCAAGAAAGCCATGGCCGCCACCAACGCAAGAGACGTTGGGATGGGGAAACCTTCGAACCACTTGGACTTCCCGGAAACGTCTTTGGGTAATTGAGCCACCGTGACGTTGAATCTGGCAAGTCTAGCAAGTCCACAAAGAACGAAAAACGACAAAACCAGAACGTCAATGGTAGATTGGAAACCAATGGCAAAAGCGATGGACGCAGGTGCAACACCAAATGAAATCAAATCGGCTAGAGAATCCAATTCCTGACCCATCAACGAGGATCTGTTTCTCAATCTCGCGACTCTTCCGTCGAAAAAATCGAAGAACATTCCAAGTAAAATGAAAAAATGCGCTCTTTGCACATAGTGTGGTTTACCCGTCAATGTAAACCTCAAACAGCTCACAATTGAGTAAAAACCACTGAACCCATTCATCATGGTGATAAAATCGGCCAAATGCAAGTTTCGTATCATACTGAAATGGTACGCGTCACTTGTGAATTTCTCAATGTCACTCTGATTAGGTGGTTCCAACGGTGTTATGTCAAATGAAAAAATCGAACTCGCCCTCCTACTAGGCGTTCTTGTTCCTACAAAACTATCTTCTTCTGTATCGGACTGAATCGCACTGTTGCCATCGTGAGGCGAAGGAACAGGCCCGTTACTCGTTGCTCTTTTGCTCATTATCACCAATGTAACCCAGCAATGTGATCGTTGTTGCCTTATTTTGATCAATCACAACTGGTTGATCTCACGATTCCTCAAAGAAAAACCCTTTACTTATTCAAATTTTTTACTCGGAAGTTGGTCATGTGAAAAATTCTGAACATGTCATCATCATCATCATCATCATCATTTCTTTAACTTAGCTATAAATTTAGACGGTCTTACAATTTTTCCTAGAAACGCCGTCACGGGGACTCGCCGTCACGGCCTCATACTGATAGTTGTTATGTGTACCCAAATGGCAATTCTCAAGTTAGTCCTAGAGCAATTAGAGCTTGTTTTTTTGTTTTTTCCTTTTTCGCTTTGACTTCCCCGCAATTTTGCGATCATTTACCGAGCTTTGATAGGATCTGAGGGTTCTGGCTGCCCACAACCCTGCCGTCCGATTCAAAGCCTCTTGTAAGCATGGTGGTCAAGAGTTCATGGTAGCTGGGTTTACCCGGTCCATTGGGTTCCGGAGGGTTGTTCTTGACGACTTCGTCAAAATAGTTGTTGTAAATGTCACCATCGTAATAGCCAATAGGGGCGTTGAGCATGGCGTCCGGGATCTTGAATGCGTCCGTTAAAGAGATGCAATATTGGCGGACTTCAGGTAATAGCTTGAACAGTTGAGGCTGGACTAGTTGCGAGATTTGGTCCGGTGAGAAAACTTTGAATTGCAAAAATTCGCCCGAGTGTTTGTCAATGAAATACAGAGAGAACAGCTGGTAAAGCTTCCATAATACTTCATTCGTCGTTTCGTCGGTAACGAACGATGTCTTGGGTTTAGACAATTTGGTGCTGTATGCTTGTAACATGGTATGGAACGCATGGAATTTGGAAATCAAAACCAAGTATTTGGCAATAGAATCTGAGTCTTTCGTCTTGCCCATGACTGTAACGCAATGGTGTAAAATCTTGACTAACATAATGCCCCAAACCTCGGAGTAATCCGCCAATGTGTCGAGTTTGGCAGCTTTTGAGTTTTTAATCACTCCTAGCACGAATTGCATCGACATATAGCTGAATGAGGGTCCAGTTTGAGAAATGCCCTTTGACAAATCTGCGAATTTCTTCAAGATACTTCTAGCAGACGTTAGCGACAAAATCGTGTTGTCTCCTTCCCAAGTACATTGCACGACCCAGTCGTTGTAACCTTTCCCAAAAGCGTTATAAGCCGAATACCCATGGCCGCCACAGGCTTGCCGTAACTCATCAATCAAGGTGGCTACCAACCAGGTGTTGGTGGCCTTCAAAGTTGCGCTATCGATGAAAAGGTCTTTTAGCTTGTCGCTCACGGGTTTCAACTGTTTCTTGCTACCACCAGAAGATACCTTGTACAATTGATCCAATGTGTTATGATACGTGTTCATCACGTTGTATGCCGCTGGTGCAATCAAGTACACGATAGCCAAATGGGGCAAGACACGGTATTGGTGCAGAGGATAATTCATCAATTGAGTTTCCTCGGTAAAGCCACTATCTTCACCCGATTTGGAAGCAAACTGTTGTCTACCTACGGAGTAACGTGTAGCAATAGTCACAAATTTGGCTCCAAAACGGTAAGAGTCCATTACCATGTTCACACGGCCACTGAGCAGAGCACTATAACCAGAAATTTGATCTAAAGCCGGTTCTGTGGCGACACGGACCCCGTCCTCAGAGGGAATAACCTTAGTAAATCTGCTGAGCATAAATTCTCTGGGGATCACGACGTTTTTGAACTGAATCCAGCCATTGTCAATTCCATCGCGACCCATCTTAGCCCCAATATCTCCAATGAAAATACCTGGGAGTAATTGGAAAGTTTCTGGGTCCCTGAGGGGTACTACAAAAGTCTTCACACCGTAATCTTTCCCTTCGACAATCAATCTTGCGTAAACGGTCGCATGAGTAGCGGAGTGTGCGGCACCACCAATCCACCATTTCGTAGCGGGTAGATTCGGGGTATTAATGACAAAAGTATCAGTTTTTTTGTCGTATACAGCTCTTGTCTGCAATTGTGCCACATTGGAACCATGTCCCATTTCTGTCATTGCGAAACAACCGTAAATACCCTTGATGAAAAGTGTACCTCTTTGTTGCAACCAGTATCGAATTTGCTCATTGGTTCCATTACCCCGAATACAATTGCCAAACAAACCCAAATGAACACCTATTCTGGTTCCAAGTTGTGGGTCCTGATTGGAGATGATGGACAAGCGCTTGTCAAAAACGGACAAATCTTTGCTCGTCAACGTGGGCGTTTCGTCGTTGGTTTGCAGTTCCTTAACGATATCCGTGCGGTATTCTTGCATGGCCATTTTGACATCTTGTTCCATATAAAGTGCCATTCTTGCAATTTTGCGCGCGGTCACTTCCCGGTGCTGTGCCTTTGACATGTCGTAAAAATCCGTACCGGTTTTCAAAACGGGGTCAGTTGACACCTCAGTAGTGATATCTTGCACCAACTTGGCATTGCGAGGATCATTTTCGAGAAAAACGTTAATTTCGTCGGTCTTGAGCCGATTTTCGGCTCTTTCACGCGAAATAAACTGCTGTGGCCGGAACGCAGGGCCACTAAACTCATTAGTTGTAATTTTCGTCATTGCTAGGCAAACTTAAAACACTGAACCGAGCTGTAACAGTATCGAAGTCAATCTTCACGTATCACCACTCAAATAAGAGCGATACAAGTAAACTACAGTTTCGCCAGACTCTTCTTTCGAAATCAAATGACAAAATCTCGTCTTGTGACTTATTTTGTTCCAAAGACTTCACACGTCTTTCCCTTTTCCTTTTATACTTTCAGTGGCCCCAACTTCGTGCTTCCAATTATCCGTGACGCCGTCATCGGTGTTTCCCCGCGATCACGTTGGGGAAACTTTGTCCTCAGCGTACGAAATCAGGTGATCGACAAGAGATACTTTTGTACGATGAAGAGATGTTTCTTGAAGCCCAAATTAGCTTCAAGTAAATAGAATAAAGCGGGGCTTAGTACGACCTAGATGATATGCCGATCCGAATGCTCAATAGCTTGAGAGATTGGTGCTGAAGCGGGATTGGAAAAGAGCTCATAAGCTAGTAACGCGACATCAAACCAATATTAAATCACATAACACGAAACCAACTCGAGAGCTCTAGGTTTCGTAATCTGACCTTCTCGAGCGTCCGTCTGATACGTATCTATTGGGGTCCACGTTTACGTTTCGTCTCTAATTCCAGAGCTCTTCCTCTCAGTTGAACTAGGAATAATGAAGGCCACGTGACCCGGGACTCCAGCTCACCGTCGTCACATCGTAACTATAAGGATTCCACCATTCTGTCTATCGCATGACTTAACTACCAATAGCACTACGAATTCAGTTTGAAGATATAAATTGTCCCACTGCACTCTATGATCTCCTTCTTCGGCTAAACCCGTGCAATTTGGGCCACAAAAAAGCACCGAGATCACCTCTCTACGCTCCAGAACGCGCTAGCATTCTTGCTTGCCTTGAACCCATTCTAAAACTCGCCTTGCTCTGCCATTCCCTCCTCGAGAGTGTCAAGATCGCTTTGTTTATCGTCTTTTAAGCGCGCTCCTTTAAATACTCAATTACTATCCGGGTAACCCTCGAGCCTGGTTTCAACCCGGAAAGGCCCCTATTTGCTTCGAATAAGTTGAACTTGTACCAGTGGCAAATTCATACAAACAAGACTTCAAACAAGGTCAAGTTCAACCAGAAGGTCTAAGTATTGGTCAGAATCTAGGCTTAATGAGTGACCTTCCAATTGAATTCACAGAACTTGTTGACCTGACGTCCTTGGGGATTTCCCCTCAATCCCTGGATTTTAGGTCAACAACTTTTGAAAGTGATCATTACGTTACTGTGAGAGAATCTAACAATGGCGCTAATTCGGTGGCAATCGTGGACTTGCAAAATGGGAATCAAGTGATTCGGAAAAATATGGGTGGTGATTCGGCGATAATGCATCCTTCTCAAATGGTTATTTCCGTTAGGGCTAATGGGACCATTGTTCAAATTTTCAATTTGGAAACGAAATCGAAACTCAAATCGTTCACTCTTGAAGAACCAGTACTGTTTTGGAGATGGATTAGCGATCAAACACTTGGGTTTGTCTCGACGAACTCGTTGTATGTCTCGCACGTCTTTGATGGACAAGTTGGACTCAAACCTGAAAAATTGACTCAAAGACACGCGAATCTCAACAACACGCAAATCATCAATTTCGTCGCCAACAAGAATTTGGATTGGTTTGCCGTAGTGGGTATTATTCAAGAAAATGGTCGTATTGCAGGTAAGATCCAGCTTTTCTCCAAAGCGCGTGGCATCTCTCAGGCCATTGACGGCCATGTCGCCCATTTTTCCCAAATTTTGCTCGAAGGTAACCCACAACCGGTTCAAGTGTTTGTTACTGGTAACAGGAACGTTACCACAGGTGCTGGTGAACTTCGTATCATCGAAATCGACCACGATTCGGCAAATCCGAAACCATACCAGAAAAAGACCGTCGACATTTTTTTCCCACCTGACGCAGTCAACGATTTCCCACTTGCATTGCAAGTTTCAGAGAAATACGGTGTTGTTTACGTCTTAACCAAATATGGGTTCATTCATTTATATGAACTCGAGACCGGTACCAACCTTTTTGTGAATAGAATCACTGCCGAATCCGTTTTCTGTGCCACCAGCTATAATGACAAGACGGGAATTGCTTGTATCAACAAGAAGGGTCAAGTTTTAGCTGTAGAGATCTCGACCTCTCAAATCGTCCCCTATGTTTTGAACAAATTGTCCAATGTGTCTCTCGCTTTGGCTATGGCGTCCAGAGGTGGACTACCCGGTGCTGACGACTTGTTCATCAAGCAATTCGATTCTCTATTAGCTTCTGGTGACTACCAAAATGCAGCCAAAGTCGCAGCCTCGAGCCAACAGCTAAGAACTCAAAACACAATTAACCGCTTAAAGAACATTCAAGCAGCTCCAGGTGCAATCTCGCCAATCTTGCTTTATTTTTCGACCTTGCTTGATAAGGGCAAATTGAACAAGTATGAGACGATAGAGCTTGCCAAACCTGTTTTGCAACAAGATAGAAAACAATTATTCGAGAAATGGCTCAAAGAGGACAAATTGGAATGCTCTGAAGAACTCGGTGACATTGTAAAACAATTCGACACCACTCTGGCCCTAGCTTGTTATCTCAGAGCAAACTCACATTCTAAAGTGATCACTTGCCTGGCAGAGTTGCAGCAGTTCGACCGCATTATACCATATGCTGAAAAGGTGGGTTACCAACCTAATTTCGTGGTGCTAATCTCTAGTCTTTTGAGATCATCCCCAGACAAGGCCTCTGAGTTTGCCATCAGTTTGCTACAATCCCCAAAGACGGCAGCAGAAATCGACATCGAGAAAATCGCGGACATTTTCTTTGGTCAAAATTTCGTTCAACAGGGTACTTCTTTCTTACTCGATGCTCTCAAAGGTGATACCCCAGATCAAGGTCATTTGCAGACGCGCGTTTTAGAAGTTAATTTGCTGCATGCTCCACAGGTGGCGGATGCAATTCTAGGCAACAACATCTTCAGTCATTACGACAAACCCACGATTGCATCGCTCGCCGAAAAAGCCGGACTTTACCAAAGAGCCCTCGAAAACTATACTGATATCAAGGACATAAAGCGTTGTATTGTTCATTCGAATGCTCTTCCAGCTGATTGGATTGTATCATTTTTCGGAAAGCTTAACGTCGAGCAAAGTTTAACTTGTCTAAGGGCGCTTATGGACGCAAACTTGCAAGCCAATTTACAAATCGTCATTCAGGTGGCGACAAAGTTCTCTGACTTACTCGGATCGCAAGTACTTATCAAACTTTTTGAAGAGTACAGAGCCACTGAAGGGCTGTACTATTACTTGGCCTCTTTAGTCAACTTGACTGATGACAAGGATGTGGTTTTCAAGTACATTCAAGCCGCCGCAAAAATTGGCCAATACAAGGAAGTGGAGAGGGTCGTCAAGAGCAACAACGTTTACGATCCAGAGAAGGTCAAAAACTTCTTGAAAGATGCTAAACTTCCTGACCAGATGCCTTTGGTTATTGTTGCAGACCGGTTCAATTTCATACATGATCTGATTTTGTATCTTTACAAGGCTCACGAGTTCAAATTTATTGAGGTCTATGTTCAACAGGTTAATCCTTCGAAGACCCCACAAGTTGTGGCGGCCCTTTTGGATGTCGACTGCGATGAGAAGGTGATTCAAAACTTACTGCAAACTGTTTTAGGTCAAGTTCCTATTGCTGAATTGACTAATGAGGTCGAGAAAAGAAATAGACTCAAAATCCTGTTGCCATTCTTGGAGCAAAGTTTGGCGCAAGGAACCCAGGAGCAGGCTGTCTATAACACTTTGGCCAAGATTTACATTGATTCGAATAATTCGCCCGAAAAGTTCCTGAAGGAAAACAATCAGTACGATACTCTCGACGTTGGGCGCTACTGTGAGAAGAGGGACCCTTACTTGGCATACATTGCTTACGAAAAAGGACTTAACGATGACGATCTCATCAGAATCACCAATGAAAACAGCATGTACAAGTATCAAGCACGCTATTTGTTGAGCCGCTCAGACCTCGAATTATGGAATAAGGTATTAGGTGAAGAAAATATGCATAGACGCCAACTTGTTGATGCCGTTGTCGGCTCTGGTATCGGCGAATTAAGCGATCCAGAACCTGTATCGTTGACAGTCCAAGCCTTCATGAATAATGGTTTGAAACTGGAATTGATCGAGCTCTTGGAAAAGATCATCTTGGAGCCATCTCCATTTAATGAGAACACTGCCTTACAAGGACTTCTTCTTCTATCTGCCATCAGATACGAACCTTCAAAAGTTGCGTCTTACATTGAAAAGCTCGATAGTTACGATGTTGATGAGATTGCGCCAATGTGCATTCAAAGCGGTCTAAATGAGGAGGCATTCGAGATTTACAACAAAAACGAGAAGTATCAGAAGGCACTTCAAGTTTTGGTTGAGGAAATTCTATCATTGGATCGCGCCGAAGCTTACGTGGACAAAATCAACACACCCGAACTTTGGTCTCAACTGGGCTCAGCTCAGCTCGTCGGCTTGCGTATAACCGAGGCGATTGAATCCTATATAAAAGCCAATGATCCTTCCAATTATGAGAATGTGATTGAGACGGCAGAGCAAGCGAACAAGTATGAGGCTTTGGTTTCGTTTTTACTAATGGCCAGACAGACCTTAAAAGAGCCAAAGATTGACGGTGCTTTGATTCTGGCTTACGCTGACCTCGGCAAACTTCATGAAATTGAAAACCTCCTTGCTGGTACAACTGTTGCAGACTTGGATGCAGTTGGGGAAAAGCTGTTTGAAAAGGAGGACTTTAAGGCTGCCAGACTATGCTTCTCCGCCGTTTCCAATTATTCTAAGCTCGCCACCACTTTGGTGTATCTCAACGACTACCAGGCTGCTGTTGATACAGCAAGGAAGGCCTCGAATGTTAGAGTTTGGAGAGAAGTTAGCGACGCCTGTGTTGACAACAAGGAGTTCAGGCTGGCTCAAATTTGTGGTCTTAACTTGATTGTTCATGCTGAAGAACTTGACGAGCTCGTTGAAAAATACGAAACTAGCGGATACTTCGAGGAACTGATCTCTCTGTTCGAAGCTGGGCTAGGATTAGAAAGAGCGCACATGGGCATGTTTACCGAGCTTGCCGTCTTGTACACCAAGTACGAGCCATCTAAGACATATGAGCACTTGAAGCTTTTCTGGTCAAGAATCAACATTCCAAAAGTCATAAACGCTGCAGAAAGAGCTCATTTGTGGAAAGAGCTTGTTTTCTTATATGCACACTATGACGAATGGGACAACGCAGCTCTAACTGTGATCGAAAAGTCTACTGACGACTTTGACCATTCCTACTTCAAAGAGATTGTGGTCAAGGTTTCCAACCTTGAGATTTATTATAAGGCTATGAATTTCTATGTTAAGGAGCATCCTTCGCTGTTAGTTGATCTGATGGCCGCCCTTACGCCAAGACTGGATATACCCCGTACCGTGCGCATCTTTTCTAAATCTGACAACTTACCATTGATCAAACCATTTTTGGTTAGCGTCCTACCAAAGAACAATTCAGTCGTCAATCAAGCTTATCACGACCTCATGGTTGAAGAAGAGGATTACAAAGCTCTTCAGGACGCGGTTGACTCTTATGACAAATTTGATCAACTAGATCTCGCCGCGAGGTTGGAAAAACACGATCTAATCTTCTTCAGAAAAATTGCTGCCAATCTGTACCGCAGAAACAAAAAATGGTCTAAGAGCTTGGCTATTTTGAAGACTGATAAACTATGGAAGGATGCGATAGAAACTGCTGCCATTTCTCAAAGTACTGAGACTGCTGAAGAGCTTCTATCATACTTCATTGAGACCGAAAACAAGGAAGCGATCGTTGCTTTGCTATATACCGCTTACCATTTGGTTAGGTATGATGTGGTTCTTGAACTTTCTTGGTTGAATTCTTTGGACAATCTCATCAAGCCCTATGAAATTTCGGTCAAAAAAGAACAGAACGACCAACTTCAGACATTAAGAAAGGAAATGTTTCAAAGCAAAAACAATGGCGAAAGCGCTGGTGGTGAAGGTCAAACCCTAATGCTAACAAACGGTTCTGTGCCTTATAATGCGACCGGCCAAAGCTTCGGAAACTTCATGTAAATCGAGGGGATTGAATAAAGATTTCGAAGCACAACTCTGAACTGTAAACTAGAATTTATATGTACATATATACATATACATATATGTATATATTTCCTTTAGATCTTGAAACTCTGACAATATGGTCATTCCGCTAGTCTTCTTCAGTGCCAAGCTGCAATTGTATTTTGATATAAATTTACACGAGATTTACGCGATACGGCTCCTCAATCCTTATAGTTGGCAGCACGATCGGCTCTGGCAGCTTTCTTTTCGAGTTCATCCCAATCTTCGCCCTCTTCTTCGTCTTCACCTTCACTAATGGCAGCATCTTCGCTGCCCTCGTCGCTGTACTCTTCCTCTTCAGAGTAATCATCTTCTTGCGACCCTGCGCTTTCATCGGAAGGCTCTTCTTCGGAAGCTTCGTACTCACTAATTTCCTCTTCGCTTTCATCTGAAACTTCATCGTCAGAGCCAGCTCCCAAGAAAGACCAGCCCCCATCCAAAAAGAACTGGTGAGGGTCTTCTTGAAGTGACTTCATGACAGTAGGCCAATTTAAGTTGACGGTAGAAATGCTGTAAGGTATGTCAACATCTGTTAGCCATGTTTTTAAAAGTTCGAGGTCTTCGATAGGAACAGTGTTAATGTGAGTGACGGGTTTACCAAACTCTTTGTAAATAAAGACCATATCAAAATTCTTTAGACCAAATTGGACTCTTTCAAAAAAGCAGATCTCTACTTCACTCAAGTTAACCACCAAGAAAGGCGGCTCTACAAGTTGAACCAGGCAGTCTCTCGTAGGCATACAGAAAACAGCCGACCTGCTAGGAACACCTTGGAATCCCAGATCTCTGAAAGTAGTGTCCAAATCGACCACTCCATCTGAAGCGTCCGCAATCGCTTCTGCGAAATACCTGAACTCTTTGTCCAGGGCTGCTCTCTTCCTTCTCTCTTCCTGCTCTTGCTCCAATTCATCTTCATCACCGTATCTTCTGAACTTCATATTTGACCGTCTACCAGTACCAGTTTCGTCGACGGCCAGCTCAGAGGCCTCTCGATAAAACTGGACATCTTGAATTTTCCTTTTCCCCATTAAGATAGGATTTTTTAAATGGATGTGTATAATTACAATCAGTTCCCCTTTGCATGGTTGGAAAATGAGATTTTTGATATTGGAAAACAGAACGTCAATTCTGCTATCCGATCTCAGAGGCGATTGATAACGAATACCATTTTCATGGATAAAAACGGTACCGGGGACTCTTTTAGTATCTGGACTTGGTCTCACAAAAATTTGATCCAACCGTTTCGTTCTTCCGGACTTATTTTCGATCAATCTTGCCTGTTCAACCACATCTGCCAAAACCTTTCTCTCTTGTTCCCTTTTGGTTGCTTCCTTTTTCAAATCAGCAATCTGTTTGAAAACCTCACTCATACGGTCCCCGTCTCTTGATCTCAAAGTTATTGATCTCACAAACTGATTGTCGGGGGCGTCTTCGTAAGGTAACTCCTCGGCCTTTTTGGAAATGCCACTGGCACCGGGGGAGTGGAAATTTAAACGAAGGTAAGTAAACTCACCTTCTTCGTTTCTGGACCCATTTTTGTACGCATTGATGTGGAAAGGAACCGGTCTTCCGTAAATTGGTAATATGATAGTTTGATTTTTCCAGTCAACGTGTACTCTGAGATCACGCACAGAGTTAGGAATTTGGGTCTCTCTAACGTACGATTCATATTTTTTGAATTGAGGTTGAGGCTTGCGCTCTTCATCATTGGCGTCTGCCGCACTGTATCTCAGCAACCCATTTTTCTGAAGTTTTTCATGCAACTTCTTTTGTTGTTCCTTCCTTATCTGATCCTTTTGATTATCCTCAGCGACGCGAGAATCACCACGAAGCTTCGATCTTAGAATTTTGGAATTACCCTCATTTTTTATAGGTGCAGGTGGTAATCCCGAGCTTCCCTCTTTTTTAGTCTTTGGATTGATCTCTTCTTCTTCATTATTGAAGTAAAAGGAAACCTGTGCTTTAGATTTGGTGTAATTGGTCAAGATTGAGGGTGTGCCGTCATTTTGATCCAAAATAACGGTATCCGCTATCTGCAGAGCATAATTTGTCTTCGTCTGAGAGCAGACTAAGTTGTTAATACCGAGAGAAACGTTGAACGCATCACCGGCTCTAATCTTACGATAGTCATTCTTAGCGCTGAGAACAAAATTAGAATCTCTGAATTCTAAACCGATAAGCGATCCAACATTCTTGGTTAACCCGGAGACCAATTCTGGTTTTTTGTCCTTTAGAAAATTCAATGCGGCTTCATATACCTGCTTAGGCGTTTGACCCACTTTCAAAAAGTTTTCAATAATCTGAGATTGCAAAAGCAGGAGAAAATCGTAATTAGAAACCATCTCTTCGGAGGGGTCGATTAAAAACGTTCTGGTGATATTGGAACAGTAATTTTTGTAGCGAATACCGCATGACGCGAGGATACATCTGTTTCCAACCAATTTTTCATTACTTGAGCGAGCAGAAATCCTCAAATCAAATTTGTTTCCGGATTGAACTATAGGAGAATAGGACCAATCTAACAAGTTAATATCGAATTTTTCGCCGTTCCCACACAGCGGACCCAGCTTGGAAGACAGTTTTTTCAAAAATTTGGAATCGTCGATTTTTTCTTCCACTTTATCTGAAAGCTGAGCGTTCGTAATCTTAAGTTCTTCATCCACTGCGCTTACCATCTCATCTGATAAAAAATTCATGAAACTGTCCGAGCCAGCACTCGAAACTCTCAAAAAAGCCGTCTCTTTCTCATCCTTAACTTCCCAAGTGTTTGACAAACCTACAGACACATCCACGACCTTAATGTCAGCCGTTCCAACCGCTTCGTCCCAAAGTGGGGTCCATTGTACCATGAATTTGCCCTGATACTGATCGTTGGGACACATCCCCACAGTCGTACCACATTTTTTCAATTCTTCAATGACATCTTTGAAAAGCTTTTCATTAAATTCCACGTCCTTACCCTTACGTTGCCAAACGTCCAATTTGAAGCCCGATGCCTCTCCGAATTTCTCCGCCGCAGGCAAAAGATGTTTCGCTTTACCTTGTCCCGTGATGATAACAACTTTTTCAGGCATGATGGCAATCAAAGTCGCAGGAAATTCGTATCCCAACAACCAATCGTGTAAAATCGTGCTTTTCTTGTATGGATCTTCCACGTCGCTAGACCCCACTACAAACAGTAAACTGTTTGGAGACCCTTCAAATTTGGAATATTCGGCATGTAAATAATTGAGCCGCCTTTCAAAGGCCTCAAAATCTATCTGAACATCCGACATTGGCACTCACGGGACTGCTATAGAGTTTGAATCAATACCTAAGATATAGGGCTACGTTGATGGGTTTTTTCATTGCCACTTCAAAACGCGTTTCTCAAGATGTCGTGAGACATGACATCAACACTGCTAATTAACCTGATTGAGACCGGGTAACTATTTAGAGTCCAATAGATTATCGCGTTGTACGCATACGAGTATCCAATGAGTAATGTATCTTACCTATACCATGCATCCTTGGAGTGTTGAGAATTAGCAGTGCCTCCAGGTAGTCTTCAAAGTTTCAGATGTTTGATTCATATTTTCTCGTAATAGTTAAGTACATCAGACATCCGGTGCTTATGCCTCTACGTGATCAAATTGACAATATACGATACGTATTGGCTAAAAGAGATGGTAAAATATTTCCCCTGCTCAGTTTATTCGGTGAGATATGATTTATAACCGGGATTGAAATTTTCAAGGCTTTACAACCTCTTGTGGATTTGGTTTTGAATAACCTCGTTCAAGCCTTTTCAATGGCATTCTGTCATCTAGATCACGTGATAGCGTGACTTGAAGTGTACCATCTCGGACATTCCCTCCCACAAACATCAATTCGTGTTGTAAATCATAACGTTTTTGATCAGATAGATGAGTAATGATGGGTTCGTAGCCATAATTGTTGAACTGGCTTTTGGTTCACCGTTCAAGCTTTCGTATGTTATTCTGTCATCCCACTTACGTGCCTTTAACTAAATTATCACGCCACTTGTCGATATCATTTATTGTGTACACTCTTCGAAGAATTGTCAAACACAATCTCTTCGGAATATAATCCCCGTACCGCTTGCTATATACTCCATGCCGAATATATAGGGTTGATAGTGTAATTGCGGTTGATTTTCGGAATATCAGTTTGTTCAAGCAACAAAGCCTGGTGGAGATCATCTTCACAAGGTCATATATCGCATACCCGTTATATCTTAACCCACCTCCAATGGCTGGAGAAGGCTTGAGATATCGATGCGTAAATTGGAGGACACGTTCAGAATGATAACTTTGCATCCAAAAGCGACTCTGCAGGAACAAGAGCTTTGAGGGACGGACTTCCAGGGCCCTGGAAGTATTTAACATCTACGCTGTCTGATTTGCATTTTTTTACTGTTTGTAGTATTAGTTTACAAAGTAAATGGGAATTCGTGACGGTGCCGGATCAACAGGCGCAGCCTAGCACAATTGTGTATCATCACTGAAGTGGCGCGTATAGCATTTGAGTGGCATATTTCCTTTTGTATCGAACAATGCTCGCGACACATAGTGTATTGTGCTTGATGCTGCTGGTGGCCAAATGATTCAGCACGACATGGTTAGGAATTGGTAAAGCACCGGAATTATTTTCGCTACCGGTCTCGCCAGCCTGTGCCGCAGCAGAGTAATTGTTGAGAATGACGTTTTCCAGCTGTGGTGGGAGCTGCGGGGGCGTGAGCCAGGCCATGTTCTGTTGGTTATTCTGCTGCTGATCTAGCGTCAAGTAGTATTGTTCCATGACAGAAGGGTCTGTGAAAACTGCCGGTATATCACGTGTGTAACTATAGGCGGCTTGATGTTCAACTGCGCCGTGGAATCTCGAGTAACCATCGCCCATATCATCCGGATCCTCACCGATTTGAAGCGCGAGTTTCGACCGTGCACTGAGGGGTTCTTCTGCCTTAGAAGCGCGTTTGTGTTGATGTGGAGCCGGTTCCTGTGAGGTGACTTCCTGTTTGGGCGTCACCTCGGGACTCACGATCTCGAGGTAGTTGACGAAATTGCCCATTTGATCGGTCGCAGTGGGCAAGAAATCGCTAAATCGAAGCTCATTGTCGACAATGAACCGGAACCGGTGCGTACCGGGCGGCAATTGAAGTTTGATGTGGAAAACACCATGCTGGGTTGTATCAGGTACTAGCCCGATCATTTTACGCCATCCAGTGAACGACCCGGTCACGTAAACTTTGTTCCCACCTTGTTGCCAGGTAATGTCGACCGGAATTACATTTTGGGCGGCGGTTTGGGGTGTCGACGCATTACTTCTGGAAGTGCCTATTTCTGCAGAGCCCTGTTGCTGTGGTTGCCCAGTGATAGATCCCAAAGACGACGCAGAGGATTCTGGGTCCGCAGAAACGTCTGGGTCCAGGGACGGGTCCGCCACGCCGGCCGAGTGTTGTACTCTGTCGTCACTCAAATCAACCTCGCTACCCACGTTCTCCTCGTGTTTTGGTGGATCGTCGTCGTCATCGAATATAAGCGTCGATCGACGTCGCATAAGCGGCGGAGTCGACCGATGGTCCCCGATATCAAGTTTCGAAAAACTCTGTACGATGGTGTTTTGAGACCGTTTTTTCCCATTTTCGTTTGCGTTGGCCACGTCCAGCATCGAGACGTCCTTGATATTTTCGGACATATCGTTTGCCATGCACACTTCAAAGGCGCCGAGGTTGGTGGTGGTGATGGTTCTTTCCTGGATGTGTTGAGGGGATCCTCGGTGTTGAGTGGTTTACACTGGATAAGAGTTAGGTACCATCTCACGTATCAAATGATATGTGTTGATGTCGTATGAAGAGATATCACAAAACGGGCACGTGACAAACGCGCCTTACCGAGGCACTGTGCACGAAGCTGGCCTTTGTCATACAAAAACGCTTTCAATTACTTGCGTCGCAGTGATCTGATTGAGCGTCAAATTCTACGAAGGCAAGATTCAAAGCTACTAGACACTTGCATACATGTGTCTCCGTGAATTCTGCATTGTATGGCCATTATAAGACTGATCAGATCGTGTCGTGGTGTACGGGTGAGATGCTGAAAGCCCACGGACCCATCATACTGCAGATATAGGGTCTCGACAGTGAAGTAGCCATCACTGGTGCCAATCTATTTATGAGGAAAGCCATTTCCGTAATAAGACTCCAAATTGGCCCTTAAATTCATTCGCAGTCCTTCGCGATCGGTATCGAGTACGTGCGCATCGTGAAGATTTTATAACTACTCAGTAGGGCGCTTTATTCTATAGAAGATTGGGCCACAGTGTGTATGGCGTCGTAACCTTCGTTTCGAGGGCCTTTTCTTGATTCCGTCACCGCGATCACGTGACATTCTTGGCAATAACGCCCATGGTAAACTTCTTGCGACGAAGGGGCAAACATACTGGGTCGCCAACCGCGCTAGACGACGTAAATCCGACAGACGTACGAAAATCCCCCGCGAGCTGGAAGGCAGAGAACCCGATGTACCCACTCGTCGGAAAAAGTGCGAGTCGAATGGTTATATAACCATATCCGTAGGAAGTTACCGGAACTTAAACGGACAATGGATCAACGATGTGTGTTTTGCTTAACTCACTGCAATCAGGTGTCTTGGCAAGAGCTAAGAAAGTCACCGCATAAGCAGCACGTCGTCAAATGGCCGCGTCTGAAGTCTATGTACACTGCTGAAAGTGACGACCACTGACCTCGCGGCTCAAAATGGCCCCACCTACAGACTCATTAGTGCTTGGCTCTTCTCGCAAATCATTACCTATCTACATCTATAAAACCCGTCGACGCCTCTTAAAATGAATAAAAATATCGGAAAAATCAACTTTGTCGTAAACTTCGTTCCTGGTAGCGCGGCGACATAGTCACCGCGCACCGGCATTGTACTGGTCTATGCCATGCAGCATGCTGCGCAATGGGGGCAGTTTGACCTCGGTAGGCGACGCAATTGCGTCGCTATCGCTATCGGACTTCGAGTCGTCCGTAGTGAGCTCAAACCGGGCGCGCCGCGATTGCCGCCGAGGCAGGGGCCACAGTGTTTGTGGCGTCTGTGGCGCAGCCACAGACGCGGATTGAGCGGCTGCCGCGGAGCCGCCGTTCAGCACCGAGTGCAGAGACAGGCATTTCTTGGCGGCAAGAGGAGGCGAGCCGTAGACGCCGCTATATCCGCTAAATCCGCTAGCGCCGCTAGCGCCGCCGGCTCCGCCCGCCGCGTACAGATCCAACGAGGACACCTGGGGCGAAGCAAGCGCGCTGCCCGTGTGCGAGAACACAGAACTGAGCGAAGACGCGCTCGACCGCAGAGACGACGCCGCAGAGACGGCGGCCGCGGACGGGACCGAGAGCATCATCGACGAGGTGGGCCTCGGTACGGGTAACTGCAGCGGCGCCGCATGCAGGGCGGGTAACACGGGCTGCGCGAGCGGCTGTAGCACGGGCCCAACAACCGCCTGCGCAAGCGCATGCAGTTGGTGCACCACCACCGGATGGTGAACTCCGACCGCGGCTCCGGCGTCGGCCGGACCGCCTGGGCTGCCGGCACTGCCGAGCCGGCTCCGCGTTTTGCGGCGGGATGTACTCATGTGTGTGCGCACGTGACGCTTCAACTCGTCGCTGCGGCTAAATCGTTTGACGCAGCCGGGGAAATTACAGGCATGCGGTTTTTCGCCCGTGTGGGTGCGGATGTGTCTGCGCTTGTGCTCGAGGCGGTGGAAGCCCTTGCCACACAAGTCGCATTTGTAAGGTCGTTGGTCTTCTCGGGGCGACATGACGGACCTGACCGTGCAAGCCGAGATGGACCACGCGACCGGATGGAAGGAGGCGACAAGCACACGGTTTATATAGAAAGGACGCTGCCGAGCGCAGCGCACAGCGCAGCGCACGGCGCTGCTTCCAAAGGTTTTCTGACGTATGGCGCACCGGGGTAGCCGGCGGTGCGCAGAAGAGGTTTTTCCGGTAGGCACGCGGCCGGTAGCCCAGCCGGTAACGCTATCTGGCGTGCAGGGCGTTCTGCGGGACGCTCTGCGGCGTGGTCTGTGCGGGCGCACGGGCATGGGTGCGGAAAAACCAAAACCCGAGCAATTGTTTTTCCGGTTGCAGGCAACGTCCTCCGCGGAGAGAGGGAGGAAAAGTTTTTCCGAGATCTGTGGCCCCCCACGAGCGAGCCCCGCGGCGCCTTCTGCGCCTCGTGCCTGCCTCCGAGATAAAAAAATTTATCCGGTCATCACCGCCTGGCCTCCCCGGTCCTTGCCTCCTTGGCTCTGGAGATCATCCCACACTCGCTCTATGCAAACAATCCCATGCGGGGCAGAACGGGCCCCCCAGGTCTACGTGGCGGGCACACTACTGTAGGCCTGCAGACCCGCTTTTACGAGCCCTGCTTTTCTTTTCCAATTTGCTCTTCGTGCGTCGCGCGATTGTGCCGATCTGCAAGGACTGCGGGCCGAGACTGCGGTCCGAGATTGCGGACCGAGATTGCGGACCGCAGCTAAGAGGGGAACCGCGTACGTGGAGTGTACCCCGGCGGAGTTCCCAATTACAATAGTCGCGCATTTTTGCTCGTAGTTACGTAGTTAGTCGTGCGCGGCGCATGTGCGCCGCGTACGCTTTGAGTGTAGTGACCGTTGTCGTGTGCAATGCTGTGTGGGGGTGTGGGGGTGTGGGGAGCGAGGCTGAAGATGACGGGGCGTCGGAAAAACTACGCTCGTCCTCGTTTATGTGAACTGTGTGGGGCCAAAGAGAAGACAAGTTGGGATGTGCGTATATGGTGAGGGGTTTAAGAGGGGTTGCATGCCTGGAGAGGTTTTTCCGAGAGTCACATGATACGGCCGTGTCTTTCGTGAGAAACGATTCAGGCTTGCGAGGCACCATGTACGGTATCGGATCGAAGATCGACTCAAGGTAGGCACCTCGAGGTCACTGTGCACGGTGCCATGAACTCTCTCACTTCTTCACTACCTCTAGATTTCAATATATAATCGAACACCAAGCTCATCGCTTTCGTCGAGAACATTGTTAAAACCGCGAACACCGCAGACACCGTCCTTATCACCCCGACTGAATCATGGGCGTGAAAAAGACGTCTTCAACGGCTTCGGATCGGCACCCTGGCAGCTCCGATACCAGTCGGCGCGGATCTACAGCCATCGCCAACATCCCACCCAGAAACGTGCCGGCGCAACAACAACAACAACAACAACCCGCAGATGTCGTGTCTCGACACCTGGTACAGCCGTCAGACGTACCCAGCGAGGAAGCGTTCAACTCGCTGCAACTCCAGGGCGGAGATATCACCCGTGAGGTGTACAAGTGGCAGGATCAACAGCAACAGCCTGACGTTCCGTCGAACGCACCTCCAAGCAGTCAAGCTCCCAGCGTCAGTGGAGGTTTACCAGACTGGGCCTCGTTGAACGAATCCGGACGTCCCAAGCGATCTCACAGTTTCTCCGGAAGTGTCATATCGCATGGATCCATCATCAGCCCAGAGATGTCCGCAGAACAAATGCGGGCGCCCCAAGGTTTCCGCCGCAGTTTCCTCGTGAACAAGAGTCTTCAGCAAAATGGCGACGTCCCCAACTTCACAGCTCGCAATTTTTATGAGTTTCTTACCCTATATGGCCATTTTGCAGGTGAGGACCTTAGCGACGACGAAGACGACGATACGGTTAATTTCGACGAAGAACATGCAGCACTTTTACCGCGCCGTGAAGCCCGTAAAGCCCGTAAAGCCCATAAACAACAACACAAGTCTTCTACGGGCAAAGCCGTGCTTTTGCTACTGAAATCCTTCATTGGAACCGGGGTATTGTTCTTGCCTCGCGCTTTTCAAAACGGTGGCTGGGTCTTCTCCACTTTGTGCATGCTCTTGTGCGGTATTGTTTCGTTTTACTGCTTTATTTTGCTCATTAACGCTAAACAGAAACTCGCAGTCAAAGGTTACGGTGATTTGGGCGCCGCATTGTACGGACGTCACATGCGGTCTGCGATCCTAACCTCCATCGTATTGTCCCAAATTGGGTTTGCCGCAGCATACGTCGTATTCACCGCGACGAATTTGCAAGTATTTTTTGCCAACGTGTTTGGGTTCCAAGCGTCTCTGACCAGCTGGCTTGTCATGCAATTAATCATTTTCATGCCTCTTTCCCTGACTCGCAACATTTCCAAACTCAGCGGCACCGCTTTGATCGCTGACCTCTTCATCTTGCTGGGGCTCTTGTACGTCTACTACTGTTCCGGGAGTTACGTGGTCCACCACGGTGTTGCATCGGACACCATGACTTTGTTCAACAAAAAAGACTGGACTTTGTTCATCGGGACTGCCATTTTCACTTTTGAGGGTGTCGGTCTGTTGATCCCAATTCAAGAATCGATGAAAGAACCTGAGAAATTTAACAAATGTCTCTTTGGAGTCATGGCCACGGCTGCATTTGTGTTCATTTCCAGTGGTCTGCTAAGTTATGCCGCTTTTGGCGATAAAGTCGAAACCGTCATTTTACTCAATTTCCCGCAGGATTCCGTTCTAACAGCCGGGGTACAACTTCTGTACGCTTTGGCCATCCTGTTATCTACTCCGCTGCAATTGTTCCCAGCTATTAGGATCTTGGAAACTTGGATTTTCCCGGCCAACGCTTCAGGGAAACACAATCCGCGGGTTAAATGGAGTAAGAACTATTTCAGAATTGGCGTGGTGCTCATCAATCTCGTCATTTCGTGGTTGGGCGCCAGAGACCTCGATAAATTTGTCTCCATTGTGGGCAGTTTCGCATGCGTACCTCTCATCTACGTGTACCCACCATTGCTGCACTACAAGGCGTTCAGAAACGGTGGCGCTCCTCGTTGGTCTCTGATCCTGGACCAAGTTATCGGAGTCGTTGGTTTTGTGATCATGGTGTACACGTCGTTTCAAGCGGCCATGTTGTGGTTGAGTTGAGGAACCAAACCGGGATAAATGTGAAGATTACAAGATAACGATAATTACGAGAAAGAACAGGCACACCGCTGAAAAACAGAGATCTATGTCACACATGGTTCAACTGAAACATACTCCATAGGCTGAATAAAAGATTCATACCGGCTCCAAGCCGCGCTTGAGCGCCTTCTATGAATAAGCACGTGACTTCTCTTGTCGTCATGGCTATGGACACAATGGTTACCCGGATTGTATCTCATTATATGAATGTGGATGGTTCTAATAACTAAGTACGAATGAGTACCAATGGGTATTGACGGTATAGTGTCCGTAAAAAGTTATACTTTTCATTTTCAAATAAGTTACGACGAGTGAGTAATTTGTGAGTATCCGTACAGACGTACCTTGTCTCTGTTAGTACTTCCTTTAATGATGTGAACCTTCAAATTCAAGCGGTTTGCCACCATGTCAGGAACACATCTTCACAGTACAATCAACAATGGCACCAAAAGAGGACTGGGAGAAGTACAAGGCACCTGCCGAAGAAGAATCCAAGGAGGAAAAACCCAATGTTCCTCTTTCAGAAGGAGATATCCAGGTTCTAAAGACGTACGGAGCAGCGCCCTATGCTGACAAGTTGAAGAGTACAGAGAAAGATTTGAAAGAGATTGAAAGTCGAATCAAGGAGAAAGCAGGTGTCAAAGAAAGTGACACCGGGCTCGCCCCCTCGCATCTGTGGGATATGATGGGGGACAGACAACGTTTGAGCGAAGAGCATCCGTTGCAAGTGGCAAGATGCACGAAAATAATCAAGCCCGAGGCGACGGAAGAGAACAATAATGCTGCAGAAGAAGACGAAGAAGATTTGAAATACGTGATAAATTTGAAACAGATTGCGAAATTCGTTGTAGGGCTCGGTGAGAGAGTCTCGCCAACAGACATAGAAGAAGGGATGCGTGTCGGTGTGGATAGATCGAAATATCACATTGAATTACCACTTCCTCCCCGAATTGATCCCAGTGTTACAATGATGACCGTTGAAGAAAAACCCGACGTCGCTTACAGTGACGTTGGTGGCTGTAAAGAACAAATCGAAAAATTGAGAGAAGTGGTCGAATTGCCCTTGCTATCACCCGAGCGGTTTGCAACGTTGGGCATAGATCCGCCCAAGGGTATACTCTTGTACGGACCGCCTGGTACCGGTAAGACGCTATGTGCACGTGCCGTCGCTAACCGAACGGATGCGACGTTTATTAGAGTCATTGGGTCTGAATTGGTCCAAAAATATGTCGGAGAAGGTGCCAGAATGGTTCGGGAATTGTTTGAAATGGCGCGAACCAAAAAAGCCTGTATTATATTTTTCGACGAAATCGACGCTGTTGGTGGTGCCCGGTTCGACGACGGTGCCGGTGGTGACAACGAAGTGCAAAGAACCATGTTGGAATTGATTACACAATTAGATGGATTTGATCCGCGTGGTAACATCAAAGTGATGTTTGCCACTAATCGTCCTAACACATTGGATCCTGCGTTGTTAAGACCGGGGAGAGTCGATCGTAAAGTAGAATTCTCTTTGCCGGACTTGGAAGGTAGGGCCAATATTTTCCGTATTCACTCCAAATCTATGAGTGTTGAACGTGGAATTAGATGGGAATTGATTTCAAGACTATGTCCAAACTCGACGGGTGCGGAACTAAGATCCGTATGCACAGAAGCGGGCATGTTTGCCATTAGAGCAAGAAGGAAAGTCGCCACGGAGAAAGATTTTTTGAAAGCTGTCGACAAAGTCATAAACGGGTACAAGAAGTTCAGCTCAACTTCGCGCTATATGCAATACAATTGATGTGTTTGTGTGTTTCTATATAATTACAGGGGTCGAGGTCGAAGCACGCCTCCTACGTACGGCAAGATGAAATCTGCATTCTTTTGCGAAGACGTGACGGCCTATGCAGGTTCGCCAGGAGCTACTGGCTTTATCGTTGTCATCATTCCCACCATCCGACGAGACCCATCCCGTCAGTTTGGCAACTCCCAAGGAGCGCATAGGCAGGTGGGGTATCCTTTTTCGCGCTTTGTGTACCCGCAGCCTGTGCTTCTTGTTGTTCCTGTTCTTCAATTTCTCTTTCCTTGGGTGATTTTGGCTTGACGTCTACGAACACTTCTTGTTCGACGCGGAATCGGATTTTCTCATTAACGTCGAAGTACAGCTTCGTCTCTTCGTCCATGGGCCATACCCAAGCCGAATCATCTGGTGAGAAAAAACAGCCCTCGAATAACATCTTTTGCGGAATAAATACGTCGTCAAACACTCCTAGAAGCGATACTTTGATACCTTCAGCTGTGCATTGTGAGATCCAACCGGTAATGATCTCTCCTACAAAAGGTTTGAAAACGAGCGCCCTAAACGTTGTATTGATGTAAGAGGCACCATCTCCTGGTTTCAATTGGCCCTCGTCAACTGCCAAAACGTCAAAAACCGTGATACACAAGCCAACATGTGGGATAATCCGGTTGGAAAACTTCTTGTTCAATTGATGTACAACGGCCGATTTCGTTGATCTGTGAAATTCGTCAGGCGGCACACGTACCAAGTCTGATATTTTGGATAATATGAACATCAAGACAGCCACACCAAAAAATGGCCCCTCAGTTACTCAATCCAAAGCTTTAGAACCTGCTTGAATTCGACTGATCGATGAGTTTAAAATTTTCGTGATGCCTGTCTTGAATTTTTCAAGCTTTCCAATATCGACCAAGGGATCCGAATCCGGAAAATTAATCTAGGCCCTCGGTTCGAATCCTCGAGGGTGCTTTTATGTTTTGAAAAATTTGAAAATTTTTGAATGTGAATGCGATGAGCTACCCGATGAGATGAGCATCTGTTAGGGCCATTGAAAGTACATAAGAGAGGCAAATATCGGGTTATAGATGGGTCCCAAGTCAGCATTCAACCGTAAAACTGCGACTAAATTTGCCGTGGTTCACAGACCGCACGACGACCCGCGGTTTTTTGATAGTGAGGCGTCAGAACATGTTCTTGTTCCGATTGACAGTCGGCATCAAGACAAAAGTCGCGTGGCCGGTAGCCATACGACTGGCAGTCTTGAGGCTGCCAGTCGTCCGGCCACTAAAGTGGCCGACAGGGATGTCAACACGCACATGGGTGAAGCGTCGTTGTACGGTATAACGTTCGATGATTCCAAGTACGACTATACGCAGCATTTGAAGCCGATCGGGCTGGACCCCGCGCATTCTGTGTTCATACCGTCCAAGCCTGCAAATGGAAGCTCAAAATTGCAGGTGGAAGACCTATTTGTCGAGCCGGAATATGCGGTTACGGACAAGAAAAGTGAACCCATGTTTTCACGAGGTGTCGCGAAACAAGCATATTTAGCCCAGCAACAGGATGTTCACGACGAAATTCGTGGGTTCCAGCCAGATCTGAACCCTGCGTTGCGGGAAGTGCTCGAGGCGCTGGAAGATGAGGCGTATGTGGTTAACGAGGATATCGAGGTAAAACCCAAGCAACGAGTTCCCGACAACGATGACATATTTGGCGAGCTGCTGCGCAGTGGAGAAGTTGACGATGCCGAGGATTTTGACGGGGAATTTGACGAGTGGGATATCGACAATCTGGATGGATACGAGCAAGAACAGTACCGGCACGAACTGGAGCAATTTGACCAAGTACAGAATTTAGAGGATCTACAAAACATAGACTACCAAGCGGACGTTACACGATTCAAAAAAGAGATCTCGAAGACCGGTTTGGACAGCGACGCAGAATCCAACGAACCTGGTTTCGGTGACAGTGGGGACGATTTGTCCGAGGAAGAGAATGACACGGTGGGAGAGTTACCATCAATAAACGGGCCCAAAACAACCCGCAACAAGAAGAAAACGCGGCGGAAAATGGGTGCAAAATCTGACGTCTCAGGATTTTCTATGAGTTCGAGCGCCATTGCCCGGAGTGAGGCCATGACGGTGCTGGACGACAAATATGACAATATCATATCAGGGTATGAGAATTACGAGGAGGAACAAATTCTAGACGAACAAGAAGTACAGCCATTTGATTTCGCCAACGAACGTGCTGATTTTGAGTCTATGCTCGACGACTTCTTGGACAATTTCGAACTCGAACAAGGCGGACGGAAACTCACCAAGAAGGACAGCGAATTGCAAAGAATTAAAGACGCTGCAGACCAAGCTAGCAAGAGTAAATTGTCTATGAGACGGAAAAAGGAGGCCGCCAAGCGGAATAAAAATGGCGCATCCACCGACTCGATCGCCAAGGGTATTGAAAGCCTGAGGTTTTAGCCATCTTTTTGCGAATATGTAAAATATGGTTATTTCGACTCGCGGAAAAAACACCAGACATAAAAACTACATTTTATGTACAGAATCTACAGCGGCAGACGCCATAGCACGTCGAATAAGCTTCCTTGAGTGATCCCCTGGCTCGGCCCGATGACCTTTTTATTGAAAACTGTGGATTTTAATAAGTTCTTTCAACGAGTAATGGGTTACCTGTGGGTAACCCAATAAATTAACACAGTGGCAGCACTTGTGACGAACTTAGGCGCCATATAGTGCGGAGCATATATGAAATTACCTCGTATATAATTACTAAGAAATTGTTCGACGTAAAATCAATGTAATCCTTTCATACGGAAATGAGTATCAATGGAGTAATCGTGTATAGGTACTTTACTAAATGAATCAGTATTTACGAAAAGTACATCCCTCACTCATTGCGCACGTCTGGTATATAAAGGGAAAACAAGATCAAGGAATCTTGCCTCTTAGAAATCAAGTCCTGTAGAAATTTAATCTCTAGCTTGTTGATTTTGCGAATCTCGAGACTTAGATTTCGATCAAATAAGCAATACCATCACACTCAGTGATCAATTTACTTGATTTTCCGGATTTTCCGAAATATTTTGAGCAACAAGCCCTTAAACAATGTCAGACGAACTTAGCAAATTGAGAAAACAGGTAGAAGAGCTGCAAGAATTGGTCAAGAAGCAGAACTTGTTGATCAGCAAGACGGGCCAATCCGTTTTGGAACTTCAAGTTGCGAAACAAAGGGCCGATGTGGACAGTTTTGACACGAAATTCGGTTCCAGTAAGGGATCCAAGTCTGGTGGGAATTTGGTCGACACAACCGATTTTGCGACTAACGAGGATTTGGTGACTTTGGTAGGTGAATTGCAATCGCAGTTAGACTCGATTGAGGAACGTTCGATTAGAAGAACCATCAATTCGACCAAAATCAAAGATGACGAATTTTTGGTGGCTTTGCCCAACGCCTATGGGGAAATTCCTGAAACTTCGGAAGGGTGGTTCCCACGTTCCGTTGGTGATTTGGAAAAAATCCCAGACACCAAGCTGTTCAGATTGGCCAAGTTTTACGAATTGCTACCACCTTCGCTCGAAGAACAGGAGAAATTTGAAGATTTCGTTGAGGGCAAACTCGACAATTTTCATATCAACGACATAACCGAGGACCAAATTGAAAAGGAACTCAAGGGCTACACGAAGGATCAACTCACGGAGATTTTCAATGACGTGGCAAGGTATTTGGGTGTCAAGAATAGGAGAGGCATTGAATTTTATTAATCGATGAGCCCGTCTTAGATTGCTGATACCCCATTATGTAGTGAGTACGATTAATATAAAAAAAGGTAGCGAGAAATAGCTAATGATGCTTTATCTATTACGACGGAGTGGCGAGGCTAGATGCTAGCGTCTATGTCTCTTTGGATTCGAACCCAAGGCGTTTTCCTGTCTAGGCCCACGTTTTTTAGAGCCCTGTGCACTGGAAATGCGGTAAGCGGCTTCCGGGAACAACTCGCTTTCTTGATCTCTGATAATCTTTTTCCAATCATATCTTTTCCGTAAAAAATTGTCGAGTGACCAATTCTTCCACGTCTGCCTTCCGTAGACACTATTTTTCACCTTTGTAGCCTCATTTGTCAACGATGTCGCGATTCTTTCCTTGTACATGGTCAACTGAGCACTGAAATCCCATAGTTTATCAACGAGATGCGATCCGTAAGCATTACACGCCAAATTGACCGTATCGGTACAAAATATGTTAAGTAGAAGCTTCCTCTTAATCTTTTCGACCCTCTTGACCTGTAAAGTATGTTCAACGACTCGTGAGAACACTCCATGATAGCACATTTGTAAAAGCCTCTCGTGCGGTAGGTCTAAAAAACCATCAATTGTCATGTTAAGGAATTTGTCATCGTAATCTATCAATTTCTCAAGGAATAAAGACCTTCTTCTTTCTTCCGCGGTGGGCCAATCGCCTTTAGTGTTACCCAAAGTACTGCTGCTCAAATGGAGGCATGTTTCTAAAATGCCAGATTTATTCTCCTTTTGTGAACCGAATTTGGCAAGCAGTTGCTCTATTATCTGATCACGCATAAAGTTGTCTTGACGGATACTGCAATCAACAATTTCAGTGCAGAAATCCAGATGAGAATCAAGATAAGTCTGAAGTTCGGGTACAAGATCCATGAGAAGCGATCTTACCTCATTTTGATGCAAATGTTTTAAAAGCGCTTGAATTACGAAAACACCTGTCGAATCTCTCCTGGCCAATTTTACCACCCGATCCTTCATATAAAGGCTGAAGAGACGTTCAGTGTATTTAGGTCTCGAAGATGAAACCACATTCTGTAGAAAATGCGACCCGACAGAGTTAGAAAGTAAGTATTCAACAAAGGCTTCCTCTTTTGGATCTTTCTCGTCTGTAGAAGAGAAAATGAGATGCCAGAAAGACCGGTCTCTATCGAAAATACCTTCGATTTGGATCACCAATTGCAGCACTGGAGAAGCAACAGGGTCTATGCAGAGTTCCCTCACTTTTGTGATCGAGGTTAGGTCTACATTACCCCGTTTCGATGAACCCAATTCACCACCACCGCTCAGGTCTTTGTAAAATGAAGCCAGAATCGCACGCAATTTGATTTTAAACGAATCTGGAGTCCTATAAACACGGTTAAAATCTTCATTGTCTTTAATATCGATCATTTTACGTGCGATCTTGGATTTTTTAGACCTCAACGATGAATTGTTCAAAGTGGTGCTTGGAAGCGTCTTAGATGAAATAATAAGCAAAACGAGACGCAGAACATGCGAGGCATATCGGTGAGAAACCATAGCCCTAAAATGGGGCTCTAACTCGTCTACCATGCGCAGGAACAATTGTTCCATAGTATTTGTCGAATCCTCAAAAGAAGGTGTCAAAAGCTCTTTTTCCACCAATGAGGCACTTCTCACCAATACAGTCTCCAAAACATGCGACGAATACTTATGGCACGCAAGATTGTAGAAAAACCCATGAAAAGTCTCAAAAATTTCTTTGAGCTGCAAATTGTCTGCGGCAAGTATGATACGTTCCATTAATTTCGAACATATCTGAGACGTAGCGAGTTTCAGCTCTTTCTTTTTGCTTTCTTCGATGACACCGCGAATGAACGCTTCCTTTTCTTCTGGGGATTCAAATGCATCGATGGCAAGTGTCGATTCGGCCTGTTTGAAATATTCCAACTCTTCAGTGTTCAAAACCCCAAAAAACGTGTTTGGATCTTGACCTTTCTGGCTTCCGTTCGTCTCGTTTCCACTAAATCCTATCACTTCGCTCGCCTCGCTTTTGGAACACTCATTGAGACTATTTTCCTCGATCTCGTGTGTTTTTTGTCGCTCTTTGATAGCAATTCTTCTTCCTCTAGGTTTACCCATTATATTGCGAATTTAAGGTTCACTGACAAAGGCGTATTTGGCTTCCTAATATGCCTCTGAAGTAACTCATCGCAGCTCATCTCATCTCATCTCTTCAAAATTTTTCAGTTTTCCGCAACTCTCTACAAGCTAGGTCGTGGTAACACTATTGACGAAAAATATACAAGAGCCGCTATCGTGATGATCAATAACAAGCTACCTTTAATCATCCTGGTCCCAGTTGCCAGGTTTTGGCCTACTGGGAGGAGCTGGTCCACCGGCTCTTTTAGCCATTATAATTTGGTCGACCGACAGTACGGTGGTGGCCGCTTCTGTAGCCACGTTGATAGCGAATTTCTTGGCAGATAATAGATCGTAGATGCCTTCTTCCCTGATGTCTTTGATGCCGTCAGGGCTTTCTCCGTCTATGTCGATACCTTGAAATTGACCCGTCTCTGAGTCCTTCTCTGAGTCAGTGTGAGCTGCGTATAAGTTAGGTAGAACCTCGTTAACGTCCAAACCTGCGGTTTCCGCCAGTGTTCTTGGAACGACCTCAAAAGCAATAGCGAATTGCTTGATGGCAAGCTGCATGAGACCTGGAGTCTTGCCGCCGTACTGCGTAATTTTCGAAATAAGTTCGATTTCGGTAGCTCCTGCACCTGGTAGAAGTTTCCCGCCATCTGGTTTCATGAGACCCTTGATTGCAGCGACGCCGTCGTCAATTGCCCTTTCGATGTCATCGAGGTTGTTCTGTGTGGCACCACGCAATACGATCGTAGCGGTTCGCGTAGCTTCGTTTTCTTCCTGTTGGAAGACGGTTACTCTGTCACCGCCAATCTCAGTGGTTTTAACAGTTTCTATGACACCCAATTCTTCAGGAGTTGGAGCACCCAGTCTGGGCAATGGCGTCGCGCCACACACACGACAAATTCTGCGCACTTCAAATTTACTTGGAACTTTCAAGACCAAAAGTCCATATTTGTTCAGATAATGCAAGGCTAATTCTCCGACACCTGCGCCTGCAATAACGCAGTTCACGCCTGCATCTGCGATTTCTTTGATCATGGCGTCTAATTGCTTTTCTTCACCTTTGGTGAAATCCAACATCTCATCTGCGTTGTGCAACAGGACTGTGCCCTTCCCCTCCGTATTGGCAATGTCGATTGGACAATTGAATACAGCCACTTTGAGTCTTTTGCCTTGTTCTAAAGATTTGATATGACCCTCTGGCTGACGGTTGAAAACCATTCCCTTGATAACTCTAGAGTCGGAAAGTGAACCCCCCATGATCTTAACCACACGAACAGAATCAACGTTGAAATTGGTCGAAGTCTTTGGTAGAACATGTGACACGGCCTCGGCGACCAAATTGCTTAAAATGTCTTCAGAACCGTACTTTTTGGACGCTATTACAGGCTTGATAACTTTGATCAATTGCGACTTGTCATGCTTTTCTGTAATGTTCTCAACGGCCATCGAATCCAGTTCCTTCAACGTAAATTTTTTGGCCAAATTGTAACCTTGGATGATTTCAATGGCAGAAAGTCCCAGCGCAAGCAATTTTTCACTCACGTTCAACAATTCACCTGCTAACACTAAAACTAAATTGGTACCGTCGCCCATATCGATTTTTTGCTGTTCTGTTGCCATCACAAGAACTTTGACTGCTGGATGTACCAAGTCTAACTCTCTCAGCATTGTTGCCGCGTCATTCGTGACAATCGTCTTACCTAAATGATTCACGATAATCTTGTTGCGTCCACAGGGCCCCATCGACGTCAGACACATTTGATGAATCTCACGAATCGCCGCTATCGACTTGTTGATTTGTCCGTCGGCATTCGAATAACTGCTATAACCTTGCTTGAAAAGCCCGGCATTTGGGTTTTGCGGTAGTTTCAAAGACATTCTTAGATAACTTGAATCTCAGAAATCGAGAAAATCGTGTCAGTTAGTCGAAAAAGCGTATCCTAAGGCTCCAATTGCAAGTTCTAATCAACTCGCCACTCGCATCGACTAGAAAACTTTTTTAGCTTAATGTCGTATTAGATAGCCCATTTCGTCAGGTGTGATGCGTTGTTGAAGCTACTCATACTCTACTCACATTAGATTACGTAGCTATTGCTCCTTTTGTACGACAACTTGTTTGTTTGATTATATCGCTTTATACGTAATTGAGTATGCCTTCTTTTCATAGGCGACCGCAGCTGTATAGCCTATGGCAAATTAGCGATCCTGGCTGCTTCAGAATAGACTGTCGCACTTCAAAATTGTGAGTACAAGTATATATCTTTCGCCTTTGCTTGTCACTGGAAGCACTCATTAAGAACTTTTACGAACAGAGCGATATCAATAGTCTTCCTTTGATCACGTGCATTTTATCGTAGTTTTGAAAAATCCAAAATGTAACTTCAAAATGATCTAAGTTTCGGACAAAAGAAGGCCCGTTATGACCAGCTAGACTCAAGAATCAAGGCTGCGTAGGTGTTTTGGGGGTACTGTACCTTTTTCATGTCACGCTATAACCACTTCCTTACATTTCTCTTCATACGTTTCAGCTTCAGTAGCTCAGTCGGAAGAGCGTCAGTCTCATAATCTGAAGGTCGAGAGTTCGAACCTCCCCTGGAGCATTTTTTTTCGATATTCTATTTGGAATTTCATCATTTAACGACTCTTCAGAGGTTAGCGGCGTGTTTCTGAAGGTTGAGAACAAAGCCTTTACAGGTGTTGCCAATTCAATTGTGCATCGGGCCTAGAAACATGAGCATTGATTCCCCCGATTACCAAGTCTTGGACGATTTGGCACTGATTTTGACCGCGGAAAAGTCGCTAACGGACCTCGATTCCCTCATTGCAGCTACATCCAACTACAAACTCTCGTTGGAGAAGGAAATCTTGTCTGATTTGGAGAGCCCCGCGGAAACAAAGGACCTCGGCGACAATGCACCTGATTTGAGCTTTTTCACTGATGCTTGCGACAGTATTGGGAAGACCGGCAAGCTGGCCGAGAATACACAGAATGCGATTTCTGCACTTATCAAAGACATTTCGTATTTGGACGTTGCAAAGAGGAACTTGACGCAGACTATGAGTCTGTTCGAGAATCTTAAGATGCTTGCAGACTCGTATTTCGAATGCGAAGGCTGTCTGAGAAATCAAGACTTCAAACAAATGTGTTCCCCTTACGAAGTAATGAGCGGGCTAGCGAGATCTTTTGGAGCTTGCAAGTCTGAGGATAATATTGGTCGCCTCTTGGCGTCGATTGCGCGACTACAAAATGACACTTATACGGAGATCAAAAAGCGATTCAAAAATTTGTTGGACGCGAAAGGCATCTCAGTCGCAGCGAGCGACGAAACGGTGTATCGAGACGGTATTTGCCGAATTCTTGACAGTAGTGAGACCCAGAAGCGGGAAATAATCGATATTTGCGTCAGTAAGCTTTTGCAGGATATTGGCGAGATTTTTCAGATCGACGATGAGGCGGGTTCATTGGAAAACGTGGAAAGACGTTACGTTTATTTCAAGAAAGTCGCGAGTAATTTTACGAATCACTATGCCAAATTTTTCCCTGCTTCGTGGGACATATCGATGAAATTGACGGCACGATTCTACGCTATGACGCGATCAGATTTATCCCAACTCTTAAATCGCGAAGTTCGAGAGAGCCCGTCTTTGGACGTTTTCATGAGCGCGTTGCAGGCGACAGTGGAGTTTGAGAAGTATGTGGATGTCAAATTCGCGAATCGGCTTCATTCAGAGACTGATATCGAAAAGATTTCTGCGTGTTTCGAGCCTCACTTGACGCTCTGGATCTCACATCAAAACGGCTTGTTGAACAACAAAATGATGCAATACATGCGTGACGATAAGTTACCGCCTTCTATGGATTCTTTAATTATCCCGTCCAGTGCCGATCTTTTCCGAACTTACAGAGGTTTGTTGGGTCAGGTATTAGAACTTATAGAGAGTGAAAGCGCGAGAAACAAAATCCTTAGTGAATTGGCCCAGTTTTTCGCCAAATGGGTTTCCATGTATGTGACCAAGATTCTACGTCCCTTGATTCTGCCGCCAGGTGCTAAAATTCAGGATAAACAGGAGGCAATAATTTACACTGATCTTGTCATTAATACTGCGGATTATTGTTCGACGACCATCGATCAACTAATAGAAAAGCTCCATGAATATTTTACGCAACCTTTCGATGCTGAGACGGTGTTTGACGCTCCCAAATCTGCACTTGGGAATGTGATATCTTCAGAGTTGGCCTTCCTGTTGAACTCTATTGTAGAGCCGGATTTGAAATTCATATGGAGGGAATTCACCAACACTAATTGGGAAAAGATCACAGTGGAGGACTATAGTCGGTATATGGTCACACTGAAGACGGTGTTGGTGGAAGATAGTTCTCCCATTCGAAAGATTGATTCTCATTTCAATCGTGACGTTTACAATTGGGTATTTTTAGACAAAGTGATCAACTTAGTCATTGATGAATATCTTCGACAAGTGATTGATCTTTTGAGACCTTCGAAACCGTTTGGAGTTCTGACTAAAGAAAGATCGTTGCAGCCGATACAGGTGATAAACGCTAGTGAACAATTGTTGTTAGATCTCAAACTTTTAGAACAATCGTTCTACAATCTGATCGATCAAGTTTCGACAAGGATTAATGCACAAGGAGCAAGCTACAAGAGAGTGAGGAGACACATCGACGACAGATTGAAGTCATTCACATCATTTTTGAAAATTCTGGTTATCCCAACGGATTTACCCGCTACTTACAATGAAAATTACATGGCACTTACCAATAACAATAACAGTATTGTTGCATGGTGTTTTATGCTGGCTTTGAAAGGGACGCCGTGGGATCTTGCACTGTGGAAAACGCTTTTCCGAAGTTTCAAAGAATCTGTGCAGGAGGATAGTGACCAGGGTCTTGGGATTTTGGCCAACTATGACTCCGCGATCAACGAATTTGTCGATGGTCTGAGGACCATACAAACTCCAGTATGGCGGAGATTTGTAGAAGAAGATTTAAGCCTCAAACCCGCGCCGTCGTCACCGCCGCTAACAAGTCCCACATCCCCCACTCAAAGACACAATCTCATCAACAACAATTTCAAACAGCTCATGTCAAACAAGGGCTTCTTTAATAGAAGAAGCTAGACCCTCTCCCACAGGATTAATCATTAACCTTATAACTGACTCGCGTGGTAACCTGTTGCCCACCCGTGGAAAACCCTCGAAACTGAACGGATTCACCGTCCTGGATTTCTTGGGCGTCTGAGTCTGCCCATTCTAGCGGAACTTTGGCGTTTGCGTCGGTATACGCCAATACGTTAAACGTATAACTACCGTCATCTGACAATTCAGGTAAAAAAGTCACACTCGCGGTAATCTGTCGTATAAGTGCTCGAATATCCCGTTGCGTTTCTTTCGCATCCTCATCATCGCCATCACCCTCATCACCCCGATTACCCCTATCAATACTAAATTCCCATCTTTCTACCGTCTCACACGTATCTTTGTCAATTATGCATAGGACCAATTTCTTACATTTTTCGCCCAAAATCCATCGATGAACCTGTTGCAAGATCTGTTTCACATACCGTTTCAATGCATCATCATGGGTCTTTAACAAGTTCAATTCGTATTTTCTCACCGTCGAAAAGTCCTCCGGTGGGTATATAGCTCGTTGATACAGGATAGTATTGATACTATACTCGAAAAACTCGGAAATCACTCGGGTCGAACCTCTTAATGAAAGGGGATTCATAATTTAAGGTCAGAGAGATTTGGTAGAGTAATTGACTGGAATTAGGGCCTCTTATACCTGAAATCTGATCGATTTGTTCGTCTTGAAAGTTGATTCAAGATGTTCAAGATGATCTTGTTCATCTGAAAATCTTGATCTAGGTTGCTTCAAAAGACAAACATTTGAAGCAACTTGACTAATTTGGCAATCGGCAAGATCATGGTATGTAGAGGCAGTAGCCAAAATATTTGCTGAATTTTCCGCTGTTTATGTTCGTGCTAACAATTGTACAGCACGGCGTCAAACGGAGACAATGGACCAAAGAGCTGTTGAGACAGAAAAGATCCAATGATGCCATGAAAATCTCAAATTATCGAGCACTTACAGAGGAAGGTTTGACCTTAAAACGGCAGGGTGTTATAAATTGGGATGCATTTGACAAAACTACTGAAATTTTAAATTTGAACCCAGAGTTTAATGCCATTTGGAATTATAGACGAGATTTGATCAAAGCACTTGAAAATAATTTGCCTGACAAATTTTGGGGAAAAGAGCTCAGTTTTACTTTGGAAACGTTGAAAAGGTTTCCTAAAGTGTATTGGATTTGGAATCATCGATTTTGGTCGCTCAAGCGGTGTCCTGGCGCGGAAGGTTCAAAGTGGCGTCAGGAACTCAAAATGGTGGATAAAATTTTGAGTCTTGACGCTAGAAATTTCCATGGTTGGCATTATCGAAGAACTGTGGTCGAGCGTATCGAAATTGCTGAGCAGACCAGCTTGAATCAACAAGAATTGGCCTTTGCGACAGGCAAAATTAATGAAAACATTTCGAATTTCTCTGCATGGCATCAAAGAGCCAATTTGTTACCTAAAATGTTTGCCAATGGTCAAATCGAGAATGAGAGACAGTTTCTCAAGCAGGAACTTGATTATATCATCACTGCAATGTTTACAGATGCAGAAGATCAATCGGTTTGGTTTTACATAAATTGGTTCATCCAGGAATCTTGCATTACTTCCCGTTGGACTAAACAGGAATACCAAAATGCCCTTGAACAATTAGCGGAGTCCGCGGTGGCCATCAATGAAGATGAACGCGAATTTTCTGGTAAAGATAACAGTTGGTGTTTGAAAATTCTAGTAATTATCGAAACCATAAAGAAACAGAAACTTGGATGTGTCGAAAACGAACAGCGGTCAGAATTACTGCAACGTCTCATCGCCGTTGATCCTGTGAGAAGGGAAAGGTACATATATCTTTTGAATGAATAATGCTGAATGATCTACGTGCGTATGTGGTTATTTAGGATGCTCTACGTTTTCTCCTTTTTGGCCGGTGGTGGTTTGACCGGCAGGTTTTCCTCGTTAATTCTTTTCCTAGACAGCACATACCTTCTTTCTCGAATGCTAAAATCTCTTTCTTTAGTGATGTAAGCGTCTGACGCCAAGTTATCAGGTTCTTTCAATCCGCGTTCACGACCTGCGGATTTCTTCAATTGAATAAACGACTCTACACCCACTGTTTCAAATCCAGGGGGTAGATTGTCTTTAAGATCGGATAACTCGAAAACGTTGATGTAGAAATTTAACAAGTCAAAATAGACTTCGTTCAAAGAAGATTCGTCACTTTCAAAAAGTTGGTACCGAACATTGGGCCACGTCACGTCGGGTGAAAGTTCACAAGCTATCCGAAGTGCCGCTAATGCAATGGTATGCTGCGGTACCATGAGTAATACTTCCAATTTCAGTGCGTCAAAAGCTACCAACCATGCTAAATGACACAAGTCATAACTTAAAAGAAGTTCTTTACCAAATTTGCACAAAATTTCGTCTATATGAATCGTTTGATTGATTCGATAATCGAAACAACAAGTCTCAAGGATTCGTAGTTCCAATTGAATGACTCTTTTTTTGCAATTGTCCAATGCCTCAGGCGAAATTTTCAACATGCCTCGCAATCGCAAGGATTCAAGACAAATCTCTGTGATCTTCTTCATGGTCTCAACTTGTTTGCAACTCAAGAACAGACAGCTTGTTGCTACATCATAGCAAATTTCTGTCTCGAATTTATTAAAAATATGGTATCTTTGGTAAAAATACATGGCTGTTTCTAAAGTTCTCCGGGGGAATTTGAATTGCGTACACATATCGCACAGAAATTTAAAAACCATAATCCTTCTTTGATTGTAACTTCTTCTATCAGGTATGGTATTCTTTTGAGCTGTCTTTATCTGTTCGCGGGTCAAATATGGTCTGGAAAGCACTATCTGCGTCTGAAATTGATTCACAGACATGATGGCGAATCTATCTTGATCGCTGAATTCCAGCGGGCGCGGTTCCAGGCGTTCCAAACGTCCTTTGGCTTCTCGACTGTCTTGATATTAGGATATCAAGGAAATGCATGAGAAACTGTAGTTAAATTTTCATATATCATCAAGATTAGAGGAGAGCGTCTTTAACGAAGGATATGTCAAGAACAAGAGATGAATTTATTTAAGCGACTGAACCCCGTTGTTAGCAGATCAAGTAGCTCATGTTCTTGAGTAGAAATTATTCTAATTCTTAGTTTTTGCAGTTTTTTTAGGACTTATTTTCAAAGATATACCGATCAAATTAAGGACTTTCTTTATAATTCTTCTCTGTCGCACCATGAAGGTATTATAAACCAGTCTGATGGCGAGCAACAACAATTATCTACCTCATCAAGGCTGTGTTTTTGTTAATTGTTTCTAAAGCGAGAGATCTCGGCCTTTCAAGCCTCTGAGATCTGTTAATATCAACTGGCAATTCCTTAGTTGTACATGCAACGTATGATTAATTCTATATTACGGTGAGCGGATTGCTCTTTTCCTACCTGTGGATTAGCTTCGACGTGAGAGACTCCAATTCTTCCAACGTCTGAGGTTCTTCCACCTCAAAAACGGTATCATGTTTTCCATCGAGTTCGCTGTCGCTTGACTCTTGTCTCGACTGGTATTTCCTACGTTTCCGTGATGTTTCTTCAGGCTCAGCGTCAGAATCCATATCCTCAGACAAATTTGCCTCGTCCACCACAGCAGCGTCAAAATGAGCTTCATCTTCGGAGCTTTCCGACAATTCGGCTTCCATCTCACGACGCATGGCTTCTAGCCGTTTGCGTTTTTTCTCCTGTCTCTTCTCCTTGGCCACCTTCTTATCTTCTACATCCCTCTGGCTCATGGTCTCGAATTCTTTTCTCAAAAAGCTTTCCTTCTGCTCCTCTGCGCCTCCTTTTTTGTGAAAGTCTTCTTCTTCTTCAAGCTCGTAAATAGGATGAGCAGTACCTTCGTCATCGAACTTTAGCTTGGTTGCATTACCTTTGCTAGCCAGTGAAGCTTTTTTTGAAAGTGCCTTCTTTTGAGCTCTCCTTGAACCCGGTGCAATGAGCTCAGGTAAGTCTGCTTCTGCCAGGGCATGATCTGCTCTTTTTATGTTTATGAAATCATCTTCTTCGTCCTCTTCGGCCTGATCCTTGGTAATATTAAGATAATGAGCACTCAAAACCGTTTGATTTTTCCTGTCAAACATCTTGTCAATCTTAGTTCTCACTTCTTTATTTTTTTTGATGACCTCTCCATCGCTATTTGCATTCGAGAGCGATAGCAATTGTCGAGACGTGTTTTTCAATTCTTTTGATGCTTCAGCAGCTTTACGACCTTTGAATTTAATTCTAGGTGCTCCCGGTAAACCCAGCGAGCTCGCAAACTCTTCGGTTGGCAATTCTTCGAATTTGAAAACTTGCTGATCCTTTTGAATGTAGATCGATCTGACATATGAGATAAAGGCCCTCTGCCCTAAGTATTTGAGTTCCGGATCCTTGAACAGCAGGGATTGTAATTGAGGTTTAATGGATTTTTTCTTTGATTGCTTGATGGTTAATTTATTGGGTTCAATCAGCCTCGTTTCTAGCCTTTTCAAAAACCCTTCTTCTTCCTGTGGCGTAAGCATGATGAGAGATTTTCCTTGTTTCCCGTAACGCGCACATCTGCCGACTCTGTGGATGTAAGTATCCACATCTTCAGGACAGTCCAATTGAACGACCCAGTCGACGGCAGGGAAATCGATTCCTCGTGCTACGACATCTGTGGCAAATAAGCAAGTATGCTGTGCCCTCTGGAACTTGACCATAGTCTCGGTACGTGCAGTCTGCTTCTGGCGACCATGTAAATTCATTAGAGAAATACCCGGTTGCATTTTCCTGAAAGTTTCATAAACGAAATGAACTTGCTTCGAACTCGATAGGAAGACGATCATCTTGGTCTTCAGATGTGTCTTGATAAAACTGAACAGTATGTCAAGCTTATCCGGCAGTGGCACGGTAATGTAGGACTGTTGTAACGTTTCTGGCGTCGCTGGACCCTTTGACGTCTTCAAAGAGTTCACGTCTCCCACGGTCTTGTAGTCCGTTAAGGACAACCTTGCCAAATCTGAAACAGATTGGGACTGTGTCGCGGAAAATAAAAGCGTTTGTCTCGTGGGTGGTAGATTGCTCACAATGGCGTCGAGCGTTTTCTTAAACCCCATGTCAAGACACCGGTCCGCTTCGTCTAGGACCAAAACTTGTAAATTGGACGTATTGAGACCTACCGCTTGATCCATGTGATGCAAAATACGGCCCGGAGTTCCAATTAAAATATTGATCTTGGACATACGATCCAACTCGAATTTCACGTCTTTCCCACCGATTACCAGACCCGCAGAAAAAGATGCGTGTCGTCCTATCTTCACCAAAACTTCGTAAATCTGCATGGCAAGCTCACGTGTTGGGGAGATAACCAGTGCACCAAGTCCGTCGAACTCTGTCCATTTTTCTCTGTAAAGTTTCTCAATGATCGGAATTAAAAAGGCCAAAGTCTTACCAGAACCGGTCTTAGCTGACGCAAGAACGTCGTTACCCTTGAGAGACACTGGCATCGAGTCTTTTTGAATATCAGTCATTTTCACAAACGCAGATTCACGCAATCCTTTTAGTGTGCCATCGCTAATGGGCAGATCTGTGAAAAAAGTAGGACGAGCCAACTTCACATCAAATTCCGCGACGCGAGTCTCCAGATCCTTGATATATTCATTTTCCCTTTTTCGAACCTCCTTACGAGCAGAAGTGGTCGATCTACCCTTCTTGGCCATCGTTTAATATCAGCTTTTAGGCGGGGTTTTAGTATCGATCCTGCTGCGATGAGATGCGATGAGTATCAAATTTTCCGGTTTTCGAAATTTTGAAATAATCACTAAGTCACGTGATTGGGATCAGCACTTCAACAACTTGAAGCTCAAAGCTCATCACCAACTCAAGAGTTGAAAGTATTGGCCAACATACGCATTATATTCCATGTCCTTGAGTGGGAAAAGACCGTATGCAATTGAGAAGAAGAGTTCAAGCGTGACATGGAAGAAGCCTCGTCAAAACTTGGAAAAAAGACGACCAACTTTACCCATATTTGAGCCCTCCGGGCTACTTGAGCTGGATTCTAATAACAAAAAGGGCATTCACGTGCTACATGTCGAGCCGTTAAACGCGGTATCGCCAGAGACTTTTTACCGAAATCGCCGGGTTCCAAAGTTCCGTCAGTGCCGTTTCCGTGCTGTGGTGTATCGCGACGGCCAAGAGGAGCCAATCGAGACGTATGACTTATTCGAAAAAAGCAGTTATTTGGTCGGGAGGGCATTGGGTGACAAGCAGGGCGACAAAGAAACACCTGAAGACGCGGAAATTGTCCTCGCAGATATCAAAATTCCCGACGAAACTTGTTCCAAGCAGCATTGCGTAATACAGTTCCGTGAAATTGACAGCGAATTGAAGGTACATGTTATGGATTTAGAATCCTCTAACGGTACGGTTCTCAACGCTGTTGAACTACCAGCCACTCGTTTTGTAGAGCTCCATTCTGAAGACTGCTTGCGGTTTACTGTTCACCGTAGTGATTCTCAGTATTCAGTCATATTTGTTGCTGGATGAGCAGGCCTAGAGCTCTAATGATGCTAATGAAAATTTAAACTATATATATATTAACATGGATTGACAAATACGAAATGCCTACAAGCGAATTTACAACTCGTCGTGATCGAAGTAGTCATCTTCATCGTCTTCATCCTCGTCAGCGTCGTAAGCGGACTCGGCGCCAGCTCCGTAGAGTTTAGAAGTAATTGGGTATGCGACTTGAGACAAGGATTCGAATTTTTCCTTGAAATCCTCAGTGACAGCCGAGTCGGAGTTGTCTTCCAACCATTCGAACACGTCGTTGACAGCGTCCAATAACGTCTCTTTGTCGTCCTCTTCCAATTTGTCGGCCAATTCGGCGGTAACAGAATTCTTCAAAGAGTGCGCGTAGTTTTCCAAATGGTTACGCGCTTCGATCTTGTCTCTCAACTCGGCGTCTTCAGAAGCGTACTTTTCAGCATCTTCGACCATTTTCTCGATTTGGTCCTTTGTCAAACGACCCTTGTCGTTGGTGATGGTAATGGATTCAGATTTGCCCGTGCCCTTGTCGGTGGCAGAAACCTTTAGAATACCGTTGGCATCCAAACCGAAAGTAACCTCGATTTGAGGGACACCTCTGGGAGCAGAAGGAATTCCAGTGAGTTCGAATTGACCCAATCTGTTGTTGTCCTTGGCCAAAGTTCTTTCACCTTCGTAAACTTGGATCATGACAGTTTGTTGGTTGTCCACAGCGGTAGAGAAGATTTGAGACTTCTTCGTGGGGATGTTGGTGTTTCTCTTGATCAATGGGGTCATGACACCGCCTGTGGTTTCAATACCTAGGGTCAAGGCGTTGACGTCCAGCAAGACTAGATCTTCCGCACCTTCCTCGCCAGACAAAACACCTGCTTGAACAGCTGCACCAAAAGCAACAGCTTCGTCAGGGTTGATGCCCTTGGAAGCCTTCTTACCGTTGAAAAAAGTTTCCAAAAGTTGCTGAACTTTTGGAATTCTAGTAGAACCACCTACAAGAACAATGTCGTCAATATCTTCTTTCTTGACACCAGCATCTTCCAAGACTTTTTCGACCGGTTTCAATGTTCTCTTAAAGAAATCCAAGTTTAATTCTTCGAATTTGGCTCTGGTCAAAGTTTCACTGAAATCAATGCCGTCCACGAACGAGTCGATCTCAACACGTGTAGACATTTGACTCGACAAAGTTCGCTTGGCCTTTTCGGCCTCTCTCTTCAATTTCGCAAGCGCTTTGTTGTTGTCGCTAACATCGATGCCATGCTTCTTCTTGAATAATTTGATGAAATGACGAACAATCTTGTTGTCAAAATCTTCACCACCCAAATGGGTGTCACCGGCGGTAGCTTGCACTTCGAACACACCGTTCTCGATAGACAGCAGAGAGACGTCGAAGGTACCACCACCCAGGTCGTATACGATGATCTGGTGCTCGTCTTCCGTCTTGTCCAAACCGTACGCAATAGCAGCGGCAGTAGGTTCGTTCACAATTCTCAAAATGTTGAGCCCCGCGATGGTACCGGCATCTTTGGTAGCTTGTCTTTGCGCGTCATTGAAGTACGCAGGCACAGTGACCACGGCGTGAGTAACTTTTTTGCCCAAATAATCTTCAGCGATTTGCTTCATTTTACCCAAAATCATCGCAGAGACTTCTTCGGGAGTGAATAATTTGTCTTCGCCCTTAACCTCGACCTTGACGACCGGTTTCCCGTCTTTGTTAACCACCTCAAAGGGTAAATGCTTCAAGTCCCTTTGTACGGACTTGTCGTTGTAACGTAACCCAATGAATCTCTTGACGTCATAAATCGTGTTTTTAGGATTAGCAGCCACTTGGTTCTTTGCCGCATCACCGATGAGTCTTTCGTCTTCCGTAAAAGCCACGTACGAGGGTGTGATTCTGTTACCTTGTTCATTGGCCAAAATCTCGGTTTTGCCGTTCTTCATGACCGCGACACACGAATACGTGGTACCCAAATCGATACCGATCACAGTACCATAGTTTTCAGGATCCTCAGTCGCCTTGACCAGCACTCTAGACGACTTCGATCCCCCCGATAGCGGTAGTACCACTAAAAACAGCGTGTACACTATAGCCGCGAACGGCACTAACCAACCGTTTCTGGCTCTGCCAAACATTGTATCCCGATTTAGCTGCTTTCGTCGACTGCTTTTGATTAAAACAGTGTCTTGCACAAACTTAAAGGGGCCTGTTTTAGACGCTCTTTTGCGAGTTGTATTCAACGGTAATTATATTATACCGTTTCAGAATAAGCCGCTTTTATATAGATCTGTGTGGCAAAACGAAAACGAAAAGACACGTTGTTAAGTTCAGACAGGTTTTTTCCAGAATATTCACGCGACACTATTTTCGTGAATCGTGATATATATAACCAGAACGCGAAAAAACTAAGACATGCCTTGCAAGCGGAGCACGCAACGGTTGCAGACGGAGCCGAGTAGAGTAGTTCTCGAGTGAGAGAATCTGCTTTCGAATCCTGTAAATTGTGAAAGAAAAGTCACGAGGTTTACGTGATATCACGTGACTTCGTCCCTTGACATTTTAGCGCTCCCAGCAGCTGTCTGGCAGAGGCCACACAATTCTAGCGACACCATTCAGCTTCTGTTTCGCGCTTCGTAGGGCGCATGACGCTCTCGAGACCGATCTTCAATATCGAATTCGCTTCCGTACACAGCGATCTTTCGGATTTTCAAGCTTTGCCTCAACGATTTACAACGCTAGAACGGCAGCTCCCTGATCCCATCCTCTCGTCTCATTCTCCCGACTAGACGGTCACACTGTACCCTGTTTCCATGCCCATTACTTATCATTTATTCAACGTGCACAAAGCTCGCTTACGCTAATCTTCCAACGGTGAAAATTTCAAGCTTCTCATCGCATGGAGACTCATAGAATCCCACAACGAGCAATGCGATGGAGCAACGTATGAAGGAAATGAAACCGATAACGGGTAATGATTGGCAGCATATGCGCACGGCGACGAAATTGGCCCGGTACGCTTTGGATCACGACGAGACTCCTGTAGCGTGCATTTTCGTGCACACACCCACCAACCAGATCCTGGCTTACGGGCTCAACGACACCAACAAATCGCTCACGGGCGTCGCACACGCAGAATTCATGGGCATTGCGCAGATACAACGCGCCACGGGCGCACACGACCGTGAGATTTATAAGGATATCACTCTGTACGTGACCGTTGAACCCTGTATCATGTGTGCGTCTGCGCTCAAACAGCTTGGGCTGCGGCGGGTCGTGTTTGGTTGCGGTAACGAGCGGTTTGGAGGCAATGGCTCTATCTTGTCAATCCATTCGGACGAATCCACCGCTGCCGCGAACAAGTACAGCTCTGTACCGGGCCTTTTGCGGAAAGAAGCGATCTTGCTGCTGCGATACTTTTACGTGCGGGAAAACGAGCGATCGCCCAACCCGCGAGTCAAGGCAGAGCGGAAACTGGACTTGGAGACTTTCCCGCCGATGGAATGGTCACGGTACGTTGACAGAGACGAGTTCATGCACTGTTTTGGTGCTGAAAACGTGAGACATTTTGACGACAAAACGGACCTGCGCGACCAAGTTGAGTGGGGGCTCATTGACGAGCCGCACGACAAGGTACTGGAGTTGATCCAGCGGCAATGTGACGCATTTCGACTCCACACGGCCAAAAAATTCAAAAGTTAGGCAAGCATCGCGCGTAGGCGAACTTTCAAAGACCCTGTTCGACTTTGCTCCAGGTGTCGACCATTTTTTGGTAAAATTCTATCTGATTATCGGCCAACGCGGTGAGCGAGCTTTTCAATTCTTTGGTCTTGATACCTTCGAAAATATTGACCTCTTTCAAAACCTCGCGCTCGAACGCGTCTGCGACTTCTTTGGCGTTCTCCACTTCCGTGGTCAAGGAACCGATTTTGGTTTCCAACTTGGATATTTTGTCGCGTCTTGCGACTTCTTGGTTTATGCCTGCCAGTTCCTCGAGCTTGCTGGCAAAATAGTTACTACCGCCGTACCCAGAAACAAGGTTATTTTTCTCGTTAATAGATTTTGTCAAATAGTCGTTCAATTCCTCGTAATCGATTTGTTTCTGGTCCTTAAGCTTGATGGTCTGCTTCACGTTGTCGATGTAGTGCTCCATGTCCTTGAGATCAACGATGTACTCGTAGTCGAGATATTTGCTCACGTCTCGCAACCCATACGAGAGTTGGCTTATCCCCTCGTTGAAAGTCTTGACTTTTGCACACAACGCTTTGTCGCTCTCGGAGCCGTCCGAGACCAGTTCTTGCAACTCACGTAGGCTCTGACTGAACTTCCCGAAATCATCGGATATGGCTTCTTGTCGCTTCACGACGCGATGGAAGATCTTATCGATCTTGGAGACGTTGTGGTCGAGTTTTTCGCTTTTCTCTTTGATCTCGGTGAACTCTTCGCTCTGGTTATGGACCGTTTTGAAAGCGTTCATGAGTGCGTCGCTCACTTCTTCTTTGTTGGCGACAAGCGTGCCGGAAAGAGTGCGACGATACGCGTCCCAGTCGCTACTGACCAAAAACGTTTCGAGCATACGCGACTGTGAGAGTACCGGATGCTCCGAAATGCGTCTCAGGAAATTCTGAAGGCTGTGACAGCGTTTCTGGGTGAAACTGTGGCCGAAACGGTCGCCGGCGATGTATTGGAGCACTTTTTTGTCTGGTAAAGGCGGAACGATGCAGGACGGGTGGTCCTGCGTGAGAACGGTGTGCAATAGCACGAAGTCGCTGTAGCGGCGGTGCACAACGATAATGTCGGTGGGTTTCTTGGATTTGTCGGCGATGTGCAATTGACGGCGACGGTGGGCGGGATTGGGCCGGTTGTCGATCTTGGTGGAAATCTGGTAAGTGACGTACGAGGACGAGGCCTTGACCTGGTCGGCGCGCTGTTTCTGGGGGTCCGAGACCAGGATCGAGAGGTGGGAACAGACAGGGGAGTCTTGCGCGGGGTTGCGCGTGGAATCACGCGGAGAATCGGGGCCGGAGGCCGGGTCGCGGGGCAATTCGGTAGAGTCTGGCATGGTGGGCGAGGGCGAGCGGTTACCTGGGCAGTGGTTGTGGCAGGGGTGGTTTAGCGGAAGAGCACCGCTTGTGATGGGTCTCTTTGGTGGGCGGAGGATCACAGAGCACGGGGATGAGAAGGGGCGGCGGGCGGCGGCACGTGACCGCGTCGCATGTCACGAAAGCACGTGCTGGTGCACGTGACTGGCCGCAGTCACGTGACTGTCTCACCTTGCACGGCGGGTGGTCTGCGCGGGGCGGGTATTCTTAATGTCTATCTAGCGGATACACAAGCGCCCTGGGGCGTAAAAACGAACTATGGTGCGCATAAGCTTACAAAGCGAAGGCGACAAGGCCTAGAACCAGCGCGGAGAAGCCGCCCTTGAGGGCGTTGGCACCCGCAGAGTAAGTAGAGACGGTAACGGCACCGGAGCCAGCGGTGGTGCTGGCAGAGAGGGTGGTGGCGGCGGAACCAGCGGAGGCTGCTGGGGAGGCGGCTGGGGGGGCGGAGCCCGCTGGGCCGGCTGGAGCGCCACTGCCGGCTGGCGAAGCAGAGCCCGCTGGAGAAGCGGGGGAGGCGGAGCCGGCTGGGCCCGCTGGGCCCGCTGGCGAGCCAGTGCCCGCTGGGGAAGCAGCGCCCGCTGGAGCAGCTGGCGAGCCAGTACCCGCTGGCGAAGCAGTGCCCGCCGGGCCGGCAGGGGAAGCTGGAGAGCCAGTGCCAGCTGGGCCCGCTGGGCCCGCTGGAGAGGCGGTGCCCTGTGGAGCAGCAGTGGCAGCGCCACTGGCGCTGCCCGTCTTGGTCTCAGCAGACAAGGGGCAGTAGGTGGTGTACACGGTAAAGATATTGCTCTCGACTTCAGTGACAACCACGGAAGCGACCGCAGTGCTGCCAGACTGCACGCGAGTGTGAGCCTCGGTGGTCAAGGGGCAGTATGTGGTGTACTGAGTGACGACGCCGTTCTTGGTGACTGTGGCGGTCGAGACGGCGACCGCGGTGGTTGGGTGGGCACATTCGGTGCAGGTGGTGATGACGGTGGTGGACAAAGCGGTGGTTGTGGTGGTGGTGGCGGAGCTGGAGGCGGAGGCGGAAGCGGAGGTGCCAGTGCCGGAAGCGGAAGCGGATCCCGTCGCGGAAGCGGAAGCAGAGCCGGAAGCGGATCCCGTCGCGGATCCGCTAGCGGACCCCGTCGCAGACCCCGTCGCGGACCCAGCTCCCGAGCTGGAGTCCGAGTAGATGCTCGTCGTAGGCGTCATGATGGTGCCCGTGAAAGAAGCCGGGTACACGTACGCAGTAATCGCCTCGTGCACGTCTCTGGCGCGCAGGTTCGTTCCGTCTGGGAACGCCAGGTTGACCGAGGACGTGTAGTAGTCCTGGGTCGTGGAGATCTCCGCCGAGTAGATGAAACGCACGCCCACGACGCCCGCTGGAAGCGCGCCCGTGAAGGTGGCAAACACCTGGGCGGCGCTCGAGGAGTCCGCGAAGCCAGAGCCCGCGTACGCGGTCGCCGCGCCGTCGTTGAAAGCGTCAGCGGCCAAGTAGAACGCCTGCACGGAGCCCGAGAACGCGTAGCCGGCCTGCGCGGGCGCGGACAGGGTCACGCGCGACGAGTAGACCTCGGCAGGCACGTCGACCTCGAAGCTGATGGTGTTGCCGGAGATCGTTCCGTACGAGGAAGCCGCCGTCGTGGGCCGCGCCTCGTAGTCGACCGCAGACGTGAACGAGCCCGAGCTGGACCCGAACGTGTACGTCACCGCGCCGGGCGCGGTGATGGCGTCCTTGGCGGCCTGTGTCAGCTCGCCTGGGAACGCGACGACGGCCTGGCCGTTGGAGGGCGTCGTGGTCACGTGGACGGAGAAGTTGTTGCCGCCGTTGCTGGTCACGGAGCCGTAGTCCAGCGAGAACGGCGTGGCCGGGAACCCGGTGAACGCGTCTGGCACGGTGAACCACGCCTCGCCGGTCGACGCCGCGTCGAGGCTGACCTCGAACAGGAAGTCGCCGTTCTTGCCGTACGCGACGTTGCTGCCGGAAGCGGCGCTCAGGATGTCGAATCCCGAGAACGACAGCGGCGCCGACGACGCAGACGGCGCCGCAGACGACGAAGACGACGCCGTGGCGGGCGCGGTCGCGGACGACGACGAGTTGGTGTACGCGGCCGAGGCACGTGACGCGAGCGCGGCAAGCGCGACAGCGGTGAGCTGCGAGATTTGCACCATATTTAAGCGGGAAGCGAGAGTAGGAGTGAGCGAGTGGTGCGGTGCGATGCTGGGTTGGCGCGAGGGGACGTGCTGGGCCTACGGGTCGTGGCCGGGCGCCTTATATACGCACTCGCACAAGCGTCGCTTGTGCGAGTGCGAAATGCGAGAACCGTTGCCCTTGTACGATTCGCGATCCGCGGGCCACCGAACGGGATTTACACGCGCCCAGCGCGGCGCGCGAATCCCGCTTACGTCAGCGGCGACGCGCGCTGCGCACAGCCGTTTTGGGGATCTGCAGGGGCTTGTTTACGTTGCCCAATGCGGCCAGCCGTGGCGGGTCGCACGCGTCCAAACGCCGAATGCGGTAACGCGGCCGCGGTGCATGGGCGGTTGCTCGGCGCCACCGGAGGCAACCAAACGCCGACGCGCGTCGGCGCGCAGGGTGCTGTTTTTTTCGCGTCAGGACCCGCTGCAAGATTGCGGCGGGCCGGGGGCCCGGCTGCGTACCCGAGGATCTCGGGCCGTGGTGGCTGGGTGGCTGCGCGCAGCCGCGCGCAGCCGCGCGCAGCCACCCAGCGCGTCCCTTTCCCCGAAACGGTATAGCGCCGTTGCCCGTGGGAACCGCGCGGGTGTCAGGGTCGCGCCCCGGAGCCACATCTCGGCGTTATTGTTTTTCCGCCTTCCCTCGGTCGCCACCGCTGCGCACGCGAAAACGTCGTTTGTAAGCGCGGCCTTTGTTCGAGCTGTGGCTGTAGCTGTCGGGGTTTCCGGGTAACCCCGAGAATCGTGCCGAGCGGCGTGCCCAGAAAAGTGAGTAGCTGATGAGTGCATGTCATACGGCCTCTGCGCGGCCTCGGCGGTTTTGCGATGAGGGACGAGCGCGTCACGGGCGCCGGCGTCGCCTGCCTCGGCCCGAGGTCTTCCTCGGTGCCTTTCCCGGCGGATCGCCCAAAGCGAGGGTGGAGCCGGGGGACAACGTGACTGTCTTGTAGGATTTATGTAATGTATTGAGGTTTACCCGTCGGTTGTCGAAGGTTCTTTGGCTGTTCACTCAACAGGTTCATGGTTGGTCTAGAAAAGTGGGCATTGCGTATTTAAGTCTCTCCGCGTCTGTTAGCGTCTTCTTCTATGCGATTCTCGTGGCACACATCCAACTTCGGAATCCGCTACGTTCTCCAAGATTGACGGTGAGTCGTCATTCGGCTCCTGTGACTCCATCATGGTCGTGAACGACCCGTTCACTTTTCTAATTCTATTCCGTCATCGCGATCACGTGACGATGCAATTGATATCACTTCTTCGGTATCTTCTGTAAGTGATGAACTTTCTTGTTGAACCCGTGTTTCGACAGCACGAGTTCCTTATCCAGAATCAGACCTGGTTGTCCTAGTACATGTCGCTCTTTCTTTCCCCGCAGCGGTATTCCTATTTTGGGGAGTTTATCGATTATGGTTTTTTCCGTACCTATCAGTATTCTGTTTGATTTCTTACACTCCATTGCCAATCCAAGTGTATCTATTGAGGTTTATCGTTGTCGGTGGTTGATAGGTTTCTGAACTGTTCATTTAACTCGTTCATAATTGATCTAAATAATAGAGCTGTTAAGGAATGAGTACCTGTATCTCTCTGTAGTTATCTTGAAGATATGGCCACTGTATGACTGATCAAAACTCCCCCTTTTACACAATTTCGTAACACTGCTCTAACTTTAGAACCCCTTACTTTCTTCAAACTAGACGGTGAATTCTCATCATACGTCATTCATCATACCACATATAATCTGATCACGATGTTCTGAAGATTCTAGAACTGCCAATGGACCTGTTTTGGCTTCCAGTTCTTCCACAGAATGCCAACCATCTGTCCATCTCTCCAATTTTATTCTGTCATATCGATCACGTGATGATGCAATTGGACGGTATCATCTTCTCGCCAGCTCCTTCTAACAAAAGAAGTGCACGAGGTATCATGGACGTCGCATCATATGTGTTGACTAGTCTCATCCATGACTATTTGCATCCTAGACTTTTTCTGAATCTGCGTCACCAAAATCAAGCTCTGAACCCCACTTTTTGCAATTCCATAAATACCAAGCGGATATTGGTATTGAATATGCAAAAGAGAGTGTGATAATTGCGGTGCAAATCGGATTATAGCGCTCATCAGTCAAATCTGATATGCAATATACAAACCCAACGTCCGTCAGCATCACGGTAAAAATGAAATATTTTCGACGTAGGCGGCGGAGATACTCTTCCTTCTTTTCCGGGCATGTAATGGCGGAACATGCCACATCCCCATGATAATGTACAAACCCTTGGTAAAATCTCAAGCTGTAGTCCACGCGATAGGATATTATAAGGAATGGGAGCACAGCTGACAGCACAAGTCCTATAATCTCATCACCTAAAAGACCCATTATGATTTTGTTTGGAATTTTTTGGTTGTCAAGCTCTGGATGATGATGATAAGGGCATTCTTGACTTTCGTTTTTAAATATGCTCAATCGCAAGGTGAAACTTCTGGCATAAAAAAGGTTGCAAATATCAAACATACCAATAACAGCTAGCATTATCCCTGCAAAAATATTTGAATAGCACAGCACTGGGTATGCCTAGTTGCTAATGTGTTTTTTATTTTGTTGAGGTTTATCGTTGTCGGTAGTTGACACATTTCTGAACTACTCATTTAATTCGTTCATAGTTGATCTGAATAATAAAGCTGATAAGGTGTTGACTACTTATAGCTCTCCGTGATTATCTTGAAGATATGTTCACTGTATGACTGATCAAAACGCCTCCCTTATACAATTTCTGTAATATTGTTCCCAATTTGGAATCCGTTACTTTCTTCAATCTAGACGGTAAATTCTCATCATACGTCATTTATCATACCACATACGATCTGATCACGATGTTCTGATGATTTTAGAACTGTCAATGGACCTGTTTTAGCTTCCAGCTCTTTCACGGAATGCCAACCGTCTGTTCAATCCTCTAATTTATTCTGTCATATCAATCACGTGATGATACAATTGAACGATATCATCTTCTCGCCAGCTCCTTCCAACACTTTTTCTCTTCGACATTTCGGATTTTCTTCACTTATGAAATCTCAGTTGTCTCTTCCGTGATCGTAACTTCTCCATTTTCTTCTTGAACCTCAATTGTGTCGTTCGCATTATCACAATTTCAACTCCCGCGGTCTCAACCACGACGTACGCATTACTGTTACTTCGAAACCAAGATCGTGGGAGAATACGCTATTGTAGGAACGAGAGAGCTTTGGGTCATATCGGAAAGTTAGAGTATCATGTGACCACGGTGACTGATCCAGATCAGTTGAAACTGAACCGACGGTACATGCTAATTTAGCGGGAGGCCACAGCGAAGGCCATGGCGTCGTAGACCGCTTATCACATTGAGAGTGGCCGATGGATTACGTGTGATGACACTTACCGTCCACTTTAGCGGAAATGGCGGGTTCTGAAGCTGGGACAGTTTTACTATTGAGGTATGTCGTTGTCGGTGGCTCGTAGATTTCTGAACTGCTCATTTAATTCGCTCATAATTGATCTAACTAATAAAGCTGATAAGGTGTTGACCACTTATATCTCTCCGTGGCTATCTTACAACCATGACCACTTACAATCCTGTTCATATCAGCTCCCTTATACAATCTCTGTAACAGTGTTCCAATTTTGGAATCCGTTCCTGTCTCTAATATTCACGGTGAGTCATCATTACGACACCTATTATGTCACTCTTACAGTGGTGACGAAGTATGATGCCATCATGACCATCACGAGAATCACTTGGCTCCTATGACCTCATCTTGATCAAGAACCGTCCGTTAATTCTTCCGATTTATTCTGTCATATCGATCACGTGATGATGCAATTGGACGATACCATCTTCTCGCCAGCTCCTTCCAACAGCTCCAACGGTGAATTCTCAACATGCGTCGTTCATCATACCACATATGATCTGATTACGGTGTTTTGAAGATTCTAGAACTCTCGATGCATCTGTTTTAGCTTCTGGTTCTTTCGCGGAACACGAACCGAACCTTCTGTCCATTTCTCTAATGTTCTTCTGTCGTGCTGGTCACGCGACTACTCGCAGAGCTACCCCAGTCTGCGTTCTAGACCCCGGCTCCGTCGGAGCCCTTGCGACTTCTATTTTTAACCGCGCTTAGACACCCACACACCCTCGCCACTCCCCTATTGCGGTCCCGGCTCCGATCTCGGTCCCTCTCTCCCCCCACGCCCAATTCTTTGCTTTCATAACCTTGCTTCCTCCGCTGCCTTCTACGCGCCTCCTCCGCCTCCCTTCCCCAGAAAACCCTAACCACCCTAAACGCAAACCCACACTTCCAGCGCAAACCGCCAGCGCAAACCGCTGACGCGGATTCCGTACTCCGCCAGCAAAAACAAGTCTACATACCCCAACTACAGAGCAATAATTCACCCAAAGCAAGACAATACGATTATGAAACGGATCCTCGACACCACATCCCGATCCGAACTATAAAAGGACGCGCTTTGGCGCGTCCTTTCCTACTCTCTCTAGTTCTTGCCTCTTCCCCCAGCACACAGTTCTCTTTCCAATTGTTTGAGCCTTTCTTAGTCTAAGAATCTCAAACCTTCAGTCACAGAACTAGCATAGCAACCCAACACCACACCTTAAACCTCCCACATCATGTCCGACGCCGGCAGAAAGGATTTTTCCGACAAATTCCAAGAGAAGATTAAGCCAGACTCCGAAAAGGGATACCTAGAAAAGGGCAAGGAGTTCGTCACCGACAAGGCTGACAAAGCCGCCGGAGCCGTACAACCTGAAGAGAAGAAGGGTGTCTTCCAAGGCATTTCCGACTCCGCCCAAAAGGGTAAGGACGAAGCTTCTGGACCAACCTTGAGCGAACAGGCTGGCGAGTACGTGGACGCGGCCAAGGCCAAGTTGAACGACGCTGCTGAATACATCAGCTCTTCTGTCCACGGCGGTGAAAAGAAATGAGCGCGCAACGGCGTGCGCTCTGAGCGGCGCTCAGAGCGCACGCAGTTGCTTTGCAACAGCTAGCATTTATATTTTTTATATTATGATCACGAAAACGCAGTGTAGGATGTAACAATTGATTGCAAACTTAGTGACGCGAATGGGACTTGAGCGGGACCCACACACCGCGCCGTCTGCCGCGACATCGTCTCGTCGTTCCGAGCTTGTCGCTAAACGACGCCAACTCCGGGATCGGTGTCTGGAATTGGAGATCGCGCTGGAGGTCGCAAAGAACGGCAGCGGCGATCGGGAAGCCGACGCCGGCGCCGGGTTCGCCCCGGACGAGCCGCTCCGTCCAGTGCGCATCGACGGCGCCACGCCGCTGGCCGTCGAACTGGAGCACAAGATCGATCCGCTCCCGCTGTTGAATGCACGCGAGCGGGCTGAGCGCCTGAAGTGGTTCCTGCCCAACGTGCGCGTTTTACACGCACATACCCACAACGGCCGCACCGTGGCGTCCCTGGAATTCGGTACCACCGACGCATTTCAGCTCGATTTCGAGCTGTGCGCAGCTCCTCTGGAGCTGCGCGTTACTCACCTTTCCACGCCTGTGCGACTCGCGCTGGGTCCCTTGGTGACGAGCAGCGTCGCGTGTGGCAACGTCGCGCGGCTGTTGCTCGGTTGCTACGAGTTTCAGCGTCTTTGTGGCCGCAGGCACCGCATCCTGCGTGCCTTGCAGCGTGCCTTCGCCGCGTGGGGCGCGGCGTTAAGCGGGCCCGCGCGGCTGTCCGTAGCCGCCGCGCGTGGAACTGTGTGCATTCGATACGAGTTGCGGTTTCCGCCGGGCTCTGCGCTGCCAATCTCCGAGATCACAGTGTCCGTGCACGTGACCGCGAAGGTCGTGGGCAATCTCCAGGGCATCGCGCAAGCCCAAGGCATCGCAGACGCGCTCATGCGCGAGTACGGCGTCGAGCATGGGCTCGAAGCGTTCGTGCGCGCGGTCATCACTGCGTGAACTCCGTAACGGCATTGCTCGTATTTATCATCACTTACGTACACCTGAACTCGGCCAGCGGCGCAGCGTCGTCGTCGTCTCCGTCAAGCGGCCTTGCCAGCATCACACGTTTCGCCGCGCCCATCACGCGGATAAAGTCCGTCTCGTAGCCCAGCACGCCGTCTTTGAACTTCTTGCGTTTTTTGCCCCGCACGCCTATTACGGTCGCCATGGTAACGTCTTCGAACTCGTGGAACAACTTCACCAGTCCCAACTCCGTGCGTCGCGTGCGTTCGCAGCTTTGGGCCTCGTCCAGCTCTCGGGCAAGCGCGCCCTGCGTCAAATGCGGCGCCACTTCTTCCAGACTGTCCTGTTGTATGAGGGCCTCCATCTCGTCACGTTTACGCTCATCAAGCGCCTCGTTGCGTGCCGCTTGCGCTGCCAACGACGCCTGTGCCTGTGCGGGTGTCGTGGAGCTGGCCTTTTTCTTCCGGCGCCCATTGCCGGCCGGCGGGCTCGCAGTTGGCGCTGCGGAAGGCACTACCGCAGGCAGCTGTAATGCTTGCTGTGCTACTTGCTCGTGCCCCAGCGGTGGCGAGTGTGACACTGCCGTATCGGTACCGGCAGGCAACGCGACTTCCTGCTTGACAGGGGTTCCGTGATGCGCGGGTTCTTCCTCAGGCCGAGACTCGTGCTTGGCCGCATTTCGTGCCTGTCGCTGTCGAGCCTGCTCGTGCTTCGTTTGTTCCATACCGGCAGACACCGGTAGCATGCCGGCCGCACTTGTCGCATCGGGCGGTAGCCGATTGTTCTTTTTCAAAAACTCGATCCGCTTCAGCCGTTGTTCCTCGCCAAAAAGCACTTCTTCGGGCGTGTCCAAATCGTATTCGTCGTTACAACGGCTTAGTTGAAGTTGACCGTCGCCTCCAAACAATCGCGTCGCGTCTACGACGGCTTGCTCGCTCAAATCTGTCTCCAAATGCACGTACATTAGCCAAAGGAAAATGTTTGCACGCTGAATCGGGTCATACGCGGCATTGTCGAAAATGTCAAATAAAGTAAACTCTTCTGCAACGGGCGTTCCCACGTATCGTCTCAACAGCGTCGAATTCAGCAACGCGGCATTTTCACACAACGCAAATACCAAGTTAACCGGGTTTGAATCGATTCGGGTATTGTCGCCAGCGGTTCCTTCCAGATGTTCCATAAGTGGGATCGGGTCGTTGCCCAGAGGCAAGTTTTTCAAGATCGATTTCAGTCGCGGCGTGTCTTGCAACGATTTGGGGTCTCGGGCGTCTCGCTGCAAACATGGGATCGAATGGAAGGTGCGCAATTGCGATGTCATCTCCAGAAAGAAATTGATCGTTGTGTTAAGACGGCCCGTATTGACCAACAACGACAAAACGCAAGTCGAAAATGCCACGTTTTGATCAAACAGAAGCTTGTCTCGTAGAACTTTGGAGCACTTAGTCGACGACGCCACTGACAATAAATAACATTCAGAAAACGTGAGTTTCTCGTTGTCGATGAATTTGCGTGCTGCGTACGTCTCGTCCGTCACATTTAGTGACTCGGGGGACTCGGAATGGCCAATCTGGAATGTATCTTGGTAATGGTTACTGAAAAGCGTTTGTTTGTCGGAGAAAAGTTGTCTTAAAAACTCGAATTGAATATCTTTGCGAGTAAAGAATTCTCCGTCGGGCTTCTTCAAATGTCTCGTATACTTGCTGGGTTCGCGTGACTTGCGTTTCACGGAAGATTCTGCCGCTATTGTAGTGGTATTGTCCTCACTTTGCGTAGAATCCCCATCCCCCTCATTCCCACCGGTTTTAGACGAATTGAGTTGCGGTGTTCTCGTCGACCGTTTTGAATCTATACTTGCGTCTTGTGCGTCGTGTTCGGAAACTTGGAAAACGTCGTGAATGGGATCATAAACGCGCATCCCCATGTCACTTTGATAGCTTCAATCAATCACTTAAAAATGCCAATTAAAACTCGCTCTTAAGTCTCATTTCGATGCAGTCCAGTGGTTTGAAGATTCCCACTTTGGTGATGTCTGTTATTTTTTCGTTGAAAACGACTCGATAAACGGATCAGGGATTTGTCGGAGGTCACGTTTTAGATAACATTCATACCACAAAGCATTATATACGGATATTTGCCCTTCGCCTCAATAAAAACCTCTAGTGTAACCCTCCAGAAATTGTCCATATTGCCTATAGATAGTCTTTAAAAGTGTGATCTGAATTATTCAGGAGCACAACATACCATTGACGCTTTTTCAATTATCTAATTATGAGCGGCGCGGTACCTCAGGTAAGTTCCGAAACATTACAAAGCATTAGCGAGGTGGAAGAATAAAATGATTTCGCCAGTTTCCTTTTTCCGATTGAGAAAGCGTTTAAAGGTGTCCTATCTTTCTAACGAAACATACGAGATTGAAAACTCTTGTGCATACTAATTGTTTTTGCATTCTGCCCCGGATGAAGGCAACTTTATTATCTATCGCAAATGTTTTGCTTTGTCAACGAGTGTATTAATACAGGGAAGCTAAAGTTCACTTTCCTCTCAAAAAATCTAAACGGCAATAATGTTTCGGGGTCGCTGTACCGGATGAGTCGTTTTTGTTTTATGTTCTTGTTGACCAGCAGGGTAAATGGCCTTCAACGTGGCCAATTAGTTCCTAATCTCCTCTACAATAGCAGCTTAATGTATCAAGATCTATCTGTGACCAACTAAGCCATATTACCATATATGATTGGTTATGTAGTCTTTTATAAAGGTCTTGTCAAGCTGTTGTCGTCGACATCCTATCTCTCTGTTAAAGGAAAACCAAAATTTTCTCCCTGGCGCCAAATATAAAGCTTCAGGCTATTTGCGTGCGTTGAAGTGATGATTCTACGGTCATTATTATGATTATTTTGCGTCCCAGGCTTCTCGAATTAGTTCAAGCTCTCGTAGAATATTCTGTCACTGTGATCACGTGTCATCTAATCCCAGTTAATATTACTCGATGATCATCATATCTTTCAATATACTACTCGCATAATTACTGAACTTGCTGAATTCACAACCATCTTATCGCGTCTCTTTCGCAGCTTCTGACATCACTGTCACACATGATACCAATGCGTATAAAGGTATCTACTAATCACCGTAACTCATTACGCACATCGCATCTATTGATCTATACAAAGGCCAGAGTGCTACTCGGTTTCCATTAGTTTTAAAACCCACCGTCGAATCCACCACCATCGAATCCACCGTCATACCCACCATCGTATCCACCGTCGTACCCTCCATCGTAACCTCCTCCTCCATAGTCACCAGGCCCGCCGTTTTCGTAAATGATTGTCTCATGGGGCATCATCGCAGACGTAAGCATTGTGCCGGCTAGAAGCCCCGCACCAGCACCGATTGCACCACCCGCGAGTGCACCGCCATACTTACCGCGTCCGTTGTTGTTCTGGTGGGCCTGCTGCGGTTGCTGCGCGTATGGTTGCTGCGGGTAAAACTGTGGCTGAGGAGGGTATCCAGCTTGCGGATACCCACCCTGTGGATAACCGGGTTGAGGATATCCGGGTTGTGGGTATCCTGGCTGTGGATAGCCCTGTTGTGGGTAGCCTTGCTGGGGATATCCGGCATTCCTGCTGAAGGATTGTTGCTGCCCCATGGGATTAGCGCTGTTGCGCGAGCCTTCAGACTGCTGGTACGATGGTGGGGGAGGTGACTGTTGGGACCTCTGCGGCCAGGTAGTTCCCTTCGGCTCGTCCCACTGTGATTTCCCGCTTGACAGATCAACGTAGAACCACGTCTTGTATTCTTCGTCAAAGACTGCCTTCCATCCTTTAGGAACTTCAGGACGCACGTTTTTATCTTGGGCCATTCCTTACTATAGAGTCGTTACCGACTTAAACTTTGTTTGGCCTCTATGGTCCTTGATGATTATATGGGGCGATCCTCAAAGCCTCATCCAATAGGGAGAGGCTGGCGATTGAAGGACCACACGCATTCGTATGTAACAATCTCATGTGGTACGGCAAAAGCGCACGTCACATGACTCGTCGTATGGATAACAATGACATTTCCATGTCCCATGCCTATGATCTCGCAGTTCTTGGAGCTCTTTGGATTTCGTTACGTAGCGGTTTACAAGTTTCCTAAGATACTTGATTTGGGTGCACCGCCTTGTACTTTATATGGGGGTCTATCAAAAAGAGACAGGGCTCTAAAGTTTGGCGCGGTTAGGGCGGATCGCCTTTTGGTATACACGCAGTGCATCGAGAGCAGCGCCTAGTGATGTCTCGAACCCCATACCGCCAAACCCGTAGCAGTGGACGACAACGGGACCCTGATCAGTACGCTCTAGCTCAACACGGCTACCGCCGTATCTTGCTGGCCGAAACCCGACGTTGACACGTTTGACCGAGAATTGGCCGTCCACCATTAATTCTGGAAAAAGTACAGATGCTCTTTGTAGGATCGCATTAGAATCTGACTCGCGAGCCACGACTGTTGCGTCGCCGATTTGCTTGGTGCCTCCAACGATATATTGTGAGGAACGCTTGCCATATGGAGCAGGACGCTTGATAACGAAAGTCCAGTTGCCGTCGCGGGCCTGATGTGTAACAGTCTTATGCGCGTAGGCGGTGTCGTGAGGCACGTCTACCAACAAAGTTTGGCCGCGTATAGGAAAGCAAGCCGGATCCTGCTTGCCATCCAATTGTAGTCCGTTACCGGAACAGTTGAAAAGTGCTGTGGTTTGCGGGTATATGTGGAAGGCCTCTTGCAAAGAGGACAACGTCATGCGTTTCAGTTCAAACTTCACGTTGAAATGCTGACACAGGTCGCGGACGCGATCTTGTAGAAACGTAAGGTACACGGGCGCGTTTAAGCAGAACGTATCGTACTCGAATCCCATCTTGACGTCCTTTGGCAGTTCCGAGTCGCACAGTCGACGGAACGCGTCTAACGAATCTGCATTGAACCCGGGACCCTCGCAGGCGTACTCTGGTGAGGGATCCTCAAGCAGGTCCACACCCTTCATGAACTCGACGCTGCTTTCCGGATGGTAACGAGCAACATGCTTGAGCGCGCGGTACGTGTCGCGCGTGTAGCGGGACTCGCGCTGATCACTCTTGTAAGATTCTGGACGATGTGGGAACGGACGGAAATGGGCGCCGGCCCAGGGTGACGTGAATTCGTGGCTGACGGGCTCGTCACGAGGGAAATGCTGCCCTATGATGCAAAGCGATGTGGGTCTTAGTGCGGCATTGGAGACCAATTCAAACGCTACACTGAGACCAATGACGCCGCTACCGACAACGACGACATGAGACATTTGGGGCGAGAAGAGCTGTTAGGGTAAGACGGTAGTTCGAGCAGGTGACGGTCGGAATGCGGTATATGCGCAGAAAACTCAGACCTCGTGGTATGTGATGTGTGCTGTTAGTCACGTGCACAATTACGTATATCCGGGTAACTTTTCGTCCGCGGCTAAACCGCGCAGGGCAGTGGCCATAATATCAAAAACTTTAGTAGGAGTTCTATGGGCTACTTACGCAATGACACTCTCTCCGTGCTAGGTTCCTTTCCGTTCAGTCTCTCCTCAAATTCCATGCTCCTGAATTTATGGTCGTGTGGTTCGTAGTTGGCAAGGAGAAATCCGGTGGCGGCTCTAGCTTTTATAGTCATGTTCACCCGCTCGCCCCTTATGTTTGCCACAAAAACGCGATCCCGTAAAGACATCGTAATTAAAGATAAGCTGCAGCAGTGGTGCAATAGGGACAGGCATTAAAGCTGGAAATGCAACTATAGTAATATTTTCAGCAAGCCAGCGTAGCTATTAAAAGCTGAACACGCACAAATCAGCAATATCTACTGAATCTGCGGAGTCTGCGGAATCTGCTGAATCTGCGTGCTGTCTATGTAGTGTCTATGGAGCTTCTTTGAGTTTTTCTACTCATGTGTGTTCATTTCGCCACCGAAGAGGCTCTTCTACATAGACATAAGTCTGATTCTGGCGCTGTCATCATGTGATGCGGGTACGCCCTCGTTTACGATACGTGCGCTGATGTTACCTGGCAGCGCCTATGACGCGTGAACACAAGCCTCAGACAAAATAGATGGAAGCCGTGAAACCGTAGAAATACTAATCGTGTGCTGTCACCGGTGGCAATCACCAGCGCAGGTTAATTTTGAATAATCGAAACTTGTAATACTTTATCACCAATTTTTTTACTCTTATCGCATTCATACCTCTACTCTGTTACTTCGATCGCGCTCCAAGCCTCTGGACCTCGACCGTTTTTCGTATGAAACTTAATAGCCAAAGAATCAAAGAGACCTTCAACAGGCCTGCATATGAAAACAGAGATCCCACGACCACGAGGGCCGGCTCTAATCTAATGACCCGTATGGATGATAGAAACAAGTACTAGAATTGATCAGGGTTGGTTGTTAGGTTTTGAATTATTCGTTTATTTCCTTCATATTTGGTCTTAATAGTAAAGTGGGTAAAAGTAAGCAAGGTATTAAGTATTTATATTTGTCCGTGATAATCTCATATCCATCATTGATATCTCCTCTGCTTCGAAACCTTTCTGGGGATACACATCCCAGGCAACCATAGATCTTATTTAATTTCTGTCATCATGATCACGTGATCTTTGGCTTTAGACAAGTTGACGATACCACATCTCGCTCTTTTCTTCTAACAAGTACCAAGTGGAATTAGGCTGGTCGAATTTTCGGCACGGGCGAGGCTTTCCTGCGAACTTCCGGGTGGGATCTTTCAAGCACAAGGTATAGAAGCCTCTTATGCCTGTCTAAATTCAAATCCCAAAAACTCTGGAGCATAGAAGAAATATACTTTGATGATTGTCTACGCTTTAACTGTGGAGAAATCAGATATTCGACGAATTCTTAAAGGAAGCATACAAACGCACGAAACCGAGACACCAATCCTGACGTCAGGTCGGCTTCTGCAATTGCAGATATCTGTGACTAGGAATTACCTCGTGAACGGTGATGTTGCGTTGGGCTAAAAAGCCTTACGAGACCAATCAGTGGCAAAGGCGTAATGGTGTCAGTGGACGTGATGCCTCTGCCTTGAGCCTTGGCAGGTGGACCACGCTTGGCGCTGGGTGGGATCGTAATCATGGCACGTGACTTAGAGCGCCAGAAATCCTAGGTTCATGTAAAGTGCTCTAACTGACCCTACAGACAGATGCGTTATGACAGGTATATACAGCTGTCGCACCGTGGCCGTCCAATGCTGGCGGACTAGTATTGAACTCTAGCTTGCCGATAGGGTCACGTGCCATCTGTTGTCACGTGATATATCTCATATATAGCCCCGCACCTCTACGGGACGCGGGATCTCACCGCTCTCCTTGACTAATCTTTTTCTATCGCTACCGCTGCTCCTACTCCTGCCACCGTACATCCCCAGATCCGTCACTTTGACAAATCTCTTGGCTACTGCGCAGAACACCTATTGCTTTCGTTCAAAAACGTACATGCTCGTCTTGTCTCCTTCAACTACACCATCGCGCCCCTATAACTCGAATCGCTCTTCTTCCAAGCCTTTCCCTTCCTTTCGTCCTTCAACTCTTACTTTTACTATGAGGTTCTTCCATCAAACTAGAAAATTTTTCGAGCCTTTAAATTGAAGTAACATCATCTCCAAGGTAAAACCCAAGTGATCCACCTGAATCGCACCAAGAACAACTAGACCCCCGACTCCCACGTGAGCCAAGTGTGCTACACCAGTTTAGTCCACCGTATGGATCAGTTTTCTAGGTACCCACTGTCCGGGATCCCGGTTCCATTTCAATACCAGATCAGAAATGGGGACGACAGCGATGCAGGAGTTTTACGGCTGATGAACAAGTTTAATACGGAGGAAAACGGCGGACATGCCAAGAAACGGAGTGCACCGAACGCGGGGGGCGCCGATTTCGATGTTAAACGGGCTCGTATGGTCGAAAGAAGTGGACTTTTGAGTTGTCAGCGCGATGAAGGCGGTCCTACGCCTTTGTTCGATATTCCATTTAGATTTGGGCTTGAATCCGGTGTCAGTGGTGCAGACGGCAGCGTCAGCGTTTGTGAAAGACGTGCTGTTGACGATACGCGTGGCGGGGCCACTGCGCCGCAGCACGGTTTTCAACAGTTGAGTTCTGTCAATAGAGTGTCATCGCCTGTCTGTTCTGAAGATGAAGGTTTGGTTGTGTCCGGTGCGGGTGGAGCAGCAGCAGCAGCGGCTGCTGCTGCTGCTTCTACTGCTGCTGGAAGTGACGAAGGTCTGCCGTTGTCACCTGTTGCGTCGCCAGGTCGAACTCCGTCGGAAGGCGTTGCGTGTGCCGTTATCGCCGAACCGCGTCGTTCCTTACAACAGGACTGTTTAAACGCGGTTGCCATAACAGCACACTCGCAACTCAGTCCTGCAGCTTACAAAAATTTGATATTCCAGCTCATATCACGGCTTAACAGAAGCGAACTCTCAGATTTGGGCACATTGGTTAAAGATAATTTGAAGCGGGACTTTCTCAGTTTTTTACCGGCAGAAATCGCCGTCAAGATTCTGACCAATCTCGATTTCGAGGACATTTCCAAGTGTCTCGCTGTGAACAGGACCTGGAATCGTCTCATAAACAACACGCCTTACCTATGGAGAAGACTTATGGTCGTAGAAGGGTTTATGTCGAAGGATGAGTACCAGAAACAGTGTGACGTGTCGAAAGAGGACGTCGACAGTGCCTTCCGTCAGAAATTTCTGGAAAACCGGTCGAATTTGAAAAGCTGGTATTCTAGTGAATTCAAGCCTCATAGAACCACGCTCAAAGGCCATTCTACTAGTATTGTCACTTGTTTACAATTTGAAGACGACTACATCATCACGGGCGCCGACGATAAAGTAATGCGCATTTACGACGCCAAGACCGAAGAATTTGTCACGCAACTTAGTGGCCACGACGGTGGAGTCTGGGCACTCAAATACGATAAAGAAGGCGTTGTTGTGAGTGGATCAACAGACCGTAGCGTTCGTGTCTGGAATATCAAAAAGGGCAAATGCACCCACTTATTCCGGGGCCATACTTCGACCGTGAGATGCCTAGACATTGTCGAACATCAAGGTATCAAATACATCGTTACTGGTTCGCGTGACTACACTTTACGAGTATGGAAATTACCCAGTTGTAGGAATGAAAATTACAATCCGGATGTGTGCGAAGTATTTAATACGACAGAATCGAACCCATATTTCGTGGGAGTTTTGCGAGGCCATATGGATCCGGTCCGAACCGTTTCGGGTCACGGCAACATCGTGATCAGTGGGTCCTATGATCACAATTTAATGATTTGGGACATTGCGCAAATGAAATGTCTGTACGTTTTGACGGGCCATACAGATCGAATATATTGTACCGTTTACGACCACGAGCGTAAAAGATGTATTTCCGCTAGTATGGATTGGACTATTCGAGTGTGGGATCTCGAAAACATTCATAAGAATGGTCCATGTTCCATGGTCAATTCATTCACCAACCCATGTGTCAAAGTGGCTGGCTCCGTACTGACGCTACAAGGTCATACCGCTTTGGTCGGTTTGCTTCGCCTTTCCAATAAATTTCTCGTAAGCGCAGCCGCTGATGGGTCGTTACGGGGCTGGGATCCCGACGATTTTTCTCGTAAATTTGCGTATCATCATACAAACCTAAGTGCAATCACAACATTTGACGTCAACGACAATGTTCTTGTGAGTGGATCCGAGGGCCAATTCAATATTTACAATCTGCGGACCGGCAGGCTGGTCCATTCAGATTTATTAAGCGATGCAGACCAAATATGGCTTGTAAAATTTAACAATCGGAAATTGGTCGCTGCCGTGGAGAAAGCGGGTAAAAGTTACGTGGAGATTCTTGATTTTAGCAGATCCGCAACAACGGAGGACGAAACGCGGCGCAGTGATCAGGACGTTTCCGTTGTGAGTTCGCAAGATGGATCAATTAGATGAGGAAGATTGAGAAAATATATCAAACATGACACTCCTCTTTGCGATGATAATATTCGGTATGTTATGACACCGTTTCCCCAAACCCCACAGCCCACCTCGACTGTTTGCGTCTTATCACCACGTCGTTTCTCGTCGCTTCCAGGTCTCTCGTTGCAAGATTACCTTCACTATATAGAAATCAGCGAGTATTTCATAAATGACGGGGCAATTCGCTCGTTAACTAGTTCAATAAGTTCAAATAATCTGTTATAGAACTGCTAATCAACTAAAAAATTCCTGAAAGCTGAGGGGGCTTGAGCTTACCATAATATCGTCGTCTAATTGACCATTGATATGCTTAACATTCTATTGTCATAGGAAAAACGATACGGGCTGGACGTTGAAAAATGGGTGCAAGACATAAAAAATCAACATCGCGAAAAGAGAAATCATTAAAATCACAATCTTAGCTCTCTCGAACCAGTAATAAGAGCCCAAAATACGTGTTTTACCACCCCCCCTCCCTTCCACTCCAATTTAGTATGGAAGGGTCCTCAAGTGCAATTATTTCAGATGATATAAGTATGTCAAGATTAGGTATACCAAAATCCGGCATGTCGGCAGAGGAACGAGCCTTTGGTCCCAATAAGGCCGGTTTCCCTGTTACTGGCCCGCAGCGCATCGATTTCAGCATTGATTTGCTTTTAAGTGCTGTGGTTCTCGTGTTGTCATCCGGGATAATGCTTACCCTGGGTGCGTACTCCGTTATCCAGGTGCGACACGTGGTTCGCCACAACGGTGACGGTGCCAAATGGAGAATTCCGGTTGTTATTTCAAGTTTAGTGGGAATGGTGGTTGTCTACAAGTTGTGTCTATGGTTTTGTCGCGAGAGATTACAACGGTCATTAGGTAATTCACGGTACAGAGGGCTCGTTGGACGAGAATCCTTTGAGATGATGGATCATACAGAGACTGCGAGAAACCTATAATGAGCCCTGGAGGACAAGTTGGACGGATTTGACGGCTTCACGGACTTGGCGTTACAAAGCCCTGGTTTCCACGTGCACCTAACCCCACAATAAAGCCAAAAAAGCCGTGAAAAACGGCGTAAAGACCATGTTCCATTTTATTCTAGCAAGCGCCACTTAGAAGATTTCTATGGCCTTTGGAGGATCGGATGAGCCGTTGTGACGATTTGTAGTAAGTAGGGAGGGCATCGTGAGATTGAGTAGATGCTTTTGTACGAATTAAAGTTTTACGCGTCTCGATGTCTCGACGCGTAAACGGTATATCTAATGATTGGGACATCAAAGACAAGTAACAAGTTGAGATCAACATACAACAAAATACCAAAAGTTCAATGGGTCGACTAGTTGGGCTCGAGCTCAATAACTTCAAGTCGTATAGGGGCATTGTTAGGATTGGATTTGGCGACTCAAATTTCACCAGTATCATCGGTCCCAATGGATCTGGGAAATCCAATTTAATGGACGCGATATCGTTCGTGTTAGGCATTCGAAGTGGGTACTTGCGGTCACATATGCTCGCGGATCTTGTTTACAGAGGCGTTATTGAAGAAGAAGCTGACTCTACAACGGCAGAAGCTCCTGCTAAATCTACAGAAAGTGATGATAGGCCCACGACTGCTTACGTGAAAGCGTTGTACGCGATCGACGATGAAGGCGAGCAAATTGTTACACTCAAGCGCAGCATCTCCATCAATCAAGAAAGCGGCTATGAAATCGATGGTAAGACCGTGAGCTATAAAAAATATTCGCAATTTTTGGAAAATGAAAACATTCTCATCAAGGCTAGAAATTTCCTTGTCTTCCAAGGTGATGTTGAACAAGTTGCCGCACAAACGCCTCTGGAGCTCACCAAGCTTTTGGAACAGGTTTCTGGATCGCTTCTTTACAAAAAGGATTACGATTTATTGCGACAGGAATTGGAAAAAGCCAGTAGTGCGACCGCTGAGCTTAGACAATCAAGGAAAAGAGCCAAAGCGGGTCTGAACAGCTTCAAAATCGGTATCAACAAAGATGAGGAATATAAGAAATATTACGCAGAAAAAGAATCGCTTGAAATACAGTACGTCTTGTGGAAACTCTTCCATTTGGAGCAGAAAAAGTCTGCTTTAGCTCGAGATGCAGAGAAGTTGAGTTCTGAACTAGGTGATTTGAAAGGAAGGCTTGAGTTGGAGGAAAAACGGGCCCGAAAGGAGCAAGCGGCGTACGCTAAAGAAGAACTTGTCATCGCACGAGAAAATAACAAAATAGCCAACAAAAGGAAAGCGCTCGAAGATTTACAAAGGTCTCTGGCGCCTATCAGCAGTTCTAAAGAAGTTTGGTTGAAAAAGCTATCTTCCATGCAACTCAGAGCCGAGGCGCTACGGAAAGATGTAGAAAGGCAACAGACCTCGATCAAAAAAGTGGAGCGTCAATTAAAGGTTATAAAGCGTGCGGAACAAACTGCCATAGAAGAACTTCAACAATCAACCAAAAAGAATGATGTACCTGAGCTATCAGAGGAAGACAAAGAAAGCTATAATTCCTTAAAAGAGCAATATCTCAGCTCGGGAGGTTCTTCCGTCGAAAAGAAGCTTGCAATGATAACAAATGACAGAGAAGAACTGTTGGAGGGGATCCAGGCATATCGTAAGAGGATGGAAGATGCTCGGAGCAAAATAGAGGAAGAGTTAGGGGCACGCACAGAAAGTTTAGAAATCGAAGTGAAGATCAAAAAGGATGATCTCGACGATAAAAATAAGCATCTCTCCAAGAAACTGCGAGAATTTAAGTCTTTGCAATCAAAAACCGAGGCCGATCGCAACAAGGAGTACGAACTCAATTACAAACTCAAAGAAACGCTACTCAAGTTGGAAGATATCAGTGCGACTCAGCGAGAAAGTGCAAAAGAAAAAAAATTGAGAGAAAACGTATCCACTCTAAGGAGACTATTCCCCGGGGTAAAGGGACTCGTACACGATCTTTGCCAGCCTAAAAAATCGAAATATGCCCTTGCACTTTCTACAGTTTTGGGTAAAAATTTTGACGCTCTGGTCGTCGACAATTTCGCAATTGCTCAAGAATGCATTCAATATCTCAAAAAGCAAAGGTCCGGAGCCATTTCGTTCATTCCTCTTGATACTATCGAAACCGTTAAGGCTTCTCTGCCGTTTGTCGATATGGCCGGCTGCATTTTGACCATTGATGCTATTGATTACGATCCCTCGCTGGAGCGTGCCATGCAGTACGTGTGTTCTAACTCTATGATATGTGACACACTTGAAATCGCCAAGGCTCTGAAGTGGCAAAAGGGTGTCAATTCGAAGCTCGTAACGGTAGAAGGTGCCATTATTCACAAGGGAGGCCTCATGACAGGTGGAGCTTCCAAACAGCTAAGTAACAGGTGGGATAAGAAAGATTATCAGGATCTTCTCACTGGAAAGGATTCATTGTTACGAGACATCGATGATTTGTCAACGAGGAGGGCTGTCGCTGTGGAGCAAATGAGAGCCATCGAAAATGATATATCCTTCTTGAATGCCGATATCGCGGCTCTGAAGGCGACACTATCTCACTCGTCGCGGGCACTTAAAGAAGTCATGGTTGAAACTGAATACCAAAATGATCTCAAAGAGAAAGAATTCAAGCCCAAACTCATTCAATTTCAGGAAAAATTGGAACAGCTTGATCAGGACTATTCAGCACTTGAGAGAGATCGAGCACTTCTTCAAGTGTCGATCTTCTCCGAATTTTCTAATAGGATAGGCATCTCCATAGATGACTACGAAAAGCAATCGCGGGACGTACTTTGGAAACACTCTGATGAAGTACGACGCCTGCATCGGGAGATCGTTGTTATTGAGAATAAGCTGAGCTTCGAAACCGACAGATTTTCTGCTACGAAGGGTCGCCTCGAAACTACTGAACGCGATGTACAAGAGACCGAGATCAAAATTCAGGAATCTACCGAGGCTGAAAATGAAATAAGATCTCAAATTAAAAACCAAGAGGAGGAGATTTCGAAGGACGTCAAGGACGTAGAAAGTCTTCGAGCTCAGCTAGACGCTAACTCAGTGACTCTCAATGAGCAGAATGAGGTGATTGAAGAGCTCACGGACGATTTCCAAAGATGTGAAAGGAAAAAGGATGGTGTGGCAGAGGAAGTAGACGTGCTCAAGATGGAAAGGCTAAACATCTTGAAAAATTGTAAAATGCAAGGCACCAAAGTCCCTATTCGTGCATCCTCATTAGATGTTTTGCCGCTCGAGAATGTCGATAGATCTGCCATGGACATGGCAGATCAAATAGAGGTTGATTTCACTGAACTTTCGCACGAACGTAAACGGAAAAGCGATGAAGAGGAGGGTGAAGGGATACAAAAGTCGCTACAGGAATTATCCGATTTGCTTGCGGTTTTACAACCCAATGCGAAAGCCTCAGAGCGGTACGAGGATGCCTGCGGTAAATTTGACCAGCTTTGTAAAGAAGTTGAAAAAGCGGCATTGCACGAAAAAACGGCCAGAGATCGGTTTGCTGAGGTCAGAGATCAACGCAAAGAGGCCTTCGGAAAGACATTTGATCATGTCAATTCTCGCATCGACGACGTTTACCGAGAGCTCACCAAAGATTTGCATTCGACGTCTGCGTTGGCGGGCGGTAGTGCGTCGTTGACTGCAGAAGACGAAGAAGAACCTTACCTTGCTGGCATAAGGTACCATGCGACACCTCCCACTAAAAGATTCAAAGACATGGAATACTTGTCTGGTGGTGAAAAAACGATAGCGGCACTTGCACTACTTTTCGCCATAAATTCGTATCAACCAAGCCCATTTTTCGTCCTAGACGAAGTCGACGCAGCCCTGGACACGGCCAATATCGAAAGGATTGCCACCTACATCGAGAGGCACGCGAGTCCGGACTTGCAATTCATTGTCATTTCTTTGAAGAACACCATGTTTGAAAAATCCGAAGCTCTCGTAGGCGTCTTTAGACAGCGAGACTTAAACTCTTCAAGGGCCTTGACTTTGAATCTAGCAAACTACGAGTGACTCAAGACGCGAGAGTCACGAGGCAGCCTTGAAGCAGCGTCGAGACGAGCCACTTTGCTAACTATACTAAAGAACCCTGTTTGCTTCGTATTTTCGTCCAGGTTCGATACTCATTCTACTCATGACCGACCCAAATCGACCCAGATCATCTGACCTCTATATCATCTGATCAAGGGCGTCAACTTTTAAGGGCTGTATAAAATAAGGAATTCTCCTCATTAAAAGTCCTAATGGCTCTATATAAGCAATCTGAATAGTCCTGACTGTGCTCATCTTCAGTATCGAAAACGAATAAAACCTTCCTAATCTACTAAACAAAAGTCAGATTTTTTTGGCCCCAGAGCTCATAAAGTGGCAACGTTACAAGGATCTCATTGAAAAAAAATAGATTAATATTTAAGATGACGGATCGACTCGAAGCACCAGTGCCATTGCGGCAAAAGATAGCATCAAAATTGAGCATGCATGACATGAAGACGGCACGTTCAAGTTCTAGTTCCGATAATATGGTACCCAAGAAATTGAAAACCGCCACCGACATGCGATTACTGTCACCCAAACGTCCTAAATCGGCAGTGCCCTTTACAGGTTCAAAAAATGGTGATGGAAGTGGTTCCGAAGAAATAATGAAGCAAAGACTTCACTTTTATGATTTGGATTACGTCCAGGATTTTGAACAACATTCTAGGAATATTTATGATGTCAATTCCAAATGGTTCAGTCGTGACGTCAAACCGAAATTATCCATGGAAGCTTTACTACCCTACCAGACAGAAACCCACATTGAACAAGCAAGTTATTTGTGTCATATTTTGGTCAATTTGTACATTGCGATCCGATCGTTAGATATCCAAGGTTTGATTTCGATTTCGAGTAAAGATCTGGCAGAACTGGGTTCTGAGATTGATGAACTGGCTTTGAATACCGATATGTTCAGACTTGCTAACGAAAATGAGACGTCGTGGAACGATATCAACAACTACGACGAGGACGAGGACGATGAAGAGCAGGATGAGGACGATTATGAGTATGATGGCCCCAGTTTTGGTGCGACAGGTAAGATTACTGCGAAATCGGCTACAATTATTAACGTGAACCATTGGACCAACGAACTTCGGAATTGTTTACATTTCGATTTTCCTATTTCACTTAGGAAAAAACTTGCCGCGGTCTATTACAGTCTCGCATTGGTGCAGGGCCAACGTGTTTACCGTCAAATGCACGTCGATCTATTTGAGAGTTTGGTTACCATCAATGACGAAGATACTAATTTCGCAGAATTGCTCCTGGAAGCTGGGCTGGTGTTGGACCATGAACCCATGCAAAAGTTTTTAAGCGAGTTTCTGCCGTCCCCAGAAGCCGAATATAGCAGATTCGAAATTACGTGCAAACCAGATCATCAGCTGTTTCGACTTATGCTCAAATTAGCGCATTGTGCCAAACCCTTTTATCGTCGCGGTACGTTCATTTCCGCAGAAACTATGGACTATTACATTTCAAGCCTGGCGCCTTCAACAGCATTTTGCGTACTGCCTATCATGACTTCATTTGTTCCATACCAGTTTACTAGTGAAAGGAGCATTGCCGACTATTTCCCGTTTGTGTTTACGCTTTGGACTGCAGCACCACCTTCTGTCGGTTCGGATACGCATTTCTACGATTTTGTAGGATGCGTAGCCGAGGAGGCACACAGAAGCATGCTAAAGCATGGCAAACTCGAGTGTCGGGGCCAAAGTGTGCTTAAGGAATATGGACTTTTTACTGAAGCACAATTGGATTTTTTATTGAACAGAATTCAAAACCATTTAAGGAATGACTTCCAAATCGTGTCTTTCAGCAGAGCAGTGAGACCTTTAATTTACTCTCTATATCCATCCTCGGCCACTTCATTTTTCGAAAAGATTAAAAGCTTACTAAAATCTGTTGAAACCTTCGTACATCCTTCTAACAATGGGCCCTGGACCAAAATAATAGCCAAGTTCGTGCACGGCTTTATCAAACTATATCACGAAAGGGTTAAATTAGAGCAAAGAACTGCTAAAGCTCACGAAATACCAGTTCTCACGACTGAGAGCCATTCGTTATTACTGGACACTTTCATCGACGTCATATTCTTGGGCTCGCAGAACAAAAGCTCAGATATGACGAATTATTACATCTCCACTATCGGCTATCTGCTTGACCTCAAATCGTCTCACAAAGAGCTCATTTTCGACAAAGTATTGCTTGACCTCTATGACTGTTTAATGGACCGTTATGTCAATTCTTCCCACCGTTTGATATCTTCGTTGAAGCAATTGACGAAAGCCGTGAGGTACATGATAATGGAGCCGCTCTATCGAGTTCACGTGACGAATATCCTTCTTATGCTCACTTCCAAGATTGACATGAATGACTTGACTTTGACGAGCAATATTATGAACTGCATTGTAACGATTTTTTCATTTATTCCACTCGAAAGCTTCATTAAGGAGGACGAATACGTCAGTTTCGAGTCCCACACTCTTCCAGTGATCGAACAACATGCCTTGCATCTCAAACAAGGGCTCCACTCCGACACGTTTGAGTACAACGAGGCTACTCTGAATCAAGCGTTTAAGGCGTCAACGACGGTTTTCGAAAACATCACGAAGGTATACCTTGAAAAGCTTTTCCAACTCGTGGATACAGATTTGGAAGAGGGTCTTATCAGCAAGATCAAACAGACGACATTGATCATGATCGAGTCAATGTCTGACGAAATTCTCAAGTCGTTCGTTGAATCTCTTGATAGAATGTTTTGGGACAATGATGCTTTCAAGGACAAAGAGCCAAACTATGAACTTATCACGACACCACTTGGTGTTTGTGCGCGACGTGATCCAGCTTTTGGTAGAAAGCTGTTGACTGCATTGATAATGAACATAAGAGATCAGATCAATAGGGGTGCTGGTTCTATAAGAAGCTCGTCGGAAATACAACCAAGGGATGTCAAGCTTTTGACATTCTTGACCGCCCTAACCGATGTTTTGCGGCTCTCCAGCCTGCTGATTAAAGAATTCTCAACTGATGTTTCAGAACTGTTGACTTTTCTTTTCGATAAAATCACTAATCCCCCCCTTGACGTTCATACATCGTTAATCCTCCACAATGTTTTGTTATGTCTAACATCAACTGAAGTTATCGATTTCAGACTTTTCAAAGGCTCGCGTCTTGATGCTAGAGAGAAGTGGGGTGGCATGCAATTTAGCCCACTTCGCTTTGAAAAAGAGCACTTGGATTTTGAATGGCATATTCCAACAGCAGATGAGGTGTCGCTTGCTATTCAATTACTCGAGCAATTCACAAGTTATTGCATGGATAAGGTCGAAAATCTCATTGAACATCAACAGAATGACTCCCGCTTCAGCGATAAACTAAAGAAGTACATCCTGATCATAGCCCATGCCCTTTCTGGTTCCAGCTTATTATTCGATCCAGATTTTAGCATTCGTCAAAATCCCGATTCCTTAATGGGATACAGAGAGAAGCTCCTCCTTCTAAAAAAGATTAGAGACAAGCAGTGCGACGGTCAGGAGCTAAACATTGACATCGAGCAGATCAAATCGGAAAAGATTGATGGAGAGCTTCAAAGTAGTGATTACTCGGATTATTCTTCAGACGTCATGAATGAGATTAACGTCAATTTTGGAATCAGTGAGGAAAATGTCAATTACTCGCTGTACGATGACACGTCCGGAGCTCCTTCTGGGATAGCTACACCAGAACCTCAGCATTTTTCGGGAGAAAATCAAAGTTCTGCATTGAGTGGAAGCCTTGCTTTCAGAAATTTAGACATATTTTCGTGCAATTATTACTTCGCTGATGGCAAAGCCAAAGACGACCCTCTGTATCTCAAAGTGCATATGCTTAGGTCAAGATTGGGCAAGTTCTTCCACAGACTCTTCAAAATTTTTAGCATTCACCATGAAGACAATGTCGTTCTTTTCAAAATACTTCTACATGCAATTAAGGTTTGGTTTACAGACGTGGGTCAAGAGACCATATTTGGGGGTGATCCTGGTCCATTTCTTGATGTTGATTTCTTGGAAAATATTCAAAACATTGCACACATTGAAGAGCCTTATACCAGAACCTGCTTCGCCGTGAAAGCTCAAGTTCTACACGAAGCGCGACTGCTTTTGCGGTCCACAAACCGATCACCCTCTAGGCTCGAAAAGGTTCTGTTGAACGATGTTATCAAAATGTCAACATCTCTTTATCCAAATATTCACAAGCCTGCTCAGGCATGTATGGCTCAGGGCATGAAGCAATTAGTGGGATCTTTTGCCATGGTTATGAAGCAAACTTTGAAATTATTGAATGCTGCTCTAGATTCTGACAACGAGGAAAAGGTGAATGTCATTCTTGAAGTGCTGATGATCAAAAAAATCCAGAGAAAGCTTTTTTCAGATTATGAAAACATCGAAGACTTGACACGTCTCCTATTAAGAGCTTCGAAAATGAATAATCTTGATGTCTCTTTGAAGGCGGACAGTGTTTTAACCGAGATTTCCACTTCCTTGAAGATCCCTTCGAGTGTCTGCATCCTGGACCCCGAGCCAACGTCACAATTGAAGCCTCCTGATTCCTCGATAGAACAACAGGTTAGTGCCATTCAAAAAGTGAAATTTGGGAAGAGACAACATTATATTTCAATTTTGATCCAACTAGAGGATCAACTTCTGCTTGTGGCACGTGCTGAACATGAATTGAGATGGAAAAGCAGGCTGCTAGTGTTGAAAATGATTTTAAAGATTCAATCCAGCCTTGAAATCCCGCCTAATCGCCAAGTTTTAGTTCAGATCTTGGAAATGGCGGAGAATAAACATCCCGAAATTGTTCATCTTTCAATAAAGGCCATTTTGAGTGTTGGCAATAAGATGTTATCGCTCGGGGCCTACCACTATAATTTGAAAAATGCGTATGACCTCAATTTTCAGCGAGACGAACTCAAAACAATCAAGACTGACGTGAAAGGTTTCAATGATCACTTTAAGACTGAAATGAAAAACTTTGAAAATCCTTCATACTTCATTGATGCCAAAGCTTTTGTGGGATATCTTTCGTGGGGCAGAGAGATGGACGTTGTGAGTCAGACGGTTGCTCACTCTGGCTTACCTCTTTTTAACCTCAAATCAAACGACCTCAAGACCTTGAAGATATTTGGCGAGAAGCTCACTAAGAAATTTATTTTTGATACCATGGATATCTTGATTCAGGATAACGAGAGTCGTGGAATTTATAGCAGCGCGAACATCGAGTTTTTCGCTTTACTCACAGCTTTGATTTCAAATAACCTGACTGCTTTGCAATTTTCAGACCTTTTGGAAGCCTGCGAGAAATATTACGACAAAAGCGATAAGGCATCCATGATTATGTCAGTTGAGTTAATGGCAGGGCTTCTCATGGGGTCCAAGAACACCAAAGCGGCGGATCTGGCGCAAAGAGACGAATTTTTGGTAAAGTTTATCGATAGCTGCCTTGACTCGGAATTTAATCAGGATTCATCCGACATTTGGGCTGTATTTTGTTGGTGGTTACCAACAACAATTGACATCAGAAGGTGTAAAGTGCTTTTTAATAAGCTCACTGATGTCCAAAATTTGTTCAACAAGAATTCAGATGCATCTGCCGAACAGGCTTCAAAAATTTCTCTCCTTAAGAACATTTCGGCGAGTTTGGGTTTCCGAGCCCCCACATCCGAGGAAGTCTTGCCCTTTTTGACATTTGACCATCCTTATGATCAAGTGAGACAGGCGATTGCCAGGTTATTCGCTACACTTTTGCAAACCAGACTAAATCCTTCGTTTTCCAGCGTTCCAGAACTCCTAGAATATACGTCAAATGAATCTGGCCTGGGCAGACGTATAAGGTTTGTACCAGAAGTCTTCCATCAGAAAATTCAATGGCTATTTGATGACATCGAGAAAAACCGCAATGAAGTCGAAGGACTGTCGCCCCAAGAGATTATACGCACGAAGTATTACTTTCAAGCTTGCACTGCGTTAAATTGGCTGATATCATTCATGCAGAGTCAAACAAGCGGCATACTGATTAGCTACTTGAAAGATCATATTGCGCCTTTCCTGATGAATTTGGCGCAGATGCGGGAATTGTGTTCTTTGGCGAAATTGGATCCAGGTTCATGCTACATTTCGATGTCTGTGTGGCCGTTAAATGCGGAAGAAGTCGACACCGTTATGGCTTTGTTTGGTAGTATGAGCCTAAAAACGTCCAACGAAATCCGGTTGCATCTCACGTTTCTCGAAAACTTTTACTCGAGGAATATGTTGATGCTTTCAGCCTCCCAAAAGCAGTTGCTTCTCGACTACGTCGTACATTACATCTACGACGAACAGCATGTCGAAGTACGACTACGTGCTGCGAATGTACTATCCGGAATTGTGCACAATCTGCGGGAGAAAGAAATTTTGGAAGAACTCATTACTAAGTTTGAAAGTGGCCTAGGAAAATTCTCTCTCATTGAAAAGAGAACATTATCAAAGTCCAGTTCCGAGGTTCATGGGTCTGTCATTGGATTAGGTGCCGTTATCTCTGCTTTCCCATATGTCTTCCCGCTACCTCAATGGATTCCACGTCAATTGAGTTTCCTGGCATCGTGGGCTCGAACCAGTGGCGTAGCAGGAGCAGCCGCGAAAGAGATTATCAGCGGCTTTAAGAAAGTACGCGCAGACACTTGGCACGTGGATCGTGCCGTTTTCACTAGCGACGAATTAGAAGATCTCGAGGGAGTCACTTGGCGAAGTTACTATGCGTGAGGTCCTGATCAGAAGCGTACTGAAGAGTACAATTTACTAAAGATGAACAAATTCTTAAGGTTTCCGCTCGTTTTCGTTGCGGGTTTTCTCTGCTTTGATGATGACAATGCATTAACAGTTTTCTGCGCTTTTAATGCTCATGATCTTTAGTGTATAGACTACCAAGCCGATTGTTTTTTTAGCACCAAGTAGTGTCACTTTACCTGGTTTACTGCTGGCTTTTATAGTCTGGCTCTTATAACTATATCGCCTTTCCGGGTCTATGAGCCTGGTAGTGTGAAATTTTTTTCTTTTTCTCAAGTATCGTAGAATTCGAAATTTGATGTAAAGATCACCAACCATAAGAACCACCCCCCAAAAAGAGTTGAGGCTAAATAAGCGACAAAGAACTTGTTTTAAGATTCTAAAGCCATTGAAATCGAAAAGAAAGGGTCTGATTTTGCTAAATAATGTCAGGATTGAGAACGGTATCGTCTTCGTCTGCGAACGGTAAGAATTACGATTCGATTATGAAGATTCTTTTGGTTGGTGATTCTGGGGTTGGTAAATCGTGCCTTTTAGTTAGATTTGTTGAAGACAAGTTCAGCCCATCCTTCATTACGACAATTGGGATCGATTTCAAGATCAAAACCGTTGATATTAATGGTAAGAAGGTCAAATTGCAATTGTGGGACACAGCGGGTCAAGAAAGATTTCGGACGATTACAACGGCTTACTACAGAGGTGCAATGGGCATCATTCTCGTTTACGACGTAACTGATGAACGTACTTTTGCTAATATCAAACAATGGTTTAGCACGGTCAACCAACATGCGAACGACGAAGCGCAATTGCTTTTGGTCGGTAACAAGAGCGATATGGATACACGGGCAGTCACTACGGAACAAGGTGAAACACTGGCCAAAGAACTTGGTATCCCTTTTGTCGAGGCAAGCGCCAAAGACGACACTAACGTCAACGACATCTTTTTCCAACTTGCGAAGTTGATTCAAGAGAAAATCGAAAGTGAAAAGATTGTCGGAGGTCAGGGCAAAGACGGCAGTATTAACATCAATGGCGGTGGGAACGGGACGAAATCCAACTGTTGTTAAGCTGCTAGTAGTTCACGCATTTATCTTTGATTTCTCGTGCGTCATTCCGTCACTTTATCCTATGTGTGTAAAAATGGGTAGGCCCTGGTGGCCTATTTATCAAATTATGAAATCCTGAATTTTGCAAAGCGTACGGCTTGGATCTCGGCTTTATACACGCGAAGACGTGTTGAAGAAGCGGGGGTTCTGGACAGCGGTTTACGTGAGCTCTTTCATAAATGTGTATTAAAGAATTTGTCCGAAATAGAATTTATAAGGGCGTCTTGGAGGGAAAAGAAGGGATACTGGACCGAGAAGATATGGCTGCTCTTTAGACGCTTTTGCTAAAATGCGGGAATAAGAATAGGCCATCATCATGCGAGTAAGGTCAAAAAAATACTGGCGAAATCCAGGAAAGGCGTCAGAAAGCTCACGAATTTCCAAAACTTGGTATGCGCGATTCTTACCCACGGAACATCGTCGATCTGAAATAAGCTAACTTGCTCCAAGAGTGCAAAGCCACTTGGTCATGAGTTCACCCATAATTTTTCAAGGATTTTTTTGTTGTTGCCAATTGTCTTAAAGAATGTCAGAGACGGCGCTTGCAGCGAGCCCTAGCTTTGAATGATCTACAAAACTACATTTCATTGAGGTTAAGCGGCGTTTTTGGTATTGCATAGCCTTCAGTTTGGTCATTTAGTTCTCAGCTCTTTTACTTGTGAAATGAACTAAGTGTCGAAGGCTTCTGTTTCCATGGGTATGTCAATATGATGCCTCGAAAACTTGTCACTCCGTGTCCATAAATTTCTTGTAGATGGATTTTTTTATCGCCTGTTAATCCAGCGCGATAAATCCTGAGAATTCTCACCCCAAGCCATCAATTCTTCTTGCGATGATGTGATGACTTCATAGCTCCCCCCCACTTCAATACCAAGCTTTCGGGTGTGTAATTCTGTCATTACTATCACGTGGTCTAAGATCTGAATGTTTCAATTCAACCATATAATCTGTCAGACTCAGTTTCCAGCACTTTATCAATTGATGATTTCAGACTCCACCGATTTTACAGTCCTATCACGTAATCAGAGTCGAGTATCGATAAGAACTCATTTTTTCTAGTCGCTACATCCAAGATCATCGAGCAAAGGGTGCCTCAACATACTAAAAAATTTCAGAAAATTCTTAAAACCAACTTTAAATTCGCAGAACAATGAAAAATGTATACCATTTCTCTATATATTCACAGCCCTTTGGCTAGTAAACCAAATTGAATAAATCTCAATTTTTAAAGTTTTAAATTCGCCGAGGTGTTAAAAAATTGGCACTCAAGCAAACCATTCCGACACTTTAAAATTTTATCCCAATCTAACGTACCCACCGCTAACTTCTTCGGAATGACCATGACGATGGCTTTGTCCGGGTTTAATGCATACTTGACTTGATTGGCATTTCATACCGGTTAGTTGAGAAGTGAGTTATCGCCATGTACGAATGGATGGCTCAGTGAATGGCTTCTATGCCGAGCCTGCAACAAATCACTTGTAAAAATGGTATCAAACTTAATCAAATGTTTACAACTCGGTCATGAATATTGTTATGTTAGAGGGGATCGAATAATGGACAGTAGGGAGAGAGTAACGTTTTCTTATAAAATTATTACACATCTCAATAACTTTTGACAAAACTGTCATCGAGGTCGCGTGCTCCACGTGGGTTGTATTAGGCCAAGTATCATTAAGGTCGATGAAAAAAAAGGTCAGGATCCGGTTTAAATAGGAACTTGAATCTGTTTGAATAGCACCATTTGAACTGTCGCTTGCGTTGTTGAGAACTAGATACCGGTTCCAGCTGAAAGGAATCGAAGTCTTTTGAGCCAAAATGCTTTTTGGTGTTAAACTGGCCAATGAAATTCACCCTCCTTGGAAGGATTCTTATATCGATTATGAAAGGCTTAAGAAGCTGTTGAAGGAGTCGGTCATCGACAACAGAAATTTGAGCAAGAAAAGCTCGAAAGCGAAAGACTATGGTTGGTCTGAGACCGATGAGTCTGAATTCGTATCGGTTTTGGACTCGGAGCTGGAAAAAGTATATGGTTTTCAGAGTCGTAAGTACCATGCTATCATGCAAAAACTGGAACATTTGGAGGCCAAGGCAGACGATGAAGAAGCGTTCAAGAAATTGGACGTTAGCGCGTTCCAGCGCGTTCTGGAAGACGCTTTGAGCGAGGCTCAAGAATTAGACAATTTTTCGCGTGTCAATTTTACTGGGTTCATCAAAATCGTTAAGAAACATGACAAGTTGCACCCCAAATACCCTTCGGTCAAGTCCTTGTTGCAAGTGCGTCTGAAGGAGCTTCCGTTTCATTCAGAAGAGTACTCGCCGTTGTTGTACAAGATTTCGTTTCTGTACAACATTTTGAGAAACAACTTTTCGACGGTGTCAACATCGTTGGCCACTTCATCACGTCTGTCTAGTGTTGCGAATGCTGAAGACACTTCGGTACAGAGTTACACTTTCTGGATCCACCCTGATAACTTGATGGAAGTTAAAACAAGAATTTTGAGACATTTACCGGTTCTTGTCTATGCTTCCGCTCCAACGGAGAACGATGATTTGATCGACAGACTTGAGTCCTCCTATCTCAACTCAAACATTTCCATGCAATCGCCATCCAGTCAAAGTAGTACCTCTGAGGGGGAAATTATCGGGAAACAAGTTTATGACCCTCTAATCAGAACCATTTACTTCGATAACGAATCGTTCGAACTTTACAATGATAGGCTCATGAAATCCAATGCTTCACCCACGTTGCGTATAAGATGGACTGGCAAACTGGCCGACAAGCCAGATATTTTCCTAGAGAAAAGGATGTTTGTTGAGGACACCAAAACGGGCCTCACCGATTTTGAAGAAACTAGAATGACGCTTAAGCCAAAATTCATCAACAGTTTCATTTTCAACGGCGATGATGATTACAAGGAAAAAACTCTTAAGAAACTCAAGGACCGTGGTACTGTGGATACCGAGATCGACAAAGTTTCCAATGATTTTGACAACATCAAACAATTTGTATTGGAAAATGAATTGCAGCCAATGCTGAGGGCCATGTACACCAGAACTGCCTTCCAAATCCCTGGAGATGACCGCGTCAGAATATCTATTGATTCCGATCTTATGTACATAAGAGAAGATGCGCTCGACAAAGAGCGTCCAATCAGAGACCCTAAAAACTGGCACAGAAATGATATTGACTCCAACATCGGATCTCCGCTCAAATTTGTGAGACAAGGCGAATCCTCGAAGTTCCCTTACTCGGTGATGGATATCAGAATTAGAAACAAGGCCCCAGAGCCCTCTGCAGTACAAAAAGGAATGTCTGTAAAGTCCAATTTACCACAGAAATTGAAATGGATTGAAGACCTCACGAATTCTCATTTAGTCAAGGAAGTCCCCAAATTTTCGAAATACACGCAGGGTGTGGCAGCTCTCTTTGGAGAAGACGAAAATCTAGAGATGCTACCTTTTTGGCTACCTGACCTCGACTCTGACATTAAGAAAGACCCTGAAGTGGCTTATGAAGAGGAGAAAAAGAAGTTGCAACGTCAAAAAGCTGAGGAAGCTAGAATGGCCAGGCTTAGAAGAAGATCAGAAATCTTAACAGCCGAATCTTCTGGCAGTGTTTCCGCTACGCCTGAACAACCTCCTGCTAAAGGTCAAGCCCTATCGAAAATTAACGAGAGAGAAGCTGACTTGGACGACCAGGAGTCCTCCGACGAAGAATCGGTTGCAGCCAGATCCAATAAGTCCAAGCGCAAGCGCAAAGCGAAACATACCATTTTCCAGGTGCTAGCTGGCAGGCAACCTAAACTCTCTGGTTTCGACTCAGAAGAGGAGGAAGTAGAACTTCCACAGGGCGTTAGGAAACCAACTTCCTACTTGAAAAATGCTGGGCCTATCAAAGTCGAGGCCAAAGTGTGGCTGGCCAACGAACGTACTTTCAACAAATGGCTTTCTTTGACGTTTTTGATCAGTGTTCTAACTTTCTCGATTTACAATTCTGTCCAAAAGGCAGAGTTCCCGCAACTTGCGACTTTCTTGGCATACGTCTATTTCGGCATAACCATCTTCGCGGGTATCTGGTCTTATCGTACCTATTTGGCGAGACTCAACGTCATTAGAGAAAGAAGTGGTAAACATCTCGACGCTCCCGTGGGTCCTCTTCTGATCGCCGCTGTTCTCGTTTTCACCATGATTGTTAATTTTGTCGTCGCGTTCAGAGAGGCCTCAAACAAAAAGAATCAAATTTCAATTACTCAAGCTCAAACAAATTTCAACGACTTGAGTCCAAAATTACAAACCATTCAAGACTTCCTTTTCTCCTTGGTTGGCGGAAAAGATAATTAATTTCTTATCATCACAAACAAGATCTAGGACAAATGATGACAAGGTTACGATTGTTTAGAAGAAATCGACATAATAAATATCGGTATATTCAAGTACTTATTCTCGCAACGAGCTCCCGGTGAACCACCTATTTTACTCTTCGTTAAGTTGTAAAGTCTACTAGTACTGGGGTCGAAGTTGGCGAATCTGATGGACCACTTCAGTCCCTGAATAGGAACCATATTCCGAGTCACTTTCGTAAAGCACTAGTAAATTTGAGCACAATCACGATATAAATACTACAGGTTTAGTATGAGAACAACTACACCTTCAGACAAGCCAATTACTGCTCAATTGAATTAAGTTTAGACAATAAATTATAAAATGGTTTAGAGAGCTAAGTGATAAATTTACAATTCGTAAAAACTAGCAGATCATCTGAAATGGTGTGGTGCACACAGTGCTGTTTCGATCGGTATTGTAAATCATTTCATACTAAGGGCCTTCAAGGCGTATCTTGATTGATTAGGTTCCTGAATTCAAGGTGAAGAGTAAGCTCTTTAAAGACCGGTATACCGTGAGCAACAGAGCAAAGCATATGAACAACGCTGATTGGACATTTGTTTCCAAGAGCAAAAGTAGTAGCGACTACTTGTCACCCTCGTTTTCAGAGGTCTCGACATTCACGTTTTCTCAGCGACCAACGGTGTTCAATCCTAGACGAACCACATCCAGAAGGACAGTGTCATCCCCTGGTATAGTCTCAGTCATCGACGGCATGGGTCAATTTGGGTTACCAAAAGCTGATGAGAATAAGGACTCTGGACTGCTGAGTGAAATTAAAGGTGTACTTTCGAAAGTGGGTAAAACTGTGATCGATTATGTGGGGAAAGAGAATAGCATTGAAGAACAGGGGGATTCAGATATGCCATCGGAAAAGAGATTTTGGGATGAAGGAGTTAAATCGAGTTCATTAGGGGCTCATAAAACTAGTTCGGCTGCCAAACATGTCCGAGAGCAGGATTCTTCGCACGATCATGCTCATGGCCATCTTACTCCCAAGAAACAATCAACCACAGACAAATTTGACCGTCTTCACGAAAAACTGAACGAATCGATAACCCCGGAGCGCAGTGCTTCTTTCGTCTTCAAGTCATCGAAAGATCCTTTCCGCTGGGGCTCAGCAAAACCAACCGTCAAGGATACGAGAAAGGGCGGATACGCTCCTTACGGAAGCACTTTTTATAAGAGAAAGGCTCGAAGGCTTAATTGCCGTCGTTTGGCGGGCGATTCCATCACTATCAATGAATCATCGGACGATATTGCGCATCTTCGAATGTTATACAACGGGGAGTATCAAGTACCGAAGATGATAGAAGCTGAAAAAAAAAAGCAGTTGCTGCTAATGGAAAGCGAAAGAGCTGGAGCTGGTTTCGACTCGAGCACAAAGAGTAATGTTACATCTTTGACAGAAAGAATAAACGCCCTACTATTAAAAAATAGAAACACAGCCGAAGACGATGATTTGATCATAGTGCGAGAGCACAAAATCGAACCACCACCACGAAAATTATTTTCCATAAACCGTCAATTGAAATTCGACACTTCACTTTTATCTTTCCAAGAAGAATTTGAAAGCTACAAGAAGTTGCTAGAAGATCGCGACAGGCTAAGACATGAAATTCGCATAAAAAGAGAAACCAAAGATCTCGTACCGAAGCTGGCCTCACAAAGCATTGATTCAGTTAACCGGATTTTGAAAAGAAGTGATAACGGTGTTCTTTACAACAAGAATAATATCGAGCTTAAAGTGCACGATTTCAAAACTTTAGCTCCTAGAAGGTGGCTAAATGATACAATCATAGAATTCTTTATGAAATATATCGAGCTCCAAATTCCTACCACTGCTGCTTTCAATTCGTATTTCTACACTACCCTCTCAGATCGAGGATACCAAGGTGTGAGGAGATGGATGAAGAAGAAAAAGAAATCTATAACATCTCTCAAAATGATTTTCGCCCCAATAAACCTCAATCAATCTCATTGGGCTCTAGGGGTTATAAACATAGAAGCCAAAAAAATCTTCTACCTGGACTCTCTGTCTAATGGACCTTCCGGCCTGAGTTTTTCCATTCTGAAAGATTTACAGAACTACATCATTGAGGAAAGTGGTGGCGCTTTGGGCTCAGATTTTGGTCTAGAATACCTAGAATGTCCGCAGCAACCTAATGGATTCGACTGCGGAATTTACGTTTGCATGAACACCTTGTATTTAAGCCGCAGTGTTCTACCAACTTTCGATGAAAAGGTTGCCGCTAGAATGCGATATTACATCGGGCACTTGATTATCAACGACGGGAAGTGACCGAACATGATGAAACAGATCATTGGAAGCGGTTTTGTTAACGACAAAATATTTTATTTGTTAATGTCAAGCCTATTAATACTTACCTGCATAAAAATCGATAATATAATTACACCACGTACACATCAGAAACCCCTCCTAGTGTCGTCCGCTTTTTCTTTGACTCATAAATTGGAATTGAAAGGAATAATTTTAGCTATGAGCAAGCCAGCTTGCTCATAGTAAATGAGTACTCTCCTGATAACTCACTTTTCACTCAATTCCAGCTCGGCCACTTTATCCATGACGTCTTCAACAATTTCCTCAGAGTATTTGGCATGTACCTCTTTCCCTTCCTTCTTTACTTCTTGCTCCAGTAGAGTTTCAAAAGCATCTTCCCATCCCAACTCTTGAACTATGACTTCGGCTGCCTCCTCGGCTTCTCCTTTGAAGATCATGTCAGACTTTCTGGGATTGCTCTTGAAATCTCCCGCAACCTGGAGGTTCAGTAATGCTCTCGGAGTAGCTTTTGGAACTTCTGTCGGTAGCGCAGCAAAAGGGTACACCGACAAGGAAGTACCGGCTACGATGACGATATGATCCTTAGAAAGTAATTCCAGATCCCCATCCCAAGTGTCGAAGAACACAGAGGGCAAATTTTCGCCGAAAAAAACGATCTTGGGCTTGATAAGGCCCTTACAGCTTTCGCATTTGGCAAAGTCGTCCGGTTTTTCAGCCAAAATTTTGGTTTTGAATTTGTCCATCGAATATTGCTTGTCACACTTTATACAGTGATTGGCGTGAAACGAACCATGAGCCTCGATTATAAACTCATCGCGAAGACCTGCAGCTCTTTCCAACGTATCGATGTTCTGCGTATAAACCCTTCGAAGTCTGCCCTTGTCCTGAAACAGTCGCATTAAATAGTGCAACTTCGACGGCTGGAAATTACCGGGATAAAGCTCTTTGGCTAGCGCATAGAAGGGCTGTGGATTCTTCTCAAAATATTCAATATCAAACACAGCCTCGGCAAATGGTAAATTTAACTTTTCCAAATTATCGTAAAGCCCAGTGCCAGGAGTTCTGAAATCTGGAATCCCACATGCTGTTGAGACTCCTGCTCCAACAAGAAACACTACTTTGCATTTTGGATTCTTGTTCAAAATAGCACCAATCTGTTTCAGTGCCGAGTAATCTGGACCGGCCATGGCAAGTATGTTAAGTACACCAGAATTGCTTAAACTTGAAGATCTACAAGATTTTCCAATCTTGTTCTCCATTATAAAGAAATTGTAATCAATGATTCTTAAATCTTAGAAACTTTGAAAAAAAATTTCGACCTCGGTGAGGATTGAACTCACGATCTTGCGATTAACAGTCGCACGCCTTAACCAGCTTGGCCACGAAGTCATGTTTTGAAATTTGTACAAAAAAGATATGACTTTATTTCGTATGTCATAAGTTGCCTTGCAGATTGACTCATTTCATATAAATGGTATGTCCAGTATCATATATTTCAATCCTCGATCGCGGGACCGGGCTTTTAGATGAAGTGTGACGGGATCTTGGGGTTATTTTGGTGGAAATACCTTGCTTTAATTGCCAATTTTCATTTGGATCGCGATGTATAAGAGTTTTCAAGCAAAGATCAAGAAACTTGAACTTAAAGAACACCAGGTTAACAACGAAAAAAGGTACATGAAACAAAGAGTCAGTGCATTAGATCTAGAGATTTTGGCAAGAGAATTGAAGCATGATCTCGAGGGATTACGACTTTCGAACATTTATAGCATTTCAGACTCAAATCGTCAATTTTTGTTGAAATTTAATAAGCCCGATTGCAAGCGTACAGTTGTCGTTGATTGTGGTTTACGTGTTCACTTGACTGAGTATGATTGGCCCATTCCACCTTCACCCTCTGGGTTCATTATTAAATTGCGGAAACATTTGAAATCGAAAAGATTGACAACCGTGAAGAAAGTTGATAACGATAGAATCCTGGTTCTCAGCTTCAGTGATGGTATGTTTTATTTGGTTCTAGAGTTCTTTAGCGCTGGCAATGTCATTTTGCTGGACTCTACCAGAAAAATCGTGGCTATCCAGAGAATTGTGCATGAGCACGAGAATAAAGTTGGTCAGATGTATGAGATGTTTGATGATTCTTTCCTAGCGGACGTCTCCATAGCGAAACCCAAGAATGGGCAATTCTCCGAATGGGAGATTTCCGAGTGGATTAAAGCCGAGGCTGACAATACTGCTTTGAGAGAGAAACAAGCTTCAACGCAACCAACAAAGAAAAGGGCACAAGTTCTCTCTGTCAACAAACTTCTCTACATACACGCGCCTCGCATTTCTTCGGACTTGATTTCGAAGAATCTGAAAAAACTAGGCGTGAACCCGTCTGAGTCGTGCTTGGAGTTTCAATCTAGAACTAAAATGCTTTCAGATATGCTGAACTCAAGTGAGGAAGAGGTACAAGACCTTTTGGACTTCAAGTCCCAGAAGGGTTTCATCGTCACTAAAAGGAACTTAAACTATGATTCTCAACGTGACTCTCCCGAAACAGAGTTTGTCATGGAGCAATTCCATCCATTTGAACCACTAGCGGAAGAAAATGAAAACCGGGAGTCCCGACTAATCCTAGTCGAGGGAAACTATAATAAAACTGTTGACACCTTTTTCTCTACCATTGAATCGTCTAAGCATGCTTTAAGGCTTCAAAATCAAAAGCAACAGGCTGAAAATCGTTTGCACAGTGCTAGGAGAGATAACTATGCTAGAGTTCAAGCATTGATAAATGCACAGGAAGTTAACGATATGAAGGGACATTTGATTATTGCCAATTCCAATTTAGTAGAAGAGGCACAAGCGGCGGTAAAGAGTCTTGTAGATCAACAAATGGACTGGCAAACCATAGAAAAACTAATTGCAAGCGAGCAAGCCAGAAAAAACAAAGTCGCCCTACTAATAGTTTTGCCTCTCAATTTGAAGGAGAATAAAATCTCACTACGACTACCAACTTTTGACGGCGCAAATGAGGAGTCGAGTGATGATGAAAGCTCCTCTGATTCTGAGGATGACGATGCGGTGGGAAATTTTTCCAAAATTGGTCAAAAATTAAATGGTTCTACGATTGTTGTAGAAGTCGAACTGGGTCTTTCACCCTATGCTAATGCATCCAATTATTTCAGCGCCAAGAAACAGAACTTAGAGAAGCAGAAGAAAGTCGAGCAAAATGCCGCGAGAGCTTTCAAAAATATTGAGCAGAAAGTTTCAAAGGATTTAAGCAAAAAGCTCAAGGAGTCTCAAGACTCCTTGAGAAAGCAACGCAATCCATATTTTTTTGAAAAATACCACTGGTTTATATCCAGTGAGAGATTTTTGGTTTTGATGGGAAGAAGCCCTATGGAAGCCGATCAAATATACAGCAAATACATCGAAGACGATGATATTCATATTACGAACAGTTTGGGTACTCATGTTTGGATAAAAAACCCTGAAAAAACGGAAGTTCCGCCCAATACGCTAATGCAAGCGGGAATAATGTGCATGTCTTCGTCAGAAGCATGGTCCAAAAAATTTCAGTCTTCAGCTTACTGGACCTTCGCCAGGAACTTATCGAAGTTTGACGGTGGTGAACTTCTGCCATCAGGTTTGTTTAGGGTCAAAGACGAGAAAAAGAAGAATGCTCTCCCCCCATCTCAGCTGGTGTTAGGGTTTGCCTTCATGTGGAAAACAAAGAAGCAGGGCGACGAAGAATCAGAGATCGAAGATGAAATTGAAGCAGAAGTAGATGAAACCGACGACGAGATTTCTGAGCAGAACAAAGGAGCCAATGAAGTGGAAGAGAAGATTGAGGAAAGTTCTGTTGAAGATGAACCCACCCCGGAAAACGAGTCTTTGAAAAACGGCTCAGCCCAATTGCGAAAAGAGGAAAGCTCTGATTCAGAGCTTGAAGAAAAGCCAAATGAAGAATTTGCTGATGAAAAATCTTCTTCGCCTGCTCGATCGGCATCACTGACCGTTGAAGGTAAAGCCGTGCGCGGTAAGAAAGGTAAGCTCAAGAAAATGCAAAAGAAGTATTCTGATCAGGATGCAGAAGAACGCAGAAACCGGTTGGAGGTTCTAGGGACGCTAAAGGGTATTGAAAGACAAAAACAAAAGGAAGAGGAAGAAGCTCAAAGAAAAGAGGCGCTAATGGCCCGAAAGGCTTGGCGTGAGCATCAGAGAAAAGTGCAATCTCAAAAATTAATGAAAAACGAGAAAGTGCGCGTGAATTACGCCAAAATTTTGGAAGAGCTTGTACCAGCTGTGCCTGTTGGTGATGAGATTTTGGATATTGTGCCAGTGTTAGCACCATGGCCTGCTCTGGGCAAATACAAATACAAGATCAAAATCCAAGCTGGTAACGCTAAGAAAACGAAGACTGCCAACGAGATTTTAAACTACTTTGCGGGCAGAAAGGTCGATGAGTCAGGAACAGACAAAGACCTTGATTGGTCACGCGAGCATGAATTGATCAAGTCGATAAGGGATCTTGACCTGGTACCTTGTTTCTACGTGGACAAAATGAAAACGTCCATTGTGAGTCAAAACTCTGGGAGAAACACAGCCAAATCAGCAAGTGCAAAGAAGGGTAAGAAGGGCAAGAAATAAGGACCCGGTCGCCAATGCGCAGCTGTTCATTATATATGGGTTAGAGATAAAATACTAAACCAAGAAGCATTACGGCGTGCAATATAGTAATTACAGGCCCTGCTGCAACCTTTCGGCCAGTTTACTTTTCGCAAACCCCCATGCGCTAAGTAATCCCTTCTCGCTCAATTCAATATTTATTTGGGCTTCTTTCGAAGGCGGTTTGGTAACTCTTGAGGCAATTGTGGCTGGATCAGTTTCTAAGATCACACCATCGTCAATAGTCTCATCAATGGCCAACGCAACCATGTCAAAATGTTCAAGAATGTTTTTCTTGTCGATACCGGTTGCCAAAATCAATTCTAATGAATCCTTGATAGCGGAAAATGCTTGCTGTAGTACCAATTCATTCTCTTCTAATGGACCCACAAGATACACGGACATATCAACGTATTCTTTGTACAACACTAACCTTTCTTCAAATATTAGAATCTCGAAGTTTTGTTTCTGGGTCTTTTTGAAAAGTCTCGTTTCGTATTCCAATTCTTGATTAAGAGATCCAGCTAATGTCCCTGTTGCACCTGCGCTTCCCTGTTCTTGGTGAGGCGCACTATAATATTTCGAATAAATCCGTTTACCGGCATTATCAAGCAACAATACTGCATCCACACAGTACAATGACAACTGAGACATTTGGAAGCAACCTTAGGCCGGTTTAAGAAGGTAAAGGTTTCTTGCGGATGGTAGCCTTGATGGTGATATTGAGATTCTCTAAACAACTTTTGACGGAACCTTAATGAACTTCAATGTCAGGGTAACATATGGAAATTGAAAAAAAGACCTGGACATGATGAACTGATGAATTGATGAACTGATAAGCTGCTGAGTTTAATGTGGAAGAAGAATCAAAGTTCAATCGAAGTTCAGCTCAAATTTGAGGGAAAATGACGACTTCTAAAGAGGCATTTTATTTTGATTTATTGCGAGTTTCCATGATCCAACTTCTGAGATCGCAGGGGTTCGATAAAGCCCGAAATTCCACAGTGGACATTTTTACAGATTTCTATGTGAGATACTTGGAATTGATGGTTCGGGAGATACTTAAACTGTCACATTTACGTCGAAGCGAAGAGGGTTGTGTTGAATTGCAAGACATTTCATTGGCTTTACAGAACATAGGGTTTTTAAAACCTGTTGATGTATTGGACGTTTATGACGAAAACCCGGATCTAGTGAGTGACGTCGCAATGCAAAAATTCAAGAGCTGGTGTTCTAGTGCTGGGAACCGGAATGCCGAGATCGTGGCGACACCAACACCGGACTTGTTACGTCCGAAGGAGAAAAATGCAAAACCATTATCAGTGATACCGGAATACATCAACCAGGCCAATTCAAATTCAGGCTCTGTCAAGAAAACTGCAGACCATGAGTCTGCCGGAGACGATATCTTAGATCAAATGATCAACGGTGGGGATATGAGCGATTGGATAAGGTTCATCTTAAGGCGACGCCAAATTAACATGGTAGAAAGAGTTTCGGGGAAAGAATACAAAGATCTGCGTAGTCTTCCTCCCTTACCGGGTTTCAAATACTCTGTTCTCGCTCAGGAAGCAGCAGTCCCGACCGCAGAACTTGAACCTGCTACTGATGGTAAACTTGAAGACTCACAGCTGCGAGAAAAGGAAAAGTATCTTCTTTCGAAACTTCCCATCAACAAAACTAATACGAGACTCGAAAACATTACACTGTCATTTGACGAAGTCTCCCATGAGGAGATCACAGACCAAAAAGTTCAAGAAGTCTTACAAGAAAATGAAGAGTTTCTAGAAGAGCATTATCACAATGAAATACAAGAGTTTGGACAGCTTGACTTAGACGTGAATATGGCTCTTGATGCTAATCAACAGCCTGAGTTTATGGGAGAACAAGATTTCGACGCCATGTATAACGCCAAAAATGGTATGGAGGCCACCAATGTGACCTCAGGTAGCCGAAATTTCGATTTTGGCGACTTTTAGCATTCCGAACAAAGGTATACCATTCCCGTGTAAGCATCAATAAGTAGAAGTTATTTCTTAACATAAAATTCTTTTGCATTAAACCCCTTGACATCTTTTCAGTAAAGATAATGAAACTAAAATTTTCTTTTCGCTTTAAACTTAGAACCTTTCTTAGCCGCATTCCGATTTTTTCTATCCACTCTCCCCGCAACCTTGGCTTCGGTCTCACCGTCACTGATATCATCATCGGCCACCTTCTTACCTTTTTTGAATTTCAACTTATTCTTCTGTCCTCTGACAGGGCCATGTTTCACAGCCTCAAGGTAGGCATTAATTCCGCTGGTAACAGACGACAGGGTATCGTCCTGTGCTTTGGCACCAGACTCCTCCTTCAAAACAAGCTTTCCTTCAGCGTCAAACTTGAATATCTCATTCTCCTTATTTTTAGAGAGATTCTTGATAAACTTTTTAGGTCTCGTTGAAGAAATGTGAGCCAAAGTTTGAGAATCCAGCAAATCCAATGGATTGTTCTTCGACTCAACAATGTAACTCTTAGATTGTTTATGATCCTCCTCTCCATCTGACTCCTCGGAGTCTGACGAATGGTAAATAGCATCGTCCAAGGCCGACATGAATTTGGGTTCGTGACTTTTTCTATTACCGAGAGCATCGGCACCATCGTTGTCGATTCCCTTCTTCTTGCTTCTGTTCCTGGTCTTCCTGATATTTGCCAGTAACTTGAGGTCTTCCTCTGGGAAATTTGCCTCAATATAATCGTAGCCAAATTTTCTGATCAGACGCTCTATTATATGTTTAACCTTTGCCTTAAAGTGACCGGTATGCTCGTGTGACCATCTGAGAAGTTTTGGAATCAATGACGGTATCTTAGGACGCATCAGTTCAACGGAGAGACCCAAGCAACAAACTTTCACGAAACCGATCGCACTTTTTACAATTTCTCTAGAGTTCGACGTGAGATAAAGCTCAATTGTGTCGTATATGTCGAGCAATATAGCACTGTCCAATCTGTCGCGAAACTCAAATACTAAGCAGGCATAGGCTGTCACTGTCGCACTTACCATATGCTGAGATTCACCAATAAGTCCTGCAGAAATGATTTTGAAGAACTCGTCTAAACTAGCCCGTTGATCTGGCGTTTCAGCTTCATAACCCGAAATCTTGGAAAGCTTAATCATGCCGCCAGGTGCTGACATTTTTTTTGCCATTTTGGTTAGTATCGCAAAGGCTCCTTCACGAGATTTTTCGTTGACGTCTTTGCAGGCCAAAATAACCTCTGAAACGATGCGAACAATGAAGTCTAAATGATCTTGTGGGAGCAGGTCAACGAATGAAAGAATGGCGTTAAGGCGAGCAGCTTTTGAGGATGTTTGGACGAATGGTTGACTTTCAACAATAATTGTTTCAATGTTACCGACATATTGGGCCACCGAGCCAGCCGCCTTCTCGTTTTCAGACAGTTTCGATAAAATTCTGTAAGCTCTTTTTTGTAAAAGCCCGTCAGAGGAATTTACGGTAGTGTTAAAAATCGAGAGAAGAGCGTTATAAGACTCAGGGGGGACGTAGGCTGCCATTAAAACAACAAGGTCCAGTAAAGTAGCGCTCATGCTCACCTGGCCACTGGTTCTGCTCGTGTTGTTTAATGCTTCTTGCTCCAGAGCGTTTTTCAGCAACGCACATGTATTATCAAAAGTCTTGACCAAGTCTTCGACCGGCGCAATCGCTAAAACCACGTCTATGGTGTCAGCGACGTAGCCTCTGGCGTTTGCGGTGGTTTGGGAGTAAACATTGAAAAGCACCGCTAACAGATTGTACGCTTTTGCTGAAAGGAATTCCAAATTCGATTCGCGTTCACTTTCAGTAAGCCGTTGAGCCAGCATAGGGTCGGACTCAGGGTTAAAGTTCCTGTTGGAGTCTATCAGGTTCTTGAAAGCTCGGCAAATCGTAGGCCGAAGATCGACCCTCGAATAGAGCAGGGATGACAGTTCTGCGGCAAACTCATCCGAAAATGCCGTCTTGAGATCTGAGGGCAGTTCACAAAAGCTGGGAAGTGTCGACCAGATTTGATCAATGAGGGTCTCAAAGACCTTTTTCTGTAGCGAATCCTCGCCCAACTTAGACACCACGGATTCGAAATGCTGTGCCAAAGGTAGCAACTCTCTTACAAATACTCTGAGCTCACTGTTGCGAGTATTGTCTCTGATAAGGGGAATGAGCCAAGCTCTACCTGGGTTCCCGGCTGAAGATATTAGCAAATTTAATGGCAAACACCCGAGAACTGCGTCTGGTCCCACGGCGGTTATAGCTGCTGCAATAACAGCCTCAATGTCAACGCGTAAGTCAGAAAATCTACTCTCGTCACTCCTCCATTCTCCAATGATTTCTAAAGGTTGCAAGAAATCAGGATTACTTCTCATTTTGAATTTTGTGAAGGCCATAGCCAAAACTCCGAGAACCTCTTTGGCGCAATGGATGAACCTAATAGATAAAAGGTCAACGAACGTTTCAGCAAGCGAGCCTATAAACTCCTCTGTGGCTTCAAAAACTTCTGGTGTATTGGCAGGTGGGTATAACAGCAATTCGTCCTTGATACCCTCAGAGAGAATTGCAACCATACTTTGAGAAGCACTTGTGTAAATCTGAGCGTTTTCACTTTCCAAGTAAACTTTCAAAGTGTTGAAAACTTGGGGGAGTTTTTGTAAACAATTCTGAGGCTGGCAGGCGGCAAATGTCGAAATTCCCCTCGATACCACAGCTATCCAAGCTCCTGCCAAATGGGAATCTTTGTTGGAAGGTCTAGAAGCGAAAATCATATCCAAAGCGGCAATAAACTTAGAATCAGCAAGGCCTTGAGATGCAGCGTTTGCAAGCGAGCCAAATAGAGACTCGAAGACTGAAAACGCGCTGGAGACGAGATATTGATCGGATGTCTTGAGCGCCTCGAGTAAAAGGTCACATAATTTATCAACTTTTGAGAACGGCCATTGGTTAGTGGTCAGCACACTGCTAGCGAGTTTGAGGATATGAATTAACTTTGCATGTTCCTTCGATGAGTCATCGCGGGTATTCTTATTCGTAGCTACCGACTCTAAAGATGAACCCAGGGCGTCAATAACAAATTGCGCTACCATACCGGCGGCCATATGCTCTGCCGAAGGAGAAGCAGGAGGATTTGCCAGAACACGGCACACGGCTTCCTGGGCTCTCTTACGAATCTTGGGGCGGTGATCGAGTGAAAGTTCTAAAAGACCTCCCAAACCTCTGGTAGGTGCTATATTCATGTTTTGAGTATTATTCCACGCCTGCGCGTCTTGTGCCACCAAAAGACTTTCCAAACATCCAATGGCAGACCTAATTAGAGGTGCTTGTGCATTATCGTCTGTGATGCAAGGTGCAATTTTGGTCAAAAGTTCTGCAAACTTGGATTTCAAAAGACCCTTTGGGGCGTATTTGTAGATCATATCCAGCAAATATACCGACGACGTAGCGAGTTGTTGGTCCACAATGCCTCCTCCACCCCTAGAATCAACACTTTGGTCCAAAAGGGACATGAAAGAAACCAAATAAGCAACAACGTTTTTACTGGTGGATTGTTGTTCATCGATATTCTCTTCAACCGCACTTAATATGATTGCCACATGTTTGTGATTGTTCAACTTAGAATTAATTCTGGATCGTACTTCAGACAACTTGTCCTCGAGCTCCAGAAAATGCGCTACCTGATCTGAATCCATGGTGAGCTCAGAAAACAGTATAGCTTAAACCTCTCTGTCGTCTCTATTAATCCTCGATGAGATGAGATGAGATGAGATGAGATGAGATGAGGCTTCTTGATCATTAAAATTTTTCAAAGTTCTCTCATTTTTCACGTAGTCCGTATATGGGTATTGTCAAATAGTGAAAAATTGGATGACGTTCTAAACTGAACGATCGTAGTACTCAAGAGATACTCAAGTGATACTAAACTAGGGTGTTTTTATAACAGAATATAATGACCAAGGGCCTCGTAAGAATACGGTTAGCGAGATTCGGGCGCACAAACTCTCCCAAGTACAATATAGTGGTTGCAAATGCGCATAAGGCTAGAGATACCAAACCTATAGAAGTATTGGGAACGTACAATCCAATTCCAAGACTTCTGACGAAAAGCGAAAGGAAGAAAAATGTGGTTCCTCACAAAGATATAGAACTGGATTTTTCAAGAGCCAAATACTGGATTGGTGTAGGAGCACAACCCAGTGAAACTGTGACCAAGTTAATGAAAAAATGTGGGATTTTGGGACTCGAATGGGGGAAAACTTTTGCGAGCAGAAGAGAAGCTGTTCAGCCTCAGAAAGAGGCACTAGAGTAAACCATTGGGGTTCTTTTTGGTATCAAAATTATATATCCCGTTTTACCGTGTATATAGACTGTGTCCTCGTAGTGGAACAATAAATGTAAACTTTGGAATGCAACGAGGTCAAGTGTCTCTTCGTGCGATTAATCAGTGTTCATGGAGTTCGAATTGTAACTTTTGGTTCGAAGAAGATCTCTTCTTCTTTTCATAGTCTCACTGCTGATCATGTCATCCAGCGTGGTAGATGTACAGCTTCTCTGCCTGGAAAGGGTAGGTAGGAGCACGTCTGGCGCATGTGAGTTCATGGGCGTCAACATGAAAAAACCCGTGCTACCAGATCGTGACCTTCCTACGTTGTGTTCCAATATAGGGTTCTGTTGTACTCCCTGGCCCACGTTTTGTTGCGGCATGGAAAACATAAGATTTGACCCGCTTCTACTTCTACCAGCAGCGCTAATAAAACTGTCTGTTCGAGCTCGAGGTACCGTCTTTGATATGACAGGACGATGCTCAAAAGGAGACTGGAGCGGCTGTTGAGGTCCCAGGCTTGCCGTGAGCGGGAACGAATGCTGAGAAGAGAAATCTGTATTGATGTTGAAATAATCGCTTGGGGCTAATGGCATTCCGTCTGCGCCGTTAAATTGCGGCACAGGCGGCAGTGATACGATGGAGCTGTTCCGCGACAGATATTCATCCTTGCGTATTTCTTGCAATAACCGCTGCCGTACCGCAGTCACAAGCCACGCGTTTTTTTCTCTGCCTATTTCGATTTCCTTCATGTCTGCTCTCTCCACGGCCACTTTAGCGGTCCTATTCAAAATGCCAGATGGCGGGTTAAGAGCGTCGAACGGGGTTACCGTGGGGTCCGAACAGACGTCCTGGTATGCGTCCATGAGAAGCGCTACGAAGTGGTTTGTAAAAGGTGCGCCATTCAGCTGCGACCGAGGAGCCGTTGCGGGCAAATGGGAAACGTCCGATACGGAACTCGCCAAAGATGCGACGCTGTCCTGTCTTCTGTTGTTCATGTAGACGTACGGGTTTATAGGTTGCATGGTCGGCGTCATAACCGGGGTATGCTGACCGAACGCTGACATTTGCGCTAGCTGCGTGTTGATATTTAAATCCCTCCGACTGGACGCCGCGTCGTGATCGATCTCACGCCCGCTTGTCCCTTCAATAGCTCCACTGTCCACCATCATTTCGTCCGCGTCGCTCATGTCCTCCTCTGCCATTTGTTCTGCCGTCTCGGCCAGCAATGACAAGCGCCTCTTCTCGTTTTCGTTTTCCTGGGCTGCATTCTTGGCACTGCGTGATTTTACCCCGTGGAGCCTGTTGTGAATTCTTTCCAGTAACATGCTATCTCAATTCTTTAAAGATAATTGTGCCGTCCTGTGTCCCACTTAATAGCTCGTTAGCAAGGCTAATGTTCAGTTCCTGAACTAAATCTTGGTCCACGCGTCTTTTTTTGGTCAATTAAACCAATTTCGCAATTCTTTACCACCACTCCACCCCTAACTACGTACACGAACCGTCCTCATCTTATATTACGGAAAGGAGGCCATTCACGCGTTTGAACAACGTCCTCGTTGCTCACCATGCAAAGAAGCCGTTGTCATGCCGGTTGGCTGTTAATAAAGCCAGCCACGAAATTTGGAGGCTTCCATCGCTTGCGCGAGATTTTCTAGAGATCGAAAATCCATAGGCACAAAGGAACGTCAAATTGTGACTGTATGTGCCTGTAATGCGCGTTAATTTCCTGTAAGAGTTGTCAGCAATAATTAAATTTCCTTTTAGGTACCCAGCTTTCCCAAAGAGGAAGTCTGGAAAATGCGCATCGGCGCGCGTCGGTGCGCGTCAGTCATGTGACCCGGAGTTGTAGCACTCGACACCGGGAGAGCTATAAGCGCAAAAGAGGTTGGGGCAGATGCGCCCGGGAGTCAATCTCGTTGCCATGGACATGAGGCACTGTCATATGTCGACTACTTCTGGGCAATGGAAACAACACATTTATGGTTAAAGCTTTCAAACAACAACGAGTGGCAGCGGCGTCCGGATGCAGAAACATCCAGAGAACGTAACGCCGAATGTCGTGAGCCCATCGTACACTTAGAAAACGTATCTCATATTGAACGCAATCTCCATTGAACCCCGTCGTACTTCTTCGTGGAAGAGCAGCACGTGTCCCACGACAATCAAATCCAACACAGCACAGGTTTCAGGTCTTCTTTAAACCACAGTAGCGAAAACCATGGGAACGGGTGGTGCCATCCTTACATGTGTGAAAAGCTGTTGTCGAATCTTAAAGCATCAGAAGGGTCATCGGGGAAAATTGTATCTAAGCGTGATGTACTGTGCCCTGTAGTGGGAATCCCTGTCATGGTGATACCTTTTTCAGTTTCACTCACTTGCTAAAGCCCCAGGTTGTAGCCGCTCACGAAAATCGGTTTCATCGGTGGATGGGTGCTTGAGAGAAAAAAAAGTTAATTTGAAACAATGAGCGAACGATGGGAATTTAAACTTGAAAGACCAATATCAATGGATGAGGTGCCTTTTCAGTGGTTGTGGCATCTGTCAACGAATTTCTCGCAGTTGAAAGTTCTAGGGCGCGAAGAGTGGTTTGAAAATGGTGGAGGAACGAAGCTTTAATCATCCTTATAAGCCATATGAGATCCAGAAGGATCTCATGGAACGGATATACGCTCTGCTCGAAGGAGGCAAAAAAGTGGGTATTTTTGAAAGCCCTACGGGTACCGGGAAGACTTTGTCGCTTATATGTCCTAGCGTGACGTGGCTCCGCGAGAACAAAGCTAGAATTTTGAAAAGTTCGAGCAACAGTTCGCGCGAGACACAAGTGAGCGGAGATGACGACGACGACAGTGACGACAGTGACGAGCCTGAATGGGTGAGACAAGCGTACGAGAAAAGCGTGAGCGGACGTGAATTGCACGCACTGGAAGAATACGAGAGATACTTAAGTAGCCGGAAAATCACGTACCCCACAAGAAATGAAGATTTGAGGGTCTCGCAAGGCCCACTATCCCACAAGAAAAGAAAGGTGAAGCGCGTAGAAGTGAATTTTGAGGACGCCGATTTCTTACCTGAGGAGCAAAGCGACAACGCAATCACGCATCCTACCACAGGTGCTGTGGATACGGCGCGCGAGAAGCTGGGAGACGAGGTCAAAGCTCTGTTGAGCAAACTAGACGGACACGAAAATGCAGCCGAAAGTTTCAATTTGACCTCCCCTATCAAAATCTTCTTCACGTCTCGAACCCATTCCCAGTTGAGCCAGTTCGCAGCGCAACTGCGACTGCCACATTTCCCACCTTCAATTAGCACCTTGGAAACTGAGAGAATCAAATTTTTGGCGCTGGGATCGAGAAAACAGCTCTGCATTAATCCCAAGGTCTCTAAATCGCGAGATCAAAGTATCAACGATTGCTGTCTGGATGCAATCAAAAACCAGAATTGCGAGTTTTACACCAAAGCCCGAGATTCTCACTACGTTGAGGAGTTTCGAGATGCGGCTTTTAGTCAAGTCAGCGATATCGAAGAGCTAGCCACTATTGGCGAAAGTATGGGTGTATGTCCGTACTACGCGTCGCGCGAAGTGGTAAATCAGGGGGTCGAAATCGTTACACTTCCGTACCAACACCTTCTAGTAGAAGAAACGCGGCAGGCACTCGGCATAGATCTCAAAGACTCCATTGTGATCCTGGACGAGGCTCATAATGTGATAGACACTATCAACTCGGTCAATTCGAGCGAGGTATCTCGAGCCGATCTCATGTGTTGCAAAAATGGTCTTCAGGTATACACGAACAAGTTTCGATCTCGACTCGGAGCCAAGAGTCGGGTTAATTTAATGAAACTCATGAAGCTAATCGATGTGCTGATCACCTTTCTTCATACTCACTACAAAAATGGCTCCCGTTTTGCCTCAAGCGACATTTTTGATGGAACCAATGCAGACATGTTGAACATCCATCAATTAAATACCTACATGAAGACGTCAAAAATAGCCTACAAAATCGACAATTACACTCAAAGTCTTCAAGAACTGAATAGGGAAAGCGCCAAGGTACAAGGGCAACCTACTCTTTTCAAAGTTGCAAAATTTTTGACGGCCCTGGCGAATCCTTCCCTTGAAGGAGAACTCTTCTTTGAAAAGGATCATGTAATGAAGTACATGCTCCTCGAGCCAGGTAGCGCGTTTAAGAGTGTAGTGGAAGAGGCGAAGTGTGTGTTGTTTGCCGGTGGCACGTTACAGCCAGTTTCCAGAATCTTCAGAGAGCTTTTACCATCTGTTCCGAGCCAGGAAATAGAGACATTTTCCTGCAATCACGTCATCCCACCCCAGAACTTGTCAACCTATATCGTCAAGGAAAGCTTTGACTTCACCTTTGACAAACGTGAAAGCGCAACGCTACTCCGTGAGCTGGCGTCTTTTTTCAAAAGCCTTGCACTCCGTGTCCCGGATGGAATCGTGGCGTTTTTTCCAAGCTACGCTTACCTCTCGAAAGTGGTAGATTTTTGGAAAAAGCAAATGTTAGTGACTGAAAGAATTGAAGGTAAACGGATATTTTTCGAAACTTCTGATAGTAGTCAAGTTTTAAATGAATACATCAGCGAAGTCGAGACCTCTGGTAAGGGCGCCATCCTCTTTGCGGTGGTTGGCGGCAGGCTTTCTGAAGGCATAAATTTCAAGGATGCGCTCGCGAGAGCGGTCGTGATGGTGGGGTTACCTTTTCCGAATCTTTTCAGTGGTGAATTGATCATCAAGCGGAAACATTTGGAGAAAAAAATAATGGATAATGGTGGTACACGTAACGACGCACTAGCAGCTACGCGCGAAATGTATGAAGATATTTGTATGACTGCTGTGAATCAAAGCGTCGGCCGTGCCATCAGACACATCGGCGACTATGCCACAATTTATCTCTTAGATAAAAGGTACGACTCCTCGCGTATTCTCGACAAATTGTCCAGATGGGTCAGATCCCGTCTGAGCCCCAATATGAACATCAATGCTGTGCTGGAGGACACGGAGAAGTTTTTTAGCAACAAAATTTTGTGAATGATTTTTCCCACCTATTATGTTGTTTCGTATTCTATCAAACCTCTAGGAGTTTAACTCCACTGTATATACTACACTCATCGAAAACTTCTAATATTGTCCTTGTGAGCCATCCGAAGTCGTTCAAGCTGTCTCGATTCAGGTCAATCATTCTCTTTTGACTAACAGAACATACCTTAACTTGCGTTGTCATGAGTGGCAAGAAAGTAGCGGAACAGCGCCTCCACTTATGACCCTCCTGGGACGTGATATGATCATGATCGAGCTGGTTCTTAAAATCGAACGTTTCAGCTATAAATCGAGACTTAACTTCCACTGTATCGCACTCAATGTCTAGTTTTTCAGATAAGAAATTCGCAAGGGATATGACGCAAGCCTTGTCGAGAGGATTCGTGATCTCGTCTTTATGATGTACTGCGTATTGGAAAATCGCCTCTTTGAACAGATTACTTGTCTTGTCATCTTGCAAGTAATTTCTGAACCTTTCTGCATTCATCGACTCTCGCTCATTCAACTCTTTCAAAAACTCAACAAACGGTTTGTTAACGTCTGGTAGATTTGATTTTTTATCCACTTCGAGGTTTGTGGGAAGTTTCTCACCATGTATGTGATAGTTCTGATACCAAGCCAATCCGGTGGTGAATTTGGATATTGTCCAATCTTCATACAAAGATATGAACGCGATTCTGTATTGATTCTCCGACACTATCCGGTATCGTATTGAGACATTTTCCATTGTGTAGAGAAGAGCTAGGCAAGCTTCATCGGCCGATAATGCAAGTCCATATATGCAAACAGTTGTCTCATATTTGTTGAATTCATTAAAGACATCGTTCCACTTCTGGAATTTGGCTTCGATATGAGGTGACAGAATGGTATCCGCTTGTAAAGTCTTGTCATCTAACGAAAAGACAAAACTTGTTTTGTTTGACAGTAAAATGGCACAATTTCTCCTCCTCAACGGTATTATTTGGAACATCTCATTAGATTTTAGCGAGATGGACTCTGGAGTTAGTGTCTTTAAGTCAATCGCTAGCAAACAGCCAGAGCATGTTGCTAAAAGGGTATCATTTATGATATCAACGTCGTTTACCTCAAATTTTGACGAATCTTTGGTTGCCCTCACGCTCGAGTCCTTCACCACATATATAGAATTGTCATCCAAAACACATAGAAGATATTCACCCACCCACTTCAATTTGATCACCCAAGCAGTTTTGTTTGAATTAAGGTTAATAATGATTTCTGCTTCGCGTATCTCGCTACGACCCTTTGAAATATTGAAAATGACTACTTGACCTGTTTCATTTCCTGCCGCCAAGAATTGACCATCAGGGCTCCAAGCCATCGAATGGTACGTCCGCAATTCAATACCCACTTTCGATTGATCAAGTTCAGAGATAAAAACATGGTCTTTGAAAATGCACACACTACCATTGTTTGTGAGAACCGCCAAAAGATCACGTAAAGGCGATGGCACACATTTCTTGACATATGAATCAGGTTGTGAGTTTAGAATGAAATTCTGGTGTGGCATCTCATATCTCAATTTGTTACGTAAATCGAGTACAACTTCTTCGATGTGAAACAGTTGTTTACTATGTCTCTCGATAACCTTATGATAGACTGGCCTGCACACAGTGACTTGCGGCAAAGTAGTCAAATACAAGCTTCCGTCATGGCTCCAACTCAAATTGTCCGACCAACTTTGAAGCTCCTTTCTATTGACTATCAAGTCTTTCAGTAGTTTCATTACTTGTTGTCACATAAATATATATATATTAATATTGATGATTTTGTAATATCAATTTTCATTTTCTACTTCAATCATCACCCCTTACCATAGCAAAAAGGTAAGACAAATGAAATGAAATGGAATATAGTTGGCTATTTGGGTATTCTGCTATGTGTCGTTCATTGTTTTGGGCCATTCAGACAAGCTTCTTGTAGTCTTTACGGGAACTGTGGACGGAAATCGATCTTTGGGAGTGAGTTACCTTGCCCCGCCGCATCAGACAACAAGAATGAACCAATATCTGAAGATAGCAGGAAATTGCTTGTTCAACTTTGTGGTGATGAATGGAAAGATATAAAGGAACTTTGTTGTACAGATGCTCAAATATCGGATCTGCGTACGTATCTTCGAAAAGCAGAAAATATTATAGCGTCGTGTCCTGCTTGTGATAAAAACTTTAAAAGTCTATTTTGCCATTTTACGTGTTCACCGCAACAAAGCGAATTTGTTAATGTTACCGAAACAGATACTTCTCTTGATGGAAGGGAAGTCGTGTCAGAGCTTTCCTTTTTCGTTAGCAATGAATGGTCGCAAACGTTTTACAATTCCTGTAAAGATGTCAAGTTTGCTGCGACAAACGGATACGCAATGGATCTAATTGGAGGCGGTGCGAAAAACGATCGGCAGTTTCTCAAGTTCTTAGGTGATAAAAAACCCTTACTGGGTGGATCGCCATTCCAAATCAATTTTAATTATAGCCATAATTCCTCGTCATCAGTTCTCAATACTCCCGTCTATGGATGCGCAGATAATTGTTATCGGTGTGCTTGTGCCGATTGTCCTGGGTCTTGCCCGGAGCTTAAACCTATTGGAAAAGACCATTGCCAAATTTTAGGAATACCTTGCTTTTCCGCGGCTGTGCTATCAGCTTATTTTGCCCTCTTCTTTTTTATAGTGGGTTGGCATATTGACATTATCAGAAAGAAAAAACAGCCGATTTTACTGGAAAGCGATCTCGATATTGAAGATACCAGCACGGATCAGCTCTTCCAGGACATATCAATTGAACAGTACTATTTTACGCAAAGGTTGCAATTCGGCATAGCGGGTCTGTGTCGCCATTGCTTGGAATATTCTAAAACCGTCATTTTCACTAGTGTACTCATTGTCGTGCTACTTTCCATTGCAGGTGTCGTTTTTGGAGAGCTAGAAAGAGACCCTATCAATTTGTGGGTAAGCAAGAATTCGAAATCATATAAGGAGAAAGCCTACTTCGATGATAAATTCGGACCATTTTATCGTGTAGAGCAGATATTTGTCGTTAACGAAACTGGTCCTGTTTTGAGCTATGACACTCTTAAGTGGTGGTTTGATTTGGAGAAAAACATTACCACGGACCTAAAATCACAAGGTGAGATTTCCTACAATGATTTATGTTTTCGGCCTACAGAGGATTCGAGTTGTGTCATCGAATCTCTAACGCAATATTTCGCCGGTGATCTACCATCTGAGAGCGATTGGAGGCAGCAATTGCAAGGATGTACTTCGTCTCCTGTCAATTGCCTTCCTCCTTTTCAACAGCCCCTAAAGCCAAACCTCCTTTTCAGTTCTGATGCCGTTTTCGATTCGCACTCTTTTGTCACCACGTTACTGCTAGACAACCATACTTCTTCCTCAACTGAATGGGAGCGCCAACTCGAAGCCTTCCTTCTGAATGTTGATGTTCCAACGGGGCTGAGAATCAGTTTCAGTACTGAGATGTCTTTGGAAAAAGAGCTCAATAAAAATAACGACGTCTCAATTGTGTGTTTGTCATATTTTATGATGTTTCTTTATGCGTCATGGGCCTTGCGAAATAACGCGGGTAAGAGTCGCTTCATCTTAGGCGCAGCAGGAATTATTGTCGTGCTTGGATCAGTTGCTGCGTCAGCTGGTATTTTGAGCCTCTTAGGCTTAAAATCAACCCTCATTATCGCAGAAGTTATTCCCTTTCTAATTTTGGCCATTGGTATTGACAACATTTATCTGATTACGCATGAGTATGATAGAATATCGAAGAAAAGTGATGACATGTCATTGGACGAGAAAATCTTGGAGGCCGTTATAACTGTGTGTCCCTCGATCATCATGGCTTTGTTGTGCCAATTGAGTTGCTTTGTGGTCTCATCTCTGGTTCCTATGCCAGCAGTGCGGAACTTTGCCATATATTCAGCAGTTTCAGTCGTTGTCAATGTCGTATTGCAGCTATTGGTCTACACCGCTGTGTTGAAAGTTTATGAACAAAATTCCCGTCAGAAATTTGTGCTGAGTGAAGACGTCAGTAGTAAATCCCGAAAGCTGCTCGATTTTTATCACCAACTGGTTAGGCGAAAAAGAAGGATAATGGCCATTTTCGTGACCTGGACACTATTATCACTACCAATCCTACCATTTGTGAGCGTGGGCCTGGATCAAAAACTCGCTATTCCCGAAACCTCCTACTTGATAGATTACTTTAATGATGTCTATGAATATTTGAATGTGGGCCCGCCTGTTTACTTCGTCATGAAAGGTTTAGACTACAGTAAGAGAGGCGATCAAAAGAAAATCTGTGGGAAGTTTACAGCATGTGACAGTTTCTCGTTTGCCAACGTCCTTGAACAGGAGCGCAGTCGATCAACTGTGACAGAACCGATCACTAACTGGCTTGATGATTTTTTCATGTTCTTAAACCCACAACTTGATAATTGCTGTCGCTTGAAGAAAGCCAATGACGATGTGTGTCCCCCATCTTTTCCGCCCAGAAGATGCCGTACGTGCTATGATGAAGGGGAGTGGAATTACGATATGACTGGTTTCCCGGAGGGTGATAATTTCACCAAGTTTTTCGACATATGGATTGATTCCCCCAGTGATCCCTGTCCACTAGGAGGTAAAGCCCCGTATTCCAAGGCGATTGCAAGAAATGGCAGCTTTATCGATGCCTCTACTTTCAGGAGTGCGCATGAGCCACTCAGGTCACAAACTGCATTTATCAGAGCGTTCAAAGACTCCGAAAGAATAATCAAGTCATTCAAAAACCTTGATGTCTTTGCCTACTCTCCGTTTTATATCTTCTTTGCCCAATACGCGTCCCTTGTGCCATTGGCAATCAAGCTATTGATCCTGTCTACCGTTGCGATTTTCGCTTTCAGCTGGCTTATATTAGGAGTCTTAAAGACTGCGCTGCTCCTTACCATTTCTGTCTTGATGATCCTGGTAGACATAGGGGGGTTATTCGTTTTCGCCGGAATTTCTTTCAATGCGGTCACCTTGGTTAATTTAATAATCTGTGCTGGCCTTGCGGTTGAATTTTGCGTTCACATGGCACGGGCCTTCACCTTTATTCCGCCAACTATTAAAAATGACAAGGGTTCTAGAATGAATCATGCGATTGAAACTGCAGGTGGCTCTATTCTTACCGGCGTGACCCTCACAAAACTCATTGGTGTAGGCGTCTTAGCTTTTACTCAATCCAAAATCTTTCAGGTCTTTTATTTTCGGCTCTGGCTTATGCTGATTATAGTTTCTTGTCTGCACGCGCTTCTATTTCTTCCCATCATTTTGTCCTTATACGGTGGGGAGAGTTTTGTTTGCAACGAGTTCGACACTGAAACATAATCCCAGATGAGATTGCACTCTATCATTGGACGATCGTCTCTGTTATAACCCATGGGCATGCAATGGGTGTTTTTGAATTTTCCGAAAGACTGGACACCGGCTCTTGCTGTCATTCATTCATATCTATTCTAATTAAAAGTTCTTTTAACGTTTAAGTTTAATGACTACTGAGAGCGCTCCTCGTTTTATCTGCAATGCAGGAAAATTGAGAGCATGGAGGAACGATGTGCTTACGCTTGAGCTGCATTCGACCGTAACTCATATGTATTCGCTCGTGAACTTCTCCTAATATCATCCAATTCAAATTCTTGTTTGTCATTGCTAGTCCAATAGACATCGTGGAACGCTGCCGAATCAATCATCATCCTATTTCTTCTCAATCATCCAGGGAAGCTCATGCTTAGTCAAGGAAGTCGCATTTAGGAAGACAATGTCTCATAGATACATTAAAACCGCTATGGTACCCTAAGAGCTGTAGAAAGAAGCCTTTCCACATCGCTTGTGCACAATTAAGTATAAGGAAGTGAAATAGCAGGCTTAACAAATTGAAATACTATATGAACGGCGCTCATGAGGCGGACGCGTTCAAAGTTCTCAAGTAATTTTCGCTCCACGGCATGCCAAGTTCATATTCCTATGCTTTGCAATCTCCACGCCATCAATCTCGTAAAGTAGTTCGGCAACTCGTAAATGGGGCACACATTGCCAAATTGGCAAGTTGTTCTATGGAATCTTGGGGACTTGAATGCTTGGACAAACTTAGAATACTGGCGAGATAGTGCTCTTATTATAACGAAAAAACCATGCAATATTGAAACCATTTTCTCCTAGCCAATTCATATCAGTTCAGAGCACTAAGCTTTGAAAAGGAGCTTAATTTTCCAACTCGACCTTCAGCGTGCATTGTTCGCTTCATAATTGATATTTTTCCGATAGAATGCCTCATACTTTGAAACAGCTGCTGGACTCTCTCGGATGTGTGGGTAAAGCTTCCGCTCTGTAATGAAGCCGTCATAAGAAGTCAGAGTCCGAGGCTTGGTGGTAAGTCTAAGCACCTGCTGCAATCTTGTACATCCAAAAATGTTGTGTATAATTTTTAAAAATCCAGGGGCGTTCAAGCAGCAACTCATTCAAGCAGCAACTCCTTATTTTAAGAGCTTTTCTTGATCGTTTTCATAAAAGTTTTCGTTGCTGTAGCTCACCTTTCATCCCCAGCGGCTCTGCATGAAAGGGAAAATGAGTGCAAACATTCAACTGAAATTCTCTACATCGCAGCTACTAGCAAGCGTTTTTAGGAGAAGTCACGGTTCTCGCTTCTTAAATAGATGGAAGGATTGAATATGCAAACTGTGATTTGAAAACATGCGTAGGCCCCTAAAGGATTCTCTCAAAACACGATTCTGATGGGTTTGATTGTAGCGTTTTTTTAGTTGAGTTTAAGTGAAGACACACTGCTCTTGACATGGTGATTTTTGGTTCAATGGCAAAACGAGTAGCATGACCACGTTGTGAAATGCCCTGCACAATACAGTAAGCAGGGAGATGCTCGTGAAGAAGCACCAGTGTTTCGATAATTTCAAGATCTTCTTAGAGACTCTTTTCGAAACCGCTTGTCATAGTAGATTCTTGAAATTGCGAATTAAATGCAGGACCAACTTTTTAACAATCCAGCCATAATTCGCTTTTTAACTTTTTCAATTTCATGATTCGGAATTAATTACTGACTTTGTGAAAACAGTGGTGCCAGAGCAAAGACAACAGCTCAAGCTTCCTTAATCACTTCGGTTTTCGAAAAGTACACACAACAAAGCTAAAATTGAGTCAATTAATTACGTAAATCAGCAGCGACTTATAAGGCTGAAACAATCTCAGTCAGGCTGGGCTCATCGAAAATTTACTTGGAAAATGCTTTGTTCAAAAACACCACACCTCGAATTAGCTACTCGTGAAAAGTGTTCTGTCTCAATCAAAGTGAACTTCGACTTGAAAAATGTGAGGATGGTATTTACAAGAAATGAAGAAGCGTCGCCATAGCTCGTGAAGAGTTCAATCAAGCACAACTTCATGTACGCAGAGGTTGGATGAAATTGGTTCAGTCACTAGGGTCAGCCATAGCTAAAAGCGGTGTTAGCAGCTCAATTTGTAATAGTGGAAGCGACGTCGCACAGGCGTTTCGTTTTAAATGCAAACCAAAGGTCGCAACCCAGGTGATCGCAAGCAAAGTGAGGAGGAATAATGATAAAATCAAATTTCTTGAAGAAAACAGACAACTCGTTGGTAAGGGTTCTATGTTTGAGCGTCGTACTGTTCAAGATTATTTAGCCCCACTCAATGAACATCGTTTGACAAGGCATCGCATTGAAAATAGATATGATGCAACGATAGCGCAAAGAAACCATCGTCTTTTGAAGAAAATACAAGATTCAGAGGATGCTGGTACTTTGTTCTTCAACCAGTTTCATCAGTATGTGGTTCAGATGATTTCTCTGCTAATACTTTTGACACCCAAGAAAATAAACGTTGAGCACAACATCCTTAGTTTCCAGGGAGAAAAATTCACCGAACTGCCCCCTATACCAAATTTTAAGCAAAGTCCAGATCAATTTGAAGCTTATGTTTCTATGCTTTGTCATAGTAAATTTTTTTACAAGAAATCGTCGAGCATGAATGGCATTGTGAGTAAAATCTTGCGTAATCTCATGCATCCTTCCAATGTGAACACTCTCGGACTGAAATCGGTAAACTGCTTTAACGACGTTATTTTATTCTACTCTGAAAGGTTTGAGTTTGCCTCTTGTCGAGAATTTTATGCCCAAATGAAGATCGAAGGAGTTAAACCCAACTCAAAGACCTTCAACCTGTTGATTAGAGGTGTTTTGAAAAACTCGCACTTGCGGAAAAGAACCAGTTCTTTCGATGATTTGATCTTTTTCTTGAAGCAAATGAGACAACATCAGATTCATGCCGACACCATAACTTGGACGACCTGCTATAACCTATTACTCGATGACATCTCGAGAGATCTATATATGTCAAAAATGATGGAATGCTCGGTACCCATTACAGGCCCATTCATCCTGGCGGTTTTGAAGAATGCAAGCTTAACAGCTTCTCAAACTTTAAGATTTCTTTCAGATCATTCCGTTCCCTTAACTTTAGACCTTTTCAATGTTTGCGTATCGAAGCTTGTGGAGGAGGAAAAGTTTGAGGTTGCGTGGGCTTTCATGAAACATGTGCACTCAAATGGCAACGTTCGCATAGATTTCAGCAGCTTGAATATTTTTCTTCGAAAATTTGCAGAGGCAGGCCGCTTGGACATGGCGCTTCTGACGTATAACACAGCCATATCAGACTACACTATGAAACCCAACTTGCATACCTTTGATATGCTTTTCAAGGCACTCGTTCGGAATGGTTATACGGACAATTTCAACGGTGTATTCCAATATCTGAAACAAAAGCTCATAACACATACGAATTCAGTCAATGTTTTCAGTTATTGGCGAATGAAGGCACATGCAATGGCGAAGTTCAACATCAAAAAGAGGCATGATGACAAGGAGTTTATGCATCTGAAAAACATGCTAGACGCTCTGAAATTCGATGGTAGGGGCATGAAATGGAATTGCTGGCGTGATTATGGCAAATCTATGAGGAAATCTTTACGTTTACTTGGAACAATCCCTCCTAATATGAAGGAAAAAAGTGGCCGTACTAAATTTGATACTTCTGAAAGCACAATAATCAAGAAACGCGCCTTTCGCAAAAGAATACGATTTTTAGCGGTTCAAAACGCTATGATTAAACGCATTCCGTACGCCAAGGATAGATACGGGGCTCTTAAGCTAGAATTAGAAGAGAGAGGGCTTCTAAAATCCTGAAATTCGGACGATATTCACTCATTTAATAAATAATACGAATCGGAAATTGACAGATCCCTCGATTCAGGTTAGATTACAATAGAATCGTTGGCTTTTAGGAATCTAGAGTTACAAAAAGTATTAATCGCACTGCATTTACAGAAGACGTATAATATCTACCTTCATTAGTAAAGGGTCAGGTAGAGCACTCTGAAAGAACAAAGTATTTTGGATTTGAATTGTTCGGATTAGATGTTAGAACAAAGAGAATATAAAGAATCAAATTTGAAGCAGGAGACTCTAATCTCTAGCAGTGGCTTCTAACTCTTCCTCACCACCTTCGTGCTCACCAGCCCATTGCTCCTCAGCGTGAGCAGTGTCAAGCTCCTGACCTTCCTCCTCATCGTAAACATCATCGACTGTTTGATGAAATGAGAGAGTAGGCTTGACTGCAGCGGCATCCAATGTCCAGCCCTCTAAAGCGTTTTCGGCATCAATGATAATTTGTCTGGAAGCATCGTACCCGTCGTAGAGAGGTCTTGTCTCACCAGGAGTAACAGGGGAGTCGTCTAAGAGCTCTAGAAGGGCCTTACCGTAACCAGCAATAAGGGCGAATTTCTCAGCCAACTCACGAACGGAGTCGAATTGATAGTTGAAAGCGGCCTTAATTTTTTCTCTTGTGATGTTGGACAATTGGGCTTCGGCAACCAAGGACTCAGCCTCAGCACGCACGAGCTCTTGTTCAAGGACAGGAATCTTTGTGGAGTTGGGTTCCTTGTACTTCAAACGAGCGATCTCATCAGTGATTTTCTGTTTGCGGTCTCTGGAAGGCTGTACAGACGCTTCGATGTTCCGGACACCCTTTAAAGTGATACGGTATTGGTCGTACTTGTCAATGAATTGGTCCTGCAATTCACCCAATTCGTAGATAAGGACACCCAATTTGTCGGTAACATCGGACACATCGTCATCGTTGTCCAGACCCCACAAAGAAAGCTGCTTGGCAGCCTCTCTGCGCTCGCTGGCAACGACCTCCAAAGCACGCAAAACGCCCTTTTCAGTCTTGATCAATTGCGACAACTTGCGAGCCAAGTCTGGTCCGAAATTTCCAGCAGCATTTTTTCTGAAAGAAGACGCAATTGATGCCTTACCAAAAAACTTAGACCGGGTAGAAGAAGTTGGTGGTGGTGGGCTTTGTATTTGCGAAGCAGTTGGCGCTCTTTGAGCTCTCAAAGAGTAGGTTCTGTGCATATTTTTATACTTTTTTCTTTGATATGTATCGAAGACTGTAGATAAGGGTCAATTTCTCTCGCAGGGCCCCTTTTTTATATAAAAAAATGCTTCAGTAAATCCCCTTAAAAATGCATGCTTTTGCTTTAATGGGGAAAACTACTTTATAAACTGCCGGGTAACTTCGAATCAACTTATGATAAATAGCACAACTTCTAGCATGGCGGAGAAATTCGATAGACAAATTCGGTTGTGGGGGCTCGAGGGGCAAGCTATATTATCTAGTAGCCGTGTTTGCATTGTGGGTCGATGCTTATTAAGTCAGGAGATTTTAAAGGATCTTAAACTTCTAGGTTTAGATCGAATAACACTGGTATGTGAAGATAAATCTGCTGATGAAAGCATCGAGGAACTGGAAAAACAAGAGAATTTCTTGAATGCTGACGGAAAGGACATCAATTACGTGTTGTGGGACAAGAAAATGATGGAGGAGCCGTCTTTTTGGTGGAATTTCGATATTATTGTGGTGACAGCATTGAGCTTTGCTCGTCTAGAGCTTTTGGATAAAATGTCACTTCCACCTATGCTGGTCGCCTTCTGTGACGAATTTGACGGGTATCTCCGATTTGTTTCGCAAGAACCCCACTTTGTTCTACATTCTCATCGACAATACGCGATCCCTGATTTGAGACTTGATCGGCCGTGGAATGACCTCGAAAACGCTTTAAAATCTCTGGCGCCCAATGCGAGCAGCCTAGACACTGTGCACACTGTGCCATACGCCGCCATCATATATTCTGCCGTTCAAGATCTTAGAGAAGCGGGAACTCGGGTTACTCGCGACAATATTCGAGAATGCATATCGACTGTGCAAGTTTCTTTCGGTCCTTCAGCAGCAGCTGTCAATTTCGCACAAGCCAAAAAATTCGCGTATTTAGGAGCACTCAATTCGTTAAGCATTCCAGAAAATATAGAGAAGTGTCTCAGTTTTGCGAATGTGCCAATAAAACTGCCTGTCAATCGCGAAATTCAGGCTCTTGTCAGAATCCTACACAAGTATCTGAAATCCGAACACGCATTAAATCAACTGCCCGTGGAGGGAAGCATTCCAGATATGGACTCCAGTACAGAGAATTATAATCGCTTGAAAAGTGTTTATCAAAGGAAAGCTGCAGAAGACATACATTGGTTGGAGAAAATCGCTTCGCAAGAGAAATTGGACTTCGAATTAACATATGATGTGCTGACGACATTTTGCCGCAACATTCATAGTCTTCGGGTAATGGAGCCTTCGCGTAGCGCCTTAACTGCTACTTATAGTCCACATGCCGCTCCAATTGAAGCGTCATATTATGAGATCCTCCAGAAACTTCAGAAAAAGCAGATAGGGGCTTATATACCACCGACCATTGGCCTACCTGCGCCTGCGTTTTATTCTATGATGAGCATCACGGCTGGTCTAACCGTGCAGGAACTAGCCAAAATTCTAACACACCAATTTGTTCCTGTTGAGAATACATTTTTATTCAATGGCTTAACTAATGACATACATGCATTCAAAACTTGACTTTTAGAGCTAAAGATCGGAAAATGCACCTTGGACCTCCCCTGAGTGCTTACATTTTTTGTTCTTGCGGACAAGATCTTTCCAGTCTTCTTGAATATCACTGTCGTCGCTACTTTCTTCATTGGCAATTTTCTCTTCGATGGCTTTCCTTTTGGAGGCCATTTTAACTTTCCTGCCAGCCTTGGCCTCTTTAGCGGCAGTTTTGTTCGACCATGCCATGTTACGCTTTTCTTGGTTCCTTTTCTGTTTCTTTTGATCTGCTGCCACACCTGCTTCTCTTATTTTTTGTTGCCTTGCGAGCTCCATCTGCTTATTGGCGTACGGTATAGCGTCAAGATCAAAAGGACTATCAACCAGCCAACCGTCGTCCGGTGTTCTATCTCCCAAATATTTCGTTATTTCAGGCATCCGTGGCAGGCGCACGAGACCGTACAATTTGGCAACCCCAATGTAATCAAAATTTTGAAGCCTAAATATGGATTGTGCACTATGCTTGGAATAGTACCTTATGAATGCGACGTAAGCTTTAACACCATGTTCAAATCGTGCCCTATCCTCCAATGACCAATCTCTAAATTTGCGAAGAACTTGACCAAGGGAGTTTATATCAAAATCTACTCTGGAGAGTGAAACGTTTTTCACTTCCAAAAATCTCACGTAATCCTCCTCTCTGCCAGGATTGAGAAAAACAATGGCCCTTCCTTCTTTCTCTGCCCTACCCGTTCTCCCGCACCTGTGCAGAAAAACCTCAGCGTCATGCGGAGGGTCTAGTTGTAAGACAAAGTCGATTTCTGGTATATCGATGCCCCGCGCGGCAACATCTGTCGTTAGAAGAACGGACTTAGAAACGGTGCCTGAGAAGGTGTCTAGCGTTTTGAGACGCGAAGAGGTTTGTAGCTTCCCATGAAGAGAATATACATTTAAATCATCTGAAAGGACCCCGGACTTGCTCAGATACTTCATGAACGCATAAATGTAAGTTACGCCGACACATGTGGGCAGATAAACAATGCACTTTTTGAACTTGGTCGTGTTTAGAAGGTGAATCAAAAGATCAAGTTTTATGTCGGAAGGTACTAACGTGTAATTGATGTGTAAACTTTCAGGATTTCTTGACTTCGAGTTTACAGAGATCTTGACGGGATTTGTCATTCCCGCCTTGAAAATTTGATTACCTGCACTCCTCAAGGTGGCCGAAAAGAGGCCCGTTCGTCTCTGCTTAGGAAGTAGCTTCAAAATGTTTTCTACTTCTTTGAGGAAATTCATATCCAGAAGTTTATCAGCCTCATCAAGAACTAAATATTCGCATGATGAGGTCTTCACAGCGGATGACTTCAAAAAGTCTTGGACTCTGCCGGGCGTTCCGATCAAAATCTGAGGAGTGTACTCAAGAAAATGATTCAAATCGTCTCGTACTGATGACGCACCGGTACCGACAAGGAGTTGGCATTTGATTAGCTCCTCTTTCTCTGGGAAGGGTGTGAGGAATGAGTTAAACACCTTGAATATCTGATTTGACAACTCTCGTGTGGGCGATATGATCAGTGCAAAAAAGTGACCGCGTTTCATTTTGAAAGGGGATATGTGACCTCCCGAGAGGTTTTGGAGTATAGGCATCACAAAGGCCAGAGTCTTACCAGAACCTGTGACGGACTCCACAACTACATCTTTATTCCCGCTGAACATGGGAATGGTCGACGCCTGCACCGGAGTCATAGTAGCGAAACCCATGATATCAACAGCTTCCTTGAGCCATGGTTGAATCTCGCAATTAATCTCGTCCCATGACAATGATTTTACCATGATGAATTTCTTCTTTTGTTCGCTTATTGTCTCGATGAGCTTCAATTTTTTTACCGAGCTTGTAAAATTTTAGAAAATTGAAGAGATGAGGTAGATAGGCAGGCTTTCTTAAATCACCAAGTAACAAGAAAAGAATGACTCTCTTGAGACGACTGTTTAGACTAGCACCCAAGGCTGCCCCAGGTTCACTAGAACAGCATGAATATGCTAATTGGACGAAACAACGACTTGTAGAAAGAGTGCTTGAGCTAGAACACGAAAGAAAGAGGGGTTGCGAAGTGGATACAGATCAGGCAGAACATGTGAGCAAGAAGCCTAAAACCAAGTCCACGAAGAGATTAAATAATAAGAAAAAGCAGAGAGAGTTTGACTTTTCAAGGCATGATACGAGATTTATTGCACTCAAGTTCTCATATCTCGGATGGAATTACAACGGGCTAGCGGTGCAAAAGGAAGAGACCCCTCTCCCTACCGTTGAGGGGCTGATACTGGAAGCCTTGTACAATTGTAAGCTTATACCCTCGTTGGTAACTCAGGATTTCAATTTCAGCAGGTGCGGCAGGACCGATAGAGGTGTCAGCGCCATGAATCAAGTGATCTCTCTCAATGTCAGGTCTAATTTGACGTATGAAGAACAGAACGATTGCAACAATGATGCCAGCGAAATTCCATACCTCAAAATTTTGAATCACGTTTTACCTGACGACATCAAAATCTCAGCGGTTTGCCTGAGACCCCCGGCTAAATTCGATGCAAGATTTAGCTGCCAATTTCGCCATTACAAATATTTATTTCATGCGAAAGATCTCGATTTGGGCAGAATGGCCGAAGCTGCTAAGCTTTTTGAGGGAGAACATGATTTTAGAAACTTTTGCAAACTCGACGGCTCAAAGCAAATCACTAATTTCAAGAGAAACATCAGCAATTCCAAGATAATGCATATGGAAGGGCAACTTTATTGTTTCGATCTCATAGGTTCGGCTTTTTTATGGCATCAGGTGAGGTGCATGATGGCTAGCCTCTTCCTCGTTGGACAGAAGCTGGAGGAACCCTCTTTGATTTCGGATATGCTAAACGTTGAGGTTTACGAGGCAAAACCCATATATGACATGGCCAGCGACTTACCACTGATTCTCTACGACTGTGGATTCCCAGACATGGAATGGCAAACTTCAGGACTAATGGAAAGTAAAAGCTATCAAACAACCCGTACTACGAATTCGCTTGTATTGAACTATGAAATAAAATCTTGCATAGCTAAGCAATTTGGCGTCGCCCAGAGATTAGTTCCAGGCCCTCACTCTGATAGGGTCTGTATTAATGTTGGAGATGGAAAGGGAAAGCTGGTTAAGAATTATCAGAAGATGCAAAACAGAGACCGAATGGATTCGGCGGAGTCAGTTAATCAAAAATTTCGGGAGAAAAGATCCCAGAGGAACAAGAACTAATCAAAAGCACCTAATTCGCAGCCTCTGCGCTCCGATGTATATCAAATGCCAATATCTGAATGATGTATCCATGCCGGATCCCAGAATAAAGTTTCCCCCACCGCCTGCTCGTCTATCCACAAAAGACCTATTGCCACCATTTCTTCCAGAATGGCATTACTTCGATATTGAGTCCAACCGAGATTTACCCGCAGGAGTGAAGCGCTGGCATAACCTAGAACTGAGCACACTTCTAGAATTTTAGTCTGATCACTGGTTAATTCTGTTGGAACGCTTCTTAGGCATTTTTTACCTTTTATGAGTATAATATCGAACCCACCGTTCAAAGTTTGTAACATATCCACGGATTTCTCAAGATCCTCCATGGCGATTTTAGCTGTGGGGAAGCCTTCGAGCAATTCTTCAAACGATATAATTCCACCATTAAGATCCTTCGTTATCCTACAAATTTCAATGACTTTGAGACAAATCTCGTAGTAGAAGTCGTTCACATCAAACAAATGTCTCTGTCTATCAAAAAGGGTAATAGGATCAATACCAATTCTTGAACACATCCTTAAGAACTTGATTTTCAGGTCGGGATTCTGTTTCAAATCATTGTTATGCTCCTTGGCGAAGGCTATCAGTCTCTCTTGAAACACTGAGAGTTGTGAAGTGATCTCCTCGTTCTGCTTCTTGAAAAGCTGACTGGTGACGCTCTCGTATCGACAATCTTTGACTTCCTCAAGAGCCGAATAGCCAAGGTTCATTTGTATCTGATCGTTTAAGGTGCGTTGTGAATTGCAACAGTTCATCCATCATCTGCAAACGTTTTCAGCCATTAATATGCGCATGAGAAAACAGACAAAATGCAATCGCTCGCCGAAGAGCTTAAACCGGAAGCATGGACAGTTTCTTCAAACTCGGCTTTAAAGATTTCGCTCGTCGACAAAAACGGAGCTGCCCAGTTTAATCCCACTTTCACTTATCCCATATTCGGCGATTCAGAACAAATTTTTGGCTACAAGGATCTGGAAATACATCTAGCGTTCGATTCCGTAACCTTCAAACCATTTGTGAACGTTAAGTATACCAAAAAGCTTAATGATGAGGTGATAGATGTACAAGAGAAACTACTGGAGTTTTTGCCCAGAGAAGATGTCATAGTGAAGGACGAGGCTAAGTGGATTGAAACCTTTGAAATCGAGCAAAAGGATTTTAATCTTTCTGATGTATCTAGTCTCCTTGCGGCATTTTCACACGAAGGTCACCCATTTGAAGTCCGTAAAATGAAGCTCGATTCGGAAGCTGCCAAACGATTTCATCGGAGAATACAGATTTTCACACTACTTTTCATCGAATCCGCTTCTTATATCGATGAAAATGATAGCAACTGGGAATTCTACTTCACAGTAAATGCATCGACTAAGCAAATCATTGCATTTAGCACAGCTTACAGATTTTGGAAATATTTATCGGCAGCGACGTTTGATGCTCATGAGCAGTATCAATTCTCTTCTAAAGTCTCACAATTCTTAGTTTTTCCGCCGTACCAGAAAAACGAGCACGGTACTAACTTATACAATGCCATATTTGATTATTGGCTTGGCGACGAATCAGTAGTGGAGATAAACGTTGAAGAGCCCAACGAGGGCTTTGATCTACTTCGTGATAAATGTGACCTTCGCAGAGTGCTCTGTTCTGAACTCCCCAACAGAATTCCACATGACTTGCCCCTTCCTGAGGATTGGATATCGGCCACACGCAGTGACCTGAAATTAGAAAAGAGACAGTTTATGAGACTTATTGAGATGCTTCTGCTGAAAAACAACTCTCCAAATTTCAGACTTCAGGTTAAGAAGCGGATTTGGGATCGAAATTTCGATGTTTTGATGGAATTAGACAAGTCAACTCGAAATGATAAGATTCAAACTGCATTTGAGTCAGTGAGAGATGAATACGCAGCTATTCTTAGTACCGTGACGAAAAGAAACCATGATGAGGTAGATTTCGATGAGAATAAATCCAAGAAAACTAAAAGCAATTAGTATATCCTAACAGTTTATAAAATTTGGAAAAAAAATAATATATAAAGCTGTATATCACGTGCTAGCCGAAATATATTTTAACACTTTATTTGTTTCAACTAATTACATTGAACTTTTTTAACTTTAAATGTAAGTTTAATAATTGTAAACGTGTTCCGAAAGGGAAAAAGACATTGAAGTATATTATTACGTTTTTATGTCAATAGTGATAACAATTTTGTTTTTTGTCGTCATCCCAAATAGTAGCGACTATGGTTGTAAGACAAATGAGACTTCTTTTGTTCCTCGTTTTCTAGTAACAATAGATTGAGGACTCTGGTAAGCCAGGTTGACCCATTCCTCAGTTGTGATTCGGTTGTTAGGCTGCCTTGCAACCATAGTAGAAGGGGCAAAGATTCGAGTTCCCTAATCTTCAGAGGAGTGAATCGACTTCCATTATTTCACCATTCCTTGATATTAATTTATAGATTTGACTAGTGTTGTTCGGGTTGGTAGCCGCCGCATATATGATGTGCTTACTTGTGTTGTTGAAACATTTCTGAGAAGGTGATTGTCGATTCAGTCTTTTTAACAATAGTTGGTAGGAGGCGACAATAGGCGAGTTTGTCCAGTAACATTATCCTAAACAAAATGAGTATAAGGCGCAATAACGATGACTAGATTAAATATTAGACCATCAGGCAAATAGCTTGCAATCGACTCGCCAGGAAGCTATGGGACTTCGAACAATTACGGTGAAACCCTTACAAGCACCTTCCGTCACAATTGCGTCACTAGAGGTATAGGGAGAAAGATCTTCTACCATTTATCAGAAGTAATAGTCGATAAATGGAAATGTTACCACAACATTTTTGAGTCACAAGAGCCGATAAGAGTGGCTTAAAAACGGTCAGATCGGAGAGATAATCATGAAGACATATAAACACGCAGGACCTGATATATTTTACAAGTGAGGAAAACTAAGTACCAACCAAGTAGCCAACTTTGAAGGTTATCTGCCACTGATGCTGATGCTGATGGAGCCTTAATTCCGTTTCGTACAGGTGCTTGGCGGATTTTTAAAATGCCCCTCTCGTTACTTCTCTGAAAAAAATTCGTTATTTCAAAAAAATCAAGCTCATCGCCATTAAGCTCTCGTCTCTTCAGAATAACAAAACAAACCAGAAAAGCTTTGACATCCGATAATCAGTCTCGGCATTTATATAGAAAGATGGCTCCAAGGCAAAGCAAGGCGGCCAAAAGGTCTGCCAAGCAAAATCTGACAAAAGAGGTGACACCTGAAGTCTTCAACGACCCAGAGGCTAGAAATCGTCTTGCAAATCAGCCGAGATTGACAGAAAAGTCGGCTGTCTCGAAACCCAGTAAGTCCAAGGTCAAGAAAGACCAGCGCTTATCAAGGCTTTATGGTAAAAAAGCTGGAAACAACAAAACTTACTCAGAAAAGGAATTGAACCTACCGCCGCTAAACCGGGCAATTATTCCAGGCGTCAAGACGAAGAGAGGTAAGAAGGGCAAATCTCTTGTTGAAGACGGCGACGAGCTTCTTTTAAACAGGTTAGTCACCAGCATCGGTGACAGTATCGACCAAGTTACCGAAAGCAGGCTCGAAAAATCCAGGAGAGTAGAAGAGATAAGGAACCTCAAACGGCAAGAAATAGAGAAGAAAGAGGAGGCTAAAAAATTACAGCTCGATTCCAAAAAGGATGAAATCAAGAAGAAAGCCTCTGTAGCACGGGCTATGCGGAGGAAAAACAAAAAAGCGATTGAAAAATCCAACTCAAATCTCGCGACATCTGAAGCCAAGGGGCCTAAGAAGTCAGTGGCTTTTGCGTAGCACGGTTTTCAAAGTTTTGCAGAACGCCCTGTTTTGCTAGAAATCGAGGGGTAAGTTGGCTAGGCTACGAAAAGCAGCGGCTTATTAACTATGGTGTCTTACATCATTTTTCGGAAAGAAGATCTTCATGAGCGCTTCAATATAAAAAAAATCCACCGACTGTTACGTCTACTCTGAGGTTTTAAATCAAGGGCGGTACAATACTTGAAAGCTACAGTTGGGTTGTTGAACAGCATCACCTAGCGAGAGCTCGATAGTTTTCTCTTCCTGCTTTGTTAAGAAGGTTCGTCACTTATAATCGTGTAACGGTATCCAAAAATTTTCTTTATAAAGTAGTTGTTTATATTGAAAATTCCATCATCTAGATTCATTTAGCGACTTCTCCATCTTCAGGGATGACAAGGCCAAACGAAAACGCCAATGCGTCTCAACCAACAACATCTGATGGCTTGAGCAATAGATGTACGAAACTGCTAGGTGACCTCATCGAGTCCTCGAGGAATTTGCCGTCAAGCGGTTCAGATCTTGGAACTATAACCTTAAGTGTTAACGAAATAAAGAGGAGGGCTCGGGAATTGAGAGCCATGAAAAAAGCAGATTCCAACCATACTAAAGCTCATTATCTACTCGCTAATAGTGGTGTCTCAATTCAGGATGTCGACTATTGTCTAGCTAGCCTTGAGTCGCGCCAATTGGTGGAGCAGCATATATCGAAAGAATCAGATGGGGATTTAGACGCCTATCTCAGGGTCAAAAAAAACGAAAACATTTTATCCTCAATTGAGCAATCCTTAATGTGTGCAGCAAAAGATTTCGATGTTTTCGTTAATCAAAATTTCAACTTCGATTGGGAGAAAAGGAAGGAAGAGGTGCGCGAAAATTTCGGCATTCTTATGAAAAAACATAAAAGCAACTCGAAAACCTCCTCAGCATCATCCAGTTCGAGGTCTTTTCCATGGGGTTCGAGCGGACGCCGTATTTTAGATGGCGAGTCCAAACTCAACGTCAATGAAAATTACTCGGTGAGAAAAAAGTTTGAGAAGTATGCCATAATAATCAACAGTTTCAATAATGCAAGGCAGGCAGATAGAAGCTTTAACTTGCCGAAAGAATTCTTGACCCAATTTTCAAGCTCAAGCGATTATTCGGATAGGCAAATCCACGAAAGTTGGAAGATTCTTGATGAAGTTCAAAGCTATAACACTGTCACTGTTGCATCGAGGCATTATTTGGAACGTCATTTTTTGTCATACGTTGACGACCTTTATAAGAAAAACCTCAGCGAAGGACTTCCTACTAATGCAAATAAGGTCAAGTCTTTTATTGAATGCAAATTGAAGAATCCTGACAATACATGGAAACATCCTAACTTGACCGTCGTGAACGGTTTGCCAGTGTGGGCTCTGATATTTTATCTACTTCGGGCTGGTCTAGCGAAGGATGCACTCGAAGTTGCAATTGCTCACAAGTTGAGCTTCAAAAAAGTCGAACAATCGTTTCTGTCATACTTCAAAGCTTACATGGCATCGCCAAACCAAAACCTTCCACACGAACTTGTGACAAGGTTACACACAGAATACAATCAGCATATCAAAAATTCCTTGGACGGCGATCCTTACCGGACGGCTGTTTATAAAATTGTCGGCAGGTGCGATCTCACACGTAAAAACATCCCTACGATTGTTCTTAGTATCGAGGATTGGCTGTGGGTGCATTTGATGCTCATAAAAGAGGAAGTTTCGAGCGATGAGCCAATATACGAACGGTATGGTTTAAAGGATTTCCAAGGCTTGATCACATCTTATGGAGCCTCAAGATTTCAAAATAATTTCCTACAAGTGCTTCTACTAAGTGGGCTTTATGAGCATGCCGTTGAATATGCTTATACCCTCAGCGAAAGTGATGCTGTGCACTTGGCAATTGCTTTGGCATCTAGAAATATGATAAGTGTTTCGAATTATGATGCCTCTGATGCGAAGAGCTTTGTATCATTAAAGGGTGAGAAGAAGGAACTTAACTTCGCAATGCTCATTGGCAACTTTACGTCGTCTTTCAAATTTACTGATCCCAGGATAGCCGTGGAATATCTCATCTTGATCGCGATGAATGAAGATAAAGATCAAGTCAGTTTATGTCACGAGGCTCTCAGAGAGTTGGTTCTAGAAACTAAAGAATTCACAATTCTTCTAGGCAAAGTTAATCGAGATGGAACGAGAATTCCGGGGGTCATCGAGGAACGCCAGGGTCTTCTGCGTCTCTCGGACGAGCAGGAGTTTCTACACAGGATTACTGAGCAGGCTGCGAGCAAAGCTGATGAAGATGGACGGACCTACGACAGCTTGCTGCTCTACCAGCTGGCTGATGAATATGATACCGTTATATGCACCGTTAACAAATTGCTGAGCGGACTTCTCAGCAACACTGATCTCGATCAGCCCCTCTTGAATTTGGATGACAACAGCGAGACGAACCCGGTACTCATTGCTAAGAGAATTATGGGTATCTACATCAACAATCTTGAAATAGCAAAAACTATCCGTTCCAAGAGTAAGGAGAACTGCCTATTGTTTTTAAAACTAGTGGACATTAGAAGGGTTTATTTGAATGAGGAGTGGAGAAGAGCTTTGGAACTAATTGAGGAAGTAGATTTGATTCCTTTCGCTGATGAGTCTTCTTGCAGAACAAAAGCTCAAGAATTTTCCACGCTCCACCCCGAAGTTTTAAAAGTGATTTCTAACCTCTTAATCATTACCATGTCCTGCATCAGTCACATTGTCGATCAGTTGAAGAGGAGCGACTATCCGTCGGTGGCCAAAGAGGAGCAGTCTGCAGCCCTGAGAAAAGTTGCCAAAAACTGTATGATTTACGCTGGAATGATTCAATACAAGATGCCTCGCGAGACATACAGCATTCTAATAAATTTTGAAGTTGATATATGACATATAATTCTTCGGTGTTTAAATTGAAATAAACTTGTTTGACAGAGGTGTCATTGAACATCATGCAATTCAAAGCAAAAGCCCTAATTTCCTGAAAAACTCGCTATTTTCACGTAGTCTGGCGTGGGTCATTCCTTAGATGAGAATAATCAGGTTGGATTTCGTAGGCGTTTGGGCTTGATGATCGTCCCATGTTGAGTTTTCGATGCCGCCTCTCTTTGCGCTGCCTGCGCCTCATGTCAGGACTTTCGTTTTTATCACTGTCTGATTCGGAGGAGGATGAAGAAGAACTCTCATGGCCATGATCATGTTCGTGGCAATCTTCGTGATCTCCTTCGGCATCAAACTCCTGCTGGGGGTGGAAAATGCAGCAAATCTTGGTCTTTTTTTTATTCAAATGCTCATTATCCACCACTCCTTCCTCCCATCGAACCCGGTTCCCCGCTTGTCTTCTGGTGTTAGAGCCTCTACCTGAGGTAGCTTCGGGATCGGGGCTTTCAAGGCCACGAAGTTGCAAAACGGAGGGAATTTCAGAAACGGTGAGTGTCTGTGACGGCTCGCCTAAAGATTCGCCATTTACTAGTCTGGCTCTATCATGCGACATAGTATGAGCTCTCCTTGGTTTAATTGGAGTTTCTCAGCTGTCTAGCGCCTCATTTTGCCAACAAGGTTTTAATCTTACTTCTTACAACAATATAGACGTTCATGATGACTACAACTTGTTTTATTCGAGAAGGTGGCAAAAGACTACAGCGAAGCCCTTTAAAAGCACCAAGGTAAGACACTACCATACCAAAATGGAGCGCTTGCAACGAATCATGATGAATCAACGAGCTGGTATGATGGGTGGAACTTCTACGGGGGAGTCAGCAATGGATGACACCAAAGAAACCGTTTTCATTTCTTCATTGGCTCTCCTGAAGATGTTGAAGCACGGACGAGCTGGTGTGCCAATGGAGGTCATGGGCCTGATGCTTGGGGAATTTGTGGATGAGTACACTGTTAACGTCGTGGATGTATTTGCTATGCCACAGTCTGGGACGGGTGTGTCTGTTGAGGCAGTGGATGACGTTTTTCAGGCCAAGATGATGGATATGTTGAAACAGACAGGAAGAGATCAAATGGTGGTAGGATGGTACCATTCACATCCAGGATTTGGCTGTTGGCTATCATCGGTTGATGTGAACACTCAGAAGTCATTTGAACAGCTCAACAGTAGGGCTGTTGCTGTTGTGGTAGATCCCATACAATCCGTTAAGGGAAAGGTAGTCATTGATGCCTTTCGGTTGATCAACACAAACATGATAATGAGAAATCAAGAACCACGCCAAACGACTTCCAATGCAGGGCTTTTGAACAAGCCCAATATTCAGGCTTTGATACATGGGCTGAACAGACACTACTATTCACTGAATATCGACTATCACAAAAGCTCTACAGAGACCAACATGTTGATGAATTTACACAAAGAACAGTGGCAATCAGGCCTCAAAATGCACGACTATAAGGAAAAGGAGAGCAAGAATCTGAGCGCAAGTCAGCAATTGGTTAAAATTGCTGAGCTGTACTCGAAACGCATCGAAGAGGAAAGGGATTTTACCGAAGACGAATTGAAGACGCGTTACGTCGGGAAGCAAGACCCCAAAAAGCATCTCTCGGATCTAGCTGAAGGCGTTTTAGAAGAGAATATAGTTTCCGTGCTCACTGCAGGTGTGAACGCTTCTGCAATAAAATAGAGATTAGCACTTTTTAGAAAACTTCATTGATTAGAAGATATAGCTAGAGAGAGAATCAGTTCAGCTTCTCTGCCACACCTGTACAAACGTCTCGCTTAGGAAGAGTAGCTGCTTCTCTTTGGGTTTGACTTCTTTATCACCGAACTCAAACCATTCCTGACTTCTCGGCTCGAGAAGTTGGGTTTTCCATTCACTTTCTTCATCGACTTCGTCGGCTTCATCAACTTGGTTCACCTCACCCCTCTTTTGCCTACTCATTGTCTCGTGGGCTATATTCCCAATTAGCCTATATGTAAAACCATCAAGTTTCAATTCAGGTTGGAACTCTACAATCGTCCGATTCCGCTCCTTGATGGGAAGTTTGGCACCTTTTGTAAAGCGGTTAAAAAGAATGAAAAGAATCTTAGGATATTCAAGAAGTTTGTACCTCGATACTCGATCAGCAGCTCGAACATCCTTCTGCCCCAAAAATTTCTCCAGAAGAGTCTCTAATTTAACTTGAGGCAAATCGTTGGCGTTATTCTCATAATTCAAAAAAGACATTAGTGGTAAATCTAAGCTCAAATTCCAAAATGTGGTTTTTCGCGATGACTCCTTTCCATCAAACTCCGTAAACTTTGTATCCCGCGAAGAATCGCGCCCAACATCTTTGATTTTTTTGGTCTTAATTTCGACAACCCCGCGACAATCGCGAACGAGGGTCTCGGAGAGTTCGTTGTTGGGAATGTTTGACGTGATGTAGTGAATAATCCATATCAGAAAATCATGAGGATTCTTTATTCTGTTTACAGTCTGTATCTTTTTGGATTCCAAGGATAATTGTTGAGATATTTCGAATGGAGAGACATGAGCGCGAAGAAGGTGTGGAGACCATATCTTCTTCACCATCAAAGCAATTTTTTTTATCAAATCCAGCTCAAAGCTCTCGGTCCCTTTAAGTAAAAACACGTTTCTAACTTGTGGTATGTGCGAAAGTACCAATAAGATCGCGTTGACATAGGAGGGACATGCGGAGTTATTGAGGCCTACGAAACCATTTTGAAAAGCGTGATCATTCAAGTCGTAACATTTCAAAGGATATTGTTCAATATCTCGTTGTGTGTAGCTAGGTCGAATTAATTGGTCAATTTTTTTTAGGACGTGGGCGCTTTCTTGAGCTATTTCGTGGTTTTCTGGCAAAGCGTAAAAAGCTCGGGTGGCCATGCTCACGAAAATGTGATGGCCTTCTTCAATCGAATGGCGAAATGCCACAGTGTTAGATGATCGTCCCTGCAAATACCTACCGCATACCAGGCAGCAGTACACATTTAGGGGAGAAAGTGTTATGGAGCAGGTCTTCTCGACATCAAAGTCTAAATTTCTCAAATTTATGGTGTCTAGATACCTTCGACGTTGCCTTTTATAAGTTCTATGATCCACTAGATCTGTTTTCCCCTGTGAATCGTCTTCCAATGAGCGCTTGATACTGGTCATCAACTGTAATCAGTCAAGGTAATTCTTTTACATGATGAGAGTGTTTTTCAAAGAGTTGAAATTACCTGAGATGCAGCCAAACAAACTTTTAAATATTCGAAGCAGAACGAGCAAGCACAAGAAAGCCACCAAAAGGGCAACTCCTCGTTAGGCACTAGTCTATATGTCTTTGACAGTTTTAGCTTTAGGGACATCCTTCTCTCTATTTGTCGTCTCCTATAAACTTTGGCGGAAGAAGCCTCCAAAAGATTTTCCCTATGGCAAGCTTTTCAAAGATGACGAAAGAGATGAATTGTCAGATAAAGATTTGAGTGGTATCAAATATCCAGCGAGAGCCCATTGCCGGAAATTCAAGAAATTTTTCTCTCATAAAAAGGGTGGAGGCGGGTGCTCTTCTTCGGTGCTGTTCTTGGCAGGTGGAATCAATGAACCTATTAAATACTGCGATCAAACTAAACCCTTCCGTCAGAACAGATATTTCTTTTATCTGTCAGGAGTCAACATTCCAGGCTCTTCTCTGATCTTTAATCTTTCGAGCGGGAAACTTTCTCTTTTCCTCCCTGATATTGACTATGACGATGTTATGTGGAGTGGTATGCCTGCAAGTCCTGAGGAGGCTTTAGAAACTTTTGACGTCGATGAAGTTCTTTACAGCTCAGAGCTTGAGAATTACTTGATCACTTTGAAAAAGAGTTTTGAGATTTTTACGACAGACCTCGATAATATAAAGAGTCCTACCACCAGATCTTTGCTGCATCCCTCAGACCCGGATCTGTTTTACGCATTGGACGAAGCTAGGCTCACTAAAGATTGGTACGAAGTACAACTCTTGAAGAAAGCTGCTCAGGTAACCGATAAATGCCATTTCGCAGTCATGTCAGCAACACCAATTGAGAAAAAAGAGAATCATCTGCAGGCGGAGTTTACTTATCATGCCATTAGGCAGGGTTCGAAAGTACAGGGCTACGATCCGATCTGTTGTTCGGGGCCAGGTTGCAGCACGCTACATTATGTGAAAAATGATCAGGATCTCGATGGCAAGCACTCTGTGCTTATTGACGCGGGTGCTGAATGGAATAATTACACTGCGGATGTAACTAGATGTTTTCCTATCAATGGAAAGTTCACAAAGGAACACCGCCAAGTTTATGATGCTGTTCTAGACATGCAAACACAAGTCATGAGGAAAATCAAGCCCGGTGTGTTGTGGGACGATCTCCATCTGTTGGCTCATCGAGTTCTCATACGGCATTTTCTGAACTTGGGTATTTTCAAGTCGGATTACACCGAGGACGAGATTTTCGACAGAAAAGCTTCTCTATGTTTCTTTCCTCATGGATTAGGACATCTGCTGGGACTTGACACGCACGACGTCGGCGGGAACCCTAACTATAATGATCCTGATCCTCTTCTGCAATATTTGAGGCTGAGAAGACCTCTATTGGAAGGTATGGTAATCACGAACGAGCCGGGCATTTATTTTAACACCTTTTTAGTTGAGGAGTACTTGGAAAAACATCCCGAGAGACTTGAGGTCGTTGACCGCAGCGTGATGCAAAGATACATGTACGTTGGTGGAGTGAGAATTGAGGATGATGTGCTAATCACTTCGTCGGGGGTTGAAAATTTTACCAAAATTACGAGCGATCCAGATGAAATTGAAAAGATTGTTTTGGACGCTATTGCGTCGGGTCGCAATTGGCTTTCCCCCAAATAGAATTATTTGTAATGTCTTGTTTTGTCTAAAAGTTAAACTCCACATAAAAACATAAAATGAACTTTGAGAGATCTTAAAAACGACGTTTCAGGGGTAAACATGCGATTAGGTTAATGGGCTATGATTTCATTCGATGCACAGCCTCTATGCAGTGATTGTCAGCTCTCGCGAAAATCGCTTGCTGCTCATGAGTATCGATAGTATTGTGAACCTCACCAGCTTTGTTAAAAAAAATGCGAATTCTGTGGATCGAACACAGGACCTCCAGATAACAGTGACCAAAGTTGACTTCAGTCTGGCGCTCTCCCAACTGAGCTAAATCCGCCTTGAGGTGTAGTGACTCGTTCAAAAATAACCTATGGTTTGCTTAATGGTCTTTGCTGGCGACGAGCCCAGTTTCCCACCATGATTTATCCTACTGGTAAAGCTTGCAGAGAGTGGCTAACCGGATTCACAACGATCGAGCGGAAAAAAGACAATATTCGCCTTGACTTTGAACCAATTTAGCCTTTGCCTGCAAACGAAACCATACATATGATCTGCATCTAGTAGGCAACCCCGCTTATTTCCGGCGAGGCGGGCGTTCTGGGGTCTGCGACTGGTTGGGCATGCATTCGCCCAAGCCTCCAGGTGCCATTCACCTTGCGGGTAACCTCCTCATCTTTTGTCCTTCCGCTTCCGACCGTGTAGCCGGGAGTATTCTCTCTGAAAAAACATGACGAAGCGAGAAACGTGACAATGTTTTCTATTCTGCTTTAATCGGCGTTCGTTGCTTTGCTTATCTAAGCTCCTGAATTGGATTGTTGCCTGCATGGAAGACGAACAATTTAGTCATAGAATTTTTAGTGTTCCGTCTCCGAAGAAAATTTACGGCAAAAATAACATACATAAGGAGAAGAGCTCGATGCTTGATCACGCAATATGTATCTAGAGAATACATTTTGTTTCATGAAAATTTGAGCGGCAAGAGTATCCGGTAACTTTGATTGATTAATTGCTCTCATCAATTTTACTATTGCTCCCGTAATGACGGAATCTGCATGCGCCGATGAAAGGTCTTTCAATGGCATGAACGGCGATGAGCTCGACGACGAGCCCCGTGAACATATAACGAGACTGATGTCCAGAAGAAGTTCTAGGATCTCAGGCCAGGAAAAAGATGAACTCGATCCGGATGTTGTCAGAAGAGTTGAAAGTATTGCCGAGTCGTTAAAGAGTCGTAAGGCCAAAGATGGTCCTCAACAAATGGATGCAGACCAGGAATTTGATGCCGAGGCCATCTTCAAACTCTTTGTAAGAGATGCCAAAGATCAAGGTATTCACATAAGGAAAGCAGGCGTTATTGCGGAAAATGTGACAGTAACCGCCCCAGATCTTTCTTCTGCAGAGGGCAAAACTTTCGGGGACATATTGATGTTGCCCAAAACAATTGCAAAAGGAATTCGTCAAGCAAGGAACACAAAGCTCCGCGACATCGTCTCAGATGTAAACTTGTTGGCACGGCCTGGTGAGATGGTGCTCGTTTTGGGAAGGCCTGGCGCTGGGTGCTCGACTATTTTGAAGACTGTTGCATGCGAAATCAAGTCTTATAAAGAGGTTCGAGGATCAATATCCTATGATGGAGTTTCTCAGAAAGACATGATTAAGAAGTACAAGAGGGACTGCATCTATAACGGAGAGATGGACGTGCATTTCCCCCACTTGACAGTGCAGCAAACTTTAGATTTTGCCCTATCCTGCTCTATTCCTAGAACGAGGGTAAATGGTGTGAAGCGGTCTGAATACATTGTCGCTATGAGGGAGTTGTACTCCACAATTTTTGGTTTAAGACATACTTACAACACGAAAGTCGGTAATGACTATGTTAGAGGTGTCTCCGGTGGAGAGCGTAAGCGTGTATCTATTGCTGAAGCATTGGCCGCAAGGGGAACAATCTACTGTTGGGATAATGCTACAAGAGGACTGGATGCCTCCACCGCCCTAGAATACGCACAAGCGATTAGAATCATGACAAATCTGTTAAAATCGGTTGCTTTGGTGACCATTTATCAAGCAAGTGAAAACATTTATGAAACTTTTGATCGCGTGAGTCTCTTATATGACGGCAAACAGATTTATTTCGGCTCCACTTCTGACGCAAGAGCATATTTCGAGAAATTAGGGTACAAATGTCCGTCAAGGCAATCAACAGCCGAATTTCTCACGGCGGTCACAGATCCCAATGGTCTTCATGAATATTTACCGGGTTTTGAGCACAGTGCTCCGAGAACTGCCTCTGAATTCGAAAAAGCCTGGAAAAACTCGGAAGAGTTCTCCAATCTCCTTCAGGAGATTAGTGATTACAAGCAACAGATTTCTGCTGAAAAAACCGAGGCTCTTTTCGACGAATCGTTAGCGCAAGAAAGATCCAAATATGCGTATTCAAAATCCAAGTTCACCATATCCTACGCCGAGCAAGTCAGACTGTGCACGAAACGTGGATTTCAAAGAATTTATGGGGATATGTCGTATACCATAACTAACACTGCGGCGGCAATAATTCAGTCGCTAGTGACAGGGTCATTGTATTACAATTTACCCTCATCTACGAATGGTGCATTTTCAAGAGGGGGTGTTTTTTATTTCGCTATCCTATACTCCTCGTTAATGGGGCTGGCAAATATCAATTTGGATAGCAGACCCATTGTACAGAAGCACAACGTTTATTCGCTTTACTCACCCTCAGCCGAGGCTCTGGCGAGCTCTCTTTCTGCGTTTCCTTTCAGAGCCTTAAGTCTTACGTGCTTTTTTATCATTTTATTCTTTTTATCAGGTCTAACTAGGGACGCTGGTAGGTTTTTCATCTCTTATCTCTTTTTGATGATGTGTGCTGAGTCCATCAATGGCCTTTTTGAAATGATTACTGCAGCCGCGGATACCATTGCACAGGCCAATGCTGTCTCCGGTGTGCTGATGATGGCATTGGTGATGTATTCGACCTATATGATTCAGCTTGAGTTTATGCATCCATGGTTTAAATGGATAGCCTACTGTCTTCCGATCAGGTATACTTTTGAAAGCATGCTAAATGCAGAATTTCATAATAGAAAGATGGCATGCGGAGGCAGTCTTGTCCCTTCGGGTCCCGGTTACCAGAATGTGTCTGCTGCTAACCAAGTGTGCGCCTTTGTTGGGTCGCGCCCCGGACAATCCTGGGTCTTGGGAGATGATTACATTAACGAGCAATTTGAGTACAGATACACTCATGTATGGAGGAATCTGGGATTCATGTTCGCCTTCGTCTCGTTCTATCTATTTGCTAAAGCCGTTTTTACTGAGTTTAAAAGTACAATGAAGACCGGCGGCGATACCTTAGTTTACAAGAAGGGAACTAGAATGATAGGCGCTATCCAGGATGAAGAGGGAGCTACGGGCTCTGACTCGTCGTCTGACGTGAAGAGAAAGGAAGGTTCTTCACCTTCCTACAATTCCAACTCTTCCAATATGTTTGAGGGTTTGAAGAGCAAGGGTGTTTTTACTTGGAAAGATGTATGTTACACGATTCCTTACAAAGGCGGTAGCCGTCGACTTTTGGATGAGGTAAGCGGTTATTGTGTCCCAGGAACTCTTACCGCGCTGATGGGTGAGTCAGGAGCTGGTAAAACTACTCTTCTAAACACCCTGGCTCAGAGAAACATTGGTATCATAACTGGTGATATGCTGGTCAACGGAAGGCCTATTGACGCCAGTTTCGAGAGAAGAACAGGATACGTACAGCAGCAAGATCTTCATGTAAAGGAAATGACAGTGAGGGAATCTCTTCAATTTGCTGCCAGAATGCGGAGACCTCAAACGGTTCCTGAGGAAGAAAAAATGTCTTACGTTGAAAGGATTTTGGAAATTTTGGACATGGAAGAATACGCTGATGCTCTTGTTGGCGATATTGGTTATGGCCTCAACGTCGAGCAATTGAAGAAAGTTTCAATTGGCGTTGAATTAGCAGCAAAACCTGACCTCCTTTTGTTTTTGGACGAACCAACTTCGGGACTTGATTCACAATCAGCGTGGGCAGTGGTTCAAGTGCTGAGAAAGCTTGCTGAAGCCGGACAGTCAATTCTGTGTACTATCCACCAGCCCTCAGCGACTCTTTTCGAAGAGTTTGATAGATTACTTTTGTTGAAAAAGGGCGGCCAAACGGTGTATTTCGGGCCAATTGGTGATCATTCGCGCACATTATTAAATTACTTCGAGCGGAATGGTGCAAGAAAATGTGACGAGACCGAAAATCCAGCAGAATACATTTTGGAATCTATCGGTGCTGGTGCAACAGCAAGTGTAAAGGAAGACTGGCATGCCATATGGAAATCCTCGGCCGAATTCAAAACTGCAAATGAAGAAATCGACAAATTGTTGGCAGAAAATTCGACGGCGGAAGTAGGAGATTATAGTCACGGGGAGGGCGAGAGCGAGAAAGTCAGTAAGTATGCCACTTCTTACTGGTACCAGTTTAAATGTGTCTGGCAAAGAACAGCAACGGTGTTTTGGCGAGATGTTAATTATTTGATGTCAAAATTTATGCTTTTCACCGTGGGTGGACTATTCGTTGGTTTCACATTTTACGACGTTGGAACCAGCTTCACCGGTCTACAGAATTCGATGTTCGCTGCATTCATAGCCATTGTTCTTTCAGCCCCTGCAATGAATCAAATTCAGGCACGTGCGATAGCATCACGTGAATTGTTCGAGGTCAGGGAATCCAAGTCGAACACATTTCATTGGGCATTTCTTCTCATAGCTCAGTATTTGAGTGAGATACCGTACCATTTTTTCTTTTCTACAGTTTTTTTCGTCTCATTCTATTTCCCATTGAGAACAAACTTCGAAGCATCCAAATCTGGCGTTTTTTTCCTCAATTACTGCATAACATTTCAGCTTTACCTTGTTGGACTGGGCTTAACAGTCCTGTACATGGCTCCTAATTTGCCTTCCGGTAACGTCCTTCTGAGTCTTTGTCTTTCGTTCCTGATTTCTTTCTGTGGTGTTGTCCAACCCGCAAGCCTGATGCCTGGATTTTGGACCTTCATGTGGAAAGTTTCTCCATACACATATTTTGTTCAAAATTTGGTAGGTTTAATGCTCCATGATAAGCCTGTCAGGTGCAAGAAGAGAGAGCTCTCCTATTTTAACCCTCCAGCCGGAGAAACTTGTGGTTCATATTTGAAAAATTTCTTGGATCATGCCACAGGTTATGTTGCAAATCCTAACGACACTGAAAATTGTGGATACTGCGTCTACAAGGTTGGCGACGAGTACCTGACTAGAATGGGATCAAGCTTCAGTAACCTGTGGAGAAACTTTGGATTCTTTTGGGCTTACATCGGTTTCAATATTTGTGCGATGCTTGTCGCATACTACGTTTTCCATGTGAGCAACTTCTCGGTTTTTGACTTGGGCTTCATTAAAAAGGCAAAAGCTAGATTTTCCAAGGAATAAGGACTATCTTGATTCAAAACATAGATCCCGTTTTTTTCGTAGTCGGCGCTCCCAAGATCATGACTTATTGAAAGAAAAGATGTTTGGACAAGTCGAACAACATATGTACTCAGTACAAACACTTTTATCAAACATTGACGTTTCGTAACGAATTAGTAAAAGAACATGACGAAGTTACTTGTTTTTTTTTCTCATGTGCCCGAAATTCTTTCGTAATCTCAGTTTGGTGAATAGGGTTTGTAGGAATTCTGAAAAGTCGATTTTGTGAAACGCCGTCATTTGAAGTTTCAGTTGGGTGTCATAATTTTTAAAAGTGATGGACTAACAAAAAATTGCTTGGAGAAAACGAAACCAGACGTTTCACCACTTAAATCCTAGAACCTCCCTCCCAAAACCAGTTAAATAAAGAATTAGGATGGTGGCTGCTAACATAAAGTATGTCACGGGTAATTGTCTTTCTTCCGCAATCGACTACCCCAGAATTCTTATTCATTCGTGCAACTGCGATGGCTCATGGGGAGGAGGTATTGCGTACCAACTGGCCAAGAAATATCCACAGGCAGAGGAGGTGTATGTCGATGCATGCAGAAAACTTAGTTCAGAATTATTAGGTAGATTTATGTTAATCCCAACCACTGATTCCCAGTTGCTGATCGGGTGTTTGTTCACTGCATCTTTTGGTGGCAGACAGCCCAGTGGAAATAACATCCTGCAAAACACAAAACTGGCCCTAATGGATATGCAGAGGAAGGTGAAGGAAGACTATAAACCTGTTGATGAAATTGACCGTTACATTGATGCATGCTGGGTAAAAGCTAAATCCGGGTCGGTAATCGAAAGTTATAATCTTGAAATGCCAAAGATAAATAGCGGCATTTTTGGCGTACCTTGGGATAAGACAGAAGCCGTTCTCGCTCAATTCTTTGATTTGAATTTCAAAGTTTATATGCTGTGAGCCTCGTTCAATACAAATCCGTCTATATAAATCGTAAACATGAGCTCATAATTTACAAGCTTACTTCTTCAACAAAAAAATGCAAAGATGAGTTAATTCCCTCGCTTATGCTGCGTGATAACCATCGACTTAGTGCCACAATAAAGCTCATTCAACGAGCAGTGTACAATTGTTCTTTCGCGTAGAAAAAGGTAAGAATTTAGGTTCAATTTAAAAGTCCTAGCCCCGGCCCAGGCGCTGAACCTAATTGTTTCTCCCTTTCAAATTCTCTCCAAGTACGCATTTTAATCTTAGAATGATCGAACTCTCCTTCTTCGGTATCATGAGCTCCACCCCTTTGATCGCCAGCCACTGTTCTAGTATCACCCCAACTGAAATCGTCAAATTTCCAATAAGCGTATGTGGGCAACACAAAGTTCCAGATCGGTAATGCTATGATGTAGATTGCCATCCAGCCCAAATATGACCATCTTGTTGCAGTCACGACAATGAGAAGACCCGGAAGACCCAAAATAATGGCAAGAAGAACCAACGTGATAATTGGCGTTGGCTTGGATACAATTGCAAAGATTACCACATAAACGGTGAAACTGATAGCCAAGGGTAAAACCATGGTACCAAGCAGTTCGATTCCTATGACAAATTGCATTGAAAAGCAAAATGTCCCGCAAAGGTCCTTGATCAAGACCAGCTCCATCAAATTATGAACGGTGGAGTTGATCCATCTTCTTCTTTGCGACAGCAGAACCTTAAAGCGGTCAGGTACAACCGTCTTACATGCCGCTTTGGGAACAAATATTTGTTTTCTCTTTGGAAAGGTCTTTAGCATTAAGGAGGACAAAAATCTATCTTCACCTAATAGAAGCAGATTCTTCTTATGCAGGTTACCAGTATCATTGTCGGAATATCTCTCAACAATATCAGGATTGGCAATGATAGGGACCCAATATCCGTCGCTGCCTTTAGGTGATTTGATTCGATACATCGAGAAGCAACCAGGCAAACAGGTTACGCTACCAAAAACTGATTCGAATGCCTTAGCTTGATGATGAGAGATGTAATATTCAAAAACCTGTATCCAGGTAACCCAGCTATCTCTTTTATTGGCAATCTTTGTCTCACCACAAAGACCCATTATTTCTGGGTCTTTGACCATTTCCGCAGCCATGTGGGTCAAGGAGTCAGGAAATACCTTAGTGTCTGCATCCACCATCAAAACAAGCTCATAAAAATCCGACATCAAACCCGTAACCTGCCAGATTGCTTTCAGTAACTCATACTCGAAGACTGTCATTCTTTCATCAAAAGTAATCCGCTGTAAAAAGGACATCAGAATGACCTGAGAGTCACGCTTACCTCTGTTACCAGGTTTCAATGATGCTTGTTCGTCTGGAGTACCACATTTCACGATAATGACCATGGGCACCTTTTGCTGGAGATCAGGTCCAATAGTTTCCTTGTCATATTTGTAAAATCCGCCATAGATTTTGGCCATGTTGTGTCTTTTCACCCCAGAAGCCACGGCCACGTAGGAATGAGGCTCGACTTGTTCTGGAGGGATAATGAAATCTTCCATCATTCCCAGCACTATATCGGGAGTTGTCATGTCATTTCCTGAACCCTTGATAAGTCCATCACACACTATCATCAAGAGCTTGTGAGAGTTTGGGTAATCAGTGGTTGCCAAGGAGTCAAGCGTTGTGCGAATTGCTTTCTCATCTTCGGAATAGCAAGTGACGAAACAAATTGTATGTACAAGCGGGAAACCATAAGGCATGAAGTCTGGTGGGGGCTGTGCCACAACCTCTGAATGAATGATCGTTGGGTCAAGTGTTTTCATATTTTCAATAGAGCCTGGAGCCACATCGCTTGTGAATGGCGACTGAATTATTTGTCTATTCACATTTGCATCCTCGTCGTTCGACTTCTGAAGCGACTGCGTTGTCATGGTTGTCAATCCTTTAAACGAGTCCGCCTTGTTTGAAAAATCATTCAAAAGTAACCTTGAGTTTTGCCTGATGAGGTCGATTGTTGATTTCCTCCTGTGACCATCTGAGCGACCCCTTGGAGGGTCTATTCTTTTAATGGGGCCCTGAATGTCAATGTTATCGGCCCAGTCCTCGATTTTATTGGTATGCTCATTCATGGTTTTGTTGTCGACAGCAGAAGCGCCTTGCTTCTTAGCAACGACCCAACGAAAGTAACAGGAGACAAAGAATTTGCTGAATACCACAGAAAGAATGAAAATCAAGGAAATGTAGAGGACCACACTCGACGCAATACAGCCAATGGTAGACGAATCGATTTCTCCAACCCTTATGATTTCGATCAGACAGCGTGCCACTTCACGTTCGTAAGAGTTGGAAAGTGCAATTGATATATCATAACCCTGAAGCTCTGACTTTCTTAAGTCATCGAACAATGCAGGATATGTCAAGTCGTCGGTTTCAAGCCAATCAAGAAGGTCGAGGTCCAGAACGTGGCCGTTGTACACAACTAGATTCCTAGTCGAGTTCACGATGTCATTCCAGGTGAAATAGACGTCTGCGGCAGCTTTCAAAGAATAATAGGCCTCTCTGGCCTCTTTTGATGTGTGACATGCCCACCCATCATAGTATTCGCTCTTGGTAAAATTCGGTTTGGTGCTACCGTCTTGAGAGAAAACCTTACAAGGAAAGTACCACGCCAATCTGCCATCATTATCGTGAGGAATGGAACAGTTATCTCTAGGTTTTATGATATCGTGACAATTACCGTTAACGTTTTGAAACAGGAAAGTGGCGTCTTTACCGCCCGCATTTATCGGCGGATACAACACATTGGTTCCAGCGTCAATACCAGCAGCAGCTGGATGTGATGACGAATCCAAAGCGTACGCTTTGCCATTGATGATAAGGTAACCGTCCGAAATTTTATTACTTCGAAGTCGCAATTGCGACGCATCACAGACGGTCCGTGTGAAACCAAAGGTCAAGTAGGCAACAAACGCGCCCGCGTAAAAGATAATCGAGAGCAGAGCTATCTTCTCACGCCATGCAAATTGTCTCTCCTTTTTTGGCATCCCACAAAGCGCAAGAAGAGGCCCGGGTGCCCAAAAAGTGATTGCATACGCGTACAGTTGCCAAAACGTTATCGCCTCAGTTTTTTGTTTTTTAGGCGTAGCAGGCTGCAGTTTAGACAAGTCTTGCAGAGGTATAGACTCCTGGACTTGGACATGTCCTTTTCTTTGCTGTTCCTGTGCTTTCTGTGCATAAAAGTGATGCGGATTCTGTGGGTCTGTGAAGTTGTTTCTGTCCCGCCTCACGAGCGAATCACCCCGTTCAACGCGTTTCGCACTTCTTGAGCGCAGCAGGGACTCGTTGTCGAACGCATAGTAGTCGTCCTCGCCCCCCATTGACACCTGTGGCTCTTGTCAGTTGTAGGAACGCTTCTGTAAATTTTTCAAGGCTGATTTCTAAATTTGTAACCAGAGCGACCTTCGTTAGCGAGCGTGCAGGAACCGAACGCTGCGGCGCCTCAATATTTTACGAAAATAAAAAAATTAAAAAATAAAAATCTAATAATGTTCTTTTTTTTGGGGGGCAAAAGAATGAAAACAGATAAATAGCTGCAATACAGGGTTAGTTCAGAGAGTTTAAAATGATTCAAAAAACGCTTTAAATTTTGTAGGTTTTTTTGGGGAGGTTTGCTCTTTGAAACACCAACTAGATTCCTCGTTATTTGCGAATATAATTCCAATCACGTGATACCGACGAACTCATATCACGTGATAGAATGTCAGTTTATCGATGAAATGATCGATGCCCAAGTAGAATGTACCGGAAAACTTTCGGAGCGATGCGTGATCTCAACGTTGATGCCCCTGCCGCCTTTTTTGCTTTTATCTGACGCAGCTTAATCCGCAATGGGCCTTGAAGACTTTTACAAGTTGGGCCATCGTCTTTGGTGCGGGATGCTTAAAATGAATGATATCGTCAACCGCTATGAAATGATCACGTGACCACGATGACCGAATAAAGAGAGATAAATCGAGGGGGTGGATTTGGATAAAACGCAACAGCAATCCGTAAGATAGATCCCAGTGGTGTCCATTGGATCGTCGTACCACTGCATCGATTCCATCTGCGATATGGTTACACGACCCAAGCGGGAATTTTTAGCTCTTACATTTCTGGAAGCTTTAGGCGTCAAATGGATGTTTTTCCACAAGAGTGGTGTCAGCAGAGGACACTTATTATCATACAACCACTAAACAACTAATGTTTCGGAATTTTGAAAACTATAAAAGCAGCTATCAATTTGAGAACCATCTATTAACGCCGACGAACTGCGATACTTTTCTTCATCTGCTTGTCCTGCTAATTGCCGTACGCCGGGAACGCATTCTCGAGATAAACGCAACACAATGGACGAGATCTACTTTTTTACGGATCCCAACGGCCAAAACCGAAGACAAATCCGATGGCTTTAGTATGACAGACAGTGACGGAAGCGTTTCACACATCAAACATAGATCGGTAAGGGGGAATCCGCCGCCTTTTCCGTGGTGTTCGAAACTCCGATATTCTTATCGGCTTCTTGGTTTTCCTATCAGAAGCGGATCACGTATAAAATGAGGGATAATTTAAGCCTATCAAGCCGTGATAAGCTTAACGCTATCGCTTGCTGAGCAACACCCCTCAAAAGCGAACTATGCTCGAGCGTAATATTTAAGGATCAGTTCAGTCGACAGTGTATTTAATTAGTTAGTCGAGATAGAGTGAGCCGAGACATATTGAATCTCTAGTCTCGAACTAATTTAAAAAAATGGGTAACGACGTCACTGCAACTACTACTACCATCACGGCAAGCTCCGGTAGGCTCAATATCCCAGCAGCCGCTGCATTGAGCATCGAAGAGGGAAGACTAAACAGAACCATTTTGGAAACGGGCTCCTGGTTCGGTGGGGTCGCAAGATGGGGTGAAGAAAGCCATGAATTTGGAATGAGAAGACTCGCCGGAACTGCAGAAGATGGTGCTATGCGTGATTGGTTTGCCAAAGAATGCAAGTCGTTGGGTTGCACTGTGAAAGTTGATCAAATTGGTAATATGTTTGCCACTTATCCGGGCAAAAATGGCGGGAAACCAACTGCGACGGGATCTCATCTCGACACTCAGCCAGAGGCAGGGAAATATGACGGTATTCTTGGAGTCCTTGCGGGACTGGAAGTGCTAAGAACGTTTAAAGACAACAACTATATCCCCAACTATGACGTTTGCGTTGTCGTCTGGTTCAACGAAGAGGGTGCGAGGTTTGCGCGCTCTTGCACAGGTTCTAGTGTCTGGTCCCACGATCTGTCCTTGAAAGATGCGTACGAGATGCAGTCCGTTGGTGAAGCCAAGCCTGAAACTGTCTTCGAGTCTCTGTCCAAGATCAACTATATAGGTGACGTTCCCGCTTCCTACCAGGAAAACCAAATCGACGCTCATTTTGAACTCCATATCGAGCAAGGACCTATCCTCGAAGATGAAAAAAAGGAAATTGGCGTTGTTACTGGTGTCCAAGCATACCATTGGGAAAGATGCACCGTCTACGGCCAGGGAGCTCATGCAGGCACGACACCATGGCGTTGCAGGAAAGACGCGCTTCTCGCTACTTCTAAAATGATCGTCGAGGCTTCTGAAATTGCTCAAAAATATCAGGGCCTATGCACCTGCGGTATCATTGACGCTAAGCCTTATTCCGTTAACATTATCCCAGGTGAAGTGTCATTCACACTTGATTTCAGGCATCCCTCGGATGAAGTTTTGGCGACGATTCTCTCAGAAGTGCATGCCAAATTCGACGAGATCGTTGCTAAAAACACCGCGGGTGCACTTTCTCACAAAGAGGAGGTTTTACAAGTTTCTCCAGCTGTGAAGTTCAATCAAATTTGTATTGAATGTGTCTCCAGATCCGCTTTGGCCCAATTTCCAGAAAACAAGGTCAGACAAATTTGGTCTGGTGCAGGCCACGATTCTTGTCAAACTGCACCTCATGTGCCTACCTCGATGATCTTCATCCCATCCAAGGATGGTTTGTCTCACAATTACTATGAATATTCGTCCCCCGAGGAAGTGGAAAACGGCTTCAAAGTTCTACTCCAAGCAATTATAAATTACGACAACTTCAGGGCAAGTCAAGCCTGATAGGTAGTTACTTAGATAGAAAAGTAGCACTGAAGACCGTTTTGTTTGATTATTAAACATACGATTTCAAGTTTTTGGCTCCTCCCTAAATAGTTTTCCGACAGAGGGCAACTTGAATGAACCGCTGTCCTCTGCCTTATGCTTAAAAGTAACAATAACCCGTAGGTATTTTATCACCAAAAAGGTGAGCGATCCTAGAGCTCTGAAAGCAGCAAGCACGGCGACGGACCAAAGAATAAATTTCAAGTATTTGTTTTTGGCGGTATCTCCCGGACCGTACACTTGCGTCACGATCATCATGAGTATTAGATTTGAAAGCATCCAACACATGACAATTCTTGTCCTTATGTCTCGATAGTAATCATTTTTTTGTTGCGCTTCATCAATTTTGGGTTCGATAATTTCTTCTTCCTTCAGCCTACTCTTGATCTCTGCAAACTTCTTGTCAACTTCCTGAGGCCACTCGGTACCTTCAACAATCTGCTGTCCATTGGGGCCTTGCTTGACTGTGGCTTCCGATTTTGGTTTTGAATCCTGTGTGGATCCCTTGGTCCCCCAAGAGACGTCATGAGTATTACAGAAGGCAAAGATCTGTAATGTGCAGATAAATGAAGGAAGCATCAACAGGTATTGAGCCGTGGAGGTTATCAGATGCCATGGATCTAAGTAGATGATTGATGTAAATGCATACAAGCCATATGTCGAGAGTAGCGAAACGACAATATCCACGAAGACCATGTGAGAAAGCGTTTTTGACTCAAGTGATTTGAACGAGAAGACCAATCCACAGACTAAGGCGTAAGTAGAGCAGATCGAAAGGATGACCATTGACAAGATGAAGAGATGATTGGCGCCTTGCGGCCTATTACCCATGGAAATGATGAAAAGGGCCGCCAGATCGCAGATAACAAGGTATTTGAAAAACGTGAAGAGATAATCACCATGCTTTATTAGAGAGTTCATTGATCCAGCGAGAAAGTAAAACGTTAGGAAGAAGTTCGAAATGGAGAACCACGAGAATACCATTTGAACGAATTGATAAAAGAATTCGACATGGAAAAAGAATTTTCTTGTCCTAGAATGCTTAGTTTTCCAAATTTGCGTGAAGTGCAATTGCGCGTAAAGTGCTGCAAACATGGCGCCGTTCAGCCATCTTCTCCTTTGGGATATAAATTCAGGTGGTTCTTCTGGAACATCTGTTTCACCGGTTGCCTCTTTCACATATGTTAGCACCCACTTGGCGTTTCTTTTAGCAACAAGCTCCCAGCAAAGAATTCTATCTTCAGCAAGGTACATGTTGGCTGTGAAGACATCATGCTGTCTGCCTTCCTGAGTCTCACCCATAAAATAAGAATTGAGCGGGCCGGTACCGTCTGCGTGGTTTTGTAAAGCGCGATAGCGGTAGGCAGACAAAGCACCAGGAAGCACCGAAATATAGCCAAACACACTTTCAAGCGGTTTGTCAAGAATATTAGACATCTTGTACTCAAAATTTTGCGATGCCACAAGGGGGTTTAGTAATTTGAGGCCCCATTTGCCCTTCATAGTTTTAATCTGGCCAGCTGCCCCAGCAACGTTGGAATCCTTGTCGAAGACTTTCCATAAGTGATATACGGCGGTGTCATTCAGACGAGTTCCGACATCCACTAACACCACGACGGTGGGATCCAATACTGGACAAAATGCATTAAAAAGCCAACGGTGTGAATTAATTTTCTTTTGGTTCTCTTCTTTCAAACAGAACGCGATTTGAACTGGAACTATATCTTTGCTCACGTAGTCTAGCTCAGAATCGATAGAGACCTGGGTTGTGAGTTCGAAAATGTGTGCCTTCACAGGATTCCCATTTACAGTGGATTTCGCCATGTCTTCTTGATAAACACCCAAGGCGCTCAAGTAATCCAGTGAGCCCTTATCAATATTATTTCTACCATCACTCACAATGATAACTTGGATTCTCTTCCATCCATTAGGACCCCAGACGTGTGATCTTTTCCGGGTACAGAGATGAGATATATTTTTCATAATTGAGTGAAGCGTGGTGGCCAATGCGTGCTTATCCTCGTTGTACATTGTCACACAAATGACGACTTGACATTCGCGATTCATTTCAGCGAATCTTAAAGAGTAACCCTCGGAAACGTAATTATCTGGATCCACAGTACAAGCAGTGTACCTCATTTCGGTGAATTCAGGTGAATCGCGACGAGGTAAGATCTCTAACAGACCACGTGGAATTGGGTTGTCCAATTTCAGGATATTCTTGTTCGAACTGGAAGGAGGCGGTCTTCTAATGTCGGATTTACCACGCCTGATATAATTCCGCTGTGGATGATTGAGCTGAAATTGTGTCTGCTCAAAAGTGTCTCCAGAGTAGATTGTACTACCGTCGTCGACAGATTTCCGGTATCCGTCAAAAGAAAGCACCGATTTAGACTCCTGAGAAGCATAACTATGAGTGCCTGCAAAGCTCGAACCTCTAGTAGGAGACCTCGTGGGAGAACCCATATCGCGATCAGCGTACTGATCGTAAAAATCGTAATCGTCTTCAGCATCAGAGGGGTCCTCAATTTGGATGACAGCACGTCCGTTCCTCTGTGGGGATTCCTTAAGGTTGGCAGCATACCTTTCCCGACCAACAGGAGTGTTCATGACGCTATCGCGGGCGAAAACATTACGACGTTGAGGTGAGTACCTAGCAGCAGCCTTAGACGGTGAGCTAGGTTGAGACCCATAATAATTTTGTCTAGTGCCAGGTTCTGGAAAACCTTGGAACGCAGTCGACAGATCTTCACCCAGATCGTATGGGGATTCATCTTCAACTCTCCAAGAGGGTCTTGCAGCTCTCGGAACCGATCGAATTGGAGAACCACCGTCGGGACGGGCCATAAATGGGTTTCTATGCATTTTCGGGGTCGAGCCTAGCGTCCCAAGCAAATGGGCAACTACACAATCCGCACATGTCGCTTTTTCAACTCAACCATCACTGGAAACCGGTGTTGGCTATTTTTCTTAAAACGGTAATTGGTAAATACCGTTGATCATCGAGACCAATTGAGCTTATGTAATTTCATAATTCACTCAATTTCAGGCCAGGAATGAGACTGAAACAGTTCTCATTGTCCACGCAATATCTCACAGTGCAATCGATTACTTGAAGTGCGGCTTTCAAGCTATTTTGGCCAAAATTGGCTCTCTTGAAATAGGGAAAAACCGGTGTTACCGACATCTGTGCATCTCCCAATTCGAAATTATTGCTTGATGACAATAAAAGCCCCCAAAATGGTGTAGTTTATCTCGTAAACATGTTAACTGTTGGTTTAAGCAGGTTCTTTAGACTCGGATTTATCTGGTTTCCGGGTCGTATGTTATATTGAAATCTCCCAAAATGATCAATATATATTGAGTTGGCTCCGGCCAGATTTTCGTAAAAGGGACTCAACTTGAAAATATCAACAGGTTGACCGAAACCAGCAAGAAGAGCAACGAAACAACAGAAATTTAGCGGTAATGTTGTCCAGTATAAGAACCGCTGGTGCTAGAAGAGTCTGTGTTGGCGTTCCAAGGGTTTCGTCCGTGTTCTCTCGGGCGTTTACGATAAATGATCGGTTGTTGAACGAGAAGGAAGTAGAGACGAACGAAGCAAAGTCTGAAGTGGTTTCCAAGAGAAAACCACTCAGTCGAATCGCTATCGGTGGTAGTTCTGGTAGCTCTCAGAGAAATCCAGGTGGTTCGATTGAATTTACGACATGGAAAGCGGCAGCATTGCTGGTGTTAGTCGGAGGTTCGTTGTTCTACTTTTTCGACAAAGAGAAAAGAAGACTTCAGATCGAAAAGGAGGCTGAAGCTAACAGGGGTTACGGTAAACCGCTTGTGGGTGGTCCCTTCAAACTTATTGATCAAGACGGGAACGAATTCACGGAGAAAAACTTGCTTGGAAAATTTTCGATCTTATATTTCGGGTTTACACATTGTCCTGACATTTGTCCCGACGAACTGGATAAATTAGGTGTTTGGCTTGATAAGTTGGAGAAACGTGGGATACGGCCACAATCCATTTTCATAACTTGTGACCCAGCGCGGGACCAACCTCAAGTCATCAAAGAATATCTGAGTGAGTTTCATCCAAGCCTCATAGGTTTGACTGGTGACTACGACGAAATTAAGAACGCTTGTAAACAATATAGAGTCTATTTTTCGACTCCACCAACTTTACAACCGGGTCAAGATTATTTGGTCGATCATTCTATTTTCTTCTATTTGATGGACCCTGAGGGTAAATTTATCGATGCATTAGGGAGACAATACGATGAGAACACTGGAGCAGACAAAATAGAAGAACATGTCAAAGCTTATGTGCCTAGCGACAAGCGTGAGAAAAGGGAGGAAAAATGGTACTCTTTTCTATTTAAATGAAAGGTATCGTATTGCTTGTATATAGTCCTTTCGTAGCTAAAGACGTTATTGTTAATGAAATATGTCTAATTCTTACCGGCACCTGCTCTGAAGTAGATGACATCGCCGTCCTCAACAACGTATTCTTTACCCTTCTGTTGCATCTTACCGGCTGCTTTGACGGCAACCTCATCTTTGAGTTCGACAAGGTCTTCATACTTCATCACTTGCGCTAGAATAAATGTGTTCATCAAATCATTGTGAATGACACCTGCAGCTTGTGGAGCTTTAGTGCCTCTTCTGATAGTCCATTCACGAACTTCGTCAGGACCACTGGTGAAAAACGAGATCAAGTCTAGTTTTTGTCTCATAGTGGTGATGATCTTTGGTAAAGCAGATTCGACGCCCAAATTCTTGAGTTCCTCGTCGGCTTCTTCCAGAGACAGATGTGAAAGTCTCTCTTCAAGAGAAACGGAGAATGGAATAATCAAGTCACCTGGAGAGTTTTTGTCAACCCATTCCTTGATCTTGAGCAAGTGCTTGTTCTTCTTTCTGATGTAGTCTCTCTCGGACAGATTGATCAAGAAAATGCAAGGTTTGGCAGTCAACAGGAACATCGAGTTAATGACTTCGACTTCCTTACTGCTCCAGCTTTGGTTGTAAACTCTTTGACCGTCTTTCAAAAGCTCAATGATTTTCTCGACCAAAGCGGCTTCTTCCTTCTTTTGCTTGACTTCCAAAGATTGACCCCCTCTCTTGGTGATCTTCTGAACACCTTCCAAGTGTTTTTCCGCAAATTCGATATCCTTGAGTCTCAATTCGGTGTTGATAATTTCCAAGTCACGCACTGGGTCGACATCACCTTCGATGTGAATAATCTCGGCGTCGTCGAAACAACGAACCACTTGGTAAATAGAGTCCACAGCTCTAATGTGCGACAAAAAAGCATTACCTAAACCTTCACCAGCCGAAGCACCTTTTGTCAAACCGGCAATATCGTAAACAGTCAAGTGCGCTGGAACTTCAGAGGCTGGCTTGTAAAGTTCACATAATTTGTCAAATCTGGCAGATGGAACAATCACACGAGCTTCTTCAGGGTCAATCGTCGCAAAGGGATAGTTCGCTGGGTTACCTAGTGGCGATCTGGTGATAGCTTGGAAAAACGTTGATTTACCAACGTTGGCAAGACCAACAATACCGGCTTTCAAATTGTTGCCTGGACGGCCCAAAAGTATTTTTTTCTCTTCCTGTTGTTTTTTTGGAGGCATGGCAAATAAACGTTTATTTGAGAAACTTCGTGACCTGAGGAACTAAGTAATCTTCAACAACTTAAATATGCTCTCACAAGCAAGATGAGTTTGCCAAATTTCAACTTTTTCAACATCCAAAAGAGTGGTCCTGCTTCTAGTCAGCTTTTGAAAAATTTTCAACATCCACGTGATTCAGGTCATGAGCAACGGCGACAATGACTCTAACACGGAAAGCCATGTTCAGACCACTCTTCGATGAGGTTTGAATACCTTAAAAATCATGTAAATTTGATTCAGAATTATTAAGAGTAAGAATCGTAGCAGAGGTGCTGTCCTTTCAGAAAAAGTGATATACCGTTCAGTGAAGTGTCCATACAGATATCTGGGCGGTTAGTGTAGTGGTTATCATCCAACCCTTCCAAGGTTGGGACACGGGTTCGATTCTCGTACCGCTCAAAATTTTTAGATTTGTCAAAACAGCGCAAACTGGCCTCTTTGACCAGGTTGAACACTTGCTCGATTGTTTGGTTCATCCAGTGAACGAATTCTTTTTTGCTTATCATCAGTAAACACTTGCTATTGCGAGTTCTATTTATATGAGCTCACACCAACTCATTGACCACGTCTGAGCACAACTCCGCGTCGTCGGATTTACCCTCTGCCTTCAAAGCAATGCCCTTTGAACTTTTTATCATGCGAACGACCAGGCCTATTCTTGCACCACCTGTTATGCCCTTGCCGAATACTTTCAATGTGTGCGAATTGGAATCAAGCGTGGCAAATTGTGAGTTTTCCAACGGGAGACAGTTGGTATTTGCAATAATCTTGTCAATGATCTCTTGCAATGAGTTATCCTCCTTGATGTTGTAGACTGCCACTTCGGAATGGGCCAGTTCGTCGTAACTGGCTGAGAAATTGCCCACAAATGCACCCTTGATGTAATCACCAGCGGTAATAAAAAGAGAGTCTATCTCGTACTCGTCTTGGAATCCCTCGTCACCTTCGAATGGTTCTCCTGTAGCAGGATCCAGTTCTCGCGTGGTGAAATAAAGTGTATTCAAAAATCCCTCTGTCACGATTGATTCAGACTTGCTGAAAGCTACGTAACAAGCCGCAGTTTCGCTTGGTGCAAGTCTATCGATCGGAATTGTTAGCAACTCGTTCAGTGGGCTTGTTTCACCAACTTCGGGTGTAGATGCAACAGAGACGTTGTCCAACGCAACATCAGAAAGAGTATTAGTGATGTTGAATTGCAAAACCACGTGCGAGTTGTAAATGTGTTTCACACCCGAAACAACAAATTCGGCTTCTGTCTCGGTGAGAGGAACGTCCTTAGAACTGTTGACAATGGCACCGAATTCTGCAAACTCATCAATTGATGATAGCTCTTCAGCGTATCTGGTCGCACGTAGATCTTCACCATGTTCTTCCATGGTGGGCCCTGAATAATTGCCATTTGCCTTGTCGGCATCAGTGGAGCGGCTAGGGGTCGATTCTTTGCCAGGAGATAGTTTCGCAGAGAACTGTTCTTGTCTCTTCTTATACTCGGTCGCCTTGCGCTCTTCCTCTGTCAGTTTCTGAACCGATGAGGAGTCGAATGGCGTCCGGAACGAATCCTGATTCGAAGCCATGTAATGGGTTAATTTGCTCTCCAAAGCCCCGAGATCATAAGAATAGGTTAAGTTTATGAGTTCCTGAGGTACTTCGGCCTCAGGCTGCGATTTGGAAAATTCGATGAATTCAAGAGCAATGGTGGCTCTGTCTCTCACTTCGTCGTCTGGATCATTGCGAATTCTCCTTAACAAGCTCTCAATAGAATTGAGTAGAACTGGGTCGTTTTTGACCATGGCAAATTTGGACAGTGCTACGACAGCCGCAGATCTAATGATAGAGTTCTCCAACACAACTCGGTTGTAGATATGTCTCACATACAGGGATGGATTTTTCGTAGTGGGCCCCTCTTTCCCGAGCAAATGTAGAACTCGGACTAAGATTTCGTTATATTCACAGTCCTCGATGAAATCGCAAAGGTTTTCGAGCACCGTTTCTTTGGACTGAGGAACAAATTCGACCAAGTCAAACAAGGCTTCAACTATACCGTTTTTGAATATGAAACCGCCGTCACCATGTTTTAGTGTATTTATGAGGAAATCGAAAATGGATTTCCACTCTTCTGGGAATTTGAAGGCCATGGTGCGAATGGCATCCACTATGATAATTTTGAAGTCGTCTGAAATGTCGTGAATGAATTTGGTGATGGTCTTGATCAAAGAAGAGATGTTGTTGGAAGTACCAGTCTTCAACAGCGTAGTGATCGCATAAGTCGAGATGTTTCTGTTGCTGTCGTTGATCAAAGACTCTAGTTCCGGGTTGCAAACGACAATTTTTTGAGGAGCCACCATTGAGATTCGGTTAAGAACGCGCACAGCTGCAAATCTGGTAGTCACACGAGGCACAGTGAGTAAACCTTGCAAAGTTTGGATCGCGGCTGCGACGAGATCTGGTGAAACGTTCCTGTCGGGCAACGAAGTGATGAGCTTCGCGGATTCTAGTTGGACAGATTCATGTTTACTGGTCAACCACCCTGAAAGCAAAGGCGCAAATTGTGAGATGACATTAGGGTCCCGTTGCAAAAGATTACCGACGAATTTGACGAGCTGCACCTGCGCAAGCTGATTTTTCAGCACATTTCCGCCCGAGTACTGCTGTACAATTTTCATGAGCGCGATCTTGTCGCTGTTTCTGAGCATGTAAAGCAGCCCCAACGCATGGTACTGGGATATGTACGTCGAATTCGGGTAGTAATCAGACGCACCACTGACGTAGGGGTATGTCTTCAAATCTGACACCGCTTCTTGCGTTTCGCTGATATAGCGCTTGACGGTCGCCTCAGCGACCGGCAATAAATGGTACGAACTGACCAGCGCAGCAGACGAAATCGAAGGATGTTTGCTCACGACAGCGGATTTGAAAAGTCTCTCTGCGGAGAACGCGGTGGTCTCGTCCAGGACCCGAGTCAAGGACCGGATGGCATTGGGCTTGATGGCATCGGACCCGTTCTGGACGTCCTTCATAATCGACGATGTGGCCATCAGCACGTCGTCGGAAATGACACTCAACTCTTTAATAGCCAGGTATACTATCTGTCTGAGAGAGTCGTTTGGGTGCTGGAACAGCTTGGACACTGCAAAAAACAGCGCCGTGGCCTCTGTCTTAGGGAACGTCTCGCCCTGTGCCAGCAATTGCAACAGACGCGAGATCAACGTGCGACACCGCTTGGCGTTCACGGGCGATTCGTTAAACGCGTTCAAACACTCTTGATAGACGGTCATTTTGTCGGGCAAAACGCCCGACACGGCCTCTTCGAACTTCTTGTAAGTATGAGTAGACATGGAGGTCCCTCAGTGACACGGATACGGGGTCAATGGCTCGAGTTTGATTTTGTTTTGCCACGCAACTGGTGTTTATCCATTTAATAGGGTTGAAAAAAATTCGAGATTTTGAATTCAGACGATCTCCCTGGGTTATAGGCTTTCTCTTAGTATGGCTAAGAGAAAAAAAGTTTGAGTAGGCCGGGTAACGAGACGACCTAGCAAATGAGTAGAAAGCGGGTAAATGAGTATAAAATAGGTATTACTAGGTAATGTACAGGTCTATGAGAGTGGGTGGAGCCGATCAATCCTCGTTGAGCGTTAGTAGGAGCTGGGCGAGGCAGCGTTTGGTGCCAAGGTCGTCGTGGAGGACGTCGCCGAAAGTGTTATCTCTGAGATGACGCGGAAGCACTTGTTTGAGAAATCTGCGGGCTTCGAGGTTGTCGCTCAGACGCAAGTAGCAACGCACAACGTGCTTAAGAAGTCTGCCCGGGGTTTGCTGGAGGGTCAATTGGTCGACCATGTTGGTGAGAACTTGGGAAACGGCGTGGAAGCGCTCTGGCGTGGCACAGATGTACTGGAGCCCCGCGTCGTCGAGCAAGATTTTCTGGAGGATGAAGATGGCAACGGTTTTGGAGAGCTCGGAAGAGGACTCCATGATGCGGAGACACAGCGGTATGATATCGGTTCTGAGCAGAAAAGCGATGACTTCGACGGAATCGTTTTTCACCAGGGCGCCGATGACGCCCAGCGACGTGAGACGCAGGTACTCGAAAGTGCGCTGGCGTGAGGTGGTGTTGAGAAACGGGAACAGAAGCAGCGGGACGTGTGCTTGTAGGAAAAGCGCTTTGGTTTCCGGGTGAGACGCGACGCATTGCAGCAGCACGAGTGCGTTGCAGACGCGGTTGCTGAGCTGGTTCGAAAGCGTGGGCGGCGACAGCAGCGGGTACACGGAGATGATCTCGTTGAGAAGAGCCGTGACGACGCCGAACGACGACCACAGCACGATGGCAAGGTCTTCGTACTGTTCGCGTTTGCGGCCGAGTTCCAGCAGCGCCTGCTCCTTGTTGGGTCCGTACGTGAGCTGGCATATCCAGTGGTATACGTTGGGGTCGTCGAGCGCGTGCGAGGAGCCCGCGTTGGCGGCGCCACCAGGCGCGCCGGCAGGCGCGCCTGCTGGCGCCGCGGGGGCTCCGGCAGCCATGGCTGCGACGGGCAGCCCGGCGGGCAGCCCGGCGGGGAAGTTGGATCCGAGCATTTCACCGGCGACGGCGCCGGGATACAAAGCCATGGTTTGCGGAGATCTGTGTTTTCGTCGGTGAGCAAGAAGAAGGTGATGAGTGGAACTTGAGTTCAACAGGAACGCGGAAAAGGACGGCGGTCGCGTGACCCGTACGACGCGACGCACGTGACCCGCCGGCTTGTTCTCGCTTGCAAGTTCCATATATTAGTTATTAATTATTACTATATCGCGCGCATCACACACAGCGCAGGCGCCTCAAGAGAACACCTTCTTGATCTTGTTGAGGTACTTCTGGAAGCCCTTGGCAGGAGCCGCCTTCTTTTCTTCCACCTTAGCCTCGGTCTTGGCCTCGGACTTGTCGGTGTTTACGGCGTCCTTGACGTCCTTGACAGCAGTGTCTTTGGTCTCGACGGCCTTTTGTTCTGCGTCCTTAACAGAGTCGTGCACGTTCTGTTCTGCGTGCTTGACGTTTTCCTCCGCGCTCTTCTGGACAGCTTCGGCCTTGGCGGCGCCGTCGGTCTGGATCTGCTCGGCTTTGGTGTTGATTTGTTCCGACATTGGGGTAAGTTGGGGGCGAGAGGGTTTTTGTGTAACTGCTTCTAAAAATACGCACTTTCCGCGTTTAGATCCCAGCAGGGGGCTCTCGAACGCGGACAGCGCTTCCCTTTTATACCTTTTTTTTTTAGACCTCATCCCGTTTCAGCTGGCGCTTTCGCCCCGGGGCTTGAAACGTCAACAGCAAAGGCGCTGGGCATCGAGACGCTACGCCCGCGCTGTGCGCTTAAGAGGGCCCGCAGGGGGCCCTCTTAAGCGCTCCTCAGAGGGGCCCGCAGAGAGCAACAGAGGGGCGCGCCCGATGGAATTCGCCCCGAGCCCTGTAGGTTTAGACGCGTAAGGGGAAGTCTTAGAAGCCGGGGTGGGGCCGTGGTCTGCGGGAGACGCAGGTCATCGCATCGCGCCAAGGGATTCTGGAGGGGGGCGCTGCGCGGGTTTTTGAGGCGCGGGCCAGGAGGGACGATGGAAGGTTCTAGACGCTACAGAGGGGTGTGGGTGGAGAAGAGCAAGAAAAAGGGGCAGAATATGTCGATCGCGTCGTACGTGAAAAGGTGTGGGTGTGAGCAGTCACGTAAGCAGGATGTGTCGCGTGCTACGGCGGCCAAGCCGGTGTGTCGCCCTCTACAACTGCGGACTCTTGTATCAGTAATATGGGTATACTATATGCTTCAACGCGCCACGAGTACGTGTGGCGTTTTCAGACTGGTGCACAGCATTTTTATCGTCATCTACAGAGTCCGCAATGCCGCGGCCATACACTTATGGCGCGGGCGCAGCTGGTCGCTGAGGAGCGGGGCGACAAGAGTTTTCAGGCATTTGGAATTTTCACCGGCCTTATATAGGATTGGGCCGCGGGCCGGGTAACCTGGGTGCGATCGCAGGGCTCGCACAAAAACGGGCCCCTGCCATGTCAGATTCCAATGTCCCAAGCGTTTCTATTCCGTATATACCAGGCGCGCCGTCGCGCGTTCATATGTAGTTCATGTCTAGTGTTGTGTAAGCCGGCCCCTGTGGGTACGCCTGTGCCAGTTTCGCGGGCGACGCGTGCAGTGCGTACGCACTGGGAGACCCGACCAGCGTGCTCGTGCTCGAGCACGCGCTCACGTTGCGCTGGTGGTAGTGACTCCGGGACACGAGTTTGCGCGTACGTTCGAGATCGTACTTGATGGGCTCCAGCAACGTGGCGAGCGCGTCGTAGAGATCCTGCTCTGTGACGCGCGTGTTCCAGCTGAGTAGTTGCAGCAGTTGCCGTTCCATAAGGTTGACGTCTTCGACCGTGAACAGGCCCTCTGTGTAAGCGGCCCAGTGCTTGTTCTGGGGCGACGAATCGTTGTGGCATTTGGCACTGAGGATCACGCAGGCGAGAAAGATCCGGTGCGCGGTCGAGGGCAGCCCGTGTGCGTCCCGCGGCAGGATCTTCTTCAGTTTCGCCAGGTAGCACGCCGCGGTCAAAAGCGTCGACGTGTACACGTGTGTATGGCGGACCAGCCGCGCAATGAACGTCATCAGCGAGGGCAGCGACGGCGTGGCCGTGCCGCTGCGTTTGTTGTGGTGACCCGTGGGACTTGTAGGCGGTGATGGATAAGCCGTTTCTTTCGGGCACGGTATCACTTTGAGCGTGGTGTTGGTCAGAAACCGGAGCATCGACTCCGTGACGGGACTCTTGAACAGGATTTTCAAAGCTTTGGCGTCGCTCATGCTGGTGGTCGTGGTGATTGAGTTTGGAAACGGTTCTCCACCGTCACCACCTCGTTACGCTCCACTCTTATATCTTACACACATACACACACTTCTCGACTTACCGCTATATCCTCATGCCCTTCGTTTCGCGGCTTCGTTTTCGCGGTGGTTCGTCTTTTCCAGGGCTTAAAACGCGATCGCGAAATTTTACATCTCTTTTTTGGCTCTTAATTAAAAGTGGAACTGCCTTATTAGGACATCAAACACGAACCGTAGTGGAAATCGGTAACGAAATCCAGAATGGAAACGGTTCAACGTGCAACACCTGGCAAAACTGTCTAGATTGCCGCATCCAGAAATGGGCGCGAATTGGAACGGGAATTTGTCGAAGCCTGGATCGTGTGCGACATTTGTTTTGTACGGAGAGCGTAGATCTATCGCCTCTGGGTGAATCTTCCCATATGAGCATGCCCATATGAGTATTATCACCAGTGAAGAATAGGAATTCCAAAAGGCTGAGAGGTGCCTGATGTGAGACGCGTCTAGGGTACTATTTAGAGCATTGGCCCCTAAATTTAGCTGTTCAGTGGCTTGTAATGCGATTTCTCATGTGTCACGCATGGCAACTGAACGCATGGCAACAGAACACCTGGAAACTGAACGTCTCTGGCGTTACAGAATCACTGGCTTTAGAAAGTCTTGCTGTGTAGTGTGCAAGGTTCGACTGACGTTACTCAGTGGATACTCGTATGCGTTCAGAGTGACAAGCTTATCATCAATTCTGACATTAATAGTAAATTCACGTAGTTTCTGTCCGCATGGGGAACCGCATCGCAAGTATCAGTATATCTGTTTGAAATCTCGTTTAAGTATCCAAGACGTGGCGGTACCAGGAAAACGGTATCAGGAAAATTGATTTCTACGTCCAGGATACTATGTTGCTGTGCACATCGTACCAGGCCGCTTATCCACGGCGGGCCAAGAGGGAGCCCATATCTCATTCTAAGAATGCTGCAAACAAGTGACTATTTCGAAGGCTATCCGCTGGTCCGTTCTAATATAAGCAGTACCTACTTGCTGGGAGACATCGTTGACGGCGAAATCACGTGGTCCCTATGACAGAATAACCAAGGAAGCTCGACACACCTCACGGGGCGAGACCAGGCGTTCTCAATATCCATTCACAACTGGGTTCGCTCTGTTGGCCTAGGTTGCCCACGTATCCAGGTATAGTACCCCCGTTTTGGTATAATTTACCGCGAGCTCTTTTCAGCCGCATCTTCACCGCACAGGAACCGTCTTCGATTGACATCGTAGCTCTCAAACAAGGAGAGCGTGAACGAAATGACCCATTCATGATGCCGTTAGCTACCAAAGGTTATTCCCAATACAATAGTGCCATTTTTCTTGTGTCCACTTGTCTCGATGTTGGTTTTCTTGTCTCTTCTTCCCCGCAGGTGATGTTTTACTGTTCTTTCTTGTTGTGACTTGTTCCTCATCTACAAAGCTTTGTTATGCCTTGCAGATCGAGCGCCCTTACCTCTGATGAAAATCATGTTTTGAAAACTTTCTTAGCATTTCAATGGCACATCACCAATCCCAACGCACGGCACCTATGACGTACTCCTTTGACTCCTCAGGCGTTAGTCCAGCAACTTCGCCCTGGAGGGCTTCGGCCGAGTTGCACCTGGAAGATGTCCTCCAGATGCAGAGCCACACAGGATCGGCAACAAGCAAAGGTCCACTGCCATCCCACTCGTCGCCTTGCAGAGCCGTCTAGTGGATGTGAAGCTCATCCACAGCCCCTTACCACCATCGTTCCTATTGACCGGGTGCAATCCCAACTGTTGCCAGGTGTAACTCGTGCGTGAGGATCCGCTCCTGCATCGAGATGTACACCCATCTGCTCGAGCCGAATCGTAGCGGCTTTGCACCGCCTTTGTTACCTTGCAGAAGGTTCGCAGCGGCTTCGCGCGAAGCCTTTGTCTATTTGAACTGCTTTTGGATCCATATAAATAGACATGCCCGCGCTCCGGCCGCAGCGATGCCTTTGGACCCTTGCATAACGTGAACAGGGAGCCCGCAGCAAAATTTATCATGTCGGAAAAATCCAGGCCATTGTCCAAAGAATTGTCGCCAGACGACTTCTCGCAAGCGACAGACACTGTGCTGAAGGATTCCAAAGGCGCAGGTGTGCACAACATCGAAATATACGCACAACAATATCAACATATCGGATACCGCATAGCGCTGTTTTTCTCCATTTTCCTGGTCGCATACGCCTATGGACTCGATGGATCCGTGAGATACACGTTACAATCTTATGCGACTTCGTCTTATTCCCAACACTCTTTGTTGGCCGCTGTTAACTGTATCAAGGCCGTCATCGCCGCAGGCGGCCAAATCTGTTTTGCCAGAGCATCCGACATTTTTGGTAGAGTCACTATTTTGATTGTATCCATTGTTTTCTATGCAATGGGCACCATCATTGAATGCCAAGCGACCAACGTCTCTCGTTTTGCCGCAGGTGCATGTTTTTACCAACTCGGATATACGGGTATCATTTTGATCCTGGAAATCATCGCCATGGATTTCTCGAATTTGAACTGGAGACTTTTGGCCTCGTTTGTTCCCGCGTTGCCCTTCATTATCAACACCTGGATTTCTGGTGATGTCGTTCAAGCCATTGGTATGAACTGGAAATGGGGGATTGGAATGTGGGCCTTCATCTTCCCACTATCGTGTATCCCGTTACTCGGCTGTCTGCTCCATATGCGTTACTTGGCTCACAAGAATGCGCCTCAGGATTTGAAGCCAGAATTGCAAATTGTCAAACAGATGTCCTGGTCAAAATATTTGATAGAGATCTTTGTCCATAAGCTCGACATCTTGGGGTTGATCTTACTGTGCGTGGCTTTCGGATGTATTTTGGTCCCCTTCACATTGGCCGGTGGCCTCAAATCCAAGTGGAAAACCGCGTCCATCATTGTCCCCGAAGTTATCGGATGGTGTGTCGCTGCTCCTTTGTATCTGGTTTGGGAATACAAGTTCGCTCGCCATCCGGTGACACCTTGGTCCGTGATCAAAGACAGGGGCATCTACGCGGCCATCATCATTGCCTTCCATATCAACTTTTGCTGGTACATGCAAGGCGATTATATGTACACTGTTCTGGTCGTGGCCGTCGATGAGAGCGCCAAATCTGCTACGAGAATCACTTCGCTTTACTCTTTCGTCTCGGTGATTACCGGAACTATTCTAGGATTTGTTGTCGTTAAAGTCAGGAGAACGAAACGCTTCATTTTATTTGGTATTGGATGTTGGTTCATTGCATTTGGTTTGTTGGTTCATTTCAGAGGCGGTCCTGTCTCGCACTCTGGTGTCATCGGCTCCCTGTGTCTCCTGGGTTTCGGTGCAGGTTTCTTCACTTACACGACACAGGCATCCATCCAAGCATCTACCACAAGTCACAGTAACATGGCCGTGATTACAGCATTATATTTGGCCGTCTATAATATTGGATCTGCCGTGGGCGCTGCCGTGTCGGGCGCCGTTTGGATGAACGTTCTTCCACAAGAATTGGCCAAGAATTTAAAAAACAGCGAACTTGTTAGCCAGGCATATTCGGAACCTTTCACGTTTATCTTGAAGTATACTTGGATGACCGTTGAGAGGCAAGCTGTAATGAGAGCTTACCGGTACGTCCAGAAGATTCTGTGCATCGTTGGTCTATGTTTCTGTGTGCCACTTTTGACAGCGGCTTTTCTACTGAGAGACCGGAAACTGGAAAACGTCGTGGCTCTTGAAGATCTAGAGAAACGCGATAAGAAAGAAGCAGATAGCAGTCAAGAAAGCTCTCTTTGAAAAACCAAGACAAAAAATGCCAACAGAAGCTGAGCACGCACGGCTTAGTATCTTCAGTAATGTGTTCTTGTTAATTATGTAATTGTGGTATTGTCACACTTCAAGCTCAAATGATGACTTTACGGCGCTAATGACGGCGCTACTCTGAATACGTTCGTTGCCGCCTTTCGAAATACTATACTCGATATCTGCCAGTTTGCACAATATTTCTCTTCGCGTGATTTCTTTCAACTCATAGTTTTCTAATAGTTCCACTATTCCCTCAATTAGATCTACTAGTGCCAAACCTTTCGAGGTACGGATCTTGGTTATAGTGTAGAAAGCAGTGGTCCAATCGTCTTTTAACATGGACTCAAGCGCTGTTTCCAGATCTGCCGGATAGGGCGCTCCAACACAGTCATAAATCGTGGTCTCGGTCACTTTTTCCGTGGCTGGATCGTCGATCGTAGCTTTGCTTGCCTGTAAAACATTGAGGGCTCTACGCATGTCGCCCCTGGACAGTTTCAACAGTGCATTTAACGCTTCCGGTGTTAATTGAAGATCCTCACGAATCAAAATGTTCTTGAGACGTTTTTCGATTGATTCCGTGGGTAAAGGTTGGAACCTGAACCGCGTACAACGACTCAAAAGAGCTGGGGTGAGTTTATGCGCATAATTGGCCAAAATGCAAAATCGAGTGTTCTTCGTGTACCGCTCAATGATACGGCGCAGCGCATTTTGCGCGGCGTTCGTCATAGCGTCTGCTTCATCTAAAATGATCAGTTTGAAGCCCTTGGAAAAGATTTGACGTGTCGATGCGAATTCTTTGATCTGATTTCTCACAACGTCGATACCTCTGTCATCCGAAGCATTCAGTTCCAGTACCATGTTCCGATAGTTTTTCCCGTATATTTCACGCGCTAACGCCCCAATGGTAGAGGTTTTTCCAGTACCTGGAGGTCCATAAAACAGTAAATGCGGCAGTTTACCCTCTTTGACAAATTTACGAACCGTTTCCACCACATTTGTTTGCCCATACACGTCGTCCAGAGTTTCTGGACGGTACTTCTCAACCCAGGGCAAATTCTCGGACGTCCTGGACATCTCTGGTCTTATTGGCTTGTAGGGTTTAGAATGGACTTGTCGATGCCAATTAACATATTGGCCTTTTTCATGCAAAACGAAGCTGTTAAAACGACCACGTGACCTTTATCAAGAAAACGTTTATTCGTGCGGCGATAAATGGGCCATATTCACCAGTACACAGGAAACAACAGTCTGGCAGAATTCGTGGCATATATGTGTATCGGTCTTCCCTATCTTGTTGTTCCTGCTATAGAGATGTGCTTCTCTTTTGAATTCATCATCTTGTACGCAAGTAATATTGTAATCGCTTTATACGCATTGTCTAAATCAAAGCTAAAATCACGTGACAGTGAATATCCCTCCAGACGAGCGCATCTAAGTCACATGCCTGAGTAATGATTTTAAAATCACAATATACGAAATTAATAAGAGCTTACGTCATTTGCCCCTTGACATGTACAATTTACCCCATCAACACGATCACATCGCACGAGTACCCCACCCTTTCCCCACCCCCAATTTTTTGGTCAGCGGCTGTTCTCCACTTTTGTGTCACGCTCCTTTCCAAACGTATATAAACCGCGAGTTAGAACTCCATCTTGTCTCAACAATTCCTCCCTCACAGTCATCCCTTCAAATGATCAAACGCCGATAAGAGGGCCGCCAAAGCGGCTTCTCCAAGAAGAAGCAGAGTATATATGTTATAGCGTAGATAGCATCGTCACTATGCTGTTTATAATCACGCCCTTAAGACACAATTTATAGAAGAGTTGTTTACATAGATGAATAGGGGCGAGACAAGTGCTTCGGCGGAAGCATTGATCAACAATGGCCCCGGGACCATAAGCGAAAATCGAATTGAGGGTACTACTCCGAGCGATACTGGGAACGAAAGCGCTAATGTGAGCAGCATGGGAAATGAGACCGAAAGTGAAAGCAACATCGACAGCAGTGACTTATTCAAGGATGGGCCCGACGAATGGGAAGAAAATCTCACTAGACAGGCTATGCTTTTGCGCGACAGCTCCCACAACGTGGAGGCTCACCTCTTCGACGTGGCTCCCATCGAAAACGTGACTCCGCGCGAGCGGCTGGCACCGCAGCTCGCGGATCAGTATGTCCCCTTCATTACTGGCGGGATGGACGAGTACTGGAAGCTGTATCGGGAGTCCATAGAGCAGCCGGGACGGTTTTTCGGAGAACATGCACGACGCTTATTGTCCTGGAGCCGTATGTTCGACGCAGCATACTATCCAGCGGGCACAGGCGGCGCTGGAGGCTCCACTTTGCCCACGTTCGATTCTACCGCCTGGTTTATTAATGGGCAACTGAATGCGTGTTACAATGCTGTGGATCGATGGGCGATCAGCTGTCCCGACAAAATCGCGCTCATTTACGAAGCAGATGAGCCCGGTAGCGGGTCTAAAGTCACGTACCGCGAATTGCTCGCAGAAGTGTGTCAAATAGCGCAAGTGTTGACGGAATCCATGGGCGTACGCAAGGGCGATACCGTCATTGTCTACATGCCGATGATTCCCTCCGCAATAGCCGCGTTGCTTGCCATTGCACGAATTGGAGCGATTCACAGCGTGGTTTTCGCTGGCTACAGCTCCAATTCGTTACGGGATCGTATCAACGACGCAGGTGCTCGGGTAGTGCTCACAAAACAAGAATCGCGCCGTGCCGGAAAAATTGTCGAGACCAAACGGATCGTGGATGAAGCCCTGAAGCAAACACCTTGTGTCGAATACGTCCTGGTATTACAACACCAGTCGCGCACTTGCAGAGACCGGACGGGTCTTCATGCGCGCAAGTACAATGCAAATAGTCATCATCACGAATCCGCGCTCCATCAACACCATCGCCATCATCGTCATCGGTTTCACCATCGTCGTCACAGTCATTTGAGCCAACAGCAAGCGAAACTTCAGAGTTCGAACGGCGGTGGGAGCAACTACAATCTTCGTAGTTCTTCCTCCATCTCACCAGATTCTTCAATGTTCGGCCAGAGTAACCTTACTGAACTTGACTGGCTTACAGAAGTTAGTCGGTATAAACCCTATTGTCCTTGCGAACCTTTGGACTCTGAACACCCATTGTTTTTGTTATACACCTCTGGGTCAACAGGAACTCCTAAGGGCGTTTTGCATGCCGTTGCAGGCTACTTACTGGAAGCACGCATGTCGATGGAATACGTGTTTGACGTTCACGCTAATGACGTGGTTTTCACTGCTGGCGATATTGGATGGGTCACAGGCCACACTTATGTCGTTTATGGTCCACTACTTTCCGGTTGCACCACAGTGATCTTTGAAGGTACTCCGGCGTATCCCTCATACTCGCGGTATTGGGATATCATCGACCGGCACAAGGTCACACATTTCTACGTGGCACCCACAGCACTACGCATGCTCAAGCGCGCCGGCGATGGACCTCTCGAAGGTTACGATTTGACCAGTTTACGTTGTCTGGGAACCGTTGGTGAACCCATAGCAAGGGAAGTATGGGAATGGTATGCGGAAAAAGTGGGTCGTGGTCGGGTACCCGTGATCGATACCTACTGGCAAACCGAATCTGGTTCTCACATGATCGCACCTTTAGCCGGAGTCACACCATTGAAACCTGGTTCCGTTTCGTTACCATTTTTTGGCATTGACGCGGTGGTTCTGGATACTGTCACAGGAAAAGAGCTGGAGGGACCATGTAAAGAGGGAGTCCTAGCAGTTCGTCGGCCTTGGCCCTCATTCGCGCGTACATTGTGGAGAAATCATTCCAGATTTAACGAAGTTTACTTCGAACCATATCCTGGTTACTATTTCACCGGAGACGGAGTGGCACGCGACAAAGATGGGTTTTTGTGGATCCTGGGACGTGTTGATGATGTGGTGAATATTTCAGGTCATCGTCTTTCTACTGCGGAAATCGAAGCCGTTGTTTCAGAAGACGAAACTGTCGCCGAATGTGCTGTGGTGGGGTTTGCAGATGAACTCACAGGTCAAGCCGTGGCGGCGTTTGTCGTGCTGCGAAATAGTGCCTGTTGGGAAAACGCAAGTGAAGATGAATTGCAAAGTATTAAAAGACGCATTCTTGTCATTGTTCGTCGCGATATCGGATCTTTTGCTACTCCCAAACTTATTGTACTTGTAGATGACCTTCCAAAGACACGGTCTGGTAAAATAATGCGCCGGATCTTACGCAAGATTTTGGCAGGTGAATCCAATAAACTTGGGGATGTGTCAACGCTTTCGAATCCCGGTGTCGTAAAGCATTTGATTGACAGCGTGCAGTTCAAATGAGCAAGGGAAAGAAAGTGAAGTTCATTCGACAAAATATATCAAAAATAACCACGAACATAAGTAAATACCATACAATTGAACTTTGTAGATCGATCATGGACCAAGCATCTACACCAGAAGTGACATCCTTGGATCAAGATCTTCGGGAACTAAGAAATAACAAGTTTTCAACGGAAGCTATCGATGAAATAAGTGAATGGGTTTATTTGACGATACTAAAGAAAGGACAATGCCCCCCACATTTTTTAGAATCTTTGAAAGACGGTGTAACGTTATGTGAATTGGCCAACATACTTTCTGCTGCTGACTCTGGCAAATCAATCAAAATCAGGACCGGTAAATCACCGTTCATGCAAATGGAACAAATATCCCAGTTTCTCTCATTTGCTAGACTATATGGGGTTCCCGAAGATGAATTATTTCAAACTGTAGACCTATACGAAGACAAAGACGCAGCTTGCGTTTATCAAACTTTGAAATCAGTTTCACGGTATGCGAACCAAAAGCATCCAGACCGATTTCCGGTTATTGGACCCCAAATCGCTGCAAAACGGGCCGGACCACCGGTCAAGTCTAAACCTGATCATCTCAAATCATGGAGCACATTGGAATACGGGTATATGAAAGGTGCCAATCAAGCCAGCGAGAAAGTCGTTTTTGGCCGCAGAAGGGACTTTAACTGAATCAGCGTTCATGTCTCGTAAACTCAATGATTTCCCCCACGAACCTTGACAGCTCGTCCGGTATCATATCCAAATCTTCACTTGCCAATGTTAACGGTTTGCGCAAATGCCGTACAACGGCCCATACTCCTGTCATGGAATCACATTTGATGATTTGAGATTCGTACTTGGGATTCTCCAGTTTCAACACCGAATCGTAATCACGATTCGGTGGAATGACAAGGACGCATCCGTTTTGCAATTCCCCTCTCCATTTCTCATAATCTTTAAAAACAGTTTCTGTTACTAAGATGACTCGATGTGCACTAGACTTCAACTGATCGGTATCCGTTTCGGTCCCGGTTTCGTCCCGTTCGCGGGTCAAATACAAATAAGTAAACAGAGTCGCGACTGCTCCGAGTCCAGCAAGGGCCCATTTGACTCTAGATGTTGTCTTTCTGGACATCGCTGTTTGGTGACATTACCAGGAATTATTAACTTTCAAGTTTTCAAGATTCCGAAATTCTGAAATTCGACCATTTGAAGAAGCGGGACCTTTGGAGTAACGTAAAGGGACTCGTAGTGACTCACTAACAATGATCCATGCCGGTGTGCTGTTCTCAGCGTCGACGGTTCACTTAGAACACATTACAATGGCTTTAAACTGTTTGACACCGTTTGGTATTAAAGACGATGTGATGATCTATATCGATAAGGACGGACTTTCGTTTTCCAGACAAAACAACCACGTTATAACGATCAGTTTGTTCCTGTCGAAGGAACTGTTTATATCGTATGACTACCACAGTGGAGAGGATCTTAATGGGTACACTCAATTGTGTTTGAAGATAAATCATTTGTTAGACAGTATCAATGTGGTTAACAGGAACAAAGATGATGTTGTCGAATGTACACTTTCGTATAATGGTGAAGGATCTCCGTTTACGCTGATCTTTGAGGATTCGTTAATCACGGAGAAAGTTGAGTATTCCACGTATTTGACGAAAGAGCCCGACGCGACAGGACTTGAACTTAGTAACGACGAAGTCGTTTTCAATTGCATTATCAAAGGTGACGTGTTGTACAGTGCCATGCAAGATTTGAAAGAAATAGGGTGTAGAGAATGCTACTTGTACGCGATGACAAAGTCCGACGATAAAAACGTTTTGGCGTTGGTTTCCAGAGGGCAACTCGGACTTTCTAAAATTTTATTGCCTTCAGAACGATCGACTCTAGAGAAATTAGAAGTGATAGATCCTGATACTGGTTCTCGCGTGTTTGACGTACCCGTGATCGGATTTTTTGATTTTTCTGCTTTCGATAAAGTGCGAATGAGCGCTAAGATCGCCAGTAAAGCGATGTTGAAAAAAGATGTACATGGACTCCTTAGCGTAAACATATTGAGCGACACGAACGATGTTGTCGTCAACAATCCGAAGGGACCCACACCGGCAACAAATCGGAATACCAGTTTACCCAGAGATTATCCAGGAATTGTGACCGAAATTGCTCTACTAGAGAGAGCAGATTTCGAGCCCACGGACAGGAAAGAAATTGAACTGTTTATGAGTTTCAACGAAGAAGATCGGGCCGGCACCGACGTCTACAAACCGCGATGCGAACAAGCCGCATCAAAACCTGTCCCCACGTCGGAAATCAACGACACCAACTTGCTACACATTGGCCAGGCGCCTTCACGAGACGACAACGACAACGCGGCTGACGATAGTTTCCGTCCAGCCGCAAACGACATCCCACTCTTTTTCTAGCACTGTAAAGATATGGAATTAATTTGCATTACAATATAAAACGCTATATCACCATTCCTTAATCAAAGAGACGGCATTTTGACAATACCCTTGGCGTTCTCATGTAAACATGCGAGACGTTTACTGGGAGAAGTGTTCCAAGATCATTTGGCGCTCTTCGGTGTCGGCACCCCAGTTTCTGACAACAACAACAGAAGCGCCAACAACCTTTCTGGCGTTACCTTCGCGGTCGACTTTACCCAAACCGGCCCATTCACCCAATTGCTTGGCGTCGGCAACCTTGATCAAAGGAACCTTGTTTTCTGGGTCGTTGGCCAAACCTTCGACAAGCTTGATGATGTTGTCTTCGGTGACAGAGTCGACCAAAACAACCAATTGGGCTTCACCTCTGGTTAGAGCCTTGGCAGATTCTCTCAAACCTCTGGCCAAACCATCGTGAACCAAAGCGGTTCTCAAGACGACCTTCAAGGCGTCTTCAATGGTGACAGCTTCGGTAGCTTGTTCAACGACAACTTCTTGGACTTCTTCAACGTCAGACATTATTTGCTTCTAATTGACTTCTTCGACAGGCGAACTGCTCAGTACTTATTTGAGAAGAGGTTAAAAATCCAAGTCTATCTCATCACGACGTTCAAGTTTGAAATTTTTCACCTTGAAGGGCTTTTCGTGCAAACGGATATGAGTCGTATGAGGAGACCATTAGTAAACCGTATAGAGAGACAAGATAATTGAGGACGAAAATTGCATAATGTTTTTGAGATGCAAGATTGAAGAGGTGTGGGTGGAACATCTGTTTTTTGTTTGATTTTCTAGGAAATGTACGGGTGCGAGTCATGGATATTTTTTCCTAACAAACAGAAGCCTCTGTAAGCGAAGCCCTGAAGGAGCCCTAATGTTAAGAAGAGTTCAAAATTGTGGGAAACCTCATCAACTGACCGTTGAGTGAACGTTGAGAAATTCGTGGACATCGGGGATTAATGTTGGGTCATACACGGTAACCTACTTGAAAATTACATATGCGCGAAATCATGCCAGCATGAGAAAAAAAAATCTGCTACTATATCTCCATTTCGCCGGCAAATTCCACCGGTTCCGCACTCATATCGCCAGCCAAGTTCATGTTCATAGCATCATCTTCATCGTCTAGAATGGCAGACTCGTCTTCACGTTCGTCTTCGTCTTCAAAATCGAGATCGAAAAAATCGTCGTCACTCCCGACAATCTTCTGAAACAAAACTCTGGCAGCGGTGATGGCTTCATCATATGAGATTTCGGCGGAGGGCAAACTCGTATATAGAACTCCGTTGTCGCTGGCTCCAGGAATCAGTTTGCCCTTGTTGGTGGTGTTGACATCGAAGATGCCCGAGTCGACCACCTCAAACGCCGGCGTCGATGTGCGCTGTTTGAAGTACAGTTTCGCCAAAAAATTGAGCCTTTCCCTTGGAACGTATTCTTTGAAAGATTGGCCAAGCTTTACAGAGTTCAGGGTGAGATGGCCGTTAACGCCCACTTGTATGAAACTTTCGTCGTTTTCCAAGTCAGCTGAAGATTCACGCATGATGCTCTCCTCTAGGGCGTTCAAAGCTGCATCGAGGTCCATTTCGCCTCTAACCCCCACTTCAGTTGTGCTCAAATACCAGAGTGCCGTGCCCTGTGGACAAACTTCGCTTCCAGCACCCATAATCAAACTTTGTACGGCTTGTCGGTTCCCACTCTTCAAAGAGTTTGGTGGGAAAACCACAACGGCGGCATTTTCGCCTTCGCCAAACCATTCAGAACAAGGTTTCTCGACGACACAGGCCAAACGCTGAATTTCGTATTTCTGTTCCGGCACATTTTGGCTGTTCTCTGGCGCTTGCGACGGAGACATAAGAACTTGTTCCGTGACAAGTACTTTTGATCCGTCGCTGAAAAGAGCCGTTTTAGAGGTTGGATCAAATGACACCAATTTAGAATTCAATTTATAAGTAGCACCGGCCACAGCAGCAGATCGGCAGAACCCCTGTGAAAGCTCACCGGGCCCACCAAATTTGGAATATAGTACAGGGAACGGACCGTAGACATCAAAACTCATCAGGAACCGACGTATCCTTTGCAGAGCAGCAGGCGTCTTGACATCGATATTGTAGCATAGTCCGATGGAAAAGATAAGCTCAAAAACTTGAGGTCTTTCCAACTTGAATTTTTCGTGTAAAAAAGTCGCCACAGGTTTGTCTGCATAATCCGTCCATACTTCCGGCTGATTTTCCCATTCCAACACAAATTTGATGAATTTCATCAAGTTCCGTTTAATCATCAAAGGTAGTGACGGATTCGTGAAAATTTCTTGCTTGGTATTGGTCAATTTTTCAAAAGAATCGTTTTCGTAAGTGTGAAAGTTGGACAACGATTGAAACTCTAGGTACTGGTGAACTCTGGACTTGACCAACACCGTCAACAGGTCCGATTTGGCGAACAGAATCCTTGGTGACAAATCAATACCAAAATCTTTGGATTGGAATCTAGAGTTCACGCCAATGGCACTGGAGACTTGCAACTTGGCGTTCTCATAGCCCCGAAAATTACCTGCATTGGTGTCCTGCACCCATTGCTTCAGTTGGTCGATAGTGAGAGTTGCAGACCCATCACCATAATATGAATTGGAATCAATATGCAACACATTGGACCCCTGCCATGATAATGCGGCCGCCAAAATACTCTCTACCAGACCCGTACCCGCTATCATTACGTCCACTTTCTCAGGCGTCGTTTCTGGCAATGGATCCTCAATTCCCGCAAGATGAGGCACAATAAGTGATGGCCTTCGATAATCCATGAACGGCGAAGTCGCATCTAACGCAGACGGACGACGTTCCGCCATAGAAGCTCGTCTTTCTGGGGCATTCATTTTATCTGGCAACTCCGCTTCCAAACCGATGATTCGAGCTTTTTCGCCAAGAATGACCAAAATTTCTCAAACTCGCCAATATCAAACTTTTCTAGCCAGCCAGAGCACCTAAAAACGTCGTTCAAACAGCTCCGGAAAATAGAAATTCTCTGTTAAATCTCTTGAATATCCAAACTCCCCAAACCAGTTTCTTCAGTAATACCTATTCTGACTTTTGGTTGGTTCATCAATCATCCATGCCCACTTCGATATGTTTAAGAAAAATCTTCATGAAAGTATCACAGCACGTGATCATCAATAATCGGATCATGTGAAAACAACAAATACCAGCATTGACATAATGAACTGATAGATGATGCCTATCAAGAGAATAAGACTCAATGATGTGCCTGATTATTTCCGCTAAGACAGCGTAATAAGGTAGAGCTCTTAGATGGGCTCTTTTGGATATTTGTTTTGATGTCCAGAGTCAAGAATTGAGTAATTTGGGGGTAGAAACCATTGGTAGTATGCATATGGTTATAGTTCCTCTTAGGTAAACTTGCTTGATGTCTTTGGTTTTCGCGACTAGTCCTCCGACGATGTAGAGAAAGCCATTAGAATAAATTGTCACAATTGAGTTTAAGCGGTAAGTATCGGCCCACGGTTTGGGCACTTCGCCGCTCTGGACGCGGTGTTCTTCTCCAACAAACAGGTTGCTAAAAGTCATGTTGCCGATGTTCAGTAAATGGAAAGTTGCCGGCTTGACTTGTTCATGTGGCGATTCTTCCTCAACAAACTGCTGTGTGGGCCAATGTTTCTTCACGTCCTCTTGCGTGAACCCCCCCGTTAAGATTGCGGCGGGACCTGCTCGGACCAAAGTGTGTCCAACCATTGTCAAGTCCCCTTGAATTCTTTTGCCATTGTTTCCCACCATGTAAGTGGGACTTCGAGACCATTCTTCTGTATCTAAATCGAAAAACCACATATCACCGTAAACTTGATCTTTGTTCGAACCTCCATGAATGACAAGAGTCTTGCCCACTGGTCGTGAGTGAGAAGATTCTCTTGCAGTTAACGGATCCAATTCACAGTCAGAGGACTGTTGGTCAATGTCGGTGTCCGATTTAAAAGTCGCCGACCGTCGCCTCTGGGCTTGGTTTGACGATTTCGCGGCACTACCACCATCAACTGAGAAGTTTCTTTTCAAACTGGCGAGCATGATTTGAAGTTCTTCTTCCAAAGTAGGTTCATCGAGCGATGCCGTATCAAAAACTTGACAAGCATGAAACGCTCTCTTAGCGGGCCACGTTGGACAGTCCAGATCTAGTGGTACACATGGGAACATAGTTGCCAAAGCGGTATCGGCAAATTTGAAATAATTCCTTTTGCCTCTTGCAGTCACGGTCACTTCGATTTTCCACAAATCTCTCAAGACCGTATAATCGTCATCGCCACTTTGTCTATACCCACCCATGACCAATATGGTGTAAACTCCAGAATTCAAAGACCCTGACAGTTTGTTATTCAAAATGCGTTCTGGAGTGCCAGCCTTAGATGGATTGGATTCTGTCCTTATTGGTAAAGAGTAAGGACTGTTGGACGATACACCTTTGCTCAAAATGCTGTCGTTCAAATCCTCATGGTGATCATGCGGCTCGACGTTAGTGCACGACGGACACTTCACTGGTGTCATAGAGCTGTGTGCAACAGAGACTTGGGAATGACCAAATCTCGGTACCGTGGATGGATATGCGGTGAATGAAGTCGGTTGCGCAATAAGCTCAACTTTAGAAAATTTGAACGTTATCACGTCCAATACGTAGCCCGTGTTATTCAAATAAGCCCTTTTCTTCAAATAAAATTTGCCCGTCTTATCATCGATACTAGTTTCTGTTTTAATTTCAAATCCACCGTAACAGAAAAGGTGTCGTTTAGTCAGTATCGAAGCAGTCATACAGAGTAACGGAGGAGGGATTTGACCCGTCATGTGTGGCTTGCGAACGCGGTAAGATGCGGACGAAACCACGAAAAGTTCATGATTATTGACCATGGCAGGACTGTTGACCACGCTTTCAATCAAGGGTGGCGGCAAATTCTTGACTCCGTCGACCCGGAACATGCTCAGATCCGGGATTTCATCAGAGTAATAATAAGATGGTGTCAACCCTCCCATAATGTAGATATGGTTCCCAAGTTCGACTGCGCAATGGTATACAAAAGGGGGTAGTTTCATTTCGCCGAATAAAGGCGGCATCGTGAAAGATCCGAGAAAAGTGTTGTGTTCCGTTGGGTCTGCAGACGCATGGATCGTGGCATTGGTAAAAATCCATGAATTTTCTCGTCCCATGGGCACGGCTTTAGCCGATTGTTTGGGCCCCAAAGAGGAACTGGAACTGCGAGACGTCAACGCGGGTCCATCATCGTAACCTTCAGGACTTGCAATGTCCCATTTCATTATTGGGAACCACATATTGTGTCTTTTCGTTAGTTCGGGACTTTCTTGGTCCGGAATGGGTAACTTCGAACAATAACTCAAATAGCCTTTATTTACCACTTCTGGTGAATATTTTTTGTCCTTGCGTGGCTTGCGTAATGGAGTCTGATGATCGCTGAGCAGACGGCTCAAATTTGGCTGTGCAGGTCTCAACCGTGCGTTCCGTTTCGGACTGTCAGCTGACAATTGTGTATCCGAAGCACCACTTGTCACACTATCGTGACGCGACGTGTGTACTTTTGACCCATAATACGACAGCAGGGAACGTTCATTGTCCAATTTACGTCTTTCCGCTGGCATGTCCATAAGATCGTTTCTTACTCCAGAGATGTAATTGTTAAGAAACTGAGGTGGTTTCGCCACTTTTTCGTACTGTTCCTTCGAGCTCATCGTCAAATTCATATGACCAGACACATTGTGCGTCCCTACACCATTTCCCGTACTAATTGCACTTCCTGCACTTCCTCCACCTCCTACACTCACCGCATTCACTTCCAGGTTTGTCCGAGACTCCACTTCCAGTCGTTCCGCCAGCCGTTCTGACGAATTCGATACAATTGTTTGCATGATCTACGTCTCCTGTGAGACACCAGAAAGACTCACTACCTCGAATTCCTGGGTTCCCTTGGCTAGAGCTTTTTAACTGAAAAGGTTCCTGATCTTAATCGCCAATGAATCGTTATTTATCTAAGGGGTTCAATAAGCGGCTCGTTGGTAAAGTTGAAGGAAGTTACCCGGCCAACAACACGAAAGTATATAACGAGCGACTATCGGTAATGTATTTAGGAACAGAGTGAACCTATGAAATAGAATTTCTGCTCAATTGGCGGTGTTGGGAGGGTTGTGGTGGATTTCGGGTGACTGTATCGGTTGCCGTGGGTTCGCATTGCCGTAAACGCGCTTTTCAGCGGCGAAAAACGGTCCAAAAAGGCCCAGATCCGGTGAGATCTGGTAATCGTAGCACATTGTAGCCCTTTGGGAATGTAGGATGTACTCCGTTTACCTTCTGTTACTTGCATTGTCTTATATACCGTCCCTCCGAGCAAGGTATCCACCTTGCCCGAGCCTAAATACGTGTATCCCATGATGTTCCTTATGTCCCGTCCTCCGATGCGTTTTCACATGTATTCGGCACTGTTTTTTGACGCTTGGGTCTGGAGCCGGCGTTGTTGGCGTTGGAGGACATCACCATTTCCGACTGTGACCGTTTCAAAACCGGTTTGCGCCTTCGCATCGCGCCTTCACCGCCCATGACCGTTCCCTTGGCAGAATTGAAGGAAGTGGCGTCCGTGACAATGATTTGAAACTTCGGTTGCCTTCGTGACGTTTTCTTGTTCGTGTGGTTGCCGCTGCTGCCTACCGTGGTGGTCGCACCTGCGATTGTGGGTGTCGACGCAGATCGTTCGCTCCTGAACGAGCCCATCTTGGGCAATTCCGGTATTTTCAACGCAGTGACATCCATTTCGAAACTGGAAGGTTTAGGAGTCGGTGAAAGTGGTAATTTTTCTAATTCAAACAACCGTTCGTCGATATTGGTTTCGTGAGATTTTAACGAACTTTGTGAAACGCTACAATTCGCCACGCTGCCGCTCTCACGACCGCGCGCACGATTACCAATGGGCCCCAATTTGTCACGCGCAGATTTTGTCACAGAAGAATTTAACTGGATCGTGGTGGGAGACGACCCATATTCTTCAAGTTCTGGGTCATCGTTGTCCGTCGTCGTACTCTCACGTCGTTTTTTGGCAGGTTGCGGAGTCTGCAACACTTGGGATACATCCTTGCGGGCACGTTGGAAATCGACCAACGCGCTGTTCGACGACGCAAGCATCCGCGTATACGGCGTCCCTATATCAGTCAGAACACGTTTCCCATAGGGTGTCAGCGACAGGTACCGTTTTGACGGGGAAGTTGACGACGCTTTGTTGCGCGGGTTGAACATGAGATTGACATCGATGTTACGCAGTGGAGTGGCCTGTTGTTGTATAGCGGGCGGTTGTAATGTGTTCTGGAATTGCAAAGATGACCCTTTGCCAGAGCTGTGTGCGGATCCATTAAAAAACCGTAAAGGCGTCTTTGCAGGGGTCTTGTGCATTAGGTTGAGTCCCGCGGGGGAGTCAAATAAAAAGTCTTTGAATTGTTCGGGGGAGTTCAATAGAAACTCGCCGTTAAGTAACACAGACGATGGATGTACGCTCATATCGGCGAGGCCCGCGGCGCTGCCAGCGGCGCCAGCACCTGAACCGCCACCAGGTCCGGCGTTAGTCCTGTTTTCCGGTAACGGACCCGACGAGTCTCTGGAAACGTCTCTGGACGCGCCTGCCGCGTCTGTCGAAGCGTCCGCCGCATCCAGATGAATCTGGGCCTGCGAGTAAGGCGTAGGGAACTGCGTCGTAGTCGGCAGCGGGCTATTAAACGCGTATTTCATATTTTCCGAAATGACTCGAAAAAACGCTTCTTCCTCGCTATTTGGCTCCATACTAGCTGGAAAAAACTCGCGTAAAAACTCCGTATAGCTAATTACCTTGCTCCCAAATAGATGCGCTCACTCAAAATTCCTCAAATCGCCTCCAAAGTCTCGTTTTAGCCAATTTTTAGTCAGCTGTTCTGATCAACAAGAACTTGAGTTACTTGTTGATTTTTAAATTCCTTGCTTCAGCTTAAAATCGCGTTATCCGGGTAACAAAGTTGTTGATCAAGATTCGCGATCTCAAAACGAAAAACAGAGATCAACAAGTTGAAACCCAAATAACACGAGAAGAGCAAGGAATTTTGACCAAGAAGGGTCAAGATTGGGCCTATTTCAAGCCTTTTGAGCAACATATAGGTGCTCAGGATGGCGCTGGAGGTGTCGCCGTCGAGACAATTGAGCGAAGGTTTGAGTAAATTACACATAAGTTCGCCTTCGAAGTTCAAGTCTTATATCGCGAACGCGGATTTCGAAGACACCGGGTTTGATTCGCAAGTACAGCGAAATCGGAGCGACAACAAGTATTTGAGCAAGTTACAAAATTGGTCTGTGAATTACGGGAGCGTGAGACAGCGAGAGGTGGACGTGGAAGAGCAAGAGCCAGCGCAATGGAAACAGTACATGGGACGCAGCGCAGATGGAGAAGAGCCGATGAATTTGGTGGTAACTTCGTCGTTGAGCGATCTGTCCTTGATTCCGACCAATACGTTCAAGAAACGGGGCACAAAAGCGGGCGTACCGGGATTACAGAGCGGCTTGCGCGACGAGACAGACGTGGATGCGGATGCAGACGCAGATCCGGCACAAGAAGCACTGGGGGTGTTTAACAACGTTCTGCGACACCAGAGGTCTAATTATGTGGACTTGGGTTCTGGACAGAACCACGTGAACTCCGAGACGGACGCAAACCCGGAGTCGGCTGCGGCAGCGTCGGATTCGTCATTCGAAGATTCCATCGACGCGTCTGCACAGTCTCCGAGTGTGAACCGGGTGCGCGACACGGGACGGAATGCGCCACAAGATGTGCCCCACGATTCGTCGCATCGCGACTCGTCACGTCGCGACGGACCGCGTGGACTTACGCTCATTACACCAGAAGACGCAGGTATGGTTTTCAATTATAGAGAAGGTGTATGGGATCAACCGTCTGCCAATGTAGACATGTCTACGAGTGGCGCACATTCGTCGACAGTGGGTCAGGAAACGGACGACATGACTACGAGCATGGACGCTAAAGAGGCTTCGTTTCGATTGCCACGTATACGAGACTCTGAAGTAGATCAAACTGCAAGTGAGTCGCGAGTTGAAGCGGATACTACACCGTTATCGACACCCAAATTGGACTCGAAATTTTTGTCACACGCCCAACGGCCCAAACGAGACATTCGCGCCAGCATCCGGCGGCCGGACGTTACCGTAACCTCTACTGCTGGTGCCGGCACGGCAGACCGATCGACGTCTTTCCATGTGTCCAAAACCACGGTCATTTCTGCAGTCATGGATGCGGTTCCGCACCAGGACCAATGGACCCAGTTGCGACAAGTGTCACTTGTGGAGCGTGCATTGGAAAGCCTAGTAGGGCTCGACGAGATTTTGCCCGCTTTGCGTACATTAGACGCAAGCCACAATAAACTCAATTCGTTAATGGGCGTTCCGAGGACTTTAACTTCGCTGAATTGTTCGCATAATAGACTTGCTGCTTACACTACTCTGCACGAGTTTCCGGAACTCGAAAATTTAGACCTTTCGCATAACATGTTGAGCGGATCGCTTGCGGTGCTGGCACCTGCAATCCATTTACGACGTGTGAATCTGTCCCACAACACTTTGTCGTCGCTCAATGACTTGGAAACTGCTGAGTGTCGAATAGAAACGCTCAATTTGAGTCGAAATCGAATCATGGGTGTCCTCGATTTTGCAGAGGTCACGGCGTGGGGCTCACCCTCGCGAGACTCACCTTGGCAATATTTGCAAGAGCTGGACCTCTGCGGCAACAATATCACGAGCATCAAAAATTTGCATTTGTTGCCTCGGCTGCGCATACTAAGACTGGACGGGAACCCGCTAGAGACGCTCAAGGGCAATTCGAGTCGGTCGTTAAGGACATTGACGCTAATGAATTGCACTGCGCTTCGGGACTTGGGCGAATTTCCGCAACTGCGCGTGCTCAAGCTTAGCGGTGACAGTTTTGGGCCTCAAGCGTTGCCATTGACACTTGAATACTTCCAGATGACTGGCGGACGTACCGGCGCGCACGCCAGCGGCAAGGCCACTGACAAAGCCTCAGAAAGTGGGTCTATCTGGTCGCAGCTGCCTCCCTTCCTACGAAAACTCGAGCTCAGTCGAACAGGCATTACAGATCTACCGGACCGATTCCAGGACCAATTTCCAGCGTTGCATACGCTGTCGTTGCACGACAACAAGCTTTCAAGTGCCTCACGCGTGCTGTCACGCCTGCCTACCCACTTACGGAAACTAGATCTGAGAGGCAACCCAGTGACAGTTTTCACGTGCGAAGAAGATAAAGAGCTGTTTCTCAAGGCCACGAGCCTTGCAGCGCCGCTACTGGCCCGCGTGTACGTCTAGACGGGTGGAAAGCAGCTGCCAGCGGAGCAACCCTACCTTACAAGAAATTTGATAAAAGAAGTCTGACGGCGTGAGCAGTGCCAGGGCTTCCCGGAGCAACCCCGTGGTCGCCCGCGGCATCCTGGAAAGCTCACAAGCCGCCGTGTCGGAACAAAGTCGCATAGAAAAAGAAAACCCAAATAAACAAAAAGGCATCGGAAAAACATGGAAAAACCGTCAGAAAACGGACACGGATGAAAGCAGCCCTAGGACAGTCTAATGGCCTTCTCTGACACTCACCCGACCCATCCGACTCCGCTCGAACTGTTATTGGCATCTCCTTAAAAAGAAATGGGGCCTCTAAATAATGTCACCACATACGTAACAATCCGAGTTACCCATCTCTACTCATTCCAGTGGTTTCTCTTATCAACAACAACAAACTATCTTATCTTCTGTTTACACCTACGCTGCACTGGTAAACAAATAGGAGACCGAGATACGAGCCCAAGAGCAGCTTGAAACAACGTGCAATCAAATGACGCTTGTTTATGTTTATGATCGATGCGTCTCGATGAGACGCCTCGAGAATTGTGCCGATGGGCGAGAACACGTCGCCGCGCTCGCTGCGAAGAGCCGCGCAAAAAGAGTGTGAAGTGGTATAAAAGGCAGCAACTTCAAAGGGATGTTGGAATCGATCACAACAGATATGGTAGCCGAACCATAGCACACTTGAGCTTCAATTTGGAAACAACATCTCACAGAAGGTATCTTTTTTAACCGCCGAGCCCTTTTCAATTTGGAAAGGAGAGATATTATCGCTTTTAACGTATTAATACACGTGACAGTCACGCGACTCAAGCTTTTTAGAGCCGTGGACGACCCTAGTGACGCCTGCGACGGTCTTTGGTAGCGTACGGCAACGAGTTACCAGATCTGTGTTCCGTAGGTGCGAACGAAACGGCCGCGTCCCCTTTAACCTGACACTTTTGAGCGACACTCGTTGTGATACTTTCAGTGACAACGGAAACGAGACACAGACAAGAAAAGGTCAAGATCTTTTCAGTTTGTGAATTCGATCACTTCCCCCGCCCCCCAAAAAGCTTACCAATTATTTAAGTCAGAATGCTCGCGACCCCGCAAGTACCCGATATCGCTTCGCTATCGATTTCGTCAATGGCAGACTATCATAACTACGAGTTTCCCGGCAAAGACGCACAACGGGAAGCTGTGCTGGATCTCGTAGATCGGCAAGGTTTCATACCCGATGACGTGATCGAGCATGAAGTGGACTGGTTCTACGAGTCGCTTGGAATCGATGACCTTTTTTTCTCGAAGGAAAACCCGGAAATGATTGCCAATATCATACATACGCTGTACGCGTCAAAAGTACAGTCGTTTGCGAAAATTCGGATTCGAGGTGCGATGACCCCTGAAGCCATGCCAGCGGCGCCAGAGGCTCAGCTGGATGGCCATTTTGACTCGCAAACGGAAAACACCTTCCAAGTCAAGAGCAAAATCGTAACGGACTCCCATGCGGTTTTCATGGAAACTGGGTTCAGTCTTGACACCCAGATCGATGACGCGTTTTTGGACAGTACTGCAGAGTCATACCGACTCGTATCTTTTATAGCAGAAAATTCGCTGAAACTCACATTTGTGTATCGAACCGCGTTCGTCACCGACGGGGCCAGTGCTGCCAAGATATCGCAGGAACAGCTCATTCACGGCGATGTCGACAGTATCTGTGATGCCACGATGGTCAAGGTCACTTCTGCCAAGAACAAACGATTGTACGGGCTGATAATGAATCAGCTACGTCAGCGAGAAGGTCCCGTCATCAAGACGTTCCATTCCGTCGCAGACGCAGATGAAGTCAGAATCTTGATCGGTTTCAAGCGCGGCACCACTAAGCGCTACTACAGCGCGTTATCGTCGCTGTTGCACTACTATCACTTAAAGCCTTCCAAGATTTACCTCGAAACTTTTGCCAACGACGTTGTGATTTACTCCGTCTACTTGAGCCAGGCACAACAAAACGAAGTGGCACTTCAAAACTTGTCGATGTCCATTTTGCAAGTCGAAAGAGAAGCATCTCTCATGTATGCCATTCCTAGCAATTTTTTCCAAGACCTGTACCAGCAGCGGCAATTTTCGCCTCAGGAAGCCATTTACGCACATGTCGCTGCAATTTTCATCAACCATTTCATCAACAGACTGGGTGATGATTATGAAGAGTTGCTCACCGAACTCAACGTTTCCAGTGCCACCGCGAAAAACAGCAACAGTTTGCTAGAAGTGCTTGATAATTTGAAGAAGAAACTTAGAAATGAAACTTATACGCAACAAATGATCATTGATGTGCTTCACAAGTACAGCCAAATCGTCTCCAAACTTTACAAGAATTTTGCACAGATTCATTACGTTTCCTCTTCTAAGTTCGAAAAAACACTCTCTTATCAAAGACTTTCGCAATTGGAGCCCTTCAAAAATACTGCGGAGTTTGAACTTTATTTGAACAAATACATCCCAAACGATTCTCCTGCATTACTAGTCCTGCAAACGCTGAGCCTTTTCAACAAATCTATTTTGAAGACAAATTTCTTTATTACAGGCAAAGTCGCCATTTCCTTCCGACTAGATCCTTCGATCATCATGCCACGGACAGAATTCCCGGAAACCCCATATGGGATTTTCTTCGTTGTGGGTAACACTTTCAAAGCATTTCATATAAGATTCAGAGACATTGCAAGGGGTGGTATTCGTATCGTTTGTTCCAGGACGCAGGACATTTACGATGCCAACTCTAAAACTGTGATTGACGAAAATTATCAGCTTGCATCTACTCAACAGCGTAAAAATAAAGATATTCCAGAGGGCGGTTCAAAGGGTGTCATCTTGTTAAATCCGACGATGACGTCTCAAGAAGAAACCTTTTTAGCATTTTCTCAATATGTCGATTCGATCATTGACATCTTGATTAAAGATCCCTTAAAGGAAAAATATGTGGATTTGCTGAAAAAGGAAGAGATCTTGTTCTTTGGACCTGATGAGGGAACGGCAACTTTTGTCGACTGGGCAACCAAGCATGCCAAGAGTAGAGGGTGTCCATGGTGGAAATCGTTTCTCACCGGAAAATCACCTCAAATGGGTGGAATTCCGCATGACGTCTACGGTATGACATCTCTAAGTGTGCGCTCTTATGTCAACGAAATTTACAAGACTTTGGGCTTGGAAAAGCAATGTGTGAGAAAATTTCAAACGGGTGGACCTGACGGTGACTTGGGCTCGAACGAAATCCTTTTGTCTTCTCCTAACGAAGTATACGTGGCATTGGTAGATGGCTCGGGTGTATTATGCGATCCAAACGGACTTAGAAAAGAGGAGCTGATCAGACTTGCTCGTGAGAGGAAGATGATTTCGTTTTTTGACGTTTCGAAATTAAGCGCCCAGGGCTTTTTCGTCTCAGTCGACGAAGTGGACAGACCGCTCCCAAATGGAGTCATAGTGGCTAACGGGACCACGTTTAGAAACACGTTCCACTTGGAACTCTTCAAATTTGTCGAGAAAGTTGATCTTTTCGTGCCCTGTGGCGGGCGACCAAATTCCATCGACATTGGCTCATTACATTTCTTAATCGATGCGAAAACCAACAAATGCAAGATTCCATACATCGTAGAGGGCGCAAACTTGTTTATTACGCAAACTGCTAAACTGGCACTCGAAGAACATGGCTGTCTGTTGATCAAAGACGCCACGGCCAACAAAGGCGGTGTGACATCCTCGTCGATGGAAGTTTTGGCTTCTTTGGCGCTCAATGATGCTGATTTCATCACCAAATTCATTGGCAATGATCCAAGCGTACGGTCTCCATTGTACCAACAGTACGTGAGTGAAACACAAGCAAAAATTCAAAGAAATGCCAAATTGGAATTTCAACAATTGTGGGCCCTAAATCAAAAGACCAAGACCCCGATTTCAGAGTTGTCAAATGTGTTGTCGCGAGTCATCAACAAACTCAACGACGAACTTACCGATTCAAGTGAAATTTGGGCCAATGATTTGAAATTGAGAAATTATCTTCTGTTGCAGGAAATCATACCAAAACGTTTGATAGACGTGGCAGGCAATGAAGCAATCTTGCAAAACATTCCGGAATCATATTTGAGAGCATTGCTATCCAGTTTTTTGTCCAGCACTTATGTCTACAAGAATGGAATTGACGTAAATGTCGGCAAATTTTTGGAATTCATCGGCGACTTGAAAAGGAAAGCTGAGCAGTAATGGTTCCGATGTATATACCTCGCGACCAATTGAAAAGATTCCAGCTCGCGAGCCGGTCCTTTTAGTGATGCTAAATAACTCACTCCATCTTGATTAGAAATAATGACTTACACAGGAGGAAGTAGAAGAAAATAAACGAAATTAAGCACTTGGCGGAAGCTAGGCTAGAGACATAGCTTCTTGTACCTTCTATGGGATTGACATGTACCAGGACAAGTCCGTTCAAGAGTTGACCGAGATAATCGATGATCTTACTCGATCCATCAATTTGTTGGAATCAATAGGACATTATGGGGCTCCATCTTTGCAAGAAGAACTCGTGAGCTCTTCCAATCTAACAGATCTGTTGGTCAAGACGCAAGAAACCTCTAACAACAATCCGACAAGACCTTCCAGTGGAGCTCCCTTGAGCAAAGTGTTGCTATCCACGTCAGTGTGCCATAAGATGCTTCAACACGCGGGAAACGGTGGAGACATTGAAGTCATGGGAATGTTGATAGGAAGGGTCTTTCATAACAGTTTTGTTGTATTTGACTGCTTTTCACTGCCTGTCGAGGGAACAGAGACCAGAGTGAATGCTCAGTCGGAGTCTTATGAGTATATGGTCAGTTACGTGGACGAGCTTTACGGAAAAGATAGCAAGAAATGGAAAGTTGTGGGCTGGTACCATTCGCACCCGGGATACGACTGTTGGTTGAGCAACATTGACATCGAGACCCAGAGACTGAACCAAAAATTTCAAGACCCTTACGTGGCTCTTGTCATCGACCCGAAGAAGTCGACACAGAACGGAAAACTTGCCCTTGGAGCGTTCAGAACAATAGATGAGAAGACTGACGGTGGCGAAAGTGCGGCGTCTAATCTGGCCCTGTATTCTAACACTAATCATGATTCAGCAATGCAATACTATGAGCTTGAAATTTCAGCATTCGACAGCCAACTTGATGCTCCGTTGAATAATTTTTCTGCCAAGAGTACAGCACCACTCGAAACAACATCAGATGAGGGTTTGTTTCTGCTTGAACAATTGCTCGAGATTGTAAAGAGCTCTCAAAATTTCGACAATATGAGGAGGACCGGTCCCTGGGAAATTCCCAATATTATCAATACAGGTGAAATGGCTTCGGAACGACTCAATGACGCCGAAGCAGCTCGGGCAGCTGAAGACAGTGCTGAAGATATCTTTGAGCTGAAGGTTTGCAACTCAGCTGACAGCGACAGTGACGTAGAAATGGGTTCCAATACGGCCGGCGACACGACCGCTGAACGTAGTAGTATCTCAACGGATATGGTCGAACAAAATGCTGGGGAAACCGTTAATGCGGGCAACACCTTGAGTTTACAAAATGAGTTTCTGTTGAGAAGGAAAAGATTGCAAAGATTTAAACTACAGGAGTACCGTGACTTGCGGTTCTTTCGCGATTCATTTCTTATATGATTTCATCTATAGAAATGCCACAAACGGGATCTTTAGTAGTATCGAACTTGTCCGATGAATAAGAAATGCCAATCATATTTGGATTTTCAGGATTACACGCTACGATATTCAGTCTTGAGCCATTGGAGGTCGGGATGCCGGTTAAAGTGTACTCAGCAGCATTATCTTCTGATTTAGTGGAGTGACGTGACAATCCACCAAATTCGACAAAATCGCTGTCCCATTGCAGAATGCACCCGTCAGCTGTACCCATTGCAAGACCGTTAACGTTAATGGAACCCTTGAATTTTTGGCTGTCGATTCTGAAGGGAAGCACTAGCTCGTTGACCAAGGAACAATTCTGCCGTGTGTCCAAAACGCAAATACGATCAGAGTTTCTCGTTACAACGTATAGGAAATGGCCGTTCAAGCTGGACAAGAGCTGTGTTACACCGCCGTTACCGGTATGATTTTTTTCGAGATTTGACACGTTATAACAAGACGGTGAACGCGGATCAAGCGTATAAAGTTCACTTTTGTACGTGCCCAAGTAACGAAACGTTTTACTAGACTCTGAGGCGTCTTCATTGAAGCTCGAAACAATCGATTTGGCGGTCAAAAAGCTTTTGGTGCTATCGCGTCGGCACTGGAATTCTCTCACAGCGTCTCCTTTGTTTAAATCATAGAGCGCAATTTTGTTTCTGGCCATTCCTGCGAGAAAAGCGACGTCATCCCAAAAGGCTAGCGAATAAACCGGCTCGTAGCGATCGTTCAGCGGATTAGCCACGTCGTAGCGGAACAAAGCAGGGTGCTCCTCCGCATGCCCTGAAAGCGAGAAAAGTTGAATTGGCAAGTCTCGACAGGAAAGAAGCACCAAGTTGTAACAAGAATCTGCGAAAAGCGAATACTGTGGATGAACACATGATTCCATAATAGATTGTCCCCTGAAGAATCTCTTGAACGGAACAAGCGACGTCTCGGTGTCTTCTGGTAATAGATACTGACGAATTCCCAAGTCATTATGAACCGTCATGAAAGATGCGCCATCTCTGGACCAGTGAAATTTCTCACAAATAATCGGCTGCCTGAAATCAAACCTCCAAGTCGGTTTCCGATACTCATTTGAATGAACTGACCTTTCAAGTTCTGGGAATTCGTAATTTAACCTCCTGCTGAGCGTTTTCGACGCTTCGACTTCCAGGTTCCAGCTTTTTTTGACATCTCGGTGATGAAACGTGTTGGAAGTGTCAAACAAATGTCTGAGATGGCTCATTAGATCATGGTTTGATGGTATTCTTTTGTTCGGTCGGCTTAGTTTTGGTTTTGCTTGATGATCGAATTGATGATCGAGTCGAAGTTTGAGTTGAAGTCCGAGTTGAAGTTTCTGAAATTTTTCAAGAACTCATCATCATGAAATTCAAGAAAGTCTTGATAGTAGTGATAGGGATCTGAGCATTGATTGATACTTGTAATAGAAGTCCACCAATAGAGTCCCGATAGCTCGTCTAGCACTCAATCCAGAACTCTGAGGTACCATGGTTTATAGAGGATTTGGTCTGGAGCAGGTGACTCCTCCTACGAACAAAAGCCTGAGCGAGATGACACCGGAAGAACAAGGTGAACATGGTGCCCAGATGATGGTCAGTTTCATGACTTCTTGTCCTGGGAAATCGGCAATAAGTGGAGTAACGGGTTTTGCATTGGGCGGTGTTTTTGGACTTTTCATGGCTTCGATGGCTTACGATACGCCCCTGCATTCGCCAGCTGCCGGAGCTGCTGCCGGAGCTGCCGGCTTGCCAAATACGGTGCAACAAATGGCGGATTTACCTTTAAAACAACAAGTTAAATTACAATTTGCTGATATGGGGAAACGAGCGTATTCAAGTGCCAAAAATTTCGGTTACATCGGTATGATTTATTCTGGTGTTGAATGTGCGATCGAGTCTCTTAGAGCCAAAAATGATATTTACAATGGGGTCGCCGCGGGATGTTTGACAGGCGGTGGGCTTGCTTATAAGAGTGGTCCCACAGCGGCACTTTTGGGTTGTGCAGGCTTCGCAGCGTTTTCTACCGCGATAGATCTGTATATGCGGCAAGAGAATGGTACACCGCCCAAGAACGATTTTGACGATTAAAGGATGGGCCCTTATCTTGTATATTACAACTTGTACACATAGACGTTTAAAATAATGAGAATTACAATGCAGATTGACCAAAATGTGATTTCCGAATTATGCCGATTTCTTGCAATGTCGTTCAGTAACAACATTATTTGATCGAGTTTATCCGTGTTGGACCTTACCAGGTCATCGATGTCTTGTATTCGGTTCGGCGCCATCATCGATTCGTTATTCATGAAGCTTGGTCCCGCTAATGAAGAGCCAGAGGTCGCACCTGTCACCTCACGTGGCGTATGAGAAACATCGTACAACTCAGAATGGGATTTTGGAACACTGCTTAGGTCTAAATCGTGCGAACGGTTCAAGAACGCTTCTAGTTTGTCAGTAGGCGCACTGCCACTATTGTGATTCAAATACTCGAGCGGGACCGGCTCGCCGAGCCTTTTCTTGAGTTCTTGGAAACGTTCTCTTCTCGTGAAAAGATTTCGTCGAGACGCTGGATTTCGATTTTCCTGATTCCGCGGTGTACCCTGGCCCAGAGATCTGAACGTCAAAATACTGCGTTTTGTTCTCAATTGAGGGGTAAATTCAAGTTCTTCTTGGTAATTATCTTGGAATGGGGAGGAAGCATTGCTTTTGGGAGTCTCTAAGCGATCATGGAATCGATCTTCGAGTCGATTTTCTAGTCGATCCTCAAGTCGACTCTCAAAAGGTTGTCGTTTTATCGTCACTGTTTCTTCTTTAACAGGTGGGTCTAACACCTGGTCTCCAATTCCAATGGTTTCAATCGGGTGACAGTGGTCTGTGTCTTCGACGTCCTGTACAGACGTCGAACTGTTCGATATCACCGAATCGCGATGTTGTTGATATTTCCTTCTGGCTTGATGGTAAATTTCATTAATCTTAGCGATTCGGGACTCGCTGGCTAGCCTTGCCTCGTGAGACGGCAAATAAGACCCGTTTATAGACCGTGAATTCATTCATACGGAGCCAACTGCCGATTTGTTCACCACGGTAACTAGTCGGTTTTTTGTAATTCATTGTTGACGATTTGCACAGAGGTAATAACGTGATCAAAATCAAGTAATGCTCCAAGCGCTCCAACTCTCCTCTCTAGAAGAGCACCTTTAAGTAGTAGTGGATATCTATTGGTTTGCAGAGGAATAAAGCGTTAAACAGTATTTATTTGATAAGACGTGTGTTCCGATGATTGAAGATGACGGCTTCTTCTAGTTGAAATTAAACTGTTGATTGACGCTGGAACCAAACCCAAATGTGTTACCAGCCGTTTGAGGAGCCATACTCTCGTCGACAGCATCGTCTTCTTCGCTGAAGTACTGTTCGATGATATTGAAGGCCTTTTCATAGATTTTCTCGTTTTCGTTTTGTTGACAGTTGAAAATCTTTTCCATACCACCTGCCTTCTCTATGTAGTCGGCATTTTCGTTAATGTGTAGTCCACGGGCCTCTTTGTCTGCTTCTCCCATCTTGAGTATGTTTTCCAGAGCATCAAGCGTGACTTCTATGATCCGGTTGTCAGCGATTTCTAGCAAATCACATAGTGGCTTGATACAGCCTTGAGATACCAGGTAACGGATAATATCTGGTTTCTGAAGTCCACCAGACGAAGCGTTTGAGATGGCCCAACAGGCTTCTTTCTTGGTCTTGTAATCTGCCGTTTCTAATAGCCTTATCAAAGGGGGAACCAAATTGGAGTCGATTACGGCTTGTATCTGATCGGTATTGCCCGCAGTAATGTTAGAGACGGTCCAGCAAGCTTCTTTGCGAATAGATTCCTTTGGAGACCCCAGTAGGTTTCTCAAAGCGCCCAAGACGCCGCTATTGATGACCACTTGTGTTTGCAAATCGGTACCCGTGACGATATTACCAACTGCTCTTAGCGCAGGTGTTTGCACGAGCGTCGATTGATGGTTCAAAAGCTCGACGAGTCTTTTGGGGATTCGAACGTCGACAACAGCTTGGATTGCTTCCGCGGTGCCGTCGGACAGATATGAAATGGCCCAGCACGCGTCAACCAGAGTTTCCGTGTCCATCGAGTAAATGAGCTTTGCCAGCGTTGGTAGCGCCTGTGACACGATAGCCCAGTCGGGTTGTGGTTTTTTGCCCCTGCACAAGTTTGACAAAGTCCAAGTGGCGGTTCTAATTAGCGAGTTTTTGTTTAGATTGAACAACGCCAGGATAGGTTGCATGGCACCGCAACCCAAGACATAGTCTCTGTAGCCCGTAGAATCACCAGCCACATTGCCGAGCGCCCAGATGGCCTGCTCCTTGACCTCGACGGAACCCGTGTACAAGAGTTGAATGAATAATGGCACGGCGCCTGCCTCGACAACGACTTTGGTCTGGTCCGACGTACCAGATGCGATATTGGTGAGAGCCCAAGCGGCCTCCAATTGTAGCATCTCGGGCTGATTTTCGTTCATGAAATTCACGAGGTTTGGTACGACTCCCGATTGGATAACGGTGTCAATAGGTGGACGATGTTCACGCGACAGAATCTGACGGAATTTCACCGTAGCGGCAAGCTGCTCTTGCAGGTCCGTTGCGTTGATCTGTTGAACCATTTGAGGCAGTTCGACTTGTAATTGCTGATAAAATTGTTGGTCTGCGCTGCTAGCGGCTTCATCTTCGTCTTCCGAGTCTGGGCCCGCCGCAGCAACTGCGAAGTTTCTTCTCTTGGCGAGGGCCTCATCACGCTTGGCTTTCCGGAGCTCAACTTGTTGCGTGTCTCTACGACGACGAAGCTCATCAGCAGAGAATCTGCCCTTGTTTTTGAAGTTGGTGCGACGGTATTCGGGCACGAATTTGTTTGAAGAACCAGAGTCTGCGTCCATCGGGGGTTGTGAAGCGGTAAGGGGGATTAAACGCACTAGGCAAAGTCAATCAGGTCGTCGGAGCTCGCTCTGCAGTCGGTTTAGCTCAGCTTGTAGCGCTGCTCAAATTCTTGCAAGGGCCGTTTTCCTTAGTTTAGAAAATTTTCGAACCGAGAGATGAGAGACGATGCTCGTCGCTTGGTACGCATACCCGAAACCTACTCGGTCAACCCATGTCACTCCGTACGTATTGGCACACACAAGATTAGATTACTAAAAAAATACACATCTAAGTAAACGAGATGGCACCGGTCGCGCGCCGCAGCCGTCCCACACACAGACGGCCGCGCCCGCGGCTGGGCCGGGGAGACAGTTTCTTCGCACACACACGCACACACACACACACACACACAGAGAACACATAGCACACACACACACGTCGCAGCGCTGACGAGATTGCAGCCGGAAAAAAAACGCGAAACACACGTGCCCCGGCCAGGACACACTCCCGGCACACGGTACACGCGTCCCCCGCGCGCTGCAACGCTCCGCAACGCTCCGCAGCCACTCAGCACAGTCGGTTTGACGTTTGTTTGTTTTTTACAATTTCACCATACGGACAGACAAAAAGAACCGCTCCGACGCGCGCCCTCACAAGAGCATGAGAGCACCAGCCACGACCGCACCGCCGAAAGTGAGCCCCAACGCTTGTTGAGGAACGCCGTTGCCGGGGGCAGCGGCGTTCTTCTCCTTCACGAAAACGGTCGACGTAGGGTTATGCGTCTTGTTGAAACGGCCGTACTTGTGGGTACCGGTGGCCTTCGACGTCGACGAGTGCTTCGTCTTGTTGAAACGGCCGTACCTGTGCGTCCCCGTAGTGATCGTCGTGGTTGCCGTGAAGAAACTCTTGGGTTCCTTTGGTCCCTTTTCGGCCGCGCCCACCGACGCCAAAACGGCTACTGCCGCAACGCTGATACTCGACAACTTCATACTTGCTGCTGATACTGTGTGCTAGCCCGTGGACCTTTAGTGGTAGTAGTGGTAGCTTTAATAGTGCCAGAAACTGTTTTGCTCGCCAAACTCAATAAGACAAAAGATGGCTTTAACAGACTACGTTCCAAGTTTGAAATTCGTCTTCCTTATAAATGGCCTTATGGCCTTTATGGCCTCCATGTCCTTTATGGGATTGGCTCCGTGGGCCGTCATTCCGTGCCGGGTTTTGCTACCAGCATTTCTGGGGGCTTGGCTATGGAAAGCGGGTCTTTCTATAGGGAAAAAAAACATACCAAAATTCCCTCCCGAAGCCATGTAGGGAGGGGTGTGTTTACTTTTGTCCACTTTGCCAACAGCGTGAAGATAGGAGGTGTACGGGTGCGTGAATTTCCGATGGTGTGGGGGTGTTGGGTTACGTCATCGCAGGGAGCGTCATTTTCGACGGAAACTCATGAGTAACCCATTCGTGTGTAATGACAGTACCTGCTCGGACTCATCGACAGGTGTCGCGATGCACGGCGAGAGGGCTTGTTGGATCCCCGGTGGGTAAAGCGGATGCCGGGTATACCCAGTGATCATGTCTGCCTCGACAACCCGTTTCAGAGCCTTGTCCATCAACTAAAGGGCGACAGATTTGACAATTACCAACATGCCAGGCTTGAGCGCCGTGAGAGTTGGTCCCGTTGAACAGCCTGCCAAAAGTGCCGTCATCTTTTTGCATGGTATCGGTGACAGTGGAGCAGGGTGGGCCTTCTTTGCAGAAACGCTGACACGAGACACTGCATTCAGCCAGACAAGGTTTATTTTCCCAAACGCTCCGATCACGAATATCGTGGCAAATGGCAACAACCCGATGCCCGCTTGGTTCGATGTCTATGACTGGAACGATCTTCATGCGAAACAGGACACTGTCGGATTTCTAAAGTCTCTGGAGCAGGTCAAAGCTTTTGTCAAGGAACAAATGGACCTTGGGATTGATCCGAAAAACATTGTGGTGGGGGGTTTTTCGCAAGGTGCAGCGTTGGCGCTGGCTTCGGCCCTGGTCCTTCCGGTCAAAATTGGTGGAATCGTCGCTTTGTCGGGTATGGCCAGCGCTAACATTGATTTTCTCACAGGCCGGAATAGTTTGAACCGTGAGACACCAGTTTTCCACGGTCACGGTGATGCAGACCCCGTCGTTCCGCTTGCACTGGGCAAACAGGCTCGTGCGTTGTATTCAGACACATGTGGACTACAGAGTTACGAGTTTCATGAATATCCTGGCTTGGCTCACAGTTCGTGTCCCGAAGAGATCTTGGACACAACTGCGTTTATCAAGAAGACAATTGCGTGAATGGTTTCGGGACGAGAGCCAGCGGCCCAGTCGCTCTCCTTGATGGTGAACTTCATTGTCACGTGATAAGTAGCCATTTCTCTAATCCATATACTAGTCGAACAAAGGAAACAACTGTTTCAATTGATTTCAGCGGCAAACAAGTGGGTTCCAAACAGAAGAAGTTTCACAGCCACGTACAGAAGGCGCTACAGCATTTTGAATCTGGCACAGAATGGGCAGATTATATTGCCAACTTGGGTAGATTACTGAAAGCTTTGCAAAGTTGGTTGTCGCTGTCGCCCAGCTTACCGTCAGGTGTCCATCTGAAGGCCCTTGAAGTGTACGACTACATTTTTGACAACATTGGGCTCGAATCCATCGGCAGAGAATGCAACATTTGGACCCCTGGGATCTTTGGACTTATGTCCTACGCGTCCCTCTCGGTCAAAGGTCCCCTAATTGAGCTTTATGAACAGCTTCTCATTCAACTGTCATCACAGGCTTTGAGGATTTTGATCAAGCCGATGCTTGCAAGTCTTTTCACTGGCATCGAAGATGAAAATAACGAGTTCCAGGGTGCAACTTTCAGTTTGATAGACGCTCTCAAAGAAAATTTGGCCGACGATTTGCTGTATTGGCGGGCTGTCTTCCTGATAATGATATCCAACAAAGAGAGAAGAGCTGGTGGGCTGGTCTGGATTACGAAACAACTGCCGTCTTTGAATGCAGTTCCTCGCAAAATTTTGGAAAAAATGATTGAATCCGGCAGTGACCGCGCAAAGTCAACCAAAAACGCGAGGCTGCACTTGGGCTTTTACTGCCGGCGGCCCACGATTCGTCCTGAGCCTGGGCTCTTGGTCAGATGCCTACTTTCCTGCTTAGCAGAAGAAAACGAGGTTTTGGTGAAGAGAGGTGTATTGGACATTTTGACCCAACGCATTCACTTAAGCTCACGTTTTATCCAAGTTCTGATGCCAGAAAATGACCGAAAGATGCTCATAATTGCTTGTTGCAGGACAATGTTAAACCGCGACATGTCCATCAGCAGAAGAGTGTGGAATTGGTTACTGGGACCTGCTTCAGCTACGCAGACCTCGCCAAGGGAAGGCTCTACAACCTAATTTTCAGAAAATGGTCCCGGCACGCTGTTCAGTGGCCTTGAGGAGTTATCGAATGAGCCTAGCGGCATAGCGGACGTATACAGGATTTGTCTGTCACTAATGGATAGGTGGGAGATTGCCTTCCATGTCATCCCTCAGCAGACATGATCAGTGGGTGACAGTTTCATACGAAATGCCGAAACTTATACGAAGCATGGTGCCAGAGACGAAAGAGATGGGTGAAGAGATGCTCTCCTCTAAACTGGAAAAGTACGTTCTTGTGGATGCGAGAACGGCCCAATTATTGCAGTACTTTGCCGAGGCCCGTGAACTGTTCGACAATCTAACTTCAAAATTACAGGAAGACGATTACAATTATTTCTACACGGCCGCTTCACAAGCTGCGGAAGGATCGTAGGCGGTTACCTAGGAAGAATACGAGAACATCGATGGTTTTAAGAGATAGGTTCCTGAAATTTAACTTCTGTCAGCACCACACAAGTTCGTGAACCTCTAAAGAGTTCGAAGAAGTGGAAAGCGAGTCCGAACTGTGTGATTCAGACTTTGACGGATCTGATTGTTATCTCAACAGTGAAGAAGACGAATCACTTTTAGCCTCCATCAGTAATGAGGAGACTTGCGTTGCAACAGACTCAGCGGAAGATCTTACTAAGAGCTCACTAAGTAGGAGAGAGGGCGCTGAATCCTTTTCAAAATATAGCAGGCTTTGTGCAGGTAGTAACCCATACGTGTGTAATGACAGTACCTGTTAGGACTCATCGACAGGTGTCGCGATACACGGAGATGGAGTCTGGGTGTCGACTAAAATATCGCTTTGTACGCGGTGTCACTTCGTGGTTAGCATGGGTGTTTCCAGCAATGGCGACTGTGCTACTTCAGCAATACGTAGTCTCGAACATCGTCAACCATTCGTAGCGTTGTTAACTTTTGCCGGCTATTCTGTATCGCCACCCGAACCACCCATTAATGGCAGCTTCTTTTGATGTTAGAGCTACGTTTGAGTGCTTTTGATAGCATACGATGCACTCGTCAAATCGTACAGTCCATGAGTTTTACTTCCCGGGTCTAAAATGAAAGACACATGATAGACGGGGTTAGAGCGGAACTCGCTGAAATGTTTCTCGTGCGACGATTGGCAATTTCCATGGAATCAAGTATTCATTGCTTGTCATCAGGATCGGGATGTGAGGACGATCTCGAGATCTCATATCCTGCCAATGCATCCGTACAATTAGGTAGAAAGTAAAGCGGTGCTCCATTACGGAAGCAGTTTTTCGGTGTCCTGCGATTGTGGAGTAGCGTCCTTCGTAATTTTGCAAAAGCTCTAGAGTTCTTGCATCGAAGATGGTAAGCTCGCGCAACTTCACTGCCAATTCGGTGCATCCATAGTCTTTTATTCTTTCACAACATGCTTCGCGAATGTGTCTTTTTTTCAAAAAAGTGTGGACTTGACGCCATCTCACCATCCAGCTGGTCTGGGAGTCTCAAAGGTGAATAGGTGCCTTAGATTCGGGTTGAACATCTCATAGCTTTGGAAAGCTTCATAAATTTCAAGAAAGGGTCAGTGAATATGCTCTTGGAGAGCCAGCAGTTCATTATTTTCTGAAATTGCAGATTTAGAACGTGGCTGGCGCATCCGATATACCGCGTCTTACCAAGCAATCGGTACGGAAGCGGTTTTAATGTTTTGTAGTTATTGTGTATCAAATGTGACTAGAACGCACCGTTGTTTGTGGCATTGTCCATGGTTATCGTGCCCACCTTATCTGTCAGACCATGTTTGTCCATCAACTCCAGAAATAACGTGCAAAGAAACCACGATAGCAAGGAATGACTCCCCATGTCCCGCAGTCCAGATATCAAGTACGAGGTTCACAAGTTGGGTGTCCCTCAGGTTGGGATGAAGTGATTCATTCATGTATTTCGAGTAGAGTCAATTTTCTTTGAAAGTGTCGTCCTGGATTGCATAAGTTGGCCAGAAACGTGAATCTCATTTCTTTGGCTCCATGCGACGCATTCGACAAAACTAAAAGGCAGAATCTTCTCGGCAAGTAACAGCACGTTATCTGTCATGAGTTGTTTTTGTTTGAATTCTCTCTTGTATCGCCCTTGATAACCTTAATGACGTTGGTTTTTTTCGCTAAAGAACGAAGGACATTTACCTTCCCAATCTCGTTGTTGGCCTCCAGCGAGTGCTGCCCTTTAGATACCCGAAGGCAAGCTACTGTACAAGTAAAGTTGGTGGCCTTTTATTGTTCCTCTTGTGATTAAGCGCTTTAAAGAATGTTTTAATTGTTTAAAATGTTTACGAAAGCTTTCGTACAAAGTGGTTATTCACTAGTCAAGTCTGGTTCTCTGAAAGTCATCCTTTCCGTCTAAAACATTATCTTCCACATTCAAGAACATAAGTCATAATTCTGAATACTTATTTAGATATTAAAAGCCCGAGGGAAAGCCAGAACAGTTGTCAGGTGCCCCTCATTACACAATGCACCACCAACCCACGTATGGTAAAATCCTTAGCGAGGCATTATTACGCGACCCGAGCTACGTAGCTTCACATGCGCGTCTCGCCCGCCATATCGCCGTTCCGCTCCGCGCCCGTAACCTGCTCGCCCGTCACACCATGAGGCTCCATGTTGGTCGTTCCGGACATGTTACGCTGGTGGGCCAATTTTTCTTGATGTGTTCCGTTATAAGTAGACCCGCCCGTTGAAAATGTGTGCTGATCGTGTCCGGCTCCGTGCGTGCCTGTCTCCACGTCACTGGGTCCACCGTGCAGATCTTCCACGTACAACCCGGTCCACCTGTTCAATTTGAGTCCGTAACGTTTGAGAGGCCTCCACATACCGCCCATGCCGCCCTCTCTCATTGCGGGACGCATCACATTGACACAGACGAGCACCGTGCTCACCAGAAACAAGATAAACGCAACCCCACTGAACGCAATTGACGCCTGTGCGGACCTGCACGCACGTCCATAGTTATGGGTAGTGTACCTCCCCAGAAAAGGATCGTACATACCGCCACTCGACTGGAAACTCGAAAACGACCCGTAGCTGGGGTTGTAAGTCGTCGTGGTTTTGGAACCACAGCTAAAGGACCCATACGTTTTTGCAAGCACTATAAATGCCACCAACCATAAAATCATCAACGCCACCTCTGCCACCACGTATATGCCCGTGATGAAGATAATTGCCAGCAACGTCGTGTACAAAGGCAGCATCAAAAGGTGCCATAACGAAATTACAGAAACGGCCAAGCTATAGTTGGTTTTGCGACTCCCGTGGAAACTGTAGCTGTTTATAGAGTACGCCAACAGTCCCAACACGATAACGCTGGCAGCAAATTGCATGACTCTCAAAAGTATCAAGGGCAAGTCCACCAAGAAGTAGCTGCCTACACCTCTTGTACCCCGGTTAGCAACGGTTTTCTCACCAGTCCCGTAACCCGTGGTGGTGTCGTGGCGAGTTTCTCCCGTCATGCCGGCTCCTGTAGGGGTGTCCTCTGCGTATCCAGCCGTAGGCTCTTGATACCCGGTAGTCGGATGGTACACGTTTCCTGCATTCGTCGTTCTACCGGTCTGAGTTCCGGCTTGGGCACCAGCTTGAGCACCAGTACGGGTGTTGGCGGTTGTTGTCGCGCCTGGTGTTTGCACCACTGGCACCTCTGCAGCCCCAGTAGGCATCACTACTCTTCCGTCTTCCAGATTTTCCGCGGCCGTTGTCATCTCTAAAATATTTCTGACTAATTTCTAAACCACTGCTCAAAATGAAACCCAGCATCCCCCCATTTGAAGCCGCGGCCCTTAAGGCTTTTTATACATTCAAAGAACACCCCGCTTCTTTACAAATGACGGATTTAGGGGTCCTTGCGATGAGCTTGGCAACTTTTTACGCGAGAACCAAATCTGACAATTTGGGACTCATCACTTACCCAAATGCCGAAAGCAAAAGCAAGCGCCCTTTACTAATGATCCTAGTCAAATCCCCATCCCAAGGATCAACAGCAACAGCCTTGTATGCCCATTGGGGGACTCCAGCGTTGTCATCGGCAAAACCGTTGTTCTTATGTCCGATTATGTCAGCAGGGTATCCCTAGGAGACCACATGACTCTTTGACTAACGTGTAATAAGCCGCACAGCACGGCACGGCTGAACCCGAGATGACTTTTGGCAGATATTATGGAGCCAATGACGGACCACTGGCATACGGATGAAGAATGAGAGCTTCGGAGCGGGTGGCTTGGAAAATCTGGAGTTTCTAACCGTATTTTCTACTCTGCTTCTAGCGGTTTTCCGGAGGTGTATGCGCATTGGATGAGTTTTCTGTCTCTCAGGTTACTCGATAGGTGTGGGCTTTGTCAGCCGTGTAGCTTGAAATTGGTAAGTTTCCATGGTATGATAGTTTCAATATCCAAGACGTAATGCGACGAAGGTTCAAGGTAAAAGCAGGAACAGGACACTGAGTCGAGGCTGGAGCCGCAAAAAGAAGAGGTTCGAGCATTCGAGACCTGCAACCGTTGTTACGCGGCGGGCAGTGAGGCAAAAAGACTAGAATTGGCAAAAAAAAATGACTTCCTGTTTGCATCGCGCAGCTCAGTTGACCTCTACTGCAGCAGAGACGGCAGGCCGAGAACGGCCCTCGCGCTCTAGTGGAGGTACGTTGCGTTCCAAAGGCTCTGACACGGGCACAGAGCCCATCAGGCCCTTGCTCTCGGCCAGTGTCGAGCTTCTGGTGTAGAGAGGATCCTCTTGGTAGTATTCGTCGATAATTGGGTGAAGCAGCACGGTCTGGTTCTTGATGGTGAGTACGCTGTTGGTAGGTACCGTGATCCAATCGCCACGTTCGAACGTGAGAGGTTCCGACGCAACCATGATGACGTCCTGATTACGGTCCAGACGCTCGACGCGATACTCGCCAGGGGCGTACTCGACGAAACTGGACCCACAGCTGAAATGCAGAGAGGCGGCCTCGTCGGTCTTGGAAGTGATGTACCGCGAAACAACAACCGTAGAGCCGTCCGTCACGGCAAAATTGAGAAGCGAGGGCTCCGCGCTGGGGTCGTCCTGGTTTGCCTCCTGAGTCCATTCCTTAATGTATTGAATGGTTTTCAACATACATTGACGTAGAACGACGTGGCCAAAGTTCCCGTCTTTGTTCGTCGTGTCGTAGCCCATTTTCGCGAGCGTGTCGAGGAACAATACGAAAGCGCACTCGGAATCGGTACTGCCCTGGATCAAGTTAAAATATTCATCTTCCAAATGCGACAGGATTTTGCGTTTGATGCGCCGGAAATTCGAAATTCCACCGTTGTGCATGAACGTGATCGAGTGATACGTGAACGGATGACAGTTTGTTTCCGAGAGGACACCGTAAGTCGAAGCACGCACGTGCGCAAAGACAAGTGGTGATTTGGTCTTTTCTGCCAGGGTTTCGAGATTTTGATTGTTCCACGCTGGAGTGATCGCTTTGAAAAGACATGGGCCGTCCTCCTGAAGCTCGCGGTCAATGGGGTAGTAAGCAACACCAAAGCCGTCTCCGTTAATGGGTCTTCTGCGGTCTAAGCGCAACCGACTGTCAAACGACTGGTTGATGATCGAGTGGGCTGGCCGTGTCAGCAGATGCGACAAACGCACTGGTTCTTTACCTGTACAAATTTCAAATCCCGTTAGTATTATATCCTGAAAATGACATTGCAATGCAGCTCACCATTGACCTGTTCAACGTTCACGTACCTTTAAAGATCAGAAATCTGCACATTTTTCGAATGATTCTAAACTGGTCGGTTTTAGCTCAAATTTGAAGCAAATTCGTGGCCCTTTTGTCTCGATTCAAGTGCGCGGTGAAATTAATCAAAGACTATTCACTCTTGGGTCTTTGGAGCCGAGTTTCTGTCCCAAAATGTCTTACTCGAAGTTGACTATCTCGATGACTCCAGTGTCTTATACGTTTAGATAACTCCGAACACGGTGGCTAACTTTCCACGATATGAGTCCGACGCGATACGTACAAGATGAGTGTCGGCATTAAGATTGGATCTGGTCAGATGGTCGACAGGCGATAATTGACTCTTCTATATACCAATATGGGTGTTTAATCGTATAGTTTAGCAGCACCCTGCTGGCAGCAGGGCGCTGCCAGGAAACAGGCTGGTAGCGCGTTATTTGGGATCGTCGGTATCGAGTATGATGGTCACGGGACCCTCGTTGGTCAACGAACAGCTCATCATGGCTCCGAATACACCGTCTTTCACGTTTTCCGCACCGAGTTCTTGCTGTAGCATTCTCAAAAATTTATCGTAGAGTTCTTTGGCAAGTGGACCCTTCTGAGCCATGTGGAAATCTGGCTTCGACCCCTTTTTCGTGCGCGCCATCAGCGTAAACTGGGAAATTGACAAAATTTGACCATTGACATCCTTGATACTCTTTTTCCAGCCGTAACCGGTATCATCGTCAAAAATTCGCAGCGATAAGACCTTCCGGGACAGCTTTTCGGCCTCTTCTAGGGTGTCTTGGGTCGAGATTCCGACCAGAAGCATGTAGCCGTGCTTGATGCTGTCAGCTATGTTAGCAAACCCAATACTGCGAGAAAACGAAACCTCTGCTTAATCATACCTCGACACCGTCTGCGCGTCGACCACCACCGAGGCCTGACTGACCTTCTGCAAGACAACTCGCATTTTTGGCTGGGCTTGAGACTGTGTGTGAGAAGAACCTTAGCGTTCTCGAAAATTTTTCGAGTAGGAATTGTTTGATAACGCTCGATTTTATGCAATGGCGTAAACGCGGTCATGCGACTCCAGTGACACCAGCTTCGGCAAGAGAAGTTGATCGCGCTTATCGTCTCAGCTTCGCAATATATCTTCTCACCAGGTAGAGCGAACAACCGATAAACCTGAAAGCTGCCATGAACGCAACAAGCCATAGAATTACCGAGAAATAAATCGTAGATCTCGCAGACAAAATGGTGACCGTGGCTTGATTCGTTTGAGCCGCAGAGCTGTTTTTGTCCAGAGATTCGTATTGGCCAATACCACCGGTTTCCAGCACCACGGCGATGATCACGAAATTAGAGATTACCCAAATGATAATGACCAAAGACCTTACCATTGCGTAGTAACTTGTCTTTTTCTCCTCAAATGACATTTCCTCCGATTCTTCTTCCTGTGCGGCGTTGGCAAGTAACTGGCGGTATTTGTCGTAGTTCGCATCAATTTCCCGCGAAGAAACTGGGATCTCCATTTTGACTATGCCGTCTTCTTTGGATTGCAATTTGCCCAATGGTTTCGCCGAGGAACCTTTGGTACCCCACGAGATGTCGTGGACGTTGCAAAAGGCGTAGATATTCAACACATTGATGTAGGAGGGGCTCAATAGAATGTACTGCACAAATGAAGTGAGCATGTGCATCGGCTGCAGATATAACACGGAACTGAGAAAATACAGGACATAGGTAGATGCCATTGACACTATCAGGTCCCGGAACGTTTCCTGTAACATCAGCCCTTTGAAAGTGACATTTCCAGCCTCAACAATATTCTTTATCGAATACACGCTCATGTAAATCGCACAGAATATCATGTAAATCATCAAGACGGCGAAAAAGATGAAAGTCGATAGGTAAAATTTGGACGTTCCCTTTGGTTTATTTCCCAAAGAAAGTATGAATGTTATCAAAACTGACACACCGTAAAGCCATAAAAAGACCACCGAAAGGATGCGGAACACTTGCTTAGAGTAAAAAGTTATGGCAATCGACATTGTCAAAATCCTGAAAACGAGGAAAAAAGAGCTCAGAGAAAACCAGGATACTAGAGTGCTCAATATCAGGTACAAAAACTGGAAATTGAAGGCAAACTTACGGCCTACACTGTGTCCGCTTGTCCATATTTTGTAGAAATGCAGAAATGAATACAAAGCAGCAAAAAAGGCTCCGTTCATCCATCTTCTTCTTTGAAGAATAAACTCTGGAATTTTTTCTGGCACGTCTGTAGAGCCATACGCACTCTTGGAGTAACTCAAGATCCAATTGCTATCCCTTTTGGTGACAACTTCAAAACAAAGAATACGATCTTCGGCCAAGTACATATTGGATATGAAGACTTTGGCGTTCAAATCATCACCTAAAAAGTACTTGCGAAGAGGCTCGCCTCTTACCGCTTCAAGTCGATAAGCTGAAAATGCACCCGGTAATACTGTAATAAATCCGAAATTAGATTCGGTGGTCTTGTCGAGAATATTAGAAAGTTTGTACTCAAAATTTTGAGATGCCACCAGCGGATTTAGCAATTTTGAAAATCCAGATCCTAGATCGGTTTTGATTTCTCCGCAGGCGCCCCCAACTTGAGGGTCTTTAAATTCACGCCAAAGCTCATATATAGAGTCTTTACCAGGCATAGTTCCTGCATCGAGCAAAGTGATGACCCTTGGTAATAGCGTCTCAGCAAAAGCTTCAAAAGCCCACCGATGCGAATTAATCTTTTTCTGATTTTTCTCTTTTAAACAAAATAAAAGTTGAATCGGTACGGTATTTTCTCCACATGCAAGTTCAACCTGTCCGTCTCTCACGTCTGTAATATTAACTTTTGAAGTATGCTCGTATACATGAGCGACGACTTTCTTACCGTTAATTTCGTCCTTGGCAAAGCCGTCTTGATAACAACCTAGAGCGCTCATTAATGCTAAAGATCTTTCGTGAATCTTGGAGCGACCATCCGAAACCACACAAACAACTACTTTTTTCCATGCGTCGGGCCCCCAGGTAGACGAACTCTTTTTCTTGGTCAAATGCCTGATATTGTCCATAACACCTTTCAACGTGCGGCCCAGTAGCACATCGTCCTCGTTATACATGGTAATGACAATCATGAGTTCAGTTTGACGTGGCATCATGTATTTCACCTGACGTAGCGTGAAATTGCCGCTCTGGAATTCGGCAGGCTCGCAGGTCACAGCTTGGTACCGCATGAATTTGAATTCATTGGAAAGCTTGGTTGGATCGTCAACCCCCGTACTGTACTGCGTAAGTAGCTGGTCGCTGATAGGGCAGTCAAAAATGAAATTGCCCTCACACAGTCTGAATTTACGCACCGTGGTGGGTTTTCTGGTGGGAAAACTGCGACGTGATCCCGCGCTACCTTTACTTGCCTTTTCGCTGAGGTCTTCATTTTGTTCATCGTCCAGTAATAAGCGAGAATCGTTAAAATTCGCAAGTGTGTTCGTTTCGTTCTCGTACGAGTATTCGCCAAGATCTCTGCTGTTTGAATAACTTACCGTACTGTGTTCGTCTTGAAGATCACGACTTGCGCCGAAATCGGGTGTCTCAGCTGCACCGGCATACATTTCGCCATCATTATTAAGAAACGTGTTGATCTGATAATCATCACCGGCTTGGTCGACATACCCGAACGGATCCTCAGGGTCTTCGCTGAAATACCGTTGCGAGTAGTTGGTGTTCCCTACAAAAGCGTACTGTTCTTGCCCCGTCGACAAAATCGGCTGCGTATCGGTTGCATATTGGTCACCGATGCTCGACTGCGCACTTGATCCATTTTGTCCGTACTCCATGCCCTGATACACGTCTAAGTTCGGATCAAAGTTTGGGTCCGAATGCAAAGGTTGTACCGCGTTTTGCGTAAACGGAATCGCCTGAGGCTCTTGATAAACGTTGATCGCAGGAACCGGTAATCTCTGGTGAGACTGTCTCATCTGATCCGACGGTCCGTACAAATTCTGATGTTCCAATTCATATCCTGACTCGTTTCCACCACCACCGCCGTGTGCGTAGTAGCTTGGATACCTAGTCACAAAATCGTTGTATTCACGCTCGCGTTCCAAACGGGACTGGTACTCATCCTGAGTTTCTTGATCTCGTTGTTCCTGTGATATATTCATGTTCACGTTCCGGGTATAAAATCGATGCCCGTTCGCGTCCTGACTATACGAATATCCGTTCTCCATCGTACCCGGATCGGTTTCTAAAAGGTAATAGTTCCTTGTTCTCGAGAGTGTTCAAATAGAGGCTTAAGTCTTCTTGGCACCGCTGGTATATCTATATTAAGAGATCTTGGTTTTCGTGTCATACGGCTGATACACGAAAAAATATAAAATAACCAGCTCATCGCAGACAGAGATGAGGTCGATGTGAAACGAGAAGAAGAGTTTAGTTTCACCAAAAAAGGACCCGTGTTCAACTTAAAACACGTATGCAGGGTGTTAAGAAGTTTGTCGATCGTTTTTCGATTGTGTTACTTTTTTCTCCCCGTCTGAAAAGAATGGAATTTGGGGATCTAAGATCTCGAAGTGATGAATGATCTGTAGTACGGATTTTCATGAGACACATTCAATTCTTCCGATGGGGGGTTGCCAGCTATCACAGCTTGACGAGACGTAGCTTGTCTGTAAATGTAGTTTCTCTTGAGTTTGTCGGTGACGTATTCACGCATCCCACAGGGTTTTTCTGCGATAGCAACGACATTGTTCAATAGGGTTTGGCCGTTTTTTTGTAGGATTGAGAGCATTTTTTGAGAAGCAGCGGCATCTATCTCTGCGTCCACAGACGCAGAAGTGTCTTTTTTCAAAGCCCATCGTGCAAACTCAACATCACTTCGCATCAGCATGACGTCGCAAAGTTGAAAAACTATCGGGCTCACATTGTTGTGCGTGGCACTCTGGCCCCTCTGCGATGATAACAGGGCTTGGGCTTTGCCTAGTAGTGAAGCGATCAAAGTGTATAGTCTCCAATGCGTCGGAGTGGGCCAAACGACCAGAGCCGTTTGTAACAGATCTGTATCTTGCAAAAGATGATCAAGCTCACAAGAGCCCGAGATATAGATTTCTAGTTGCGATAAGTCGTTCCCAGCAATCAGGTTCAGTCCCTGTAAGGACCGCATTGCAAGTGCTAGTTCTATTGTGTCAATATCGGGAAACGTAACGCTTGCGACTAATTCCTGCAATTGAGACTCAAATTTGAACATGTACTCCTGCAAAAGGTTCTTCTGGACAGGGTTTATGAGTTCATCGTTTATGTCTTCCAGTACCGCGATGAATGTCGATTCTACGAACTTGAACGCGACCACTATGGTATCGACAAGCGTTTGAGGTGTCAAATGATCTCGGACTTCGGCGTATTCATCTACACCTGCCTCAGCCGCTGGGGCGGTGTCACCCATGTCAGCATCCTCCCCGGTTTCGCCGTCGACAGCATCGTCGTCATTCCAGCTCCCAAGCTCAGCCAATTGATCCCGGACAAGCTTATGAAACAAAACCGTGAATTTAGGGAAAATATCGATCAAACGAGAACCGTCGACATCATCACCGTCCAACAAACTCGAATAACAAGTCAAAAGATTGAAATACAAGTCCCAAGTACAGTGTTCCGCGAATCTACTCAAAGTGACTTCAAATTTGTCCACAATCCTCTCGATTGGCTGCAAAAGCACATCTATCCCATCTATATCTTGCAAATTCACGTATTTCAACAGATTGATATGTCCGTCGTTTGCCATATAATCGGTATGAATCTTGAACAATAGACGAGTTTGGTTATATAAAACGTCGTAAGTTCGCTCGACAGAGATAGATTCAGCAGCGAGTGCGTTGTCATACGAATCATATGCCTGCTTGTAGAACCGTAACGCTTTTTTCAAATCTGAAAGTAGCCATCTCTCGGCTTGTTCTTCCCATTTAACACCGTCTTCATAAAAGTCTTCTTGACTAATGAGATTGAGTTTCTTGTCTTTGTTCTTCTTTGGCCGCTGTAATGCACGCAAACCTGTTCCTCTATTCATAGTATGTTAATTGCTTGTAGTAGTCAGTAGTTCTTTCAGTACATTAATATATTCAACTTCAAGCTTCAAGAATCAACATTTAAGGTTACTTCCAAATCAAAAATCTATGACTTCGCAATCCCATGACACTTTCCAGTACATCAATGCTCCTAGTCAATTGGCAGATTTGATATCAAACACCAGTGTCGTTACCCAGGACATTGAATTCGTCTCAGTGTTGACTAGTATAGATTTTAATCCAGTGTCAAGATGTATCTTTCGGTTTGGAAATTTTGAGAATAGCGGGTCGAATGGTCAGTCCGATCACGACTACAATTGCAAAATCTTGTGCCAAACTCCAGATACCTTGAATTTGACCAAGATGACTTTATCGCTGTTTTCACAGCAATTCGACTTAGAGTTACCTGATTCTAAAGATGAAACGGGGTTTTGCATAGATGGAATCTACCTAGAGCGCTTATGTTTCGTACATTGCAAGGGTAAATTTGTGACTAGCAAGGGCAAAGGTAGCATTTTTTTACAAGGTTTGAGAGCCGTCGATTTGCATGCGACGTTATTCACCACTGGATCCGTTGTTGAGTCTCAATTGATGAAAACGGTTGCCCACATTTTTGATCAACTCGTAATATTGAACAATGTGGCACGGGCGCCGTTCAAATTCGTGAAATTGTTCAATTACGATAACGAAATGAAACAATTCATTCAAACCCGTCAGGAAAAGTTACTCATTGGGCGGAGAAATCCGTTATTTGGAGCAGTGGCTTCTGCTGTGGACTCCCAAGATGACTTTAATTCTTTGGCAGTTGAGTCACAGTTTTTGATAGAGCCCGAACTGGATGTTCCAATGAAATTACCAAAGGATGCATTTCTCAACACACCACAACTTACGCAAACAGTTGAAGAACCGTTTTATTCATACGCCGAGCGGGATTCAAACCCGATACCAGTCTTCGAAGCACAGTTGGACCCTTTTCATGGTACAAATTCTCAAAATACTCAGCAATCAACTGCTTCTACAATTGACGATAGAATGCTCGAAGGGTACGCGCCGGATACAGAGGCCCATGACTGCGACGAGGGTGAAGCAGCAGCTACGAAGCGTCGTCAATTTACAAGTATCACAGCTCATCGCTCCGGTGAGTTCAAAATCATAGGCGCTACTTCTTCAGACGAATTGATCGCTCTCGATGGCACATTTGTAGCTATTTTGCCCAACGAAACGGGCGACGCGGAAGCCTGCGCAATAGCACTATTTGTTCCCTCGCATTACCTAGCATCTCATCCCTTCGACAAGGTCATCAACCCATACAAGAACTGTTACCAAGTGGTTATCCATCGACGACACCACACGTTGCGCGATCTCAAAATAGAGCCACTTGCGAAGTCGGCCGAACTTATAACCCGTCTGCGCGAGATTTTGCTGGACAAAATCGTTCACATCACAGTAGCGAAGGACACGTTACGACTGGAAGCCAATTATTTTACATTTGCATGGGCGCTACGTTCGCTGCGGTTCTTGGAACAAAGGCAACCGCTACCACCGACGCGGTTGCCAAGCAAGCGATCAAATAAAAACGAAGACAAAGATCCGCTCAAAACCTTGAGCGAGATATCGGTGTCGCTAGCGGGCCAAACCGAATTTATAAGGACGTTCGCGTTGCTTGTCGGAGCGAAAGAACGAGGCGGCGGTAAAATGTGGAAATTTGTGTTCACCGATTTCACCTCGCACCGACTGAACGGACAGTCTGCGTTTGACTCTTTTATTGGCAACTACGACAACCGGCTGGAACAAGACAGGGCGTTCGTGTTCATAATGTATCGGGACACACTGCGACGGTTTTCCGCTGCATTGTTAAACAAACTCGGTTGCCGTTTCGAGGACTTGTTCACGGGCAACGATCACAACCTGACCTACCGTGGGATCGTATGTCGCTTGTGTATCAAGGCCAAGCTCTACAACGGCAGTCTGGATGGAATTATCCGCGAATGCGAACCTGTGCGATACATGGATCCGATTGAAGCCGACGAAGTACCGTTCTTGGTCCAATTTTACACCCGATGTCTGCAGAACGTGCCAGAACACATTCTGGCCGCCAATTTCAACAACTACCGTGAATTTTGGCCTTTCCAAATGAACAAAGATCGGGTCTCCATGTCTCTGCGTTCCCAGAAGGGTATGCAAGACCTACAAATTCCAGAACTGCAACAACTAAACCAACTCCAGGCAGAAATGCAGGCAGCTCTGCCTGCAATTTACGATACCACGGCCAAGATCGTCGCTATACACGCAACTAAGGAAACGCTCGTTTTCCATCTCACTAACGACTTATTATCGTGCGATTTACTAGACCCCGCGAGAACTCTGAAAGTCGCAATACGGGGCAAGGACAAAGTCGAGAATTTCCTGGCAAACACTACAAGTGCCAAACTAGACCAGCTACAGAACAAAGTCGTCCAGTGTCAGTTAACGACTTGGCTTGAACCGGTCACGTGCTCTCATCGACTACTCGTTAATTGGACTTTCCCACAGGGTTTTGCTTTAAGAACTTTCTTAACTCAACTAGGACAGCCGACGGTGAAACAGGAAACGTCGATATTGTTAGTAGAGGAGGAGTAGTCTTTTAGTAGTCTCCGCTGACGTTTCGTAATCCAGATGGTCCCTTTGGTGAAAGTTGGGGAAACTTGGTGAAATTTAATGAAACTTTCCGTACTTGCAATGCGAGTGACACCATGGAGCTGTTACAACACGTCATCAGGATCATCTTTCTTGGCAATTTTACATCCAGGCCGCATTCTGGACAGTGGTTTGGACATCTGTCCAGGTCACTGCGCAGACCCTTGCACCCGTGAGTACCCTTGACTCACAAGACCCTTATTCCGCTACTCCCCTATTCCCCTATTCCGATGTTTCTTCTTCCAGATGACCGCTTCGCCAGGTTTCGCCTTTCGCAAGGCAAACAGCGCTAGAGCAATCCCCAGAGTCAAAGCACAGATGCGGGGTAGTGGCGAAGTACCGTAGTGGGACGCCTGATGGAAGAGCAAAAATGGCAAGCGTTGTGGGCGTTGTAAGTCTTGGGCCCTGGGTACTGGAGCAACAATATAAAGACACTGCGCTGGGCCGTGGCGTGGCACCAGTCCTGCCAAGAAACATACAAAGTTAGTGTGTTTTACCTGTTTACTGTGTTACCTGTTTTCCTCTGTTTATCTTTATCCAGGTATCAACACTTTTGACTATAATCATGATGAAATTCAAAAAGTCAGTTACTCCAGTTTTCTTATTTTTGCTACTAGGCGCAGGGCTGCTGACATTTTTCGTGATACTATCTGGGGCTCGCGAGACGGGCGTTTTGAAAGACTTCTACTGGTTTGAGGCGGATACTTCCGGATTCAACTCTGCGCCCAATCGGACGCGGTGGTATAACTACCAATGGTGCGGTGTAAGCAATGGAGCACTGAACAGCTGTTCCAGCACGAAGCCCGCGACTCCGTTTTCTCCTCGCGACAATTTCGGGTCTAGCGGTGCGATGCCCAAGTCGTTTCTGGACAATCGGAACACTTACTACTATCTGTCGCGGGTCGCGTGGGCCATGTTGTTGATTGGGATTTTTTACCTTGTGTGTGCGATTGTTCCCATGATTGTGTCCATTTTCATGGCCACAGTGGTGGGATCGTTTATGGCAGTGTTGAGTCTTTGGTTGGCTACATTTTTCATTACTTTGGCAGCGTGTTTGTATACCGGATGCTACGTCAAGGCTCGGAATGCGTTCCACGACGGTAACCGGGCGGCGAGATTGGGACCCAAGAATTTTGGGTTCATTTGGACCAGTGTAGCCTTGCTATTGGCTTGCTCCATCTGGATGACAATCGCCATGACGCTCTTTGGAGTGGAGAAATACCAGCGGCAACGGCATCTGCATAATCGCCGGTCGCGGTTATTTGGCCATCAAGATTCTGGTACTTCGTCGTATTCTTACGACAAGTCTGCCATCAGCGACGAACCCCACGGAACCCAAGATTACACTCCTAAACGTGTGTTTAGATTGTGGAGACCCCATGGTGAGGCGGCGGCGACGGCCAATGCACCGGTTGAAGCTAACGTGGTTGCCTCCGATTACGACGCGGAGCGTTAGCCAGATTCTGCCGATTTATGGCGTCCCTTTCGAGTGCCGTCCGGCGTAAACGTGCTTCTGCATACTTCAGTATGCTTCAGCATTCCCGCTTGCGTTGGTGTACTCTAGCTTGCCCCATCATCTGCGTTAACGTGCTCTAGCTTATGCTAGTGCACGCATGCGCGCCCCAGTTCATCACCATCAAAAGCAACCCTCTAATCCTAGATAATGCTAATAATAAATGATCTTTTACTAACTAGTTTTGAATCAACAGCGTATTCCAAGGTAATACCAAAACTGACGAGGCCAAATCGGGATTAAACGCCGAGATAGCGCCCGAAGTCGAAGAACTCAACAAAAATGTACCCAAACCTGCTGTAGAGTACAGCGAACAATCTAGCTCCCCGGAGGTGACCATGAATGAGCGCAGAGAGCATCCTAAATCCAAGTACACGGCTAGCACCACCCTACCGGTGGACTCGTTAGAATTGCAAAGACAACCTGCCAAAGTGAAGGCCGAGGATGTTAACTTCAACAAGAGTTCGCCCAAACGAGCCGGCAGACGCCGGTCTTCATTGGAGCGTGCTCTGGCAAGAGACGCTCGTCAACTCAAGACCAAATTTAACGAAAAGCACTGGTTTGGTGGTGGCAGCGACAAAGGCGATACTGGCATCGTCAAGAAGAATTCTGGGACCGAGCGTCAGCCGGTCGTCGGATCGCAGAACACTACCAATGCAGAAGTTTCGCCTCTGCAGCCCACCTCTCAGGTAGGCGTCATTAAGACAGGGGAAACTGCGGGGACTGGTGCACTAGACAAGGACAAGGTCCAAACATCAGTCACAGACGCTTCTGAAGCTGGAGGAATAGTCCCAATCACCGCGGTAAGCGCTGATAAGGGTGGCCATGCCAAAGCATCGAGTCCAGTCACTAAAGTTATTGCGGATAAGGGCGACCGAGACAGGACGTCAAGTCCAGAGAATCTGAAAGACGTGACAATTCCAGGGTCGTATTCTGACGGTACCACAGAAAAGTACTCTACGCCCAAAGGCGACTACTTTTTTAAAAGGGACGAAGCGGCTGCGCCGAAGATGATGGAGTCCTTGGATCCGCATGACAAACCAGCTGCTTTGCATACCGCATCTGCTCCCCAAGCGGGCGGTATGCAAGAAACGAAGCCAGCAAAACCATTTGAACGGTTGGAAGCCCATGACAATGAAATTAATCCTCCTGGACCCAGAAAGGCCAGTTTGACTCAGGATGAGGAAGAAGGTTATGAGGAGTATATGCCCTACGGGCAAGGATCTGAAGACCCCGGCGCCACTTGGAATGCAAAGAGGGCTGAGCAACGTCGTAAATCGAGCGGCGATTCAGCGTCATCCAACATGGATCCCGAGAGTTCTCCAGAGAGCCCTCGCAACAGGTCCAGAAGCTTCAGTTTGGGTAGCGCAGGCGCGTTTGAGGGACTCAAGAGAAGAATCTCCAGAGGGTTTTCACATTCCTCTAATAACGACGAAGAAGGGCTACCTGAAGATGACGGCGTGGTGGTCCACAAAGATAGCAGTGTTGTCATTCACCCCGAGGGCTATGCCGTGGTCGAACCCAGAAATGACTCTGAAGGTCGGTCGTTCTTCTACAATTTTAAAGACGCGTTGGACTCTGTTCACGTCAAGAACAGAGGGGAGCATCCCGTGAGAGACAGGTACGGGAGAGTTCCTCAACCCTCGTCTCGTCGCGGCAGCACTAAAGACATGTCTGACACGGAGCGTAAGAACTCGAGGAAAAGCAGCGTGGCGGAGAGTGGAACAGGCAGACGCAAGAGCAGCGTGGCCGAAAGCGGATCAGACAGACGCAAGAGCAGCAATGCAGATGGGAGTTCGGGCAGACGCAAGAGCAGTGTGGGTATAAGCGATGCCGAAGCTTTCAGATCTCTGTGTGCGAAGCCCAACCCTAACCAGAACGTCAACACCCCCATTGTGCCTGTATCAGAGGAGAGCGGGTCGTATGCCAAGCAATTTGGCGAGGGAAAAAGCATGATTGAGGGCAATATGACCACGTATGGGGCTGCAGCTGCGCGTAAAAAGAGTGGTGGCGCCGAACTGGAAGGAATGGCTCCTCAAGGTTATGTGACGCAAGGATACGAAGGCGTGCGCAACGTTTCGGTGGGGTCAGCACAGCACGCTGAAGACATGCACAACTTGGCGGCGGCAGCAGCCTCCGCAGCAACAGCTAAACGTGTAATTTCTGGACCTCAGGCTGTTCCAAGAAGTATGACTGCTGAAGAAATGCAGCAGGTGAAGGCCGAGACGCGCCGGGAAGTCGGACAACAGGAGAAACTTGCACCAAAAGTTCAAGGTATTCAACCTACCAAAGAACGGGCCATTTGACTGCTGCGAGTTTTCAACTCAAAAGACAACGTTAACGATTTATGAAAACGACACGGACACGACTACTAGCTATGAATAAGAAAATAATAATAATGACGCGAATCGGAATGACTTTTTGTACTCTTTATATTTTATTTTTATAATTCAACGATTTTATGACCTTCTCTAACTGATTGAAACGGGAAAGTCGGCAGATGTCGCGCGAGCAGGTGGTCACAACGCAGCTATGGCAAGCGCTAAAGCAGCAGCCGAAATTGGATTGATTTTGGCCTGTTTTCCTGATTTTCCTGAATATTTGTGTGGTGTTCCCGGATGTTGAAAAACCATATAAAGGGCAAACAAGACTTAACCTTCTACAAACCACTTCGAAATAAGGGGAAAACCCCCACAGAGTAAGAACTCAGACATGAATAGGGTTTGCCCAGTAGGAGAATACCAACATGATGGTCGACATCCGCAATGAGTTAGAGGCTCGCTCAAGGACAATAGCGCACAGCAATGGGAGATTTTGGGTCGGCGGCTAAGAAACAGGAGCCGCAAGGGGGAGGGTAAGAACAAAGTGTTAAGTCACACGCTGAGAACTCGCATCAGCACTGTGATTGGGGGCTTGAACAACATTCTTAGAGACACGAATTCGCTACCAATGCGGGGGTGACGATGCCGCTGACGAGGATGGAATAAGCGATCACGTGACAGCTTCTAGATGTTTATCTCTTAATACGGTGATATGGAGCTGATTTCCGACGCGCCACCCCACGCTACCCCCACGCTACCCCCACATTTCCCACGTACGTCGACATCTCTGTCACTTCGAACGTCAAAGTCAAGACACTGCTCACCCTCCCCCGAGTACCCTCTCATGGCCGGTTGCACACGCTGCACACGTTGCATATTGCAGGTTGCGAGATAGGCGCCATTGTCGCGCTACAGCCAACAAGAGTCAAAATTTCAAGATTGTTCTTAGGGTCGGTTTCAGAAGCTCAGAATTGAAAATCGCCATACTAACGTCTGGGTCACCTGACTACGCCTAACGCTGCAATTCTCATCCATGCTCTGTCACTCCGCGTCCCATTTGACATCCCCGGCTGTTCGAAAAAGGAAATGTTGGAGGTTGTCCCAGCGGTGTACTGTTGCAACCATTGATGCGAGTTAAGGTTGAGATAGTGAAAGAAAAAATTTTCGCCCTATAAGCAGGAGGGTGTCTTTAGACGACTAGGAGGAAAAGAGGGAGGAAAAACGAAAAAATACACAAAATAAGGACTTTTACTAGGCAAACAACGTGTTTGGAAGCTGTTGAAACCGCGAATCGCAACGAATTTAGGCGAGCCTAGTTTTGAAATTGGGCCCAAAAAAAAAAATCAAGCGAAAACCGTAAGAGTTTTGGCATTTTTAGCGTGAGTGTGTGTGTTGTTAAAGCTCAAGGGATATTTTGGCCGATATAGTATAGGGGCAAAAGGATTGTCGAACGCGAGTGTGATATCATACGAGAAGTGGAATAGGTTTGTTTATTCGGCTTTGGTCGTTTTCTCATTTTTCGTTGTGTATTGCACGTCAACAACTGGTCCTGGAATTTTGCTCGTGACATGTCATTGATCAACTCAGGGGTCTCATCTCTGGACGCGAGTTCCGGGTTTGGATTACATCGTGCGTTCAGTGCGAGTTCTGAGAATTTACAAACTAGTGGCGCGAATTCGGCTACGAATTCCCCGCTTCATTTGGCTACAATGCTTAACAGTCTTTCGATGGGACCAAGTTCGTCTTCTCAGGGCAGTACTAGCGGCCGGCCAACGCAAACTTCTTATCTGCTGAAGGTGAAAAATGTGCCGCAAGATATCTCCCTGCGTGAAGCCCACGCGGTTTTCGCACTCGCACTGGACGTCAACGGCATTGACATTGCCAAGGATTCGTTGATACAAGACGAACCAGTAGCGGTAATCATAGCCAAATTTGACTCTTTAACCACAGCATCGCAATACGCCGCGATTTTGGACTCTAAAACCGACATTTTTGGACCTGCGTTCCTTTACAAACCAAACGTCGAGTTGATCGACGAAATTACGCAACAGCAGATCCCCTTCCAGCAGCGTCATGCATCCGAACCAACTCAATCGCATCAGCAGCATTCTCCCCAACATCAGCATCTCTCATCGCAGCCAGAACAGCAGCCTTTACATGGGACTCAACGAGGTTCATCCCAGGTACAAATACCACCAATTCAAACGGATCAAACGCCGCATAGTCAATCTCAAACACAGTTGGAACAACAAGATGCATTCACTTCAAGCATGGTTTCTCCACCTCAATCTGCATCCTCGATAAAGAGACCGGGGCTCTTGGGACAAAGATCTAGATTCTCATTCTCGGATCCTTTTTCCAGTGATCAACCCCAGCAGCAGACCCCCCAACAAAATTCCCAAGATATGATTTCGACTCCGTTGAAATCTCAAGACGCGGGTAAATCTTTCCTGCTAATGGAGAATGATGAGATAAATGAAAGCATATGGGGTTCTAATGGTGGAATCCCTTCCAGCATGAGCGGGCTAGCATTTGCATCACAGCCACAGACGCCGTCTTTAGAATGGGGGACGACTGGAAGAAGACAAGGTTCTTTTTTTTCTTCTATGAATCCCGCTACCGTTTCAACCAATGACATTACCAGTATGCAACTTGCTAGTCAACTACCTCCCAACTTGTCAGCAGGACTACCGCAACACTCCTCTCTACCCTACAGTCTTGTGGGCCATGTGGCTCCTCCCAACACTAATGCTACCGACGGAACTGTAACGCAGCAACACTTGCCAGGTTCTCAACCTCAAGGACATGCATCATTACAATCGGTTCCGGGCCAACAATCGCAGTCCAGCTCTGCATCGAGTGGCCCTCAAAAAGTCGGCACTCGCAGAACAAGCACTTCTAAAAGTACATCGGGGACCATACTTTCGCAAAAGACTCCTACTTCGGGACCTGTCTCGTCTACTGGCGGCATTTCTCAATTGGACCTTTCATTATTGGCAAGAGTTCCACCACCTGCCAATCCTGCTGATCAAAACCCTCCTTGTAACACCTTATACGTGGGTAACTTACCTCCAGATGCCACGGAACAAGAACTGCGGCAACTATTTTCGGGCCAAAAAGGTTTCAGAAGGTTGTCGTTCAGAAACAAAAACACAAATGGAAATGGTCATGGCCCCATGTGTTTTGTCGAATTTGAAGACGTGGCACATGCAACAAGGGCATTAGCCGAGCTTTACGGCAGACAATTGCCGCGTACCGGAACCAATCATAATAACAAAGGTGGTATTCGTTTGAGCTTCTCAAAAAATCCTTTAGGGGTCAGAGGCCCAAATAGCAGGAGAAGCGGTAACAACGGCACTGTAAGCAATGGGAACTACAGTTACGCCACCGCGTTTGGGAAATCTTCCTAATTGAGTCGCGGGGGACTCGACGCTATTTTTTTGTTCTGGAATTGTTCTCATTTTATTAATAATGTTTTTCCAAGGAGACCCCGGCCGTGTGCTTCTCTTGAATATTTGTTGTTGTCTCCACCGAGCATTTTGCGTGAACAAGTTTTTGCATGATTCGAAATCTATTCGAAGTTCATTTGAGTAAAGTCTCTCAACGTGAGACATTGACTTTCTATTTTTCTATTATTGATCTCATACGCTATTTTTTTTGGAAGGAAAGCCGGGCACTGCTATGAACGATTAAAGCCTTGTTTTTACTAATTGATATTTTTCCTTCCTTCATTTTAGGACGATTTTTGGAATCTCGAATTTCCACGTCATCGCAGATTCTCTTTATTTTGCCGCTTAACTCGAAGCAAGGATACTGCATTGTTTTCATCATTTTCAGATTAAATCATCACCTGTAACCATACTTCCAACCTTAAATTTGATTAATCAGATGCTCATCTACTTTCTTCCACACCCTAATAACCTTTCCAATTCCTGCGGTATAGGCTGTTTGTTTAGTTATCAACTATGATCTGAATTCTTCATTGTATACATTATATGATGTAAAGTTGTACATTGTAATAATAGGATGCCTTTTAAGGTGGATAACATCTTATGCCTTGCCGCTAACGATAGATGCCAAATCCGTCCTACTTTCCTCCTTTTTGATTTGAGGCGCTGCTTGCGAAATGTTAGAATCGGTTGAATATCTTGAACGAAGCGACGAAGCAGAACCGTCAAGGTGTCTCTGACGTAGCAGTTTTTCTCTAAGTTTGAGTTCTGCAGCTTTTTTCTCGAGCTCTTGTATACGTTTTTGCAATTCTCTTGCGGATTGAGCCTCCAATTCTTCAAGCTTTTGCTGTTTAGCAATGATTCGTTCATGTTTGAGAACATATGGAACGGTCTCGGAAATGTTTCTAAGCTTGCTTCTGTCTGGAGAACCGGGACCTTCGGCACGAGGAGAGTTCTTAATATTGTTTATAATTTCTTCGTTACCACGTCTTATACTTTGAGAAATCTGCCTTAGTGTTGGGGAAGCTGGATCCTCCATGACAGAGTCCTTGGCGTCAACTGCAACAGGTGGAGTTTCCGATTGAGGCCGAAGTGCTAGTGAAGTCGAAGATTTGAATTGTCCCGTAGTGATCAAAGACGCAAAATTCGACAAACTTGGTGCGCCCGAATCTCTTTTATTTTCAGAAACGGCTTTTTGTTGATCCACGTCCCATTCCGCAACCGAAGAGAGTCGTTCGGCTCTGTAATTTTCATATAATACGTTTTGCATGGTATCTTTGAATTCTTGGAAATGGGAACCGAATAAAACGTTTTTCAAAACTCCCAAGTCCGAAATCTCGGTGTCATCGATCTTGGCGTCCCCCCACAAATACGATCTCACGTATTCTCCGTCACTGTTTTTAGTATCGGAAGCCACCACTGCAAATGGCTGCAATAAAGCGAGAGCTTGGTTTTCTTCGATGGTTTCGACGTCGTCCTCTTCGGGGTCGACTTCGAACTTGTAGATGGGCACGTTGTACCGTTCGATATCGTCCATGATATTTTTCTTGAAATTCGCGAGCTCTTCACGCGTAAACGAGTCCGCGCGGGCCACAATGGGTAAAACGTTAGCGTAACGAGACAAACGTTTCATCATTTCAACGTCAAGTTCGCGCAAACCGTGACCCGTAGGTTCAATGAAATACAGGGCGACGTGGACACGTGTGTCTTCGAACCTCGGGTTTCTTTGAATCTTGGTCTCCTCGGCGAGCACCTGATCAAACTGTTGTTCGAGAAACGCAGTGATTTCTTTGAAGCACATGCGATTGTCCAAGTTTTCACCGATCCCATGCGTCTTGACCAAATTGAAGAGGATCTTGTCGGTAGCAACGCCTTGTTGCGTCGCGGCGCTACTAGATCCATCGCTCGAAACAGACGCTCTGGAACCAGCCTCTTCAGAATTGGTAGAGATTTCCATCGTCGTTGAAGTGATAGTTATGCCCGGTTCTAAGTGTTCACGAGACGCGTCGAATTGGGCAACATGCGATGGAATCCCATTTTTCGAATTGTAGGACACGACTTTGGTTGGTTTAACAATCTGGACACGTGGATTTCCGGGCAATTGAGGCGTTTCAAGGCTGTAACGATGCGGGAAAACAGCACTCTCGAGTAAATTGTTCGCAAATGCGGTTTTACCTGTACCAGTGTTCCCGACTAGCAACACCGAGTACGCGATGCCACGACGATGGTCCTTTCTTCTGCGGTGTATGAGACTAGGAGAAGAGCTCATGGGGGGAAGATAACGGGTATTTAAGCTTGAAGGATGGTTATTTTAGGTCGAATTCGGATCAGTTGGAGCTTTGATCCACTATTGACAGTTGACTTTGTTTCGTGTTCGTGAATTCGTGTCACGTGATGTAGTGTAGAGTTACAGAAAGTCACATGATCAACCATCCCTCTTATTGTGTCACGTGACTCTTTATTTGATAATCATGCGACACGAACCTTGACGTCCAGACAAACAACTCTTAACTTCAACAGATGTTCATTAATTACCAACATGGGCATCAAGACAAGCTACTTTCCTATGATCTTCATGTTGTTCAGTGGGATTTAAATCTAGAGACGTCTAAAGCCCATTTTTGGACGATAGCGGTGAAAACCGTCACCGGAGTGGGGACCGGTTGAGCTGTAGGCATGGTGTGTGCAAGTCATTGGTGGGACATATATCCTTATTGTACTTAAAAAGTCTTGTAAAAGGCCATGTAGAAAACCTTGTAGAAGGTCTTGAAGACTCAGAGTCGTAACATTAATTCAAATCAATGGGTTTCATAATGGTGTGGAGCGTCGTATTAAATTGTTGACGTTTCGACTAAAGATCTCCAGCCACTATATCAGATCTCATACTTATCGACAATCTCAAAAAATGAATGGCTCCCACGGCCATAAGAGCTGCATAGTCATTGGTGCTGGTGGTGTTGGTGTTATCACCGCTTATTCGCTGTTCAAAGCTCAAAAATGCCAGGTTTCGCTTATAGTACGTTCCGACTACGATCATGTCGTTCAAGAGGGATACAATATTGATTCCTGCGACTACGGTGCCGTCAAGGAATGGAAGCCCCATTACGCATACCGTAATACACAAGACGCTGCGGCCGGGGACCGGTTTTTCGACTACATCGTCGTAACGACCAAGAACATCCCAGATGGTGCAGCTGAAAACACGGTTAGCCAAGTGATCAGGCCATTGGTTGAGTCCAATGCGCGAATCGACTCCACAAGAGTCACTTGTGTTGTTTTGGTTCAAAACGGTATCGATATTGAAAAAGAGCTGCAAGAAGAGTTTGACCATCCCCTCGCCCTGGTCTCCGGTGTCCAATTAATTGCCTCAACGAAATTGGCACCCGGTATCGTTCACCAGAAGGGCAAGGATCATCTTATTGTCGGCGCTTTCGATGCAATGGATGCCCACGCCGTCGCTGGCGCGCGGGAGTTTGTTGAAATGTACCGTAATGAGGGCCAAAACCATGTCGAATTCGACGCCTCGACCCGGTTTACCAGATGGAAAAAGCTGTTATACAATGCCGCAATCAATACTACGACTGCACTAGTGGAACTAGACGTCCCCAGGTGTCTTGAATTTGCACAGGGCTCACTGGGTACCGAGCATACACTGTTTCGTCCTGCGATGCAAGAGATCGTCGCCATTGCAGCAAGCGAGGGCATCACTCTCGGGGAACAGCTGATCGATTTCTTCGTTGAGATCACACGAAACTTGGTCTACAAACCTTCCATGTGCGTAGACCACGAGAAGGGACAACTCATGGAAATCGAAGTGATTGTGGGTAACCCTTTACGCATTGCACAACGGAATGGTGTCCCCACACCCACGTTAAATGTCATCTACACCTTGATCAAAATGTTGCAATCGAAAACAAAGGAGGCACAGGGATTGCTGAAGTTTGATGAAAAGACGGCGCGCCTGGCTCAATAACGTTACACTGCGACCACCTCACCGATATCTATATATTCCGATGTATCACTGCTATAATACTACTGTATTCTCCACGCTTTAGTTATTTTAAGTAAACGAACCGTGGCCCAAATTTTAATTTAACACCGGCACGATAACACCTGAACCCGATGCTATTAATTACAAATGCTGCATTTCTGTAAAAGCCTTCTACGCGAGTGTTTTTTTGTTTCTCTGCCTGTCCTTCTAGTTATTGTCGAGCCTTAATTAAAGATCCGAACACTACAAGACCTATGAATTTAAACACCTTTACCACAGCACAAAAGATCGCTTTCGTACCTACAGAATCGGCACATGCCAAACTGCATTTGAGTGCAATTTTCACCTATCAAAAGAATTTAAACACCCGGTATACCATGCCGTTACATCTCACGTTGCTTAAATCGCTTAAACGCTAGATTTCGAACCTACTGAAAATTGTACAAGGACCGGATAAGTTCGCCGAAAGCAAACCACCACGACTTCGTCGCGACGCAATACTCTCTCCAGCACTAGTGATCGTCTTTGGTACCTTAGCCTATTCCATACTCATGATAATCGTGTATAGGTATTGAAGGTGGAATCATCACCATCAGGTCACATGCGAGAACCTCGATCCGAGCCAGATTCCATAAAAGCTGTAAAGCTGAGGCGATGAGCTTCATGCGTCGAGATTCCAGTGGATCCGTGACGTCTGCAGGAATAATGCATCACCAGGGCAAGCTAGATGTGTTCATTATCAAGGCGTACCGAGTTCTGTCACGCGGAGCGTTGATCAACGGTGACGACGTTAGCATCGCGAACACGGCATCTAGTTCACCGAAATCCGGTGTAGCAGTCAACGCGGTTAATGGGATGGGCCAGCAAGGCGATTTGTCGCTTTTCCAGCGACTTTCACAGCTATACAATGCAACGATATCGACAAGTTTGCTGGACGACAATTCGACTTCACCAAAATCGGCTATAGAACTGTACCAGCGATTCCAACAGATCATGAAAGAAATGGAACTGAGCTTCGAAATAAGTCCTTACAGTAAATACTTCCGGCGACTCGATAACGGGCTGTGGCAGATCAAAGACGACGCAGAGCTCGCGGGCGATCAACTGTGGCAACTGGTGTCGGTTTCGATCGCTACGGTGTACGACGTACGTACGGGCCAAATGTTGAGTCAGCCACGCAAACGTGTTAACAGTTTGGCAGCGTCGTCGAAAAATTCACCCTCTGAAATGGTCGATAACACACTGCCACAACAACTTCAAAAACGACTGCAAAAACTGCAACAGGACAGCAAAAACGCCAATTCGGTTTCTCCGGTGAGCCCGTCTGTGTTTTCCCAGCCGGGAACTGCCAGCGGGAACGGGAACGGTAACGGTGCTCTTTCAGGCGCTGGCCCGGGTTCGCGATCTAAACGCAAGTATATGGGCGTCGAGACGCCCGACGAAGAAGCGGTTGAGGAGCTGTTACAGCTCGCGACCAAGAAACATCGTGCAGATCTGCCTACAATTGACGAAGACGCTGTGGCAACGGCAGCAGCTCCTGTACCGCTGCCGCAAAGCAGTCTCACCATTCGCGAAAACGAACTCTACGATCGACTGTTGCACGAAAAGGACGCTCGTATCCAACAGCTTGAAAAGGACCTTGATTCACAATGCCAGGAGACGCTATGGCTACGCAAGATGCTGCTGGAAGACATGGGCTGCGTCCGAAGCATGCTGCACAAGATGTCCAACGGCCGGTCCCGCGATTGACACCCATCGCGCGCCCGATGTACATATATATAATTCTCAGAATTCCTGTAACGTTACACCTACGAAGCCATATACTGGAAGCGATGACTACTCATATTTGAATTTGGCGAACAATTCAATAAGCATTGACCAAAACTCGGTCGAAATTGGTCCAAATTTTTAGGCAATAACGGGAAAAAATACTTCTAAAACGAAGCTACATTATCGGTTTATTTCTACATCATCTCATCGTTTGTAAACTACTCTCTTCTGTCTTTGTTTTTCCTCGTTTAAGTAAACTGTCATTTGAATCTCTTATAGATGGTAGATGCCAATCTGGAAATTAACGATCGACAGACAAACTCCGAAAGTCATAGAAAAGGGGGCCCTATAAGAGTCAGGCTCAAGAAATTCAAACTAAAAGCCCTTTTAACTGATTTTCAACTGAGCCTTTCGCGTAGACATTGAGCTCTTTTCCGGCAACAATTTTGACCTAGCCCATGGCTTTCAAAACCATTTCAGCGCAACTCGCAGCAAAACTGGACCAAGAACTAATGGGGCCCGAGATTGGGTTCACTTTGCAACAACTCATGGAACTAGCAGGTTTGAGCGTTGCACAGGCGGTCCAGAAACAGTATCCAATCTCCATATACCAGAAACGTCAGATTTTGGTCGTGGCAGGCCCAGGTAACAATGGTGGTGACGGACTCGTGTGTGCACGGCATCTTGCCCTGTTCGGGTACCAACCGGTCGTGTACTACCCGAAACGGTCCTCTAAAATCGAATTCTACTCCCAACTCGTGCGACAATTGGATTTTTTCGGCGTTCCTGTGCTTGGTTCTGACGACAAATGGACTCATTATTTAACTTCTCCAGAGACCGTGTGTATCGTCGACGCGATCTTTGGTTTCTCTTTCAAGCCTCCAATGCGTGAACCTTTCGGGTCTATTGTATCTGAACTCGTTAAAGTCCAAAACGCCGTCCCCATTGTCTCTGTTGACATTCCGACTGGTTGGGATGTCGACGGGGGTCCCGTCGCAGGTACCGATAGCCTAGCTCCAAGTGTACTTGTTTCTCTCACGGTACCCAAGCCTTGTGCCAACAAACTACAAGCGGGCAGAACTACACATTTTGTGGGTGGACGGTTCGTTTCTGCCAGTTTTGCTAAGAAATTCGGTTTCGAACCTTTCCCGTACCCATTTACAGACCAAGTTTTAAAGTTATGAGCCCCTGGTACATACCAATACCGCCTCCGTCTATGTCAGTCGCTTAAGCGACCCTCGTAGACCCCGTTCTGTCCACGTCAACTGCTCATTTGAACCTTTCAGTGTCCAAATTTCACGAATACTTATGTCAAAAATCAAGCTTTTTTCGTCCGCGTTTGCACGTATCGACTCGTCGTGAGTTGCTCAATGCGATCCCCAAGCTCACAGTCCCTAATTTGTAGTTTCAACACCGAGTCTTTCAAGGTCAACGTTTTCTATAACTTTTCTTGATTATCGGCTCGCTATGGACTAGGCGGTTGCCGTTTCTTTTGACGTTGATAGTTAAATAAGCTAAATAAGCTAAACCTAAGAAAAAATTTGACCCAATTTTGGCGCAGGAATCAACATAATCAGCGCTAAGAAACGCGTTATTTTAAGATATTGAGTCAAACTGAGACGTGGCTAGTACCAACAGTAAAGTGAGACATTACGGGTTTGGTAGATAGCCCGAAAGAAGCTCGCAAATAGCGTTGTTTTTGGTGGAAAAAGATGAACGGGAACCCGCGAGATGAGCTGCAAGAAACGGAACCCAAACGAGTAAAAGTGTACGTGTTGGAAGACAATGAATGGCGTGACACCGGTACTGGATTCTGTGTGGGCCATTTGGACGGTGCTTGCGTGAAAAACGGTGAAAACGGCGCGTTTTTGGTTGTGACCGATGAGGAGTTGCCGGACAACGTCCTTTTGAAATCGAAACTAGAGGGAAATATTGAGTATCAACGGCAAGAAGAGACCTTGATAGTGTGGAAAGATTTAACGTGTCGCGACATTGCGTTGAGTTTCGAAGAAAGCACCGGTTGCGACGCGTTGTGCGATTTTATAGTGAAAATTCAAAAATCCGTGGAGATGAACATATCGCTGGTTGCAGTGCGATCAAATGACGATGGAATGGGATCTGTACACGAAATTATTACGGGTCCAGTAAATTTGCCCTCGAATGACAAAGACCAAGACGACAAAACCTTGCTGGAGGCGCTACGAATACTTAATGAAAATACGGCATTTGAGTTTCTACGCAAGGAAACTGTTGAATTTGTGCTTGCAGTTGGATACGTGTCGACTTTGGTGCACGTGTTTCAAAAAGCAGAGCAAAATCACAAGCATAGAAGTCTTATTCTGTTGAGCAGCATTGTAAAGACACTTTTCCTATACAACCAACGTCAGATCCTTGAGGAAATGGTGACATCTGAAAATATTATCGGAGTGGCGGGCATACTCGAGTATGACTTAGAATATCCGGACCGTAAGGCTAATCATCGCGAGTATCTGCAACGGTCTGGGTTTCATTTCAAAGAAGTTGTACCGCTGAAGAGCGAAGAAATGAAAAACATCATCAAAAAGGCATTTCGATTACAATTCCTGAAGGATGTCGTATTGGTGAGATTTCTGGATGACCACACCTTCAATTTAATTTCGGACGTCATTCTGGATTTCCAAGCCTGCATAATTGACTTCATACAGAGGGATTCTTTTCTTACAAGACTATTTGCACTCTACACTGACACTAGCGTTCCGCTCGAGTCCAAACGAGATGGAATAAGGATGTTACACCAATGCGTCCAAATAGCGCAAAATATCGACTCTCTCGATAAATCCAAATTTTTCAGAACTCTGGTTCGAAGCGGGTTTTTCGACGTGATAGAGTATGCGTTTAACGTTGAAACCGACAGCGGTGTCAGGATTCTCGCCACCGACATGGTGATCACAATTATCGAACACGACGTGTTTCTGATTAATAGTGTGAACAATGAATGCGCAAACAACAGAGACGCTGGTTCAGATCAAAATCCAAGCGGCCAGATGGTAAGTTTGGAGCGTGCCACCTCGGTGTCATCCGACGTTTCGCTATTGATGATTCTATCCAAGATCCTACTGACCGACAAGAGTCTTGGTTTGAAAGAACAAGTCGTTCAAGCTTTGAACACGCTTTTACATCCAGAAGGTTGCATGGAAGGAAATACTGCATATCAGGACGAACAAAACGGAGATCTCGTTCTGGGATTTTGCAACGATGCTAAAGAGTTCAAAGAGCACTTCGGTGCAAATAACAGTCAAGATCAGACTTTACAAGATATCCCACAAATCCTTGACTATTTTACCAAATTTTATGAAGTTGTGGCGCCTTTTCTGTTCAAGCCGTTAATGGACCTCACAGTCTTGAATGAAACTAGTGACGTACTGCTACAACACCTGATTAAACTCATCGCATTTATCACCACAGAGCACGATCGCGTGATTTCGCAGAAATTTATCTTGAGCTCTCAGATTTTATCAAACTTAGCTACTCTGCTAAGACCTACGCATACGCTTCAGTTGCGCTTAACTGTTGTGCGCTGCATAAAATCAATACTGCTGCTCGACGACGAGATATATCAGCAAGAGCTCATGGCGCAGGGCGTTTATCGCCCCCTGATGGGACTGTTGGAAGAGAATATCAACGAGGACAATCTGGCCAATTCATGTTTACTGGACTTTTTTCATCTGGTTTCAACCCATTGTTCAAGGGCTTTGGAAATGGATCGTAATGAAAAATCGGGGTTTGTTCTTTTGAATAGGCATCTCGTCGACCACTATGAAAGTATTCTCCAGCAAGTGAACTATGTGCCGACGATTTCGAATATGATCAACATGCGGAACGGTGGTGGCGTGGTGGTGTTTGGAGATATGTGTGGAGGTTCGGAAGAGGCTCTTGATGGTAAAATTTCATCGTTACTTCCTCACGTTGATCCTGGTTTCAATGATGATAACGACTCCGAAAAGAGTGTTACTTTTAAACGGGCAATGGACAAGTTGAGCGCAGTACCGCCTCCAATATCAATCAAAGAAGACGTTCTAAAAGAAGAAGGATAGAAAGAAAGGCCATGTGTTGAGGGGGGTAATCATATATGTTCGATAATTCATAAATTAGCATTCACACTCGCACTGTTGTTGTAATTTTCTGGTAAAAGTCCCTTGGGATATAGATCGTGACTGAAATGGGTCCCGATGTGCCACATGCCCCCGTCGACGACTTGAACGGTGCCTGTCACGTAGCTGGCGGCTGGAGAAAATAGGAAAACCGTGGAATTGGCAATGTCAGTAGTCGTTCCTAACCTTTGTAGCGGAACCCGTTTCCCGTACGCTTTTTCGGGATCTTCTTGGCTCAACCGTGAAATACCCTCTGTGCCCGCTATTGCGCCCGGAGCCAAACAGTTGCAGCGAATTCCTAACACCCCTAATTCGACCGCCAAGGAGTTCGAAAGCGCGTCGATACCCGCTTTGGCGGCTCCGACGTGACTTTGGTAGGGAACCCCGTAATAGTGGAACGTGGCACTCACAAACAAAATCGCGCCTTTGGTCTTGACCAGCTCTGGGAAGCACGCTTTTGCAGTGTTGAAACTACCTAACAGATCGATTGAGACGACAGATTTGAAAGCGTTGGCAGACAACGAATGGAACGGCGCGACAAAATTGCCCGCTGCTCCCGCGATCACAAAATCGATCCTGCCAAACTTTTCCACCGTCTGTCGGACTGCATCTTCCATCTGACCCATGTCTCGGACGTCCACATTGGATATTGGTAACACGCAATCCGCGCTGGGCCCCAGTGCGGCTATTTCTCGAGCCGCTTGTTCAGTTTTGGTCTTGTTCCGCCCGACAATCGCCGCTTTGCATCCCAACAGTACAAGAGCCTCCGTTTGCACGCGACAAATGGTCCCCGCACCCCCAGTAACAAATGCCACTTTGCCCTCGAACAAACCCTCTTTCCAAGCGCCCTTTTCCACAAAGTCTCGACTCAAAGTGTTGCTCATGGCTAGAAATATACGCTGCTTATACACTATAAAGGTTTATTCACTAGTATATAAATATTAACCATTGATTGGTTTTGTTTTGAGTGGCAAGAAGGTTAAGTACCTTAAGCGCTGACGCTTGTCTTTATATACTCGGGAGATCTTTACCCCGGATTGGGGTAATGGAATGATCCGTACCAGGCTATACGTATTAAACGATTAACGATCCAAAAAAGCGTTAACGTATAATGTGATATATTACGTACATAATGCTCAATAATTATCCGGGTAACTTTATTAATCAGACACGTGAATTTAATGTCAGGTGATACAGTCGTATGATATGACATCATTATGTACGCATCTAGTCGTTAACGCCAACAACAGAAAGCCATATCACGATGGGTTCGACCTCTACTAGAAGAAGCCCAGCTATAGACCAGGCACAGAACTCGCGGCAACCTAGCAAGATGTCGGCAGAATGGAAAGTGGATCCAGACAACCGCAGAAGGCTTTTGAAGCTACAGAAATTGGGCGGAAACAAGAAATGCGTTGATTGCAGCGCACCAAACCCGCAATGGGCTTCTCCCAAATTTGGCATTTTCCTGTGTTTGGAGTGTGCAGGCATTCACAGAGGATTGGGAGTGCACATTTCGTTTGTGAGATCGATTACAATGGATCAGTTCAAACCAGAAGAGCTCGAAAGAATGGAGAAGGGCGGGAACGAACCTTTCACCGAGTATCTAACCAGCCACGGGGTCGATATCAAATTGCCCCCCAAAAGCAAATACGACAACCCGATAGCAGCAGATTACAAGGAGAAGTTGACCAGTGTCGTCGAGGGCACCGAATGGGTCGAACCAGACCGGTCTGGATTCGACGCGTCGAAGTTGGGCGAGGGCTCTGACGCATCGACGACAAGTGTGTCCAATTCGACGTCGCAACCGGGACGTTCCCAAGGCGCTACGCCTCTCGGCTCGCGACGCGGTACGCCACAACTTGCTGATAACCAGCGAGAGAAAAATGAGGCCTACTTTGCAGAATTGGGCAGGAAAAACATGACCAAATCGGATGCGTTACCACCGTCACAAGGGGGTAAGTACCAAGGATTTGGTAACACACCGGCGAATCCGCAACAGCCCGGAAACGGTGCAGCGAATCCATCTGGAACGCTTTCGCTAGAAAACTTTCAAAAAGATCCTATGGGCACTTTTTCTAAAGGTTGGAATTTGTTTTCCAGTGCCATTTCCAAGAACCTTGAGGACGTAAACGAGGGTGTCATCAAGCCTGGAATGCAACAGATGCAATCGCGTGACTATTCAGAGGAAGCCAGAAGAGCGGCGACTCAATTCGGACAGAGATTCCAAGAAACTTCTAACTACGGCTACCGTGCGTGGTCTAATTTCACTAAGGGATTGCAAGAACAGTATGACCAAGGTTCACAGTCGGCGGGCGCGGATTCTAAGTACAGTAAGCTGTTTGACGGTTTTGACGCTCCTACGCCTGAACACGCTGCTTCTGAACCCACATTGAACAATAAACCTCACAACGAGTCTAAAGATGATGAATGGGAACAGTTTTGAGTCAAGGGCGTGAGAACGCACTCCAAAAAGCCAGGGAAAAGTCGTTAGATACTTTAATATCGACGTCGCGTCACCAGAAAGCCGGGAACTGCATCTTTCACGGTCATTTGTCGGGAATTCTACGCATACATAAACATCTCGTATTTTACAAGAAAACTGTCCTGAAGTCTAGCGAGCACTCCTTTGGCCAAGTATTGAATCCCTTGGTCTTGCTAAGGCTCGCTGGGATCAGCCTGGATTCTGCTCACGGTGAGCTTGGTTCGAGATCTTAGTTCTTCGTGCACAGCGATGGTCGATTTCTAGACGTTCAAGATATATTAGGGTTCTGATGAGACTGGTCGATCATGAAATCTGACCGCTAGAGTTCACAAGCTAAGTCGCTGAAGTATCATTTAACAGCCTACTCACAAACATGGCCAATGGAAATAGCTTCTTGGATGAATTGCCGAAAAGTTTGAAGACAGAGGTGTCCGAAATCTGTGAGAAACTACCTTCAGCAATAGGTATATTCGAGCAGGTCTTTGAATACGCTAAAGGATCACAGGTTGCACAGAAAAGAGCCAAAATTAGTGAATCTGAGTCCGCTTTAAATCCTAACGCAGCTATATTTACCTTAAAGGATGTTTCAGTGCTAAGTCCGGTCCGAAAGAAACTGGATTTAGTCATTTCGACTAGTCCCGAAACGACAAAGCCGATCCTTCTACTGCTGAAAGACACTAATATGCAGTTAAAGATTTCCGAATTGAGTCAAAACGTGAAATTCGCTTCGTTTTTGCCCGTCCCAGAGAAACCAAATTCCATGTATCTGTATTTCCACTATATCGAAGACGCTGGCGCAGGACAGGCCGATTCGCTGCTCATCAATTTAAACAAGGATGCAGTGCTCAAGCAGTTCCAGAATTCGGGTATACTAGCAGGTCCAGAGCAGACATTCGAGCAGTGCATAGAATACATGAGAAAGCAAGCGATATTGGTGGGATTCCGTATTTCAAGCCCTTTTTCGTCCCTAGCAAGCGAAACCGTATATTTCCACGTTGAGTGCCACAGAGGCATTAAAGAAGGTACGCTGTATTTTTTGCCCAACCATTTACTTTTTGGATTCAAAAAGCCGATCTTGCTCTTTAATTCGCAAGACATTGAATCAATAACGTATTCCTCAATCACAAGAGTCACTTTTAATGTAACAATAACTAGCAAAGTGGGTGAAAAATACGAATTCTCTATGATAGATCAAAATGAGTTTACCAAAATAGATGAGTACGTCAAGACCAAACAGGTGACGGACAGATCAATGAGTGATGAGTTCAAAGCCAAGCCCATGGGTAAGGGCCAAAAATTGGTCGAAGGCAATTCTGCGCTCAGGGAAGCTGCCCAACAACTGGAAGGTGAAGGGAGTTCGACTGAATTGCCTCTTGAATCCGACGATGAGGAGGAAGATGAAGATTTCAGAGCGGAAAGCGAATTATCCGATGGAAGCGAAGGAGATCCATCCGACGCAGAACTTCGAGACGAAGGTTACAATGGGAACCCAGAATATGTTCATATGGAAGAATATGAAGCAGAAGCAAACGGCGATGAACAACTTGATGATGAACTCAGAGATTACGCATCAGAGGATATTCCCTTGGGGGAGGGTGAGGAAGAAGATGGTTCCGGGGTAGAGTACGATTGAATGTGAGTAGGAATAAAATCTACAAAAACCATTTGGCCATCAATGTTTCATTTAGTCTTCTAATATGTAATTACCTAGCTTGTCCATTTTCAGAGTTTGCATCCCACCGGAGAGTGCTTCAATGATACGCTCATTTTCCTCCTCGCTGTCGCCCTCGGATTCAACGTCGTCTTCGCCGTCGTCCTCGGAGTAGTATTCTTCAGAGGAAGAATCTGCAGAATAATTCTCGTTTTCATCCTCAGAATCAATGTCGGAAGTGTTCTGAGCTTCTACTCTCATGATTTCAGCAGCTTCTTCCCATCGTTTGTCACCAGGATGCTTTTTACTAAAACCTGAGGCCATGACAAGCTCATCCAAGTTGTCACAACGTTCAATATCTCGCTCAAAGACTGGGAATGCATGTTTATAACCATCTCCATAACCGTCAGTATCTAACATGGACGTATCAGATGCAGGTTCATATTTCAGCTTTTTTTTGAAAAATCGACGAATACAGTCGACATCTCTTTGAAAGAAAAAGGCGGCCTCCTTGTGTTGAATTGAAATACACTGTGGGAAATCAATGACAACAAATCCACAGTCGCTAGAGTCTTGGACGTCGTCTTTAATCATGATATTGAATTCATTGAAATCACAGTGTATTAATCCGTGATTCGCAAGCTTCACAATGAAGTTCATAAGATCGCTGTATAGCCTTGACACGTTCTTATGATTTCTCATTCTTCTCATTGGGAATCCTTTGATCAACCCCATCAGAACCATGTGCCGCGAGCAGTCGAAAGGTTCCGGAACCGAAAATCCCTTCGTATACAGAAGCTCCATGAACTGGTATTCCTTGTTAGCCGCGAGTCTCGATAAATACATCCAGTTACCACTTTGGTTCCGCTTCAAGTAGTCTCTGTTGGTTTTGACCGTGTGGAACGAAGTTCTGCCAAGTCTGTGGATTTTCAACACTTTCGTAGCTCCAGCTTTGTCACTCACTCTATAAACGTCTGATTCCTTACCGACACCAATAATGTTCCCTACTGAATAGATCGTTTCTCGACTCAACATCGCTTTTAAACCAAGGAAGTCGATTCCATTGTAAGTCAATCTGTAACCATCGTATTTGATATTTCTCATCCTAGAAACCAATTTCAGCTTGGCCAAATCTCCAATAGCATGGTTGGTCCCCGAAATGGATCTCATTCCAGAGATCTGGTGAATCATCTGCGTTGGAACGACTTCGTGATTTCTGGAACCTTGTTCAACTGCTTGCAAAACTCGGAAATCATCGGCGGTCAAGTACCGCATATGACTCGTGTCAAGCTTCATTTAAAATCTATAGCAAACTTAAGAACTAGTGCCTAACTCTTTTATTTACAGAGTCTTGGGTATCGGTGCTTTCTTGGGCAAATTCTTTCAGCTCATCTCATCGATTCATTCATTGCAGAGTGAAAATTTGACGTTGAGGTCAGGTGACTTGGTGAGGTCACATCATAATCTCTGGAAAGGGCCAGGGATAACGAACACCTGTAAACTAACTGGATTCTTTGACCCTTAGAAATGTCATAACAAGACATTTAGTTGATCTTTTGGTTTGTATGTATATAGCTATATAGTCTGCGGTCATTTTAATCATACCTTTGGCGGAAATTTAGGGCCTAAGAAAGTATTTAAGCCATAGGATATATAATTAGCTTTACAGATGTATTTAAAAACGGTCAGGGAAGGGCACATGGTGGTGACAGTGATCGAAATGTGGTCCTTCATGTCCGTGATTTTTATATGGTCCCATATGGTGGGGATAGTGATGTCCGTGATGGGGAAAAAAGTGGGGAGGGAAATGGGGCCCATGAGTCCAACCCGGTGGTGGCGGAAATCTGTCTTCCCTATCAAAACGGCAATCAAAGCCATTGAAATTCGTAAAACGGTGTGGCTCATCACTGTGGTGGTGACGATGGTGATGACGCGGAGGAGGGGCATCGCTAAAACCGCCAAATCTGCCGTGGTGGTGGTGATGATGATGTCTATTTGAGTTAAATGGCCAGGGCCCAAAAGGCTCCGACTTGTCGTGACCGTGGTGCCTGTGGTCGTTGCCACGGAGATTCTCCGAATGATGATGGCACCCTTGACCATCCCTCCTTTTATGATTCCATTCCTTCTCGCGAGCTTGCTCTTCGGCCTTGTCGTCCATATCAGTGTTTTCTTTCTCATTCATTTGGTGAGGTCTGAAGTCCTCGGTACTTGAGCAGACGCGGTCTTTCAATTGCATTGTCAAAATAAAGTGTTCGTCGGTTTTATAAAAGATCATGGGCTCTAAGAAAAGACTAGATTCCTGAGCTACAGGTCTTAAAATTTATATGGGTTTATATAGCTCAAAATCATCCACTTGTCAGGAGATAATGGCGGGTTTGGAATCCGGCGCCGGTGGTTGATGCGCGTCTCGGCTTTTGAACGTGCGCCTCAATCTGCCATATCCGTGCCTGCACTGCGTTTTGCTGTGAGTTCAAATGCCGAAAGGAGTTAAAATGCAGCGTTTCCATGTGAAAAAGTAACTTATGCGGCATTTCAAATGCCGAGGGCTGCATAGTCAAGGTAATGTGAGGATGATTATTATCCATGGACCACGCGGATGGATGAGAACCATCTGTCGGTAATCTTGGAAAGGTCCATGGGAATAAGCGCAGATTTACTCGGTTACCAGTTCCAGACTTTATTTGATAAGGGCCTTTTTAGTACATTAGATTTATATGGCAAAAAAGCTAAAAACCTACACATATGTAAAGCTAGATACACAGGAAAGATATTTCATGAGGCTGAATAGGAAGAGAGAATCAAGTAAATGGAAAAAACTTTAAAGTTCTAATTCTCAACCTTAACGAGAGGACATAGCCTTAGTGACAACTCTCTTTAGACCAACTTCGGCCTTTCTCAAGTCATCGGTAGATGGGTCCTCTAGTTCCAACGCGGCCATGGCGTCCGACAAAGCAGCCTCGATCTTAGACTTGGCACCTCTCTTCAACTTGGAAGACAAGACTGGGTCGGTGACGGTTTGCTCGATGGAAGCAACGTAAGACTCCAATCTTTGTTTGGCCTCATGCTTCTTGGCGAAAGCTTCGTCGGCAGCCTTGAACTCTTCGGCTTGGTTGACCATCTTCTCGATTTCGTCGGAAGACAATCTGCCAACAGCGTTGGAGATAGTAATGTTAGCGGACTTACCAGTAGACTTCTCGACGGCAGTAACCTTCAAGATACCGTTAGCGTCAACTTCGAAAATAGCTTCCAAGACTGGCTCACCTGCGGACATTGGAGGAATTCCCTTCAAGTCGAATTCACCCAACAAGGTGTTTTCAGCACAGTTGACACGTTCACCTTGGTAAACTGGGAATTGAACGGTAGTTTGATGGTCAGCAACAGTGGTGAAAGTTCTTCTCTTGATGGTTGGGACAGTGGTGTTTCTTGGAACAACCGGAGCGAAGACATTACCTTGCATGGCGACACCCAAAGACAACGGCGCAACATCCAACAACAACAAGTCCTTGGTGTCGTCGGAAGTAGATTGGCCAGTCAAGATAGCACCTTGGACGGCGGCACCGTAGGCAACGGCTTCATCAGGGTTGATGGATTTCTCCAATTGCTTACCGTCGAAGAAGTCGGACAAAAGCTTTTGGACCTTTGGAATTCTGGTGGAACCACCGACCAAGACGACCTCGTCGATTTGAGTCTTGGAAACCTTGGCGTCCTTCAACACTTGTTCAACTGGCTCCAAAGTAGACTTAAACAAAGTAGCGTTGATGTCTTCGAATCTGGCTCTGGTGATGGAGGTCTCAAAGTCTTCACCGTCGAACAAAGAGTCAACTTCCACGGTGGTTTGAGTAACAGAAGACAAAGTTCTCTTAGCTCTCTCAGCAGCAGTTCTCAATCTTCTCAAAGCTCTGGCGTCGTTGGAGATATCCAAACCAGTCTTCTTCTTGAATTCGGTCTTGAAGTGCTCCAATAGGTTAGTGTCAAAATCTTGACCACCCAAGTGAGTGTTACCAGAAGTGGACTTCACGGTGTAGACACCACCAGCAATGTGCAACAAGGAAACATCGAAAGTACCACCACCCAAATCGAAAATCAAAACGTGTCTCTCCTTGTCAGACTTACCGGCACCCAAACCGTAAGCAATGGCGGCGGCGGTAGGTTCGTTAATGATACGCAAAACGTTCAAGCCAGCAATGGCACCAGCATCCTTGGTAGCTTGTCTTTGAGCGTCGTTAAAGTAAGCTGGAACGGTGATGACAGCCTTTTCGACCTTTTGGCCGATCTTGGCCTCAGCAATCTCTTTCATCTTGATCAAAACCATAGAGGAGATTTCCTGTGGGGAGAAAGTCTTTGTCTCACCCAAGTATTCAACTTCAACGAGAGGAGCGTCGTTGACGTCGATAACCTTGAAAGGCCAGGTCTTGATGTCACTTTGAACAGATTCATCATCGAATCTTCTACCAATCAAACGCTTGGCGTCAAAGACAGTGTTTCTTGGGTTCAGAGCAGCCTGGTTCTTGGCAGCGTCACCAATCAATCTTTCTTCTGGAGTGAAAGCAACGAAAGATGGGGTAACTCTGTTACCTTGCTCGTTAGCGATAATTTCGACAGAAGAGTCGTAAGTCGCAACACAGGAGTACGTAGTACCCAAGTCGATACCGACAGCACCTTGGAAAACACCTTCAGCCATTGTGATTCGTGTGGGGAGTAGCTTGCTGAGCGAACACTGTTATGCCAAATTTGAAACTGGCAGAGAGAAGACCAACTGGGACTAGCGATGCGAAGTTTTATAACACACCGTGAAAAATTTTTCACAGCCAGCCACGGCGGCCTTGCCGACGGTGTCGATGCCCCGGGTGCTGCGTTTCTTTTGGCTGAGATTTCGCACATGACAAAATCGATCACGTGGTTGACATTTTCGAATTGGGAGCGGTAGTGATTGCGTGGGCCGTGCTATTGATTTCGCTGACCCGGACTCAGATTTGCGCTATCCATAGGGGTGCAAGGACCAGTGTAAGAATCAATGCAAGCCCGGGCTTTTCTTCTGGAATGTCCTTTGGGCCTATAGCACTGTAGTTGGGACTCAATCAATGCCATGGCCACGGTTACGGTAGAGAGGGTTCCTGATACCACGATAGCTTGCAGTATTAGGTAAGGGCTTGCCAATTGGATAGTTTTCAACCGTTCTGGTATGGGAAGGATCTTGACGCATGCGCCCGACTGTTCACGAATAAATTCAATGCGAGATCCTTGGTGACCTATTAGAAAGGTCACTTCTAACTTGTTTAGGGTTAGTGTGTGGGATGTATGGTACAGTGGGGCATATCGCTGTTCTTGCTGCTGTTGTACTTCATTTTTGTAATGTGGGGAAAGCGGTCTTGGAGGGCGTGGAAATCCGGTGAAAAGCTTCCTTTGCTGTGGAACCGTGTACATTGGATTTGCCAGTATTTTCGCAATGTCTCGTACCAATTGGTCGTTGCTTGAATTCTTGAGTTCGACGTAGTGACCACCTAGGGGTTTAACATTTGAGTTTAACCCCAATTGATCACGCTGTAGGAGGTATTGGATTTCCCTTGAAACCACGATAGTGACGCCTTTAGTGGCGTCTATTTGTTGTAACAGTTGTTGCGACACGGGGCACTCCAATATGCACGCCGTGTTTTGTTCAGCGTAAACTGTCGCGATGTCGGTTTCTTGTGTTGAAGTCGCATTCATAAACTGTAAAAATCCTTCTTGTAGCATCTGGACCAATTCGTCGTAATTCACTAATACTTGGAGCTTGTTTTGTACTCCCATTTTGCTGTGCAGCCTCAGCTTCACATGGACACGATCTAATTTCCCATTAAACAGGTCTGCAATGCAAAGACGGCATGATTCTTTTTGCAGGTCCGGTGCAGTGGGATCCATTTCTTTCTCCACTCGATTCGATCACCTCGGCTTGTAAAAGATGCCTTGTCTCTGAGACTCGGCGGCTATACAAAGCTAACTATAAAAGTACCTGAAAATCCGGCAGAAAGGTCTTCGGTCCTGTCAAAAAAGTATACAGAGTATACGGCGTTGTGTACTTTTAAATACGGGCTTTGAGTATCTTTCTCTTCTCTTTATAGTTCTAGTGGTTGAAACAAGTGTTTCCGTTTAGATTAGCTATGTCACAATTTGGCGTCGAGACAATCGCCAGAACAGAAGATCACCAAAAAGTCATGTATAGTTAGCAGTATCCCGGCATGTAGCAATACGAATCGCATCAAGACGGATGCTCCATTTGGAACAGCCAACGAGCCGCGTTGTATATAAATATGTATTGGTCAATCATTTGGACCATTTTCAGGCGTTGAGTACGCAATTGCAAGATTATCTGTTCTATAAGATCGTGTTTGTAGCCCTGGAGCGGGGAGCTTTGCGTAAAATCATAGGTATCGTGAAACAGATGATCGAGCGTGATGAAAGTACCGGTTCTGCCCACACCGGCGGAACAATGTACTATAATTGGATTTTGAGCACCGTTGACGCTGTGCGAGTGTCGTGAGAGTTTCAATATGGGTAAAATCTCGTCTGGTTTCGACATGTCTTTCCATTGATCAAAATAAAAATGATGCACAGTCTTTGGAGCAAGATTCGGCATCTCTGGAGTCAGTCGTAATCTCGTGACAACGTAATGATCTTCTTGCGTGACACTTTCGAACGAGACGTCCAAAGCACTGGGAAACGTGGATTTCTCGAGATCCGCGTCACCTACATCTTGTTGACGAGCGACGTGCAGTTTCGTCTCATTCGAGGGCCAATATTTGAAACATTTCTCACGCCCGGCTTCGACTAAAGGTGTTACCATTACTACGACAACGTCGTCCTGAGGACATATCTGGTAACACATTTGCCAAAATTGTTGCCATGTCCGTTTAGTCGGGCCCTGCGTGGCAATATAATGGCCTGGTCTTAACGACTGCGTCGGTACCGAGACTTTAATATACGACGCATTAATGTAGTCACTGCCTTCTTGGACTTGTAACCTAACCCGATTTCTTTCATAGGGCATAATATTCACGTATCTATTGCGGCAATCATTTTTTTCATCTACCGAAACCCCCAGACTCCATCGAGATTCTTCCGGATACATAGTCGCATCTCGAAGTCTCAGGTCTTCTTGTTGTTGAATAAACCTGAATTTGTCGACAATTTCGGGAACCTCTTGCTTTAAATACCATGGCATTTGAATATCAAAATTTGGTGAGACCATGGCACACGCTCTTATTCTGGATCAACGCTTTGGAATCCGTGGTTTTCTCTAAATCGTTTATCATTTATGAGGTGGTTATTGTTTAAGGTGAAAACTAGTAACATCTAGATTATTATTAACTCAGTACTATGGAACAGACAAAGCCTCAGGGAGTGCTGGAAAATGTCTCAACAACCTCATATCTCTAAGGGCTCTTATGTGCAAAAATCATTTCTTAACCTCAAAGGGCTAGGTCATGATTTGGCCGGCTCGGTTTCGTCAAGAACATCGTTATCACAATTGAAGTTGAATCAGCTTACTGTGGGCAAAAACTGGGGATTTCTCGAAGATTACGGACTTGAGGAGTTACGAGATGGGTTTTTTGACCCTATATATACCAAACATGAGCGAGTCCAGGCTGACGGAGATGATGATGAGCCGAAATCTGCGTGGAAAATTGATATCAGCGAAGTGGTTAAAACTGAACTGAATCTGATTCGGGACAATTGGAAACAGATCGCGAAGTATTTCATTGCGTTTTTCGCTTCCATTTGTATCTGTCTCGTGAGACCGGCAGGATCATGGATGGGCCATAGTCATCGACAATTTTTGCCCATAGCGGTGTTACTGCATCATCCTGTGAGAAGTATCGGTGTTCAACTTGAAGTCTCGATTTTTGCGATTTTGGGTAACGTTTTGGCGCTTGGTTGGTCAAGCTTGGCATGGTATATCTCTACAGCTACTGGACCGGCTGCCTCGCATCAAGGTGGTGTATTCTTTGCAAGCATGTTCATAGCCGTTTTCCTTGCTGCATGGCTTAGAACCGCTTATATGAGGTTTTTCTACTTTTCACAATCTTTTGGTATGGGCATTATCTATTTACACACCGCCAGTTTAGCGTTTTCGAAACGCAGCCTGCACTGGCAACTGTTTTGGGATTTTGGAATTTCCAATGTTTTCGGGATCGCGCTGTCGTTACTGGTATGTGCGACCATTTTCCCGTCTTTTGGGAATTCGGAAGTTATAATCATGCTTACGGAGACTCTGGATTCCATGAAACAGTTTCTGGTGACTTTTGTAGATGCCGAATATTGTCACGATCTTCAAAAATTGCATTCTTTGCAAAGGCATCTCGTGGCAACGTTTGATGTCACTCTCTCTCAGGGTGTCAGAGAATTTGCTAACCAAATAACACTATCCCGAATGGATCATATCCGCTTAAAGGAGCTCCGGAATTCTTTGACGATCGCTGCTTCCACGCTAAAGATCTTACCGGTGGCACATAAGCTGATTTCTAATCTTGAACTGGAGGAATTTTATCACAAGTGCGAGAACCACTCAAGCAGTGGGACCGGAACCGATGCTTCATCGCCACCAAGTCTTCATCAAACCCCAACGAAAACAGAGAATCCCTCAAGCGACCATGATCTAAGCGTCTTGAGGTCAACGTTCTCTGATACAATTTTAATGCTTCTGGTAGAGATGATATCAACACTGGAAACAATGAGTACCACTCTGGCCAAACTGTCGAACGCAGAAGATCGAAAAACAAATTTGCAGAAAATCTGTCAAAATCATGATAAGCTAAAGCTTAGAATTGCACAGCTGGATATGGGTTACAGAAAATTCACAAAAACGCATTACTTTAACAAAGAGCTCTTGAGTGCTTCGTTCTCAGTGGACATCTTTCTCTTTCTACGTTATATTCGTCAGACGGCCAAAAATCTGATCATTTCGGCGCATAATGTATCCGATATTGCAGCAAACGCACATTGGAAATTGAATTTACCCCATTACCCTCTTCGGAGAGCTTTAGTGAGACTTCCAGCCCAATGTAACCTTGATCAGGGTGCAACAACTATTTTTGAATATTTTGAAGCAAAATCTGACGTTGATGACATATTTGAGTGCTTGTACAATAGTTACACCTCGACTCATTCACATTTGAGACCCACAATTAGCAAAAACCAAATGAATGCCACCATCAGAGCCATAGATCACAAAGATTTTAGTCTTCACACTACCCAGAATACTTTGAGATTCAAGCTGTGGCTCTTGAGCAGGAAAGTGGTCTCTGATGAAAGTAAATGGGCCTTTAAAATTATCTTTATTCTCACTTTCATGGCGCTACCCTCGTGGCTTCCTGAATCACTTCATTGGTATGAAACATATCAGTGTTGGTGGTGCCCAGTGCTATATTTTCTTCTGATCAACAGGAGAAATACTGGCAATTGGGACACGGTTTTAAAAAGGTCCTTATGCTGCTTGCTGGGAGTCTTTTGGGGCTGGTGCGCCAATCAGGCAAGGCACTTCAGCAGTCCATACGTTATTGGCTGTTTTGCAGGTCTTATAGGGTTTCTCATCAGTTGCTTCTTCTTCTCGCATAAATCTCCAAAACTAGCATTTATCACATTGATGAGTTTCTCGGTCATTGCACTTGAACCTTACAGCGCGAATGCCTTGTCGTTGGGTACTGCCGTTATCTGGAAAGATACGTGGGTCACAGGTCTGGCGCTTTTTTTCGGAGTCACTCTCTCATTACCAACCAATTGGATTGTCTGGCCGTTCATGGCTCGCTACGAGCTTGCCCCTTCGATTTCGTCTTTGCTTGGCCATATAAGCCAATCTTATCAGTCAATAACCGACCGATACCTGTACCGGGATGCGAACGATGATCCAACTGGCTTGACACTCAAGTTCTCGACTATCAGAGAGGTGAGACTATCGCAAAGCTTGACAGCTCTCAGAGAATTGCTTCAAAGTGCAGAGAATGAGCCAATATACATTTCCAATTTCAAGCCTTTGCTCTACACGCAGCTAATGGAAGCGTGTGACTACCTATTAGAAAGAATGATTGCTGCCAGAATTTCTGGTCGGTACTTCGAAGTCTGGGATCGAGACAGGGACAGCGAGACGACCAGAGCTTTATTGTCCCTACGTCGCGACAGTGCTGCGTCTGTTATATTTGTCCTATACATGCTATCGAACTGCTTCAGATCTAAAAACAAAGTTCCCAAATACCTTCCCAATCCGATAATGGCAAGAAAGAAGCTCTTTGACTTTATTTCAAAGTTCGAGATGTCTGGTGGAGCCAAAGTGTGGTCAGCAGGTGGGAAAACTCTAACTTCGGAAACTGATGCGTGTCCCGAGCGTTCCAAAGAACCTGGCGCGGACTACGAAAAAGAACACTGGACTGAAGTCCACGCAATGGCTTTTTCACGCGCATATACCGATATAGCACATGCTCTCCAGAAAGTGGTCGAACTCTCCAAGGAAATACTTGGTGAAGAACTTTGATCAATAAACCTTATTAATGCCTGTATTTTGCAGTGAACGATATGATAGATACTATTTAACTAACGCAAAGGCTTCACAGGGCCATAATCGTAATATGCTTACATAGATCCTCCTACTCAGTTACGTTTCCACGACAAGGTAGCGTGATACACAACTATAAGAGTGAACATAATAAGACCGCAGCTTATAGCCAGGGTGTTCAATTGCGCGTCAGAGATCATGACTTGTTCCGATTAAGTCTTAAAGTTGTCGTTTTCCAGGGGTTTCGTCAGGATATCTTTCGCTGGTTAAGGCCTTCAAAAGCTTCTTTTTCAAAACCTTCATAATTGAAAAATTGAACCAACCCGGACCAAACAAGAACCAAAATGAGAGGAGGACCTAGAAGTATTGAAGACTACTTATACCATAAGCTTCTAGAGAGTCAAGCTTTTCATCGATTTGTAAGACGTATATACTATAAAATCAACGGAATACGAGATATTCCGTTGGACCATTCTGTAAGGCAATCACCGACGACTTTTCAGCCGACTGGTCTTCAGAAATTTAAAGCATTTAGAACCTTGTTTTGGGACGAAATCAGGAGCACTATTGGGTTCCCACGAAGATTTAGGTAAGAGGTTGGACGGTATGCATAATAGGAACATGAATGTAACATAAATATTAATATTATACCTATTTAACGTAAGATGCTATTTAATCGTAGATGCAGTGTGGAGAGAACAGAGGCGTCAAGCCTCATATTTCTGTACTACCTCCTCGGATGATTGCAAAAAGTCCTGATAGTCACGCTGGGTGGCTATTTCCTTCGACGGATTTCGGAATTTGCTCTTTTTGGACAGTTTTACGTTGTCCTTGAGGGCAAGTAAAACATTTTTGTCTGTACCGTAACGGAAATTGTCTTCAACAACGTTGGATTTGTATTTTTTGATAAGATAAGGAGTTTTGTCGCCTTTCAATATTTTCTTGATCGACCAGGTGATGGCAAAGGGACCCGTCGACGATACAATGGTCTGTTCCTTTTGATCAATACCGGTGTTGAAAAAAGCTTTGGAAAATTTTATTCGCTTTTTTGTCGTGGTGATCATGTAAGATGCTGTTTTGGGGTTTATTCTCAAAATATGAATGCTGGGCATCTCTTGCTTGGAAAACGGTTTCTTAAAAGCGACGCTACCTTGATCTTTACCAATTTTGATGGTCAAATATATGAGTAAAATGAAACTATCGCAAGAAGCTAATAGCCATTGACCGTCTGTAGACGCACACAAATGATTTATAGGCTCACCTAGTGCAGGAATCAAAGTCTTGGCCCGCAGTCCCACTTTGTCATAGAGTCTGATTTCTCCCTTCTCAGATCCCACGGCTACAAAACCTTCGCCTGTTGTGCCCACTGAGCAGAACTTGTACTTGGTGGCGTACTCTTTACTTTGATCCTCCACGATCTTGTTTTGAGCATTGAGTCTCGGATCAACTTTGAAAAGGCCCTTCTCTGATATACCCAAGAATGTTTGCTCATTAGTCAATTGATCGAATTTTTTAGACGGCCCATAATTAACGATATCTTTACCACCGGCGCTCCATTCTTCGACAATTCGCCCCCTTTCCAGATCCATCTTGTAAAGTTTACCCCTGTCATCAGAATTCTGTAGAATAAGGGCAGTGTCCTCACGATAAAGCATGGGATTAGCAGGCTCAAACCGTTTTCCTTTTAGGTCTGCAACACTTTTTATTGAAGTTACGAAGTTCACTTCGCTTTCGTCCTCGTCCGTTTTGAAAACACCAATTCGGTCGCCTCGGACCACATAAGACCTATTGTTCTTGAACGCAATGGTCAAAGACTTGTTACCAGCAATCGCTGTCGATTTCTGAAAAGCATCTTCCCCAGCCGAGTCATCTGAATTTGTAAGATCGACTTGGCGTAATGGTTGGCCCGACTCTTCCTCTTCGTCATCGTCATCGTTTTCGCTAGACGAATCATCACTCGAGCTTTCACCTGACAGATTGAGAAAGTCATTGAGCTCACTGTCTGCATGTTTACCGGCCTCTAAAATGTATTTCTGCTCCAACTCGTTCATGGTGGACCATTTTCTTCTATTCAAAGACTCCCATAAGCAAGTGCTCCAGCACTTCTGAAATTCTGTGAATTGTTCTGAGGCAGCAAAGTGAGCTTTGTAGGAAAGGGTGATATTTTCGAATGTATAATTGAAGATAAATTCCAGACTTCCGACTTCGAAAATGGGGTTTACATCAGGAGATACATCGGTCCCAAGCTCCATAAACTCATGCTCAACTGAAAGCCAAAACTCGAACTTCCCAACCTCCTTAATCTCAAGTTTAACTTTGTCTGCTTGAACCATAAATGCCTGTTGCATGGGGTCGAAAACAGACAATTGCGCATTAGACGAAAGTAAGACGGTAAAGTTAACAGCTTGTTTCTTTACTTTGAAATCGTCTCGCGCGTCTTCAAAAGAGCGGTCATCGTCTTCTTCTTCGTCGCTTTCGGTACTTGAGTCTTCGATAAAGAGCGTCTGCACCTTATTCTCGAGATTCGAAACCTCAGAGTTGTCATGTTCATCGTCGCTGAAAAGCGCATTCTGATCCCAGTCTCCGCCAAAATCAAATTTTTTCAAGTCTTTTTCTTGAGCACCTATTGCTGAATTATTGTATTTCGTCTCATATTGACAGCGATACGCCGCCTGTAGAAACTGATCCACATCCGACAGCGGAATCTCAGGATCAATTACAAACTGAAATTTTTCGCCCTTGTCACCCTTCGTGTTCCGCCACACAAATGTGACTTCGCCTTGTTTATTCCATGTCCGATGGAAATAGAGTGCTTCGTTAAGTGCAAAATTCCACTCCTCATCCTGCTTACTGTTGCTCGAAAGAACAGTCAAACCGTCTTCATCAAATTCATCTGCACCGTCTCCACCAGCAAGCTCAGTGTCGTCCACATCTCGGCGTACTACCAGCTGAAACGAATGTGTTCCCGATTCCTTCATCACCAATGATGCATCGTCATAAATACACTCAATCGTGGCCTTAGGAGATGATTTTGGTCTCAGAAGATAAAACCGACCCGCAGGAATCGAAATTAGGTCGGGTTTGGACCCCGAATCCATTATTTTCTTGATAATATTCATTGACCTTCTTATCTACTTGAGAGAGCTCATCACTTTATAATCCTTCAAGGTTTCCAATTTCAAAAGTATTATTCCCTTCGTGCATAGTTATGTTCATTTTTCAATGCTCATCTCGATGAGAGGATTCAATATTGCAATAGTTAAAGAGAACAGCTTAATTAACGATACTACTTCATTTAAAGCCGATTCTGCACCTGAAATCCCAAAGCTACGCTCCTGCAAAGAAAAACTGTTTAGGAGCTTTCGAACCGTTTTTTTCCTGTCAATTAGTGGAAATTCTGACGCCAATATAAAGATATGAGCTGCTAGCGTCACTTGAACCCAAACACGAATATAACAAAGAAATGTTATCAAGGATGGGCTTTTCAATCAAGGAGTGTCGATTATTGGGGTTTTCGGCGTTCAATGTATCGCTCAGAAGAGGGTTTAGAACCAGCTTTAGTGCCGGTAAGAATAGTAGAGCCCGAGATGTTATAAAACTTCTAAATTCGACCTCTCTGACGCAGAAAGAACGTGAACAGGGCCATTGGAAGCGTGACTTACGCTTACCAGAATGGAAACGGCAGAAATTTGCCTTGAAAGAGAAATTAGGCAATCAAGAATGGAAACCTCTAAAGAAATTATCGAGAGAGCAAATGGAGAGCGTGAGACTCTTGAAACGCCAGTTCCCAGATATGAGCGCAAAACAGCTGGGGGATCAGTACAAAGTGTCTCCAGAAGTTATCAGACGTATTTTGAAGTCTACATGGGAGCCTACAGAAGAAGAAATGGTCGATATTCAGGCGCGATGGAAACGGCGAGGTGAACGTATGAACGATATGATGGAACAGCCGTCCGAGAGAAAGATCGTGATTGGTTCGTCGCGAAGTTCGGCCAATTTGATGGTTAAAGAGGTCAAAAAACGGCATGTATCGTCTTCAAATTTCCGAGACAACAAGACCACCGGTCCTACACAAACGAAAAGCCGCAAGAAACTACAGCTGTTGGCGCGGTTGATAAAATAAGGGCTCAAATTTTCGCCCCATAATGCATTCAAACTACTGTAAATAGATACACATAAAAAAAGTTTCTTCAAAAACCTCAGGAAGGAATCCTACCATTTATAAACCAGCCTTTCATCTCGCGAGTTTTGCTCATCATCTGGGTGATTATTTTAGCGTAGCGCGGTCCCTCGGGCCTGTTGACAAGTTGGTCATTAAGAAGTTTTGTCTGGAATATAAACGAGTCGAGTTGATCAGACCTGCTGTTCTCTTCGTTAAAAGAATTCAAGTCCTGCACCAATCCCTGTAAGACCGTATTCATGTGTTGCCATCCAGATTCTCCCGATGCGTCGTTTTTCCTGGGAATCGGTTCCGAGGTCTGCGTGCATCGATCAATGTTGATGATTCCGGTCTGTAGATTGGTTCTTTCGTTAAACCCAATGGCACCAACTGTTGTAGTCTTCACATGCTTGTGAAGCGAATTGACAGCTTTGCGAAGATGTAATAGGCTACTATGACTTAACTCTAGCCTTTGTTCATAGTGAGCTTGTAATAAAGGCTGTATTGCAGATGACAATACAATGAAGGCTATACACACAGTAATTCCGACCCGATTTGAAAGCTCTTTGATGAAATTTAACGTACTAGAATGTTTGACAGTTAAGATTCTAGACTCGATGGGCCATTGAATGGCTTCATTGACGATTTTCATTTTTAGCTGGGCTTTTCTACAGGGGAAAGTACTTTAAAGCCAGGAACTTAAACATTGAAAAATATTACATTGCATTGTAAAAATGTGTACTATATAGCCAAAAGCCCTTGAGATCAGACGATACCTTGAATATTCGACATTAGGTATTTGGTAGAAAGTGCCGTCTGATTTTGGACTTGAAATGATACCTTGGGTAAGATGTTCTGCTCAAGTAAGTGTTTCAAGTTGTTAACATGATCCGGGAACAAATTGCTTATTGTATGAAATCGTTACACGTAGGGGAAGCTGTAGCAAGCTGTGCCCTTTCCAACTCACCAGCTGGACTTTTGAATTAGAATTGTACCTTTTTAAAGGGTCCGTTATTGGTATTGTCGACCGAGTCCAAATTTAAAGAGACTTCTTTGTCACCTGTGCTCAGAGGCGACAACCCGCTTTGTCGTCTCTTGGCGGGAGGTGGTTTTCCTAAAGATGAAGTTCTTTTCATTTGCGGTCGTCCATTACCAGTGCCGAAAGGCGACGCTCTATTTGACGCGTTTAAAGGCGCTGACGTATCGACTGTGGGATTCGGAACGTTCTGTACGTTTCTCGCCCTCGATGAAGCCACTAGCGCTTCAAGACTTGCCAGAGGACTCTGAATATTGTGGATCTTTTGGTAAACTTTCAAGTTTTTCAAGTATGACAAAACGTCGTTCACTTGTAGTGCCCGCATGAAGCTCTCTTGTATGCCGAAACTGGATATGTTGTGAAATACGCGAAACTGAGACCGTAATTTTGTGATAGCGGCGAAATTCAGCGGCATCGGCTCGTCTTTCGATTCGCCATTAACAGATTTCTGTGATTTATCAAAGTCGTTCTCTTGACCCGGACCCTTTTGATTAAGACTTCGCACAATATCTTGAAAAACTGTGCTTGTACTAATCAATCTTTCTATTGAGTTCCATTCAATCCCGGGAACAAAGCTATAACTTACGATCTCAAGCCATTCGATCTTCAAATTTGAGTCAAAAAGACCCTTCATTTGCGCGAAAGTAGTCATATAACTGCCATCTGGATAATGATATGTCGTAGTGCACCTGGGGCAGTCGAAAAATATGGTTCCATTGCTCAAAACTTGTGCTCTGAGTTGTTGCGGCACAGTCTCGAGTCTCACAATTCCCACTGCACCTAATGACTGGCAAATTAGCGGTATAATTGGTGTCGTAAACTCAAATTGTCTTGTTTCTTCACCTCCTTTGGTTGAGTATCGCATGATACCGTAAGGTGTGAAAAGATCATGTGTGAATCTCTGCCAATACGAAAAATCGTCGACTCTTCCAGTAGAAACGTTTATCAGGTTGAGAATTTCATGCAGTCGCAAAATGGCCATATTTGACAAGTATTTGCGCATAGGATAGGGCATCATACCATTTAACAGGACCCTTCTAGGCGGCTGTGAGGCGGCTGTGGGTACCATCCCTGGTAGTGGTGAGGGAACTTGTATACCCGTACCGGCACTGGGGCCCATTGAAGACGCTCTTGCTGTGACAAATCCGGGCGTGGGGGCCAGCCCAATGCCCGATGACCCTGGTACTCCAGCCATCGTGGCCGACGCGGGTGCTGAGGGAGTTGCAAACGGAGAGGCAACCGTTGACGCAGATTTGGATCCGTCTGTAGCAATCGTTGGAGGTTGCTGAGGGGGGTGTTGGGACTGAGGCGGCTGGATATGACTCTGTGGGTTCGCGCCTCCCGAAATTGGAGTTCTGGAATGTGGATGGGTTGTAGTCATCGGTATCTGTTGGCCGCCATTTTGCTGATATGCCAGTGGGTCCTTGACCTGCACTGGATCCACTGGAGTGCCTCTAAGCCCATTTGTCACATTCTCGCCCACCATGGCCGGTTGGCCCGGATATGGCATGTTCCCATAGGAACCGGCTCCACTAACCTGTGGACCGTACATGTACCCATTCCCGTTAACGCCTCGTACATAGTTTGGATGCTGTTTTCTGAGAGGCCCTTGATATGAGTATAGCTGTTGAGGTTGATGGCCGTTCATCTGGCATAAACCTTTCGGTTAAATCGCGAGTCTCTCGTCGAGTATGTGGGGGAAAAAACTCCCGAAAAAGCCCAGCGAATAAACTGAGGACAACAAATTAACTAAGGGCCTGTAAAAAGTGTCTTCAAATGCCTTTCAAAGTAGTGTTCTGGTGGTCTTTTGAAGTGGAGTCTTCGATTTCTGGACCTCCACTGCAATGTCTATCTAAGAAACAATCCATAATTAAGATGTTCGTTCCAGGTGATATTGAGCAGAAATAATGCATTCACGGACGGCAGAGTCCTGTCAGGACGAGAAGGGGGGTAATTGGATTGTTATTGCCTAGATGGTGAGTTCTGTGAATTCTGTGGGTCCTGTAGAGTTTTGCACCTTTACTGGCAAAGTTTGAGCCTTCTAGGGCCTTTAGGGCGGCCATAAATGCTGAAATTCATTGCAAGATGAAAGTCGAGAAAAGTTGTTAAGATATGCCATCTGCTTCGCGTTATATGCGCCATTCCCATATTTTCGTAAGCCATACGGCTTCGGAAACTGAACCTTCAAAAGCCCTTTTGGCCGCGGAACTTCACTGCAGTGCTCAGTAGAAACTGTAGAGATCTTCTCCCTTAGTCCGCATTAAACGTACCATTCCCGTTGAATTATAAACACGACGTGGTTTCGTAAAAGCCGACGGATCCTCTGACGTTTCCTTCTCTATTGTAACATTACTTCTAGATTTCCCAGCACGTCTTCGCAGCAATTTATTAATCACATCTTGTTTCTCTTCTTCGAGCTTCTTTTCACTCAAATTCTTACGTTTCCTTGCATTTTCAGCTCTTCTTAGTTGTTGTTCTTCTTCTGTCAATTTATCCTTACGTCGTGACGTTCCATCCATTAATTCGGCAATAATACCACGTCCGGTGCCTTTATACGCTTCCTCCACTTCATCAACGTCGCGACTCCCGCCGCCGAACCCCGGTTTTCCCTGCTTCCCATTACCTCGTCCGTTAACCTCGGATTGTCGCTTTCTCGATGCCCTTATCCCACGATCCCTGGACTCCTCCCTCACAGGTGTACGTCTATTCCTCTCTCCCCTTCGTCCTTGCACTGTTTCATCATCCTCAAACTCTGGAACATACCGATAATCATCGTCTTCTTCAGGCTCTTCCGCCTCATCTTGTTCTTCAATTTCCTCGGGCTCCAATGCCTCTAAAGCTTCGGGCTCTTCGATGAAATAATCTGGAGTTTCCTCGTATGTCTCATTCTCAACATCGAACTCGGAGTTATCACTGTTCATGGCTCTAAATCGACCTTGTCTTGTTGATGATTTCACTATATATACGGCTAACAAGAAGAACTTTTGCTAATGTTGAATATAAATAAATAGATTAACTAGTAGGTGGAGAAAGAGAGGAACAAAACAGATATTAAAGCCGGGGGAAATGTCGACTGATTTACTGTTTTGTAAGGGCAAAGTTTTTGTCCATGTTAGTAAACGATCAGAGGAGAATTTAGCCGGGTTTTTGGTGATCAGCAAGGACCCACAGCAGTCGATACTTGAGGCAACGGTTAGTTGGATTCCAGAGCAAGAATTGACGGGAAAACAAGTCGATGAGCTGTCAAAGGCAGATTTGCGGTTTGCTGGAGGTGAGGGGTCTTTTGGGAAACTTAAAATGAGTAAAGACGTGGTTTTACAAGCCTCTTATGTTGCATGGGGGTTTTCTATTAGGCTAGGGAATATTTATTCTGTTCAGTTTCGACACCCAAGTCCCAGCGGTTGGTGGTTTGGCTCCATTGCCATCCATTCCAAGATCGTACAGGAACAGAACAGTATCCCGATCTTATTTTTCCATGACGACGTCTGCGCGTCGACTCGCGAAAAGCAGAAACGGTTGGCTCAGGCGTTTGATCCGTTCAGTGGTAGTAACGACACGTATTGGGGCGGGGATGATTTTCGAGACGCAATGATACGGCTTGTGGATTTTAAACAAACTTTGGTCGACCCCTCGATTTGGCTTGTAAATGCGACACTTGAAGACTTAAGGAATTTTGCGTCAAGCGGGGCCAAGACCACTAGCAATGAAGTCAACGAGACCGAGGACGTCTCTTCATCGCTGTGGAACAAATTTGATCAAATTCGATGGAATCTTATGTCCAAATTTGCGGATTTGACTACAAGATCTACAGACACTGTGGTTGATCTTATTAGTCGTCATCCCGTCGTAAAATTTGTCGACAAACACAGTTCTAGTCCCTACGTGCGTCAAATAATGACGAATCCTAAAGTTCAAGAAATCCAAGACGATTTCGATTCGGCCAAGATTTACCTTGCCAAATGGGCCCTGGGTGTCAAAGAAGAAGCGGAGCGGTACCAGACTAAACACGGACTCAATGATTCCTATAGACGGTTACTTTTCAGCGAACTGGGTAATGACGGTGAAAATGTCGAACTTACGGAAGAAGAAATTAATATTGCAATGCAAAGATCTCATGGGTTGACAACTCACAAATGGGAATCGTTTTTCGATTCTGAAGGACATCTTTCCATTACTGTTGAAGAAGTTAAGGACTACGTTTTCCATGGCGGTGTCAAAGACCTTGAAATACGAAAACAGTTGTGGTTGTTTCTGTTGGGAGTAGTGCCCTGGAATTCATCTGCGAGCGAACGTGAAATTTTGATTAAAACGCTTCGCGAAGAATACAGGGCTAATTATAGGTGCAAATGGGAATATCGTCAAGCCCATGCTGACGATGAGGAAGAAGCGTATTGGCATGACCAAGTTTTGCGCATTGAAAAAGATGTCAAACGCAACGATCGTGATCATCCGCTTTACAAGTACAATACTGACGATGGACGGGCACCACCTGAATCGGAAACTATGGATGACGAAGACGCCGTCGATGATTTATGGCGGATCAGAAACCCACATTTGAACAAGCTAAGAAGTGTTCTACTTAGCTATAACATCCACAATAACAATCTGGGCTACGTCCAAGGAATGGCGGATCTTTTGTCCCCAATATATGCCGTTTTACAAGATGAAGAGCTTTCATTCTGGTGTTTCGTGAATTTCATGGAACGTATGGAGCGCAATTTCTTACGTGATCAGTCTGGTATAAGAGACCAAATGTTAACTTTAACGGACTTGTGTCAATTGATGCTTCCTAAATTAAGCGAGCACTTGAATAAATGTGATTCTTCAAACTTGTTTTTTTGCTTCAGAATGCTCCTGGTATGGTTCAAGCGCGAGTTTTCGTTCGATGACGTTTGCAGCATTTGGGAAATCTTTTGGACAGATTTTTACTCATCTCAATTCCAGTTGCTCTTCATGTTGGCCATTTTACAGAAAAGCAGCTGGCCTGTGATGCAAAATTTAACCCAGTTCGATCAGGTCTTGAAATATTTCAACGATCTTAAGGGCTCAATGGAGTGGAGTGATATAATGATCAGAAGCGAACTTCTTTTCATCAAATTGAGAAAACTCGTCGAAATCAACGACAGACGTGCCGAATTGAAGGAATACACACTTGTGTCACGCCAAGGGGCCGCAACACATGAAGCAGCGGAAAGTCCTGCAGAAGAAGAGACAGATGAATGCGTACTTGTAACACCTCGGTTGAGAGCGCTGTTGCAAAAAGAGCTGGTCATTCAAAGGGAAGGACCTCGTAAGAAGGACTCCATTAGATGAACTTGACACAACATGAGATTTTAAGGTTTATGACAGGATAATTCTGGTAGGTTTAGCATTTAGGTTATTGAAATATAATGATATCACTTGTTTAAATGATCATCACATTCTTTTTAACAATTCATAGATAAATATATAATACAAAACAGAGCTTGACCGGTCATACCGACTTCATTCCCACAACATTACTAATCAGATTAGCGCTGGAGCAATTATTTAGTAAGATCAAACCAAATCACTAGCAATAAACCTTTTCCTCATTTCAATTCTGCCAACACCGTGCTTTCTGGTCAGAGCCTTCACATCCTCCTCATTACCAGACCTTAGCAATTCATCATCTTCTCTTGTCCAAATTCCTGGTATGTTCAAAGGCGGGTTGGCATTGTATTTGAACATGCAAAGAAAGTAACGTGGGAAGACCATGAGATCTCCAGAAAGTGCAGTCAGTATACCGGTGCTAAACGTCTTCCGTACTCCGGCCTCATCACATAGGTCCTGGACCAATTTTTCTGCTTGCGATGGTTCGTAATCACGCGATATCACCTCATTAACCTTGTCCAAGAATTGTCTTGTGCTGTTAAACTGGAAAAAATGTGGCATGAATAATTCTGTGCTAGCCAGTTGAGGTGGGAATGGAATGTCGTCAGGATCGAAATTGTCGAATTGACTTTCTTCGTTGGTGAAATCGTTACGAATAGACTCTGCAATATCTTGTGGATACTCGAACGCCATGTTGTTGTTGGACTCAATGCGAGATAGATCACGCCTTAAGCCAGATATGAAATTTAGCGTTTCTTCATCTAGTAAATCGCCTTCTGGGATAGAGTATTGCACGCCCGTGTTAGGATCATTACCTTGTACTGCCACAGCGGCGGCCGCTGCGGCGGCTTGTTGCTGTTGTTGATGTGAAAGACTTCTGGCCCTCTTAGCATAGCTATTGTAATTCCCAGGCGTGGGGACACCTGGTCTCTTAGGTCTGTTAGTCATGTTTTTCATGGCTTCAGGTGACCGACCTTGATCCATTTCTCGCTCATAATAGGCAACGTAATTATCGATACCATAGCTTAAAAGAAACTTTCTGAATCTGTCTCGCCAAGCGTTTTCAGTGTGATTGGGATTCTTTTCCGCATACGTTTTGAAAAATTCTCTTGGCACAGGACCCCGTCTTTCTCCCACCCGGTACTGTTGGAATGAGGGTTCAGATCCCGGTATGTTGTTGGGGTCCATCATGAGAGCTCTTCTTGCCGCTTCATTGGGGGCGTCGTCATCGGTAATCAACGACTTGCCCGTATCAGGATCTAGTTGATACAAGTCCCTGTAGAATTGTTTTTTCACATCTGTTGCCAAGGAATAGTCCTCCTCTGCGGTAAACTTGTTTTTCAAGGATTTTGGAAGCACGTTCGTCTTAATCAAATTCCCGTTTTCGTCACGCACAAGCTTGCCGCTGGCATCGACTTCGTAAACATATTTCAGTCGCTTGGCCAAATAGACCCGATATCTGTGCCTTATAGAGTTGCCCGTGTGATCGGGAACATAATGGGAGATCTCGTCAAATAAAGTGTGGGTCGTGCGCCTGGTGGGGTTCTTCCTGACAACATCCAAGATGAACTCATCCTCTTCTTCCGTAAACGAGGATTTATTGTGACTGGGTAATCTGCTCTTGGGGACCGTAGGGCGAGCATTTTCATAGGCTGGATCCGCAGGCGCGTTGGAGTCGGCAGCGACGGTAACAGGTGGGTGGACTTCGGAAACCACATGTGTGCTTTCCGTGGCGGAAGGTTCCGACTTAGTTTCCCCATGAGGCTCCTGCTTCAAGGTTTTTTCAGTGTCGGCCACTGGCGCGGTAGTCGGCGCAACACCTGTGGTTCCCGGAGTTCCAGAAGTCGCGTTGGCGGGATCCGCTTGCGAGCCACCAGTGGGGACTGCATTGCTGGCCACTTCAGGGATATTGACATCGATAGCCATATCCTTGGCGGGGTCCGCCGCAACGGTATCTTCGGTTTTATCCCCGTTGTCGTTTTGCAACTGTGTGTCGATGACGGCGCGGAATTCATCGAAAGGCACTAGATAGTTTTGCAATTTCATGAGCACATTGTTGGTACAACAGCTCTTGATGTACGCGGGTGTCACTGTAGCCAGATTGGTCGTGTTGTAAGGCGATACGACAAATTCGTGGGCGCTGCCACCGGAGGGCAACGCGGACAAGACTTCACCGCCATTTTCGCGTATCAAACTCAGAAGTTCTTCACGATTTTCGTTGTGCGCAACGTAAAATTTAAGTCCGCGAAATATCCCCTCCGTAGGCTTTTCTGACGAGTCGGGTGCCCCAGTGTCGCTTTGTGCTTCACCTGCGGGCGCTTTGTTTGTATTGGCAACCCCATCTTCGCCTAAAACTTGTTCATCATTCGGTCCCGCAATTGGCTCTTCTAAAGCATCAACATACGTGTTGACAGCTGGAGTCTCAAAATCGTCTTGTGACATCTTGGTCTTGGTCCGTTCAGCTTTCAAAAACTCTAGATTCTTAGTCTTCAACAGTGTGTCTGGGTGGCTAGCTACTCTGACACGTAAAACCCATCGCCTTTTCAGTTGACACTAAAGTCCATATCCTTGTTGTTGTTGATACAGCCAGATATCAGGAACGAGCATGATGTACGAGTCTCGCTATTGAAAAAAGAAATTCTCGATAAATGTGTCACGTGTTTCATCGTTTGATACGTCTTCCGGCGGCTATGGTCTCGGCGGCTAAATTATATGGAAATTGCGTTGATGAGGAACTCCGCGGCTATGGGGACGCTTATGGGGCTGTATTCTGATTACTTCAGAGTATTCCGGGCTTTTTCTCGCGTGTTTCAGGGAAGGCGGAATTGAAAAGTCTGTTGAGAAGCTCAAGGGGTAAGCCGCGGAGGGTGAGAAACAGGCGGGACAAGAGGCGAACCAGTAATAAAGTTATCATACGATTAAATTCGTTTGGTTAAAGCATCCTAGTGGCTGTGTTTCGTCTTTCTTGACAAGTTGAGTGGTCAATTTGGCGCGTTTCCTCTATGGCGGTTGCTGGAGAAAAGTGGTCGGCAGAAGGGAAAATTCGATTTTAGAGGGGCTCTTTTTATAGCTACAAAATGAGACACCGAAATAAGGAAGAGGGGAAACGGGAAAGTGGCCAAGGAAAACGGAATGGTAGGAATGATTATTATTTGTGAATGTCCTGTTCGAGCTCGAAAACTTGTAATTGGTAGATTTAATTCTAACATAGCGGTAATAAATGCATGGGATTCTCTATATAGTAATCAGATCATTTGTCGACAGGTAACACTGTGTATACGTTCGACATATGTGTTGGCTTCGGGCTTGAGTTCGAGCGCGGTCAATTTGCCGCCCGCGGCGCACGCGGAGTCGAGTCCGCGAGTGTTTTTGCGAATGTTGAGGCCCTTCTTAGCATCATGACCGTATACAACGGTCTTGTCGGTGTCAAGCGGGTCCCAGAGTTTGTACCATCGAGTACTGCCGCGGAATTTTGTTTTGGAAGTCTGGGTATGGTTGTGACGGTTTACGTATTTCATGGTAGTGATGGCACCAATGTCAAGGGTGTCGGGCGACATCAAGTCTGGCGCAAGTCCCGCATGGACGGCCCAATACGCATGCGACGCGTGGTGAGACCCCCTGCGACTGGGGATTCGAATTTCGAGAGCCGCAGAACAATGTTGCGCAAGCCTTGCGAGTCGATCTGAGCCTAGTGCTGCGGCAAGCGTGACATCGCGGGATTTCACATCGCTGTTGTCGGGAACGTACTGGGTAGTGGTGAACTCGAGTGGGACCCAGGGATCAGGGTGATGACGTGCAAGCCGATGTGCATTCAGGTGTGCAAACAGAACGTCGAGCTCGTGGTTTCCCAGAATACAGCGGGTCGAATTGGTGTTTTCGAGCAAATAGTCTACGGTCTTGACCGAGTCTGGTCCTTTGGAAACGAAATCTCCGAGTAAGACGACCTGAGTGGAGCCGTCATCGACGTTGAGGTCGCGCATGAGCTGCTCGAATTCGTCGAACATGCCGTGCACGTCACCCACGAAGACATACCGGGTGGCAGTCTCGGTCGCAATAGAATGGAGCGTGTGCATCACGGGCAAAGTCCGGCCGGGACTCGCGAGAACGACGTAGGTGTAGCATAAGAACAGAACCGACACGACGGAAACGAGGTACAACCTCCAGTCTCTAGCCATGGATCAAACCGGAGGATAGTTCGCAAGTGGCACGGCGAGTGATAGGTTCCGGAGTTCGGTATCAACGTGGATAGCTGTTTATATGGTGCCGAGATGAGCACGTATGCAGTGACATAATTAATGAACACCGACATGCACCACGTGGGATCACGTGGTACACTAGAGCAAGATGATCCGCTAGCGGCAGAGGCTTGCTTGTGGCACGCTGTCACGACTTTGAGCGTCACTTTACAGTTGATACTCGCGCGGTTTATGAAGCGAGTATCTATGGGCTTTTGCCGAAGTCACGTGACCACACCGACTGCTGTCCAACTGGACGATAAGTCCGGTTTCTGTATGCTGTTGGAGTTAGACGACAACAAGTTGAATGACATCGTAGCTACATAAAGGATCCTGCTATGGGTCATATTGTTATCACGGAGTGCATCCGTTACCTTTCCAGTTAATGATATTATGAACGAGGAGCAACTTGGACTATTGACACTCGGAAGTGCCTAGATGGCCATTGTCAGTTGTGGGTATGCTTTGACTTGCGGCTTCATCCGTACACCCAGGGTATACATACACCTTGTGTTACCTTTCGACGTGAATAGGCATTCTGATGATAGAGTTGTTTCTTGAGTCGTTTCCGGAACCACTTCTCGATGCATTCATCGAGGAGTTCCTCGAAGCATTTCTTTAGACATTTCCCGACTCATTTATCCAGGCATTCCTGGAGATGTTCCTTAAGGCGACCTTCCATCATTCCTTGTGATATCACGACAATCACCATAGACGAATATGACGTCTCGCAAAGGCACTGTTACGTATTTAGTGATATCTCCGCTTTAGTTCCTGAAGACGTCAAGCTGCAACGCGTCAGGATGCAGGTCGTGTAACGAAGCACGGAAAAATATACATATAAAACACTCCAGGGAGAATACGAACTCGATTCCAATAAGTGCAGCTTCAGCGTAGCGCTCAAACCGCGAAAGCTAAGCCGATAAACTGCTAGCATCACGTGTGCAATCCCAATCCAACTATAACCCAGCATGAGTACTACCATCACCACCACACCTATCCCGCGAGAAGTCGTCAACTGGGACATTTTGGACGAGATCGTGTCGCTGGACGAGGACAATCCGGATTTCTCGCGTAACTTGATCGAGCAATTCCTCGAGCAAGCCAGCACGACGTTTGCACAGATTGACGCGGAATTGCAAGGGAAGCGCGACCTTGCACAACTCGCGTCGTTGGGCCATTTTCTGCGTGGATCCTCTGCTGCGCTAGGGCTCCAACGGATCGCATGGGCGTGTGAACGGATTCAAAACCTTGGTCGCAAACGTGAGGGCGCTGCAGATCCTGCAGCGCCCTTGAGCGACGATTTTTACGCGGACCAAATCGCCAGTGCACTTGCACAGGCGCGTGTCGAATTCGACGTTGCGAGACAGGAACTGTCCAAGTTTTACGGCACACTACTGTGAAATCGGCCCCCGAGAAACTGATAACATTACGCATTTGAGCTTTCCAAGTACATTCTAAAATTATAGAAATTTTAAAAAAATAAGAAAACCCGCATTCCACAACGTCGCTGTTCAAGCGGTTCTTTGTCTCTTTTCACCCATTTTCTGCCCTGTCTCCTCCTCGTGTAAGTCCCGTTTCGTTCCCAAGTGCTGACAATCCATGAACCTCAACTCGGACGCATCGCATTTTTCTAAGATGGTATCTGGGAAGTATTCCTGGTTCACATGACCATCCTCGTAGTCTGGATTGTATTTGTAGTCCCTCGCATAACCCAGCTCTGCCATCAATTTCGTGGGCGCGTTACGCAAGTGAACAGGGATCTCGCTGCTCGCAAACGAATGTTTGTTTTCACGGAGTAAGGCATTCACGGATTTCCACGCTCTGTAGAGCTTGACGGACTTGGGTGCGCGTGCGAGTGCCACACAGACTTGTGCCAGCGCCAAGTCGGCCTCCGGTAAGCCGACTTTCATTACTGCGTCGTGGGCAGACACCGCCAGCGGTAGCAACGAGTTGTCTTGCACGCCAACGTCTTCTGACGCAATTCGAATCATTCGACGTGCAATGTAAAGTGGATCTTCACCGCCTTGTAACATGCGCGCCAAGTAGTACAACGCAGCGTTTTCGTCACTTCCGCGAATAGATTTATGGAATGCAGAGATCGCATCGTAGTGGTTGTCACCTTGTCGATCGTAATAAGTACGCAACTCCGTAGCGTTTGCATTGATAATTTGACGTACATCATCTTGGGCCAATTCTTTTGTGACAGCTCGAGTCGATACTTCAATCATTTCCAGCAGATTCAACGCTCGTCTTGTATCTCCTACGGCAATATCGACTATGAATTCCAAGGCATCTTTAGTCACTCTAATCGGCGAATCCACCTTCCATACAAACGTTCTTAGCTTGTTCAACATGGCGATACCGCGCATCAGAACCCGACACATCTCGTCCATCTTCAATTTGGCAAGAACAAACATTTGGCAACGACTTATCAACGCATTGTTCAATTGGAAACTCGGATTTTCCGTCGTGGCTCCAATCAATATAAAATCTGCCGCTTCAACGTGTGGTAACAACAGATCCTGTTGCGCTTTGTTGAAACGATGGATCTCGTCAATGAAAAGCACGGTCAGTCTTTTGGTCAATGCAAACTCTTTTTTGGAATTATCGAAGATCTTACGCAATTCCTGAGCAGTTGCTTTCGTAGCACTCGTTTGTACCAGCGTATAGGTAACGCTACCGGCATGTTCTTGGTTCACGGCCTTCGTTAATAACCTGGCAAGCGTTGTTTTGCCGACGCCTGGAGGACCCCATAGTATCATAGACGGTATTATTCCTTGCTTGATATATTTAAACAAAACGCCCTTCTCAGTTGACAAGATATGCTGCTGTCCAACGTATTCTCTCAGATCCTTGGGTCGAAGCTTTTCGCTTAACGGTAAATGGGCGATTTTCTGCAATTGTCGTAGCTCTTGTTGATCAGTTGTAGCAGTTGGTGTCTTAGTTGGTGATTCGTTCGTGAGATCGACAGATTTGGACTCATCTTGGCTCTTGGTGCGTGGCGTTGAAGGTGAAACTGGTGGATCTGCTTTCTTTCGTTTCGTTCTCAAAACCTTGCTTAATGTAGGCTGATTTTGATCGTTGGAGCTCTTACTATCGCCCACACAGGTGTCCAAATGCTCATTGATCTTCAAATAAGGCAATTTGCGGTTACAAATCGGGCATGCTATCTGCTGTTCGTTGTATTGGGAGCTCATCTCTCATCGCCATAAATTCTAGTAAAACATTATCCTGATCAACTTTATTGATCAAAAACATAAAAAATCGGCATTCTTATTCATTCTCATATATAAAGACTGTGAAGCTGGACTTTATCAGCGATCAAATCAGGATCATCAATCATTTCTATTTCATGTATCTGTCTTGTATCTGGGCCAGTGTAACATCAATTATTGTAAAACTGGAGAGGTTAATCAGGTTGCGCCCCAATTATCGTGAATTCCTCACTCCTCTTCCACCTCTAAAATCTCAACTCTCTTCCTGCGTCAACTCATACAAGTCGCCTAGCTTGTTGGCGAAAAACTTGGGCAAAGCATAGTCACCGGTAGCATCGGTGGCTCTTTCCTCAGTTTCAATACCAGTCAAAACGAGAAGGGTACCGCCTAATTTCCCATCAACACCAAATCTTATGTCGGTGTTCAGTCTGTCACCGACCATGCACGTCTTGGATCTCTCGAGGTGTTCTGCAGTGACAATGGCGTTCAACATGTTAAGATTTGGCTTTCCACACGCAGCAGGTTCCCGGCCGGACGCACACGCTAATGATTCGATCGTAGATCCAGCACCGGGCAAAATAAAGCCCTTGTTAGGAAACGTCGAATCGATATTTGTAGCGACAAACGTAACCTCCGGTTGCTGTAAGTATCTTAGCGAAGCTGCTAAACGATGATAATTGACACGCGTGTCCAACCCAGCAATAACACATTTAACAGCCGGATCCAACGGTTCGGTGAAGAAAGGCGATTCGCTAATATCGAAGGGTTCATCGAGTCGTGGATCATCACATCCAAGCGACTCGTAACCCATCAATTTCAATTCTTCCGTGATCCCACTTTCGCCAAAAACCCAGATTTTATCCTGGCCCGGTACGAGCTTCAAAACGTCTCTCACATGTAGCGCAGATGCATAACCTGATGTAAAGATCTGTTCTGGGTCGACCATGATACCAAAAGAAGCAAATTTTTTCGAATAAGCGGCACGAGACTTCGTAGAGTTGTTGGTCACGAAATATGTCTTCTTGCCCGATGAAGATAACAAGTCCAGCGTCTCAACGATCTTTGGTAATAGATGTTTTCCTAACCATAAAACACCATCACAATCAAACAAAAAAGTGTCATAAGAATCCAAAAAATCCTGTGCAATCGCTTTAGAAGTGATCTTGGTAGGTTTAGACGGTCCAGTCATGGTGAAACCTCGTTAAAGCAGTTTGTATACGATTGGTGTTCGGCTAGTTCTGCCTCGGGTTTCCCGGCTGTCGGGTATCGAAGGTAGTGGTTTATATATCAAGAATTGAAATTGGTCACGTTGATGAATTTCACTCTTGGCATCGAAATAAAGAAACCTGATAAAACCAGCCAAGCAACACCCATTGAATCCATAATTGGAAGCGCTACAGGCATTGGATCGTTGTAGAACTGGGTTGGCGAGAGAAGTGAGTTTTTCGTTCGAAACAAAGCGGTTCAAAACGGGTCAAAACGAGTCAAAATATGACTCGATGGACTTATATGCTTTTGGCAATCTTAGCAGCCTGTCGTCTTTATTTTCAACCTGTTTATTCGCTGATTTCGGATTGTGATGAAACCTTCAATTACTGGGAGCCATTGAATTTTCTACTGCGTGGATTCGGCAAGCAGACCTGGGAATATTCACCTGAGTATTCGATCAGATCATGGGCTTTTTTACTGCCGTTGTACTCACTGCTTGAACCTTTAAGGCGCGTTTTGACGCTGTACAACCTGCCTAGTTACTATCTGTTCTACGCGGGCAGATGTTTGTTGGGATTATTCAGTTTGGCGTCAGAGATTTCACTACGAAATGAAATTCAGCAAACGTTGTCGCAAGACACCGCTGACGTCTGGGTCGTGCTGCAGATTCTGAATCCTGGTTGGTTTCATGCTTCAGTCGAATTACTACCGTCGTCGTTCGCCATGGTCACTTACCTAGGCGCAATGAAATACACGTTAAGGTATCTCAGCTCGAAATCCAGTAAATCGTTTGTCAAGAGTCTTTCTTTCGTTTTCATTGGTGGTGTGGCAGGCTGGCCATTTTCTTTACTCTTAGGAGTTCCACTGGTTTTGCACTATATACTGCTTCACAAATTCTCACAGTCCGTTGTTACCGGGTTCCGCTCCGCAACGGTGCTTGCACTTGTCTCTGGCACAATTTTCCTGGTTGACTCCCTGTTTTACGGGGAATTCACACCGGTGGCATGGAACATTACGACATATAATGTCATTAGGGCCAATGAAAAGAGTGGTCCTAATATTTTCGGAACTGAACCTTGGTACTATTACGTTTTTAGCCTCGTGCTAAATTTCCCATTCCCAACGCTTTTGTTCTGTCTAACTGGCTTTGAAAATCGCAGGATATGGCCAATTACGGCTGCTCTAATAGCATGGATGGCAGTTTTCCTTTCGCAGCCACACAAGGAAGAGAGGTTTTTATACCCAGTTTATGGGGTTATTACTTTGTTGGCAAGCGTCGGATTTACCAGCTGCTTGAAGAATTTTAAAAACAGGGCGCTTGCCCCTTCCATGGTCTCAAGTTTAGTATTCTTGGCCTTGATCGGTCAATCCATTCTACGCATAACGGCCCTCATCGAAAATTATACGGCGCCTTTGGAAATTTACTCCAAGATTCCCAATGATCTTGTTTCCAGTACCGTTTGTGTCGGTCGCGAATGGTATCATTTCCCGGCATCTTTCTTCATGCCAGACAATTCAAGATTGGCGTTTGTTCAGTCCGGATTCGATGGATTACTCCCAGGCAACTTCGCTGAGGGATCAGGTAAAGTAGCTGCCATCAGAGCTATTCCAGACGGCATGAATAACGAGAACAGGTTCGATAGCGGTAAATTGATATCGACCAACGAGTGCGACTACTATGTGGATCAGAATATGGCTGCTGGTTCTACAAAAGACGCTTTTAATCCTAACAACATGCCATCAGGATGGAAGCGGATCCATTGCACACCGTTCATTGATCCAGAGAATTCTAAATTTTTTGGTCGCGTTTTCAAGCTTCCTCACCAGATAACTTCGAAAATTCCACCTATGTTGCAAGAAGCTTGGTCCAAAATATATCGTGCATCCTATCGTGACTATTGCCTATATGGAGTACCCCGAGAGACGGTATAGTTCTCAAGGGAATCGTATTCAAGTTAATTTATAAAAGCTTCATATGAATCGTTTAAGAAAACAAAAGAGCCTCTTAGTTCACTTCCCGGTGAAGCATGCTTTCTCTGGCGGGACCAACGCCGACCCACTCGATTGGAACGCCGACGAAGTCTTCGATGTACTTCAGGTACTTCTTGGCATTTTCTGGTAGATCTTCGTACTCGGTAATCTTGGTGATATCCTGCTTCCAGCCGGGCAAAGTAACGTATTCGACGTCGACGTTACCTAAAGCAATCAGGTCCTCGGGGAAAAGGTCGAGCTTCTTGCCTCTCAAACTGTAGGAAACACCGATTTGAATTTCTTCAAAAGTGTCCAAGACGTCAAGTTTGGTAATGTTCAAACGTGTGTAACCGTTAATCAACGCCGAGTACTTGAGAACGACTAGATCGAGCCAACCGCAACGGCGCTTTCTGCCCGTGGTGACGCCAAATTCGGCACCAATGGTTTGCAATTTTTCACCGTCTTCGTTGAGTTGTTCCGTGGGGAATGGGCCCTCACCGACACGAGTAGTATAGGCCTTGACAACACCGTAGACTTCGTCAATGTTCCTGGGCGGAATACCCAACCCAGTGCAGACACCTCCAATACCTGTGCTTGAAGACGTGACAAAAGGATAAGTACCGAAATCGATATCGAGCATGAGCGCATTGGCACCTTCAACTAGGATTTTCTTGTTGGCTTGGATAGCGTTGTGAATGAACACGACAGAATCGACAACAAAGGGCTTGAGAAGCTCTTTGTATTGCTTATAACGTGCCAGTTCTTCGTCGACATTGTAGTCGAAATCGCCGTAACGCTGCTGTCTTGTCTCTACCAAACGCTTGTATCTCGCGACAAAATGCTCCCAGGCGCCCGGTTCGTCGTTCACCAAATGGTGGACACGGAGACCCGACCTGGAAGCCTTGGTAGAGTACGTGGGCCCGATACCTTTCCCAGTGGTTCCGATGTTCTTACCGTCTTTCGAACGGCCCGAGAGCTCTGCTTCTCTGAGTTTGTCGGTACGTTGATGGAAATCGAACACCAAGTGAGCTCTGGACGAGACGAAAAGACGCTCACGAGCGTCTTTGAGTCCCTTGGCCTCTAACGTTTCCAGTTCACCGAAGAACGACGGAACATGGATCACCACACCGTTTCCAAGCAGATTCTGACAGTTTGGATTGACGAGTCCCGACGGAAGCATGTGGAAATCGTATTTGACACCGTTAACGACAATCGTGTGTCCGGCGTTGTTCCCACCGGCACATCGAGCGACAACGTCATATTTGCCCACTAACAAATCCACCAATTTGCCCTTACCTTCATCACCCCACTGGGAGCCCAAAACAACGTTAACCATATCTAGAAGCTGATCTGTACCTATGAATCGACAAGAAAACTATATAAAAAGGTTTTGAAAATGCTCGAAATTAAACAAACGGATGTGAGAAACGGCAAAACGGCATAGATCTAATTCGAAAATTCATCAATTGCGTGCAGTCAGCCATGGGAAAATCGGATACAGTCAGATACGGATACACGACTCACCACCATTTGCCCTTTGCCGGAGAGTTTGTCACGAGGCACACGCATTTCGATTTTTCCAGTGGCTTCATCAACTGTAATTAACCAATTAATCTCGGCTGACTCCGGTGACGTCTTCGTAGGAGGTGCCAGAAGGCCAGGGCGACTACTGTGTTATCAGCGTCTTGACGGGCGACTACGTTTAAGATCATATACAGAGAGACGTGACATAATAAAGGACAGGACCACCTAGTAATAACATTCGCATTAATATTTCCATGTGTATATCGGACTATTACTTCAAGTGAGTAAAGGGTGTTGACAGATAGTCACTTTTGACGGAATGTGACGCAAACCCCCTCATGTTGACTCGCCATCTGTTTCCAGAAACGCCATTTCCTGTTTAGAGCACGTGACTACATTTTTTGACTCGGCACCAGGTGTGGCGTCCGCTAGCCGTACATAGAGACAGAGGTGTTTGGTGTACGGGCCCTTGTTCCTTTCCGTTTTTGGAAAGCAATTACCGAGCACAAAAACTGACGTGCGCAATGATTCACAGTCCGGCAGGGTAACCGCTGATCGGCGAAGTTACCCGCAGCAGTAGATAGCACTGCGGACGAATACAATCCTGCGCGAGTTGGCGTCACTATGGACGGTGTTCATGTGATGCTCGGCGTTTCTCACGATGACGTAAGCAGTTGGTACGAGGCCCTTAATCATCGAGCACGGGAAATGCAAGACAGTCACGTGACGTATCACGTGATTCTTTCCCATTTTTTCACCCTGGCGATGAGCTTATGCTGGAAAATATTCGTATTGGAGTGTGATTGATCTTGCCATTGCAAGCACCGCGAGCCAGTCAATTGACGCGTTTTCTCATCCAGGTACTCGTCCACTTTCTTTTCAAATGTCAGGGAAGAAATTGCGCAGCAAAAACCAGATCTTCCGGCGTCAAAAAGTCCACGATGCACGGTCTATCCGTGCCGAGGCCATCGAAGCAGCAGATCAGGCCTCTGGCGAGCTGTCTGAGACCGGTGGCGTTCTTAAAGTCAACGAATTCTTGGCGTCTCGCGAATTTGAGGTCCGGCAGTTGCAATCAGCGATGCACAAGTCTAAGAACGCGGCTTCAACCAGAGTTTTCCAGCGATTGCCTCGCAAGCTTCGTCGTCGTACTGCTTCCCACAATGTACGTCGGATCCCCAAAAGAATGCGGAATCGAGCTTTACGTGAAATGAAGAAATCAGATCAGTCATTGGTGCTAGGTAAACTTACGAAAACCAGCGGCAAAACGAAACATGCGTTGTCGGCCAAGCAACTTTACAAAGCGCGCATGGCGGTGAAGCTTCTGCGATTGGCTGCCAAATCCAAATCCATGAAATTGGCTCTTCCTTCAGAAGCCACCGCTTCTCATTATAAGCTCAGATCGCGCATAAGAGCGCTCCAGAAATTAGTCAAAGCTCACACAAACAAGCAATCTCTTCCACAACGCAACAATGCGATGGGAAGCTACGATAGCACTGCGGTAAATGCCTTGGCCACAGCGCCAGTTTCGCGTATAAAATATGCCAAAAGGCAACGTCAATTCGTCTGGCTTCCAACACATGTTTGGAGCGCCAAAAGGTGCCACATGTATAAGCGATGGGGCTATCACATGCCCTGGTCTCCGACCCAGAAATGTTTCCGTCTGACACACAAGCTCGGAAATAATGTTGCTGCGTCTGACGGTGCTATGTGCTGCGATACCAGTTTCGTAGGAACTATGGTGATTTCGTCTGAAGATGCTGCTCAGTTAAAGGAACTCATGTCGAAACTTACAAAGGGACGTGCTTGTTTAAAAAAATATTACAGGAGTCAGTATTGGTTCGAGGGTCTGTGTCTTGATGACGCTAACTCATATCTGGGCCCCGTGTCTATCTTATGGATAACTACCGGAAAAGTACTTTTGAGAGCTCATCCTGCCATTTATGAATCAGTGTTCACCACAGCGCTACGTCTTAAGTCGGAAAACGTAATGGTAGAGGATTGTCGGTTTTCTATAGGAAGCATAACGTTGACCGGGAGTAAAAGCTTAAATGCGCTCTCACAGATCATTCGAGCTAGCAAGGACTCTGCTTCATTTAAGCAATTCAAACAGGTTTCTTCGCTAACAGACATAACTGCACTACCACAAAGAACTTCTTTTGCATTCCAAGCAATTGACCCAAGACACTTGTCACGCCCCAAAAAGTTGGGAACAACACAGAAACTTGACGAAAACTTTTTGTTTGCAATGCAGGCGTCCTATCCTGAAGAAGAAGTTGCGAATGTCATGTCGGCTTTATGCAGTTCAACCCGTCGAGAAGCTTCTTATAAAAACCAACAAACACTTAAGCAGCTTTCATCAAGAAGAAGAAAGCTTCTGGCCTCCTCTAATTCAAATCTAATCCCTTTTGATGCAGCAACCGATCCCCAAATACCTATTGCAATCTTCAAACAACGTTTTTCTGAAAATTGGGTTCTGCTTTTGCCTTGGTTTTGGCTATTGCCGTTTTGGTATCAGCTTAACAGAGTTTCCCGCGTACACCCGATGGGATCTCGACAACTACAACAGCTTTCGTTTGAGCAAGGCACTTTGCACTTTCCTGATGACTATATTTTTACAAGGGCGGGTTTCGACGAGAACATGCTTTACAAGCGTCTTTCCCAGAAAGCGCTTTGGGACAGAAAACCACCGAGTAAAAGGATCAATTATTTCAGCATTCCAAATCTTCATAAATCTCAGCCTGTTTCAATGTTAGGTGAGATCGGCGATCCGTTTTGCTCGGACTGGAGGTTCTTACAAATTTTGCGCAATGGAGTACGATATCTACGCAAGGAAAAGCGGTCTGAATTTACGATGTTGGACCCCGAGCGGACAACGCAGTTTGACGATCTAAACATACGAAAGCTCGAGTATGTTAATGACGTCGTTGAATTGTATTTTGATGTCAAGGATAAATCCCCACAAGCGTTGCCATTGAATGTTATAGACTGTGTTGTGACACGCTACGAGCCCAAGGAGATGATTCTTGATTCATCTCCGCAGTATAAAGTTGTCACTCAACCGGTTTCGGTGGTGTGTTGCCGGTTAGAGCTCCTTGAAAGAGGACATCCGAAGGACAACGCAAGAATATACTCTATACCCGAAGAGGACTTAGCCTTTTGGCACGATATCGGCACGGGAACTTTCCGATCAAATGGGAAAAGAGATCATAACGCCCCTCGACCACTTCCTCATGTCTCGAATCTCATTGGTTTTGTCACCAGCGGTACATATCACCTAGGAAAAGGGAAGGGAGTTTGCACTGGATTTATCGATGCTGACGAAGCCGTCGCCAATGTACAATCGCTAGTTCTAGTTCGTAATGTGGGAACAGACGTGTACCGCTTGGCTCGCTGGAACCAGATCTTGGTATGAGCATGGTAAAGGGAAGCTCATCAGACCAAATCAGGGGGGTTTTTAATGGATACCGGCCTTGATGGAAGAAAGCGACGCAAAGCTGAAAGGGTTACTGGGCAATTGACGATTGTAAGAATATGCTCATTTTCGAATTGTTTCCTCAGCCAAAATCGCATGAATTTCGGCCCAGAATGCATCGAGTAGAAAATACTCCGAATCAACAAATACTACCATGATAGCCTCGAATAAACCGTGGCTCAATAATGGCTTCGATGGATTATCGTGCCAGGCAAATGTCACCTGAATCTCTCGTTGACCAATAACGTTACAGTATCGGTTACCCGGATTGCACGCAGATTTCTCGTCAGGGCTTTCAGTCGGGAAAAAAAATTAGTATATAAGAACAACCAGCTTTTTAAGTTTCTAATGAACCTGTTTTAACCCCTCATACTTACCTTAAGACGTCAGGGGAGATCATGAAGTCCTACTGACCGGATATGCCTTTCATGAGGGATACTTGTTTTATTAAGGAAACAAGTTCCCTTGCACAGTTTTCTTTTGGAAAATTGCACACATTTGCGAAAGGTGTGTTTGCTGACGTCCTCGTTCCCTCGTCTTGTCGGTTCTATGGCGCTCGCGCTATGTGCTGATCGAGGCCCTTTTTTTTTCCTGCCTGGAGGAGTATGGTGCTGATTACAAGTCAGCGCTGGGGGAGCTGGATCGAGAATTCTTGTTTGAGTATCAACCACGCTTTCAAAGAAAACCAATTCCTTAAGCTTTGGATATTGAATCTCTTCGAGGAGCCCTTTGGGGTTCTTTTGAAGGGCTGAGATCTCCTTCTAAGCTTTTGAGAAGGTTTGTTTTCTGTGGTTTGGCATGAGAGAAGTCTTGATTTGGTAGAGGCGGGTGGGTCTTATAATTTTTGATGTCTACCCTTTTTCCCTCTGTCATAACCTTAAGGGAAAAGTTTGAGGAGGAAACGAATTTTGGTTTGTCAAGAACCTTTCCACTTTTCTCTTCATCGATTGAGTTTCCATATCAGCGGATATGGTTCAATGGACGATGATGAAAGTAAATCCTGTCTAGCTGAAAAAAAAAAAAGCCACGCGCCTCTCATAGAATCGAAGCCGCCGCCAGGTCGTCGACATTTAGAAAATCTACATGCAGATCTTCCAGTTGTTGTTTCCACAGTGCGTTTCTGGAGTAAACCGGCCAATTTGGTATCCCCCATATACGCGTTTTTAACTGCATTTTGGCAGCTCTATCAACCTTCCTCTTCACACAGTCAATTTCTTTATCGCTTAGGCCACTTTTAAATCGATTAACAGAGCTTGGAGGTGAACATGTCCTGAGTAACTGTCCCAATGAACTTGACGCTACAACAGAAGCGTTATGGACGTCGTCGGGGAGGTCGTGAAGCAGTGCGTCTTGGAAAGCAAATCTTTTATTATTATGGAAATAGCCATCATCGTTATTACCATCGAGATCACTGGTGTTGGTTGGGTAGTCTCCGGTAAGCGTTACGGTAAGTGGCCGAGTAACAATTTCCTTGGTTTCCAAATCTAGGTAGCTGACGTATCCGCCGTCGATCAAAGGTTTCAAATATTTGTTCATTAGCAAATTGTAAGTCATAACCGCGTCCGGAGACTTGAAATCCACGTACAAATACAGCGTTGTTTCTGGAGAATTATAAAAAACGCCATATTTGTCGTCTGCGTCAGTGTTGCCACAGTTAACCTCTTCCAACATAGACATTAGGGGGCCAGTATACAGAGATTCCAGGTTTCTCGTTGAAGGATCAAGGTACGCCTTGTTATGGCCTACTGCGAGGTCGGAGTTATTTTTAGTCAACCAGACGTCGGCTTCGACACTGGCGACACCATAACATAGGGCTTCGAATAGGGGCATCCGGCGCCAGTAATCGTTGTGGGAGTGGATATGTTCCAAAACGTTGACATCTTTGGTCAATTTGCTCACGACCGAAGTTTCTGGGTGACATGAATCTGGGTCATTTCCCGCATACGGTTCGAGACCCAAATAATCCACAAAAGCATCGTAAATCTGAGAGATTCTGGGAGCTTTGGCAGGCGGGGTTCTCAGGAAATGTATCAAATTTGACTCGTAGAATGACATGAGACTGGAACCTGTGAGACCGACATTTCCATTTGGTCGATCCGAGGTGTCAGCATCTCTGAAGTAGTAGTCCGATTGGTTTGCTTCGACGTGTAATTGCCACAGCGCAATGAACGGAACAAGTAATACCGTCGAAACAGCCATCAATGCAATCAACATGGCTAAAAACGCGTTAAACGGAAAATTTGGGTCTTCCTTAATTTGCTTATCTTTGTCTTCTCTAGGTTCCCACGTTTTATAGAGTTGTTGGAGACATTCGTTGAGAGCGATATCAAGGATAACCAGCCCATAATCTAATGGGAATCGGAAGCAAAGACGAGTTATACGACGCATATTATTTAACTTTCATAAGGCGACTTAAAGCGGTCCTTTTTTGGTAATTGCTCGGTCTTGGGTTTAACGGTGGACATGTAGCTACCTAAATTTAGGAACCCACGAAACTAATACTGGAATATTATGAAGAGTGTCAATAAAACGTGGATAAAGCAAAAAGGCGCAATCGTATGTTATAGATTGCCTGAGGACACGCTTCTTTCACTTTGAACCGGCACCTCGATTGATGTTCAGTTTTGTTATGTACCGCGTTCTTTCAGTAATTACCTCAGAGTGATGATCATCTTGTAGAAAAGTGTCGTCAGAGTCACGTGACTCTGTTCTCACATTGACATTTCCTGGAAAGGGAAGATAAGTCCGTAGACTGCACACTTGTCTGAAATGGGCCCGTCTGCTCATAGAAACTGCTAGAATCCAAATTGTACTTGTATTTGAACTTAGGAACTTCGAGGCATCACATTCACCGCCGCATGAACGTCACTCTCGGATTTCACCGAAACGCGGACTGATTCACAGTCACACTATACGAAGACGGTTCCTCCAGGGTTTTAACTTTTCCCCATACTATGAAAAAAGTCCTGGATTCGAATCAAAGAGACTTTATGTAGAGAGTGAAAGGCCGAAAGCTACGTCGCAGTGGAGAACGGTACTCTAAATTTAACGAATTTTAGAGTCGCCGATGAAAATGATAGCAAATGACGTTGTTCAGGTAATTTTCTCCGCAAAAATATAAAATATAGATATACCTGCATAGGATGATCATTCATGTATAGAATTTGAAGAAATTAGTAGTGCTCGTCCCTTCGGTGAGATCCGGTTATCACCGCTTGCTAGCTGTTTACCTTTCATGATCTCTTTAACGTTCCCCAGTTCGTCTGGAAAGACCGGACGGCTTATCCGGTGAAGAAAAGGTAAATTAATCACCGGCAACCATCGATTAATGAGAACTCAAGGTATAAAAGATAAGAGTAGGGGAAGCCGAACAACGTTGGGGAAGACGTGAGGATTTGACTGAATTGTTGAACCGTGACGCTTTATTCATATACTGGTGGCCAAAAATTGAATTTCCCCTCAATCATGGCTGGTGGTAACAAGGAACAAACCAAATTTCAAGTGTTTTATGGAACTTTTGTAGATACACCCAAGCTTGACGAACTGCGTGTAAGGCCCAGAACCAGTGTTGGAGTTTCCAAAAATGGTACTATCGCATTCATCAAGGCAGACAGTGAAAATCCGCTTCAAGAAGCGCTTGAATTTGACAAAACGTTGCAGCCCTGGGAAATTGAAGTATTCGACACTTTCCAAGAACAAGGCTCGTCTTTTTTTTTCCCGGGTTTTATAGACACACATGTCCATGCGTCCCAGTATCCAAATGCAGGCATTTTCGGTACTTCGACGTTGCTCGACTGGCTAGAGAAGTACACTTTCCCGCTTGAATCGTCGCTCGCGGATTTACAAATCGCCCGCAGAGTCTATACGCGAGTCCTGGACAAAAGTCTGAGCAACGGTACGACAACGGCGGCATACTACACTACGACAAGCTCCGTTTCATCCAATTTGATGGCCGATATGTGCGCAAAACGGGGCCAAAGAGCGTTTATTGGTAAAGTGTGTATGGATCGGCATGCACCGGATTACTACGTCGAAACAACGCAAGAGAGTCAAGAATCCCTTCTTTCCGTGATAGATCATATCCGCAACAAACTCCGCGACGACAAAATCCAACCTATCGTCACACCACGGTTTGCGCCCTGTTGCTCGCGCGAGCTCATGTCTTGGTTGGGCAAATTGGCATCCGAACAAGACCTTCACATTCAAACGCATTTAGATGAAAATCAAAGCGAAATTGCTTGGGTAAAGGAACTGTTTCCCGAGTCAGAATCCTATTCCCACGTTTACGATGACCACGATTTGTTGACGGAGAAGACTGTGCTGGCACACTGCGTACATCTGAAAGAAGAAGAGGCTGCGTTACTGAAAAGACGTAAATGTGGCATTTCGCATTGTCCTATATCGAACTCCTCTATTACGTCTGGTGAATGCAGAGTCCGCTGGCTTTTGGATCAAGGCATTAAAGTAGGCTTAGGAACGGATTTGTCAGGTGGATTTAGCGCCAGTATCCTGGCAACGGCTAGACAATCTCTTCTGGTCTCACGCCACGTCGCGATGAAAGAAACTGATCCTAAGTATTCAGAGCGCGCCAAGCTTTCTGTTGCAGAAGTGTTGTTTCTTGCGTCGTATGGAGGTGCAGCCGTGCTTAACCTTGAAGACCAAGTTGGATCCTTTGAAATTGGAAAGCAATTTGATGCCCAATTAATCGACCTCGAGAGCCCGACTTCCAACGTAGACGTATTTGATTGGCAGCATTTGACTTGGAACGACAAACAGCAAGACAAATGCAACTTTGACAAGTTTCAAGATTTGATCGCCAAATGGCTGTTTAATGGAGATGATCGTAATACTGCGCGCGTGTGGGTCGCAAGTAACATAGTTTACTCATCCGCTTGAGGAGAGATAACTATCTAGTTTTGTTTTTGTTTTTTTAACTTCGTCTGGTAGTTAGTTACAGCTATGCGTCTAGTAATATGCTGGAGAATACAGTAGTGGCAATTGAGGATGTTGTTCTTGCCATTGAGTTAAAAGCTGCATTATACAGTCTTCAAAGGGTTCTCCCGTTTTTGCACATTCAGAAACTTTGGCAGATAGCATATCGGCCAATCTCAAAATCCCTTTCCCACCAATCTTCGCGTTTTCGTTGTCGTCCTTGATATTGACATTGATGATGTGAACGATCTTATTGAGATCGCCGCCACGACTTATGAGATCTTCGCAAACCGAGTCGAAACATCGCTCCTCGCAAGTAAACACGAAATCAAACACTTTCGAACCCTCATGCCATTTTTCGGGAGCCTTTTTGATTTTTCGGTTACGATCAAGCATGTCTAGTAGCCCGTTAGACTTATACCGGTCTACCGATTGCGAGCGCAAGTCATTATATATATCATTATAAGGAGTTCCAAACGGATACACATTTGGTTTGTCCTCAGAAAGTCCCGGTAATCTCACTGCAGACCCGGTACCATACGACCAAACATCGTACCCTGCATCTCTCAGAACCTTGTGAGATTCCATCGATCTATTGTTGTTTGCAGCACACACAGTACAAAACTTTAACGGCATAACATCCGACATAGCTGATGCTGTTTCTGAAAAACAGTATGACCTTTAAGACCCAGATTTTCTTACCTTTGATCGCCAGTTTAACTACAATTCTGTTTAGCTCTTGCTATATAAATCTTCCCTGAGTTTCTTGATTTTCGATTTTACCAGGGTTACCCGCGCTTGAGCTTCCAATAGCCCATTTCACTATCAGAAATAACTATTACCAGAACCATTATCATACTGCTGGCTCTGGTACTGGAACCGTTTCCTGTTCTACTAGCACTTGGTCGACTTCCATATCGGTGGCGCTGTTGTCGTATTCTCCTACCACTACGATTTTTTGATTCTTGCATTTAACGTCGTAGTAGGCGTCGTCTCTGGAGACACCAGCCAGCTGGACCATGGGAGCAACGTCGACGTAATCGCCGCCTATAAGAGGTTTGTTAGCTTCTTTAGAATGTAAGCTTTCTACGTCGTCGTCGTCGTCGAGATAGAATTCTTGCGGTCTCGTGGCGCTGACGTGAAATATCTGGGAATTTTCGACGCTGTTCCTCCATTGGAGCCAATCGTCACGACCTTGTATCAATACGCCTATGAGCATCGAGGGATCCATTTCGGATATGTGCATTTTGTTGAAACGGGCATAGTGTACCGAGCGTAATTTTTCGACTGGTGACTCAATTCCAGCGAGATCGGTCTGTGGTGAGTGTGGGTCTAAATACAAGAGGTAGTCCTCGAGTAAACCGAAAAAATATAACGACGACGAAGGCCGACCTCCCGAAATTCCCACAGACTGGGGCGACGCCAGAAGCTGTTTCAAACTATCCCAATATCGCTCGTTGACACCTGAAAGTCCCAGTTTCACGCCCAATAGAAGTAAAATATTGGCCTCGGATTTTTTGTCGAAAACTTGATCCATTTCTTCTTCGTAGACATCCGCAGAATCCGTAGAGATAATACATGTGTCGATGCCGCTTTCATACCCAAATTCTTCCACTAAAGCCTTGATACTGAGCGAAGTCGCTGAGGGTCCAAACCATTCGCCCGCAGACTTGCCCGAAAGTTTACGGCCCTTTTCCACGAATCGATGCAGCGAAAACGGCGCGTCGTGTTTGTCCTCGAACCAAGATACAAGTTCCAGCTCTTTTGAGCTTAAAATCTCTGAGGTGGCATTTTCGGGCACTCTGTACTCGCGACCCAATTTTAGACGTTGCAAAGCGTTCCCCAGCAAAGTTTGGCCCGTTCTTATCATACACCCCCATCCGATATCGCTGCAAAAAGAATCTGGATGATTTAATGCATTATCCAGCGTATTCAACGGGTTATCTCTGAAGAGCGTACTAAAATTAAGTGGTGATGGGCCCTCGGGATCTCTTAAAATCGGTTCAAACCGAGTTCTGTAAGTGAAATGAATTATTGACTCCACATCCGCCAAAAATTGACGATTCCAACCGAAATTACGGTTGAAAAGCTGTCCAAAAACTCCGTAACCACTGGCTCCACCCTCATCTTGTTCTGTATCTCCCTTGATTGCACCATAACTCTTCCCCAAAACCGTCACCACACTATTATCGTTACACTCCAGTTCACCAAACTGCTGTGACACTCTATGTAGGAAATCCATACTGGGATCGAGGACTTTTATTGTGACTCTTATACCAGGTTTCTTGTGTAGACAGTGATAAACTAGATCAACGATCAATATTAATTTCACATGAACCATCTTATACTAAATATCACCAATCCACCAAACTGAAGCAGGTACAAAACGATGGCCAAAAAGGCTTTGTCTCGTCGAGACAAGAAGAAGGGCAATAAGCCGGCTGGGGGAGCGAATCTTAAGCGACACAAGACCATGGAAGGGTCAAATTTAAACCGTAAATCAAAGAGTAAGAACAAGAATGGGAGATATTATCCCGTGGGAGGAGGAGACTTGCACAATCCTGATATGATAGATGATTACTACTTTGGACATGAATACGACAAGAATTCGATGCGCATGGGTGGTTTTAGGCCCGGTAAGCCTGGACAAGAAACCGACGTTATGCAACAGCAACCGTTAAGGAAGCGGCCTGTTGAATTCATAAAGGCGAAGGATGTGTACGATCCGTCTCACGATCTTATAATGAAGCTTCGTGAACAGTATGATAGACAGAAGTTGGGGGCCAAGGCACAAGAAACTGAAGAACCGGTACGAAAAGAGCAGAAAACCAGTATACGAGATATTCCGGACGAAGCCCTTTTCTTCGAAGATGGAGAGCCCAGTGCGGAAGTTTCGAGTATAAAGACTGTCTTGGTAGATGAAGAAGGACCCAAGAAGCGTGAGGACGATATCACAGAGTTTCAGGACTATTTGACGGTTGGGAAAGCTCAGCTTAACTTACAGGAAGACCAAAACGGTGGAGTTTATGTGAAGAAGCATTACATGGAGGAGGAGGACGATGGAGAGGAGGATAGTGTGGAGCTTGACTCTTTGTCTGAAGAAGCTATACTTTTGGATGAAAGCGATGACCAAGTGTCGCTGTCGTCCACGATAGGAAATCTTTCTATTGGCGGGACAGAAAGTAACACAGAAGATGCCGAAAATTTAGAGGTGAGAATCGCGCCAGAATCTGAAGCAGAAGTGCCAGAATTTGGGTTTGTCGAGGAGGACTACATCAATATCTCGGAAGTTGCTGTCACTAATGTTAGGCTTGGTGGGAATGCGAACTCCTACTATTTAAGCAGTTATCGTTTTCTAGGTGACAACGAGCCACGTTGGGTAGATGAACAGGATCTGGTGGACTACGTTTTCGAACTCGGACTGCCAGAAGAAAGAGTAGGGCCATATTTGAAATATGTGGTTGATTCTTTGACTCCCGGATCTGAGCAGGACAGTCTACAGTTGCGAATCGATAGAGAAGCAGAAGCTATGCAGGAATCGAGTTCCGAAGAGAGCGATGCGGATTCCATTTCTGACATTTTCATTGGCAACGACGAGAAAGAGAACATCCAAGATCTGATAGCATACACGATGAAATACGAGAAGACAAGGAATCAGCAATTTGATACCAAAAGTATATCCACTTCGGGTAAAGGAGCCAAGAAGAGGTTACTCGTAGACGAAGCGCTAGATCTTGACGAAGACTTGAAATTGGAACTGCAGGACAAATTTTTGACTCGGAACGATCACCATCGCAAGAAACGTCAAGCAAAGGAGAATTACATCTCAGATCAAAATAGGAAATCAACTGATTTGTTTGTGAAATATCCGTACGGTTTTCATGTACAAAACATCAAGGACGAGTTCGAAGCGTTTCTAACAAGAAATCATACTCAACTCGCATTTCCACCTTTCGATCCAAATGGTAACAAGGTTGTAGCCAAATTTGCAGAGGCGTACTGTACAAAGCCTAAAAAGGCTGGCAAAAATGGTAAAACCTTCGTGGTTGCAGAAAAGGTCAAGAGAACGAAATGGAGTACTCCAGATTACAATTACATCAATCAGCTCTTGAACCGGAGACGCGTTTTCATGCGTATCGATGTTCGCAGACCTGTTGCAGAAAGACCGACTTCAGAAAAGTCTTCCTCGGGTAAGGGCAAATTCCACGTCAAAGAGGGAACCATAGTTGGCGCCGATGCTCCAGAGATTAGCCGTGACAATATTGGCAGAAGAATGCTAGAAAGTCTTGGCTGGTCAACGGGTCAGGGACTTGGAGTTGATGGAAATCAAGGTATAAGTGAACCCATTTTCGCTACTGTTAAAAAGTCCAAAAGTGGTTTACGTCATTCTAACCTTGAGGTTTAGAGGAAGCAATTCATTTTTAAGCTGGGTTTTAACTTCATTTTACTGAAAAAGAGGATTCGGCACATACAATTAGGTTTCAAGAAAACGTGTTAAGGCCCCTAACGTCAAATGCGTCGGCGCCTCATCGCGTGTTTGTGTCTTGAAGTTATTTTCGTTTGTGTCTCGGACTATATAAGAATTAGTATGGAAAGTCGTGTTTATGAAATGAAAAAGTCATCGCGGTATCAACAAAAACACAACACAACATCCAATACTAAGCAAAAAAAAAGTCGATGCTGGGACTGGGATCAACCAGTATTTATGGGCCGACCATAGAGAGTGCGCCTTCAACTTTTAGCGAAGAAGAACGCTACGATTACGATGATCAGGAGACCGATGAGAACGATGAAGGTGGAATTTCCATAGGGCGTCTGAGAGTTGAACAGGGATTTAGTTTCAGATCCTTTATTGATCATATAAATGCTAAGACCAAAGCTTTGGCTATGGCACGAGAGTTGGATACGAAACGGGGCACTTTACACAATGACGTTACGATGAGTGCGGGGTCGATCGATAGTGAGAATAGTACATCTACCGATGCTACGAACGAGAAGACCAATGGCTCGAATCGCAGAATTCCGTCTGGTGCTCGTGCTCGTACTCATACCTCGGTGAGCGAACCAAATTTGCGGGTTTCAACACCTGTTAAGGGTGTACGCGCCAACAACGGCAACGTCGCAGAGTCTCAAAATAACACAATCAGCGATCTGTTGATTCAGTCAACCCCCTTGATCTCAGATAAAAATAATACTTCTTTGAGAAATCAACAGCCCAAAGATTTGCTGCGTGGTAAGCTTATAGAAAATTGCAACGTACAGAACGGAGACACTGACGAAACGCGGTTAAGCCACCACGCGGATCAGCATCTTGAAAGCGAAATACAAATGCTAAGGAAAGAACTGAAGCGGCACGAAAACATTCTTACCGACAAACAACGTGAAGTGGACAGGCTTAATGCGGTTTTGGTCGAAAGAGATGAAGAGTTGGCCAATGTGAAGGATGCAAGAGATCAGGAAAAGCATAATTTTACAATGCTGAATAAAGATTTCGAGAGTTTGAAAACGGTTACTTCCGCAAATGAACGCGAGAAAAACGAAGAGATTTTCCAGGTTGTGAACGAGAATGAAGATTTGAAAGCAAAGTTACAGGAAAACTCGGCAGGCAAACAAGAAATCACCAAACTCGAATCACTTGTCGCGAAAAATCGGCTTCAAATTGAGGCGCTCCAAAAGGAAGCTCGAGATCGACTCGCAGAACATGAACTTAAGCTTGATGAGGCAAGTTCCGCCTTGTCCGACTCTCGGGATTCTGTGCGTGTTCTTCAAGAACAAGTCGCTGCACTCCGCTCAGAAAACGCAAATAAGGATAACATAATTGAAAAGTTATCTGCGGACATTTCATCAAAAGAGGAAACCTCCAAAGAAATTTCCCGGAGTAGAGATGCCCTCAAAGATCGCACCTCGGAATTGGAGCAACAATTAGATAAAACGAGCAAGCTTCTAAGTGATCTCACCTCACAGAAGCACTATTCTGAACAAGAGAATCTTTTACTGTCGGAGCAGCTGGGCAAGAGATCTGAACTGATTGATAGCTTAGAAGAAGAGATCAGAAGTATGTCAGAAACCTACAAGGCTCTTAAAGGTCAATCTGACAATGAGAGGGAAAAATTAACATCAAAGCTGACAGTTGCGCAGCTTCAAATCTCGAATTTAGAAAGTCAGATAAAACACAATCAGACAGAACATAGCGAGGTCCTTTCCCGTTCAGAGCTTCTGGAAGCTCAAAAAACTGGTCTCGAGAGTCTGCGGTGCGGACTTCAAGAGACAAATGAGCATCTTCAAAATATCGTCGAGAACTTGGCGCAAAACTCCAAGAAACAGTTGGAAGCCGTCAACCGCTTGGGATTAGAGACACATGACAGGTGGGAAAAAGACACCAAAACGTTTGACGATATGCGGTGTGAAGCAACTGAAAAGCAAAAGGAATTGGTAGTTGTGACTGAAAAATTACAAGTCGCTGAATCTCATCTGCGGCACGCAAAACAGGCTCAATCGGATTTGGAAAGCTATTTAAAACAGGTGAAACTGTTTGGTATAAATCTCGGAGAATCGATATGGGAGCTGTTTACAACTAAAAACTATGAGAGCGGGCTGGATTCCATTTTCATGGTAAATTTTCCTGATTTGGTGGCCTTCCGCAGTGCTGATGAAGTGAAGCAGAGCGATGCTATTCGAGAATTAAGATCTGCTAACGTCATCGAAATTAACAATTTCAAAAGCATTATAGAAGAGAAATTAAAACCAAGAATCGCGGAACTTGAAACTAGCAATAGCGAGTTAAAGGCACAATATGAGCAGGCTCAAGAAGCTGTCTTGGCGAAAGCGGCCGAAGCGAAAGACTTGCAGAGCAGAGTTCTTTCGCTCATGAGTGACAAAGAAGCTGATATTCAATACAGAACAACTTTGAGCAAGGAAGTAGAAGAGTGCAGGACTCGAATTTTGGCGAATAAAGAAGAGCATTCTATCAAACTTGTCGAAATCACTAAAACACTTAGTGGAGAAGTGAATTCTCTAAGCGATGAAATAAAAACCAAGAACGCCGAACTTCTAAATAAGCAAATTGAACTTGATGAACAAATCGGAGTTTGCAAGGAGCTCGAAGAGAAGCTCGTGCTTGCTAATCAGAACCTGGATAGGACACTTGGTGACCAAAGTAAAGTTATCGATTTCAAAATGGCTAGTCGCACCAGACCTCATCTGTCTCGCAAATTATACGATAGCTTAATGTTAGACGCGGTCAACGACCTGAATCTGGTGGAGGTGCAGAACATTTTGAAAAATATCATCATTTTGTTGGAGACTCCTCTGTCAAAGCTCACCAAGAAAATGCCGCTGGTCAGCATCTATTTGAGGTACGAGAGAACCATATGCCTGCACTTTGCCAACAAATTGCACTTTTTGATATTCAACGAAACAATCAACATCAAACGTTACACGAATATCGCATATGCTCAGTACAACGAAGATCATGATATTTGCCATATCCAGCACCCGCTGGAAGCCTGCTTGGAGGATCTTTACGCTGAGTTGTGCTCGCGATTATCGATTTCGTCACACACGATTTGAGATATCGATTGTCTTCCGCGATGAGCAAGAAAGCTTCAACAACTAAAATTCAGTCAAAAGAACAATGTGAGCATTCATTATCAGCCAGTGTATCTATAATCAGCATTTCCAATCTCTTAAGTTCAGACAATCTAATTCTCCATAGTGATTTTGTCTTAAGGTGGTTTGGTTTTTTTTATCATTACAAGAGTCGCGTCCATTCAATAAAAACTTATGAAAGCATGTTACTATGAACTTTTGGGCGTCCAATCCGATGCATCTGACTCTGATCTCAAGAAAGCTTATCGAAAGCAGGCTCTTGTATACCACCCTGACAAAAATCGCGAGAATATCGAAGAGGCGACGGACACGTTTGCTGCGATTAGAGCAGCTTATGAAGTACTGTCTGATCCCCAGGAAAGGGCTTGGTATGACAGTCACAAGGACCAAATTTTGAACGATGACTTGAACTCCTATGACGACAATGACGGTTTCTATTCCGGCGAAGTTGATCCCGAGATAACAGGGACGACCATCGAAAATCTCTTGAGATTTTTCAATCCAGCCCTGTACACGCGTATTGACGATACCGCAGCCGGTCTGTATCAAATTGCAGGCAAAGTCTTTGCCAAATTAGCCACTGAAGAAGTTGTCAGTGGCAGAAGGGCAGGCTTATCTAATTTCAATATTCTGAAAGATGATGTTTTCGAATCGAGTATTGGGACACGCGGTTATGGTGTTGCTTGCGCCCAATATGCGTCAACTCTTGAGTCGATGCTGTTCCCACCATTTGGCGTTACAAGCACCGATTATGAGTTGATTAGAGAATTTTACAAAAAATGGTCCGGATTCAGTACAACGAAAAGTTTTAGCTGGAAGGATGAATATATCTATTCCCGAAACTACGACCGTAAAACGAAGCGAGAAATCAACAAACGTAACGAAAAACTGCGGCAACAAGCCAAGTCTGAATACAACAAAACCGTTAAGAGATTTGTCGCTTTTGTGAAAAAACTGGACAAACGTGTCAAGGAAGGTGCCAAAAAGCTCGAACAAGAGAGAAGAAGAAAATTGCAAGAAAGTTTGAAAAGGCAAATCCAGAAAGATCGTGAAGCAAACTTGAAGAACGGGGAAGACAATTTCAAGCTTCAAAGTTGGCAAACTGTAGATCACAAAGATTGGGAAGAGTTCAAACCAAATCATAGCGATGGAGACGATGAGCCCAAAGAAATTATCATATATGAGTGCTTTTTGTGCAATAAGAACTTCAAATCCCCAAATCAGCTAGAGAACCATAACAGCACGAAACTCCATAAGCGGAAGATGAAAGAACTACAACGGGAGATGCGAGAGGAAAGCCTAGTGCTGGGTCTCGACGCGGTTTCGGACGTAGATGACTTTGATTCTGCAGACGAGTTTACCCTGGAGGAGGAAAGCCAAATGGTAAGCCCTTCTGGTAACGAGGAAACGTATACGGAGCGCAGCATAGACGAAATAAATGCAGAACTTGAGCGCATTCAAAAGGAACTGGAGGAAGTAAGTTCTGAGTCTGATGACACCAGTGAATCGCCAGAAATTGACGATCTGATAGATTCTGATACAACTGAGGCTAACGATCTCCGCCAATCAGGGGAAAATTTCGAGTTTCAAGAATCTGCAGAAACGTCGCAGAAAGACGAACTAGCCAAACTTTTGGAATCACTTGACGTTTCTGATAACAACGAGTCCGCGGATGTATGGAACTCGAACAAAAAGGCGCGACGGAAGGCAAGACAACGTAAGGGACCACGTGAAGACAATGTCGCTGATCAGTTGAACGTGCAAACCGGTAATAGCGAGTTTACGTGTGGACAGTGTCAAACGGAGCACGATTCGCGTAATGCGCTTTTCCGACATATAGACGCTTCAGGACACGCTTCGCACCTATCGAAACTGAAAAATAAAATCAACAAGTCCAAAAAGAAGAAAAGCAAGAAGTGAATTCTCTCGTTAATCGGATTCCTTTTATGGAGAAACCGTTGCAAGCATGCCAACATAATGTATAATAAAAAGTTACATCTGGTGAAAGAAAGAAAAGTCCGTTTTTCAAGATTCGAATCGTAAAATAAGCGTAAAATTCAGATCAAAGTGGTCAGATATTCCGCAAGTCTACGTACACCACCGTGTAACGGCTACATGACTAAACGGCTTTTCGAATGTCCCCTATGAACGGCACTATTATCAGCTTACAAGGCTCATCTTTAACATCACAGAGGACGAGAAAAATTTTCGCTAGTTCCTATCCATTAAAGTCATCAAAAGTCATCGTCAAGTCATCTTGGTTTGCAAGAAGCGACTTTAAAACTAGGTACAAACAAGTCTTTGTAGACCAAAAGCACTGGCAATTGGCAGCTTTTCACTTGATAATCGCTTGGTCATTTGATATTGTTAAAAAATAAGCAAGATTCCAGCTTAATACCGCGATTTTGAGCCGCTTCTTGGACTTGTTTTCAAAGGAGCAAAATTTCAGGCTTTTCAAAGCTAGAACAATATTTACAGAGATTAACGCTTGAATTTGGAGTCTGTGGGTCGTGTTTGAACTCCAAGACGTTTATTTGAGGCCTGTTTTTTTCGAATAAATTAGGGTTAAGAAACAGGATTTCGGGAGAGAGCATATAAAATCTGACAGCATCGTGACTTCAAATATGCAAGCACCAGGCGGACCAAGACAGCCAGGTTCAGGAAACGGGACGCCAGCCAATGCAGCGGTGTCCAATCTTTCCAGCGCGCTGCGCCAGGTGAATCTCGGAAACAGCAACACAGCGACAGACCAGTGCAATGTCAACTACGAGCTGAACAATCGCATAAATCAGCAGCAGCTTCTGGCAGAGGCTAGTCGCAATTCTTACATGGCACAGCAGGCAGAAATGCAACAGCAAGCGGCGTCACAGTCGTCGCAGTACGTGGGACCTTCGGAAATTGACAATTCGCGGATCGCTAAATTTTTCCAGAATCAGCCGGAAGAAGGCTATACCCTTTTCTCGCACAGGTCTGCACCAAACGGATTTAAAGTTGCCATTGTACTGAGCGAGTTGAAACTGCCATATCAGACGATTTTTTTAGAATTCAATTTGGGCGAGCATCGCGCGCCGGAATTTGTCGCCATCAATCCAAACGCTAGGGTACCCGCGTTGATCGACCACGCTTTGGACAACCTAGCGATATGGGAATCCGGCGCCATTATACTGCATCTCGTGAACAAATATTACAAAGAAACTGGGGATGCGCTTCTATGGTCCGATAACATGGCAGAACAGTCCCAAATAACCGCCTGGCTTTTCTTCCAAACTTCTGGTCATGCGCCCATGATTGGCCAGGCCCTGCATTTCAGATATTTCCATACTCAAAAAGTACCTAGCGCTGTCGAAAGGTACACGGACGAAGTGAGAAGGGTGTACGGAGTTGTGGAAATGGCACTTGCTGAAAGAAGAGAGGCACTTATAATGGAGCTGGATACAGAAAATGCGGCAGCTTATTCCGCAGGCACTACACCACTGTCGCAAAGTCGATTCTTCGAGTATCCAGTATGGCTTGTGGGCGACAAGATTACCGTTGCAGACCTGGCGTTCGTACCCTGGAACAACGTTGTCGATCGTATTGGCATAAATATCAAGATGGAGTTCCCAGAAGTATACAAGTGGACGAAGCGTATGATGAGAAGACCTGCGGTAATCAAAGCCCTTCGCGGAGAGTAGCATTTCGTATTATCATTTAATGACTAAAAATATGTATGTTAATTCGGTGACATTGGGAAATGTCACAACCATACTTGTGATAAAATACAAATCCGACAAATGTGATACTACATTATTCGCAAATTTCATAATTCAACGGATAACTCCCAGCAAGTGCCAATGATAGCTGCGTATAAAGATGACTTAATATGCGAATGAAATCAAAATTGAACCAAAACTTGGCAAAAAAAAACTAGTTCGTACAATATTTGATTGCTCAAAATCAATTTGCTCAACTATATAGCCCTTGGGTCTCTCAACCGTGGTATTCGGTATCTTTCAAATGACTCATCGCTTAGTGCCTTCACCCGCCAAAGGCCGATTTAAATCACGTGGTTTTATCTTTATTCACGTGATCTTTAATACAACGAAAGAAATGAAAGAGGTCATCATCTAGAAGGCCCCTCTCACAAATGACACTTTAAATACCCATTTTAAAAGTGGTTGACTAAGTGGTTTGAAACGTTGGTTTTACCGATAAAAGGTATTCGGTAAGGCCCTCTATATTGTTGATAAGTCGGTAAATTTTCAAGCATGGGTCAACAGCCACCAAGTTTGTGTTCTCTGTGCGAGATGAGCTTGATGAGAAACCATTTAATTGTACACGATGTTGCAAACGTGCCTTACAGATTGATACGCAATGTTCTTTTGAAGTGTAAATTGGATCAGCTATGTAAGTTGGAAAAGAGCAACGTCAGACTGGTTTTTGAAGACGAAGAAGTGTGGTATGAATTGTTGAAAAAGGATTTCCCGATGCATGTACACGAGTCCAGCGCCAGTAAAAGGGACGAGATCTGCAATTTCTATGCAGAATTTATCGAAGATAACGATCCGGAGTTTATGAGAGATACTGAACTGATGAAGAAACTCTTGCGAGCAGCAGTGCAGAAAGATCCAATTACGCTCAAGTACCGAGTTCCAAGCCGAATGCTGTATTTTAAGTACCAGAAGGATATTTTGCGGAAACAAGAAGCCAGTGCGCAGCGATTAAGGCTACGAACTCAAGAATTGAAACAAGAAAAGGCTAAGAATCAAATTGTGGCCCTTGAAGATCCAGTTTACTGTGAAAAACAGAGCAAGAGCTCGCGATCCGTGAACCCGACTGACCGCTCAGGTTTGTTTCTGAAATCCTACAAAGAATCGCAAAAACGTCAACAATTATTCCGTAGTGGTGGATTTGACGCCAGCACTCAAAGACCCGTACGACGAGTCGCATTTGGTGGCGGGGCCGTCGCCCCCGTGGCAGCCACTCCTTCTACACCGCGAAATAGGACCCCAACACCAGGTTCTGGCGCCGAAATACAGTTCCAGACCTCGAGTCCGACGACTTGTTCCGTTTCTGAACTGCCAAAACCCAAGAGCCCCAATATTTCACATTCGCAGACCAGCCCAACTTGCCCCGGAACCCAGCGGAAGAAAAAACAAGAACAAGCCAGCATTTTCCTGAAACGTAGAAAATTGCATCCCAGTCCAAAGCCTCATAAGAAGTCATCCGCTGTTGAACCTACAAAACCAAAAAACCGGTGGTTGTTAGCCTAAATTCGGTCAAAATCGAGCGGAAAAAAGCAAGTAGTATCTTTGACACTGCGCCAATACAGCGAGAGCCTTTACAACGTTCAAAGAATTCGTCCAGCGCTTACGTTTTCGACCCATCTCATCGCTAATTTAAGAGTTCCGCTTCCTGATAAAAATGGCAATGATTATGTTACTTCTTACGAAGAACCGTAATAGTGGTGGCAGTATAAAAATCGTGTTAAAGTCGAATCTTCGAAGCACGGCTCTTGGAACTAGATCTTATCAATTGGGTATTGGTTTCAGAGATTGCAATCGGGTGAATCTTGGCCTTCTGAGTTTGAAACCAAGTTTCTAAGATGTTCAGAAGAAACAAAGACAAATCTAAAGAGTCATCTTCAGTGGATACCTCGAAATTGATTGAGGTGGAAACGCCAATAGAGAATGTTCCTGCCACGATAACGCCTCCTAAACCTACCGAATTAACTTCAGAGCAACAAGAGCTTTACGGGAAAGTTTTTGGCCACTTTAGCAACCCAGAACTGGTTGTTCCCACTCGTGAAAAAAAAGCTGGTGGTGACCAAACGTTGAAACCGCTAAGTCCGCATGAAAAGGCGTGGTTGACCCGTGAATGTTTTTTGAGATATCTGCGTGCTACAAAATGGAAATTGGATGATTGTATCGAGAGAATTTCGCTGTCTTTGGCCTGGAGACGTGAATTTGGTATTAGTGAATTCGGTGAGGAAAACGGTGATACTCTCACTGGAGAGACTGTGGCTATCGAAGACGAAACTGGGAAGCAAGTTGTCTTGGGTTTCGAGAACGACGCACGTCCTATCTTGTATTTGAAACCGGGACGTCAAAACACGAAAACATCTCACAGACAAGTGCAGCATCTGGTGTACATGCTCGAAAGAGTTATCGATTTTATGCCTCCAGGTCAGGACTCGTTGGCCCTTTTGATAGATTTTAAGGAATATCCTGATGTTCCAAAAGTTGCTGGAAACAGTAAGATCCCACCTTTGGGTGTTGGTAAAGAAGTTTTGCATATTCTACAAACTCATTATCCAGAGCGTCTGGGCAAGGCGTTGCTGACTAACATCCCTTGGCTCGCTTGGACTTTTTTGAAAATGATTCATCCGTTCATTGATCCCTTGACGAGAGAAAAATTGGTTTTCGATGAACCTTTCCCCAAATATGTGCCAAAGGATCAATTAGATAAGTTGTACGGTGGTTACCTTGATTTCACCTACAAACATGATGTCTACTGGCCTAAATTACTCGAAATTACTGCTGAGAAAAGAGCACATTACTTGCAGAGATTCGAGAAATTTGGAGCAACGGTAGGCTTGAGCGAAGTCGACCTTCGGGGTGATCACGATGAACAACGCTTCCCAATTGATGTGTAAAATGACCTCTAGTTCTCGCTTTGGTGTATATACGAACAACATATGTAGGGGAAAAAGTCGAGAACAGATATGCAAAATTTAGACAAAATTTGGCAAACATGTGAAAGCTGACTAGCTCTCTATTCGAAGGGTTTGGCACATTTTCGCAGTTCCATGTTACCTGTGGATGGTGCCACCATGGTCTCCCAATCAATCGCGTACATCAAGCCGCCGGCACCGTTGCTAGCTTTTGCGAATACGACGCCCAGATCGTTGCGTGCTGTCGTCAAATTATAATTGGAGCCGTCTCCTAAAGACAAGATTCGGGCTCGAACTATATCCCCAGGTTTGAAACTGTCCATGATTTTTACCTTGTCTCTGTTTGTTGCGCGAACGTCTTGAGACCTTATGATTCCCTTAAAAGTCTCACCCAAATCCGATGACACTTGCGATACCGAAAAAGTCGCAGCACCTGATCCACCACCTGCAGCAACTTCTCCGGATCCGTTACTCCCGACACCACTGTCTATTGGCGTCCTTTGATTCTCAACTGCCAAAATTTCAACGTTGGCTCGTTGAAGGCTTATTCTCGTGACTCTTGCCAGTACGATATCTCCTTCCTTCGGCAAATTATTTGTAAAATCATCCCTAACCGATTTCCCAATGTGTTTTTCGTCCTTAACGCTCACAATATAAACCTTGTGGACCTTGCTTTCGTCATCGCTTTGATCTGCGGTAACGGAATTTTCAGAACTTTCATCTTTTTCCTCTGCGTCTTGGGACTCCAAGTCCTCCTGTAGTTTAACGCTCAAATTTCCCACTAAAGTCGCAATCAGAACGTTGATTTGTTTCCCGTCCACGGAAAACGGCCGCTTTGCGACCCCCAGGCTGGGAATGTATTTTATGATGCACTCTTTTCCATTCTCTTCAACGACGTCAAATTCAGGACATATCATGTAGCCAGGGTAAAGACATTCTGATTGTTGCTTCAAGGCCAATGCCATCATATCTACTTGGCGTAATTCAAGACACCTCTTGCTAAGGTTAAGCTGGTCTTCAAGGTGGTATCGATCGGCACTGTTTTCATGCTCATCTCGTGAAAAATTGTAACTCTCTTTATACGGATTTTGAGTATCGAATGAGTATCCGATGGGTATCAACGGAGTAAAGCATCTTCACGATATTATAGCGATATTCTGATCCCCTGTTTAATGGTTTCCTCTCCTTAGTTTGCTTCATTAATGTCTGGGTATGTCTGACCAACTTCTGAAAACCAACTGATTAAAAATAGTGCGTGTACCGTTGCGAATCTTCATGGATCTCCATTTCAGACTTTAGTGTATTGAGTTCGTCCTTGATCATCTGTGCTAATTGAGGTGTTAGCTGGTTGCAAGTTGCAATTTCTGGATGTCTATCATATTCGTCCTCGGCGTAAGTAGTGAAGAGAACGATTCTGCTAGAGAAAGTGACACCTTTTTTGCTGAAAGAACTGGAGCCGGAAAATTCACCGTTTATTACCATTGGAGCTTGAAAGCTCGATATTGTAGGGCTTTCCATGTAATTTTGGCGAAGGCCTCTAAACGAGAGCGATAGGGGCCGCGCTGTCTGCGCCGTTTGCGGAATATATGCTTGGATGGTAGGGCTTTCAAGTGCTTGTTCGGCTTGATTGAAATCTTCACCCTCGAATTCGTGCTCGTCCTCATCATTGAATAACGCTGAGGTTTCAGCAAGAGGTGCTAAATTGTGGGACCGACCTCTTTGGTTTGTGGCTTCGGGGGATTGTTCGGGTGGAATTTCTCTATCCCATGAGTAAGGACGACTTGACTCGAAATTGAATAAGTCCGCAGCGCCAGTGTCCGGTTTTGAAAGAGGATAGTCCTTTTTTTGTAAGGATGGATTTAAAGAGCCATACTGGTACTTTTGATCCTCAAAGTCTAAGCTGAGATCGATGTCGTTTCCAAAATCGATGATGTTGGCAAACTCCATAATATCAGACATGAACTCAACGTCAGGTGTGTCGTTACGCCTAGGACCCGTAGGCTGAGATCGTACTGGGCTTTTAGGCGACGCCTTTAATCTCTGTGGGCTTTCAAGGCTCAAGCCATTAATTTTATTCTCGACTGACGTGAAGGAAAAATCGCGTTCCTGCAGAAGACTTGGTGACTTAGTTGATCCATTAGCCTGGTCTAAATAGCCGGTGTTGATAGAATCCTTGCCCGACAAATTTCTATGCAGGTCGCTCGAGTCAAAAGTCCCGTTTCTTAAAATGCTGCTGGTCGGTGATTTGGTCAAATCTGGCGTTGAAATAACGATATCAGACGCAGGAGTTATAAACATGCCTTCTTGTTGCGCGTTTACGGAAATATTGTCCGTAAATGACCTTCTGTTTGACATTGGCGAACCACGTTTATTCGATCTCAGAGATCTCGAGCGCTCCAAAGAAACGATACTTTCCACTTCTTGAGCACTAAGAGATTTTGGAAACAGGGCTTCACCAGCGTCATTTTTGGGTCGTACTTCGGCTGCCGGTGGAAGCTCGACAGACACTGATGGTTTTGGAGGAGGCGGAAGTGGATCACTCTTTGGAGTTATTTGTTCGAAATTGAGAGGTGTAGGTTTTCTTTTTTGAATCGATTGATCCGGGCCTTGCTTTTTCTCTAAATGGACGTCTGATTTCGGTAGGACTTGAGACTTGCGTTTCTGTGGGGCAAAAGGCTGATCAACAGCGGCTTGTGATGCTTCTTTGCTCTTACGGAATGTGTTGAATATGCTCCCATTGCTTTGGGATCTCTTGGTAAAAGCAGTAGGACGAATCGCATCCTTTCTGTCGTCGCCTGACGAATTGGCCACGGAAAAAGTAGACGAAGTCGGCAAGGAATTTTGTTGTTTGGTGTCTTCGACCACAAAAGACCTTGATTTCGGAGGTTTCCTTTTCAGAAACGACAATAAGCTCTTTTTCTTCTTCTTTTCTTTGGCCCGTTCCGCTTTGGGTTGTTCTGCTTTTTGCGGTTTCGCTGAATCGGACACAGATCTCTTAGATGAAGTTTCATTGCTAACTGTAGATTTCCTTGGGAGCACGGAGACTGACACCCGCTCTTGACGCTCGGTTGTCATGGTGCTACTGTTTGCGTCTACAGAAGAGCCCTCATGCGTAAACGAATGTTCCGTGGGCTCAACGCGCGGCGTCGGAGGCTCGGTTTTCGGTGTGTTCAGAAAATCAGGCTGATGTTCACGCGTTGAATAGGCATCGCTGATGTATTGCCGGCTGAAATTTTCGGGCGAGTGATCATCGATATCTATCAGATTAGGAGAGTTGGGATTGTAGTTGGCAGGCTCACCGAAATCTTCTTCGACTATGGTTCCAGCTAAACCAAGTCCTTGCTTCATTTTTTCGTCGGCCCGCTTGGACTTTTCGTTCAAGATCCCAGCCAAAGCACTCAACGAGGGAGAAGGTGTCATTTTCAATGTCTTTGTCTGTGATGAAGGTTCGTCTGTTTCGTCAGAGGAACCGTGTAAATGTGACGCGTAATCGACACTTGCGTCGGTTCCGCTAACATCGACGTTGGTGTTGCCCGTCTGGTACGTATTCCGTTCCGGTGATGGGTTCTCGGACGATCCATCGAATATAACCGAGTTTCGGAGGTTTCGCGCGTGTTCCGAATTGTTCATCGAATGCGACGAGTAGAAAGAATCAGAAAACAGGTTATCATTCTCTTCCATGCTTTGGTTTTACCAGAATGTGAGGACGCTGGTGAGTATTTTATGATTTGTGGATGCTTTGGAACCGCAATCTTTGAAAAGCCAAGTAGAGGCAGAATCGCAAATTCGATTAGCTTGTCAAATTTAATCCTTCCAAAGCCAAATTTGACCTCACCACTACCACAATTGGTGTATATATGCTCCTGGCTAGCTATTGAAATCAGCAGTGTCTTGCTCAATTTCGTGTTACGTGAATCTCTGAAAAGACGCGATCTTCTGGCATTCATTTATAGGCCGGGTAACTTTGCTGGAGAGCTACATCTCGAATGTCGTCGCCATCTTAATAACGGTTCTCGAAGAGCATCAGTGTGATTTTGAATCAACATCAGCGTATTTATCTACATAGTTATCGGTCGTTAGATTATGCAGGGCATTAGAAGTTTGTAGGGTGGGTGGAACGTCGGGTGTCAAATTTGTATTAGAATAAGTTTTCACTGACCCAGAGTCTTGCCTTTGGCCAGCCTTTCAAAGAGTCTAGATGCTCGTTGAGTAGTTTTTCGTCCTCAGACATAACGTATCTGTCTGTGGTAAAATCCATGTCTTCTGTTTTGATGAATGGGTCTCTTTTCCAGACCCACCAGCAAATCCACAAGAACCCGAACACGAAGAGTTCGAGATAGTAAGAGAAAAAACTGGAAGTGCTCCATGGGGCGAACGCGGACCAGCCTTGCACTAGGATGATGAAGGAAACGAAGACGACAAGGAAATAGGGTCCGTATGGATAAGTCCAGTTTTTGAAAAGCAGTTCATGAGTTCTGCCCTGTTTTTCGAGTCCTTGTCGAAACCGGATCGAAATGACTGCGATAGAGAGCCATGCGATCTGGTTAGACACACCAACGATGTTCTGCAGCCAGGTCCATAGCGTGCCGGCGCCGATGAAACTAGACCCGAAACAGAGACCACCGACGGCCCAGGTCAAGATGACGGCGACGTAGGGCACCTGGTGACGATTCGTGCGTGTAATGAGGCTTGGAAACACGTAACCCTCGAGCCCCAGGTTGTACAGGACTCTACTACCCGCGAACAACGCGTGGTTGCCTGCGCTGATGACGCTGGTCAAGATCACGGCGTTCATGAATGAGCCTGCGGCTTTGGAGCCGACCATCTGGAACACAATCGTGAAAGGGGAAGTTACGACGGTCTTTTCGCTGAGGTGTGGATAAGTGTAAGGCACGTTCATGCCGATGAAAAACGCCGTAAACACGTAGAAGATCAGGATCCGCCAGAACACGGTGCGAATGACCTTTGGGGTGTTACGGATCGGGTTTTGAGCTTCGCCTGCGGTCAAAGTAATGGACTCGGTACCGCCAAAAGCGAAACTCGACGTGACGAAGATGGACGCGAAACCTTTGAATCCGTTGACGAAAGGGGCGTCGCGATAACCCCACCATTTGAAACCGATGTACTCGTGCTGGTCGTTATGGCCTGCGTTGACCACAATGGAGACGATAAAGAAGATGACAATGGCGATGATTTTGAGAAGGGCAAGCCAGTACTCGGTTTCACCGTAGACGCGGACGTGGACGACGTTGAGGATCAAAAGCACGCCCCACACGATCAAAGACGCGGCGTAGAAGGGGAAATGGTTTTGCGGGGAGTTCCAGTAATCGAGCACGAGTTGGAGCGCAGTGAGATCGCTGGCAACGGAAGTGGCATCGTTGAACCAGTAATTGCACATGAGCGTGAACCCGAAGGAATCGGACCCGAATTTCTTGGCGTACGAGCAAAAAGAGCCCGAAATGGGCATGAAAGTCGACATCTCGCCCAGCGCCAGCATGGTCAGGTAGACGACGAACCCGATGAGGGAGTAGTTGATGATGAGAGCGCCGGGACCGCCGATGACCAGGGACCGGCCCGTGCCGAGGTACAGTCCCGTGCCGATGACACCTGCGATGGCGATCATGCTGATGTGGCGAGGCGTGAGCGACCTGTTGAGCTTCTCGCGGATGTGGGCGTCGCGGGCGTCGGACTCGGCACCCGGTGTGGGCCACGACCCGGTCGACGGCGTCACTGCGACGACCTCGACGACCTGGTCGTTGGTCTTTACGCTCGAAGACTCGTGCTTGCCGAGAGGAGCCGGATCTGGCGTACGTGAGTGCATCTGCAAGACAGGTGGTGATGCTGGTGGAGACCCAACCGCAAACCTCCACAATGGGTCGAACCTCCGTTGCCGTCTTATACTCATGTGTCAGCGGCGTCGGCGGCGCCGTGCGGCGCCGCCGACCTTTCGCATCTGAGTAATGCACTGTGGCTTTTGGCTTTGGCATTGTTCGAAGACTGTGGAGGTGCCGTACGTGGTGCTTTGCAACCCGTGGCGACGCCGTCTGCCGTCTCACATGATGACGCATTCCTTTTGGCCGCTGCCGCCGGCCGCAGGGCGCTGCGCGGACGTGCTGGGCGGCTGCGGACGAGCGGGCGCCCCTTTCTGCGCCGGCGGCTGCGGCGCCGGACGCACGGAATGTTTCGGCGCGGCCTGCGCGGCACGCGCAGCCAGCGCCGCGGAAGCCCCGGAAGCCCCGGAAGCCGGCGTGTGCCTGGCGGCTAAAACCGCAGGCGCCGGGTACACGGCCGCGTGGGCATGGTCCGGGTCTATTTTCAGCACGGGATCGATGCCGAACTGCAGGATGCTGTTCGCAAGGTACGAGTACAGCCGCGACCACGTCTCTTCAAGCTCGAGAGTCGAGTGGATCCCGAACCGGTCCTGGATCGTCTTCAAAAACGCCACGCCCATGAGCTCGAAATGCGGAGTGTCGACGCCCAGGATCCGCGAGTGCCGCTTGCCCAGCCCCATCAGGTACTCGTCGAGCAAGGGCAGGTTCTCGAGGTTGTTGATCGCCGTGGTCAGGACCCCGGCGAACGCAACCGCCTGGTGCCGGATCGAAGGAAACAGCCGCTCAAGCTCCGGGTCCATCGAGAGCAAGTTGGAGTAGAACTGGGTGCAGAACAGCGAGCTAGAAATAGCCGCAGACGCCATGCGCGTGGGCTGGGCGGCTCCGACTCGGACCCCGGAGGCCGCCGCCGCCGCCGTTGCGGAAACGCTCGCAGCGCTAGCAGCGCTGGCGCTGCTAGCGCTGCGAGCTTTTGCCAGGTGACTGTGCAGGGCCGTTTGCGGCAAGGAAGCCGCGGAGCTACGCCGCGGAAACCCCGGGGCGGCAGCCGGGGCCGAGGCCGGGGCCGGGGCCGAGGCCGGGGCCGGGGCCGAGGTCCCCGCGGCCGCCGTCCCCGATGATGTGTCCACGGAGGGCTCGCCCAGAAACCGCCGCACAAACCCCAGAACGCCGCCTGCCGCGGTCCGGCGAGATCCGCTGCCGCCGGTTCCCGCTAGGGCCGCGTCTGAGCCCAGCATGATCGCCCACGTCTCGCGGATCAGCTGTATCTCCCGGGGCGACAGCTTGAGCACGATCTTGTAACGTATGCCGTGACTCATGTTCGAGCCCCGGGACGAGCCGCTAGAGACGCTGGAAAGTCGGTCTAGATCCGGGTTTTCCGGATCCGGGCCCGCGTCGGCGTCAGAGACGCCGACGTCACTGAACAGACTGGACGCGTTGCGGCCTACACTGGAGATCGAGTCTCGCAGCGAGTGCCGCTCGTAAGCGGCACCCGCGTCTTTGGCCGGTCCAATGGAGTCTGTCTCGGTGATCGATTCCAGGTCCGTCGGGATGAAAGCGAGCTGGGACTGGTCCAGCGGCCTGAAAAACTCGGTAGTGGTGGGCTGGTGCATGGTCATTGGTCGCTTAGCTGCGGTGGTGCAATGGGTGCCCCGGTTCGTAGGGCGCTGCCTATATACTGGATCGTTTGCGGCACGGGACGCGCGCTCTGATCTCTGATTCGCCATTCTTTTTTTTTTCCTCCTGTCCGATCCCCGCTGCGGCCTCGCCGTTTCAGGCCGCCGATCTCTGATGCAGCTCGCAGAGCCCGGGAGCCGGGCTCTGTGTGGTGTGTGGGCGTAGTACAAACGCCGGGGCCTGCATGGCGAGTGCGAGGCGGATGCGAGGCGGATGCGGTTGCAAGGAGCAAGCAGCAGGAGCGTTTAGGGGAGAGGCGGCGGGAGGAGCCGCGGCCCGTGTGACGGGTGTGTGGGTGCGTCGTTGGCATACTTCTTACGAAAAGGACGTGGTCACGTGACGGGGCCTTCTGACGTGTGTCGTCGATAGTGACGCACAGGGACGCTTCTCTCTGCTTTGTTTATGCTCATCTCTGTATGTCTGTCGCAGGTTCCGCCCGCCAGACTCCTCTGGACTCCTCCGCACCACAATGGATCCACAAAACGTGGTCGACACCGTCGAGTTGCTCCCGGGTCTCAGCAATGCCGGCTACCTTTCCCGGCTCGCCAACTACCCGCCTGTGTCGCACACTGCGCTCAAAGTCAAGTCGTATTCTCTGAACAACGTCAAGGAACAGCGCGTCCAGGAGGCGCTCGTCGTCAGAGACCTTCTCAACGTGTTGATGGGCCAAGAAGGTATCTATATACGCTACAACAACAGCTATGACCCGGCACAACGCGACATGGTCGAAATTCGGGGGCCCGATTTCAAAATCGCCAAAAACATAGACTTGTCCGTGAAATCCGTGGCTCGCCGTGTAGTCCGGTTTGGCAAAGCGTACCAGGTCCTGGTCCAGTTCGTCGACCGCTACGAGGAGCCCGAGTTCGGGTCCGTGCTGCACGGCCTGTGCCACGAAATCCGTGCTTTTCTCAAACACAAATATCTCCGATGCGTCGTTAACGTCGCTGAAAAAGATTTCCATACCAGGCCCCAGTTCGGTGTCCGCGAACTCGAACAATTGCTCGCGCAGGAATGCGCTCCGGAAACGCTACTTTTACAGGAACTCGTCGACGAAATTTGTCGCGAAATGACGCGCAGAGCGCTCATGGATCGTGACGAGGCCAATTTCAACAGGTTCATCCAGGATTTGCAAGTCGAAAAAAAATTGGGGTCCACCGTTTTGCTTATGACCGATTCTCGTGTCTCCAGTGTCGCAAAGGGCGGCGCGGTCCTGCAAATCGTGCAAACCAAACTGAATCAGAACTGGGGAAATCAGCGCGACGAGATCTTTCTCAAGACGCTTTTCCGACGTATAGCGGTGCCCTATTGCCATTTGCTCCATAATTGGCTTACTAACGGCACTCTCAATGACCTCTACGATGAGTTTCTCATTATGGATACGGCGCAATCTGGTAACAAACGGCTCCGAGTCACCTCTTTGAATAGTGAACGGTTATGGGACACCCAATACGTGGTACGTAAAGACGGGCTCATGGCCCAGTTTCAAGACGAGACCGTCTTGTTCAAGATTCTGCTCACGGGCAAATTGTTAAACATGTTTCGCCACTGCACAAACGTGCAAGATCTCTCGAACCTGTTCCCAATCGAAAATAATGCGGTCCTGACCGAGATTCCTCAAAACATGGAACTGGTTTTGTACGTCGACAAGCTCTATCTGCGTGCCAACAGACTGGCACAATCTTTACTTTACGAGGGCTACGATCTGATGAACTTGCTACAGGAGTTTCGAACGAATTTCCTGTTCGATAACAACGCCAATTTTTTCAAGTATTTCTTCAACAGAAACATCGTTGAACTCACGAAAACCCGAAGCGACGCGACACTTGCCAAGCTGAGCAGATCTTTCGCCCAATTTCAAAAAACCCGTCCCAACAACGGCTTAGTACTTTCGCTGCTCAATTTGCGACTCGAAAACAGAAATTTTGCCAGCACTGTTGATCAGTTTTCCTCAGAACACGCCATTTTCGATGACAACGTAGATCTTTTGCAAGCTCGAAATTTCGACAATTTGCGTGATATGCTATTAAAGGATCTGACTGCCAGTTGGCCCGAGTCCGATTCGACCGCAACGGAGACCAATCTGGCATCGATTCATTTCTTACAATTCGAAATTATCGTGCCTTTCCCACTCAACACTCTCATCACCAAGACCCACGTCGTTCAAATTCAGTTGATCCAACGCTACCTTTTGCTGCTCAAATACTACCATAAAATGGTGAACGACACCTGGTTCGAGCTCAATAAAAACAAGATATGGCGCTATTCTGGCTACACGCAGGACGTGGCAAGCTGGATTCGTCGGTGTCGCGTCTTACATTTCCGCATGACCCAATTCATGAACCTTTTGCTAGAAAGCACGGTCCGTGACGTCGTCGCGGTCGAATGGCAAGGCCTCCAGCAAATGCTGAGTCTCGGAGCGTCTGATGCGCACCAATTCGATTTTTATTTATTCCAACAGCGTATCCAAGATTTCCTTACCAACATCATTTCGCACTCGCTGCTTACAAAAACTTCGGTGGTCCGCTTACTGCTGCGAATAGTCGACATTATACACAAGTTCTGCAAATTCGTCACGTCCCAGCGCAAAGCCCTGTGTTTTATGGACATCCATCTTTTCAACCGCTACCAAGATCAGTTGGCGGATGACGCACTGTACGATGAGGACGCGGCCATCAACCGTTTCCAAGAGTTGAACACCACGCTTTCGGCGCTCGACACCAGTTTTAAACAGCACTGCACCGCTTTCGTCGAAGGCGTGAAGTATTACAACGACAGAGCCGGTGTCAGCCAAGTGGCTCTTAATTTGATGGCAGGTTGGGCCTCTTAGAATGGATCAAGGTTCATACACCCACCCACCACCGTCACGATTTTTACCCAATTCAATACCCATTTGCAAAATTCCTTCGTGTCTCATGATATCATCGCCTTTCACTGTCGCTACGAGTGACAAATGGCTTCCTAGGATGCTGCGGAAGCTCAGCAAGATGAATGCGAGCTACCAGGGAAGGGCTGCGGCTGGCACGGGCAGGACCACGTTGGCCAGGATGCCTGCCCTGCTTGCAATGGCCAGAGAGCCATGATATGGGGTAATGTACCGCGTTGGCACGTTTGCTCCAATCTAACTTCTCTCCCCTGTTGTCTCAAACCAGACTCTCCTAAATGAACTGTGGAGGCTCTTGGCCGTCGCTGTGAGACGAGGGATTCCTGAGTGGTCGTTTCTTTTTCCTTGAGTTCGCTACCATTCGTCATTTCGTATATGGGCAGCGCTTCTTGAACTCCGCTGGTGCAGCTTCCTGTTTTTGGGTAGCGTCCGCTGCAGGAACTGGAAGCCGGTTTGCAGCAGGATGCCGGCGGGTCTCCTGCTGCTGTTAGCACAATGTCGGCACACCACTGGAAGCCCAGAAGAAGACCGAGGCAGGTGTGGTAGAATCACCAAACAGGTAGCACTCAGTGTGGTGTGGTTCTGGGCGTGGTAAAGGTGGTAAAGGATCCAGTAGGTGAATTTTTTCATATATAAGTCCTGCACCGTGGCAATGGTTTAGCTGAAGTTCTTTTAAGTTTGTCTTAGAACGTCAGAATTCTCCGATTCTAAACAACACACTCCATTGAAATTCGAAATGGCCATCTCTAAGGTTTTCTCCAGATACGTTTACGACTCTCGTGGTAACCCAACCGTTGAGGTTGAGGTCACTACCGGAAAGGGTACTTTCAGAGCCATTGTTCCATCTGGTGCCTCTACTGGTATCCACGAAGCTTTGGAATTGAGAGACGGTGACAAGAGCAAGTGGATGGGCAAGGGTGTCCTAAAGGCCGTTGCCAACGTTAACGACATCATTGCTCCAGCTTTGATCAAGGCTAACGTTGACGTTACCAAGCAAGCTGCTGTCGACGAATTGTTGTTGTCTTTGGACGGTACTCCAAACAAGAACAAGTTGGGTGCTAACGCCATCTTGGGTGTCTCTTTGGCTGTTGCCAAGGCTGCTGCTGCCGAGAAGAACGTTCCATTGTACAAGCACTTGGCTGACTTGGCTCAATCCAAGCCAGAACCATTTGTTTTGCCAGTTCCTTTCTTGAACGTTTTGAACGGTGGTTCCCACGCTGGTGGTGCTTTGGCTTTGCAAGAATTCATGATTGCCCCAACTGGTGCTAGCACCTTCGCTGAGGCTTTGAGAATGGGTTCCGAAGTTTACCACAACTTGAAGTCTTTGACCAAGAAGAGATACGGTTCCTCTGCCGGTAACGTCGGTGACGAAGGTGGTGTTGCTCCAAACATCCAAACCGCTGAAGAGGCTTTGGACTTGATTGTTGACGCCATCAAGGCCGCTGGTTACGAAGGTAAGATCGACATTGGTCTAGACTGTGCTTCCTCCGAATTCTACAAGGACGGTAAGTACGACTTGGACTTCAAGAACCCACAATCCGACCCATCCAAGTGGTTGTCTGGTCCTCAACTTGCTGACTTGTACCACAGTTTGACCAAGAGATACCCAATTGTCTCCATCGAGGACCCATTCGCTGAAGACGACTGGGAAGCTTGGTCTCACTTCTACAAGACTGCTGGTGTTCAAATTGTTGCTGATGACTTGACTGTCACCAACCCAATCAGAATCAAGACTGCCATCGAAAAGAAGGCTGCCGACGCTTTGTTGTTGAAGGTCAACCAAATTGGTTCTTTGTCCGAATCCATCAACGCTGCTAAGGACTCCTTCGCCGCTGGCTGGGGTGTCATGGTCTCCCACAGATCTGGTGAGACTGAAGACACCTTCATTGCCGACTTGGTCGTTGGTTTGAGAACTGGTCAAATCAAGACTGGTGCTCCAGCCAGATCCGAAAGATTGGCCAAGTTGAACCAATTGTTGAGAATTGAAGAGGAGTTGGGCTCCAAGGCTATCTACGCTGGTAAGAAGTTCCACCAAGGTCAAAACTTGTAAGCGCTTCCATTATCACGTCTTAGCCACTTCAAGCTTAACCGATAAATAGAATTTTTATGAAATATTAAAGAGTTAACGAGAATAAGCACATTTATCGAAAAAAAGGTATAATACTCCTGATCTTATTAACCCTTCTCAATTTTGGAACGTAGTTCGTACATTGCATTCATTAATCTAGCATCAAGAATTTCCGAACTTAACTTTCTCACATTATTAGTTCATAACTGTTTATTGAGAACTAATTAACAGACAGGGAAACATGGCACACAGTGATGCGGGACACGCAGGAATGGATCACGGAGGCAGCGGTATGTGCTCGATGAACATGTTGTTCACGTGGGCTTACAAGGACACCTGTGTGGTATTCAAATGGTGGCACATCAAGACAATTCCACACATGTTTTTCAGTTGTTTTGCAGTCGGTGCGCTTGCGTATCTGTATGAGTATCTGAAATACTGCTGCCACAAGTCGTTGGTGCACCACGGCGGTGCGGTCTCTGCTAATACAGGCCTCACGAGCGGCATGGGAAGATCGCTGCGACTCCGAAGATCCGTCTGGTACGGTCTTCAAGTGGGATTCTCGTTTATGCTGATGCTAGTCTACATGACTTACAACGGCTGGCTGATGATTTCGGTTGTCTTGGGCGCGATATACGGACACTACGTGTGGGGAGCACTTTTGGAAGAGTCTCCTCGGACATCGTTGGCGTGCCATTGACGTGGGACGGTGCTGTCGTTTGCCACTCCATTGCTTAAGCTACAAACGTGGGAAGAAATTTTGAAAAATGCGTAAATACCCGACCTCAAGCACGTTACGATTCACAAATGCCATCTTTCCTGATTTGCTCAACGGCGGACCAAATTTTCTTGATATTTGTATCGTTCTTCAGCCTGGCTTTCTTCTTACATATGGCAACCTGTTAATAAAAGGCCTATACCATTCGTTCCAAATGAGTGACGGATTTATTCGTCGGTGGGTACTCATTAAAGTACTTTTATACGTTACTCATACGGATACCTATTCCGTGGAAACGTATCCACCCATTAGCTACTCATTACCCTTATCCTAATTTTAACTCAACTCACGTTGTACGTCTGATACAAAAGCATGTGATTTTTTAACCAAAAATATAACACCGCGTCTTCGGCACACGGTGGTAAATCTGACCTCCACAAAATCTACGAGCCTAGAGTCGTTTCTCGCTGGGATGAACACGCCCGAGACGGAAGCGCCAGCAAGGATTGAGTATGAGCTGTACTCGTGTGTGAGGTGTCGAAAGGCCAAGAAAAAATGCTCGAAAGAAGTTCCCGTTTGTAAAAACTGCGCGAAAGGAAATGCGGCGTGTGTTTACCCTGGCAGAGCAGCAAGGCGCACCAAACGAGAAATGGAAGAAGCAAGAGCGCGTGGCGAGAGTTTGGCAGGCTGGAAGAAAAAACGCACGCCGCTTAGCGAAGATGGTTCGCTCCCGGAATACGAATTTGCAGTGCTAGATAAGGACAAATCGACACATGAAGGAGCCGGAACTTTGGCGTTGCTGGGTGGTGGTGAGAAAGACGCTCCTCACGTGCTGGTAGCAGAGACACTGCCGCAGCTAAAGCAGCAGCGGTCGTCATCTTCGTCGTTTCTGGGACTCCTTTCGCACGGGCAGGAGAGCCATCATCATCGACAAGGAAGTCACGTGGTGAGCAGTAGCGACGACGGTTTTACGACTCCGCAGGGTCTTTTGGAACATGAGATCCATGGGCCTGAGTCCACGCCCATTCGGGCATCGACCATTCAAATTGAGACCATTGCGTCGGTTTTCAAAGGCGGACGCCAAACGCCGCTCGCGTCTTCGACATCGGACGGACGGATCAAGGAAATTGAACGACAACTCTATGACCGGTTTATCGCCGCTTACTACAAGCATAACCATCGGTCGTACCCGCTACTCAATAAAATAGAGTTTTTGAACCGCGTTTCGACGATTCGGGATTTTACCAGCATGGACGGACTTTACGAGGATACGTTCATCTTTCAGTTGTACATGGTAATGGCGATCGGGTGCACTACACTACAGCGTGCGGGGTTTATCAGCAAAGAAGAAGAGTCCCTGAGCGAACATTTTGCCTATTTGGCCATGAAAAAATTTTGCCCCGTGATGCATCTCCAGAACACGGAAACGATCAAATGTTTGCTGCTCTTGGGCATTTACTCGTTTTTCGAGCCTCAGGGCGTGTCGTCGTGGACTCTAAGTGGGATAATCATGCGGTTGACGATCGGACTCGGTTTGCACAAGGCACTAACAAAAAAAAAAATACAGAAAATGTCACTCATTGAGGTCGAGATGAGATACCGTGCGTTCTGGAGTTACTACTGTCTTGAACGACTTGTCGCAACTTCATTGGGCCGTGTTTCCGCGATTGACGACGACGACATTACCGTACCTCTTCCTACGCCGCTTTATGCAGAAGAAATCGATGACATTGAGGTCACCAAGATGATGATCTCGCTCAGACGGATGGGCGGGCGGATTTACAAACAAGTACACAGTGGCCAGGCAAGCAGAATGAACTTGAGAATGGAGGACAAACAGGAGATCATCAAGAAGCTAAGAGACGAACTCGATTCGTTGTACGAACAAGAACGAGCCAAGATTCGGAAATCAAACGAGTCCGTCTTACAAAAGGGCCAGGCGGCTAGTATCTCATTCCATAGCTCGGACATATGGCTGGCGATGCGATATGCACAATTACAAATTATGCTATACAGGCCGTCGGCATTGATACCTAAACCTCCAATGGAGTCTCTTTCGATCCTGGGGGATTTCTGCCTGCAAGCACTGAAGCAGACCTACACACTGTACAAGAAAAAAATGCAACCTTTGAACTGGATCACATTGTTTCGGACTTTAACGATTTGCAACACGATGCTATACTGTCTGTGTCAATGGAGCATTGATCTGATCGAAAGTAAGATCGAGATTCAACAGTGTGTCGAGATTTTACAGCATTTTGGTGAAAAATGGGTTTTCGCGGCCAAATGCGCAGACGTTTTCCAAACGATCGGAAACGCCATTCTCGACATCAGCTTAAGCAACGGGCAGGTTCCTAACATGGATAAGCTGACAAGCGAACTTTTCGGAGCCAGTAACGAGTACCAGGACATTTTGGACGAGAACGATCTCGATATATCGTGGGTGGATCGCTTGCCGTAGACGTGATGGCCCGACTGGACGTGTAATAATAATATTGTATAGACAAGGCACTAAGGATAAAGTGAATTAAAGTTGATTTTCGACGTATACTAAATTCATGCAACGGTTATGGCGTCTAATATGGGAGAACGGACAACAACAAATGCTGGATTTCAAAAAACCTTTTTCTTCCTGTCAAGCAAAATTAGATATCAATTTCATTAACATAAACTATAAATTATAGCGTCAAGAAAACCTAAAGATGCAAAATGCTTTACCCGTAAGGCTCAATCGAATTTTTGAAGCAAATTCGAATACCACCAGTTTAGCGGTGCGTCTCCGTCAGATGAAGATGCCGTTGCCATAATGCACTTCCCAACTGTGGATAAAAAGAACCAAATCTCGTCATAACAATAGGTTGCCTCCTTAGCTTAGTGGTAGAGCGTTGCACTTGTAATGCAAAGGTCGCTAGTTCAATTCTGGCAGGTGGCATTTTTTTGATTTCAAACAAGGCTTAACTCAAGAAAGGGAAACCGTTTAGTTCACAAGAGTATCATTGAACATACGAAAACACCTAACACAACCTTGCAATCATTTTAGTATCGTCCACTTCCCTCCTTTCAGTGTCATAGGTATATTGATGACTTTTTCAAGAGTTACGTACACAATGACAATAATCAGCAACCTGAAGTTTGGTGATCTTCAGCCATTCAAGATCAGAAGACACAACCCATGTTGACGCATAGATCTGCTTTGGAACTCAATGTTACTGAGGCTTTTATCGTACGCAGGCACGGTCCTTGGGTTTCTGTTCTTGACGCTGTCAATAGCGTCCGGGTTATACTATGTAAGTGAGCTCGTAGAGGAGCATTCAGAGCCAACAAAAAGGTTTTTGACGCGGGCCATTTACGGTATTATGATCATTTTCGTCACATTGCTGTTATTCGACTCTTTTCCATTCAAACTAAGCGTCTTTTCAATTGCATCCTATCTGGTTTATCTTCAGAACTTGAAACATTTCCCATTCATACGTCTCACGAGCCCCACATTTTTGGCAAGCTGTGCACTCGTGATCGCAAACCATTACCTGTGGTTCAAGCACTTCAACGACAACGAGATCCCACCACAGTTTCGCTTCGATCCAAACTACATTCCACGCCGACGTGCCAGTTTCTCGGAAGTCGCTTCTTTCTTCGGTATCTGTATTTGGTTTATCCCATTCGCACTATTCGTCTCGCTCTCCGCTGGCGATAACGTCTTGCCCACTACGACCGCGGGACTCGCCAAAAAGACTGATGAATCAGTAACTAACGCACCCAAATTTCGCAAAAAGGCCACCGGTTTGGTCCGCGTCGTCATCGACTCTGTCAGATCATACTTCTACTCGGTGGCTCGCGTCTTTGGTTATAATGTCGATCCAAACAGAGATCGACTATTGATTTAAATAGCTATATAGGGCTCTTCCATAAAAGTTATCCACCTAGCAAGGCTCTCAGAGAACTGACGAAAAATAAGCTTTTAGACTTCAACTGTGGATAGGACGGGTCTCACCATATACAAGCCCTCATCAGCCTGCTTCAATGGCATCTCACGAGCTCGTCCACGAGCTCGTGTACACGTTTTGGTCAGAAGACTACATTACGGGAATCAAGTCGCTACTTGATGCGATTACAGACGATATCACCAACATCGAGAAGACCATTGAACTTACGAAAAGGGTGAACACCGAAGTCATTGGAAAAGCATTACGCAACCTCAAAGATGTGATTGGAGCAAACGAACTGAATTCTGATGACCAATCGCTTTTTTCTGTACTTCAACAACAGCAGGTCAAGGGATTAGCATTATATGCAGGAAGACTTCAGAGCATCGAGAACTGGGATGCAGAAAACAAACATCTGGCCGATTTAGTTTCGCTGGTCTTCGAGTTCAAAGAGTTCTACAAAGATAGCAAAGAGATTTTGAACGGTAACTATGGATCTTGTTCGAAGAGATCGGCTGAATCACGGAATTATATGGACTACTGCGACAAAATTCACAGAGCGATTTCGAAGTATTCGGGAAACGTAGAAGAAGACAATGAGGTGAAATTCAAAGTGCCCGAGATTCTGCCAGAGTTCCCGACGATTAGCTTTCCGTTTGAGCTGGACCCCAAATTCAAGTTCAACGACGAATCGAATTTTTCAAGCTTTTTGATAGAATTACAAGGTGGAACGGCCCATTCTAATAGATTAGTTCCTTTTCCCGGACTACCCAGACAGTATTTTGCGAGCGAAGCTCTCTTCAAAGCTCTGCGGAAGAAAGATCCCCATTTAGACAATTCTACTTTCAATCTAGAGCGCATAGGTCAAATACTACTCGACAAAGGCATTATTTGCCAGTACAACGACGTTCTTGGCGTGAAAGCGAAATTTGAGTCGAATGATTTCTATGTATGGATCCCTTGCGAGAAAATGGACACCACAGTCTCAAAACAAGAACCGTCTGTTCGTGGTAAAGCGCTTTTCAGCGATTTGTTACACAGAATTCAAGAATCTCGCGTCAACCTACCGCCTTTAAAATCTGTGCAAGATTTGACTCGCGAGCGAAAACACTTGGAGGAGCAAAACGAATTGTATCTCAAGAGTTGTCTTGCCCTGGATCTTTGTACGACCCAGTTAGAAATTGAACTTCGGAAATGCATGCTTCAGTACGCGAAGATGTCTAGGCGAAAATGCCTGAAACTGAATGCGGCTGCCTGCGATTTTGCAGCAAGATACGGCTCTGCTCTCAACGTTCAATTTTCGGTGCAAGGCGGCGATATAGACAAAGAGCTGGATCGCATGTATGCTCGAAATTTAGGAACCGTCGGGTTTTACACACCGGGAGATAAAATCTATTTCAAACAGTTTAAACCTGATCGGTTCGGGATCACGTCATTACTGTTTTCACAGGATATCAGTCAGGCTGTTACAGACGAGAGAGGAAAATCTCTGGTATTACAAATGCTCTTAACCAAACTGCTCGAGTTTTCAGCAAGTGAAGTCGCGAAAGCTTGGTCCGCGCCGCTGGATTTTACAAGAGTTGGAGAATTTCGAAGAGACTGCCTCAAGGAATTCCACAGTAGCAACGGCGATGCGCGCATGGCGATGGAAACGGCGCTAGCGAAAAGACAGAGACCGGTGACGGAACTCGTTGGAATGATCAAATACTGGCTTTTAGAGTTGTCAGACTCGCTGATACCTGCAGTAGCATACCAGGACATGCTTGAGGGCGAAATAGAGCGCGCTCTGGAGAAATGTCCTGCGGAAAGTCTTGCGAATTTGCTTACAATTTGTGATCATTTCCAGTGGCTCACGGAAAAAACCGAGTCCGGTGACACACTGACGCAGTTACTCGAAACCTACTCAGATTTCCCAGTGTGTCATTGTTTTGTGAGACACAGGCTCAGAAACCCACAGCATTGGCGATCGTTGTCGCGTCATTTCGCCAAACTGTTGGCGGCCAAAGATCAAATCCAAAAAATGCATGAAACAAGACTGAAAGACGTTCCAAAGATACCTGAAATTGCAGCTGCACATTACATGGAGCCCGAGTTAAAATCCACGGGCCACTTGGCGCTGCCCCAGGACTCAGACACGGAGTTTGTTCCGCGGCCGTTCAAGACTTCTGTGGTAGAAACCACTCCTGTGCGACCATCTAGCAAACGTCTGAGCGGGATAAATCTGCTGGCCTCTACACCGTCCCCATGCTCGTCTCCGGTTCCCACGGGCCGAGTAAGCAGTCCATAGTAATGATCGAAGTGCGCGGTCATGTGACCACTGTGACAGATTTACCCGAATAGGAATTCAAGAAATTGACGTCACGTGACCAAAATGACAAATATATCCAAAGAAGAAGTCGAGGTTTGACGTTAAGTTAAACCCACGTAAAACCACGTGGTTCCTCTTCTGAAAGGCGTATCAAGAGCCCTTTAGCCTTGCGACAAATCGCACTGCTGCCAATGCTCAATTCTGGAAGCTTCTCTCTAGATCTTTCTTGTTTCCTAAGCGTTTCCCTTCATTAGTAATAGACAAAAGCATGTAACCATACACGACGCACTTATTCAGCCCAAAAAACGTGACCTCCTTCGCGACTTTTCACGTGACCTTACCCCTCGAAGCAAAAACACACTCAGCCGTGCACCTCATGAAAAATTATATAAAGGAAGCTTCTCCCGGTTGGAAAATTCAGGGTGGCAAAACTGAACTAGAGTCTTTGTTTAAATCATAGAGTATTTCCAAAAACTCTGGACCATATTATAGAATACAACAATGTCCGAACCAAAGTAGGTAAACAATGGGAAATGTGGGCTACCAATGGGTTCAATTGACGCTTTTTAGTGAGTCATGTGGCCCGTTTTTGGCCTTTTTTCGAGCACTTTGGTGCATATCGTCCAATCAGCTTGACTAACAATGTACAGGGGTGACATCGGTCTTATTGGATTGGCCGTAATGGGTCAAAACCTTATCCTAAACGCCGCTGACCACGGTTACACGGTTGTTGCTTATAACAGAACCGTTTCCAAGGTGGACCATTTCATGGCCAACGAAGCCAAGGGTAAGTCGATCATTGGCGCTCATTCCGTCAAGGAGCTCATTGAAAACTTGAAGAGACCCAGAAGAATCATTCTTTTGGTGAAGGCCGGTCCAGCTGTCGACGCGTTCATTGAGCAATTGTTGCCATACTTGGATAAAGGGGACATCATCATCGACGGTGGTAACTCGCATTTCCCCGACTCCAACCGTCGTTACGAAGAACTCAAGCAAAAGGGTATCAGCTTCGTCGGTTCTGGTGTCTCTGGTGGTGAAGAAGGTGCTCGTTACGGACCTTCTTTGATGCCAGGTGGTGCTGAAGAGGCTTGGCCTCACATCAAGGAGATTTTCCAAGCGATCTCCGCCAAGAGCGACGGCGAACCTTGTTGCGACTGGGTTGGCCCCGCGGGATCTGGTCACTACGTCAAGATGGTGCACAACGGTATTGAATACGGTGACATGCAACTCATTTGTGAGGCGTACGATATCTTGAAGAGAGTTGGTGGATTCAACGACAAAGAAATTAGCGAAGTTTTTACCAAATGGAACAAAGGTGTTCTAGATTCGTTCTTGATCGAAATCACCAGGGACATTTTGAAGTACGACGACAAGGACGGTACTCCACTTGTCGAAAAGATCTTGGACTCTGCCGGACAAAAGGGTACCGGTAAGTGGACCGCTATCAATGCGTTGGATCTAGGTATGCCTGTCACTTTGATCGGTGAAGCCGTTTTCGCTCGTTGTTTGTCTTCCTTAAAATCTGAAAGAAGAGATGCTTCCAAGATTTTACCAGGTCCACAAATTCCAAAAGACGCTATCAAGGACAGACAACAATTTGTTGACGACTTAGAACAAGCTTTGTATGCGTCCAAGATCATCTCTTATGCCCAAGGTTTCATGTTGATTCGTGAAGCCGGTAAGACTTACAACTGGAAATTGAACAACCCTGCTATCGCTTTGATGTGGAGAGGTGGCTGTATCATCAGATCCGTGTTTTTGGCCGAAATTACCAAGGCTTACAGAGAAAAGCCAGACTTGGAGAACCTTTTGTTCCACAAGTTCTTCTCTGATGCTATCTCCAAGGCTCAATCCGGATGGAGAAAGTCTATTGGTTTGGCCACATCTTTCGGTATCCCAACCCCAGCTTTCTCTACTGCTTTGGCCTTCTACGACGGTTACAGATCTGAGAGATTGCCTGCTAACCTATTGCAAGCTCAACGTGACTACTTTGGTGCTCACACTTTCAGAGTCTTGCCAGAGGCTGCTGACGAACACCTTCCAGAAGGTCAAGACATTCATATCAACTGGACCGGTAAGGGTGGTAACGTTTCTGCTTCTACTTATCAAGCTTAAGCTAAGACTACTGAGCCAAGTAGTTTAATCGATAAAAAAACAAAGACATCGAAAGACGTTAATTATGTTAGGTTTTTGTAGCGAAGTTTTCTTCTGTTCCGTGTCGCGTCGTGTCGTGTCGTGTTGCCGTTCGTCTTGATGGTTGTCAATGTCGATGTCAATAGCGTCGAGGGTTACTTGCATTAGCGACGCTTGTCGTTAAACTTTTGTGGAATCTTGTCAGGTGTTGATGGACCACAATTAAATTCAATACAAAAATAAGGTGATGAAGTGGAACACTTTCCCTCTTGTCTAGAGACTTCTTACTATTATTATCTACAGAATTTCGTTTGTACAAGCATGACTAAAGCAGCCTCGCAATATTTACAAGAGCAGCAAAGGCTTTACTCGAAGCTGGCTTATCCTCATGAAGAGTACTTTGCGCGTCCGTCCTTTGAGTACAAGCCACAAAGATACGAACGGATCAAAGACAGCAACAACAATGGATCGATGAATGAGGATTATGGTCGTGGATCGCGTGGATTCTTTGAACGATTTAAGTCGAAACTCAACCTGTTTCGCGACAATTCGTATGATTCCGAAGACCAACATTCAGTTACTATGGAGCAACGTCAACTTTGGGATTACGTCAAGGATAAGCCCATCGACTTGAGGGTCACAGATCCGGATTTAATCAACGACGACTGTAAGTCGTCGCCGAACAAAGAACCTGCCCTAAGAAGTGCAAACACATTTTTGACTCCTAATGCCATGGATGACAATTTCGGCCACATGAACAGAGCCGGCCATTTGAATGCGGAGAAAAAGCCAAATGGTAATCTGAGCAGTGTACCATTTACAGGCTCTCCGCTTACATCGACCGCCGCAAATGATTTTATTGGAATCGACCTCGACGCTTCGTTGTTTCGTGAGTCGCCCTGGACTGGATTGTCGGGTCGTTCCCCTTTGGCAAGACGTACCACCATGCAGACGATTTTGAAAAGACTGGTTCACATCTCAACAAAAAAGCAGGAAGTCGCCAAAAGTTATCAAAAGTTGTTGAAAGAGCTTGGAGATTGGTGGCAGGATACAATAGAATCCGAGGAGAGCGCTACACTAATCACGGATCTCCAAAAACTATTTCACGAAGACATGGTGATGGAACTTCGAATCTCTTCAAAACTGAAAGAAATTTCTCAAGCGTTAGAGTTCACAAAACTCAGGGAAGATGAAATGCTACAAGTTCGCAAGGAACTGCAATCAACCGCGAAGAAGTACGCCCACGTGAAATCTAAGAAAGGTGGGCAAAGTGAGGATGCTGCATTTCTCAGAGAAAAAGTTACCACAAAACAGAACTCATTAGCAGTGATCACCGGACATTACCTCAAGGCCTTATCAGTCACGGCGAGAGAGCTTTTTGTTAATGCAAGCGTCGATTTTTTCGAAACATCATCGGAATTGAAAGACGCTAGCAAGCGATTCTTCCAAGGCTCAGTTGAATACCTAAGAACAATTCAGGCGAACAACATAGAGCAACATATCGAGGATCTTCGGAAAAAACGCGCTGATAAACACTGGGAAAAACTGACGCCGCTTGAAAAAAACGATCCGAATCGACTGGGTGCAATTATGACTGGAATGTACAACGGCCAGGATTCGTTGATGAAATGTGTGACAAGAAAGATGGAATCAAAAACCGACTCTGACGCAGCCAATCAAAAAATAAACGATCCGAAGTCGAATTTCAAATTAGAGTTCAAGACTGGATTGGATGACACCGTTTCTGGAATTACATCCGAGAAAACTGAGATTGCACGGCCCGATAGACAAATTGTTAATGTTTCACATTTGACCCTTGAAAGAGTCAAGCACGAGCCATGCAGTGGTCCAGACTTGCACAAAACTTTGAGGAAGGAAAGTCCGACTGTACTCTCTGATCAAAAACGAAATCGGAAAACGGGTGAAATACCCGGTGCAAAAAAGCAGACTAGCGACCGACACGAGTTCAATCGCTACCACAGAAATGGTAATATAAGTAAGGAAAATTCGGATGACAACGGATTGATTATCAAGTTTGGAGAAAGTCACACAAAAGATGTTTCACATAGTTTTTACGAGCCAGAAAATGAGCTCAATTGTAATCGATGGATCGAAACGGCTCAAATTCCTGAGTATTTGAGCCAGAAGTGACTCATTTAGAATTCTGACGTGGCTAGCAATTTTGTCTGATTTTTCATTCTTTTGGCATAAAGAACAATAAAGGGCGTGTAGTCGTTACAAGATATAGTGACACTTTTAATCAAGATGCAAATAATCTCTTTCCGACCTCGTACGTTGAAATCATGATCGCGCAGCTCGGTGCCACCTTGAATAGTCTGGGCATCAACCCAGTATAAAGAGCAGACAATCCCTCGGTTTTCCGAATAGTATTCAAATATTTGAACATATTTTTTGATTGTTGAGTATTGTCATTGGATTTCGTGGAATTGATGTAACATATTTGCATTCTAGTTTTCCCAACATCGAAGGGGTGTGTGCATAGAGCAGCAACGATGCCACTAAAAGACCCACCTATGAAACTGTTCAAAAAATGCGTTGCATGGGAGTCAGAATCGAGTCGGGACTTCCCGATAGTTGAGTTTCTTTTATAAAGCTCGTAAAATCCCCAGTAAATGGCACTGAATGGAATATCCCTCCATAGCGTAATTTCTAAACCTTTGAACAGGGCTTTGAACCCAATGTTTGACACTTCGATTTGCGTTTCCTTGATAAGGTCCTTCATCATCATTGCCGTTGTTACTGTAGGCCCGGACCTGGGGATACTTTGCAAGCGAGTCCGAAGAAGTTCCAACGGCGCAACTGAAGTGGCAGCCAGCGCCCTAGCAATTCCGCCGCAGAATATTGGGTTCAAAATCGGGTACGGTTCACTTAAAGGTGATCGATCTCGCAAACTTTCGTAGCCAGCAAAATAAACCATATTAGCCGGAGCTGCCATTAAAAGCGTGATAGAGATACCTCTCCACAATGCGGTAGCTCCCTCGAATTTCGCAATTTTCAAAAAAGCATCCCAGGTGTTATTAAATTTGAATGTACTGCTCTTACATTGTACATCGTGAAAGCAAGAATCCTGCCAAAAGACATGATATGGCGCAGATTTAAAGCCCCTGGAACCTCCAGCAGTCACAGCTCGAACGTCTGTCGGTATCTCACACGAACAATTAGGAAGCATTTCCTGCTGTTGAAGTCGTACCCTCACAACATCCATCGGTGTTAAAATCACCGACGTTATTACTGATCCGGTCACCGCACTTAGCATACGTTCTTTCAAACCAGCGGTCTTTTTCTCAGAAACCATTTTGGCCTAGAAATGTCAGGATATGCCCTCACTAATGCCTCTAGATCTGTGCTGTCAAATAGACTTAACTGAGTTATCCTTCCTCTTCAATCATTACTTGCTTGCCTACTTACTCGGATTTCGTACAAACGAACATCCATGGTCTCAGTCAAAATAGAATATCACATTAAACTAATTTGCTCGTCACGCATGAATCACTCTACGCTTCTCAAATACATATTCTGACTCATGAGACTATCTCTATGGTTTTCATTCACCTTCGAGACTCACCGTTATCCTACTTAATGGTTTTCTAGAGAACTTGTTTTCGAGGTGTTTATTTTAGAGATATTTCCCATAGAGCTATCAAACGTGTAACTTTGCCTTACTATTTCGCTGTTTCTTGAGCATTTCGTTGTGATCACCCCAGTCCTTCCATGATTATCACCTTAATTTCGGTGTGACATCCGAATAATGACAGATAAGGATAAAGTGATATTTCTCTTTTCCTCATAGTAATGAGAATAAGAAACGATCTAGAGAGAAGGACTGGACATAGAAATCTGTCCGGAAGAAGTCTGCGTAAATTCGGGAGTTAGCTCATAAAGCCTCCGTACCATGCTGTCAATTTTTTTGGCCTGTAATTGTAAAAGTTCGTCGGGTGTAGACAACGAGAAGCTCAAAAATTTATGTCTGTTTTCCAGACCATAGTCGAATTCGCATTCTTCCCAGTCAATGGTGTCGTCAACACTGTAGCATTCGCTTTCCCACACACCGTCACTCAAGCTGTGCACTGGGACGTGTTCTATCCACTTGGTGACTTTTTCTTGATGGGGCATGTTTACCGCAGTACGCGGATTGAAATAGGGTGGGAACGTCTGGAATCCGAAGTTTTCGAACTCGTCAAAGACGTTACTAACGTCTTGACCGGTCAATTCGCGGCTCACCACTGCAGAAATGTTCGGATTTGCATATAACGATGTGTTTAATGGGATGTTGCTGTTGCTTTGAGAATAATTCATAAACGCATAACGCATTGGCGGATTTTCCATGGAACAAGTATTCCGGGGGCTCACATGAGCACCAGAGTTTGGAAATGAGTCTTCCGGACGCATCGAGTCCACTGCAACGGGGCTCATAAAAAATCCAGACGACCTATCGGCACTTTCAATGTGGGGAGAAAGCAAGTCTTGCGGCTCGTATCTCCTGTTTTTCTGTATTTTGAAACTATTTTGCTTCTTTGGAGACCGTTCAAGTCCTAGTCTGGCACTTGCTGAATGAGAACTCGATTCAATATTCACAACGTTACTATTCGCTATCAAAGTGCGGTTTGTTCTTTGTGGTATTTTTTGAGATTTCATTCCGTTTTAATTACACAAAAATTTTTAGCCGCTTATCCAATTCACCCAAATTTCTCAAATCTAAATTAACCTGATGTCGACAGGAGCTATCCGCTTTTCAGTTGTCTCTTGATGGATAATTATTATTTGTGTTTTCTTGTCGTTTTCAGTTAAAGCTTTCAAGCTGTATTTGGAGATAAATCTTGTTAAATTAAGCGTGAAAAACAGGAGAAAAGACTAGATCGTCCCCGAAAAGATACAATATTACAGCTTTAGTAATATCATTTTTTCTGCCTTTTGTTTTTCAGTTTCCCGCTGGCATTTTTAATACGTTTACCCAACTTTAGCTCTTTTTCAGCTCTTATAAACTCTGTAGGGAAGAAATTGGTGATAGTATTTTGAATTCCATGTTTTTTCCTGTCGTTCATCTCTCTTATCAAAGGTACAAGTACCTCATCTGTCTTTTCTTGTGGCCATCCGACAGTTATTTGGAAATAGTTTCGCAGCCTGTCCAGATCTGGCACACCCCAAGTAAATTTAGTAGTGTCATGATCTACCTCCGGCCTCAAGTAGGCTTCTTTAACGAGTTCACTTGGGAAATCATTGTCTAAAACGACCTCATTAGCGACTAATCGTTTTCTGAGATTTTTCCTAAACGTTGGCTCGTTTTTTTGCTTCTTTTGATGAAATTGGCCTTCATTATACCATTCTCTAAATGAGCTTAAATCACCAAAATCCGCTAAAATCTCCATTGCCGTGACAGGACCTACGCTTTTGACGCCATTTGTATAATCACTGCCCAGCAGTTGAGCAAGTTCAATGAATTTTTCGCGCTCAAGTCCCAAATCTTTTCGGATCACATCGTCATGGTAAAATTCTACGTAGTTTTTCTCTTGGAACATGTTTTTGTAGACCTTGTTGCCGCCGAAAAGAAACACATCGCTGTCATCAGTGATTATACCATCGACTAGGTTAAGTCGCAGTAGTTCAGCGCATTGAGCTTCTGCTTCCATGGGGGCAGTTAAGTAAGGGATTCCAAATCGCGAAAGAAGATCTTGGACTTCCTTCACCATTGCTAGTGTCACTTCGTCGGAGTCCCTCTTGTCTTTCATTTGCTGATCGTTAAGAGCATCCAAGTCATTCTCCAAAGGGCTCAAATTTGAAGTAATTGGATTCAGAACCGTTTTGAATTGATGATAGTCTTGTTCTTCTTGCCGCAACTGTTCAACAAGGGCATTCTCTTCATCCTCGGAAAAGTCATAGTCTATGACGGAAGAATTCTTGCTTTCTGGACTAGGAGCATTTGTGTCGGGCTTTGGTTGTATATCGTCAGAGGCTCGAGGACTCGGAGAAACTGACAAAATTTCTAGTTCGTCCTTGTCAGAATTGCGCTCACCGGATTCTTCCTCTTCATAGGCCTTCATGAGCTCTCTAGCTCTGCTATTAGCGAAGAGAGATTCATTTTCACTCTCTTTTGCCAAATTGTTGTCTACCGGCAAGGTCAGAAAAGACGTGCCCAGATGGGGATTAACGCTAAAAGTTGAGCTAGTTTTGAACCATTCAGGCGAGTCTAGTATGGGTCTCTGAGTCTCATTTTCCTCGACGGAGGAGTCAAGGGCTATCTTATCTTTTCCCTCCAAATTCACAGAATTCTTCGAAGAGGTCTCTCTCAATGCTGGTTGGCCTTCTTCAGGACTAATTCGATTGACGATAAATTGCAGAGTTTGCTCGCTTTCAGTTGGCAGTGCTACCGGCGCATTGTCTTTGACTTCAGAGATACCTTTGCTCTTGCTCAAATGGTTTTGGGGCGAAATTTTTGGTCTGATGGCCTCCAAATTCCCCTCACGTAATTTAAGCGAGTCATTGGGTGAATCTTTTGGACATAAATCATCAATTGTTGAATTCAGTTGGGGAAAATTTGCCGTTTTTGCATTTTCTTGAGCCGGCTCTTTGGCTTTCATCGAGTTCATGAGATTGACGTCCCTCGAAAAAACAGTAAAATCATCGTCACTATCATCTGTCTCATCGTTCTTAGCGGGTTCATTTTCTATAAAAATGACTTCATTCTTACGATTTATTGCTTCTGGGGAGTTATGCCTTCTATCCAAAAAGGCTTGATTGCCGCCCACTTCTGAAAGAGCCCCTAATGGAGGAAGTAGCGAAGCTTTGATGGAATAGTCCGTCCTGTCGCGACGATCTTTCTTTTCCGTCTGCACATCTTCCCATTCAACATCGTCAAACTCATCACCGCCAGATTCTTTACTTGCCTGCAACGACTCATTGTCCTTGTGCGTGGTTCTAGAGGGCTCGTCTAATTCAATGGCTTTTCTCACCTCAGATCCATCCTTCCCTTCGAGGCTGAGGACCCAGCCATTTTCGGTTCTGATCAACTCATATTCTTTGCCGCGCTGCCCGGCAACGCGACGAACGGAATGATCGTCCATTCTCCCAGCTCCTCCATCGTGCATACCGGTGACGTTCATCAGCTTCTGCGTGAAGAAATTTCGTCTTTTCACCATGTCTATCTGAAATTTGGAGAAGTCCATGCTGTCCGGGTATATATTCTCCAATTGCTCTTTGGAATAACCCATTCTCAATCGAGACTTGAGGCGTAATGCAGACAGTATCATGTACTGTGTTGAGCTCGGCAGCTCATCGAACTCTTTAGAAGCGGGATTTATCGTGTCTAGATCTATTCCTTCTAGATCATCTATTCCATCCATCAGCGTTTTAATGTCTTGCTCTTCAATGTTAAGTCTGGAATCATTCTTTTCTACCTTAAACCCGGGTATTTCTGGTAAATGATAATCATCATTGGGCCGGAAAATATGGACTCTCTCATTGCCAGCTTCGTTCTGTGACGAGCTCTGCTCCGGTACCTTGCCAGTATGCATCTGTAGGGCAAGAAGTCGCTTAGCAGTGCTGGCAGCGTTATCTCGTCTTCCTTGTCGTCTTTCTTTCCTTTCTTGGATAGTTCTCCTTTTGAGGGCAGGCGCTCCGCCGTCAAAGACAAACACAGGTTTGATTCCAAAGTAGAGCAATTTACAAATTCTCCTGAAAAACCCCACAATATGTGAAAATCTCATGGCGTTGCCTTGCTTGTCCCTGACGGCCTTCAAAAATTGGTAAATCCAAATCGATGCATCTACGGCCAAGCGCCGGCTGGAAAGAGACTCCAGTCGCACTGGACGTGCTGTGGGGCCAACAACGTCCCATAAAGCGTGGACACCCATAAGAAAAGGAACGCTGCTGAGGCCGCTTACCTTTCAAATATACCTTAAAAGATAGAGTGTGATGCTCATCGCACTACCTTCAAATATCTCCAGTGCGGTCGTAAATAAAATACCAGTAACACCATACGGCACTATCTCTACTGTTAGCGATCACCGCGGAAACTGCTCGAAACTCATGGTTTCTTGACGACGTATCAATATTTGAAGCAAACGTTGAGTTTGATAGCCCTCGTCCCTAGCACTTGATTGATGTTTATTGTATTTTAGCGAAGATTGGCAGTCTCTTGAGAAATTGAATTAATAAAAAGTAATGTTCTAACTGAGGTTCGAACTCAGGACCTTTGCCGTGTGAAGGCAACGTGATAGCCACTACACTATTAGAACGACTTCTTGTTTAAAAGTGATGAAGGTCTTCTCAGAACTTTGCCTTATACTTTCATAATAGATGTAAAACTACTGTGCTCTTTAGGCCTCTATAATTCAATATGTTCAACATAATTACGTTTGTATTCGCTTGCGTTTGCAAGAGATGAATCAACTCGAAGTAAAGCCTATTTAAGTCCTTATTGAAAATGACTAAGAGGAATTAGTGCCCAGGTGATCATCTTATCTCAGTAACATCACGTTATAACTCTCGCTTTGGAATATTTATCAGCTAAATCTATAAAAGTGGGGCATGAACCGAGTATAAGTTAACTTGATTGATTATATTTTCGTATGAGTTCCAGCTCATATAAGCGTTCACATAAGAAGCTTTCATTAAAAGGCTAGCAAAGCTACCATTGTGTGCAGTTATTATTGATAATGGGTCCAATGTGATTTTTGAGTTTGATTAATATGGGACCTCGGTGCTATGATAAACGTTTATGCTGGTGCTGTGAGAGCTTGAAGCTGCAAGCATCATTCTGTGTGGATGGAAAGTGAGAGAAGAGATGAAGGAGCTGGACAGACGTGCACCTCCTATGCCCGTGGCGAGCGTGCTGGCGACACCCCCGCCGTGTGTGAAGGTGGTGTTTTTAAAGCTCGACAAAAGATCTCCAGAAGTAGTCCACAGTTTGATTTGCTTTGTTCCTGTTGCGACCACAGGCGCATGTTCATGAACCTGCATACATGTCATGGTAGTTAGCCTCTTATAGTCTGAGCTGTCTTCCTCGACGGCGTTGAAAGACGAGATTGCTTTGTCAGACCGGATATCCCATAAATCGACAATACCATTTCCAGAACCAGAAGCCAATTCTCTGTAGCCTCCTCTTTGGAGATGCACATTAGTTATCCATGAATTCCTCATAGAGGTCGAAGAGCGCCACAGTCTAATCATAGAGTCTCGCGGATCGACTCGCCGGTCATAAACACGTATGGATCCATCATAGAAGCCTGCAACAAAGACGTTTCCTGACAGTTGATCCGACGTCAAGGATGTGATGAGTGACGACGACTTCGCAGGGATGTCCACCTCAACAGCTTCCCGCAGTGCATCCCACACCCGAATAATCTTGACGTCCCCGGTCACCAACAAAGATCCCCGACTTTGCTGCCATTCTGTGAGCAGCCCAGTTGAACGAGGGGTTAACAGCAAATCAGTGAGCCCTCTCCAAGAAGATGCCATTTCCAGGTTGCTGAGGTCTTGAAAGTTTCGATAAACTTTTATTACACCGTCAGAAGACCCCGTCAGCAAAAGTGGAGAGTCATCCTCATTCAAAAACTTCATGTCGGTAATTTTAGTGCCAAAAGGATTGGCGTTTGAAAAGGTCGCCAACTTTGACTTCTCAAACCAATCAAAAACCGTGATGTTGTCTCTATCGTCTGCTGAAGCCAAAAAATTTTCAAACTGAGTGAATCTTAAGAGCCTGGGTGGAGTTTTATTATCTAAAGTAGCAATGTTGTGAGACCAGTCACCGAACAACGCTAACTTCTTTTCGTTTTGGGTGGTCTGAATAATATCTTCGTTCCTGTTTCTCCGCCATAGCCTAGCAGTATAATCTACACTACCTGGTTCATCTGACTCTGATCTTTTCATTTGGGGCTCCTGGAAGTACTCACCGCAGTATTTCAAAAAGTTGCTTTTCAGCGGAAGCTCCAAAGGACCTTCAATCCTTCTGAAGCGCGGAACACTAGCCCGTGGAGCTATGCCGTGTGGAACACTGAGGGGTGATAAGCCCTGTCTTTTACTAAACTTCCGCGTGCCTGAATCATTTGAGTCTCTCTCTGATGCCGTATCAAATCCCAACGTCCTTAAAAGGCCACTGAGTGAAACAGATCGTTTTGAGCTCTTGACACTCTCAGTCGATGGAGCCACGCCATTCTCTTTAGACTTGTCAGACAAGCTCAGCGGACGTTTCGGAGTGGGAAGAGTCGTAGAAGTTGGAAATGGAGTGGGGGATAACGAGGTTTTAGCGACTGTTCGGTTGATCAAGTAATTTTCCATGAAGTAAACAACATCCCCTAATTGCTGATGCTCGCTCAATTTGATTAAGACGTAGTCAACAACTTTCTCAGCGTAGCATTTGTTCTCCAAGTAGGGGTCTTCGGCCAGAATCAAAAGCGCCTTCCAAACTGTATTGAAAATTGAGCCATGTGCGATCGACTGCCTGCTATCGAAAGATTTTGACTCATTATTTGGGGCCTCTAACTGCGCAATTTCGTCACAGAGCTCATTGAAGGCAATGACAATAAAGAAATTGATATAGCGTTTGACTAGCTGTGACAAGTATATGATGAGTTCTTTCCGAACCATTGGAGAGCCATCATTCACTAATCCCAAAGCTGCGATTGCCATTCTAATCTCTTCCCGTTTTAATTGTCTCAAATCCAAAGTTTTGAATTGGCTCAAAGAGATCTGGTATTGTTGTAATTGCCTCTCCACTTGGGCTTGCTGACGCTGCAGCTGTCCCGCAGTTTGTAAGTTTTGCAACTGTCCTTGTAGTTGTTGAATTTGCTGCTGTAACTCTTGTTGAAGATTAACGGCTTGTTCTCCTTCGTCAACCTCTGAAATGAAGACCTTGATTGCTAATAAGGCCGCACAACGAACCTCAGGAACCGGATCACGCAATGAAGTGAAAAGATTTTCAGTAAGTCCGTTTGCCAGCGTTATGTGCTTATGCAGAGGATTTCCAGCGAAAAGCTGTCCCATCAAAATGACACACCACTGACGTAGAAGAGGAATCTCAGACGTTTCAATATAGAAACACAGCTTTGTAAGTAGCTCTGCAGAGAAGCATGCTTTTTGACCGACGCGATAGTCTCGCACAAAAGAGGAAAGAACAAAAATTGCCATAGCTTTCTGCTCATCAGTCGTATTATTGGCAAGAGCAAGGGCGGGGTTTGTCCCTTGACTTTGCGCTGTTTGGTAATGATGCAGGCGCTGAGCACCGAGAGTTGCTCCAGCGTTCATTGTAAGTGCCCCGCCACTGCTTGATGTTCTTTGAAGCTGAGGTGCAACTGGCATTGCCAGTTCTGGAACCAACATCTTGACAAAATATAAGTAACCCTTTTCTTTCACAAGTTCTGCTTGAGTATTAGCGTAATCAATCGACATTATGCGTGCCCAAATGAAAACAAGAATTGGTCTCAGTTCTTGCGCTGGACTTTGAAGAAGTTTCAAGACGTAAGGGAAAATACCAATGGACAAAGACAAATACACTGCCCATGGGCCAAGGTCCAGAAATCTGGACAATAAAACCAGGGCACGTACGCGATGCACTTGGGAAAGTAAAACTTGTAAAACTATAGGTAGCTGTTCGGGTGGATGCCGAGTGTTAGCTCCAAACTTAAGCCAAAGTTCGAATGCCGTCAAGTTTTGTTCGAAAAACCCTGTGAACTGTTGTTGTTGCTGACTTTGCTGTTGCTGTTGCTGGCTAAGTTGCTGTGGTGAAATGGAGCTTACACCTGAGAGATGGTGGTTTACCAGTGACATTGTGCTTAGAGTCCCCGCTGCGGCCTTTGAATGAAGAGAGTCTTCACTCGAGATTGCAGCGTCCTTTGCTTCCAATTGTTGCTCATGCGGAAGTAGTTTAGAATCCAAGTCTCCCGGATTGGTGTGAGAAGATTTCAAATCTTCAACAAGTTTATTGAGCACTTCGTCGATGGCCAAATCCCATGAATTCCACATGGAATGATTAGAAATAGAATCAGGTAGGACGGGATCTGAAATAGGGTGGCAGTTGTACCACGGCATTATTCTTTTCGCTAAGAGAAAATTTCTGAAAAGTGCTGCTACCATTAAATCATGGCGGAAAAGCTTTTTGAACAAGGGCCTTGGAAGTGAAGTCCAAGCTATAGTGTCCGTAATGGCGGTAAAAATCCAGTTCAATTCGCCCAGAGGTGTTCTTCTATCGGACAATTTTCCCGGTATCGTAATGGTTGGCATTCGAGCAGAAATTCTATCGTGACTGCTTTGTTTCCGTTGATCGTGGTTTTGAAACAAAATAGAGTATTTGGTGTCTCGTAGTGGCGACTGCATAAGGAAAATTTGAACGCTGATTTCAATAGGACAAGTGAGACAGCATGTGAACAAATCAGCAGGCAATTCAGGTTTCATGGGCAAAATTTCATTTGTCTGACAAGAAGCCAATTGAATGCACTCCGCATACGCCTGCGTTGGCGATGGAGCCGCCATGTCGTGATTTCCATCTTGATCGTCCTTAAACCTTTTCTGTACAAACCGCTGAAAATTCGAGACGATGTTGCCCGCGCTGTTACAGTCATAAACGTAGATGCAAGGAGCACCTAACCACGTCTGCAAATCGTAAAGGGAAATGGGTATATATTGAGTATATCCACGATTGAAAACCCACATCTCACCGGACGGTGTGGGCTGAGGGACACCATGCCCATTGTAATGGAACAAAATTCTTTCATCTTTAGAAGCCCTGCGCAACGAATTGCAAAACCGCTTGACGTCTTCCACACATGGGTCTAAGGACTGCTTGTAACGCGTCCGAAGCGACAAAGTCTCATATTGCGATTGCAAGTTTTTGCCTATTTGCTCGATGGCCTTCTTAGAGTCCTGGAAATTCAGAGGGTCCACCCAAGACTCCAAATGCGCACAGGGAAGCGTTTTGACGACATCTGGTGGATCCACTCCCAAATTCAAACATAACAAAAGCGCTGCGGAAACCGTCTTGTGCCGTTCTTTCATTATTTTCCAATCGTAAATCGGCTGATAATAATGATCTTTGTCCTCTTCCTTGACTTGATCAGGAGTAGGATTACCATTCGTTCGATGTCTCTTGTCATCGAAGTAAAACATAAAGTCATTTTCCAGTGATTCTAGCTGCTGTTCCGACGAGTATTGCTCCTCGAATCCATGCCTAGTCACTGTATTGAGCTCCTTGAGTGGCTGTGGACCATAGTTAAGGGTCATAGCGGCGCCACTCTTACTCTGTTAGCGTTCTCTTCTAAAACGCATTTATCACCATTGTTAAAGTTCCCAATGCTTTCATTATTCATAATCTCTCGTTGATGTCAGTTGATACGAATGACCTCGTGACCCGTGAAAATTGTGTCAATTTATACGAGGTTTATATAAAAATCACAGAATACTTCAAGCACGTGACCTGAAAACATTACATCACTAGGTACGAATGTGGGCATCGAGTCGTATTTCAAGAGGGGCATCGCATCAAATATTCATTTTAGAGCTTGAAGATCTAGACAGAACTCGCACGGGAAGGGCATCTATACGCTGCGTGTCGAGTCGTACAATATGGCTAGCTCCTCTCACAATCCTTCTATTCTTTTGAGACGAATTTTAACGTTAAAGGAGCCAACAGCGTTTGTTCTGTGTTTAGATCGTCTGGAACAATCTGCTAATGCCATCGGTCAGGAATTTGCTCGCAATAACAGTGACGCAGTTGTCATTTATGTGTCTTTTGAGACCCTGAACAAACCTGCGTATGTAACACATTTTTTGGAGGCGAATGTGCATAATATGTCCAAATTAGCGTCGAATCTGATAACTTACTTGCCTGCGCAGCGCGACGATCGGAAAAGCATTGTCGTCCTCGACGCGCTGAACTATGTCCCGAATGAACACCTTTCTACGTTTATCACAAGCATAGCGTCAGTACCCACCGTTGTTGTGGGTACTTTCCACCGTGACATGCCCGAACTCAGGTCCCCTGCGCTGGAAAACTACCCTTCATCGCTTACACTTCTGCAATTCATCGCCACAACCATATTTGATTGTCGGTCGCTCCCGCAACAACATGCGAATGCTGAAGAGCTGGAGTCTGAACTGGGTTGCTTCAGCATCCCTAAAGGACTGAACGACCCTGTTTTCAAAATCGTATTGACGCATCGTCGCAAGTCGGGACGTGCTTTAACCTACCAGTTTCGCTACAACTCTGACAAAGGGGATTACCAATATACACAGTCCAGGGAGGAGGAAGAAACGGCGGAACAAGAAAACATGTTCGAGGGCCTCACCACCTTCAATCTCAATACATCCTCAAGACAAAAGCAGGCTAAAGAGCAGATAGAGCTGCCATTTTTGGAAGCTCAGAGATTTAACACAGGAGGCGCCATCGTTTACGAATTCGAGAAAGACGATGACTATGAAGAAGAAGATCCATACGAGGATCCCTTTTGATGGCAAAGATTTTATAATCGCATTGGTTTACTGCTTCGATAACGACAGCATGTCAGTACACCTTATTTTCGGCATTGAATGATATTCCCTGACGTCTGACGAATATGTACAGTGTTTTTGACGGGCAAAATGCAGTTATGTAAAATTAACGGACTACTACTGGAGTTCTTTTGTGGATTGGGTCGATTTAGAAGGCCGTGGCCGACGCTGCAAGAGACCCGCAATGCGTAGTTTTAACGCAGTTAGAAGATTTGTGCGTTGCTGCTTTTCGAGCTCCTCCAAAGGGACAAGTTTTTTCACCATCAGGTTGAAGATTGTTCCAAACACCAGTCCCATCACGGTTGAGGTCAGAATGATGACATTATATGGCATGCTGAAGTCTGGAGTAGATAAAGGCAGTAGCGACGTTGCAGTACGCACTGTATACTTCATTGGGCTCATAACACTCAAAACCGCCGATTCAATTTCGAAGCCGTGATTCGCGTCTGGTGGGTACTCTGCATATTTTAATAGAACCTTATCGAATTCGAAAGACAAAGCGATGCTGGTGTTTGCAGGTATCGACAAATTAAATTCGAGATGAGATGGTCGTTGTCTATCAACTGCTGGGGAGTAAAATGTGTCCTGTATCACATCTCTGAGGAGTAATCCGCTGTCGCTCTCCAATTTCAATGATGATAGATAAAGTCTCAAAAACCATGGTAAGGATTCAAAGTAAAAGATGTTAATTGTGTCATTCGTTGGATTCTTGATGACCGTGCGCATACCGCCAGCATCTTGACTGTAACCAGTCAGAGACCTACTAGCGAAAAAGGGAGCCGGCTCCAAAGGTATGATTTGAGACGTGTCATCGGTTTCAAAGACCATATCCTGGAAATTGTTATCGCTGATATCGAAGCAGTTGTCACTAGTTGAAAAAAAGGTGTCGCCAACTCTGATTAGCACGTTCCAATTTGGAGCGACCACTGCACAGATACGGGAAGGCGTCTCGGAAACAAGGTTCGTTCCGGAAATACTCTTTCCGAATAGCTTTGATAAATCGAACTTGAGATTACGACTTTCAGGTAATGGGAAACATTGATAATCGTCATGAGGCTTACTTTCATCGCAGCGAAGCTCATCACTGGCCAATGGCTTTGGTATGGGTCGGTCAGCACGCGACAAGGTATTTGGTAAATGGAAAACCATTTCAATTTGCTCATTCATCTCGTATTTGCAGGAGAATTCATCGCACTTGCTTTCGATATCAATGGACATACTGTGCCATTGAGAATCGAACACCTTGTGACCGTCTAGAAGAGAAGAAATCCCCGATTTACCCTTGGTGGGCAACAGTTTGAGGAAAGGCGTCAAGTTTTCAGTACAAATGGGTTCGTTCGCCAAAGCTGCTCTGATGAGGAAAAGGCCATTTGAGACATCAAAGAAAGGCTCAATCTGCGACTCCGGCAGGAACGAAAAGACGGGATATGTGGTTTTTTCAGATCCAATGAAATTTAGCGAGGAACAAAAAAGACCACTGAGCGAATTAGCGAGCGAGATCCATTGCTGGAAGGCCGCCTTTTGGTCGGGCGCCTCGATGACCGCCCACATTTCAACACCATTCCCGCCCGACGTGTAACCCTGGCGAGGCAATTGGCCCCATTCTTCGGCGTCCCATAAACCGTGTGTGAATCGCAGATGCAATTGACGCGTTTGCGTGCGGTCCAAAATCGGGCTCAATGCCTTGGGGAATACCGTGTAATGCTTATAAGAGTTGAATTCGGAGTCCAGTTCCGGTTTAGTGACCTCGTTGGACTCTAATTGGAACAGAAAAGACGTCAGCAGAAAGTTGCGTGGCAGAGGCCTGATTGTCAGCTCTTCATTAAAAGGATACAAAATCTTTTCGTTCCCTTGGAAATACTGTAGGGAGCCTATCAAATTGTTCTTATTGACGTGTGCATCTACCACCGCTCCGTCAATATCACTGGAATTGCTCGTTTCAACAGTCAATAATGATGACTGAATTTCTTCAGCCTGACTTTTGTACGCGGCCAAAAAGACCCAGAAAATAGCCAAGATAAGTTGCATCCCGCAATCACAGTCCTTCTAGCCAATTTTGAAGTTTAGTTGGACTCTAATTAAGCTTCAATGGTTCAGTGCTCTGTTACTAATGTCCTCCTGTCACACCGACGTGACATCCTCATTGTTAAATGTTGAGTTGATAGTGATCATCGAGTCACGTGCTTACCGTACCAAGATATACATAAACGGGTATCAGAGCTGTATTTCGGGTTGACCCGGATTACAAAATAACTACCCGGATACCCGAGAGCGGGTAGTAAACGGGTAGTAGTCATGTACGGATCGAGTAATTCTTGGGTATATATTTTAATATTTTCAACTCATTTAAGGATATTTCGAATGCATCGTTTGGATGGAACGCGGATAAACAACTTGTTAGTTCAACAAAGCGTCCGTAAATCGAGAGAAAAGCATTGATCTTACCTAATTAGTGTTGAATTAGATTGATATGCTAGCTTTAACTATTAAAACTCGAGATCGTCGTCATCCGATTGAGAGTAGCATTCTATATAGTCATCATCCTCATCAGAATCTTGGAAATTGAGTGTTAATTTCTGGTCGAGGAGGCCCCAGCCCTTGAAGCGATTTCTAAGAACTAGCAACCTGTTAAAATTTAGACTGCTCATACTTCTTCTTTCTTTACGGAGAACTTTTCCGCTGATAGAAAATGCTCTCTCCAGACCGCTTGTGCTAAATTTTGTGTATAGAAGGGCCACCGCAAGCCTGAATAAATTGGGATATGCGCCACGGCGTTCGTACCACCATTGTATCAGGTCCTCTTTGAAGTCCAAGGTATGTTGCTCTTCTGCTTTATATTTGTCCCACTCACTGACTGCCTGATTGCACATAGAAGCCTCTGCATTACGTGAATGCTTTTCGCGCCGGTTAATTGTGGGTAATTTGCTGACTCGATGGCGCGTGCCTCTAAAAGATCTTTTGGCAAGTTCAGTTGATGTAACGACCTTTCGCGGTTCGGACTTCTTGAGGTAAGACTTCAAATACTTTTCCACTTTGCTTAGTCGAAATTGAGCCTCGTCCTCCGCCATAAGGGTGTTGAAGCACTGATGTTTGGACGAAGGATCCAAGAATGCAGCGACAAAATACAGATCGTTTTCCGTGAAGTACTGGAAATAAGTTGTAAATTTGTTTCGAGTAGAAAGGACAGCATCAAGTACCGTTTTCTTCATATCTAACGGCGGGTTTTGAGTTCCATTGATAAAGGTGAAATCAAATGCTCCTTCTGTCGGTAGCTCTATAGCTTCCGTATGGGCATCACCGCATAAGTCATAATATTCCAGAAGTGTGTAATAGAAAGGTACCGCATTAGAGAGATGATTAAACGAAACTTCTTGCAGAGTGTCATTCAACACTTTGAAGATTGAGCAACAATCGACAAAGTACTGCAAAAGATGGACTTCCTCAGGGGTTTGCTCGAAACACTTTTCGATTTTTGAAGCAGCAGAAATGTTCTGTGGTGACTTTTTAAAGTTATTGAACCACGTCAGATACTGCTGGCGATATTTCAGAAAAGTGGTTACTTGCTTCCAGATATACAACCACCGTGTTTCCGATGCAGCAGGCACCAACGGGATTGAAGCTTTCATTAATGAAGACCTCAAAAGAGAAGTGTGCTTCATCTTGTGAGCCAACCGTGTGATACGCGCCAGTGCCAAGCTAAACTTTGTGTTTGCTTTCAGGTTTTTCACTACATCTTGGAAAAGAATGTTCAAAATATGGTTTCCACACCGGAAAATATGGAAATTTCCCAGACGATCGAACGTCTTGGATTTGCATTTCTTGAAATGGTCATGGACAAGGTGGGAATGCATGCATATGTTGTTTGTGGCATTATCACAAGTAATTGTCGCAACTCGATCATCTATTTCATACTCTTTCATCACATCCCGAACTTCCTTGAAAAGATTTTCCCCGGTGTGTGGTGTGTCGCTAACATCAATGAAACCTAGGATGTGGGTGTTGTACGGAGCGTAATGGTTATTAAGAAGAGCCTTGCTGCTGCCAACATCAGTCAGCATAGCATCATTTATAAGATTGGGAGCAAATGATGCGGCTACAGCAAGATATGATCTTCCATTCCCGCCGGACCAGATATCCAGTTCAATGTTAATGAAGTCAGTTTTACTCAATACTTTTTTAAGTGCAGTATTGAAGTGATTGGTATAGTTCGATAGCCTGTCAATGATCGCTGGACGAGATTTTATCAATTTAATACCAGAGCAGGCTTCGCTAATGACGTTCCAGCTTTTGCCTTCGAAGAAGGAGAACGGGACTAACTTTTCCGTCAAAAGCAACAGAATACCAAAATCGCCAGGGCTATGCTTCCATTCTGCGGTTATTGCAGCTGGCGGTGGCAAGGAACGACACTTGACTCCTAATTGGCTGAGACTCCTAGATTTTTCTTCTTCTTTTCGACCGTTTTGGTATGCTAGAGGATGAACGTTCTTTACGTGTTTTGAAAGGTTTCCTGTGGACCTCGCTTCCTTGAATTCGCGTTTGCAATGAACACAAGAGGCAATCTTTAGTCCATCCACCTCTGTAACATCGAAGTGGCGGCGAAGGGCTGATCGATCCATCCATCCAGTTACTTTAAGTTGTCTAGTAGGTGTAATAGGAATGGAGGAGCCATCTGCCGCATCTACTGGGTTTGAGACACGTGGCTCTGGGGTGAGAGTCTCACCTTCCAAATCTGAGGTTTCGTCGGAAAGCTCTTCAATCTGATAAGACTCTTGGACCGCTATCATTGTGTGTCAGCTGAGTAGTTCGAACCGGGGAGCGGTTGGTCTGGATCATGTATGTTAAATATTTGAATTTTTGACGCCAGAAATTTTCTTTACGCGTTTCGGTTCTTGAAAGGGTATCCAGTGTTAAAGGACGCGGGTTGCTGGCGGGTCGCCTATTTTTTTCACGCGAGTAATAGACGAATGAACGTGACGGCGCACGCGAATACTATGTGGGTTTCCTGGATAAGGGTTACCCAGCCTAGGATGGTACCCGAAATACAGCTCTGATGCATCACTCCAGGACTCATTAATTCCAAGCTCCGGTACCACTGTCAAGGCTATAATTCTTTACAATAAGGCTGCAGGTGTAATACGTTGGTCAGAAAACTTGTTCTTGCAATTTTGGGCTCTTTTGTTTGCGTAACTCACGCTTCCGGTAAGAAAAAGTAATGCAAAAGCGACGCGTACGCCATTCCATCCTTCCCTCCTCAACTGTAGCATTCTTCAAGTTTATAGTTCGAACTCCAATTCCACGTCTTTGGCTTCTCGTACTACTCAGTAAAGCCCAGGAGAAAAACGCGTCACGTGAGTACTGTGTCAGTTTTCTGGGTTTCCTCTAGTCAAATTACAGAGTACGAACGATGTTGCCCGGGAAATGGCAGTAGCGGACGTCAGATCAAATAGAATGAAGGCCTTATAGCGAGCCAAGATATCAGAAGAAAACATAGAAAAACGATTATCCATCACAAATTTTTTAGAAGGTCGCGTGATGTGGACTCTGTCGACGTTTTCCTTGCGACGAGGCAGACTTACTGGGGGAAAAAGTCCTTTAGGAAGAGAACACGAAATGAATTTCTTACCAGCGCAATTTTGAGACGCTTGAAGAAAGATTTATGTGCTGTAAGAAAATAGCAAGTTGTGATAATGTGGAGTTGCATTGTAGGCCGTCAACATCACGTGACCATCATGACAGAATAAGTTACGAGAGGGAAGCAAAAGTGCTCTCGATGTTGATATCAAAAAAGCCACCAGTGGTATGTGGAATGATGTGCGATGGGTGTGGTGTGATGGTGTCATGTCCATCTTTGGTATGATGTAGCTTCCATGGCTTCCTGTTAGGTTCAAAATTGATCGTCCGTTTGCTTTACTCTTGATCCGTCATCTCCGTGACATGGTGATTCAAAGTTGGCGATAACATCTCCCATGTATCTGCTTCCAAGTGCCATGAGATTGCTCATAGTTTTCTTGCCCGCAAATACGTCAACTACTAAGTATATGTATCACCATGTGAGACTTCTTTTATGATCTCATTTTATACGACTGTAGAAAAACGATATCTACTTGTTGTCGCCTTCTCCTGGAGACGTAAATAGGCTGCAGCATCCACCCACTACGCAATAAAAGCAGGACTGTGGGCCCCTGCCTCCGCTTGCCGTACTCTCCCCGTGTTTTCGGGGATCATTATACATGATAGTCACGTGATCCCGTACTTCGAAGATATAACTATATCTACCGTCGTTAACACTCTCTAACTAATATTTGCCCGGTCAACAAGGTTCAGCGAAGTGGCTAAAATTCCCCTTAACTTGTCGCATTCAACCCGCTTTCACCTGCCCAGAAATTGTAATGCATCATCATTTACGACTGCTGCTCATTCCAATCGTCTTTTAAAGGTATACCTCTAGAAGACCATGTCGCTGCGCCGATTCCAACTTTGAACCACACAGCAGCTCGATAACAAGAGCTTTGAGCGACACAGGTCTTTGTCGCTATAAAATTCTCGTGAGAAACTATTCCTCGTGGTTTTTGACCCACCACGTTTCGTCATGGGCCAAAATACAGATTTACCTCCATCCTACGACGAAGTCATCAGGGAGGACACACAGGGCCATTCAAGCGCCGGCCGTTTGTCAAACACGGGAACTGGTGTTTCCGGAGGTCATACCCCTGCTTTACCTTCTCGACCCGCAAGTTACGCGTCTGCACGCCCGACGCCTGCGGGCCCGTCGCCTAGCGCGCAACCTGCGGCGATACAGACCGGGCCACGCCTGCCCTGGACGTACCCACCAGGCTTCTATTGCAGTAAGTGTGGTAATACGGGCTACAAGATCAAGAGTGGACGCTCTTGCAAGCGCTGCTGGCGGCGATTCGCACCTACCAACTCACCGCAAAGCGTGCACGTGATGTACGATAATTATTACGGATCGCAAACGTTTGGACCCTTCGCTGCCCGGTTCGACCCACGGCAACGGCAAGGTCTTGTTGGATCCGTGGCGAGACTCGCCACGGGTGCGCTGCCCGTCGTAGTTCGTCCAGGAGACCCAAGAATCGGCGGTGTCGTCTGCGGTCAGTGCAGAGGAACCGGCCTCGTACGATTTTTTCTCGATGAAGAATTGTGTCCACTGTGTAATGGTGTCGGGCGTATCGTCTAGACCATGACACGTCGCTCCATTCAAACTGCCGTTGACGTTACGCCTGGTTCAACAATCGCTGCCATACTAAACGATTCGATCACGTGTATATCACGTGCCTCTTCACCATCCATGACTCCCGGAAGACTCATCGCTATCATATGCTGAAAATTTTCAGAAATAGAGGTAGCAGAACAGGTCAAACTGAATACAGAGAAACTCCAGATCTGCCTGATTTGTGCGTGTCTGAGTTCTTCTTCCACGGTATCGTCTGCTTTAATTGACTCCCGCTCTGGAAAAATGGACAACAAATTTGTTGCGTCTCTTATAGAGAGACAGGACACACCTTTAAGAACAAGACCAGCATCGCCATATACGTTGAACCCGCCAATTGAGGCGGATGGTCTGTCTTGGCCCAGTCCTGGTGCTAGGGTTCGCACCGACGAGACCGAAGATGAGCAACAGAAGCGTGTGGATCGTATAGCCGATGCCGTTAAGGTAATTTTGGGCGAATTGGGCGAAGACCCGAGTAGAGAAGGATTACTGGACACACCACAGCGATACGCAAAGGCCATGGTATACTTCACCAAGGGCTACCAGGACAATATCTTGAATGACGTGATAAATAACGCGGTGTTTGAGGAAGACCACGACGAAATGGTGATTGTCCGCGACATCGAGATCTACTCGCTATGTGAGCATCATTTGGTGCCATTCTTCGGCAAGGTGCATATTGGGTACATTCCTAACAAAAAAGTGTTAGGTCTCAGCAAACTCGCGCGGTTGGCAGAGATGTATGCGCGCCGTTTGCAAGTACAAGAAAGACTTACCAAACAGATCGCAATGGCCCTGAGCGAAATTTTGAAACCTCGCGGTGTCGCTGTGGTGATCGAGGCCACCCACATGTGCATGGTGTCGCGCGGTATTCAAAAGACGGGATCTTCTACCGTTACATCTTGCATGCTTGGATGCTTCAGAGGCGCGCACAAAACTAGGGAAGAGTTCCTCAATCTTTTGAGCAAGCGCAGCATATGATTCCTACTGGGTTCTGGCATCTACCTAAATCATTTTGGAAGCTTACTTCCTAACTAATTCTTTGTACTTCACACTTCTGTATCAACAAATTTTTATAAACTTTAAACGCATATCCGATGACAACCCTTTTGTCTTTATTGCTTATCCGTGATATCATTACATTTCCTCGTCTTCATCATCACCCTGCAACAACACAAACCTTGCAGTGCTTTTGATTCTCTGCGGCTCTGCTGTTTCAAGTCCCTTTTGCATCAAGTGCAAGCTCTTGGAACTATTCTTTTCCGAGAGAGTGCCCTGTCTTGTGAGATGTGGTGCTTCGAAAATTTCCGTTGACGCTGTGCGTGGGATATCGCTACTGGAAGCGTTTCTAGAAATTCCAGGAGACGTCAGGTTTGATCTACATTCTGGAGTTTGACAGAAACCGCCATTCATCAAAGTCCCGTTTGGTGGGGGCGGTGCGAGCTTGAAAGTCGAATTGGTCTTGTAATTGTTTTCAGACGCAAGTGATGTCATCGACAGGGTTCTTTTCAAGGTTTCCCGTACTTTCTCGAGGTCACGATTCCGTGAATCTGAATTATTGCCCTGCAACAAGTCGTGGCTGTCAATATCGTAAAACTTGAAAGTAGACGAAGTTGGTGTCTTCGAAGGCGGTAACAGGCTCCGAAAAGACGCTGATGAATGGGACTTGCGCAAGGGTTCTTTCTGCGGGAATTCTTGGGATGTCAGATAAGAATCGTCCGAATAGGCTCGAATGAAAGGATGCGATTTCATAGCTTGCGCCGTTGGACGGTCAGTGGGTTCGACGCTAAAGCAAAGCTGTACAAAACGCCAGAAATCTTGCACAGCAGGATCCTGGTTGTTTTGCAGTTCTTCATCTCGGTAAAAATCGCCCTCTTTGATACAATGCCAGGTCTCGTCATCGGTTTCACAGTCAAACGGCATGTACCCGGTGAACATGAAGTAGCACAGGACTCCGAGGGCCCAAATATCAACGGCAGAATCGTATGCTCTGAGTTTGGCCTGTTCGGAAGGCGGTAGCCGGTCGGACTTATGACACCTGGCAATTTCCGGAGCCACGTACGAGATCGTGCCCACGCATTCCTTGCGTTGAGTGTCGGGAGAATCACTCTTGACCGCTAGACCGAAATCGCCCAAGATCAAATCGTGAGCTTGAACGTCGTACCGACAGTCCTTGGCTGGAGTTTCGATTTCCGTGCCGGTGGTCTCTCTGAACAAAATATTCTCAGCCTTGATATCCCGATGGATGATTCCGTTTACATGTAGAAACTCTAGCGCACTGACCAGACAGGCTGTATACGGTTTGACCTGCGTGGCGATATCAAGAGATCCAGCCTCGATGATTTTCTCGTACAGGTCGTCATGTCGACACAGCTGGGTGACCAAAACGATGTTGTCTGCGGTTTCGAAGAAATCGAACAACTGTAAAACGTGGTGATGGCCTTCGAACAGGTCCTTGGAGCTGGAATGGCCTCTTTCCACCTCACGGATCCGGGCACTCAGTTCTCGCAACAGAGCGACTTCACGTTGGATAAGCCACATCTTGCCCGCGACCGTTTTCTTGCGCACGAGTTTCATGGCATACCGTTCCCGCGTATACACGTTCACGCATTCTTTGACGACGCTGAAATGACCGTCGCCAAGTTGGGAGTTCCTCGTCACATACTTGCACCGGGCAAACGAGTTTAATTTTCTCGAGTGGCTCTGGGGCCACGGAGCTGGTGATGGCTCTAGTGCTTTTGACATGTTCGTTGTGTGCGACTCAAAAGGGAAATCAAAGGGAAACCAAAGGGAAAACAAAGGGAAAACCAAAGGTGAAATCAAAGATCCCGGTCAAAGTTTCGAAAGTTAAAGGTCCTTGTTGAACGTTGGTGATAGTGAACAACAAACACAATAGACAAAAAACAACTATGGTAACACAGACAAAACTGACAGACAGAGATTACAGTAAACCACTGGAAACACTGCTATGAAGCTATCTTGCTATGTTCTTCTTCTTGCTGTCTCTTCCTTCTCACACTGCTGGAAGACTGCGAACAAAATTTGCACGATATATAAAGACCAATGGCTCGATACTGGACTTTCTTTTGTGAGGGGGTCCTCGCTTCGAAGGTCCTTGCTTTCTCGCTTCTGAAAACCACCCGATCTCACGGTGTTTCTTTTATCTGTTGAACTCGCTTGCTTCCGTGGCGATCCGGAACATCTTCCAACGTTGCTCTTTCCCCGGAAAAAAAGTCTCTCTTGCCCCCGCGTGGCCCCACGTCAAGTCGGGTGATGGATCCGGAAAAATCAAGCCTTTTATTCCGGTCGTTTATAGATTGGGTGGTTGCCGGTACCAACTGGCGGGTTGTTCCGTGCAGCCGTACCGTAAGCTGGGCGATTTGAACATGCCATTGAGACGTCACGGCGGGGAATCGCCATTGTTATCGACATGGGGCTTGCCTGGGCAAATTTTCTACATTATGCTGGGCTCACTATGCTGTGCATAGTGGAGCGTGAACTTGTGGGGTCAGCGGAAGATGATGCTACAAAATGGAGATTGAGAGGCTTACGGTGTAGTCAGATGGGGGCTATGTGCTTGTTCTTTTGCGGGGAACTCCTTTAGGTGATCACATTGATTGAACTTATTTTTTTGGCCTTATCAAGCTCCTTCTACTGGTAACTGGTAAATGCCTTTAATTACTTAGATGAGAGTTTGAATCGGAATAGACAAGGACACGGGAAAAGCGTACCAGAGTTGGAGCTAGGAGTACACGCGATCCGCCGGCGTAGATAAATGAATGAAAACGGCATACGTTAGGCTGCTTCTCACCTTCTCATAGCCCACTTTTTGTCTTCATTTTTACACGGGTTCGCAAATTTCCGCGCACACGGTTACTTCTGGCCCTCGCCATGCTTCATTCCTGTGTGCGACAATTTGCGCCCTGCATCGGCAAGCTCCGGCACCACCAGCGAATAATCAACTGTGTCCGAACTCGGGTCCATGTTGTCCTTTTCAATATGTAATGTGACCACAATGCCCTCTGGTGTCACCGGGTACGTGACGTCTTGTTTGCCCAGTTCGCTCTTCACTACGCGCTCTGCGTCCTTGGTGGTTTGTACGGAAACTGTAAGACCTGGACGGTGCTGGTCCCCAATTGTCAGTTTGAAACGCTCGCGAAGATACGGATTTTGCAAAACGTGCTCAACGGGGATCAGATCGGACCAGTTTCGACGGTTCATGAACGAGAAATTTGTCCGCTTGTGGCCATCCGTGTCGACCTTGAATAAGGGCACAACATCTTCGTCCGTGTCTCTGTCAAAATGGTGAATGCCAGAACGACGCTGGAGTAAATTGGCCATCGCATTCGGTGGAGGAGTGTTCACCACCGCGCTCGAAACCACATTGAAAATTAATCTTGGATCGTTTTCTGGGCTGTCGACAATTTCCTGTGCATCTTGCTCGTGACTTGACGTCAAATGGTGTGTGTGTAGCTTAGAGCGGAATCGACCCACTGTGGCCAAGTGTACGTCGCCCGATAGGATAGTAATGCGGACCCCATACTGGGCACCAAAGTCTTGTAGCCGCGCGATCAGATAGTTCCGCTCTTTTTTGTGGTGGCGCGCGCACCAATGATCGTTCAAATCGTCTAGCACTTCGACGTCTCCGTTAAACTCGTTGACCAGGCTCGATGCAATGATTCCCTTTTTTGATAAATATTTGAGCGGCGCGAGCAATCGCGATGAAAAAAGCCATTCCAGCCACACGAGTCGCGGATACGCTATCGGAACACCCAGCATCACCATCAGATGATCAAGTTTCTCCCTGTGAACCTCTTTTTCGAGCCTGGCAAAGACCCTGTCGTAAGTCTCACGCCGAACAATTTCTTTAAGCTTGCGTTCTGTTCTGCAATCGAGCCCCAGCATGCCCCATTTGGGGCCCAGTCTCGTAAATACGGAATGAGATTGCTCTCCGATGTACTCGCCTTTCCTCTTTCCCAAAATCCACATTGGATCTTCCAAATAAGCGGTTTTCTCTTCAATGGAGACGTGATGCTGGAACAACATGTAATACTTGTAAGCGGCTTTGCCCACAGCGCTGAAAACTTCGTTTTTCATGAAACTGTGAGAATAGGAACCAAATCCGTCAATTATATCGTGATCGTCCCACACATTGATCGAGGGAATTGTGGCCATGGCAATGGGGAAGCACGCTTGGGTTGTTCTGGCCTTGGGCGTTGCTCCTTTCCAGTAGCCAAACCCGTACCATTCCAAATACGCCTTCAAATAAAACGAATCCATTCCAGAACGCATTTCGGGCGTCAATCGCGATGAAAACTTCTTGAAGGGATCCTTTTCTTCCAGCCACGCCTTGAAAGATGCGCAGTAAAGCTTAATGCTGTCCGCATAAATTTGATCACCGCCGCCCAGCATTACGTGGTAGCGCACTTTGGCGTGCTTATTCAGGATGTCAAACCACATCGAACCCTTGAACACAGAGGTGTCCACGGACAATGAAAACCCGTTGCACGAGTACGAAATCGTGTTGAAGTTTTGAGTTCTCGAAGGAATGTAGAACCGATAGTGTGGCTTGCTTTCGCCGTCTACCGTGTACCTAGCATCCAATTCTGCCTCTTGAAGCTCTAATTCGATCGGGTACCGATAGAAATAGCAGTCGCGCTCGGAATAAAACATGTGGGGACGAAACTCGCCCTCGATTGACGGTTGCGAGCCGTTACCACTTTCCACGTTTTGACCCCAAAACTTCACAACAGGTGCTGTGTCTTCTCCGACCATCACTATAAGCATAGACCCGCGGTACACATTCTTGGTGTAATCTACCTCAATCAATCTGAGAATTGGGCCACAAGCCACGCCAGTCTTGGGAATGGGCGATTCGTCACCGCAGTAGTCGCAATTTTGAACGGTTTTTTGGTAAAGCTCTTTCGTATTCCACTCGGCATTCCAATTGATGCTATCCATGCTCCAGATCAGTGCCAAATCTACTATCTGATGCTTAATTTAGATTCAAACAAGCGCGTAAAGAGGGTCCAATCTTACATTCGTTAAACTTCAAGAAGTCACGTGTTTGCTTTGAGTCACGTGCAATTCTCTTAATTTTCGTATAACACTACCTTGGGAAAAAAGAATAAAATTTTTTTTTCGCAACCCATGGAAGAGATGGCGATGAGATGAGCTAACAATTCCTTATAGTCAGAAGAATCGAGTAATATCCAGGATAAAATGGCTTCTGGAAAGGCCGAAAAGCGTCGAGCTGAAGAAGATGTGGACTCCGAATCTGAATCCAGAGAGTCGGAAACCCCCCAAGTCCGTGAATATGCGGAGAAGTTTGAAGAACTCAACATGTCACAGCCAACGATGAAAGCCATCGATAAGATGGGCTTCACGACGATGACACAGGTACAGTCCCGTACTATCCCGCCGTTACTAGCAGGTCGGGATGTGCTTGGAGCTGCTAAGACTGGATCTGGGAAAACACTTGCCTTCTTGTTGCCTGCGATCGAAATGCTTAATTCGTTGAAGTTTAAGCCCAGAAACGGAACCGGTGTGATCGTGATCACTCCCACGAGGGAGCTTGCGTTGCAGATTTTTGGTGTTGCCAAGGAACTGATGGAATTCCACTCGCAGACGTTTGGTATTGTCATTGGAGGCGCGAACCGGCGCCAGGAGGCCGAGAAACTCATGAAAGGTGTCAATATCCTCATCGCGACGCCAGGACGTCTGCTAGATCATTTGCAAAACACCAAGGGTTTTGTGTTCAAGAACTTGAAGGCGTTGATCATCGACGAGGCAGACCGAATTTTGGAAATCGGTTTCGAGGACGAAATGCGTCAAATTGTCAAGATTCTACCCAACGAAGACCGTCAAACGATGCTGTTTTCTGCTACCCAGACCACCAAAGTCGAAGATTTGGCACGTATTTCGTTGCGTCCGGGCCCATTGTTCATCAACGTCGATTCGGAAAAGGAAACCTCTACTGCTGAGGGCTTGGAGCAAGGCTACGTGGTGTGTGAGAGTGACAAGCGTTTCCTGCTTCTGTTCTCGTTTTTAAAACGTAACCAAAAGAAGAAAATCATTGTCTTTTTGTCCTCGTGCAATTCTGTCAGATACTATGCTGAACTTCTAAACTACATCGATTTGCCCGTCTTGGAGTTGCACGGCAAGCAGAAACAACAGAAACGGACAAATACGTTTTTCGAATTCTGTAATGCTGAGAGAGGCACGCTGGTGTGTACAGATGTCGCTGCTAGAGGTTTGGACATCCCAGCTGTCGACTGGATTATACAATTCGATCCCCCAGATGACCCAAGAGACTATATCCACAGAGTGGGAAGAACAGCGAGAGGCACGAAAGGTAAAGGTAAGTCTTTGATGTTTTTGACGCCGAATGAGCTTGGGTTCTTGAGGTACTTGAAAGCGGCAAAAGTGCCATTGAACGAATACGAATTTCCATCAAACAAGATCGCTAACGTGCAATCCCAGCTCGAAAAACTCATCAAATCTAATTACTACTTGCATCAAATTGCGAAAGACGGTTACCGTTCTTATTTGCAGGCATACGCCTCGCATGCGCTCAAGACCGTTTACCAGATCGACAAACTGGACTTGGCCAAAGTGGCCAAGTCTTACGGATTTCCAGTACCTCCTAAGGTCAACATCACCATTGGGGCGTCTGGTAAGACTCTAAACAAGAAGAGAAAGGTGCGTAATTGAACGAAATCCAGGGACTGAAAATGAAGAAACTGAAAAAGTTACTTTCAAATTGTGGGCATCATTTTCTGCGCTTGTTTGATTTTTAACCCCTGCATTTCGCCTGGATCCACATTATTACACGGATAAACCACCCATTCCGGTAGCTCTCTCGCTACATCGAACTCAAAGCCAACTGTATCTTCTCTCTATATATTACAGTTCTAGTCGATATTAATCTCACAAAGATAGAAGGGCATTAAAAAAGGGCTATGTGTACATTACAACAAGATTACTTACTAATCATGGCGCAAGACAACTAATTCAAATGTGTTTTTGCACAGTAATTACCATGGCAGATTATTATCGCTTTTGGCAAAACTGGGCTCTAAAGATTCGCTGAAAAGGGTGAAATAATAAACTTATCAAGCCACAAGTACAAATATTGAGAAGTACGACCAATCATCAGGAGAGACATTTAGTTTAAGCTTAATCCCTGATCGAGTTTGGTGCTGTTGAAAATATTGATCATTTTCATTGTCTTGATCGAAGACAAAGATCGTATATCGTGAAAAATTTTTAAGATGAGTTCATATTAAAACTTCGATCAATTGACAAATAGAACTGGATCAGAAGAACTGATCAAGATGACGCTACAGGTTTCATTTGATAAGCTGAAAACGCATGGCTATGCTTTACAGCTTGCCAACAATATCAAGATTGCCTTAGCTTTAGACCTGGCTAAAGACGGGGTGAGCTTTAAGCTTAATGAAGAAACTGATGAGCCTCGGGCTGAAGATGTCAAATCTAATTTCCGTCTCTTCAACGCCAACGCAATTTTAAGATATGCATTGAACGATTTCGAAGGTTTGCAAGATCCCGAATCTCACTACGCACTCTCGTCGCTCGAGGCTTTGTTGTATCACGATGCGACAGCTCCCAAGGAACACCTAGAGGAAAATGTGTCCAAATCGCTTGAAAATTACGTTTCTCTGGACAAAGTTGCAGCGACGAATTTGATCACTTTTGCTAACACGTACGCATTGAGTCCCGCGCATTTTGAGCAGAAATTTGCGAAGCTGCCTGAAGTTTTGGCTAAGGCCGTCGCCACGGCTAAGTTGAAGACTCCACGTACCGCTGCTTCCTTCCAGCATACTGGCGCCCAGAAACTAGATTCTTTGTTTTTCGTCGAGAAGCGTAGCTCAGAAATCTTACCTATCGACGGTAAACGGAACATTTTGATTACCTCTGCGCTTCCGTACGTTAACAACGTTCCCCACTTGGGTAACATCGTTGGTAGTGTCTTGTCTGCTGATATTTACGCGCGTTACTGTCGGGCCAGAAACTACAATGCTCTATTTATCTGTGGAACCGACGAATACGGTACGGCTACTGAGACTAAGGCTTTGGAGGAAGGCTGCACCCCTCGTGAGCTCTGTGACAAATACCATAAGATTCACAGCGAAGTTTACAAATGGTTCCAAATCGATTTCGACCATTTTGGTCGCACCACTACTGACAAGCAAACTGAGATTGCCCAAGATTTCTTTGTCAAGTTGAACAAAAATGGGTACTTGGAGGAGCAAACCATGAAGCAGTTATACTGCGAGCAACACAATGCCTATCTTGCTGACAGATTTGTTGAAGGTGAGTGCCCCAGGTGTCATTACGAAGATGCTCGTGGCGATCAATGTGACAAGTGTGGTGCTTTGCTCGATCCTTTCGAACTTATAAACCCTCGTTGTAAAGTGGACAATGCTACCCCTGTGCCTCGTAACTCAGAACACATTTTCCTCTCTCTCGACAAACTTGAGCCCAAAATCGTAAAATGGGTTGACGAAGCTTCTACCAAAGGAGCTTGGTCGAAGAACTCGAAGACTATTACTCAGTCTTGGTTGAAGGAAGGACTGCAGCCCCGTTGTATCACAAGAGATCTCGTTTGGGGTACTCCAATCCCATTGGAAAAGTACAAGGACAAAGTTCTTTACGTTTGGTTCGATGCTACGATCGGGTACGTCTCCATCACGGCGAACTACACTAGCCAATGGGAAAAGTGGTGGAGAAACCCGGAAAACGTTAATTTGTATCAGTTCATGGGTAAGGACAACGTACCTTTCCACACAGTCATTTTCCCTGGGTCTCAGATCGGTACCGAAGATGAGTGGACCATGTTGCACCATCTCAGCACTACTGAGTACTTGCAATACGAAGGCGGCAAATTCTCCAAGAGTCGTAACATTGGTGTTTTTGGTAACAACGCCAAGGAAACCGGACTATCCCCAAGTATTTGGAGGTACTACCTTGCTTCTGTCAGGCCAGAATCCAGTGATTCTCACTTTTCTTGGAGCGATTTTGCTGCAAAGAACAACAATGAGCTCCTTGCGAACTTGGGTAACTTTGTTAACAGAGTGGTAAAATTTGTTAACGCTAAATACAATGGCGTTGTGCCTCAGTATGATACGGCTGATTTGCCTGGTTACGGTAAACTGAAGGAAGACCTGGACAAAATCCTGACATCTTACGTTTCCGAAATGGAGCAAGTTCACGAAAGACGTGGTCTTGAAATTGCTATGTCCCTGAGTGCCCGTGGTAACCAGTTTTTGCAAGAACAAAAACTAGATAACACTTTGTTCTCGCAAAATCCTGCCAAATCCGATGCCGTTGTCGGTGTCGGCTTGAACATCATCTACGCGGTCGCTTCCATCATGTGGCCCTACATTCCAGAGGTTTCCGAGCTAATTTTCAAAATGCTGAATGCTCCTCAACTGAAGATCGAAGATCAATTCCATCTAATTGTACGTGGAGGTCACAACATTAACAAGGCTGAATACTTATTCCAACGTATTGAAGAAGAACAAGTTCAAGCGTGGAGAGCTCAGTACGGTGGGAAACAGGCATGATTGACGGTGAGCTGAAGTGGGAAGGAAATGAATAGAATAGCTGACATTGTCGATTTCGTCCTACATAAGACAATGTTCAACTAAATAATTGTTTATAGAAATCGACGATAGTAAACGATATTTACGGATATCAAATGAGTCTAGTGGGTCATTGATCCAGGAAGCATTTGAGATTATGTTCCGCCTCAGCTTTTCCTAAGTTGTCGATATCACTAGATCGCCTTGATAGAAACTCGAAATTGAAAAATCCACTCTTTTTAAAAATTCGAGATTTCAACGAAGAACTAAGACACGATCATGTCCAAAGAGTTGATAGAACGTGTTTCAAACTATCTCAATAACAATGTTCAAATTGAATTGATCTCACAAGGTGCGGAAGCCGTTGTTTTCATTACCCACAGCCATCCATATCTTCCAAATGCGTCTGACGACAAGGAACAGTATATTATAAAATACAGACCCGCAAAGAAATACAGACACCCAGCAATTGATAAAGCGTTGACGAAACACAGAACCTTGAGTGAATCTCGAATTTTGGCCAAATTATCCCAGATCGATGGGATAAACGTACCTAAACTCATCGCTTGTGATGTCTATAATGGGTGTATATGGCTTGAGTTTCTAGGTGTGGACTTGCCAAATCAATGCGGTTTTAGCAACTTGAAGAATTTCCTGTGGATGAGCGTTGCAGATCCTTACTCGCAATTGGTCGAAGATGTGCTGATAAAAGTGGGTCGTCAAATTGGACTCTTACAGTGGAACGATTATTGTCACGGAGATTTGACAACATCGAACATCGTTTTGGTGCCAGAAAATGGAACGTGGTCAGCATTTCTCATTGATTTCGGTTTGGGGTCCAGCTCGAATTTAGTAGAAGACAAAGCTGTTGATTTGTATGTTCTTGAAAGAGCCATAATCAGCACGCATTCGTCGTTTGCCGATAAGTATAACCAGTGGATAATGCAAGGTTTCAGTCAAATTTACGAGTTACACGGGAAATCAGGTTTAAAGAAGCTAAAAGAGATTACACGCAGATTTGAAGATGTAAGACTTCGGGGTAGGAAGAGAAGTATGATTGGTTAGAGTGCGGGCTTAGTTTTAATGAGTCCCTTGACACAACCCATGACGCCATTGAAGAGAAGTACTACATCACCGTCTTTCAGGTCTCGCACATCCAATGACTCTTCGCATATGAGCTTCTTTTTCAAAAGGTAGTAACGCATCACTCCACATAAGCACCCAGACGACAATAATGGCGTCGCATAGTAATATTGTTGGCCATCATTTTGGCGAAATAGGGCGACATTCGTGATGGTACCCTCCATTAGTTCAAAGGCACTGTTGTATACTAATATTTCGGAATTCGATAACGAGTTCCCATCTTTCTGTGCCATTTCGCTCAAACGGTTTCTAGCCTCAGTGTAATGATCTCTCTTGGTGGTCTTGAAAGTGGTGAACGGGGAAATCGGCATTGGTTTTGAATCGATATATACGTTCCAGATATTAGGACCTTCGGGCAAAAACCCGCTCAAAACCTCATTGATGAAATATTGGGACGGATGTTGTGGTGGAAGTTTCGGCGCCGCTAGCGGATGCGCTTCAATTCTCATTTTGCCAGAACTTGACAACAAGACCCGCATCTTGTACTTACTAGGTTCGCTGAGCATAATGCGCATTTTGGCCGCAGGAGAATCGTCATCATGGGCGTGATCGCTTGGAAGTGCTTGTACCAGCTTTTCGAGCAGCAATTGAAGCGGGACATGAAAGTTCCACCCAAAAAACTCCAATGCCAAATTCAAACGCTTGAAATGTTCTCCTAGGAGCAAAAATCGATTGTAGAAAATCTTCCACAGTGCTTCTAAGTTCTCGTCGTCGTTTGGACTGTCGACTTCGATTGGAGGTGTCAAGGGCACAACGGTGTTCTGCGCCTCGTTGAAAATTCCTAAAATCTCTTCCAGAGACCTCTCATCGTCGCCAGGCGCTTGTTGCGTGACAAAATCCAGAAACAGGTCGCTTTCAATGCTGGCATTAAAGGGTTCATTTTCGCTCAAAAGACAAATTCTTGGGTCAACTTCCGATTGAGAAGGTGGCTTGTTGTTAGATTTGGAGGCTGCTGGCTCCCCGTTGTCCGGATATGACGTAAAATGTGAATCGTATCTGATAGTGGACAGTATTTCGAAGTCGCTGTCATTGTAGTTGAAATGTGGATCGATGAGTTCATGCTGTACGACCTCAGCGACCTTCTGTTGAACAGGAGTCAACTCGACCTCCTTGGCAGCAACCATAGTGACTTGAAGAAGACTATATAGAAGCCGGTTCGCTGAGCCAAGGCCAAGTTCCGTAAAGTCTGGGTCTCGTCAAGAGATACAAACTGTAGTTGCTCTGCTTAGCTGAAGGGTTACCGATACCAAAATCGTTGCATACGCTTTTTCGACAATGCGAAATCAATTGGAAACAGTTATTTCGACCTTTCGTTTAGTCTTCCGAATGGTTTTATAGATTGATTTTCTCGTAATCAAGTGATTTTACTAGAAGTAAGTTAGCTGGAAGAATATATGCTAAAAGATTGGATACAATTCACCTGGCATGACGCAGAAATGATGTGAAGAGCTGATTCTGATTATAATTCTCCTTCTGGCTCTGCTTTGCTTTGTTTCTGGCGTACTGTATAATGCCTTTAATATGTATGATGAGCATCCTTAGTTATGTTAGTCATGAGTGTTTAGTGAAAACGCCCAACACTAAAAAAAAGAGAATAAGACCTAAGAAATTTAAATCATCAAAACTGGACAAATATTGCCGCCTAGAAGAACCCCTCCTGGCAAATTAGGTGTCTCAAAATCCCCCTGCTCCTCCCAACTAGCCATATATATCCTCTCCCTCGTCAACTGATGACATTTGTTGTCACGCGAATTTATGCTTTCCATAGGTAATTTCAACACATTTCAGTTTCTGTATTAGAGCCTTGTTGGCGCAATCGGTAGCGCGTATGACTCTTAATCATAAGGTTAGGGGTTCGAGCCCCCTACAGGGCTTCTTTTTGTTTTTTCTCAAATCTTGGATCACTTATTACGTGTATCCCTATGCCCATCAATATGGCGAATCTGTATTACTGACGGAACCCATGGAGCATCTAGACACTCCGTTAGTTGGTGAAAATTGGGGTTTACTGTGTTGGTGGGAGTTTAAAAATGGTTGATTCTATATCGCGTATCACTTCTGCGCTAGAGTCTGCGAAAGAAATGACGCTAGAGGCGGCCGCGATCGCACAGTCCAAACTGGGCGAATCGTCTTACCAAAGGTACTCTCAGAGGATTTCGCCGCAATCACTGCCGAATTTACTCAATTCGCGTAATCCGCGTGAAGTCAAGGACGGTATGAAAAGAGTGGTGTCTGTGATGGCGTCTGGCGACGAGGGTGCGGCTCTCGAGGGTTATTTTGCAGATGTGGTCAAGAATATCACGTCTAATGACGTTAAGATTAAGCGGCTCGTGGCAGTGTATTTGCAACGTTTTGCGGAAAGGGATCCGAATCTAGCACTTTTGTCGATTAATAGTATACAAAAATCTATTTCAGATTCGAACCCCGAAGTGCGAAGCCTGTCTTTGAAGGCGCTCTCGGACATCAGAGTTCCAGCACTCTATCCCATAATTTTGCATTCCATCAAAAAATCTATGACTGATGCTTGTGCTGATGTGCGCAGTACTGTAGCGTTGGCACTTTTAAAAATTTACCGCGAACAGGGTGACGAAGTCGCAGACGACGTCTTACCCCTGACACAGGACTTGCTGTCTGATGCGGATCCACAGGTCGTCTCAGCGGCGATTCTACTATTCAAAGAAGCATTCCCAAAGAAACTTGAATTGCTTCATGGTCATTTTCGCAGATTCTGTGAAATTCTTCCGCAACTTTCAGAATGGGCACAAGTTTCAATGATAGAATTGCTCATAAGATACTGCAAGGAGTTTCTGCCAAGACCTCAGATTATCGATTCCTCCAATCCATCAAGCGTTATCTTATTGCCTTCTTTGTACAACACAATTCCGTTTGCTATCTACGACGTCTCGTTAGATCCTGACCTGGAATTATTTCTTGACGCAGCACGCAATCTCAGACACTCTGCAAATGCAGCGCTCATCGTGTCCATAGGCAAGGCTTTTTTTTACCTTTCCCCTCCTTTGTCGTTCAAAAATTCTAAAATATCAACAGCGCTTGCCAATTTGATTACCACTTCCGAACAGACCGGTTTGAAGGTTGTTATTCTTCAATGCATTTTGGTTTTCTGTTCCCGAGACCCGACGCTTTTTCAAGCTTATATCAAGAGATTCTTTGTATTCCCCTCAGATGACGCTATGGCTGCTGTTACCAAGATCAAGATTCTATCCTTCCTTCTAACCCTTCAAAACGCTAAGGAAGTTGCTTCAGAAATCAAGTTCATAATTCTGAATGATTCTCGCGACACAGTTATTCAGGAGGCCTTAAACGCCTTGGCGATGTGTTCTCGCCTTTCTCAGTCGTGGTCCAACCATATAACGCGTTGGCTGTTGAAATACATGGGGAACGAAAACACGATGCGCGCCATGGATGCATACGTAAACGTGATTCGTTCTTTAATCCAAACAGATCCTAAAAGTCATTTGAATACGATGATGGGGCTGTCAGAGATTCTTTTCAATCACGAGAATCTTTCTGCCACGGCAAAAGCCGGGATCATTTGGTTATTCGGCGAATTTTCTGAAATCGAATTCAGTATTTGTCCAGATGTTTTGCGAAGATTCATCCAGACGTTCTCTTCTGAGGGTCGAGAGGCAAGAATGCAAATCGTCCTTTTGGCTGCTAAGCTACTTTCTCGTGACATTGATAACTTCAAGAATTCTGAGGAAGACGACAAAGAGTATGACTTTGGCGCTTCAAGATTATCTCAAATGTTTAACGCGGTGCTCTACCTCGCTAAGTTCGACGACGATTTTGACATAAGAGACAGGGCCCGCCTTCTTTCCTCTTTATTTGAAAATAACCGTCAAGTCATCGCATCTCTTCTTCTTCAAGTTCCGAAGGTTGCTCCGGTTGGCATGAAAACAACAGAATCCTCTGAAATGGATGATATAATGCAATTCTCAGCTCTGGGACTTGATTCGGACATCGAAGACTACTTTACTCGCATAGAGTGGTCTGTAAATTTAGGTGAATATGATTCATCTGTGCGAGAACCGGTACCACTCAAGGATTATTCCAGGCTTAAGACAAGTTTTTCTAGCAAAACTTACTTCGGCTCGAGCACACCAGAAAGAACGACGAAGGGCGTTTCTCATGAGAGTAGTTTTTCACAAAACACATTAACGACCACCACTGGAAGGAAATATAAATTGCAGAGCCTGGATGAATTCTTCTCGGACGTACCCGCGGAGAAACCCAAAGTTAAGAGGATCGTTGTCGAAGAGGAGTCTTCAAACGAAGATGATGATACAGAAACGTCTGATGACGAGGATGATGAAGACGATGATGACGATGTTTCCGAAGACGCTGAAAGCGAAAATGATTAAGTATATGTATGTACCTTGATTTACCTACAATTAAATTCAATTGTGTTATTAATTGGTGGTTTCCGTTTATAAAAGCTCGTCTAGTTCAGAAATTCTAAAAGCATCTTCTTCGAGCGTTGGAAAGTAAGGAACAAGTGCGTCCATGCTTTGGATATAAGCGTTGTTGTAGAGACTCCAATATGCGGTTCGAACATTCTTTGCCGGATGAAAAAGTCCTGCCCAAACATAGTTCATCATGATACCGGGTCCCAACGCGCATCTCAAAGAATCTAGACCTTCTACAATCCGCACAATGACATGGGGGGACGTTTCAAAAATATTAGGCATTAGCAGATTCAAAAGATGAAGGAAAGCGTCTTCGTTTCCGAATCCCATGCAATTCAAAGCTAGGTGACGAATAACCGTAGACGCAGTTTGGCGATGAACTAAATCTCTGTCTGTGAGTGCGTCTTCAAGTAGTGGTAGAATAAAATAAATATAATTTTGCGACAATTTTCCAATGTACTCAAACATGAACGTCATTGCTTTCAAAACACCGTTCTGTACATTCGTTTCAGGGGTCTTGTACTCATTCATTAGCGCAGGTATGACTGTGAATGATCCGCATGTTTCCGCAACAATTCCAATGGCAACTGCTGTACAAACACGCAGTTGGCGTTCTTGAACTTTAAGATTGTTCAGTAAAGTTACCAGGACATCTTGAGGTCCTATTGCTTTCGCAATTTCTCCAAAGGAGCGATTGGCAGCTCTGCGTATGGACTTGTTTGTGCTCTTGAGCATTTCTAAGAGCTCAAAGCAAATTCTCATCCACTCTTTCGGAGGCACAGATTCTGCACTACCTTTGGCAAACTTCCCAATAAGTTCAATGCTTGGCTCTTGGACCTTCCTATGGCGATTTCTCAAAATAGGAGTCAAAGTCACTAAAATCTGGCTTGGTGAAGGCTGGAGTTGTGAAAGATCGACGTGGGATGCGATTTGACTCATTGCACCGATAACAGAGCCTAAAACCTCTGGAAACATTTCACCTAAGCTTTCATACAGAATAATGTTGAGTTTATTCAATATCGAGAATTCATCACAGCTTCTAATCACTGGTATCAGTACTGCACAAAGATCTGCAGCCTGTTGTCTTACCAATGGTAACTTGTGTTTTAATCGAAGGAGTATAGTGCTCACAATGGGGGGTAAATAAGGCTTCATTCTCTTATCAAATGCTAGCGCCACTGTTCCAAAGCCATATATTGTTATTTTCTCTTCGTTTGTTTGCTCCTGGAAAGCCACCAAAAGGGCATCAATGAGACGTCTTTCTAGTTCAGTATCAATATCTCCGCTGCCCATACTCTTGATCAGCCTGTTGACAGCATGTAAAGCCATGATCCTCAGTGGCTCAGATTCGTCTCTTAGTGGATCGATCAAACGAGATATTGATGAAGAACAGCCCGTCCGCTCGGTAAGTACCAGTGTCGTGTAGGTCGCCATTTTGCTTATTTGACGATCCAATGCAATTCGTCTACTCCAAAAACTACTGAAAAAGTCATCCAAAATCTCGTGCTGGAGATAGCTTGTTGTAACAGCTTCAGTTGAACAGCACTGCTGCAAAACAGTTAAAACTGCCTTTTTCATTTCATCGTCTGGTGAAGCAAGTTCACGTTTCACAATTCTTAGGACTTCTTGCGCATAGAAGCCAGCATATTCAGTGTCCATTAACGGGATTATGAACCCCAACGCACGTAAAAAGGAGGCCAAAGCTTTCCCGCGTTGCATCTTGATACCCTTCCATAACGGTTCGAGGACTTGATTGAAAGCCTCGATACCATATGGCTTTGAATTTTGAGCCAATGAGGCCAAACATTGCGCAGCCGCGATACGCACTGGCACGTATTCGTCATAAAGGGCTTCATCCGTACATTCGATCAATCCAGTCAAATAAGGCAGGACGGCTATACCTAGCAGACTTGACAGATGTTGGATGCTTCTAATGCCTGTATGGCGAGCCCTCCAAGATTTGCGAGAATGGCAAACAGCACGAAAGAAGGGAACTAACTGGGCTACGCCCAATGTTCTGGCGACCACGGCTAACGTTCTGGAGGTGACGTTTCTGACATACTCGTCCTGGTGATCGATGTCAGGCCTTATGGTCGAAATCATGCAAAAAAGTCCTACGGCATTTGCCAGCCTTGATATAAGCTCACGACCCACTTGACGCGCCAGAGGATCTTCGTCAATTAAAGAAGGAGCAATTACTACCAGCAGCTGGTGTGCATAAGGTTTGACAAGGCCCTGGAGTTGAGTTAAAACGCGATCAACAGCCTTGACCATGAGATGCCGTTCCTGGTCATCTAACGACTTGTCCAGCAAGATCGGGAGCACGCGGTCAAAAATCCGCGGAGCACCAAAATCTGCGGCCCGATTCCGCAGCATTCTCATAGCGGTTTTCCGCGTGGCAGGAGCACCGTTTTTGATTCTCAACAGGAGTTGCAAAAACTGTCTGTCTTTCTGCTCCTCTGGCGTCATATCCGGCTTTTCAACCAATAGTTCTCCAAAATATTGCTTGTCATGTGGCCCGAAGAACTGCAAATCACGAACACCGGGTATCTCATTGACTAGCTCTTTTCCAAGAGCGTTCACCATACTTCTAGAAGTCTCTGGGATCGCGTACGAGTCGGTATCCTCCAAATGCATCCTCTTGGCTTCCACTGCCCGGTTGTCGTTGTTCGCATCATCATCATCATTCAAAGCTCGTTTCTGACCCGTTTTCATAATTTCTTGCGTCCGTCGCACAAATCCTTCCCCCTTGTATCCACTCTCATTCTCACGTTTGACAGCCTCCATCCGTTCCATGAGAACGTCCCGTTGAGATGTAGTTTCCAGCTCATCGCGTATTTCAAAAGGTGCCGAATATTGGCCAGCCAAATTCCGCTCCGTCGTGCCGTCACCAGACTTCACAAAAGCTATATCCGATGTCATCGTACAGTATAAGTCAGATGGTTAAAACGTCTCAGAGTCTTGTCATACTAGTCTAGTATTTTGACTATTCAATAATGGTTGAACACTCTTGCATATATATCTAGAATTATTTGCTTCAGATAGTAACTATATACGACCACTCTTTTAATACCCGTCAGAGCTGTATTTCGGGTACCATCTTAGGCTGGGTAACCCTTATCCAGGAAACCCACATAGTATTCGCGTGCGCCGTCACGTTCATTCGTCTATTACTCGCGTGAAAAAAATAGGCGACCCGCCAACAACCCGCGTCCTTTAACACTGGATACCCTTTCACGAACCGAAACGCGTAAAGAAAATTTCTGGCGTCAAAAATTCAAATATTTAACATACATGATCCAGACCAACCGCTCCCCGGTTCGAACTACTCAGCTGACACACAATGATAGCGGTCCAAGAGTCTTATCAGATTGAAGAGCTTTCCGACGAAACCTCAGATTTGGAAGGTAAGACTCTCACCCCAGAGCCACGTGTCTCAAACCCAGTAGATGCGGCAGATGGCTCCTCCATTCCTATTACACCTACTAGACAACTTAAAGTAACTGGATGGATGGATCGATCAGCCCTTCGCCGCCACTTCGATGTTACAGAGGTGGATGGACTAAAGATTGCCTCTTGTGTTCATTGCAAACGCGAATTCAAGGAAGCGAGGTCCACAGGAAACCTTTCAAAACACGTAAAGAACGTTCAATCCTCTAGCATACCAAAACGGTCGAAAAGAAAGAAGTAAAAATCTAGGAAGTCTCAGCCAATTAGGAGTCAAGTGTCGTTCCTTGCCACCGCCAGCTGCAATAACCGCAGAATGGAAGCATAGCCCTGGCGATTTTGGTATTCTGTTGCTTTTGACGGAAAAGTTAGTCCCGTTCTCCTTCTTCGAAGGCAAAAGCTGGAACGTCATTAGCGAAGCCTGCTCTGGTATTAAATTGATAAAATCTCGTCCAGCGATCATTGACAGGCTATCGAACTAGACCAATCACTTCAATACTGCACTTAAAAAAGTATTGAGTAAAACTGACTTCATTAACATTGAACTGGATATCTGGTCCGGCGGGAATGGAAGATCATATCTTGCTGTAGCCGCATCATTTGCTCCCAATCTTATAAATGATGCTATGCTGACTGATGTTGGCAGCAGCAAGGCTCTTCTTAATAACCATTACGCTCCGTACAACACCCACATCCTAAGGTTTCATTGATGTTAGCGACACACCACACACCGGGGAAAATCTTTTCAAGGAAGTTCGGGATGTGATGAAAGAGTATGAAATAGATGATCGAGTTGCAACAATTACTTGTGATAATGCCACAAACAACATATGCATGCATTCCCACCTTGTCCATGACCATTTCAAGAAATGCAAATCCAAGACGTTCGATCGTCTGGGAAACTTCCATATTTTCCGGTGTGGAAACCATATTTTGAACATTCTTTTCCAAGATGTAGTGAAAAACCTGAAAGCAAACACAAAGTTTAGCTTGGCACTGGCGCGTATCACACGGTTGGCTCACAAGATGAAGCACACTTCTGTTTTGAGGTCTTCATTAATGAAAGCTTCAATCCCGTTGGTGCCTGCTGCATCGGAAACACGGTGGTTGTATATCTGGAAGCAAGTAACCACTTTTCTGAAATATCGCCAGCAGTATCTGACGTGGTTCAATAACTTTAAAAAGTCACCACAGAACATTTCTGCTGCTTCAAAAATCGAAAAGTGTTTCGAGCAAACCCCTGAGGAAGTCCATCTTTTGCAGTACTTTGTCGATTGTTGCTCAATCTTCAAAGTGTTGAATGACACTCTGCAAGAAGTTTCGTTTAATCATCTCTCTAATGCGGTACCTTTCTATTACACACTTCTGGAATATTATGACTTATGCGGTGATGCCCATACGGAGACTATAGAGCTACCGACAGAAGGAGCATTTGATTTCACCTTTATCAATGGAACTCAAAACCCGCCGTTAGATATGAAGAAAACGGTACTTGATGCTGTCCTTTCTACTCGAAACAAATTTACAACTTATTTCCAGTACTTCACGGAAAACGATCTGTATTTTGTCGCTGCATTCTTGGATCCTTCGTCCAAACATCAGTGCTTCAACACCCTTATGACGGAGGACGAGGCTCAATTTCGACTAAGCAAAGTGGAAAGGTATTTGAAGTCTTACCTCAAGAAGTCCGAACCGCGAAAGGTCGTTACATCAACTGAACTTGCCAAAAGATCTGTTAGAGGCACGCGCCATCGAGTCAGCAAATTACCCACAATTAACCGGCGCGAAAAGCATTCACGTAATGCAGAGGCTTCTATGTGCAATCAGGCAGTCAGTGAGTGGGACAAATATAAAGCAGAAGAGCAACATACCTTGGACTTCAAAGAGGATCTGATACAATGGTGGTACGAACGCCGTGGCGCATATCCCAATTTATTCAGGCTTGCGGTGGCCCTTCTATACACAAAATTTAGCACAAGCGGTCTGGAGAGAGCATTTTCTATCAGCGGGAAAGTTCTTCGTAAAGAAAGAAGAAGTATGAGCAGTCTAAATTTTAACAGGTTGCTAGTTCTTAGAAATCGCTTCAAGGGCTGGGGCCTCCTCGACCAGAAATTAACACTCAATTTCCAAGATTCTGATGAGGATGATGACTATATAGAATGCTACTCTCAATCAGATGACGACGATCTCGAGTTTCAATAGTTAAAGCTAGCATATCAATCTAATTCAACACTACTTAGGTAAGATCAATGCTTTTCTCTCGATTTACGGACGCTTTGTTGAACTAACAAGTTGTTTATCCGCGTTCCATCCGAACGATGCATTCGAAATATCCTTAAATGAGTTGAAAATATTAAAATATATACCCAAGAATTACTCGATCCGTACATGGCTACTACCCGTTTACTACCCGCTCTCGGGTATCCGGGTAGTTATTTTGTAATCCGGGTCAACCCGAAATACAGCTCTGTGATGCATATACACATCACCTTTAACGAAGATTTTCTTTACGCTTAATGTCAACAACACCTGCCATCTCAAGAATTAGGCTTTGGAACACTCCTCTGCGGCGCAACTGCAAAGAGACGAGACTTGCTGCACAACGGTACATCCCTGAGCTAAACACCCGGTTTTTTTGCCCCTTTTTATATACTCAATTCCATGTGGCTCTCAGAGTCTCAAAGTATGACTTTCTACCCCGATCTTGTCCAGCACATTCCTCTGGCTGAAATACAAAAAACACAGGACTAACACTTCGAACGCGGTGAAACCGCTTTCGAATCCCTTCAGAATTCGGAGTTGCCTTCACCTTTGGCGGATGCCTCTTCTTTCTCTTCGGAGTGCTGACTTTTTTTGACCGCGCGCTACTCGCGCTCGGCAATATACTGTTTCTGATCGGTCTACTACTAATCATTGGAGTTCAGAAAACGCTCAATTTCTTTACGCGGCCCACCAAGCGTCGCGGGTCCGTCTTCTTCTGCCTTGGCTTGGTCATGATCCTGTCCAAATGGACGTTCACCGGGTTCGTGATCGAATCTGTCGGCATAATTGCGCTGTTCGGAGATTTTTTCGCTGTCGTAGTTCAGTTTCTGCGCTCGCTACCTGTCATTGGACCCCTGTTGTCGCACCCAGCCGTGGCTCCTTACATCGACCGCTTGGCAGGGCTTCGCGTTTTGCCCGTTTAATGATCCTATCCAAAACTCCTGCGGCTTGCTCGCCCTCCTGGTAGCGTAAACCTAGGGTTGTCCCCCTCATAGCATCAAATATAAGCGTTGGTAGAGGACAGTTACGGATCGTGATGGTGATGGAAGAACTATTCCGTGCATAATGACTTCAACACTTTTTTCAAGATTTCAAGTTACTATAGTTAATAAGTATGAGCTTCAACCAAGACCTTCAAAGTTGAAAGCGAGAACCTGCGGGCCAAGACCGCTTATTGTAAGGTTTTAGTTGTATTACGGGGGTATTTGCGAGATCCGAGCCCTAATTGACTTTTTTTGTCTGCGTTTGAAACTTCACTTAAACCAGTTTCAAGGCTCCAAGATCTTGGACTGCACATGACGAGAGTTACGAGGAATTGGAGAGATGAATCTGAGGACGATTTAGGCAGTTCCAATACTCAAGAAATTAAAGATGAGAATGGAATTGTGCACACGACTTCGAGAAGTCTGCGAAAAGTAAATTACGCGGAGGATTCGAACAGTGATGAAAATAAGGAAGATGAAGCATACGGGCAGGGCAACTACGCCGGTGCCCAAGCAGTTGATGATGATGGTGACGAAGACGAAGATGTGAGCGCTTTTAGGCGACATTCCAACAGGACGAGACAAAATGCGACCTTTTACTCCGAAAACGAGGACCATGATCCTCACACCGTAGATTGGGCCACTGCAAATGCCACCGTTGTGAACCAAGAGCCAGCGCAGCAGGAGGAAAACTTTGAAACTGATCAATACGAAACCAGCCAAGGGTCTCACGCGCGTGCGAACAACAAGTCCCTAAACCAAGACGAAGACGAAAGCTTTCACGAAGACGACGTACAGGACCTCGATGATGACATGCCAGAATCCGAGGACGAATATCTCTCTGACGACTCTGTAAGAAGACATCAAAGACGTGCGGACCAGAATTTCATTGTAAACGACGAAGGAGATCAAGACACAGATGAAGACGACAAGCCGCTTTTACATCGAAATTTTAGAAACTCTACGCTAAGAGCAAGAAGAAGTCGTCCAAGGGACCGCTCGCCACCCAGAAAATTGAGAAGGAGAACTAGGTCCACATATCACAGTGATGAAGAGGGCTACGGAAATGAACCCCTTTCTTTGGCAGATGAACTAAAGGAACTACGAGACGACAGCCCCATTCGTGAGAAGCGTTCCTTGCGAGAACGTACAAAGCCGGTTAATTACACATTACCACCTCCCCTGCCCGATCATAGTGCGAGCGGAGCCTTTGGAGCTGGAGAATCCACATCTTTCGAAAAACAGTCGCCTCGAGGTAGGCGCGGTTTGCATGTGGGCCAAAGCTTTGGACCCATTAGGAGACTTTTCCCAACCGGTGGTCCTTTTGGAGGTAATGATGTCACAGCTATATTCGGAACTAACACCAATTTTTACGGCGCTAACGTTACTTCGAAGAACAGTAAGCTCTTGATAGACTCCGACTCCTCAGAAGATGAGATATTACCTATTGGTAAAAGTTCAACTGAAAAAAAGCCTGGCTCAGGTACTGAAAAGAAAAAGAAGCCAGAAATTGCAGACTTGGATCCCCTTGGTGTCGATATGAACATCAAGTTTGAAGATGTCGGAGGACTTGATAACTATATTGACCAACTGAAGGAAATGGTAGCTTTACCATTACTTTATCCTGAGCTTTACCAGAACTTCGGTATTACTCCTCCTCGCGGTGTTCTATTTCATGGTCCACCAGGTACGGGTAAGACTTTAATGGCGAGGGCACTTGCTGCTAGCTGCTCGAGCGACGGTCAGAAAATCACGTTTTTTATGCGGAAGGGTGCTGATATTTTATCCAAATGGGTAGGTGAGGCAGAAAGACAGCTGAGACTCCTTTTCGATGAAGCAAAAAAGAACCAACCCTCCATCATTTTTTTCGATGAAATTGACGGTTTGGCTCCAGTGCGAAGCTCCAAGCAGGAGCAGATTCATGCCAGTATTGTATCAACGATGCTGGCACTTATGGATGGTATGGATAATAGAGGGCAAGTCATAGTTATTGGTGCCACTAATAGACCAGATGCTGTTGATCCAGCTTTAAGAAGACCTGGAAGATTTGATAGGGAGTTTTATTTCCCTCTTCCGGATTTAGAAGCACGTTCAAAGATTCTTGAAATCCATACGAAGAAATGGGAACCACCGTTATCAAAAATTCTTCTTGAAAAATTAGCATCCATGACAAAAGGTTATGGTGGTGCAGACCTGAGAGCACTTTGCACCGAAGCTGCGCTTATCAGCATACAGCGCCGATTTCCGCAGATTTACCAAAGCAATGAAAAATTGGCGATTAACCCGTCTGACGTCAAGGTAAAAGCGCGCGACTTCATGTTGGCTTTGGATAAAATAACTCCTTCTTCAGCGAGGTCGACAAGTTCTCTAGCTCGGCCGTTACCGGAGGGCATATCAATTCTTCTTAATGAGCAGCTTGAAGAAATTAAAGATTATTTGAAGAAAATCATGCCGTCTGACTCTACAAAGCTTAAACAGGGACAATCGATTATAAAGCACTTTTTGAATTACTGCGATGACTCGGACGAGGATGATTCTGCAGAACTTGCCAAAACCGAGTTTATAAAAGCACAAGAAAAAGCACGAACGTACAGGCCAAGGCTGCTTGTTGGAGGGGCAAGTGGCAGTGGTCAGCAATACATTGGGCCCGCTATCCTTCACCATCTAGAGCATTTCAATGTTCAAAAACTTGACCTTGGCAATTTGATGTCTGACAGTACAAGAACAGTTGAATCGGCCATAACTCAGATCTTTATTGAAGCTAGGAGACGACAGCCCTCAATTCTGTACATACCTGATACCGAGTTATGGTTGCGCTGTCTCCCAGAAGGTGCTATTTTGACTTTTGCAAGCCTTTGTCGGTCACTTAAAAGCAGTGAGCAAGTTCTTGTGCTTGCCATAGCAAATGGACTGGATAAAAATGATATTGCTGAAAGTTCGATCTCAGAAATTGGCTTCAACTCCTCTTTTATGAGAATCAGAGAACCTGCTTCGCATCAAAGAAGGGCCTTCTTCCAAAATATAGCCAAAGTTTTGAGTATGCCACCAGTAAATTTTCAAAGTTCTAGAAAGCGGAAAAATCCACTGCCAGTGCTTCCTAAAGCTCCACCAAGTCTGAAAGGCTGCGGTCTTGATCAAGAAGGCAAGCCTTTATCTGCTGAAGCTAAGCTTTCAATGGAGCTTAAATCGTTTCAAACTCAAGACATGAAAACTAAGAATGCTCTGAAAATCAAACTTTCAGGATTGATGGATCTCTTCAAAAATCGATACAAAAGATTTCGGAAACCCCCGATAGAAGATGCTCTCCTCATACATCTTTTCGAACAAAATGCCAGTCCAGAGAACAACATTGAAGTTCAACCAGCCTATGTGAAAGATGGCGAGATGATTTTAGAAGTTGCAACAGGACGTAAGTTTTACAACATGGATCTCGATATCGTTGAAGAAAGGCTATGGAATGGCTTTTACTCGGAACCGAAACAGTATTTGAAGGACATCGAACTCATATACCATGATGCACATACAAGCGGAGATCGTGAGAGAATTATCAAAGCATCTGAAATGTTTGCCAATGCTCAGATGGGAATCGAAGAATTATCACAGCCTGATTTCATTAAAGAATGTAAAGCTGTGCGGCAAAGAGAGCTATTGAGACAAAAGCTTTTCCTAGAGCAACAAAGCAAGGAAGCAGCTGCGGATACCGGTGACAGGAATCCGGTAGACAGCGCTATTGGTGAGCCGGAAATTGTGGCTGAACAAGGTCCGCAAGAAGAAGTTGGAGTCGGTGCCGGAAATCAACTACAAGCACAACTTCAAAGTGATGCTTATCCGACAGAGACAATTGGGAGTGATGCAGTGCTTAATAGCAATGATGGAAATGAAAGTGCGCCTGGAGAAGCTCATGTTAAGGCACAGGATGATTCTATGATGAAAAGCGTCGGCGAGCAAGAGGACGAGGTTCCGATCGTTCTCAATGGTATTCCACAAGATAGCAGCTCCGGAAAATTAGTTGAAGAGTCTAGCACCGCCTCTACTCCAGATGAAGATCACTACCTACAAATTGATACGCAACGGATGGAGGATCTCGTGAATCAATTAGAGAATTGGTCAAACGGATATACGGTCGAACAGCTAGAGGACTTCTATGCAATAGTCCTGAATATAGTGTGGGAAGACCGTTTCTCCTGGGATCGAAACTCCACCATCGATAAGATTTTGGATTATTTGAGCAGCTAGTTAGGCAATAGAATGTCGCACGTTTAAAAAATCTATCTTTCATTTACATGAGGTGTTGTGTTGCTGAGAGAACGGTGGCATCATCTCCATGTTGGCCGGTCAACTGAATTCCAGCGCTTTTGCATCCTCTCATAGGCACGCTAATAGAAGGCAACCCACACAAAGACATCGGAATAGTGAAAACATCGTTAACGTACGAGTTTACAAGGTTTGTATTTTCTTCCTTGACATATTTTGCCACGCTTGAAGGGAGATTGACAGCAGTAGGTGAGAGTAGCAGGTCCAAACCTCCCTCATTTCGAATTTTGTGGCTCAGCAAGTTTGGAAACGAAAACACCTTGTCAAAATCTTTGACCATCGACGCACGACAATTTTGTGCTGTGATGTAGCTATTTTTATAGCGCTCTGAAGATAAGTTATAATTCCCAAGTACCAATCGTTTCTGTACTTCTGGACCAAATGCGGCTCTTGTAACAGCAAATGGAATCGAGTCCTGGAAATCTGCAGTAGGTGCCCTAAACCCATATCTAATGCCATCATAGCGAGACAAATTCGATACTGCTTCAATTGGCGCTAGTGTGTAATATATGGGCAGTGCGTTTATTACGCTCGGAATGGAGACTTTGTAAAACTCATGTCCTTGCTTCATAAGCTTGTCCACAGCCTGGTAAAATGCTGTTTTGACCACCTCAGGCATATCTTTTTGATTTAGTTCGATTGGCAAACCGATCTTTAACTTTGAATTTTTCCTGGTCAAACTCTTAGCTTTTCGTCTGAATTCATTGCTGAGAGATGTTGGATCCTTGGAATCGTAGTGATCCAGAGTTTGAAATACGCTTTTCAATATCTTTATATCTTTCGAAATGATTCCAACTGTGTCCAAGCTTTGCGCATAAGCAACGACACCAAAGCGGGAAATGCGTCCGTAAGATGGTTTGAACCCGAGAGTTGAAGTCCAAGCTGCCGGAAGTCGTATTGATCCACCGGTATCTGTACCAAGGGCGAAATCGACAACCTCAGCAGCCACTGCGGCAGCAGACCCTGACGAAGAACCGCCGACAACAACCTTCTGGCCTTCATACAATGGATTAAAAGTAGGACCAAAATACGAGTGCAGGCCAGCAGTACCCATCCCAAATTCGTCTAAATTTGTTTTTCCGACAGACACGGCCCCGGAACTCTCAAGAAGCTCCGCAACCGTTGAGTTGAAAGGTGAAACATAACCCTCTAAAATCTTAGAGCCGCAAGTTGTCGGTAACTTCGTGGTCGTAATGTTATCTTTGAGAGCGTAAAGCACATTCTGTAATGGTTTACTCGGGTAGTCATCATCGTTGTTTTCAGACAGCTGACGCCTAGCATCCCGATTCAAACTAGTAAAGATGTTGAATTTGTCCTGTGCCAATGCTACTCGATCAAGTTTCTTGAGAGCATTAGATATTACTGACATGTCTCGAAATATGTTTTCCAGTTCATAAGTTTTCCAAATTGCTCGACAGCTCAGTGATTAGCTGTTGATGAGCCGTAAACCTAAAATTAATGATATAATGAGTTCTCCAAATGTCAAAATAACCGAACTTTTTCCCAATTGGAACCGGGCTTAATCTCTAAGTGGTGAACACTAACCGTCTTATGAATGGGGTCTCTTTTAAACCTTTCTTCCTTGTAATGATTAAGTTCTTTAATCTACGTTTTTTCAAGAGCCTTATCATATTGATCTTCAACGGTAACGGCCACCGAAATACAAAAAATTCGATCCAAGAAGCCGAGCAGGCTGCTTATAATCCATGAAATTTTTAAAATGAACATCGCATTTGGTTAGACGACTCGCAAGTTCCAACGCTGAAAGTTTTGCACTTCTCTCTTAAATGACGGGTCTAAAGACTGTAGTGTAAGATCCGTGATAGCTTTCCGAAACAGAATTTGTGTGCAAGAGGAATATAATCAAACAAGAATTACTGAACAGATACATATGGTTTAATATCGTGAACTGGACCTCATTTGGAAGCGCTAGGTGTTTGTCAAAGGTGTCTTAATAGGACATGGAGATAAGGATGTGTTGATGTCATTCTAAACGAGTGATCGTTGAGTTTCAAGATCTGGATAAACCTTAAATGCTCTGTAATGAACAGCGCTTGAGAATTGCAAAAATACTACGCGACTTGAGTAAGCCTGGTTTTGGTAATAGAAGCATACTTCGACTTTTGGTCATGATAGCTACCGCGTATTCGGTACACTCCGTGGGCTCCTACATGGAAGCCATGAAAAGTATGGTGCAAGCATCAGAAAAGTTTGGAGACAAGCTAAACTATGCTCAAGGATCCGAGATAGATTTAGAACAATTAAGTGGGGATGCTGAATCTGCGCCGGGTTTAACGGTGCTCTCGCAAGATCGTAATAATTGGGACGATGTGTTTGACGAGTTCAGTCACGTGAGTTCGGAAAACTTATTCAGGCTCATAGGCGATGGGAATAATAGGGTTGCCAAACGCGTCCTTTCTCGACTTTTGGATATGGCAAGCACTGCTAAGTCTCCCGATGTCGATATGGAAATCTTTTTGCAATCCATTTTTATGGTCCTAAATGTGGAGTCGCTCGACGTTGCGCAAAACGATTTGTTCAATCTTTTGGGTGATGAAAATATCGATTTCATCTCATTCGTCATCCAAAATAAGGCACAGATTTTGAAATACTCTGTCGAAGATGTCTTGACTTTAGGCCAGCTGCCAGATGGCCAAGAAAAATTCATGACTCAGCGCGATATACGGAACCAGGTTCTACAAAATGCTCAAGATGCTAAAAATCAGGCCCTACTACCTGCTCAATTCCAACAGGAATATCGTCACGTTTACAGAAAACACGAGGCAGGTTCGGGTTTAACACTGTCTTTCACGGGCCAAAAATATGCATTGCCTGCGGGGAGTACGAGACAATCATATCAAATGTACGAGGAGATTATTATACCGAAAGCAGATCAAAGCGTTAAAAATTCGGTACGAGTCAAAGAAATAAGGGTTTCTGAATTGGATTTAATCTGTCGATCTGTATTCACTTATGATACGCTTAACAAAATTCAATCGATAGTGTTTCCGGTTGCTTATGATACCAATGAAAACATGTTGATATGTGCGCCAACAGGTGCTGGTAAAACAGATATTGCGCTTTTGACTATTCTCAACATTATAAAACAATATTCGGAGATTAATGCAGATGGCCAAATAAATATTAACTTCGACTCATTCAAAGTTGTCTATGTTGCCCCGCTAAAAGCTTTGGCTGCTGAGATTGTAGAGAAATTTGGTAGAAAGTTGGCCAAGTTTGACGTCAAGGTCCGGGAGTTGACTGGCGACATGCAATTGACCAAGGCAGAAATTTTGGAGACGCAAGTGATTGTTACTACGCCCGAAAAATGGGACGTGGTAACTCGTAAAGGGAATGGAGACAATGATCTTGTTTCAAAAGTCAAACTGTTGATCATCGATGAAGTGCATTTACTTCATGAGGATAGAGGTTCAGTGATAGAAACTCTGGTGGCCAGAACTTTGCGGCAGGTTGAAAGCTCACAGTCAATGATTAGAATATTAGGTCTTTCGGCCACATTACCAAATTTTATGGACGTAGCTGACTTCTTGGGCGTGAATAGACAAGTGGGCATGTTTTACTTTGATCAGTCATTTAGACCCAAAGCCCTGGAACAGCAACTTCTCGGCTGTCGCGGAAAGGCCGGTAGCAGGCAAGCACGCGAAAATATAGACAAAACAGCTTACGAAAGGGTTATTGAAATGGTCCAGAAAGGCTCTCAGGTCATGGTTTTTGTGCATTCAAGAAAGGAAACTGTCAAGACTGCCCGAACTTTCATTTCTATGGCCCAGTCCAATCAGGAAATCGAAACCTTTTCGAACGATTCACCAATAAGAAACTCTTATTCAAGAGCAATGACTAATAATAAGGAGAAAGATCTCAAAGAACTTTTCCAATTTGGATTCGGTGTTCACCACGCTGGTATGTCTCGTTCCGACCGTAATCTCTCTGAGCGACTGTTCAAAGATGGTGCTATCAATGTTCTCGTTTGCACTGCAACATTAGCTTGGGGTGTAAACCTTCCAGCAGACGTTGTTATTATCAAAGGGACACAAGTCTATGATTCCAAGAAAGGTGGGTTCTCTGATTTGGGAATATCAGATGTAATTCAAATTTTTGGACGTGCTGGTAGGCCTGGATTTGGATCATCTCATGGTATCGGCATTTTGTGTACTTCGAGCGATCGCCTTGACGATTATGTGTCCCTGATTACACAGCAGCATCCAATAGAATCTAGACTAGGTTCCAAGCTTGTTGACAATTTGAACGCCGAGATCTCTTTAGGAACTGTAACCAATGTCGAAGAAGGCATTCAATGGCTTGGTTACACTTACCTTTTCGTTCGAATGCTCAAAAATCCTTTGGTATATGGTATTAATTGGGATGAATTTAGAGATGACCCACAACTGTATGAAAAGCGAAGGGATATGATAATTAAAGCTGCGAGAAAAATACACAGGCTCCAGATGATAGTGTTTGATGAAGTCTCCATGCACTTCACTCCAAAGGACTTGGGTCGCATTGCTTCCGATTTCTATCTACTCAATGAAAGTGTCGAGATCTTCAATCAACTTTGCAACCCGAGCGCTACGGAGGCTGATGTTCTTGCAATGATCAGCATGAGCTCTGAATTTGATAACATAAAGTTTCGAGAAGAAGAGGCTGTTGAGCTCACACGCTTATTGGAAGACTCTACAGAATGCCAACTTGGAAGCGAGCTTGAGTCGGCCCAGGGTAAGACAAATGTGCTTCTCCAAGCTTACATTTCTAGAGCACGCATTTTCGATTCTGCCCTCGGCTCTGATTCCAATTATGTTGCACAAAATTCCGTTAGAATTTGTAGAGCGCTATTTTTGATTGGCGTCAACAGAAGATGGGGGGCTTTCAGTAAAGTGATGCTTGACATATGCAAGTCTATTGAAAGACGTCTTTGGTCTCACGATCATCCTCTTTGCCAGTTTGATCTACCTGAAACTATCCTAAGAAGAATTAGAGAAAAGAACCCCACAATGGAGCTTCTTCTAGATATGGAGTCCGATGAACTGGCCGACTTGGTTAATAACAAGAAACTTGGTCACAAGCTTTATGGCGTAATGAGTAGCTTCCCATTAGTGAACATCGAAGCTGAGATTTTCCCGATAACCACTAACGTTATGAGAGTTCATGTGATTCTTGAACCCTCTTTCAAATGGGATGTGAGTATTCATGGAAATGCGCAGTTTTTCTGGGTCTTCGTTGAAGAGTCTGATAAATCACAACTGCTCCATTTTGAAAAGTTTATTTTGGGCAGGAGGCAACTTAGCCACCCGCACGAGTTGGATTTTATGATACCGCTCTCCGATCCACTCCCTCCACAAGTTGTCGTTAAGGTTGTCTCTGATTCTTGGATTGGAGCTGAATCAACTCATCCTATTTCCTTCCAGCACCTAATTCGACCACACAACGAAACGCTGCAAACTAGACTGCAAAAATTAAATCCGTTACCGAGAACTGCACTAAACAACAAATTAATTGAGGAAATCTACCCTTTTCGTTATTTCAACCCGATGCAGACAATGACCTTCCATACGCTCTATCATAGCAACAATAGTGTTTTTGTTGGTTCGCCAACAGGTTCCGGTAAAACAGTTGCGGCGGAATTGGCGATGTGGCATGCATTTCGAAAGTTCCCTGGTAGTAAAATTGTTTATATCGCGCCAATGAAGGCTTTGGTTAGAGAAAGGGTCGATGACTGGCGGAAAAGGATAACACCTGTTACGGGTGACAAAGTGATTGAATTGACTGGAGACTCCATTCCAAATCCTCAGGACGTTCGAGATGCAACTATCATCATTACAACTCCCGAGAAATTCGACGGTATCTCTCGTAACTGGCAAACCAGAAAATTTGTTCAGCAGGTTTCTTTGATTATAATGGATGAAATTCATTTGTTAGCTAGCGACAGAGGTCCCATATTGGAAATGATTGTGAGTCGTATGAACTATGTTTCCACTCGTACAAGCCAGCCGGTGCGTCTCTTGGGAATATCAACTGCTGTTTCTAATGCTTATGACATGGCGGGATGGTTAGGCGTCAAGGATAATGGCCTTTACAATTTTTCATCTAGCATCAGACCTGTGCCATTGAAAATGTACATTGATGGATTCCCTGATAATCTTGCATTTTGTCCTCTCATGAAGACCATGAACAAACCTGCTTTTATGGACATCAAGCAGCACTCACCGAACAAGCCGGTTTTGATTTTTGTTGCATCGCGTAGACAGACAAGACTTACTGCCCTAGATTTAATTCATCTGTGTGGTATGGAAGAAAATCCTCGCAGATTTTTGAATATCGAGGATGAAGGTGAGTTACAGTATTATATTTCGCAGGTCACTGACGATACATTAAAATTGTCGCTTCAATTCGGCATTGGTCTTCACCACGCGGGCCTGGTCGAGAAGGATCGGTCTATTTCCCACAAGCTTTTCCAAAGCAATCGCATTCAGGTTCTTGTTGCGACATCCACGCTTGCATGGGGTGTCAATCTCCCTGCACATCTGGTGATTATCAAAGGAACACAGTTTTTTGATGCCAAGATCGAAGGATATAGAGATATGGACTTGACTGATATTCTTCAAATGATGGGTAGAGCCGGTAGACCTGCGTACGACACAAGCGGTACCGCAATCGTGTACACTCGACAAGCGAAAAAAATGTTCTACAAGCATTTCTTAAATGTTGGGTTTCCTGTGGAGTCTTCGTTGCATAAAGTTCTAGATGATCATCTTGGTGCTGAGATTGCGTCAGGATCGATAACAAATAGGCAAGAAGCTATGGATTTTTTGAGTTGGACGTTTTTCTTCAGAAGAGCGCACCATAATCCAACTTATTACGGTATCACTGAAGATACTACCCCGGCAGGCATTAATCAACATTTAAGTGCATTGATTGACACAACTTTAAAAAGCTTAGAAGAATCGCAATGTGCGGTTTTACATGGTGATGAAATTGAGGCAACCTCTTTCCTAAGCATATCCTCATATTACTACATTTCGCATAAGACTGTAAGGCTCGTCTTGCGCCAAATATATGACGGCGCCACTTTCCGGGACGTTCTCAAATGGCTTTCTCTAGCCATAGAATTCAATGAGTTGCCGGTCAGAAATGGTGAAATAATCATGAATGAGGAGATGTCTGCACAATCAAGATATAATGTCGAGAGCACTTTCACTGGTGAGGAAGAACTCCCCATGTGGGATCCTCATGTCAAGACTTTCCTACTTTTGCAAGCGCATCTAAGCAGAGTGGACTTGCCAATTGCCGATTATCATCAGGACACGGTATCGGTACTTGACCAGGCTCTGCGTATTTTACAAGCATATGTGGATATTGCAAGCGAATTGGGTTTCTATCGAACGGTGATGACAGTTATCAAAGTAATGCAATGTGTCAAGCAGGGCTGCTGGTACGAAGACGATCCTCTCACTACATTACCCGGTGTGCCGCTCAAGAGACGCTCTGGACTCGATTTCACAGATCTAGGCTATCCTACAGGTGCCGATCAAAAATCGACTTTAGAGGAACTAGGTTCCGCAGGCTTCAAGAAATTGGAAGCCATCGCCAGAAAGCTGAATGTTGCTCAGGACAAATTAAAAGATTTTAAAAGAGAGGCTCAGCGGCTTCCTCTCTTGAAAGAGATAGAAGTTGAACCGCAATCTTCTCCAGATAAAATGATTATTTCTGCGAAGCATGTCAATTCTAAGTGCAGCAGAAACTTCGAAGTGTGGTGTGACAGATTCCCCAAGACCCAGAAAGAGCTGTGGTTTGTCATAGGATACCAGGGAAATGAGTTAATGATGATAAAGAGATGCCAACCCAAAGTAGTACAAGGACAAGTATCCATAATTTGTGATTTCATTTTACCCAAGGAACTACAGGGCGAAAAACTAGATTTCACCTTGATATGCGATGCGCAAGATATTTCCTATCAATTTAGCTATGTGCTCATTAAGTAACTTGACTAGTGCTTGTCTTCGAACTACTCGAAGAAATCGTCCTCATTTTCGTCCTGGCCGTCGTTGACACTACCGCGTTCACCGAGACGCCCAGATTCACGTGATTGATCCCACGACACACCGTATTGGTTATCGTCAAGTTTATGGCCCTTCAGTATTGCAGGAAGCGCCACGGGCAGCGTTCCTTCACGATGGTGCTTCTCCACTGCTTCCCACACTTGTTGACGTCTTGAAAGGGTCTTGTCACCTTTGTCGGCTACGTTATCTGCGTCTTCTGATGGATAAAGCGCAATGTATTTTTCCAGTCTTGAGAAATTGACCACATAACACAAGTCTACTTCAGCTTTCCAAAGTTGCTTTTTGGCAGCCGAAACTTCATCTTTGTCTTGCGGACTCGATGCATGTACACGCTCTGAGGCCCTTTTATATTTTCGTAGTGCCTTTTTACGCTCGAAAAACCTCACCATGTGGTATTTTTTTGCATTTTTCTGCTGCTTCTTGCGCAATTCAGCAGATTCAAGTTCCAGCTGTAACGCTTCTAGCGTTCTCTCCTTCTCGATCAAAACCGTGTCCGGCAAAACGTCTTTTTTCTTCTGCAAAAGTCGCTGTATCTCCCGAATTTTTTTCTTTACTTTATTAGCTCCACCACCCAATGTCGCACTTAGCTGACTGGATGGTTTCCCTGCTCTTTTAGACCGCATGCTATGGTTTTTGTTCATAGTTTTCCCGGTTTGTCGCTGCCTATAAATTAAGCGATGCGATGTGCTTCATTTAAATTTTCGAGTTTCTTTTCGATTCTTGATTCTTGGAAAATTAACATCATTAACAACGAATACCGGCAGCTTCATTATCGAAAACGATCAACATACTGAAACCTTATCACTGCTATGAAAAGCTCATATATATTCGGAAATGGGTATCTTACTTGTACATAACCAACAATCACCAGGACCGCATACTTTGGACAAGCGCTTGTCATTGGTTCTTGCTTTGAAACATTGGAATCCGAACCTGTATAAAACGTAGTGCTTTCCTTCTCTTTGAGAACCAAACCACACTCTCAGTCGCGCTCAGTTTTTCTTCTTGCGACCGAAAAGACCCCGCTTCTTCTTCTTACCCTGCGCCTGCTCAGCAGGAGCGGGAGCCGTATAGACGGCTTGTTCAGCTGCGTAACTACTTCCAACAGGCGCCCCGGGGCCCGCAGGATACCCGGATCCGCTGTTGTAAGGGTTAGAGTTGCCGAAACTGGGGAAATCGGGACGCACGTGAAACCCGTACTGCTGGGTCTCGAGCCGTTGGCCCCACGAGGGGTCACCGGAGATCGAATACTCGAATCCACGAATAGTGTCGAGAGGACGCTCGTCACGTGACCGTGTCGGGTTCGAAATATCAGGTTGGTTAATGGGTTGGCCAAAAACGTCGCGTAAACCCTGGGCATGTTCGCCTGAGTAGTAAGATTGTCTGTTTGGGTCTGTCGTTTGGAAAGCGTCAGCGGCCTGTTCGAACGGCTGAGCTTCTTGCACAGCCTCGAGAATCGGGTCGTGAACGGACGCGGTCCGAATTTTCAAGTGTTCCCGGTCTTCTTTCGTCAGTTTGACGTCCGCTGGATGACCTCCAGACCCGCCAGAACTGCTGCTACTCTTTCTGAAGAGACCCATGACGTACTGCTTTGATGCGCTTCTTGGTTTCGAAATGATCCACCGTTGCCTTGAATCTAGCGCTTTTTCAATGCGGTTTTCAGTGCAAACGTAAGCAGCGTGTATAGTATTGTTCTATCTCTCGTACTACTCCAGATCACTTTCGGATCAAGGGCTTTGTTGTCTGTTCTTCGGTGTTTCAATGTGTTGATATAAATATCATGTTTCTTCAGCTGAGCCTCGGTTTCGAGTATACGGCTATTTTCATTTAGGCCTCTGAGTACCGTTGTCGATCAAAGTTTGGTTGCAAGGTGTTACCCGACAATGAGTAAAAAACAGGTAAACGTCGTTTCAAATGATTATTCGTTTTGCAAATTCGTCCATGGTGACAATATGGAGACTGCCGTGCCTGATGATAAAACCGGTAACGGTACGTTAGACAGTGCCGATTAGGGCACCGGGTCTGCTGGCACTGCCGGCACTGCCGTGTTTGGGAGTCGAACGCTGTCCGCTATGACGGTGTCCCCGGTGCAAAAGTCTACAGAGCTTCGTCTATGCTCTCGTCGAGCAACGGGTATCCGCCGGTGGCGGCAGATACCCGTGCACATTCAAGTTCGAGCTGGAACAAATTGCCGTAACGGGACGTTGCAATGAAAAGTATGGGCACCATGAACATGGGTAGTGCATCAAAAACGTAGATGGTCCACTCGTTGCTCATGAGGTACCCGTCGAAACCTTCAAAAAACTCAACAACACGTACAATCGACCGGATCAAAATGCATATGCTTGCGGCAATCAAAGTCAAGTTCATTATGTGCCATCCTTTACTGAGCTCGTGCACGATGGCTGACCGTTTGCGTACCAGCGCGGAGAACAGCACTTCCGTCACAATGAACAACCCGAAAAACACGATCTGAACCAGCAAACCGCCGATAATGATGTCCTCACCAGTGGAACGGCTCGACTCCGTCGCCATCATACCACCTCCAGCGGCCTGTAGCAGAAAGCTCACAACGTCGCCTGTCACGAACACGGCCGTGTTGAATCGCACGGGTACCAGCGAGATTGAAGTGCATTGCATGATGATCAGCATACGTCCAAAAATCATATAGATCGACGCCGCCATCAGCGCAGGCGATACCAGTAGAAAAACCAAATGTATCACATAGGGAACCAGCATATCAGTATTTTTGCTAGAATACGCACGTGCGATGTATCCGCCGGTCTCGATGCCACAACCGAACACCAGAAAAAAGTACTTGAACGCAGTTCTCGTACTGGTGTTCATACGCGGTTGTTGTCCTATCCGTTCTTGTTCCAGTTTCTCAGGCAGTACTACTTCGCCCATCTTTTTACGTTTCTCTAGGACAATCCAAGCCAGCGTGAACATTGAGATCCCAAAAACTGCCGAAAAGAACGCGGCCGCACCGGTGTTTGGCGCATAGTTGTAAAACCCACTGTATTGCATTCTAGAATGTGCAATGAGACGAGAGTAAGGTATGCGATGCAGTTGTTATCTAAATCAATTTTTTGAGGATTCGACAATTTTCAGTTTTCATTTTATAGTTGGCATGCAACACCAAATTAGGACTCCGATATAAATAGAGTCAAGCGGGAAACTAAGCCACTGAGCTAAATCAGCGGAAGGATTCATTGTTGAATTGTCGATAGCCGCGACTTTAGTTGGATCCTTTTAAGTTCTCTCTATTGTCTAGGTGACGATGCCCAGGCTTGAAAATCGATGAAAGTATGTAGCAGATGACGAGTGCGAAGCCGGAATTTTGATCGTCGATTCCTGACGCGGACCCTTCACAGATATTGTCATACATGACATTTGCGCGGAAATATTCGCATAAATATGGATATGTCGGATTCTTGTTGTTCCCTTTTACTTTTTGTTCATATCATTCGATTTGTATGATATGGCTGATGGAGTCGCGATTACTTGTTGGTGCAACAATAATGGTATAGGCTGTAAAAATGAAGTGGACGGCATTTCCATACAAATCTTGAGGAAATGGTCTTCAAGTGCGTGGCTAATATCAAGGCTTCTCGCGGTGGAAAAATTCCAAGTGAACTCCATGGGGACGATTTTCGGACAGAATAGAATAGAACCCAGCAACACCTTAACGGCCAGGACCAGCTCACCACGGGAACGCGGCAACTAAGATAAGAATCGAGGCAAAAACAAACAAAAAGAACACAAGGTCGAAAATTGAGATTCTGTCTATCGTCCCGAGATCCAAACGCTCTATCAATAATTTTAAAATGGTCATTACGTTAGCTGTCGTGTTTCATACACAGTTTTTTAACACGGCTTGCTTGACAGCGTTACAAGCATCGAGCAGCTCTTTTTCAGACATAGTTGCATTGCAGCAAATCTTGATACTGGGCACAATGGGCAAAGTTTCGTGCTTGTAGATGTAGGTACTTCTGCAAATGTACACGTTACTGTCGTGCAACGCCGTGTCGACAATACACTGCAGAAACCGGTCCTCGAGTTCGTAGGCCTCAACATGTTTCTCTGAAATGCCCTTTTTCTGCAAAATGGCACGTTCTTGGAAAATTTGTTCCTCGGAAGAGTTGAATTTCTGAAGACGGAACTCAGGAGTGAGTCTGAAATGCAAAATGTAGGATGCGGGATCGGACGTGACTTGAATGTATTTGGAAAGCGCTTTGTCTTGCGAGAAAAAAACGTGTAATTTGTCGGAAAGTGCGTGCAGTTTGGCGACCGCGTCGTTCCCGTTCTCGAGTAACTCTATCACCTTGGACACAGCCGCTACCGTATAAGAGGGCAGGGACGCAGAGTAACAGTATGCGAAAGAACCGATACGCTGGTGCTTGGACATGATATCATCGCCCAGCACGAACCCCCCCGATGAGCCCATCGCGGTCGCCAGCGAGCCCGTTGTAATGTCGATGCTCGAGGAACGCGCCATATTGAAATGCTCCGTAACTCCGCGGCCCGTTGCGCCCAAGACACCGATGGAAAAGGTTTCGTCGACAAACAAACGGTACCTGTACTTGTTCTTGAGACGCACCAGGTCCGGTAAGGGCGCAATGTCCCCCAAACGGTGGAACAGACCCTCGGTCACGATAAACTTACGAGGGAGCGCGGGCAAATTCTCCTGGAGCTCGCGTTCTTGCAAATGGATGAGCAGTTCCTCGAGAGAGTCCATGTCGTTGTGCTTAAAGTAGTACACGGTAGACCTGCTGAGTTGCAGGGCATTTTGCAACGAAACGTTGACTTGGTCATCAGCGACAATGACATCGCCTCTTTTCGTGAACGCGGGAACTACTGAGGGCGCAACGCAGAAGTCCTGACCGTACAAGACGGCCGATTCCGTACCGAAAAACCTCGCCATATCATACTCGAGTCGCGAATGCACATCCTGGTTCCCGTAGAATCCAGCCGGTCCACACGCGCCAACACCGTAACGACGAATAGTCTCCTCTGCGACTGCGACGACCTCGGGATGCTGCGTCAATTGCAATGCGTTGTGGGACGCGCAATTGAAGGTCACGTGATCGGCACCATTTTCGTCGCTTGTGTTGCCCGTAGCGCCTCGTGCGAGCCTCACCTGGTTGACAATTCCGCCTCCTACGACACGAGGCAGTGCGTTTAACCGCCACTTCTGGTCGTCGGGCACGCGCTCCACAAGCGGTTCCGGCTCCCACTCCTCGAGCAGCGCCTCGACCTCTCGCGCGGAAAGTCCGCTTCCGGGCACCACCACGCCCTTCTTGCGCGGCTTACCCAAGAAATACACGATCCCGTAGATGATAAGCACGATTTCAACCATGGTTCTGTACGGATCGTCTTGATGCGATTTCTTCACGTACGAAACGATATACCGCGTCCCGGGAACTTTCTCGAACAGTGTCCGGAGGTAGAACCAAGCGTACGCGGACGTTTGCACAAGTCCAGCGGGAACGGGTATTGACGAAGGTAGGATCTCAGGAGGCTTGGTCATGATTGCACGGCTAGCGGAATGACGAATGAATGTGAGTCTGTCTGTTGCCTGTATGGCTTGTGTTTTGTAGCAACCGCTTTGTTATTATTGCCAGTCCCCGTTAGCGCTGTTGATACTGGGTGGGAGTCGTTGGTTTGTGTATAGGAGATGCGAGGGGTGGGGGTCTAGATGGAAAAAATTGATGATTTTTCTTGTCGCTGGGTACGAGGCCGGACAAATGCGCTGCCATCGTCTTTTACGTGCCTCGCTCTACACGGCTCCTTTCGGCCGAGTTGATCGCTTTGAACGTGAAATATGGTTCAACCTCGAAGCATTATATACGGAGAGAGAGGAGATTGTCTCAAGGAAATAAAGGGACATTCCTCTAGCGTAACTGCCTCCCAGATTCGTTCACAATGCTTCAAGATAACTAATCGCTTGCATGTTTCACAGTGTCATTCGATACGGGAATCTCGCCCTGCAGCCAGACGGTCGTTCGGGTGGTTAACCCCTACCCCTGTATCTCAGGTACCGAGTCATCTCCCCCTCGGGTATAAGTACTGGGGTCCCTTTGCCACGGCTCTCCAAGACAACGCATTTCTTACCCTTTCTCACCCCTTCCAGTGAAAACCAAAACCAGTTCTTTGTCAACTACAATGCTGGTATCTTCGCTACTAAGTCTAGCGGTGGCGTCCCTTGCACAGGGCGCCTCGTTACAAAACGTTTTTAAAGCCAATACGCCCACGGTGCTCGACCAAGCCATCGAAGCGCTGGGCTTGGACTCGAAAGCGGCGCTAGCGTCGCTTACGCCGGAGATTAAGGAACTATGGGGCGAAATGAGTCTCTTGTGCCCCAAGGAGACCAGCGAGATGGAGTTCTTCACAAAACCACGGTTCAAGGTGAACCGGAAACCGGACCATGAATGGGATTTTGTTGCGCAGCACAGTGCTTCGCACAAGTTGCGTGTCAACAAGGTCAAGGACCCGCAGGTGTTGGGTATCGACCCAGGTGTCAAGCAGTACACCGGTTACCTGGACGTTGAAGAGGAGGACAAGCACTTTTTCTACTGGTTTTTCGAAAGTAGGAACGACCCGGCCAATGACCCTGTGATCTTGTGGCTGAACGGTGGCCCTGGCTGTTCGTCGCTGACAGGTCTTTTCTTTGAGTTGGGACCTTCGTCGATCGGCTCGGACATTAAACCCATCTACAACCCACATTCTTGGAACTCCAACGCTTCTGTCATCTTTCTAGACCAACCTGTCAACGTCGGTTACTCTTATTCGTCCTCTGCCGGCGTTTCCAACACGGTCGCCGCAGGCAAAGACGTGTACGCGTTTTTGCAACTTTTCTTTACTCAATTCCCCGAATATGCGTCCGGTCAGGATTTCCATATCGCCGGTGAATCCTACGCGGGCCATTATATCCCAGTGTTTGCCTCGGAGATTTTGTCGCACCCTGTCGAAGAACGCGCGTTCAATTTGACCTCTGTGCTCATTGGGAACGGTTTAACCGACCCACTCTCGCAGTACCCGCTCTACGAGCCCATGGCGTGCGGTGAAGGTGGTGAACCCTCTGTTCTTGAGCCCGAAGAATGTCAGGGCATGCTCGACACTTTGCCTCGTTGTTTGAGCTTGATCGAGTCCTGCTACGAGTCTCAATCCGTCTGGACCTGTGTTCCTGCGGCCATCTACTGTAACAACGCCCAAATGGGACCCTACCAAAAAACTGGTAAGAACGTTTACGACATGCGCAAAGAGTGCAAGGGTGAGCTTTGTTACGAGGAGATGTCTTACATGGACGAATACTTGAACACGGATGCCGTTAAGAGCGCCGTCGGTGCAGAAGTCGACCACTACGAGTCTTGCAATTTCGACATCAACAGAAATTTCCTTTTTGCAGGTGATTGGATGAAGCCGTATCATAAGGCGGTTACTGAACTGTTGAATCAAGAATTGCCCGTTCTTATTTACGCCGGTGACAAAGACTTTATTTGCAACTGGCTTGGAAACGAAGCTTGGTCCTCCGTCCTACCTTGGAAATACAGTGAAGAGTTCCAGAAACAACCTCTCAAGGACTGGATTTCTAGCACCACTGGAGAAAAGGCAGGTAAAGTCAGAAACTATGAATATTTCACTTTCCTTAGAGTTTACGGTGGAGGCCACATGGTTCCATTTGATGAGCCCGAAAACGCACTTGCCCTGGTTAACGACTGGGTTCAAGGCAATTACAATTACAAAAAATAAGGCAATTGAGGCCTTGAAAGACCATCAGAAATGGCGATTTCTTTCCCCAGGACTTTTCACCGTATCTAAAATAATATTTACAAAATGAGATATAAACACATTTACAAGCAACCTTGATGACTAGCCCTAATGACTTAGTCGTCAATGTATTCCTTAACTCGACAATACCATGTCAAGTTCGTTAAAAATTGAGTTCGATTATCTCCACTTGTTTGGATTCTGAAAAACTGATGATTTATTAACGAGAGCTTCATCAATAGTTCAACTTTAAGAATTTAGCCAATTTATCACAACAAGCAACGATATGGCAAGACACACATCTCAGATAGCTAATCTTCTATTCTATATTACTATTGGACTCGTGCTTATCGCTGCGGTTGAATATTTCAAGTATTCAACCCGGATTCATTACGAATGGTTTCACTGTACGCCAGTAAAGGAAACCATTGTTCCTGGCTCTTCAGCGACAAAAATGTTTGCAGTAGGTGGTCCCAGCTGCGATAAACGGGGCGAACTCAAGACCTTGGTTAAGCGCATTACAAGAGATTTTGAAACAAATCAAGAACGGGCATCTTTCTGTATACTTGAGAATCCAAGAGTGTCACATGTGCATTATCCAGTGGGAGAAAACAAAGGAGAACCAGGTTACATTGCATACGTTAGTTACGATTCTGATTTTGATGCTATTGCTGATTATTGTGCTGATACTACAGTTCTTCATATCTAGTACGTAAATAGTGAAATGATAGATGCACGCTGAATCTACGGCGACGCTTCTTTGGGGCCCGATATTTATGTTTCTGGTGGAGAAACGGACGGCGCCTGCTCTGCAGACGCCGGTGTCGTTCTGCCTGCGTTTTGTATTCCGCCATTGTACATCGGACAAGTTTTGTTAGTTCTTATGTGGCCCACGAGACCGCAAGTAGCGCATCGCCGATTTGTATGCTTGTTTTTGGTGACTTTGCCATCTTTAGTCTTTTCTTTAGCCAATTTCCTCGCTTGCCTTCTCTCCTGGGATTTCTGTAATCTAGCGAGCTCTTCTTCAAGAAGCTTTTTGCGTTTCAATTGTTTTTCCTCCGAGTTCTCGCCCGCAACCAAATCAATATTATCGCTCATTAATTCTTCCAGGCCAAGATTTGCCTCTGCTTCCATTCTCTTCTTTTCATAAGCGTTCAAATATCCGTGAATAACTCTGGGGTCCCTTATAATTACAGTTTGGCGTTGAATAATGCCGTTTTCGTCTCTCTTTTTCCGCGTGAGTCTTAACACTTTATGATCGTCTCTGAATAATTTGACTCTTTTGTGCGTCTTGTTAGTGATGTCCGGATCATCCATTTCCTCAAATGGGTTGGTAACTCTTAAAGTTTTCGCCTGTGTGTACCACGTTTTGCTGATCTCTTCATCATACGCCTTTTGCTGTTGCGCGACGTTATAGCTGTGTCCTGTAAGCTTTTCATTTGGTTGGGAATCGGGACCTGATCGAGTGAACCCGCCCTTCATTGAGGTTTTCAAAAAAGAAAATCCCTCTCCGCATCCCGTGGGATCACCAGCCCCGTGAATTTGCACCATGGCCCGCATTTGGGTTGCATTCAAGAAATTCTTTGAAACGCTCCACGGTATAAGATTTTCCTCCAGCTTCCGGAGCTTTTCGTCAAAATTGTAGGTTTCGTTATCCTCCTGGTATTGCTGGCCTTGAAACATCGATTCTGCGAGCGCGACATCTTCGGGAACAATCATTTTTTTGACATTTTCATTGTCAGGTAGAATTTCCGTTTCTTTCAATTTCCAGAAGCCATGATCATCACCATCTCTTTGATACTTCATGAACTCCTTTAGACGCTGACGATTTTGCATATCATTTTGATCAGGAAAATGACGCGCCACTTGTTTGACTAAAAGTCTACGCTCCGGTGATTTGTTTAATATGCGGTAAACGATCATACGAAGTCTATTTTTCCCCAGCGAGGTCACTTTTCTTGAATTGGGCCCAGGAACCTCAACTACAGGGAACGTCTGTCCCACGGTAAAGAGATGATTGATGTTTCTAAGGTAGAATCGGTTCCCCATTCCATTACCTGAGCTTCTAATGAGCAAGAAATCTATTCCGGAAACATCGTGTTTAAAAACGGGAGCTCTCACCATATTGTTATACAGAGTCGGCACGACGTTACCGGGCTCAACGAACCCAAAATTCCAAAAAGGTGATTTGTCTTGTACACCCAGCACATGCGTCTCTCCGACGGGCAACTTTGGCCTAAAAACATCCTTATCATCTGTCTTGCGATAGTAATTGATGAGCTTACTGCCCATACCGAATTTCGAGAGAGATATTGGGTTTTCCTCTGAGTATTCCATCAAAAAAATTGGTGCACTGTCACTGACAGTAAGATCTTGACTCCTTGCAAATATTTGTTTGATGTCTTTTCCTTTATCTTTCTTACGCTTGCGGGTCTTCAAACGGCTGAAAACGATATTGGTACCAGGACGTATATTTGACCCAAAATTCGGCCTATGGAAATGTCGCATTTGATATTTTGATGGCGCCACTTTGTAAAAGGGAGATTGAAGTCGCGTTGCAGGTTGTGAGTGCTCGATGCTCAAATTCGATATTGTGGACCGAATCTTGGTTTGGTAATTCTCTTTTAGGATCTTGTATTTGTCGTCGTTGGAAATATTGAACTTCTGAAAAAGTGTTTTCTCATTGAAGGGGAGAAGAGGATTTTCTTTACCTGCATCTGCGCTGGCAGGATGTGCACTTTTCACTAGCAGCAATTTTTCGTCGTTCATATCCAACGCTGCCTTTACATGATCCAGTTTTCCTTCTACGAAATCATCTTCCGTCCAATTCCATTTTGAAGGATCGAATGGCAACTGACTACGCAGGGAAGATCGTACATCAATTTCTGCACTAATTTTCCCCATTTCATCATCGCTATCACCAACGATCTTGTTGAAATCCCAGTCATCTGTAGTTAATAAGAAATTTTCAGAAACTTCGGTAATTTCCTTTTTGCTTTCTTGTCTTTTGGGTTCCTCTGGATATAGCTCGTCAAAGCTTACTTTAACTATTCCAAACTTTCGCCGTTTTTGAGATTTGCCCATCTGCTGCCAGCTTTTGTCCTTGACTCTGAGAAGCTTTCTGGTATCGGCTTGCACTTCAAGCTTCACATTTAAGGGAATCATAGGTTTGAACTGTTTTGCCGAAAGATATAGTTCGCGTTGCCATTGGTAGTCAGCAACTTGCCGCGGTACAACGCTCGTGAGCCGTAACACTTTGCCTTTCTGGAACTTGGGGAAATAATACTTCAAGGACTCCTTTCTTTCCTTTTCTTCCATCTCGCGATTTCTTTGCTTCTGCTGTTCATCCTGCTCATACTGGTGGTGGGTATGATCAAAATCTTCATAAACGCCTTGCTCTTCGGGTAAAAACCCGTCGTGTATTTCCATGTCCATGAAAAGGGTGTTGTTTTTATTCTCGTAGTCATTCGTTTCGTCAGCCAGGTTGCTCTCATTGTGAATCATATCCAGGTAATTCTCATTAGCCTCTAGATTCCTATCTCTTTGACCACGAGGCTCTTCTTCCGGCAACTCTTCATCCGCTAGTTCATCCTCATCTTCGAAGTCGATTGCGTCGGGCAAATGTTCCGTCTGATTCTCACTGGGGCCAATATAATTGCCAATTTCGAGCGACCCGAAATCTCCGCTAAAAATGGCATTATAAGCTTCTTCCTCGTTGGAATAATCCCCTGAAGCTGGTACACCGTTTTTCTTGCTCCTCTTCGCATTCATCTTGCAAAGAAAGATGCCCAAAGGTCCCTTATGTCCTTACCAATGCCATACACCGACCTTCAGTTCTGTCGAAGTCAGCTTTTGGTGTGTCAGAGTTGACCAGTTTATATGTAGTTAATTACGAAAACTTAAAAGAGTAGATCTTATCATACGAAATAAACTGAAATACTCATCCCGTCTCATCTCATCTAATCTCATCAAGGGTTTACGGTTGTGATATTACAGTGAAGTGTTTGCGCAACAAGATAGCCGCCTACACATTCAGCAACGCATCATTCGGCCGTATTTGTGACCAATGGCTTACAGCGCGTAATGGTCTACACACAGCGTGCATTTAGATTTGTTTTTTGATTAAAGCGTATTTGTCTCCAAGATCTGGCCCACACGATTTCCTGGGGAGCATTCGCTTGGGTTACTTCATTCCAGAATTGTATTGCTAGAAAATTTAAATTTGGCGCTTTACAAATGGACAAATGTTTGGGCTAGCTCTCGTGATGATAACTTCTGTTTCGAATCTTATGAATGCTGCACTTCATTTGGCCGACAGCTCATGCTTCTTATGTATCTGGAAAGCTGTATACGGAACATATTTGGAATTTATGAACCCGAGAACAGCATATGGACTGTGCTTGAAGGAGAAAGGGTTCCGTTTTTACCGTTAGATTCTGCCACACCTGGTCATCAAACACTATTCAGCTGACGACAGTTGTTTAAAGCGATTGAAAGCGAGGAATGTCAGGGTTCCACAACGCCTTTACTTGCAGTTGTAGAAACATTTATTGTTGAAACACTTTATTCTAAGAATTCACGCTCACATTGTTAGACGAGGTATACGGAAATTGGCCAAACAGCTTGAAGTTCTATTAAGGTTCAAAGTATTACCATTGAAAGTGTTGAGAAATTCCTGAATTTCAGAAGATGAGGCTAAACAAAGAGGCTCAACAGTTACCTTTGTAAGCAAGAGACACTGTATTATCTGGACGTGTTTGAAAGAAGTCCACTTTATTACGTTCCGGACCGACCGCATTGCAAAGACCTAAAGGCTTTATTGGACTATGTCCCTTGATGTGGCTTATAAGAGATTACTCTGACTTGAAGAGCTCGATCCGCACTTACGGTAAACCAACTATGGAGAGCCGGCAGGCAAATCAAGCCGACATCAACAACGCAGAGAAAGATAACGCAATCTTTAACGCGATTCATTCACGTTTTTATGGAGTTTCTGCGGGGGCTGGGATGAGCCTCGTCGTTGGGGCAGGAGGACCGTAGTCATTTGATGGTTTACAAAAAAGGCAGCTTTTCCAAGATTCTTCCAACTGCTATGTCTTGTTCAACGCGGGACTTACCACATGCAGCGTTGAGCGTTTTTCAACCAAAGGACTATGAAACGAAAACTCACAAGCCAACATGGCTTTCCTGAAGGTCTTAATTAAGATTTCACAAGTCGGCAAGAGCAGAACTCTCGATTTGACATCAATATTGACCCAATACGTTTTTCATCGTTTTGTTAGACGTTTTAAGCAGTCAAGACGTTGATGTCAGTTTCCAACTGATGAAAGAACGGGGTTTCGTTGTATGAAAGCACAAGAATCTCCACCTGGAACACATTACAGAGCCTTATCAGCAATGCCAGCCTCAGGATCTCAAATTAATATTCTGTTCGTTGTAAGCCGTCAGCCTTGATGTGATTTTATATACATTTACTCGCTTTAACGTATCAAATATGATCAACCACAAATTGGGGCTACATCAAGACAAGGACTGATCACTTGCTTCTGCTAATTGAGTGAGTTTACATGGATGAGAGTTGAAAGTGGAGGATGTTGAAAAAACTTGATGTCGTTAGTCACGGGATTTCCTCGCCAACAGTCAAGACCTTGGCGAAGTTGCCAACTCGATCAATAACACATGATCAAAGTTAACAATTCAGACCATTAAAAAACACGCTACAATAGTCGAGTTTCCATGTCAGGCTCATTGATATCAAGGGCGAATCGCGCCAATAACATAACTTTTTCTTCAACGAGCCAAAAATATTGGAAATACGACTGGTATTCGCCTTTACAAGTAGATACTCCGGCAGAAAATGGGAATGGCGAAGTGTCTGAAAATAAGGACCAGGACAGACTTTCATTCCATATTAAGAAGTGGATTCCTACTGAAAAGCCAGAATGGGACGATGCAGAACTTGAAGTGGACGACGTACTTGATTTGAAAAACTACGACAGAAGTAACCGGCAGGTTTTGGAACAAGAGATACAAAACGGCGCTGAACATCAAAATACGACCAGCGGTTTGAGTGCAGACGACATTAGAGGTGCAGTGGGGAATGAGGGAGGAATTTCTGGCTTTTCGGGTTCGGATGCGATAACGAGGAAAGAAAAAGAAGATGAAAATGACGCCGAAGACGAATCTGCCAAAGACGTTGAAATGGCAGACGCAACGAATCGTATCGCTGAATCTACACAAGGGGTAGAAACCATTCAAGCTGCAGCAGTCGAAGAAATTAATCCTGTGTTGGAAAACGGACTATCACAAGAGGAAGGAGATGAAATTGCGAAAGAGGAATAGAAATCTGTTGAAACTGCGGCTTGAGCAAGAAACTGCGACTTTTTGATACCTTTCTAGCATTTCTTAGTCATCAAAGTAATATCATGGAAGTCCAGTCGCTGCGGGGGGATTTCTACTCTGATCATTATTATTAAATTACTTAATTCACTGTACAATGGGGATATCTTCATCTTTAATTGCTACGAGAGCGATACCATTTCTTGCCTTCGTTACAGCTGCCTTGATTTCAATTTCAAGCTTTTTCCTTTCGTTTGCGCGTTCCTCTCTGTCCAACTTGTTAATCTCACCCATAATCCTCAGCCAATCCCTCGTATCACCTGTCCCAGAGCAAACGATCATAGCAGCAGATGGCGGACAGCTTTTGTATATCCTCTCAATCCTTTCACCCAAACTTCGAAGCGCTATGTCCTCTGAAACTACTGAAACGTCAGGGCTGGGAGTTGCATACCCGCGAGAAAACTCTAATTCTCGTAGACGGCCTACAAACAGGTCGCGGGATTCCATGTTACTGATGATGTTGTCGGTAATATCTTCGTCAGTTTGGCAATTAATTTTCATTTCCAAGTTTTTTTTGTCGGTTGCCAATTGGCATTGCTTCGGGGCGTAGTCGTTCAAGCAAAGAGATCGTATATCTTGGCGTGCTAAACGCTGGAAAAGATTTTCGGAGTTAGTTCCCACGCCAAACCCAAGGCCGTTTACAAGCTTCAATTTTGTCAACTCCATGCAGGCTTTGGCGTCATCAAATGAATCGTGTCCAATTAAATCGTTGTTTTGAATATCAATATGGAGATATTCAGAAGCCAAATACCGCAGTGCTGGTTTGAATGGGGGGCCTGCCTTGTGTTCATATATGGTCGCTGTATCGATAATACGGGGATGCTTTAATTTCAAAGCATTTAAATCTGACTGTAGCGAGTGGCCAATGAGCACATCGTCGGCACTTACAAGTTCCAAAAGTTTATTTTGAACATCTTTCAAAGTTGTCGTCACGTTCCGCAATTTTTCCTCGGTGATACCACTGTATTTTGTAAGATAATCGATGATGGGAACAGAAGGTTTCACCAATGAATCGTAAATTAAATTGCAATCGAAATCGACAACACTCACTCTTGTAAGAACAAGACCTTCCTTGGCCTTGCACATTTCACAATCTACGGCAAAAGTATGAGGGTCGTCGTGCTGAAGGCTTTTAGTTTCGACCCATTCTCCTTCGTCGCCCAGGGCCTGTTTTTGAAGGACATCGCGCATGTCAGGACTTACGCCTGGAGTCAAAGGATGAATCGGATACTCGTTCTCAATCAGTTGATCTGGACTCATCAGCAGATCATAAAGAGTAATCTTTCTACTGGCCAGCTCTTCCCGTTTCTGTTCTCTCTCCTTTTTAGTGAGGGAAACGTTCACAAAAGAATTGTAAGGCGAATAAATGGTGTTCTTGGAACCCGGAGCACTGAGCATGAGTCTGTAAAATGCATGCTTGAGCTCGTTGCTTTCTAAGGTCTTTAAATAGGTCGATTTGAGATGCGTTTCCGCGTTTGCATCCGCCTCATCTCCGTTCACCTCACAGAAATCACTTGGTTGCAGTCCTGGAACGAACAAAACTACTGCCTTACTAATATTCTTAGCATGATTGATCTGAAGCCAAGTTGGAGAAGTTGATCTATGATCAAAGATAAAAGTGACAAATTCGCGCACATCTTTCATAGATATCTTTTCCTTTAAGGTTTCGGACGGAAACGACAGTGAAGCGTTCACAGATGCCTTTTTTTTCTTCCTCTTTGGAACCGCCGTGAGAGACTGTGAGGACAATTCACGTTGAATTTTTTTGGCTCCACCTGCGGAAAGCGTCGAAAGCGCACTCGAACGTCTTCTGCGTCTTTTCGATCTCATGTCAGGACGACTGACATTCGAATCCTCAAGAGCTTCCTCAGATCCAGACCGACTCAGCTTCTGCATGATTTTTTGTCTCGCTTCGTCGTCTTCGCATATACTCAACCTGGCAACGCCCGAACGAAAAGAAGTATCCTCTTTTACAGTTTCTAGGCTAGATGCCAGATCTTTAACACTGTTTCGCCTAGAAAAAGGGTCAGAATCCAGGGCGGTGTTCAATTTCTCGGCTGTATCAAATGTCATGAGGCGCTTCTCTCGATGAGCCGACGTCTTTTGAATAAAAGTCGTAAATCGTAACCTTTTTTTTTCGTAAAACAACTAACGTATTGAGTAGAATTTAACCAGATTGGATAACAATATAGAGAGGGTTGACGATATTAAGACTCTTCAATAATACCTTATTACATGTGCCTTTACATACTGGTTCTTCATTGCACATATTTTGTGATGTAAAAATTTGTGAGTGTTGACGACCTCATGAAAAAAATAAAAGGTCATGTGACTTTCCCTTTCACCTTAGATTCTACTCAGACAATAAGAATTGGGTAAGCGCTGCGATGAGGAAACCTGGAATCATAATATCTCCGAAACACCCGTGGAAGTCTTTTGAGACCATTTTGGCTCTGAAATTCTGCGAGCCAGTTTTAATGAGCTCGTATTTTTTAAAAACGTCAGGTGACATTATGACGATGAACTCTGCCACCACGGAACCGCGATACTCTTTCGGGCCGCTTTGAGCTGATCCTTGATCTTACCATTTTTGAAGTTTTTGGGTGGCGTACTCGACTTTTTTCTGTGTTTCTAACGGTCCGCGAGCTACTCTTCACATTTTCATGTATCCAAAGAAAAGCGAAATAATTTAGGGCGAATTCACAACACTATTTTTGAAAACCTCATCCAAGCGTCTACAGTTCTCGTAAGCTTTTCAGCTTTTAAGATCTTTTCGCTCTCTAAATGTCTATCTTGTTTGAGTCCCTACTGAGCCTTACTTACGTCTAAGAAAATCTATGTACGGGCGACCCTGGTGAATCGCCGAAGTGACTAATAGTCGGCTGCGTTGTAGAGACCTATGTCAAATTCTGCCTTGGCATCGCACTGTTTGGCCTTATTTAAAGCGCGCATCCTTTCTAATTCAAGCAAATATCCGTCTTCGACGCCCGTCACGTAATTTCCGGTGAAGACACCAACTTCAAACTTGCTGATTTCGTTAGTTTTACAACAGTCGATCAAGTCGTTCAGGGATTGGTAAATGACTTTTTCGCAACCTAGTTCATTGGCAACTTCTTCTGTGCTTTTATTATAGGCAACCAGCTGCTTCGTGTCAGCGAGATCAATACCGTAAATGTGGTTGAATCTAATCGCGGGAGCGGCAGATGCGAAAAACACTTTGAGGGCACCGGATTCTTTGGCCATCGTGATGATCTCTTTGGATGTCGTACCACGCACAATGGAATCATCCACGATTAAAACTTTTTTCCCGCGCAATTCCGATTCCATTGGGTTCAATTTCCTCCTTACAGAGGAAACACGCTCTTTTTGATTCGGCATGATAAAAGTTCTTCCCACGTATCTGTTCTTAACGAAACCCTCACGGTAGGGCTTCTGTAACGTATTGGCACACTCTTGGGCACAAGTACGCGCAGTGTCGGGCACCGAGACGACAACGTCGATCTCATTGGGGTCCATGTTTTTCATAATGTTTTCCGCAAGCTTGATACCCATTTGAAGTCTGGTGTGGTATACGGAAATTCCATCCAAGACACTGTCGGGTCTCGCAAAATAAACGTATTCGAAAAGATCAGGTCTGTATGAGTTCATGGGCACAACTTGCTTGAATTCTGGCGCCGATTTCCCGCAATCTTTGGGGATAATGACAGCTTCACCTGGTGCCAAGTCCCGGTAAACGTTGAAACCGCTAGCCTTCAATACTACACTTTCGGAGGCTAGCATGTAGTCTTTGGTGCCGTCAGGGTAGCTTCTCTCGCCGAAAAGGAGAGGTCTGATACCGTTAGGATCTCTAAACCCTATCATACCAAAACCGGCCAGCATTCCGACACATGCGTACCCACCGCGGCAGAGTCTGTACACACCCTCTAGAGCTAGAAAAATGTCCTCGTTGTTGACTCTATACTTGTTGTGCTTTTCAAGTTCTGACGCAAACAGATTCAAAAGCAGCTCGGAGTCGCTGTCTGTGTTGATGTGACGGTGGACGTCTTCGTCCATGTACCTTCTTAGGGACAGAGTGTTCACCAGGTTACCGTTGTGGCCCAGACAAATCCCGTAGGGACTGTTGACGTAGAACGGCTGCGCTTCCGAATTGGCGCTCGATCCGGCCGTTGGGTACCGCAGATGCGCAATACCCATAGACCCGACTAGCCCAGCCATCCGGTGTTGCGTGAAAACGTCTCTGGCCATCCCGTTGCCCTTGCATTGGTAAAGTCTTCCCCGCTGCCCACATGTTGCAATACCGGCAGCGTCTTGGCCCCTATGTTGCAGGAAAAGACACCCGTCAAACAGCTCAGGAGCCACGCCGTTGGACTGATCCGCTAGAGCTATCCCTAAAACTCCACACATTGTTGTTAGGTATTCTAAAGCCTATCAAGATAGAGAGTCGATGCTAATGCGAATGCAAATAAAACGAATAAAACGAGCTTAAAATTAAACCGTTTTCGCTGGAAAATCCCGGAAATAATTAACACCAAATCGACCCAACTATGAAATGTCTCGATCGTCCTCAACGCCAGCGCTTTTGAAAACTACGATCTTTAAATTTTCAATTCCCGGTAGGCTACAATTTTACACATTTTTCATAAATTAATAAACTTGCCGAGTCATCGCTCATCTCAGCTTTATTACTTTTTTGGAGGCGAGTCAGAAAAAAGAACTGAAAAATTGAAGAAAACGGTTTCTAAACGCCGTTGTCGGTTCTTAACATCAGGCATGTGCAATCCCACGTGATGTCCAGTTCGGGAAGAGTCTTACTGTATCGGGGTGTTTATTTGAGGGCTATATGATGGACGCTTGCTGGTCGTAGTCAGTTTCTTGGTATTGCTCTGACTAGGCGGCAAACGTACGCATTTTTTTCGAATTTTGGCTATTTCGAAGAGATCTTTACGATTTTTAGCAGCGATTCTGTGTCAAAAACGATTCCCACATTTCCGCATGCTTCTGTTCAATTATGTTTGTCATTTGCGGAGAATCTATGTTCTTTTGCTTACTGTCATCAACTATAAGGTACATACCGTGGCAGATATCATAGATGAAAGTTAGGATATGATGCATGAAAACTTGAAAGATAAGATTTGTATTCACATTAGTTCCGACTGTAATGCCTCGTCCACATTGTTGAATATAAATTTTTGCCTAGATCTTTCCTAAATTTACAGATCCTAATGTTGGGCAGACTTTTCCTTGCTGTCTTCTTCGATTCCTTCCTGTAAAAGTTGCAAGTTCTCCTGTATGTCCCACAATTCCCGGTAAAGGGAGTTGTCCTTCGCGAGCAATTCGAGATGCTTCCCCTCTTCCTTGACACGACCGTTTTCGAGAACAATGATCTTGTCGGAGTCGGCAATGGTGCGCAGTCGATGAGCGACGGACACACTGGTCTTATGTTTGCCCATGAACGTCTCCCTTATTGTTTTCAGCAAAGACTGTTCTGTGTGTGTGTCAAGTGCGCTGGTAGCTTCGTCAAAAAACGTTATGGGTGCGTTTTTCAGAAGAACACGCGCTATTGCCAGACGCTGTTTTTCCCCGCCGCTGATCATCAACCCGCGTTCTCCGACAATAGTTTCGCGACCCTTGGGCAGATTTCGAATGAGAGGATCAAGTTGGGCCTGCGAAATGGCTTTCCAGATTTCGTCATCGGTCGCGGATATTCGGCCGAATTTTACGTTCTCCCAGATAGTGTCATTGAAGAGCGGCGTATCTTGCGGGACTACCCCAATCGCACTACGCAGTTGCGCGAGGTCCATATCGCGAACGTCAATGCCATTCACTAGAACGCGACCGCTTTGAGGGTCATAAAATCTAAAAACGAGCTTGAGAATGGTCGATTTCCCGCTCCCGGAGGGTCCCACGATCGCTGTTCTTTGGCCTGCAGGGATGGTGAAGCTGGCGTTGTCCAAAATCAAGCGTTCAGGATCATAACCAAAGGAGACGTTTTCGAATCTGATCTCATGTGAAAGGCTTTGCGGTAGCATGCGAGGTTGGGGCGCATTTTGAATGGTTACTTGATTTCTTTGTAGGTTGAAGAGCGATTCCATGTCGATTAAAGATTGTTTGAGTTCCCGATAAACGCTACCCAAAAAATTCAAAGGAACCGACAGTTGAAACACAAGCTGGTTTATGAGCACGAGATCCCCTACGGAAAGATGGCCCGACATCACTCCCGTACACCCCATGTACATCATCGCTGTCAGAGCACTGGTGAAGATCAAATTTTGGCCGGAGTTAAGAAACGCTAGCGACTGTGCAACTTTCACTTGCGAGTCTCGGTACGAGTTGAGATGTTCGTTGTATCTCATGGCCAAATGCGTTTCATTGTTGAAATATTTGACAGCCTCGAAATTGATCAAGGAATCCAGAGCAATGGTAGCGGCTTTGTTGTCAGCCTTATTAGCCGAGCGCCGAAACTCAGTCCTCCATGCGGTTGTTCTGAACGTGAAAATTGCATACGTCACCATGGTTGCGAACGTCATTGCCGCAAATGAGGCACCAAACTGGTAAGTGAGCACCCCGCAGACTATAGAAATTTCAAACGCGATCGGTATTATGTGGAAAACCATGGCACTCAGCACGTAGGAAATACCTTTGGTACCTCTGTCCATTGCCCTCGTCAGACCGCCTGTTTGACGGCTCAAATGCCATCCCAGGTCCAATTTCATCAAATGCTGGAACGTTTGCAAAGACACTTTCCTAATCGCGTTCTGTGCCACAGAAGAGAAGATCGCATTTCTGAGCTCTCCGAACAGAACAGACCCAAACCTGGCCGCACCATACGAGAGAATAGTCGCAACTATAGCGATCGGAAGCACGTCCGTCGCGCTAGACCACTCGATGTTCATGGAATCCACAATTTGCTTGAAAAAAAACGGCACCTGGACGTTCAGTACTTTCGCGCCAATCAACAGCCCGAGCGCAATTACCACGCGGGTCTTGACTTTGTTATCGCCCTTGGGCCAGATGTACTTGAAAAGGTCCCTCAGAATTCTCAATTCTGAGATCGTAGGTGTTTTCGAGTTCTGAGACGACCCATTCGTGTCGCTTTTCTTCGACGCCACAGGTGCCGCTGGCGTTGTTGGCGTCGCCGGAGCAGGTTGAGAATTCGCATCCGTCTTGACCTCTCTCAGTATTAGAGATCGACTAAACCCAAGTGTCCGGGACGTAGAGAAAAGCGCTTTTTTGGAAAATGCACCCGATGCCGATCTTTTCATAAAAACGGCAGCGCTGGGCCGACCGGGCAGAAATTTGGAATGAAAAAGGACTGCACGGCCTACGTGCCGCGTGCAAAGGTCAATTGTTCTCATGCTGTCTACCTTCACCCTGTCAGCTCGGTTTGTCCAACTTTCAACTTTTCAAAGTAACCCTAACGGCGACGATGAGATCCATTAAGACTGTGGCTTCCAATTTTTCGTGAGATGGGCTTAAAAAACAATCACGTGCTTCTGGTGTCAGTCACGAGACGGCATCTAGTTGGAATCGTCCAGGCAAAAACGCTTGAAGGAGAGCGTCAGGGCGTGCACGAGATAATGAATTGAGGTTAGTTTACATAACTGCATGGACGCGATCGGTGTGGTGGTCGCGATGCTATTGGGGATCACGCAGAGACAAAAAGACGGATTTCTTCTTCTATTTTGGCTCCGGCTACAGGTACGCAGAGACGGCCTCGCCATCGAGCACCGTGAAAGGCTTGTCGGGCCCGACCACAGCGATGGACAGGTTCTTGGTGCTCAGAGTTTCGTCCTTGAGACAATGTTTGAGGGCCTCGACGGCGACCGCGATGAGCGCGTCCGCATCTTCAAGCTGCGTGAACTCGTCGAGCGAGCGTTCGAGATAAGTCTTGGCGCCCTGGGAGCGCGCCCCAATCGCAGTCCCGTAGATCTCGAGCGTGTTGCCCGAGGGCTGGAATTCGAGTATGTGCGGACCGCTATTATCGCACCCCGCAAGCAACAGGCCGACACCGTAAGGTCTCCCGCCGTAGGATTGCGTGTTTTTCTGTGCTTTGTCGCTGAGCAAGTGGCCAGCCTTTTCGAGCGCAAGCTTGCGGTTGTACACGAGGCTCGAGTAGTTGCACTGCTGTCTCAAAAAATTGCTGAGCACGCGCCCGTCGGGCGCGAGCCCAGCAAGCGAAAGCCCCATATGCTCGTCACACTTGATGATCTTTTTTTGGTACGAGGAAAGCTCGTCTGCGTTACGTTTCAGAGCGACCAACACGGCGTGTTTCTTCGACCGTACGCCGACTGTCACGCTGCCTTGCTTGATGGCTTCTAGCGCGTATTCGACCTGGAAAAGCCGGCCCGTAGGCGAAAAAGTCACCGTATCACCGTCGTAGTTGTTTCTAAACATCTCAATTGAAGCGATGCCGGCACTGGTGTCGCTTCGGAGCTGTCCTTCAAAGTGAAGGGTTCTTTACCAGCCAGTATGCTATTTGCCACCAAATGCGGATCCAAGACGAGTAAGCGTCGCGATGTACGGTGCTGTTCGGCTGTAATATTCCGTACTTAGTGACTATAATATCCGTGAGTAACTCAGTTCCGTATCTAGCGATATACCCATGAGTATCCGTACAAAAGTACTCCCTCACTGCTCAAGTCTGCAACTTCGGCCGCTGTATCGCCTCCCACGGTCATATCATCCGCATTGTTTACGAAAACCCTATCAAGCTACAGCCCACACACCACGATATTCAAGTTAATTGTCGCGTGACCTAAGTGTCAGTATTCCATTTTACGTGTATGATTATTTGCAACGCTAAACGATGCATGGCCAATAGTGAGAATATTGTAAGACTAACTGTACTGACCAATAGAATTGATAAAGTTAGCTTCACGTATTCTTGGCGGCAGAACGACGCACGAAACGATATCCTGAGTTCAGTCCATATCTGGATCTAGAGAATGCTACTGTGAAGGAATTTTTGTACAAGATTATTATTTACCATCGGAATTGCTTATGGCAGAGTTTCTGAGCGTATGGGCCCCTTTGCAGAGGTAGTTGAGAAGGGTGAGGATACTTTTCGTGTGCAATGAGCTGACACATACGCTCTGCACTGCTACTATAGGTAGAGATGAAATTAGTCATTGACGTATTTGCAAACGAGAAATCAGCAGTGTGTGGGGGGTGGGGGGGGGGGGGCGTAATAAATTGGAATATCATCTATGGACGCTGATAAAGCTACCTGAATTTATATGCCAAAAATGACCCGTAGGGTAGACAATATGTTAGAAGGAGCTGGCGAGAAGGTGATATCGTTCATTCGATCACCATCACGTGATCGAAGTGACAGAATAAAATTAGGTGAATGAACGGACGCTTCGTCATCAAAATGAAGTCATAATAACCGAATGATACTAGTAGTGGTCATGATGTTGTCACACCCCATTATCACTGTAAGAGTGACCTAGTAGGTGACGTAATGATGACTCACCGTGAATGTTAGAGAAAGTAACGGATTCCGAAGTTAGAACAATGCTACAGAAATTGTATAAAGGGAGCTGATACGACTAGGATCGAAGTGGTCATGGCCGTGAGATACCTACGGGGAGATATAAGTACTCAACACCTTATCAGCTTTATTATTTAGATCACCTATGAACGAATTAAATGAGCACCTCAGAAATCTATCAACTACCGACAACGATAAACCTCAATACAATAATTGCTCGATAGCGAAGAAGTTTCAAGCTTTGTTCGAGCGGCTGGCACCAGGTATGCGACATAGTATGTAGGCAGAGATACGCAATGTGAGGCTTGGCAATGGGACGGCATACCGAGAATAGTAAAGAAAGTGACGATATCACGTGACCGCGGTGCCAGAATCAAGCATTGGACTATCAGTGTAAAATAGGAAACGACGGTCGATCTCGAGAGGGGGAGACCTCTGTAGGGATTAGTACATGGAACCACATTGAATCACAGAGGGTCGACCTCGGCACGGGAAAGAGGGGGGAGAGGTCGCCCTATAGAGATATGTGGGTCCCTTTGTACGGGTCATCGCGTTTCCTACCAATGGTCATGGTAACCATCGCAAGCAGGATAAAACACGCGACACTAGCGTCTCATCGACCACGCTCACATCTAGTATGCCGATAGTGGTCAGAGAATTGCGAGACCAACTCACTACAAGCTTGCAAGTCTCGGTAAGGTGAAAACCAATCTTTATCACTCTTAACGTTTCGCCCTTTTCTACAACCGAGTCTCTTGGAACCACTAGTTACAACTAACAAGACACTGTCAAACAAGCTAACTTGTACAGGCAGTGGAGCCCCCTACACAGCGCGCTGAACCAGATCCTCACCCATGATCGAACTGTATTTCCTTTCCATTTTCTATTCAGCGCTGAACCATGTTCCCCCGTTTGTGTGGGCCGTTATCCATGTCCTCGGCGACATAACCATGTTCTGGGTGAAACGACTGATGGCGTATGCCCGACCCAAGTCGCGCACCTTGTACCACCGTGCGATAACAGAGCTGGATCAATGCGCCAACTACGAGACCTGGCATGCGCAGGCCGAAATCGTCGACGAAATAACCGGTGCGGATCTCTGGCGTCGCAACTTTTTCTCGCAACGCTACGACGTGAACTCGGTCCTGGAGCAATACGCGCTTCTTGACGAAGCGCTCGACGAAAACGATGCCCAAACGATCATCAACAGATTCTGTACCACAGGTCCGTCTATGATCCGCAATTTTGCCGGTATCGTCGACAAACGGCTCTTCACAAAGTCCCTAATTGGAACTAAACTGCTCATCGAACAATACCTCGACAAAGTGCTCGAATGTTTGCAATTCCTGTGCGATATGCCTGAAGTGGCGCGTACATCCTTCTTCCAGCGTTGCAAGCTCTCCTTAGGCACCACTGCGTTCATTCTGCAAGGTGGCTCGCTTTTCGGGCTTTTCCACCTAGGGGTCATCAAAGGTTTGCTCGACCAGAAGTTGCTGCCCAGCATTGTTAGCGGCAGTTCCACGGGCGCGTGTATCGCGAGTCTCTGCTCCGTGCTGACCAACGACGAGCTCTCCGTGCTACTCCAGGACGACAATCTGCTTCAAGACATCAAATGCGACGTCGAATTGCTCAACCAGTGCGGCTACGGCAATATCGACCAGGACCTCAATCTGGGTTCATTGCTTCAAAACGTTGTTCACAAGGGCTACTCTAAGGACGTTTACCTTTTCATCAAATACGTGAACAAGGCCATTATACGAGACTTGACCTTCGAAGAGGCCTTTCAAAGAACGGGCAAAATCCTTAATATTATCGTGCACCCTACAGACAGACACATATGCCCCTCATTACTAAATTATGTCACCACGCCCAATGTGCTTATAGCCTCCGCGATTTATTGCAGTTTGGGCTCCGACGTCATCACAAGTTCAACCAGATTATTGTGCAAAAACCTGAAGAATGAAATTGTGGACTTCATCCCGCCCGAGCTGTCGACGGAACTCCGATTTTTAACCCCGCAACACGCCTCGGAGAGCGGTTTGGCTGACAGTCCCTATACCAGGCTGACGGAACTTTTTAACGTGAATAATTTCATCGTGTCCTTGGCGAGGCCATACCTGGCACCATTGGTGATGAATGACCTGAAACATGAAATCAAAACTACAAAATACTATTACTACAAGCACTATCCGACTCGGGACATGAGCAAGTTCACCCCACTACAGCTGGCAAACATGAACGAGGTAGAGCCTTTGGGTTTCAAGTTCAGGTACCATTTGGAGCGCAAATTGAAACACATAATAACCATGGAGTTCCGACACCGCGTTGAAGTGTTGGACAATTTAGGACTACTGAGCCATTGGATTAAACGACTCGCAATCGATGAAAAAACGCCAAGGTCCGCGATTGAGGTGACCATTGTACCAAATCTCAAAAGTTTGTCGCTGGGCCGCGTGATCAAGGGCCAGCTGGATAACATTCCGTATTGGATTCGTTGCGGTGAACAGAGCTGCTGGCCAGTTCTGGCCCTCATCAAGACGCGATGTGCAGTCGAGTTTGGTCTTGATGAAATAATACGCATGAAACGGGTTTCATAGACAATGCACCAGGTGCCCCGCTGCCCTGCAACGCCTCATTGCTTTCAATCGGCTTACACTTTTCTTTAACGATAAAATAACTTCGTGCTGCCCTTTTTAGTCAAAAACAAGTATTCGTTTTCAACAACATGCACAGGAAAACTCTTGGCCAATGCTGGTCCCCTGCTGACCCTCAATATTCCAGTCACATCGTCGGCTCTCCCGGACTCGAGAGGCTTCAAACCCAGGACAGCTGTACTCTTGTGGAAACAAGCCATTGCGAACCGCGTCAACTCAGTGGCATCTCTCCGCTGGTATTCTGCAATGTCATTGTGCTCGTATCCCTCTGTGTTCATCACTATGATCAGAAGCGAAACCTTTCGCGCCAACGGGCTGATTAGCTTAAAATGCAATTCGTCACTACCCAGGTCCAGTAAAGGCATGAGCAACTCCGGTTGTTCCAGGATGACCGTATCGGTTCCACTTTGACCTACTGCGTCTATGATCTCTTGCAATAACTGATCCGACGATTTCTCGTCGCTCCTCACAGCGAAATTGGTCAAGAAATCCAAGACCCGGTAGCGGCTTGGATCCAGTTTGAGTTTGGCAAACGCCGACGTAAAATAATCCGCGTCATGGTAAAATGACGCGACAGATATTGCCTTCTCTCCATCATTTGCAGCATGCTTATCCCAAACAGACCTCTGAGACTCGTTCAAATACACTGGTGCACCAAATATGTGCGTTTCGACTAAAGCATTTATCAGCCACGAAGGTGACGTCCCGTTCTTGTGCGTTACAAGAATCAGGTGGTGCTTGAAACTCGATTTGAACAAATGCTTCGAAAGCACGCTGTGATCGCTGAAGACTCTCAAATCTTGATTTTGAACGTTGCTCATTCCTCCAAATTTCTAACTATCCCCAATTCTGTGAAACTGGTGAAGCATACAAGACTCCAGTAAGGCTAGCACTATGCAATCAAATGGCCCACTGGTGACGACTCCTGTCCCGAGCGTACGCAGTTAATATTCTTTACTACGGAAACTTGGATTTTTCAAGAAAACCTTCGCCTGCTGAAAAATTTTACAGCTCATCACCATTTCATAACGACTCAGCTAAGTGGAACTAGTGGAACTACAGCCTTATCTCGTGATCAAAGCTTCTATTACAATAATGTTTACTCTTCCAGCTTTGACTTCTGACATTGTTGTCCAAATCAACGCCGGAGCGTCGAAAACCGCGCCTGTTCGTCGTCCCATTGAGCCTGTGGGCAGGGCGTTCATGCACCATGCGCAAAGAACCTTGAGAAACCACACTTGGTCTGAATTTGAGAAGATTCAAGCGAGCCAGAATGTCCAACGAGTCGATGAGTCCAAAGTGGACCCAGATGAAGCTTTGTTTGACACTGAGCTTACCGATGATTCGTTGTTACAGCACGACCCTCGTGACTGGAAAACCGCTGACCTGTACGCTGCTATGGGTCTGTCTAAGCTCCGGTACAGAGCCACGGAGCCTCAGATCATCAAAGCGCACAGAAAGCAAGTGCTGAAGCACCATCCGGACAAGAAATCTGCTTCGGGCGCGGGACTTGAGGAAGACGGGTTTTTCAAGATCATCCAAAAGGCGTACGAGACGCTAACGGACTCGAACAAAAGAATGCAGTACGACTCTTGCGATTTCAACGCGGACGTCGAACCACCCAAGAAGGGTTCTAAGTACGATTTTTACGAGGCCTGGGGTCCCGTTTTCGAATCTGAAGCGCGGTTTTCTAAGAAGCAACCGGTTCCAACTCTCGGTGGCGCTTCCACTAAGAAAGACGAAGTTGAGAAATTCTACACCTTCTGGCACAGGTTCGACTCTTGGAGAACTTTCGAGTTCCTGGACGAGGATGTTCCTGACGACTCTTCCAACAGAGACCACAAGCGTTACATCGAGAGAAAAAACAAGGCTGCTAGAGACAAGAAGAAAACTGTTGACATTGGTCGTCTTGTGAAACTTGTCGAAAGAGCCATGAACGAGGACCCACGTATCAAGCAGTTCAAGGAGGACGAGAAGAAAGAGAAAGAGAGGAAAAAGTGGGAAAGAGAAGCCGGTGCTAGAGCTGAGGCAGAGGCCAAGGCCAAGGCGGAAGCAGAAGCAAAATTGAAGGCTGAGGCCGATGCTAAGCTTGCTGCCAATGCGAAGGCGGACAAGAAGAAGGCGAAAGAAGCTGCCAAGGCTGCTAAGAAGAAGAACAAGAGAGCTATACGTTCTTCCGCTAAGGAAGCTGAATATTTCGGTGACGCTGACAAGGCTGCTACGATCGACGAGCAATTAGGCCACATTGTCGACTCCTTGGACGACGAACAACTGGTCAGCGTTGCCGACAAGCTAAAGGCCGACGCCTCTGCGACTAAAGCGGTTCTCTCCGACGCTGCTAAGGCCCTTGTCGACGCCAAGAAGCTACCAGCCAGCATGTTGACTTATTTCTCTTAGACGACAAAAGATACAGCTTATATAAAGGATGAATTGGGCAGAAGTGCGATGGATCATCATCTATAGCTTCGCCAACTCAAACGCCGGAATTTCATAGTGGTTAAAGTTGCTTATGAATCGCCTCAATTTGCGCAATAAACTAATACTATTACTAATTACTCGAAGCTACACATCACTACAGTATCGCATGTCAAGTATATCTGTCTCTAAAGCTTGGCATTGTTACTGTTTGAAAAAAAATCTGACAATTGAAAAACTGAAAAATTTGATCCAATAACAGGTATAAATCACTACTTCAAGCTGGAAAAAAGCTCAATCTCTTGATCCAGTTGATAGCGTTTTGAAGCTTGATTCGAGATCCCAAAAGCTGAAAGAGTCGTTTGCAAGATGTCGTTTAGAACCAATTCCGGTTTCAATGGAATCCCCACGTCAAACCAGGGTTTCCAACGGTACCCTTATTCCAGCGGACCAGGAGCAACTAATGGTGGATCGCCGGGGAAGGCCAACCTTGGTAGTCAAATCAAGAGTTATCTCGACAAAGTTGAAGCTCTGACAGAACATCCTGCGATCCTGAAACTGAGACCTTACACCCCGGCGATCTCGCGGTTTTTCATTGTTGCGACGTTTTACGAAGATGCGTTCCGTATACTATCGCAATGGTCGGACCAAGTGTTTTACCTGTGGAACTATAGACATTGGCCGTACTATTTTGTCTTACTGTTCTTGTTGGTGGTTTCGGTGTCAATGGCTGGCGGTGCCACGATGCTAGTGCTTCGGAAACGCACGGTCGTGGCGACCGGTGCGCTGTGCGCGTGTATTGTATTGCAAGGACTGATTTACGGACTCTACACGGGTTCATTCATTTTGAGAAACGTGAGTGTCATTGGCGGGCTGCTGATCGCTTTCAGCGACTCGATCGTCAAGAACAAGACAACTTTTGGCATGCTGCCGGAACTGGGCAGTAAGGACGGCAAGAAGAAGGGCTACGTGTTGCTTGCAGGCCGGATTTTGCTTGTGTTGTTGTTCGTGACGTTCACGTTCACGAAAAACTGGCTGACCGTGATTCTAACGATCGCGGGAACGCTTTGCATAGCCCTCGGGTACAAGACGAAGCTGGCGTCGATCCTTTTGGGTCTCATTTTAACTTTTTACAACATGACGGTCAACAATTACTGGTTTTACAATAGCAACAAACGTGATTTGCTTAAATACGAATTCTACCAGAACCTCAGCATCATCGGAGGGTTACTGCTTGTCGTGTCGACGGGCGCTGGCGAGTTGTCTTTCGACGAGAAAAAGAAGATCTACTAAGGCGTCGCGCCCGCTGTTACAGCTGCTGCGACGTTTTCACTTGCTCGGACTCAAAATAACAACCTGAAAAGTGTATATAAGAAGTCTTCAAACTGTTTATATGACATGCCAATACTCTGACGTCCGTTAGTCAGCGCCAAACTAACAGCGCCCACCCGCAGTATTGCAGAGGACATCGCTGACATATTTCACTAAATGTCACTGTCAACCTTCATATCATAAATTTTTTAGATGCTGTCACTGTGACGGAAAACTTGGAGGTATTGTCAAGTTCACCTTGAAAGGTTCAAAGTTTGACAAAACAATTCAAAGCAATTTTACATCCCATGTGAATATATGACCAAGTTACCAGCACTCGAATGTTAATGCCAACTCACTATACTAGCTTCACCAGTTACCGATTGGATAGCAACTAGAACTTAGCATCGTTTTGTACGGATAGGGGATTCAATAATGATTAAGGACCTATATACCAGGTTAATCTAAAGTAATAGCTTACAGCCAACTCACCAGTACAGGATATACCAGTTTCTGCGAGTTCGCCCACATCAAAACCCACACAGAAACCAGAAGACAATGGGAGGCATTTTGAAAAACCCGCTGACCAGCAAAGAAGAAGCTCGCGAGAAGGAACCGGAGTCGATTAGCGAGTTCAGAAAACAGGTCTACAAGAACACGCAGCTGAACGCTAAGCTTACAGCACATGAAAATGGCGAAAGCATAGCCGCGGGAGCTGCAAGGAAACACGTTTTGCCGCGAGACACACTGAGTCTCAAACACGACAGTCAGCATGTGACTGCGGGTGAAGAGGAACGGTTGCAGTGGAATCAGCGGAATCTGGATGCCAACGAAGTCGCAAAGCAACAGTTCCAGGATATCCACATCGATGAACCCAAGACGCCGTATCAGGGTGCTGTCGATCCGAGTGGCGAATACTACGCATTGGACGAGGACGACGATCTCGATCAGCTGTCGCTGGGAGAGCCAGAAGTGGAACTGGCGAACGCGAGGGAAAACGAGATGCCCGTCGTAGAGACTGCATCCGAGAACGAGACTGCACCGGAGAACGGCACTGCTCCTGATGACGTCGCACTCAAGCACAAGCGGTTCGAAGAAATGCGCAAAAAACACTACAACGTTGGCGGTGCTCTGAAAGACAGGCTGCGTGCCGGAATTGAGGGAGCAGAAGAGGAAGAAGAAGAGGAAGAAGAAGAGGAAGGCAGCGACGGTGACAACTGAGTGCAGTTAAGCCTTGAGCCCAATATCATGATGTACGTATAACGAGAAAACTCACATTATCACTTTGACACGAAAAGTGGAATTTTTCACTAGAAACACCTAGCCGATGGAAAAGTCCACGAGATGAGCTATGAGATGAGGTGTGCAAGAAACCTTAGGTAGACACTGAACAGAGACGCTTGGATTGCCTTAGCACAACATGTCGGTCAAGAGAAGCGGCAAAGGTTCGGATGTTTCAAAAAACGAGCGGAAACGGTTGAAAACTGGCAATGTAGTGGACCTGAAAAAGAAGAGCTCAGCACGAATTCCAAAGACCAAAATCAAGAAGAAAATCAAGCTTTTGTCCAAAACGGTGGACTACTCAATCTGTGTTCCGACAAGTCTGATTGATAACTGCAGCAGTCTCGAACAAATCACGCATGCAGTGTACCAGGTTGCAAAGACCGCTACGTTGTTCAACGTGGCAGAAATAGTCGTTTTGGACCTAGGTTCGCGATCGCAGTCGCTGTCACAGTCGACTTCCGAGCTACAGCAAAAGCACAAGAGTACCAAGATTACGTTCGACGATGCCAGCGCCCCCAGCGAGAACACCGGAGCGCAAGCCACAGAAAAGATCGGAACGGCGAAAAAGCAGCCCCGAAGCAGGCTACCACCGGCGTTACTTATCTCTTCGCTGCTACAATATTTTGTGACGCCGCCGTACCTGACGAAATCTGTTTTCAAGAAGGAGTACATGGGATGCTTCCAGTATGCGTCACGGCTCCCGCGTGTATCCGCACTGCCCTTCATGCGGCACTTGCCCGACGACAAAGGCAGGTACAGAGAGGGACTTGCGATTACGATGGACAAACCGGGTAGCGGTCGTGCCAAGAAGAATAGCAAACCCTATGGACAGACCAAGTACGTGAACGTGGGCGCAGAGGAAGCGCTCGAACTGCGCGGACAGTTGGTTCCAGCCAACGTCCGTGTCACGGTCGATGTGATCGATCGCAGAGTCGTTTCGCCTGCAGAGGCCTACGGCGATTTCGTGGGCGCACAAGCGTCTTACGGGTATCATGTGCGGCTCGCGCACAATTTCGGCGACGTTTTCGTCGCGAGCCCCTTCCAACAGGGCTATTCACAGACCATATGGGTCAACAGTGGCGATTTCTATTTCAACCCCCAGACGCAAAAGTCGGAAAGGCTGAACGCTCGTATTGTCGCGATCGAGGCGCTCGTTAGGCCCTCCGAGGAAGAAATAGCCGAGAATGACGCTGTGACACCTGCAAACGTGCTCGTTTTCTTTGGGAAATGGCGTGACATTACTTCTAGTTTCGAACAGGCGAAGGCGCAGTTTGAGGGATGCGAAGGCGCGCACCAGTTCTTCGACGGCCAACTCGAGCTGCCAGGTGCGACGCCGCTCGGCAACATCTGCATCGAGGACAGTTGCATGGTTGCGATGACAAAGCTCTCGCAGATGTGAGAGACGCCAACGGCAATGAAAAGCGATGAAGGACCTATAAACCTACCCTGGATGCTGCATCTACTTTCTGGGGCCACCAGCGTCTGGTAGCTACCGCTAGAGCCCCAAACCCGTTTCCGTACTCACTCTATACTCACTTACTCACTTTCTACCCAGACGTACTGAATGACTGAACGTGTCGTTTTTCCGCCTATTGCAGTGACACGTCTACAGTGATCAGAGGTTTCAATCGTCTCGTAGGAAAGTACCATGGGCACTACAAGTCCGGGATCCAACTCTCTGACTTTAACAGAAGATGATCGATTAAAAGATTAAAGTGCTCTTTCAGACAAAATAATTATTGCTCAATCAGGTTGTGTTCAAGCAGTAATGTTATAACCGACGTAGGATCAGACTTTGCAATGCCCAGTATGGCATTGTTGAATATAGCTTAGTACAGGTAGATGTCGTCAGGCCAGGCCACGTGATCAATGTGCAAGAATAATCCTAGAATCTTTTAATCGATTGGAGACCCACGGAAACCCCACCACTCGCCACTTAGTACTGCTAACCGTCTTAGAGCTTTTAGTAAATAGTCCAAAACGCTCGAGCTTAATGAAAAATATCTAATGCGATGCATTCTAGTGTGCGAGGTATTATTTGATAGTGAGGGCAACCAATATTAGCAAATAGTAGCTTGTGATTCAGGTTCTCAAAAGCTACATATAGAGGTAGAATAATATCTCTGGCTGGTTCGAAATCATGTTCTCAAGTAGTCTGTCGCTTTGCGAAGCATTGACGTTAACTCGTTGAGAACTCATGCGTACAAAGCGACGCCCTTCTTGCGATCCCGAAGATGACTATGAGATGTTTCCCATCCATGTGAAGTGATCGACCTGGCTTACCCACGATTTAGGTGTATGTTTCACTCAAGTGACTGGTTTCAAATGTCTGCTTCTACTTATTTACTCTGTACCCATCTGCTCGCTTTCTTGCCTTCTACCCACTTTCTACCCGTTTACCCACTTCATACTCATTCCAATCACTCTGTACGCATATACTCATTTTTTACCCGTTAGTCTCATTCTACACGTCTACCCGCTTTCAACTCACTTCTCTTTATTTTTAGCACTCAGTATTGTTTACCTTGAAAAGACTAAAATTTTTACATCTCGAGACCCCATGTTACTGATCTTTCGTCTTGTCAAAATCCAACTGAAAGTCAACCACAAGACTAACAGTCACGATCGATTAGCAATTTGCAATTGAAACATGCGGTTTTCTACGGTTTCTTCCTTGGCTTTGCTCGGTGCTGCCACCGTGTCGGCGATTGGCGAACTTGGTTTTAACATCGGTGTCAAAAACAACGACGGGACTTGCAAAAGCACTTCGGACTATTTGAACGATTTCAACACTTTGAAGGAGTACACGAGTATCGTCAAGGTGTATGCCGCGTCGGACTGTAACACGTTACAGAATTTGGGTCCAGCTGCTGAACAAGCCGGTTTCACCGTTTTCGTCGGAGTTTGGCCAACGGACGACGCACACTATGAGGCGGAAAAGCAAGCTCTACAAGACTACTTGCCAAACATTAAGACCTCTACCGTGCAAGGTATTCTCGTGGGCTCCGAGGCGTTGTACCGTGGCGATTTGACTGCGTCGGAACTTGCCGACAAAATCGACGATGTGCGCAGCTTGGTCAAAGGCTTGAAAGATTCTGATGGCAACTCTTACGGCAACACGCAAGTCGGTACGGTAGACTCCTGGAATGTTCTGGTCGATGGTGCCAACCTTGCTGCGATCCAGGCCTCTGACATGGTTTTCGCTAACGCCTTTTCGTACTGGCAAGGCCAAACCATGCAGAACGCGTCTTACTCGTTCTTTGACGACATCATGCAGGCTATGCAAACTATCCAGACTGCCAAGGGCTCCGACGTGAACTTCTGGGTCGGTGAGACCGGCTGGCCTTCTGAAGGTACCAACTTTGAAAGCTCTTATCCTTCGACCACCAACGCCGCACAGTTCTGGCAACAGGGTATCTGCGCCTTGCGTGCTTGGGGTGTCAATGTGCTTGTTTTCGAAGCCTTCGACGAGGACTGGAAACCAAATACTTCTGGCACTTCTGACGTCGAAAAACACTGGGGTGTTTGGACTTCTGGCGACTCTCTGAAGTACTCGCTCAACTGCGACTTCAGCTCCTGAATGAGGGTCGTTCAATTCGCGAGCTCTAGTCTCATATACTATACCCGGAAACACGTTTCGCACCTTTGGACTCGCGAAAGGCTATACAAAGTAAATAAATAACACTGTCAAGAAGAGGGTGCGCCACGAGCGTCGGAGGAGGTGTCACAGAGAGTGTGCCCGATCTAGAGATCGGGCACAGGTCCCGAGAGTGGTATCAGATCTCGAGCTCGGAGGCAACTGAGGCAGTACAGGTCACGTGACTCTTAAACAACTCACGAAATGAGATATTCATGTGCGGAGAAGGTGCCCTAGAAAAGCTTCATTGTCCCGCTCAAATTTATATTTATTTGATGTCGTACGTATGCGCAGTTTCCGACCGGTTTTAAGCCATATACACATGAAGCGAGGAATTGTAAAGTTTCAGAAAGACGTAAAACAACCTAGAGTACCATGCAATTAAAGCGGATTGAAACACACTTCCCAAATAACCATAGAACAATTTCCAGGCTCCAGGAGCCTTTAATTGCCTTGCAAATGGTAGCTAAGTTGATAGACACGCGTTTATCACGTGACGTTTGTATCATCACCTCAATTTGGCATCCCTCCAAAGTGGCCCATCGTGAAAAATTTTTCAAATAGTAATAAGAGCTCTGCTCTCTTAGAATTGATTAACTAGAAAACGCTTTATTTCACTGATAGTTAGGATTGAAAAAGCGCGACCATGTCACGTTTCTTTGCTAATTCATATGGTTACGACAGTTCGTCCTCATCGGAGGAGTCGGATCTTCTTTCTTCGTCGGAAGAAGAGCTTTTGAGCTCTTCTTCGGAGAGTGAGGCTTCTGAAGACTCTTTCTTCGATGAGGACTCTGAACCGGAATCAGAAGCAGATTCGGACGATTCAGATGGTAGACCATATGGTCCTGATTGGTTTAAGAAACCTGAGTTTAGAAAGGCAGGCGGTGCGTCCGGGGCAAGCCGGTTTTTGAAAAATGCAGACTACTCTGATTCGGACGAGTCTGAAGACGAAAACAGGAAAGTGGTCAAGAGTGCGAAGGAAAAGCTTTTGGATGAGATGCAGAACCTTCACAACCGCATTGAGGCTGGCGAAATGGTACAGGACTGGGTTATGATCTTGAGCGAGTTTGACGCGATGACCAGATTACTGACTAGAGCGCAACAACAGAACTACGGTACTCCTAACGTTTTTGTCAGGACGCTAGCACAAGTTGAAGATGCCGTAGCGGCAACTTCTCAGAGCGAAATCAATAATAAGGCTGCCGCGAGAGCTTACAACACTATCAAGCAGAGAGTAAAGAAAGTGGCCAGGGACCACGAAACGGTTTTGGAAAGGTACAGAGAATCGCCCGAATCATTTGAACAAGAGGGTTCTGCGGAATTAGAGGCCAATGGTGGAGGCACGCTCTTTGCATTGGCTGGAAAGAATGGTTCGGACCTCACCTCGGTGGCCACTGGTTCCTCTGAAACCGATTTTTTCACGGCCCTCCGTATTGTCATAGATTCGAGAGGTAAGAAAAGTACTGACCACCAAGCACAAATCAAGACCGTTGAAGAATTGTTAGAAATTGCCAAATCGCCTTACGAGACTATCTTGGCCTATCTCAACCTGATCTCAATCAGATTCGATGCATCTGCTACGTTATCGTACCAACCATTAGATCAGTGGAAAGCTTCTTACAATGACATCATCAAATTGCTAACGCTACTCGAAGAAAACATCGACACATACCACGTTACTGAGTTCGCACCTCGTAACGAGACCATCGAAGAAGAGCCTCAGCCCAACGAATCGGGAGTTAAAGAGATTCTCGGCTCTGTCTTCACATTTGTCGAGAGACTTGACGATGAATTCAACAAATCCCTTCTAAACACAGACCCTCATTCTAGTGATTTCTTGGACCGTTTGAAGAGCGGACAAGCCGTCTACAACGTGATTCTGAGATGTCAACTATACTTGGAAGGTGTCTTACCCGAGGCTGACCGTGAGAAACATTTGGCTAGAGTCCTAACTCGTAGATTGGATCACATCTACTACAAGTCTACCAAAATTATTTCCATCATGGAGACAAAAGCTTGGGAAAATGTGCCCCAGAATGCCAAGTCCCGTCTTGTGACTCTGGAGGGTGCTGCTGACAAGGAATACGTTTTCAAACTAGTTGACACTTTGTGCGAAGTCTTGAGCAAGCAGAGAGACTTCACTCAACGCAAGCGTGCCGCCTTGTACCAGGTGTACTTCTATGCATTGAACAGTGAGTTTGAGAGGGCGAAAAATATGTTGTTGTCATCGAACATCCAATCGTCTATCAACAATGCTGATCCATCGCTACAAATTCTATTCAACAGGGTTGTGGTGCAATTGGGTTTGGCTGCTTTCAAGCTTTGCTTGATTGATGACTGTCACCAGATTTTGAACGAAGTTTCGACAAGCACGCATTTGAGAGATATTTTGGGCCAGCAATCTCTACAAAGAGCGGCTAACAACAGCATTAGCGGCAGCACTTCTTCCACAGAACAACTTTGCTTGCCCTTCCATCAGCACATCAACTTAGACTTGATAGACGTGGTGTTTATGACTTGCTCTTTGCTCATCGAGGTCCCTCACATGGCTGCATTCTTCTCAGGCATTAAAGTTAAGCGTATACCATACTCTCAGAAATCTATCAGACGTGCTTTGGAACACTATGACAAATCGAGTTTCCAAGGGCCTCCAGAAACGCTGCGAGACCACGTTTTGTACGCTGCTAAGGCTATGCAGCGTGGAGACTGGCAAGAATCCATCGGCTACTTGAGAGCTATCCCCACATGGTCTCTACTACCAAACAGTGCTGCCATCTTGGATCAACTTGAGGAGCGTGTTCAGGTTGAGTCTCTCAGAACTTACATTTTCACATTCAAGAGATTTTACTCCAAGCTTTCCGTCAAGAAGCTGTCAGAGTTGTTCGGCTTGAGCAACGAGAAAGTCGTGGAGATCGTGGATGCGCTTGTGTCTCAATTCGACGTACGTGGATCGCTAGATGAGGACAAGAAGTTCATCACTTTCGAGAAGGGATACGAGATCACCAAGCTAGAAGAAGTCGCCGTGAAATTGGCTAAAGAGACCAAATACGTGAGTGAACGTTTGAATGAGAAAAAGTACGTTCCTCGTAATAAGCAGGAGTTGTAATGTAATGATTACATAGTGGCATGTACAATATGACATACGTGTGCATATAAAGTTCGAAATTGAGCGTGCTGTTTATATTATTAAGACAAAAGATACACTAGTACATTAACTATTACTTCAGTTTCATATCATGTCGAGCCCCTAAAGGTCTCTGGACCCGGGGCTTCGAGTATTGGCTTTTTTCATGGGACAGTACTTGTATTTTGGGTAAACCAAGTGATGATGCCCTTTCTCCAGCCGGGAAAATTCTACAAAATGCCGCTTGAACTCTTCTGGCTCGGCATTCCACATTAGTGTGATGATCTGAGCCACTACAGTTTGGTTGGCAAATTTGGGGTCAATCGGAAGCAACTCTTCGGTTGTAGCGCTTTGTTGATATAGATGCTTCTCTATCAGGCCCGAGACAATGTCATGCACCGCGGGCGAATATAATGCAGATTCGCTGGTGTCAGCGTGGTATTCATCCCAGGAGCCCAGGATAGGGGAGTTTTGAAGATTTTGCCGCTGCAGTATCGTGCGGCGCAGCAGGCAAAGGGCGTCAAATTCGGAGTCGCAATTGTCGACGGAAGAACAGAGCTCGGCGCACAGCGCGGTGACAATGCTGCAGACTTTCAGGATAGAAACGGCCTTCATCATGGCGGATCGGTAAAGCATGAAGCTGTTCAAGGGCCGCTTCATCTTGCGCTCGATGAACTCATAGTATTTGTTTTTGCGCTTCCGGTCGTCGCTCTCGCGTAGCAGCGAGAGCGAGCGCAGCCTCAAAAGCGTGAGATCCGCGAAGGACAGCGATTGCAGAAAATCGTTGTAGCCACTGCTGGTGCGCACTTCTACCGTGTAGGCACGGTGCGGGCCGCTGGGGTCATCGCACACGGTCGCTCTGGGAAACTGCTTGGCTTGCTCGGGCAGACGCTCGTGTCGCTGGTCCAGCCAAAGAACTTGGTTTAGAGCGCTGGCGTCGCCGGCGGCGAGCGCCACTTGCTCCAAACGCGTCCTGCGCGCCTGGAGCCTGGGCTCCCACTCGAGCGCGAGCAAAGCGAGCTTTGCGGTCACGTGACTCTGCTCGAAGAGGCTCGTGACTTGCGCTGCGCTTTCCGCCGCGGTGCCGTGTCTGGCGCGGAGCTGCGCGGCGATCGCGGCCGCGCGCGACGCGTCCATGCGGGCCACACAGAGCCGGCGCGCCTCGTTGACGCGTTCGACCTTCAGGGTGTCTGCCTGCATCGCCATCTGCGCGTTGGCGACATACTTGTACACGGCCGGCGTCGCGGGCGTGGGCGGCGTGGGGGACGTGCACAGGACGGGCGACTCGGACCCTGACCCGGACCCGGACCCGGACCCATTGCCCGACCCGGACCCGCACTCCAACACCGACCCGGACTCAAACTCAAACTCGAACCCCAACCCCAGCCGGTGTCCGGACTCGCAAAAGTCGTCCCGGAGCCCCGGGCCCGCCGGCGCAAGCGCCGGCGCCGGCACGGGCGCGGACGCGCGCCGCTTATGCACGCGTCCGCCCGAGCTCCACGACTTTCTAGCGTGGCTTACCCTGTCGTACCCGGCTTGCTCCGGGACGGCGCCCCGGGGCGCCAGGCAGTACGTGTCCCACGCGAGCCCGCCGAGGGGCACGGATGTTGCCGCCGTCTCCGCAGCCGCTTCCGCGGCCGACCCCTGCGGCCCAAACGCGTCTAGCACGTCGAGCGCCGCGGGCTCAAGCCCAGGTAACACCCAGGCATCTGTCTCTGTTGTCCATTGCAGCGTGTCGTCCACGCCGTCCGGGTAAAACTCCCCGGTCCCCGTGCGCCACAGCGCCTCGGAGTATACTTCGTCGGAGGTGCGTGTTGAAAACATACTGCTCCAGTCTTGCTGTGGTTGATATCTGGCCCCGGGTTTCCCCAGACGCGGCCAATTCTGCCGCGCTTCCATTATATATCCACGACACGCACCGCAAGCCAATGCCGCCCGGCCTGCCGCCCGGCCTGCCGCGCTCCGGCTCGGGGCATCATTTCACCAAATATAGCTCACGCCAGAAACATGACCGCGCTCACGCAACGCCTGCGCACCCTCCTTGCACAGACGACTCCGGGTCTCTCTGACCCGCCCAGGCTGCATGCGGCCCGCTCCCGCCTGGGGATGCCGTCGGGGGCCCACGCCGCGTACGGCGGTCCGTAGCGGCAACGGCAGCTAAACGCAGCGCAAAAGCACAGCGCAACAGCGCAGCCGTGCGGGGCCCCGAAGGGCCCCGCGGGCTGCTCTGCGCAAAAAAGAACCTGCCGCCGGCAGACGCGGGATAATGTTGGGACTGGGGCCCGGTGTGGGGTGAGCGCGCCGGATTAACCCCTGGCCCGGTTCTCCACAGATGCGGCCACCGAGCCCGAACTGGCGTGCCGATCCCAAAAGCAACCGGGCTCTGCGGCCGCGCTCTGCGGCCGAACTACCACAAAAGAGGAAACGGTTGCTCGTTTGTGGGTATAGCTTAAAGTTGCATATTATTGCGGAGAAGGTGCATGGGTTGTGTGGGGCACGCCCGGACCCGGTTGGCAACAGCGGCCCGGGCCGCCGGACGCGCTGGGGACCAAGGCGGGAGTGGCGGAAGCCCCGGGGCGCGGAAGCCCCGGAACGAGGCGGGCTCGCGGAGGAGAGCGGCGGAGCGCGGCGGAGCGCGGCAAAGCGCATAGGCGTGGAGGAGAGGAAAGGCACAAGGAGGGAGGGCAAAAGGGGCGAAGGCAAAAGAGGGAAAGGCAGAAAGAGATCACGTGGGTGCAAAGTACAGGTAAGGCGATCGGCGGTTCTCTCGTATGTTCAATTATTCAATTTTCATTGCAAAGGTATATATATTAAAATGGATAAATAGTTAAATGTAAAAGGTTTCTGCCGCACAAAACGCTGGCAGGAACAACAGCGGTATGATATAAATACAAGGTGCAACTGTCTTTTTTCTTTTCTTCTAGTTTTCCTTGAAGTCCGCGCTTGTGATGCCGGACCGCTGGCACATCTCGGTGAAAATGCCGCCAGCGCGGAATAGCGCCTTGGGAGTGTCGAATTCGGCCACGCTCCCCTGTTCGAGCACCAGGATCCGGTCGTAGTCCAGAATCGTGTTCAGACGGTGCGCAATGCACAGGATAGTGCAGCTCGAGAACTCCTGGACAATCTTGGCCTGGATCTTGGCGTCGGTCTCGTAATCGACGGAGGAAGTGGCTTCGTCCAAAATGAGGATCTTGCTCTGGCGCACCAGCGCACGTGTCAACGCCAGCAGTTGTCTTTCGCCCAGAGAGAAATTCGAGCCGTCGTCTTCGACCTCCTGTCTCAAATGGAACTTGTGCATGTTCGCGTACGCGCCCGAGGTTTCCGGCGATTGCGCCTTCACCTCGGCTATCTCCGAGGCCTCGACCGCGCCACTCCGCACGAGCGCGTCCCACAGCTGTTCGTCGGTTCTCTCGTTGAACGGATCCAGGTTTCTCCGGATCGAGCCTTTGAACAACACGGGGTCCTGTGGAATGATCGACAGCTTGCTGCGCAGGTCGTACAGCCCGATCTTGGAGATGTCGACGCCGTCGATGCTGACGGTCCCCGAATGCAACTCACAGATACGGTACAGAGCTGTCATGATCGTGGACTTACCGGCACCCGTACGACCGCAAATCCCGATCTTCTCACCGCTGCCAATGTCGATGCTGACGTTTTTGAGCACCAGCGGCAGACCCGGACGGTACGCAAGACTCACGTCGTCAAAGACGATCTCGCCGTGGCTGGGCCAAGGCTCCGCGGGCGTCATCTCGGGCTTCCGGTAGTTGGCCTCCAGCGGTAGGTCCGTGGCGTACGCGATCAATCTTTCCGCACTGTTCATGTCGTTCTCACCCTGGGTCATGGCGCGCATGAGCGTGTTCAGAAGGCCCGGTAACTGCAGCACGTACGTCAGCAAGACACCGACCGAGGAAGGCGAGATGTGGAACTGTCTTGTCACACAGAGGAGCGCAATGATCAAGGCGAAAGCCATGGCTATCATATCCAAAGCAATTGACACCCATCTTTGAACTGCCACCACCAAGTATCCGGCCTCGTTCATCTTGTTCGTCAGGAAATCGTTCTTCATCAGGAACCGTTCTTGGCCTCTGTACGCACGAATGGTGTCAATACCACCGAGCACCTCGTTGAAATTGTTGAACACATGCGATCTTTGTATCGCTTCCAAACGCTTGATCTCTCTGCTCGAACTTTGGTAGTGGTTAGCCACCAATGCGAAAATAATGACCAAAAATGGAACAGCAATGGCAAACCATGGCAGGTAAATGATACACATGATCACCACACCGATGATGTTGGCCGTTTGATAAACAAACAGCCGAACACTTTCCGTGAGTTCCGTGTCAAGCGTGTCCGTATCTTTGGTGAAACGGTTAAGAATACGTCCAATGGGAGTCGTGTCGATGAAACTCATCGGCGTGTGTAATATTCTTTTCACAGCCTTCAAATTCAGCATCTTAGAGGCAGTCAAACCAAGATAGCATAACAACGTGAACTGGCCGGTCGTGCAAAAGTAATTGAAAAACACGAAAAAGATGTACATGCCCATGTAAAACCCGGCCTGACGTTTAAACTTGTCCTCAGTCCAAAAAGATAACCACACAGAGGAAAACAACAACGAGAAAGTAGTCACCGCTAGCAAAATCACATAGAAAGGTAACAGAACGAAACCTTTTTTGCCGACACCAGCAGAGATGTAGTTTTTGTAAACATCGAACCCAATGCTGTTGACAGCCCTCTCCTCCTTGGCCATCAAGCGACCAGCAGCCTCATTTTCGTCGACACTACTTTCATATGACCTCTTGCTCAACTCCTTTTTCAAGCGAGAAGCATCCATTTCGCGCTGCCCGTCATCGTCTCTAAAATGTTCTAATTCTTCAGCAGTGCTAACGTCATCTCCTGAAGCTTCAGTGCTATCCAATTCACCTTCCTCCTTATCGGAAGACTTATTAGCAAATTCCATAAGTTTGTTGAACCCAGCGTTCCTCTTTTTCAGTTCAGTGACACTTCCAAAGTCAAATGACCCGTCAGTTCCTAAGAAAATAACTCTCGAGGCCCTGTCGATCAGACTCAGTTGATGAGTAGCTAGGATTCTTGTTTTATTGCCGAGTCTGCCCAGCATACATTCATCCATAATGTGCTTACCGACTCTAGCGTCAACTGCGCTCAAAACGTCGTCAAATAAGTAGGTGTCCATGGACTTGTAAACACTTCTTGCCAGATTGATACGTGCTTTTTGACCACCGGATAATGTGATACCTCTTTCGCCAATTTCGGTCTTATCATTAGCAGGTAGAATGTCCAAATCCGCTTGCAAAGAGCAGACTCTAATAACTTCTTTGTATCTTGCCTTGTCGTATGGTGAACCAAACAAAATATTGTCTCTGACAGTGGCATTTTGTACCCATGGATACCCACACAAAAGCAGGGAGCCATTTTTATAAACATCACCTTCGGTCTTCCTCATGAAACCCGCCAAGGCATTCAACAAAGAAGTTTTCCCTGTCCCGATAGAACCAGTGATAATAATGAGTTCACCTTTTTTGACCTCAAAATTCAAATTGTGGAACCCTTTGAACGATTCCCTCTCCGTATCGCTCAAATGTCCCGGTTTGATAGAAGCAGCTTCATGCTTCGGTTCTGGAGCCTTGTCCTTCTTCGACTTTGTCTTTTTCTTTTTCTTTTCTTCAATCTCCATCAGAGTAGCTAGCCTATTCTCTTCCGCTTCGAAGTCCTGCCATTCGAAAGAACCGTTGACTACTTTTAAAGCCAAATCAGGATCATCACATGGTGGGAAATCAACGTCTATGTCATGCTCTTCTTCAGTAGCTTCAAAAAGTTCCTGACAACGATTGAGGGCAATAGAACCATCCACGGCTGTTCCAAGCGCCATTGGGAGGAAAAACATTTGAATACTCAAAACTTGAAACAGTGACAAAGACGAAAAGATATTGGCAGGTGTCCTGCCGTGGTTCCGGACTTTGTAAAGTGCTAGAAAAGTGACCATGGAGGAAATGTTAGTCAAGCAAACGGCCAAAGCAGTGACGAAATTACGTGTGAATTGCATGATCCTGGTTTTTGAAATTTCTTTCGATCTTTGATCGTGAACGCTGGCCTCGTAGGCATCCTCCCAAGCGTAAAACTTGATCATCTTCATGCTGTTCAAGATCTCACGCATCATAGTGACACGCGCATCCGTGAATATATTAGTCTTCTTTCTGACGCTAATCAATCGCTTGAAAGCGTAGGCGGAGAAGAACATTGCCACCACGAAAATACCAACACCTACCAAAGCAATGGGTCCCAAATTAATAATCAATAAAACAATGCAAATAGCCACGGCTACGAAAAAGGCTCCCAGCAGTGGTTGAAAAATGATCGCCAGTTCAAGTCGTGACAAGTCTGTTGACATGATCGAAGTGATTTTGCCGCTGGGGAAACGGTGTCTGGAAAACCCAGAAAGTTTCATGGACTTGGTGAGAATCGCTTTGATGAGAACAGATTTGGCTTGCACACCTGTCAACTGCGAGTTGTGGAAGAAATGGTTAAACAAGACACCGTTAAGAAGCATCATGACACAACTTCCGATGGCATATCCAACACCCGCATTAACTTTGAGACCCGGATAAAATGATTTTTCGCTTACAAAATCGATGAGACGCTTGGTGACCATGGGTAAAAACGCAGACGCAGCGTTGGATAGCGCCATTGCTGCAAACGCTAAGAAATATTGCCATTTAAACGTGTATAATAGCACTTTTACGAGCGTGTGCTTGGGCATCACTGCGTTCTCGATGATTTCTTCTTCTGTGGCATTAGGGTGTTCCTTGCGATACTGGACGCGCGCTTTCTCCCGGTAAACTTCCAGGTACCGCTCAAAATCTGCGTATAGAGTCTCGATGGACATACGATCGTCCATTTTCCACAGATCGCCGGGTTGCAAAGTACGTTTGTAACCGACACGCAGGATCGGGAACACCCACCAGAAAAAGATGCGGGAGATCCAGTTTGCGTGGAATAGCGGGTAAACGGGCCGCTCTTCGTCTGTCGGGATCGGCGGTATCTTTTTGGAATGCAAAAAGCTAAACATCCGCTTTTGGGGATAGATCTCGGATTCAGTCACTTTTTCAAGGTCATCGCTATTCATGAACGTTTCAGGTCTGTTTCTGTCCACCTCGTAGTAGCTGTTCTGCGTCGCAACTTTGTCCAGTTTGCCTTCATTTTTGACGTACAGCGATTCCGCCTTTTCATTTTCTGACCCAGAGCTGGAATGTCGCAGTTCTTGTCTGATTGTGGGCATGCTTTACTTTTTGTGTGTGCTCTATGATAATGTTTGATGCAACTGTTTGATGCAAATGCTTAATGCGTATCCAACCGCACTGTGCCACCAGGAATTCAAATACGAGTAAATCCAGTTCTAATGCAACTTCTTCAACACTGATCAAAATTGCTCCACCTCGCGAGAGCTAGTCAAACCTGTCGGTATATACAAAATCAGCACTTAAATATCGGGCGCGTCTCAAGTTGACTCTGACTTACCCTCGACTTATGTATACAGACAGAGTTTGCCACCAAAGCTATCTTTCACTCAGGGCAGCCAAGCCTTCAATGCCGTCTCTTACTAGCGATGAGATGAACGGCCGTTTACTTACGGCCGTAAACCGGCCGTAAACCGGCCGTAAACCGGCCGAAGGACGGTGATGTGTCAGCGGGCTTAGCAGCGGACATAAGGTATGTAGTTATATACGAAATATGACATTATGAGGGTCACTTGGGCGATGGCAGAGGAAACATCAAACCTACAGAATAACCTAAGAGTATCCTTCAAGTACCCTCAGGATAGCAGGATCTCCAGACTTCTAATGGAGCCTCACAAAATCAAGTAGAATTCAAGAAGGATTAGGGCAATTGGTTCTGATTTCCAACGATTACAGCGGTTTCGGGTAACCAGCTCTGCGGTAGGCGCTGCAACCGTGGATGCAAAACTCAAAAAAAAAATAAAACTAGATACATATTCAGGGTTAAGGGCCCGTGAGCCGAGGACCGAGAGCCTCGTGAATCCGCGGATTTAGCGGGAATCGCGCGCGAGTGACAGGCCGATTTCTTGGTTTTTGATGCAAAAGATTTTCGTCCTTTGAGTGGTTCATTACAAGATGCAGGCATGCAGAATCAGAAAACGCAACAGACCGTCGTTTGTGTGTCAGGAATGCCGCAGACGCAAGACAAAGTGCGACAAAGGTAGGCCTAGCTGTAAGAGATGCGTGCAGCTGGGCGTCGTGTGTTCGTACCCGACGGAGAAGATAGAAAGAGACGGAGGCTCGACTCCGTCACGTGACTCAAGAAAATCTAGTCACGTGATGTTCGATAATGTCGAAGTGAAGGAGCGAAGCTCACCGCACGGTAGCGAGACTTCAGAATCACCGTCGTTACGGTTTCACAGCTGTTCGCGTTTCCGAGCGGACAGTTCGAGTGGCCGTTTGTCACTGCTCGGCGGCGGACAGATTAGTGGCCGCGCAGCGCCGCCAGATGGGACCCTGGTACTGCTCGCCGACGCTCAAGAGACGCTCGTCTCACATGGTCGCATGCGCTACTTACACAAGCCTTTTTCAACTCTAGCAGTGGTGCAGCGGGACGACTATTTGCGTGCCCTGTTCGGCTCAATATGGGGGTTTACGCTGACAGATGCTTACGAGCTGCACAAGTCACGTGCTCGCGAATCCCGCGATGAGTCCGAGAAGATCGATGTGAATGCTCTACTGAACTGCGAGCACCGGATCGGGCGCGAGAAACCAGTCCAGATGTTTCTCAAGGAGTCAATTGCTAGACGTATGACCAAGGATAAGCGCCGTACCAGCTCAGCGCTCGAGAATATTTTGTTTCTTTATAATTTGGAAGATGGCTTCGAAGACCAAGCGGAATCCGAAGAAAACTATACTCCTGGTTTAACTCACGTTTTGAGCGAGTTGGACAAAATTTTGCCAGAGGCCGCGACGTTGAGGCCTCTTTTACAGCACTTCTACCGAGAAGTGTATCCCATGTTTCCCGTACTCGACGTTCTGCCATTTCAGAAGACCGTCGAGGAAATTTTGGTCGCGGAACAAGGCAAGACTAAGTTTCAGATTCGGCTGGGCACGCGCTTTTTACGCTGCAAAATCGAAACTCTCGCTATTCTAGTGATAATATTGGCCATTGCTCGCGAGTCTGTCGATGTCAATGCTGAGTTTAAATCTCACGAAATTAACGAGATTTTGGGTCCTTTAGACTGCCTTGATTCTGCGCCAGTCCTGGTCAACAAGATGCTGGCGCTCCTGAACATCAATCGATATCCCAGCGAAAATACTCTGTGCTGCCTGTTGTATCTACGCATCTTCAAGGCTCTATCTCCAGAGGGCTCAGTCTTGAAATTAACGCCAGACTCCGTCATGTATCTGGGGTCACTATTCCAATATGCTGTTCTTCTTGGGCTGCACAAAGATCCATCTTTGTACAGGCAAGTCACTGATGCGGCGTTATCTGACAAAGCGTTCTTCAATTACCGCCGGAAGCTTTGGCTGGCAGTGGTCTCAATGCGATGCTACGATCTTGTGCCGAACGGGAGCGGATTGGTTTCATTAAATGCCTGCTTCAAAACCTCTGGCCAATTTAATATATTCTCGAATCCTAGTTATCTTTTCACAGTTCTCCGCGACACTGACGACAAGACCAAGTTCGATACACCTCTTCACGAGTTGATGTTTAAAGAGTGTCAGGTTGAGAAAGAATGGACAAGGCTCGCAACTCTGTGTGTGCCAGATTTTGGGGGCAGCACGTTATGGGAAATTGAGAACTCATGGGATAGAGTGGAAAGATGTGTTAGTAGGAAATTTTCTCTGAAAAACTTGGAATCTACCTGTGGTTCGCAAACTAGAACCATTGAAGCCATGCAATGTTTTGGCACTCAAATCAATATCAGCTTAACCAAAGTTCTCATCTCAAAGACCTTTAATGTTAATGTGACGAGCAGAATCATAATGATGACGACGGCAAGTGCTTTAGCCAACTATTTCGAGAGCCTTTGCCGAAACGAACCAAATGATTATGCGGAATCGTTCAGCAGGTTTTATTTAACATCTTTCCAGCATTGCATGGAGACAATAAAATTACTGAAAAACGCTTTAAGTGAGGATCCAAAAGGTAGCCAGTCGCTTCTTTCTTTCGAGACTGCGCCGGTTGTCACTCACGCTATCCTTCGAACCTTCCTGTTTTTGGTAGGGCTCATAGCAAGGCTGTGTTTTGCGCAGATCAAATTTGCAGAGAAGCAATCTTCTCATGCTTATCTCTATCGAGCACCTCCGCACGCTGACGAAACTGAAGGTCAAGATTCACTAGCCTCAATTAATGCGTCATTACAAAATATCGTTCGATCTTTAGTGCATTTGATTTCCACTCGCATGGCTAGCAAGTACGATGTCTGCATCAAGATTGTCGAAATCATGAGATACTATTTGTATCTTCTTGAAATGAACAGAATGGTGGAGGTAGCTTGTCGAATGTGGAATTACGCTCTAGAGGGAACACCGATTCCCAAAATAGTGCGAAACAGCATGCTGAACAAATGGGGAATCGAATTAACCAATGCTGCGACTGTGAAAAATGATCTCTATAACTCAAACGTTTTGGAGTGCTTCGATGCAGAGATGATGCGAGATATGCATGATTTCATGCATGGTCTCGAGCTAAATTCATTGATGCAATTTTCGCCTGAGTCGCCAGATTTAGTTGCACCGGCTCAGCCCACCACAATCCCAGATTCTGCGACAGATGATTGGCAGATGTTGAATTCAGATATTTTGGAGTATTTAAACATGTTAGAGGAGCAGCCCATATCGGGAGAAATGAATTGGAATGTCGAGCAAGACTCTTTTTTGCGGACTATGTCTTAAGGGTCTCTCGCGTCGTTCTGATTGAAGTCGAAGAAACACTGCTGGCTTGTGATTGCGGTAATTACATTTTCCAAGAATGTGCTAGCGCGTCCTCAAATGTCTATCACATTGACGCCGTTAACTGAAATTCTTTCATAGTGATCTCAAATTATGAGCTAAAACTGTCTCGTACCGTCACCAGTCAAAGACATATCGGCGACAATGAGCATCTTGGTTATGAAAGGCTTCGCAGCAAGAGACAGCCATCGCAGATGAGAGAAAGTACGATCGCTCTATGTTGCTACAAGTCGTCATGAAATAAACCAACAATTTGCGGCGATAAATGAAAAGCCAAACATCTGAGAGAACTCTTAGTGCTGGCATCGTGCTAAAATGTGTTGCAAATTTGAGATTTCTTAGTTATTTCCATAAATTTGGTTTATCGAAACTGTTTTGCCTATGCTAGAGTTCCAACCGCCTATCAACTCGTCATTTCGCTTTTCTATTTGTTTGTGTAGACACGCCCGTAGTTGTTGTCGGCATTAATGTTGCTCGGTTTATCAGTCCAATTCGTGGCGGACGAAATTCATCTCTCTACTAAAACCTGACTTAAGGATGGCACATGTTCACGTAAAACACGTTTAACCACAGGGCCATATTTAACCTTAGCTATAGATAGGAAACTCAGTTTCAAGCTGACAAGAATCCTCAACTAAGCGAAAACTACCACATCTCATTAGCAGGGCTCATATTGCGCGATTTCATGGGACTATAAGCCAAGAAAGCCTCTTCATCCTCGTCGAACCGCAATTTCTTGCAGTACTTTGCCTCAAACGTATTTCGAAGGATGTTGATCATGTATTTGAAATTTGAAAGAATATTTTCCGAAAAACAATGGCGCTGGTTTAGAGGAAAATTCGACATATTCGCCGATGTTTCCGACGAACCAGCCTTTTGATTACTGGGAATTTTTGCATTTAGGCATGCTAACATTCGCAAATCTTCTTCGTATTCCATATCATTTTCTTGCTTAGACAGCGTGAAGACAAATATGTCGAAAAACGCCAGAGTAATGGACCACTGAAACGTGCTGTAAAGCCCCGTCATATTACACTCGTGTATGTGTAACGCTAGGCGTAAAGCCGAACGGGCTGTCGAGACGCTCTCATAAGGTTGCTCAGTATCAACTTTTCCTCCTGTTCGTGAAAGAGTCTGTATCTTGAAAATTGATTTCTGAACCAGCATCAAGCTCATGTAAAACGTATATTGAAAAGTAATGATCAGCAGCCGGCACATATCAATCGGTATATTTTGGATCTCTATAAGACTAGCTAGGTCTTCGTCAGAGGGATGGCTGAAGGGTCGCATGACGGGAGGAAGTGATAATCTGTAGTTGTGGAGATCCGTCAACAGCTGCTTGGCAATGGATAGCTGTTTGCTCAATTTAGCATTTGCGGACATAGTGTAAAGGTGTTTGTATATTCTAGCCGTAATGTAGCTCATTCTGACAATATGAAATCCCGCGAATGGGGCAAAACCGCTAATCTTAACAACAAGTTTGAAAAGTTCATTTGCAAAACCGCTATCAAACACTTTGGGATCGGAAGATGTACCCAAATACACATCGCTTACCAAATCAAAGCATTTATCGTAAATTGGGAATTCAGATGTGGTGTCGTATTCTGCAACGATTGGCGGGCTTCCTAAAATGGTGGCTAACTTCATGTCATACGCTCGGCACATAGCCCAGACTTTGAGTAAATAGCATCTCATTTCAGTGTCCATACCATCATAGGTGAACTCGGCATGCAGGCCCAGATTTTGAGCAAGGCGAATAGCGGTGGTGACCATCATAAAAGACGCGTGGAGACTACCTCCGTAATCAGTGTAGATGACAAAAGTTAATATGGCTTGTAGAGTGTCAGTCCCATCTGGTACCATGGAGATTCGATTGTAGTGAATCAGGCAATTGGAAGCAAATGCTTGCTCGAGAGCGTAAATTGAGTCTCTGTCCCGAAGGGGCTTTGGAGCATTCTCGTCTATAGCATCTTTCAAACAATTCAAAAGCATATTGCAGACCAAAGCACAGACGGCATTAAGTGTGAGCGTCTTCGAGACAGAGGCCTCATTCATAATGTGGAGTTGTAAAATTTCTTCGATTTGCGACTGCGACACGGGACAAATGGCATCGATGCTGAACGTATTAAAAACCTTAACAAGATATTTCAAACAGTCAATATTCGGAAGAGGCTGAAGTTCTCGGTGCCTTTCAAAAATTTTGAATTTGTTGCGCCCGCTGATGTATCGATGATACCACGCCGATAAGTGTTGAATCTCGATATCTGAGTTCAAGCTCTTAGATGCAACCCACTTCAGGCCCCTTTGGGTGATTATTGAGTAAGAACACATGACACCAAAGTCGCTTGTCATTGATGTGTGAGGAACCCCTCGCTCACCGAAGGTGGACCAACTTTCCGTTGCTGATATAAGAGAGTTCGAATCGTTTTCAGCGGAGTTGCTAGAAATTGAGTCCAAGCCTGTTTGAGGACCACCTCCATTGAACTGCGAGACAACATTGGCCAGCAAATCCAGGGAACTAACCCTCAGTTGTGTATGCTGCGAGTCCAAAGCTATTTTCCTAAAATCTTTCCGCTTCCGCACTTTTTTACTTCTCCTTGGCTCTCTTTTGTCAACTCTAGGTTTCCTGCTTCCTGCAATTTCATTGGCCAGAGAACTGACCATGTCTTCCAACGACGCTAGCTTGTCGGTAACCCTGCGAAATTCATCGCTTTTCTTTTCAACGAAGTCAACTTTATCATTCATCTCCATGTCATCCTTGTTGATATTTTCATTGACTGGTATCGCTACTTTGAAGACGTTGGTTCAGCTCCGGAGAAGGTGCTTCTTGACGTTGAACATGAAAGTCTGACTCAAGTCCTACAAAATGAATCTCTTGTTGATTCGTATCAGAGCACATCAACTTTCGAAGCTTAAAAAGTTTTCAGGTCTAGACAAACAGATTGAAAGCTGATCAAAACCAAAGGGAAAAAGCTCAAGCATTAGCGACAATTTAACGCCTCCCGTAGGTTGTGTTCTAATTTGGTTCAAATTTGAGCCTTAGGCTTTTGAGTCGTATCTTTCATTTGGTCGTTTCAGGTGAATTTTCAGGGAAGTTAGAAGCGGAAAATGTCAGCCCTTCCAGCGGACGTTAATTCTACTTTAATCAGCGTTCTGACTGGTTTTGCATCTCCAGATAATAGCATTCGAGCCGCTGCAGAAGAGACTTTGAATGGATCGTGGATCACACCAGAAAATATCGATGTCTTGCTCATTTTTCTGTCGGAACAAGCTGCGTTTTCGGGAGAACTAACTTTAGCGGCACTTTCAGCAGTACTATTTCGGAAATTAGCATTACGGGCTCCACCATCGTCCAAGACAGTTATAATCGCCAAAAACATCACGCATATCAGCAATGAGGCTCTTACGCAGATTAGAAATACCCTTTTGAAAGGCTTTATTGCCGAGAGACCAGGAGGTATAAGACATAAGCTTTCAGACGCAATTGCCGAGTGTGCACAAGAAGATTTGCCTGAATGGTCTGATCTTTTACAGACTTTATTCGAAGCTATCAAAAACCCGGAAGCAAGTTTCCGGGAGTCTAGTTTCCGCATTTTGACAAATGTTCCGCATCTGATCAACGCGCTAGATTTTTCGAATGTTGTACCTATTTTTGAAGCTGGTTTCACTGATGAGAACGACAACGTCAAAATCGCCGCTGTCACCGCTTTCGTTGGGTATTTCAAGCAACTTCCTAAGGCACACTGGGCTAAACTAGGTGTTCTTCTCCCTAGTCTGCTTAACAGTTTACCCAAATTTCTAGATGACGGTAAGGACGATGCTTTGGCATCTGTCTTTGAGTCGTTAATTGAGCTAGTTGAACTGGCACCTAAACTTTTCAAGAGCATGTTTGATCAAATGATACAATTCACTGACATGGTTATCAAAAATAAAGATTTGGAAACCTCTGCCAGAACCACTGCTTTAGAACTACTGACTGCTTTCAGCGAAAGCGCTCCGCAGATGTGCAAATCAAACAGCGAATACGCCAAATCCATAATCATGAACACGTTGGTGATGATGACTGAAGTGTCGATCGATGACGATCAGGCGTCAGAATGGCAAAACTCGGACGACACAGAGGAGGACGAGGAAGAAGTTACTTATGATCACGCTCGTCAAGCTTTGGACCGTGTCTCGTTGAAACTGGGCGGCAAGTTCTTGGCGCCTCCTCTTTTTCAGTTTCTTCAACAAATGATAGCCTCATCTGAATGGCGTGAAAGATTTGCAGCTTTAATGGCTTTGTCATCTGCTGCAGAGGGCTGTAGAGACGTTCTCATGGGTGAAATACCCCGAATTCTCGATATAATTATTCCGCTAATAAGCGACCCCCATCCAAGAGTTCAATACGCTTGTTGTAACTCTTTGGGTCAAATATCGACGGATTTTGCGCCTTTGATTCAGAGAACTTCTCACGAGCGAATTCTACCCCCACTGATCTCTAAATTGACGCCTCAATCGGTGGATAGAGTTCAGACCCATGCCGCTGCGGCCCTCGTGAACTTCTCTGAGCATGCTACACAAACCATATTGGAACCTTATCTCGACGATCTGCTCAGCAACTTATTGACACTCCTCCAAAGCTCCAAGTTTTACGTTCAAGAGCAAGCATTGACTACCATTGCATTTATCGCTGAGGCCGCAGAAAAGAAATTTATAAAATATTATGACACCCTCATGCCCTTGCTAATTAACGTTTTGAAGGCCGATACGGGCGCGGCAAACAGGCTTCTGAAGGGGAAATGTATTGAATGTTCTACACTAATAGCGCTTGCAGTCGGAAAGGAGAAGTTCGCAGCCCATTCCCAAGAGCTGATAGAACTTTTCATTAATTACCAGGATCAGGGAATCGAAGATGATGACCCCATTAAGTCCTACTTAGAACATGGCTGGAGTAGAATATGCCGTATTCTTCGTGAGGAATTTGTACCTCTACTTCCTATCGTTATTCCACCTCTTCTTGAAACTGCAAAAGCAACTCAGGACGTGAGTCTGATCGAAGAGGAAGAAGCGACGAATTTTCAGCAATATTCTGATTGGGACGTGGTTCAAATTCAGGGTAAGCATATTGCCATTCACACTTCCATTTTGGATGACAAGGTTTCCGCAATGGAGCTTTTGCAAGTCTATGCCACCATCCTGAAGAATTTTTTTGCGGTCTACGTTGCTGAGATTATGAAAGACATTGCTGTGCCATCGATCGATTTCTACTTGCACGACGGAGTTCGAGCCACTGGAGCTGGATTGATACCTCTTTTATTGTCCGCCCTTGTAGCTGCCACGGGAGTTCAAAATACTGACGTCCTACAGCTATGGCATTTATCTTCGACGAAACTCCTTAGTGGCATAATTTCAGAGCCAATGCCAGAAATCACCCAAATCTACCACACCGCCCTTATTGATGGTGTGGCGATAATGGGTGAAAACTGTATGAGTGAAGAGCAACTGGTACAGTACACTAAAGGTGTTTCTGCAAATCTGTCTGATGTGTACGAGCGTGTCAAGAGTCGTCAGAATCAAGACGATGAGTACAACGAGGATGTTGAAGACGATTTTGAGGACTATGCAGACGAGGACCTTCTAGATGATATCAACAAATCTCTTTCAGCAATTTTCAAAGCGAGCCGTGGTGCATACATTGCTCAGTTCCAAGCCATATGGCCGCTAGTCATTACTTATTTGAGAGACAGTGAGGTTATCCTTGTTTTGTTTGCCTTGTGTGCTATCGGAGACATGGTTCACAACGCGGGTCCGCACACAGAGCCCTTCAAAAGTAATTTCATCAACGAGGTCAGGGAATACCTTGTATCTCCCGATGCTTCCGTCCGTCAAGCTGCGTCTTATGTCGTCGGAGTGTGCGCACAGAGCGCTCCAAACGTTTACTCTCAGGAATGTCTGAGCTCCCTAGATGTGCTGTTCCAAGTCCTTTCCATTCCGGACGCCAAATCGGAGGAGAACATCACTGCAACTGAAAACGCTTCAGCAGCGGTCGCTAAGATTCTGCATAGCTATTCTGCCAACCTTCCTAATGTGGACAACTATGTGGCCGGGTGGCTTAAGTCCTTCCCTATCTTGCAGGATGAAGAGGCCGCTGCTTTTAATTACAGATTCCTTGCCCATCTCATCGATTCCAATACCGCTGCAATTACTGAACGTTCCAGAATTCCTCACATCATTGACTGCGTCGTCCAAGCTCTTCACCATAAATCACTAGTTGGTAAGAATGCTGCCGCCGTCGTTGAATCTACGAAAAAACTTCTTGGCACTCTCCCTCAAGAGGAAGCCATGGCTCTTTTCCAAAGGTATCCCCCCGACATTGTTCAAGAAATTCAGGGCTGGTTTGCCTAAATATTATTTTGCCCATACTTCGCGCTTCATTTATATTTTGGTCAACCTGCATTCACATATAACGCCGTAATTCTTAACCTCCTAGTTTATACACTAATACACAAAACTCTGAACACATTTGTTACAAGAGCTGGTTGTCTTTATGATCAAAGCTCCTAAAAATGATGATCTTTCGTTTGCGATGACATCAACATCTGCGACTCCAAAAGTCGAAAATTTTTAACTCGAGATGAGATGAGATGAGATGAAATGAGTTGAGAAAACACATGGCATTTACAGACTGAAATTCAATTACACTAAGAAAGGATTGAAATGGGGTTGGCTGGTGTCAAAACAAGGCAGAAACTCGGGAGAGATCCCCGAAACACAACATGGAGTAACGACACGAGTAAATTCGGATTCAAGCACATGGAACGACTAGGATGGACACCTGGTCAAGGACTTGGAATGGTTCCTCACGCGACTACCACACATATCAGAGTGTCGATTAAGGACGACAATACTGGATTGGGAGCGAAATTGAGGCGAAAAGACAAAGCTGACGAATTCGATAGTGGGGAGTGTGCTGGTCTCGATGCTTTCCAACGGCTGCTTGGTAGATTAAATGGAAATGAAACCGCTATTAACGATGAACTAGACAAGCAAAATACGGCTAAGATTGTTAACGGTAAGTGGGGGGTTAGTTTTGTACCAGGGGGAGTGCTGGCTAGTACCTGGGACGCGGAAACTAAAACGTTGAAATCAAACTATGAAGTAGACTCCGAGAAGGCTAAAGCGAAATCCTCAAAGAAGCGTAAGCGGGACCTCGGCAAAGAAGGAATTGAGAAGCGCAAGAAGAGTAAGAAGGACAAGAAGAGCAAGAAAAATTCCACAAGGAAGAAGGCCAGCAAAGAAAGCGGCTTGGAGCGGGAAGATAGGATAGAGATGAAGGAAGCCAAGAAGAGCAAGAAGGACAAGAAGGATAAAAAGGATAAAAAGGATAAGCAATCAAAGAAGGACAAAAAACACAAGGAAAGAATAAAATCGGATCGCAAATCTGAATGTGTTACACCCATCACCCGAGAATCAATGCTCAAGCCCAAAGATTCTGGTGCAGATGCCATTGCTTCACGACTTTCAGTGCGTTCTAAATGGATCAAACAGAAGCGAGCAGCAGTAATGGACGCAAAAGCTTTGAACGAGATTTTCATGGTTGCAACATAAGTTTAAGTCTTTAAAATGGAGAGCACCAGTAGATTATCTGAACAGAATAGTCTTTACAATTTCAAAATTTATAGAATACAAAGTGCATCAAAGAGGCATCAATCAATCAGAAGAGGATAGAACCAAGGCCAATAGAGCCAAACGCAATCGACAGAGTCATCAAAAGGAGGCCACCGCTCGAAATTGGTGTTTGAACCGAGGCAGCGTTCTTTTTGGATGACGAAGATGAACTGCTCGAAGAGCTGCCGGAGGCCGAGCTTGCCGATGAAGAACCGCTGGCTTTAGAGCCACCTGACGCACTACCGGAAGATCCACCGGCGGTCGCCGAAGCCAAAACAGCACTGCAGGAAGATGCAGTGCTCTGCCCAGAAGCCAAGCTTGCAGATCCGCTAAAGGAGCACGCTGATTTGTTTTTGTTCTGAGCCTCATAGTACTTGTTTAGCAAGTAAGATAGCTTAACGTCTGGGTCACAGTATGAATATTCACCGTAGTCGCCGCTTTCGCCGTCCGCGGTAATATCACTGCAGTCGATTTCACCACATAAAGTTCCAAATAGGTCACCATAGTCGGACGAGTCAACGCTGTCGCTCAAGACGCAAGACAAAGAGCTGGAAAGACAATCACAGACATCTTGCTGAGGAGTCGGTGGCAAGTTAGTCGCAGCTCTCCAGTTGGTAGCATTTGCTGGGCAAGATAAAGACGTGGAGGTTGGTGTGTAGGACTGTGATTCGGCTAGACTAGGAGAAATAGAAGCAAGTTGGTCTCTCAAATTGTTGTAGTCGTCCAAAGTCTTGACGCTGCTACCGCTCACAGAAACTAGACCGTAATTGTTTGCCTCTTCGAAATACATGTAAACGATACCACCGGACCAAACTTTGGTCATTTCGTCACCATACAACGTTCCTACTTCATCGAATTGTCTAGGTTGGACTGCATTGCAACCATACTCAGAGAAAAAGGCTGGGATTGTGAGATTTGAGAAATCCTTGGTTCTGTCTTCGTATCCAGACGTGCTGTAGGTCGAATTCCCGCACCACTCATACATGTTGATACCGAAGAAATCGGCTTTTTCGTCGTCATCGCCGCACGCAAAATAGTCTGCCAAAGGAACTCTTGTGTCCTCGTCGTCGTTTGAGGAGTAGCCCACTGGAATGTTTCTGTAGCCTTTTTGCTTAATGTAAGCCTTGACATCTCTGATGGCTGCTTTAACAAAAGGCGAAGCATTCGCGTTGGATTTGTTGTTCGTGACTTCGTTACCAGCGAAAAAACCTAGCACATTTGTGTAATTGTGAAACGAATCCACCACCGACGTGTAACGTTTGTAAAGGTCCAGGGTCCAGGATGGTGAATCCCGGTTAATGGACTCCGAAGGTTGCGAAAGATCCGCAATCACATATATGCCGGCATCGGCAAACGCTTCCATGCACTTCGTGTGGTCAGCTGTGGTGTTTAGCGCATAGACTCTCACGGTGTTGGTGTTGAGCTTTTGAAGGTAAGGGAGGTCTCGACTGCATGTTTCGTAGTCAGCGAGGGGGTCCACGAAAGAGTCATCTGACGTAGTATTGGCAGTGTCTGCCTGATACGCAACACCTTTAATGTAAAACTGAGATCCGTTGTTCGAGTAAAAAAACTTATTCCCTATAACTTCAATCGGCGGAGAAGTACTGTTTCCAGTGTCGGCAATGGCACTGCCAACAAACAGAGGCATTGTTAAAGCGAGTGAAGAAAATACGGCTTTCATCTTTCCAGTTCAATAAGCTGCTGGCTCTCTTGGTTAACTCCGTGCTAGTTATTCATCCTGTAGCCCTAGGCCCTTCGCACCAGTATATATATCACATCTCTGGCGTTCAAAATACGCGAAATATTGCAAAAGAAAGAAGGCATTGGGAGGCGTGGGTATCTGTCTGTTTCCGTAATTTCCAGAAAGTGCCTCAGTCAACCCACATCTCTTTCGAGCCTTTCGCTTACCTGTTGTCGCGTTGTTTCGCTTTCATTTCGCGTGCAAAAAAGTCTGGACTTTTGGCCCGGGTCACGTTTGTTTTTTTTGGAAAAAAACAACCATGTTCCTATGGACCCGTCTTGCAACAAACAACCTTAACTTTCGTGGGGAAGCCCAGAACCCTTTAGAAAAGTAAGCAGGAACCAAATTTATCTGAACGATGAGTAGATGTAATCTTGAGATTTCAAGGTTGACGGCGTTTGGCTCGGTGCCATGACATAATTCTAACTTGGCTTGTTTCAGGAATGACTTGTTGTAAATCGACTTTTATATCGACTGATATATAGGCAACGCTCTCAAAGGATATAAAGCATATTGGGTAGGATCACTTTAAGGAATCGAATTTTTTAAAAAAATGGGGAAATAGCTTTTGCCCACAAGGCTCTTATGGTCAGCGCATTAAGCAAAAACCATTCCAAGGCCAGCTGTAGCGAAGATGGTAGCCAATGCCGTCAAGATGACGTTTGGTAGACCAGCTGGAGAGTTGCCAAGGGCAGCATTTTTCTTCTGGGAAGAGCTCGTGGACGAACCAGACGCGGAACTAGAAGAGGAAGAGCCGGTAGCTGAGCTTCCGGAGCTCGATTTCCCACCAGAAGCCGTGGTCTTGGCGCTCTTACCCGTGCTGGAACCGGCTCCGCTGGCAGAGGAGAGTCCGGAAACGCTGAAGGAAGCTAATCCACTGGCGGTGCCAGTGCCCACAGTTCCAATTTCACTCAGAACGGTTGCACATGCGGAAGCGGTGGTGGCAGATTTGATCGAGGCAGAGCCTGAGAAGTCACAAGCAGAGTTACTGCCGCCTTGATCCTCGTAGTAGAGGTTGAGAACAAATGAAAGCTTCTCTTTGTCAGAGCAGAAGGAGTAAGATCCGTACGTGCCATTGGTTCCGTTAGCAGTGATTCCATCGCAGGAAACCACGTTGCAGATATAGCTGTACAAGGAAGCGTAGTCGTCGCTGTCCACGTCGTCGCTAACGACACATGACAGCGCCTCGTTCATGCAGCTGCAGACGCTTTCGTTGGGGGTTGGTGGTAGGTTCGTGGCAGCCTTCCAGTTGCTGTTTGTGGCTGGACATTGCAAAGAAGTGGAAGTTGGCGTGTAAGAGGCGTTGTTTGCGGATGATGGCGAGATCGAGTTGATCTCGCTAGAGTAGTAACTATAGTCGTCCAAGGTGGATACCTTGCCATTAACAATGCTGACCAGACCATAATTGTTTGCCTCTTCGAAGTACATGTAAACAATACCACCGGACCAAACGTCAGTCATGTTTTTACCGTACAAAGCTTGAACTTCCTGGAATTTTCTAGGTTGAACGGCGTTGCAACCGTACTCGGAGAAGAATGCGGGAATGGTGAGGTTGGCGAAGTCCTTGGTTCTGTCGGCGTAACCTGACTCTTGGAAAGTGCTTTGACCACACCATTCATACATGTTGATACCGTAGAAATCCGCCTTGACATCATCAGAACCGCAAGCAAAGTAATCGGCCATTGGCACTCTGGTGTCTTCATCGTCATTTGAGGAGTAACCCACTGGTATGTCCCTGTAGCCTTTCTGCTTGATGTAAGCCTTGACATCTCTGATGGCGGCCTTCACGAAAGGAGAAGCATCGGAGTTGGATTTGTTGTTCGTGACTTCGTTACCGGCAAAGAAACCCAGAACGTTGGTGTAGTTTTGGAACAAGTCGACCACGGACATGTAACGGTTGTACAAATCGATGGTCCAGGATGGGGAATCACGATTTATGGACAAAGAGGGTTCAGAAAGATCAGCAACCACGTAAATGCCAGCATCAGCGAGAGCTTCCATACATTCCGTGTGGTCCAGAGACGTGTTCAGCGCGTAGACACGAATCACGTTGGTGCCCACTGCCTGCAAATATGGGATATCTCTCGAACACGCAGAAAAATCGGCAAGCGGATCGTTGAAACTCTCCCCGGATGTTGTGTTGGCGCTGTCAGCTTGGTAAGCAACACCCTTCATGTAAAATTGAGTTCCATTGTTCGAGTAGAAAAACTTGTTACCTACAACCTCGATCGCAGGCAAGTCTGCAGAGGCGACTTTGCCAACGAGCAAAGAGGCCAAAGAAAGAGCTGTGACCTTATTGAACAACATTCTGTTCGTTGTGTGCAATGTCTTACGAACTGGTCTAGAACTCGGAATCGACAACTTCTCTGAAGGTCCAGAAAAATAATGCGCGTTTTTATTAGAATTTTGGACCACTCGAGAAAGTCGTGGTTTCGGGTTGTTTTCTTTTTTTGATTTTTTCGCGGTAGATCCCGATATCCCGATACGGAGGTAACCATGTACGCTAAATTACTCGTTTAGGTTGAGGTATTTCCTAGCAGAGCGAAAAATATCCTAATCAGCAAGCCAGCATATTTCGAAAGAGCACTAATGAGGCGCTGACCACGAACAGAGGTAGGTGAGCTGACGCGTATTTTTTCGCTTCAGACGCTTAACTCGGCAGAGACTAGCGGACCAGCCGCGTCCCAATTACCCAGAGTTTTGTATTACATAATCTTGAACTCAAGCTTACTGAGGGGTGCGCCGACTTGTTTGTCCTCGAGTTAAGCCCCCATTGTTCAGTGACATTGCAGGGATATGTCGAGAGTGGCTTGAATTGATGGTCACCCAAGCTGTGGTATTTTCTTCTCAGTTTGTTTCCTCCGCTCGGAAAATTTGTAGAGCGGTCTTCACGTCCCCCATTAGATTAACTAGGGCTTTTTGCTTTTAGTTCTGAAACCTTGGGGTATCATATAGTAAATCGCTTATTTAATGGTTGTGATTTCAGGCATTGGAGGTGTTGTAGTTAGAATTGTAGATGGTGCCCTAGTCCCCGTATCATTGTTATCCTGCCCAGTGGGCTGAAATACGCCTTCAAGGAATGTGTCGTCGAGAAGGTGTAGCCCGGTTTCAGCAAATTTGGACAAATACAACGGTGTCACCAGGAGGGCAATGAAAATGGTTAAAATCAATAGGTAAAGCAGAAGATACCTTCTAACAATCTTGCGCCTTCTTTCCGACTGTTTCTTCGTGTATGACAGTTTGTTCGAGAGTAGCTTATTAGGTTTCATCCAGAAAAGAATGAGAGAATGCCAATAATCCACAAATGGTAGAAACACTAAAGGAGCCTGCGCATATAGTATGAAATGGCACAAAATGAAATCTGCTGCAAACAGAGATGCCTCGATGGTTTTGACGAAAAATTCCCTGGTCGGTTGTAAAATGATAGACCATCCCATTCCAGTGTTGTACCATTTTCCTGACCACCAGGCTAAGTGAGACTTGTTATTTCTGTATTCACGAGTAAGGAGGAAGACAGTCATTAGCTTGAATATGAATTCTTGGAGATTAATGCATGTTACCATGAGCAAAAGAGCTCGTGTGAAGTTCCAGCCTTCTAGGAACCACATAACTTCAAAATCGATTAAATGCACAAACACGGACATTGTATGCACAAAAGCGGCAACAGAACTGCCGGTCTTCTTGCAACAGCACGAAAGCAAAGGCGCAGCGAACCAGGAGAGTTGGAAACAAACCAGAAGCATCACCATGTTAAACACTATTGGAAAAAAGGTGACAATGCCAAGTCTCAAAACAGAGCTTGTTGGTGACACATCACTGACGCCTGTCTGCGCATTGATGAAAGCATACGCGGCAAAGCTGGCAAAAGTAACTAACAAGGGAATTAAAAGCTCGGCGACAAAAATATCCTGAACCTGGGCTCTCTTGGTGTCAGTAGCGATCGTCTCTGACTCATCGTTTATTGTTTTCTTTTTGAAACCAGTGTATTTGGACCTGTTAGATTTTACGTATGAAACCCACGAGTCCTTCTCGAAATGAGAATTGCCTTTCGACATCCAGTGAATGAAATTCCGGTAGTCGACGAAAAAGTCCCTAAATGCGAACTGATGCGGATTGAAAATGAATGGCGCCAAACACAGCGAGGTGACAGTAATCCAAAACCAAAGCAAAGCTGGTTGCCACATGGATATCGTAGCAAATACAAGCATGAGGAAGATTTTAGACCCTGAGTAGATCGAAGTCGATGCAAACTTGGTATAGAGATCGGAAAAATCCAGTCGTGAAATTGCAAATCCTCGTCCTGTTGATATGTATTTAGCGCCTCCAAAGGTAACATCGGTGAGTAAGGCATTGGAATACACTTGGCAGACAAATACCTCGAAAAAGGGGGCAAATGATAGCAGGTGGTGTAAGAATCTCGAAACCGCCTTCCAGGTGCCCTTCTCAAGTACCTCTTGGACTAGAAGTGGAGCAAATGCGATGAAAAAGACAATGAATATTGAGAGAACAAAAATGGTGACCCAATGTAGCACTGGTTGGATATTATAACAACCGATCGGAATTTGTAAATCTGTAATTGGTTTGTCTTGGTCATACGCGCAGCTGATTATCTCATGATTTAGAGCACCAAGGTTAATAAGTAGAACGAAGAATATCTGAACGGATAAAGTTATGAACAGATTGTTGAGATGGAAACCAGCATGTGCGTAAAAAAATGAAAGGAACCGATCTATTGGTAGTTGAGTGCCCAAATAGTAGTACTCCCTTGAGAGCAGTTGCTCACCCATGCCAGCTCCGATCTTAGTAGTAAAATTTAAAATAGACCCAAATCCCAGATCTCTCCCTTTCCCACACTGGTAATAATCGCTGTGTTTAATTCGGCCGCCTCGACACAGAGCGTTCATTCCAGCGAAAATATCTTCATTGAGATGGAGACCCTTCTGGGCCTTCGATATACCACCTCTAGTCGTCATAAAAATAGCATTCAAGAAATCAGGATGGCCGTAATGTAGCTTGCCGCCTATCTCCGCTAAAGTTCGAGCAAATAAAGTACCAAACGTTTGTTCTTTCCCTGCCGCTATGTCACCCAAGACTCCAATATTTTCCGAAAATATGTACTCTCGAGCTCCAACGAAAGCCACTGGTACAGTAACATCCTCGTACTCCACTTCAGGAACATATGGCATGCATTCACTTAATTCAATTTCTTCAAACTCGCTGAGAATTGATCGAATTTTCAAACATTCTTCCAGATAATTATCTTGATTCGCATCAATCACCTGGATATATTCACCACGATAAAAAATTAGAGAGTGGTTTTGATTGTCTGACTTGCCGTCCCCCAAAATAGGATTTCCTGAAAGACGAATCCTATACCTTGGTTTACGCAGTTGCGATTCTTCATCAATATCGCTATAGCCATCGATTAAACAAGAATAAAACAAAGTTTCGCCTCCATCTGGATCCTTTTCTTCCTCGAGGTAAGAAATACACATCTCCGGGTATGTTTTGAGAAGAAATTCTGCAGCCTCTCTATCATGATCATCAAATTTTTGATACCTTTGCATGGCAACAATCATTCTAAATTTTCGACAAGCCATCACGTCGAGCTCATTTTCGAGAAACCCCGGATCATTGCTTAGAGCTTGTACCATACCCGGATTTTCAATTCGATGAAGAAGCTTTATAGCCTTTGAATAGTTCATGAAGCCTGAAACCGTTCGATACAGCGTTTGAAATCTCAAAGATGCCCAAATTCGGGTACGCAAAGTATACTCGGGCTGGGAATTACTGAAACCCACACAATAGAAGGGCAAATCTTTGATTTTTTCTTGAAAGATCTTGTATTTTTCCCTTAAATCATTTGACTCGTCAGTCATGTTTTCGAACCGCTCAGTGCTTGACAGCTCTCGGAAACTCTCAGAAGTCGAACCGCTCTCCGCGGCGAGTAGTTTTGTGTCACGAACGAAACATTCCCATTCAGTTGGATGAAGATGTTTCAAATATTCGAGAAGCGTCATTCTGCTTTTCGTCGATTCCTCCTTAATTATTTCTTTAAGACTGAGAAGAATCTTTTCTGAGTAGTGGGGGATAATGACCGAGAACGTCGGCATACAATCAACCGGAACGGGCTCTAAAATGGGGGTGGATAAAGATTGAGCGAAAAACGAGAGTCTCCTTTCAGCTTCCGAGTGATCGGGGAAAAATTCCATCGATTTAAACGTCGAATCGTCTTGAGCAACGAAAAATGTTGGCGATTTGAGAGTTCTCTTATTTTGTGTCATAGAGTCAACCTGTTGATATAATAATCGTTGAACATGTTCGATAGACAGTAGATGTTCACGGTACATTGAAATGATAATTGCGTTCCAAACCTGAGATATCAATATTTTAGGTTTGTATTTAACATCCATCTCTGCAGTGGCCAAAATCTTGGAGTAAATTCGCTTTGGTAGTCTTGAATAGATATTCTTCCATGGAGTCAATATTGAGGTCCCTAACGAAAACGATAGAATTATTGAGAACACACAATTGCAGATGATATACCACAAGTAGGTATCCAAAAAAAAAAGGACTAGATCGGTCAAAACCATAATCAACAACGTAATCCGAGGTTGCAAACGACATAAAAAATCACCCAAGAGTCTTTCGCCTCTGCATCTGCTCATATCCATTATCGACAAGACTCTCACAGGGTCTCGTAGCGATAATACAAGGAAGAAATAGGACTCAATATATTTTGCCACGAACACCGTCAGCCAAAGTCCCCAAGAAAACCATTTGCTTCGCTTCGTTAATGGTGGAAACGAGGCTGTAAAAGTTCTCGATGAGACATACCTACGGCGCGTCTTGCCCTTCTGTAGATAAGACACAAATAATCCACCAAGTGGCCTTACGGCGAAAAATAAAGTTGTTACAATGGCAACGACGAGTTGAACGATTGCAACGATGTAAGCATATTGATAGTGAACATCTAACTGGAAAAACCCAAAGACGTAAACGGAGGGGCTGACATTGATAACGAGACAGAAAAGAAGTCCAATTAATCTTCGCGTCAAATGCTGGGCTCCAGGCCACTGGCGTGGTACACAACACCATTCAAAAATGGTGGCAACCAATTGAATCAGACAAGTAACCGTGCCACCCAATGCAACGGCAGAAATTTGGGCTTGAGGCGAGGGAGGATTGTTCAAGAGTTGAATATAGTTCTTGGTGTAAAGCGTGGGAGCGTTAACGGAAAAGAAAAACCAGAACATGGAAAAATGTATGATCCAAATCCGATTGAAATTTGTGGCACAATGCATCCACGTTCTGGTTTCGCGGAAAGTCTTGTAGAAAGCTTTCTCCCATTTCAGATCTGGTAAATGCAAATAACGCTCTGCCAAGGGCTTATCGACTAACCGCTCCCCAGACTTCAAAACAAGTCTTTCAATACCTTCCGGGTACCAGAAGAGTTGATTCACGTCATCATAACCGATGATATCTTTGTGATCTTTCTCTTGTCTCTTAAGTGCGCCGGTTTTTTCATCATAGTGATGAACTTGAGCTCTCAAAAATTTGTAAAGCGGCGTGATGATCTCGTCAAGAAATGCAAACTCGCGTTTAGACTGAGGAAACTTGTCGGAGATGTTGGCGTCATAGTCCAGAGCACATTTGAAGATGAAACAGAGACATTCGGGCGTAAATCTGATTTGATTTGCCTCTCCCCAGCACAACAAAAAGAGCGCCAGTTGTCGCGCCATTTGTTTGGGCGTAAGTTCTCGCATTCTTAGTTTCCACTTGTAATCTGCAGTTTTGAAGCTGTTCTCATTAGCCAGTTGTGCGGGCGTTAGACTGACCTTGGGATGCGAGTCTATGAATTCTTCTTCGCGTTGCTTCCATTGCAAAATTTGATCTTCGATTGACACGCCCCGTTGTTTAGCAAGTTTGTAGTTCCGCCGGCGTGACTTGCCGTGTAGTTTCATGTTCTGGAACCCGATTTCCTCGTCCAGGTCGAGCTGGGCGGCAAAGTACCACTTTTTGAAGTTCGCCTCGTCGCCGCCAATGTAGGAGGCATGAAGCGACACCAGTGCGATCTGCGCCGTCGAGCGGCTGGCCCTTGAGTCCAATTGCGCGAGCAAATGCTGGTACATATTTTCCTTGGACGATTGCTGGAACCCGAATTTGATGCAAAGATCGTCGAAGACATCGCGTAACTCTGCCTTCGTTACGGGCACTTGGTCGTCCTGACACCAGGCCGGATAGAGGTGATCCGAATAGGACCCGTACGAGACGGGACTCCCGGTAAGCGCGGTCATGGGGTTCGAGATCTGATCTGTGTGTTCTTGCGCCAGGTAGTGGTGTGGAGAACGTCAACTTCGTTAGCCGCTGAGCCTTTTATATAGCGCGAAAAAAAACAAGGGGTTCCGATCCCGGGGACACAAAAACAAAAACCGCCCGCTCCCCGACTTCTAGACTGCCGGACCTTTGCAGAACTGTGTGGATACCTTGCTGCGCAAAATCGAGTAGCCTAACAGATATATGTGTACATAATTCGATCGGCAGGCACTTATTGAGCCTATACTACCGAGATGCTCAAGTGTGGTGGCTCTAATGATGCTTGTGCCGCGATTCGCTGTACAATCCTGATCATGCCTTTAGTAATCGGCAGTCCTTTAACTACTTTCCACAAATACGACACAGCATGCCATTGCGTCTACACCTCTCTTCAACTGAATGTCAGTATTGACCTACAAGACAAAAGACAAAAGACAAAACGACAATACGATAAAATGACAAAACGACAAAACGACAAAATGACAAGAATTAACATTCCAGCCCCGAATTGGTATCAAAAGTTACAAGCCAAATCACTGAGCGATCCCCTCCAGCGCTAAGAATCCTCAGCTACATAGCTCGCCAACCTGTAACAATTGTTTCAGGCTGCGGCACTTTCATGAAGTCAAGAAAAACAGACAAGTCTAGAGCCCAAAAAACACAAGCACTCCAACTTTCAGACGTCCACACTTCACCACATTCGCCGTCAATGAGCGACTAATATGGTTATGTGGTTATGGTAGAAAGCTGAAACGAGTAGCGAAAAATGGGCTCTACGTATGAAGCTACATTCGCTGCTCCAGCCGCGTCCTCTTGTAGCGTGGTTGACTTAAATAGGCAAAATTTTGAGGTGTCAGATTCATTCGTGCATCACGATACATGCACAGGTGCGTCTGTTTCCTGATACGGTAAAGACCCACTACTGCGTCGACTGCGTCGACAACGTCAACTACGACCACGTCCGTGGCTGCACGCACTGTAAGAGGTAGATCAAGGTTATGTTATGTGTTGTCGACGAAGCCTAGTGTGGAAAATTTTTCCTTTTAATTGGCAGATCTTCGAGTAAGAGATTCATAAAAGATAGTCGGATAAAGTTTTATAAAGTTTTACCAGGGTTTTCCAATCTTTCACTTCTCCTTGTTGAAAGACGCACCAACCTCCAACTACCAGTCCTTCCTTTTCGTTTTCAAGATGCGTTTTTCCAAGATCCTTGCGTCCGCCTCATTGACCGGGCTAACCGTTGCGTCTCCTCTGGGCCACGAGCACGCTGAACACAAGCGTGACGTCGTGTACGTTACCAATGTCCAGACCACGACTGTCGAGGGCAGCGCTCCATTGTCTGTTGGTGGCGCGTCGACTACTGTCGCCGTTGACGCCTCCAACACTGTCGCGCAGCAGGCTGCTGCGGGCACTTTGTCGTTGTCGGAGGTGTCAAGAGTCGGTGCTGCTCCATCGTCTGCGGTGAGCACGACGACTTCTCCTGCGGCCGTAGCCTCTTCCGGTTCTGGTTCCGCTCCAGCTTCGTCGTCGCAATCGTCGTCTTCGTCTCAGGCCTCCTCGTCCTCTGGGCCCTCCGTCGGCTCCGGTGGCGCCAAGGGTATCACCTACACTCCTTACTCCGACTCTGGTGCTTGCAAAGCTGCGTCGGAAGTCGCGTCGGATCTCGCGTCTTTGACCGGGTTCGACATCATCAGATTGTACGGCGTCGACTGTGACCAAGTCGCCAGCGTCTTGCAAGCCAAAAAATCTAACCAAAAGCTGTTCTTGGGTATCTACTACGTCGATGCGATCGACTCTGGTGTCTCTACTATCCAGTCTGCCATCGAGACCTACGGCTCTTGGGACGACGTCTACGCTGTCAGCATTGGTAACGAGTTGGTTAACTCCGGCGCTGCCACCGTTTCCCAGGTCGGTTCTTATATCCAGCAAGGTAGATCTGCTTTGAGCAGCGCCGGCTATAACGGTCCTGTCGTTTCCGTCGACACTTTCATCGCCGTCATTAACAACCCAGGCTTGTGTGAATACTCCGACTTCATGGGTGTCAACGCTCACGCTTACTTCGACTACAACACCGCAGCTCAAGACGCTGGTACTTGGGTCCTTGAACAAATCGAAAGAGTCTGGGGCGCTTGCAACGGTAACAAAAAGGTCTTGGTCACCGAGAGTGGCTGGCCATCTCAGGGCGAGACTTACGGTAAGGCCGTGCCATCCAAGTCTAATCAAGAAGCCGCTGTTTCGTCTATCAAGTCCAACTGTGGTGACTCCGTTATCTTGTTTACTGCTTTCAATGACTTGTGGAAGAGTGACGGTTCTTACGGTGTCGAGAAATACTGGGGTATTTTCTCCTCCAACTAAGCGCCCTTCATCAAGTTTGTAGGTGTGGTTCTCTCGTTTATGATTTAAGCGGATAAGCGTGATTCGGTTATGGCTTCCGTATTCTTTCTTTAAGGTTCAATTTCAATACCCCCCTGTTGTAGGATTTTATACATTGAACAGTTTTTAAACATGGTTTATTTTTTTAAATGCCGTGAACATTTCCCATCGCTTTCACGTTATCGCATTGTGCCAACTATAAATTCCTATATAGTTGATCATGACGGGGCCCGAACCGTCATCTGGTTGGAGTACGTGACCTGCGCCTGGTAGGAGTTCGGGATCTTCTTCTAGGAGGTGTTCGCGACCTTCGTCTTGCAGGGCTACGAGACCTTTGCCTGAGAGGAGTTCGAGATCTTGGCCTTGTGGAAGGACCAGCCTTGCGCGCTCTGGAGGAAGAAGGGTCCCTGCCCGAAACGAAATCCTGCGCAGCTTGATTTTCCTCCGACAACTCTTGTTTCTTGACATAACTTTTCGCTGGGGCTTCGATGGCTAGGTCATGAGGGGGGCAATGTGATTTCTCTTCAAATTCTCCCGCTGAAAATTGCGCTTCTAAAGAAAAAAGAGTCTCTCTGAGGTTTTCAGTAAGAATTCCAAGACCAATAGCCGTGAAGAAATTGATGGCAAACCTCAAATCAGCTGCCGATTGTGTCGGGAAAATTTTATTCAAGAAAGGCTGGATATAACTTTCATCTAGTCTAGCTTTCAAATTTGGAATCCCAAGTTCCGCGACTAGTTCTTGGAAAATAAATTTGACGTAGACTCTCTTAGGGGGCGTAGTTTCAGCTTCACTCATATGGATACATTCAAAAACTTCAAACCCGACATAGTCAGATGCCAAGATGTGACCCCAGAACTTACCTAAGCTCCTGATTTGGGACGCCTTGAAGTTGTCTACTTCAGTGTAGTTCTCCTCAAACACAGTAGCGAAGGCCTTTTTCCAAGCACGATGGCTCGATAAGAGTCTTTCTGCCACTAGGCCATAATACTTTGAGTAAGTCGTTTCTTGAGAGCATGTCATTGCGAGAACGTAAACTAGCCTACTTTTTTCCTCATCGCGAACTCGTAACTTCAATAACTTATGAGCCGCTTCTTCACCCGAAAGGGAGCCCTTAAGTAATAGATAGATACTTTTCTTGAACTGAATATCCTCTGATTGGGTGCGGTCGTGCACGACAAAGGCGTCAGTTTCATTTTTAGCCACCGGAAAGCGCTCCAACGCGGCATTCTTGATGGACTCGAATTGATCCTCCAACTCAAAAAAATGAGCATCATACTGGAATCGCTGCAGACCTTCGAGTGATACTACCTTCAATTCACCTAAATCAAAGACGTGAACGACCGAATCATGAGGGGGTAAAGAAATTTCTTGTGAGGCCGAAACAGGATATTCTTTCTTTCTAGCATCAAACAGCAAGCTCACTCGTCGCTCTGCTTTTGCATCGAAACTTCTCATCTGCAGTTGGGATCGTAGTTCTTCAAAAATCATATCATGTGCGGCTGGTGACACTTCCGATAGTGTTCTACCTGCCCGCTCCATTAAGTCCACTGTTAGACCAACGTTTGATACCAGATCGCTGGTAGTAAGTAGCTGCAAAAGCTCCAAAATTACAAGTTCATGCAAACTTCCAAGCTTGAATAATTCACCTAGCATTGAAATCAGAGATGACTGCGCCGCATAATTCAAGCCCTTCCTGTGCCATTCCACAAATTGCGCCGCGCATTGCTCTGCGAGTAGTTCCCCACACTCTGGTATATCGCAATCAATGAGCGAGACCAGATTGGCATACAGATGTGCTTTCCTTGAGCTCTTTTCCAAGCTCTTCAATATAGCGTAACTAACAAGTCGATGAGATCTAAGCAAGTTAACACTGTAAAGAGACTCATAAGACGCCATAACATTATCGTCTTCCAGGTTATCAATCACATAAGCAATATGCTCTCTTGAGGAAACCCATATTTCTTGTTGATAGACCTCATTGGAGTCTGCACCAGAAGACATCAGCTACTAGATCGACTTGGAGGTACCTTCATCTAATTTGATTTTTTTTCACCATCGCTTCTCTGTAGGAAATTCTTAAATGACAATTAGCAAGAAGGATCATCGCCCTTTAACGATCCAGTCAGAATCGCTGATCTTCAACCTGACATTGACTTGTGAAGCTCTTGGTTGTGGCAATGTCTTCTGTTGGAGTCCTAGTAAATTCGGGGCATCTTCGAGTAATCGATAATGATTTCAAACAACTATTTTTGAACAATGCGGTCAAGGGATCGAAAAGCGTTATATCAAGCGTCGACATCATCATAGTGGATACCATGGATTCCTCAGAGGAGCTTGATGAAGCTCTGGGTCAACTTTACAGTGATTCGCGCGATTTTTTACTAAATCAAAGTGAATTTGATGTTCCCATCAACGTTTATTTCAATCGAGACATATCGTTTATCCGATCTTTTGTCTGGGACAGCCTTTTCCTTCCAAAAGAATGTGATGAACTTTATTCAATTCACTGTTCGTCCGATACACCAATAAACTTGTATTCTACTGCCAAAACCACTCCACCATTGAGCACGAACAAACAGCGAACCAGTGACGAAAATCTTTATCAGGTTAGTGCTCTAGGAGGTACATTTGATCATTTACACGACGGTCATAAAATTCTACTTAGTATCGCAGCCTTCATTACAAGCGAACGGCTCATAGTAGGGGTTGCAGACCAGGAACTCTTAGAGAATAAAAAGTACAAAGAACAACTTCAATCCTTCAAGGTGAGGTGCGAATGTGCACGCAACTTCTTAAACAGCATCAAACCGAACTTAAAGGTTGAATTTTCTGCCATTAGGGATGTTTGTGGTCCCACGGGCACGGTGCCTGAAATTGAATGTCTCGTTGTCAGCCGAGAGACTGTTTCTGGTGCAGGAATTGTGAATAAAGCAAGAAAGGAGAAGGGTCTTAGGGAGTTAGCGGTCCACGCCGTTAACATTCTTGGTGGTACGAAGGAAGATAATTGGAAGGAAAAGTTGAGCAGCACAGAGTTGCGAAGACGTTCGGCTGAGCGGCAAATGATTTGTCGCCACTAAACTATAAGGGAAGGAATCAAGTTCACTATATGGACCTTTCAAAAGGCGCTGAAATTAGCTTTTAATAACCATAGGTCTATCGTGATAAGTTTGGCTTCTGGTGCGGTCAGGATGATCCATACATATGTAATCGAGATTGTTCATCATATCAAACAGCACAACATTGCTTAGCTCTTCTTCCGAAAATCCATGGAGATTTTTATAGGACAAACCACCGTCTGCGGAAACTGCAATGCCTAATTTGATTTTAGAGAACTCCTTACTCCCCAAACCAAACTTGGAATGCAAGCGGTCACGGGTTTTAAGGAAATTCTCTCCTGGAATCAAATTGAAAAGAAATGAGACTCCATGCCGATTCTCCAGTTCTCGGAAGTATTGGATAACAATTACGAGACGGCCATTCTTTTGCTTACCCTGAGGCTTGACGATGCTCAGATCTTCCTCATCCTCGTCTTCAAGGTCATCCATAGCGTCTTCGCTGTTCAGAGTGGCCGCTTCAAGCTGTTGAACAAGCGAAAGCTCATCTGGCAACACTCTTCCGAAAAAAAGATAAGAATCTGCAAGCTCTTCAAACACATTCTCTTCAGTCAAAATGCCTTGGAACTTAAAATCACTGTTTGTCCACAACAAAGTCTGGGCCTTCTGTTCGTCGGTAAAACCCACCCTTGCTTGCAGCCTGTCAAGAAATTCTTTGATGGAACAAGAGTCCGCGACTCTAAACTCAAGCGATTGGAAGTGAATGTAACTGTCGTTCAACCAATAGAACTTAATCGATCGCAATTGCTCCAAATCTTGAAGAGGAATCGACAAAACTTCAAATTCCAAGGGGGGTATTGAATCAAGAGTGAAGTTTTTCAGTAAGTAGTCCTGAATCTTGGAATCCCACTTGAGAGCGAAGCGCCCATTAGCGTACACCACGAAAATCTTTAAGTGAGATGGCTTTACCGCGAGGTGAGAAGATGCCAAGCTGGCTAGCTCCTGATAAGAAGCCCTCGCCGATATCCAAACTTCGAAACTCTCTAGATCTCCTTCCTTCTTCTTGACTGCGTACTCTTCCTCAACGCTATCAACCCTGGAAAGTTTTAACTTTATACGGTATCTCAAAAACTCATAATACTTCGTCAACGACTCGTAATATGGAAACTTTGTGCAACCGTCTGACTGGTTGTCCGAGAAGGTTAAAATGTCGCCGTCAACCAACTCGGCGAGGATAAAGTCCTTGTCATCCTCTACTTTTTCGATGACATCCGGCTGAAACTCTTCATAAAAAGAGACGGTAGATTTTTCTTGGCCGGTCAGACTCGCAATTTGACCAGCCAATAACGATATATTATCATCTTGGTGAACCAAAACATGTGCAAAGCCGCTGAGACGTTGTTGGCTTACGTCGAAAGATTTCAAGAACAACAGTATTCTGTCGGATTCTTCCGATACAGGCCTTAAGTATTTTTCGAAATGGGGAAGATTTCCATCGCGCGCCAACTTACGCAAGCTAGAAATGGCTTGAGTAGTGAGCGGAAAGACCTGCTGATCTGCTAGTTTCAATGTTTGCAAATAATTGATCTCCAAATAAGGTTCCTCGATGAAAATATCAACACTACTTGAACGAGGGATAGACATTTGTTGTATGGCTTCTTCCAAAGGTAGGTCATCCAGCTCCCCGTTCAAGATAGAGTCCACTCTTAATGTGTAGTTCTTCCTATAGCTCATTATCCAAAAATTGACTTGCTTGGTATCGGGAAGACCTAACTTCTCAACAACTTCGTCTTTGACATCTTTAAGAGAGGAACTTTTCATGACACGCAACGACAGGGAATATTCATTTTCGCCATGCAGTTCTGAATTATAAATTTTAGATCGCTCATTTGGTGAAAGATCAAACCCTTGATAGTTTATGAAGTTCGACAACGAGTGCACTCGAATTGTCATGTAAAGATGCATTTCTTGAAGCTCTTTTCTTCTCTCCTCCCTCTCTTTCAATTCTCTTTCAACGTTTGAGACAATGTGATGAGGAACCTCCCCGTCGGTGACAGTTTCCAGAACTTTACTCTCCATATCTTGCCTGATATACACCAACATGTAAGCACTGGTTTGCCTGGCAATGAGGTAGTTCTGATATTGTTCTCTCGTCATTTTTTTTAGTTCCTCATCAGGAAGCCGGCCATGACCGAAGTTTTCATCAAAAGCTTGATAGTTCAGCACCTTCCAGACCTTGTCATCGTCAAATCTGTACCATTGATCGTCCAAATTAGGCTTAATCATTGCATAATAGTGGCCCGTTGAAATATCACCGGAATGCACCAAGACGCAATGCAAGTTGTAAATGTATTTATCAGGACTGGCCTTCTCAATCTCAGGATCAACATAGGGTGCGAGATCTATCGACTCCGGAAATTCATACCTGTCATTGATTTTGACAAGTTGGTCATAATTGAAGTCGTACTCGAACCGCTTTAACTGAAGATGCAAGACCGGTGGAAGGTACTCAAATACCACCCCCTTTTTGGCATCTTGAAGCCCGAAATTCTGAGCCGCATATTGGTTTTCCCCATCCATTATCTCGACCTCTACGTAATTTTCGAAAGACTCCTTCAGCCCTTTGAGGTTCTTGACATTTAGTTGGATATCCCAAAACTCTTCTACTCTTGCGGACTCATAAGGGACATTAATACATTTGATGTAACTCTTCATTTTGCCAACAAAAAGCTCATTCAATGTTCCTTCAACCGCTGTGCCCTTCATCTTGTTTTCAAGTCTATCCATCAAAATACGATTGAGCTCCTGAACATCGTGTTGTGTAAATGCGTCTCCGGTGTCCCAGCCGAAAGAGCGTGTTAGCTCCAAAGTGTCTAGGGGCTCCTCAGACTTCTGTAGCTGGTAAAAAGCCCGCTGCAACGCAAGCGATACACTATCGTTTGGAGACTCGTTTTCTGTCGGAATTTGGTAAACCACTTTCCTAAAAACTTTGGTGAAAAAGTAGGACTGTAACAGAGAATTCAAGTAGCATGTGGCGCCCTGATTCTTGAAGCCCACATACCCAGTAAGTTTTTTGGAATCATAATTCAAAAAATTGTGCCATAAAACACCCGTTGGATCCTTTAATATGCGAACGAAAACCGATATGTTGAGTTTGTTGTCGCTGACAAACCCTGAAGATTTGGAAGATGTGCGATATTTCAGACTCTCGAGATCTATAAAATTTGCAAAACCCCAGTCGGTGTCGGTGGCACAAAACCTATGGTGCGAAACGTTAAAAAGCTGGGCCTTCTTATCCTCCCCAGGTCTCGATATCCCAATGGCAAATTGCGCACATACACTCCAATCTGGGTCTCCGGGTTCCAGTTCTCCGGTCTTTTCGTTATAGGTCTCTTCCGGATGTGGCTCCAAATACAACGAAACACCCCTATTCTGGTTACCGCGCGGGAAAAGAAGCACATTCCACTCATATTCTCCTATTCTATATCTTGGTGACGCGTGCTTATCCTGTGTAAGATTCGTCCAGTCCGAAATATGCCACGTGAAGGCCCCCTCACACTGTGTTTCCGAGTTTTCCATTGCGGGCAGCACGTCGTCAATCGTTTTCCCTAAATCTATCATATCCCCAATAGTCTCATTCCCATCTTCCTTGAGAGTTCCCGGCATCCTGACACCGTTCTTCGATCCTCAAGAATATAGAACTCTTAGGGCGCCGCTGTTATGCGGAGGAGTAGAACTGAAGTCGATGTTGATTTAATATCCCTTAAAAATAAAGTTACCCGTCCTGAACTATCAACGCTAAAACCTATATAGAAGGAATGAGCTTGAAGGATCAAGGATACATTTAGTTCACTCCGGACTACAATGTTAATCCAAACCACGAGGTATCTTGAAAGGGCTAGACCTTTCAGATCCTTTCCGGTTTTGAACTGGAGAAGGCTTGTATCGACCGAGATACAGGAAAAAGATTTGCAAGCTGGTGAATCGAACACTGCCACTGATACTGGTGTCATCCATAAAACCGAGCAAGAAACTTTAGTATATTTTGATAACGTTTATCCGAGAGCTACGTCACTTTGGAGGCCTACTCAATGGTACAATGTTTTGCTCACAAACCAGGGAAGAGACGCGGTAAGAGAAAAAATAATGAGTTACGCTAGTCCACCAGGAAACCCAATCCATGGACTTGAACTTAGGTCTACGATCCCAGTAAAGCGGGATGGTGGTGTGTTTGCCACGTTTCTTGTTCCATTTCGGTACTCGAAAGCAGAGGTGAATTCAATGATTCAGAAAAATACGGTTCAGGAATCTTCGAAGTCGATTTTGGCCGCTTTCACTAAAGCTTCCGCCTTTCCCGTGAAAGGAACCCCCTGGATAGAGGATTTGAGAAGATTGCCGAACAAAACGGTCAGAGTTACTTTTGAAGGCCAATTACTTACTGAAGAGGAGTTATATTCTTTGTTCAGACGGTACGGTAATATAATCGACATTATCTGGCCAGAGAAGACCAGCGACACCGCCCTTATCCGCTACAGATCGTACCGTGCTGCCATATGCGCTAAGAACTGTGTTTCAGGCATGGAAGTTCATAACAGTGTCATACACGTGCAGTACGAGAAACTTGCGAACGGTCACGCAGTAAGAGATTTCTTCTTGAATCATACGAGAATTTCTGTTCCACTTTTGATTGCTCTACTTTCCATCATAGTTGTGATGGTTTTTGACCCAATCAGAGAGTTTTGCATAAGCCAAAAAATAACTCACCGGTTTTCAATTTCCAAGGACAACTACTTTGTTAAGCGGCTTTCTAAATTCACATCCTCTACCTTCTCATCCTTCAGAAGTTTCCTGGGCACAGAAAATGTGGAGACGAATAAAAAGCAGCTCTGGGAAGAAAGAATCGAAAAAGTTAACGATTTGAAGATGTGGTTGGAAGAGAACAACAATACCTTTGTAATTGTTCGAGGCCCACGCGGATCGGGCAAACACGATTTAGTCGTACAGCATACCTTGCATGACCGCCCAAATGTTCTCTATCTGGACTGCGATAAATTGATCAAATCAAGGACAGACGCAAAATTCTTGAAGAATGCTGCAACCCAGCTTGGGTATTTCCCCATTTTCCCTTGGATAAACTCAATAACAAATCTATTAGATCTCGGAGTGCAAGGTCTGACTGGTCAAAAAACTGGGCTATCGGAGAGTAAGGAGACTCAGTTCAGAAATATGCTGAATACGGCATTGATGGCAATTAGGCAAATAGCGTTGAGGGGCTACAAGCCTGTGATTGGAAGCGGAGACAATGCCATCACAATCAAAGAAGAAGACTATTTACAGCAACATCCTGGCAGGAAGCCAGTGATTGTTATCGATCGCTTTAACAGTAGAGCTGAAATGAATGGATTTGCGTACAAAGAATTATCTGACTGGGCTGCTATGCTAGTTCAAATGAATATAGCTCACGTGATTTTCCTTACAGAGACCGTTTCACCCAACCAGCTTTTGACAGACTCGCTACCAAGCCAAGTGTTTAAAACAATGGTTCTATCCGATGCTTCCAAAGAGTCTGCAAGGTCTTACGTTCTAGCTTCTCTTGATCACGGAAGCGAAAGCGATTTTGATGACGATGAAAAGCCTACAAAACCGCTCGACCTTTCAGAACTAACGAAGCACGAGATTGACGATGCACTAGAACCTCTCGGGGGGAGAATGTTAGATCTTCAAGCCTTTGTTAGAAGGGTTAAATCCGGTGAGCAACCTCACGAAGCGCTGGAGAAAATGGTCGAACAGGCTGCAGAACAAATAACTCAGATATTTTTAAGCGAAAACGTCGACCGCATGAAGAGTGCACAGGCTTGGGAGTTGATAAAGCTTTTGGCCTCCGGGGAGACTTTGCAATTTAAAGAGATCGTATTGAAACCTTTATTCAAGTCTGCCCCTGAGGCTGGATTGTTAGAACTAGAAAGAAACGGGTTAATTTCTGTTTCTAGGGAAAAAGGAGTGCTTAAAGATATAACTCCAGCAAAGCCTTTATTTCTGGCAGCTTTCCAATCTTTAACGAAGGATTCTAAGCTGGCTCCAGTTTTAGAAACAGCTTATCTTCTGAGAGTCATAAATTTTGAAACTGGCAGAATCAAAGGTTGGGAAGAAGAACTAAGATCTTTGGGTAAAGTCAGTGACCAAAAAATATTCAAAAGTAGGCTCAACTATCTGGCAAACAAGATTGACGCCAGCGGGGCTACTATTGACGATTGCGAGGGTAAAATCAAAACTCTGTGTCAGTAGGGCTTCAATTCATTTCTGTAAATAGTGCGATTAGCGATCAATAATATATTCGAATTTATGATCCGAAGCTCGAAAGCCTGTAAATACTGGACCTTGATGAAGCTATCAATGTTAGTCAAATGCCCTTCCGCCCGTAGATTAATTTGATACTAGCAAGTGACTCAGATCCTCACTTCGGTCATTCGTCGTCATACGTATTCATGCTTCATCTCGCGCGAGATACTAAGCAAATTCGAAACTTTGAAGGTTCTTACCTGTAACTGAAGACATAAAGCTACTAAAGAGGTTCAGTCGCGACGACGGTACTCCCATATATGATGGCGAAGAAATTTACTTACCAAAATTCTGTAGTTGATGGCGCTCTCCTTATCCAAGAATCACAATGGATTTATTACAAGGCCCATTTAGAGTAAATTACACACGAGCGAAAACCCGAAATAACACATCTTTCGAAAGTCACCGATTCACGCACCACATGAATTCCTGCCGGCCTACAACCAATGCAACCAAGTCAGCTCCAAAGAGTAGATCTTTTATAAATATATCATAATTACATGCTTTCAAACTGGTTTCTATGACGAGAACACAGCCCTTATTTCCTTTGCCTATCCGCCAAATTTATGCTCCTGGATACCTCATTAATGCTATTCCTTTTTTTTCTCGCCCGTTCTATCGGTCAGTTCTTTTTACATTGTGTCTGCTTTAAGATCATCACGTTTCTCATCCTCTTCAGACATCTCGGAACTCCCGGAGCTCTTTGTGCTTTCAAAACCCAACTGTTCGGGTAATGTCTCGTAGAGAAGTTCGTCCACCTTTTGTTTGACATAGCTGTTATCTGGATAGTTAATGGGAGATTCACAGCCGGTAAAGATGAATACATCGTAGATGAAAGCTCCAGTAATGCCGCCAAGAATTGTTGCGCCCCAAGCACCCCAGGCCCACCACCATTTGTAAAGGTGGAAAACCTCGGCCCCGTAACCAATCATCGAGGCAAATATACGCGGACCTAAATCGCGTGCTGGGTTCATTGTGAAGTTTGTCTGATAACCTAATGTCATCCCAATTGCGGCTATCAGCAAGCCAACAATGAAAGCACCAGTCCCCGGAGCTGGAGGCGAGTTACTGTCATCAAGCAGACCCATCAGACAGCCGACCAGCATGGCACTGCTTATAAATTCGTCAAAAAAAGCGTTTCGCCATGTGACGTAGCTCTTTGGGTTCGTGAAAAGACAACTTCCTGTTTTCACGGTTCTTAGATGCTCGCCGCCTTCATATACCGAGATGGAGCTCCAAAAGTAGCCATAAGCTATTGCCCCACCAAAAAATGCGCCGAAAATTTGAGCGATGATGTAAACTGGGACCTTTCCTTTAGGAAATTTCCTGAATAGCGCAATCGCAATTGTTACAGCAGGGTTCAAGTGACCACCACTTACACCGCCAGCGATGTAAACCCCAAGCATTGCGCCAAATCCCCAACCGAAAGCGACAGTCTCATAAGACCCCCCAGCTCCGTCGGTGACAAGGTTTTGAAGTGTACCACCAACCCCAAATGCTACCAATATGAGTGTTCCGATGAATTCAGCAAAGGGTTCCTTCAGTTTATGACGTAATTTGGCCCAGTAATTGGTAAACTTGAGCTCATCTGGTTTTTCATCATGCTCTTTTTGTTGTTCCCTTTCTATCTCCTCCGCGACACATTCGATTGGCAATTGTTCATCGAGTTTCGCCTCTTGCGATTCTCTTGAGGGCGCTGCTGAAGTCGTGGACGTCTCGTCCCTTACAGAAGAATTTGAGTGTAGAGTACCTTCCTTTGTAGCAGGTAGGGCTACAGGAGCCTCTCTTTGCGATCCCTCGTCTACTGTGTTAGCATCCGAAAATACTTGATCAAATTGTTTGTCAATGTCCTCGTCCCTGTATTCCTTACTCGATTCCGGCTCGCCCGCCTGTGCTTCAATGTCATCCAACTTTTTTTTAGACGCGGCACGCTTCATGAACTTTCTTAGTTTATGGACTGAAGCAGTCGATCCACGACGAGAAGCTTGTTTGGAGTTCGGCCTGGTCGGCTCCTTTGATTGAGCCTCAATGTTTCGGCGCATCATTTTTTTAGCAAGTCTTCCATCTAAGACATGCGGTAGAGGTTTGTTCAAACCCCAAATGGGCTTCTCGCCTTCTTCATCATTTGTGGGATTAAGGTGGTCATAGAGAGGGTCAACGTAGTTTCTGTGAGAGGTGCGTCGTTGAAGATCATAGTCATGGTCACGCCCGCGGTAATAACCACCATCGCGCTTTGGCTTGCGTCGACTTCCAACACGTGTTCTCGGCTGATTCTTGATATTTGGAGCTGAGTGCGCAGGTCCAAATGGAGGTTTTTCGCGTGGTGGAGAAAACTTGTTCTCGCTCGAGAATAGCGCCAAAGATGACAAAGTGTTTCGCGTGTCTTTTGCGCTTCGATAAACTTTGCTTTTAGAACCACTATCACCTCCACCTGTTTGATTCGTCTGCGCAAAGCTACCAAAGCTTCGAGTTACAGATGGTTTTTTGAACATTTTTTTCAAAAGATGAGGCCCCCCATCATGGTCCCTCTTTGGAGTCCTAGTTGGTGTTCTAGAGGCCTGTGAAGAGTTTAAACTTTCGAGCTGAGGGATAGAATTTTCAGAAACATAACGAAATGGGCCTGGTTTGCGTTCTGCAGACTGCGCCTCTTGCAACGACATATTTGTTTAACGCTTCTGTTTTGGCCAAACTCTTATTTCCAACTGACCGAAGCTCTTATAGACTTTATCACCATTTCACTTATGAGGGCTTCGAATCGTGCTTAACAAGACACGAATTTCTTTCTCGGAAATGCTTTTTCGTGTCAGATCTCGCCTTTCTTCTGTTAATCTGATCCACATTGTCGAACTTCCTGTGCTCAATTGTATGAGATATATAAAACTACAATTCCGAAGACTAAGCTTCGAAAGCAATTTGAAATCAGAGCGAATATGATCCTCGATCTAAAATGGATTAACAGTTGCTATCAGGGTCCCTAAAGTTAAGCGGGAAAATGCCCTCAAACGCCCGCTTACCGCCTCGGAGATCTTTTCGGCCAACAATGCCCAGATTCCGACGCAGCTCTTCTTCCAAGTGCCCATGAGGAGGCTTTTTTGCTTAGATAATCCTGCCACCCATCGGTGACATCAGAATTTAGAGGCCTAGATGACTTGGCAACAGCTATCAAATCTCAGGTTTAGTTAAGGCTTCTGTTGCAAAACGCAAGTTTCTTTCTCTTGCCTGAGCAGAGCATTATCGTTCGGGCCGTTTGTTGATACTGGTTATAGGTTGGAAAAAGACTTTTATAGCAATTTTGGCGCTAAAGTGTTGGAAAGAGGAAAAAGAACACACACAAGATCTGTAGATCGAGACGCGGGGGTTAAAGCCAGTAAATTCTTGTCAAAATAAAAGAAATTTTGCTACTGGCAAACAAACCGAGAGCCGACGTTATGCAGGCCCTGCATTGATGACTGCTTTTGAATTGGTCAGGTGCAAAGCGGTTTTCGCGGATTAGGTAACTAGATGAGTATGGTTTTGAGTAGCTCAATAACTGCATCGACGGATGGGAAAAGAGATGTAATTTCAAAAGAAACACTAATGAAGAGAGTTGCCACTCTTTTTAACCGAAAGTTTCAATGGGGCTTTGAACTTGTCTATTGTAATCTTAACTTTGACGTGCGCGCTTTCGGACCGGCAAAATATGCTGAATTTACCACCATCAACGCTCTCTCGGGATATGAACGTAACACGACAAACAAAAACAATTTCGGACTTTTCGTCACTGTAAGCGACAGTATGTACATAATGACTTGGAGTGGGGAATGACATTGGCTTTGCGGGGTCCATGGCAGATGATTCCGAGAGCTGTTATTTCACGTGCAAAAATATCTGACGTCAGACACATGAAGCATTTTTACACAGCGCTTCGATTTTTACACTGCGTCCGAAGCTCAAAGAGCTTTGAATTTGCCGCTTTCTCTAGAAATGGTCTGTGAGCAATTAGCCTCTATGTGGCATCAATGTCACGCCCTTAAATTGAACTAGTATTCTTTCTAATAGAAACTCTTCGATTTTTCAAGTGTCGCCCTGATCAAATGCGTATTCGGAAAATTATCGAGAAATGCTCTTTATACCGACACGCATCCTCCTGGGTGTGAAAAGAACCGTAACCGCGACTTACGTGTCTATATGAAAGCTTTTTAAATTTCATGATTTTGGTGGCGCAGCGAGTGATCCGCGGGAAAAGCTAAAGTTTTTATGACAGGAAGCCGAGATTTTTGTGTCATGAATGTGTGGAGCAACCTTCAAGAGGTTTCATACGCTCCTGGTCGGCTCAAAACCGCTAATTATGAGAGCAGCCTTCATGTAAGTCTTCACGGGAAAAAAGAATAAACACTGCAAGACATTTGACTGATATCGTGCCGGGGCTACAGGATAAAATAAACCCAAGAGGACCGTTAAATATGCAGATCCTTACCGCAAGTCGCTCATATAGCGCTTGCAGTTTCATTCTTGATCAAAAGGCTTAGTGATTTATCATCTGCTGCCTTTTGAGAGATTCTCAGAACTTATGCGCTTAAGATTTTCAAGAAAAAGCCAGCTCGGTAATAGGAGTCATGTTTTCTGATTGTTAGCAAGGTAAATTGACACCTTTTGCTGATTAACCCATTAACTCGGTAATGCCAAGTTAAATCCTGTTGCGACCCTGATTTACTTCATTTCCGTCTCTCTCACTGTCACTGGGTTTAAGTAGCACATGCTTGTGGTTCCGCTATGTTTTAGGATAACATCTTCAAAAGTATTCTCTAATGATTAATTCGTCAGTCGATTGGCAATCGTGTGAGGTAATTACTCCGAGAATCAAGTCTCAAGAGGTTGATAAGTTAGCTACAGCAACTTCTGGGCATCATCAAATCAAAAGAGTTCGAAGCAAGCCCTAGTTGTATGTGAGCTCGCTGACCTCTCAATCTGTAGGGTCAGAGATGGATTACCTCATCTGAAGTATCAAGAGAAACTCAAGCATGTTCCGAAACCATGTGATATTTCAACTACTTTTGGCAGATGATGAGAGACTTCAACGAATTTCGATTGAACTCGTGAAATGTGAAAGAAGGTCTTGCAATCTACTTATATTGGTTTTCTTTGCTATTTCAGATCTTTCATTGGGCAGGCTTCAAATTTCCACTTTTTCCCGTGTTTGAAAGGGCACCCTTTTGAACCTCGATTGTAATTACTTCTCTTAGAGCTTCGTCACATGCGCATTTTTTGTCATTGGGTGCATGCGGTGGATTGAAAGTTTTTGGCGGTTCCTATAATGTGACCACCTCGTAAAACGCGAGTATCTGCGCCGTTTGGCACATATGCACACCCTCCGCATTGTTTTCGTGGTGAACAAATGCACCCTCGTTACTGTTTTCTCAGCGAGCAAATGCACCTCACGCTGATCTTCTTAAGCTTTATAAAATCGCTTAGCGCCCAGTAGTATCGTTCGTAAACATATTGACGTTAAATCAAAGGGATCGCTAACCTGTAAGGATTGCACGTTTAGGATGGCGGACGTCGAAAAGAGGAGTCCATACCTCCAACGGCTGCATAGCTGTGGTAAGCTTGACGATAGAAACTCTGTGCTGGAAAGGCAGCTAACTGAGAATGAGGTAAACAAATCAGGTTCCGTCGACAAACTAGCCTCGACCAGAAAAATTGTAGTTCGCAAGGCTGAGCTCATGGCAAAACAATATGACACATGGTATTTGAAGGCATTGTTTCTATTCACGGCGTTCTTCTGTTCTTTTGCGTATGGACTTGACAGCATCATCAGAGATATTTACATGTCGTATGCGCTGAACGACTATGAAACACAAGCGCTCGTGTCGACGGTCAACGTAATCAGTCTAGTCATTTCTGCAGTCGGACAAATTTTTTTCGCTGCTCTATCTGATATTTTTGGTAGACTGTCATTGTTTATCGTGTCAATTGTGTTTTACGTTGTGGGTACTGTCATTCAATCTCAAGCATATGATGTTCAAAGATACGCTGCAGGCTCAATATTTTACAACATTGGACTCATTGGTGCGTTATTTCAAGTTGGAATAATTTTGTCAGATGTTTCTTCATTGAAGTGGAGACTTTTTTACAATTTCGTTCCAGCCTGGCCGGCACTTGTCACCGTATGGATTTCAGGTAATGTTATACAAGTTGCTAACCCATTAGAGCACTGGTCCTGGGGTATTGCAATGTGGGCCTTCATTTTTCCGGCTTGTTGTATTCCAATGATAGGCTGCATGCTTCACATGAGGTGGAAAGTTAGAAATGATCCCGAGTGGATTGAGCTGCGTAAGGAAAAGTCGTACATCCAGTCTCACGGTTTTGCACAATTTCTTGTTGAGCTTTTTTGGCAGCTTGATGTTGTAGGTGTTCTCCTTCTTACGGCCTCTACTGGATGCATTCTGGTTCCATTAACAGTTGCTGGTGGTACAACTACGCAATGGCGAACTGGCAAAATTTTAGGCCCGTTTATACTTGGTTTTGTCCTAATTCCATTCTTTGTGATCTGGGAAGCCAAACTGTCACTGGTACCGCTAGCTCCGTTCAAGATGTTGAGAGATCGTGGAATCTGGGCTCCTCTTTCTATTAATTTTTTGATTGCATTCATTTATTCGATGGCTGCCGGTTATCTTTATAATCTTCTGTTGGTGGCTTCTAACGAAACCGATCTTGCAGCAACCAGAATTGTGAGTCTTTACAGCTTCTCGGCGGCTATTTGTTCACCATTCGTGGGCATAGCCGTAGCACGGTTTTCAAGGATGAAACCATTTGCTATCGTAGGCTGCTCTCTTTATTTCGTTACTATGGCTCTCTTCTATCACTACAGGGGTGGCGTCGATAGTGGTAAAGGCATAATTGGGGCAATGGTAATATGGGGTATTACGAGTTGTTTTTACGATTACCCTATCAGTATTATAATGCAAACTGTGACCTCTCATGAACTGATGGCAAATGTAACGGCATTGAATTTGGCAATTTTTAGAATTGGTGGGGCCGTTGGGGCGGCCGTCTCGGGTGCGATTTGGACCCAAATATTATATCCTCAGTTGCTCAAGGCCCTTGGAGATCCAACCATAGCTGAGTCGGCATACAATTCGCCCCTAAGCTTTATTCTCGAATATGAATGGGGCTCCCCTGTAAGAGAGGCGACAGTCGAAGCTTACAGGCACGTTCAAAAATATGAAGTTTTGGTGGGTCTCATTTTTGTCGCGCCTATGTTCATCTTCACCTTCTTCTTGAGGGATCCTAAATTGACTGATGAACACGGACAAACATTGGATAAAGATGAATATGTAAAGGAAAACGATGACCCTATTACCGAATGGATCATCAAACATATTTGGGGTTTTAGAAAAAGGCCTCTCGATTGAGAGTAGAATAAGTTTGAGCCCTTGTATGAATAATTTCGCACTCTCTAGGTCAACAATAATTTTGTCATAAATTTGTAATTATCTTCTCTTGTGGACCGGCATTTGATCCCGGTGCTCAAAATTTGCTCATTTGGCTTATTGCATGTTATTTCAAATGGAAAAGGAATTCATCCCTTGACTGTAAATGCTTCTTATTTTACGATTTAACCCAAATCGATTAGAATTTTGCCAGTATAAACTTTAATTTTTTTAAGGAACTTTTATTGAAGTTAGTTCACCTCCACGCTGGCCACAACCGTTGGCCGTGATATATTTTTAGATTTCAATACTTCTTTAAATGGAAATGTGGTATTAGCGGCGTAAAATAACTTTGGAGCATATTTTCTATTTTCCGAAGCTCGCGCGAGACCTCGAAAATTAGGAACTTCATGTAATGTTGTTCTACACATTTATCTTTAAAGATGGCATGTCTTAGTTATTCTTAGTCGCGATCTTCCCTTAAGGGCGAGCAAACAACCAGAGTGGAAGAGTTACCCGGCCCAATGCAGTCACACATCGACTTTTATTAATCTCTCCCCTAGCCTACAAATCTTGACGCTCTTTTCACAATGAGTGTCAAACACAAATGGCTGTCAACGCTCTTATTGTAGGCGCGACCGGCCTTTGTGGTTCAGCGTTTCTCAAATATGCTACCGTAGAATCTGGTTTTGCTTCTGTGACGACCATCACAAGAAGGAAACCGCACAATTCTCAAGCTGAAAAAGTGAAAAGCATTGTCGAAAAGAACTCCGCAAGCTGGGCTGACATGATCCCCAATAATATCAATGTTATGTTTTCTGGCCTTGCCACAACTAAAGGTGACGCAGGTAGCAAGGAAAACTTCTATAAACTTGACCATGATCTGAACATGGAATTAGCCAAACGTGCCAAAAGTTTAGGCTGCGAAACGTATGTCCTCGTCAGCTCCGCGGGCGCCGACGAGCGCTCGCATTTTTTTTACTTGAAGACTAAAGGTGAGATTGAGAGGGATATTTTGGCACTGGGCTTCGACAAGACCATCATTTTACGGCCGGGAGCCCTGCTTGGAGAGCGAGCAGAAAGCAAGGGCTTTTTCAATTCTTTAGTCGCCAACATAGGTGGATTAACCTACAGAACCGGATTGCAGGGATTAGTTGGCTACCCCGTTTACGGAGACGAGGTCGGGAGAGTTGGCATCACTTTGGCTCTCGATACATCCCGCACTGAAAAAGTTCAAATTGTGGAGAGCAAAGAGATTTTGGAGCTGGCTGCGGGAGCTGATTGAGTGATTTTAGGGTATGTATGTTTGCTAAAATTCCACAAAAGGTGCTTCAAATTACACAATGCGTAATGTACCGTCTTTCCAGCGCGCATACACCGAACTTCTCACATTATGTACAACTTGCTATAAGTCCTTTTCGGTAAACCGGTGGAAGACGTCGCTGGCACGCTAAACGTGCCAGCTACCGCCTATGGCTGCCCGATGGTTTACGGAGGCAAAATCCAAGCCTACGAGAGATGGTGGGGTATTGGCAAACCTTTACAAGATCGCTGACGTATAGGAAGCGAAGTTACTGCTCCTGCATAACATGTGCCCCACCAGTACAATAATTTATGTGTAAGCTTTCTCATTTTCGCGACGAGCTTATTGAAGGATGGGGCAAGTAGGAGGAACTTTGGACGAGCCTACTGAGATGTAATTTACGTGCTTCAGGTTGCAGTTGAAACATAAAAAAGTATTCACTCCACCTACAAGAGGTTTACAGTAACGTATTGAATTCTGGTGGAGCTCTCGAATTGAAATCATCTTATTTTTAAAGGGAAAAATCCGCCTTTCTTGAGATATCGCCACCATGGTGGCAGCCGTGCTTGTCTCCAAGTTAAACTCTCTGTCACAAAAGACTCGTCGAGCTGCTGTGCTCTATCGCTCTCGGCCACTATGTCGCTTGATACTAATTTTTATCTTTTCACCAGTTGTCTCAGATTTTCTCGAAAGTTTACCCTTGATAAACCATAATCCCTTTCGGCGTAGAAAGGTTGCTCGTAGACTCGAATAATCTATTGCGACCGATTATAGACTAGAGTTCTGATATCCGCGAATAGATGACATGCAAGAATAGAAAAAAGCGATTTGACGTTAAACTGAAACCACGTAACCACTGGCTTGATTGTCGTGTTTGTGTTCTTATGGAGAAGCAGATTCTGCATTTCCATGGTCATATGAGCCGTGCAAGTTTGGAGTAAATGTTGGGCAAAAAGGTGACAAAAGGCATTCAAATGATTACCACAGTATCTTCGTGGGCTTTTTATAAAGTGTGGTGACAAACGGGGTTGAAGGCGGTGAGTTGAAGGCGGTGAGGTGAAGGCAAACCGCATGAATATGTGGCTGGGCTTTCGTTTTCCTTTCGCCTTTCCGTTAGTCATCTCATAGAGCTCCCAAGGCTAGATATTGAATTAGCCGTGGCTTAGGATCCCCGTGCGCTATGCATGATGCAGTGAAAAAGTACATCAGCGTAAAATCTATCCCTTTATCACGTTGGCGCCGATTATTTAGGACCCTGCATATTACCATGCTGCGCCACATATTTTTTTGCCTGTTTCCAATAGGGATTTGAACAAAAAGTAACAGGTAATAAATATCGCACCTGGGATTTCCGGAACAAAGGCGCCCCACGGACACACGTGGCAAGGCGCTAAGCATTCAATTATCGAAATTAAAATCAAAACCTTGTTGATGATTCACAATTCACCTGAGAGAGGTCAAACATCGTGCCTGAAAATTTCTGAAGTCGCTGGCGGTTCAATAAATTTTCTCAAGTATAAAAGACCTGATGATAATGCACCATGAATCGATTTATGTAGCATCTAAGCAGGAGTAAGAAAACGCGAGTTTAACAGATACCATGGCATTACATCAATTTGATTATATTTTCGGCATAACTATGCTGTTTGCATTTCTTGACGCATTTAATATCGGTGCCAATGACGTCGCAAACTCCTTTGCGTCTTCCATCTCATCGAGGTCATTGAAGTATTGGCAAGCAATGATTTTAGCAGGCTTATGTGAGTTTCTAGGAGCCGTCTTAGCCGGATCCAGAGTCGCTGGCACAATAAAAAACAACATTGTCGATCCTAAAGTATTTGTAAACGACCCTGCAGTTCTCATGATTACCATGTCATGCGCCCTTGTAGGATCCGCTTGCTGGCTTACTGTTGCGACGGCAATTGGTCTTCCTGTCTCCACAACTCATGCAATTGTAGGTGGTACAATTGGAGCAGGAATTGCTGCCGGTGGTGCTTCAAGCATTGTTTGGGGTTGGAAAGGTGTGGCTCAAATAATTGCATCCTGGTTTGTTTCTCCAGTTTTAGCAGGATGCATTGCAGCTGCAATCTTTTTAGTTTCTAAAGTCTGCGTTCTCGAAATAAAAAACATTGAAAGATCCATCAAAAATGCACTTTTACTTGTGGGATTTTTGGTATTTGGCACCTTTTCTGTCTTAACGATGTTAATCGTTTGGAAAGGCTCTCCAAACTTACACCTAGACAAATTGTCAGGCACAGAGACAGCTGTCTCCATCATATTGACAGGCGCCGTCGCGTCTGCTATCTACTTCATTTTCTTTTACCCATTTTACAGAAGAAAGCTTTTGCACAAGGATTGGACTCTGAAATCTTATGATATACTGAGGGGACCAGTGTTTTATTATAAATCTATCGAAGATATACCGCCAATGCCGATAAATCATGAGTTAACCATCGACTACTATGAAGGCAGGCGGTTTGACAAGGAAAAAGAAAAAAGAGAAGCCGTTGAAGAAGTCACGTTTGACTACGCTGACTATTCATCAAAAGCTGCAAGTGACGAAATAAAAACCAAGACCAAAATAGTGAAGCAGGATGAAATCGAACAAGAAAGCCAGCTTTGCACAAGGGAGCTATGGAAGTCGTTGCTTTTCAAAGGTCCAAAGCGGTGGCCCAGACTCATGTGGCTGATTATCTCGCATGGATGGACCCAGGATGTTATTAACGCGCAGGTTAATGAGAAAGATATGCTATCGGGAGATTTGAAAGACATGTACCAGAGATCCAGGTTCTATGACAACAGACTTGAGTACATTTATTCTGTTCTTCAGGCTATAACGGCTGCAACAATGTCTTTCGCCCATGGGGCAAATGATGTTGCAAATGCGACTGGGCCTTTGTCAACAGTTTATGACATATGGAGATCTAATAGAGTCGACACCAAAACCGAGGTCCCAGTCTGGGTGTTATGTTATGGCGGCGGCGCTCTTGTTTTAGGTTGCTGGGTATATGGCTATAACATTATAAAAAATCTGGGAAACAAGCTTATTTTGCAATCTCCTTCACGTGGTTTCTCTATTGAGTTAGCAGCCGCGGTTACCACAGTTATGGCTACACAGCTGGCTATTCCAACCTCTACGACCCAAATAGCAGTTGGGGGCGTTGTTGCTGTCGGGCTTTGTAATAAAGATGCCAAATCCGTCAATTGGAGAATGGTTGGTTGGTGTTACATGGGATGGTTTTTGACCCTACCGATTGCTGGACTCATCGCTGGTATTTTGAATGGTATTATTCTCAATGCACCAAGATTTGGGGGAAATTATGAGATGACAAAATAAGCAACCAAACCGAAGAGTTACAGTATTTAACCTTTTTTTTGCCTGGTTCCAATGCTACATACTTAAGGGATTTAAAGAGCACTCCTAGTTTCTGTCTAATTGTGTTAGAAGGAGCCAGCGAGAAGGTGATATCGTTCGATTATACAATCACGTGATCGAAGTGACAAGATTTGATGGATGAAGGGGCGATTCATGATCAAGATGAAGTCATGGGAACCGAATGATTCGAGTGATGATCATTATGTCACCATACCCCGTCATAACTGTATGTGGGATCCAATAGGTGACGTAATGATGACTCACCGTCAATCTTAGGGAAAGCAACGGATTTCGAAGTTGGAACTGTGTTACAAATATTGTATAAAAGGAGCTGATATGACCAGGATCGTAGTGGTCAAGGACATATGATAGTCACAGAAAGATATAAGTACTCAACATCTTATCAGCTTTATTATTCAGATAAACGATGAACGAAACAAACGAGCACCTCAGAAATCTATCAACTGCCGAAAACGATAAACCTCAACAACTATGAACGAATTAAATGAGCAGTTTAGAAATCTATCGACTACCGATAACGATAAACCTCAATACCTGTTTTCTCCGGTATCAAGGCGAATGCTTGCTATGTATTTTCTAACGTGATTAAACACCCCTCGAGGGCTCCCAGAAAATAAACAGAAACGCAACTGCAAGATTCGGCGAGAATTGCGCTTACCTGAACAACAGCGTTTCAATTGGAAACCCCCCGACATCTCTTTTATCGTCATTAACAGTCTCCTTCAATAAATAACGATGCCCGAGGACCTCGTCAACGCGCCCGCATGACTAACCTGCGATAGACACAGGTCGCTATTATTTCGCCATCGGACATTTACCTGACAGTGAAGCAATGATTCCCGCTGCATCAAATTCATGCTCTAACTTGATGATCTGCATTTTGTCATTGAGCGTTACCACACTTGAGCCTGGGAACTCGAGTAGGCTGCCGTCCCCTTTATGGCCGTTGAATTCACCGTCTTTGATGCCCCAGTGTCTCCATTTCAGATAAGCCTTGGGTAAGTCTGTTTTCAAATCGAGAAGCTCCCACAGAAACCCTTGTCTCAGGGCATTGCGGAAAACCTCTTCTGACTTTTCATAATTACTTTCAGACGCGTTGTAGCCAGGTTGATCGCCAATGAAAACGTTGTAACCACCTTTTGTCACAAGGTCTTTAATGGTAACAGCCGGACCGCCATTGACAGTCATAACAAATACGTTGTGATCGACCGAAATCCAATCTGCGGGGTTTGCCTTATGGGTGGCCTCCATCTCAAAGCAACGAACTAAATTTGAAACTAGCTCCTCCAGGGAGTTAGGTTCAAAGTGCTTCTGACGCTGAACGCTAAGCTTCTCATTTATTTCAGCATAATTTGGCACTTTGCCACGCCAAACGCTTGGAGGAGTTGCCGCTATAATTTCTTCCCGGCTTTTTAACCAGAGAGGAGTGCTAGAACTTTCATTTTTTTCTGCCATTGGCCTTACTTTGCTCGACAACCAACACGGTAGAACGGTCAAATCATGACTACGTCAACCGATCACCTAAAACTCTCATATATATACTCCGGCGCGCCCAATCAACCCGACCGTTGAGTGATTATGAACCGTTCAAAATCGAGGGAAGTATCGGCGTTAATTTCCCACGAATCCTAACACCCACACATGCGACATGCTGAAAATGTCTTGCCGAGGACCCAAAACAGCATGTCCTTTTTTACGAGTTCTCCTGATTAGGTGTCAACTGAGGAGACCTTCCGGTCGCATCTTTCGAGCTTACATTTTATTGAGGGGACTAGCATGCGGAGATTTTTAGACCGGGAAAAAAAGGTCGCTACGAAGAATGATGGTAAACCTTAGTTAAAGGTACGCAGAGTTGCTGTTGGTAGAGCAGCTGGTTCGATGTTTTTCGGTTTACGGCACTACTTCTCCCCGTCGCGGGGAAGTTTTACCATTTCGTTGTTGCCCGCCCAAGGATAGCTAGATGTTTGTCTCCAAAAATCCGCGTCTCCAAAAAAGCATCTCGGTAGCTCGTTTAGATCTTTCATGTTTTCGGTTGTAGTTAACTTGTCGTTAGCCGCAGTTGTGGCCGAAATCTTCATAGACCCCTCGCTTAGTTGCATTCTTGAGGTCAACCCTGTCTGTTGTAGATACGTCCCAAATTGGACACTCACTTTGTTTATTCGTTTCATAGCTTTTCTAAATTGTAAAGTATATCGGACGCTGGGTAGTTCCATGTCAGTAACTATTTCAAAAAGCGGGCAACCTTGAGGCTAGCGAATGCGACTTTCTGAGTTTTTCTGTCACTAGGGTCGCGTGATTTCAGTATTATAAACGCGACTTGATTTTACCCTCCATCGCTTACTTCGTCTGACATTCTTGCACATCCGTGCTTCACTTTGAACCACAGTTTTAGAGTGGCAATAATGGCACCGGTCACTCTTTTAAGCTCCTCTCTCGTTATGATGTACGGGGGCATAATGTAACAGAGTCGGTTGAAGGGTCTCACGTGGACGCCCCTTCTCAAAAACTGCTCTTGAAACCACTTTTTGTCCACCATTTCCCTTAGCTCCACTACGCCCACCGCTCCTGCGATTCGGACACCTCTCACTACAAATTTCATGAGCTGCTCGTCACATCTGATAGGAGCGTAGAGTTCTGCAAAGAGTTGATTCTCGATGCGGTCAACCTGCACTTTCCAGTCTCCTCTTTGCAATATCTCCATCGATTTGTTCGCAACGCTACACGCAAGTGGGTTTGCCATGAATGTTGGTCCCTGCATGAAACATCCACCTGTAATGTTCTTCGGACCCGAGATTCCCCCAGATATTCTTTGAGAAGTAAGAACGGCGCTCAAAGTCATGTAACCTCCTGTCAGTCCCTTTCCTATGCACAATATATCGGGAAAGACATTGACTTGCCTCTCGGGTGGCACGCCACATAAATCCTGGTACTTCTTGCAATGATGGAAGGCAAACATTTCGCCGGTCCGGCCAAACCCAGTGGCTATTTCGTCCATGATCAGAGGAATGTCATATTCACTACACAGCTTCCTGACTTCAATCAAGAACTGCGGGTGGTAAAGTCGCAGCCCGCCGGCGCCTTGCAACAACGGCTCCAGAATAACAGCGGCCAAGGCTTTGCGGTTGCTCCCAATCTTGTCGCGGAAGTCGTCGATCTCGTGAGCGTCCCATCTCACGTTTCTTGTTTTGCTGGGCAAATAATCAATGACTCCAGGGGCCTTTGCGAAGATGTTTTCTGGGATGAAGCCAGGATATAGGCAGTGTTTCGAGTTCAAGGGATCGCACACACTTGCTGCTCCCAATGTGTCTCCGTGGTAACCATTCGATATCGTCAAGAATTTAGTTTTCTTGCTTGCCGCCTGAGACTGAATGGCCATTTTTAAAGCCGCTTCTATAGCGACCGAGCCCGAATCTGCGAAAAAACAAAACTCCAGGTTAGGTGAGTCAGCCATTTGTAATAGGCGCTTTGTGAGCTCTATTGCGGGTCTGTGGGTGAAGCCACCAAACATTATGTGCGAGAAGCTACTCAGCTGCTTGCTGGCAGCTTCGTTGAGCTCAGCATTGTTGTAGCCATGGATCATACACCACCAAGATGACATTGCTTCTATGATGGTGTATCCTTCGGGATCATCAGACTCGACAGTTACGCAGCAACCCTCTGCTTTTTTCACGAGAAGTGCCTGCTGTGGATCACTGATGGAGGTATATGGATGCCAAATATGGGCTCTGTCATAGTCGAGCAGAGCACAGACCTCTTGTGAAAGTCGAGAGAAATCCATAGTTTCAATCCTCCAAAAGATATTCCTGTGTTCATTCTCCAGACCTGCTCTTTTATATGTTTCCGTTATAGGACATAAGCAGCACCTAAGCTATGCGACAAACCTATACAAATGGTAATAGTCATGTTGAGTCAGGGTCATAGTCACGTTGGGCCACGAATCTGTTGGGCGCAAAAGCATTTCAGAGAAAGCCAATGGTTCCGAGCAACATCGTGATGACTAGGATGACTAGGATGACTCAAGGCACTGTTCTTGCACATGTGTAAATAAAGAATATCTAGAACGCTCAGAAACGCCTGGTCTCGGGCAGTCTACAAAACTACCCAGAATCTAATCCACCAACTCTACGCCCAAATTTTTGTACTGCGCAATGTTTCTCAATGCCTCTGTTTCCAACTCAGGACAGACGGTGAAAGCGGGGCTCTTATAGTCAATATGTCCACAGAACGGGTCACTGGTGTGTAACCCTAGTAGACCCAACGTACGTAACGAAAGGCCACGGAAGTCCTCCTTTGCTGTGTCCAGGTGTAGGTTTTCTTCCTGCCGGAGGTACGCCTTGGTCATGAAGAAATACGCCGAGATTCTATCGTTGGCAGTCGAGTTTGCGCTCGCTGCGTGGTATAGTGACCCTAGCATCAACACGGCGTCGCCCTTCTCCACGTTGAGATACGCCTCCAATCTACGATCGTACTCGGCAGTCGGGTCGTGTGATCCCCACAGGTGTGAGCCAATAATCGCCCTGGTTGCTCCGTTGGCTTCTGACATCTCTGTGAGGGCTAGCCCGAGTCCGACGAGGGTGTCGTCTCCATAGTGATAGGTCTGGCGTCTTTCGTGGAAAGTGTGATGGATCATGTCCTCTCTGTGGTAGCGCTGGTCGGCTGCCCCGCTACCCACGCGGTACGCAATCCCGGAGTTGAGATGAATACCACTGGTGGCGACACGTGCGCCCTCGCCTATCCAAAAGTAATTCGACTCCTCCAGAAAATGAGATGAAATCGAAGTGAACAGCTTGCTGTCGATCACCTTGTGGAGCGTCGTGGGCGACCGTAAGGCACACCTGGTCACCACGGTGGTCTGTCTTGGGAACGGTGAGCCTTGCCATGATTCGTCTCTGTAATAGTGCGGCTCCAGTTCGTGGGAGATCTGGTCGCAGGTATCGCGAGAAAGGAAATTTTTGACCACGCAGAGACCGTAGGTTTCCATTTTGTCGACTATCGAGGCATAATCATCTGCGCTATGAACCGTGTATTCGTCTTGGGTGACTGGTGGCAGCGTGGTAGGTGCTCTCTGTCTAGAGGCTTTGGAGAATCTCTGTCCTTCCTTTTCGAAAACGCCGATATTACCAAGGGTCTTGGAAGACATTTTGGTGGATGAGTTGGTTGAACATACAGCTTCGCGAGTGGGTGCAAGTGGGAGCGTCTTGTATACGTGTTCAGATGACTCAAGTTCTCGGCGTTGAGGAGGGGCGATTTAGTAAAAGGTGACCTTGAGTCATGTAGATTTGTTGTTTGTGTGAGATGAGCGAAATACGCATGGCGCTTGTGAGAATTGATTTGTTGGATGACTCGGGCTAAGAGCTGGGTACGGTTGACTTGGGCGTTGACTTGGGTGTTGCCTTGGGTGTTGACCTTGGGTGTTGCCTTGGGTATTGCCTTGGGTGTTGCGTTAGGATCCGGACGTCGAGGAGATTGAGTGAGGACGAGTACGGCAGAGGGGGGGACCGGATGAGATGGAGTGCGTGTTCGCGGGAGCACGAAGCGCCAGGAACGCTCTATTAAGTGTCAGCTAGCCCTGTGAGCTGTATCGACAATGACAGCAAAGTCAGTTGGTACCAATTGGTCGCATTGAAGGCAAGAGCTCGGCAGTGGCAGCGGAAGTCGTAGTTGGGTGTGTGCATGATATTAGACAGCCGAGCGGATTAGGAAGTGGTCCAGAGGAGCAGCGTTCCCGCAGAATGGCCCGGGGATAATTGTGTAACTCCGTAGGTGCCAGGGTGGTGCAGTGTGTACGCATGTATAGCGGAGAAGTGTCACGTGTGACGGCGAGATATGGGTGTACTCTAACCTGCGAAGGACCACGGTTGGGGGGCTCTGAGCAAGATGTGGTGGTGTGTGTGACATTAGATAGGCACACTGGTCAAGAAAAGGACGAAAAGAGGGGGGTTTGGTGTGAAATGGCCAGGGTGTAACTGCCTAACTTCGTGGGTGTCTGGGTGTTGGGATGTGGTTTGTAGTTTTCTACGTGGTGCTAGTGTAAGTGTGGGGGAGAGAGAGTATGGAGGAGGAGTGTAGAGGAGGAGTGTGGAGGAGGAGTGTGGAGGAGGAGTGTGGAGGAGGAATGTGGAGGAGGGAAGGTGTACTTGAATTTTGAAAGATAGGTGGTATTGTTTGTAGGAGTAAGGGCAGATGAGACGTTAGAAGTGATGTAGAGTGGTAAGGTAAAGTTGAATGTCAGTTTTGGTGATGGAAATGTGAATATGTACGAACAAAGAGTGGTGAAGGTGGAGTTGAGCAAAGGGAAGAGAGAGGAGTTGAGGGAAGAGGTGGAGGAGCAGTGGGGAGGAGAAGTTGATGAAGAAGGTGTGGAATAGAAGAATGGCAGCAGAAGGTGGAGGGGCAGTAGAAGGTGGAGGGGCAGTAGCAGATGGGGTAGGTGCTTATGTAAGGTGTTTTCAGCGAGGTGGAGAAAGAGGGGATCGAAGAGACAGGCGGGAGCACATTGATGTAGGGAGTTTGTGTAGTTTGGAGCAGTGGAGGGGCAGTGGGGAGCAGCGGGGAGCAGTGGGGAGGAGCAATGGGGAGGAGAAGTGGGTGAGGAAGGTGTGGAAGGTGTGGAAGGTGACGATGTAGGAGAATAGGTTTGGTGATTGAGTAGGCGATGGAAGAGAGGTAGGGAGTGAGTGGATGGTGATGATGAGATGTTGAGGGTTGTCAGTTTAGTTGGGGGGGCGAGAATGCTAGTGAGAGGTAGGAGGAGGGGTGAGGCAAGTGCTTATGTAAGATGATCATTATGTAGTTGAATGGAAGGATGAGTAGCTGAAAGTTGGAATAGATGGCAGAAGAGGGAGTGATGGTTGTGGGTTGGGGAGATTTAGAGCGAGTTAGTTTCTCAAGGGAGTAGAAAGTTAGTGGAGGGGAGGGTGGGTGAGGGAAGCAGGGTAGCGGGGAGAAGGTGGTGAGGTGGGTGCTTATGT